TAAACGCATGCCAAATCGACTCCTAACGGATACACAGACGAATCGACTAACCAACAGATCCACAGGGGAACAAACCATAGTTATGTGCACATAGAATGGAGAAATAATTGATTGACCGAATGACACCAAGGATAATCTGGTGCTATGGATCCGTACCGAAATAGTGTTGAGAGCTTTGGTTGGTAAGATGAGTATCCTCAAAGATGATTCTGATATCTTCCGAGAATTGAAAATGTCCACAGGCAACCTAAGAGGCTACATTCGGGATAGTATTCTACGTTAACTTTCTTTGGATCTGTCAAGAAAAGACTATGAAGCAGTGATCCTGTTAGTAGATTTTCCTCGAAGTTGTTTAAAAAACAAGATGGAGCATAGAAACAATGGGAGTTGGATAAAGACTTGACACACTGTTGGCCAGGCTCACACCGAGCTTACATACGTCAGCAAACAATAGTAATGTGTCAACGATCGAGTAGGAATTGTTGGAAATCAACCGTTTCCCATATCCTTCAGCAAAGTATTTATCATCTTGTGGATTAGAAAGGATGAGAATAATCGTGGGAGTAAGTGTAAATGCGGAAGACTCCAACCACTCCTGATTCTGTTCTGGTTGTTTTTTACAACATCATCATTGCACTCTTTTAACAATTGAGGAAAGGATGTAAATCATGGATATTCTGTCTTTCTCTCCGCCTTGGGATGAAGAAACACAAATTTCGCCCAACAAGGAAGGGTCACACTGAGATGGTGGTAATACTGACAATACTCAGTAGTGACATTATTTGCTCATATCAATCTGGCCAACAATTCGAGATTCGACTTATTGGCTTTTCCATTTCATAAAGGTGTTTGTCGCCATACTTTGTACAAGGGTTTGTCAAGATCTTGAAATCGGGAGTTGAACGCACAGAAATGTCCCACAGCAAAGTAGCCACCAATGTTGTAGTTGCAGTGTTTGGTTTCCCAAAAGTCAAGATTCGAACTTACTGGTTTGAATAGAAGCTTTGACTCAACACATAAGACTAAAATCAACTGAATAAAAGAAGATGAGAATTCTGTTTTCGAAGATTGTTCAGGATAAGCGTCTTTCTTTTTATATGCGGATGGAGCTTTCAAATTATCACATCTTAGTGAACAAAATATATCTGTCGTTGTTGGAGGTTATCATGTATAATAAAAGCTTCACATACTATGGTAATTCGGCGTAAGATTTCTCATTTGGATTACGCATGCACATGCGAAACCAAGTGAGGAACTACGGTAAGCCCAAAAATCTATCCTGCCCCCCTCCCCCCATGAAAGAACGCCTTGAAAAGAACCATACAGAATCTGCCTGAAGATGCATTGGTTTTCTTCTTGAAACTGTAGAGGTCGGTAAAAGTTGATGCTACTACATAGTACATTATCAGAATTTTGCAGATGTCAAAACTAGTAATTCGTGGGTTTTAATTTGTCTAACTAACTTAATTTTTAAACTGCTCCAGATTATCGTCTGTGAGGAAACTAGAATAGGGCTGACCCAAAATCCTAAATCGATCGTAGGAGACAGAAATGCCGGCAAATACCGAGTGGAGACCTTCGGAAGTAATAACTGAAAATCTTCCTACATCGTAGACTGTAATAATACACTCCCTTTATTCACCATCTCTTCAACATATATTAGACCAGTATCTTTCGGAAATGAAATAAGCATTACATATTAGGCTTCCAACTATTTGCTTGCCAAGGATACTATTGTAATTTTCCTAAGAAAGGAAAGAAGATCGGTCACAAGTAAAGACCACTCGCAGCTCCAAAAATAATAAGAGTCCTAGCACCTCATCGAAGTGAGATATTTGGAATTAGTTTGTCATTCTCCAAACCCATTCTCCGGCAAATTATGCAAAAGTGTGCTTCAGAAGTTATTGACAAACCTAAATATGATACATGAGCCAAAGAAAATTTTCACCTAAAATTTGACAGCCATGGCAAATGCCGAACGGCTTCAACAAAGAAAATAATGAAAAAGTGCTTGCGAATTGTGAGCATTAACAATTCCTCCACTGATGCTTGACTGGCATAAAAAGCACATTTCTCACCTAATTGACTTCTCTAGATAGTTCGTAAAGAAAGGTTTTGTGAGCAACCAGGTTGTTGTCTTAAAATGGACCAGCCATGTTATGAGCACCATGAACGCAAGACCCAGTATTGGCTATCCCTCACCCATTTTGACCTATGGTTTGACAGTAGAAGATGTTCTTACCAAAAACGGAATTGAAGATCATACCTCGAAGGGGTAAAGAATTATTTTGAAAATAGAGTCACAAAAAAACAGAAAAATGTCCAATAGTTGCGAATGTCTCTTGAACTTTGTTGTTGTCGCTGTTCGCAAGTCCACGAGACTTTGGATAAGAACAGCATGTTTGAATAATATAAAGAGTTGGCTCTTCCAATGACAATACTGATAACCATTGTTCTTTTTGATGAGGGCGAATTTCATAACTTGATAGCACTTTTCTATGACAACTTTTTGTGTAGTATCCTCATAACAATAGTATTCAACGACGCTAAAAAACATTTGGTGGCCACTTGATAGTTAAGAAGTTAAGGCGAGCAAAGACAATTCAAACACCACCTCCTTTATGGTATAATGAGCAGTCCATAATAAGTTCAAGTTTGTGTTCATCGAAGGAAGCCTCGTGGAAAGAGAATGGGAATATTCTTCGAAATGCATTGACAAATTGTAACGGACAAAGCTGATATTCCTTTAAGCTGAGTAGCTAGCTGTATCCGTGCTTTTACCACCCGTTCTGAACAATATTTGAAACTGAATTGAGACAAGCATTTATAAGACCGAATTGAACGATTCAATCATTTGTGTAAATCTGAATGTAGAGGTGAAGGAGACTTTGGTATCTTCTTTTGAGGCACTCTGGTATTCAGGCAAAGCAGACCAATTATAATGAAGTTCAAATTGCATAGCCAAACTTAATGAAGCTCACTATCGAAATTAATTAGTTTTTTTTTGTTAAATGGAGTCTCAATTCGATATTGAAAACAAAATAAAAGGAGAAATGGACATGCAAATTTTCTCAATTTTAACCCTGTGAAAGACAACCTGTTCGACAATGATCTTTAAAAGAGAAAAAAAAAATACATCCGGCCTCCAAAAGGTAATTCATCCGATATTGGGTTCAGTCAGATACTTACACGTAGGTAGCTTCACGGATGATGAAGTAAAAACTACGAGAGAAAGTCTGGTTGGGCGCATCCCAGAATGGCCAGACATGTCTTCAACAAAATATTCTGAATAAGGCAGCAATGGTTTGGTAGAACAATGGATTGAATAAGAAAATTTAGAATAATACTTACTAGCAATCGAGTAGTACTTTTTGCTTTGATTTTTGTGAAAGTAAAAGACCATATCAAATTGAAGAGGACTGATTTGTTTTCAGTGAACAAACCGTAGCATAAGTTATTTATTGTCATCGAAAGTCCCAATAGCTCTGACTGAGCAAGATCTAGAATGAACACGAGCCTTAAAGGTTATCGGTATTTTATTTTCAAGGTATTGAGTTGACTACAAAGATTTCTAGTTGAATACAGGTAAGCTCATGCACTGGAAAAGCAGATAATGAATACAGGGTATGCATTATCTGGTTCGCCTCAATTGAAATGCATTATTTTCTGATGTTGTTCAGACCAAGACTTCTGGAAAGATGTGTCCGTTGAATTCCAAATGCTGGTTGCATACTGCAACAATATGTAGATCCAAGTAATCGGCTTGCCTCATCTGGCAATATTAGACATCTGCCCAATATTACGCTTAGATATCTCAGAGTATAGCTCTGAATTAGAGGACTAGAATGCTTTTTTGTATTTATCATAGAGTAGTACATCAAAAGCACTACAGTTTCTATGGAGTTCATGGTACCTCAGATACGAGGGCCCCTGGTGTTTTATGTGATTCCGCACTACCACGCGGTTTGTACGTGGAACGCCACATCCTAAATTTAGATGTCTTGCTGATTTCCGTACTTATTATCTTTTCTTACCGTTTATGTCAATTGCACTTGTGGAGATGTGAAGATGCAGCGTTGATGAGTTCATGCAAAACGGCTCCGATGCATAATTATCCAAAGTGCCGCGATGCAGATCAAAGCAGGCGCGTGAATCTGACAATAATAGTAGTCTTAATCCCATTATGCATACCAAAACCCTCCTACAAGAATGTCGATCGTAAGGCACTAATATGTGGAGACAACAAAGATTAGAGAAAAGATACAAGAAGGGGCTGAAAAAAAAAGAATTTTGTAGTTACAAATGAAAAGCGTTTGCCAATTACGAATAATTGTTTCATGTATGTCGGCAATAATAGCATTTAGAGAAGGATTACATGTCAACCAAGCGCCAACGGTGTCCGTAACCTGTACAGACTAAGCCTCACCATTAACTTTCATGAACTGCTGGAGATGAGGTGGTCAAACAATACTCTCAGTAGACAAAAAGTGTACCTACAAAACTCGTAATTAATGGGGGCAAATGATTCGGTTCACGACCGTATTAGACATTCTCACCCCTGAAGAGCAGACTCATGCTCAAAATAAAATAATAAGGCAATACACTCCTATAGTCCAAACCGGGTAACTGGCCAGGCGGGATCAGTTATTTTTTCAGGCAACATTTGATTTCCTGAGCTCGTCGTAGGGTAGCGTCCCCAACAACACAAGAAAGGTCCGCCACAACGTTAGTAACTATGCAATCGAGGTAGTGACAGCATTGTTAAATCTTAGTCTGCTCTAAATCAAATTAGACATATATGCCATGTCTGATCTCGGCCCTGTATAGTTACCACACTGGCCGATGATCCATTTTCAAGTAGAAAACGGAAAATTCTTGATCTTTTCATAGTTTCTTCCTCCGAACTCAGGTAGAGTCAATAAAACGTGAAAATATGGCCAGAAACTATGCCTTTAATATCATCGCATAACAGTGGCCGATTCCATCATACCCCACGATTCATGCCCAAGTCTCGAAATGCTCTTTTATCATTAGTGGTATTCACCACTGCCGTCACATCCACGTCAATTGGATATGACTCTATGGTTATGGCTGGAGTCATTGCAGTTCCCCAGTTCACCAATTTTTTCCACCTCAATCCGACCATCAACGGCTTGATGAATGCCAGCGTATGGATGGGAGGACTCATTGCATGTTTGTTCACACAATTCTTGTCCGACCATTATGGGCGTAAGAGAGCCATCATCATATCATCCCTTGTGAGTTTTGTCGGTGTCATTTTGCAAACAGCCTCCACCAGGAATATAGGAATGTTTATCTTCGCCCGATTGGTGATTGGTATTAGCAATCAGTTGGCTGGAACAGCATCTCCGCTATTGATTGCAGAAATAGCCCCGAAGTTGATTCGGGGTTTTATGGTTGGTCTCTATTTCACATGCTTTAATGTCGGTGCCATTATTGCTTCTGGAGTAACATATGGAAGTGTTGGAATCCCCAATACCTGGGCGTGGAGACTTCCATCACTCATCCAGGCCGTTCCGAGTGCATTGAGCTTACTCCTTCTATTCATAGTACCTGAGTCGCCAAGATGGAAGATAGCAAATGGCCAGTTGGAGTATGCGGTGGAAGTATTCCAGGTGATTGACACTACCAACGAAAAAGAAGCTCGTGCCTATGTTCATCGACTTAAGCAAACCATCGAAGATGAATCGACAAGCTCCAAGAATGCGTGGACGGTGTTGCTTCACCCTTCGCAAGCTGATAAACAGCGTTTGATAATAGTGTTCACATTCGCCATGGTTGTCGAATTGGCAGGCTCTTCCGTAGGAAGTTGGTACCTCACTATTATCATGAGACAAGCAGGCATCACGGACACCGATAAACTTTTGCAGATCAACTTAATCAGCTCGTGTTGGAACTTTGTCTGCGCAGTGGTTGGCTCATACATGTTCGACCACATAGGAAGAAAGAGACAGGCTATCGGTGCGATGATAGGAATGATTGCAACGCTTTTTCTTCTAGGAGGATTTATGAAAACGTACGGAGAAAGCAACAACAAAGCCGGACAGTACGCAACTATTTTTTTCATGTTCCTATTCAATGGATGCTACAACTTCAGCATCACTCCCCTCAACTGTCTTTATCCATCTGAGCTATTCCCCATGAAAACGAGAGCGGCAGGAACCACCATATTCAAGTTTTGGAACAGCGGATTCGGGCTCTTGGGCACTTTCATCTTGCCAATTGCAATGACTAGGATAGGATGGAAATTTTATGTCATCAATGCTAGTTATGATGTTGTATTACTAGCTTTGGCTTACATGTATTGGGTCGAGACGAAAGGTATGAGCTTGGAAGAAATCGGACGATTGTTGGGAGATAAGGACGTATGTATCCCGGAATTAGACGGATTGGAATGTATCAGCGAGCTGAACACAGCCATTTATATAAAGAAATAAATTAAAGAATATTCCATGGAATCTTATTGTTCCGAAAAAAGTTCCTGATTGAATATGTTCTGGAGGATTTCCGACCATCCGCTGCCCACAAGCATCAGATGCACATCCATTTCATAATTCATGTCAGATACTCGAGAGTCTAGTAAGTCTTTACCCGTATCTACCTCAATTTTGCAGTCGGAAAGCCGAAAGTATTGAGCATGGCTTAAATCTGGAACGCTTATTTCAGGATCGCGATTGACTTGCAAATCATCAAAAAAGTCTTTGAGTGATATCACCTCGAGAACGTCACCATCTTTCTTTTCCACTACGAAGCGGACCAAATTGCACAATCTCGGAAGTACGGCCAACCCAAGCTTTGCAGGCACATGTGGAGATTGCAATTCTTCAAATATCAGAAACAATTGCTCAACTTGCTCAAATTTTTCTTTATCTTTCATTAAAAAATCCTTCTGAGGAAACATAATCATATCCAAAAGAACAGTTAACGCAGAATAAATATGATGCTGGACGACAATCCAATGTTTTCGATAATAAGATGGAACTCTCAGCGATGCTCGAGAAAGGTTCTCGAGAGCCACCAGGACACATTTGGTTCGATACTTGGCTGCCCATGCGGATTTCCCAACGATAGCCAATATTCTCCTCCCATAGTCTTGAACTTCATCAGTAAGTGACAGGAAAAGCAAAAATTTTGCATGGTAGTAACTTAGCAGTTCGTTATTGAGTGGAGGTACATCAACCTCGTAAAATTTCAATGTTGTGTCTCTTAACTTGTTCACTTTTGTCCACCCTTCAACCACCCCCAAAGGTGAGCTATTCAGAAGTTTCTTGATCCTTGCCATTTCGACCATGACGTGCTGGTAGTATACGCTGCTATAAGCATGAGGAGAGATCTTTTCACCGAACAATGGTCCCGGGGTAAGCAAAGCTTCTTCAGTGATAAGAAGTGGCATTTCCACCTTGGAAAGTGGGATATGAGAGTACGGCTTCTCCCACAGATCTAGCCAGTCAATAATGCACAAGGTATACCACAATCGTTTCTTGACCTCAGACGTAAATGTGGGATCCAGAGTCGTATTTGGGTCATCTAGCTTAAGTCTTCTTGATATTTCACAACATTGCGCCAATAGTGATTGCGATTGCCCTACGCTCCCATAAGCATGGAAGCACGTACTCAAGAGACAAAAGATTTGGATGGAACGAATGTCAAGAAAATCCATGAAATGCGCCCGGCATAGGCACTCGTAGGCAGCCCTAAAAAACATCGGCCCGAGGTTCTGGAGCTCCTCCTTGGTGAAATTCAATTTCTCCTCTAGCTCATTTGAGCCAAAGAAAATCCCATTGCAAATCGTTGCATAATACATGGCCATCCAAAAATAATAATCCTTGGGGCTCTTCGACTGGAGCTTACTAGGATTAAAGTACACTAGACAAGACGAATCTCCCTGGACGTGGTCATTCCAGAACTGTTCATGCTCATTCATGAAAAGACTCGGAATCACGGCATTGTGTATGAAGTTAATTTGGTAGCAGGCAAATGAGCACAAGGTATGCGAGCTTGAGTAATCTATTCGGGTCATTAAATTCTCAAAATTCGCCAGGAACTCTGGCCAGCTAATCTTGCTTAGATAGTGAGTGTTGAACAACTTTCCAACTTTTATGAACCCATATGTGAGCCTCTCCACACAAACACGGATATTGTCAACATCTTTCCCGCTGAACAGTGTCTCTTTGATGCTCGAAAATGCTTCTCGATTAGTATTTTCGCTCTCATGATTGGCAACAACTCCTTTAACTATTACCACTTCGCGATGACATTCACCTGAGTTTCCTCTGGCCACGCAATTTCCACACGGAACGTTCTTGTCACATTTGACCTTTCGAACTCGACATGGAACACATGCCAACGGTTTTCGCCTTGTTCTGCGAATAAAATCAGCGCCCAGGTGCTTCTCCATGGTTAGGTGTGTGCCACTCTGTGTATAAGGTTTTGTAACCAGATCCACGTGATGGAGTCTAATTGTTCATTGTGCATATTGAGCATTAGTGATCCATACATCTATAATTACGAAGGCATGCCTGAATCTTATAAAAGGTAAATCTCATCATGTAAGTAGCAGGGGTTACAGTTCAAACCTCAAGATGTAATTCAAGATAATACTCTCTTGTAAACACAATACCAAGTTCTCCCCAGAAAGCAGAATATCCACCAAACTCTCCATTAATCATTCTGTAGTCCTGTGTATATTGAAGAGCCCACATTCAACCTCTCAGTTCCATGCGATGTAGTTTGATCTGCATATCTTTAATGGGCGTCCTGATTTGCAGACTGATGTTTATGAAATTTTTTGAAATGTTTAATATTCTGGAATCCTCGTTTGCGTATAACTTATCTTTCTAAACGCTCAAAGACGCAGCAAAATGTGTGAATTGGACTTTACTAAATTCTGCAAGATGTGAAATAGGACAAAGCACATGGATCTTACGCTGCCACCAATTGTACCATTTGCCGAAATGAGGGTTGATCAGCATTTACATGCGTTGTGCATCCCAAAAAACTCTTGGGTGAGGTGAATTTCATGGATGCTTCACCGCCCTTCCTGCTCGTGTTGATGATCTGCTCTTTTTTGGGAGTCCGGTTCATATTGGTGGTGCAGTTTATTATGGGGGAGCATTTTAAGGGCTCTTATCCTTCAAATGATGTGGACATAGATGTTGGCTCGGACGTTTTCGTAAACTGCAATTCATGCAATTGAGCCAATTGTGCGCTCGTAATGTACGACGTCCTCCGTTCTATTGGGCACTGGAAGACTACCACGTATTTCTGATGGTTCTACATGGTAGTTAGGTGCATAAAAACAGTATCTGTGCAGCAAACATGCATATGACTGCACTAAAGCTCGGCTTCGCAGTATAATTAGTTGGCAGCAAACGGCCCCTCCAGGGGGTGAGGGTCTGAGTTCGAGTATATATAAACTAGAATTGCTCAGTAGTTTTGAAGTAATTTCAAAACTTCACCATTCCCTTTACCAGGATTTTCGTTTAAGGAATATTTCTTAAGTGGAAGCAATCTGCATAAGCGTACACTACATAAAGAATAGTATCACTGCACGTAATTCCGGCCGAACTGTCCCCGCTTCGGCCGAATGCTCGATGTGGAAAAGATCAAGTGATGAATTGTGGACCTCTTATACCAAGTCATGTCACCAAGAGAAAATATAGGCTCTTTCCCGGTCAACAATGCAGCTCTTTCCCGGTCCGTAATTACCAATAGTGCATGGCATGTTCAAATGCCAAATATGGACAACATCTACCACATCGAACAAATGGAAACACTTTCCTTCCTCAACATACTTCTAGAACATTCTTAGAATAGATGAGTGATGGAACACTCAGTTTGCCACAAGAAAATAGAGTCTCCGCGAGTGGTGCCACTGATAATATGTGTCATTAAGCGCTCGGCATTCGGCATGCATTACATAAAAAGCCAAAACTCAGAAAATATCTCGTTGACCCTTATGATTCGAAAAGCTCTATCATATTAAAGAATTAGCAAGTAGAAGCTATATGCAAAATTTGGACTGAACGGAGTGTTCGGAAAATGGAAGATGAATTGAAAAACCGAGTACTCTTTTACCTTTAGGAAGTAACTTTATTGCAGGAAGTAGAAGCAAAGAAATTACAGTTTGACTCTTGGTTCTGGCTTTAGTTTACACAACCGATCTCAAGATATCGTGAACAATAATTTCTCATATTCATTTTCTGCTTTCTCCTTTCGAATGTTTTGACAACGTTAATACTTCATGCTACTCAGGATTATTTTTAAGGTAAACGTACTTTCGGGTAAGATACTGCATAATACACTTATCAAACTGCAACGTACATCCACTGCAGTGCATAGCAGATCCGAGCAATGAGGATGCCAAATTTTCTGATAAGTTAACCACTAATCAATTTTACCTTATAAATCCCAATTACGCTGATTATCAAAAAATGCGATGTCTACTTATTTTGAACAAGAAGTGCCCCAAGCGCATACCGAAAACTCAAATCAATGCAACAACATTGCAATGTGGAATGATGACTCTTGCGTATCTCAAAATGACTCCTACTATTCATTATCTCCGTCGATTGTACAATATCCAAATAGTCAAGGAAGATTTGATACCCAATCAGATTATCCAGAAGTCATTGACAGAAGAATAGTGGCTCCCAACTATAATATCAAACGTAACAACTACCCAGGTTCCAGCGTCATAACTCCCAACCACAAGAGGTTGATGCTAAGTCACTACTTGTATAGTGAAACAGAGAATCAGTTTCAAAATTTAAAACTGAGGTCACAACAGTGTTCAGATAGTGCTGACAGAACAACCGAGTCTGATTTTTCTCGCCCCAATTCACACTATCACTCACCAGATAGTAATTTGGGCTATGATAATCCGAATCAGCAATTTCCATTATTTGGCAAACCATGTCCAACTTGCAAATGCAGATGTAGGTCGTGGCCCCTGAACGCTGGAAACCAAGAGCAGGATGATGCCAATCTCGAAGATGAAAATGGTATCCCCGAAGGAGACAACGGAAGATATTCAATTTTTCGAAGCAATTGCAAAAGCGATATCTTTGAAGACTCTGAAGACGGAACAAGACTCAAGCAGGTAGAACTAAAATTCACCAGTGATATTTCTTTCAAAACAATCAACCAAATTCCATGGACCGCCAAGGAAGAAAATGAAGGAAGAAGAATCATTAGAGTAACACGAGTACAAAGGAAAAATATATTGAGTTTGGAATTACTGATAATAGCTCAACTGTCTCAACATTTAAACCAAACTAGCGGAAGTAACTACGTTGAGGTTTCGTGCATTAAGTACATCCACAGCAACAGAGGCAGGGTGAACTACCTTATCACGTCCGTCGAAGTGATCAAGATTATCGAGTTGCTTACAGGCTCAGCATGGAGAGATCCGCTTTTGAGAAGAATTGAACGTGGGAGACTCAGATCGAATTTGGCAACGCTTTGGCTGAAAGAATTTCTTGCAATTAAATCAAATCACACCAACAAAGCTTGTCTCAAACTTCTGGAGCAGCTTTCAAATTACAAGATTCGGAAACCTTACAATGTTTGGAAAGATTTGCGATTAATGCATTGGGATAATTTGATCGTTGCCCTCTCCAAAGTATTGGGGTTCTACCGTGTCAGAACTTCTTCCAATTCACCAAGCGTTTAAAGTTGTACAAATTTGAAGTCAATCATCATAACTTTCAGGAAAGTTTGTTGGTACTTTCAACACGGGCTGTCGAAGACAAAAGCAAAATTATTGTTCAAATTTAACATTAGCGTCAAAAATAGAGGAATATTCAAAAAACTTTTTTAGTAGTTCTGTAAGACTGCAAAAGTGGGACTTGGATCTCATTCTGAGCGGGAAACCTTCCTCACTTGGTGATTTAGGGGATGAACTTACGTGCCACGGAGTTAGTACTCATGGAACACGCAACAAATATTGGCTCGAAATACGACATAGAATCGAAAAGCCTCTTTGAGTAGTAAGGTCGCCTATTGCAGGGCATTCTTAGGGCATGGACGACGAATAGTCTGTTACTGCGACTTGGAATGACAGTGACGACAGCATGTCTCAATCAATTGAAAGTTGTAGTTTCACAGAAAAGAGTAGAAAAACTATGTTTGATGACCCTCCGAGGATGACAAAATCCCAAGTGTGTGTATATCATGCTAGGTTTTGCTGAACTATCATTTGCTGTATCTCGCCTTTCGTAACTTAGGACGGACATGACCGTGTACGTCCGAAATCAGCATGGAAATGCAACAGCAAATGCAGCAAGTAAATGCAGAGCAACAATTAGATGCAGTTGCAACAAGTAGATGCAACATGCTTGTTCGCATCGCCTAGCGATGTCCATAAAGCCATTGTTATATTCGCCTACGAACCCGCTTGGATATCAGCAAGTAAGGCAATTAAATAGAAATCGTAAGACAGCCACGAGTATATTTCTGCGCTTTCGAACCTGCAACCTGAGCTTTTTTTTGTGATTTAACTTCGAGAAAAAAAGCTACAACGTATTGAGGTCAGCCTCGTAAGAGTGCAACTTCCACTAGTCAATTACGAAAAGTCGATCACCTTGACCGCAGTGACTTTGCCTAAGCCGAAGTTAAAAACTAAAAAGAAATAGTCAGGGGCAGATTTCCATCCCGTCATATTACAAATCATGCCTTATTGTTTTGAACAATGGTGGGTAACGTGCCTTCAATTGCACAAAGAGCGAGTGCCTACTATTGAGGGTGCCTACAGGACAATACATGCATAGCTTCTTATTTTGCGAATACACCACACTTATCATTTCTAAAGCTTTTTATCGACTTTACGTCCTTTGGCAAATTCGGCTACACCTTACTCATGTTCAAATTGGAATACCGGAAATTTCAGCTCATTGCTTTTACTGGGCGGCCAATTACGTCTACTTATTAATAATCTGCAAGTCCCCAGAAGTTTTACTACTGTCTTTTATCAGTTAAGAAGGTATTTTTTTTTTGCAATGTACAGGGGTGCCTCCCAGATGAGATTATCCACGTTTTTTTGTTGGTCTTGAGAATCAACAACTAGATTGGAGGATTTGAAAATAACCATAGCATTTATGGGTGATAGAACAAGGAAGGAAGGAAGAACCGTACTGTAGACCGACATAGGTATGATAAAGGAGAATGAGGTAGTTCCTTAGCTTATTTGAACGAGAAATATCGCCATAAAAGTGGTGGCCCGCGTCGATAACTGATAACCTATAAGCGATACCGAACTTGATTTGTGTTTATAATTTTTTCTTTATCTTATTTTCTGCGTGTAGCAATTCCCTTGAGCAGTTTATTCATGGGCAAGTGACCAAAAGGGCTAAGGGCACGTCTTCAAAACATGTTTAAGTTTCGTGGTCACGAGGAACCTGATTTCCATACCGTGGCTGCGAGAAGTGTCTACATTTTACGAGAAACACATGGCCCGTGAAAGAGATGTTCTGGTTTTAATATACGTCATTTCCTGTATTTGCGCCATCACTCCCACCCCCCACTTGAAGAGCTTGTCTCAAAATGTATGAGATAAGAGCGACACATATACTATTCCCATTCTTACCTCTTGTGCATAGCAATGAGATATCATACGCGTTCGGAAGTCAACTTGGTTTATCCTCATAAGTTTCTCTTGGATTCTTCGATGTGAGATGGACCTTTCTGGAATGGACATGCGATATTTCTTCCTGTATCAGTAAACTCGTATCATGTAAAATTAAAACTCAGCATGATCCAATTTTGTTTTTAACAAGGCCCTCACTCTCCAAATAACCAGGAGGGCTAATTGTGAACTACTCCGTTCTTGCCGGGCCCTACAATGTCCTAAATTGTTGGGCCGTTGGAGGGTTCGATGCCTAATTGAGTAATACGAGATTGTCAATTTCGCTCAAGAAACTAAATTTCCTCAAACAAGAGTAAAGGTGAATGGGGTAAGCGAACTCCGGGTCTGGCGAAGGGAACAGGAAAAAGAAATGTGCACTAGTTTGGGTCGCACTAATGACGAGGGGCACAGTTTTGACACTAAAATCTTCGCCTTGCAATAGCCACATTACCTCCATGAAGAAGTAGTGATACAGTAAGGTATTATGAATTACGCAAAAATTGTGGTTGTACCTGATTTCCCATTTTTTTTTTCCCCATTGGTTCTGTAAAATGCCAAAAGATTGGCATTGATAGTTAACCTTCAGTGTGCGAAGAATCGTTCACCACATCGGAAAGGTGGGGTATCGGTCCGTCGTTACATCGGAGCCTAGTACAGTATCCCGGAACATTTTTGCTCAATCCATCCCACTTCAACCAACGTACCCCACCTCCACCCATTTTGGGAAAGCGGCCGTTAATTTTTCAGATTGCCCTCAATGGGAGAAGTTTTCACTAATTTATGTTCCGAGACTTCTGGATGGTGGAAAGACGTACCAAGAACTTTTGATCGGTAAGCAGTTGATACTGTCATTTGTTTTGATTTAAATTTTGTAAGGTGGAGAAAATTGTCATTGCTGCGATAATTTATTGTCCGTTTGTCATTGGTTCAGCGAAATTGCGTCCGGGACTTGCGGGGTTAATAAACGCAACCACATAGAGGGGCAGCAAACCAAAATTACTCGATGTCTTGGTTCTCAATACAACTCAACTGAAAACCAAGCCAAATAGCGGTCCTATTGTAAAGATTAGGGCTTAAACTAGAACCGTAAAATTTGACACATTTTTGACGTGAAATTACTGAGTAAAACTTCTTGGCTTTTCTTGGCAACGGACGTTGGAGAAATATTCCTGCAGACAAGACGCATATTCCCCCGCTACCCCACAACAAGCCAATACGAACACCACTACGTTGCATACATTTGCCAGTATATTAAGGCGTGACTTTTCCCATTCCATTGAATTCTTCTTTTCTCAATCCTCACGGATATCTTCTCCCATGCTTAAAGACTTGAGAGGCTTCAAACTTAATTTGGCTATTGCCTTGTCTGGTGCTTGCGCTTGGATTCTTCAAGGTTATGACCAAGCTGTCATGAACGGATTGTTGACCATGACCTTGTTTCAGGAACAGTTCCCAGTTTTGAACAGTAACCGTCCAGGCGTGGACCAAGCACATGCTTCGCTTATTAAGGGTACCATCGTGTCGATTTATGAGCTTGGATGTGCTGCAGGTTGTGGCAGTTGTTTTTTCGTTGGTGACAAATTCGGTCGTAAGAAAATGATCATGGCGTTCGCTGTTTTGACTATGGTGGGTGTTATTATCCAGGTTTCTTCCTTTAAGATTGAGCAGCTCGCTATTGGAAGAATCGTCACTGGTTGCGGTGTTGGTGGCTTTACGGCCACTGTTCCAATGTGGATTTCCGAGTGTTCTAGTGCAAAGCTTAGAGGTAAGCTTGTTGCAGTCTGTGGCGCTATGGCAATTTCTGGTGTCTGCTTGGCATCTTGGGTTGACTTTGGATTCTATTTTGTCAAGCATAGTGCTATCAACTGGAGAATGCCCATTGCTATCCAGGTTATCTTCCCCATTATCTGTTTTTGCTTGGTGTCTCAACTTCCAGACTCACCTAGATGGTTGGTTAAGCAAGGAAGAGTCAACGAGGCAGCTGAGATATTTGCCAGATTGGAGGACACTACTGTGGACTCCGAACACGTTCAGGCTGAATTGGCAACCATTGAGCAGGCTCTCATGGAAAATCCAAAGGCTGCCAGCGCCTCTCCATTTGCATTCACTAAGAACAAACACTTCAGAAGAACTGTCATGGCAGTTGGTCTCAACATAGGTGCCCAAATGACCGGTGTCAACGTTGTAACTTTCTACTCCACTACCATCTTCCAAAAGCAGTTAGGTTACAGTGCAATCGAAGCCAGAATTTTCTCTGGTTGTCTTCAGATATTCCAGACTATAGCTGCCTTCTTCGGTATTGTACTTATTGATATTTTAGGAAGACGAGGTGTCATGATTCATTCATCTGCTCTTATGGCCATCGCCCAGTTTGTCCTTGGAGGTTTGGCTTCCAACATGAAGAACCCATCTAACGGTAAAGCCATGATTGCCTTCTTCTTCCTTGCCCTCTATGCTTTCCCAACGGGTTTGCTCATGGCAGTGTTCATGTATGCTGCTGAAATTGCACCATTGGAAATTCGTGCTAAGATCACAGCTATGAGTGCCGCAGCAAACTGGCTTTTCAATTTTTTGGTTGCAATGGCTTCTTTGGTTGCTTTCGACACCATTGGTTACAAATACTACTTCCTCTACGCAAGCTGCGCTACCGCCTTGTGCATTTCTGTTATTTTGTTCTTTCCCGAAACAAAAGGAAGAACATTGGAAGAGATTGACGACGTTTTCATTGTCTCGAAATCACCATTCGACACTGTTTCTGTTGCAAAGAAGATTGCAGTTATGGGAGACGACACTGAGAACGTGACAACCTTGGACTGGAAGGCCAAGCCTGAAGCAGAATTTGTCGAAAATAATAAAGAAAGGGAATCTATTTAGCAAGGCGGTGCCTGTTTACTTGAATAAACTTGAATAATTGTTGGGCTGTTTCGTAGTAGACTTGGCAAGAATGCAAAAAAAGAGGTTAGTTGAAGACAGCACGGCTAAATTATCGAAAATCTAACACAACAGAAATCACTACAGAGAATGACAAATGAATCCGTCTGTTACTAGGACTATTCTCCGATACACCGGTCTGAGAAAAAAGATTCAGAACCCCACTTTCGTAACCAGATCGTAACCCACTTCATCTGATCATGCTTGGATGTGAGTAGTCAACAAGTCTAGTCTGACAATGGAAAAAAAACGGGGTAAAGCCCGGGTCATAGCAAGAATAATTACAAGTTCGTTAGCGCGCCTTACGAACACCGCCAAGACACCCCCAAAGTGATGTATAGAGCTTGGTTTCGGGCGACAAATTGGGTATTTCTTGTGGGTGGGGGATTCTGGCATCTAGCGGCAAAACCCACTGACATTGCTTCTTAATCCTTCGTGGATCATAGGAATGGGGTAAGAGAATTCCGAGCATTATTAGGCAATATGTAAAATTTCCATAATATCCGTGGAACCGCACTATTCTCCACATCGCAAAAGATCAGAGTGGATAGGCGGCCAGTGATCACTTCTTGTGGAAAGTGCACGAAACACCAATTACATTGCTATCATTGCCGGCATCATGTTCGGAAAAATTGGCAAAAGTGCGCTTTCACGCCTGCAGTGCCTTATGACTTGCAAAACAGCACAATTATGGGGAAAATGTCTAGGGTTTGGGATCTTGGCGAGCGGCAGTCAATCCTTGATCGCCGTGGTTGTAGCATAATCGAGCCCATCTCCGCAATTTCTGCAACATGGTTGATAAGGTGGCACATACTTTGCCCCACGTGAAGGACATGGAAGTTTCTTGGCGCGTCGCACATTGACAGAAAAAGGCTCGGAAAAAATAAAAAATAATTGCCCTTCGCTTGAAGCTCCTGAGGAGACTCTTAGGTCTCCTTTGTTAATAAAAATTTAGACTCCACAAGCTAAACTAAGTACGACCCAAATACTGTCGTTGTTCCGAGGAAAATGCCCCGAATCAACCTCTTCAACTATGCGGCATCATACCCAGAATATGCATACACTATTTAATCTCCTACATAGGGCACCCGCCAAGGGTAAACTCCGACCAATGAAAATGTGGACTGATGTGTCTACGCCTCCCTTTTAGGTGAATAGAAGGATGAAATCTGGAATTCTCCGGTGCACCTCCATTGCCAAGCATCATTGGGGATAATGCGGGGCAGCCATCAGTTTTGAATCGCCCGGACTTGCCTTCACTAGTTAGCTTGAGAATTACTAATGATAGGTACTCAAAACCACAGTTCTTTATTGTATAGCAAAACCCGGGCATGACAATAATAACCCCAACCTTCGTAACCACCAATGTACAGTAGTGTTCACTGTGGGACGAGTGCCGTGCCCCCAATTCTAATAATGTATGTACCTGCACTAGAAAATGGAATCTGCATCCACGAAATGTAGAGAATATGTGGGGGAGCTTGGTTGCGAACTTTCAATTATCTGGGGAAATCTATAGAATATAAAATGTGGCGACTATCCTGATCTTGAACTATAGAAATCCAGAAAAATGGGAACTACAGCCTTGTATGAAGTCGACAGCAACGAAAAACCTGGTGTGGTTTACGTTGAATCCGTGGAGCAAGGCTCAAACATTGATGTTTCCAAGTTTGCCGACATCGATGAGAAGAAGTTGGTAAGAAAAGTGGATATGAGGTTACTTCCGCTCTTCACCATTTTGTATCTTTTGTCTTTCTTAGACAGAGGCAATATTGGTAACGCCAAAATCGAGGGTTTGGCCGAGGACTTGAACTTAAAGGGTAACCAATACAACATGTGTCTTACAATTTTTTTCATCTTCTACGCTTCCATGGAAGTTCCTTCCAACATGATTTTGAAGAGATGGAAGCCTAATATTTTCATTCCATTGACTGTTGTACTCTTTGCTATTGTCATGACGCTCATGGGTACCGTTCGCAACTATGGTCAGCTTTTGGCAACCAGAGCCTTGTTGGGAATGTTCGAGTCGTCACTTTTCCCAGGTATTTCTTACATGTTGTCCATGTACTACAAGAAGAACGAACTTCTTGTTAGACAGGCAATTTTCTTTTCTGCTGCATCTATGGCTGGTGCTTTCTCAGGTTTGTTGGCTGCTGCCATTTCCAAAATGGATGGTGTGGGTGGCTACGAGGGCTGGAGATGGATTTTCATTCTTGAGGGTCTTGTGACTCTCATTGCAGGTATTGTGGCCTTTTGGTACTTTCCAGTATTCCCCAAGGATGCCAGCTTCCTCACTGAGAAGGAAAGAGAGTTTTTGCTCTACAGAGTGCATTATTCCTCCAATGCAGACGGCCAGAAGTTGGGCCAAGGAAACAACAGCGGACCCGCCAACATGGGAGAGGATAACTCCAATGATAGACGTTATTTATGGGCTGTTTTCAAGGACTGGCAGTGCTGGTGTCAACTTTTCACCTACATGGGTATTCTCCTTCCACTCTATGGTGTCTCTTTGTTCACACCTACAATCATTCGTAACTTGGGATACACCAAGACCAGATCACAGTTGCTCAGTGTCCCTATTTATATTGTTGCTGCCTTTTTCTCTGTTGTGCAAGGTTTTATTTCTGACAGAATCGGCCTCAGATCGCCATTCTTGGTGTTTAACTACCTTTGTATGGCCATTGGCTACATTGTGTGTGTTACTGGTGATCCAATCAACAATCCCAAGGGAATTTACGCTGGTGTTTACATCGCTGCCTTTGGAATCTACCCTGCCATTCCGTTGTCGATTGTTTGGAACGCTAACAACTTGTCTGGATCATACAAGAGAGCCATTGGAATCGCATTTCAAATTGGAGTTGCCAACTATTCAGGAGCTTTTGTCTCCAACTTCTACCGGACGCAGGACAGTCCGGAGTTCAGATTGGGCCACGGGTTGGTCTTGGCGTTCATTGGTTTTGGTGGTATCTTTTTGACTGCTTTGATCATTGGTTACTCCATCTCGAACAAGAAGAGTAAGCAAAAGGTTGCTAGCGGTGAATACGACAATTACCTGGAGGATGAGCTCAAGAAGATGGGTGACAAGAGTCCGTACTTCCTTTACAGATTATAGGTTATGTGATAATGATAATTTATTCAATGGAGACCAGTAGGTTTGATTTCAATGAAATTCTGAGTCCAAACAATTGCCTATATTATTTTTAACGAAGACCAAGTTGAAGGAATTTTGAAAAACTTTACACAATTATAGATCGAAAAAAAGAAAAGGACTGAAGAAATGTCACAAAAGGAATAAAAAAGTAATCACTATTTTCTCTAGCCCACTCACAGTTCCACTCCACCTCACTATAATTCTCCACCGTGCACCCGCCTCTACAACTTCAACGATAAGAAAAATGAAAAGATCTGAATTAAAAGTCTCTTTACTGCTAACATCTCAACGGGCCCTTATTTTCAAATAACACGTATTAGGTTCAGTACCAGGATTTTGAACTCTACAAATTGCCTATTATCTTCCCCGGAGGTACGGGTGCGTCCGTGCACACGTATCGGCTGGTCACATACTAACCAGAACCCCCCATATTCATCATTAAACATGAGCAAGAAAGATACTGACGACGTCCTAGACTTCATTAACTCCCTCCCTGACTCCAAATCCAACACTCCCGCTCAAAAGAAAAAGACCACCGAGTCCTCCAGCGAGTTTTTAGACTTCTTGGATGAACTCAATGCCCATGAGAAGTCACCAAGACCTGCTGGCGCCTCCAGGGCTAAATTCGAGCCAAAAAAGAAGGACGAAGTGAAAGTGAAGGAGAATGTAGAAAAAAAGTCTCGTGAGACTGAAGCTCATGTTGTTCAACCTGACGCTGGGGTTGCTGAAATTGACCATGGAGTTGTTCCTACTAAAGTTGAGAGTCAGTCTGAAACCACCGGAAGCGAGACTAGTGGCGGCGATACAGGTGCTGACGTGTCCAAAGAAGATGCCGAGGAGGAAAACGTCATTGATCCCATCGCGTCCATCTCGTCGTGGTGGAACACAGAAGGATCCAACAAAGTTTCGTCACTTTGGGGGTCATTGACGTCCAACGCACACCAATTGAGCGAACAAACCTACCAGCTTGCGTCGAATACGTCGCAGCAGTTGAGCCACCAGAGACAAAAGCTCATCCAGGAGCACAGCGGTGTGGCTGAAGGCGAACATATTCTCAATATCACCGATAAACTCAATTCTATCTTGACCACGATGTCTGAGCAGATAAAGGACGGGTTGATCGACAAAGAGGACGAGCTTTTGAACATTTTATTGGTGTATGACTTGAATAACGTAGCTTACTTGGACCGTTTGTGTGCGCAGAAGTTCAACAAGGTGATGGGCCAGGTGGAGGGAGGAATCAAGGTGACCGTCAACAATTTCAACCACAAACACGAGAATGTGACGTTGGCGCGCGAGTACTATGACTTGGGCATGTTCTACGGCAAGGCTATTGACGGCGAGAAGTTATGTTTTGCCAACTTGGAAAGCTCCATCAGGGACTACTTAAAGATCACTGGTGCTGCCGACGATGCTGCAGAATCCCAGGAATCAACGGCTTCAGAAACAAGATCCGACAAAGAACATGTCATCAATAAGTCTAACGTTTTCATTGCCATCCAACCTATCAGCACCGGATCGCTTGAGTCTACAGAGGAGGCCAGTGGACCCTCGTTGATCGAGGCCGGCAACAGCAACTCGTTCGCATTCACCATGATCTTGAAAGACATCTCCAACAATATCACCATCGTGAGTAAGTCGCAGCCATTCCCATTGCGGTGGGCCAGATGGGTTGCTGGAGAAAGAGGCGATGTCGAGGCTATTTTTGGAGTTCCTGAGGAGGGTGAGGAGGCGGTTGATCCTAGCGAATGGGTTAAGGACTGGTTGAAGGATGGTCTTGCATTGAGTTTTGGTGTTTTGGCGCAAGAGTACGTGACGAAGAGAATGGGTATGTAAGAACATAATGAGAAATTGGAACCGCAGTAGAGAGAAGGTAATGGAGATAGGGGAGATAGGGGAGATAAGGGAAATGGGGGGAGAAGCGATAAGAAAAGATAGGAAGTGAAAAGGCAACTGAAAAAGAAGCCAATCGAAGACACCGAAAACTAACTATAATTTTTCTCATTGTGCCTCTAAGATCAATGGTAATTCTTTCTGAAGACCAACATTTCAACGACTGAACTCTTCGGTAGCCATTAAACGATTACATTACAATTACAACTACTTCCAAAGTATCCCAATTACCCAATTTATTAACGAATCGCCTCTATAAAATTAACCTAGAAAAGGTCAGCGAATTCAGCCACATGAGGATGCACAGCACACATCATGGCAGCAGCCTGGTGGTGGTGAGTGAAACCCGACGACTTGTTGGTCGTCACCACAGGCGCAGACTTTGTAGAGATTACGTCCAGGTCAGACTTCTCATGAATCATGCTACTCTTCTGCATTCCACACGAGTAGTAATTGTGCATGATTCTATCCAAGCCCTCATCATCAACAGCTACAAGCTGATTACTCCAATCAACCACAAACGGCGTCAACTCCTTGGCCGAGTGTTCAGCCAACAGATCCAAGTACTGGTTCTCGGAAACAAGATCCAAGTCAGGCACAAATTGCTTCTTCTTCAGCTCGTTCTTGACCGCAACATCACAGAACAGATGGCCAGGCGATGCCAACAACGCAGGAAAGATCTTCTCAAAGCTTCTGGCATTCTGAGGGTGCACATTCATACACTCTTCGTGGATGTACGAGTATGTTCGGTACAGTGGCAACTTGTTAGTTCTGACATCCAAAATGTAACGAGAGTCGTGCTTGATAAGCCTGGAAAGTAAGTGGTTGGAGAGCTTGGAGTTTGAGTTGTGGAAGAAGGTGAGGGTGGCGGAAGCACGGCCAGTGATGAGTCTAGAAAAGGAAAGCATTCTTTGTTGAAAAGAGCAGTGTAAGATAAAATTAAATTCTACAGTAGTTCAGGATCACAGCCATTTTTATATTCGAGCAGAGCTTTTTGTGGCTATACGATAAGGGAGGGGTATTCTGGCGACCATCCTGCACACACACGGGGTTGTCCAGGCCCAGGTTTTTCCGGCCCATGGCACATTGTACTGTTTTGGGCCAACATTGGGTGCGCAGTCAACGTGGCTGGTGATTACCCCTCCACTCCCCTCGTGAAAATTTTTATTTAGCGTGTTTACCTTCTATTTGGGATCGTATAGAAGAGGAGAAGGGAGTCAGAGGTACTGGGAGATGAGGAGATGAGGAGATAGGGGAGATTTGTGCCAGGTATGGCAATGTTGAGACGAAGTTGAGATTTAGAGCCAATGGGTTGTTTTAGTGTAAAGGATAGTATTATGAAGTAGACAGGTTGACATTTGGAGTAGACAGGGTTGACATTTTCATGCCAAAAAAGATTATATTGATTTGAAACACCAAACAATTGTAAAATGTCACCACAATGATAATTGTCACGTTGAGTCACATTGAATTACCTTAATTTGCAATTCTAGCCCTTTGCCTTCAATTATCACATTGGATCGTCGTTTTCTTTTTAGTCGCCTGCCAATTTCACACGTATTCTATAGTGAGGAGAAACTTCAGGTGACTCACTAGGCTGTGTGGGTTCTTTTTTTCGCACTGTTGCGATGAGTTACTGATAAAGCCACGTTTGCTCTGCCATACCAGATTAGGCTCTACCGTGTATGGGTTTTGTTTATATGGAAGTTTTATTTTTGGTTGGGTTTTTAATACTTTGATTCTGTTGCTTCTCCACTTGCTCACGCAACACCTTCAATTATCTATTGTTGCCCTTCTCTTGCCCTTCTCTTGCCCATAGTTGCCATTTGCCCTTCGCCATTTGCAATTGCCCTTAATGACCTTGCCCTTCTAGTGACTCCGAAATTGCTATTCTTAGGTGTGTCATCTGAAACCACCGTCTTTTCTTTTTCTGTGGCTTTTCTTTTTTGACTGGCAAGGATCATTTCGGACCGGACTCACTCGTAATTGCACATCGTGCAGTCCTGATAACCCTATAGTAAGCAGAAGTAAGCAAACGTAGGTAGAAGTAAAAAGTCAATGGAGGTACGTTTCAGTATGTGAAAGTAAGAATGAGCTAGCAAAAGTCCTGGGTGAACATATACGAAATCTGATATTGATCATTTGCTACAACTGTGGCGTTTGCTAATAGGCATTGCTATCGGGATATATCAGGCTTCTGTTGGACACGGTGTGTGTAAACCCTCAATTGTTCCGATAAGCCTTCGGATTATCTTATCTAGAACGTTCGATCAATCTCACAATAGGTAACCATCCCCTATAATCTGATGTCATAATCCTTCCACGGTTGTCATTCCCCTCCCTTTGTCGGACTCTCCTATACTCTCCAAGCGACCCTTGAAGCCCAATTTTTTTCTCTTCTTCCATGTGGCCCCTATAGAGTCTTATCTCCCCTCTCTGGTCGCAAAAAACTTCTCTCCTATTTCCCCTAACTTCTCTCCGTATCTCCTAAACTTCGTACCCGAAGATCTCTGGTCTCCGATGCGTAAACACCGGCAAGTCCGTCCGGATCTTCTCCAACGTGGCCAAGTCCAACTCGGCCTCCACCAAGTCGTAGTAATCTCCGTCCGAATCCACTCCACCTCTCTCCAAATAAGTGGTTCCCTTGGCCAAAACGTCTCCCCATGGTCCGATAATCACCGATTGTCCGTAACTCTCGCGCTTTTTCTTTCCGTCGGCTGGTACATCGCTGTCAGCATACACGTTGTGCTCTCCACTTTGAGCAGCCATCACAACGTAACACTGTGAGTCAATTGCTCTGGCACGTCCCAATTCGAGCCAGTGGGCCTCACCTGTTTTTGTCGTGAATGCCGAGGGATATGTGAGGATGTTTGCACCCAACTTTCTGAGTCTCAAACTCAATTCGGGAAACCGGATATCATAGCAAATGGCCAACCCAACCTTGAACTTGGAATACTTGTCGTCATTAACGGGGAAAGGTGGCAAAATAGCACTTCCGGGCTCCACAGAGTTGGATTCTTTCAAAATAGGCCCGTTAGTGATGCTGATATCGAAAAGATGAAGCTTCTGATATCTTTGCAAGATCTCGCCCTTATTGGAGATCCACAACTGATTGTTTTGTACTTTCTTGCCTGCGTTTTCTCCTTTGGCTGGCTCATGAACTCCGACAGCAACAAAAATGCCCTTATCGGCGTCAGGACCCGATGCTGACTCATACAAGGCCTTCACCTCTTGCTGAATCACCAGAATAAACTTTTCGTGAGAGTTTTCCGCCAATTGCACGGAGTGACTGGCATCTCGAGAGAGATAGTCGGCTGCTTCAGGAAGAAAAAGCACTTTCACGTTGTTTTCAACGGCCTTTTTGAGAAGTTTCTTGACTACTCGAGCATTCTGTGACAAGTCAGAAGACGAGCACATTTGGCCAGCGGCAATTTTCAAAGTAGTGGCCATAGTGGATAATTTTAAGCGATTTTCGAATCGAAGAAGGGAAATACGTCTGGAAATTGACTGTTTTAGTGGCGTCAGTGTGGATTGGAAGAATAAAGACATGATTCCGTACTCTGGCCTGCAGGCGGTGCACACGATAAGAGCCACAGAGATCACGATCAGTAACACTAAAAGGATGATTAAGAAAGGTAATTTCGTGGAAACAATTGTAATTGATAATGAATGTATGTTTGAGAATTTTGAGGACGTTCTGTTGGAATTGAGGATAGTTTTGGGAAAACAAACATCAAAAAGTTATGAGGGAGAATAGGTTTGGGTTGGTAATTATCGACGACATTTCAATAGGGAAAAGATACTAAGGACAACAATTTAAATTTGTAAGCTTGCAACAACAAGTACAGAGTTAGTGTGGTAGTGTTTCTTGTAAGGGTTGGACTAGTTATTCACATATTGTCCGAGGTACAACAACTTCAAACCTCCAATATTTGGCCAGACATCAATTGATTTCAAACTCCAAACTCCAAACTTTGGCAAGGAAGACTAGCACAGCCTAACATAATGAGCTAAGAATGATCTAAGAGGGAGTTGGTAGAGAAGTGGCATAGAAAGCTCTACAACAGTATGCTCAATGGAAGGTTATCACCTGAATGAGTAAACCCGTCTTATTGGGCTTGTTGAAATATTATTCATAGCCCTCATGAATGGACCTCATGAATGGCCCTCACATAGGAGACAATTCTGTGGAGTCATTCAGCCAAGGAAATCCTTTTTCATCAAGGGAGCTCAATCAGTAATCGGTTGACCGTACTCAATGAGTTTATCCCGGAAGGCAAGCGAGTTACCCTATGAACTGTTGATCACTAGAAGAGGACAACGAAAAGAGCCATCTGAATTTTTGTTCAATGCTTTCGTTACTTCAACCGCCCCTATACTTTACGTGATTCCTCTAACCTACTCTAGATCGTTCATATTTTCATGGATGTGCTACATTATACTCTTTTGAACTTTCTAAGCCATTTCAACTTATCAGTAATCCTCAATAGATATATTATGAATTATACTAAGCTTGAGAAGAGATCCATTAAGGAGAGACTGAGTTATATTTTTCGTCACGAGCCAAATGTATTCAATGGTCGTAGTGAACATTCTTTTCTTACTCCCAAGTAACGGTTCTATGGTTCTTATTATTTGAAATCAAATAACGTATGTATTTTTAATCGAGATTATAGTCTTTAAGGGAGATAATTTTGATATTTGTCTATGGTCCTGTTTTTTAATATTTTATTAAGTCCCCGTCATTTCTACTTTCTCTTGTGCGAACGGAAGAAATACACCATCATTTCCCCGAACCCCACCAAATTAAACGATCACGAAGTATCAAGACAATATCCGGGAAAACAACAATAGTACCGAACTTAAAGAAGTAAAGATGGTCAATAGGAAGAGTCGATCGCCACGAAAAATGGTGGGGTGGTGGGGGAGGTATTAACCCACGAATAGAAAGTTCACTATAACCGGATCACTTTGCCCATTCCCCCAAAAAAGTGAACCTGACAGAGAATTCGGCGGAAAGGAAGACGGAAAACAGGAAATCTGCTCAAATCAAACTTTGGTTACAAGTGTCGGACGATTTGTTCATGATGTGGTAGTTACGGCTAGCCCAATCGGGTACCCGTGTAGGGCCGAGAAGTACTATTCGGGATAGGAACGGCTAGGATTCAAAAGGAGAAAGTACTATTTCTTAAAAATCGAAACAGTGAAGACCGAAAAGAAAGTCTGAAACAATCCAGAGATTTAATTCTTTCAACACCTTTAACTTTATAATATAGTTGTAATGATGTATTGATCCATTTTGGTCCTATCCCCGGGCGCCGGCTCCGGTAATCCATGGTGTCAAACTTCTGGGCCGTTATTATCAGATCATAACCCCGTATGCTCTGATTAGATCAATCAGGTCATGTTCCCTTTCAGATTATTATTCTACTACGCTCTTACAAGAATTTCTCCCAATGCTAATTTATTATGTACATGCTTAGGCCTTGTTCACTGGACCAGCAGTAAACACTTCCTCGGACGAAAAGACAGTGGGCTCAAATGGAGTCTCACTTGGGTTCTTGATGTCTTCTGACTGGAGAACATCGTCGTTGGAAATCATGTTGACGGTAGCATCGTGCTCAAGCGTGTTGAAGTTAACACACCTCTGGCGAGACGAAAATGATCTGTAGGCTGGAGCCTTGGTCATGGGCACCCAACATCTGGATGCGGTCTTGAATGAAGACACAGAGAGGAACTTTCTGGCAACCATTGTGAATATGCTTTTATGTGATTATGTGAAAATGTAGAATTCTGAGGTGGGAGATAACGGGGGAACATGAGTATTTATATTTTTTTTCCCCGATGATTCCTTTACCCCGGATTCCGCAAGACCGGACTTTTACTTGCGCAATTGAGTCACCTCTCCTGGCTTATCTGCACACCGAATGATTCATCATGGATCTTCCTGCAGACTGGCGAGGGTAATCTTTAATCCCAACACTCCGGGTGGGCTGTAATTGGTTGATTCCGGGCGTGGTTGCCGAATACTGCCGGGAACACAGGCACTGAGCTGTCTATTCCAGTATGAATGAGAAGTAGAATTGATCAAAATAAAAACCACCCCCTTAATCATAGGCTATATCCCCATAACCCTTATCCTTGTGACCGAGGAATTACTTGAAGGTACCGGATGACCTAATGCGACATGGCGACATTTTCCGCACGCATATGACAGATAGCATTACCCCGGTCGGCCGGGGACACCGGGGTACACCACACAACACCCGTACACCAGAAAAAACGTGAAGATGAAATTTGATCAAACCCCTGAACTGATTCAGAAATCTTGTAAATGAAGTAATTGGCTGAACAATAGCAACCATCTCAACATTCCTGCTACCCGTGGAATAAGTGGTTCCATTAGCAATCAAACATTAAACTTCACGGGTGCAAGGAGATACTTTACGTCACGTGATCAAAATACCACTCTATGGTTCGCAGCGAATGCCAGACCTTCCATTTCTCCGTTCCACCGATCGCAGCCTTTCACCCGTCGAAAAAAGCTATCTGGGGAAATAGAAAAAAAACAACCAAGTCACTCTTCTTGCTCCACCTGCACTCAACCATCTTCATTTAACAACTACCGAAAAAGATAATCCACCATGGGCACAGGCTGGGAGCTCACCAAGCCCCTCAGAGACAAAATCTATCGATATGCCACCTACCCTCAGACGTCCATCAATATCCGGCAAATGGTTCAATTTGGACCGTCTCCATCGCCAGGGTCCATCTTTTTGGCGTCCCAGTTCATTGTGGAGGAATTACCCATTCGTTTGGCGGTAAAGGTCAAAGACTTGGAAAACGCTCCATTGGGGCTTCTGGAAATGCCGCTGACCATTAAAGTTAAGAACTGGTATGCACAGCTGTTCGAGGAATTGACGCTGTTGCCCAAACCGAAGGTCGACGACAAGTTACGCGAGTTGTTGTACAGTACAAGTGGCGTACGGTCGGTGGACAGCGAGTCCTTCGACGACAACACCTTGATGGAGACCACCAACTTGGCCCACGAACAGAAATCGAACCCGGCAGTCAACAATGTGTTTTCTGACGATGGTATCGTAGTCAGACCGCATTCTGGATCGGCATCGTCTGAGCTGCTGTGGACGTCTTCTGCATCGTCGGGTTCGTCTGGCTCGTCCTCCTCGTCATCATCCATGGCAGCCCGCTCGGATTCCCCCACATATGGCTTGACCTACTTCAACCTGTGTCCCATGAACATCGTGTGGCCCAAAGAGGTGTACGACTACAATAAGCTAGTGTACGATGCGCTTCTGAAGATCAAAAAGAGACACGACGCTACGGTAGCAACCATGGCCCAGGGTGTCCAAGAATGGAAGACCGAGCACAAGTTGGTGTCAGTCAACTCGTCTATTCAGACGTTTTTGGACCGTTTCTACATGCTGAGAATCGGCATTCGTATGCTTATTGGTCAGCACATTGCATTGAACATGTCGCAGGCACTGCCAACCAGACAGCGTCTTCTGAAGTTTTTGAATGGAGCTAACAGTGCACCAGCACCAAAGAACGCCAGAAACAATTACGTGGGTGTCATCTGTACAGACTGTAACGTCAAAGAGATTGCCGAGGATGCCGTCGAGACCGCCAAGTACATCTGTGAAGAGTACTATGGTCTTTTCGAGGCTCCTGAGATCCAATTGATTGCTCCCCAGCAACTGGTGAGCTTCATGTACGTGCCGGGCCACTTGATTCATATGTTCTTCGAGGTTTTAAAGAATTCCTTGAGAGCCACCATTGAGTTTCATACGCCCAGGCTCAAGGAGCAGATGATGGCAGAGGACCCCAACCTCAAAGCCGAGGATATCGACTTGAACGACTTGAAGTTTCCTCCCATCAAGGTTATCATCAGCGAGGGCTACGAAGACATCGCCATTAAAATCTCCGACGAAGGAGGAGGAATTGCCAGGAGCGAGATTCCTTTGATCTGGACTTACTTGTATACAACGGTGGATAAAACCCCCACCTTGGATGCCGAGTACAACCAGTCAAGCTTTAAGGCACCAATGGCTGGATTTGGGTATGGATTACCCATCTCCAGACTTTACTCACAGTATTTTGGAGGCGACTTGAAGTTGATTTCCATGGAGGGCTACGGTACCGATGTTTACATTCATTTGAACCGGTTGAGCAGCTCGCTGGAGCCATTGCCATAGGTCTAGATAGTTACGAATGGACGAGAATACGACTTTTAGAATTTATATGAATTCAAGGAATTTTTGATAAGAATTTGATCCGTATTTTTTTGTATGCGATTTCAACAAATGAGTACTTTTGATCGGCTTCTAGATACCCCAATGTCTCAACCTGGATATGATTCTCATGATTCATTTTTGTGTGGGGTATTCCCGAGGCTATCATGTCCGGAAGGTACGGGTGTGAGCAGAGAGCAACATCTAAATCACCAACTAATATCGTTTAAAATTTCACAAAAATTTGAAACAGCCATGGGAGGTAAGCATTATGTCTATTTAAATCATAAAATTTCAAATCACAAGTCATAATTTCTTAGAATCACCCACATGATTCCTCCCACACTATGATTATCTCCCCGCAGTACATGCAGGCTCGCGACATTTCAACAATTCAGCGGCAGAAAAATCATCATTACTAACTACTTCCACTTTTTCTTTCCTATGTCTGCTCCGAGAACGAAACCTTGGGAAGTCGCAAGCGGCACCTCGGCAGCGTCTGCCTCGGGCACTGACACGTCGGCGCCTCTCACCCAACAGCTCTCGGATTCTATAGAATCGATTCCAGATAGACCGGCCTCCCTCACGGATCCTTCAATGTCCCAGTACGGCTCCAGCTACGGCACAGGTGCCACCAGCGGCTATGGAACGGGCTATGGATCGAGATACGGTGGGATGGGCTCGTCCATGTACGGTAGCGGTGGCTATGGCTCCTCGATGTATGGAGGATATGGATCCAACATGTACGGAGGCTACGGTGGCTATGGTTCAAGTATGTACGGAGGCGGATTTGGCTCGAGCATGTACGGCTCAGGCATGTACGGTGGTGGCATGGGCATGTACGGCCAGGGTATGGGTGGACCAGGGGGACTTGGAGAAGGTACCCAAGCAACCTTCCAACTCATTGAGTCCATAATAGGTGCCGTGGGCGGCTTTGCCCAGATGTTAGAGGCTACCTACATGGCGACACACTCTTCATTCTTCACAATGGTGTCATTGGCCGAGCAATTTGGCAATCTCAAGAATGCTCTAGGGTCGCTTCTAGGCATCTTTGCACTCATCAAGTTCGCGAAGAAGATCTTCTACAAGATTACCGGTAGAACCTTCGACCACGGCATCAGTGCTAAGGAGTTCAGCAAGTTTGAGTCCAAGCAGTTGAAGTTGGAGGATAGCTTAAGAAGACAGCAAAATGGCCTGTCCAAGCCACGTATTTCCTTGAAGCCACTCTTGCTCTTCTTGGCTGCATCCATAGGCTTCCCATACTTGTTGAGCAAGGCTATCCAGAAGTTAAATCAGCAGCAGCAAGCTCAGCAGCAGAGACGTCTACAAGACCAACACAACGTGGCGCCAGGAAGCGCACCTTTCGACCCGGAATCATTAGAGTTTGCTAAGGCACTCTACGAATTTAACCCTGAAAACCCAAACATTGAGATTGAATTGAAACCCAAGGAGTTGGTTGCTATTTTGTCCAAGTTGGACCCCTTAGGGAATGAGAGCAAGTGGTGGAAGGTTAGATCACGTTCGGGCAAGGTAGGGTATGTTCCGCTGAACTACCTCAGCATCATTCAAAGGAAGTCTCCCCTTAAGCAAGTGGAACCAGCCCCTCCCAGCCCCCAACAACCCAATCAATTTGCTGCCTCGCCTGAAAATGCCGAGCAGTTGGTTGAGGAGTTCCAAAAGCTCCACTAATGATCTCCTTGCATGCGTGCTGTGCACCTCACGAACACCCAATTAATATACGGACGATTTCATGGTTGTCCTCACCTGCAGTGCAGATTCTAGCTACACAGTGTAAACGCCTTACTAAAGACTGTCAATTCTATTACGCCAAGTTCTCATTTTACTTTTATTCACTTATTTTAGATACCATCATCTGGACGGTTTTGCTCGGCTTCCATGTGAGCGCCTTTGTCCTGCAAGTCTTTGAAACCTTTGGCGTTTCTCTCCACTCTTCTTTGCTCTCTAGACTTTGAAGTCAAACCATCCACATCATCACCGATTTCATCGGCCTTTTCCTTTACTTCAGATGCAGTTTCCTCAGCCCAGTCAGCGGCTTTGCCCTTTGCTTCTTCAGCTTTGTACTTAGCCTTGTCTGCGACACTCTCAGCATCGTCCTTAAGTTCACTGGCTTTGTCTTCAGCTTTGTCTTTAAGCTCACTGGCTTTGTCTTCAGCTTTGTCCTTAAGCTCACTGGCTTTGTCTTCAGTGTCGTTCTTGACCTTCTTAGCAAAATCCTGAGCTCCATCCTTAAGGTCTTCGGCCTTTTGCATGCCTTCAGACAAAACCTCTCCGGTCTTCTGGTTCACCTTCTCAGCACCCTCCTTGACTTTATCAACACCGTCCTTTGCAAGCTGTTCTGCACTCTTACCGGAGACAGTCTCCTTGACATCCTGAGCAACATCCTCAGCCTTCTGCATACCGTCTGCCAAAACCCTACCGGTCTTCAAGTTGACCTCTTCGGCAGCCTCTTTGATGTTTTCTGAAGTTGGAGCCACCTTCTCTGCGGTTTCCATAGTGCCAGCCAAGAACTCACCAGTCTTCTTATTGGCCTTCTCTAACACCTCCTTGGCCAGGTCCACTACGGACTTTCTGGCAATGATAGAATACGAAAGTGGCCTCAATGGCTGCGAAAGTACAACTCTCGATACTGCAATTTGTCTCAAACCTTGACGGAACATGATAATGATAGAAATGTTGAAATCTGTGAATTGATTGAATTCATTAAATGGTGGAAATTGACTGAGGTTTATATGGCTGCACTATAGCAAGCTTGCTATTGCTCAAGATGACATGGGGTTGCTAAATGGGGACAGGGCTCAGTATGAAGTACCCTCATAGAACAAGATATTACCAGGAAATGACAACACACGCGGAGAAATAGCAAATATTGCCAATTTGGTCCTTGCTAGTAGCACAGTCTCGCCATACTTGGCCGCGGTACAGTCATTTAATTCAATATATACGCTGCGTTCTCCATCATGAAAGTCTTGGACTTGAAACGCCGGACCAACCAGTTCGGCATTTTCATTCCGTACCATAAGCCTTCACCATAAATTCCAGACATGGGAACATAAATAGTGTTTAAGCCCGCAGTATAACGCTTGAATGCTGTGCGGTCAATTCCTAACAAGCGCTTGATCGTGGCAGCGAAAACTGCTTCCTGATTATACTTTAGATCGGCAAAAGTTCTAGGACTTCCAGAAACAATGTCTCCAAGTGCAAGAACGTTCTTGGTACCCCTGACCACCAAATGACGGTCGGTTTTGATGTATCCGTTAGCATCTTTAAGACTTTCGGGCAAGAACCCGGAAAGGGGTGCCTGACGAATGGCCTGAATGACGAGATCATAGTCAAATGTACTTCCATCGTCTAGAATCACCTGGGTTTTGTCATTGAGATAGAGAACGGACTTGACACGGATACCATTGACGATGTTGACCCCGAGCTTGGTTAATTTCTGCTGTGCTCCTTGCTTCAACTTGGGGTAGTCCGCCAAGGGCCCAGATCTGCCCGTGTATAAGGTGACATCAATGGTATCGATATTTAAAGCGATCTCGCCGGCTGTTTCCACTCCAGTGGGGCCACCACCTACAATCGCGATCAGTTTGGATGTCCGGAGCTTCTGAGCCATGTCTTCGATGGCTTCTTTGGCAACCTTGTGCGATTTGTGCACCTTGAATCCAGCGAATTGATTCGAAGTGCCAACAGCGATCACCAACATGTCGTAACTTAAGATCGCGTCAGTTCCGTCTATGTCTACTTTGACGGTTTGTAATTTGACATCGACTGCCACTGCCTTCCCTAGAACGAATTTCCCTTTGCCTCTCAGGTTTTTAGTGACGAACTCTTCGTTGGAGAAGATCGTTTCGTCAAAGCGGTCTGGTTCCACCAACAACCGGGGTGCGGCCACGTTGAAGTACGCATGAGAAGTCATAGACACCATGGTGACCTCAAGATGCCTATCTTGAGCATTATTGTACAATGTGTTGAACGCAATATGGCCAGCATACGAACCTCCAATGATGATGATCTTCATGATGAATTGTTAAGGACAATAATGGAATTGTGGGGTATGAAGAAGCGGATGAAAGATGAAGTATGAAGAAAAAGATGGAGGAAAAGATGAAGAGAAGATCAGAGAGTTAAATGGGAGAAAATTTATCATCAGCTTCAGTATCTGGGATTTCAGATCTTACGAATAAGCGATCGTACAGAATGGAGGACCCACCGCTTGACCAATTGGGTAAATTGATGCTACGCGCACCAGTGGAAACATTTCTTTTATGCAACAGAATCACTCCAACCATTCGCTAGCATGCATGAAGCTAAAGTAGGCCATAGTGACCTATGAGAGTGTGCCAACCGTTCTATGCAACAAATTATTTTGTCGCCGTTCAAGCGCTACGGCCAAAACAGATGTGCGAAAAGTTAAGCGAAGCATCCATCTAGGTTTGAAGGTTGGAGTACTAGCTGTATCTTCTCTTCTAGTTTTGAAGGCTGTTGTACTAGCTTATCTTCTCTTCAGAAACCATTGGGCTATAAATGGTGAATTACTGGTGAGAAAATTCAAATATTACTGTCGGTGAAATCTTCTTCCGAATAATTTTTCTCGGTCCACAAGCTTGTGCAGGATAGAAGACATTGATGGACGTTTCAAGGCGGCACCATGCGCTGAACAAAATGACGAGAATCAGCATGATGCACAAAACCGAACAAAAAGAAACCCGAGTGAATCGGGGAAGCCCGATAATTTCCGACATGTCGCCCGATAAAGGGGTGTCCCGGGCGAGGTTTATTTTCTTGAACCTGGAGCCAATATTTTCGAGTTTCCTGTACTGGCACCAAAACTGGCGAAATTCTTAATTAACCTTCTTTAAGTATGCAGGGTCCTAATATCTTACGAGAAATGGAACTTGGCTGGTCGAGTGGACTATATGTGCTGCAAAACTGTAGTTCTTGTTGCAATACTTATTCTTTACCCGGAAACTGTTTTCCTTGTTTTATGCAAGATGTGAAAGTGTCAAAACGAAATTCTCAAATTTACGACATAAGAAACACTGCGCCTTACGCATTCAACTCACGAGATCTCGCCTCTGCTCGTCGTCTACTACTGAGCCCCGATGAGGGATTTATTGTACCTATGTGCCGTTGGAAGCGATGTGACATGTATCAATGGAATGTCTTGATTACGGTAATCGTGGTCTCTTAACCATGATATCATTTGCTTGCCTTGATTTGAGCTACTCTCACAACAACATTGTTTCACGAGACTACTGTTTAACGCGGTCTTGCTTTTAGTCATAAATCTCATATTAAAATGCTTTGATTTTCGCTAACTATCTGTACCATTTAATCTAGGAACACCTCAAAGTCTAACCTTGCTATTGAAGTTCCAAAGTTACCATTCCCACCCCAACATGGAGATCAATTAACACGTGCCAATGATGTCCATGCCCGTTTCCATGTCTTTCCTACCTTTGCCTAGTTTCAAAACTCTACCTTCTTAAACCTCTCTCATTCTACTTGATTAAATTATAACAACTAAACATTAAATATTAAACACCTCTAGGCCAAATCTTCTGCAGCTCTGTTCATGAAAAATGTCTTTGACTTAAACACCTTCACGAGATAGTTGGGGATATGCCAGCCAAAAATAAGACCCTCTCCGCCGGTAGGAGAGATTGGCACAATAATGGTTCCCTGCACTGGTTTCCACTCCTTTCCACTAGGGGCACTGGCATTCAAAATGCTATTAGCGCTGGCAGCAAACACACCAATCTGGCCCCTCTTGAGGTCCACGACGGTCTTGGAAGGACCGGAGACAATGTCTCCAAGTGCAAGAACATTTTTAGTGCCCTTCACAACCAAGTAGTTGTCGGTAATAACATACCCGTTTTTGTCCTTAACAGATGCTGGAAGATACTCGGAATATGGCGTCTGAGTGGTGGCATCAAGCACAAGGTCGAACGAACGTGTCTCGCCATTGTCAAGCGTGACGGTGCCTCCTTCAACCGAAGTCAGACGCACGTTGTTGACTACCTCCACACCTAAATTCTTCAACTTCGTAATTGCACCGCCAACCAACTTCTGATGCGAAGACAATGGCGAAGAACTTCCCGTGTACAAAGTCACCGCAGTCGCCTTGTAGGCGTAGGAAATCTCTCCGGCGGTTTCCACACCCGTAGGACCGCCTCCAATGATTGCAACCAGTTTGGCAGTTTTGAGCTTCTTTGCTGTCTCCTCAAGAGCTGCTCTTGCAGTCAAATGCGAGTCGTTGACCTTGTAACCATCGAATTGAGACTTGGCTCCGGTTGCAAGCACCAAGAGGTCGTAGGTGAGGACGGTTTCGGTTTTGGTTCCGTCATTAAGAACCGTCACGGTGTTAGCATCAAAATCAACGCCGGTAGCCTTTCCATGAACAAATTTGCCCTTTCCACCCGATCTGTTCTTCAAGAACTTCTCAATGGAGAACAAGGTCTTGTCAATTTTCTCTGGCTCAACCAACAATCTGGGTGCAGCCACATTAAAGTATGAATGGGTATTCAACGACACCAAAGTGACATCCAAATCATTTGAAGTCTTGTAGAGTTCAGAAACAGCCAAATGGGCAGCGTAAGAGCCACCGATGATCACGACTTTAGTCATTGTTATGAATAGAGAATTCTGTGGTGATATTTGTGAAATCTTCAGTTCATCGTGGAGATTTCTTGGCCTTTATGACATCTCGGACATCGAAGCAGTGCACATAGCCAATTGTAAATCTCACGGTGAAATCACGGACTAGTCATTATCACCGATGGAGATAAGGAACAAGGTTGTAACTTTGGCCATTTTACTAATTTCTTCAATATTTTCTGCTGGTAGATACGGCTATTGCGGCGTAAGAATGGATTGTGATCGGAGAAACGGCAGAATTAACATATGCTCCGTACAATCCCCCACACATTTGGTGGCTGAGACATGGATGGAGTTCTCTCCTCATGGATGAGGCACGGATTCGGGAGTTGCTAAATTGCCGATATGGCCGCATTCCATGCTAATTACGTGAACAGGTGGAGTATCATTGATGGGATGAAAGTAAGGCTAGGCCAAAAAAATTATAGGCCTGGCCGTTGGAGAAGGTCATTTATTGGTAGTTTTTCCAAGTTGTCCTTAGTTTGTTAGAGTGATTGATTCTTGACTTGAAGTTTGTGGATGTAAAAATGTATTGTTCCGGAATTATGCCATATCAAGTAACAGTCAGATGTAAACTCATTTGGGGATTTGATTTCGCAGCACACTATTCTCTTAATGTCATCTTATTGTCTTCGTATTTCTTCGTGTTGTCATCTTCTTAGTCATCTACTTAGTCATTTAGTGGTTGCATATTAGTAATCTGTTTGTCATCCAACTTAACCTAACAAATAATTCAATTTGTCTTCCAAGAGACCACACTTGAGGCGTGTTAAAAATATTTCCTTGATCCTTCTCGAGACCTGACGCTCGCCACACTTGTGGCAGAAAGTTTTTTCGTAGCATCTAACTTCAACAGGTTTACCACATCCATCACACATGGTGCTTTGAATGATGAAGTGGTGCCTTCCAGTACAATGAACTCATAGCATAATAATCTGCCAAAATTCTTAAAAAATACTCAAAAAATTCTTAGATACCACGGTCAGCCAATTGAATTATATGGGGTCCCCCTTATTAAGGTTCAAGTGTTGGGCTGAATGTGTCAAAGTAATGACATGAGGCACATCGAATAAAATCTTCACTTCCCTTATAGAGTGTTACCCTATCCAATACACATATCACCTTCATTTGCATTATAACGCATTCTCCATAGTTAATTTCGCTCATCTCTAGACAATGAAGGACGATGCCGAATTGCGATCAATTCTACCCAAATATTCCGAAAGAATGTGCTACTGGCACAGTGGTCAGCACATCACAATTCACACATTCTCCCAAAACAAATGTCGAGTTTATGATCAAAAAAAGCCTACCCTAGCTACTGGAGTCTAATTACCTATGGGGAGGGACTTTTTGCATTTGAAGGAGGGGCCACAATTCAGTAGGCTGGAGAGTACCGCATCAAACTATGCAAAATCTAGTCCTGGAACATTCAATGATGTGTGGGTTTTACATAGGAAGACCGACTTCTGGAATAATCGTTATTGATGTCAAAGCGAGAGTAGATGTTGATATTTGATGGTAAGCAATTGTCCCCAACATCAGAGATGTTTATGGCAAGCAGGAGGTCCATCAATTAGTGATAGCGCTAGGCATTTTAGTGACGTTCTGGGTTGTATTCTTTGTCGTGCTCTACTTGGTTTCGTAAATGCTATCCAAACTTTACTGCTCTAAGGGGATATTGATTCATAATTACAAGATATTTGGTTGGCTGAATCTTTGTAAGGTTTACCCCGTGAGGGATTATCGACCTGCTGAGGAGTCTTCCCTAAAAGCGCATGCTAAAGCTCTGTGACGTTTCTTAGAAGAATCAAGTGAACAATACAGTTACGAAACCTTAAATGAATCTTAGTATCTAAAGTTGTATTTAGTCCAATCTATAATACATCCCTACTTTCGATAATTTCATGTACATTTCTTTTGGTGCGTGCATTAATGTGTCAAATGAATGACGTGAGGCTTAGGAAGTGCCTCACACCTATATATATCACCCTCTACATTTTCACCACCTCAAATATTTTATCGCTTTTGTTCATCTATTCACAATGAAGGAAGATTCCGAAGTGCAACCAATCTTATCTCAATATTCCGAACTATATGCTTCTGCCCCGGTGGCAAACTCGTCTCAACTGGCACAGCCTACAAGAACAAAAGTTAGATTCATGTTTAGGAAGCCGAATCCCAGACCCTGGAATCTAATCAAATATGGTGATGGCGTTTTTGTGTTTGAAGCAAATGCTACAATTCAGCAGGCTGCAGAGCACGCTGCTTTAAATTATTCACAATCAAATGCTGTTCCAACATTCAGTAATGTATGGGGATTCTTTAAAGAAGCGGGTCAAACGTTCCAAATCGTAGTAATTAATTCTAATGCCACCGTCCATTCCATTTTCAGAGAAGAAGATGTCTTGATAGTGAGCAACGTGCCCAATATCAGAGATCTTCTACGCAAGGAATACACCATTCAGGTTTTATTGTTTGTAAGTTTCTTTGTGGCATTTCTCATCTTGGTGATTGTCACAGTCAATTACGGGCGACATCTCAGTAGCACATTTTGACATGCTTGATGGTTGTGTCTCAATTTTTCTATATTAGCCTTACCAATTACATTTAGAATAGAGCAACGGTCGAATATCTTTTCGTCGCTTCTTTGAAGTATCTTAACAAATACTTATAGTAATGCAATCGTGGGTGTGTATGTTTGCTGAATGTGTCAAAAGAATGACGTGAGGCTCAGGGAAAAAGCACCTCACACCTATATATACCACCGTTCTCTATATTTTCACCCCTCTAATATTTTATCACTTTCTTCGTCTATTCACAATGAAGGAAGATTCCGAAGTGCAACCTATCTTACCCCAGTATTCCGAACAATATGCTTCTGCCCCGGTGGCAAGCTCATCTCAACTGGCACAGCCTACAAGAACAAAAGTTAGATTCATGTTTAAGAAGTCGAAGCCCAGACCATGGGGACTAATTAAATATGAAGATGGTGTTTTTGTGTTTGAAGCAAATGCTACAATACAACAGGCTGCAGAGTACGCTGCTTCAAATTATCCAGATTCAAAAGAGGTTCCAACATTCAATAATGTGTGGGGATTCTTCAAAGAGGCGGCTCCAACATCCCAAATCGTGGTAATCGATCCTAACGCCAACGTCCATTCCATGTTCAGAGAAGATGACATCTTGATTGTGAGTAATGTTCCCAATATCAAAAATGTTCAACGCATGGAAATGACATATCAAATATTGTTGGCTCTCAGTCTCCCTATAGCGCTCTTTCTCTTCACGATTCTTATGATAGTCTTACACGGGTGAACTGTCATTAGCACATTTTGACGTGCTCTATGTACTCGTCTTCAATTCTCTATATTGGCCACATCAATCCACATCAGTTCGTGATACATGCGAAACATTCGAGGCTACTATTTACTAATTGAATATTTTAACTCAATTAAAACTGATTCTCCAATGTATTTTTTAGTTGCTTCTTTTGATTTTACTCTCAAATACTTCAAGTAATTGGACCTGTGCTTAATTTGTCATGGATGATGTGAGGCTCACAGTTAAAACTCAAACTTTCCCTATTCGTACCACTTCATTTCTCGACAATGGAAGATGATACGGAATTGCAATCGTTTTTGCCGAAGTATAGTCTGAAATGTCCTCCAGTGACTGTCGAAAGCACTCCTCAATTGACCAAAAGAACGAAAGTTGAGTTTACGGTCAAGAGTGTCAAGCCCACCTGTTCAAGCCAAGTTATTTATACAAGGGGTGAGTTTGATTTCGATCCAGACTTTACAATCCAGCAGGCCGCCAAGTATGCTGCTTCGAACTATCCACAATCGAGTCTGGCTCCAGTATTCAGCGATGTGTGGGTTTCTACACAGATGGCAATCCCCAATCTCCAATTGTCGTTATTGATGCCAAAGGGAGCGTCCACTCCGTTTTCGGGGATACTGATATCATGATTATAGCAAATGACCCTAATATCTTAGATGTTCGATTCAAGGAACAAATGCGAGTGGTGTTGGTGGTGTCCGGTGTATTTTTGATCATGCTTGTAGTTGGCATATTAGTCTTCCTAGCTTTCCAGAACAATTGATTGAGGACTATAAATATACTTTGTACAATAATTAAATATCTGCTGCTATAGTTTCCTTAATGACTATTGCCCGACTGGAAAAAAGCTCTGGAAAGATATAATTGGATACTATTCACTTCAACTCTTCCTCTAACATGGTTTAAATCAGTCTGTGAAATGCCTGCACTATCATGCCATCGTTTTTCCCTCCCTTACTTCTTTCTCTTGACCAAACCTGTCAAGTTATTCACCGCACCTTTCCGTTTAACTGCAAGAACAGTCACCGGTACAATTGCCTGGCCTTTTGTTTTCTCCATGGTTCCCGTAAACGTCATGGGGACAACCTCAATCCCTGCCTCAACAAATATCAAAGGAAGCGTGTTCTTCACCAATACCTGAATATCCTCCTTCTTACTGAAGTCTTCGCCTTTGATAGTCTCCATGAGCTTCTTGTAGTTCTTGGACGAAATGCAGACATCATTTTCACCCTTTTGCTCTTTGATCACCTGGGGCTCTCTCTCGGAGCAGCTGATGATTCCCACCACATTGCCTAGCCGAAATTCCTGGCGAAAACCTAGCTCATTCCAGAATTGCAGAGTGGTGGATGTCTTGTATCTATTTTCCACTATAAGATGCTCCAAGAAGCGGCCCTTGGGATCATCTGGGAAAAGTGGAATGGCATACACCGCTTTTTCGTTAGGCATCTCGTCCACATAGAGATTACCAATCGACCAGTTCTCTTTGTCTGGTAAAAACCTTTTGACTGCTTGGGAATCTGAGCCAGGAATGTCGGCTTTACACTTCCAGGTGGAATCCAAACTATTTGAAAGCACACGTATCCACCACTTGAAGAGGGCATTTCCGTCGGCAATGTGCTTTTTGGTGTTCTTCTGAGAATATGGAAAAATGTAAGATTCTGCGGACCGTGTAAACAAACACACTTTAGTAAGCACTTTTCGAGCAATTGTTGCTGGCCCATGTCCCTGTGCTTGTACATGACTTTTCTGCTTCAGATAATACGGAATCGAATGGTAAAATCCCGGCTCCAGCCAGAGCTTTTCGCTCAATTCATTCAACGTGTTGACGATGTCAAATTCGCTAACAGATGATGAACCTCTCTCACTTTGTCGACTTTTAAAAGGCTTAGTCGCATCTCCTAGACCTGAATTTTCCACTTGTTGCTCTTTACCAAGTTCGCTCCTCCATCTTGCACCGTCTATATACGATTGCACTGGAATCTTCACCAAATGACGTAGATACTCCTCCACAACACCAGCAATGGATATGCGAACTTCTCCCAAACCTGTAGTATCTGCTTTTGACACGAAAAGGTGACGTTCAACGCATTCCGCATAGAACAGAAGATACACATAGATTTCTACAGCGAATACAATGCATCCAGACCTAACTTCGGATAAAAGAAGAAGATGTTTCGACTTCAAGGTCCTGCAGCGTGGACGGGAAAGCACCAACGGCTTACATTCAGAGGCAACGGTTCGTAGACAGAGGGTATTGGCCACTGCACCATTCTCGATATGGCATGAGAAGTTCATTGGTGAATGGTTGGGGAAGGTTGAAGCTTGTTTTATGGTTGTGGTGTACGGATGTTAAAGGAGAGTAGTTGATTAAGTAGGACACTAAAGTAAATGATGAAAGGTTGAGAAGGTAGAGTGTGTCGATGAAAAAAGAATCTTAAAAAACCAAGAATCTTAAAGATTTCGGAATTGATGTGTATAATCCCAGTTTTTTCTTTTTTTTTTTTATTTTTTGCCAACTTTTTTTTTTCTTTATTTTTCATGTTTGAAACGGTAGTTTTGGCGCACTTCGACATCGTCTGCACTATTTCGAAATATGTTACATGAGTCAAGAGGAACAAAGAACATTCTCTAACCCACCTCACATAAGCTATGTCCCACATCCCCAAACCATATAAACCCGCTAAACTTCTTCTCCATGTTCCACGACATTGATGACCCTCTCCACTATATCCCACATGAAATGCGGAGTCGGGAGGAGATCATTACCCAGTTAGGTAAGAACAGGCCGGGAGCAACCTTCAACATCCGAAGACGAAGATACTCACGAAATCAAGCCAAGGATGTTAGAAGTTGTAGCTGGTAAAGCGCGAATGTCCGTCTCTCACATAATCTTTTGACTTATCATAGGCTTTCAGCCAGGAACCAGAAATGGATAAGGGCAGGTTCAAAACCAGATAGATATCGCAACCACATGCTCAATCGGGACAGGCGCTAATTCCAAAGTACCCTGGCGCTCAAATTTCCCCCACGTTTGCTTCACCCATGTTTGCTTCACCCTCATCGGAGCAACATTCTACACTGAGAATTATACATTAAATTCTTTTCGCTTGACATATTTTGCAGATCCCAAAGTTGGTGCGCAAATCCTAGGTGAATCTATTCTCCTCTCTCATTCGTCGTCGCCTTATCAGTACGGCGAAAAAAAAAGCAAGATGCACTGCGAAGTGTCACTTCGAACGATAAGCAAAAACCCAGTAAATGCCAACGAAATCCACCAAAAAACCCACCAAAAACAAGCCAAATCAGACCTCATCACTTGCTGAAAAAAGAGAACACAACTAAATTTACCAAACACATGCGCCGCAAAGATTGAATGCATATCTGTGAAGCCACTCGTGAAGCGCTACTTCCCCGATAAGACAGTAAAAAAATACTTTATGTGCATTCGATGACGGGTATGGTTATCTCCAACATTCACCAAGAAATTTTGCTACTACTTCTCCAACATATATTCCTGACCACAAAGTTTTTCTTTACTACTTTCTTCTCACAAAATGGTGTTGTCTCCAAGAATATCCAAAAAGGACCCCGAGATCCATCCAGTCACATCACAAATTCGAGTGGATGACTTGCACATTCAGTCGGTGATTTCCAACCAATCCATTGTGTTGAATGTTGACCATTACGTGAACGCCGATGAGGCCATGATCTTGGCCATGGGTTATAAGCAAGAGTTCAAGCGTGAGTTCTCACTTTTGTCTATTTTCGCCGTTTCTTTCTCTGTCTTGGGTTTGCTTCCCTCGGTCGCTGCAACTTTCGACTATTCTCAATTGGTGGTTGGTGCATCTCCATTGCCATGGATCTTAGCCATGATCGGTGTTACATCGGTGGCATACTCTATGGCAGAAGTTGCTAGTGCATTCCCAACCTCCGCTGGAACTCCTTATGCGGTGTCGCAATTGGCTCCAAAAAAATGGGCACCGTTCTTGACCTGGCTTTGTGCTTTTTCCAACTGGCTCTGTCAGATCACAGCAGCACCCTCTGTCAACTATTCCGGTGCCTGGTTGATGTTTTCGTTGGGTTCCTATACCACGGGCTTCGTCCCCACCACTGGCCAAGTGTACGGATTGGCTACGGGAATTATGGTGTCCCACGCTTTTATTTCGTCCTTGCCAACAAAGTACTTGGCACAATTTAACAATTTGGGAACTGCCATCAACATGGTCTTCTTGGTGATTGTTTTTGTTATCATCTTCGCTGGAAACGATAGAGTAAACATGTACAATGGAACCATTCCCAAATTCAACTCGAACAGCGAGGCATGGAGATTTGATAACCAGTCGGAGTTTCCAACTGGAGTGGCTGTATTGGTATCGTTTCTTGGTGTCATTTGGGCCATGTCTGGTTACGATTCGCCCTTCCATTTGTCAGAGGAATGTTCCAATGCTGCAGTGGCCGCACCTAAAGCTATTTGTCTTACTGCCACCGTGGGAGGAGCCGTGGGTTTCTTATTTATGATCGCCATTGCCTATACCGTGGTGTCTTTGGAAGGCGTGGCCGAGGATCCTTTGCAATTGGGTCAGCCATTCGTTACATATTTGGCCCAGATCATGCCAAAAAAGCTCGTTTTGGTGTGTACAGCCTTGACTGCCATTTCGTCCTGGTTTATGGGTTGCTCGTGTATGTTGGCAGCTTCCAGAGTGACGTTTTCCTATTCCAGAGACGGAATGTTCCCATTCTCCAACATCTGGTCTAAAGTGGACAGCAGAACGCAGACTCCAATTTATGCTGTATGGATCAACATGATATTGGGTCAGCTCTTTTTGCTTTTAATGTTTGGCGGAGACACTGCTATTGGTGCCATTTTCTCTGTGGGAGGTATCTCTTCGTTTGTCTCGTTCACCATGCCAACACTTTTGAAGATTACCTACGCTCGCAACACCTTTAAGCCTGGACCATGGAACTTGGGTAAGCTCTCCATGCCAATTGGTGCGCTCTCGTGTGCATTTGTGTTAGTAATGATTCCATTTTTATGTTTCCCAACTGTGAAGGGTGCCGACTTGACCCCAGACCAGATGAACTGGACGGTGTTGGTGTATTTCGGACCCATGTTGATTGTCACCATCTGGTTCATGGTGGATGCTCACAAATGGTATGTTGGCCCTAGACCTAACATTGAAGAGTACATTAATCACGAGGAGGTTTTGGATGGAGTGAGAAATGATTCAACGGGTCTGGAAGAACAGGAGAAGTCTTGATGACTACAATAGATAGGAAGGAAGTTACATAATACAACGTTTAAAGTTCTGAAGTACAATTACTGAGTCATGAAGTGTATTATTTGGGTATAGTATTTCTAGGATTTGAAAAAGTTTGATGGACATATGAGATGTTTGAGTTGAGCCTGTCAATATTTTATGAAGAAAGGTAAACATATCAATTCTCTGACAAGATTGACCATTAAGGTTTGAAGATTGACTATTAAGGTTTCAAGGTGGTCATCTTGAATTTGCATACAAGAATGTCAAGGTTTGTTACAATGTTTATTTGGGGTTGCAAGGTACTGGGGCAAGCGCACCAGCTCACTTAGACACTCTGCGTGGAATGACCTACTCCGATTTAGATATCTAGGAAGTGGTTACCAACGACCATGAGAGGGCAATCCACTTTGAAAATTATTTCAATTGTCCAGTTCTCGTTTACAAATAATGCGTTGACCTACAAAGCCAATTTGAACGATCATGGTGGGTAGCACACTACTCATCGATTAAGCATTCATGAAAACAAACCTCAAACTCCCTAAATCTCCACAAATCTCCTTAACTTTCCCCACTCCTCTGGATATCCCGTCTTATCTACAAAATTTCCATTTCCATTTCTTTTTCCTCCGTTCCACCCCGTATTCTGTCTTTGCTGTCATTTTTTTTATCGTAATCCAGTCCCCACTGGCATTTCCCATTCCTGTGTCTCCATTCCTGTCTCGATGCCCTGATTGTTCCGAAACTTCCATGCCATCAACATGTGGATCAGGGCAAAAATTTGCTAGTTTTCTATCCCGAGCCACACACACCTAGTCTCTTTAAAATTACTTGCCTAAACACATTTTATACTTTTTTCGTGTGGGTCGGAATTCTGTACCCCATTGGTTCCTAGTAAAAATTGGTCTTCCTGCAGAATAGCCATAAATTTCTGTCTTCTCTCGGGCCCATGTGGCCGTCTCCTGCCTATGCAAGGTAGTCAGAAGACCACTAGCTAATTTGGAAGAAGTGATCCACCGTCAAACTTCTTTTTTTTTTCCTTACCGCGTACCACTTTTCTTTCCGACGGCTGCTGCTGGCTCCCATATATTCATACCCCTTGCTGGCTTTGATATTGCTGCATCGTACGAACTCCACTGTTCCAGTCCAATTTTTTTTGACCTTCAGTGACTACTGGGAGAACCTGCCACGCGATCACAACACCAGTATCTGACATTACGGCTGTCATTTGCATTGCCACTAGCCCCTAAGTGCCATCCACTAGCCGCCAACCCCAGGCTGGACTGCTGCATCGACTAATCTCGCCACTATTCGCCGAGTTCTCGCCAACTTTCATCACTTACTGTCCTTCGTTCCCAAAATGATCCAGTTCCAGTTTATGGCACCTTGGATTCCCACATTCTCGGCCGCCTTGGAGGCCGAACAAGCCGCTAAAGATAATAAACCACCGTTTGTGCTGTTTACATTGGCCACCGTTGACAAGGATGGCTTTCCACACAATAGAACTATGGTGTTCCGAGGGTTTCTCTTCGACAACAAGTCTAATAACGTGTTGACGTTCTGTACCGATAGAAGAATGAAGAAGTACGAGGAGCTTCTTGCCAACGATAAGTTTGAGGCGGTGTTCTACTTCGAAAAAATCAAGAAACAGTTCCGTTTGCGTGGCCGTGCAAGGCTCATTGACCAAGACCACTACCCGGTCTTGGACTTGACCACCATTCAGCCACGTCACATCATTGAAACAAGCATCCAGTCCATGGAAAACTCCAGCGATGAGTCCGGAGATGAGTTGGAATTGGCAGTGGCCGCCAAACCTCAGCCTAAGTTCAAGAAGAGCCACGAAACCCTTACACAAACCGCCACACCGGATGACTCGGGCGATACAGAGCCTCTTGGGCCCCAAAGAACGCCCTTGCCATACCCAATAGTATCGCCGACGCTATTGGACCAGTTGCTTCACGAGAATGAACACAACAACTCATTTGTATCCTACTCAAACTTGCACGAGCTTGGTCTGTTGGACCTCACAGCCCCCACTGACGAGGAGTGGGATGGGGAGATTTCGCGTGTGTGGCAGCTGCTTTCTAAAGGGCTCAAGCTGTCCTTTAGACGCCCTGCGCCTTTGCTGCCCATGGACGACACTAATCAGAACTTGGTAGATAAGATCCTGAGAGGTGTGGATGGAAAGAAAGAGGAGACAGGCTTGAAGAACTTTGCTGTTGTTGGAATGTTCGTTGACCATGTCGATTATTATGACATGGAGAAGAACAGGAGGTATCTTTACGACAAGGATCAGGCATACGTTTGGAACGAGATGGAGGTATGCCCATGATGTACATATACGATGATAAGTTTTACGATTTCTGCCCCCACTTCCGTAGATTACCGGTAGATAAATTTTTTTTTTTTTTTTTTTATGCTAATGTTCTTGGATGTTAAAATGAAGTAGTATTTAGTTGAATTGGTTTTCCATACTTGAATTGATGGCTCATTCTGCTTTTTTCGTTCCAGTGATTAACTACTATGGCAACATGACATTGAGGTGAAAATGATAATTCTACAAAATTGTAATCGTTGTATCAATAACTGTACTGTAAAGTGTAAGGCCATTAATTATAACGCACTAGCCAATGAGTACTGGAATGGCCCCCAATCGAGTATGCGCATGAAAAGTACTGCACCAACTAGATTAAGAGCACCGAAAGCCACGGACCCAGAAGCGAGGCTCATGATACTTGTAGCCTCACTGGTTACGTTTCCGAATGGTCCCAAGGGAATGGATTAAGACATATCTCGCTATGTCATGTCATCCTCGACTAAAGATGGCATTTCTTCCACAACATGTGCCTGTTTGAATTGTTAGATGTCAATATGCAGAACTGGAATTTTAGCTGCCAAGCGGAATCCATCTTGGACATAACAGAGATTGAATGTTTTCTTTTCCCTTTTGCTCATGTAATTAGGTGCAGCTCGCTACTACTTAGCATAGTACAGCAGAAAATATGGTATCTATTGTTTCTTGACACATTGTGCACGTACGACATTATGTGTCGATCTGCATGATTCTGTCGCAACTTAGAGACTTAGTCATGCAAGGTATGCATCAACCTCTATTTTGACGTACTCAAACCCAATTAAGCAGAAAAATGTTACTATTATCTCTTTTTGGCGACAAACGCTACATCCGAATTTGTAATTGCAATAATTCATAATTTAAAAATTTCTGATCAAACTACTTAGATTTATCGCAAATCTTGTACATCTTCACTGAATCCACAACCATGGCTCTATCTTCTGGGTTTTGTGGCCACGACAGATACCAACTACTTACAGAAGACCAGAAAGAAGAAGCTGCAGTGTTTTGCTGGGTATTTCTCCAAGGCTTATTACCCATTTGGTCGGGAAAGAACCCATTGGTACCTCCCACCGCGACATTAAGAATCAAGTAAAATTCCTGGTCAAAGGGAGCAATGGGTGAGCCAGCGGGCCACGGGTTTTGAATGTAAGACCCGTTCTGGTATGTAGGCAGGAATTTTCCTACTTCCCAAAATGGCTTGTTGAATCGATGGTAAAACACCTGCTGTAATCTCTTGTCCACGTATGTCTTGATATATTTGTCACTCCACTCCAACCCGAATGTATGGAAAGTATTACCGAACAGGCTTAGTTTTCTGCGGTAAGACATAAATGTCTGAAGGTATCCATCAATAGTGGTCGAAGGACCCCAGTGAAGTGTGCTGGAAATTTGATCGTAGCCTCCCTCCTCATAAAGGACACCATTTCCCCGAGACTCGACAATGTCTATTTCTCCGCTGGCAGGCCAGGGGCCGTAGGTGTCGTTGACAGGTAATAGCCATAATGCAGGCCAAAGCCAGTCACCTTTGGGCATTTTCGCACGAATTTCAATTTTTCCGTACTTGATGCTGGCAGAAAGCTTGGTATTAAGTCGTGCGCTTTGCACTGGAGGTAAAATCACGTTCTCACTTCTGTTGGAAGTAATCCAACATTGATCTGCTCCTTGGCCCGTGCATGTCCCGTCAGCTGTGAGGTTAACTGTGTAACCATTTAATATATCGTCGTTGGAAATGGTCTCATTGGTCAAGGTGGGAAGAATGTATAGTTTTCCGTCTTTCACATACGAATTCCTCTCACTTGAGGTTGTCCAGTCGAAAGCACCATTTCCAAATCCTCCAACTTGCACTTCTCGGGTCCAAATGTCTTCTCTGAAGGTGTCAAATTCATCGATGAGGACCTCACAGTAGTCGAAGTTAGTCACTGATCTCCATGCTGCCCAAACCTGCAAAGCAATACTTACACATCCAAGAGCAATACCAGCACAGAAGATCCAACTGAGATTTCTGAGTCTTCTCCGGCTTTTTCCCTTAAGCCATGGCTTCTCACGAGCTTCCCCTTTCGGCGTAAGACTGGTTCTAGATACCCTCTTGGCAATTACTAGTTCGTCCTCTGTGCCAACCACCTTTGTAGTATAACTTGTCTTTGTAGCTCGATTTCGGAAGTATCCCGACGAGTTCCATTCACTACCAATAATACTGCCTTGTCCGCTTCCTAGCATGCTTCCACGACGAGAACTCATACTATGGAGTCGACTGCCTGGACCAAAGTGTTCATACACTGGCATGCCAAACGCAGTACCCAATTCAGGAACAAGATCCAGAAAGTCTTCATCGATGTCAGAATGATTCTCGACAACTGTGTTGCTGAGACCTCGAGGAGGGGTCGGTTCTCTGCTTTTATTGAATTGAGCATCTGAAATATCTTGGGAAAGTGATTCATCGAGCTTAGACAGACCGATTTTGGAATCATCGGGATTCCTTTGATAATTATTGCTTGTTGAACTCATATCTGAAGTCTTGAAGAAGAATAAAAAAGAGTCGTAGATTAAGAGAGGGAGGAAGTCGGTGAATCTAATAAGATATCACGAACTAAAACGTATGATTAGTGAAAATAAGCGCTGCGCCCATGAATTGCGCCTTAACAACTCGCAGGGAACGGCTCCATCAGTACTTATCGCAATTTCTGAATTGAGGATACTAATGGCGGTTTACACTTGCCTCGACCACTACTTATGCACGACAGGGCTCAAAGGATTGTAATAGCATCGCAGAAATACGCACCTCGTATCTCGCAGGGAACTGACCCACATGACGCATGTCCCACGACCCACATCCGCGTCATCTATATGCAGAATATAGTAATACATGACTAGTGTAAACTATCTCTGGTGCATCTATAGAGCCAAAGGTGTCAATTTCTGAACTAAGAGGTGGTAATATAACTTAACTCAGCTGATTTTCGTACGGCTCTCCCTGATCAATAATTCGTGCATCTCCTTATACTTAAAGTTCCCAAATCCAGCCTAAATTTTCTTTTCGCAGCCAATATTTGCTATGGGAATTTCAGATTTCTTCTTATTCAAAGGTGCACCTGAAACCGAAGGGGATGCCAGAGAGAATGATCAAACACACAATATGTCTTTTGAAGGGTTTGTAGACCCTACTGGAGCAGTTGGACCAAACGTTCAATTCATAGTCGGCGAGAACAATGCAAATTTCGAAGGAGAGATTCCCATGCTGCCGGCAGCTGCCATAATGGCTGCTGGCAATGACTTCAAGGATCCACAGTTCATTGTGGTGAATTATCTACTTGATATCTGTCAAGGAAACGGTTGGTTCAAGTTGGTGGATCCACTTGAACCTTGTGTTATCAAAATGAACAGTAGAAAGGGAAAGGAGGCTAAGTACAGATATTTGCCAGCTTGTGACTACATAGCACCATTTTCTTTCGTTGACTGCGCTGCTCGATTTCTTCGATCTGATGTGTGTGTGCGAGTATCATTTCCTGTCATTCATGCTATCTTGGACGTGTTCTCTGATAAAAAAACAGTGACTCTAGATGCGGACCACAACATTCAAATCATTGAAAACATTCCTGACTTGCAGTGGGTTCGGAAGTACCAGAATTGTGCATTTGTTCGTAATGAGAAGAGTTTGGTATGCTGGCATAACTCAGTTCAAGAAGTGACTTCATATGTCCGAACACTCGAGAAAAAGATGGTGGACTATGTATGGGAGAAGGGAAACGCAGTTGATTTGAATGCTACGGAGTATGTGCCACGTGTTACCTTTACGGGAGCACTCCATAAGTTTCCAAAATCTGACAGTGGTTCTGACGACACTACGGAGGAGAAGCTGGAGAACATCGTTTTCCAAAAAGTAATTTCCGAGAACTCTTCCGAGACTTCCAAAAAACCAAACTTAACCAAAACGTCTTCCAGATTATCTGTTGCAACCCCTACGAATAAGGTGTCGATGGACCTATCTGAAAGCAACTACACTAACAAAGTATCGATGGATTTATCTGAAGGCAGCATCAACAGAAGGGAACCATTGGATTTTTCTGAGTTGCACGAGCCGACCGAAGAAAAAGAGAAGATTGGCGCATCTTCGAATTCTTCTCAGAACAATGAGAATGAGAACCACTCTACGAAGTCCACACAACTGACCACCAAAGAAAGGATATCTATCACCGAGGAAAGCATTCAAGATGTGAGTAGCAATAACGAAGTGGAATTGGAACTGCAAGTCTCTGAAAGACCGGTCATGTACACTCATGCAACCATGTCTGCGCTTTCTGTTGCGTTGGTGCTCACTTGGTCGGGGTTGCAAATTGCTGAAGTTGCAAAGACCATAAAGGCAGAAAAGGATTACTACATTCTTTTTTCATTGCTAATGGTGGCTCCATACTTCCTCTTCACCAGTTTCTTTGGTTCTGCAGTCATCTCAGTTGTGTTCTACATCTTAGGACCCATTTCGCAAATGGAGAGAAACTCCTACTCTTATTCGGTAAACAAAGTACCGAGAATCAAAGCCGTCAATGGGAACTTACCTCATGTAACCATTCAATGCCCAGTTTACAAAGAAAAGTTAGAATCAGTCATCAAGCCTACTGTCAAGAGTCTTCAAGCAGCTATCCGAACCTATGAACTTCAAGGTGGATCTGCGAACGTTTTTATCAACGACGACGGTTTGCAATTAATCGATCGCGAGGAAGCTCTTGAGCGTATCGAGTTCTATGAGGAGTGTGGTTTGGGGTACATCGCACGCCCAGCACATGGAGACAATGGATTCGTCAGGAAGGGAAGATTCAAAAAGGCTTCCAACATGAATTACTGTCTCAACATCTCAAAGATGGTAGATGTTCAATTCCATGAACGTTTAGCTGAAATTGAACATCCAACACCAAAAGAGGAGTCTGGTCTCTATCTTGAGGTCCTTGAGGATGTGGTGAAAGAAGAAGGAAAATGCTGGGCCGGTGGAGATATCCTCCTTGGAGAGCTCATTCTCATCATTGATTCAGATACCAGAGTACCAGAAGACTGCTTTATCGATTCAGTCTCGGAAATGTACGCTTCACCTGAGGTTGCCATCATCCAGCATGCATCTGGTGTGATGATGGTTGTTGGAAACTACTGGGAGAAGATGATTGCGTGGTTCACTGATTTAATTTACTTCTCCATTTCTTGTGTTTCTGGTAACGGCTTGACCATGGCTGCTTTTGTTGGTCACAATGCATTTCTCAGATGGTCTGCTATTCAGGAGTTGGCTTACGTGGATGAAGAAGACGGAAGAACAAAGTACTGGTCTGAATCTCATGTTTCAGAGGACTTCGAAATGACTTTGAAATTGGCATCGCTAGGCTACACTATTCGTATTGCAACTTATCATGATCGTGGATTCATGGAGGGAGTCTCATTGACCGTCTATGATGAGATTACTAGGTGGTCTAAATACGCCTTTGGCTGTGCAGAGATCATGTTTACTCCATTCAAGAAGTGGTGGACAGGAAAGATCTTTTCCAACCTCTTCATTCTATTTCTTAACTCAGGTATCCCACTTTCATGCAAGTTCAGTATTTTGAGTTACATGGGAACATATTTTGCTATTGCAAGCTCATTGATTATGCTTATAGCTAACTATTTTATTGTGGGATACTATAATTGGGGCTATTCTAGAGTGTACATTGATGCAATGAAAGTGTTCGTTTCTGTGTTGGTTGTCTTTGGCTGCGCTTCGCAGGTTGCTTATATTATTGGAAGATATCGTATCTACAAGCATTCAATTTGGCAAATGATTCTCGAGTTCAGATACTCAGTACTCTTCTGTGTTTTCATGGGTGGCCTCTCATGGCACATGATTGTTTCTATTGGCAGTTACTTCATGTCGATAGACATGCAATGGGGCGCAACAGCCAAAGACATTGACGACTCCAATTTCTTCAAGGAGTTGCCTAAAGCAACGAAAAACTACAGATTCATGTACATTGTTTGCATTTTAATAATTGGTGGTATGATATTGGGTGCATATGGTGTCCCATATGCTTATCAGATAAGGCTCTTGGTGTGCGCCTTACCACTAGGGTGGTCAGTTGCCAGTCATATGTTGGCCCCCCTCGTTTTGAATCCACAGCTCATGACCTTTGCTTGGTGATTCGGCGTTTCTTTTTAGATAAGCTAATGAATATTACTATTTCTAGGCCAAGGTTAACTTGACGACGAACTAAGAATTATAGGGGATGATCTTCTTGGTGATTCTCAAAGGGGTTCTTCGTCGGAAAAATCTTGGAGTGCAGCGATTTCAGGAAATGATTTTCCGCTCTTCTGTTGGACCTCGCAATAACTTCACTGCATTTCATCAGAATTTCTAGGATTAGCACTATCCAGGACTACGAGGATGCAATCCACTAGGAGAAACCCATGATAAGATTCCAGAGAGGCTGTGAAAAATTAAATGATTCCAAGTCCAAAGCAATTCGACAGCTTAGATTACCTACTTAGACATGGAATACAAAAATGCATGCCCGAGGTCGGAAGGAAAGCAGTTTAGCATGAACGTTGAAAATCCTCACATTGAAAATCCTCACGTTCGATCGCAGCAATCGACGATATGCATTGAGTCTGATCACCATGCAGTAGTTGAGTTCGATTTTGCGCAATCTCTAATGCAAGATGCGCGACATTTTAGTTGCTGGTGAGCATCGGAGGGTACCGGAGATGGACAGGTGATTGCCAGTAATTACCCCATCCCCCCCAATTTATTGTAAACATCAATCTGAGAGTTAATAGGCTGCATGTTTTCGTAGATGCGACTCTAGGCTAGACTCTAGGCTAGCGGTTATGAATTCAAGGTAGTCATACGATCGATCTATGCGTCGCAATGAGAAGTTACGAGGCCATATTTACAAACCACAGTCACAATTCTCCTTTTCACAAGTAGACAGATTTGGGCTGTAGATACAAGAAGTTGGAAAGTTCGAGCATGTCATGTTGAAATGGAATTCCCCAAAGACTTCTCAATAAGTCGAAACAATTCGTGTTTCACAATAACTTTCAATTTCGAAAAACTGCAATAGGAGAACCGAGTTGCAAACCAGGCTGTGCACCTAATTGATGTTATGTATCCAATTTTCTGGATGGGGTTAAATCTGCTGATTTTGCGAGAAAGCCATCATCTTTAATGCGAGTGCGCTTTGGCAGATCCCAGTGCATGAAACAATCAGCTACTACGATTATTTTCCGAATAGAAGATGTCTTTTTGTAATAGCTTGCAGTTGACGCTCATGTGTTTGACTAATACTCAATCCGGTTCCATATAAGAGTGTGGCACAATTTGAAGTTTTACGCGGCCCAAGGTCAGCATACACTCGGGGCTCTGTATTTCTGGAGGTTTTACGTCTTCCGATGTGAGCGATTTGCTCGGCAAATTTATTCGTCGTTTTTTTTTTTTGTTTAGACTCATTTTAGAGATGAAACTCGAAAAGATTACCCTTCATGCTTGAAGCTTCACGCAGGGCCCCTAACGGCACAAGAAAAAAAGACTAAGCATGGCGGTTTTCACATTCCTAATCTGAAGATAAATAATCCGAGGATATTTCATTTCATTTTAGAGTAAGTGAATAAAATCCCATTGATCGGTAATCAACCTCCACCTTCTCGTTGAAAATGACAGGCCCCTGTATAGTAAGTTTCATAACCATTACAGGTGCAGAGCAAGTGGCTTTGCAGGTCATTACTGGTGGAGGTAGCCATACTATTTGCCAGGGTCTCTTTCTTCGAGCCAAGTAACGTTCAAATTGACAGTACTTTTTCATGTGTTGATTCAAAATGAAGAGGAGAGACTTCATTTTCGGATTTAGTTTTCAGATTACGCCTGTCATTCTGAAGTACCAGATTGATCAGATAAGTTTCCTTTCTGATCAATAAAATCAAAATAGAGCTATAAAGACAATTCTAAGCCCGGAGAAAATAATTCAGGCTGAAGGGGTGGTCAGGTCGGTACTAGACGATCTGTAGGCATGTATTGTTGAATGACTCCTTCAAAGCATCCAAGGGTTGGTGGAGATAACTATTCTGAAATCCACGACTAACTTTGGGAAAAACATCCATTCATAAGGAGACAAGTGGAACAACTCCAAGACAACGCTTCCATTCTGTTTGTGCATTCTGTGATTCTCTCAACAATACAATGTTTTCCGATCAATCGACCATTCATAGAGTTCTTTTCTTTCATCTCTTGGAACCATTCACTTCTTATTCCAGTTCACTGAATGTCTACTCAACTTAATAATCCCTTTTTCCCCACTTTTCCGTCTCTTGCACTTTGAATCATTGACTACACCTCATAACTAATTGCTATTAATCAATTCCTAGTCAGGGCCCTTCCCAGCTCAAGCCTGGGTATTCCCAGGTATTACATTCATTCATAAAAAAAACTGTTGTGTTAAATCACGCTCCCACAAACACAAGATTTACTATAAATTCACAATATGTCCCTAAGCAAATTATCCATGCTTTTTTTGCCACTTAGTTTTCACTTGATATCGCAGCGTCTTTTTTAGCTTCCATAAATCTTGCTGGCAGGTGTGACCACCCTCCGCGTTCACGCTTCGCACAAACAAACATTTCCTCTGTTTATTTGCTACTCTTACTACCAAAACATCAGCACTTTTCGCCCGAAATGCCTCCAAAAACCAAGACAGTTGCAGCTCCCGCTTTTAAAATCACCTACAAGGGTATGTGGCTAATCCGTTGATTTTTTTAACCATAAATTATTAACCCCCAGACATGATTAAGTCCGCCATTGTTTCTTTGAAGGAAAGAAATGGTTCTTCGTATGTACCAAGCTGAATCACCAACCAAATACCTAGTCAGAACAGAAATCAATTGCCCGTGTAATTTCTCACCTAATTCGCCGCTTTCCCTTTTATTTCGTTGCTCTGTGGTCCAATTGGCGAGCGATATTGTTTATTGATTTTTGTTTTTACCCCCAATATTATTTGCATCAAAGTGCATGTCCCTTTGTGTTGTTTTGATGTTGTTTTTTTCATTCCATACTAACTCCCTAGTCGCCAGGCCGTCAAGAAGTACGTCCAATCCAATTACGACGTCAAAGCCCCTAACTTTGATGCGTTGTTCAACGCAGCATTGAGAAAGGGTGTTGATTTGGGTGACTTTGCTCAGCCCAAGGGTCCCTCTGGACCAATAAAGGTTGCCAAGAAGGAGAAGCCATTGGCTCCTTCTCCACCAAAGGTCACAAAGAAGGCTCCAGTGAAGAAGGTTGCTGCAAAGACTCCGACTAAAGCTGCCAAGGCTGTCAAGAAAGCCCCTGCTAAGAAAGCTCCTACTAAGAAGGATGTCCCAACTAAGAAGGATGCTCCAACTAAAAAGGCTCCAGTTAAGAAAGCTACTTCCAAGGCTACTCCAAAAACCGCGAAGGCCGCTCCAAAGGCTACTAAGGCCGCTCCAAAGGCTACTAAGGCCGCTCCTAAAGCTGCTAAGGCTGCCTCCAAAGGTACTAAGGCTGCTCCAAAGGCTACAAAGGCCGCTCCAAAGGCTGCTACTAAGACTAAGCCTGTTTCGAAGACTACGTCAAAGTCCACTAAAGCTACTCCAAAGAAGGCCACAGCCAAGGCTGAGCCTAAGTCTAAAGTTGAACCCAAGTCCAAAGCTGCACCTAAGAAGGCTGTTCCCTCCAAGGTGACCAAGCCTAAAGCAGCCCCAAAGAAGACTGTGGTCAAGAACGTTGTGAAGAAGGAGGCCCCAAAGACTGTGAAGAAGGCTACCAAGTCTTCTAGGGCCAAGGCTGTCAAGGCCTAAGGGTTGTGAATGATTTTCCCATGTACATTACTGTTTTCTTCCCCACGGGGCCTCAGCAGCTTTGGCTGATGCTGGGAATCAGAGGAGGCCCCTGTGTTTGTACTGTATTACTAATTGCCACTCGTGTTTCTGGCTGACAATGTTTGTTGTTGTTGATGTTCTGCATCTAAAACCTCCACCGCGTAGTTTGTGACACCTCAAGAACATACCCTCTCTCAACTTCTACCACAATGACCAAATCAACTCGACCTGTTATCTCGCTCATAGTAGCAGCATTACAACCCAACTTAGGAATCGGCGCCAAGGGAAAACTTCCGTGGAGATTAAAACAAGAAATTAAGTATTTCAAGGATGTCACCTCTCATGCTCCAGAAGGCAGTATCAACGCGGTGATTATGGGCAGAAGAACATGGGAATCGATTCCTCCCAGGTTCAGACCGCTACCTAACCGTATCAACGTGGTGCTTTCGAATTCCTACACCAATGTCACTGAGAATGGTGTCTTGTACTTCAATAGTTTAGACAAGGTCATGGAGACATTCGAAAGGGCCGGATTCAAACACGAAAAACAGGAAATTGGCAAGATATTCATCATTGGAGGGGCCCAAGTATATAACTCTATGATTCAAGATGGTCGTGTTGACAAGTTGCTTGTGACTAATGTGAAGTATGTTGGAGATGACGAGACCATGCCCGTTCTTGATACTTTCTTGGATTGGGATTTGTCCAAGTGGGAGAAAAAAGAAGTCTCCGAGCTCAAAAAATTTGCTGACGTTGATTTCAGCGAAGGGGTCATCAAGGAAAACGATTACGAGTATGAATATACCATTTGGGAGAGAAAATGACTAAAATATAGACAATGTTAATGTATTAATCGCAACCAAACCGTATAAAAAGAATTGAAAATTGGAGAAAGTAAGATACAGATAAATAAAAGGAATGACAAACAGAAATAAAAAAAAAAAGGAAGATCAAACAAGTACTTTTCTATTGCATGTATTGTTGGTTCAAGCGGAAGATCTGCTCGCAGACTACCCACCAACAATGTTTCTTCTTGTAGTCAGAGCCAAACCTCCGTTTACGGAGCATCTCATCAAACAAGAATAACTCATAGAAAATGCGGAGGTTGGGCTGGATGATAACATTGAATCTTCGAACACGAACAAACATGTAACTCTCCACCACATCCATTCCAAAGTACTTCATGACTGAAGCAATCACCAACGACGCAGAACGGGACACGCCAATTCTGCAGTGAATGAGTGCACGCACATTGTCTCTAGGGTCCACGAGGAACCTGCGCTGGATTGACTCTGGACAGTTGACCAAAAGAGGAAGAAGTGAGTCCTTTCCGTCGTCACGGACATTGTGGATGTAGATGATGGACTTCACTTCTGGGATGGAGGCGCCTGCCTCAAACAATTTGCTTTCCACAGCAGAATTAATCACGATCTCATAAACTTGTGCCGTTCCATTGTTGAAGACGTAGATGGGTTTGACGACAGGACCCGTGGTTGACAGCGTAACCTCATGTTCAAAGGTACACTTCAAGTACTTAAACCATGCGGGTTTCTCATCAATTGAGACAATTTTGGTGATCTTTAAAGCGTTCAAAACCGTGGTGGATGACGCATGCTCAGCAGATCCCAAGTATAGATTTTCATACATCTGGGAAGGGAAGTTCATGTCTGCACCTTCCTTGAACCAATCAATCTGCTTCGTGTAAGGCCTGTAGTTATCGTTGATTTTAGACAACGGCAACTCTACGATGAGATGAAAATCCTTCACAGCCTGCCTCTTGACCCACTGGATATACACCTCAAAGTTCTTTATAAAGTTGTAGTCACCTTGCAAGAAGTAAAACTTGAAGGAGGACTTGCGAAAGACGTTACACACCACGTCTTCAATGGAATCTGGTCCCCAGAACAAGCCCATACTTAGGGAAAGGAGTGTGATTCCAGTGAAACCATCAAACGAGTATGCAAACACCTTCTTCTTGAACTTGTTGACCACCAAGTTGATGAGCTTCATCACATTGATGTAGCTGAGAGTTTCTCTTTGTGAAATGGTCTTCACGCCCAGCTTAATGATGGAGTCTGGAAATTCTATGTAAATAGGCTCTTCCAAGCCCTCAGACTCAATCTTGTTGAACATTTCATTAATGGCACCAAGCGATGGGAACTTGGCGTTCTCGTGGCAGTATATGTGCAACTTGAAGTCATAATGTGACAGACGTTGATTGGACGACACTATCTGCTTGAAGTTGTAGACATTTCCGATGTAGAAGCGAGGAAAGAGCTCCTTCACTCCGTTGAGCAGCCATATAAGATTCTGCTCCAAGAATGAGAGTCGCTCATTGAGTGGCCCCATGTCCGCAGAGAACTTCTGGTCTAGAATATGGCAGTTGGACTTGGAATCTAGGTACTCGCCCATCTGCAGCCAACGATTGACGTCAAAATCCACCACATACACTGCTCTGTTAGAGTGTGGCCCCATCAAGTGTTGGATGGCACGAGCAGCCTCCGAGTTGGCAAAGAAGTTCATGGTATTATTGTAGACAACGAAATGCGACAACGGAGCCATTAACTTGATCTGCAGCTCATAGTTTCTGTTCATGAGTTCGCGAGACTCGGAGTAGTCCAGGATCTGATAAATGGTGTCGAACTTTTCGAACGCCTTGTAGTCAAAGTCCTCACATTTTGGATTATGGACGTATGACAGTTTGAACGTAAGTAGATCATCAACGGAAACAGAATTTATGAGCTTCGGTCTTTCACATTCCAAAGAGTTGACTGTCATCAAGTGAAATGCCAGGTCAGGCACCTTGACATCCGTGTCGTAGCCAAAACGGGCCGGTAGCGTGGCTGGTTCACCGGACAAGAGATCCAAGTCTGTTTGCGGGTCAAACTTGGGGTGAAAGTACACTCTTTGGTTCATAGAGGAAAGTCCATGCAAGTAGGGAAACATCTCCAGGGACAGTGGCATGGCATTTCGGGCCAGACTGTGCAAATTAAGCAAATAGGTCAACTGCAGCGGTGACGAAATCACATAGATGTTTGTGTTTGCAAAATGGCTCAAAGTCTTGTTGAATGCCAACAACTTCAGGTTCAAGGACCCTTTGTGTGGAGAAGTAACCACGCTCTCATCGTCAGACGTCAAATCCTCCACACTTAGCGACTTGTACTCAGTACAAATATAATCGTCATCAACTAAAGTGCTTCCAGAGGCCTTGCGAACCGCAGAATTTGGGAGCTTGGCTTGAGCATAAGAGGTAGCCAGACTTTTGGCTATACAAGGGCTGGCCACCGCCAACTCTTTGGTGAGCAGAAGAGTCAGCTTCAGCTTGGCATGGTGGGTCGGCACCACAAAGTCCAATGCGCTCATTCGGGGGGTATTAAGGCCAGATTCCAAGGGAAGTCATCCAGCTATATATTGTCCTTGGTACAGAGTAGCAAATTAGAGCCAGAAAAATCACGCACCAATGCAGGAGAAGCTGATAACAAGGCGACGTGCATCGGCTATGAGTTTAGTGTGGATATGGAACGGGGGGATACATGACCGGATGGTTATGGAGTTTTGGTGGGAATCATGATTACTTTTCCAATTCCGCTTGCGGGCTTTAGAATTTTGGTTTTTTGTCGTGGTTACAAGGTGCCAGAGTTGGGACGAGAAAAACTGAATTTGAAAGACTAAATGGGGGAAGAGTGAGAGACGCACATAGAAGTTTGGGGAAATGTGGAGAAGGGGTTTTTTTTTCTCTTTAAATTTCGGAAATTGCAAATCGAGACCCACACAGAACATCGCTTGCCGTCTACCCATGTCCATTTTGGCTTCTTTGGGTATTGCCATTGTAGACTATTTTATCTTTTCTTTCTTTTCGCTATTCTTTTTTTCCCCATTCATGCGACTCCACCAGCAAACACGCAAATATTCTGATATAAATTGCACGTCTAGACGCAGGGGCCACCGTCTAAATTATAGACGTTATCAGTAGACTACATGCATATAGAAGGTTGAGGTTGCCGTATTGGGGATTATTCAGCCCACTTCAGGCTTAACACATCACGTGATGCAGTTAAGAAGAAGAATTTGAGGCGTTGGCGTAAATGGAAAACTAACCAGGAAGGAAAAAAAAAAATACTAAAATGCACTTCATTTAAAGCTTCTAACCATGCTACTCTAGAATTCAGACGCGTCAGTGATATAATCTCGCTACCTGTGGGTTGACATATCGTCACCATCTTAAATCTTCAAATTTGGTCCCCTGCATATGTCCTCCCATCGTCAGCTATTGTCAAAGTGTTGAGAGTCTAGTCTACTGTGTTCTCACTTTGCTTTAGTGTTAATTTATCTCAGGTTCAGTTGTCCCGAGCTTATTTACAAGTTAAGTGTCTCAAATTAACTTCGATATGTTCTTTTCCATTGTCAGACGCCAGGCTACGCCCGCCTACACTGCTCTTCTAAACTCCATCAAGGTGGACTTGAAGCTGGCCATGAAAGCCAAGCAGAATACCGAGAAAAACACCATCAGAGCCATTTTGTCTACCATTAAAAATAATGAGATCGATGGAGGTGAGCAATCTGAGTTTGAGTTGAGCAAAGTGCTCAACAAGATGATCAAGCAGCGTATTGTGTCTGCCAATGAATACCAACAGCAGAACAGAACCGATTTGGCTGAGGTAGAGACTCAGGAAATTGATATCATTCGCAAGTACGTCTTGAGTTTACCTGTAGCCAGTGACGAGGAGATCACCAAGAAGATCGTGGACTTTTTGACTGATTTGAAGGCCAAGGACTCGTCGATGCATGTTGGAGCAATTTTCAAACAGATTACCGATGAATTGGCAAATACATGGGGAGCAGCACCTTCGGTGATCAAGTCCAAGATTCCTCAGCTCTACAAGGATATTTTCCAGAAGTGAGTGACTTCTAAAGTACTTTCAACTTTTAGGGGCATTTCCATTTTGGATCATTTCATGATAGATATGATACTGAACATATCATTTGCCCAACTGGCGGCCAAGATTTAGAGATATCTGGACTTAAACGTGGTATTCCCGATTGGGACAGCAAATCGAAGCTTTGAGCATACTTGTACATAGTCATTAATTCCACTACCATCTCGTCAAGGCCTGGTTCGCAACCATTTTGTGGTTGTCATTCTTATCTTCCACATGCACTGGATTTTATTGTTTGTAGCACCAGTAGCCGGTGATATTTTTTACGTGACCGTGACAACCACACTAACGCAATTTATTCCCTGGGCGGCTAATATGTCCACTGAAAGTGTTGGGGTGTTTTACCCATCTCACTCGCTGGACCCTAAAGTGCCGAGTAGCACCTGGACACCTCATGAAGGCGATACTAGCACAAAGGAACCAGATGGTCTAGATGGTGTGGAAACCATGTGGAGGCCCTCTGCACGGGCCGCACCGTCGGTAATCTCGGAGACGTTCGTGACTACCGATAGCGGTACAAATTGTGGAGAAGCACATGGGCCGTTGTATCCAGACAACGAGGCCAGTGTGACATATGTAAGAACAAGTGGGGAATCGAAGAGAGTAGAGATAGAAGTGTTGGATGATGCTGAAGAGGGAATAGGGGATGGACAGATAAAACGAGTCGGAAAGGAAATATCCGTTGGAGAGGTAACAGAAGTTGGAGAGGTTTCTGGAGCACATGTTATTTGGTCACAGATTACAGAGATATCTCCCATAGTGATAGCTGGCACAGGGCTAGAAATGGCAACAGAATGTGTAACCTCTGGGAGTATGAATAGTTGTACTGACCTTAGTGATGCTACCATGACTGAAACGGCTGATGTAACTACGTCAGCTGCTCTAAGCGTAGATTACCTACTAACAACCCCAACTGACAGAGTTGACACTAAAATGGAGATTTTAAAGCAACTTCCATCTCATCTGTCAGCAGCAAGGTACTTTTCCCTTGAGATAGTCCCCCCTTCCTATCCATTCCCCTATGAATCAACCAGCTTATCAAGTTCCAGCAAAGGTCACCAAAATCAGATTCATCTCACAACAACCAACTCCAAACCGTTTTTTAATTCTAAACACCCTCGAATCCCTAAAATCTCACTGGCCTCCCAAATCAAGCCAATTTCACACATTTCTTCAATCTCTCGAGTCTCTCAAGCTTCTCAAGTCTCCTTCGCCCTCTATCGTCTTTCTCAGCATGCTCCACGGGTCACCTACACCTACAAATCCCACAAGTCTATCCATGTGAGGGCTTCTGCCTACATTATATCTCATTTGAATCTGCCAACCACCATGAATCTATCTACTTTCTCATTTTCATCTCCAGAATCATCCATCTCATACTCCTTCCCACAGTCACATTTCTCCAGATCACCAGAACCCGAAGCTACAACAGCATACAAGGGCCAAATTGAAGTTGGCGAAACCTCGATGGCTGAAACAACATCTCTTTCTGCTCAATCCTTTAACAATGCATCATCTCCTCCAACTCTTGCACTCCATCTAGCCCTACTCCTTTCTCCACTACTTGTGGTGTTCTGGTGAGCGTGCAGACTGGTCGCTCACCAAAAAAACGAAACAAAAGTGGGCGGACCACCATCTACTGTTGAGCATTTGACATCCAATCAACTGAATCGTTTGCCATGTCGGAGGTATGTAATTGTCTGGCGTTATTTCGTCGAAGTCAGCAAAGTTTTGCGTATGCTATTGACATTTCACTGTTTTTCAACAGACCAAAACCGCATACTATGGACTACTAAAGAACGAAAAAATTACAGGATTTGAATGAATCATTAATATCATAACTTTCTTGGATATAGGTTCTTTCAGATTCGCTTCATTGGACCGTGCTTTCTCCCTTTCTTTTCAGTTTGTCCTTTTCTCCTCTCTTCCCATTCATTACTAACATTAGGTTAAAAGAACCATCAGAATCACAACTACCCAGCACATCTTGAAGGATGTCCCCGCCGTGGAAAACTACCCCATGCGTCTGTGGGCCATCGAGATATCCATGCTAAATGACCAGGACGAGGAGGTTCCAGCCAACATCCTAGATAAGGTCACCTACACTTTGCATCCAACATTTGCAAACCCAATAAGAGCCATCAAGCAGCTGCCCTTCAGAGTAGAAGAGCAGGGATGGGGTGAATTCGACATCCCCATTACTGTTCACTTGATTGGATTGCCAGGCAAGCTGGGTGAACGCAAGTTTAACCATGACTTGAACTTCTTGCAGGAAAAGTACGTTGTGGACCACCCAATTCTGATTCCATTGAAGAACGCCCAGTTGAACAAGCTTTTGTTGGAGACTGGATCTGTTCCTTCCGAAGGTGATGCTAAGCGTAAAATCGAGCAGGATAGAGCTGCTAAACTGAAAAAATTGAAGGCCGCCAACGGTAACGCAGTCAAGGGCAGCATTGATTTAGAGAAGCTCGCCAATGGTTTGACAAAGCTCAGCGAGGATGACTTGATTGTTATTGTGCAGATGGTCACTGACAATAGAACCAACGACATGAACATCAAGAATGACGTGGACAACGGTGAGTTCACTATGGACTTGTACACGCTTCCGGAGCTGTTGTTGAAGAGCTTGTGGGAATATGTGAAGAAGCACACAGGTGACGCTTAGTAGCTATGAAGATTGAAAATCAAGATTGACTGGATATTTATTGTAGAGTGTATAATAGGCAAGTAGGAGATTATGTTGATGACGGAGATTCAAGATTGTAAGATAACGAAATTGGCCGACACAAAAATATGATACACCGAATAGTGTAGATTTCCAAGCTCGAGAGCATCTCAATGGGTCCAAAGGACTATCGCTGAGCTGAGTACTGTGGGCAATTGTTATGGAGTCATTGCCTATTGAAATATGATTGATTAGATTCACATTTCACTTAAAGTGTAAATAGTTTTCACCAAGAATCCTGTCTTCCCTCAATTCAAAATCGTTCCTTGATGCTTACCATTCCTATGTCGACCATACCTTGATAGTTGAATCCCACGAGGCAGTAGCTAATCCCTGACCATCTGGAGACACTGATACTTGCGAGATTCGGCCCGTGTGGCTGCCGTTTCCGACACCAAGAACCTCGACTATGTCATTTTTTAATGTATCCCATGCCACACATCCGTAGTCAGCATAACAAGCGTAGAGTATTCGTCCTGAATGGCTCAACTCGACGGATACAACGCCAGGAGTGTGGAATCGAGACCACATGCTATTTCGAGAGGTTGGAGACTCTGTAACGGCTGACCGTGGCTCGTAGTGGTTCAGCAAGCTATATGTCGCCAATTCGCAGTCTGAGCGCAAGTCGTACAACTTACAAAAGCCGTCGTCAGAGCCTGTGACAAAAGAGTATCCGTCGGGAAGCTGTGTGACGGAGTTGACGTCAGTTTTGGATACTTGGCACGATTTCTGAGCATTTTTGGCCCGTACGTCCCACACCTTGACGTATCCATCGGCACCGGACGACAAAAAAGTTTGGGTCAGCATGAGAAGATTTGGAACAACCAGCAACAGCAACACATCGCTTGTGTGGTCTAAGAAATCTCGGGTCTTCGCGTCTTTCGCCATGTCCCAAAGTGCTATGGTCATATCTCCCAGTGCGGTGAGCACTTGCGAATCAGCAACAAACTCGCAAGAAGAAACGTAGGCGGCATGAGGTCGAGCTATCTTACGTCCCAACCTTGGTCTGTCGGAGAGTTCTATGGATCCAGGAGGAGTTGATTCTGGTGGATCTATGTTGACCTTATACACTGTGCAGCGGTTGTCCAAGCCTGCCAGAGCCACAAAGCGACCAGATGGCGAATATGCACACAGAAGCACCCACGAGTTTTCCAATTCTATGGCTTGGAGCTTCATGCCCGTGACGGAGTCCCATATGATCATGAACCCATCCTGGCAGGCAGAGAGAAGCTTAATTGAGTCTGAGGCCCATTTGATTCCGGCGATTTTGTCACGGTGACCACTAAGCGTGTTGAATTGGCGCATGTATCCTCGTGGCGGGATGGCAGCCACCAGCGTACTGGCCTGTTGTAGAGTCGAGTCTTGAATCAAGTTATTCGTTTTCTGCACCTCGGCATAGAGTATCTGTGCTGTTTGGCGCGCAGCAGCCAACCTGTCTACAAGCAGAAGGTCTTCATTGATGCCATGGAACATCACCGATGGGAAGAGGAGGTGAGAATTGACGATGAGGGCTGCAAAGGGGCAAAAGAGACCGGATAAGATTTGCAAAGGAGGATGTGGGCACAATGGCAGCGCTCCTGCATTTTCCTGGCCCACCATAGTCTTGTGGAAGGGTGAGGGAGTGGGACCCTTCGGGGTTCGGCACAGGAAACGTTGCAGATCCCAAAGTAATGAAACACTAGAAAATAGACATGCACCGAGTTTCATGCCACTCTTTCTGTTATCTTTGAGAGGGGGCGACATTGTCTACTATCCGTTTTTGTTCATCCGGAATTTGGGTTTCTCGAAATTTCTTTCCGAGTCCGATAGTTGCGAATCGACATTAATTCTTGAGTACTGTCTGATTGATCAATATGAAATAACCCGTATGTTTCATCCTTGTTCAACTGAACGGGGTTTTAATCTCTTCTTTGTCCAGATCCTCAGAAGACTTAATTCTTCGGTACTCCCCTCCCCGCATTGTTTTCTTTTCTTCTGCCTTATCGCTCATCAACTTACACGTCTTCTCTTGCGGTCTTCGCCATCATCCTTCTTGTTGACTGCTGGAACAGGTGCTGCTGCCGTCTTTCGGTTGCGAGCATTCTTCGCTCTCACCTTATCGTCTCTTTCAAGATCTCCAGTAACTTTTTGTAAGTACGCAGGCACAGGAAGCCCCAGCTTAAGGAAGAACATCTTCCAGTTACGGGCCTTATCTTTAAGTTGAACTTGCGTTCTATTCTTTAACAGCTCATTGATCCGACCACCTTGGCCAAAAAGCTCCAAAATCGTAGACCACTGTGTGCCCTTTAGCTCGAGTGCATGACGTAAAGCCTTCTCTTCCTCCCTTGTCCAAGGTCTCCGGTTGGTCACCTTGCCTTGCATGCGAGGGTTGATTCGAATATGAATCTGCTGCTCTTGGATCTCACTAGGAAGTAGGGCTGAAGTGATATCATTGATTTCCTGGTTGTTGCTGGTTTCTGTAGTCTCTGCAGTTGTAAGCGTCTCATCGCTGTGTGGAGTGTAACTGGTTGTGGGAGTTGAAACTGTGCGTTCAGCTTTAACCCCGACCTTGGTCTTCTTGCCCCAAATTAGGAACCCCATGTTCTTCGAGACGTACTCAAAGAGGTCCTTCAAGAATTCAAACCATTCGTACTCTTCACTGAGACTGGACCCCTCTGGATAGTTGAACAATGTTTCCTTTCTTGATTGGCATCTAGACACAAAGTCGGCTTCGGTGGGTGAAAGAGTCTTGACCCCACGACGCTCAAGAAGTAATTGCTCCAAGTTACTGGGCAAGATATCTTCCAAAATTTCTTCTCTGGATCTTTCACCAGCTTCAACTGCGGAAATATATGCTTGAGTCTTCAAGTCAATGAAAATCAGCGCTTGAGGCTTGAGAAGCTTACCAACTTTATCACCAACCACTGTATTGGCACCACTCTGAAGATTCATATTTGTTGAGCTCATGTTGGACATAGAGTTTGTAGGGTCGAGGTTATTGGCTGGGCAAAAAACATCGAGGAAAGACTCGTTCAAGTAGAAAAAACCCACCTCGATGGTACCGAGAGTGGCTGCAAGGAATGTGGCCAAGTTGACTTTTCGAAGAGTAGACTCAATAGTCTGCTCTCTACTGCGGAACATGCTGGGAGTTTTTTCTCCTTCTTTCCACATTCCGGGAGCCAAGTGCTCAACAGTCAAAAATGGGTCTTCTTCCGAGTACAATCGCTTGGTGAACTCGAAGAGAGACGTCAAGTCTCGGAATGCTGCGCCTGCCGGGGTTTCAGGCGTAGATGCTAAATCTATGATCTTCTGATATGGACCAGTTGCGAAGACTCGAAGCAACTGCGTAGAGAGATTGTCTAGCACCGGCAAGGTGTTGACAAGAAGCTGAATACGTGCTGGGAAGTAGTCAGGTGCAACAATTGGCAACGGAACTGCAGCCAAATGGACATTGGTCAACAGGGCAACGGGAGGAACCTGAGATGAAAGCGCATTGTATGCTGCCAAAGCGGTGTTGGTCGCTAGAAGCTCGGAATCTGGAGGAATGTATCCTGGATGTGACGAGTCTGACGTCTGTGGTTGGCCTTGAATCTCTTTATTTTGTCCGTTGTGGTTATCCTGGTGTTCCGACTGAGAAGTTGCTCTTTTCAACTCGTTGGCGATCATCAGAAGCTGCAGTTTCTCATCATCGAGATCCATTCCGCCATGAATGATGTTGTTGTCAATGTTACTGTCGATGTTACTGTCGATGTTATTGTCGATGTTACTATCGATGTTGCTATCGACATTGGTGACATTGCGATTGAGATTAGCATCTATGTTGTCATTTTCCATATTCTCCATTGTTCCCATATTCCCGAGATTATGGTCGATGTTGCTAATGCTGGTATCAATGTTTCTGTCGATATTTTCTAAATCCTGATCGATGTGTCTGTTGAGATTGTCATCGATTTCTCGATCGATGCTACCATCAATATTACTATTAATGTTCTGGTCAATGTTGCCATCCGTGCGCGATTCCTTATCGCTGATAGTAGGTTCGGCGGCTACAGAAACATCTGTATTGCTGTATTCCTCCTTAACTTCAGACTTGTCGTTTTCTTCACTTCGTTCTGGCGAGTTAGATCCATCCCGATGAAGTTGTTGTGCCAAGTCATGCTGAGCGATAGCTCTCTGGATTTCCTCTTCGAGCCCATCTTCGTGTGAGTATTTATCGTTTTCATTGAGCAGCTCAGGCGCTGGGGTTCCGTTTTCGGAATATGGTTGGTCAGACATGGCAATGAAGAGATGGTATGTTTGTTTTTAGTGGAGCCTGCATTGATGCGATGAGGCTGGAGTATAGGAGCGATGGAGATGTTAAGTTGGCAGGGCTAGTTTCATTGGGGTTAAATTAGTATGAATTGAAAAATAATTATTTTCTCTTGTTCGTTTTGTTTATAAATTGCAAGATTTTTGTTTTCTATAGTTTCTTCTTGAGTATTGGATATGTTCCCGTTTAGGTAATAATGAGGAACACTATGGTGTCGCAATATTCTAAAGGAGAATATCGTCAGAGTTAAAGCAGATAAAAACCCCAGGGAGCGTACCTCAAAGCTTGCAACTTCAGAATTTTACCTCAGAGGTGGTGCTTTGGCCAGCATGATTAGTCGATAGTGCGGCCACTTCATATGCTGTGTAATAAGAGATGTTCAGAAAATCCCCAGTATATGGTTTATCTAATTCTAGAGGTTTCAAATTTACATTCAATGACAAGGGATTTTTATTCTTTCCAAAGTATTCAAGTTGAATTGCAAGAAGCATTTAATTTATGGATATTGGCCTGTTGGCTAACTCAACGGCTTCGCTTTGGAGAATGTTTAGAAACCAACAACATTACAGAGTACTTGCTGAATTCGCTAAAAGAAAAAAAAAGAATATCAGCTTACTAATATCCCCTTTTGATCCTTATTGCTATTATCTGCTTGAACGTTTAAGGCAACCCAACATCCTGAGAAGGAACACTGGAAAATTGGAATCATCAGACCTAGAAATAGCAACACTTACAAGAAGCCAGGATCTTTAGACAATTACTAGGCTTAAACAATTGGAGATGATCATACACAATCTTAGAGATGAGTAGAAGCACTGATTGACACTTGCCCAGAACCTCTGATGCAGACATACAAGTCAATTGGGTTCCAGCCTTGGTTGTTTCTCTCTTTACTTTTCTGCTTTCTTATATCCGGAACTATAAAGTCAGTGCTGCAATCAAATAAGTTGATATTCGGGATTTTAATGTCAGTGTTGCAATCAAATAAGTTTGAATACTCGAATATTTCTTGAGTTCAATGTACACGCATGATGCATCTAGCACAAGAAGAAAATATGGACGCAGATGTGATTCTTCAGAAAGGTATTGGAATAGAAAGAGGACAGGATCCCAGATATATCTCTCTCCATCCTTTCAGTTGTATGCATCAAAAACTACCGTCACAATGAAATGCAATCCAAAAAAGTTGGATCATTGGTCAAATTACTTTATTTCCTAGTTGAACAGGTATCATCTCCAAATGCTCTTATCTTCGGTTTTTTCTTAGGTATCTCATCTGGTGCCATATCCTCAATAGTCATGGTTCTTGTCTTGTCTTTGTTCCTGATATTGTTAAACTGAATAGCACAGAGCTTGGAATCAAATTCATCTCCACATTTCGCAACTTCAACTCTAAGTATAGTTCATTGTTCGTTTTCAACTCGTAGACCTCATCTACATTTAATTGCTCTTATTCACCAAGTCAATCTAATACAAGGTTTCAAACAAGTAGAGCAAGCTATATGAGCCCAATGGATGTATAATCTTCACACAATGAGTCAAGGCGACATTTGGCCAGTTCGTGAATTGTTGACTAGGTTTGTGCCGTTTCGGTTGAGTATCATAGATAAAGTGAGGGAAATTGCCGTTGAAAACGGAGATTTATCTCGCTGGATGCAATGCAACTGCGAGTAGTCATGACTTCAAGTCTTCATGACTTAGTGATTGACCTTGAGTCGCTCACAAAGCACTTTGATCAATATTTCTGGTAGCAATGCGATAAAACAAGAAATAAACGCAACATCAATGACATAAGAAGGGATAAGTTTGCAGAAACAGATATAGAAGCCGTTGCACACCTTAAGAATAGCGTATGGTGCCTTTCCTTAAGATTCTTTGGGTCTTCAAGCGTGAAATCCATGTTAACTTCCACAATTCCAAAAATATCCACCTCAGATCTTATGAACCACAGAGCTTCTTGATAGTGAATGTCTCAGATTCCAAGTTTTAATGCCCAACTTCCATCCTCCAGTTTAATACTATTTCTCCCATATCTTCTCCAATGTCTTCTTCCGTACCCTCACCAATGCCACCACTGCTCACTTTGTTCAAAATCAAAAATTCTTGTCGATGCTTCCCTTAATGAACTTTCGTACTTATATGCTCATTCTCCTCTTCAACTCATCTCAACTTCCCCGGATTTCACTATCGCACCTGCCTCTTACTTCGCATACAATTTCCATTTCCATCTCATCCATCTCCATCTCATCTATCGCTTTTTATCCTCCTAAATCCTTGCTCACACATCACCAACAATGAGTCATCCCTCTCACTTATTCCATTAATTATTCACCACTATTCGTGGTCATTGGAACTACCGGTTTACCAATGACTGTTCCATTTTAGGAACTAGCCGCCATTGCTTGTATGCACTCTTGGGCTATTATCTGCACATCACCCGCTAGCAATACTAGTCCCGCTAGCGCCAAAATCCGCTAATGCCATCCAAATCGGGTATCAACCATTGGCGCATTCCTTCCACTATAAATTCATCGTCATTCTGCCGCTTGTTCATCGACTTTCTTTTTTCTCCATCATCATGTCTGTTTGCGAGAAATACTTCCCAGACGAGCCAACCGAGCCAAAGTTGGTCACTGCCTTCCCAGGCCCAAAGTCCAAAGACGCAGTTGCTTCTTTGGATAAGGTTTTTGACGCCAGACCAGTGTACTTTGTCGCTGACTACGAAAAGTCTTCTGGTAACTACATTGTTGATGTGGACGGAAACGCATACTTGGACGTCTATGCCCAGATCGCCTCTATCCCATTGGGTTACAACAACCCAGCCTTGGTTGAGGTTGCCAAGTCTGATAAGATGACCAGAGCCATCATTGACCGTCCCGCTTTGGGTAACTTCCCAGGCAAGGACACCGAGGAGATCATTTCCGAGTTGTTGAAGGTTGCTCCAAAGGGCCAGGACAAGATCTGGTCTGGATTGTCTGGTGCTGATGCCAACGAGTTGGCCTTCAAGGCTGCTTTCATGTGGTACCAGGCCAAGAAGAGAGGATATGCTTCCACGTTCTCTGAGGCTGAGAACGAGTCTGTTATGAAGAACCAGGCTCCAGGGTCGCCAGAATTGGCCATTTTGTCCTTTGAGCGTGCTTTCCACGGTAGATTGTTTGCTTCTGCTTCCACCACCTGCTCCAAGCCTATTCACAAGTTGGACTTGCCATCTTTCAAGTGGCCAAAGGCTCAATTCCCTTCGTATGCTTACCCATTGGAGGCTAACGAAGAGTCCAACAAGAAGGAGGATGAGAGATGCTTGGCTATTGTGGAGGATCTCTTGAAGAACTGGAATGTTCCTATTGCCGCCATCTTGATTGAACCTATTCAGTCCGAAGGTGGAGACAACCACGCCTCTAATGCCTTCTTCCAGGGATTGAGAGACCTTACTTTGAAGTATGGTTCGCTTTTGATCATCGACGAGGTGCAGACGGGTGTTGGAGCTACTGGTAAGTTCTGGGCCCACGAGCATTTCAACATCACTCCAGCACCAGACATGGTGACTTTCTCCAAGAAGTTCCAGTCTGCCGGATACTACTTCCACGACCCAGAGATCATTCCTAACGTGGCATACCGTCAATTCAACACCTGGTGCGGTGACCCAGCCAGAATGATTTTGGCTGGAGCCATTGGCCAGGAAGTTGTCAAGCACAACTTGGCTGAGCGTGCTGCGCAGGTGGGAGACTACTTGTATGGCAAGTTGGAAACCTTGTTTGGCAAGTACAGCGAGTTGATCACGGACTTGAGAGGCAAGAACCGTGCCACCTTCATTGCTTGGTCGTTCAAGAAGCCAGAGTTGAGAAACAAGTTCTTGAATGACATGAAGTCGGTGGGTATCAACATCGGAGGCTGTGCTGAGGACTCTGTCAGATTGAGACCTACACTTGTGTTTGAAGAGAAACACGCAGACATCTTGGTTGCTGGCATTGAGAAGATCTTGTCTGGCTACTAGGTTTATAGAATAAAGGGTATAATTCGCAGCCAAGTAGAAGAGACACTGCAAGAGTTTATGTACAAGTCCGAACGATTAAGTGAGATCTACAAAAGTTTGTATAATGGGATAAAAGGGACAGATAGTTCACAGCAGGCGCCTTTATTGGATAATCTGTTATTTCATGAGCCAGAATTCAGAAATCGGAATAAAACTCCAACATATAATACTTTGAAGTAATACATTCATTACATTCAAGGTAGAATACCCATTTCTGACAAGTTACTGGTCCATTGCGATTTCCAATTTTTCCCAATACACTTCAATTTTTCATAAACTGGCTTTCTTTAGTACATTTCCAATACAAATATTCTGCTTTAGCCAATTCTCATTCCTTTCCCTCGTTCCGACCTCAACTGTGGAACCCCAGTCCGATCGCCGAATCACCTGCACTCCTGTCAAATAACTTCAACCAAAAACTATATAAACACCTCTGAATTCCCTCAAAATGAAAATCAAGAGAACTTGACTATTTTCATTTCATCTCATATATCCCCTCTCTCCCTGACCCATTCCCCTTTCTCTCATTTCCTGTGTTGCTCTTCCTCTTATCCATTCATTTTTGTCCCTGCAGTAACCCCGGACCTGTGCGAGGAGAAAAAAAATGGACTTTGGATCCAAATCAATGCCTGGAGGAGTGTAATTTGTCTACATCAACTACGCCATGGACATGGAGGTACATCTGCTACAGCAAAGTCAGACTTACGATGCCATCAAGCAGTTCATCAAACTAGACTCCAATGCCTCTCTAATAGCTGGAGGCATCGCCGGTGCAGTGTCCAGAACGATAGTATCACCATTTGAAAGAGCCAAGATCTTGCTACAGCTCCAGGGAGCAGAGGCTCAGAAGGCTTATCGGGGCATGTTTCCCACCATATGGAAAATGTACAAGGATGAGGGCTGGAGGGGCTGGTTCCGTGGAAATACCCTTAACTGCATAAGAATTGTACCTTACAGCGCCGTGCAATTTGCTGTTTTTGAAGAAGTCAAGTTGTTTTTGCTTAGTATGAAGCCTGAGGGTCAGAGAACTTTAACCGAAGTTGACCGTCTTGTGGCTGGTTCTGTAGGAGGCATCTGTTCCGTAGCTGCCACTTATCCACTTGATTTGGTGAGAGCCAGGATTACTGTGCAAACGGCATCGTTGTCGAAATTGAACAGGGCGAAGCTTATCAAAGCTCCAGGGGTTTGGGATACGCTTCGTGACGTGTACCAGAACGAAGGAGGATTCTTTGCGCTTTACAAAGGTATCGTGCCTACAACCATGGGCGTGGCACCGTATGTGGCAATCAATTTTGCGTTGTATGAGTACTTGCGTGACTCCATGAACGCGTCAACTCAATATGACTTCAGTAATCCTCTCTGGAAGTTGAGTGCTGGTGCTTTCAGCAGTTTTGTTGGAGGAGTATTGATCTATCCCCTCGATTTGCTTCGAAAGCGCTACCAGGTGGCCAGCATGGCAGGTGGAGAGCTTGGGTTCCAATATGGATCGGTCACACATGCATTGATGACTATTTTCAAAAACGAGGGCTTCTTCGGTGCATACAAAGGCTTGACAGCGAACTTATACAAGATTGTTCCATCGATGGCGGTAAGTTGGGTCTGCTATGATACGTTGAAGGCTGCCATTGCCGATTGGTGAACTAAACTAGAATTGCATGTAATATAGATGACGATGTCAACAGCGAGTGAGTTGTAATGCTTGGTATCAGGTGTATTGTAATGAGATGTAGATAATTGGCAGTGAACAAGGAGGAAGTTCGATGTTGGGATAAAACATTCGTTGGTGATTGTCGTAGTTACTTATATACATTTTTCAATCTTCATATATTCATATAGTCATTGCTTTCCTTTACTCATACACTTATTAGACACTGTAGTCTGCACCCACACCCTGTCAGCCTCGCATTCTACCCCAAATACATCTACACTAAGAGATCACAAGAAACCGAGAGATCGAAAACAAAAGTGAGCTATAATCTTCAATTTTCTTACAGTATCCACCGCCAACCCTTAAGAATTCCGAAAACTACCAATTCATACACTTTCATTCCAAATTGCTCCACTAGTCATCGTGATCACGTGACTCGGTCACCAGCCAACCAGCTTTCTCTTAACTTCGCACTACTTATGATACGATCACTTCAACAACCATCCAAAAAAAAATTCCTTTCAACACCCCAAAATGATTGCCTCCCGTGTCTTGATGAACGCCGCTAAGAAAAACACCGGCAAGAGCGCCGTCCCTGTGGAAATGTACCCATTGTTCGGTGCCGTCGGTGTTGCCCTTGTCTCGTTGGGTTACTTCACCTACAGACACTTTGCTTACGACAAGCAATTGAGATTGTGGAAGAACCCAGACTTGTCCAACTTGGATAACGTGTTGAACAAGGCTGCTAAGGAGGATGAGGAGTCCAAGTAAGGAGCCATATTTGTTAGTCTCGAAGCATATTCAGTTTGGATAGTTAAATGCATGAGGCCTGGGGGCCTATTCTGATAGATGTGTATTATGTACATGTAGACGGAGAATAAATTCTCATTTTCATTCTTTCATCTGTTTTTTTTTTTATCTCTTCCTTTCTTCCTTTCTCCTTTCTATCTATTTCATTCACCTGGTACTTTCTCTAATCGCGGATGTTGGAATAATAGTTTGTCACTTCACTGATCTCGTCAAGAAGCTCCAAACACTTACTCAATGACTTCTCTTGATCCTCAGGATAGTCAACCTCAGTGTCTGCATCGGCAATAAACACCGTCTTGGAGTCCCTCAACTTGTATCCCTTGGCAGACAAGTTATTCGATACCAAGTTCAACTCAGATGGATCAGTGATGATACGAAAGAGCTTTTCGCCATTATATTCCTCTTCCACATCCTTGAAATCCTCGACATCTTCAGCCCCAATGTCAATGGCCACCTCCAACACGTCGTCGAGTTCCTCGGTCTCTGTGAGTGGAGCGAAAATAATCTCTCCTTTACGTTGAAACATGTACTGACATGGACTCATGGATGCACTGAACTTGGACATGGCATGCTTGACCAACCCAACCGTACGGTTTTTGTTGTCTGTGTTGGCCTCCACAATGAATGCCACGCCACCAGGGCCCATGAACTCGTAGGTGACCTCGGAAGTCTGGGCTCCATCGTTGGAGAGCTCGCCTGTACCTCTTTTGATGGCATTTTCGATGATTTTTTTGGTCACATTCAACTTTTTGGCCTTCTCCATTAACGTTAAAAGCTGTGCATTACCTTCAACACCACCTGTCTTGACACTAGTGGTGATTCTTGTAGCCATTGCATAGGCTTCTTTAGACTTTTTGGCGTCATTTTTGGCTTTATCATGGCGGATGTTCTGCCACTTTGAGTGACCGGCAAGAGCCACCAGCGACGTGTGAAGAGATCTGAATGATCTGGGAAGCGATCTTTCAACGGCTTGCAAGAGAGACATTGGGTTGTTAGTTGGGGTATTTAATAGTTAGAAGCGAATTATGGCTGTGAAAAAGTCACGTGTGCAACAGACATAGGAGGGAAGAGAAGGTAGATACTGAAGATAAAATACGTAGATTTACATTAAAGAGAGCATACAAGGTAGGGAATCTTTGTAGACATTGACAATGATATAAATTGTTTAGTTGTTTCTTATTTTGATTTATCGAGTGTTTCTCAGTGCTGGGCTCATTTACAGTACTCATAGGAAATTTATGAGAAACTACACAACACATGATCAACCCAGAGTAATATTGCCTAAGATAACTAGCCAATCAAAATAAAAACTTTTATTCAATAGTCATGAAATTCAGAAGTTCCAAAATTATCTTGAAATTCAAATAAATGCACCCAGATTCAATCCCTATTATTTTCTTTCCATCTACCATATCTTCCAACTCTCATATCAGGTATCCGGCAATCTGCGTGGTCCACACACGACCAGGCAATTGATAGCGAAATCCACCATTTCCATTAAACCCTTCAACTACCAAACATGAGCGGCAACGAAGCAATGGCCAAGCGCTCCTTGCTTGCAGTTATCGCCGACGAAGACTCTGTCACAGGCTTGTTGTTGGCTGGTGTGGGCCAGGTGTCCAACGAGCCAGGCAAAGAGTCCAACTTTCTTACTGTTGTTCCAGGCAAGACCACCGTGGAGCAGGTCGAGGAGGCGTTCGACAACTTCACGTCGGAGAGAGACGACATTGCAATTTTGTTGATTAACCAGCACGTGGCTGATTTGATTAGATACAAAGTGGAGTCATACACTAATGCGTTCCCAGCCATTTTGGAGATTCCATCTAAGGACCATCCATATGACCCTGAGAAGGACTCTATTTTGAAGAAGGTGAGACGTCTTTTTGGAGAGTAATAGCAATGCAGATTTAGATATGTTCTTTGTAGTGGAGTTGCAATGTTTCAATTGGCGCAAGGTTTCAATTGGCTTCGCATCAACCTTCCTAACTACCTATGGTATTCTCTGTAGTATCCTAGCTCTTTTCTTCCTGACAAACTTCTACTAAGTGTATTGGACGCTAATACTTTTCCCCAGATTCTACGGCCTCAGCTGCCTCGATATCAACCTGCTCATTAGCGGTCTCCTCCAAATCCTCACTTGGAGATTCCTCGGTATCTTCACTTGGAAGTGCCGCTTCCTCGGCCTTCTCCTCGACACTTTCTTCCACCGGAGGTGCACTAATGTCGACTTCATCAAACTCGGTCGAGGCTGTGGCTTCCACAATTCTAGCATCGTCAGTGTCGGACTCTGGAGCTGCGTCAATTTGTTGCGCATCTGTGACAGTGGGGGCAGCAGCAACAGCTGCAGCAGGCGTGGAGCCAAGGTCGAATTCCGTGTCTGCTTCTTCATCTGGAACCACATCCTTTGCTTCTTCACTCTCTGGAATCTTGGTTGGTTGTGGTGTTTCTTCTTTTGATACGGGAATCACAACTTCCGGCTCTGTTTCTGCGACTTCAGCAGCGGTCGTGGCTTCGGACTCGGTAACTGCAGGGTCTCCAACTTGTGGAACTTCAATCTCAGGAACCTGAGCAGTATCAGAAGCTTCTGAATCCTTTGCGGCCTCCTCAGTTTCCTTTACTGGTTCCGTAGTTTGAGGAACATCGGCCGGTTTCTCAGAAACAGGCTGTTCTGACACTTCTGAATCCTTTACACCATCATCATCCTTTGCTGGCTCTTCCTCAGCTGGCGTCTCTACCACTGTCTCCTTGGCCAGTTCAACCGGCACAGATTCGATTTTCACATCGTCAGGTGTCTCTCCATCCTTTCTAACCTCTTCAACACTTTCGGCCTCTGTAGGCGCCTGCACATCCTCCTTGGTCTCTTTTGGCTCCTTGGATGGCGCCTTCTGCCAGTAGTTACGGGCAAAGATATCTGGCAAAGCGCAGTCCTTAACATAGAATTCTCTGACTCCCACTATACGTCTTTCCCTTTCACAAGCCTTCAACCATTCTGGACGAATGATAGGGATGTTCATCTCATTGGCCTTTAAAAACTCAGGATTCTGCTTGTTTTCTCTGGTGGTGATGTAGTGTGTCGTGTCCACCTTCAACTTCGTATCTGCTGGGTAATGTGCACCCATATTCTGCAATGTGGCCTGAATATCGTCGATAGTGAAGTGCTCATTAGCTGCGATATCCCCCAAACACACGGTAATACCCGACAAATCTGTCATTTTGTGTGTTCTCACCTCAATGGTCTCGGAGGAGTAAACGCCCGCGGTAGTGTCCAACTGCAACTGGAATTTGAACGTCTTGTCAATAGGTAATCCAGACAACTTCGAAGTGGTGTTAGTTAACGGTTGAGGGATCGACCCAAGCTTCTTTCCGTCCTTGAAAAGCACCAAATTCTTCAATGAAGCAGTGCCCAAATCTAACTTGTCCCATTCCAACACACATGAGGTCTGTGTGACATTCTTAATCTTTAAGACGGGATTCTGCGGTAAATTCTTGCCGAAAGTTGAGAGAATTTGATCTTGGATCTTCTGGAACTGCTGTGCCTCCTCGGCTTCTGTCTTCAAGTCTCGGTCACATCTGATCTTGACAATCGAGCCGGACTTTACTCCATTGGGTAACAAGATTGTGGGGAATTCAATGAGGTGGTGATCTTTGGTCAATAAGAGCGCTAATGAAGCGTCTAGCTTTCCGACTGTAAGCGAAACCTCCACCATGTTTTTACCGGTGCTATATGTTACTTGTCTCTTGAGTTGTCTATACTGCGACTGCTGTGTTCGATGGTGTACGGGTGCATGCCCAGCCACCACGAAGTCTTGATAATTTAGGAATGATGATGTCCATCTAAAAGGTGAATTAAAATACAGTGATGAAAGAAATGCTGCCGCGTAGCCCCACGGCAAATTTTGAACTTGGCTAGAATATGCCCATCGCCTGGAGATCGTCGTTGATCTCCTCCGACGTAGCCTTGCGAAGCAAAAGCTCTCTAGCAGGGTAGTCGCCAGACTCCATCAACTCCGTGCTCACTGCACTGGGGATACCATGGAACTCTGCGAGTCCATTGAGGATACCAAGCTGCTCGTTAAAACTGTTGCGCTGCTGCACTAACTCTATTAGCATATTTTGCTTGAGAACCTTCTTGTTTATGCTAGCACCTTCCTGGTATACATCTCCGCCTGCGACTCCAAATGTTGCCTTGTCTTCTGTAATGGTTGGAATAGCTGTGAAGTTGCATTCTGGAACCACCAGATCCACATAATTTCGTTCTCTGTTAACCTTATACCACAGAGACGTCGTCTTGGCCACCATGTCATTTTTCATATCCATCACGTTTCGCAAGAAGTCCTGATGGATAGCGGTTCGCGTTGCCACTGTCTCGTTATTGATGCACTTCAAGCTATAATTGAGTGTTGAGTTGGCCAACTTGATATTATCCTGGTAGAACTCATTCACCTTGTAGTATATCTGGAGTAGTTCTGGATGAGACCCATCTAAACAGAGTTGCAACTCATGTTCTAGAAGGCCGAGCTTGTCATGGAATAACTTGTCCCGGAGGAATGCAAAGTCCTTCTCAATGGAAATAAGCTCCTCAACAGCCAACTTGCGGTGCTCGTCCAAATCCACATCAAGATCCTCCTCCTCTTCGCCCCTAGTGGCTAGATCTTCTGCTGCTGCATCTGCAGCTTCAGCTTCTTCCTGTTCGTTCTGTTCGTCGAGCTCTTCCTGTTTTACCACGTCCTCAACGTCTGCCTCGTCATCTTCTGCATTGTCGTCCCCATCCGTTCCCAAAAATTCCATACCAGAGTGATCGGAATCGGCTTCGTTATTTTTGCTGGGGGCCTCATCCTTCTCGATTTCTTCAGCAACTTGTGCAGCTTCCACTGCCAGGCCGGTCTTAGCGACCACCTGGGCCTTTTCCAAGACTTTGATGTCAGCGCTTTCAGCTGGCTCTGCATCAATTTCTTCTTTATCTTCGGAGTTGCCCTCGTGAGATTCAACACCATTATTATCCAATTGATCAGCATCTTTATCGTTATCTTCATCGTGTACATCTGACTTCTCATCGTCATCCTTATTGATTTCTTCCTCAATCTGCTCCGTCTCTTCCTGATGGTCCTCTTCTTTTTCCTCTTTGACGCTCACATCTGGAGTAGCAGCATCAGGAGATAGTCTCTTTTGTTTCTTGGACTCGGTGTTCTCGTCTCCTTCATGCTCACGTTTTAACGCAGAATTGAGGTCGACATCGCCGTTGTTGAGACGTGGAGGCGATACGGAGTTCTTGAACTTGCCAACGTAGTCGTCGTCCGAGTCGTCGGAGTCGACCTCCTGCAATCGGGCCAATTCCGTGAGGTCAGAAAGTGCGTGTAAGTCCGAGACCTTGTCGCCGGCAGATGCATTGGCGTCGTCATCCAAAAAATCCATCTTGTCTGTCTCAGCCTCCAGCTCGTCGTCTCCTAAATCGCTGAGTTCTGAGCTCTCGTATGAGTCCTTGGATCCAGACCTTTTCTCGTCCAACGGTGGAAGATCGAAAGGTGGGGCAGCGTGCCGATGTCGGTCAAAGGGGAATCCTTCGTTTGGGTTGTTTCTACTTGGGGCAGTGTCAGGCGTTCTCTGGTTTCGTTTCCGCCGTTGGAATGTTTGGTTTCAGCGACTATTGGTCCATCTGTATCGCTCATTCTAGCACGCGGAGAACAAACTGCAATTTTGTGAGTTAGTGTGGAGGCGATGAATAGATGGCGGTGTCAAATGTATAGGCAGGAATGTGGATGTGTTCTGCAGTGGCGAAATCGGAAAATATTGTTTTGATGGTGGAAGGAAAAGTGCTTCTGGTTATAGTACAAGTTGAGTTTGGGGGACATAAGATACACCCGTGCACCAGCATAGTTGAAGATTGGATACCAGGTGCAGGAGTGACCAGATGTGGAAACTGGAGGTCAATGGATTGATGTGAAGCTTGAAAGATTTGAATTATTTGGCGGTTTCTGACGTGAATTCGGACAGAACAATTCCATAACTGATTCCTTTCTTTTCTCTTTCGCTTTTTTGTTAATTTCAGAGACGCGGATCAGTGGTGGTCTAAATTGGATTTGCTCACTATGGCCATGTTCACTCTGGCTCACCTGGGCTAAAACTGAAAGTCCAAAAATAAGCGGAAAATGAGAATATGAGCATGAAGAATCAATATAAGAATCCAATGCGCATGATCTGACGTCACAAAAAAAAAATTTAAAATACCATAAAATTCTATCAAAGTTCAATATCGAAAAGTCCATCCCATCTTTGGGGCTAAATATCCCCAAGTTCACACCCGTACACCACCACACAAAAAATTCGTGATGAGATGCCCTTCACCATAGTAATTATCCACCAATGTCTGCTTTCAGCTCTTTGTTTGGAAGCGCCAAGATAGATGAGGATGTGGCTTCTGTGTTAAAGTCCTCTGCCGGTCCTGTTGGTAGACAAGACTTGAAGGCTAGAACTTTGGTTGAGGTTCCTGCCAGACCTGAATCTTCTAGTGAGTCCAGCGAGGAAGAAGATGTGGAGGAGAGCGATGAGGCCAACAAGGTCGTCGAGGTTGAGGAAGAGAAGTCTAGAAAGAAAAAGAAAGAGGATGATAACGAGGACTTGGAGTCTCAGTACTTTTCCAAGATCTTAAGTGAAGATAAGAAGGAGAAGAAGGAGAAGAAACTGAAGAAGGAAACCAAAGAGTCTGAGGAAACTCAGGAAGGTTCCGAGGAGTCCAAGGACTCTGACAGTGACAGTGACTCTGACAAGGAGGAAAAACCTAAATCCAAGAAGGAATCCAAAGCCAAGTCTGTGGATTTGAAGGAAGAGGAGCTCCAGAAGGCCGAGCGCACGGTTTTCGTCGGAAATGTGTCCAATAACGTCATCAAATCCAAGCTGACATACAAACTTTTCAAGAAGCTCTTTTCTAACGTGGGAAAAGTGCAATCCATCAGATTCCGGTCCATTGCATTTGACGAAGCAGTTCCCAGAAAAGTGGCTTTCGTCAAGAGATCCTTGCATGACAACAGAGATACCGTGAACGCATATGTCGTTTTTAAGGAGAAAGAACCCTCCACCAAGGCTGCTGCAAGACTAAATGCTACTGTTTTCGACCACCACCACATCAGAGTGGACCATGTGGCCCACCCAGCTCCAAAAGACAACAAGAGAACGATCTTTGTGGGTAATTTGGACTTTGAAGAGCGCGAGGAGGCTTTGTGGAGATACTTTAACGCTAAGGTGGATGATGACGTGGAGTCAGTGAGAATTGTTAGAGACTCCAAGACAAACCTCGGGAAAGGTTTTGCCCTTGTTCAGTTCAAGGACACGCTTTCGGTCAACAAGGCATTGATGTTAAACGATAAGGTCATGGAACCAGTCAGTGACGATAAGAAGAAGAAGGGCAGAAAACTTCGGATTCTGCGTGCCAAAGCCAATGCCAAACCATCTGTTCTTTCACCCAACCACGTGGAGAACGTCAAGAAGGCAAAGCCCAGCAAGGCCAGATTGACAGACGAGCAAAAGACGAAGTTGGGCCGTGCCAAGGCGTTGTTGGGACGTGCTGACAGAAGCACTGCCGGAAAACTTGTTGCTGAGGGTTCGAGAGCCACCAAGGGCCAGAGAATCGCCGGTATTAAGGGCTTGAAGTCTGCAAAGGGTAAAGTGAAGAAGCCTAGAATCACTGACAGATCGTCAAGATTCAAGAAGGAGAGGTCCGAGTTAAGTAAGATGGCGAAGTGATGCATTAAATAGGAATAGAAGCATTGAGTACAAGTTTTGAGATAGACTGAAGGAATGACGGACAAAGGATAACAGGTTAATAAGGTTGTATGATGAGAGTTTAGAAAATTGGAATGATAAGAGTTTAGAAATGTGAAGTGATGAGAACTCGGAAAAATGACCAATTACAACAGAGAAACAATTCTGCTCTTGCGTAACATCCTTATAACCACCATCGTTAACCACTAGTCATACAATACAGGACTAGCTCGCATGTGTCAATTGTGGAGTTAAAGGGACCAAATCTCCAGCTACCAGATAAATCCAGAATCTTACCAAAATCCAACTAAACTTTCAAATGGAAATAGTCCTACTTCACTTTCTTATTGTCCTAATCTATTAAATTTCTCCTTAATTTTCCTCTTATCCTTACAATTCGTCATTTTCTCCATTCCCCATAGCTCCTTATCTGTGGCTCATGCAGGACAGATAACAGCCATTTAGAGCCATTCAGAGCCACTCGGAGCCACTCCTATCCTGAAGGCTATATAATCCCAATTTCTCTCAGGTAACTATCTTTTTGCCACCACAATGGGATCTAACACCTCTAAAGAACACATCGCCCAGCCAATCAGCGACTCCCAGTCAATTGCAGACTCAGATCTTAACGAAAAGATCACCGATTTGTCTCACTTGGTCACCACCTTGGATATTGACCTGGACGAGTCTGCCGCCAATCCTATCACCGTCGAAAACCTCTCCACATGGGAGTCAAAGTTGTTGGCAGACCCCAAGAACAGATTGGTCCAGAATGCTTTGGCCAACAACGATATCTCTAAGATTGTAGCCACCAGTGGTACCACATTATCTTTGACAGATCGCTACTTCTTCAACGTGGAGGTAGACACCGTGGGATCGCCTTCATTTTTGAATAACCAGAAATCTTCCGGAAGATGCTGGATCTTCGCAACCTGTAACGTCTTGAGAAGCCATGTTATCAAAAACTATAACTTGGATCCTACTAAGTTCCAGTTGTCTCAGAGCTACTTGTTTTTTTTACGATAAATTGGAGAAGGCCAACTTTTTCTTGGAAAACATCATTGATACTGCTGACGAGTCTTTGGACTCCAGATTGTTGCAGTTTCTCTTCTCTGGTTCCGTCAGTGACGGAGGTCAATGGGACATGATTGTTAATGTCATCGAGAAGTATGGAGTGGTACCCAATGAGGTATTTCCTGACAACGCGCAGGCCGTGTCTACGTCTAAATTGAACTATTTCTTGACCAACAAGTTGCGTGAGTATGCTTTGGTGTTGCGGAAATTGGTCAATTCCGGTACTTCCAAGGCTGAGATCTACCGGGTGAAGAATGCTATGAACAAGGAGATCTACAATGTGATTGCTTTGTCCTTAGGAACTCCTCCTAAGCCAGAGGACTCATTCACATGGGAATTCAAGGATAAGGATGGCAAGTACCAGTTTTTCAATACCTCTCCTGCTGATTTTTACAAGAGCCATGTCAAATATGATGTCAGCAAGAGGTTCTCGTTGCTCAACGACCCAAGAAATGACTACAACAAGTTATACACCGTGGACAGATTGAACAACGTGTATGGCGGAAAGCCTATTGAGTATGTCAACTTAGACTTACCAGTGATCAAGAAGGCTGCCATTGCCATGTTGAAGAATAACGAGCCAATTTTCTTCGGTTCAGATGTTGGCAAGTTCTACGACGGGATTACAGGTATTTTGGACACCAACGCCTACGACTACAATCTTGCCTTTAACACGCAAATGAACATCTCCAAAACCGAGAGATTGCAAACTGGTTCATCTGCCATGACCCACGCTATGGTGATAACCGGTGTGCATTTGGATCCCGCCACTGGAGTCCCAATCAGATGGAAGATTGAAAATTCCTGGGGCGATGATGTCGGAGACAAGGGTTACTTTGTGATGACTGACGCATGGTTTGATCAGTATGTATTCCAGATTGTTACCAGCAAGAAGTATGTGGACAAGAACACCTATGACTTGTGGAAGAAGAAGGAGTATGTTGTTCTTCCTTTCTATGATCCTATGGGAGCTTTGGCATAGAATATGTTTTGATTATACTCTATCGTGAAATTGAATATTGAGATCAGGATTTGTAGGACCAGACTAGTCGGATCAGTAGGACAAGGAAGTGTAAGACTAGCGAAGGAGTTAGGAATAGAAAAAAGTATTTGTGGGCGTTACCAAATTTGATCCGGCTAGATTAATTCGAGCAAGCACTATGAAATATTATAAAAATTAAAGATCAAGCTTACCACTACATTCTATTACTTGGTATAGAAGCATAAAGTGACGCACTCAGTGCAACCACATTTCATTGTCGAATGTAAGTACTCTATACCACTATTATTGTCAAAAATAAATAAATGAATAAAAAAGCATCATAATTTTATTCCTTCTGTTCTCTTCCCAAAATCAATCAGTTTCTATTTCCCCATTTGCTCCTGATAAAGCTCATCCAAGAACTTTCGTCCTGCACTCCAACTGGACAACTAAAGATCAACCTTCATTTCCATTTCTAGCTTTCAAACACAATGGTAGAGAAAAACATTCGCCATCGGCTGTCAACGGCGTCACTCTTCCAAAACCTCTCGCTGCTGGCCTTGGACGCACAATATGATGCCATTCTACAAAAGTTCGAGTCGGCATCCTCTACGGCAGACTTGTCCAAGTTGATGGACCAAATCGACCAGAGCACGCGAGTTCTCGACTCGGAGCTCGCACATTTTGTTACCGTGGCCTCCAAAAAGCATACCCAGCAGATTTCTGCCGTGGAATTGAGCCGTGCAAAGTTGTCCGGTGCCATCGCAAACCTGAGTGACTTGACCCAGGTGTTCACTTCTGCCAACGACTTGGGCCACCTCCTCACGTCGAAAATAAAGACACTAGACCAGGAGATTGGAAATGTTGACAAAACTTTACTGTTTGTCACTGACGTACAGACATTGAAGAACACAATCAATCAGATTCAGTATGCTATTGACAAAAAAGACTGGGAATTGGCGGCTCTGGGCATCCACACCATTCGCCACAAGCTTGCTCCTAACTTAGTTAATGGCCGCTTTGCATCGGTGGTGATTCCGTCCTCGGATATTCCGGAATTGCCAACTCCCACCATAGAAAAATGGATTGGAGAGCTTAAAGAGGAGTTCCAGGTGCTTTTCAACGACGCAGCAAAGCAGAGATCGGTTCCTGAAATATCCAAATACTTTCAGCTTTTCCCCCTCATCGACCAGGAAGAAGTGGGATTGAATTGCTACTCGAAGTTCATTTGTTCAATTATCACTGACACCTCTAGAACACTCATCAACTCTGTATCTCAGGGCGAAAACGCTGGAAAGCCTGGCGTCTACGCTTCTGTCACTACAAGTCTCTTTGAGAGCGTGTCTATGATGTTGTCGCAGCATACTCCATTGATTAATAAGCATTATGGAGAATCGTATCCTAATGCTATAGTTTACGTGGTGCTGAAGATCCAGAGAGAGATCGACTCTCAGATCGGCTTGATCTGTGATACCTTCTATGACACGAACAGAATCGAAAAGGTTATGCAAGACATCAAGCTCCACACTTTCCGTGAGTTAAAACAAAAACTCGCCTACGAGCTGGAAGAATCATATACAGATGTAGTCGACAATGACTTGGTTTCCATCGTGGAGGTGGGCGACTTGATTCATGAGTTCTCGGCTATTTTGCGTCATTGGTCACTCTATTGCAAGTTTGTTGTGACCAAGTACTTCAATCCACCCAAGCCAGAAGGCTCGAAGGATGAAGGTTTGAAGCTTCCTGCGCTTCTTGCCAACTCCAACTTCAACAAAAAAATTCAAACCAAATACCTCCCTGCCTTCGAGGTATTGTACACTTTCTACTTCCGCCGCTCCTTGGAGAAAGCCATAACAATCGAGGAAATGCCCTCTTTGGAACCATACTTGATCCTGGCGAAGGAATCCAAATCTCCCGAGCAGGCACCTGTGTCTTCTGTAATTGAGGATATCACTTTGGTCTTCAACAACACATTGAGAAACGTGTTAGACTCATCACAACCGACTACAGTCAAGAGGTTTGTAACTGAGTGCTTCAAAGTAATCCAAAACGATCTCTTGAACGGCTTCATTGAGAAAGCCTTACAAGAAAATCAACCTCGCTACAACACTATGCTTACTTTGAGGGTACCTTCCCAGAACGGAGTGCTCAGTGGATCTGGCAGTCCATCTGTGTCTCGAGCAGGCACTCCAGCACCCGAATCTGTCGGAAGTTTCTTTAAAGGCGCATCGAGTGCTCTTGGGAATGTTGTAGGAACAGGCTCGGCCATGGTGTCGGGAGCAAACGCTGGCTTGGTTCCAAACAATCCTAAGTTGCTCAAGTTCGTCATATACTTGAACACAGTTGCTAGCGGACAGGAATTCTTTGAGCAGATCATCAACAACTTGACCAAAAGGAACCCAACATATCTTCGAAACAATTTCCCATTTGGAATTGACGAGGAAAAGATTTCGCATATTATTAATGCCGAGCTTCTTGAGCCGTTTGTCAGTGCAACTTCAAGTATGATCAAGCATTCGCTTTTGAATTTCTACAACCAGTCTTTGAAAACGAAAGTGTCGTCCATGGTTTTCGAGTTGTTCCCTGAAACTAATGAAACCAACTATGTTATATACTCTTCGGCAGTGCTAAATGACCCGTCGACGATTTTGAAGTTCAAGCAGTCGTGGGATGCTATCATCCAGCCATACAGACAGACCTTCCACAAAACCTTGGTCTACGAAAAACTCCTTCGACTCTTGGTGGTGAATATTGCCAGTTTGGTGGAGAAGAAGCTTTTGTTTGTGTTGAAGAAGTTCAGGGTTAATGAGTTGGGAGCACTCAAACTCGACAAAGACCTTTCGTACGTGATCAACGAAGTTTGTGAAGACGACTACGAGTTAAGGGAGAAGTTCGTGAGAGTGACGCAATTGGTGTTGCTCGTTGGTATGGACAACGAGGAGTATGAACTTAGTTCATACAAGGGTACTGAAGACGACGAAGCAGGAATCAACTGGGTGTTGACACCGCTCGAACGGAAACAGATAAGGCGGTTCAGGATCTAGACCAGCATAGAGAGGGGGATTACATAGTTCATCATGATAATCTACTTCTCAAAAGAACCCTTTACTGGGGGACTACAATCCGCAAAACTTATATCGGGATCTACAATTTAAAAGTGTAATAGGAAATAGAAAATTATTACGTATTATTTTTAACTATATTCAAAATACTAATGCTATTAATGCTATGGATTCCTGACCTCGGTGATTGGCTGATCGTAGGAGATCTTCTCCAACATCCTAGTTTCTCCCTTCACTAGTCTCTTATGTTCCACACGTAGTTTGGGTGGAAGATTGTCGAACTTTGGATGACTATAATCGCATTCATACCCTTTGGGGCAGAAACCTGACAAATATAATGGACACATGATCTTTCTGATGTGTCTGTGAGGGCAGCTAGGACCCTCAGGGCAGAACCCCATTTCATACTGACGACACTCGGGGATTTTCTGCTGTGGGTCAATATGTAAGTATAAACACTCGGGAGTCTGGGTACAATACCCATTCTTGGAATAAAAGAGACATTCGGGCATTTTTCGAAGATTGTACTCGTGCAAGAACTCACAGTGGTCATTTTTCTTACAGAGTCCTCTTAACCAATGCTTGCACACGATTTTGTTGTTGTACATTGCGGGAACATGCTTGTTGGGGCAAAATGGACCATTGGGACATGAATCCGGTTGGTTTGGTCTGTAGTATTGACAGATGGGCCTGTCAGGATCCAAGCCGAAGTTGAATTCTTTGCGTAAGAAGCCTTCAAACTTAAACCGTTTGTTTTTTGTATCTGGATGGATAACTGGGTTTAGACGAATCATGGTGATTGTAGGTATTTTGATGGTTGATTAGAAATGCTAAATATATGGTGTTGGTGTACGGATGTGTACTTGGGTGCAGAAATGGTTGCAATAATATGTAATTTTGGATTTTACTCCAAACGCAAAATAGAAAAAAGTTCTGTTGGAGTTACTATCATTTCCCTGATAGCGAAATAATGGGGTGAATTTTGAAATGTGGAGTTAATGGCGTGACTATGTAGAAGATTTACCAGGCAAGTAATTCTCACTATGGGGATACTATTCCTTCTTGTCGAATTTTATAGAGAATGCCGGGAGAAATAGAAGAAAAGTAGTTAAGCAAAACCTTCAAACTCCTTCATTACCAGGTATTACTTTATATGTTTTCGGGGGTCGTAAGAGTATTCTGGCAGTTCCTGAATGCTTGTCTCTTAAAATTGCTTATACAAGCAAAATTGAGCAGTCTAATAGAGAACTGGGGAGACATGCATTGGGGATTCTTTAGAGGTCGAAACGTGCAGCCTACAAATAGTATTGTCTATACACCAACAGTCGGACTCCTTGCATGAATTTGAAGTATGTGATTACCGAGCGCTTCTGAAAGGTACCATAATATCATCTAATATTTGTTCCTGGTTGTAAGATGAAACAGGTATTTAGTTGCAACCATTTCCGAGTTGGAGCTATTATCCTCAAGAAACCAATTCACAAAATGGGAATATTTTAAGAGAATGAGACTAGGGAAATAATACTACTCTGGTGATAATTTAAACAACGAAAAAAACGGGAGTTCGACAGAAATATCTCAGAAATCATCATCACAGAAAAATAATCAAAGAGAAACCCACAAATATCACAACAAACAATATTTAACAGAGACATCAGAAAATACAACATTGGCACTAGCAAATACAATTGAAACTCCAGAAAATCACTAATTCCACACTCATCATACTTCTTCTCATCATGCATCTTCTCATTTTTCCACTTCTCATTTTCCCACCTTTCCATATTGCCGTGGATTCCAATCCTACATGATTCACTTCCTACATCCGAACTTTAATTTCCCCCTAATATATTCAAAATACCCAGTGTATTAGGGCTGGCCTGCACAACAAGATGCTAGCAGCAGGGGTTCAAATCAAGATAAGCGAAAACATAACCGGGCAATCGTTGTTCATTGCCTTCATGAAGTTACCCCTGTGTTTTTCCCCGAGAGATCAATTCCTACCCTTGACATCCTCCTTTGATTTCTTTCTTCATAACTTCCCTTTTTTACACTTAGAACCTGCAGGTAATAAGACACTCGCATCTATTAATGTGTCTTATTATTTCCCACGCCCCGTCAAGACTTCTACTAACATAGAATTGGACGACGAATTGTAGGACATTGTACATCAATTTTGATGAATACTTTTTTTCTTTGAATTATAACAAAGACCCGTACATCTTTACCAAATTCGACTCATCTATGAATATCTTATTTGTATTTACATTCCAACCTCAAAAAACCTAAACCTCCACCACGTGGCGAACTGCTTATCATTTGTCCACCAGTTGGAAGTATCGTCTACTACCTGCAGGACGCATACATTTATTACCTTCTCACCTGCATTTGTTCAATTGATTAAGCCAGCTTCGGCCTGAAAAACACCCTAAATTTTTTTGCCTGACATGTCCGCTGAAGAAACTGCTTCTTCGTCTGGCACTCAGAAAATGCTCTTCGCAAACAAGCTCGAACTGGAGATCTATCCGCCTTGGAAAGATCACTACATTAACTACATTAAGCTCAAGAAGCTTTTGAAAGAAGGTGTGATCTTGCAGAATGCCTGGACAGAAAAAGACGAGCAGAACTTTGTCAGTGCATTGGATTCTGACTTGGAGAAGGTTTATTCCTTCCAATCTGACAAGTATGATGTGCTCAACGAGTACTTGAATGAGTTGCAGGCCACCACTGAGTCTCCCACTGCCAACTTCGATGTCCAATCGTTTTCCAACAAGTTGGAGCTGGTGTTGAACTTGGCTCAGGAGCTCAACCATTTCCAGCGGTTGAACTATACTGGATTCATCAAGATTGTCAAGAAACATGACCGCTTGCACCCTGATTACTCGGTGAAGCCTTTGTTGAATGTGAGATTGAAGTCTTTACCTTTCCATTCTGAGGACTACTCACCTCTCTTGTTCAAAATTTCGGCATTGTTCCAATTTTTGCGTGATAACTACGATGTGGACCAGTCCTTGTCGAAATTGAGTTCGTTCAACGATGACTCCGCTGCCAATGAGTACCAGTCCTTCAAGTTCTGGGTTCACCCAGACAATTTGATGGAGGTGAAGGCAACCATCTTGCGTCACCTTCCCGTTTTGGTGTATAATTCCGCTGGTGAAAGTGCCTACAATAACGACGATGACGATGATGATGACGATGATGACTTGGACGAGTTTGGCAACTTCTCGAAGAACGATCCAACCATCAACTGCTTGTACTTCGACAATGAGAATTTCGACTTGTACAACAACAAGTTGGTCAAGAGTGCCAATGCTTCCACGTTGAGAATCAAGTGGGTAGGTAAGTTGTACAACAAGCCGAAGATCTACTTGGAGAAAAAATCGTTTGAGAAAAGTTCCGAAACCTACGATATCGATGAAAAGTTTGCCTTGAAGGAGAAGTATTTGGACCAATTCATTAATGGCAAGTTCGATGAGGAGAAGTACTTGCGCAAGTTGGCTAAGAAGGGCGAGTCCGCTGACGCCATTGATGAGGCTAAGAAGCACATTGAGTCTTTCTCCAAGTATATCAAGGATAACCACGTGCAGCCATGTCTCAGGACCACCTACAAAAGAACTGCATTCCAGATTCCTGGCGATGATAAGGTTCGTGTGGTGATTGACTCGGATATTTTCTTCATTAGAGAAGACTCGTTCGATGACCAGAGACCAATTAGAGATCCATCCAAATGGCACCGTACCGACATTGACTCCAAGGTGCAGCAGCCATTGTCGTTGTTGAGAAAGGGAGAGTTTGTCAAGTTTCCCTACGCCGAGTTGGAGATCAAGGTGAAAACCAAAAAGAAGGGTAAGAAGTCGCTCTGGATTGACGATTTGGTCCACTCGCACTTGGTGAAGGAGATTCCTAACTTCTCCAAGTTCATTCACGGTGTTGCCTCACTTTTCTTGGAGGACGATAAATTGGACAATATTCCATTCTGGTTCAATGAATTGGAGTCTGATTTGAAGGTTGATCCCCAGCAAGCCTACATTGATACCAAGGAAAAGTTAGCCAAGTTGCAGAACGACGAGGAGAACTTGAAGAAGTTCAAGTCTATGTTGAGCAACTCCACCACTACCACTGACTACTCGGCAAGATCCAAGTCGTTTTCAGGATCGATTTTGAATAGCTTTGAGCCTTCAAGACTGGTTGATTCGGACTTGGACGCTAAGAATGGCTTGAGCGCTGTGCCGGAGGCTATTGTGGAGGAAGCACCTGTTTCGGGAGGAGATTTGGACCAGTCTTCTGATGAAGACTACGACGAGGAGGAGGAAGAGATAAGAAGAAACCCATTGGCCAAGTTAATGAAACTTCCAAATACCTTTTCCAAGTTGCTCGATGTCGATTCCGAGGAAGAAGAGATCGACTTACCTATTGGAGTTGCTAAGCCAGAATCTTACATCAAGAACGCTGGCCCATTGAGGATTGAACCAAAGGTGTGGTTGGCCAACGAGCGTACATTCAACAGGTGGTTGCATGTGACCACTTTGCTCTCCACGTTGACTTTCATCATCTACTCGTCAACCAACAAGGCCAACTCGTACGAATTGGCCACGTTGTTGGCATACGTGTACTTTGGCTTGACATTGTTTTCGGGTCTCTGGGGTTACTATATCTTCATGAAGAGAAGAAACATTATCATGGAGAGGTCCGACAAGCATTTGGATAACGTCGTGGGACCTTTGATTGTTGCCTTCGGCTTGATTGTTGGACTAGTAGTCAATTTTGTCTACGGATTTAGAACCATGGCACAGCAACAGAAGGGAAGCTTCTCGACTTTTGGCGTCGGAGAAGACTTCTTGGCCAAGAACCCTATGCATAAGAGCATTTTGGAGTTTGTATTCAAACTCGTTGGTGCATAGCATCTGAAGTATTGTAAAACGTAATAAAGAAAATGAATGTGTATAAAAGTGTAGAAGTTGGAAGAGGGGTTGAGAGAAGATGAGAGACAAAAAGAAAGCTATGTCTCTTCTTAAACTGTATGTTTTCATAAGTATTTAGAAACTGTTCAATAGATTCTTGTACATAGACTTGTTCAATTACTATTCTATAGGTGCATACAATAAATGCAACGCTTTCAAAACTCTTTATTTTATTCCTGGAGACGGTGAAAATGACCTTAATTATCATTATCATATCAAATTAACTATAAGAATTATTCAAATATATTTCACCTAGAAATCCTCCCCAACGCCAACGACCATAAATTAATATCATCCGAACTATCCTGTATATTAGCATAACACGGTATCAATATGTTGAGAATTGGAGAATATACAACTCCAACCAAAATGTCGTTGAACTTATCATTATACACCATCTCGGCAGCGTTGGTTTTGGGCAACGAAGGCAAAAGATTATATGCCAAGTATTACCGTACTCAGGATGACAGCCAGGTATACAAAACCACTCAGCAGCAGGAGGCATTTGAAAAGGCCATCTACTCCAAGATAAATAAGTTAAACCAAGATGTGATCTTATACGACAACCACTTGATCACTTACAAGCAGACTAACGATGTGACTTTGGTGATTGTGGGAGCCATCAACGAGAACGAGTCCATGCTCTATTCTTTGACCAGCAACATCAACGAGGCTCTCACCATTTTGTTAGACAATTCCTTGGACAAATCGACGGTGTTGGAAAAGTACGATATGGTCTGTTTGTGTTTTGATGAAGCCATTGACGACGGAGTGGTTTTGGAGATCGACACTGCTATCATCGTGAGTAGAGTTACCAACCCACCATCGAGTTCATCTCTTCCTAACGACTTGCACATTGATATTTCCGAGAAAGGTTTGTTCAATGCCTTGTCGTTTGCATCGAAGAAGATCAGTGAAAGATTGCAGCAGGGTTTATAGGAGAATTGGCTGGGTCCGGACATTGAGTCAAGAAAATAGCTTGGAATACACAGGCATAGTCAGAAAGAGGAGAAAGTAGAGGCGAAAGTAGAGGAAGATGTAGAGAAGGATTAGAGGAGGATGTAATGGGAATACAATGAAGTTGAAGGTAGTAAAAGTTTTGATGTTCGAGACAAGAATATAAGCAGATAATGATAGACACTGAAATTGGCACATAATAACGAAAAAAAAAGACAGAGAAATTAAAAGCAGTATATCCAATGGCAAAAAATATTTTTGGGCCAATTTAAAGCATTATAAGTTTCTTCCTTCCCAGTCATCACCTTGTCAATGCATACCTCCAATATCCACTTTCAACACTTGTCCGGCACACAAACTCAAGTCAACAACATCAACTTCACCTTCATTATACTATTCTACCATTCATTATGGAGGAATCGTTCTATTTTGCGTTACTTCGAATATCCATGACGCAGATCCTCAAGGCGTCTGGCTTTGACAAGTGCAAGCCGCTGGTGTTGAATACTGTCACCGAACTATACGTCAAGCATCTCGAACTGATTCTTGCTAGTGCCAAAAAGTTCTCCCTCTCTCGTGCCAATTGCACCAACGAAATACTTCCACAAGACTTGGTACAAGCTCTACTAGACGTGCAGCTCATAAAACCTCTGTCTTTCGAGAGCATTTTGGATCCTCGAGACAGTGCCGTGGAACCACCTGCGGAATACAACACCAAGTCGCTAGAATCATTTGTTCGTTGGCTAAAGTACAGCGATAGTTTCCGACTTAGTAAGCAGTTGTGTGAAGTACCCACAACACTCATTCACAACTTGGTGGAAAAGAGAAAGATTGATATTTCTGCGGAAACAGACCAGGAGAGAAAAAAGCGTAGGTTGAGAGAAAAACAGGAATACTACAATCAATTCAAGCACGGCGATGAGCATACACAGGTGGATCGAATAGTTGATGATCTTGACGACGACGAAATCACTAGCAATGACAGGCTTTCGTGGTTAGCATACCTAACAGAGAAGGACTTGAAATTGGGCCATAATCTCAAGTTTGCCAACACATGCATCCTGGACACCGTACTCTCTGTTCATAAGAACAAGAAGTTCCATCCGCCCTCAAAGAATGGCGAAGACAGTTTCGAGTTTCTTCAAAATCATCTCTACAACAACAACAAGAACGATTATGTGGTGCTTCATATCCAAGATGCCGAAGATGACGACGCCGGAACTACGTTACAGCCTTCCCAAGTACTAAAGGAGTCACTACCCTATAATGTGAAGTACTCTGAGGCTTTACTTGACGATAATGTGGAGCAGTACTTTGAGTATGCAGAAAAACACCCAGAGGAGATTGAAAAGATTCGAGAGAGTCTCGAAAAGGCCAAAGAGGAGGCAGCAACGAATGGAAGATTGCCAAGTCCCTTGGGGTTGAGCGGAGAAGAAAAACCCGTGGTTTCTGTATTGAAAGAGGTAGCAGATATTGATGTTATGCCAAGTGCCAGAGTTGGTGATGTGGTTGAGGGAGAAGAGATCAAAGAGATAGATAATAACGAAAAGAGTGAAGATGATAAGGAAATTAACGAGAAGAATGATAAGAATGGAATTGTTGAAGACGTTCAAGACGTTGAAATGAAGGATGCGGGGGAAAGTTCAACGAAACTGGATTCAGAAGACCCAACAGAGGCTAAGGAAGCTGATGTGATTGAATCCAATGAAGTTGGTGAAAAAGGTGAAGCTGAGAAAATGGACGAAATAGAGGGAAATGATGGAGAGGAAAAAAAGGATGAAACAGAGGGAAACAAAGTTGAAGAAAATGAACTGGTAGAAGAAAATGACGAGGTAAGCAATGAGCACGAAGTCATTGACGAAGTTTCCGAGACTAATGATTAAAATCAAATCTATTATACACAGCATCCGTCGTCAGTCTATATATCATCAAGTAAGTCAAGAACCTCGCCCTCTTGGGTCTCTTCATCGCTCACGATAGAACGAACAGCTTTATCTGCGCCATCCGCAATTCTATAAAAGTCCTCCTTGGAGATTTTGCCAATCTTGGTAACAAACGGTTTATGACTAGGTAACTTGGGATCCTCGCACGCACTTCGAAGTCTCATGAGGTACTTGTAGCACAAGTAGCATTCATTCACGGATACCCGCAATTGCGTCTCCAAGTACTCCTTAGGCAAGTAAAGCGAGTCGAGAGTGTCGAACTTTGACTGAGCTTCGAACACTGTTAGCACAAGCATTGTTCCAAAGAGTGTTCGCGATTCAAATGCTACGAGCACAGGAAGAGAGCTGGCCAACTCTACTTTTGACACGGCGTTTTTCAAAATGTCTGGAAGCTTCGAGTAGAATCCATTTTCCGAAGTTTCATCCTTTCCGGCCATCAACTCCTCGCAGAAATCGTACGGAAGCTCCACATTCAATTCGAAGTTGAGAAGCTTTAACATGAGTTCTTCTCGGTAAAGAAGCTGATCCCGCCACTGCCAGAACACACTACTATGCTGGTCAATCTGTTTTCCAGGGTTTTTTAGCATGCAAGCTGTGAGGGCGATCTTGTCTGATGGTCTGTATGTGTCATGTAGCTTGCAGCTGATAGAGATGGCTGCACAGGCGACAAAGTACTTGGATGTGGTGATGGGTGTCCGCATGTAAAAACGATTGATATAAATTGTTGCTGCGAGGATGGTGCGGCCATCGAGCTTGAGCTTGGACCCTAGTTTGAGAAGAAAGTCATAAATCAGCTCTCTGACCTTTAGGTCCTGCTGGAGGGTCATCTGTTTTCTGGACGGGCATTTCGAGAGGAAAGATTCCTCTGAAAAGAGCCACGTGTTATGAAACTCTTCGGAACTTTCCGAGTTCTGTCCTTTAATGGTGTTCTGGGACATATGAAGAAAGATGGGTGTTGATGTTGTAGAAGAAGCTCGGAGTGCAGGACTACTGGATTGGAAATTTCGTGATAGAAACTTGAAGATGGATAATTTTGGTATATAACCATGATTTTAAATTCAAGCTGAGAACTCTACTCCTTTTGTTGATCGTTAATTTCACTGAAATTATTATTTGGTGTATTTCTGAATTGTCGTAGGCTTCGACTTCAAGTCTTGCATCCACCTCACTTAATGACTTCTTGAATTTACACCAACAATCTTGCTCACAGTTTCCAATCTGAAAATAAATTGATACTAAATGATCTACACTGCTTCCATTAAAAAATTGAGTTAAATTTTTGAATATTTCAGAGAAATTCACATCGTTGATCTCTATCTATATTGACAACTCCACTATCTGAGTTCAGCTGCATTGCACTATATGAAATTGCAGAAACATACCAATTAAATAAATAGTTTTTATTTCTTCAATGACAGCTATTAAAAGTTTTACTGATATGTAAGAAAAGCAAATTTGATTGTCACAAATGTAATCTCGTTTAACTTCACATTCTAAACTCGCATCAGTCATCAGAAAGTCTTTCACACGTTTTTGCTCCTCGGAAAGCAGACTTATGTCAAAAGAGCCGATACCTCCAAGACCTCATGGGGAACATTTCACTCAGTACAGAGAGATTTACATTTCGTGACGAACAAAAATTTTGCACCAAGGGAACCTTCTAACTGAATAAGCGATGTAAGAACGTTCACTTATAGTCTCAATATCAAGAACATCTGCCAAAATTTCGAACCTTTCAATCAACCAGGTCAACGATGGTTTCTAATTTTTCACAAGTTCATGTTCTTTCAAGAATTGCTCACGTGTATTTATTTTATCCCATTGGTTCCACAAGTTGAAGAACCATAGCAGACTTGGTCCCATACTATACGGAATATGCACAATGTCAACATACACGACCTCAAAATAGAAAAATGCAAAATTCCCAAGAAATCACACAATTTCAAATTTCTATCACAATTTCAATTGTAGAATTAAAAAATTAACCCATGCTCTTTACTTATTACCGTCTTGTTAAAACCATCCAAATCCTCCTTTGACATCGCGTCACGTGATCATTGAGTGTGCGTGTAGCCAAACCTACTCATGAAAAAAAAAAAACTCTTCACAGACAAACGTTAAATAAGTCACCACCTCCAAATGTCTGACACCTACATGCACTTGGTGCGTCCTAACGTGACCGCACCTGCTGCTCCGTCCAACGCCAGCCCAGTCGGCGTGAAAATTCACCATTCCGCGCTCTTCGCCATCTTGGAAATCGTGTCCAAGCAGGCTCTCGACGAGAACAAGAGAATCATTGGAACCTTGCTTGGTGTCAGATCAGACGACGGTGCCAATGTCGAAATCAGAGACGCTTACCCTGTGCCTTGCCAGGAGACCGGAGACTCCATCTCCATCGAGGAACACACACACAAAACCTTGTACCAGTTGTACAAGAAAGCTCATGCCAAAGAGTATGTTTTGGGATGGTTTGACTCTGCTGCCCACATTGATGGGTCTACGGGGTTGATTCACGACTTCTACTCAAAAGGTGCTGACAGAGCATACCCATATCCTGCCATTTACTTGAATGTTCAGTACTTGAACGGAGACAAGATTGAGTTCCCCAAGTTGGTTGCATACATTGGCGCAGCCATTGGTAAGTCTGCCAGTCTCCAGAAGATTGGCTGGAAGACCACCGCCAACACCAACTCGTACATTTTCTCTCCTATCCCACACCAGGTTGTCTCGAGCACAGTGACAGAAAAGTTCATGTTGAACAAAATCGCCGAGACTCCTTCGTCCAAGAACAATGTGGTTGACCTCGAGGCTGACCAGTTGCTGACTCTTTCACACGAGATTGGTGCTGTAACCCGCAACATCGACTACTTGTTGGACCACATCAACCATATTTCCACACTGGATGCCGATATTGACTTATTGAGAACCTTGAGCAATACCTTGTTGAACAAGCCTACGATTTTGTCCGACTTGGACGCATTGAGAAAGCATTTCCAGGATCACAACCAGGATATCATCATGATTGAGTTTTTGACGAGAGCAGTTAAGGAGCAGATCGAGTTGAGTGCACGTTTGTCTGGGGAGGCAGAGAAGAAGATTGCATGAATGTTTGGGAAGTAGTAATTTAGAATCCGAGGTAATTTGAGTAGGGGCCGTAGGCCGTGAGACATCTAGATCAATGAATACTTAATGAAGATCAAGGAGAATGAGGATGAGCAATAAACTATCAATTCAGGATATCAATCAATGACATGGTTGTATACTATCAATGTATACTATCAATGAACACAATGTATACTATCAATGAATACAATGTATACTATCAATGTATACTATTATCCACTAATGAATCATTATTGTAGCCTTCAATATTTGCCTTCAATGCAACATTCTTCCAATAAAAATACCTCGACCCCACCTCTGGCTGTTTTATATTAGCTCATGAATTACATTTAGTGACGGTGATAAGAGTTTTTTTTTTTTCAAGTCGGGGTAATGTAACCTTGACACATTTCGATAACCACAAGGTTTTCACTTTGATGCTAAAATACCGCATTGACGTCACATTGAACTATCTTATCTTGAATTAATCCGATCTCATCCAATTAATTAATTGAATGAGCTTGACAATTCTTTCCAATTACCCAACATCTGAATCTCAACAAACACTAATGCCAACCTGATCACTCAATCTAATAACGGCCCAGAAATTACGATAATCTCTCCTATTTGCCACTAGCTTTCGGAGTTTATCCACATGGTCCTCCGTCTAACAATAGTCCCAGATCACGGAAAGTCCGGTGTGAGCCTAGACCTCCGCCACACTGGCCCAAATTCCCTCAAAGCCAGTAAAAAACTTGAAGATTATAGAGAAAATTTACACGAATGCCGCAAAATTGCTCTTGAAATTTGAACTCCGCATCTTATTCTCTGAAAATTGAAAAAAGTTATATGAGAAAAGCGAAAAAAAAGTCACCACTTCCGATAGTTCCTCTCCCCACTTATTAAAATTCCATTAGCTTATCTTGATGTGCAGGTGAGCTCCCAATGGGTGCAATATATATAACCAGAGCTTGCTCCACCGCTTTTGTCATCAAAATGCAAGATACAAATTGTTTAGGCACCCTAACTAGAGAAGAAACCATTGATATCATGGAGCGGCGGCAGGAGGCGGCGGTGTTACGGTACATCCGACAGATGTCCAGACTCCATGAAATTGGGCCATTGGATGATCTGTGGGTGGTGGATGTTGATGAAGAACACCACGAGGATTTTTCCCAATTGAACAATTTGCAGATTGCAAGTATCATGGCCAGTGAGCAGAAGAAGATGGAGTACCGGCTCGAAAGACAGATGGCTGTTTTGAGAAAAAATCATACAGACATTCGTATGAATTGTAATGAGATCGCTTAAGAGAAAGTTAGTGAATGACGTTGGATGTGGGAGAAATTTTGGGTCACATTGATGATAATTAAGGTATAACTGGCGTTGGAAGGACTGGATTATTGGTTTTGATTTTTGCTCATTTGAGAGCAGCCTAAATATATCATGGCAAGTATAGATATCGGAATGGAACAATTTGTAGCCATGGCTGTAGGAGTAGATACATGTATGATTTCTCTTCGAAAAAATGCCATTCTGGATATTTTTTCCGACTTCCGTATGATATAGTACTAGCAGCATTCCATTGTCTAACCAGATTTGACATCTTTAACTTGTCACTTCGATCCATGTAGGTTTTTTCAACTGAAAGTGTGAGGTTCTATATTTCATTGACTAACTTTTTATTTCTTTAATTTCTTTGAAATTTCTTAATCAACTTCAGTTAATTATGTCTTTCCTAATTCTTTTACCTTTTAAAAATTTTTTGATATTCTCCTCATTGTTTTTTTTTCTCACTTCTTTTTTTTTATCTCCAACTTCAACCCCACATCTTGATGCGACTTTGTGATTATCTCATTCTGCACCCAATTTGTCCCACTACCTCATCATGAAATACCATCTTTCTGCTCTAAATCTCCTCTCAACAGCCTCCGCCCTCAATGTCCTCTTAAATTTCGACTTCTTTACGCCCTCTGTGGCTCCCATCCAATGTCTGCCCTCTCTTCCCTTTCCCCAATGGCTCACAGACTTCACAGGCCTCAAAGAATGGCCAGGAATGGATCCTCCCTATATTAAACTAGATTTTATCAATTTTGATCAGGTGCCTCTGGATCTGAACAGATGGATCCACCAGCAGGGCCAATGTGCCCCGGAACTCAAGAATCAACACGTGTGCTCCTTTGACTGCTTTAATTGCGTGGCTGCTGACGATGCCTACACTTGTCCGGTGCTTAGTCAGACGTTTGACGATGGACCCTCGCCATATACTCCTGAGCTCGTGGGCCAATTGAAGTCCAAGTCTACGTTTTTTACCATTGGCGTCAACGTGGTACGCTACCCCCAGGTTTATATCGAAACAGCTTCTCAGGGCCATATCATGGGCTGCCATACGTGGTCGCACAAGTTTCTTCCGTCGCTTTCCAATGAGGAGGTGGTGGCACAAATTGAATGGTCCATCTGGGCCATGAATGCCACATACGGTCATCTTCCCAAGTGGTTCCGTCCGCCATACGGAGGAATCGACAACCGAATCCGATCCATCCTCCGTCAGTTTGGCATGCAAGCAGTCTTGTGGGACTACGACACCACGGATTGGCGGTATGTGTCGGATACGACACTTGCGGAGGGTGATGTCTATTCTAAACTAGACACATTCATCAAGTCGAGTGGCAAAAGGGGTTTGATACTTGAGCATGATAGCGTGCAGAAGACCGTGAACATGGGAATCAAGATCCACAAGCAGATTGGGTCCAACCAAATGACAGTACCCCAGTGTGTGGGAGGAATTGATTACATCAAAGAGTTTCCCCGGCCAAAGATAGTGTAGGGTCACCATCATCGGGCTCAGCTTAGGTTTATTTTGTGGAGGTTCAATGCTATAAGTTTCACTACTTCTCACACACTCCGAAGATTATACTTTAGCACAGAGTTTTGTGTTCTACACCACAGTTAATCACCTTAAAATGCAGTTTAATTACATAATATAGATTTCCCATCATTTTTTGTCTCTCCCGATCATTAAGAGTATAGCTGGATCATCTCTAGTCTAATCCTATATAGCATTTTGGTCTCGGAGGTACGGGTGTTCAATCACACGTCTTGACATTTCTTGTTGTTACTTCATCACCAATTGACTCGTTCATTTAGTTGCTCGTTACGTAAGTATGGCTCTTATTTAATGTTCCGGTCATTCTCATGCGCGTCATTCTAGACTTTCAGTCATGTCTCCGATTTTCGCCATTGGTTTTGGATATCACATGATTCGACCTACACCAACCTTGTCCAACCAACTCTGGCATTGCCAAGGGCCACATAATAGAAAGACCCTGATCGGTTTTTTAACAGCTCTTGGTTTCTAAGAAAAACCTCTACCTCCCTAAGAAAACGGATTGATGACGGTACGGTCAAAATTGTTGATTTGAAATGGACATGAGGTAACGGAAGGGAAGTTAGGGTGTGCATTGTCAGGTTTGATGGATAAGTATTCAACAGAGGATTGAACTTCTTATAGAAGGATAATTCACGCTCCATGGATCAGAATTTTGAGACAGGTCACCAAGGAAAGTTATGAATTTTCTAATAATCTTGAATCAAAATTCCGGCTCGTCCACGTCGAAACTTGTCTGGAAAACTTGACGAAAATCGCCTTTCTCCTCTAATGAAGAAGCAAAACCACATGGCAATACGGTTTTCAATTTTGGAAGCCGTAACCTGAAAACGTGGTCCTGGAAATGCACTCTAGCCATTCATTTCACAGTGTACCGTTTTTCACCTATTTTGCATTCGCCAGGTTATCATTTTTTGCTTTCTGACGCTTTCGTTTTGTTTCAAAATAAAGGATTCTCCTTGCCGAAAGCTGATAGGCGGGCCGATTACTCTTTTCATTGAACGGCCATACTCAAGGGTTGCAAGTACCTGGATGGTGGTGTCAACAAGAGTCAGACTGGAAATTGCCAGGAGAATCCCTATAGACTGGATTTATCTAATACCCACTATACTTTGGTATTTTGGCGCACCCAACCGGAGCCAGTTGTGATGGACAGAACCAGAATTTTGGAGATTTACTAGGAATTAACGTTTGACTTCAGGACATGGACCGGCATTAAATTAAAGAGATAGGACAACTTTGATGAGTCTTTTCGTCCACGGTATGTATCGATTTGAATTTGCCACTGAATTATACTAATACAGCGTCATCCATGCCTTCCCTTGGAAGCTGAAGGCATAAATCCTAATGGTTCGAGAAAGGACACTCTACAAGATTTACAGGCTTTTAGACTACTATGAAAATTTCCCAGAGTCTCTGACCTTGCCAACTGAAAGCAAGTTTAACCGATACATGTTCAAAGCCTCTTTTTTTTTTTTTTTGGAGCATTATCGTTTTATTTTCTTTTTTCCCCTATATTTTTTTTTCTGTTTGATTTAGGTAATAGGACATAAGATGATTCAAAGACGTAAAAAATTAAAGGTTATGCAATCATATGCTGGACTGCCTCTGCATGCGTCTATTGCATTTGCATAGACCAATCGCATTGCATGACTTGCAAGATCAATAGGTCTTTACAATGGAGTGATTCCTCCATGTTGGCAGTTGCTTTATCCAGCCGTTCCATTGACATCAAGAAAGATGCTTGTACAGTATCGTGATGGAGAGCGGCTGGGTTGGTAGCGATGTAATGTTTCCATGCTGTAAGAAGCAGGAGGTATGCATGCCGGTAAATGCGCACGCATGAATGATATGATGCATCTGTTAATGAGGAGTCTGATGATCACTAGGAAATGTCTTAATAAAAGTGAAACACATTTTGCGGTGATTCGGCTCCGACGTCAATCAAAGAATAAGATTCATACGTGCATAATATCAAAAAAGTTGCAAAACATCCAATCTCTAAGAGCAAGCGAATGGCGATCGCATTAACCACTAATTAAACGAGTTGATTCTCTTCAGTCTTACTCAGGAACAAAAACCGGAAAGAAAACACTTAGATATGTTCCGACCCGTTCCTGCGAGATGCCACACAAATTGATGGCATGACTAGAAATTTGCTACAGGAAGTTCCTCATAACATCGCAAAAGTACATGATTGACTGCGTGTTATTGTGTGTATGTGTGTGCCGCTTTTCGTGGTTCCTTAGGCAAAAGTAGCGGGGTTTACTAGAAACCTTTACAAGTTCAACTCCGTATGCATATCAAACACTTGGCCGTTATGTTGAACATAAGCAGTCGTGCTTGCGCGCACATGCTTCAGGTAACGGACGATGGTATGCGATTCACGTGAGGCACATGTTGCATCCCAAATAGGCAAGGCGCATGCGCCGGACTTAGGCACTTTACCTGCACCGAACACCGAGAAGGAATTATGTTGCTCTCAAATTTGATGGAACTTTCCAATCCTAGGGATGTACGGGTGCTATATATTCCAACAGACATGGAATCAAAGAATAACAATTCTGTTGTCAATCATATTGGAATCAATGGTGTACGGGTCTTTTAGAAGTATTCCGCGAGACACGATTTCACGATCTGCATTTCATATGGCATGTATAAAATTCCGCTTCTCTCTTCATTCATACCCGAAACCCCCACAAAATCGACTATCTACCAAACTCGATACAAATTATTATCTATTAAATTAAGTAACTTTTAGACAATTACACACTTGACACCACATCCAGAATCCTCCTTCTGAGGAGCAGCAGCAGCCTTCGATTGTTCTGCTCTCTTCTCTGTGGCAGGTGCAGGGGTAGCGGCCTTCTTAGTTTCAGTCTTCTTATCAGACTTGGCTGCTGGCTTCTCAGAAGATGCAACGAATCTAGTGGCACTCTCAGCGAAACTCTCACCTTGGATGTTGGCGATCTTCTTCTCCAAGTCTGAAGGGAGTCTGGAACCGTCAGCACCTGCGAAAGTCACAGCACCATATGGGGTACCACCGTGAACTTCCGACATGTCTGTAAGCTCGGCAAAAGCCTTAGCGTAACCCAATGGGATGTAAACCAAACCGTGGTGGGCAATGTAGGAAAAGAAGTTTCTGAATGGAGTCTCCTGGGCACCACCTGGGGAGCTGACCGATGTGAAAAGAGAAACTGGCTTACCGTACAAGGCACCAGAAGCCCACAAGCCACCAGTAGTTCCCAAGAAGTCAACAAACTGGGCAGGTAAAGTACCGAATCTGGTTGGGTAACCAAACACGAAAGCGTCGTAGGTGGTCAAAGTGTCCAAGGTAGCGACAGGATATTTAGCCTTTGGTGGAGCATGCAACAATTGCAAAACTTCAGTAGACAAAGTCTCAGGCACCTGGAAGATGTCAACTTGGGAAGCCTTGCCAGACTTCTCAACACCAGCCTTAATGGCCTCAGCCAAGGTGGTGATATGGCCGTAGGTGGAGTAATAGATGATAGCCACTTTCATTATTTAATGCCGATTGAAATTAAGTCGGAACTCGTCGGGACAGGGGGGAATGTCAAAGGGTTATATGAACGAAAAAACAAACGGATGACAAACACGCAACGCGGAAAGATATGACAAATATAGTGAGGATTTTGTCACGGCGCAATATTTATAATCGCTGATAAATATTTCCCACATTGACTGGGTAATGCGTTCAATTTATAAGGCATTAGTAAATTACCAGTCATTCTGCCGGAATGACAAATGATTATCGATCTGTGTGTCGGAGAATCGCGTCTACCTGCAAAACAGTGGAGAGATTTGGCCTCATTTTGGTGTTCACTTGCACAATTTAGTAAATGGTTACTAAGGCTTATGCAGGCTTCGCAGATCGCAGAATACCACCGAAATTTGTCACTGCCCCACTTATAAAGGACCCGTCAACCCAGAGTATTTTTTTTTTCCTCCATCAACAACAAACAATCACAATGGCTCCAAAGGTTGCTATCATCATTTACTCTTTGTACCACCACGTCGCCACCTTGGCTGAGTCCGTCAAGGCCGGTGTCGAGTCTGCTGGTGGTGTCGCTGACATCTACCAGGTTCCAGAGACCTTGTCTGCTGAGGTTTTGCAGCAGTTGCACGCTCCAGCCAAGCCAAACTACCCAATCGCTACCTTGGACACTTTGACCGGTTACGACGCTTTCTTGTTCGGTGTTCCAACCAGATTCGGTAACTACCCAGCCCAGTGGAAGGCTTTCTGGGACTCCACCGGTGGTTTGTGGGCTTCTGGTGCTTTGCACGGTAAGGCTGCTGGCTTCTTTGTTTCCACCGGTACCCCAGGTGGAGGACAGGAGACCACCATTGTCAACGCTTTGTCTGTGTTGGTTCACCACGGTATCATCTACGTTCCATTGGGTTACGCCAAGGCTTTCGGTCAGATCACCAAGTTGGACGAGGTTCACGGTTCTTCTCCATACGGTGCCGGCTCTTTCGCTGGTCCAGATGGTTCTAGACAGCCATCTGCCTTGGAGTTGGAGATCGCTGAGATCCAGGGTAAGTCTTTCTACGAGACCATCCAGAAGTTTTAAGTGTCTGGTATAGGCAGCAAGTCTGCAACCGATAGAATGAATAGAGAATAAAATGGAAAGACACTCTAATTGACTGTAGTGGTGAGAGTATTAGTGATTGCATTGATTATAGTATTAGAGATTGCATTCATGATAGCGATGATAGGATCCATGAGTTCGAGGTGATACTGGAAATAGTAAACATATTTATGAAATTGATAACGACGATAGTGATTGTTATCGCAACGAGCGATGATTATGATTAGAACTATCAATAGTTGGCTGAATAAACTGAACTTTTGATAGAATTACAAATATTTGACTAATTGAGGACCCTCATTGCCAGTTGTGGATTACTTGTAACCGATAATTATAGATTAAATGTCCTTCACTGCAAAGTGTGGACTGACTATCCTTGACTAACTGTGGATTAATAGTAGAGGGTGATCTACACTATCTCCACATAAACGTTATGTAATCTTTACTAACATACCGGTCATGTGCACGTCGGAGCACTCAGTGCCATCCCTAAACAAATTGGTGGCTGCATCTAGCCAATTGGCTGCCACCACAATGTCGCCCGATGGTTTGGGTATTGTTCACTATGGTCCTGCCCACCACCCTTCCAGTTGATCCGAAGTGTGAAGTATGGCTGGCCTCGTCTGGCATTCGCTGCATAATGTGCGTTACCCCATGCGCATGTGAGCCCCTACGTTTAACCATTTGGACTATAAAAGGAGACATTGAGGCCTATAGTTTGCTCCTCAGCTACCAGAGAATTATCAATTACGAAATGGCTAAAACCGCAATCATCATCTACTCGTTGTATCACCACATTGCCACTTTGGCCGAGTCGGTCAAGGAAGGTATTGAAGCTGCGGGAGGATCTGCACAGATCTTTCAGGTTCCAGAGACTTTGCTGGATGACATTTTGGCAAAGTTGCACGCTCCTCCAAAGCCAGACTACCCAATTGCTACAAATCAGACTTTGGAGGAGTATGATAGTTTCGTCTTTGGTGTTCCAACCAGATACGGTAACTTCCCTGCCCAATGGAAAGCCTTCTGGGATGCCACTGGAGGTTTGTGGGCCAAGGGAGCCTTGCAGGGCAAGCTTGCTTCCGTTTTTGTGTCTACTGGCACCCCAGGTGGAGGTCAGGAGACCACAGTGATCAACACTTTGTCAACATTGACTCACCATGGTATCATTTTTGTCCCATTGGGCTACGGAGTGGCTTTCCCACTTTTGACCAACTTAGATGAGGTTCACGGCTCATCTCCATGGGGAGCAGGTACTTTTGCTGGTGCAGACGGATCTAGACAGCCCACTGACTTGGAGAAGAAGATTGCTTACACTCAAGGTGAGTACTTTGCTAAGACTGTGGCTAGATTGAAGTAGAGAGTAATTTGAATAGGATTACACAGAGCTATGTGGGTATAGAGTAGGCATTGAACAATTGAGTAATGGAATTGGGCAAGTAATTGGGGAACTGAATTAGTAATTGAATTGTAATTTCCCATGGAAGGGTTAGTGCATTGTCCTTTTCGAGGAAGCAATCGTTTATCAGTTGCCCTGGTCGTTTAGTCAGAATTAATTAAACGCTCTTGTAAACTTATTATTTCTATTTACTCAGAACTGCGTATGAATATTAGTCAAGTGATTGTTATGAAGGGATTCTTTCCACCTCGATTATCTCTATCCAAGTACCAATTTGAAATGGTGCATGTCATGAAATTGCCAATATCCCAAATATCATGGAAACTATTCTGAGCTGTTCAAGATGAATTTGATAAGGTATACGCCGATTGTACGTGGTCGTCGTATATGCATTATTCACTTGTAGGTAAACTACCGAATGTTCCCGATTCCAGTGCCCCTAAATCTATTGTTAGCTACACTGTTAGCGATGACATGCAACTTGGGTTGAAATACAGCTGGCTAGACTCCTATTAATCAATAATAGTCAAGAAATACCCTGCTCATCCCAACAATCATTCCCATATTATCTGTCTAGACCTTTAACTTTCACCAATCCTAATATTAACATACATAAGCTCCTCTATATTCTGTGGAAAGATTCTATGGAAATATTTTATGAAGAGATTCTATGGGGAGATCCGCACAACCGTCCAATCGCCTTCCAACTCCTCTCTCGTATAGGTAAGTCTATCGTGCAACCTACTCATTCCTCCCTGCCAAAATTCAACCTCCAATGGCACAATACGGACACCTCCCCAGTACTCAGGACATGGAATGTCCTCGTCTGCTAAGTCCTTGAACTTCTCCTCGAACTTCTTGTAAAGCTCATCCAACTGGTTTCTCGATTGAATCACCTGCGACTGTGGAGATGCCCATGCTCCAATCTTGGAGCCTCTGGGTCTGGTCCGGAAGTATCTCTCCGAGGTCTCGCGGTTGACCTTTTCCATTACACCCTCTACACGCACTTGTCTCTGAATATGGGGCCAGAAGAAGTTAAGGCAAGCGAACTTGTTGGTGTCAAAGTCTTTAGCCTTCTTGGATTCGTCCCAGTTAGAATACACAACAAAGCCATGAGTGTCCAACTCCTTCAACAATACCACACGTGAAGAAACACGGCCACTGGGCATTCTGGCGGTGGAAAACGTGGTGCTTTCAGGAATAATGTCCAGGTCTTTGGAGAGGGTGGATCTAGCATCATCAAACCACCGATGAAACTGCTCGATGGGGCTAGGGTTGACGTCAATTTCGTTCAAGTGGCCCTTCTCATACTGGTAGGTGGGTGGAGCAAAGATAATTGGTTTTTCGGTGGACATTTGTCTGGTTAGTCTAGGAAGAAGACGTTTTAGAATGGAGTTCATTTGGGTGGAATGATTCATATTAGTGCAGGAGATTAGTCACTGTGGGGGAAATGGAGTGATGTTATATGAAGTGAAAGACATCCGGAAGTTAAGGGATCATCTAGAGAGCTGAATAGAAGATTATAAATGGATTCTGTGGGCTATATAGGTTTGACAGGTATAAATTATGTGGGTGCAATCAATAATCGTATGTGGATGTAGATTATGGGGTAGATTTAGGCTGGCGAGGTTGATACTTAGACCCAATTGGATGTGGTAAATTGTAGTGATATTCAGTGGTTAGACGAAGAGAAAGTAACATAAGGTCTAGGTTTTGGTTTTACGTTTTGATTTCAGAGTTGATTGGAAGCATTTTATTTCATGGGAACTCGTGGATATGGTCTATAAGAGTGAATCCATAGAAAATTGAAGAAATGACAGTTCAGTGCACAATTCCATAAACTATTCTCTTTTTGAACAAACACCAAAAATTGGTAGAAATAGTCATATTTGCTTTAAACTTATAACGAACACTCGATCAAAGAAGGAAGATTAAAATCACTCTCTTCTTTGTCTTATGAACTATACCATTTAATTTATACTCCGTTTACTTGTTCAATGTCCGATTAACTCATAGTACCTATTCAAAGTCGCCCCCAAACCCAAAACTGAAACTGCTCTCCTCTGTAAGCTTCGACCAAGCTTCACTCTTTCCTGTCAATTTAGCATGCTCCAGCTTTTCGATCTTCGCCAACTCTTCCAGTGCCTTTGCCAATTCCTCTTGCTTTCCTCCCAAAATCAACAACTTCCTGAAGAGTTCAAAAACCGGCATTGCTGGAAGCTGTGAGGCCATGATTTCTCCACAATCTTCAGTCTGCAAAAACTCTTGTAAGTTCAATTCGTCAAACTTCTTAGCATATGCTCGGATCTTCGTCATGTCGTCATCATTGGTGTCTTGGAAGCTTTCTAAAATTTCCTGCAATTTCTGTCTAACCTCCAAAGGACGGAACCCAGAAAGTTGAGTGCGCTTGTTCTTGAGGAAGTGAAGGGCATTGGCCAATTTAACCTCGGGAACGAAATTCTGTGTGAGTGCCACGCTGTCGTCAAGATTGATCACCATGTGCCACCATCCACTGGGCACGTACATACATTCACCAGGGAAAGTGATTCCGATCTGTGCTTCGGGAACCCCTGTAGCTTCGTTGTAGAAACCGGAGAGAACCCATTCAGCGATTCCTACAGGAGATGTCACTTCACTTTCCTCCAGATCGGTGGAAACTCCTGGAGGCGTCACTCCTGGTGGAAACATCACCCACAACTTTCTTCCACTAAGAGCTGCATTCCATGCGGACGTGTAATTGGGGTCTTTATGGAAGGTGGATCCAGACCGTTTAGATCCGATAATAAGCCATGCATGGTCGGGCCTACAATCTTGGAATAACTTGAAAAGGTCTTGCTGGAAAAGATCAGGCACCTTGTACTCTTTGCGAAGTGTTTTCATGGCTTCACTGCCGCAGTCAAAGAGATAAAGTGGACTTTCGTCGCAGTTTTGGGCCAAATACTCAGAATAGAGCGACAATGGCCATTGAACGGCCTCCTGACGGAATTTCACATCTGAAAAACGCTTCAAAAGCGAGCTTAAGTCCCAACGCGGCCATCGAGACTCATCGGAGTTGACCAAAATGAATGGTTCTTTATTCCATCTAGAGTCGAACTCAGATTGTGAGAGGTTAGTCTCTGAAAGTCGAGGAATATGGCCATTGGGCATATCTGGCAAAGTCTCCAGATGTTCTATACTCTTTAAGCATGCATTCTTGTAGCCTTCCTCGTCTTCTATCAAGTCATGAAACAATTTATCGTATTCGACCTGAGAGCACTGGAATGGACGATAGAGAACGTCCGAACAGAGCAAATTTCCGGGAAGTTGCAAGTCAGCCAGATATTTGGAAGGAATTCCAAGCACACTGAGACGCCACGAGCCTCGCCACGTTAATGGTGGAGCACTTTGTCCCTGCTTCTCCAATCTTTGCACCTTCCCCGTATAATGCAGTTTCCATAAGTCCTCGTCATAGAGATAGGCGTAGAGAACACGTGAAGTGTGAGCAAGAGCCATTAGCGACTTGCTATCGTCAACAAACCCAAGTAGTTCCATGAAGAGATCTTCGTTTAGCATGGAGAAGTAACCCATCTGGCTACTTCTCGAGGGACCATCTGATTCCTCTACGAAAAACGCATTCCCCAGGGGTCGAACGTTCAAAGGGTGTGTGCCGGTAGTGCTGGAGACAGAAATCACTCTTCTATCTTTGAATTTCCTTCTCTTCTGTGAAGGTTGGGTGTTGGATGGCATTGAAGATGAGATGCGATGCGATGAGGTCTCCAATGGTCAATGAAAGTTGGAGAGATTTGGACAATTAAATTACAACAAGAAACTCAAGATGTCGGAAGGAGAAATCACTGATTATTGGCAACCTTTTTGAAGTGAAGTTGAGATTTGGATAGTAGGAAGAACGTTTTCTTTTTTTTTTTTTTTTTTTTGATTTCGCAACCATCAGGCCAGAATATGGGGAGAGGAAAAGAATAGACACAGGTAGATAATCAACGAAGAATGACGAGATTATGTATTCAGAAAGTTTAGAGGTCAGATAAGATTTTCAAAGGAATAAATCTCAGACAAGAAAATCTAAAAAGAGATGAATCTTGGAGAAGCAGTACATTGGTGAAATCCTTTCACACTACACACATTACCTTGGAGCTCTATTTACAAGTCTATTTGCTCTTCTTCACCTGATCTCTGTTATGCATCAAAGGCTCCTCTCTCTGAGGAATCCAGTCCTTTTTCTGCAAACGGTGCTCATAGTCACGCATGTACTTTCCTGGGTAAATGATCTTCTCATCCACAGGGTCCAAGTTGGACTGAGGAGCCACGGACTCTCCCAAAAGTGCTCTCTTCTTCTCCTTCAAGAAAGACCGGATTTCAGCGAAGCAGTGCATGCACATGAAATGAGATCTCTTGACATGTCCACAAGCTGGACATCTACCCAAATTCTCCAAATTCTTGATCTGTTTGTCACCTGGAGCATACAACTTTTCTCTTGTTCTGCGGTGAGAAGGTCTCTTCTTAGGAACAGCTCTCAAAATCATGCCGTTGTCAATCATAAATGGTGGGTTTCCACCTTCCATATGTTTTCTCAAATCTTGTAGATTTTTGATTTGTTTGGAGGCCATTTGAGGTAAGAAGTCGGCGATTTTTGGCAAACGGGGTAAAGCGACCGAGACAATTCCACCGGAGTAGGCGGACAGCACGGACAAGCCGCCAAATCTGAGAGCCAAAGACATGGTTGTGGTTATTGGTTGTGGAGATTTTTTTTTCTTCTAGGTCTGAGATCACGTGTACAATCACGTGAAGAACTGGACAGTTGCTTGAATCTTCAGTGAAGAGAACGGGCTGGAAGAATAAAAGACCAACAAATTAAATCACCTATCCTTTTGGTATTCGGAGGACGGTGAAGGATTCCTTGAAAATCTTTCGAGTTATCTTTAATAATCGTAATCTATCAAAATTTACGAACAACGAGTAAAGAGAAAAGTAAGGAGAAAAGCGAAACCATAAAATTGACCCTCGAAACAAGGAAACTCTCATAATCAGAACAATTAATTCAATTTCAACAAGCTTTCACCCCATCATCAATACTATCTACCTATCTTTTGTATTTCATAACACACTACCTTCTAGACGGTAGGTCACGTGACGTATCATAATAGTATGCGTGGCTATACCAAACGCGTACCTTACACCAAACTTCCACCTTCGAATCACAAAACCAACCATCTACCATGTCCATCCACGTCGATGAAACGCTCGTGCAGCCACTGAAATATGTCGGATTCGACACCATCACTTCGCAGATTGAAAACAGATTGTTGAAGCGCGGCTTCCAATTTAACATCATGGTGGTGGGAAGATCAGGACTCGGTAAGACCACATTGGTCAATACATTATTTTCGTCCAAGTTGGCGGCTACACTGGGTCGCCGCAGTGTGGATGAGCCCGTTGAGAAGACTACAGAGATCAAAGTTCACTCGCACATGTTGGCTGAGAACAACGTTCGTTTGACCGTCAATGTTATTGATACTCCAGGTTTTGGTGACCAAATCAACAACGAGAAGTGCTGGGAACCCTTGGTCAAGTATGTGAAAGAGCAGCACTCCCAGTATTTGCGTAAAGAGTTGACCGCTCAAAGAGAGAGACACATCCCCGACACAAGAGTGCACTGTATTTTGTACTTCATTCCTCCTCATGGAAACAAGTTGAAGCCTTTGGACTCCCAGGCGTTGAAGAAGTTGTCTGAGATCGCCAACGTGGTTCCTGTGATCGCCAAGAGTGACTCGTTGACGCTTAATGAGCGTGCTTCGTTGAAGCGTGTGTTACAGAACGAGTTCATCAAGCTCAACTTGAATATCTACCCATACGACAGCGACGACTTATTTGATGATGAGAAGCAGTTGAACGAGGATATCAAGCTGTTGATTCCATTCGCTGTGGCCGGATCCGAGCGCGAGTTCGAAATTAATGGTGAGTTGGTTAGAGGCAGAAAGTCCAAGTGGGGCGCCATTAACATCGAGGATGTGTCGCAGTGTGAGTTTGTGTTCTTGAGAGACTTTTTGACCAGAACTCACTTGCAGGATTTGATTGAGACCACGTCGTTGGTGCACTACGAGACCTTCAGAGCCAAGCAGTTGATTGCATTGAAGGAGAATGCCACCAATGCCAATAGACAGTCTGTGGCTGCGCTGAAGACGAGTACCACCACTCCACTGAACGGAGCGGCAGCTCCAACTTACCAGGCCCCACAATCGATGGTTTCTGCTGTTTCTCAATCGTCAGCTCTCGATACTTCTACCATTGATACTCACCACAGAGACCTGCCTGTGGATAACGTCTACTAAGTAGAACTTAGGTTAGTGGAATTGGTATGAAAAGAAGTGGAATGAGAATAGGTGCATGAAGTAGTAATGTGACTTCAAGATAGAATGAGAGAATGGAATGAGAGATTTCTGGGTTTGATGCGAAGTTGTCGAATACTTGATGAAGAATTGTGAATTTCAGAGATGCGTGAAATGAACATGAGATTGAGGAATTGGAATTCCAGTATTATTTTTGATAAGAATAATTCACCTTGACTTAACCCATTCTCAAAATCAGAGTTTATATACGGAATACAACAGTTGCAGCGAAGTATCTGCACTATGATTGGAAACAAACAAACAAGCAGTATTATTTTTTATGTGGGGTTCAACAATACCAAGGTTTAACGCAAAGTCTTGACGGGCATCGCAAGACAATTGACTTGACGAGAGGACCCATTGTCTTGAAATGAGGACTAGTGGGGAATGAGGAGACTAGCAAATTCAATTTCCATTCAAATTTACGGGCAATGGTCTTGTAATTTGCATTTTAAGTGCATCTACTTCAATGGGCATTCATACTCTCAAAAATTCTCAAAGTTTACGTGTCAATTGACCAACCATTTTGAAAATCGCCGAGATACCGCGGCAAAACGAGATATAGATGCGTCTGCGTCGATCTGGGCTGCTGCATTTGTGGACATCACATCGGAAAAACTTTTTCTTTTGTTGTGATTTAATTCCTACTCTCAATCGAATTATGCAGATCTGTCCCTCAGTTTTGTTTTTGACCTATGGGGCCCCGCCGTCCACACCTGCATATGATATAGATCGAAGTTCCCTTATCGAGGTTATGTTCACAAGTCCCCTGTCTCCTTGTCCTCTCCTATTTAACCCAAAGTTTGTTTTTAGCGCCACTTTTGCTTTTATTGCTACGTTAAATTTTTTACTTATTCCATTTTTCTAACCGAACTTGCCCCCAATTATGAAAGCCTACGTGACCCTTTTGACTAGTGAAAGCTATGTCCCTGGAGCACTTACTTTGGCTAAGACCTTGAAGCAATTGAAAACAGAAAACAAGCTTGCTGTTTTATTGGACCTGTCTTTGATCTCCGGCCACTCCATGGCCTTGATCAACAAGGCTTTCGACGACGTGATTCAGATCAATGATCAGAAACTCACTGCTCCTCTCGAGAAAGTTGCTGCCAAATTGGGAAGAGAAGAGCTTGCTGTTACCTACTCTAAGATCCTCCTTTGGAACTTAGACAAGTATGATCAAATCATCTACTTGGATGCAGACACCTTGCCGTTGAACAACTTAGACCATTTGTTTGACAAGTACGAATCGCTGCCTGCTACAGAAATAGTGGCATCGCCAGATATCGGCTGGCCGGACATCTTTAACTCAGGTGTTCTCATCTTGAAGCCAAGCAAGCCTGTATTTGACAAGTTAATTGAGCACTCCGAGACCCAGGACGCGTCATTTGACGGTGCTGACCAGGGTCTTTTGAACGAATTCTTTCATCTCCAGGACAAGGGACACTCATGGAAGCGTCTTCCCTTTGTGTATAACGTCACACCTTCCGCTCACTACCAATATAGACCTGCGTTGACGAGATTTTTCAGCGAGATCAACCTCGTGCACTTCATTGGGGGTCAAAAACCATGGCAGGACAAGTCTGCCGAAAAGGATCCGTTCCAGCAGTTATGGTGGGAGAAATTCAACAGCTTCTTCACCAAGGAGCACGATCGCATCAAGCTCTTGTCTACACTCCCAAGCGAGGGCTACAACCTCAAGTTCACTAAATTGGTGAACGAGTGGGACAAGGTTAAGGAGGAGACGCACTTGCCACATCTAGACGAGTTGTCATTAGGTGACGCAACCAAGCTATTCCCCTGGGAGCACAGAGAACAGTTTGCACCTACACGAGTGTTCAATAAGGTGGATGTTGCGTCGGAGACTGGTAGCGTGAAGTCCAAGAAGGTTGCGCTTGAGGATCCTTCGCCCGCATCGCAGTCTACGACACAGCCTTTAAACCAAAAGTATGACCAGTTCACAAACAAGACCAAGTTTGATCCCGAGCGGTCGTTGGAGGAGGTTTCTCAGATTCCTCTCAAGATGTTGAGCAAGAAGAAGTAAAGCCATTGGTTTAGAGCTCGGAGTTCTTGTTTTTTTTTTATTTCGGAGACTTTATGGACCCTAATTCCTGGTCCTTATACTATGATTGAATAAAACGAAAGAAAATGTTAGCAGCCAATTCATAGAATAGAGATGGAAGAAACGACCCCATGGAGACGAACCGCATGCATGAATGGAACGTCCTCCTTCATGTATTGGGAAAGCAATGTTTAATGAATCTCGGCTACTTGCGGATGCACGAGCGGAATTCCCGCATATTTCTATTGCCGTTTAGCGCGATGGTTCAACTAGCTGTCAAATAGGCCCCGCATGGTACATTTCCAGATCGACGAGTCAAATGTGGGCAGAGGTGGGGGATCATAACCAGGGGGCATTTCGTGGCGCCACCTGCACGTTTTTGAAAACTTTACTCGTGGCGTCTTTACTTACTCCTCAATGGTTTCTCTTCATTGTCTTGCAGATGTCTGCGTGGTGCCCATCGGCACAGGGAATGCTTCGGTTCTGGATGAGGTTGCTGTGATCACCAAATTGGCCCGTGAGTCGCTGTTGGAAACCACGCTTCACTCGGCGGGCACCACTATTGCCGGCCCGTGGTCAGAGGTAATGGAATTGATTGGTCAATTCCACGAGGTGCTCCATGAACGTGGAGTGGTTCGGATCCAGAGCGATATTCGTGTTGGTACTCGAACTGACAAGTCACAGAAACCCCAGGATAAGATCGATGTGGTCGAGGCCAAACTTAAGGGTTTGTAGAGCCAAGAAGAGGTGGGTATGTAGGAGAAGCTGAAATAGTGTGAATGATTGATGAATTGCTGATATTGCTATTGGGTATTTTTGTAGAAGCAAAAGAAGCATTAACTTGAGCTTTGATTAGAACTTTGAAAGCAAACTCGAAACCCCAAATACTAGAGACATAGAAGTCGTTCAATCTACGAAAATATCCCAATCTATTTACAGATTTGTTCCACCGAGGTTGACCATGCAAAGACGCTGACTTCATCCATCTAGAATTCAGGTACTTTGACAGGATGTACAGCCCCCCTAACTGGTAGTTTTCGTCGGGACGAATGCGGATGGGATGGATGTGATCGCTCTACATTGTATAATAGTGCATTAGTGTACCTATAGTCAAAAGAAACAACAGTTTCACATTGGTTAGGAGATCGATGCACGGAATTAAGAATCCGAGGAGGAATTCCAAATGGAACCATTAACACAGTAAATTCGTAAATTCGGATATTACATGGATGAAACCTAGCGATAATCATGTAGATCGGGACGGAATTCAAGGGTCAAGGGAATCGCCAACAAATTTTTGTTGTTTGAATATTTTCTATGAAGATGCCCGGTTAATTCTGAAGTTTATCTTTATTTTCGCCTGACCACATTTAGGTTCTTCTGTCCACAGGGTTCTCTTTGTTCTATACGTGGTCACATGAATTGTTCATGTTAGTTGACCTCGGTTTCTTAGCCTGTCTAAAATTATTCATGAAAATAAAAACATTATGAATCAATTTTTTTGGCTACTTGTTCTCACCTGGCTAATCTACTCCTCACACCCAATTTTCTACCGTGTTTTCATTACCATTCCTATGTCTCTGATGCTAGTCCTCGCTACATGGACAACTCCGGACTACCATCGTATTTCTTCAAGTAGTCGTAGTCCTCCCGGGCAGCAGCCTGTAAGAGTCTCTCGGTGACCCTCTTCTCCTTATGTAACTCTTGCACCGTCGCCTCCAGCACTCCCATCGCCGCGGGATTCTGCCAGAACATTTGACGGGCATGGTCTCGGCATTCCTCTGCAGTGTAGTTTTTGCCGGTGGCCTTGGAGAGTTCCATGGCGATGTACCGCCATTTATCCAACTCAGCCGAATCCAAGAGCTTCTGGAGCTCGTCCCGATCCTCTGCGGTCCAGCTCAGACTGTTGTTGTTGCCCTGCTGGCCCACAATTACCTGGTACCTATTACGGGCCGCCAAGTACGACCCAACGCCCACCATCTCGGCGATCTCCACCCATGGCCGACCTTCCTTCTTCAAGCGCACAATCATCTCGTCTTGACGCTTGGAAAACTTTGATTTCCGCTTGGTGCGTTTGTGGGTGTTTGAAAGCGTCACATCTGGCCGCGTGCATGCCTTGATTAGCGGTGGCACTGGCAACAACTCCTGTAATCGCTCTATAAGTTGCTTCTGCGAAGGTGGATTGCGGTACGTTTGCTGTGAGATTCCTGACATGGCCATTCCCATGGAATTGCCAATCTGTGTGGATTGGCCACTCACCTGTGGCGCCATTTGGCCAGTCATTTGTGAAGACATCTGCGTGGAGACAGGCGACGCCATCTGTGTTGCCATTTGAGAAGTCATTCCAATTGGTGCGTTCATCTGCGACGTCATCTGGTTGGGCAACTGTCCGTTCATCTGGGTGGACATTTGGCTGCCCATCTGAGTGCCCATTTGAGTGGTTATCTGACCGGCCATCTGACCGTTCATTTGGCTGGGCATGCTGTTAAGTCCCATTCCTGTCACTTGCGCCAGCGTTAGCGTGTGCATCAGAGATGTTCCATATGGTCCCAACTGTTGAGACGATCGCTGCATACTTTGAACGGGCATGTAATTGTTTCCCTCATACATTTGCTGGTACCCAAGCGGTGCCTGGTACTGCGAAGTCTGGGGTTGTGACGTCTGTGTCTGATTCAGCGGTTGGCTTGGACTTTGTGACAGGGGATAATTCTGCACGAAGTGGACGTTGTTGTGTTGCAGGTAGCCCGGGTTGAAATGAGTGTTCATGCAGATGCTCTGCGGATGTATCTGGTTGGCTATCAGCATGTACAGCTGCTGGGCCATGGGAGCGTTGTAATAGCGAGGGGCTTCCAAGTCCTTATTGGCGGACCGCTGCTCGTTATAAGTCATCATGGCGACCGAAAGTTATCTATGACTAAATGAAAACAAATCTGAAAGAAAGGAGATGCAATAATTGGAGGAGCTGGATAGCACTCTGCCACCAGAATCGGGATATGGGCAGAACAACAAGAATGGAAAATGGAAGAAAAAAAAATCAAAAAGTTCAGTTCGGCGGAGTTAGTGAAGGGAGTGGTAGGGTTTAAGTATGATCTGTATCAGTTTTGGGAATGCATGGATATCCTGCTCCATGCATGGTGGTCTCAAGTGGGTGCTTTTGGTGTGGCCTGCAGATTGCAGAGTTGCATATCGCTGCAGATGGTCAAGATGCATGACTTGTCGCGAGATGCAATTACTATTTACGACCCATTTTACGACAAATTTGGGGCTGGATGTGTCGACCGTTTCATATAGCTGACTGTATAGCTACCTACCACCAACTCCCTGTTAGGCATACATCTTCGGAAATTTGTTGCCCTTTTGGGGTAACTCCTTATCAACCGACGGTGGACGTATGTGTCTCCGATTACGTGAATTAAACCCCATCTTTCCCTTAGATTGTCTGCATATCTTGATCTCTCTTTATCTATCTTTTCTACTATATTCGGTATTTTTCGGAATGGCAAAATTGACAACCACGCGATGACGATCCTTGCATGTTTATGATGTGGGTGAATTATAAGTCCGTACGACCTAAATGCAACATGGAAAAAATGGTTGCAGTGGTATTGACAGGTTGTTGGAGGATATAAAGGGTTTTCTCTAACAGGTATGGAAGTGGCGGCACTGCTCCTGTTTGATGCATGACTCTTACATTCAAGTGACCTTCGACCCCCTGGTGTAAATAGCCGACGACCTTTGTCGAGTGGCGGTGTGCAAACCCCTCCCATGCTAGGTGTGTTTCCATGTGAAGGCACGCATGATTACTACCTGCATGAGTCACCCGGTTTGGAATTTAGGTGAACAGCTAATAGAATAGAAATTCTCCTGCGTGCCTGCAGGATATTATATATCACCTGCATAAGTTCCGCACCTATCCGTGTAAATGTGTTTTATGATGAAACGGCTGATCATTGGGTGAGCCTAAAATCCTGTATATCCCTATGTCTAAACTCTCAAGTGCATATGCGCTTACATAGCCCTACCCTGAGAGATTTTGCACCCATAAAAGGTTTCCTTCTCTCGGGCGACATTCAAGTCTTCTCTCCCTCTCATTCTTTTTCATTTAAATGTACGACAAGGCCTACCAGTTAGTGGAAGCTTCTCAGCGAGAAAAAGTCGATAATGACACTTTGGAGGACAATTCGTCTCTGTCCATGGAAGCAGATTCTGCCCAGAGCTTGGCTGCTACTTATCGAAAAGTAGATTGGCGAGTTTCGGCTTTGCTCTGTGGTGTGTACTTTCTTCAATTCATCGACAAGTCACTTCTTAACTATGCTGCTGTAATGGGAATCAAGAAGTACTTGAAACCCAACTCCAATCAGTTCTCTGATCTTGGAACTATCTTGTACGTGGCCTACATTGTTGGTGAGCCAGTTAATGCCTACCTCTTCCAGAAACTCCCCGCCGCTAAGTTACTAGGTGGAAACATCTTTTGTTGGGGTGTGGTGATTCTTGGCCACGCTTTTTCTAAGAACTATGCATCGCTCATGGTGGTCAGGGCTCTTTTGGGATTTTTCGAAGCCTGCGTTGCTCCTGGATGTATTTTAATTACTGGAATGTGGTTCAACAAGAAACAACAGCTCAGAAGAACATGCTGGTGGACATGTCAGGCAGGAGTATCCACGATTTTCGGAGGATTGCTCTCGTTTGCATTCCAGCATGTTAAAGGCACTTCATTGGCATCTTGGCAGATCTTCTATCTCGTCATGGGTATCATCACAATCTTCTTTGGAGCTGTGGTAGTGTTCGTAATGCCTGATAGTCCTGTTGCCGCAAAGTTTCTTTCTGAAAATGAAAAAGTTGCCATTCTTGAGAACATTCGAATGAATCAAACAGGAACGGAAACCAAGGAGTGGAAGTGGAACCAAGTGAAAGAACTTTTGCTCCATGACTCACTCACATGGCTTATGTTAGCATTAACTCTTTTGCTGATGATTCCTACTGGTGCCGTGTTGACATTTTCCGTAACTATGATTGCCAACATTGGGTTTACCAGCCAACATGCTGCATTGATGCAGATGCCCCTTGGAGTTTCCACCATTCTCGCCATTTCAATTGGAACATATCTCTGTGCTCACTTCAATGGCAATCACCGCAACCTTATCTTTATTTCCATGCTTATCCCCGCCATCATTGGTTACATCGTTTTGATCACCTCCCATAACAAAATCGGCCAATTGTTGGCAGTTTACTTAATTAATGTGGGTACTTGTGTGATTACAATGATCTATTCGTGGAACTCGGCCAACACCGCCGGCTACACAAAGCGTGTTCTTCGAAGCTGCTTGACCATGGTGGCTTTTGCTGTGGGAGCTTTGATCGGTCCTCAAATCTTTAGACAATCTGATGCACCTCGCTACTTGCACGCCAAAATCATACTTTTGGTGATTGAATGTGTGTGTGTTCCGCTTGTATTGGTGATCTCGTGGGTTTCCAAGAAGAAAAATGAAAAGAAGGGAAATTTGGATCAAACGTCAGTTAATGAATGGCTCGCAGACAAAGGTGCTAATTACCAGTTCTTGGACTTGACCGACCAGGAAAATATCATGTTCAGATATTCGTATTGAGAGACTACTTCAGAGATTCTGTTGCAATGATTCTATTGTTAATGATCCTGAAATGCAATAAATAAGGCAATAACTAATGCAGTGGCATCTTCCCGCTGATCTCTAATAAATATGTCTTGATGTATTCAAAACTCACCAACGTCACGGCAGACGCTGGCACTGTTCGGGCCAAATTCGTCATGTACCCAGCATAAAAGCCTCGGAGTCCTTCCTTCTTATAAATATCTCCCACCTCACCAACCAATGTGCGCTTTCGAGTCGTTTGCATTTGCATTCGGGTTCGTAGGATTTCATGCGGATATGTGATAGTGCTTGCTATCATTTTGGAAAATGCAGACGCCACGATTAATCTCCAAAGCCTAAACTCGTCTAGATGTGATGTCTCATCCATGTTATTGACATGAAGTGTCTTTTTCAATGCTTCGTAGACAGGGAAGTGGATACCTACGTGGATAAGTCCAAAGAGTGATGGAACAAATCCACTATAGAATACCTTGAAACCTTCATTCGCGTACATCTTGCGGAACGCATCGATGGTGCCATTATAGTACACCTTTTCGCTTCCTGTTTGAATCATGAGTCGGGTTTTCACGACCCAAACAGGGTTCACAAGAAATGAAGATGATGCACCAGCAGTCATGGACGCCGCAAAGTGGTTGAGCCAGTCCACATTGAGCCCGAAATGCTTCTTGAAGAAGTCTGGGTAGAAATGCTTAGCGCGTTCGTAGACGCTGAAGTAAATGGCCCATGTAGGCAAATATCCCACCATAACAGGAACCACACCTCGGTAAAGACCCCGGATGCCTTCTTCCTTTGCGATCGTCTTGAATGCCCCAATGAATCCCTGATACCGACTGTTCGTCCCCAGCGCCTGAACTCGAGTTTTCACCACGTCTAGTGGGCAAACAACTATGCCTGCCAAAAATCCCGAGGACGCTCCAGCTATGGTTATCAACTGTGTCTCAGACATGTTCTTGATAAAGTTGGGCGGCCGTAACTTGCCCAAGATGCTGATTCTGTGGAATTTCGAGATGGCCGAGTGTCGGGATCCTCGGAACTCGATGTCTTCGCCATGAACAATATCGGAAAAGTCGTTGCTCCGAGTCGGCCCTTCTTTGGCATCTCTGGAATGGCCCTCTGTCATTGTATTTGAGGTGAAAGTGGCGGCAATTTACTTTGCAGAGGTGTTGCTGAGAGTTTAGATGAATAAATGCCACAAAATCGTAGAAAAAACGGGCAAGATGAATAGCGGCCAGTACTTAGTGGTCGTAAAATAGCCTGGCAACAGGCAGCTGGAACAATATAAGAAAACGAAGAGCAGCCGATTGTTGATCCATTGAATTCATGGCATCTAAAATCCACATGCACGGGAGGTACGGGTGTGAGGCTATTAAGATCCGGATTGATCCAGGAATGTATTACCGATGTAGATTTGACAGCCGATGATGAGGAAACCTGAGAGAGTTTATATATTTTATGCTAATGGTTTTGTAACTTGACTCTTGGCTTTCTTCAACATACTGACATTTTTAATAATGCTTAATATTTCCTTCGCTCGAGCCAATCTCGGTGACTTAGTTAACTATGTCGTCATACCGTTGTATTGCTCTTCACCCAGTTTCAACCAACAATCCTTGACAGAATTTTGCCGTCTTGATCTAACCTTTGATATCATGCTTCTCTGAAAAGAATTCCTGTGGGTTGAATGCATGCCGTTCCCCGGAACATTCTTAAGTAGCTCAAATTCGAAAACTCCGATTTCCCCATTGGTAAGTCTATGCCACTCCCGAAGGTTCCGAGAGATGTTGCAGACAAGGCTCTTGTCAGAGCATATCTCTTATGCCTGAACCCTCGCATGGCTCTAAGCGGGACAATTGACTCCATGCCGGCTTATCGGTAATAGGTAGCAACCGAGTGATAGCTTGCGACCTACGATATAAAGGTCAGATACATCCCGATCTACTTCTCGCTCTCCACACTTTTCAAAATGGGAAAAGATAACCTTGCTGACGCCATTGTGCAGCCTGTGGCTGATAAAATATCAGAATTGACCTCGTCTGCTCCTCCTCCCAAGAAAGGAATTACTCTTTACTCTCCTGAGTACTACGCAGCATGTACTATCGGAGGTATCATAGCTTGTGGGCCTACCCACTCAGCAGTGACTCCGCTTGATTTGGTGAAATGTCGTCGTCAGGTGGACGGATCCCTTTATAAATCTAACATCCAAGGATGGAAAACCATCATGAGAACTCAGGGTGACTCCATTTTCACTGGTATTGGGGCTACCTTCGTGGGATACTCATTGCAAGGAGCAGGTAAGTATGGATTCTATGAATTCTTTAAGAAAACATACGGGGATTTCGTTGGACCAGAGAACTTTGCAAAATATAAAACCGGAGTGTTTTTGGCAGCTTCGGCATCTGCGGAATTTTTGGCTGATTTAGCATTATGTCCTTTTGAAACAATCAAGGTTAAGACCCAAACCACAATTCCTCCATATGCAACGTCAGTTGCCGATGGATGGAAGAAAATTACCGCTCAAGAAGGAATTGCGGGTTTATACAAGGGAATTGGGCCACTTTGGGCCAGACAGATTCCATATACTATGGTTAAGTTTGCTTCTTTTGAGAAAACCGTTGAGCAGATATATAAATACCTTGGAAAGCCTGCCTCCTCCTACACTTCTTTGCAGCAGACAGGAGTTTCTTTCTTGGGAGGATACATTGCTGGTATTTTCTGTGCTGTTGTGTCGCATCCAGCAGATGTGATGGTGTCGAAGATTAATTCAGACAAGAAGGCCTCGGAGAGTTTGACACAGGCATTGGGTCGGATCTATGGCAAGATTGGGTTTGCTGGAGTCTGGAATGGCTTGCCTGTGCGTATTTTGATGGTTGGTACATTGACGGGATTCCAGTGGTTGATCTACGACTCGTTCAAGGTGTATGTTGGCTTGCCCACCACAGGAGGACACTAAGCGCCAAATTCATCTCGATTGATATGCCTTTGTAAATGATGTGAATTGTCCAGATATTGTAGATCGTGCAAATGAATGAGTTGGGTCCTTTACGACCACACATTTTTGAACAAATCATCGTCGAGAGCCGTGGTTGCTCCAGGCGTTACGTTCGACGTGTAGTTTGATGTGTAGTTGGTAGAGTAAGTGCCTTGGAGACCTGTTGGTGCGCTAGCTACTGAGCTGGAGCTGTTCCCGACGCTGGAGCCCCATTTGTTCACCGACGAGGAGCTGTCACTCCATTCGTTCTTGTAATGAGGCACTGATTTATCTTGCTTCACGGGTTCTGTCTTGCTCTGCGACAGACTTTGGCTTATAGATTGAGAAGCAGGGGAAGGTGCAGAGCCAAAGTTCAAACCCAAGAGCGAGTCCGTCATCGCAGCAACATTAGCATTGGAAGTGCCATTGGTGTTCGTTCTCTGGGTATTGGCATTATTTCCATAAGAGTTCCCGTAGGTGTTTGCGGTGTTTCCATAAAGGTTGTTTCCATACGTCTGACCACTCTGGACGCTAGTCTGTGACGAGGAAGGCAGTGAGTAAAGCGATAAGATGGACTTTTTCAAATCTGTGCGTTCATTCTGTTTGTTTGGCACCAGGCCAGTACTCTGGCTGCCATGGATACCGTTAACAGCCACGGGGGGTACTTGTGCGTGCTTGTGATGAGACTGGGCCTGTTTGTGGATGTGAGAGGTCTGTCTGGTAGTCTGTTGAGCTGGAGTAGGTGTGGGCAGTGGAGACGAGGTGAATGAGCCGAAATCGTCATCCAAAAGCGAGGGAGGAGCAGAAGCGGGAGATGTCACTTTCCGAAGAGGTGCATGGGTTCTATTTGGAGCAGCAGCTCTGTTTAGAGGAGCGTTTCTGGACGTAGAACTAGAAGTAGTAGATGTAGCCGAGCCCTCGGAAGCGACTATTCCAGCAGTCCCAGAAGCTCCAGCGGCCACTGATACATTCATAGGGTCAGGAATCAGCGAGGATGCAGCCCATTTCTTCAAGTCATACTTTGTCCGAATGAAATTTTCAATCTTCAGGCCATCTGGAACGTATCCTTCAGGCAACTTTGCTTCCCAGTAGGCGTTGCACTTTGCATTGCCCCATTTGACCATCAGCTCCACCTGCTCGTCAGTCCACGCGTCCAAATCCACCGATTTCACCCGCGAGATGTGCGTGCCCATCAGACGGTGAATGCCTGAGCATCGAATACAGATGAAGCATCCAAGATTCCAAGATGCCCAGCGAGGATGAGCGGCAGTCTTGCAGTCCACACAGGTTTTGTTTGCAGGTTCCTTGAGAAGCTGCTTGAGGATCTGCTTGTGACGCTCGCTGTGGGTTTTTCTCGACGAGGGAAGGGCACTCATGGGGAAGTTAAATATCGATTAGTAGTGGACATTTGTGGTGATCTGTGGTTGTGTTGGTGTACGGGTGCAGGATGGAAGACGACAAGGAATCTAGCATAAGAGAGGAAGAAACAGACCAAAAATAATGAAAAATGATAAAAAAATAGATGAAAAATGATACGACTTGCTGAAGGATCAATGTGATGAAATGGTTACTGGAAATTCTAAAAGTTTCTCAATCCTATTGTGATCAGAAATGTCCAGATTCGTACACTTAAAGTAGACAAAAAAAGTTGCGCGCACAGTGTCTCTTGCCGTGTACAACTTCATGGGCCTACTATAGCCGGGGGATCTGCTTAGGCTAAAAGCCAAGCTAAGTGAACTTGCAAAATATTCCCAAAAGGTTTCCAGCAGCACGACTGGCCTTGGTATTGCGTTGTCACATGCGTCGAAGAGAAAAACACCCACAGAACCCTGTGAACACGGCGAACTCCGAATATACCTAGGTGTTCCATTCTGCATATTGATGATGTTTCATTGATAAGGAATTTTTGTGAAAGTAAAGTCAGCCATTATTTTCGAAATGTAGCAGTTTCAAATTTCTTGAAGGTAAGTCTCAGTTGAAAATAACATGGTCCGACATTTTTGAATGTCCTGAATATCTTCAATCCTCAATCAATCATTGTGCAAAATCTCCAGAATCATTCAGTTGCCAAATCCGTCCGGGATATTCGCGCTTAATCTGACCTCCTTTCACACCATTAATCCCTTCCATGTAAGTTGTCCATGCAGAGACCCAGTGGATCATCTTGCACCTAGAAAATAATTGGAGGTCAAAAAATATCATTGGCCACAAGAAACTCATGCATCTATTCTAAAATTTCGGGCATCAATGCATACATGCGGCACACCATCAATGGGTTCTCCCCTCCCTATTTTCTATTGTCATTGGTGCTGTACCATTGTTAACGGGTCTTGCCAGAAACCATGCAAACTTGACATCGGGCAACTAGGACCTGCAGACATGTTTTATTGTCAACCAACTACGACGATAAGAATTGGAGTAATATTTTACCCAGTGGTTACGCTCGTTGATCTTGTGCATATTCGAACCAATACGGCGATCGTGGCGAAGTTCCAACGAAAAATACGGAGATCATCAAAGGTGAAAGAGTTGGGAAGATCGTGAAATGATCATGAAATGATCGTGAAATGACCGTGTGAATCGTTCAGATGAATTGAAGCCTTTGTATGTTCCTTCAAGATTCTTCAATTTACGTTGGCTCTTTGTCTAGTTGGCCCTAATAATTGTGACTATTCTTAATCTGGTCATTCCCTACAGTTTACACACATTCTATAAAAGTTCTATGTAGTGTTTGATGCTTCATTTCAAACATTCGCTTACCTCCTGACACATTTCAAATATCGCTTCCATCCACCCGAGCCGAAAACCTTGGTCTCTGATCCCATCTCTATCTGTGATTTGCACCAAACGCCGACAATCCATGCGCTTATAAAGCACTTGTAATATCCACCTTGATAATACTTCATAAAATGTCTCACATTATTACACCCAAACATCTTTATAGAAGCAATGAAAGGAATTGAATTCTGTTGTCCTGTACACAGATACTCACAACCTTTTCTCGACCATCCAAAGCTTTTACCTTCTCGTAAATCTCCTGTCAATTCCCATAGCTAACCCTCGGTGGTTGCCCTGGCAACTACACATCCGCCAGCTTCCATCACTGTTCCCATGTAGTATTGCTGGTATACATGCAGTCATGTCTTAGCCTGTGTCCAGGAGTGGGAAACAATTATTATTGTGCCACGCACGTCCCAATACCTAGCATCTCTAATATCATTTAAAAAATACCTTCTTGACCAAGAAGAGCTATCTTCTCGTTTCTCACTTGCTGCTGGTAGATATTTCCCCTCCCTTTCAACACTACTGTCTTTTCCGATTTCTATCGTTAATCCGTTAGTGTACAGCATTATCTATTCATAACGTTATACCCTGGTGAATTCAGTCCCCACTACCGTTTCCCCACTGACTATTCTCGACTTCCAACGACTATTATTTGCCCAAACAGAGCAGTGTGATATTCCTAAAAGTTAGGAACGCCCCTCCTCCCATATATAACTCCAGAACTACTTGCCCAAGTGCTTCATTCCGTTGCCTCTCCAAGACTTTCTGTCTCTACACTTCCCATGGCAAACAAGCCTCTGGTTCGGACCATTTCCGCAGATGAAGTGCGCTCCCATGCTTCCCCCGATGACCTATGGATGGTGGTTTACAACAAGGTCTACGACGTGTCCAAGTTTGCAACCTTGCACCCTGGTGGTGTGGAGGTTCTTGTAGACTGTGGAGGTGTCGATGCCACCGAGGCGTTTGAGGACGTGGGCCATTCACAAGATGCATTTGACATGCTTCTACCATACTTGGTGGGAGAGCTCCCGTCTAATGAGAGAAAGAAGTATGCACATCTCTTAGAGACTAAGACTGAGAAGGAAAAGCCAAAACGGAAGGTTATCAAGAAGAGCCCGAGACAGAATGACCGTTTCCGGCGGCGGATGTTGGTGTCTGCGCTTGTTACATTAGCCATCTTCTCGTTGTTAGTTGTTGTAGTACTTCAGAAGTTGCAGTGGTTGAAGTTGACAACTTATTAGAGTATTGGGCTCTGGAAGACCAACACACGAGAGACAGACACAAAGAGAGACAGATGCAAAGAGAGACAGATACAAAGAGAGACAGAGCATCTCCAGAGTAAAGGATTGAGCAACTCAGGGAAAGATGATGTTAAGATGATAGTTGTTGATGATAGTTGTTGATGATAGGTGTTGATGATAGGTGTTGATGATGATAGTGGACGATGATAGTGGCCGTACATATAGATAATTGTTCACTCAGAAGATAATTTTAAATTGTAGGAGGGAAAAATTGATGGAGGTTAAGATAGTGGTTAAGATGTGGAGCAATAAAGAAAGAAAGAACTATGTAAGTAAATAAGCAAGTAAGACCAATCAAATGTTCAAAATAATCAAGATCTAAACGGACACAAGTAATTACAATCAGATACATCCAAATACAACGAGTTGATATCTACTTGACTGATCCCATCTCATCGCTACGCAAACATTTTCTCAACTACGTCACTCGCAATTTATATATTCTAAGCCCCACCCCATGGGGGAAGTTTTAACGAGGCTCAGCACACGGCTACGAGACGACATACCTCTGGGAAACAAGTGTTGAAGACATCTAAATGGAGCCAGACACACCTAATTGACTACCCTGAGCGCTCATCAAGACTTCCCCACAAATCTGTCCTCGCCATAGTTAAACTTTACCATTGTGGTGACAGTTGCCCTGTATGCAGCAACCACCACCTTATTCCCTGAGGCTTTCGGAATTATCAGAAAATGGGAAAATTGCTATGGAATCCATCATTTTCTTCCATATGAGTGAAATCTCCAACTTTCATCTATTTATAAATTTTCTCCAACCTTTTCGCTATTCCCTATTTATTTCATATTCCATCCTCACACTATCTATCCATTTTATCTTCTCGTTCCTTTGTCTCGCTTTTTCCCGTCATTTTTCGCACCTTTACATCCACACAATGTATTACTAACATCCTCCAATCTATACCATCTCAGATTTCCCACCATTCTCCCGATTGTTTTTTTCTTCCTTCTCCCCTTTTTTTCTTCCCGGTCTAATCAAATATCTAACCTCTTCAATGCCTCTAACCAGTTCTTCTCCAAAAAAATCTTGCGCCTTCTCCTCATTGCCGTCCAGCCTCTCCAAGCCTTCTTCCTCCCTCCATACAACACTTCGCCTGCATTCACTCACCATCAAGATTTCTTACATCTCTACCTCGTCACTACTTCACATCTTCCGAGTGTACCCGCCAGCTGTGTACTAGTTCAAAGTTACCCCCAACAATACACCCCTATTTGGTTGCTTCCATTGCCACTTTCACTCCTCACACACTTCCCCCACTTCGCCTCATACTTCCACAGCCATGTCGTTCGACATCAAGGATGAAATGTACATCCATAACCCTGAAATCTGTGACCAAGACCCTATGGACTTGAAGCAAGAGAACATGCGCATGTTCAACCAACAGCAAATAAACTCCTACTACACTCCGAATGGCTACATGGCCCCGGGCCAATACGGAGGCCACTGGTCTCCTCAAACCATGAATGACGTCTCGCAGAACTCAATGAATCAGCATTATGTCATGAATGGCGGCTACCGTGATGTTCCAAGCGACGATATGAAGTTTCGCCAGGCGCCAGTTATGATGGAAAACGGTTCCATCAGCACTGTGTCACTGCCTTCTTATGGAGGACAAATAATGAACGTTCAGAACGTCCATTCTGGCAACAAGCCTTCAGATGTACCACCTCCTATTAAGGCCGAGGTTCTGTCGGATGTCGACAACGGTAAGAAGCGTCCTAAGGCCAAAAAGCAGTTTTTGAGTGAACAGGAGGCGCTTTTGATGGAGAAAGACGATTCGGAGCTCAACGACCATGAATTGACGATCAAGAAGAAGGCGCAGAACAGATTGGCCCAACGAGCCTTCCGTGAGCGTAAGGAGTTCAAGTTAACAGAACTTGAGAACAAGTTGCTTCAAAGTGAGGAGGAACGTCAGAAGCTTTTGGAGAAACTTGATGAGATCAAACTGCAGTTCATTTCCATAAGAACAGAGAACCGTTTCTTGCGCAACTCCGCCGACCTGTCGTCTGCAGCGCTGGGATACGGTGTGGCCCTCGAAAACTCGCTGTTTGTCTTCCCCAAGTCGCAGGAGGAATTCATCACGAACATGGTGGAAGGAACAGGCCATAACGTTAACCAGGACACCATCAACAAGGTCTACGACGAGCCTCTGAATCCTGGCCGCAAGGTACTTGCCATTGGTGCTGTGTGGGACTATTTACAGATCAAAGCCGAGGAGGAGAAGTATGAGAATGTTGACATGATTGAAGTGATGTCGCTACTAAAGGGAAATGAGGCATGTCATGGCTACGGGCCAGCATACCCGCTCGAATTAGTTGAATCTGTGCTCAATCAGGTTGCCGAGTGCACTTAAACCTCGTTTGGACAGAACATTGTTTGAAGTTCAAGCATGCGAGGGATATCTACCATAGTTCTGGTGTCGACTTAATTCTTGCCGGTACCTACTTTGCTAGGATCATTTGTTTGGACGTTCATATATTGGATGTCTGAGGCATTTAATGGCATGGTCTATGGCTGTATTTGATCAACATTCTTCATCATATGTACTAATTGTTTTAGTTATAACTCGTTATTTGCTTCAGGTAATGGACGAGATATACACGAACATCAAGATTACTGATTTTGAGATCAATAACATTAATGAGATTATGTATCCTTCCATATTATCAAATACCGGGATTACTAGACGTAAGCAAGAATTTTTCTTAAGATTAAAGGTTATTTTGTTAGTGGACCTCCTCACCAGCTTATACCATTCGCATTATTTTTGAGTCTCACCAAGCTCTTGTACATCCTACGAAGCAAAATCCAAAAATCACCAATAACCAAATTGAAAAAAAACCCCCAAAAGAAAGCAAATCAACCAAACAAACCTTTGGGAATCCAGACTAATCAATAAAAACCTTCAAATACCTCCTCCTTGATTCTTTGTACCAACCATCCATCCAGCGAAGCTTCTAGAAGTCTGCATACACTCCATATATCACTGGCCAAATCGCTCGAAATCTCACATTTCCAACCCATCTACCCCATCATGTCTGCCGACGAGTACAAAGCAGAAGGAAACAAATTATTTGCCGCCAAAGAGTTTGAAAAGGCAATTGAGCAGTTCACCAAGGCCATCGAAGCCTCGCCTGCTCCTAATCACGTTCTCTACTCAAACAGATCAGCATGTTACGCTTCTTTGAAGGTATTCAACAAGGCGTTGGAAGATGCCGAGCAGTGTGTGGCCATCAACAACACCTGGGCCAAAGGTTACAACCGTGTGGGAGCTGCCCAGTACGGATTGGGTAACTTTGACGATGCTAGAAAAGCTTACAGCAAGGCGGTGGAGTTGGATCCATCCAATACCATGGCTCAGAATGGACTCATGGCTATTGAGCAGGCTGAGTCGGCCAGGAACCAGCAGCCTGACATGGGATTGGGCAGAATGTTCTCGGACCCAGAGTTGATCACTAAGTTGAAAAACAACCCCAAGACGGCTGAGTTGATGAAGGATCCAAGTTTGGTGACCAAGTTGTTACAGATCCAGGCCAACCCGCAGGCCGGCATGTCCACCATGTTGACGGACCCACGTATGATGACCGTGATGGCTGCATTAATGGGAATTGACATCGATATGCCTATTCCTGAAGAGGGCAAGAGCGAGTCGACCTCGGCTCCAAAAGAGCAGCCTCAGCCAGCTAAGGAGGAGCCCGAGATCAAAAAGCCAAAGGTTGAGGAGACAAAGCCAGAGGCCAAGACTGAGACTAAGACTGAGACCCTGACTGACTCTCAAGATGTAGAGATGGAGGATGCAGACAGAGAAGATACTAAAGGTGACAAGGCAGCTGCAGACGCCGCAAAGGCAGAGGGAAACACTTTGTACAAGCAAAGAAAGTTTGAAGAGGCCATTGCCCAGTACGAAAAGGCCTGGAAGCTCTACAAGGACATTACGTACTTGAACAACAGAGCTGCAGCCGAGTTTGAGAAGGGTGACTACGATGCAGCCATTGCCAGCTGTGAAACTGCCATTGAAGAAGGCAGAGCAGTCAGAGCAGACTACAAGGTGATTGCTAAGTCATTTGCTAGATTGGGTAACTGTTACTTGAAGAAGGACGACTTGGAGGCCGCAGCCAAGAACTTCGATAAGTCGTTGACTGAACATAGAACTCCAGAGGTGTTATCCAAATTGAGAGCCACCCAGAAAGATATTAAAAACAGAGAGGCTCTTCTGTATGTGGATGCCGACAAGGCTGAGGAGGCCAGATTGGAGGGTAAGGAGTACTTCACAAAGGGAGATTGGCCAAACGCTGTCAAGGCATACACTGAAATGGTCAAAAGAGCACCTGAGGATGCTAGAGGATACTCCAACAGGGCTGCTGCTTTGGCTAAGCTAATGTCATTTCCAGATGCGGTGAAGGACTGTGACACTGCTATCCAGAAAGACCCAACTTTCATCAGAGCTTATATCAGAAAGGCTAATGCCCAATTGGCCATGAAGGAATACTCACATGTTATTGAAACGTTGAATGATGCTCGTGAAAAGGATCTTGAGGTGAACGCCGGAAAGAACGTTCTGGAGATTGATCAATTGTATAATAAAGCTGCCTCACAGCGTTTCCTGGCCATCGAAGGCGAGACCCCAGAGCAGACAATGGAGAGAGTGTCGAGAGACCCTGAAATTGTTTCAATCTTGCAAGACCCAGTCATGCAGGGTATTTTGGGCCAGGCTAGAGAGAACCCAGCTGCTTTACAGGACCACATGAGAAACCCAGAGGTCAACAAGAAGATCCAGACCTTGATCGCTGCAGGTGTGATTCGTACCCGTTAAATAATGAATTAATTAAGAATTGCAAATATATAACGAGAACTAAAAACCGTTGTCAAAGAAGAAGTTGGGCATGCTGCTCATCTCTTCGCTTGCCAAATTAAAGACGTCATCTCCAAATTGCCAGTTCGGCAAAATATTTTCATCAACCCCCCATTTGCTGTCCGTAGGGTGCATGATGTTAGGTAAAGCTGGGTCTGTGCGTTTCGGTGTCGAGACGTAGCTCGACACGGAATTAGACGAATTGTTGGATGGCGAGTTGTTCAAGATGTCGTTCTTGGGGTCTCTTTGGAGCTTCGGATAAAACGTGGGACAAATGGACTTCATGAGATCAGATACGGCTTCTGCGCCCTCAGCCCTACGGTAAAATTGTGGATACTTCCGTTCAATGATTTCCAAATGCTCTTTCAATGCAGGGTTGCTTCCTAGAATATTCATGTTGCTTCCTTCCTCTATGATTTTAATGGTGATTCGCAAAAGAATCCGAATGAGCATGTCATACATCTGCAAACGCATGTATAGGAGCCTTGTATGTTCATTGTCGGCCTTTTGGCCAAAGTAGCCGAAAAAATTGATGGACACGTCAATGATCAAACTCAAATCCTTGAAAATTTCATTGTCGTTTGAATGGTTCAAGCAGTTGGATAGAATGTTAACTGTTGCTGCAAAGGGGAAGATGACCAACCAATTGGTTTCAAGATGGGGCATGTCCTCCCTGTCGATGTTTCTTATGATGTGCAAGATGGTTCTTGCACTTTCAAGTGACAACCTTCTAAATTCTGAGTTCTCCAACAGAGGTTTCTCGCATTCGTCGGCAACTACCTGCCAGGGAACTCTGTTGATAGTCATGAGATGACTGAAGTACGAAAGAAGCAAGTTCCCACGTTTGTTGCATATATGGTCAAAGTTCAGGCCTGTGCGTATGCTCTGTAACAACTTATCGAAATTCTCCTCATAATAGAAAAGGGGGCGAATGTCATCCGTCATCTCCAGCGCCAAATCGAACATGTTTGTGTTGATGGACGTGACAATTTCCTGAACACGACTCATACTTTCAAAACCAACCGACGCACTAAAGAGCTTCACATAACTGAGAGATCGAATCTGAGACAACTTGAACATGCTTCTGTGAAGGGATAACACTGCCAGCGACGATGCATCAATAGTCAGTTCGTTGCTAAGGAGTTGACCGAGATCTGAGACCGAAACATCATTGAACGAATTGAGGACAGAAACATCCACAATATTGACCAGTGGTGGTTTACCCAAACGGTAGCACATGTCAATATCCATGTGTTGACAAACAGCCCAAAGCTTGATTCTCTCGTATCTTTCTACTTCAGATAGGTGAGCAGTGGTCTCAATACGATGTAAACCCAACTCTTGTGCATATCTGACTGCTGTGCTCACGAGAGTGTAGTTAATATCGAACATCACGGAGGAAGTCTCCAAGTAGACTGCCATGAGCAAAAGTGCATGCACGGACATGATTCCTTCCGATATGGCAGCAATTCTGTTATAGTAGAAAATGGAATTCATGAATACTTCTTCTTGCACGGATGAGAGCTGAGCAGTGGTGATCTTCTCCACAGCCGGATACCGGACGACGCCTCCAAGTGGCTTTTTGTTATCGATAAAGACGGAGGTAGTAATTGCAATGACCAAGTTCATGATCATCAACTCGGAATAGGAGAATTTTCTTTTCTTTTCTGGAGGTAACGACTTGTTGGCATAATAAAAGTCAAAGAGCTCTTTCACCAAGTCAGGGGGACACACCAAGCCCATCTCGATCTGCTTGTAAAGTTGGAGAAAGTCATCCACAAGAGCACGATTATGCGGGAATATTCCAAGTTTAAGCTTCTTAATCTGGTCTGCTGTGTGAACCTGAGGTTCGATCCAAACACTCTGGAAAACATGTTTCCAAGCGGTGACATAGAAGAGAAGAGACTCCAAAGGTACAGTAATATATTGGTCCTGCGGCGGGAGCTTCAGACGAATGAAGCTAACACTCTGCGGGCTAAAAAGCATGGTGAACCCGAGATGTGCACCTTTGTAATGTGGTTGAATCTTACGAGTATGCAGAGTCACATCGCCCTCAAACGTCTCGGTCATGATAGCCTTACACTGCTGGAAATATGAATCCTTATCTCTGTTCATTAGCAGCGCCACGGGAGTCTTCAGTGCTTCAGAAGAATCCTCCAGGTGTTCTTCAGTTTGATCGGGACTCGAGTCGCCATCGGAGGTTGCGCTACGTAAGAGCAGCAGCAGTGGAAGTGCACTGTTTGTGTTGGCTACGCCTCCATTCGTTCCAATCGAGTCTACTTTGTTTGCGATTCGGAGCACCAAGTCTTCTAGTTTACCTAGACGATCTTGAAGATTGTCAGTTGCTTTGGTCCTAGGCTTCCGCTGCTTGTTCAGCTCGTAGAAGCAGCTGCTGTTCAGGTGTTGGCAGTGATTGCAGGGCATCATTCCGTCACATTTGATCTTCTTGCGGCGACACAGAGCACATGCTTTGGCAACACGGTCTCTTCGCCTTTCATCAACAGAGAGAGTACTCAGATTCGTCAGCATTGGGAGATTTTTGATATTCGGCACGCGGACTTGGATGCTTCACTATATTTACACACAGCCCCACACGAATATATTATGCGGCTTCAACTTGATAGTCTTGTACGAAAATACCGGTAATGAATTGGAAACGGCAATTTTTATCACCGTAGGGTCCGGGTGTACTGATGTAACGATGGGAAGTTGATGACAATTCAATCGGAGATATCGTAGAATGCAGGAAATTCGGAAGCGGAGATAATGACCAGATTGAGACTGGTAACTTTGGGCCACCAGAAAGGAAAAGCAAGCAATCCTAATTTCCAAAACAAACAGAAGATCGTAATTTGAATAGTCTGCCTAGCTCGGTTTTGTTGTGAAGAAATGTTCATCAAATTTTGGAGCCCGTTGCCAGAAGTCAACAGACAATCAAAGTGGCCAAATAGAAATCCGAAGTACTCATCTGTGAACTAATCACGCCATCAGACAGAATTTGCCCATTGAAACATTGCAAACTCACAGGACTTCTTCTTCACGTTTACTTAGTCATAGTGCCACTTATCAGTAAGACATCAATTATCTCATACTCCCATCGATTACCCGTTACTCTTTCATTAAGGTGACATCTTGCAGTAATGTCTTTTCCCGTTGATGCCAAATATACTCTAAATCTTAAATCTCACATGTTTATTCATCTCTCCGGTTTCTTCTGGCCCTGCCACCCCTTTCATTCAGTCATAATGTTTCTAGAACTGAATGTTGTTGTCAAAGAAAAAATTAGGAAATTGACTGATTTGTGAGTTCACAAGGCTGTCCATGTCATCGTAGAAATGCGTGTTTGTCTCGTTTATCATTTCGTCTCCATATGGGTTAATGGCACCATCCAGATACCCACCGTAATCGTTCATACCTGTTTTTAGAGGCAAAATAAGAGTGTGGTCTTGGCTGAGCACAGAATTGGCTCTTGATGCGGTGTTCACACGAGAACCCTTGGTATCGGCTGCAAAAGGAGATTTGGCATTAATCCTTGAGGCATACGAAGTCAAGCTAGCCTTGAAGTCATCAGGATTACTGTAGAGCTCGGGGAACAGCCGAGCAGGCAAGTCAAGGTGCTCCTTGAGACTCTCGTTGGTTTCCAAAATGCACACGCCAGTCTTTTTCTCGAAGATGGTTATGGTTATTTTCAACACACTTTTAAAGAGAACTTTCAACAAAGTGGAGATCTCCATCTTTGCAAAGTATCCAAGAGCTTTGCTGCTCGATTTGCGGCCAATGAAATTGCGGGATATGTCAATCATTAGATTCAAATCATGGATGGCATCTGGAGAGTTTGGCTGATTCATACATGCGGCCAGCAAGCTCAAAAACGCAGAAAGTGGGAAGAACATGCACCACATGCCAAAAGATTCGTTCAACTCCTCTCTATTGATGTTTTTCACCAAATGTAACACAGTTCTAGCACTGTTGAGCGAGAGGTCTCGGTACACTTCCAACACATTCTCGCTGACATGTGGAAAATTGAACATCAGAGGCAACCTGTTCACCACCATCATGTGAGTGAAGTAGCTCAACAAGACAGTAAGTATCACCTCATCTTCCTCAGTATGCACATTGAAATAAGGTTTGAATCGAGGATCGTTGTAGAAGACAGCCTGGTGGTTTGGGGGCATCAATATGGCCACATTCTGCATCTCTGAATTGAGGAAGTCCAAACTTTCCTGAAGCGCAGAAAACGAGTCTAAGTTCGCTTTTGCAGAAAATAAACTGTTGTAACTCTGTAACCGCATTCGGAAAATTCCAATAAAGATCTTGTGAAGTAATTCGTCTCTGTTGTCGCGATGGAATTGCAGAGATTTTGGAGTCTCTAAAGACGGACTCACGTCGTTGTAATTAATAAGAGGCGACCTGCCACTCCGGAAACATGACTCCATGTCCATGAAACAGCACATGGCCCAAATACGAGACCGCAACAGATTCATCTCGTTGTTATCTTCGTAAGTCTCGATTCTATGAAGACCCAAGTCCTGAGCATATCTAACCGCCAGCGAAAGTATCATGTATCCGATTTCTGGGGTTATGCAATTGCGTTCAAGGTACACCGAGAATAGAAGCAATGCCTCCACGGTCTCCAAACCTTCACTGATTACGCAAATGCGCAAATAGTACTGAATAGCATTGTTCAAGAGCTCCTCTTGCAATTGGGTAATTCTATCACTGGTGAAGAATTCAGGAAGACTCTTGGTGGAAGTGCTTGAGGGGGTCGAGGTAACCAGGCTCAAGAGGTGTTCGGTCATGCCCACCAAACTGGCCAACAAGACGATTGTCATCTTGAGCAACTGCGAAACAGAGAAAATGCGCCTAGAAGAGTTTTTGTGGGCGTAATACCTCACAAACATGGCTCTCACCTCCTCATAGCTTGCAAGGAAATGATAAAAGTTTGTAGACTTATACTGGGTATCGATCAAATTCATAATAGAAACCGAGTCCTCCGAGAACGGACAGTTCAAGAGCTTAGCTTTTCCTTTGGAATCAAGAGAGACTGGATCTATCCATTTTGACAAGAACAGCCGGGCCTTTGCCTGAAAGACAAGAGGCATGTTGGTGAAAGGGGTCATCAAATCCTGGTGATCTGGCCCCAACTGTTGACTGATCCAATTTAGACTACTGGCGGAGAATATCGAGAGGAATGAATGAGTACCAAAGTACAATTCCATCAGCTTCATGTTTATGGACTTTTCAGATTTCTCTGCTGAGTCACCATTCATAACGTATTGTGTCGTCATGTCTTCACTGCCTGAGGACTCGTCAGTAGAGTTTGTGTCGTCTTCATCGTCAGTGTTTGAAGTGTCCTGGCCGATCTCATGATTGGTCCTGAGGTTCATCGAGGACTTGTCCACGCCTCCCAATTTATCAGTAAGGGACAACACAACGTTCTCGAGCCTCTGGATACGAGAATTGAGGAAGTCAATATTGCGGCCATTGGACATTCGGCCCCTCCGTCTAGTTTGAGTCTTCTTGGGAGGCCGTTCCTCATAATGGCACACCTTTTCATTGGCTATGACGCAGTTCAGGCAACGAGGTTTACCGTCACAGCGGATTTTCTTCTTGCGGCATGTGTCACACGCCACCCTAGTTCGTTTCCTGGGTTCTGAAGACATGTTGGCACGAGTTGTGAGTAGATGGAAGACAACAGTGAAAGCAACAGTGTGAGTAAAAGAGGTCCAATTCCCAAGTTGAATTCTTAAAGAATAACAACAGAATTTTCTGATGAGAACACTAGGAATATCTGTCAAGAAGTGTCCACCACTACATTTAAGAATCGAAGAGTACCATAGAGAACAATGAATGCATACAACAAACTGCATGGACAAGTATATCTAACGGTAGTTTCGGATGCATTTGAATATCCGACCCGTATGCGGCAGATACAATGTCCGATACATTTGGCCATCAAGTCATCACCAACTGATCACAAGCGATCTGACGTTTTCAATTAGATCGTACCACTGGAATCCGCATTTTTTTTTGACGCACCTCGCAAATCCTTAAGTACGTTCTTAATCATGCTCACCTGTGGCTGCGAAAAGGCACAATTCCATCTATCCGTTGGATCTTGAGAGTTGCAAGTCCACCCAACTTTCAATACATGCTGATGTTGGCTTTCCTTTTGCGCCACCCTACCCCACGCGGCGGAATCTGCACTCTCAGGAAATGGGAGTTGTAGTTGCTCTGGTAGTTCGATGCAAGTCCCCGGGTATTGTCCCTATTGTGTTCGATCCATCGCCGATGTCCCGCCCCTCCCCATACTTGAATTCCTGCTTTTAGCATTCTCCGTTCTGGCCCGAACAATAGTAACCCTCAAGACTTAAGGCTTACGTTGCCATGGCGCAGCCCCATGTTTCTTTCAACAACGCATTATTGAAGGTCACCCATAGATATCATGACGTTGTGTACGAGTCGATGGGATACCCTTTACTGCCGAGAGTATTGTATGGGGAATGTTTGCTTGTCTTTGAGCGTCACGATTGTATGTGTTTTTTTTGGTGTGATGTTTCATCTCTTGTCGTCATACTTTGTTTGGCCAGGCATTTTCTATTGTCTGAAAATGTTTCTCTGGCTGGATCACTCATGTGGTTTTTGCAGCTATGTTGTCTTCTCATTCTTTGTATTTCATTCTTTGTATTTCATTCTTTGTATTTCCTTCTTGATCATGAGTCCCACAAGGTATGCTCTTCTTGTTGCATTTTCATATGAGTTTCTTTTATCTTTTCCATCTACAAATGTTCTTGACAATTTGGATAATCTTGGAAATGTTCTCGACAATTGAGAGTTTTCTTTTTGGAAAGTTTGCACGGGCTTGTCTTCTTATGTTTTCACATTCTCACATTAAATGTCATGCTACAATGATGATTCAGTCTCTCCTTTTTGCCAAATTCACTCAACGTCACAACATATCTATTCTTTCCATTCTATTTTCCCTTTTTTTCTTTCCACTCCCTTGCTCATTGAACGGCTCACAAATGCCTCCATACCCTCATTGTTCGTTCATGATTCCCGTACTTCCCACCATTATTTCGCACCCAGTCGTGCCGATTTGTTCATTCAAATTCTCCAAGTCAACGAACCTCAACTCAGTGAATAATTTTCAATGGTGGCCAGAAAACCCATTTTTGCCAACAAGGAGGACGCCAACGCCCGTGAGGCTTTGAAGCTTTATGAGGCCAAACAGTATAAAAAGGCTTTGAAGCTCGTCGATCAGAACTTGAAGAAGAACTCTTCCCACGCTGAGTCCTTGGCCTTGAAGGGCTGTGCAAACCACCAATTGGGACATAAGGCTGATGCAGAGCCCTACATTATCAAGGCATTGGCCAAGGAGCCTGCAAATTACTTGGTTAACCATTTGGCTGGTATCTATTATAGATCGGTGGAGAACTATGAAGAGGCTGCCAAATGGTATAAGGCGGCCATGGACCATGGTCTGCAAAACACCCCAATCTTGAGAGACTTATCGTTGCTTCAATCACAGGTGAGAGATTACAAGAACTTGAAGGATTCCAGACAACAGTTCTTGGAGAGTCAGCCTGGTTATAGGGCAAACTGGACTGCTGTCGCTATTGCACATCACCTCAACAAGGATTATGATGCTGCTGTCAGCACATTGGCCAAGATCGAGGACATCATTAAAGAACATTTACAGGAGCAGGACAGATATGAGCAGAGTGAGTGTGTTCTTTACAAGAATTCCATCATTGCAGAGGCTGGCAACTTTTCCAGAGCTTTGGAAGAGTTGGAGAAGGACTCAGACGAAATCAGAGACCGCACGTCATTCATGGAATATAAGGCCAAGTACTTGCTTCTCTTGGGCAAGCTGAAGGAATCTTCGTTGGTGTACCGTGCGTTGTTGCAAAGAAACCCAGACAACGAGTCGTACTATACCTTGCTTGAAACTGCTTTGGGTACGCCCAGTGGCTCCATCGACCTCAGATTGAAGTTGTACGATAAGCTTGCACTGTTCTATCCTCGTGCAGACCCTCCTCAGTATGTCCCTTTAACGTTCTTGCCTGCTTCCCATCCTCAGTTCAGAGAGAGAGCTTCCAAGTACATTTTGTCTCAATTGAAGAGAGGTGTCCCTGCTACCTTCGTCAACGTCAAGCCCTTGTACACCAATAAGAAGAAGCGTGATGTGATATTGTCAATTGTGTTGGAGTTTTTCGAGAAGGAAGTGCCTCTGTTGCAACCCACTGTTTTCGTTTGGGCAAACTACTTCTTGTCTCAGCACTACTTATACCTTGGTGACAACAACAAAGCCATGGAATATGTTGATGCAGCATTGAACCACTCGCCAACCTTGGTCGAATTGTACATTCTCAAGGCCCGTGTCACCAAGCATCTTGGCCAATACAAGGAGGCTGCAGCCATCATGCAAGAGGGCCGTTCTTTGGACTTGCAGGATCGTTTCATTAACTCCAAGACTACCAAGTACCTCTTTAGAGCCAACCAGATCGATGACGCAATCAATTGCATCTCTCTCTTCACAAAATTGGACGAAGGCGCCGTCAATGGCCTCAAAGACTTGCACACCATGCAAGCCAACTGGGTGTTGGTTGAAAGTGCAGAGGCCTACACCCGACTCTATAAAGAGCAACTCGAGAAGCTTGCATCTTTGCCCGCTGACTCAGACCAGCTCAATGAAGTCCAGGACTTGGCTGACATGTACAGAGGTTTGGCGTTGAAGAGATTTTTGGCAGTGGCTAAGGTGTTCAAAGTGTTCACCAACGACCAGTTCGACTTCCACTCCTACTGTATGAGACGTGGTACTCCGCGTGACTATATTGACATGTTGAAATGGGAGGATAAGCTTTACGGCACTCCGATTTATGTCAGAAGTGTAAAGGGTTTGTGTGAGCTCTATTGGGAAATTTACAGAGGTCAACAAGCGGAAAAGTCCAACGAAGATCCTAAGTCCAAAAAGAAGAAGGCCAAGAAGACCAAGCCACTTAACATCAAAAAGAAGAGCGAGCTCATCTCTCGTGTTGAGTCCGAGAAGGATGATGTTGATCCATTGGGTGCTAAGCTTTTGTCTGATTTGAAGGAGAATCCGAACCTCTTGGAGGAAATGGAGAACCAAGCCAAAGTCTTGACATCCCAAGCTGACAAGTATAGATTCACTTGGGAGTTTGCTTACGACGTTTATTTGGAAGAGAAGAAGTATGTATTGGCATTGCAGAGTTTGAGAAACTGGGCCAAGATTGTGGATCCTTCCAACGAGAAGTTGTCAATTGTCTCCAAAAAAGTGGAGCAGTTCCGTTCCAAATTGGCTGACGATACTATCTCCAACCCGGCTATCGTGAAGGTTGCACAGAAGGGATTGGAAAGTGCATTCCCACAATAATCATATATATAACTATGTATTGAGCCAGGACTCTGCCTGGGAACGTGCAACCGAAGACGCCAAATTGAGCGTTTGTTGACCCATAGGAAAGTAGCTGACCGTGTACCAAATGGCACTAATTAGCTGGATAGCAGCAAACAATATGGAGAGAAGAGTAGACTTCAACGACAAACTCGAGATCAAGGTCAAGATAATGCTAGTGACAAACACCACGGTGAAAATGAGCCGGGTGGACGAAAGTAAGTGTGTGACATATGCCTGGAAGCCCTGAAGCACACCAAAACTCACCAAAAAGAAGATCAGCCCCAACGACCAAAGTAAGGCAAACTTCCGAGGTTTTAGTGAGAGAACTGGGAAGAGAAAGATGCAGATCAAGTAGCAGCAGACACTTCCGCCAAACGTCAATGCAAAAATCAACATTCGGTCCCATCGTGACAATTCAAAATACCCAGGTTCCAGGGTGACATAGTTGCTATCGTCCTCTAGATATATGCTCTGAGATCTGAACGGATTCAACTTCTGCATCCGAGCTTTGAATCCAGATTGAGGCTCTGAAGGTTGAGTTACAGGAGGAGGCAATGGTGCACCATCTTCCTGTGCCAATGGTGTATACTTGTTTTTGAAAGATTTGAAGAAACTCATGCTGATGATGATTATTATTAAAGATTAGGGTGTACTCGGATGTAATAGTGGAGGCGAGTGCACGTGACAATAGAGATGATTAGAGTAGAGTGATTTGGTGCCAGAACGTTCAATGGAAGTAATGAATATAAGGTAATCTTCAGAAGATTTCTAGCAATATGACCTTGAAATTTTTCTCATATACTTGTTTCTTGTAGTGTGTTTGTCAAACCGTCCTTTTCTTTCAATGCGCACCTACTAACCAAGACGTACAGAACTCTGGCTCTACCTTTACCTTTTCAACTACACCCTCAATCGCCAGTATCATGTCAGTTGCAACCAGCTCGTTCTTTTCCACATACGCTCAGCTTATAAATTTGGCCCCAGACGCTCCCTCGGATGCATTCTACGGCACTGACGACTACAACAAGATCGACACTTTAGGTCCTTCGTTGCCAAAGCTTCCATATGTGTTCCCACAGGCAAGCGATGCCATTTCAGAGAATGAAGATGTTGTCACTGTCAACGTCAAGTCCATTAAGCCTCCATTGAAGTTTTCTACGCTGCTCAACGGCATTCCTCTAGGATACTCCATCTACAAGGTCAAGACGAAATTGGTTGAAGATGTGGACGTTTTGAAGAACGCAGGTTCTACTCCTGGTGACCTCAAAGTCATGATCAAGGCCAAAGTTGTTTCTGATGCTACGGTGCTTTCGTCGTTGATTTCTGGCGACGCAGAAATAAGCTTTACTGTGATGGTATCAGCACCAAAACCCAAGGCTGTGGATCCAGCCGAGGAGGTTCCGGTGGCTAATGAGAATGCTACCGTTAGTGTGGCATCATGGCAAAAGATTTATGACATTTTGGTTGCTGATCTTGGAGATGTTGAGGCTAAGGCAGCTTTGGAGAAGTTCAGAAATGCCTTGTGAAGAAGTATGCACTAAAAAAGGCAAGAATGCACTAAAATGGGCCAACAGAAGCGGAATATGAAGAATAATAGGCTATAAATAGTAAATATTTTCTTCAATTAATGTTACTTAATGTTGCTTTATGTGGTTTGAATGATGGTTCTCGATGACATCCTCAATACTATATACTAATTCCCTGAAATGGGTGATTAGCCCTACCGTAACCTGAACATAATTTGATACCATGAAACGCTGTCAATAATCTCTGATATGAACATGCACAATCTTGTGATACAGTTCAGCTTTCATTCACTTCCCTTAATAGTGATTACTTCCCATACTTCTTGGTGAGTAGCTCATTCAAGCTGTGTCCTTCTGGTCTTCCTACTCTTCTCTCATGGACGTAATAGGCAGCAACACCTATGGAAACGGCAATCACAGGATCTGCAATTCGAGAGATCAAGTACTTATATTGCATCAGAAAGAGAGGGTATAATGGTGGTTAATCTCTAGCACAGTCTGCTGTGTACAGTATAGAACACCATTCATTGATGTTCCTAAATCAATAGATAATCAGTCGAAGGTGACTAAAAAGCCAGCAATAGGTTTTCTACATTTCTACTCATGACTCTACTCTTAGAACATTATTCTATTATGTGATGGGGATGCTCAAGATTTCTGCAGTCTATATCGATGCAGCCAAAATACCATCTCCTAGCCCTCTAATGAATATTTTGTGAAATGCAAGGTGTGAAAATAAACTATCACTTAGGTCTTTTTGACAAACTTCTTCCTCATGCGATTACTGATATGTTTGTTCCACATAACTCCACTCATGATGGACTTGTTGAAGCCATAAACGTCATGGTACTCGTTGTCAATGGAGCCCGACTTTTGTAACGCCTGACGCTCCTGCTCGCTCATGCCCGTATCAATGAGCGAGGTCTTCTTCTTGATCTTATTACGCTGCTGTGATACAAACTCTCGGCACTTGTTGATCTCGTCTTGCAGAAGGAACCCGTACCCGTAGCCTCCAATCTTTTTGTAGCAACTATCAACTAGCAAGTTTGGGTCTGTAATGCTTTTAGGGAAGTTTTGCATGAATTGGAAGAGCTCAATCTGCTCGGTTTCGGATTCGGCATCGCGGGCTTCCCTGGAAGAAAACTTGGGGTGATCCAAGCACAAGCGACAGATAGTAAGCGAGATACGGAAAATGGTCTTGGACCCTTCGTACCAGATGATATCCCACACTCGGAGGACACTTTCGATCGGTAGCACGCCTACAAAAACAGACATGAACCACGAGGAAGTCACCAACGTGACTGGAGGAAGTCGAACTAGAATTTTATCCTCGGTAACCACCTCACCATCGAAGCTTTTGCCGATGATTTTCCAAAGCTTGGGAATGTACTCTCTCACGCACATCATGAGAACGCCCTGGTCTGTGTGAACACCTTCCAAGTTTGCCGAATGAACTTTCGGGAGAATGCGTTCCGTCAAGATTACAAGCATCCAAAAGGTGTTTTCTTCTTCCATAAAGAGTAGAAGGAGCCCTGCAAGAAAATTAAGAGACTGACAGTAGCCGATATGTGGCAGGTAATGAGCGAACGCAACCAACACTCGTCTCAACGATTTAATCATGTTGGACTCAGGCTGTGACTCATCCTGGAGACTTACCAGGGAGAGCGATTGTGTGGAGTTAAAGAAAATGTTGTCGGGAAACGTTCTGTTCAAGTCTCGCTCAATAACCTCGGTGTCTTTGTTCTTAACCCCGACGGTATCTGCTACTATCTTATCGTAGACCCCGATGTGGGCGTTGAGTTTCTCGTAGCCGCCCGCGTAGAAGAACCAGGCATTACCTCTCCACTCGGGCGGGATTCCTTTTCGAACCAATTTCTTCAGTTTGTCGGACTTTGGCGGAAACCGGGTAGGAACCTTCTTTGCGTCGAGACGGAGGCCATTCTGCTTCATCAACAAGTTCCATTTCTTGCGCTGATGTACCAAATGCGGCAGATATTCTTTAAACCACGCGTTGTATGACTCTCTAGACGATTCGAAGTAAGACGACTGTTTCTTGAAGCCGTACATATCAAAGTTGCTTTCCAAGATGCGAGACATGTTCTTCTCGGATGATTCCAGTAATTGCGGTCGGTCCAGCGTTACTCCTCGAGTTTCTGGCAACGCTACCTTCAGGCTGACCACCAGACTAGCCGCCATGGTGGATTCTGTGGCATCAGCAATTCCCAGAATGGTATCGTCTGCAGCGAAGGAATCTGTTTCAGGAATGGCCAGAAAATCCGAGATGTCAAGTACTGGTGCTGTAGGAGGCGCCTCCTGTTGGCTATTTAAGCCTGTATTTGCATACTGAACGATATCATCTTCAGAGTCATGGGTAGCCATCAGATCACCGTCCAAGGCAACATCGTATATCTCCAATAGAGAATAATTGTGCGAATAGCCCGACTCGGAGCGCTGAACTGAGTTGGGTGATGACAACATATCCGTGGCAGATCCAGGATCTAATCTAGACACCATGATGCTGGAGAATGATGGGGGTGCCAGAAAGAATGTGGGTTGACAAGGGAATGGAAGGGTAATGTTCTTTTAACTCGGGTGTGTGTGTGCAGTGACTGGGGAAGGAGACGATCATCCTGGGAAGAGAATGGGGGAGGAGATGGGATTTATGGCGAATATTTCAGTTCATGCTAATTCATTCTCTTTTCAAAATGATGCTTGGTGGCTTCCTTTTTTTTTTTTTGTTTTTGGTAGTGGGAACTGAATCGTGTAAAGAGGTTTAGTTGGGTATTCTGTAATTTTCGCAACCAATGTACTTCTATGACATACGAAATGTCTAACCGAACGAAAGGAAGGTCGAACCAAAGAAGAAGCAATATAGAAACGGAAAGCGAATCAAAGAATTATGGTCAATAATTGAAGAAAAATCCACATCAATTCAAATCCAACTCAAATCAAAGTCATTATAAATATTCCCTAATCCATGATGTCTATCCACTTCCCAACCTTCACATGTCCACGTGACTCCTCAGCCTTCATCTTCTCTACCATCATCATTTCTTCTCCATATGTTCTGGAGAGCTTCGTCTCCCTCGGTCACCTATGACCTGTGTCAGCCTGTGACGCTACCGGAAGGCGTACTAATATCCCATGATTTTGATAAGCAGGTGCGCTACATCCGGTCGGCCACATTCCACCAAAAATGTTACATGGGCTCTACTCCCATGTTGAATACCAACGTCAACTTGGTCATGAATACGTTTTCACAGCCGCTACCCATCGTCAAGCACTCATGGGAACAGTTCACGCTGCATCCCAGTCGTGGCGTGTTTATTTTCAGTGTGGTTCCTATCATTTATTCCATCTCCATCTCTGCTGTTGTAACGTGGTTTCTCACTATCTTTGTTCTTGCAAATTACACCATCAAGCCGTCCCTTCTTTTAAAGGCGTCCACACTCATGCTGCTGATATACATGTTAATCACGGTTATTGGCTCAATCATTGTGTTGCATGGCCAGCAACGCCAAGGTTATCTTCACGGAGCTGCACTCCTCGATCACATCAATCAGCAGGTCTATTTGAATGTTATCGACATGTTAGTGGTGTTCCTCTTGCAGGTCAACCAGGTTCAAGTGGTGATGCGGTTGTTTTCTCGTCAGAGCGACAAGCGACTCATATTTTTGGTGGGTTTGGTGGCCTCATTAGCTTCTCAAACCCTCTGGAGCATTACCAAGTTCCATAACTTCGATAACGATGATGAGGTGGGCAAAATCTTGCCTGCTTTCACCTACTTGATCCGTATCGCCATGAGTATTAGTTATGCGGCGTTGTTTACGGCATTTCTACTAACCAAAGTGAGAACGCTATTTGCTCATAAGGGAATATGGCCAATTTCGCTTCTCACGCTTGTGTTTATATACGCACCAGTGGCTTTTTTTATAGCTGATGTGTCGAGTGCGTGGGTATACGAGTTGTCGGAAATTTTCTCTGTCGTTACCTACGTTGTGTGTGTGGTAATACCGTGGGAATGGTGCAACAAGTACAATATCATTCGGAAAATGATCGAAAAGGAAGGTGTCCTAGGACGGCGATTCCACGAAGATGAGATCTGCGAGTTGGATAGGTTTGAACTTTTTGTGGAGGAAGAATCCGACTCTGATGCTGGTGACGTCGGCGACGAAGGAAGCCAGCTACTTTCTCACCGGTCTGGCGAGTCTACATCGAGACGACTCGAGCAAAATATCTCCAAATCTCTGGAAATGCCGCATGAAAGCACAACCACCCCTTATAACAGACTTGTCAATGGTATGTGGGTATTACGAGACAGGTTTCTCGACATCACAGATAAAATCATCGCCACTGGATTGGCCATTCCTCGTTCGGTAAGTGTATCAAGCAACAATGCTACTTCTCCCAATTTTCACTTCGACAGAAATGGCTCTGCAGAAGTGGTTGAGCCCTCAACAAGGTCTCGAACTGTTGTCTTTGCAGATGGAGAAAATCCAGGACGGAACAGAAGAGATGTCTTCGTGTATTCTACAAAAGATGTGTGCATCAATTTGGATGATTAAAACGGTATAAAACAATGGAATTTATTACAACCAAGATTGTACACTTTTAAGATATATTGTATACAACTATGTGCTCTTGTCGTGTCCCAACGTAGCTACACGCAAGCATTCATCCTCAAAACCTGGTATATGAATGTACTCAACATCTCCATCTGTCAACTTCTGCTTTCCAGTGTTGTTCTTAACAAATGTGTCTGGTTCCACAACTCCCACAAAGCACGTTTTGATCAGGGTCTCCAATACTCTATCGACACAAGGCTTGTTCCCCACCGATCTATTAGAACATGGCTCCATAGTCGTATATAGCTCTGTTCCTTCAGGAACATCTGTTTTACCTGTTCTCTCGAAATACTTCTGTAACGCGCACTGTTCAGCATGTGTGTTACCAGGCAATTCTCTGGTATGGCCAGTAGCTAAGATTTCACCATTTAAAACCAACACAGCGCCTACATTGAATTGAGTTTGAGTTTCTCCACACTTCTTGGCTTCATCCAACGCAAGTTGCATGAATTCACGATGTTGATCAATAGCCCAATCAGGGTAATCCACCAGGTAAGACCACAGGTTATCTGCGCTTTCATATCTAAACGCATGGAGCCAAAGGTCGAGATCGTTGGGTCCTGGATCCGTGTAGAGAGGAATATTACACACTTCACAATTTTCATCTGTCAAGACCTCTCCATCTTCCTGCGGATGAATCCATGTAGAGCATGCACGAGTTTTACCTATCTGATCCAATCGAGCAATTAGTTCTGGGTCAGCTCCGTTATTACCTTTGCCAAGATCAGAATTTCCCCAAACGTACTCACTCAGGTAAATTGGATCGTTAGCAATGGGATGGCCAATGTATTGAAGATGAACTCTGATTTGGTGGGTTCTTCCAGTCAAGGGCCGACATTTAACAATGGAAGTGTCAGATTTGGCATCGTAAGACACTCTGGTGAACAATGTCGTCGCAGGTTTTCCCTTTTCATGATCAACCACGTTGAGTGCATGCTTGGGCGAAACAGTATGAAGAGGCTGGTCCACTTCTACTTTCCCAGTAGGAAACTTACCTTTCACTCTTGCAATATACTCTTTCTTGACAGTTCTTTCTCTAATTTGCTTGACAAAGAACTCAGCACCACGTGCGTTCTTACCAAGAAACATAAGCCCCAGCGTGAGTCTATCGAGTCGATTGCAAGGATGCACAGTCTTGCCATACTCGTGCTGGAAGATCTTGGTGATGGTGTTGTATCTGTATCTTCCCGTAGGATGCACAGGAATTCCCGAGGGCTTATCGATAGCGATCTTGTCGTTGTCCTCGAATACAATTTTGATTGGTCGAGAGGACACCGCCGGTTCGTGTCGGTGACAGCGATGACTGATGAGATCACCATTCCTCACCACTGAATCGATAGTGGTTCTAGTTTTGTTGAGCATCACCTGGCCATCTGCGATAGCTTTCCTATAGAATTCAGGATCCTTGTCTCTGAACTCGTCAACGAATACGTCGATGAGTTTACGGTCTCTCCATCGAAGCTTACAATATGTCAAGTACGTGAAGTAATATGGAGTCACTCTCCGCAACGCACCGTCCACAATGTAAGTGGCGCCTTCGGTTTCCTCTTCGTGGATAGTCTTGTCGGTGTTACCTTCCGACACGAGCAAATCTTTGTCCACAGACTGCTGTTTCAATCTAAACCCAAGATCATCTCTGAGTTTCTTCAGGCCACGCGGAAGTCTCAATGGTTTGGCATCCTCAGTTGCTGGCGTAGCCCTTGGAGTCTCGGAAGGGGACAGTGAAGCGGAACGCTTTGCGGATTCACCCATTGTTTTGTATATATGTGAGAATTGGCGGACAATCCTAGCCATTCACTAGTAAAGAATTATGTGCACAGGCAGGCAGAGATGAAGTAGCAGATAAAATCGAGAATATGACAAGATGCTGAGAAAGAAATATTAGTACATAAAATTTGAAAGAATAATTTAATCATTAAATAGTGAAGGTAAAAGGATTCAAATTGGAAATACAATTCTGTTCTATAATTATTTTCTGCTATTTCCCATAAATGATCCATCCTCTATTTCTTCAAAGCAAGCCTTGTTTCTTCAACTCAACATAATCCTTATGCGACATCACATTACCTTCCTCATCCTCCACCTCTACCACATTATCCTCATTATGCTGTGTTTCCAAGCGGCTCTTGCACAATTTTTTCCATAAGCTTTGTGCATCGTCGATTTTCGAGATATTGCTGAATGACCAAACATCGGACTCGGGGATTCCAAGCGACATAAGCCCATGGACATGCTTGGCTTGTGAGAAATGTTTGTTAAACTGTTGACGTCCTTTGTATATGGCGTTTCCACAGATTTCGCATTGATACTTATGATGAAGGCCCTGGAGCTTGTAGAGCCAGAGTGGAATAGGTGTTCCATCGGTACCTATTGGTAGATCTTTGGAGAAGAATTCGTCGTCGTTGTCGTCTTCATCATTTTCTTCGGAGTCCGACTCAACACTAGTGAAATCAGACTCTTCTCCAACTGCAACCAACACCTCCATCATTCGCTCTCTATCAGAAAGGCCAGTTCTCCGTTCATGATCTTGTATGGTTGCTTTTAGTTCATTACTCAATGCCGAAGTCATAATCTTGATTTGGCCCTCCAATTGCTTTCCAGAAGGACCTCTTTGTCTGGTTGTTTCGTCTGTAATATTAGTCCCTTCAGCTTCTGGTTTCTCCGTAAGCTTGGCCTCGTTCTTCTTGTGCTTTTTGCCTCCCAAATGACCCTTGTAAACTGTTTCCTTGGCGAAGACCTTGTCGCATGCCTTACAATAAACTTCGCCTTTCTCATCGGGCTTACCATCCTCCAACTGTGAATCCTTGACTTCTTGCGCCACGTCCAAGTTCGGCAAAGGCGTCAAGGGGTGTGAATTGACGAATTGCCTCTTCAAGTACAGTAGCAACGATTCTAGGTATCTGAGATAGTCGGTGCTGTTGCTAGAATGAGGAAAGTCGGTAACACTTTGTAAATACTGAGCGTAAGATATCTGGGACAGCGTAGCCGTCTTGAACATCTCATAGTACAAGGACAAGTCCAAGAATCGTCCGTACATCTCCACATCATTGAAGGCAGCATTGACCAGGTCAACAAGATGTGCTGCTGCTCTAGAAAGAACGTACTTGCGTTTAACCTTCAGTCCCTTAACATCTTCATCTGGAGCACTCAGATAAAGTCGAAACACATCCATGAGCTCCTCTGCATTCCATACAGCCTGGCCACGGGTCTCCTTGAGCATTTCTAGTTGAATCTCAAACTGGTCAAACTTCATCTTAACATCGGTCAACCGTTGAACCTCGTCATGCAATTTCGTTGTCTTAAAGTTTGCTTGAGCCCGATTACAATCTCTTTGTAGTTGCTGAGCAAAAAATTGTAGTTCATGCTGCTGTAGAAGCGTCTCCTTATGAGGTCTTTTACGAGAAGGCTCCAAAACCTCATCAGTATTAGAGATCTTAGCATATGAAGCCAATGTGGGATTCTTGCGAAACCGCTGAGAACATGCAGCCTCTAATACTTCTATCTCCTCAAGAAGTTGTCGCTGAGCTTCAAGTGACATGTAACTTACAATGACCGTCTGGTTTATTGAGTCTATTGATTGATAAAGCTTCAACTTACAGGCCATCGCACACAGTGCACTCCAGTCCTACATCCGTGCCCCACATAGTTAAGCAACCATCACCGTCAAACTCCCCATAGCAATGTCGATTCCACTTTATCTTCTCACTTATAATTGTGGCAAGCTACGGATTGACGCTGGTGACTTCATCGACAAGGTGAGTGCTACGCTCCCAGACGATGTGTGCGACCTCTATGTGTTTGGATTTCAGGAGATTTGCTCCATTCTAGACGGATCATTTAAAGACCAGGTTCATAAGCATATGATCACCATTAATCTGATTGTGATCGAGACTTTGAAACGAAAGTATGCCTCCAGATCAGGTGATTATAACTTCACCACAGTCGGGTTGCATCATTTGGGAGCAATTGGAATGATTGCCGTGACTCCATTCCCACTGCGGTTCAGAGATACCAAATATGCCGATGTAAGCTGCGGATACGGCAACTCGCTGTTGAAAGGAGGTGTTGGGTTCCGAATGCGTTACTCACAAGATATGGTGGACTTTGTCGAGCTTACATTTGCCAATGCCCATCTCTCAGCTTATGAAGGTGAATTCTACTACCAAAGACGGTTAGACAACATCCAGACGATAACGCGGGCGTTGGACTTTGGAGATGGATACAGCTTCTTGAAACCAAATAGCCATGCGTTTTTCTTGGGCGATCTCAACTTTAGAACAACAAAGTCTCTAAAGGACGGAAGACCCAATAGTGCACTCACAGACCTACTTGAGCTTCATGATCAGTCCGCGTCTACAACTACAGACGATGAAATTGAGGCTTTGGTGCTCAAGCACGACGAATTGACCCAAGGAAAGAACAATGGTGAGGTTTTTACAGGTTTTGACGAGGCTTGTATCACCTTCAGACCAACTTACAAATACCATCCGAACACTGCCATCTACAACAGCAAGCGGTGTCCTCTGTGGTGTGACCGTGTATTTTTCCAGAACACTTACCGCCGGGGTGCCACTGTGGACCTTCACACATATAAGAGTATCTGCTCGTACATGCGATCAGATCACCGGCCAGTATATCTCCATTTGTCTGTGCCGTTTGAAGCCCCAGAAAGCATCATTGGTGCCAACGGCTACTTGATGATACTCCCAAGTGCTGGTCCAAGTCGACATGCAGTGCATATTCTGTCTAGTGTTGATGAGTTCCCAGACACGAGAGATGCCGTTAGTGGTCCTACGCAAATCTACATGAAATGTACTGTCCTTGACAAACTTGCTCAATTGTTGTTGAGGAGATTGTCTGATCTTGGTATTGGCTATGGATTGTGGCTATCGACGACCCCACGCGGTAGACTTTTGTTGCTCTTTGTTGTATTGATGTTATGGCTCATCTATGCTATGTATTATTAGAGACACTTTAATTGTTACGGTTCTAATTGCCCAACTTCTCAAAAACAAACCCAATGTAGAAGGCCACAGCCTCCTTTTCATCGCCCTCAACTCCATACTTGCCGTCTGCTCGTTTCATTCCATCTACCAAATTCTTGTTCAACCGAGAGAAGTACTTCCCAATCTCCAGGTTGAAAATTTCGATAAAGTTTTTCTTGTACTTTAAGATCAAACCAAAGTCCTCACATAGCAGTCGAAAATACTCGAATGGAACCACGTACTCAGGCACATCATCAACAGCATCCTTCAAGAAGTAGTCGTATTTGTTTCCGAATGGCGATCTGAACACACCATCTTCTGGAGGTTCCTCTTCAAACTTCACGTGGTAGAGACTATTTCCAAATGTTTTGTCGTCCATATAATCTTTCTTAACAATTTTGTCTTTGATGAAGTCTGACGATGGGATGGTACCAATAAATGTTCCTCCAGGACGCAAAGATCTAGTGACATTTGTAAGGATTTGACGAACCTTCGACTCTGTTTCCCATGCATAGTGAAACGAAAACTGGATAGATACAGCATCCACAGGAAACAACCCATCCATAATACCTGGAAAGTTGGGCTCAAGTATTTCTGGAAGTGCATAACTGAAAAGGTCACCCGTTGCAAAGCACGCTTCGAAGTTGTATCTGCGAGAGTCTCTGTGACGCTTTGAGTTCGGGTTCTGTGGCATGAACCTAGCCTTATTCTGTGAGTATCTGGAATAGGCCTCCCTGACAGATGCATCACTGATATCCACTCCAATGTACTGGTCCACATGTACAAACTCACATTTATTCAAATCACCACCTTTTCCACAACACAAGTCTAGGAACACGAGTGGAGCACCCTCCAGTCGTCTCTTGACAAAATTTCCCAATAACATATACTTGATGGCATTGTTGAAATTTCTCATCTTGTAGATGGGTGACTTTGTCCGCGATCCTTGTAGCTTCGACTGGTGTGTTCTCTGGTTGTAATGTGCCCTCACAATACTATTGATATCTCTGTTTTCCTTGTGGGTGATGGAGCTGTGGAATGTTCTATATTCACTCTTGTTTCCAGGGCCGCCAATGGTAGGAATACTAGTATATGGCGCTGCCACCGTGTCTACTTCAGGCTCTTCGACAACCTCTTGTGTTCTTCTTGGCTCTTCTCTCTCGATCTCCTGTGGTGGTTGTCTTCTAATCACTCTAGATCCTTCCGAGGGCCTGGCTGCTCCATATTTGGCATACCTGTCATCACTGGATGCGTACTTTGCATAACGGTCCTCCGTAGCGCTTGCACTGGTTGTCTGGCCTCTGCGACCACCGTACTTATCGTATTTGTTCTCGGCCTTGTTCTGAGTCTTGCTCTTCATCCATGCTGGAATGGCCTTACCTGTATCGCTGTAAACGGAGGCTCCAGTAGTGGTGGGCGTCGCTGAAGTTTCTCTTCTTGAAAGTGAATTGCTGAAATCGGGGTCAGCATGCATTCTCTTGGTCTCTGTTTGTGGAGACATTGATGATGTTCTCTTGACGCTATTGGTCACAGAGTCTGCGTCGTTTTCATGAGTGAAAGCAGAAGTTCCATTAGGAGAGCTGGAATTTTCATCCAGTTTTATGTCGTCGGGGTGTGACTCGCGACCCTCTGACGTTGATGGAGGTGTAGACATATGGCGAAGAAAACGATTAGTGTTTGAACTTGATGTACCAGTGTGCAGAGAACGTGGAGAAAGTATATAGTGACCATTTAACTAGCGTCTTGAATTATAGTACCCAATATAAAATTGATTTAAAAAATATCATTTTTTCAACTATCGTTACTTCAGATTCTATCTTCATTCTATTTTTTAGCTTCAATCTTTCTCGGATCTTGTGTCCTTTGTCTATAATATACTAGCCTTCTAAGACATTTATGCACTGGTCTTTTCAACATAACACAGTCTAGAATTCTCAGCAGTTCTACAAACTAGCCTTCAGCTCCACAGCATTTTTGATGGTCTCCACAATAGGATTGAGGAAAACCTTTTTGTTTGGCAAATAATGGCCCCCATCATGCTGAAACTTCACTACACTGCGCTCAGGGTAAAGAGACATGAGATACTCAGATCTCACGGGAGGAACCACGGCATCCTCGGCACCAAAAATAGATGCCACTGTGGTCGGAAATTCCAGAGGAGGAGCAAAGTAGTCCTTGTAGTTTGGTACTAAATGTACTTTCTTGGAGTATTCATCCAAATTTTTAATCTCCGCGTTAATCTCCAGCATGGTCTCTTCACTGTCCACAGGCAAAGTAAATGCAAATGATGAAAACAAAACAGCTGTTTTGAAGTAGCCATGATTTGGAGCCAACTTCCCAATGACGTTAGTTATCACTGCACTCATGGCAGCACCTTGTGAAAATCCAATGATGCCGTCGTATGGTCCTTTCTCTTCAATGAGACGAACCATGTACTCCACAGCCTCCTTGAAGCCTTTATACTCGCCATCCTCAGTATGGACCCACCAGCACCTATTCAAGTTATTTTCCACAATCAGATTCCACTTCTCGTTGGCTTCGGCTTCATCAGCTGCCAATTGAAATGGAAGCTCTTCTTTGGTGTTGATGATTGTAGGTGGATCTATGTAGTCCAATTCGTAATTGAGTTTCTTGGTTAGGATTTTGCGTAAGCCTGACGACTTCTCGGCAAAAACCTTGCCACTCTGAAGATATCCAGGTAGACAAAGAAATCTCACCATAATGAAAAGAGAAGTATTAAAGATTTGGAAGTGAAGACTCGCAGTACGACAGATAAGACTGAGATGATACCCATGGAAAAGATGTAATTTTCTGTACATAGAGTCACCTGAGGCAGACTGTAATATTCTAAAATTGTCTAATATTCCTTTATATCGATGTTCTGATTGATTTCTCCCTTCGTCTTTTCTTCTTCTCTTACCGTCCTCCCATTAAACAGCTGTTCACACTCTGCAAGGTATTCCGACTAGGATTCACATTGTGGAAATCCTGGATCTTGCTGAGATGTTGTTTGATGATGTCTTTGTTAACATGTAGAGGCATTTCGGATGACTTCCAATCCAACGTAAACCATCTACTGAGGAAACAGAGACAGATTCCAGCACTCAAGTCTGTTCCTGACTCACAAAGCACCAAAACCTTCTTTTGTGGGTTATAGTGTGCAATTATATCTGATAATACTCCACGTAGTTCCTTTGCTCCTTTCTTAGAAGATTCAATCTTGAAAGTTTTCACTAGAATTTGTTGTCGATCATGATTCAAGACTTCCTTGCATTCCTCACTCTTACCATCTATTATAGAACTCTCTGTTTTCGAACTAATTGGCTCTGGAATCTCAATAGTGTAATTAGGCGAAAGTAGAATGATTTCAGCAAGCTCAGGTATACTACCCTTCAATAAATTTAGTGGAATGTTGTCTGCGATTTTGCCCAAGAACAATCCAGTGTCTCCCAAAGGTTTTGTCTCTACCATCAATTGCCCTTCCTCCGAGTCATCATCATAAATCTTGTTGATCCTCAGAATCATTTCTTCCTCCGACAACCATGGATAGATATCTCCAGTAGCCATATCCACTATTCTGACGTCATCCTCAGGTTCATAGTATATTCTTTCCCAAAACACTTCGTGGTCCAATTTTCCTTGGGCAATCTCCTTTGTGGCCCAGAGCTCATGGTCATCTGCTGCTCCTTGAATATATGGAAAGGAATATGGCCAGTCCCTCGGTTTCACTTCCCTGGCTGAGGCTGTCAAACAGCATAATGAGAAGCAATCACTTCTCTCTTCTACGGCCTCTTTTCCAGGATACTGCCACTGAGGCACAATAGGCATTTTCTTCCCTAGTCTCTTTGTGATTTCGTTCTTGGTAATAAGCTGGAGCTTGGTCACTTCTCGTGCAAACTCAGGAATCTTCTGGGCAATGGCATGGTGCTCGCTCTCCGAAACCATTTCTCGAGGAGTAGCCAACCAATTGTCCTTTTGTAAGTTCTTAAATACCTCAGGAACCTCCAGGTCGTCACTTTGGTCCTCAAACAATATATAGTTAAGCACAGCACACCATATAGGTGCGGTTTTCAGTAGAGCATCAGGCATCAACTTACCTTTGCGTGTGGAGTCCACCAACACCACCGTTCCGTTTCGACCCAATATTGGAAGCAAATTGAAGTTCAATCTTCGTAGAGAGAACCTCCATTGGCCAGTATGTCCATCTGTTGACTTGAAATAGACAGATGCATGGATCTGATGAGGTTGCACGTACCAGAGGCCACAGCGTTCATTGGCGACGAGAGCATAATTGTCAAACGTGGATACAAACCTGTTATCGTATATTATGGACTGGAGTCGACCCTTGACGGAATAGGCGTCTTTTCTGAGGTCCTTGACTATGGAGTTGTATGAGTCCATGAGTGCGTAGAATTTGAGATGAGTGTCTAGAGGTAGACATGGAAGACACACATAGGTTCTTCGACTCTTGTAATTTTCATGGAGAAAAGCCGGTAATTCATGAACTGGTTCTATTTTTTTGTTGTCCTTTTTGTATAAATATCGGTAGTCCACCTATTCCTCTACATCAGTCCGTCTAATTATTCATTATACATTTGAGCACTAAAGCACCGGTACTAAAACATGGGAGATTGAGACTCTAGAAATTAATTGTCTTAATACCATATCTTCAATCTGCCCTACTTCTTGCCGAGTTTCGCCTTACGTGCCTGCTTCAATGCTGCCAACCTCTGTTCCTCCTTCATCTCCCTCATGTCTTCCTCCAATGCTCTCTTCTTAGACCGCTGCTCCTCCTCGAAGATCTCTGCACCTGTAGCCTCCATATCGTCGGAGTCTTCATCGTCATATTTGTCGTAGTAGGACCGTTTGCGGCCCTTATTGAACATTGACCAGATCTCGTCTCGGTCGTAGTCTCCACCATACGACTGCTGCTCCTCCTCTTCATCAGATGCTATGAATGAACCCCAGTCATCCTCGTCAGACTCGACTTCATCTTTTCTTGCCGATGGACGACCCTTCAACTGCGCCTGTAACTTCTCAGAAGGTTTTCTTGTAGGCAATGGAGTCCTTATCTCGGGGCGAGTTTCGCGTTCACGAGATTCACGAGATTCACGAGAATCACGGGAATCACGGGACTCACGAGCAGATATCCGACTTCCGTATCCTCCCGGCGCCGAGCCAGGTCTGGGTCTATCTGATTTAAATGGTTTAAAACTCTGACTAGCACGTCCACTGTCGCCGTTTCTTCCTCTACCATCATCATCGGACCGTGGTGGCCGCTTGGGGCCCACATTTTCTGGAGATTTTGTCTTCTGTTTGATGGCTATCGACATTTTGCTTTGGTCAATCAGCGATGCTTTCTTCATGAGTTCACTGAAGGACATCTTCAGTTTTTTTTCAACCAGCTGGCTGAGTCCAACTGAACCCATTCCAGCCATGCGTGGCTTTGCGCCTTTTCCATTCCTTGCACCTCCATTCCCTCCTGCTGGTGCTCTAGTGGATTGAGCTGATGTTCTTGAGAACAGAGTCGGTTTCAGTGATTTGGCCCGTGGTTTCGTCTCTTTCTTGGGCTGTAGGCCCTTCTTTTCTCTGAGCTCCTGCTCCTTCTTCTCTTTTTCGGCCTTACGTGCTGCTTTGAGTCGTGCAACAACGGGGTCCACAGGTCGGTCACTGGATGGCCTTGCTATAGGCCCTCGTGAAGTTGACGGCGTGGCTACGGGTTTGGTCCCTGTGGGCAGCACCGACTTAATGCGGCCCTTTTGCTGAATTTTCTGTAATATGGTGTTGAGCGACATCTTGCTTGTCTGTCAGGAACGATGCCCTGATAGAAGGAGCAAAGCTATATGTGGTTGTAACTTTGCTCGCTCAGTGCAGGCTATACACTCTGGAGATAATGAGAGGTAAAAGAGGACAAAACAGCATATGAGATATATGGGAGATTCAATCGCCGGAAAGAATTACTCAGATAGTTTTCTTTTGTCCTATTTTTTTTGGTGTAATGTAGACGCTTAATGCTACGACTTCCAAACACCTTCTTGTGGTCTTGTTCAATGATTCAACTTTTACATAATATACATTCTACTATACAAGAATACGACGACTGACCATTAGTTCCCATTGCCAGTTTAAACCTCCTCTTCTGAATCGTCGCCTTTCCCAAACATGGAAATGAGCTCGTCCATGTTACTTTGCATCGACTTCTCTTGGCCCATCTCAATGATGAGCTGCTTGTTTCTGCGAATGGAAAACTGTTCACATTTCTTGATGGTGCCACTGACATGGACACACCGCATTACAACATCGTAATTGTCCACTTTAGTCACTAGTGCTAAGGCAGCCATGACCTGGTGAAAGTTGTTTCTGCTGCATCGTATGATTCCCGTGGAAGTTCTGTTACTGAAGTACTTGACAATTATCAGCAGCCCAACGGTGCCGCCTCCAAAGTCACCAAAATGGTCTTCGACGACGTTCTTCAAGAGATGGGCTATTGATCGAGCATTGATAGAATTCGGTGATGTCTCATGTAGCGAAAGAAGAGTGTCCTTAGTAGACGATTGGAAATTCTGGAACTTTTCCTTCTCACGGCCCGTCCTAGGATCTGAGCTTGGAGGATATAGAATATCAAATAAGATGTACCGGTGTTTGAGACGAACCATTGAAGGTGGTGATGGTTATACCTGAAGATAAAAGTGAGGGCTTCAAGAAGTATCGCAACCCTGCACCTTAGATGGTCAAGTACTTGTCATAGATAGAATGTACCAATGCGGTGTTTCCGTTTATCGTATAGATGAGTGACAAATTGTAGGCTGCCTCCATCAGCATATCATATGTTGGGTCATCTAGCAAGTCGTCGTGGTAACCCAATACTTTTGTGTAGTGGTGAATAGCGAGCGTGGGAAGGCCAAGCATATGAAAGAGTCTACCGAAATTATACTCGATTTCCTGCTTTTCGTATATGGTGGCGCCTTTTTCTCTCGACTCTTTGTATTCCAAAAGGTAACTAATTCCCTGGAGCAATTGGAGGTGTCGATTGTTGCTGTTTCTTTGCATGGACCGATGAACATGTGCTAATCCCAACATAAAACAAATGGTAGGGTCCTGATTATACTGACGGTAGACACGAGTCAAATACACAATTGGTGATGAGAACGTCCTGTTGCTTCCAAGAAGACAAGCGTAGATATAGAGTAATTGTGGATGCTCGCGTGTGAAAGAAAATTGCGTAGTGTCGATGGTGACCTGAGCAGAGCCGGAAACCTTGCTTGATGTCAACAAAGAGTCATATGCTTTAAGTTGACGTAAAAAGTACTTCTGGTGGTTGTAGTTGCTAAATGCTGCCCATGCACCTACTCCAGAGCTGAAACAACACATGAAGAAATCATATATGGTTGGTGAAAACTGTGCGGAAGTCAACAAGTATCGAACGTTGTTGGAGACAGCCTCGGTGAAGTCCTCTTGTAAAATGCCGAATATGAGTAGGGACAATCGAAGGAGCATGCTCCGGGTTTTATTCTGACTGAACACACTTCCCGTAAGTGCCTCCTCAAGAATAGACACCGCTCCGTCCAAATCATGCTTGAAATACCGCAACAAGAAAGAGTATTGAATAAATACAGAGAGCCATTCATCATATGTGAGTCCTCTAAACTCTGTTTTAGAAGTCATCTCTAAACGCGACGAGTCACCCACTGCCATATCGTCAGCCAAGTATTTAAGACGACTTAATTGGTCACTGATGGCAAGGCTCTGTTTTCTCCGATATATGGGAATACCTTTGAATGTAGTTTTGCGATTCTTAGGAAAAAAGCTTCTCACACCAGTGAATGTCTCTATGAGTTGGTCAGCCAATTTGAGCCACGTCGCTGCTCCTACTTTTCCTGATTTATCCAAGGACTGGAGTATTCTTTGCATTCTTCCAAACTTATTCTTGACCAACCGCGTTGCATGATCCTCTGCCTTATTTCTCTCTTCATCGGTTGGCTTTGCCTCCGTTTTCAGTGTAGCCGAGTTTCGAATAATTGCAAGACTTGGTTCTTCAGATACATCGTCTTCGAGCTCCTCCTCGTCCTGAACTCCCAAGAGCGCTTTCTTCTCCTCTACCTCGATAATAAGTTTTCGAGCGTTCTCTGTGTCCTCTGTGTGCAAAAATGCTTCTGCTAACATCAATTTCAAGTCCAAGTCATCCGGATTCTTTGATATCACTTCTAGAAGCACTCGTTTAGCGTGATCGTACTCGAATAGCTCCATATAACATCTCGCTTTCAAAACACTCGCTTCTGATGATTCTTCGAGTCTAGTCAGCTCCTCTAGAAACTCCAATGCCTCCTTATAGTAACCATGCTTTTCCAAATTACGGCCAGCGTCGAAGAATAGATCCACAACGTCATATCTGTCCGTATGTGCAAAAAGCGAGCGAAAATGTGAAAGTGCTTCTTCCTTTTGATCGAGTTCAAGACGAAAACATCCAAGCTTGAAGCGCAAGTCAATTGGCAACTCAAAATCTCTACCCAAAAACTGATTGTAGTCAGAAGGTCGTTTCTTGTGAATCATTTGTGCTCTCCTTGAGTCAAACTCACAATCATCATCTTGATCATCCCACCAAACTTCGTCGGTACGATTATTGATCCATCTAGCCACTGTCTTGATAATTTTAACTCCCATGCGCCAAGAATGTTGTGTTAGAAAGAGCTCGCAAAGAATGTTCAACTCAGACCATCCAAAAACTGGATCAAATGGTGGAGGACCACTCTGTTTCATGTTACTGTCCAATATCCGCATGTACAAGTTGACTGCATCGTTTATCCGCTTCTGTTCCACGTAAACAGATGCTAAATTCTTGACATATGTTTCATTCTTGGGATTCTTCAGGTGTAGCTTTTGGAGACCTTCCAATGCACGTCCATACTGGCCCTTTTCCTTGTAGAGCATAGAACGCTCCTGAATGCATTCATCTCTTGCAGCAGCTAACTCTCTAGAGTCACCCTTCAAATTGATTATCTGTGTGTAACAGTAAATGGCCTGGTCAATATAACCCAATTCTTTGCTTAGTTTGGCAGCATTGAACCATGACTCTGAACTCCAGTGTGTTAGCTCAGCTGCCATAAACGAGTAACTGCATGCTTTTTTCAAGTCACCCTTCTCTTCAGAAATAAGTCCCAAGAGGTTGTATGGCTTAGGGTGTTTGGGCTCGATCTTTACTGCTTGCTGACAATAGAAAGCTGCCTCATCCAACTTATGATTCACATACGCAGTATTGGCTTTAGATAAGTAGTCTAACGCCTCAGGATCCATGGCCTTCATAGCATCCCTCATGGCCCTACGCTTACCGTAATGTTGGGACTTTGGCTGTTTCTTTAATTTGAATCCCGAGGCCAATCGCAAGTTATCACGTAAATCATCACCATTACCATATTCGTTTTCCAGCACATAATCTTCGTCGTCTTCATCGTCTGTAAACGTGATGATATCATCAGATAACGAATCCATATCATCCACGTCGTTTGTGGCAGGCATTGTACTCAATTCTGGGTCTATGTCCATGAATGCCTCGGGTGCTATGTCATCGTCGGAATATTCCGACCCTACATCGGACTCGTCTAGAGATGACATGGATAGGACTTGGAGTTGTTGTGGTGATTTGTGCAGTGATGTTAGGTATTTGGTGCAGTAGTAGGTGCGGTGGAGTAGGACCAATCTGGACAAAAGAGAGTTCATTGAAGATAGCTGAATGGAATTAAGAACAAATTGTTGAACATGCACAGATTTTATGCGGACTCTTGTGATGTCATTGTGGTTTTTAGAATGGATATGGGAAATTAAGAGTATGGTGGAACTACGTAGTGTTAAAGGTGGGAGGGAATGAAGCAGGGCTGGAAGGCTGGAAGGATTTAAATGCTTGGTAACGGAAAAAGAAGTAAGAAAAACAATCTATCGAATTTAGAATTTAATTAGAATAGAAGACATCAAGTGACTTATTAAAAGCATAATAGAAAGGGAATTGGAAATGGCAAAACTGGCATTGTAGTACTTCTCCAATTGCGCTCACATGAGTAACATAAACAATTTAACACCATTGATCTTCTTTGAAATTCGTTTTGAAATGCATCTTCTCTGTACTGAATCTTCAAAGTTAGGGTTATTCACAATTGGTCATGGATGGTTGTTATCAACGTTTTCATGAACACTCATCAATCACTTGATATTGGCAATTGTCAAACACTAGAAAAGATTAAAGAAAACTAGTGAAGCGATCAATTGGTTCTGGGTATCAGCCACTAGGTAACAATACCTTTATCTGATGCTTTGATTTCAGAAGTCTTGATTTTGCTGGAATCTGCCTGTCTTCGCGATTTCTACAAATATGGAGGAATCAGACAAATTCCATTCCGGATAGACCAACCTCACACAATTACTTAAATACAACGTATCCAGAGCAACAGAAATTAATCGACCTTGAATATTTATAACTGACAGAGGCGGTGATATGCCTGCTTTCTCCATCCTAACATACCCAACTCCAGAATCGAGCACTTTTCAACTTCCCATTGGCCTAGAAACTTAGAATTTCATAGAGACTAGTTTCACCTTAGACCTTCAAACAAAATAAAGAAAAAAACTACTATCATCAAAATGGAGAATTTTGTTTAAGACCAGATGATCGCCATTACAAAGCACCTCATTTATGACATAACTTGCGCATCTTGCACCTTGACGTCCATATTAATAAAGCAATCTAAGAAAATTCAAATGTCACATTTAAGTCAATGCCACTAACAGCTAATAATTGAGGCAATTGAGACAATTAAGCCAATTGATCAATCGAATCATTCCTAACCTCCAATTCTCTCACTTTCAAACATTCCCGTCCATTTCCAATGTTCAGATCTCCAATCTCCTCTAAGCCTCTTGATGTTCCGCGCAGAATGACCGTTTTACATTGCATAGACGGATACCATCCATAACCAATTGGCCGACAAGTTCCCCCGTCGACTAATCAAAACCGTCCATACCTACCTGAACTTTCTAGCAAACTCCAAAAAACTTCGCCCTGGTCACATTCTGCCGTTTTTTTACTTCCATATCCAACATTCTGTGGTCATGGGCCTCTATTCACTGGCCGGTACACAATAGGGGCCAGCCGCATGGAGAAGCATGGGAGGGCGTGGAAGTCGCACTGCCCAGGGCCAAAAAACACCAGAAGATGCGCCAAAATTGACCCTTTACAGGACTCACATGGCCCAGCCTGCCTGAATGAGGCACCTTTTCTCACCGTATTCCACCTGTACATTCTCCGCATATAAGAGTCTCCAACTTGGCCAATTTTAACCTCCACGATTTTTTTTTTGCTCAATGTCTGCTAACGATTTTTACAACTCGGGCCCTCAGGGCGAGCGCACAGATCAGCAAAGTCATAACCAGAACCAGAACCAGAACCATGACGAAAACTTCCAGGGCCTGAATGATAACCAGACCAAGAATGAAGGTGAACAGACAGATAGAAGTCTCATGTCGTCCATTGTGTCTGGAGCTATGGGCCACAAGAAGCAAGGAGGCGGATTGGAGAACATGATTGGTAACCAGATCGGCCAGATGCTTTCTGGAAAGAACAAACACGGCAACCTGGGACATGGAAACGGTGGCTATGGAAACCAAGGTGGATATGGAAACCAAGGAGGCTATGGAGATCAGGGAGGTTACGGCCACCAAGGTAGCCAGGGTGGAATGGGAGGAGTGGGAGCAATGGTTGGCAGTCTACTTGGTCTGGGAGGAAGTGGAGGTAGCCATGGAAGTGGAAATGGCCAGGGTGGGCTCGGTTCCTTGTTGGGCTCTTTGACAGGTCAAGGTGGCGGCAACCATGGAAGCAACCACGGAAGCAACCATGGAGGCAACCATGGAGGCAACTATGGGGGAAACCAAGGTAGTAATTATGGAGATAACTACGGAGGAAACCATGGTGGCAACTATGGTGGCAACTATGGAGGAAACCATGGAGGAAATCATGGTGGAAATCATGGAGGAAACTATGGAGGAAATCTGTTTGGTGGACGTAACGACAACGACAACTCGTGGGGATATGGCGGAGGAAACAACGAAGGTAACTACGGAGGCAACCACGGAGGCAACCACGGAGGCAATCACGGGGGATACGGTGGTCAAGGTGGTCAAGGTGGATATGGTGGTAACAATGGTGGCAGATGGTAATAGCTGAAGCCAATAAGATATTTGCAAGAAGTAGTCAGCAATTATGATATATTTTTTATGAATTGTATTTATGTATAGTGATAATGTTCTTTTTTGAAAAATCAATTGATTTCGAAATTACTTTTCACTTACCTTAAACTTCCACATCTTAATCCATCTATATTTCAATATCGGTATTCATATTCACCTCCATCTCCATCTCCATTTCACAGTCTACGTGCGCGTACTGATAATTCTCCACGTCAACTTACTACTCAATGAAACCAAGCACTCTACTAGGTTTGTGCGGCTATGTCGCTGCAGCCAGTTTGGACTTGTCGCTAACTAGCAATTGGGGAACCTCGTCCTTCTTTGTCCAGTTGGTGGAGTCGGTGGCTGGCCGCAATGAAAGTCTCTATGTTCCAGTAATTAGAGCCATGATCTTACAAGAAGACGGCGAAATGGACGACTGGGAAGATGACATGGATGGATTTGGAGACGATAGTAACGAATCGACTGAGGTGCCTGTGGTGACGGATCGTGATCTCTACGCAAAAGCTGTGTCGCATCTCTCACTGGTAGATGTTGGACTCACCAACTTGAACTTGGTGAACAAGTTGTATTCTCCCAGAATTGAGGCTCACTACCTGCATTTCAGAAATGAAATTGAACCAAATCAAGCTGCTGCTGTTGCAAAAAAGTGTTCTGTTGACTCCTTCGGCGAGCCTCTTGAGTCTCCCTTGGGTGCATGGGTCAAGTATGGAGACAGAATCTATTGCTCGGAAAGCGACTTGTACGCATTGCAGACTTCCAAATTCTCCGAGAATGTATTTACTTTCGATAGAGTTGTTGGCCACGAAGGTCCTTTGTTGGTATTATATGGAGATCCAGACTGCAGTAGATTTGCTGGAATGTTCAATACTCTACTTCAGTTTGCTGAGTCTGGCCGGCTTAGATTCACATGGAGATATGTTCCCAATAAAGACACAGACTCATCCACATTGAGTGGTTACGGAGTGTCGTTAGTGGCGAAGGATAAGCGTGAAAAGAGTATTGCTGGGAGCAAGCCAGTGGGTAAAATCATGAAGTATCTCAAGGCAAAGACCAAAGATTCCTATTTGACAGAGATTCCAGAAGACAGACTATACGAGCTTTCATTGAAAGTTGCTTGTTACGTTCTTCAAGAGCCCAAAAATCCAGAGAATTTACTCAAAGAAATCCTACACAACCTTCCATTGTATGCCTCATCCTTACTTGAAGCAGCAGCACCTCCTAATTACGGGGATGTGAAGGCTAGCGCTGCTCAAAACGAGAAAAAGGGCGCAGGCTATGAATCAGTGGGGTTATACATTAACGGTGCCATGACCCATAGACTTGAAACTGACCTACCCAACATCGTTCAGAAACTCACACACGAGGTTGCATTAATTGAAGAAATGGTTGGATACGGATTCAGTGAAGCGCAGGCAAAGCTTATTTTCTCTAAGTTTGCCCTCTTAAGTGCCTTCAAGGAGGCAGAGTTCCGTACTGGTTCTTCCGACAACAGGTTTGCCGTATACCGGGATATACATGTACCAGGGGATGCCAATTCGGGTGGTGTTGTTTTCTTCAATGATATCCAGAATGACGATTCTTACAACTTATTTTATGAGGATCGTAAGGAAGCATATCTTGAAACTGCACTGCAACTTCGAGTGGGCCAAATCCCCTCTCTTCGAGAGAACGTTCACGACATTATTTTCGTGTTGAACTTTTCCAACAGGAACCAATTGAAAGTCTTCTTTATGCTTTCAAAGGTAATTCTAGACCGTGCATTACCACAACAACTTGGAGTGATTCCCATTGTTGAAAACGAAAAGGATGCTTTGATAGCAGAGAAATTTTATTATATCATGAAAGTTGGCGAACCTAAAGAAGCTTTGGCTTTCTTGTACAAGTATTATGAAGCTCTGGCTGACACTGAAGATGATTTACTAAACAAAGTGGACATCCCTCTCGATGAATCGGCCCTGCTCCATCACTACAAGAGAACAATCAATAAGTACTCCATAACTGAACCCTCTGTGATAATTAATGGTGTCATCCACAACATGAGATCAAGTAATTGGCAGGCAGCAATGGGTAAGCAGATCGCACACGATGTGCGTTTATTGCAGCAGAAAATCAGAAATGAACTCGATGTGGGGACTCCATTGAAAGATATCCTATATGAAGATGCTAAGACTATCAGAAACACCAGAGTTGTGCCCTTGGATCCAGCTAACATTCGTTACAAAAAGGTTTCTCATGAAATGCTTTCGAAAGCTCACACTTTTACTACTGTTCAAGATACTGGCGCGGTTTCAGAAATCTCTGGAACCTTCTGGTTGATTGGAGACTTCAATTCCTATGTGATATTGAGGCAGTTAGTGGCTATATTGAAATTCATGGATTACACGCTGAAACCACTTCAAATCAAAGTCTTGCTGACGTACAAATCCGATCTACTTGCTCTGCTTTCAGATGAATATCAAGGTACGTTGACTTCAAAGATGATTACTGAGATAATTTCAAAAGTTGAAAGTACACAATCTTCAGACTCTGAAATAGATTATGAAATTCGCTCTTTGTTGGAGAGAAATCACATCCAAGTTCATCTGCCCAGCTTGCTCTTCAACTCGCGATACTTTAGATTAAGTACGGTGATGAGTCAAGATGACTTGCAATTACTTTTGGAATACGAATTTTCTCAGAGACTTGGCATTTTTGATGAGATAACCAACGCATATCCAGATTCGTTTCTGTGGAAGCCAGTGATGAAATTCAAAAAGGAAAGAAAACTTTCTGGTTTGGATTGGTTCGACTTAGTATCTTCGACTGTCAGCAACTCCTTTTTCCTTGAAGATTCAATACTCCTCTCAGATGTGTCACGATTTGATTTCAGTTCATTAAATTATCAAAACTCCGTGGATTTGACAGGTTACGATGCCAAGAAGCCAATTGACATTCTAGTAATTATTGACCCTCTTGATGAATTTTCTCAGAAGTTGGTTTCGATCTCCAAGTCCTTGTCTGACCTTCCGTTTGTTAATGCTCTTATTCTTATTGTTCCGCTTGAAAATGAGGGTAAATCGTACAAATTGGACAGGTTTTACAACGATGCCTTCACTAGATCCAAACCCGAATTCGACAATGAGGGTAGTCTTGTTGAAGCAGGAAAGGTGCATTTTGATTCTCTACCTTCAAAAGTTCACTTTACGGCCGAACTCGATATTCCGTCGAGATGGTATGCGATTAAAGGAAAGGATTCAGATCTTGTTGACTTGTCATCCTTCAAAGTCGACAAAGATATCCTGGTCGAGTACAATTTAACTAAGCTCATTGTTGAAGGTTATGTCAAGGATGTTCTTACCGCCAAGTCAATTCCGGGCTTGACAATTGAGGCTAGCAAGGGAATAGAAAAAGCTGAGGGCTACACTTTGCAGAATTTGGGTTACATGCAATTGCAACTCAGTCCGGGGGAGTGGCAGTTACTGTTGAAGAAAGGAAGCAGCAAGGATTACTATGACTTATTGTCTGCGAATGATAACAAGTACGATGCTAATGACGAAGGTATTGAGTCAACACAAATTCTTGTTTCTTCTCTATCGGGAACAGTGATTCATCCCAGAATCAGCAAGAAGGATAAATATCCTTCGGACGATGCCTTTTCTACCCCAATTAAGAAAACTAAGACATCTAGTGCTGACATCAACGTGTTCAGCATTGCCAGCGGACACACCTACGAGAACTTGATGTCCATTATGATGCTTTCTGTGAAGAGGCACACGAAGAAATCCGTCAAATTCTGGCTCTTGGAAAACTTCCTCAGCACACATTTCACTGAACAGCTTCCGCTCATGGCAAAAGAGTATGGGTTCGAATATGAGTTAGTTCGCTACAAGTGGCCACTCTGGCTCCGCATGCAATCACAGCTCCATAGAAGTGTCTGGGGTTTCAAAATATTGTTCCTTGACGCCTTGTTCCCTGCAAGTCTAGAGAAAGTGATATTCGTTGATGCCGATCAAATCGCCAGAACTGATTTGAGTGCACTTGCTAACTTGGACTTAGAAGGCGCAGCCTACGGATTTCCACCCATGTGCGAGTCCAGGGATGACATGGAAGGCTACCGGTTCTGGAAACAAGGGTACTGGAAAGAGGTTTTGCAAGAAGATCTCAAGTACCATATCAGTGCACTTTACGTAGTAGACCTAAAGCAATTCCGTCGAAACCTTGTCGGAGATCGCCTTCGGACACATTACCAGAAATTGTCGTCGGATCCTAATTCATTATCAAACTTAGACCAAGATTTGCCAAACAATTTGCAACGTCAGGTGCCAATCTTCAGTTTACCTCAAGACTGGTTATGGTGCGAAACGTGGTGCTCAGCTGAACTGAAAAACCAGGCAAAAATGATCGACTTGTGCAATGATCCAACAAGTTCAGAGGGTAAGTTACAGCGAGCAAGACGTCTGATTCCAGAATGGGAGGGCTACAGCAAAGAGTTACAGAAGTTGGGCAAAGGACATTTAGGCACATTCCATGATGAACTCTAAGACTACAGGCGCAGAATATAAAAAGAAATGAACGAAAATCTCAAGATACGATTCAAGCGAATTAATCACCGAAAGAGCAAACTTCCGTAACGGAATATTCGAAAAAGGGGCATTAACGAAAAATGACAGACGTCACCTGAACAAACACATAACACAACGCATTCACCGGTTGGTCTGCATCACCTTCATACGAGCATGGCCCGCCAATGTCACTGATAGTGCGGTGTGTCCTATCATTGGATAAGTGATGTGATCCATGCATGAGTCAGAGGTTATGGGATACCCTGCAGGACCCGGCCCGGTGTAGGAACGTGGTTTATATAAGTACCTTTTTAACAAAATCTTTCAACCTTAAACTAACGACTTTCTCAAGCCCACCATGAAAATTTCAGAGAAGTTGCTCCAGGCCCATGCATGTGCCAATCCTCCTCCGGCCACATTCTCCTTCGAGTTTTTCGTTCCAAAGACTTCCCAGGGTGTCCAGAACTTATACGACAGAATGGACAAGATGTACGATTTGAATCCGATCTTCATCGATATCACCTGGAACGCCGGTGGAAGGTCATCCTCTTTGACTAATGAGATGGTCTATACTGCCCAGTCAGCTTTGGGCTTGGAGACATGTATGCACTTGACGTGTACCAACATGCCAGTTTCGTTGATCGATGAAGCGTTAGAGAAGGCTTACAGATCTGGCTGCCAAAACATTTTGGCTTTGAGAGGTGATCCACCATTAGACGGCTCTGAATCTACTGGAGATTTCAAGTACGCCAAGGACTTGATTGCATACATTCACAAGAAGTATGGCAATCATTTCAACATTGGTATCGCTGCTTACCCCGAGGGTCATCCAGAGGAGGAAAATGGAGATAACTTGATGAAGTATTTGAAGGAAAAAGCAGATGCTGGTGCGGATTTCATCATTACGCAAATGTTCTATGATGTAGACAACTTCATTCGTTGGTGTGAACAGGTTCGCAAGGCAGGAATTGACATTCCTATCATTCCTGGAATCATGCCTATCTCTACGTATTCTGCGTTCATCAGAAGAGCCAAGTGGTCACAGGTGGTCGTTCCTCAGCATTTCTTGGATACGTTGGACCCCATCAAGGAAGATGACTATGCTGTCAGAGAAGCAGGCACTGAACTTGTTAGTGAAATGTGCCAGAAGCTCATTGACTCTGGTTACGTCAACCACTTGCACTTCTACACCATGAACTTGGAGAGATCTACGGTGATGGTGTTGGAGAAGTTGAAGTTGGTTGACTCCGTCGCAGATAACGATGTGGTAGCTGAAGTGTTGCCATGGAGAAAGTCTTTGCACCCAATGAGATCTAAGGAGGCCATCAGACCCATTTTCTGGCAGAACAGAAAGCACTCGTATATCTCGCGTACGTCCGGATGGGATGAGTTCCCCAACGGAAGATGGGGTGACTCAAGATCTCCAGCTTTCGGTGACATTGACCTTGCTGCTTCTCAACTTTTGAGACAATCTCCAAAGAGAGCTCTTGAATTATGGGGATGTCCACAGTCGCTCAAAGACTTCTCCGATATCATTGTTTCCTATTTGAAGAACGAGATCAAGTCTTTGCCCTGGAGTGATGGTCCTATTGGCACCGACACGAATGTATTGAAAGATGCATTGATTGAGGTTAACAAGAAGGGATTCTTCACCTTGAATTCTCAACCTGCTCTCTCTGGTATCAGATCCAACGATAAGACTTTCGGCTGGGGTCCAAAGAACGGGTTTGTGTATCAGAAACAATACTTGGAGTTTCTCGTCCACAAAGATGTTGCTCAAGAATTGTTGACTAAGGTCGAAGAACACAACAAGAAAGACCAACACAGTGTGATCACCTACTACGCAGTTGGTAAGCAAGGTGATGTCGAAACAAACTCCAAGGATGACGACATCAATGCCGTTACTTGGGGTGTCTTCCCAGGAGAAGAAATTCTCCAACCCACTATTGTCGAAAAGGTCTCCTTCTTGGCATGGAAAGACGAAGTTTACAGCTTGCTCGATGAGTGGGTGACTATTTTTCACTCTAAAGCGCTCAGTGAGAGCGTCGAGAAGGACAAAGTCGATGTCTTCTCGAAGTTGTTTACGTCATTTGGTGATGAGTTCGTGTTGTGCAACTTTGTCAACAACGACTTCACCAGTGACAACAACGTGATGTTCAGTTTGTTGAACGACCTCAATGTTCCATACTTGTGAATGTGAGATCCTTTTCCAACACTGTTCATTGCCATATTCAGTTCATCTACCTATTTTGCTCAGGTCAATTGACCCGGTTTTTATCTAATTCAACATGGGGATAAAAAGTTATCACGACGAAACGCACACACCACTGGCACTAGAATAGTGTTCTTTTGCATCACTGCTATTATATTACTGAAACCACATAGCATCCTCAACGGCATGGTTTATATATTAATTCAAACATATACAATAGATGCCTGTAGGACATTGACATAGTCGAACTTACTCGAGCTCTCCAACCCTCCAAACCTCTAAGCTGATGATCTTGAATTTGCCGAACTTATGGCCAGTATCTCCGTGCTCATTTAAGATCTCATTCCCAAACGTCTCACATGGATACGACACTCCCAGGTCGAGCGATTTATCCAACCATAGTCCATTCTGACCGTGAGATGAGCCAACGGAGATGAAGTCATGATTGGAGTAGATGATATTATCGTTGATTCCCGTGTACATGAACGCCTTGAAACGTTCCTGGCGATGAGGTCTCGTTCCATCTTCCGCAGGTGCATCGAACCATTCACATTTCCAAAGAAAGCACTCACCATTTCCGTAATATCTCTTATGGTCGGTCACACGTGGATGTTCGTTGATGTAGCAGCCAAACTTGTTTTTCTTCTGGTCCTGGATCACAATGACGTAACCATGTGGCCGTGAGCCTAGGTTCCGTTCTTGGGTTCCAAACGATACCATTCCACTCACCACACCTTCTGCAAAACCCTTTTCCACTTTTTGACCTGTTCTCTTCATTCGAAGCTGCTGTTTCTGGTAGTTTGGGTCACAATTGTGGTACAAAGTGTTCAAAGAAATGCCATGTTGCTCCAATGAGTAGAGCAACTCCCATTCGCCGAAGAGCTGAAGGCGGGGAGGGATCAAATTGCGTATATTTGCAGCCAACTCCTGATCTAGTAGACGTCGTTTGGAATGTTCTGCGTATCCTTTAAGAACCAAATTCCCTAGAGGAGGAAGAGATTCTGCTGAAGAGTTCTGTGGGGAAGGTGTGGGAGACTTTGGAGGCCGATTGCCGAGCAAACGATCAAGAAGTGATGGTTGTTTCCTCAATGGTGTCGTTTTGTGAGCAGAGGAGCTGAGGTCTGCTGAATCTTTTGTCATTTTGGTGGTTTTGTAGATGAATAGTGGAGTAATCAGTTGTGTGTAGATAAGGTGACAAGTAGACAGGTGCAGATGTGAGGCAAGGTTGTACGGAGATTAGGTGGAAGTAACAATTTTCTTTCTGTTTTTTTTGTATTCAATCTTTTTCTGGCTGTTATTGTTTAAGTTCTGAATCAAGCACTTTCTAGGTTGTAAAGCCTCTGAAAGTGATCTTTTTGTAGTAAGTTGCTATTGATAGAACAGAGTGGTCATAAGTTAGTGCTTAAATTAACATTCCAAAACCATCGTATCGCGATGAGATTTTTTTTTTATAAAGTTCTGAAGATCTGATTTCGAGTATCCATAGACTTGATCTCTTTTTACCATCTCTGCTCATTGGTGAAAGTGCATAAGTCCAGTGAGAAACTCCACGCCAATCTTCACACTGTCAACAAAGACAATGCCAGGAAACTTGGCCGTGAGCTTCTCATCTAACCCTGCCATACCAGCACATCCAAGCAAAACGCAGTCAATGTCATCATCTCGATATTCGTGCAAGAATTTCTCGACACGATCGGTGATCTTCTTGAACTCTTCAGGATCACTCAAACTCAACACCAGCACGTCCAATGCCCGGGTTCTTTGAAACTTCTTGGATGGAAAGGTTTCAGTGCCTGTAAAAGACACAATTGCAGCATCCAAAAGGGCGTTCCAGCCACTGGTGCTGGTCAACACAAACGATTTGTTCAATCGAGCATTCGCATAGCTGTAGAGGAGGGTAGCTTGCATGATTCCCAACACTGGAGCCTTTGTTTCCTTTGCCAATGAATGAACAAGCGGATGATCTGAGTAGCAGCATACAAGATAGCCCAGATACTTTGTATGTAAGTTTTTTTTCAAGAGATCAGGAAGAACGGCCTTCTCCGAGAGTCTCAGAGTCCGTTCGCCGTCAATTTCCTTGGGAGCTTCTGGTGGACCAGTGTAGAAGGCTAACTCGATTCCTGGTGGAGCCACAAGGATCTTCTCGAGGTTATCGGTGACTTTCTGAGAAGAGTTGGGGTTGATGACAAGAATAGACATGGTAGGTGACGAAGGAATGTGGAGGAGGTGCGATTTTTGGTGGTGATAAGATAAGGTATGAATGGAATGAAATTTTCCAAAATTCTAAAACTTAGCTTGGAATTCGTAACATTGACTTTTCAGCCATCTAAATCACTAAATACGTATTTTATTGTTCAAATTTACTTGACTGGATTCGACTCATTTTCGTACATCTCTCTATGTTGGTATTCATCCACTCTGTACATAATCTCTTCGCATACTCCAGAACTTCAAATCACGGAAGTCATATCCTTATGACACCCACAGGTCTATTTAATCGAAGAGAAATCGCCTCATTGATAATTGGTTCCCATTGACTGTCAACTATATCAACAGCATCACACTCGGCAACAACTCCAACGCGCAACCATTGACATCATCAGCACTTACAATTTCATTGCAGAACGCCTACATGTCCATTGTTGCCGCCATTGACCAACGAGAAAACATCTCCGTATGGTCTCGAAGCGTGAATTCGCTAGCCTCTATTCTGGACCATGTCAGATTCTCCTTCTGCCGAGATAGTCTAATGCTACTGGCTGTCAACTCTTCTCGAACTGCCAATGGAGAAATTGTATTTACCAGCCTGTTTTTTCGAGAGTTGGCCTTCTCAACTGACTACATATCTTCCGAAGGCTTTGTCGCCAACGAGTTGGACTACAGCTCCTCCACGTATTCATTTATCGTGTCATCCAAGCACTTGGTGATGCTATTCAAAAACCTTGACTCGCCCAGCTTAAACTACATCTGTTTACGCGTCGATTGTCGCTCTGATACTCCACTGACTCGAAGATATAAACTTATGGTAGAGGTTCTCACCAAGAAGCTCATAGTGAAGAAGTTCCACATGAACTACCTGCCAGTTACTGGAGACCTCAACACGGTGGTTTCTCAGTACAAGGAAGAGTACGAGAAAGGCAACGTGCAATATTTCCAGGCCGAAACAGCAACTTTCAAGCTGTTTTTAGATATGGTTCCTGGGGCCACTGAGGATTTTTCAATAGAGGTCAAGATGACCAAGATTGTCTTCGGAGCGTACACCAAACAAGTGCTAAAAGACCGAGAGTTCCTTAAACAGCCCATGCTGATCACCATTCTGATGTCCACTGAAGAACTTTTGGACACAAACTTGGGTGATGTCAACGCTGTGGTGAATTTCAGGTTGAAAGATATTCGCAACTTTATCAATCTATGTACTGCCATGAAATCAGACGCACTGGATAGCGACATGATAGGTGTTGAGTCGCATTTCAATACCTATTTCAAAAGCAACGGTGACCCCATTGTCTTCGAATATAAAGCCCAGAACTTGACAATTACTTTTATTCAAATCACTGCTGAAGACTCGGCTAAACCCGAGTTGAAATCAACTACCAAGCCATACACGCTTCCAGCCCCAGCAATTCAGAAAGTTTCCGAGGAAAAACTTGCCAATTGGACTCCAGCAGTCTCCACATATGGTAAACGTGACGTTGCTCATTTGTCGAGGCTAGATGTCAGGACATCGAAACTTACTAGCGCACCAGCATCGCATGAAGAGTATGAAGAGCTCGACAACTTCCAATACTCGCTGCAAAACATCACCTACGGTAAACGGTCATCCACACCAATTGAATCTGATTCCGTTAAGAGAGCTCGGGACGATACGGACTACTCCACGTCCGACGACAACGCCCCACAGGAACAAGTTCAAGAGTTCGGTCCTACACAGCATGAAACATACAAGCCCAAGTCGCTATTCGACTAATATTATACATTATCTATGGAAACGGGGAACATGCACTAGTTGGTGACTGGCTTAGGGTCTTCCTTCTTGGATGAGAAATAGTGGTTATTAAGCCATCTATAACCCTGGCCCAACTGGGCACATTCGTTAACAAAGTGACAGCCGAACAACAAATAATTCTTAGGCAGAATGGCCAATGAATAACGCATGAAAACCAACGAGTACAAGATCAAAGATCCAGTCATTGGTCCACTGATTAAATCTGGGTCCTTCTTCAAGTCCAAAACGGCGGCCACCGGGATACCGAAGTTGGAAACAGGACCCCAGAAGTGTGTGGTGAATAAGTATTTGAAGTTCTGCTTGTTGAAGATGTTCTTGAATGACATGGCAAACAATTCTTTCTAGCAATGTTGGTAGGATTTCTCGGTGCCTAGGTATCCGGTACAGCGGGGTTGGTCGAAAATCCTGGATATTGCCTGCAGGCGTTGGAATTGGGTGCGAAAGTCCGTCATTAAGGTTAGTATGGGGAATACAATATAAGAAAATACAGATTGTAGCTTAAATGAATGGAAAATTATAGATTCCGATTTCTTATTGTATGAAGTATCCTAGTAGAGACCTTCGCTTCTGTGCTATTTCTTCGGTCTTGGGAAGTTTGGTTGCATGAATGCCTCTTTATCCAAGGCCTTACTGTTTGCATAATCAAGTTCGCTAGCAGCTTCAATCTTGACCGGATCTGTGTCCATTGCATCGTCCATCTGGAAGGTCATTTTGACGTAATTGTCCCCATAAACATTTGGTTGATTCTGCATAGGTGGCTGCATCTGTTGTGGCATTTCCACGTCGACGTTGTCCACTCTTACTAAACCTGGTTGACCAGCGTTGTTGATTCCAGGGTTATTAATTGTTTGACTGTTAATTCTTTGGCGATCCAAGTTCTGATTGCTGATGCTTTGGTTATTCATACCTTGGTTGTTCATACCTTGGTTGTTCATACCTTGGTTGTTCATGCCTTGACCGTTCATGCCTTGACCGTTCATGCCTTGACCATTCATGCCTTGGTTGTTTATTACTTGGCTGTTTATGCCTCGGCTGTTGATTGTCTGATTCCTCAAAGCCAGATTATTCATAGCTGGACCATCCAAAGGCTGACTATTGATGGCTTGATTTTGCAATTGCTGATTGTTCATATTCATGTGATTATTCTGGAATGGTTCAAATGAATCTGGTCTTGGATCCCATTGGTTGTACTGGTCGAAGTTATTAACTTGATCCCTTGCAAACATGTTAACAGAGTGTGGTTGTGGCTGGTATGGACCTTGATTCAATGTCTGTGAATCGTTGGTTTGATGACTTGAAGATTGCAGATGCATGGTGGTAGACTTCTCCGGACCTTGGTCATATACCAATCCAGAGCCATCGTCTGAGGGGCTGCTCAAATAATGAGGAATGCTATCTGGATTAGTAAACCAGAAGGGGTCTTTCATGTTGATGTCAAAAGTGTCCGCTAGAATTCGGTCAAACTCCTCGTTCATGATGGCTTTCTTCTCGATTGCTTCATTTCGGTACTGCTCGGCTTTGCTCAATAGCATGTTCACATGCTGAATATCCTTGTTGATCAAGTACACGATGTTTGTGGACCATAAGTGAACGCCCTGTTGAATGATAGAAGATACCTTGGAGTCAAATTGCATTAAAGTGTTCAATTTCGTGCCGACCTGTTGCAAAAACTCGTTATGCTCGCCGACTATGAACTCCTTAGCACGATAATTCAACAACGTGAACACCACTATCACACCTTGGTATATGAATGAATTAATGAATGGATATTTCGTTCTAAAGGCCTTGCCTAGTCTTAGGCGAGACCCCACGCTTCCGTCGTCGTTGAGATATTTCTGTGTTTCTTCTGTCAAGAAATGCAGAACAAAGTCACAGACATAATCGAGGAAGGAGACGACAGATTCACAGATGGAGTCAAAAAGATATTTGCTTTGATTATCGTCGTCAAATTGATTGAGGAAAGGCTCCAACAGTTTGGCTCGGTTAATGTAGAGTGCAATCAAATCACCCACAGCATTTGTCCTATCCACGTACACTGGAACGTGCGACCATTCATTGAGCTCGCCAAGACGGCCAGATGCCTCTTGCTGGTACTGATCGGATACAAACCAACTTAAAATTTCCGCCTCCTTCTTAAAACGATTGTCAAGCCTCACAACATCGTCCATGGTAAAATTCATCATGAAACTTTCAATAAGCATCATGTTGGAAAGTCGTAAACACTCGCTAAGGCCAATTTTCAATTGAACTTGGGTGGAGTTCTTTTCAAGATCCATTTTGGCCACACTGGATGATGTTGAAGTCATAAGAACTACCAGATTGACCTGGATCAGGATGGGATTGGGCCGTCCCAACACAGAGCACAACTCTCCGCTAATATTCTTTAATGCAAACCACACCTTTATTCTAGGAACATCATAATCTTCGTCGTCATCTTCGTCAGATCCATTAGCCTCTGTATTGACATTCTTCTCGTTTGATTTTCCATCTTCGTCTTTAGAAATCTCTGCAATCTTCAATGGGGCGCCATCAGGATAAGAATTTGTAGTTCTCATGGTGACCATGACATGAAGACCGATAGAGTACGCCACTGCGCAACAGTGGAACATCATCGACCAGGACTCCTCGTATTTCTGGTCAATAAAATACCATTCCGTGCAAAGAATGTATGCCTGGACAGTGACAATAGACTCATTGAGGAGATTATGTCTCAATGCGGTGAATCCTCGGTAGAGCGACTTCTTTATAAGCTTGTTCGTACGCTTGTAGAGCTCTTGAGCCAGAGGGACAGGGTTCAGTGAGAGGCCGATCTGGTTGTATTCTAGTGGAGTGATTCGTTGAACAGCGAGAATCAAAATCATGTGCAATAGAATCAAATCGTCGTCGTTTTCCCATTCAGCGTCCTTGATTGCATGGTGCAAATTGATGAAATCTATCATTTGGACTTTCGAAATAAAACACTGATAAGAAGGGATGGAAAAAAAGAGTTCAACCAAGTTGATGAGAGCCTTGACGTTTGTTCGGGGCGACTCGTTTGATTCCACCACCCATGGTAATGGTTTCTTCGAGACGGCCACTTCGTCGTTATCAATATCGGTATCATCACTATTGATACGCTGGTTCAGTTTCACAGATAGCGGATGTGGGTTCTCCTTCTTCTCAGTTGCGTCTTCGCCATTGTTATCGTCATCCTTCAGACGAAGGGCCTCGATCATGTAGTTGGACAGCTGTGGACCGTAGTACTTGCGGCCGAGCTCAGTTGTCTCACCTGAGATCTCGAATCCATGGTCCAGCGACGCAGAGTTCGAAGTCCGACTAGCAGCTTGAAGCTTACCCTTAAGCTCATGGTTTCTCTGAGAAAGTTTGAAGTTCTCATGTAACACCGCAAGCTTCTCTTTGCGGAGCAACTCAATTTCGTCATTAAGTTTGTTCAACTCTAGAGGTGACCGACTGCCTCCTGATGGAAACGTGGAGCTGGAGCTATTCTCACTATTGTTTTTTGGGGTATCATCCTCCTCTTTAATCGATATGTTCCGGAACTTCTCAGGGAATTCGCAATAAGTTCCCTTCTTGGAACACTGGTTGCAAGGCTTGCGCTTGTTGCACTTAATCTTCTTCCGCCTACACAGCACACACGAAATTGGGAACTCGCTCATGATGAAAGTTGGTGATATCGGAAAATTACACTCCTAGGTAAACCATAAAAGACGCCCATCCAGAGCTCGAAACCAGGACATGGATGTATAGGAAAACGGCATCAACTACATGTTGCTACTGCCACACACAGGAAGGTGGTAGGTCATGAATCAAAGTGGGATTATGAACCTGATCATTCTGGGTCCTGAACAGAAGGAAATCGATGATATGAACCATTTCCAGTCAAGTGTGGACCATTTGGATGTGTCAAAGACGATCGAAAAGTAAGACAGCGGAGTTCCGTATTATGACATGGGACCAGAGTGATAAATGGTAGGTGCAGTATGGAATGGCCACATCCAGGGCTCACATTTTGGGGGATGGATGCGATACTTTCGGGGAATTGGTTGATGTGGGTATTTTCCGTTCCTAACTTGATAGGAGTCATTGGTGGTTTGAATACATGGCGATGGGGTATCGACAAATTCACATGATTTTTTTCACTCAAACATTGTAAGGATAGGAATACGGTAGGTTAGCAACGTTGGGGAGTGTGACCAACTGCGTAATTATTTTATTAGTTTCAGCTGTGCCTCATTAGAATGAGGCATGAATGGGCAAGAGAAAGAAGGAAATGCCACTCGTCAGCCGTTAGCCTTGGGTCACAGAATTGTGTATCTTTTAAAAATAAATTTTTAACTTCCAGCCACGTCACTGGTCCGTTCGATTGGAGTGGAGACTTGGGGTTGCAACCACTACAAAGCCTAAATGAGTGGTAGACATTACATACCATGTGTTACATAAAAATTGTAATTCTCTTGAGATTCGTTTCAATATTGCTTGCCTTCTAAATTCTGTTCTGGATCCGCTAGGTAGATGCTGGTGAATCAGCCGCTACATGTAAGCAACGCAATCATGGAAGTACTTCTCACAGCTATGGAGTTCCGAAAGGTGGAAATCCGTTTTGGAAAAACTTTGGACAATTTATTAGTTAGAACATAGAAGACTTCTTTAACATGGGATGTCGAATAATCTCGAGAGGTCTGAAGCTTCATATGCTCGCTTAAAACTTAAAGCTTTCTTCGCTTTGTTCACATTTTGTTGATCATTTTCGATTAAGATTCTAGTGAAGATATGGGCTAGTCACTGGAGAGGTTGACCATGATAGCAAGTAAGAATTAAACCCTGGATTAGGATCACAGGATTCTCGGAAATCAACGTTTCCTCTTTCAACCATTGCTTTCGTTTAGTATTATCATTGGTATCACATCATGAATTATTCATCGATGTTTGCTCTTTTGGCTGAATTTGCAGTTGATTGCAACATTTATTATTGATAATTGAAATGAAAGCATGAAAGGAGTATTTGGTCCAATTATTCTCTGTGATGTTTCTCTCATTTCTCTTGTCGAATGGCTGTAGCTTCATTTGTTGTTAATATTGTTCACTCTCGACATGGAGACATTGTTTCCAATCGTCCACAGGTAGCAAGCAATTAAGGTAAATTCTCATCAAAGGTTTTTCCTCTTTTTTAATTGCCAGAGGGGTGACTCTTCTTACTTAAAGCAATTACAACCCACCACCCAATCCCAGGCTGACCAAATTGATCAATCTCTCAGGCTGAACTTCCCAGGAATAGCTTTACGCTGGCTGGAACAAAGTATTCTTTGACAATAATAGCCACCATTAGAAAGGTTCAATCGGAAAGTGTAAAAATAGAATTTGTGCGTTTAATGTTGTCCGGAAGTTTTTTAAGAGAAGAGGAAAGAGAACTCGTGTTTCCGTTTTCGGAACCGAGGTTTTGTCATGAGGATCGAATAGGTTTGTGCATTTTGAAACCATTAAAGGTCCATTTTTTGCAGTTTTCTGTGTCTGATCCAACCCTGTTTTCATACCTTTGCTGTTCATTAAATTGATTGTGGAATTCATCCTGATCTTCCCAACACCAAGTTCGGATTACTTACTGGAACCGATCATTTATTACTCCTGAGATTAATCTATTATAACTGCTAATGGACGCTCCCAATTGCAAATGCAGCAACCTCTTCTTTCGAAATTGTCAAGTGTTATCTTTAGTTTTGAAATCGACATGGCAGTTGACACTCTGTTGGCTGGCACCGGGAGAAAAAAGGAGGTCGATAATTTCACGATTCTGTTATAAGCACTAACAAATGAACGAAAACTTTTTCAAGGCTATTGATAAATTAATCACCCTGACGGAGATATTCACTTCGTCTTCTGTCCCCCATGAATCATGCCACGACTTAAATTCGATCATTTGAAATCCAACGCGAAGACAATTGAAAACCTATCAAAGCACCGTTCAAGCTACGTTGAATGAAAAGTGTTAGTGGAAATCACGGTCTTTATATTTGACAAAAGTGTGATATGATTATGAAGGCATTGGTGAAAGAGTTGATAACTGTAGCTCCGAGGACCACGAAGACCACAACAATACTGGAAAGATCAAGATCGTTCTCATCTGATTGTTGATGGGCTCCTACTGAAATTTGAGTACCTTCCTACGTTCTTCGATACTAAGAAACACTTTCGATAGTGGCTGAACCTCTGCTTTAAACTGGAAAGTAAATGATATTCCCATGCTTGTGAGATAGCCATTGGTCAAAGAATAGGAAATATTTAGGCATTCACCGATTCAGAAGTTCCGGAATTGAATTCTTGTTTTTGGGATAAATACAAATCAAATTTTATTAGTTCAACATTCGCTTTACTGGGGCGGGGCCGGAAATATGATGAACTCCCCCAGTGAACGGTATTAATATTGTCTTAAATTCGCAAAATTGAGAATACGTCCAAACTCTCTCATCTATTCAACCTTAATATTGCTATGAATCTTGCATTTCCTCATATAAACTCCAATGCTTAGGGGTTTAACTCGTGTCGTTGACCTCAAAACAGCTTCGAAGTCTCTCTTACGAAATTTTTGATTGAATGTCATATTTTAGTGCATAAAGAGAAATGCCATAATTACTGGATCCATAAAAAGTCGAAAGACAATATCATTAATTGACATGGACTATAAAAATCACTTCAACTCCCAACAATAATCACCATTCCGCATCATTTAACAATCTGTAGATCAATCCTGATGTTTCTGCGGTCATCTTCTGTCATTATTATCACTCTTGTCATAATACTCTCCATCTTCATCTCAAAATCTCCAATTCTTTATCTCAGAATCTAGATCTCAAACATCTTCGCAAGCTTAAACTCACAGTCATCAAACTTAAATGGCAAAACTTTTTAAATCAAATCCTTCCACAATTTCAAAGAACCACCCATCCATTCCAATATTTTCATGTCAAGAATGTTTCCCTTTGTTCCTACATATATCTTTGCCCGTGTTCTTATCTACAACCGTTTTCGCGATTCCTTATCAGCACTATAAATACTTCTCACCATTCCGTTTTTCTTCGTCACCGTCAATTAAATGAACACAAAAGAACCCTACTTTGACAATGTCCTGACCACCAAAACTCTGCTTTTGTTGAATGCAAATCTCTTGAAGATTCCTCCTTCTACTGATTATCCAGTCTCGACTGCTGAACCCGTCAATACTCCCATATTACGCACTTCCCTGAGAAGAGGGTCGATGGAACCTTATTACAGTAGCTCTCGCCGCGGCACCATGTCAGGCTCAGCTGGATCTTCGAAACTGTCGTCATATGCGTTATTGTCGGATGTCTTCGATTATCACTATGTCGACCAGTATTCACAGGAGGACCTCGAGAATGCTATCGCCTCCGATAGTGATACTGATTACGAAGACCTTGATGTGGAATACCGTGGAATGTCCGATTCAGATGCCGACTCAGAATTGGAGGATTACAAGGTACATTTTCTCAAGTTCAAGGTGACGTCGCGGGCCCAGTTCACTCGTCCTCCTCACCGGACTATGTCAAATGTGTCTGATCATTTTGATGATGGTCCAATCCACAAAGACTTCAGTATGTTGTCAATTGATCACCACACACAGTTTATGGCGCCACCTCTCAACCACAAAATCATGAATGTGGGAGCTTTGGATGACCTGGTGTCTCTGATTATCGCCAACTACAAGCTTAAGTGCAACTACCCGTTGAATGGTAGTATTCACGAGCAGAGAGTCAGCCAGAAAATCAAAGTGCCAAAGGCAGCGGACAGCAAAGTAAACGACGAATACATAGGCGCTGTTTCCAAGGTGGGAACCTCTAGCGATGCCTACGATACCCAGAAGTTGGATTATTTCTTGTAAAATTGTATAATAATGTATTAGAATACACCGCCAAGCAACTCATAAGCAATCAAACTCATGGAAGGCACAAGCACATTGTCGTTCAATGTAGAAGCACCTTCGACGGCACCTCCCAAAATGGCCACGATGAAGAGGTTCTCCCAATTCTGAACCTTGCTTCCTTCAGGTAATAAGTACTTGTCGACAAGAACAAATGACGCAAAAGTTACAACAATGTACGTCACAGTGCCCTCGAGTGTACGGTCACCACCCTTCCACTTGATCTTGCCAAAGTTCCTGCCCACGAAAGATGCAGTGGAATCACTCAATCCCAAGGTGATAAGACCGAGGTACGATCTAATAGACACCACATCGTCCTTGGCAACGCCGTAGGCGAGTGGAATAGCTACACCCACCAACAAGAAAATGTAAGACAAACTGAGTGGTCCAGAAATGTCCTTGTCATCTTGGAAGTAGCGAAGGTGGGTGTTCAAGAAGGAGCCCAATGAACCCAAACGAGCAGCACGCACAGCTTCAACAACAATGAACACGAAAACGGAGCCCAATACGGCAATAGAAGTGAAAACAGGTTCCTGGATCAAGGCTGGGTAAGCTAGCGAGGCAAACAAAAGGTAATGCCATGCTTTTCTTCTGAAGTTGAGGGACACCTTGTCGAACTCAGCCAAAACAAAAACGGTTGGAACAGTAGCCACAAGGGCAACCAACCACGCTCCAAGTAATTTCTCACGCAATTCCGTGGCTCTGATGTAGTTGATCAACCATGAGATGACCTCCTCGTTGATGATTTGCGTGGTGAAGATATAGTTAGTGATGAAATAGAATACTCCACTGAATACTCCACCAACAACAAGGGAAGCGATATTGGCTAAAACAGGATTTGAGAGCTGCGAATAGCCGTAGTAAATAGGGAACAGCGCACCCATAGCACCAATAAGTGCAATGGTGAGTGCTCTGACGATAAACAATGGCAAGTTCGTATCGGACAAGGTGAGGTGGAAGTTGGCCAAGATGTTGACGGTGAAAACGGCAATAAGATGTATTTCCGTCGCAGAGAGCGTCCGCTTCACTGGCTTGTCTTCATTAACCTCAGAGTTGTCCTCGTTCCAGTGAGTGAGGGCCCATTCGACAGAAAAGTAGATCCAAATCACTTGCAAAAACTCGAAAATCTCCAATGTCTTGTTCTCATTGTACATGTAGTAAAACACAAACGACGACACCACCTTGGCCACTGGATGCAAGGTGTGAATACAGTAGTTGTTGATAGCCAAATTCACCTGGAAAAATGGTGAGGAGGTACCGCCCAACAAAACGTTCAAGGCAATAGGAATGAAAAACGAGTAAATGGTGTTGAACTCAGGCAATTCAGGAGCACCAGATGTTTCTGGGTTGGCTGCATGTTTCTTTCTCAACGATCTGTTACTCAAGTACATAGCTAACACTGCCCCCAAGATACTGAAGCCCACAGCAGCAAGTCCAGCATGGTCGTCTCTTTCACTCAAGTAAATGTAGAAAACTTGACTCAAGTAGAGACAAACCAAGATCTCGACACCACGGCGGAAGTTCAAGTGGAAGTTCAAGAAGTCTTGAAACTCAAACACCAAGTTGAATGGGAATTTATAGTCCTCGGGTCTGTCAGGATCGTCGTTTTCAAGTGGAGGTTGAATCTGGGAAGATTCGTCATTGGAATTGATTTTGGAGTCCTCAAGTTGCTCAGGCGAGTCAATGTTCTGAAAAATAGAAGCAGTTGACCTACTGGAAGCAGTGTCCGGCTTGCGGACTTCTTTTCTTCTGGCCATGTGGTCGTCGATTAAGTATTTTTCTTGATTTTTCCAAAATTAATGATTGCCTTTATGGAGGAATAGAGAGCAAAAATAATGACTCCGGCGTGATTCGAACACGCGCATCTTACGATAACAGAACTTGAGTCTGCCGCCTTAGACCGCTCGGCCACAGAGCCATTTGATAAGAACTTAATACTGCCAGAATATTATACTATAAATTTTGTACCTAAATTGGGTTTTCACGAAATTTTGACCGTGCTACTCAGTGTAGTCCCTGATATAGTACCCAATATACAATTGTTTAAAAAAATTGTTTCCGATTCCGTAAAATTTCAAATAATTTATTTCTGAAATATCTGTGTATGAACACAATAGATAAAAATAAATATAAATAAATAAAAAGAGTAGCATTTTCGTTCATTTAGAAGGGCAGGATGAGCGATTCGTATTCTGAGAACCAATTTCGACTTCTCCAATTGGAAGCTCAAGCTCCAAAAAAGTTATGAAACGGAGCCCTCTACACTCTGCAAGGACTTCAAGGGTAGTGTTCTCAAAACGCTAGACGATTCTGCAGAGTATGTATGGTCGATCATATCATTATCCAAATTTATTTCTCAGCAAAAACTGGAATCACATTTGGGAGGTCTAACTCTACACCGTGAATATTGAATGCTATATTAATATTGATGCTCAATCTAAGATCGTTGCACGTTTCTTCTTCTTTGTCTTCTTCTTGGGAACCGTCACCACTTTGTCGGCAGTGTTCACTTCATGAATTGGCTCAACACTGACTTCTCGGGACTTCTGAGGTAAAGCCGTCGATTCATCATTTTCAGGCTCATCAGCAGCAACTTTACCAGTCACCTCATCTTCTCTATGTTGAACTTCCTCGTTGTTTTTCTTGAGCTTCTTCTTTTCAGCTCTCTCAGCCTTCTTTCTCTCATCCCTTTCAGCTTTCTTTCTCTCCTCTCTCTGAGCCTTCTTCTTGGCCTTCTTTTCAAGTTCGGCTCTGAAAGCTCCGAGATCCACATCATACTCAAAGTCCTTCTTATCTTCAACCTCACCTTCGCCCGTGACCTGAGGTGCGTTCATATTTATATCCTCGAGGTTGAAATTGTTTGAAAAAAGCTTGGTCGTCTTCTTCTTTTTCTCAACCTTTTCCTCCAAATCTGGACCACCAAGAGTTTCTTCATCCAAAACAATCACCTTTTCTTTCTTCATCTTTTTAGGTTTCTTGCTCTTCTTTATGCGCTCCACAGGAGGCGACGCAAGTGACACTCTCTCGCTCAGAGCCATGCTGTTACTGTCATCCACACCAAAAATCTTCTGTCTATGTTTTGGCGTTTTCAGTTTCGATTTTGGAGTGATGTAGTAAGGGTCATCTTTCAATCTCTCCAAACGCTCTTTCAATGCTCTGTCATCATAGCCAGCCTCTGACTCACTCGATGCTTGCAATTCATCAGCTGATTCATTATCCTCAGTACCACTTTCTGGTTCGCTAGTAACCAAACAGAATGCTGGTGGATCATTGATCTGAGCATCCAAGTCCAAATCTTCAGGGAGGGGAATGCGTCTTTGGGCCGTGGCAGAAATGGGATTCAACCGATATGCCTTAAAAAAGGAACGCAAGATAGTCGCCAATAGTTGAGGTAGTTCTTTATCTTCCTTGTCTTCAACCGAAGCAGTTTCATCAGTTCTCTTGATCTCTACTTCTTCGCTTTCTTTGTCTTTATCTTCGTTGTCTTCGTTAACTTCGTCGCCTTCGTTGTCTTCATCTGCTTCATCTGCGCTTTCGTCAGAAGACTCACTTTCGAGTTCAAGCATATCTTGATCGTCAATTTCTTCCTCGGATGAGCTTCCATCTTCCTCAATCTCAGAGTCCACTTGAGTTGCCGACTTGGAATTAGTAAGCGCAGCTTTTTTATAATAGGCAATTTCCTCTGTTTTGAGTCTGTCCAAAGATATCAGATCTTTCACTCTCATGGCATCCAAGCAAAGTTTCAAGAATTCCAACCAGGACAAAGTCCGTTCTTGAACTTCGTAATCGGAATGATTTTCCCAATTTTCCAAAAACGTCACTGCTTTCCATACAAAAAGTTCGATTTCACCAAAATTCTTATATGGAAGCTTGCCAAAGTTCAGGTATAGTTCCTGATAGTCATCGATTATTCCAGAAAGCAACTTTACAAGAGTCTGGATATATATGACCAACACAGACGAATCGGAAAGATTAACAATTGCGCTCGACACAGGAAATTGATTGGTATTCAACTCCTTATCGATATAATTGTTCACGAAAGTATTGAAGAGACGCACCTTGTCTCCAAGTGGTGAGGACGAATCATCTGATTCATCTTCATCTTGTCCAATTTCACTGATATACTCACCCAAAATCCAATACAAGTCCCTCATCAAAAGCGGGCATAGGTATAAAGGCTTGGAGTCATTACAATATGGGACAATGACCTTGTTCAAAATGAATGGACGGATTGAAGGAACTCTAACCGCTAAAGACTTGAATTCTCTGCCAAGTTTGATAGCAATAGTCATAGCAGCAGATTCAGAGAGCGCAACAGAAGTACCGGCTCCGTTGTCAGCCAGAAGCAAAAGAGTCAAACTCACCAACTCCTTGAGAGCAGTGACATACCACTTGAAGTTAGGAATGTTCGAGTAGTTGTCCTGGGAAGCAATTTCCAAAATCTTGTCGGTAATCTCTAACTTCAAATCCTCCGGGATTCTGTAGTCATTTTCTTCAGGAACTAACTGCAATAGAAGCACCTTCACAATATTGGCGATGTTATCTTCGGTTACCAAATACTGGCAGATCTCAAGTGCTTTACGTTTGATGATGAGGTCCTTATCTGTCAAACAATTCATGATCTCTGCTGAGACGTCCTTGATTTTGTGCATGAATTCCGGGAAAAGCTTCAAGATATTGATCAAAGCAATTAGTCCAACGAACTTCAAATTAGAGTCTCTGGTTTCGAAAAATTTCATGATGTGGTTGATACACTGCTTGGCGATCTCCTTGTCCTTGGACGAGTCCACGGAAAGCATACCGCCATTGACAATACAACTGATACACTCGTAGACCAACGACGTTGCCTCTGTTTTCGCCATCAAATTGAGAATCGATGGCAAGATCTTCTTCTTCATTCTTGGCTCGATCTTCAGCAAACTCTGGAAGAGCTTCAACACACGGATTGTAAGCCAATTATTGGACGTGCTCTCCAAAATGTTGAAGAATTTCGGCAAGTAGCCTATAAAGATGTTGGGGTTCTTCTTTGAGATCTCACAAACAACTGTAAGCGTTGCACTGACCACGGAAACATCGGGATCATCCAATTTCTCAATCACCCGAGGTAATGCCGCTCTGATGCTCTCGGGATACTGAAGAATCACCTTGTATAAAGCCAACACAGCCTTCTTACGGATGTATGGCTTCAGGTGGTTAAGTTTCATCACCACGTCGTCTACAATGTCCTTGGCCAAGTTGGCTGTGACGATGGTAGCGATACCACTGAGGGCCAATCCTACCTCAATGTGATTGTGCGAATTCAAATCCTTCTTGAACTGGTTAGTGGCTAGAATTAGAAGATCCTGTTCGCTCTTAAACGACTGTGTGGCTGCCAAATAGCCGATTCGCTTCTGTTGGAACTTGGCCGACGACATCACTTCCAAGATCTGGAAATTGCACCAACTCATGTCAAATCCGTACATTTCCAAGTAAGCCAATTTGAGGACCGCTGTGGCCTTGACCTCAAAGTCTGTGGTGGTGAGCTCCACTTTACATTCTTGAATTGCATTATCCAAAAATGCCAGAAGACTTTCTGGTGATTCCTTGGAGTGGGAGCGGATGCCCTTGATGAGATCAGAAAGGGATTTTTCAAATGTGATTCCAAACGGCTTGAGCCGCGCCAACACCTCCGAACTTTGGATCTGAAATGACAGCATGTAGTTCGAAAGTAGTAGTTGGTAGTCAACGAGTATGTACTATGGTGTCCTGCAGGATGTGTTGGGAGTACGAAGTAGGACGCTCAGTTAAGATGTTCATGTTGAATGTACAAGAAGACTTAAATGATTTCTTGGATACTTAGATCAATGATTCTATTTAAATTTTAGCTCTCCAATGATTTTTTCTCTTCGTTGATGATTTTTGATTGACCTATTGGAAACATAGATCATTGCTTACGTACAGGATATCAACACAATCACTAACTACTCATATCCATATGACTCCCCATATCTCTGCTACGAGAGCATCTCTGACTAGTGAATCACTGAATGAAGATTCAGAAAACAACATCCTGGATCTGGGTTTCTTTTCCCCGGAGGAGACCTCTCAATCGCCTATAGAAAGCGATAGTCAGAGCATTGACTCAAGTGAGAGTATATTACCCTCGGAATTACCGACATCACCGACTCGTACGGCTACAGATGAATTATCAGGACTTTCAGACGATGAGTACATAACTAGTGATGACGAAATCCTTACCACCGTCGTCTCTTTGGACGAGCAGAGACACCATTTCGCCTACGGATCAACATTTGCGGAGCATACGGACTACTTCTCCAAAAGTCTATCTCATGCATTGGATTCTGTCAAGCTCGACAAGTCTCTAGTTGCGCAGGCGCAGCTTAGTGGCTACCTTAACAACAAGAGCCAAAAATTAGCAGAAAAGCACCTGGAATTGATCGAAAGAATCACATCTCTCAGGTCACTATATCGAAATCATGTATTGAGTAATCGGATGGGGGATCTTGAGAAGGACCTTGCTGAATTGAATACTCGCATTGAAAACATCAAGAATGGAATGGCCAAAACTCTGTTATTTGGACGGAAAGGGACGGTCGGTGTGGCCGAGAAGTATCCAGTGGAATATAACCAAGCCAAAGATAAGGTTTTGGAAAGAGTCTCAGAAAACTAAAATGTATTACATATATTTCGTCTTTGTATTTATATTTGGGCATAGATCATGCCAATACCGTCCATCCACAGGCCACAATATCCGTACAATCCCACAATCGTATCTTTTTGAGGGGGCTCCAAGATCGATAAGTGTCCTCCTCCGCTGTTACCCAACATACCGGATGATCTTCCCAGAGTAGTGTGAACTTCCATACCATCGATCCACTGTCCATTCTGGAACAGGAACTTGGAGATCCGCTCTCCAGGATTTAATACGAAATCTGTGTAGTGAGGCTTGATGTTTCCAATCGTCACTTCTCCACCCTGGCCACCTCCGTTGCCGCTCGAGATGACGTCTTGACTACCAAGCAATTTGTTTGCGAAACGGCTCAAGTAGTTCCTGGGAGGAACAGGAGGAGCATTGCTGTTCGCTTTCTCTGATTGAGCTCCATGGAAATAAAACGTAGCTCCATCAAGTGCATGACCATGGTAAATTCTGACCTTGTAAACTCTGGAAATATCAAAACCAATGAACTTCATACTGCCATTTTCACGACCTAAAACGTCACTCTTGTAACCATCGATATCACCTCTTCCCAAACCAAAATCGCTGCGGATAATGCGATGCTTATCTTCAAAAGTGTTCTTGAAGTCTTTCTTCCAGAGATCCCCTGAAACAGATAAGACACGCATATCGAAATTGTCTTTGGCTCCGTTCCAGTTTCTTTTGAAGTGGCCCATCAACTCTTCAAAATTTAGGGTGATCTCATGTTGGAGACCAGGTCCGCCATAAGATCTAGGGTAGAAATCGATATGATAACGGGCCAAGTCGTCTCCGCAGATTTCTACCATGAAAATGCCAGAAGTGCTTTTCACCACTACTTCCCCAGGTCCAGAAATGAACATCGATGGAACATCCCTATTCCTATACGATTGGTCTGGTTCCATAGTTGTAACAAAGCTCTTGGAGAATGATTCATCTCTCTTGTCCACTGGAATACTGAAGGATCCATGGTATAAGTATCGCATAAGATCCATGATGTTCCAATGGCATTCCTTTTGCCAATGTCCATCATTTCCGATGACTGCACCACTCGAATTGGTTCTGAGACTCTCAGTCTCTCTAGTCATGAACGACCGGTTCCACCACATGTAATCACGAAGCATGACACCGTCAACTTGGTGAGGAGAACCGAACAGATGGCCAATTTCATGCATAAAGGCTCCCATGCAAATATTCAAGCACTCCCAAGATGTTCCACACTGGTTGCAGTCATTGGCGACCTCATTGATGCTCAAATGTGTGGCATCTACAAAACTTGGACTGATCTGTGGGAATGTCAAGGGATAGGAGTGGAGTCCGTGTGAGCCAAACACAGCCATTTTCACCGTTCCGGTTCCACCTCCCAATGCTGCATGCGTTGAGATCAACTTGCCATCCCAATGTGAGTCCAAGTACATCACAGCACACTGAATAGCCGTTCCCGTTCTTTTGTATGGCTCTATCAAGTCTGACTTCTCTATCAAGTCAATAGCATGTGAGAAACAGAAACCATTATCTTTGGCCCTGGGATTCTGTTGAGCGTAGTCAGGGCTCCTCAATTCGGCTACCGTCTTAGGAGAATGTAAAACATGGACCTTGACTTCTTGATGGGGTATTGGCAGGTCAACATTGTAGCCAAAAATAGCCTGATGATTCACTGTTTCCTCTACAAATTGGAACGAGCGATTACTGAGTCCCAAGCGATGAAATTCGTCTTGCGTGAACGCCTGCATCATTCTGGCGGCAACCTTAAGCCTCTGAATTGCTGACGAAAAATCTGGTTGCTGTCCTCTGTTCAATTTATACTTGGGCATGTCGTATGCACCGTACGAGTCCTTTCCCACCACAACACACAAGTGAACGGGCTTATTTTCGGGAAGAGGGTTGAAGTACAACGTGAGAGAGCCTTTGTCGACGACGTTGCCGGCCTTCTCAGGAAAACCTTGATCATTTAAGTATGCATCCTTCAATGCGTGCACTTCAAACACATTGGCCTCACCGGGTGACACATGCAAAAACGCCTTAAACTGTCCGTTGTTAATCTCGAAAAATTGCGGCGGGAAAACCTTATTGCTGTTGTTAACAAATTGAACAAGTCCAGCTTGGATGAATTGCGACACTCTTCCTGAGACGATCACCGCCGGCGACGAGACAATTTCGCCATTTTGATAGTTGAATTCAATCATGGATTCGGAATTGTAGTATATCTAAAACTTCTCGAATGGTAAAGAAGAACAGAACAATAAAGAGTGATATCTGAATGACTTCTAGGCTATGTGATTACGTGGAGTAGCGATTCATGCAGGAGATTAAGGGTCCATAGGAAAGTATCAATGAATATATTGTTTCACGCAGGAGAAGAAGGTCCCAAGGATGCTATCAATGAAGTCACATTGAGAGGCGAAATGTACGGAAATTCAGTGGAACATTTGTTCTTTCATTTGGAAAAAAATCCAATAGTAAGATTTTATAATTATCTTCATTATATTTGTGTGGGTTCATTTGGTTAATATTTTGGCGCAGCACGTGACCCACCAACCAGTAGATAATAAATGTAAACAAACCTCATGTACTCCACAACTGATATATAATGGTTCGTGAATCGCTTCGGATCCGCACACGTCAAGAAGATTCGAGCCCGATCAGTGACCTTCATGGACAGACAACAGAAGATGCCATTGATTTGGATTCGTCAGATGAAGAAGTAGAAGAAATCGAGGTTGAGGAGGAAGTAGAGGAAAGAGAGGAAGAAGAAGTGGAGCAGGAAAAAGAAGAGGCAGAGGACGTTGCTGAATTGGAACAGCTGGAGATAGCTGCGTCACAACTGCTGGAACTGAGTCTGAGTCTGAGTCTGAGTCTGAGTCTGGACCTGGATCTGGAGGAGGAAGAATCCGTGAGCCAGAAGGAAACATCAGAACAGCCAGAAACAGTCAAGAAATCAGAAGGTTTATCGCTGGATTCAGAACCTTCTCTGGATGAGGAGATTGAGTCCGAAAAGGAGGAATTTCCAGTGGAAACTCCTCTAAGTAAATCTGAACCAGAGAAGTCAAGCCCTATGAAACACAGCGAGGAATATGATTTGGAGGAAATGATTCGTGGTGAGATTGCCGCGTCTCTCGATGACGAAATAACCGTGATAGCTGACGACACACTAGATTCCGCTGACGACATAGCCATTGTTCTGGTGGAGCCATTTAGTGACGACAAGAAATTCTTGAGAAGGAAAAGAAGAAAGAGCGAACCTGATCAAAAGGATCCAAAGGTGAGAGATGACGAGCATAAAACCAAGAAGAAGGCAAAGCCTTCAGCTGGTAGGAAAAACTTGGGCTCGTCACACTCTGATTCTGAAGGAGACACGGAACTTTTCGTTGATGCTTTGGATTCAGATTGGGCCGGTGGACAGCTGACTGAGCAAACTTCGGCATTCAACCTGCCTAATTTTCCCGATGTAATTGAAATTGAAAGCGAGTCCGAGGAGTCTGTGGCCCCAAAATCGGGGCATTCGACAGAGTCTGCGGGAATTCGGTTACTATACAATTCCAGCTATGATCTTTCCGATCTGGGTGACAAAACCGAAGTCAACTTGGATACTGTTACAATTAATGAGCTTGTGGGCCAGAAAGACTTGGTAGAGACTTATCAATTCAATTTCAGTGTGGACCTCGAGTACTTCCTTTCGTTCTTACATCCTGAGTTCTCGATCAAAAGAAGAAAGATCACCTTCATCACAGGAGGACCGCTCTTGAGTGGGCACCCTCTTGAGAACCAGTTGAGAAAGAAATTTCTCATCTCTGATGTTGTTGCCTCGCTTCCTAACCGATTTGGCTCCCACCATTCCAAAATGATGGTGAACTTCTTTGAGGATGATGAAGTCGAAATTGTCATTATGACTTCGAACTTGACCCAGTTGGATTTTGTTGGCTTGACGCAGACATTATGGAGATCTGGCCGCTTGAAGAAGGGAAAAACCTCCACTACTCTGGGAAAACGCTTCCGAATCGATCTTATACGGTATCTTTCGAAGTACAAGCTCAATGTGACCGACGCATTGCTCAAAAAGTTGGAACATTTTGATTACAGTTCTGTTGATGTGGAGCTCGTAGCATCTTCACCTGGCGTTTACAATTTGGAAGATCCAAAACCCAAGGGAGAAGCTTATGGTTATTTGAAGTTCCGTCAGTGTCTCAAGCGAAACAATTTGCTTTTGGAACCTGAAAAACTGTCCCACAATATATTGGCACAAGTAACGTCGATTGCTTATCCTTATGCAACCAAGAAGGGCAAAACCTCCTCAATATTCACCCACTTATTGTGTCCGTTGATGTTCAAAGATTGGGATCAGCTGCTTGAGCCTGGTGCTGAAGCATCCCAACAACATCAGCGTGAGAACAGATACAAGCCACACATAGTTTTTCCCACTGCAAAGGAGATTGCCAGCAGCAATTTCGGATTTCTCTCTGGAACCGCCGTACATTTCAAGTACACCACACTGGCCATTCATGAACAGCAGTACGAGCAGAATATCAAGAAGTACTTGTGTAAGTGGAGCCAGGGCACCCAGACTGGAAGAGAAAGGGTGACTCCGCACGTAAAGTACTACGCGTGTGATAATGGAGACGACTGGAAGAGCTTGAAATGGGTCTTGGTGGGTAGTCATAACTTGTCGAAGCAGGCTTGGGGCTACCCACTTGCGAAGTCGAAGGGAACACAGTTTGAGGTTGATAGTTACGAATTGAGTGTGTTTAAGGCAGGAAAGGAAAAGCCTCTTATACCTGTTTATGGAAGTGATGCCCTTCCAGCGAAAACCACTGGAGAGGCAATTCGTTTCCCATTTGTTGTGCCTCCAAAACCTTATCTGGTTAGAGACCAGGCGTGGAGTGCAGATGTTGATTTTGGTTCGCTTAATGACCGGTGGGGCAATACCCACCACGGTATATTTTAGTGTTTAATGTTGTATTATAATAATTGGTGACTATTCCAATCCAACCTAAGATCTTTTATTTCCCGCTGAACCAATCTTTTTAACAAGTTTATTTGTTTCTACTCTATGTACGCGAGTGCACACAACACCAAAACATCAAGACGTGTACTACTCCATCATCAAATCAATATAGTGAATAACCCCAGACAATTGCTATGCACATCAAGAAAATTGTCATTCAGGGCTTCAAAACCTACAAAAACACCACTGTCATCGATGACTTGTCGCCCAACCTCAACGTGATGGTGGGACGAAACGGATCTGGTAAATCCAACTTCTTCGCCGCGATCAGGTTTGTTTTATCCGATGCCTATACACATATGACGCGTGAGGAGCGTCAGGGACTCATTCATGAAGGCTCAGGGACGGTCATGTCCGCGTACGTGGAGATTGTGTTTGATAACACTGATCGTCGATTCCCTCTCCAGAAGGATGACATTTCAATACGAAGAACCATTGGATTAAAGAAAGACGACTACTCAATGGATGGAAAATCTGCTACGCGGTCGGATATCATGAATTTGTTGGAAAGTGCTGGCTTTTCCCGACTGAATCCATACTATATAGTTCCGCAGGGTAAAATCACGTCCTTGACCAATTCAAAAGATTCGGAGCGGTTGGCTCTCTTGAAGGAGGTCAGTGGAGCCAAGGTGTTCGAGGCCAAGCTCAAGGAATCTACAAAGGAGATGACGAACTCGAACTATAAGATGGAGAGGATCGACGAGGCCATGGAAAAGTTGGAGGAGAAGCTTGCAGACCTCATGATAGAGTCCAAGGACTTGAAGCAGTTTCAGCAGCTTGAAAAGAACAAAAAGGTGTTTGAATTCAATCTCTTTGATCGTGAATTGGCATCTTTAAGTAGTCAGATTGAAGCCAACGAAGAAGAATATGAGTCTATGAAGAATTCCTCACTCAAGGATATTCAGGATTTAGAAAAGCGAGAGCTGGCCAGCCAGAAACTTCAGGCTGAGATTGACGAGCTACTGACGGCTCTCCGTGTTGCCAGCTTAGAGAGTGAGCAGAGTGAAACGGATAAGAATAGACTAGCTCAGTCGATGGCGGAGAAGGAATCATTGGTCAGAGATTTGGAGGCTACCCTTACATCAGCCCATGAAAATGCAGAAGAACAAAGTTCCAAAAAAATGGCTTTGACCAAAGCTCTCGAGGAAAGGTCAGCAAGAATTTCTGAAGAGTTGAAACCTGAATTACAAAAGTTATTAGCCCAAGAATCAACTCTCAAGAGCAAAATTTCCGAGCTTACTACCAGACAACGTCTACTTTATGCCAAACAAAGCAGATTTCTGAAGTTTCTGTCCAAGAAGCAGCGTGACAAATGGCTCAAAGACGAAATCAAGAATGTGACCAAAGATCTTGAGAGTCGGCAAGAGCTGTTAGAATCGAATATTATTGCTAGAAAGAATTTTGAAGAAGAGCTTATTGAATGTGAAAATCGCCTTCAAGACTTAAAGTCATCTTTGGACGGCGAAGACCAGCATCGCAAGATTCAGCAGTATGAAGAAAACATAGAGACAGCTAAGAGAAAAGTCATGGAGCTTTCGGAAGAGAGGAAAATACTATGGAGAGATGAAATAAGGTACAGATCACTCTATGATTCAGCGGAACTGGAATTGTCTGACGCAAACCATAAAGTTTCAAGATCTATGGATAGAGAACTTGCTCGGGGCCTTCAATCTGTACGCGACATTTCAGAGAGATTGAACTTGCAAGATTCTGTTTATGGCCCCTTGGCTGACCTCTTCACGTTCTCCGACAAATACAAAACGGCAGTGGAAGTCGTGGCGGGAAATTCTTTGTTTCACGTTGTGGTGGACACCGATGAAACGGCACTGTTGCTCATGAAGGAGTTGTTTAGAGTCAAGGGTGGTCGAGTAACATTCATGCCCCTTAACCGTATCAACTTGTCTTCTGTTTCTTATCCAGATCAAGATGCTCACGATTACATTCCTCTTGTGAAGAAAATAAAACATTCTGAAGATGTTACGAAGGCAATCCAGCTTGTGTTTGGCAAAACCATCGTTTGCAAAGATTTGCATCAAGGGTCAGAATTAGCTCGGTCTCACAACTTGAATGCAATTACTTTGGATGGTGACCGTGCTACCACTAAGGGAGTTCTTATCGGAGGATTCAGAGACTACAAGAACTCTCGTCTCGATGCATTGAAGGTACAGAGCAAGAAGAAACGTGAGATGGCTAAATTGATAAACGATTTGCAAGAATGTTCCAAGAAGTTGCAGAAAGTGAATGATGAGCTCACAACGGAGAATGCCGATCTCGATGAAAAGCTTAGGGAACTCGAAAAGTTTCGTGCATCTCTCGAACCATTGAATTTAGAGTACTCACATTTACTTAACAAGAAGTTTAATCTTGGGAAGAACTTGGCTCAAGTGAGTTCCACATGTGAAGCTCTTGAGAATAATATTGCCAATCTCAAAGCAAAGATCACTCAGCATGAGGATGAGATCACAACCGAGTTCACTCAATCATTGTCCAATGCGGAAACTTTGGAAATTGATGAATTGATGGAGCAAATAACAACACTTGAAGATGATTTAAACGAGGTGGTATCTAAATCAGCAGCATTGGACACGACCATTACAGCACTTGAAAATGAGTGTTCTACCTACGAAACTCAAATTAAGAATATTGATATTGGTGGTGAAGTGTCTTTTGCCAAAAGCAGGGATGTGGAGTTTCAACTTCTCCAAGGTGAATTAAAGACTCTTTCTCAGAGCATGACGAAATTGGAGAAACGATGCAAGGAAAATTCTTCTTCGGAAAAGAAGATTTCAACCAAACTTGCCAAACTTCATGCCGATCTCCAAAAGGCAAATGAGGAACAAGAAAGGGCCGTTAAGCTTCTTGAAAAGGTTGGAAAGAGTGCCGAGAAGATACTTTCTCGTAAAGCCATCCTTGATTCTAGAAGAGAAGAAGTGCAAGAGAAAGTTAGAGAATTGGGTGTTCTTCCTGAAGAAGCATTCCAGCAAACCCAGTTCGAGGCTACGTCTCTGGATGAACTTCTAGAGAAGCTCAACGTCATCAACAATGACTTAAAGAAGTACTCGCATATAAACAAAAAGGCCATGGAGCAATACAACACGTTCACCAAGGAAAGAGAAGACTTGGTATCTAGAAAGGAGGAACTCGAGAGATCAAAGGAATCCATTGACAACTTGATGATCTCGTTGGAGCATCAGAAGGATAGTGCCATCAAAAAGAGTTTCCAGGAGGTGTCCAAGAGTTTCAAGGAGGTATTCGAAAAACTCGTGCCCAATGGGGTTGGTGAGTTGGTAATGAACTCTAAAGAGAACGGCTCGGACTCGGAATCAATAGATAACTACGTGGGTGTGTCCATTCAAGTCTCCTTCAACTCCAAGGAGGACGAGCAGCAGCGCATTGAGCAACTATCTGGCGGACAGAAGTCACTCTGTGCCATTGCTTTGATCCTTGCCATTCAGAAATGCGATCCAGCTCCTTTCTATTTGTTTGATGAGATTGATGCTAATTTGGACGCACAGTATCGTACGGCCGTGGCTAGTATCTTACAAGGATTGGCAAAGAATGCTCAGTTTATCTGTACGACATTCCGGCCAGAAATGTTACAGGTGGCCAATGTCTTTTATGGTGTTCTTTTCAGCAATAAGGTAAGTACGGTACTGGAAATTGTGCAGGATGAGGCTTTGGCATTTGTGGAAGGTCAAAGATAAAGATGAAGCATAAGATAATAAGGAAAGTGTGACTAAAGTATTTGCATAAGAAATTGATTTTGAAATGTGAAAATGAGGCTATCTTGGCCATTTTCTCATGCTTGGGCATATTGGCTGCAGATCAGGCAACAGTATGGTACCTCGCACTATACGACGCGCATCAATTTCACCAATAATCTCGTCTTCATTACCATTTCACTCGCTACTCCATGACAGAAAAAATCCTTTCGAGGGCGCAGATCTCTGATCTCATTGCCCAAGGAAAGGTAATTGTCATCTTCAAAAATAACGTCCTCAACTTGACGGGATGGTTGAAGTACCATCCCGGTGGAGACAAGGCTGTGTATCACATGGTGGGAAGAGATGCTACCGACGAGATGCTTGCTTACCATAGTGAAGAATCCATCTCGGCATTTAGTCGTTGGAAAATCGGCTCCATTAACTATGAATGGCATAACTTGCTTCCACCCATCCAGGGAGCAGTGTACACGATAGGCATGGCTGGAAAGCTCTCTCCAAATGACGATACCTTAGGTAAACTGCTTGATACAGAGTCCCCATACATGCTGAAAAGTGAACAATCTTCAATGACGTCTCTTGAAGCTGACACGGTAACAGTTCCCGTGAATCCTAACTACACGAGAGCGGGATACCCGGAAGGTAAGGTGGAGCCCGTGGTTCCTCAAAACATCGAAGTTGTCACAGCAGAAAACAAAGATGATCTTTTCCCGGTGATGAAAAGTGTCGTGGTTGATCCTAAAGAGTTGATGCGTGAGTTTGATAACCAGCTCACTCGTCGAGATCTCTTTGATCTACCCTCAATGGATTACACAACGCAGAACAGTATCCGAGAAAAGTACAACCAACTTCATGCTCGCATAATCAAGAAGGGGCTCTATAAGTGTAACTATGGTGACTACGTTCGTGAGATCGTGAAGATCTCGAGTCTCTTTTTATACTCGTTCTCATTTCTTAAGTTGGGGTACTACTTTTTAAGTGCCATCTTCATTGGTATGGCGTGGCAACAGATGACCTTTATTGCACATGATGCGGGTCACATCTCCATCACTCACAATTTCCAGATCGACAATATCTTTGGAATGATCATTGCCGACTGGTTTGGTGGCCTAAGTCTTGGTTGGTGGAAACGTAATCATAATGTTCATCATTTGATCACCAATGACCCGGTGCACGATCCAGATATCCAGCATCTTCCGTTTTTTGCTGTGAGTACCAGACTTTTTGGAGACGTGTACTCCACGTACTATGAGAAAGTCTTATGGTTCGATGCATTTTGCAAGAAGTTGATTCCTTTTCAGGAGTTCATGTACTACCCTCTTCTCGCCTTTGGTCGCTTCAACTTGTACAGATTGTCATGGACACACTTGATTTTGGGCCAGGGTCCTAGACATGGGAAAGCTGCTTGGTTTCGCTACTTTGAGTTAGCCGGACTTTCGTTCTTTTTTTACTGGTTCTTCGTGTTGGTGGTGGGTAGCGTTGAAGGTACATGGAATAAGATCTCATATGTGCTTGTCAGTCACATCTGTACGATGATCGTGCACGTTCAAATCACATTGTCTCATTTTGCTATGTCAACATCCGACTTAGGAGTATCGGAGTCATTTCCATCGCGTCAAATGCGTACGACCATGGATGTTGACTGTCCCGTATGGTTTGACTTTTTCCATGGTGGTCTTCAGTTCCAGGCAATCCACCATTTGTTTCCGCGGTTACCGCGTCACAACTTAAGGCGTGCTCAAGCAGATGTCATTGAATTTTGTGAGGAGGTCGGCTTGCCCTACTCTATTTATGGGTTTGGTAAGGGAAATGAAATAGTAATTGGCAAGTTGGCGGAGATTGGTAAACAGTGTTCCATCATGTTGGACTGCACTAGAAAAATGAAGGAGGATCAGGTGCCCATTACACTCGACTAAGCTGGATCGGTCGACTTATGATATTGTTATGTTCTTATTTGTCTATGAATCGTCCATTAATCATTATAAACTTGCATGGCGGTCTATGAGTTTGTTGTTTTCCAAGTATTGCAAGAAATCGATGATGAGGTTGTTCTCGTGCTCGTAATGATCCCGTTGCATAAGATTCTTGTAAAGAGAGCTCGACACTTGCATCTCTTTTTTGTAACGTTTTGGAACGGCTACCAGGATGCCGTTTATCATTTTGGATGCTGAATTGTTGAAGGCAGCCTCGTGCACGTTGCGGCATTTGGCTCCGAACTTGCACTTCTTGCTCTTCGCATAGAATTTGCAAACTTGTTTGGCGGGAGTCTTCTCGGGTTCTGGAGCCTTACGTTCCAGTTCTCTCTTTGCCTTGAGCTCGATATTCTTCTTCGTGGGCCAGTTTTTCCGTCTTTCTGCAATCCATTTAGCTATGTCCTCCTCTGTCTGGAGAGTTATACTAGTTCCCTCAATAAAAATCGGTTCTTTGGATCCACCGGACCCCAGATGACGTTCTTCTTCTAGTAGGTCTTCACTTTGAACGGTCTTTTGCACATGAGAGCCAGTATTGGGCAAATGCGTGGGTAAATCGAAGAAGTCCTTCGTTTTTTGCTTCTTCTGACCAGCACCAGGCAGTTGCTTCCGTTTTCCTTTCGAAGGAGGAGGCGGAGCGTAGGAGAAATCCATAAGTAGAGAATGATTTTGAAGATGAGTAGAGATCCGGTGCCATATGATCAAAGCCGGGTCTGGGAGAGATCCGAGGGTTCAGAATACTTATATATCCGAGGGTAATGTATTGGGTAGCACATGGAGCTGCTCCGCCATGTTAACAGCCTCGGAATACATATTACGAGGGTATTCCCGAAAACCTGGGTCATAGCCTTCCCTCGGATATCGCTCACTATATATAATGCCCATCACATCCTCAAGTTTTTGATCCCCATATAGCAATGGTATGTGTTGAGAGACTCTACAAAATTTGCCCCAATGTTCAATTTCTAACACCCAGTCCTACCAACAAGGTCCCCCACAAGGTGGCTACTATCAAGGTCCTCCACAAGGTGGCTACTACCAAGGTCCTCCACAAGGCTACCAACAACAGCAACAACCAATGTATGTTCAGCAACCTCAGAAAAGCGGAGGAGGAGGCTGCTGCGGAGCATACTGCGGTACCTGTGCTGCAATCATCTGTTGTTGTTGTGCTGAAGACTGCTTGGATATGTGTTTTTAGAGGCGTTGTTTTCGGTAATGTGAATGCCTTGACCATAGGGCTGTACATGTCAACAATAGACGTTTACGCATTGACAGGAGTAGTTTGTCCCAAGCCGAACTTGATCTTGCTTTGTAGTTTACTATGTAGTAATATATTGTTTTTGTTTCCCATATCCTCTCCCTGAGTCTTAAAGTGTGTCATGATTTTGTTGCTTATTGTTATGTTGTCAATGCGGCCAGATAATTTCCTATAAGAGCAAATTTTGACACATGTCAAAAAAATTCCGAGATCTGTCGGTCGAATGTTCCCCACCTTGCAGATCGCTCAATATTGACGGTTTGGTGAGTATATTTTTGTTCGCTGGAAGTTCATTATAAGCTTCCCTTTTGATATTTTCATGGACATGTTGCCAAGTGGGTTTGGTCATGGAGTTTATTTTTTGACTTCCATGCATGGATGCGTGCACAAATGCTGCATATCGGGTTCCAAGTTGGCGAGGGTGACAAGAGCATTAACGGCCAACTATTGTGAATTACAGGAAATAACCATTCTGTTTCACATTGCCTCATTTTTTTTTGAATTTTAATTTTGTTTCTTTCTCATCAAATCTATCTCGTGCTATCTCGCTTTCTCCATCTGCATTGACTATCTTTCACTACCTTTCACTATTCTACTAATTGATCGTCTACGATGTAAATTCCTCTCGTCATATGTCAAAAACATTCATCAAAATTTTCATACTTAATGTAAGTTGAAACTCTCGTCATACATCAAAAACATTCATGTTTAATGTGCCGTGAAACCTCCAGAAGCATAAATGGTCTGGCCCGTGATCCACCCTCCCTCAGTTACCAAAAACCGAACAATAGGCACAATGTCCTCGACCTTGGTGAGTCTTTGGTGCAAACCAACTGTCTTATAGTACTTGATGTCATCATCAGTCTCCTGGCCATACAAAAATGGAGTATCCATAGGTCCCGGAGCTACGGAATTCACGGAAATGTTCTTCAGAGTTAACTCCTTAGATGCGGCCTTGGTGTAGTACTCCACTGGAGCCTTGGTACCCTGGTAGACTCCATAAAATGGCGTGTAAGCAGCAAGCAAGGATGTGACCAAGGACACAATCTTACCTTCATTGTTGAGAGACTTTCCTGCCTCGCGAATGAAGAAGAATGCAACCTTGTTGTTGTTCACATCCATCTTCTCAAACTCGGCATCGGTAACATCAGTAATTGGCTTCTTCAACACCTGGCCAACATTGTTGATGGCAATATCAATTCCCTGTGGAAACTTTTCTTTGGCTGCTTTGAACAACTTCTCCACATCTTCACCTGTCTGCAAAGAAGCCTGGTAAAACTCGACTTTGGAGCCATTGGTTGAAAGCTCCTTAGCCAATTCGTCCAACTCGGCCTGATCTTGTTTGGAGTGGTAGTGCAAGAATAAGTTAGCACCATAACGAGCCAATTCTTTGGCTGTGGCAGCACCCAAGTTTTTAGTACCTCCTGTGATGAGAGCAGTCTTGCCTTTGATTTCGTGTTCTTTAAGATAGAGAGACATTATGTGGTAAGTATGAGTTAATATAGATTGAATTGATTATTTAACGAAAACAACCGAAGAAGACCGGCCTATTTATATCATTTTTCAGTGAATCCACTTCGTATTGTTCAAAGGGATCCAGACCAAGCAACTTCGGATAATACTCAAGTGGGTTAGAGAAGCGAGCTGTGGCTTCCCCGAGTTTATTTCCCCACTAAGATACTTACCTCCGATTCGCGGATATAGCTCTATCAGGAAAGTACTCCGTAGAGAGCTCAACCCATTTCGGTGTTAATTCCACATTTGGATGTAACACCGAAACTCAATTTCATGGTTGGCTAAATTGATACATTACATTCTCTATACACTAGTTCTTTTTCTTGGAAGAAGTGGAGTTCTTTGGCAACTCCTTCACAAATGGAAGGAACTCAGGGGCTCCAGGAATGTACTTTCTCAAAACCTCTGGCACAATAATACCGTCCTCCTTCTGGTAGTTCTCCAAAATACAACACAAAGCTCTCTCAGTAGCAGACAAGGTGGAGTTCAAGCAGTGCACGTACTTCTTCTCACTCTGGTTTTGCTGCTTGATACCACATCTGATCTCCAAGTTTCTAGACTGGTAGTCAGTACAGTTGGAACAAGAAACCAACTCCTTGTACTCCTTCTGGAATGGGAACCAGGCCTCCAAGTCGAACTTCTTGGCGGCAGCGTTGTTCAATTCTCCAGAAACAATACCCACCACTCTGTAAGGCAAGCCGAGCGACTTGTAGAATTCCTCAGAGTTCTCGATCATTCTGTCGAACTCCTCCCAAGACTTCTCAGGCTCAGTCAACACAAACTGTTCAATCTTCTCGAAAGCATGCACTCTGAAAATACCCCAAGCATCCTTACCGTGAGATCCGGCCTCTCTTCTGAAACACGACGAGTAACCCGCATATCTGACTGGCAACTGCTCGGCAGGGCTCTCAAACCATTCTCCAGCGTGGTAAGCGGAAATAGGCTGCTCAGAGGTGGCAATCAAGTACTTTTCGTCATCACCATCGAGAACTTTGTACAACTCCTCGTCGAACTGCGACAATTGAGCGGTTTTAGCCATGACTTCCTTGTTCATCATTACAGGAGCCTGCAATGGGAGGTAGCCCTTACCGAACAAGAATTCCAAACCGTAGTTAATCAAAGCCTGGTTCAAGAAAACACCCCACTTTCTCAAGAAGTAACCACGGTGGCCCACAATTCTCACACCTCTCTCTGGGTCGTAACCATCCAATCTCAAGAGAATCTCGTGGTGAGACAAAGCAGCAGGAGCACCGGTAGCAGCAGCAACTTGACCGACCTCCGCGTAGTTCTCGGGCTTCCAAGTTCTAACAAGCTCGTTGTTGTCTTCATCTTGAGAGTCCACAACACTCTCGTGAACAATGTTTCCAACCTGGTTAACCTTGAATCTCAAGTCAGCGTCAGCCTTCTGCTCAGTCTCGGTGAGCTCCTTCTTCTCAGCAGTCAACTTGTCCTTCTCAGCCAACAACTCGCTAGCATCCTCCTTGGCCTTGAACTTCTGACCAATCTGCTTCTGTAGAGCATTCAACTTCTTGTTCACGGCATCCAAGTCAAATCTGATGGTGGTCCATTTCTTGTACTCGGCAATAATTTCATCGACGAGCTCAACAGAGTCGCCTCTTTTCTTTTGCGAGGCCTTGATTTTGTCGGGCTCTCCGCCCTTTTCGACAAGAAATGCGTTAATGTCCAACATTGGTAGATGAGGTTTAGTAGACGTGGATTTTTTTCTTCAATGGGTGGTAGGTGTGTGTGCAGGTGGGCAGTAGAAGGTGATGAATTTATAGATTTATGGGGGTTGGAGGGGTTGAATTAAAGTATGATATAAATTTCCAACGGGAAATAACGGCATTTTATATATTTAAGAGATGTTGATTGTGTTTTCAGAGTTTGGGGACTGTTGAGGTGGTTGAAAGTGAAAATTGGGCCACATTGAAGAGTCATAAAGTCATGAGTCAATGTTGATTGAGGATTGGGCTCGAGGCAGCTAATAAGTAAAAAAATTCTTGAAAGTAAATGGTATGATGAATTAAGGCAATTTTCCATCGTTTTACAAATTTCAAGTTTTTTTTAGAGTATTCCTCTTCTCATAGTCTAATCATCTCCACCTTCTCTAAAGTCAATCAACTTATCTCCATACACTCCATGCAATCACTTCTTCTAGAAAGAGCCACTGGTCGTCTCTCAGTTCTAGACTTTGCCTCGACATATACTGAGTCGCTCTACTCTCAGCTCAAGCAGGTCACGAGGAATGTTTTTCCGAGTCAATGCCATTCGGGTGCCGTCAACTCACTCAGCTTAGAGCAACTGGACTGTAGGTACATGCTTAGTGGATGTGCAGATTCATCGATAAAGCTTTGGGATCTACGATCGGACGAAACTGAAGGTAGCGGTGGTGAGAGTGCAATTAATGAGGATGACGGGAGCAGTTCTGGTGATGATTCAGGCAATCCTGCTGGTGATAATGATGAGAGTAATCAAGGAAAGTCCATCCATTGGTCGTCTCCTGGACCCTATCGATGCCTAGCGACGATTCCCAGAAGAAGTGGTCATGAATATGGTGTTTCAAGTGTCCAATGGTGGCCCCAAGACACAGGGATGTTTCTTTCCAGCTCGTTTGACCATACAGTCAAAGTCTGGGATACCAATAGTCTTCAGGTGGCCCACACCTTTGACATGGACAATCGAGTATATGCCATTGATGTCTGTTCACATAAACAGAACGAGTTCAGTTCGCAGGCACTTGTGGCTGTGGCAAGTGATCAGCCATTCATTAGATTATTAGATCTACGAACTGCTTCCAGTGCTCACACACTACTGGGCCATAAAGGCAAGACATTATCAGTGGCATGGCATCCTATCAATTCGTATTTGCTAGCCTCTGGAGGCTACGATGGCGAGGCCAAGGTGTGGGATATCCGACGCAGCAAAAGTTGTGTTTGTCGATTAGACATGACGAAAACAAATGTCCGAGAAGCCAAAGTAGATGCTCTCAATCTTGGATCCACACTGGTCAAGGCTCATTCAGGACCAGTGAATGCATTGACCTGGGATGAAGCAGGCCAGCTACTCTACACCTCGGGAAACGATGATAAAATCCGTGTATGGGACATGGCTGCCACCATGGCTCCACCGGTGAACAAATTGGTGAATTTTGGCCCACTAACACGCAACAAATACTTACAGAACCTTCCAATAGTGTTGAGTCCCTGTAATGAGACGGAGGTGCAGCATTTGCTCTTTGCTTCTGATAGTGGAGACGTATTGGTGTTTCGAGCTGTGGATGGGAAATTAGTGAGTCGACTTCTGCGCAGCGGCTCCAAAAACAATGTGAGGACGGCATCCATTGTATATGGCGGGCCATGGACTTCGACTTATTATTGTGGAACTATGGATGGACAAATTTTAACTTGGAGAGGTGGTGGAATTGAAGAGGAGGAAGAAAGGGAGGAAATAGATGATGTCAAGGAGACGGAAGAGGTTGCAATCTCTCGAGATGATCTTTTTGATGATCCATATTTCAGACTGGTAAAGTCGTAGGTATGGATATGTGTAATAATAGGATTCGAGTTTTTGGGTAGAATTTTGGAAGTGAGAGTAAGATTAGATTTCGAAAAGGTTTTTTCCATTGTTATCCATTTCGAATTACTGTCCCATGCAATTCTAATATGAATCGGTTGTGATAGAGAACTTAAGTTTCTAAACTAAGATTGTGATCTCCTGATTCCGAGTATATTCAAAGACAATTGGATGTTGACAAAGAAAACTTGCCCTTATGGTTCCTCTTAGACTAATGCAACGACTTTTTTTAAGATCAATTACTCGATCCGTTTGATAACAAATTTTGCAGTAAATTATGTCATTGACAAGAACACGCTTGGGCAATAGAAAGAATTCGTATTGAATTAGACAATACACCTTTAATTTCGCCCGTTCCTTTAATCAATCCGAATTACCCTTCCCTTGAACTTCTTGTTGAATCTCCCCTTTGATTGCAATTTTCATACTTTCTTAACAAACAACCAGTTCGAGCCTTCAATTATCGAATTTCTCTGGAACGCCATTTTACATGGAATAATTTCTTTTTCAATCATAAGTTTATAAAATTCGTCAATTCTAAAGTTTGGTTGCGAAAACGTTACTAAATCATCATTTCCTCTGTCCTTGGAAACATCACCACAACCTCCACAAATAACAAAGATAAATATCAATAATATCCTTTTAATAATGCAGAAACTAGAACCGATATCAAACAGTACCTCATCCATAACTCAATAAAACCCTATTCTTCAAAACACTTCCTCCAACTCTAAACTGGGGAGGTACGGATGCATACCATCGCGAATTAAATAATCCATTTCAGTATTTTTATCTTCCAACTTATAATGAAACTCAAGCTCCAAGTGGTGCTCATCCCTGTCAGCTCGGCTGACCTACCCACGGCTGATGTCGGATCCTACAAAAAATTTCTTCATCTCACCGATCCCCAATGCTCGCTCCAGCAGGTGTGCGATGCACTCGTCAAGCGATACTATAAGCTTTATCCAGACGCCGAACCCCTCCAGATCGAGGGTGTCCAAGATAATGATCGGTGTGATTTGGACCCGGACTTTGCTGCCGAGGATATCTTTGTGTCTGGTGATCTTTTGCGTGTGCTCGTGAATAACGTGCTACCGTCATATTCCAGGGAAACATCCACTATCCTTCCAGACACAACAGTGGACCATTCACTGATACGAAAAAGAGTAGGAGATGGGACGCTTGAACATGAGGATAGCCGCTTTAGTAAACGGTCGCGGACCATTTGGGGTGCTCAGCGTGAAAGCAGTGAGAGCCCTCCAAACAAGAGCACAGTGATTTCCAAAAGATCAATTGCGGTGGAAATTCCTTCGAGTACGCCTAATGCTGCTCCAAATGCTTCCAATCCCGCTGCAAGCTCCACAATTCCCACAGACCATGCCGCAATAGCAACTGAAGTGCCCAATCCCACATCTCCAGTCTCTCTACCTCCACCTTTGGAGCAAACGGGCTATCCGGTGATTCCCCACAAAAAACTGTCGCCCAACGTGCCCAATAAAGGCAAACGTATCACTTCTGGAATGCTTCAGGCGCCACCCGTGAGCCACACGAACAAAAAGTCGCTGTTTAGCGAAGATGAGTCTGACGTTAGCAGGATGACCACAGACTTTGGCGAAAGAGCAAGACACGCTCAATCGTCCGAGCCAGAGGAGATAGAAAATGGCACAGATAGCGACGATCTGGTGTCCAACCGGCTGCTCAAAAATATCCGCAAGAAGAATAATACCTCAAATGCGGCCATCACCATGGCTCCTCCTCCTGTTAACGTTGGTTTGACACCATCCAAAACTCCTGCTAAATCTGCAAGTTCCCTCTCGAAAACGCCTTCCAGGCCTCTTCCTCCAAGCTCACCCGCAAAGGATCCTTTTGTGACACTGACACCTCAATTCCCTCATTCTTCTCGGAACGAATCTCTTCACGCTCCTGCTCACCCGCTCACTTCTTTGAAGCCTTTGCATTCTTCAAAAGTGTTACCGGCCAACGCGCAACCTACGAATGGCGATCTTCAAGGTAAGCACCACCCTCATTTGGAACCACCTGTGGAGTCCGTCTATCAGCCACCCCCACTGTCAGTTTACTCTCAAAAGGCTACACCTATAGTTACCCCTGGGAAGATCCCTTTGGCATCTCTGCCGGCTAATAAGACTTCTCATGTCACTCCTAATGCTGTCCAATCAAAGACTGTGACCAGTTTCACTACACCTGCGAAGGTTTTTCCACACGTGGATCCACAAATCTCGCTGGCAATCCCAGCTTCAGTCGTCGCCCCTGCTTTGACGCAAACTCATCAAAACCCTCCCTCTGTGCTGATTTCCACACTGCCTGTTGCTTCGGCATCCCCTATGATTGCAAAAGGTGCTGTGAACGCATCCGTTTCGAAGGTCACTGGTGCTCCAGGTAAAGAAAACGATACTGCAAATTTGAGTAAGGAGGAGATTTTGGGAATGTTTAAGCATGGCTTGAGAATTACGAATAAAATTAACAAAAAGCTCGCGGTTGGTTCCCCAGATCCAACACCCTTCTTGGAAGTAGAGGCAGAGTTGAAGCGGAATAATCACAATTTAGCACAACATGCTCTTGAGATCGATAATAGGAGAAGAGCCGCAGCTGCAGCGTCTGCTAATAGCAGTAATCATGAACGAAGCTTACGCTCACGGGTGACGATCGGAGGGGTGCCTAATTTCGAAACAAATCTTGAAAAGGTAGACGACGAAAAGGAAAGGGAGAAAGACCAGAGAGCTAGCGAATTGCCACCACCCTTTCATGATTTTGCTAGTAAATCGAAGTTATCATCGATTTATGTGAAAATGAAAAAACTTGATGCTCGAATTGATAAACAAAACTTGGAGAAAGCTAGTCAGCCTGCGGTCAAGGCCGAACCAGGTTCTCCTCACGTTAAGAAAAATCTTAAAAGCGCCCCTGTTGCACCTCAAATTAAACCTTCTGTGCCTGCGTTGTCTAAGAATTTGGAGAAAGCTAGCGAACCCGGTAATGACGCGCTACTTTCCGAGGACTCTGTATCAGAAATTGAGGATCAGGAGGATCTTGGTGAAATTGATATGGACTCTCTGAATGACGAGGATTTCCAAGATTCACAACAAGGTGGTGAAAGCAGCTCTTCCAGCGAAGACCTCCCAGATGACGTTCCAGTTTCACAACAATTAGATGAAAGTAGTCCTTCTGAGGGAGAACAAACATCCTCTGAGGATGAGCAAATTTCTCCACGAAACAAGACTGTTTCGACGTCATCGAAGAAGCACACTGGAAGGGCGGCTTTTAAGAGAAGATTGGCAAAACAGTTCGAAGAGGCAGACATCATCCTGATAGATTCGAGTGATTCTGGAGATGAAGACACTGATGTCTCCAAGTCTTCGCAGAAGCCTCAAATGACGTCAATCGAAAAACCAGTGGAAAAACCAGTGGAAAAACCAGTGGAGAAGCCAGTGGAGAAGCCAGTGGAGAAGCCAGTGGAGAAGCCAGTGGAGAAGCCAGTGGAGAAGCCAGTGGAGAAAGCATCCCTGAGTTCGGTGGATGTACCAGACGATAAGTCTGTCGGGAAGCATGCTGTAGAGCATATTAAGAATGCTAATTCTCAAAATAAGGCGTCATCCTCAAGCAAGGAACTGAATGAATCCGAAAAGTCGGTCTTCGTTTTCAACAAGAGCGAAGTACCAGCTTCCAAGCCGGAGAACACATTAAAAAGATCTTCCGAAGTTCCAAATACTCCTTCAAAAAGAGTTAGGGAAAGTGAGTCAGTCATTGGGTCAGCAAAGGAAGTACCTTCTAATTCAGGTGATTCCAAGGAAAAACACATTGAAGTAATGGACGTGGCACTTGAGGAAGGAGCTACTGAGTCTGAAACCACGAATAAAAGTGACCTTAGAAAGCAAGTTGAAATTTCCAAGGCAACTGAAACTCCAAGTAAAGTTGAAACACCAAACAAAGTTGATGCTTCAAAACATGCTGATCTCTCGAAGGAGGCTGATACTAAGAAGGATGATACTAAGAAAGTTGATGCCCCTAAGAAGGTTGAAACTCCTAAGAAGGTCGATATGTCAAAGAAAGTTGAAACGCCTAAGAAGGTTGATACCCCTAAGAAGGTTGATACCCCTAAGAAGGTTGATACCCCTAAGAAGGTTGATACTCCTAAGAAGGTTGATACCCCTAAGAAGGTTGAGGCCTCTAAGAAGGTTGAGGCCCCTAAGAAGGTTGAAACTACTAAGAAGGTCGATACGTCAAAGAAAGTTGAAACGCCTAAGAAGGTCGATACGTCGAAGAAAGTTGAAAAACAGGAGGTCACCAAGATTTCTAATAATGCTCAGGATCTTTCGAAACATTATAAAGAGCAAAATAATTTCGAGACTCACAACAAACCCAAGCCATCAAAGAAGAATGATGATACTGCTGAGAATGTCGTTAAAGCATCAAAAATTGCAGATAGGAGGGCCGATACCGTTCTTTCTTCCTCTCAGGATTCTCTCAACGATTTCAAGAAGACAGCAGACTCGAAGAAATTGGACGTCTCTCGGAATGGCAAGAAGCTGATAGAGGAGCCTAAGCAATCGAGTTCCACTATTTCAAAATTGAAGGAAGTTATCGCCAACATCACATCTACAGGTTATAGCGAGAAAGCAAAACCAAAAGAGAAAGAAGGTACTAGTTCCCAACCAGCCGAGATCAATGATTCCTCATCTGACTCTGATTCCTCGTCGAGCTCCGACACTTCGTCTGATTCTGACTCATCATCAAGTTCCGGGTCAAGTTCCGATGACTCGGAGTCCAGTTCGGATGAGTCAGACAACGAAAAGAAGCCAGCCCCACAGAAATCCGAGGCCAAACCCATAAATCTTGCATCCTCTCGTTTGCTTCCAAAGAGACTTACGTCATTGACCAGTCGGCCACTCACCAAACCTGTTTTAGTTCCTCAATCGACTGTGGCTACTTATGACAAGGCTAATGTTACAACTCTTCCTACGCTGAGTCCATTTTCTAAATCTTCCTCTGAAGAGGAAGGCAAGCAAAAGAATGCCACAGGCAACAGGTCGACGAGTTCGTCCCGCCTTCTGTTGAACTCCCTCACAGATCTCGCTAAGCGAGGAGTTCCAGACGTGAAGGAAACCACAAGCAAGACCACCAAGGCTAACATAGCAAAACCAAAGATCAAAGCTATAGTTAGCGAGTCGGATACTAGTTCTGAATCCAGCTCGAGTTCGAGCTCCGGCTCCGACTCAGATCTGAGCTCAAGTGATGAGGAAGATTCCAAGTTTGTCAGTGTGAAGAAGTTGGCTACAGACGGAAAGACTAGCAAGAAGAAAAAGAGCAAGGGAGGTTTCTCCAGTCTCATGAGAGACGCCAGAAAACGCTGATGTAATATTCTAATGTAACTATCATATGGACCTGCCAATGACATCCACGCTCCAGGCACGATAATCGTAATGACTTGCCAGTAGCTTTCTTCTTCGATGAATCACCTTATATGAATCCGAAATCAGAAACAATATGCGTTCAAATAAGATATTGATCCACTCCTTGGCCACTTCTGGCTGCTCTAAGTAAAGTGCCCCTACGTACTGCTCAAAGTAGTCAGCCACAAATTCCTCCTCATACTTCATTACCAGAGGGTCGTTGGATACCATTCCGGAGGAAATGTATGGGATGTAGGAATCATTAAGTAATCCCGAAACAATGTTATCGTCAAGAGCAGTATGTAAGTTGTAAGCAACGGCCAAGCGCAGCAATAATGTATTGGTGGCCAATATCGTCTTAAGCAACGTATAGGTCTTCTTTCCAAAAGAAGCATCCTCCGAGTACGGTTTCAGAGACCTGAACTTATACAAAAATTCTGAAGACTCTGTTGCCAAGAAGAAGTCACCCAAACCATCGAGAAACAGCAAGTCATACCGAATAACATTGAGTGCCGATCTGTTGATGGAAATGTTTTGACGCATAAGAGACTGACAGAAGGGGTGGTCAACCAGGAAAACCGCTCTGTACAATTCCTTATGTAAAAGCGCCTTGGCTAATAGATGCTTGGAGTTTATCTTTGGAAGATCAGGCAAGCATATTGTGACAGCAGAAGTGCCCTCACCCACCGTTATGAACCGAGGATCTAAATTGGGATCGTATAATGCCCTGTAGTTGATCTTGACCGACTTGTAATACTTAGCAGCTAGCTTCAAGATTTGCTTCTCGGTGTTTCCAATGGGAGCATCAAGCAGCAAATGGCCACCTCCCAGGTCAAGATAAAAGTTCACCACCTTATCTGTAAGCAGTTCTACCTTTGATTCTGGCTGGGTCAACATCATATAGCCTACAGAGATGTAGAACCACTTGAAGTCCAGCATGTTCAGGTTCAATGTCAAGTCAGGAGCCACGTGTTGGAGCAAGTCCAGGTTGTTGTTCCATTCCCTCTTTACAAACAGCGACATGTCAAATACAACATTCTTGATTACTCCGCCGCCACCCTGAGATATTAGCGACGAGAGCTTCTTATAAGCATGGAGTTTGAGCTTATCAAAGCCCAAGATAAAGAGGTGATGGCGAAGCCATGCGCTCAGTAACATTTCTGTAGGTATCAGTGGGTTAGCCATAGTGTGTCGCAAACGTACCTGGCGCAATTGGGCACAGAATGCTCTATTTATATTCATCACAGACTAGTTGATGTTTTGTGTGACTCTACGATAAGATAACCTTATGTGGGGTGTGCATGACAGGCCCACGAGGTACTAACACGAGGTAAACGGGATATATTACATGTAAAAGTTGTTTATGTGGGAGCATGTGCACGCTTTCGAGTAGCAAAACCCTTGTTTTTATTTTATTTTATTCTTTTTAGATTTTGTTCTGTGTTTCTTGGGGTGTCTGCTCTTGTCCAGTCTTCCAAGTTGATAGATGTTCCATGCATCATCGTGCATGAGAGGTATAGTATGAGTCAGTGGTAGAGGGGAAGCAATAAATTTGAAAATGCACCGGAGATCATGAAAGAAGGGTTTGGTGACTCATAAGATGGTCATAGTGTTAGTCACGGGAAGAGTTCCATGTAAATTCATCAATTAGGCAGTATCAGTATAACATATACATCATGGTGGACAGAATAGCAAAGCGAATATTGAAAGCTCTTGTTAGGCTCCGGCGGGTTCTAGATTGGGCTTTAATGCGGTTAAGAGGGTCACAGATTGTCTCATTGCTTCTTGGTGTTGTACGCTGCTTGCAGCTTTAAGTATATGGCTGCATGGCACACTTGAGGCATTGAAGAGGATAGAAAAGTCCCACATTTCTTCATAAGGGTCGGATAACTTACGACAATTAATTTTTTAAATTATGATCTCCAGTGAAACAAAGCTCTTCTCGATTTGAATTGTTGGTCAATGAAAGTGCTTCCATGAAGTGATGGTTTCAAGTAATTAGTTTATTTGAAGAGAAATTCTTTCCTGAGGTTAGCTTCTTCCACAAAATAAGCTGGGGACAATCCAAAGTTTGTTGAAGCCTTATTAAAATTATATTAATTAGAATTCAAAGTGAAACATCGCTCTCGTCTATCTCGCTCTATAGTTTTAAAGCTTGGATTTGGTACCTTTCAACAACTCATACACCTTGTATCCAATTCCATAGGAGAATTCATACCCAGAGCCCCCAGCTCCATAAGCATTAATTACCACCGTAGGTCCGTGGCTCTCAATAGCAAAGTTCATTCCATCCTTACGTGCGGGACGGAAACCAACATTGACCTTCACAACATCAAAGTACTTTTCTCCCTTTGAGTTGGTTTTCATCAACTCAGGAAACTTTGCAGCACCTCTTTCTAAAAGGGCCCGTGTATCGTCTTCTCTTGGTGCCGAATCAGTAGCATATGGCTGCTTAGTTCCTCCAAGAATGATTCCACCATCCAACGGCCGTGGAATGCAAAATGTCCACTCATTAAGTCTCAGCTGATGAGTTATTGTGTAATTCTCCAATTTACATCCAGTTGGAGCATTCACCAAGAGAGTCTGGCCTCTAATAGGGAAACTAGTCTCGTCGTATCCACCCTCCCATTGGAGACCCATACCGGTGCAGTTAATCACCACACAGTTGGCCCGGGATGCGTATTTGGTGGCTTCAGACAACTTTTCCAACTTTGCACTAACAAACTTCACATCATAGGTAAATTTCAACTTCTGGTAAAGGAACCGAAGGTAATGTGGAGAGTTCATGACATACGTATCATATTCCGTGCCCATGATAGCATCACCAACCAACTCATCCTTATCAAGCACACGGAAGTTGTCAATTCCCTCCTTATAACCTTCAGTTATCCCAGTGTAGAACTTATCTGGAGCACCAAAATATTCCATACCTTTTACGAACTTGATCGATGACTCTGGGTTGGTTTTGGCCAACTTCTTGAATCTTTCAAGGGTCACACGAGACAATGGGTAATCCTTGAGTTCTGCAGCATTCTTGGATGGAAATGGCCGGAAATGTGCACCTGCCCATGGTGAAGTGTAGTAGTTAGAGTATGGTGTAGACTCTGGATCATGTTCAGCCACGATGGTGATAGTGTGAGGTCTCTCGTTGTTTTCGGAGATGGCGAATGCCGTTGAGAGACCCAAAACACCTGCTCCTACTATGATAATTTCTGACATAGTAAATGTTTATAGTTGTACGGCGAAAATACTGTAGCTTTTATATTGTGCCATGGTACGAGTCATTCTCCATATAACGGAATACATTCTACTCCATTTGTGGGGAGACAAGAAATACATCTAGGGAAACCTTTAAAAGAAGAATAAGGTGAGTTTAAAACGCTCTTTCTGGGATCTAACGTTGAATCTAACTTTTCTGTGAGGTCTACTTTCTCCACTATCCCAGGTTTCATCTAGATGGGTAGATCTGACTCACCGGAAACCTAAATCCGCGCGGGAACCAACCTCGCTATAATATGCCGTTTATGCTCTAACAGGCCAATCGCACAGTCAAAGCGGTCCTTGAACCCCAAGGTATAAATAGAGCCTCTAGATAACCTTATTTTTTTCCCCTCTGAGGTCTCCCTTTTATCTTTTAGATACCTTGAATTTGCCATTCTTGATCAATACTTGAGCAGTGAGATTTTCATGCGCTAGATCATATCTGAGAAATTTATCCAACCAGAATTTCTAATCTCACTTCCACAAAATATGTCAGACTTAGCCTTCAGCAGCCAGAAGGCCGAAAAGACCTCGTACGGCACCAGAAAGCCTGGACCGGCTTACTTTCCCCAGAAAGGCTCCAAGATTTATGCAGACAAGGACCTTTATACCAAAATCGCCAATGCTCCAAAGACTAAAGTTGAGTCTCACTTGTGTCAGCCACGGAGTGGTATTGCCGTCAAGGTGCCAGCCAAGTCGATTATTCGGTTGACCACCCCCGAGGGTCCTCAGGTGTGTGACTTGAACATCTGGAACTACCACAACCCTAGAGAGAGATTTTGGGCTGCCAGAACCCGCCAATTGCACTCAGCACATGTGTCTACCCACGACAGATTGTGGTCCATTTTGCCTTTTTTACGTCCTTTGGTCACCATCACCGCAGACACCTTGGGTGGCAGACACACTGAGTGGGGAGGAAGAATCCACGACACTTTGGGTACCAGATGTGATCCTTACGTAGATAAGCTTATTTCGGGAGAGGACAACGATTTCCATTGCCACTCTAACCTCGTTCGTGCTGTTTTACCTTATGGATTGACGGAATTTGATGTGCATGATGTGTTGAATGTTTTCCAAGTCACTGGTCTCAACGAGCAGGACCAATACTTTATGGAGGCATCCCCAGCATCAAAGGAAGACTACTTTGAGATGTTTGCCGAACAGGACTTGTTGATTGCCATTTCTGCATGTCCTGGAGGTGACTTGTCCAACTGGGACTGGGGTGAAAAGGAAGGAGATGATAAGATGATGGACAACTGTAGACCATTGGGCATCGAGATTTATAAATTGGACGACGAGAGTGTTTTGGAGGGCTGGACTGCTCCGGAGTATGCTCCATATAAGGGCAGACACGGCTTGAAGGATCCTGAGCCTGAGTTGTAGTGGACGCAAGTAGATGAAATAGATGAATGTAGATGAACTTTTGATTATGGTAGTTATTGGACCAAAACGTATAAGAGTGATTGTATGGAAAAGTTGTAGTATTCAAATGAATGGATATCAAGTCATCGGATTTTTAGGCTACTAAATAGAACATCAACTTCTCACTATGGTAGCTATAACTTTTTATACTTCCTTATGTACTTCCATCGATTGACTCCCCCAACCAGTCGCTAATGGCATCATCCGTAATGAATCCAGCGACTTCACTTCCAGAGTAGCGGATGGAGTCACCACGGTCAAGCACCATTTGCAAGAACTGGAAGTGTTCCTTGATGGGTTCGTCTGCACCTACAAGTTCAAAGGATTCCACTAGGCCCTTCTTTCCAATAGACAAGATCACCTGGAAACCTTTCTCCGTACTAGTGAACGTATGTGTGAACTTGGTGGTGGCTCCGAACTTCCATTCCCAATTCATCAAATGAGCCTTCACTTTGTCCACTTCCTCAGTCAATTCTGTAGTTTCGTCTATGTTAAACACCACACAATCCCTCCCAGAATATGCTTGGACAAACGCATCGAGACCAAGCATATCTGTCTGGTTAAACTCGCCTTCTTCGATGTTCTGCTCTTCCTGTTCCTGGACAAGTCCATACGATTCTTTGAACTCCTTGCTCACAGCCTCGACGAAAGCCTCGTTGGAAATGTTCAAATTGGTCACCGGCGAGCGAACTGACGCTATGGCAGCATGAGACTCCACTTTACCAACCTTTGCAATGTCTCGATGGAGCAATTGTCTCAACACATCGAGATTCAGATTCAAGAGCATGGTTCCATGGTGGTATGATTTTCCTTTAGACAACTTGTACGCCGAGCCTGACACCTTCAAGTCGTCTGTTTCTGTTACTATGTCGCCTCGTTCCGTCACCTTTATACGCTTTTCGATGCCTGGTATGGCGTTGACAGCAGAGGCCACCAAATTGGCAAATGTATGTCTGTCAAACTTCTCCTTGGTTGTCATGAATGAATAGTTGACATTTCCGGAATCATGCACCACGGTGCCTCCTCCTGACTGTCTTCTAACGAGCGGAATTCGAAGATTATTGAGAAGTGGAAGATTCACCTCATTCCATGGGTTCTGATTCTTTCCAATCACAACACAAGGTGAGTTAACGTAGAACATGAGCCGATTGGCATTTCCTTCAGCAGGTAACGGCATTTGGTTGTAAATATAGTCCTCGATAGCGAGATTGGAGTATGGGTTGGAGAGTGATGATACGAAGACCACAGGTTGAGCCAATTTGCAAGCATCCACAAATGATGATGGCATAGCAGCACTCTGAGTGATCTGACCAGATTCAGATAGTTTCCCGTCTTGGGGTTCCTTCGAATATGGCGTAATGTCTTCATTCCCCAGTAATCCAAGCCTCTCTCTCAAAGCTTGAACATCTGGAGCTTCTTTATAGTGCTTGAACCCTTCCAAGTTGAAAAGATCGTCATCCACCTCGGTCAAATCTTCATGGAATGGCACCTGGTGGAATCTTCTTTTGGTGAAGATAACTCTTCGTAGAGTTCGGGTCAACATGGTGTTCGCTGTAGTGCGATGACATGTCCCAAGTTCGCATCTCAATATACCTACATGGTAGACACATTTCATTCCAACTTTAAAGCCTAGTCGAAATCCCTAGACTATTATAATTGATTTTGCAAATGAACAGAGACCTCACACTAGAAAGGCTCCTTCTCAGCCGAAGTTACACTTCCGAGGCACAAATCACCCAGCTATTAGAATCCAGATACTCCATCACTGGAGGTCAGAGACCCTTTCTTCCTTTAACGCCAGCAGAGGCTGTTTCAGAGGAGAAAGAGGAGAAAACCCTGGATTTCACAAAGAATTTGGATGTTAAGCCGTCTGCAACGAGAAAATCAAATGCTAGAAAGAACATGAGAATCTACATCAAGACAACTCAGGCCAACCAGAAAAAGGCCATCAAACGCCTACAGGCCTTCCAGAGAAAACATCCAGAGGCTCCAATGAAGGTGAATTCGCTTCTAAAACAGTATTCTATTCCTCGTTATATTGAGTATGAGCCGTTGAATCAGCTCTGGAATCAGTACATTCTGGATTTACTCTTTGGTGAACAAAGAAATCCCAATCTCAATATGGTGTTGCCAAAATTGTCGAGTGCAGACTACAACGGAAGTCATTTGACGGTCTTGGAGTGTCGTAATCCCCATTTGGTGGGAATGGCAGGCATTGTGTTGTATGATGCACAGCACTCGTTCATAATGGTAATTCCACAGGTCACTGAGTCTGAAACGACCATTTCCCCGTCAGAGGCTCTTGGAGGGCTTCGAATTATTCCAAAGAAGGGCACTATGTTTGGGTTTGATGTGGCTATGGGCGATGATATAGTGGGTTTCACCATTCTTGGGTCTCGTTTTGAGTTGCGAGCAGTTGACCGGTCAGGAAAGAAATTCAAGAGCCATGATGTGGAGGACATTTTGTGAGGTTTATCATGACTTGAGCAATGAGATGTTCTATATTTATAGAGGTAGGAATGAATGCCCCATAAAATAGAGTTTGGAGTAGTCAATAATTCACATTTCATTCAACAAATCCTCGCTTCATTTACCAACTTCATTACGCAACTAAGAATCCTACCAACAAATACTTTATGTCTCTATTATGCCTATTGATGGGTCCACTTGTCAAGGAACACCACGTCGTCCTCCTTCACATCGTCGTTGATCACTCCATAGAAGTCAAACACGCTGAACTGCAGTTCTGCTTTCATCACCTCCACGAAATCTTTCTGTGATTCGTTCAAACACGTTTCATCATTATACTGTCTTCCGTAGCCAGCCTCCAAAACACTTTGCCAGGTAGCGATGTACACATCCGAGGTGTTCTTGGCCAACTCGATTTTATCGTCATAGATCAATACTTCGCACAACGAACGGATATCATTGAGGGCCAAATCGATGTTGGTGATTTTGTTGGAGGTGATGAACTCCATGATTGAGTCCAACGTAGCAAATCCAGGGTGGTGCGCAGGAAACGTACTCTGCAACACATTGGTGTTGGGAGCGGGATCCTGGAAAGCTGTAGGGTATGTTTTCAGGGCAATGTAACGCCAAACCACTGTCAAAAGCGAGTCGATGAACTCAGTATCGAGCTCACTATCCGTGAACCACGGACCTCCCGTCACATCTACGGACGGCTGGAGGTTGTAAAGCATATATATCTTTCTCGTAGGATGCTTGACGGACTTGATCAGCTTGACGTATCTCTGACTCTCCAACTGTTTCAAGCATCTCATAACAATGTGCTGGTGCATGTTCGTCTTGGCCTTCAAGGTTTTCGTCCAGATACCCTCTCTTCCAGACGCTTCGATGTAAGAATAGATCATCTGCTCGTCATCAGTCATGGAAGTGAGCTTTCTTGTCTCAGACGCCAGAATGGCCTGGAATCGCAACTCTTCGCCCAATTTAACCAACTTCATCATTTTTCTGTCGATAAGACTCTGGGTCATCCCCAAGATTTTCACCAAATCATCTTCATTGATAAGCTGCTTAAGTTCGTCTTGAGTGAAGAGTTTGGACGATGGTGCCTCCGACATTCGCAGGTGGAGCACGTCGGCTCGTTGTGTATCAGCCATGTTCACGTATTCACGATTTGTGGCTTTCTTTTTCTAATTCTGTGGCCTTCTTTCGAGCCCGTGCCAGCGTTTTCTACCTGGAGATGTAGTATACTTCGTGATGTTTTCTGTGCGATGCGATGTGCATTCCAACTATATGGAAGGAAAGATCAAGTTCAAAAAGAAAAAGTTTGGCGGAGCGCGAAGGCTGCGGCCAGCGGAGGACGATGTTGATGACGATGAGGTGACATCTTTTGTAAGTGTTAAGAGTGATGTACGGAAATCCAAGGTGAATCGATGGGCCAAATACCTGACACTTGGAGAAATGGCAGAAGACATTAATGAAGTTCAACAAGGTCAACTTCCGCATAGTCAACCTCAGAAAAGTCAGCCTAACCAAACTCAACAAGCATTTAAAAGCACACAAGATGACGAAGGTGGAGTCTTTATTCATGATAGTAATCTGGAAGTTGTATCTAATTCAGTGCAATTGGAACTCCCCGACGAAAAGACCTCGCAGGTCGAGGACGACCCAATGGTGGTGGATATGGACACTGTGACGTCTGTGGATTCTCTGGGAGCATACGTGAATGTGGTTAATAATACATTCACCTTGAAAGAGTCCCATTATCGAGATGCTTTACCTACTCTAACTCAAGAGTATGATGATTTGGATGAAGATACCGTCAAGCCCAAATTCGATGACAAGGAAGACGAAGACATGTATGATGTTGAAATATATGGAGAGAAGCCACGGAATTTCAACTCGGATATGTATGCGTTTGAGGTGTTGTCGGATGCTAGCGACGAGGCAGGAGTGAAGATTTCGCCTGTGAAGGTTTCCAGCATCGATGAGCTAATAGGGAGTATTCAAGAAGAGGCGGAAAGATTACGAATTTCTATTTCAACTTCAACTGGCGAATTGGGCACGTTGAAGATGCAATTGGAGCAAGCTCAGACGAAAAGACAGGAGGTGGTATCGCTGCTATGAACAACTCCAAGAAAGTGGGGAAGTTTTGGAGTTGCGCTGAGATCGAGGGTCAAGCAAGTTCGTTGAAGGGCTGGCTTCAAATATTCATGAAGTGACTTTTATTTATTCTAAAGCGAAATGGAAACATACTTGTCGAAGATCATTTCGGATGAAATTTCAATTGAGCTTTCGATTTATTCTGCCAGGAAAATACTACAAACAATTGAATGATTTATCAGCAATAGTTCAATTAGTTTGATGGTTATTATATGTCTGTCTTTTATCTCTAGGTATAAAGCGTTTCAAGCATTCTATACGTGATTTTCTAAACTCCAGCGATCTAATGGTCGACTTGTCGACATTAAACTACATATGCGTAAATCTTGACATATAGTTCACATAAAGAGATTACCACCTCGAGTAATCCTTCATTTCCGTGGATCTACTTTGCAAGGTAATTTTCTGGTCGCCGGAACTTAACTTCCATAATGGTGGATTCCAATCGCCGTGATCATCGGTTTTCATTATGTATATGCGACTTGACTATACCGCAGTCTTTGCAACATTCATGCACCCTACTCCAATGAAACACCTCCAAAACACAAACCACCGACCAATAATCCCCAAATGCTCCACCGTTTTCCTGTCGGCGTTCTCTACGTCATTACCGTTGCTTTAGCATCAGCCAATAAGCTTGGGGCGTGTCAGACTCAAAGATTCTGAACCGCGCTTAGCATCCAGTTGCCTAAATGAGTCAGATTTTTCTATTTAAACACTAACCTTTCCCATATCTTGATCCACCATGTTCAAAAGATCATTTAGCATGACTGTAGCAAAGGCCACTGCCTCTATTCCACCTCGCCACTTGGTTAGTATTCTGCAGCTTTCTAAGGAAGAGTTTATCAATTTGGTTAACAAAGCTGAGTACTTGAAGAATGTGGTGAAATCTAACGATATCACCACTATCAAGAAAAACCATGACCAGTTGCTCGGAAAAGTGGTGGCTCTCTTGTTCTCCAAGAGATCTACTCGTACCAGAATTTCTACCGAGGGTGCTGCTGCTCATTTTGGTGCTCAACCCATGTTCTTGGGTAAAGACGATATTCAATTGGGTGTTAATGAGTCCATGTACGATACCACCAAGGTGATCTCGTCCATGACCTCATGTATTTTTGCTCGTGTCAACAGACACCAGGATATCCTTGACTTGTGCAAGGACTCCAGCGTTCCTATCATCAACTCGTTGTGTGACATGTACCACCCATTGCAAGCCATCGCTGATATTTTAAGTGTGAAGGAAGCGTTTGGCAAGACAGAGGGCTTGAAATTGGCTTGGATTGGTGACGCTAACAATGTGATCAACGACTTAGCCATTGCTGCTCTTAAGGTTGGTATTTCTGTTTCGATTCTGACTCCACCTTCTGTAACCTTCGATGCTTCCGTTTCTCAAACCGCTAAGGAGATCGTTCTGGAAAGCAATGGTAAGCTCTCTTTTGAGTTGGTCAACAATCCAAACGACGCCTTGAAAGGTGCTAACGTCATTGTCACGGATACTTGGATCTCCATGGGAGAAGAGGCAGAAAAGGAGCTGAAATTGAAGCAGTTTGCTGGCTATCAAATTACCCAGGAAATGTTGGCCAAAGGCAAGGTTGCTGACAACTGGAAGTTCATGCACTGCTTGCCCAGACATGCTGAGGAGGTTGCTGACGATGTCTTCTACAGCGAGAACTCCATTGTTTTTCCTGAGGCTGAGAACAGATTATATGCTGCCATGGCAGTCATTGAGGCATTTGTGATCAACAAGGGTGACTTGTTGAAGTAAATAATGGGATACGAATAAATGAGAATACATTATGCTACATTGGAAACAGGCTAATATTCCAACCAAAGACATTCCACTTCAGGTAATACCTATTGCATTAACTCCACAAAGTTCAATCATGAATTTAGGTTTCTGTACATAAGTTTTAGCCAAAATGACATGATATCGGCTACAAGTCATGCGATTGGTTCCTTTTCATTACATGGCTCGCGCAAGTATTAGTCTCAGGGAGATCTCGCATTTCGGTAGTAATAGAATCTGGACTAAAATAACTTTTCATCGAAATATTCTTGATTTTAAATGACTTAATAAAGATCTTTATTAAAAAAAAATTAGGAGTTCACAGTCTGTTCATCTTCTTCTAATAGTGAGGTTTATACTGTCCTCCACGATAAAGTCCGGAGATGTCACTTCCTTGCTCGTAACTCTTGGATATTTTGCAAAAGAAACGAGAAACTAAGACCACTTTTCTCCACAAAACATCACGATATACGCATCCAAAAACGAATAATTCCTTTGGAAAAATTCGGAAGCTGCTATTACTAAGACTTTTTCTTTTTCTGGTTCTGAGAACAACGCTAGCAATCACCACTTGAATTATCCTACACAGCAATAGTGGTTCGCAGCCCTTTTTGCCACGGATAAATTTTTTTTAGGTTTTTCCAAATGGCATTACCACACTGAGATGGTGTCTCCATTTCCTTACGCTGAAGTTTTGTAATGTATAAGTAGCTCGTTGCATTTTTTTCCTTAAAAAGGACCCTCATTATTACCAATATCTCGGAATAACTTAGCATCGTTTTGGAAGCGCCGCTCCACATGCATCTTGGTGCCTGCAGTCAAGTCAAGGTTTTTCCGGTATTCATCATAGCGACGTCATAATTGCCAAAAGAAAAGTCCGTCAACAAGAAACTTGGGCTCAAACAGTATAAAATGTAGCAATGTCCTCATAAGAATTTCTTCTAACCACCAAAATGCCTGACTCAGTCACTACTTCTACTTCACCATCTTCTGCGCCAAAACCAGCACTTTTTGACGAGAAGGACATTGAAGACTCTCTCCCAACCTTGCCAAAGAAGCAAGCAAAGGATTATCTTCTCATTTCTATTCTTTGTTTCTTCGTTGCCTTTGGAGGTTATGTGTTCGGCTTCGACACCGGTACTATCTCCGGCTTTGTCAACATGGATGATTTTAAAAGGAGATTCGGTCAAGTCAACTCCTCTGGCGAGCATTACCTCTCCAATGTAAGAACAGGTTTGATTGTGTCCATCTTTAACGTCGGATGTGCTGTTGGTGGAATTTTTCTCTCTAAGACCGGTGACGTTTGGGGCAGAAGAATGGGTATCATGATTTCTATGGTCATTTACATCGTCGGAATTATTATTCAGATCTCCTCGTCTACCAAATGGTACCAGTACTTCATTGGAAGACTCATCACAGGTTTGGGAGTCGGAACTGTCTCTGTTATTTCTCCTCTTTTTATCGGTGAGTCCTCTCCTAAACACTTGAGAGGTACCTTGGTTTGTTGCTATCAGTTGTGTGTTACCATGGGTATCTTCTTGGGTTACTGTACTACGTTTGGTACCAAAAACTATTCAGACTCTAGACAATGGAGAATTCCTTTAGGTTTGTGTTTCGCTTGGGCTCTTCTCTTGATCTTCGGAATGCTCAACATGCCTGAGTCTCCAAGATTCTTGATCGAAAAGTCCCGTTTGGATGATGCCAAGCTCTCTATTGCGAGATCTAACAAGGTCTCTCCGGAAGATCCAGCAGTCTACACCGAAATCCAACTCATTCAGGCTGGTATTGACAGAGAAGCGTTGGCTGGTAACGCTGGTTGGAAGGAACTTATTACTGGTAAGCCCAAGATCTTCCAGCGTGTGATTATTGGTATCGTCCTTCAGTCTATTCAGCAATTGACCGGTAACAACTACTTTTTCTACTACGGTACCACCATTTTTAAGGCTGTTGGTATGTCTGACTCTTTCCAAACCTCCATTGTTTTGGGTATTGTCAACTTTGCATCAACTTTCGTTGGTATCTACGCCATCGAGAGAATGGGTAGACGTTTGTGTCTTTTGGTTGGTTCTGCTTGCATGAGTGTGTGCTTTTTGATCTACTCCATTTTGGGTTCGGTCAATTTATACATCGATGGTTACGCCAACACTACTGAAAACACCAGAAAGCCAACTGGTAACGCCATGATTTTCATCACTTGCTTGTTTATCTTTTTCTTTGCATCCACTTGGGCCGGAGGTGTCTACACCATTGTGTCTGAGACTTACCCATTGAGAATCCGTTCCAAGGGTATGGCAGTGGCCACTTCTGCCAACTGGATGTGGGGATTTTTGATTTCGTTCTTCACTCCTTTCATCACTTCGGCCATTCACTTCTACTACGGTTTCGTTTTTACCGGATGTTTGATCTTCTCCTTTTTCTTTGTCTACTTCTGCCTCCGAGAGACAAAGGGTCTTTCTTTGGAAGAGGTTGATGAGTTGTATGCATCTGACGTTGTTCCATGGAAGACTTCTGACTGGACCCCACCATCCGTCAACAATATGGCTCAAACTACTGGTTTTGCTGCCCAAGCCAAGCCTAACGTTGAGCAAGTTTAAATATGAAATGAAATTAGCATAGAGACCTTAAGTGTAGATTATGAAAGGAAAAATTGGATCCAACATATCGAGATGATGAAATCATGTAGAGCTGCCAACAAGACAAAGTTGGTGTGACAAATTATACTGGAAAACATGGAACTTGAATGCCAGAGTGAGATATCCAACGAATACCAAGGTATTGAATTGTTAGTATTCAACGATATTATTTTTTGTTGATTATTAAAATTTGATATTCTGACTTTGACAGAATCCTCATAGTTCTATTCGAGGTATTTCCGCCAAATTTGTTCAAAATACCAAACTGTTATGAAAGAAAAAACTCACCCAAAATCACATAAAGGGTAAAACCGGAATAAATAAAAGACCATATCATCAATAAAAATTCCATCGACATAATAAACATCCCAGGCTAACATCTGTTATTCTGTGAACTTTTGGTCTATACCAATAAATTTTCTATGTAGTACCTACTCCATCTTCAACTACTACTCTTTTCAATGCTGGACTTGGAAGAGCCCGCTACAACGCTGCAGGACACCTTTAAAGATGCTCAGGTCAAAGAAATAGCGCATAATACTCTCTATATCAATAATTTGAATGAAAAGGTGTCCCTTAACAAACTCAAACCAGTGCTCAACCTACTATTCAGTAGATATGGCAATGTCGTCCAGATTACAGCACATAAGAATATGAAAATGAAAGGACAAGCTTTTGTTACTTACAAGGATGCATCAAGTACAGGAAGGGCCCTTCGAAAATTGCAGGGACGCCCTGTTTTCAAGAAACCTATCAAGATAAGCTACGCCCAAACTGAATCAGATGAATTTCACAAACTTTCAGGGAAGATGGAAGCGATTGAAAAACGAAAAGTGGCCAAAAAGCTACGTGAAGAAGAAAAGACAAAGATGGTCGCCGAAAAGGCATCGACTCCAGCAACACCAGGTGTTTTGACAAAAAACCAGATCAAGCAATGGAAATCACTTCCTCCGCACAATGTTTTACTTTTACAGAATTTACAGGAGGAGCAACTTGTCATGGAGTATTTGGAGGGCATTTTTGGTGGACAGGACGGGTTCGAGAGGGTCCGGTTGATCAAATTCCGTAAATTGGCATTCATTGACTTCGATCTGGAAGCAAAAGCTACCAAATCCTTGGAGACGATAGATCCAACAAGCATTGGGGCAGAAGTACTTCTAACATATGCCAAGAAATAGTCGAATTCGCTACAATTCAAATACTTGTAATGACTTTTTTTATTTTTGCTTTACAAAGAATTGAAATAAATACACTCATAAAAATCAAGGACGGAAAGGTTAGTAGGCAATGTTGTTGGCGGCCAACAACTCCTTCAAACGCGCAACCTCATCAGCCAAAGCGTTTTTGGACTCCAACAAGTCTTCAACCTTAGCCTCCAATTGGGACATTCTCTCCATCTTCCTAGCTCTCGATCTTCTGGCAGCTTCGGTGTTTCTAGCACGCTTCATAGCAGCAGGATCCTCAGAAGGCATCAGGATTGGCTTCAAAGGCTGGCTTCTCTGCTTCTTTGAGTAGGAAACGCAACCCAAGTGGTCAACCTTGGTCTTCTTGGAGACTCTGTGCTTTGAATCAGCTGGAAGCACGGAAGCCATCACAGGAGTCTGGAGCGAAGGGGTGGCTGGAGTCTCAAGTTGCTTGGCAGGCTTTGCTGCTGGAACGAAGTCAAAGGTTTCCCTCATATCGTCAGCAAACAAGTCCTCCAAGTCTTCATCCTTCTCAGTCACAATTGCGGACTCGGCAGAGGCAGGCTCCTCCTTGAAAAGGGAAACCCAGTCCTCCTTCGAGTTCACCTTGCTTCCGTCCATGATGAAATCTAATTCGTCAAACATAGGAGTGTTTCCAAGCATATCCTCGTGGCCCTCAAGAGTGGTTGAGAAGACGGACTCCAAAACCTCTGAGTGCACGAGCATAGGGGAAGTGTCATCGCGCATTACCATGGATCTGGAGGCAGCACCTTCAGTTGGTAAGTGGCACGACAACTGGTCAATGCTCTCCAACTTCACTTGTGGAGAGACGGGGGTAAATTCGGCCTCGAACATCGAGTCGTTGTAAATAGCGGGAACTTGAGCAGACATCTTAATAGTAGTATCTGGGTAAATAGTAGCGGGGGTAAAAATGTTTAAATCGATTGTAGTAATTGTTGTAGTAGTTGTAATAATAGTTTTCAACTTTAAGGGAGCAGCAATTTATCAAACGTAATCAGCAAGGAAATACCGGAATAGGTAGGACACCATAGTGGAATCAAAACTCATAGTAGCATATTGGACAAACTTTGGGGGAGGAAACTGAAGTTATCAATGGTAAACCAGATATAACTTATAACTTTTTCTTTGTAGGAGAAAAATGGAAAATCTTTAATCTTAAATAAATTTAAGCGCACATTGTGGAAATCTTAATATGGATATTATATGGGAAATGACAATGTGAAAGATAAAAAGTTTGTGTGAAGAGAAAAAAAAAAAAGGAATTTGAGCGAGAGGTGCGGATCGACTATATTTATATTGGTAAAATTTTTGCGAAAAAATTTTTGGGTCGGGCCGCTAACGGCGCCCTGCAGACAGCCATATACCTCGCTAGGTATTTGTGAGAATGCTTGCCTGAATAGGAAGGTGAGTCAGACCAGTTGCATGGAGCTGACAAATGTACCCCTCAGATGGATAGTTAAAACTCTCCAATTTGAAGGCATTGGCTTATTTGGGATGTGTTTTGGCATGTCTGGGAGGATTCGGGGATGCTATAATATATAAGAAGTGCAAAATCCCCATTTTTTTGGTGGAGTTTTAGTTGGAAAAACTCCGGTGGCCTGGGACGGCTAACTGCATGCAGGTGACACCATGGTTATGAAATAGTGGATAGCTAACATTCTCTGCTTTTCTATACGAGAGATAACCATTTGCCATCGAGAAGTGATTCCCCGCATGAAAAGGCTGAGATTGGCAGGGCTATATGTTAAGTTGGTTTCTTTCGATTGGATGGAATTGTCAGGATGGAATTGTCAGGATGGAATTGTCAGGATGGAATTGTCAGGATGGAATTGTCAGGAGGCAATTGGAAATGTTAGAAAGGAATTGAGTGGGCAGGTCTCATTGAGATTCCGTAGTGTGTCTTGTAGAGGAAGTATTGTGAATAGGACGGATGTAGATCGTGAAATTGGTTGCAATGTGCTGAGTGATGTTAATTATTACTTGTATTTTGACAGTGAATATTCTTTTTTCTAATAATTTTTTTTTTACTGGTTTTTATGGTACCATACATTCATGAATATATTCAATTGTCAAATCTCATGTCTTTTTTTCTGTCATGTTCATACTCAGTTTGTAACCAATTGAGTTTTCTGATTCAAGTTTGGTAACTCCGGGAAACCCATTGTTTCGGTCCAAAGCTTCACATGACATTGTTCACTCATCAGTGCAATAAGTAGTGTAAAGATTGTTTCTACAGGTTTTTCTGAGTTTCTAGCGACTTAACAGTGATTGCCATTTTACCTGTGATTGAGTCTTCCATCAAATCATAGTGTCTCTCTCATCGAAACATAATGCGAGTGTCAATCGTAATACTTATACTGTCAGACTGTCCGTATTATACTCCTCTCATAGTTATACTGACATACCATTACGATATTGGCCATTCTGACCTACATTCGTAGAGCCATGAGCCAACACAAAGTATCACACAACTGTAAAAGTGTAACAGACAAGTTCTAGGGCAGAACACATTATCATCATCCTCAGCTCTCACTACTTCTAGAAATAGCTATATGCGAACAGTCTGACATACCAAATGTATATTGAAGTATTATACATAACTCGTCTTTGAGTTCCTCTTCATATATTTTTTTACTGTTAATCAACTTCTTCCCTTCACTTTAATCAATTGACTTCTCCATTCTCTCTCGAACTTTATGATTCAGGTCAACTTCTAGAACTCTTCGAATCTCCACTTTCTATCTTCATCTTCATACTCTGTTTAGTATCTTCACCTCTGTTATCGTCAAAATCTATTTTCTCACATTCCCAATCCAGACAACGATGAAATCTGGTCCTCTTTCTTGTCCATGGACAACGCCAGCTTCAAATCCGAGTTAGCATTCTCATCCACTGGCTTCTCCTCCACAACCTCCTCAGAAACCACCGGCTCCTTCAAATATTTTGCCTTCTCCAAGTTCAACACGTCGCTACTAATTGCTATGGCATCGTCCTGGTCTCCGCCAGTCTTTTTCACCCATCCTTTCAACTTCAAATTTGGTGCTGCTCCAGTTGAGTACTCCAACGGACTATACCACTCCTTAACCCATCTCACCGACTCGTTGATGTGTGACTTGGGCCTCGTAACAGGTGTGGCTGGCGTGGCTGACTTGGTAAACATGCTGAGTGTCTAATAATGGAGTATATGTTTTCAGTTTGGTGATAGTACTGTGTGGTGCGCAAGTTAGTTAGTGAAAGTAGAATATACCTACGAGAGGCAAAACTAGAGGCAAAAGGTCTATTTGCACGGAACTGGATAATATAGTAAGCTTCAATTCAAAAAGTTTGCTCCGAAGTTTTTAAAATTATCTATTAATTTTCAACTGCTGGCTCCACCTCACGCCTTATGAACCAACACCATTCTCTCTTACTTAAGAGACAGCTACGGCAGAACAATAAAGACCAACCGCGAAAAAAACGCGGCAGAAAAGTTCCAGAGATTCTGGAGAGCATCGCTGTTGATGATGACTCGTCCGATAGCTCTGATGATCTAGAGGACGTTGATATTGGGGGAGGTGACGCGGATTTGGCTGCGACTGACGCATCTAGCATTGAAAGGTTCAGGAAACAGCATGACGTGAACGTTAATGGGACCAATCAAGGGAAGGAGGCATATAAGAAGGAGAAAGAAGACGAAAATGACGATGATGATGATTTGGACGAAGAAAGCGACGAAGACGACGATTTTGATGATCTTGAAGACGTGGATTTGGACGTGATCTTCAACAAACCTCCCCCGGAGTCAGAGACACTAACGATCAACATCAACCAAAAGGAAGACCAGCCAGAAAAGAAAAAGACAAAGCGTTTCGTTCCGGTGCCTAAAGCCGAACGTCATCGTCGTAAACTTGTCCACCAGCTCTATTTAGAAACCATGATGGCTCACGGAGTGGTGAGAAACCAATGGTGCAATGACAAGGAACTTCAGAGCGAGCTACGGCAGAAAATCCCGCCTGACGTTTTTGAATTTCTTCGTCTGACTAACCTGGATGTTCTAGATTACGTCAAGGCTCGACGGTTCATCGAAGCCATCCGAAAAGCTGCGGCCTTCTACCATCGCAAATTTAGAGTCTCCTCGCAGGGTTTGGTAAGAAAGGACTGGGAAAAAATGCTGCAGAAACAAGAAGGAACAGATGGAGTAGTTACATTGAATCGATTTCGTCGTCTCGTTAAGAATTTCCGGGGTTCGAGAGACATTGCTGCCCAAGGGTTTGTTGCTCTTCTCAGATCGATGGGTGTAACTGCTCGATTAGTATTCTCTCTCCAACCACCTGACTACCGCTCAATCGTGCCTGTGGGTGCAAGCAAGGAGGATGAGAAACAGGAGAAAGAGGAAGACACGAGGGCCAAAACGAAAAAGTCCGAATTCGACCCTGTGTTCATTCCCAATCTGAAAAGAGATTTCCTTAGGAGCGCACGCAGTTCTAAAGAACAGAAAGAGAATAGGAGAAAGGCTACTTTTCCCACATCACAGTATCCTATTTTCTGGACAGAGGTGTGGAACAAATTCTCGAAGAAATGGATCACCGTTGATCCAATCGTGCTTAATGTCGTAGAAATAATGCCGATGCGTCGAAGGTGTAAATTTGAGCCACCAGCCACAGAATCCACTAACCAAACTTGGTATGTGATTGCTTACGATAACAAGCGAAATGTCAAAGATGTCACTCGGCGTTACACCCAGTACTACAATGCCAAAACCGTGAAAAAGCGCATCGAGTTTGCTTCGGACGAGGACGAACATTGGTATCTCCAACTACTCCGTTCGGCCCGACCAGAACGAACCATCCCTACCGAGGCTGAAATCTTAGAGACAAAGGAATTTTACGATCGAGATATCTGTGAAGGTATACCCAATAATATGACAGACTTCAAGAACCATCCAGTTTATGCGTTGGAGTCACAGTTACGGCAGGATGAAGTCATCTACCCTAACGATGAAACCAGCAAGTGTGGAACCTTTAAACCCATGAACAAGAATACCACCATGACAGTTTTCAAACGGTCACATGTATTTAGATTGAGGACACCAAAGGCCTGGCACATGAGAGGCCGAGTGTTGAAGGTTGGAGTTCAGCCTTTGAAAACTAAGACCGTGAACCGTATTTCCTTTGATGACGACGGAGACGATGATGGGATTGAACGGTTATATGCTGAGTTCCAGACCGAGATGTACAAGGCACCTCCAATTGTGGATGGAAAGATAACCAAGAATGCCTATGGAAACTTAGAAATCTACACTCCGACCATGATGCCCGAGAATGGATACTTGGTGAAAATGACAGATACCATCACTATGAAGATGTTGGAGAAGGCTGCACGAGACATTTTACGGATTGATTACGCCAAAGCAATTGTTGCGTTTGATTTTGGAGGCAGCAAGAAGAACCGAACTCCCACTGCCAGAGAAGGAGGAATTGTTATCGACAAACAATTTCAAGAGGCAATGGAGTTAGTGGTGGAGCATCTTTTGGATATGGCAGAGGAGGAGAAGAGAAGACAAGTAGAGCTTAATGCTTTACGCAGCTGGAAGTTTTTCATGAAGAAATTGGAGATTATGAACAGACTCGATAGGCAGCACGGAAAGCTCGACGAAGAGGAAGAGGAAAACAAAGAAAACTTGAAGGAGGAGAGAGAGGAGGAAATGTCAAGAGACGAGGAGGATGGATATTTCAGCGTTGCAAGTGATGGTGAAAGTTCGACAGAGGAAAATTATGTGCCTAGAAAAAGGCGGAGATTTGTTGAGGAGGATGAATTTGAAGAAGGTGGGTTTATGTTGGGAGATGGAGGATTTGAGATGCCAAATAAAGAAGAGCTCTCCGAAGAAACTTTTGAAGTAAAAGATGAACAGGATAATGAGGATGGTGGATTCTTACATGAAGCACAAGAAGTAGACCAGCTCTACGACGATTCAGAAGGAGGTTTCGTACAAGATGTAGGATTAATGGAGGAGGAGAAAGTTGGAGACTTCAAAGAAGAAGGAGGATATTTTGAAGAAGATGCAGAAGGTGGATTCTTTTCGGAAGTCTCAAAAACATTTCTAGGAGAAACTTCAGATACATTTTCACAAGAACCTTCGGATGCATTTTCACAAGATAATCGGAAAAATTTGGCAGATGACACTGACACCCTACATGATATCGCCTCAAACAAATTGACATCCAAAGATTCGCTAAAATTTGGCTCTGACACTGAAAGCTCTTTCACTTCTAAACCTGTCTCATTGGCTCATTCGGTGGAAGGGAGCTCCTCAGAGTGTGAAACCCAGATTCTGGACAGGGCGAATTCACAATCGCCGTCTCCTGATGCTGACATATCACCAACACTTGATTCTGACAAATCACCAACACTTGATTCTGACAAATCATCAAAGAGTGTTCTCTATCAGGATAATCTTTCCCCGTCAATGCCAAGTGGTTTTGACAATTTTGCAACAATGTATTCCTGTGCGGATCCACATGCCGAATCTGATGGCACGGCTGCAGGAGCATTAGAAACCCGAGAATCTCCAGGGTGCCACAAGCACCTGGGGACTTCCGTGGAAAAAACGGTGCAACCACAATTGGTTGAGGAAATTGACTCGGATGAGCCAATCACTAAAGGTGCGGAGACGCACAGAGAAGTTTACAATATCTCCAGTGAAGAGAGCGTAATCGAGATCTCAGATATGAGCGACATTGAGAAAGAGGAGGAGGAATTGGGGCTTGTCTACAGCGACTCGGAGTAAAGAAAACAATGAGGATGGTGAATTTCGAACTTACCAAACAAAGGTGAGTAGCAACTGAAAGCCGTTTACACTAAAAAGATAAAAAATATAAACGATATGCTGCGAAATTCTCATGTCAAAGAATTAGTCATTGGCGCGAATCAATCATTACCAATTGTTCGATTCTTTGCAAATTCCGTTACCAAAACTAAAAAAAAAAAACGACTTTTTCAAGAGCGCCCATCACCAAAATCTTCACCATCCTTTTGTACTTCTGCTTTCTCAGAATTTTTCCAGTCTTTCGATGTTCTCAGCCTTCACTTGTTCGATGTAACCTCATCGCTCTTTTGACCTCTTTCAGGAAACTGGGCCCTGATCCTGTCATTTAGCTGGCGGAATTTTTTTGCGCTCCTCAGATTTTTTTCATCTTTATTGCGCATTCGGAATTCCTGTCTGTATTTAAAGTTGGGGTTTCCTCCTAATCTCCAATGAAGATCAACCGTTTTTACATACGATCTTCAAATTGTCTTGACAAGCAGTTGGTTTGTCCTTGTTAGTTTGTTAGTTTGTTAGTTTTGCCGCTGCTTCACATTTTGCATTTCTTGTGCTTACACACTTGCACATTTTCCGATTCACTTGATCCACCCTTCTCATCATGTATAACGCCGTGGCCGAAAACGTTCTCGGCACCATCGGTACCGTTCTCTGGTGTATCCAATTGATTCCTCAGATCATAAGGAATTACAGAACGAAAGACTGCACCGGCTTGCCGCCAATGATGATGTCTCTCTGGGCCCTCAGTGGTATTCCATTTTCCATTTACTTCTTTGGTACTGATGGCTCCATTCCCTTAAGAGTCCAGCCACAGCTCTTCACGTTGTTTTGCACCATTTCGTGGGCTCAGACCTTATATTATCCGCCCGTCCAGATCTCTAGACTTCGCCTCTGCCTCGCGGTTGGTAGCTTCTGCTTGTTGGCCATCGGCATGGAGATTGGCTTCATTTTATGGCTTCGTCCACTTTACAGAGACGGTAAAACATGGCCAATGCTTGTGATTGGAATCATAGCATCTATTCTTCTTGCTCTTGGCTTGGTTCCACCCTACTTTGAACTTGCGAAGAGAAAGGGCCGTGTGGTGGGCATCAACTTTGTTTTTCTCTCCTTGGACTCTGGCGGAGCCTTGTTCTCGCTTTTGAGTGTTGTAGTGGGCACCATGGACATCATGAGTTTGATTCTCTATGCCATTGTTCTTGCTATGGAAATCGGCATTTTCCTTAGCCAGATCATTTGGTACATTACTGGTGGAAGAGAAATCATAAGGCAGGAGAAGCTAGATGAAAATTTTGACAGGAAGGAAGAGCTTTCAAAGGAGCTTACGCGAGAGAACACATCAGAGATCTCGAACCTGTCATAGTATTTATTGGGTATTTATGATTAATAGACGGAACACGCTGACCAGATGAATTGGCCACGCAATTAATACCATTGAGAACTTGATGTATACTATAATCTAATAGTACTCTTTCCAGACTCTATTTATCCCTTACATCGCAGCCTTCGACTTGTCTTAGCCTCTCGTCCTTCACCTACTACCTGCACACACATTGAGCATTTGCCTAAACTTTCATTGTAGCTCCAACTTTGGCGTCCAAAATGGTAAGTTAACCGATATTTGCTTCTCGGATCACAATTTCCCATTACTAACATTACAGTCTGCCTTTTCTCCGCTAAATTTGGTGGAGGACGCATCATCCAAGAAGGAACTGGAGGAGGACCATACTAGAGAAATCGAGATTGAAAATGCCTTTAAGACGTTTCAGGAGGCTATAACTCTTCTTGAGTCCAATCAGCTTGCCGACGCATACGTGAAGTTTAAAGATTTATCTCACAAAGACGTGATTTTGAATCATTATTATGAGGAAACGGCCTTCATGAAGGGCCTACAAAATGGGGGGCTAAATACCCAACCGGATGAATTGAGTTTTATCTCGCAGAAAGTTAAATCTATTAGGTTCCTCTACTTTAGGAACCGGGGGTTTTTGTACTTTAATATCTTGAGATCAGACCCGGAAACGAAGAAATCGGTTTTTGAAGCAGATGCGTCCATTAGCGGGCCCCAGACGTCGCCCACTACTGAAGCAGACTTCTCTAGAGAGCTATTCTACTCCATGATGGATGATCTTGCCAACAGTGTTTCATACCAGGAGGCCGATGAGCAGCTACTTCGGCTTCTCTACGATTTATATGTGTACATGGATGTAAAGAAGTTGGCCCGATATACGCTTGAATATGCCCAATCTGTGAATGCAGAAAGCGACGATATCATGAGTTTATTACCATTGAATGATTGGGCAGATGACCTATGGATAAAGTTTGAAAAAACCGGACTTACAGAGGAATCCATTTCACCTAGACTTGCAGAGAGGTTTCTGTTTCTTAAGCCAATCAAAGACGACCTACAACGACTGATATTTAATAAGCTAGAGAAGAATACTCTAGAGGTCGCGGTCAAGGAGTCTCCAAATTGGCTAGACGTCATTCAATCACTCAATCTTGCGTTGAGAGCTGGTCTGGACAAGGAGAAGGTGGCCGAGACTATCAAATGTGGCTTGAGACATGTGAATCCATACTCACTTACTGAGTCAAGCATAGACCGCGTGAAATTTGTTTTAGCTAATGTGGAGAATGATGAAACTAACCAGATGGAGGTTGATGTAATTGAAGAGGTTCAAGAGGAGGAGCAAGAATCAATTAAAGGAGAAGAGGAAGTTGAAATTCAAGAAACAAAATCAGTTGAAGATACAACAACAGATACGCCAGTAATTTCACCACTGGTGGTCACGGTACCTGCCACACTTGCCGAGAAAGTTATTCATCGATCTTCCAGAAGACTCAAGCCAGAAGATGCAGCACCATATGAACCCGATGATATTCAGCTCACAAGGCACTACTATGTTGAGACGGAGGGCTTTTTTGGCCAAATCAACAAGTTCTTAACCGAAATATTCACTCATGAACCTCCTGCTTTGAAAGATGTTGTCGCGTACATCGTTGACGATCCAGACGAAACCACCCCGCAATACATACAAGATTTTGTTATGGCACTCAATGATTGGGACAGAAAAGTTTACACGCCCATCATGTTAACCGATAAGGCTACTCTGTCTAATAATGCTTCTTCGAAAACTGATGGGGAAAAGCTCAAATTGATGGATGTGCTCACACAATTTGGCAACCTGTTTGTCTCTGAAACTGACGTCATCACAGAGAGCTTGGATGATTTGGAAGCGCTGGAAATCACGACAATTTTAGCTCAAACTTCTGGAAAACATGTCAATGAGTTGAAAATTACATTGCTTTTCCATTTAATTGGTGATTCAGAAAGAAATATCCTCCTCGAGTACCAGTGGAGTACTCCTTTGTTTTGTGCTGTGAGGGAATGGGTCCTCCAACTCGAAGCAGAGATAATGAATCTGTTCGAGCTCAAGATTGAGACTCCAGATGACGTTGACCGAAACATACAATTTATTATTAGCATTTACGAGATTCTTGTTGATCTATACATTGAAACCAAAAGTGAGATTGACAAGTTTTTTGAGTCTTTGCCAAGGGGAAAATCGAAAGCAGGTTTGAACGCAAGTTCTTTGGAGCTTATTCGACTCAACGAAAGAATAACGAAGTGGCAGAACTTGATCACCTATAAGGTTCTCAATGTTTTCCCCGTTAAAGAATTGGCACAGCATCACCTCGCATGCATTATTCGTTATTACTGGGCTTCTAATTATAGACTAGCTGCAAGGAGTTTTTCGTGGAAGGAGAAGAAACTTGTTGTTCAAGACTTGCTGGAGTTGGCTGATTTTCTCAAGATTTCTCGCTATGATACTATAAAGATCTCATTACCCAACTTTGCCAACTTGGGTGACTTCTCTAAAGAAACTCTACATCGAAGACTTTCTACTTCCTCCATCCTCTCTATCTTTTCTAAGATTCTCTACAACGATGACCACCAGATGGATGGAAGCGAAGATACAATCGAACTTCTTGAAAGCATATTGATAAAGAATGATGAAAGTGACATATCAATGGACAATTCACAATTGGATGTCAATACGTTGGTTGAATCAGTGATTAATGGAAAAGCAACCTTAGATAAGAATTCTTTGAGAAGTGTTCAAGACTTTTTGGACGAGTGTCCAATTGATCTCAAATTGAGCCTTTGGAATATACTCTTTCTGTACTACGAGGATAACAGCAGCTTCGAGAATTTCCAGAAAGGATTGGAACAATATTTGGATTTTGCTCTCGAATATTGGGCTAGTTTCAGGTACAGGGATAATAAGAATAATCGGATATTGTCTTTTTTGGTGTCGCTCAATTTCTTCAGAAGTTATCTCAGAGTTTTTCTACGATACCTCGCGGAACATAAATGGGAGCTTCCCTATCGCGTTTCCAACGATCAAACCGATGTAATTCTGAACTTCGCAAGAATCTTTGAAATTTGCTATGTTTTCAGTCTTCATGAGGAGGCAGCTTTGATCACAGGGAATAAAATATCTTTAGGATACCGATCTGAAGCTGCATTTACAACATTCAAGGACTTTTGCATTGAAAGCATGACCATTATGTTGGTTTATTGTGTCACTGATATAAGAAGGAATAAGCTGGACGATGCTGACAGCTTGATTACCAAGATTCTCAGACTCGTGCATCAGCAGTTGGGACTTAGACGTCTATGTGATTCCTCGAATGGCACGTTCCTCCGATTTTCGGAATTCACCCTTGTTGGACTTCAAAATAAGCCGAACGTAGAATTGGCTCAACTCCTTTCCTGTCGTTTCCATTTCAAGGTAAAGGCTTCCGACATGTATCCCGTGGATCATTACACAACGAAAGTGTCAACTTTGGATAAGTCCAGTGCAATAGAATTGGCAGCTTTTGTTCTTCCTCTTTGCTTCAGAGAGAATCCAATCCTCAAGGTGCCTAGGAACGACATGAAGCAGGTCCTTGATGATCTAATGGAAGTCATCGGAGACCCGGATATTGAAGGAAACAGTTCATTGGTGCACAACAACGCAACACTTGAGAAGTTCATTGATACAAGCACACTAACTGCAAGGTTTATTAAGGAATGCTTCTACGGTCTTACTTCCATTGATTTTATAAAACCTGAAAATGACTCCAGTGCTGCAATAGACGGGCTCTATTTCTTGCAAGCAGTCACTATGTTCAATTCTTATAAGATCCGGAAAAAGTCAGCACAAAGCAGAACCGTTGAGTTGGAGAGGATAATTCGCCTATTGAAAGACGACTTAATGTACTGTAGTAACAGAATGGAAAGTTGGCTCTTACTCGGTCAGGCATACGGTTATATTGTGGAAGATGATTTGATATGGACGTCTGATAAGTTGAACATAATCGACAGAAAGGTTGTCACAGCTAACCTTCAAAGGAAATCACTCGTCTGTTATATCATGGCCATTAATACCTTAACTCAACAAGGACCCACGGATATCGAAAGCACCAATTCGGTAATAGGAATTTTGATGAATTCTTTCGTGAAAGAATTGTATGGTGCTGTTCAGACGCCAATGGAAATGATCGCTTTCAAAGTCCGAGATACTTACAAGTTCGTCCGCAAAAGAAACCAAACTATGTTCCAAACGGTCTCAGATAAGCCAACCGTTCCGATTAAGTTCTGTTTCAAGCTTCTGTTGCGATGTTTGCAAATTGCGATCAAATCAAATCCAAATGAATGGTCCTCATACTATTATTTGGGTAAAGTGATGTCCAAGCTAAATAAAAAGCCAGAGGAAGTGATTGAGTGCCTCTTGTCGTCATGCAAATTGTGTCAAGCCCAAGGTACTACCGCAGACCCTCTTTTGGAGGCTTCGTACAAGGTGGTGACTTTATTGTACAAGTACGTCAAGGAGAACAAGCTAAGCGTTGAAGCCGCAATAAGCTACTTGAAGCAGGAACCTCTCCTGAATATGCAATTAGAAGGTGAATTTCCTGACAAGCTCCTGTTCTACAAGGCGATCATCTCAACTCTACAGAAATTGATCAGCTTGGATAAAAAGGCCTGGTACCACAAGCCATGCTATAGAATGGCGTTAATTGAATATGACGAGTTTGATGACTACAAGAAGGCAAGGGAAATCATGAACAAATTCTTCTCCTTAAAGGCTTCCAACAAAACGTTTCTTCAAATGTGGAAGCCAGAAAATGAACGGCCAGGCAAGCATTTTGTGTACATGTTCCAGTACACACAATTCTACATCAAGATGTTGAGAAGAGAACTTGATTTGTCGTCCTTAATTCAGATCCTTCCAAAGTTGAGGAAAGCAAATTCAACAATGGTGCTGCTTTATTTCGCATGGGAGAATATCACTTCGTCCATTTGCAAATTGATTAGAGTGATTGCCCAAGTGGAAGACAACTTCGTTGAGATGTTCTTGTTGAAACATTCTCATTCTTCCTTCATGACAGACGCCAAGAGCGTCGTTGAAAAGGTAAAAGAGTGCGGAATACCCGACGAACAGAAGCCTCTTTTCTGTTATCTTCAAGTAGTGAACGAGATGAGAAAATTGAACAACGGATTCGGACCGACTTCCTTAATTGACGATACAATCTGCGCAATTTTCGTCAAGATCTTCAATGGAACCTCCAAGCCGGAAAAAGTGCAAGAGACAATCGACTTGACTGTACGTTTCAAAAAACTTGCCAAAAGAGATTTGTTTCCTTTTGCGAATGAGCTTGTCACAAGATGCAAGAGAGACGTTGACACGCTATTGAAGGACGACCCTGAGTTATTCAACTCGTATGTTGCAAAGTACATCGAACACAAGCGAAATCTCAGCATGCAATTATTCAATCCAGCTCCCGCTGAGAATGCTCAATCTTTAAACAATAATGATGCGTCGAGAGGGAGCAACGAGACCACCAATGGACAACCAGAACTTCTGTCGTTGTCTATTTCAATGGATACTGAACCATCTAATTCACAACCTGCGATTGACAATAGGATTTTGCAGCTCATTCCTACAGAGCAGACGGGAACTCAACAGAGGAACCAAACAAATGCTCTGAAAGACGAGGAGGTTGAAAACTTACATGACAAAAATAGCATCGGTGGAACTAATGTTGAACAAGTGGCTAATGTCTCCCCTCTTACCACTTCTCCACTTCCGCCGTCAAAAATCGTTGACGATACACTTGCTTCACTTACTGTATCGGGTGTCCCTGAAGTGGTGGTGCAGCCAGTAGCCCCCCAATTATCGGAACAGCTTGAAGATGCAGCCCTGGCCACTACTGAGCCATCTACAAAGAGAATAAATGGAACTGAAAAACTAAAGGGAACATTGGAACCCAAAATTCCAGAGCTACCAACACATGAAACTCCGGAAAGTTCTAATGAAAATGGCTCCATCAATCAGAGCGTTCTACTACATGACACACCCTTCCAACCTTCATCGGAGACTATAATTATATCGTCACCGGCAGAAACCAGTGAATCAGTGAACAAAGTTGGCTCCGACTCTAAGGCGAATAAAAACAATCAGCAAGTTGACAAAGCGGCCTCCAATCTTGGTTTAAAGGACACTTCCATTGAGGGTGACTTTGAGGGTAGTACCGAGGGACTCACAGATGGGAATGAATCTGACATCAATATCAATGACTACATTGATGTAGAATCCGATTCTAATTTTGGAACTAACCAAGCTGAGGCAAGCTTCGAATCGATTGATGTCGATAAAAATGATAAAGACGCCTCAGGTGTGATTGATTCTGCGCAAGTCGGATCGAAGGCTCAACCAGAAGTAGAAGGGTCGGAAACAAAGAAACCCTCAAATACTGATACTTCTGCTTCGAGCAACTCAGAACTGACGCCAACAAACTCAGTTCGTGTTGAGGTTGAGATTATTAGTGAAGGTGAAGAAGGTGACATAACAATCTACGCTGATGCTGTGGATACCACCCAAAATGCTGAAGATGCTCCAGTGAGTGTGTCAGCTGGCAAAAAGCGAAAGTCTGTATCAGAGCCTTCTATATCTAAGAGAAGAACTCGATCAGGTAAATAGAAGAAAATAATGAATTGACATGATATGAGGTCCAATTAGAAAAACGTAGAATAGAAGATAGAATGCAATAAATGATAGATATAATACTTTCGTGGGATCAATAAAAAAAAATACAAGTGCTCCGCGGCAGGTTCGAACTGTCGACCTTCAGATGACACAACTAATTGTTATGAGACTGACGCTCTGCCAACTGAGCTAGCGAAGCTACTTGATGGTGGAATAATTCAATAATTGAATAACATCAAATTATTTGTTGAAAATGTCGAAATTTTGGTCCGGTAAGCCATTTTAGCTTGCCAATGACCATCTAAGGGAATAAAAGTGCTTAAAGTAACCGTGAGAGCTTGTATGAAGACTCTAGTGTGCTATAGTAACTTAAGGATATTGTACGGATAGGAAAATGGCAATGACGTGAAACATTATTCCTGATATGATAGATGAATAACTTTAATCCATCAAAATCGATAAAGAATATTTTCAGTAATTTTCTTATCATTTGTCGGTCTGGGAAGTGACTGTCGAAAGAAAACTATTGTCATTGTATCTTCATACTGCATCTGTTAATCCGCTACTACTAGAAACTTATTTCACTCCCAAAAGATATCGTATTGCTAATTGTAAATTAATGTATGGATTCAACGATCGACTGTAACCGTTAGTGGTGCTTCTCTGGAGAGTATGCGTACTTGGAGAAGGCTCTAATTCTAGCACCGTAGAAGTAGAATAAATATGGAATTAAGCAGCAAGCCAATGAAATGAATGCCATCAAAGAGGTGGCCCACTGGTCACCCAAACGGTGGTACATCTGGATGGTGAATAATGGAACAGCAGCACCCCAGACCGACCTGACAAAAGTTTTCGCAGCCAATCCACTGGCGGCATAATGCTGGTAGGAGTCAACAATATAGTTGTTGGCTGGGTTGTAGAGTGAAAGGAAGCCGAACCCGCATGCAAATCCACTGAAACATGGGCCAGCCCACGATAAATGGGTGAAGGATGACCAAGCGTAAGCGAACAAGCCAGCAGGAACAAACCAACAACCAACCATCATAGGCAACAAACGCAACTCTGGTGGAGGAAGCTCTCCTCTGTCTCTGTATGCCTGTGCTCTCTTATTATAGTCCTTATTAATCCATGGAGCGCAAACTGAGGAAACAAGCACACCAACACCAATAGGAATGAACATAATACCTGTTTTTGAGGCAGACCATCCTCTTCCTTCCATGTAAATGACAGGGTATGCAAAAAAGAACATGTACAACAAACCGTAGACGACTGACATGTAGATGGTGATGAGGAAAATGATGAGTTCCGACAAGAGCAAGAAAGGGCGCAAGAATGAGTCCTTAGCAATCTGGCCAAGAGTACGCTCCTTCAACTCCGCGATCGATCTATAAGTCTCGTCACCAGTAATTTTTCTGAGTTTTTTGGCTCTTCTCTTCAAAATGGTGGTATGGTGGGTCTCAGGGACAAACACCATCAACAAGATGTAAAAGAATCCGGCAATAATGAGGAAAGCCCAGTAAATCCATCTCCAAGTTGGAGCAAAGTCACCCAACAAGCCTCCAAAAATGGGACCCATGACAGGACCCAAGAATGGAGCAGCAGAAAACACGGCCATGGCCTTACCACGCTCGCTGGCTTCCCAGATATCAGCCAAAGAGCCACCGATCAATGTCATAGGTGCGCTGAAAAGAATGCCATCAATTAAACGACACACAATCATAGTGGCGATGTTCTGGGCCAAACCACAGGGAATAATGAAAATAAGTGCCAAACCAAGAGTACTTGCGTAAATGATTTGACGGCCGAGCTCCTCGGACAAGGGCGCAAAAACCAAGGGACCAACTCCAAAGCCAAGGACAAACATGGTCACAGATGCAAGAATCATCACCGTCTCGGAAACACCAAAAGTCTTCATGGGTCCCTCGATGTCTCCCGTGACAATGGCAGAGCCAAGAGCCACGGAAAAACAAATCATTCCCAAAATTACCGTATACAACCATTTTTTGGCCGTGCTGATGTTCTTGGGATTCTGCTTATCGTTGGGAATGAACTCCACGAGTCTCAACCCAGTTTCTTTGTCCACTGGATACTGCCATTCATCTTCTGGATGGAATGTGGAATGTGGATCTGGTCTGGTTAATATTTTTTCCACATCATAACCCTGTTCCAAAGGACCAAGAGCACCAACGTCTTCCTCTAACTTGCTGACAATCAGCTGAACACCTCTGTTGCTTGTCAAAATACGATGGATGCTGTTAGCTGCATCCTGGTCATCATGAGCATTGTCTCCAGTGTATTGTTTTGCTTCCTGGTCGTTGTCCAGTAATGTGCTTGAAATCGAGCTCATTGTGATGCGATTGTAAATATTGGGGAATGAAACAAAATCCAGAGGGCAGACAGATGTCTTATATATTCGTTATCCATGGATAACGAAACGGAGCACGGTTAAGCCTGCACGAACGGCTGGAACCGATATGGAAAGAATGTGCGCGAAGAAAGTCACTGGTGCAGATTTCGCACCCATTTCGTAGTATATCTTAAGACATTATCTTTGTCAACAACGACTCATCATACGGTTTCAACCATTGCGAGGCACTTCCAGTGAAAGATGTTAAAACTTGACTGAAAGTTAGCATGGTTTTTCTTGTGGAAGGCTATGGAAACCGGCTGAATTTTCCGTGATCGCCGAATTACCTAATGACCTAATTTTGGTGGTGAGTGCCTAAAACGGGCCGTCAGTTGACATTTAGTCCCGCCTCGCCGGTCGGCCCCAACTTTTGAGCCATTTAAGATGCAGATTTAATGCGTCCATATGCACACCATGTTGAGACATTTAGTCGCTATCGGCGTAAAAGACCAATAATACAACCGATTGGATATATGTGCAGGAAATCGCTCAAATATGTCAGCCGTATCGATGATGAAATTGATGGGGTATAACGACAGTCATGAAGAGGGGAAAAGGAAGTCACAGCAGCAAGTTGCGAAATGCATCTGAGAGGGGCTCTGAGCAAGTAAAAGGAGAAAAAAAGGAAAAAAAACTAGCACAATTTGGAATGGGACGATGAATTGTAGAGGAGTACAGTGCCCAAGCAGAGTCTGGAACTTCCGTTTATCATCTTCATCATAATTAGCGAGATCTTTGCTTCTTCTAGTACGGGCCAACTCCAAGAACAGTAGAGGGTTACTTCATACCAACGACATGACTGGAAAGTCAATTTTCACCATTGAGTCCCAATATGTTTGTGACCTCGTGTAAGGTTTTCTTAGAGGGATTGATGTCTCAAGGAGAAGGTTTTCATTATGCGCTTGTGAAGAATGCTAATCGGCATATTGGCATCAGTCAATTTATCTACCGTCATATTCACATCAACTTTTGAACGCAGATTTCGAGTTCATTAGTGCGTTGTAGAATTGCAAATTGCTTTGCAATTCTTTCATCTTCCAGCATCAAAAAATGTTTACGTCCAAACTTGTTACCATCCACAAAGACCAACTCCTTTACTTCAGCTAACTCCTGAAAAGTATGGCCCGTATTGACAAGCTTCGCAATTAGAGCATCTGGATCACTGGACAATCCTGTCGTATCACTCAAGTGCAATACAGAAAGTAACATCAATAATTTAACAATCTTGTCCACTGCCTCAACATAGAGCAACTTTCCAGGATATTTCTCGCCGTCAATATTGCTGATGTAATGTAAGAGAGCTTCATTGTTTACTTTCAAAGCGATTTCTGAAAATAGTGGTGCTCCCTTAAGATTGAACAACTTTAAGAAGTCAATCAAGCACCCGGCATGTTTGACTCCATTTAGCAGCTGAAGCTGGGGGACTCCACTACTTTTGAAGAATTGCACTACCAAATTAACTTTCTCTTTGTATGTTCCATCTGAAAGAATACAGCTAAGCGTTCTGGCATTGTGAGTTGTTGCCTGATTGCCTATCCGGTGTTCGAGGTTGGGAATAGAAATAGCACTGCTGGAATAAGACTGAGATGGTGACGCCTGGTGTGCCAAATCTTTGGAGATACGTGCGTTGAGTGCCGAGGTGAAATACATCAATTCCTCCCTTACCTTGCTGTCAGGTCGCAAGTATTGTTCCAACGATGTTAAGCGGAGCTGCGTATTCAAAAGAAAGAAAAACGAAAGCTCCTCACGATCCTCAGTTGTAAATGCCAGTACGACGTGTCTCAGGAATGCCATTTCGACGTTTGGAAGATTAAGAAGAACCCTCAAGAACACATCGGCTAGATCTGTGTACGTCTGCATGATTTTGTCACCCAATACCGAGAGAGTGACAAAGCAGTAGCCATAGTAGCGGTAGAAGTCCATCACATCAGCTAAATTTGGATCCTGATCCAAGATATCTGTGGCTGTAGCTTCAGTGACAATAGCTTCTTCGGAAAAGGCTAATGGTATTACAGCCTCAGGTTGTCCTGCGAAAAAGGCAGCCTTACCAATGCATACAAGTGTCGTGAACATGGATAAGTCATTATCAATGAACTTGGACAGCCTCATCAATGTCTCAGATAAAATATTGACGTCTCGTTGACCACCCAAATGATATTGGCTAGAAACAAGCACGTCACTCATTTTGCTTATTAAATTGAGGTATGCCAGCGATGATTGTTTCGCCACGGTAGAATTTGCCGATAATATTGATAAGTTCCACGAAGTCAAGAACTTATTTGTAGCTCCAAAGACATCCACTAGGCGAGCTCTGAGAGCATCGGTTGCACGAGCCACCTGAGGGTCGGCCAGAGTCCCGAACTGACTATGAGCATCACAAATACTTACCGAGACTTCGACTAAGGCCAATGTGCTTTGGAGCCAGGCATATTGGTGGGAGTTCACATCCAACTTTAGGAGCATGACCAAAACCTCGCAAATGTGATCCGGGAGGTGGTTAGCTGCTTCTAGATACCTTGCTTTTGATGAAATGGACCCAAACAGCAGGAAATGATCGCTGAGATACTTCTCAAGGGCGGTTAATAGAAGAGTGACGTCTGCCTCTGCATCTGGAGTGGTTATCAGAGTCATGAAGATAGATGAAAGAGACAAGGAGGGGCAACTAGGTATGATCTGGAAGAAATTTTACTCTTCGCAACAAGTTTTCAATGGCTCAGACGGGACTTCTTAGTCTTATTGTTATTGGTGATTGTCTCTCGAGACTAGTAGTTATCTTGAGAGTCCACACCCGTACATGTTCAGAATTTCCTGGAGAAGGTGTATAGAATGTTAAATGGAGAATTGTATAGGATGTTCAATGAAGAAATACAATATCGGCCCAAGAATTCCAATAAGATGTAAGAACAGAGGATAAATCGTGAGAAATGACGTTTTTGATGAATATGATTTGTTGGATTAGTGGAGATTCATATTCTTTTCTTTGCATAGATCAGATTTGGACAATGCAGTCTAAGATGAATTGGTGAGAAGCGTAAGGAAATCGAAAATATTCTTCTTATTAATTTGTGTTTCTTATCTTTGTTGAAATTCACATTAGACAAAATTATTCCCTATTCTCCAATTTGGGAAGAATTCGAGCTATAGAGTTCTGGATCTAATGGCCCGGGCAATATGATATATACAATGAAATGCAGAGGAAAGGTTGCGAGTGTGAAGATTAAAAGTTGTAACTACACATATAAGTACACTAACAACATTCATCTGAGTGGTGCAAATTGTATATCGGAGTCTCGGTTAAAGTTTGTAGCCTTCTGGAAAACTTTAATGGTAGAAACTATACCCATGTTATGAAAATTTATAAATGAATGATTCATACTTCGAAACATACCCAAGCAGCATGATTCATGAACCGATGGACCTTCCATTGGAGCTTTCATGAGTTTTGGAGTTTTGGAATTCTCTGAAAGACTTCGATTTCGGTTTACTTCATGTGCTTTCCGCATCAACCCTTCATCTTCTAGTAGTAACGTTATAACTACATCATCTCAAAAACAGAAAATGAAAATGCTGCTATAACTTAAAAGGTAAGCATCTTTATAAAAGGTGATGACCATAGTATTATGGCACATGAGTGGGTCTCGAACGTTTAAACACTGAAGAATATGTCATTTGAATCTGTCACCTTCATTCTTTTTCGCAGCCAATTTTCTTTCACCTAGAAAGAAAAAAAAGACACATTTACATGTCAAAAAACTCTTCACAAACAAGAAAAATTGCAGAATTCTCATTTCCAACCCTTTAATCTTGGCTTTTGAAACTTGGGGATCTTTGGTTGTCAGCTTTTCACAGTTAAAAGATTTCATCCATCAGATGATCTTCCTTCATACATCGACCTGTATACCACAACCCCAGATATCATCACCAACCTACTACTCTTCTCTACATGCTAGGTTCGTCCAAATCCCTACTACGGGCATTTGACACCGTTTTTGGACTGTGGGATAAGTCCTGTGACTGGAAAACTGATCCCCCGCAGACTGTCACTACACTTTTCAATGTTATCGATGCATACAATGAGAAGCACAACTCTATAGCCACTCTGAGTTCAAGTCTCAGTGACTCATTGCGTACCTGCTACAACACTCATGTCAAAGCTTCCGATGATTTATCCAAAGAGATCTTTTTCGTAGAGATTCTCACCAGACTTCTGCAACTTCTCACCACTGAAGATGCTAAAGTATGGCTACACACATATCTACGACCTGCGCTCAACAGCGCCGACGTGGACTTGCAATTCGTGGAGAAATCACGCGGATTTATCCTTTCACTCTCTGCAAACATCATGAATTCAGAAGATGCCGACCTAGTAAAGCAAAGAAACGCAACCGCCCTGTTGGTCATCGATTACATTCTTCGAGCTTATATTGGCAGAGACAAGGAAGTGTATGCTATGATTGGGATTAGCATGGATGAGCAGATTTCCACAACGCATGAACATATCGAAAGACTTCGATTTGTGGAGCGAAACGCTGGCTACCTCTTGAAAGAATCTGGAATCAAGCAACCATTGGAAGTCTTCACCGTGCTCAATAAGCATTTCGTTGTGGCAGCAGAAAGACACAAGACATTGGTAATTCTTTCTCAGTTGAGCTCCACTAGAGCTTCGGGAATCCTGTTGATCATGGACACTCCACTTTTTGCCAATTTGATCAGATCACTTTTACATGACTTCAGTGAGGCAGTTCTCACCAGTGATTTATACGTGATAGTGATGCTTCTTGCCAAGGTGTCCACCCAGGTATCCACTTACCTCTCGGATCTTTTTGCTGTGATCTTTCAGCTCATAGGATGGAGCGAATTCAGTCTGTACTTGTCCACTCGAGAGAAAACTCAGTTGGACTACTTGGTGTCACACAACATCGAATGGGATAGGATGGGAGTGGACCAGGAGGCTACTATGATGCAGTCACATTTCTTTGTGGACGGCGAATTTAACCTAAACTACTTATTGACGATGCTATATGGACTTTTTCCTCGCAACTTGGCTGAGTTCAGTCGAGCTCCACTAAAGTATTTACGTTCGAATTCGCCGAAGTTAATTACTCTCGAGCTTCTTCAGACATTAGAGGAGTTTAGTTTTCCTGAGGGCTTCGACACTTATGTGAGCAATACATTGAAGGACCTGTGCCGAAGATTCATGGTTCACCCTAATTTGCTTAACCTTGTCAGTTTAGACGATGAGCTCAAAAACCCCCTAGACTGGATTATGAAGATCAATGCAGATAAGGGCAATAATGTCATTGGCGAGGAGGAGATCTTATTACAATGTTATCTGTTAAATCCTGATTTGATCATCACCATCCCCGACAGTCTAGTATTACCCAAGTGGATTTCTGAGCGATTCATTGGCACAAATGAAGGAAAAATCCTTCCCTCCGGTGATTATTCACATAAGAACTCGATTCGCCATTCTCTATCACTGGTCAGTGAAGATTCCGATCGTCCCAAGTCATTTTCAAACCTCAGTGTCCCTGTGCACTGGGAGAAGCTCGATCGCCGAGTTTCCATTGTGCCTACAAAGTTGGTTATAGAAAACAAAAGTCAACCAGCATCAGAGCCGATCAGCAGAGTGAATTTCAAGTCGGTAAATTTTGGTACGTCGTCTAATGATAGTCTGGAGACCGCAACGCTCGATGAGATACCAGCTTCTGGAAAGCACGGGTCTATTTCTGAGTTGTACCTGGCCCATGAGCGGCTTTTCACTGCAAATGGGCCTAATTCTAATGCGCTAGGCATTGATATGAAACAGGCTCCTACAGCCACCGGAAGCATTCAGACTGCCAAGAAGACAGCATCTGATCTTCTCAATGAGCAGTTGAAGCTAGAGTCAGATTCGCCTAGAACTGTGGCTGCGAGCCCCAAGCTAAACGGATCCGAATCCAATGCTACCTTCTCTGCCTTAGATAACATGGGCAGTGCCCTTGATTTCTACCAGCGAGAGCTACTTCTCATGAAGAATGAGTTGGAATTCTCAAGTTACATGAAGCATTTGAATAAATTCAACTATCTTAAACTCAAGCTTCGAGTCAATCGATTTCTTCGGGATAACAAGTTGAAAATTGAAGACTGGCGGAAGGATAGAGGGGATTCTGAAGAGATTCTTGATGGGCAGGTTGAGGAGAAACATGATGCAGATGCTAAGAAGAGTAGTAATGACCAAGCAAAGGAGAAAGTTGATAGCCAAGATCATGAGAAATTTGATGGTCTATCGCCCCAGTCACCTCGCGAAATGATGAGAGCGGCTGGCATCGACACTTCTTTTGAGAGCCCGCTAGAGGTTAAAACGAAGCAGAATATGCAACTCAGTGCTAGAATCAAGGAGTTGAGCTCATATATTGAAGAATTGGAGGAATCCATGGAGAAGTTTAAGATTGAGGTAACAGATACGCAACAAGCACTCGAAGCTGCAAAGCAGACTGAAATTGTCTCAGAGGAACAACTTCGGAAGGCTCTTAACGAAATTCAAGTATTACAGAAGGATCACCAAGATCTTGCCGAGAAAGAGAAGACTATTGCACAAGGGCCCACTGGAATTTCGAACAACAACATACCAGCTTCTAGTCTTGACCAGCACGAGAAAGAGATTTTCGATCTCCGGACAGAAATACGTGGATACAAAGACGAAAATGCTCGCATTTCACAACAGCTAGAACAGACTACTGAGTCACTTGAGTTTACCATGAAGTCCTACGAAAAGCAACTTGCTACCATGAAACTTGACAAAGGTCAGGCAGTTCGTGAAATGTCTAGCCATTACGAAAGAAAAATTCACGAGCTCAACATTGCGATTGCAACGTTCGAATCTACTTTGGAAGAACGTAATGCTCGTATCATGCAGTTATCGACTTCCAAGCCTATACGGATTCCAGATTCGCGCATGGAGTCTTACCAAATGAGTCCACGACATAATAACAGTGTCCCTAAATACACTACAGATTTCCACTCGAGTCACTCCATGCACGACTACTTCAACCAGAGAGGATCAGCGGTGTCCATGGAATCGTCTTCGCTGTCTTCGAACCCTTCAAATGCAGTGCAGGCTCTCAAGCATTCAGTGCCACATACTCCCACGTCAAGACAAAGTTCCACACAAAACATTCCTATTATTCGTGGACGTGGAGGTTACCAAAAACGGTCGAAGAAGATCATGTGATTAAATTAAGAGACGATGCAAATGCATTGATCCAATTGGAGACTTCTTTATAATTTTTCCAGTTCTCAGCCTTTGGGTTCCATCGGGGTCCAATAAAGTGCATGGTACTGACGCGAAAAATAAGTCAACGTCAACATCCGGCACGTGATGCGCAAAATCATGGAGTACACCTGGCAAATTCATATTCAGCCAACCTTCTCTGTGTCGACATGTCCACACTCAAGAAAAGAAGCAAAAAGTCCGTGAACGCAGCTCCAACTTCGGTCTGGACCGCACCTGAGCCCGAGGAAGTCACCAAGATCGTGACCCCGAAAAAAGACTCCGAGCTCTCATACCTTGTAGCATTGGTGGGAGTGACAGCAGTGGCTGCCTATCTCCGTTTCCGTATAATTGGCTGGCCTGACAAGGTTGTCTTCGATGAAGTCCATTTCGGTAAGTTTGCCTCATACTATTTGCAAGGTACCTACTTCTTCGACTTGCACCCACCATTTGCTAAGCTACTCATTGCATTTGCTGGATGGTTGGTAGGGTACGATGGAGAGTTTAAGTTCGACAACATTGGTGATAGTTACATCACCAACAAAGCTCCATACATTGCTTACCGTTCTTTGCTGGCTATTCAGGGTACTGCTGTAGTGCCTGTCATGTTTCTCACCATGAAAACACTCAATTTCTCCGTTTTGGCTTGTGTGTTGTCCTCAGCAATCGTTACTTTCGACAATGCGCACGTTATTGACTCCAGATTGATCTTGTTGGACTCCACTTTGCTCATCAGTGTGGCATTGACGATCTTCTGCTACTCTAAGTTCAGCACTTATCGTCGCCAGCCCTTCGGTCAATGGTGGTGGACGTGGTTGCTTGCCACTGGATTCTCCTTGTCTTGTGTCATTTCCACCAAGTATGTTGGTGTTTTCACCTACTTCACCATTGGTTTGGCAGTGGTCCACGAATTGTGGATTTTGCTTGACATCAAGAAGGGTCTTACCATTGAACAATTTGCTCTGCACTTTGTGGCCCGTTTGTTCGCTTTAATCATCTTCCCATTCTTTATCTACTTGTTCTGGTTCTACTTGCACTTTGCCATTTTAACCAAATCTGGTCCAGGTGACGCCTTCATGTCTACCGAGTTCCAGGAAAGTTTGCTGGAGTCAGTTTTGGCCAAGGAGGCAAAGACTGTCAACTACTATGATATCATCACTATTAAGCACAAGGATACCGGGGCCTTTTTGCACTCTCACGAACACAAGTATCCATTGCGTTATGAGAATGGTAGAGTCTCCTCAAACTTGCAGCAGGTGACATGTGTCTTTGATCAAAACGGTAAGGAGATTCAAGACACCTACTCTCATTGGCAAATCGTTCCAACCAACAACGCTAAGAAAACTGACGGTGTTCACACCAACGACATTGTTAGATTCAAGCATATTGGAACTGGAGGATTCTTATTGACGCACGATGTCGCCTCTCCATTAAAGTCTACCAATGAAGAGTTCGTTGTTGTCCACGGAGACACCATCGAGCTGAGATACAACGAGACCTTGTTCCGTTTGCGTTTCGCTGATTCCAAGAACAACCAGAACAAGAGAAAGTTGGTCAAGACCAAGGCCGTCGACATGAGAATTCTTCATGTGGATACTGTTGTGGCTATGTGGACACATGACGATGAGTTGTTGCCTGAATGGGCTTTGGAGCAGCAGGAAGTCAGTGGTAACAAGAAAATCCCTGATAAGGATAACATTTGGACATTTGACCACATTGTTAACTTGGCTCCACAGGACCCAAGAACCATCTACGTTCCTAAGGAGATCAGAAAGATTCCATTCTTGAAGAAGTGGTGGGAGTTGCAGGGCTTGATGTTTCTTCATAACAACCAGTTGTCATCTGAGCATCCGTTTGCTTCGCAGCCTGACTCGTGGCCACTTGCTCTCTCCGGAGTTTCCTTCTGGAATGACAACGACGAGAGAAAACAGATTTTCTTTATCGGAAACATCCCAGGTTTCTGGCTTGAAGTGGGATTCCTCGCCATCTACGCTGGATTTGTGTTGGCTGACCTTGTAACCAGTCGTAGAGACGTTCACATCTTGAGCAAGAAAGCCCGTTCCAGATTGTACAACACATTGGGTTTCTTCGTGGCTGGATGGGCAGCTCACTACTTGCCATTCTTCTTGATGAACAGACAAAAGTTCTTGCACCATTACTTGCCAGCACATTTGATCGCAGGCTTATTCACTGGAGGTTTCGTGGAGTTCCTCTGCACCAACAGAAGTAACAGCGTGCGTGGCCGTCTTGGCCCTCTTGGTATTGACAAGGTCAAGTTCTACGTAGCTTCTGCCGTTATGATCGCAGCCATGGCGTGGTTCTTCTGGTACACAAGAATGATCACTTACGGAAACTTCACCATCTCTCCACAAGAAATCAGAAAGAGACAATGGTTTGACATTAACTTGCACTACGCCAAGTAATCTATATAGTAACAATGGAAGACTTTTTTCATCGTAAGCGAAATGTTCATTAGTGATTCAAGTTGACAAAAGAATCCTTATTAAACTTCTTCGTGCATGGTTATCTCTGTTCATGCACTCTCACCAAACTTGATTTATAAAATCACATCAAAATACCTTTAGAGATGTCCGTCAAGGCCAAAATACCTTTAGAGATGTCCGTCAAGGCCTTCTTGGAGAAGCTCCGTCCTGTGAGTGCTAAAAGTGTCTTCCGTTTTGTCACTGGTAACCAGTCCGCAGATATGGACTCGGTGGTGAGTGCCATTTCGTATGCTTATTTCTACAACCAAAAAAACCCATCGGAACAGCCTTACTTACCATTGGTGAACATCACGAGAGACGAGTTGCGGCTTAGAAGAGATATAGTGTTACTTTTGCAGTCTCACTCCATTTCTAAGGATCAATTGTTTTTCTTGGATGATGTCCATGAGTTGACCAAGAGTGCTCAATCCAAGTTGGAGATCGTGTTAGTGGACCACTGTGGACTCCAGGGAGAACTTTTAAATGCTCTCTATGACACCCAGAGGTTGAGTGTGGCCGCTATTATCGACCATCATGCTGATGAGGGTGTCTTTACAAATGCCAGTCCAAGAATCATCCACAGTAATGGATCATGTTCGGCTTTGGTGTTCAACTACTGGAATAGGGAGCTTGGAGGCATCCAGGATACAGAAATTGTTCTGATGTTGTTGGGTCCACTTTTGATTGATACTTCCAACATGACCCAGAAGGTGGAGGCTGGGGATTTGGAGGCTTTTGACCACTACAAAGCAGTGTTGCTGGGAGGGCCCACAGCTTTGCAAACGGCTGCAGTGGTGAATGGATCGACGCCGATTGAAGGATTTTACTTGACCTTGAAGGCTGCCAAAAAGAATTTGGAAGGCTTTCTGTTCTTTGACATCCTCAGAAAGGACTACAAGCAATTTAAATTCTCGGGTAAAAGCGGAGAAAGTGTAACTATTGGCTTCAGCTCCTTGGGTAAGTCAATGGCATGGATCTTGAAGAAGTTTTCAACGTCCCAAATCACGGAAACCTTTGATCAAATGGTTCAGACATTCCATTTGGATGTAGTGGTGATCACCACGTCGTACACCAAGAAGGAAACCGGCGAGTACACCAGAGAATTCTGCTACTACCCTACCAAGAAGAGTCTCGAGGGTTTGAGTAACTACTTGGATCCTTTGCAATTGGACAAAAACATCTACAATAAAAAAGAGGTCGAAATGGCTGTGGAGGAGATCAGCAAGACTAGATCCTTCCATGTATACAACCAGGTTAACATCCGGGCCTCAAGAAAACAGGTTGTTCCAGCTGTGAAGGATGCCATTGAGGCCAAATTTTAGAGTGATACACATATGATATTGGAAGTATTTATCTTAAGATACTTTTAGCAGTACTCAATAATCTAGATGAGTCTATTAATCAATACGTGTGAGATGTAGCAGGCAATCAAGAATTACCTTTTCATCAAGAAGTATTACATAAAAAGTATGATGCAACAAGTAGGAAGCATTAAGTGAGAAGTATCCTGTAGTAAAAGTTGATAATCTTTCAGCAAGATGAGTTTCCCTCCAAAACGAGCTCATACAATACGGTAAATTCCCTGATTGATCCTTCTATAAATTACTTAACTACTCTGCCAGCAAATATGACACACAGTACTTTATCTTTTTGTTGCTTTCCAGCATAACCAATGTCCTGCTTTCCTCAGGTAATCTTAGGTAGACATCATCAATTTGTTCTCTGAAAGAATCAAATACCTCGGCAGGAACATCAATCACCTCGTCCTCCAACACTTCAGGTGACGCAACATACAAAATCTTCAATGCATTGGTCAATACTGTCCCCGTAACAGAGACATCAAGGCCCAAGTTGGATACCCAAACATTCATCGACAGAGACTCTGACCGTAAAGAAACCTTCCTAATTGCTGAAGAGTTAACCTTATCAAGTAACAAGTAGAACACAAATGCATACGCAGGGAATGTTTCGGTGGTGTTTCCGTACTTCAAGTTCATGTTCCATTTGAAAAGGCGAACACACTTTTCTTCGGCAACACCCAATGTTTGACCACATTTTGGGCATTCAGTCTTATCCCCAGCAGTTAAGATGTATGAGGCACCGATATGTACGTTCCCTGGAGCCGGGAGGAGCTTGCCGTTATAGTTTTTGTCGTTATCGAGATGGTGGTGTTCGTGAGGCTTATGGCAGTGCCAAAAATCCATCATTTCATGCCAAAACTCTGATGGCATGTCCATGAACTTGTTTTCTGATGCTTTTATAATGGACAGGTCGCATTTGCCGCAGCAGAATTCGAATTCGTTGATGTTGCTGCTATTTCTTGGAGTCTTCTTCACCAAGTCTTTTACGGACCATTTCTGGGTGCCTGACTGAGCAAGACTCATGAATGAAGTGTCTTCAGGCTCTCCAGTACTTCCATCCACTGTTATTATCAAGGACATCACATTTTCGCTAATGTTGACTCCGGTTACCTTGGCCAGTTCAAGAATGGACAAGTCGTGAATCGGTAATGGAACCACGAGCGTGGTGGAGGTTTGGATGACCAAACTTGACTGCCGAATTCCAATAGCAGAAATCAGTTTCGTATCATGCGGTAAATCTAATTTGATAGAGATCTTGCAGAGTCTCGGTAGGTATTCAGCGACGTACATTTTGGTGGTAGTACATAGTAGGTGATGAGACTGGTATGGAGTAATAAGGTAAGGTATGGAGTAGTAACGTGTTGGACATCAAGTAATCGAATTAGAATTATACTATTGATGCAATGATATATTAACTTGTTAATTACACAAAATATGTTTAAGCTATATTTTGGGTCGGAGGTGGATTTTTGATGTGGGAGTATTTCCTACTGGTGCTCAAGTTGGTAATAGATAATGGAGAATTCCACTGCTTGATTTCCATTACAATTCAATGGTTATATATGAATTTGGAAAGCTTGATAAAGAATATTCCAATTGGCAGCTTACTATCAGCTTTATATTGCATGAGTCAGCAATATGAAAGTTGACAAATCGATTATAGTAGCATGCCAATAGTGATAATGCTGTGTATCATTGCTAGTGGCTTTGAGATCTGAGAAACCTCCTAAAACTTTATCTTTGTTCATGAAAATAAGGCTTCACGGTAGAGCCGTTCTAACCTTGGAACGTTTCTTGGATGCCAACCTTGATGTGTGTTCCCAAAACTAGCTTCTCAACCTGCTTGTATTGGAACTAAAGGTCATTCTACGTTTTACTAAAGGGTTTAAAGTGGATAGAGCCATGGACAAAACTCAACACTCTTGAAGCACACGGAAGAGCACTTCATTCAAACGGCTTTCAAACGGCTTTCAAACGGCTTCCAAACTGCCCTCGCCACCAATAAATAAAGGTATCAACATCCCAGTTCAACCAGTTCTAGTATTCATTGTACAACTGATTATCCCAGTGGAAAATGCTCATCATAGTGTATTGGTTTCCACTAATCACCAGTCTTCCGCTGGCCTCTCAATTGGTGCTAACAAGAATGTAATTGCAAGTGGAAGTACATTAAGGTACATATCATAGTCTAGAAGGCATAAATCTTCAATAGCTTACCATTTAGTCATCAGAACGTGATTCATGGTATCATAAGCATAGCATCATCAAGATTGCTTTCAATTTAATGCAGTTATGGCACCAACTCCTCCTTGCACTCTCATCCACCTACTTTCGAATTCCTTCTCAGTATGACAAGGTATAGCAAAACGAGCTCATCAAACCTTCACAAGAATCTAATGCCTTGAACACCCATTCCAAAAATGACCCTTCCATGGATTATCAGACATACTTCGTAGAATTTTGAAGGCGTTAAGATCGAGATCTCGATGATGAAAAACCACTTCAATGCATATTCGCTTAAATAGCTCACAACCACTACAATCATTCCCCACATCATGACCTACACTAGTCATACCCAAATTGCCTTTCTATAAATAGCCAAGTAAGTTAATTAGTTTTTTTGATGATTGGCTTCGTTCCTTATTCAAAATCATACCCGCCATCAGACCATCAAAAAGGCTTCCATGGTTCCCATCATGCCTAAGCCCTATAAGCTGGAGCTGATGCAGGCACAAACACCTTGTTGTTTAACTCTCTAATCTGAATTTCACGAGGCCTTGTCTCCTGCTTCATGCGCATCTGTGCCCTGCGGTCCACTTCGCCATCACTGGCGGATCTTGGACTCAAGGCTCTTGTCGACCAGGAGTCTCCCATGCTTACGAATCCATAGACCTCGGGACCTTCATTGGAGCGGCCCCTCTCCCTCCGCTGCTTTGGCAACACCAGAGGCTGTTTAGGCAACACCGCAGGGCCGGGTTGGAATTGCTCAGGAAGGAATTGCTCAGCAAGAAAAACGTCCGACTGATACAGATCTGCTCTCTTGCGAGTGTGACTTGTAGAAGGAGAGATTTGGGTGCCAGAACCTGCTCTGCGTCTTGTTGCACGTTGGGCTGGAGCCAGCAGTGGCCAGCTCAAAATACGCCGACTAGACATGTAGCGCAGGTAGAGCTCTGTTGGGTCGTCAGTGTAACACAACTGATCAACACCAAAATCCAATATAGACAGGCGATTGAGTTGCGGCGCAGCACTGCCCCGAGCACCTGAGCCTTTTCTTCTCGATACAAGCTTGCGGGTGGCAGCGTTGACTACCGGTGAGATCACGGGGCTTAAAACCTCGTGGTCGAATTCCTCTAACGACAGAAATCCTGTGAAACGGTAGAAGAGACCTGGCAAGAAGTGATGGGTGAGGACAAGGCATCCATGTCCATAGAACAGCCAGATGTTGAACACCGAGGTGGCGATGTCGACAACATCTGCTAATGGCACCTCCAAGTACATCTGCATCAGGTTATTGGCATTAGTGGACAAGGAGTAGAAAATCCAATATGTAAGAAGGAATCGGTGGGCTGAGGAGTTCTTGTCCTGAGTGGCTCGGCAGGATAGAAGGAGTGGCACCCAGAAGGCAAAAAGATTCAATAGCGCCCGAAGTGTCAAATGCATGATGTTATTGACGCCACTAAAAATGGTTCAAGCGGTAGATGAAATAACTGTAAAGTGTGGTGAAGTAGGATCGATTTGAAGTAGCTTTTTCGCAGTCAACCACTTAGAGATCCGCGCCTGGAGTTGTGGTTAATGATGCGCAGTTTCGGGAGTTGAACTAGCACACGAATAAGAGGAAAAATAACAGGGAAAACTGATATGGTGGGAGAACCTCGGGACTTGGCGGTATTTATATGAATTCCTTTTCCAACGGTCCGCCATAGTCACCACTACAGTAGCAGTTTCGGTGCCCTGGCCGCATGCAGGGCGGTTGGGGATGATGACGTACAATGCATGTTTAGAGCAACAATGTTTCACTTGCCGTAATTTGACAGGAGTCGATCCATAGATGTTGTTGCCTTGCCTAACTATTGTGAATGAATTGAAGAGACTTTCGTAGTATTAATTGGTTCAATTAAGCTGTAATATAGAATAAAAGAATTCTTTCAGTTCCTTATGAAGGTGGAGACATCATTCTCAGTCTTGTAGTCACGACGATATCCATCTTCAGTCTGCAGGGAATCCGTGGCATGAGGATCCAGTGGATGGTTTAGTCAATGCAACATTCCTGTAGATATGGCAGAGAATTTAATTTCTCTGTTTCGCCGAAGTGTCATGGGAGTTTGTTGCTGTTTGGTTTGCCATTCCCGGGCCGTTCGATGTTCTGGAATGCCATGCGGCACACTAGAATTGATACATCATGGCCATTTTATCATTGGGGTCCAATGGACACTCTTCCAAATTCCAAATTCCAAATCTCGAAGCAATAAAAAACACAACCTTCAAAATCCTCTTCAATCCCGTTAACTTCTCTAGTGATACCACCTGTCCTGTCCAAACCTCCTGAGTTTCCCAAGTGGAGTTATCGACTCATTTCCTCAACTCTACATCCGGGAGAATCGGTTCCTACTCAATTACGAACTAAAACTTTGAATACGAATGGTGTGTGTACACCATCGTGACGTCAGGGTATAGCACGGCCAAGGGATCGGACGAATGATAACGGAATTGTAGTTCCACCGGGTGGGGGAGGGACATGTTTCTGCCACTTATCAGTATTATGTGGATTGGTTCGATGTTCGCACCGTGCCAAGTGGAGAACTTGGAAGTTTAGGCTACGCAGCAGCAGAGTCAGGTAAATGACATTCTTAAGACTCAATAGTTTTTGCTTCTTCACACTTTTTTTTTTCTCCTAAAATTTTTTTGACATTTTGTTCCGCTCATTGTTATTCTTGTTTTTTCTTTTGGATTTCGATATTTGGCAAGCCATCACTCTTCTAAATAGCTCCGGATCTTCTACTCTCATTCTCCGTCATTTCTTGTGTTCAGTGCGGATCCAATTAAAAACGTTTCGGGCCATTCATGATAGGGCATAGTGCATTCCGGGTTTTTCCTCCATGATGTAACGTTCCAGTTACAGGACCAAATTCGAATAACGCCGTTGGATGTGACCTGTTGTAATTCATGTCGGCTATTTGAATGCCATTTTGAACTGTACATTGTGTGGTGTCTTGATGGTCATTTCAGAATGCTTCCTGTAGAATGTTCACTGTATGCTCGCTCACTTTAGAATGTTCACTGTATGCTCGCTGAAGATTTCTTATCCACAAATGCTCATCCATAACTTTCATTTGAATGACCAATCATTTATTCTCTGTCAACGAACCATTTTCCTCTTTTGCCCCTCTTATCTACTTTCACCTATCATTTCTACTTGATAGTTTTTTTTTTTCTTTTTGCTCATTCTGTCCCATTTCCTGTTCACTTCATCTCCCAGTGTTGCTCAAGTCTGGCCAATTAATGCCGCACAACATTGAGACTTAATACCGGAGCATCTATTTGGCCTAGATGATGCTCTTCACCAATCACCGGGCAATTTCCATCGTAGCTCCTTCATCATTCCGTCATTTATTCGGCCATTCACATCCGCTGCTTCGGGAACTTCCGTGCTTCCATTTTTGCATATGCATTCGACGGTTCCCTATTCCAGTCATAGTTCTCAATTTATGTTTCCCATCATACATTCTCTTCCGAATTTCTTTCTACAGGTTTTTATAGGTCATTTTTTTTATTATTATTTTTCTTTGCCATTCTCAATCACCTGCTGTGATTCTTGATTCTTGTTTTTTGGCTCTCTTGATTTTTGTTTATCATTTCATTCTTTTCTTGAAGTTCTTTCCTACATCAACTACAATCCTACACCTCTATTTACTTCGCGTCGCGATTATATTCCATACTCATTTATTTTGTTCACTTTCTCATTTCCCAAGTATTCGCATCAACCCGAACCATGGCCGAAGACTCGCTAGGGCTCGACAAACCGATCAAACTAGGTCGCGTGTCAAAAATCCCAAGAATCACCGACGACCTTCTCTTGGATCGCGTCCGTGGACTTCCCCACGTCATCTCCAACTATAAAAAAGTGGCTAGAACCATCCGTAAGAACGATAAGACGTTCGCTCAGAAAGCGAAGGACTCCTCCCTCTCTAAAGAGGCACTTGGAGCCCTAAAAGTGGACACAGAGGTTCACAACCTTGAACTGGTGCTTCAGTTCTACCAGTTATGGTGTCATGGGTTATTTCCACGAGCAACCTTCAGTGATTGCACGCAGATGATCCGCAAATTCAAGTCCACAAGAATCAGAATGTACCGGCGCGAGCTCATTGACAAGGAAATGCATCGCCAGAGAGTGGAAAAGGGCATCATCACTGAAGATGCCGAGATCAGCGACGATGATCTCTATGACGCTCCTCTGAACGGAATTGCCGCTGTTGATGAGGAAGATGCCACCGTGAACGCTGCAAATGCACCAAGTGCTGACGTGGATGATGACGAGGACGACTGGGGCTTTTTGTCAGTGCGCAGAAGACCTAATGGTCTTTTCATTGGAGACGAGGATGACGAGGATTCTGAAGCTAATACAGGTACTGGACACGCTAATACCACTTCTGCTGATTCTGCTCCTGTTCCGACTACTAGTCATGCTCCACCTCCTGCTTCGGTTCCTGCTGCTTCGGCTCCTTCTCCAATTGAATACCCAGATATTCCCGACTCCGTTCAAGAAGACTTCGACGACAAGTACGACGACGAGCTCGAGATCATGAGAGAAATGGGGATGTAACCTAAAGATAGAGCTTACGGAGAAAACTCACTCGATCATACAACCTTGAAACCTCCGACAGAGTGAAATCACTCTGTTCACTGGATTGGTTGAACACACCCAAAATGTACCCCCCATATCTCAAGTACACCTCTACATTGGACTCCTTTGCGTTCTTCTTTGATCGCCGCACAAGCTTGGTGTCATTTTTATGAATGGTCATCAACACACCTCTGTTGTACTTTGTATTTCGGTGCAAATTGGTATAATGGACGCCAATGTCATGCAGAAAAGTCTTCTTCAAGAGAAGCTCGTCAAATCCTACAAGGTGATACTCGCTACCACAGATACCCAACATTCGAGCCTGGAAATACTCGCCAATCTGAGATTTGCGTCTGCATTTCATCAATTTGTTGGCGTGCTTGAAGCTTTCCATGTCGATCTTCTTAGTATTATTGGGCAAGTATTCTTTAGAGATGGTGTAGAGATCAGCCATTCGAACCTCCAAGATACATACGAAGTCCGCCTTGTGAGCAATTGCTATTGACTTACACATAGCTTCCGCAGCTAGTTTCAATGTGGCCAAGTTGGATATTTTAGCATGTACTTTCTTCCTTTCGCTATCGCTCAAACACCCAACACTAATAGTGGTGCTGTTTTCGCCCTTCATAGTGACTCGAAGCTTCTGGTTCTGTGAGTAGGGGTCTCCGGAACCGTCTCTTTCGAAAACTGTCATTCCATTTCCCCTAGATGTTGCTCGTCCCAATTTCTCCGAGAGTGCCCGGATCTCGGCATCCACTGTCTTATTTTCTTCTAAAGACGAGGCGCTCTGTTTGCCCATGATAACTTCATAGGGTGTAGCCAAAATCTCCATCACTTCCTTTGCTAACTGCTTCAAGTCTCGAACTTGCTGCTCCGAGAATGACATTTTTGGATAGCTGTCGAAGATTGCCAAGGTGCCAATCACTACACCGCTCGGATCCATCAAATGTGCTCCCGAATAGAATCTTATGTGTGGTGGACCAGTGACTAACGGATTGCGTTTGGTTCTCCAGTCGGCTGCTGTATCAAGCAACACAAACCCATTGTCAGATAAGATGCAATGAGCGTCTATCAGTATGTCTCGGGCAATCTCCCGGAAACCTAGGCGAGTCTCGTATTTTATGAAGGTCCTCGAACCACTAATGAGAGAAATGCTGGCTCCGCTTAAGCCGAACATTTTTCTGATCTTTATCAGAGTGGGCTTGAAGAGCTCAGGGTGGTCCCAATGCTTTAATTTCATGTACAGTTCAACGACCTTGGGCCTCTTCTTCTCGGAGTAGCATTCTGGGGCGGCCAAAAACTCTGTGTCTTCCAAACACGGCGGACAAGGCACCTGCGACAAATTCCATTTCCCCTGAAAGTTAGAATTGATTACATTGATCAAATAGAGAAAGAAAAAAAGAAGGTCTGCTTCTTGTGTTGGACTGATTATGCTTTCCTACTAGTGAAGTGACATACCTTAGAGTACATGGACAAAAAGTGAGCGACTGTCAATGCAATTGGCAGCAAATCACAATCTGCTGCCGAGGCCACTGCTGGAGTTGTCACAAAGGTCTCTGTGGCTGTATTTGCTACCGGAAGTCTTCGTCTGCCCATGAAGAATGTTGATCACAAAGACTACTAAATCGCGGAATCATTTAATGTACATTATAGAGAACTTGGGAAACGTACCAATTGAGCCCAAATTGACAAGTCGACCCGTAATGGTCCAACCAAAATGGAACCTGCTGATATATTTATCAATGGGCTCGTCTGATTCTCGATCTCTCAATCTCAGTCTACTTATCAGCCTTCTTTTCCTCCTCTTCGTCGATCTTATCCAAGTCACCCACCGCAGCCTGCGACGCTTCTCTCTCTTGCCTCAATTTCTCCTCCTCCAAGGATAATCTCAATGCCAATGCCAAATCGGGATCCATGTTGGCGTCCACGCCTCCCATACCGAAGAAATCGCCAGAGTCTCCAACATCGAAACCTTCTTCCACCAAAATTGGAGAGGTAGCAATCACTTCATACAACAATCGAGGTCCTGGAGGCACCGTCACAAGATGCGAGTTATCGTGATTATTGACAGCAGCGTTAAACTTCTCTAATTTGGAGGTGTTGATATCCTCTTCACCGAAATTTATAATGTCGACAGCCACATTGTTTTTCTTCATTTTCTTGGCTAACTTCTCCAACTCCTTCTCGGATTCTGTCACAGGGCTACCCACAAACGCAATAATACGCTGGCTCTGGACCTTGTTCTGACGATGCTTCAAGGCTAGCGCAGCCACCTGGATTCCGCTCGAAAAATGATTGTCGCCTGCGATTTTCGTGCCATGTGCTCCAGACAAGATCTTTCCGAAGTCCGTGGTCAATGTCGACAACACCTGTGGGCCATTGCCGCCGTATGACAACAATCCGACAGTGTTTTCTGGATTGGAGTTGAGTTTGTTCTGGAAAATGAACTCCGTGGCGGTGAGCTGAGCGTCATAGCGGGTGGTTAGGTAATCTCCGTTCCGCATGTACTCGGAGTTATCGATTGCAATCATAGTAGCCTCGAGAACCATGGTGAATGAGGGTGAGTAGGCTGTAATAAGCGATTTGGTTGATTGTGGAGGACGAAGGCGAGTGGTAGTGCGAAATTCAGAATGTTGGGGTGATTATGATTTGGGGGTGCAATGAGTGTGTTCTGTCTAATTTGGATTGATTTTGGATCATATTCATAGTCATTATCCTGATATGGGCAGTAAATCTAGATATATGTGGCATTCTACCCCATTTTTCTTTATCCTTCTGATGCTGATGTCCTGCAGCTAGTACCAACTCCAACTGGCCATTTCATCATACTATTTGTATCCGTTATGCCCCAGACACTCTTTACTCAAAAAGAGAAGGAGCAGCTAATTCAGAGTCTCAGGACTCTCAAAGCAAAGCAGAGCGAGTATCTACGGCGAGAGGCGGATCGAATTGCTAAAACTTGCGAACGAAAAGTCGCCAGAAGACTCAACAAAGTCAGCGTTACAATCCAATCGGTAAAAGTACAGCAGGTTCTAGAGTTGGAAAGGAAACAATCGCCAACATTGGCGGATCTACGCACGGTTAAGGATACTACAGATTAAATATTCATAAATAATTAGGTTATGCAATAACAAAAACGGATGAAGTGAAGGTTTTAGGCCTCTTCAGGAATGCCCTCGTGGAAGTACTTACCCTCCGTAGTCTCGTTGATGACTCCAATTCTGATACAAAAGTCTCCGAATGGCTCACCCTCGTGTCTCTCCAAGCTCCATCTCTTGAACAATGGCAACAAAATGTCCATGATCTCGTCCTCCTTAATAGAGTATCTGTAGATCTTGTTCAATCTTTGACCGTGGTGTCCTCCTCCCAACATCAAGTTGTATGCTCCCATGGCCTTACCGACCAATGCAACCTCAGCCACCCATGGTCTAGCACAACCGTTTGGACAGCCTGTCATTCTCATGACAACAGAATCGTGTCTTAATCCCATAGACTCCAAGGCATTCTCCAACTTGGTAACCAACTCTGGCAAGTAACGCTCGGCCTCTGCCATAGCCAAACCACATGTTGGAAGAGCCACACACGAAGAGGAAGATAATCTCAAACCAGAGAAGTCGGTGTTGTCCAACTTGTACTGGGCAAGCAATTCTTTGATAGCAGGCAAGTCTTCGTCTGAAATCTTGGAAAGAAGAAGATGCTGGTTACCAGTCAATCTGAACTCACCAGAAGCCTGTTTCTCAATCAAGTACTCGGCGATCTTTTTCAATCCTGTCTTTTGAGGCAACTCAGGAGTGTCCTCAATTCTACCGTTTTCGATGAAGGCGGTGAAGTGGTTCAATCCAAACTCGTCCTTAACCCAGCCGAAGTAGTCGATGTTGCTCTTGATTTCGAAAGCTCTTGGCTCCTCGAACTTTTCACCCCAGTACTCCTCGACCGTCTTTCTGAATACATCGACACCCATATCGTCGATGGTGTACTTCAATCTGGCATGCTTTCTGTTGGTTCTGTCACCATTGTCTCTCTGGACCAACATGATATTCTCACATGCAATGTGCACCTTCTCTCTAGACACGAAACCCATCATGGATCCGGTTCTTGGATATGTCTTGGTGTTGTTGTGGGTGGATCCCATTCCTCCTCCTGCGAGAACGTTGTAACCAACGACGACGTTGTCCTCGACAATGGCAATCAAACCAACATCGTGTGCGTAAACGTCGACGTCGTTGTATGGTGGAACAGTGATGACAATCTTGAACTTTCTTGGCAAGTAAGTTGGACCGTACATAGGTTCGTAATCAACCAAGGCATTTCCAGCAACCATGGTCTTCTTCTTCTTTGGTCCGTCCTTTCTATTCTCCCACACCTCTTGGTCACCTTCTTTGTCTCCAGCATCTGGACCCTCCAACCAAATTTCGTGGTATGCAGTGGTCTGAGGCAACAAGTATTCAGATATGAACGATCCATCATGGGCAATCTGCTTGTGCACGGTGGCGTTACCTGGAAGGGCAGAAAGCATAACGTTTCTGTTGACATCACCACAAGCTGCCAAGGTGTCCAACAACGTAGCATTCATACCTCTAATGGCAGGCTTCAAGTCGTGCTTAACAATACCGTGCAACTGGAAGGTAGCTCTGGTGGTGATCTTCAAAGTACCGTTACCTCTGACGTCACAAAGCTCGTCCAATCTCAAGTATTGGCTTGGAGTTGCGGCACCACCTGGCAATCTAAGACGAACCATAAAAGAGTATGCTGGCTCCATACCTTGCAGCTTACGCTCTTCTCTGATATCACGGTCATCTTGCATGTAGATACCGTGGAACTTAGTCAACTGCTGGTCAACGGCACAGATGGCTCCGGTCGAGTCATCCTTCAAACCCTCGGCAATGGTACCTCTCAAGAAGTCTGACTGGATCTTCATGTCCTCGTTGGTCAATGGTTTAGGCTCTTCAACACCCTCAACATTGTCGACACCCAAGGCTTTCCAGATCTTTGGAATCCACTCGTCGAATCCGGTGCTGAATCCATCAGGGTCCTGATCATCACCCAAACCTAAGTCGGCCAATTCAACACCCCCGTAGAGCTTGAACTTGTTGTACAAGTCCTGTGCTGGCTTATTATAGTAGTGCTTGTCCTCCTTTCTTGGCCAGTACTTAGAGTCACCCAAACCGAAACAAGAAAACTTGACAGAAGACAAGTCCAAGTCCTGAGCGTTCTTCAACTCATCCCAGAAGGCTTTACCGTTATTAGGAATCTCACCTTGTCCGGCAGTGGAACTCACAAGAATAACATTAGTCTCAGTAGGTAAGTCTTCCACGGTGATGTCATCCATGGACAAAACCACTGACTTCAAACCTCTACCCAAAGCCTGTCTGTTGATCTTTCTAGCCAAAGCCTCGGCATTACCGCCGTCGGAAGCAAAACCAACGGTCAATGGAGGTCCAGACAAACCTTGCAACAATTGCTTGAAGGACTCGTCCTCGATCTGGGCTTGCTGCTTCTTAATACCGCTGTTGGCAGTAGCAGTCAAGTTTCTCAGAAGTTCAGGGTTCTTGGCTGCTAACAAGGTCAACTTGTTCTCACGGTCCAAGAAGTCCTTCAATTGGTTTCTTAATGACGAAGAGTCAAGCTTGAACTTGTCTGCATCTTCCTTGATTGTAGGGTCGTATCTGTACAAAGGCCAATATCCAGTGTCAACTGCACTCTTGGTTTCCTTCAAAATGGACAAGATATCAGAGTGCTCAGATTCGTATGGCAAATAGGCCAAAACTACAGAAGGTCCGTCAAACTTCTCAGCCTCAATAAAAGCCTGCAACACTTGTGTGTAAGATGAGTAGATGGCCACAGATGCAACGTAACAATTTCCATAGTTCATGGCGTACAAACCCACATCCTTCTTACGCAAAACGTTCAACTTCTTGTCGGAGTAAGGCTCAGAGTCAATGATCAACATGTTAACGTTCTGGCCCGAGGCAATCACGTTGTGGACACCGGAAGAGCCCAAGTCGTAGGACCATGCATCGGAACCAATCAACCAGCTGGGACCAATCTCCAAGTACTGCTTCAAGGAGAGAATCTCAGAGGCATCTGGGGAATCGTCTGAGCTGAGAAGCTTGACAAGCTCGTCTAGGTTGGCATATGGCTGGCCACGTCTAAGCTGGACCAACCACTGCGACAAGAGCTCAATGAGCTTGCTGTTGTTGAGCGAAGAGAATGCACCCTTTTGAATGGCAGAAGATACAAGGGAAGCCAATGCATTCTGCTGCTCCTTGAAGTACAAGAAGTGACCATAACCGTATTCTGGGTTGCTAGAGTTCACGGTCTCGGCGGAAAAGTCGTTCAAAATCTTGGTACTACCATTGATCTGCTTCAAGACTTTCAAGTATGCCTGCTCCAAGTCGTAAACCTTCTTGATGTCGTCAGACTTCTTAGACTGTTTTTGCTGGAAAGATTTGGTTGACAACTCAGTCAATTTGCCAAAAGACAAGTTCTGTACGGGAGAGTCTGATCTTGTGTTGGCCAACAAGTTGGAAACAGTGGCCTCGTACTTCTCTGGAACCACGTAGCCAAATTTGGCGGCCACGATCTTGGAGAAGTTCTTTAAAGATTGGTGAGACGAGTAAGACTTGAAGAATTCCAAGAGCAAAGGCGAGAAGGATGTGACCTTAGAAGATTGCTCAACCAATGTGAGTGTCTCAACGGTGGCTGGCAACTGGGACAAGAGAGCCTTCAAATCGAATGGCTGGTACACGTTGACGGAGATGAACAAAGCGCCGGCCACGGTAGCAGCATCCACAAGGTCTCTGGACACCTGACCCAAGAACAAGATGGCGTCCTTGGACTTAACCTTATTAAGAGTGGAGAATGGTGCAATTTTGAACTCAGCAAGGGCATCAGCTAATGATTCCACGGCATTCTTAGGTTCAGCCACTTGCACGTTCTCCTTGAGAGAAGAAGGAGCGTAGATGTGGAAAACCGTCAGTTTCTGAGCAGCAGCAGTAGCATAAGCGGCTTGGGCGTAGATGGCAGCATCCAGAGGAGTCTGAGAGACAAGAACTGGATAAGTAGAATCAGTCAAGGCGGTGACGATTTCGTAATCAAAAGACGAAACCTCCACATGTACAACCACAGCAGTGGTCTTGAATGGTTTCAGAGACAACAATGGCAAGTTGTTGAACAAAGTCTGACCATCGGTAGTGACAGTGACAGTATTCTCTGGCTGATTCTCTTCAATGTAGGAACCAACGTACTGGAAAGGCTCATTGGTTTCGATCAACGCATGAGCAGAAGCCACGTAGCCTGCAAATGCAGACTTGATGGCCTTGGAAGGCTGAGTGGTGAACACAGAGCCTCCCACCAGGCTGATAACCCCAGCAATTGCTTCGGTCTGATTAACAGCCATAATGTAGTCGTATCTGATACCCGGGGATAGAGCTTGCAAGTTCGAAAGAGTCGAAAAGCAGAGCACACGGGAAAAGAGTCGAAAAGACGTCTATAAATTACAGAAACGAGAAGAAATTCTGGGTGAAGAGATTGTGACTAAGTGGAGAGTCTGTATAACTACTTGATGGTCACCTGCACATGGTACAGTTGCAAAAATTTTGGCATTGAGTGATCTCACGTGATAACGAATAATGTTATAGAAAGCATAGATGATTGGCTGCAGGGCGTTGGTCCATATGAGATTGGAGTAATGGTAGCATGTCACGAGGATTAGCGATGATTGGTAGTTATCACGTGAAAAGGTTACCAGGGAAATTGGAAGATAAATGAAGGGGAAGATCAAGATGTAATTGAAAGTTATGATTGTCAAGAGGCTATAGGTGACTATGGAGATTGTAGAAGGTGAGATAAGAGATAGGTGCGAATGCTCCATTGAATAGAATTGACTACTGGATATGTAGATTACATGGACAAAGATTATTCGTTGAACATCATAAGTTAAAAGTATTAACAATATCTTGAATTTTCCTGATTCAAATAAAAAGTTCTGGATTCACGGGTGTGATCTTGCTTTTCCGTTGATCTCCGCTCGAATGTTCTTCCGGATATATCGCGACTTTCAATCGGAATCGCGACATTGAGAATGTTATAGTTTTATTGATCCTGCTCTATATGTAAGGATTCGACTTGATATTACTTGTAGTCGAATTTTTTAAGTTATTGGGAAAACCAGGGATTGATTTTATACTTTTCTTTCTTTTTTTTTGCCTTGAGCTTTCGTCTTAACGATTCTCCCTCTCATCATAATCCATTAAGATTATACAGGACTCTGGTGGATTGTTAGTCTAGTTTAATTTGGAGTAAATGGTGAACATGTAACTCTTTCAAGTAACTTTTTCGGAAGTGAAATCGTAGTTGATGGTGATAATTTTCCGATTATTTTATGTTTTAAATGATTCCAAGTACTCTCTCCAATTCTCTAATTCCCGAGTTATCGAATTTTTGACAAACCCAATTCTCATCCTCCAATCAAGAATTCATGAATTCAATTATATGTTGACAAAACCCGAGTCCGAATCGAATGTTCACATGATCTTTGAACTAATTTTGACGTCGAAGTTTGAGAAGTTTAATTGAGAATCAGGTTTCGACTCTACATAAGTAGGAGGCTCGAACAGAGGAGCAAATCATCATAAAGAATATCAACTGTAGTTTTTGCAATCAAAAATTGCAAGCAGAAAGGCTATGGCAATAACAGAAGTACCAATTCTTTTCTTTTTCTTTTTTGTTTTTTTTTTTTTTTTTTTTTTTTTGTAAGAACAAGGAGATATCTAAGTAGATGACTTCCAGATATAATCGACATTTGCTGGCTTACCAACTCATTCTCACTTTTTCTAACCGTTTGCGTGGTATTCCAACGGAATAAGGCTGCTTCCATCTAATGGGCCATTTTTTGTCAGCGATTGTTTACTCTAATCAACGTCATACGTGGCTATTGCTCGCAAAACGGCAATTCCAGTTTCCGGCCCGGGAAGTTCATGAATCATGACATGAGCTGGCAAGTTGTAGGATGTCAAAGATAGAAATGATAAATTCCAAGATCTTTAGCAAGCAACAATTCCACGAATTTACTAGAAACTCCAATTGACCAGTCAATTCGCTCCATAGATCATTGTGATTGCAACTTCGAAATAAATCTCCAATCATAAGCGTTCCACTTTTTTAGCTTTCTGTTTCAAAAATTGAATGTTAACTCATGTGCTGCCTTTAAACTCGAAAAGTTTTAATTCCAAACCCCAGACTAATAACGTCAGCATCCACAATCTCTACTCTCCCAGTTTCTTCACCCGCTGTGATATAATCCATTCTTCAAGGCTTGACCAGTCATGAAGAGCCTTCAGATGAAAAACTTAACTCATTTGTTTATCATGTTTTCGGATGTTCAGATGCCTTCGTATTGGTCACTATTCCCAAACTCTTTTCCAAAACTCTTCCTTCGGAGCAAAATCTTAGCTGGCTTGGCTGTCGCTTCAACTACCTCTAAGTGCCCCTCTTCGAATCTGTTCCTTTATCATCACTCAGCAGAAAGAAGAAATTTAAGATCTAGATCACTGCAAGATGCATGGTATTCAACATCATCTTGACTCAAACCTTAACTCATGTCTGAAGAATGTGTACGTTGAGAGATAGAAAAATCTTCGCCAACAAGGATCATAAGATTATGTTTGAGCCATCGCTTTCAATCAAGGAAGTGTTTCCCCTCAACTAGTTTACAGAAGCCCGAAATAGGTTTTCTTATTCTCTGGCGACTGATGAACCTGTGAAACTTTATTTTTTGTCAGTTTCGACATCATAAGGTCGTCTTTGACGAAGGGTCAGAAAATGATAAATCTGTCTGAGCCACTCATAGTTGTTTTTGTTCTACTTCCCCACTCAGATATCATCTTTCATACCCTATCCTTGCCTTATCTCACGTTTGCTTGAAGCTCCACTCGTCTGCATTTCATCGCCCATTGTAGTCTAAAGCAAAAATTTCATGTCCAAACTCTCACATCTCCATCATTGCTATCAGCAAAACTCAAATCTATTGTGATCGTGGACAATGAAACCAATGAAATTGTATTTCCCTCGATGATGGCAACTTCAGAAGTATTTTTTTAAGTGTAGAACAGCAAGGACATTTCGAAACATATTGAAGAATGAATTCTGTTTAAATAATTCAAAAACAAGAACCAAAGAAAGCATAACTAAAAGAAATTCCTGTTTGCTAGACAACGCCTTAAAAGGCGATTATTTGGGTGTCATTACTTCATCAAGTCGATTTTAGTTGATGAAAATACTTGCTTTCTCGCAAAGGAATGTACTTCTAGTCATTAGGGAAACAGGGTAAGGAATACCATCTAGAATTAATCAAGTATAATACTGGCGACTACAATTATTACTTGGGGCCAGATAGGCCGAACAGCGTCAGCCACGTGTGAGTGGCCCTTCTTAGAATTTTCACGCCAAATAGTGACCGCCACTTGATGTGCAAGGGTGTAATTTCAAGTCTACATCCAATAACTGGAATGCAACTTCTCATTCCGAGTCTTTGGTACTTAAAAAAATAACAATAAAGGCATTGTCAATGAAACTTTTGCTAATGAAAGTGCTTTATCCTACTGAATTGGCACTACATTATATGAATGTTTCCAACCGGCTTTTTTCCCCACGACAAATAATTTGTTAGAAACAGTCGCTACTACAATAAGCACGGCATTTTGGATGGATCTGCCCTTTGAAAATCCAGCCCGTTGTAGAAAAACATCCATAAACGCTTAGTGCAGCATTTCACCACGCTTGATGGGTTCGGCTTTGGCTCAAATAAAAGCAAAAGAAAAAAAATGTGACGGCAGGTGAAAATGAACCGAACAATCGGATGAAGTCAAGACATTTGGAAGTTTTAAACTTTCTACGGCAGTCTCTTGATGGTTTGAAGTGTTGGTAAACAGAGTCACAGGAACCTACAATATTGAATCTCAACGTGGGGGAGTCTGCGCAAAGTAATAAAGTCTTGTCCAACAAAAGTTCTCTCAACATTGGGACAGAATTGGTGATTTTGCGCTTTTGCCATCTCTGCTTTAAGGATCCAAAGCCTATCCAGGGCGGTGACTAGACAACAATAGTCCCTGACGTTTATCAGGAGTGCTTTCCATTTGAGGAAGGTATGTTGCGACAGTAATCATACTCTGCGTGCATACTCCCAAGCCATGATTTCCACTCGAGATCTATTAGGTGGTGCATCTATATACGCTGGTGCATCTGTATACGTTGGTGCATTCTGACGCATGTGCCTCCATAATCGCCTAGTCTACGTTAATACAATTCCAGTGTGTAGGCAGTAACCTTGACAGAGTCACAGAAGAAGGTGGATGCAAGTGAAGGCGTAAAAATTAGCATGACTTCAGAGAATAAAACCTATACAATGGAGGAAAAGTTCAAGAATAAGCAAAATGTGTGCACGTCACGGAATCAAGAACATTGACAATTCAAACGAAAATCATCAATAGTGGCCATTTTCGTCAAGAATCCACACAACCATAAAATATATTGAGGTAGAGGACAAATTCTTCTCCTACTCTAATGCCCTTATCGCGTGCAGGACACACTGCCTCCCAAAAGTCTTGGATATTTTTGTTCGTGAGAGCTCCCCCACCTAGGAAACCCCAGATACCCTTTGTTGCTTGTACATCGCTGCCGGCGTTTTGTTCACACGACCTATGCTGGGCCACTCTGTGATTTTGGAGCCTCCCACAGGGCCCACGTGGGACTTGGTGACCGTTTTCGGATAGTGGTAGTGTGCGGGATCCTAGGTGCATTCAATGTGAGCCGCACCGCGCATCATAAATGCCTTGACCCGCAGATGGCCTCAATATATATATTATTGACATGATCCAGGTCAGGAGTAAATTTACGAAAGGCATAAAACGGTTGGGCTTTGTTGACCCTTTTTTTTGTGCACCTTGCAACTATTTTCTTTCTTCCGTGCAATTCCTCGCTATTTCTTCCGTACCTCATCTCATTAGCAATCGGCCTTCCAAACTTTGACTTCTCCTGCCTCCAATCATCTCGGGTCCTGTACCACTATCTTATCGGTCAAAATCACCATTTTTTCTTTATTCTGGTGAACAGCCTATGAAGTTTGGCAAAAATCTAGAACACCTCTCGATAGCAGAATGGAAAGTGTACAACCTCGACTATAACGACTTGAAGGCAACCATTCGTGATGTCACTCGCGACAAGAACCTGGACTTGTCTACGCTATATCGCAAGTTCTCTGACAATTTTGATTATTTGAATTTGTTCGTGTGCACCAAGCTGGGCGAGTTGAGTCGCAAATTGAAGGTGTCACTGGCCGAGTTTCTGTTTATCCAGAACAATGAAAGCGACTCGCCTGCTGCAAAACTTGCAAGGCTCAGCCTGCTCCATTACCTGATGATCAACGAGATATCCACCGACTTACGCAAACTCACAAAATTCATTCTTGTGCAGAAAATCGCCTTGAAAAAAATCTTCAAGAAGTTGGCCAAACACTATCCGGACCCGAAGAAAAGCAAGGCATTTATCTCGTCTTTATCTACCATGCTTCACTCCAACCCGTCGTCATTCGTTAATTTTGACTTGAGTTTTCTCACCACCAAGTTGCTGCTGCTTCTAGAGGAACTTGATCGTGAGCTGAAAATGTTGCATGATTTGCTTCATCGAAAATTTGTCTACCATCCACTGCCACATGGTAACTTGCGCAAGAATCACTCGGTTGCTACCTTAAAAACCACCACTAGCTTGGCGTCGGCCACATCTTCTCCTGAAAATGTCCACATCGATGCTCACGTTGATAACTCCATCGACCAGGCTGCCAAATTCGATCTCATCACCAACCTTAAGAAAAACTTTGTGTTACTGGCTCTTATGCCCAAAGATATCATCTCGAGAAACGATTTGAGTCTCAGTATGGATGTGTACCTCAATATCCCCAAATTGGGCGACTCTAGCCGCATCAGCATCATTTTTCTTTCGGAAGACGTCAACGATGAAACTCCGTCGTACGTGGTATCGTACGAAAACCTGTCCGTGTCGATCGTGGTGGCACATACGGGAGGTTTGCGCAAGTACTCGTACTGTTGCCTTCCCAACTCAATCATCGAAACCATTCTTCACATTTGTAAAACTGACAACCAGGCACTTAAGCAGGAGCTAGAGGCTCTGCTTTTTGACCTGCTCAGCAGTACGCATCTTCCGCCCATGGCAAAAATTACAATCAATGCCTTACTTGGGAACAAGCACTCTCCTTCATTGAAATTGATTTGTGACCGGACTCGATACTTCATCAATAAGGATCTGACTCAGCTCAATGATGGCGATGGTTCTGATGAAGAGGTAAGATCTTCTCCACTAGATAGCCTCATGGGCTCAGACACGAAGGCCACATCTACGGTTGATACGAAAATCTACGAAGACAGCTACTATATGACGTTTGACGAGAATATCTACACCACTAACTCGATCCCCAACAAGATCTCTTTTGGAACAGACGACATGGATGCATTTCCGTTTAGTATGTTCAACATTCACACGAACGACTCCAACTTGCATAACTTTGAAGCCACATTATCCACTGAAGTTGATGGAAATACCGTGGTATCCAAGTACAAAGAAATCACCTTGAGGAAGATGCCTGTGAAAATCCAGAATTTTCTCCGAAGTGCTTCAGTCCAGTTGTACAAAAATCTCAGCATTTACGACTACATGCGGTCTTGCTACCTCAATTTCATTCCAAGCGAGCAGAACAATCATTACTCCATTTTGTTAAGCATCAACTTGCTCAAGATTCTCGAAAATGTGGATATCGTCAATACGCAAACCACCGTTGATGAGAATATCCTCCAATACAAGTCCAGAAACATTCTCAGGCGTCAAATGTCGTGCAAGTCCTTGCAAGATCTAAGTCTCGGTAGAACGCCTCCACTGGTGGAGCCCGAGCAGCAGAGTATTTTTGAGGCGGAGTCTGTATTCAGCGAGCAACTGATGGCCAAAGACACCAAGACCTCGGAAATGCACCGACCGATTGAAGTCCTGACAGGCTACCACCAGAAGTTCAATGACTTGGAGAACCTTGATGAAGAAGATGATGAGGAAGACAGTTATTTTGTTTATCTCACATTCAACAACGATCTAGATGACAATTTGTTGAATAACATTCTTCTTTCCTTCATTAAATTCAAGCATCGTATCAGAAGAGCTCTCCGTGCATTCAACCTTCACAGCAACAGACCTGAAGCATGGAAAATGCACAAGGAGAAAGTTTTGCGTGACCGCGACACTCTGATTAATTACGACTCCATTAATGAGGACCCCACGTTCTTTAACACCGCCAATGACTACCAGATCCAGCTTGTGTACGATTACGACCACGTTCTCTCGGTGATGTATTTTGCCATGAGTTTCAGCGGTTTGTTTATCGCTGGAATCAATCTTGGTATCGTTTATGGCCTTCTCAAGCTCCAGCAGGAAAATCTGGACTTCAATATGGTCAACAATCCGTGGGTGGACATTCTTTTAGTGTTTGGGTACTTGTTTTCGTTGATGTTCAGCATGACCAGCATCAACCTTAACTTCCAGCGATTCCGTAGTAGTCCCCTTGTGCATTCCGCCATCATTTGGGCCTGTTTCTTCATGGTCATAGCGACGGTTCTCTGGACCATCATCGTTATCACTTAATAGCATTCAATTCATGTCGTTTATATATCTGACTTCCCTTTCTATTTCTATAAAGCGCCACATACATGCACCAATAGGGCCAGCATCGTTGTGTTAGTGAAAGTTGTATCCTTGAATGCAATCTTGTGGTTCGATGTGATCTTCACCAAATCACAATCCAAACTTGTAGCCTTCATGTTCCAAAGCTTCAATGTGGTTGTTTTTTCTAACCATTCTAGAACCGCATCCATTGGAGGCTTGGTACTTTTTTCAACTATTCGTCTCGAATCTTTTCTAGGAACATTCACAATTATCTCTCGGAGGGAATCATTGGTGAGCTTTTCGTTTGGAATGAATGTCATATTGATTTCACCCAAAAGGGTGGCTTCTCCACGCACTATTGGCTCTAAACTGTTGCCCACTAAGCAAATTGTGTCACTGATGATTGGACGAGCCTGTAGGATGAGCGGAGTATCAAAGTCGAGCGCCTCAAGCATCTGAATTAGAAAAAGTGGCAGTGGCAGATCCACAAGTAATGTTACCTTATTATGCACGCGAATAAATGCAGCTATTTGGGTCATAGAATGATCAATGGTCAAATAAGAGATCTCCAAATCGTTTTCGGAGATGATAGCAGAGTTCACCGACACCACAACGTCGTCCACAGACAGATATCGAGGAATCAAATCGGTGGTAGTGGACGTGTACTTAAGATAGATGTATTTGGCGACATTGGCAGCTATGGACTCACGATGAGCTTCTGTAAATGTCGGTAGTTGGTACGCTGTGTAAGCTACGTAGTTGTGTCCAGTTAGAAAGTTCATGGAAAGAATCAATGGGGTATGACGATGGTTTGTTTGTTTGTCTGGGGTAGAGGAGTGTATACAGAGTGCTAGACTTGAATAGTTCTAAATAAACCTAACAAAGAATTTTGTCTTGGAACATTCGCTTACAAATTTGCTTACTAGACTAGGCTACAAAATAATTCGATCAATCAAACTTATATTATTCGTGGTCACATTTGCAAGCAGCCGTACACAAGCAGCTTACAATTTCACGGATAGTTATTGGTGCTTGGCGACAATCTCCAACAAGTCAACGACTCTGGTGGAGTAACCGAACTCGTTGTCGTACCAAGAGATCAACTTGACGAAAGTTGGGGACAACAAGATACCGGCCTTCTGGTCGAAGATGGAAGAGTAGTTGGAGCCCAAGAAGTCAGTGGAGACAACAGCGTCCTCAGTGTAGCCCATAATGCCCTTCAACTCACCCTCAGAAGCCTTCTTGATAGCAGCAGAGATCTCCTCGTAAGTAGCTGGCTTCTTCAATCTGGCGGTCAAGTCAACAACGGAAACGTCGACGGTTGGAACTCTCAAAGACATACCGGTCAACTTACCGTTCAACTCTGGGATAACCTTACCAACGGCCTTAGCAGCACCGGTGGAAGATGGAATGATGTTACCAGAGGCAGTACGGCCACCTCTCCAGTCCTTGTGGGATGGACCGTCAACGGTCTTCTGGGTGGCGGTAATGGAGTGGACAGTGGTCATCAAACCCTCCTCAATACCGAAGGTGTCGTTGATGATCTTGGCCAATGGAGCCAAACAGTTGGTGGTACAAGAAGCGTTAGACACGATAGACTGGCCCTCGTACTTGTCAGCGTTGACACCAACAACGAACATTGGGGCGTCAGAGGATGGGGCGGTAATGATAACCTTCTTGGCACCACCGTCAATGTGCTTCTGGGCACCGTCCAAGGTGGTGAAGACACCAGTGGACTCAATGACGAAGTCAACACCGGCCTTACCCCATGGAATGGAGGCTGGGTCTCTCTCACCGAAAACGGTGATCTTGTGGCCGTCAATGACCAACTTGTCATCCTCAGAAGTCACCTCACCCTTGAAACGACCGTGGGTAGAGTCGTACTTGAACATGTAAGCAGCATAGTCTGGGGCAATGAATGGATCGTTGACAGCAACGACGTTGATGTCAGATCTGGAGAGGGCGATTCTCAAGACGAGACGACCAATTCTGCCGAAACCGTTAATACCGATGTTGATAGCCATTTTTTATTTGTTAATTGTGTTAATTGATAGACAATTGGAAAAAAAAAATCATAACTAAGGTTGGGATTTCTCCTACTTATATATCCGTCGGCGCCGGGGCAATCCGCTCCATAAGCGCCTGGACTGTATGTGTTCGTTATCTGCAGGTATGCACCTCCCGGGCACACGCCGTCCGCCAAAAGTCCGAGCCCGATAGGTCACTTGGAGTGCTGACAAAACATTGAGAAGCAGGTATGCGTCACTCAGTGGAAATACGATAAAATCCTATTGGGAAAGTCGCAATTGACTTGTTGGAAGGTTAGGCATGTCATGGTGGATGAAAATAATTCCGGTTGCGTGCCCGTCCCGGGAATATGGGTTTCGGTGTTTCCACCCTACGCCCGGAGAATATTGATGGAGCCAGAGTGAGGAGTCACCCTGCTAAGGCCGAGGGACCGGGAGCATGTGGAGGCTACTTGTGGTGTGCGGGTGTGGAAAATAAATGGTTTAATTGGTTTTTAGATGGTGCCCTTCGAAGGATGTACGGGTGTAGCGCACCAGCGGATGTGTAAAGATCCTTAGTAGCGTAGAGGTTACAGGTGATTCGCTGGTTATGGATGACAGGGTAGATGATGTTTGTAACTGGATCTTAGTTACTGATGCATAATTACAAAGGGGTACCTATCATGTGTGACGTGAGGTATATTTGATGCAGATGACCAATGGGTGTTATTTTTAGTTTCTGATTTTTGGGGATGGTTGGATGTTTTAATGAGAGAGGGCCAAATGCATACTTGTGAATATTTGGTAGAAACTGGTGGAAACTGAGCATTTGTGTGAATGTAAAATATTATTTGACAATGAAGGCGAAATACATAAACGAAGGCTAGGTTTGAATCAGGAAACGAAATCGAAATGAAGAATAAAAAAAAGAAAGCTACGAAAAAAGAAAAATGAGTTGGTTGACAAATCAATAGATCACGGGAACTCATGTTTGACAGAAATTGATGACGAGCAATTTAATTTAATTGAACCCTTGACGTATGTCCTAGCTCCGATACCTGTACCAATTGCCACCATGAATTTAGAAAATATCGTGTGAATCACGCCGACTTCATAATCCACCACTGTACGAATTAATTAATTAGCTCAAGAAGTTTGCTGTCAAGAAGTTTGCTTATGGCAATAAGTTCACATAGCGTATACGTCACGTGACCATATAGTATCTAAATTTCACATAATATTTCTAATAGAATTTACTTGATTTATATTGAAGAAACCAAAAAGCTCTTCTTGGCACTCGCTTGCTTTGAAATTCAATTTACCTATATTCACATTCACGCATCCAACCCAGCCTTTTCAACCACTCAGTAACATCCACCAAAACCAGCACCCTCAGTAACCTCTCATCAAACTCCTCCAATTTCAACCTAAATCTCACCGAATACTTACCAGCCTGATCCCTCCTCCAGAATTAACTCTCTTTGTAATATATTCCCCCAATTTCTCCCACTCTTCTCTATTTTCCATCCATTCTGACCAAATCTCCACGGGTCCTTTTCTATCCCACCTGCAGTACACTCGCGTGTTTTAACACGTAACAATTTCCAACTCTCCATTTCCCATCTTCCTCATGTCTTCTTCCAGCGTCAACGTGGATAATCACTCCGCGGCCCGGGCTAGAACAAAGCCTCATGCCAGCGAGGACGCCATTGACGCCGAAATCCTTCAGGTGCCAGACCAATCGGCTCAGGAGAAGTATGACTCCAGTGCTAGTCTGGAGCTCATCAAGTTGGAAGCATGGTTGGCTCCCTTAGTATTCACCATCACGTCGTTTGTGCTCAGAATGTACAGAATCAGTGTTAACAACGCTGTGGTGTGGGACGAGGCCCATTTTGGAAAGTTCGGTTCCTACTACTTGAGACATGAGTTCTACCACGACGTGCACCCACCTTTAGGTAAGATGATGGTGGGTTTGTCTGGATGGATGGCCGGCTACAATGGATCGTGGGACTTCCCTTCGGGAGAGACCTACCCGGACTATATTGATTACACCAAAATGAGACTTTTCCAGGCCACCTTCTCATCCTTGTGTGTACCATTGGCTTACTTCACTGCTAAGGAAGTTGGCTTCTCCATTCCTGCTGTGTGGTTGTTCACCACCATGGTCACGTTTGAGATGTCCTACGTCACTTTGGGTAAGTTCATCTTGCTCGACTCGCCCCTCTTGTTCTTCACTGCCGCTACCGTGTTCACCTACTCGAGATTCAACAACTTCAACAACAAGAAGTTGGAATTCTCACGCAAATGGTGGAAGTGGCTCTTGCTCACCGGTGTGGCTATCGGCTGCACTTGCTCCACTAAGATGGTGGGTCTCTTCGTCACATCCTTGGTTGGTATCTACACCGTCGTTGACTTGTGGGGTAAGTTTGGTGACAAGACCGTCTCGTGGAAGAAGTATGGCTACCATTGGGGTGCCCGTATTCTTGCATTGATTGTAGTGCCCATGCTTGTGTTCTTGTTGTCGTTCAAGATCCACTTCGACTTGTTGTACAAGTCTGGTACTGGAGATGCCAACATGTCTTCTTTGTTCCAGGCTAACTTGGTCAACTCTGATGTCGGTGGAGGACCCAGAGACGTCACCTTTGGCCACTCTTTTGTTACCCTTAAGAACCAAGGTTTGACCGGCGGTTTGTTACACTCGCACGTTCAGACTTTCCCTGAAGGTTCCAAGCAGCAGCAGGTCACCACTTACGCCCACAAGGACTCCAACAACAATTGGGTGTTCCAGAAGCCTCGTGGTGTTCCTCACTTCGACCCAGACAACGACAAGTCTGCAGACTATGTCTTGGATGGTCAGTCGGTCAGATTGTTGCACGCCATGACCGGCAGAAACTTGCACACCCACGACGTGGCTGCCCCAGTGACGAACTCCGAGTTCGAGGTGGCTGGTTACGGTAACTTGACCATTGGTGACCTTAAGGATAATTGGGTGGTGGAGATCATGGAGTCGCAAGGTAATGAAAACTCCTCCCGTTTGCACCCATTGACTTCGTCTTTCAGATTGAAGAATCCAGCCATGAACTGTTACTTGGGTGTCACTGGAAACTCTTTGCCACAGTGGGGTTTCAGACAGGGAGAAGTTGTTTGTTTCAAGAACCCATTCAAGAAGGACAAGAGAACCTGGTGGAACATCGAAAACAACAGAAACGAAATTTTGCCTGATGCTCCAGCTAACTTCACCTTGCCAAAGACTCGCTTCCTCAGAGACTTTATTCAACTTAACTTGGCGATGATGGCTACCAACAACGCTTTGGTGCCCGACCCAGACAAACAGGACGATTTAGCTTCCCAGTTTTGGCAATGGCCCACTTTGAACACTGGTATCAGAATGTGCTCATGGGCCAACGATAAGATCAAGTACTATTTGGTGGGCTCTCCTGCAACCACATGGACCTCTTCTGTTGGAGTTGTATTGTTCTGCTTCATCACTTTGTACCATTTGATCAGATGGCAGAGACAAATCAACGACTTCGAAACCGAACACAAGCTCAAGACCTTCTTGATGGGAGGTATCTACCCTATGTTTGGTTGGGGTTTGCACTTCATGCCATTCGTCATTATGGGCAGAGTCACTTACGTGCACCACTACTTGCCAGCATTGTACTTTGCCATGTTGGTTTTCTGCTACGAAGTGGAGGCCTTCACGCTCCCATTGAAGAGATCTACCAATTCCAACTACAGATACTTGTACTGGGTTATCTACTTGGGCTTGTATGCCTTGGTTATTGGCACCTTCTGGTACTTCAGATGGATCTGTTGGGGTTTGGAGGGACCAAAGGAGAACTGGAAGCATTTGAACTTGTTGTCGTCGTGGAGAGTTGCTAACGACAACTACTCCTGATTAGTTTTCTTTATCTAAAAGCAAACATCATTCAATGAACATAGAAACGAACCTTTTTGGTTAGTAGACACACCTGGTAGATATAACCTCCCACTATATGAACTCGGACTGCAGACAACACTAGATCCATCCATTTATAAGCCTGGTATAGTACTTTACATTTTTATCTGTACACATTTTCACCATGATCTCAGCTTTCAGAAGCTCGAGAGCTATTTCAAGGAACCTTCATGTGTTAAGGTTACCCATTATTTATTTTGCTCGCCCTTCGAGGGCCTACTCGCAGCCAGCACCTACGGCACCTAAAGCATTCAAGTCAGCCTCGTTTGCTCTACCGAAAGAGACACCGGAGTCTAAGGTGGACACTTCGAATGTTATTCAGGACGACAATTTGAGGGATTTCCATCTCACCAAAATCACCTCCGGTCACACCGACTTGAAAATCGGCATTACTGATCGAGCAAAAGCCAAATTGGTCCAAATAGCTGAGGATGACCACAACCCCAACTCGGCATTAAGAATACGGGTGGAAAGCGGTGGATGCCACGGATTCCAGTATAATTTGGACCTTACTGATGTCAAGGAGGAGTTGTCTAAAGATGAAGATTTAGTAGTTTTCGAAAGAAGTGACGATAATCGTGCTCGAGTGATTTTCGATGAATCATCGTTAGAGATCTTGCAGGATTCGAAGGTTGATTACACCAAGGAGCTTATTGGATCGTCGTTTAAAGTGGTGGACTCGCCATACACGTCGACGTCGTGTGGATGTGGAGCGTCGTTTGATTTCGACTTTGAAAAGCTTGAAAGGGCCAAAGGTGGCCACTAATACATAGATATGTATATTCGTGTACTAATGGATGAACGAAGAAAAAATTGGAGTCGCATGAGTAAGGAGAGATACATGCACCAGGCACTAGGCCGGGAGGGCGACAGGGGCGGGGGCGGATCGTTACTAAGTGTCATAAAGGATCATTGATCATTTCTTGGACAATTCATTGATGCCCTCGATGCTCTTGTTGGCATAGTACCTCACATCGACATCCGAATCGTTCAGCAAGATGTTTAAGTTGGTTAATATGTCTTCGTCAATCAACTTCACCACCTCAGCAGTAGGGTTTTTCAGCAACGCCTCCACCGCAATAAGGTACGCCTTCGCAACGTTGAAACGAATATTAGGAACAGGATCAGCGATTAGGTGGTCAATGAATGGAAGAATCTTGTTGACGATAACAGAACCATCTACAACGGGGATCAACTTGGCCACGGCGAAGAGACAGGTGATTCTGATGATGAAGTTGGTGAAGTCCACCAGATCCACGTTGGTTTCGTCCTCTTCGCTGATCTTCTCATCCTTAATGTTCAACAAGCGCGATACAATCTGCTCCTCGGCCCAAGCGGAGCCGAAGATCTCGGTCAACTGCTTCAAGTTGTTGACTGCTGCATCACGAACCGCATAGACAGCATCCCACAACCACGACATGCACAAAGTCAACAATTCATTGTTGAAGAAGGGCTCGCCTAATTGGCTGGCCAACTTTGGAATGTACTCGATGATGGCCAAACGCACGCGCCATTTGTTGTCTTGGGCCAACTCGGTGATGGCTGGTAGCAAGCTGGTCGACAACAAGCTGATGCCAATGGTCTCGTTAACGACGGATAAGTTCGAGATTATGTTCAAACGCACGTCTGGATAGTCGTCTTTGAGCATATTGAGGAAAATGGGCAACAACTTATCTATGGTCGACTGTTTGGGCAAGATGGGAGACAAGCCAGTGACGGCGGAAGCCAATGCGGCACGAACGTTCTCGTGGGTGTCCTGGCTCAACTCGCTCACCACAGGGATGATGCGGGTCTCGACAATCTTCAAGTCGGAGATCAACTTGCAGAAGCCCGGCAACTGCTTAGCAATGGCCTTTCTGACCTCACCCTCGTTATCCTTCATCAAGTTGATAAACGGATCGATAAGTCTGTATAAGTCTGCATCTGCATCCAGGAAATTGACGGCAATGTCGCTAAACTTGTCCGCAGCTGCATATCTGACTCTCCAGCTCTCGTCCTTGATTAACTTTAAGGCAGACACCAAGCAGTCCAGGTTGTGAGACGAGTCGTCAACGGAGCGGAAGTAGCGCAAGATCAGCACCAAAACATCGATGCTGAGCAACTTGACACTGTCCTGGGCGTCGTTTATCAAGTGGTGGAACATCTTCAGGATGATCTCCAAGTCAGTGTCGTCCACCTTATGAGCTGCGGGAGGATTCTCGCTTTGGAATTTGGTCAACTTGTCGATCAACGTAGGCAAATGGCGCGCAGCACTTCTGCGAACCATAGGAGACTCATCCGATACCAAATTGTAATAAAGCATCAACAAGTCTCTTCTGACAGCAGCATTGACCCTCACAATTACACACTTGTACAAGCCACACAGCGCCACTTTTTTGGAGAACCAGTCGCCTTGACTCAACAGCCGGATCAATTCCAAGAAGATAAGCCCGAGTTCGTCGTCGGTCAAGTCCTCACTGACCTTGTTCAACGATTCCACCGCGTTGTCCCTGACAATAGGCTCCTCCATGGCTGCCAACACTGCCAACACCTGAATCAAAGGTTCACAGTTCTGGTGGCCGCCAACGAGGGGTACAAAGCTGCCAAGCTTGTCGGCCATCACGGCAAACACTTCCTCCTCGTCATCCTGGGCCACGTCGTTCAAGAAGGGAAGAAGCTCGTGTAGGGTACGTTCGGGGCCCAAAGCGATAGCAATTGCGTCGAGTTTTTGCATGGCCTCGATACGGTTAGACACGTCGTCGTGCTTCAATTCGTCCATTAGCAACGCCAACGGATAGAAGTCGTCGGTCATGGTTTCCATACTGGGAGGTTTTTAGGAGGAGGGAATCAGGATGTTTTATCGCAACGAATGGTCGTCGGAGTATGGTGCGCGCACGACCACTTTGAGGAGTGAGTGTGTTGAAATAATGATGATTGGTGTGTGGTGGTATGTTGGGGAGTAACAAAATGTGTGATTAACGGGAACATGAGAGGCGGAAAACCTCACTTTTTTTTTTATGAAAGGAGTTTGTGGTTTTTTCGTTGGTATTGGGTGATCAGTGATTACATATTTGGTATGTGTGCAGGTGAGGATTGGATTAAAATGTTGGAGGAAGAGAAGAGACACAAGAAAAATATAAAGATTGAGATTGTTAAGTTTGAGAGTATGGAGATTGATATATGTAGATATTTTGAATTTGTTGTTTTGTGGTTTCAAGTAGTTTGAGCAAGCTTGTTTTGAACAGGCTTGATTGGACATTGAGGTGGTTGTTAAGTAGTGATTTTGCTTTTGTATGCTCATCATCCAATGTTGAGTATGGAATTTTCTACCTTTTGATCAACTCTCCTTTAAGGCAGTACTGGTGATATCGTCATCGATAACATGAATAATACATGACTTGTGGTGGTTGTAGGAATTCTTGGTGACCAATGAAACTTGTGGAGGGTGTAGACATGGAGAATATGGTGGCTCAGTAGGAGAATCGCAAGAAATAGTTATTTGGATGACGGTATGGAACATTTCATCGAATTGTTCGTTAGGTAGGTGGAGATACTAAAGCACGGCGAAAACATTGAATCCTATTGGTGGCTGACAAGTGCGAGAAGTGCTCCAGTCGAGAAACTTACTGAACTAAGTTAAATACTGTTAAGAAAAGCAGGTCTCGAGATGCTGTTTTAAAACACTGGTGACTGTTAGCTCGAGTGAATAGGCAGATCTGGGCATGTCCGCAGGGAAAGGGCTAATCACGAACGCAGCATAGCAGAGTGTAAAAGGTTCCCATTAGGCAAATGGGCATGAAGTTGTTCGGGTATAAACTAATATGTTAATTCAGTGAAGAAAAATAATAGAAAAGAGGAACCGTCATTCTAGAATTTCCAAGGGCATAAAAGTTCAGGCAGATTACGATTAGTAATGACTTGGTCATTTGTTGAGTCCCCAGTTTTATCCGAAATGAAACGGAATTAGATTATGATGACATTACCCATCTCCTTGAGTTCTATCGATAGTTTTATGAGGTCTTTGGCGTCCAAAAAGGATGCACGAGGCACGAACTTGAAAATCCAGGTCAAAGAGTCCAGCAAGAGCTTCCGGCATTATTGAAAGTTGCTTCTTGCACCATCTTCGTGAATACCAGCCGAAGTGCCAGTCAGATTATTCTCGGAAACATTGTTAATCTTTGAGTGGATTGGCATCTAGTACTTGGAGCTGAACACTTTAGAAAAGAAGGAAATGTTCATTGAACATTCTAGAATAAACTTTTTAGTGACTCACCAAAACTTTAATACCCCAGTCGAGGAAACCTACCAATGCATCACCAAGAAAGTTCCAAAGAAATTACTGGGAATCAAAGACGAAATGAGCTCGAGAAATCAACTTTAATCAGCAACTCTACAACCGAAGATGTCTTACTATTAGTATCTTTCAGGTTAAATGACCAACAAATTTCCTAATTGGCTTTTCCCCCTAAGCTCTTGCAAACTTAGGGTAGTCACTCTCAAGCATTAATCCTTGTTCTGCGGAATTTTGTTAATGCAAAGACCCACTACTTAATGCAAACGGTTTTGCAGAATACTATTTAAACACGAATCAAGTGAAAGTTGCATATTTCCATCTTTGAGTTGGTCCCAGGAATCGATGTGATACAAAGAAGGCAAGTCTTTAGTAACAGAATGTTGATCAATCTTAGCAAAATGTGGTACCCAATGTTTTGGAAAAACCTTTACGTATTAGCCATCGTAGTGCTTTCTTGGAAATATATTCTATCAATCAATTGTAAGCGCCCGAATAACTGTTATTAATGTTTGTGTTGAGGATAGCAGGCGGTTTCTCATGGTTTATAACTTTTTTTGATTGGGTTCTTTCAATAGATCTTATCTTTTTAGGAATAGAGTCGAGCTCAGAAATGTAACAATCTCCATAATTTCCAACAATATCACCAATAAACTCTCTAAGGAAGAATTGAGACGGTTCTGGTGGTAAAAACTCAATATTTCAGATCAAGCAATTCAAACACTGTGTAGCTTTCAGCTTTAGCAGTTGATGACAACCAATGATTAGAAAAACAAAATCGAATTTCAAGCTTCACACCGATGAAACTCTAACCATATAACAGTCAAACGCAACATACGACATACATTGAGATCGGAGAGCTCAACGGCGTCACAAGCCATTGTTTAAGGGAAAGATGTTTCAAATTCAACCAGAACGAATATTTGATCTATCATACTTAATTACCAGCAAAACGTCAAATTCTCCTCAAAACGTCTAGCCCGGAATATCAGAGGTACTCGCACAAATCTGGCGATGCCGACAAGTCTAAATATTGCTGTGTATGATCTGTACAGCGGGACATGGAAACTTTAAATGTAACCATCCGAAGTCGAGCCCCAGCAGACTTCATGTCCGGACATTATTCATCCAACCGCCCATTTATGTCGCCTAAAGTTTACTCGGGTTCAAAATCTTGCCATGTGACATGATTTTAAGGAGATGGAAAAAGGTTTTATTCTACCGAGCCGAAGCCAACGATTTTCAACTTCTCCAAACCTTCATGCATCGGGCCATGCCAAATGCCAACGAACATGACTTGATTTGGAGAAATGGTACCCTCCAAGTTCAGATGCACTAGATGCATTAGGTGCACTAGTTGCATCGGCAAGTAGTAAAAAGCCGATAATTCAGCGTAATTGAGTGTATGGTTAAGTCATTAAATAAGCTTTTCTTTTTGAGTTTTTACATTTCATACATTTCCTAGTCTAGATCATAAGCATGATGCTAATAATTTGTCTGATTGCCTTCAATCTTGTCATTTCTTGGAAGAATGTTTGTCTTAAACCATACTTAAATCCGTTGCTAATTTCCGCTTCTAATATCCGCTAGCTTTAATTCCCTCCTCTATGGTACTAATGATTTCCTTTTGGTTTGTTTATTGAATTTTTTCTGCCCTTTAATGTTTGCGCGATATTCTTCATGGATTTAAGCAAGAGATCTGGCCAATAGATCTTCCCCCCACTATTTGGCCCCATTATTCTCTCCATACAAACATTTTCCATTGACACCATTCGCAGCCACCATCATTTCTTCAAGCTCTTCTCAGCATTATCTTTTCATTTTCAAGCTGAAATCTCTCTGATTCTTCTTAATATGTAACTTTTCTTTATTCGTCATTTCCACGTTTTTCTGCTTCCTCATTGTTCTCGTCTTCCGATTTTGACTCCTCCGCATTCCTGTGGCACTCTCATTCTACCTTCACGTGTTTCCATCACCATGTCCACCAATCCAGATAACATCGACGTGCTTAACTCGCAGATCCGTCTGGATGATCGAGAGCTCTACGTGTCTGCACAGGCCAAACTTGACAACACCTGGACGTTCGAGATTGTTCCAGACTACTTCAAACAACTGAGTCCAGACACTGACGAGACCAGATTTAACTACTTCAAAGAACACTTTGGAAAGTTAAAGCCATGGACAGAGATTTTGGAAGACCTCAGATCACTTAATAAGGATGCCTCAGGCACTGGTGTGGTATACAAGGTGCTCTTCCTTGGTCGTCACGGTCAAGGTTTCCATAACTTGGCCAACTTGAAATATGGTGAGAAAGCATGGAATGAGTACTGGCTGAAGATATGTGGCGACGGCGAGATCGTTTGGGCTCCAGATCCAGAACTTACGGACTTGGGAGTCGCCCAGGCCAAGGACAATCACCACCAGTTGAAGATTGAGTTGCATGACGGCCTTCGGTTGCCTTCTAAGTGGTATACGTCGCCATTCCGTAGATCGGTCGACACTTTGATTGGCACTTGGGACGGAATCGTCGATTTGAACGATGTGAAGCCACTTATCATGGAGGACTTGCGGGAGACCATCGGTGTTCATCTATGTGATAAAAGGTCCACCAGATCGGTAATTGCTGACAAGTATGAGGGACGTGGGTTTGTCATTGAAAATTCTTTTGAGGAAGAAGATGTTTATTTCAAGACGGATTATAGAGAGAAGGTGTGGGAACAGGCACTCAGACAGAACCGTCTGTTTCAGTACATTTTCGAGACCACCGACGTCAACGACGACATCATCAGTGTGACCTCACATTCGGGATCAATCCGGACCCAGCTCATGGTTTTGGGTCATCGTCCTTTTGCCATTGGAACGGGAGGAATGATCCCAGTATTTGTGAAGGCCACTAGAAAGACTTAGACTAGATATATAGACCAATAAAGTAGTGTGAATCGATGGCAAATAGAGTGGATGGAAGGTTTAGAACTGAAAAAAGGAAACTGGAAAATGAGACCAATGAGAGCAGCAAAAGGAATGGATGATTGGATAATGAAGAAAGACAAGCAGGAAGGAATGATAGACAACAAACAATGATGACGAGGCAGGGGAAAAACTCTGAAGAATGTAAACAAACCAGCGAAATAAAACGTAAACAATTTAGCCGTCAACTTAATCTAAATGAAGTTTCAATATTAATATTCAATCTACACAAAGAATACTGACTATTCACGTTAATCATAAAAATCTATCACTGACCCCTAGGTACAAAAACATTGGTGAAAAGTGACTCCTCGTCAAGCATTCCACCCTTAGAAAACTCGCCAAAGTCATAGTTGGAAGGCAAGTCGTCAAACAAAAAATCATCGTCGAATACAGCCAGTGGAGCATCCAGATTTTTGGACAGTCCACTGCTCACAAGTTCTGGTAACGACAGCGTTGAGGGAAACTGCTTGGGGAAATGAAACTCGGTGCCGTTGTTAGATTTGACGTTGCCGGAACCTCCCAGTCGACTTTGGCTATGGCTCTGGAATCCAGGCTTGTGAACATGGCCGTTGTTCTTCATCTTCTGGTGAGATGGAGATAACGTTCCTTTGAGAGTTACCAGGCTTCTACGTCTGGAATTCTCCTCCAATTCCTGGCTCTCGAACCGATTGGCCAATGAAGATACCAGCAGCGACAGGCTAGCAATCTCATTGTTGTTGATGAAAAGCAGATTAGCTCTCTTGGGGAAACTCTCAAACGTAAACGTGTTATACAGTTGAGCTTGAGGATGCTGGAGTTGTGAGTTGGAAAAACCTCCAAGTGAGATATTCTGCAAATTAAATTGCTCGGTGATTGACTCAGCAAACTGACCAGGTGACTCTGTTGATAGTGACAGGTTGGTTCTGCTGTGCTCGTGAAGTGCAGTGTGTTCTGGACTGAATGGATGGATCTGAGTGGCTTCATCATCGCCAGAGGCATCCATATTTGAGCTGATGGACTCCATGTGCGAGCTGGTCAAATGCATACGGTTGGAATTCAATTCCATTGCCACTTTATGGTTTGCAAAGTCCAGAGCAGCCTCATCCATGTTAGAGGGAACAACTTTAGCAGCAATACGGGCGCCCCGTTCCCATTCCAAAGGCTCCTTGTCTAGAAGTCCCATTTCGGAAATGAGATATGACACCACCTCGTTAATTGGAACATAATTTGCGTCCCTGCTTTCAGCAACATCCGACTCGGGCAGTGAGATTAGCGCATGTTCAGCACGGGCATTGGCCATCAATGTCTGCAAAAATGGCAAATGAGGTTCTGCCATCAGAACAATGCGTTCAAGAGACTTTGTCACGAGACTCAAACGAGTCTCCAATAATTCGATGTAACCACTGGGATGGGATTTTTCCTTCTGCTTCTTCTTTTCAGTGAAAGCACAAAGCTTATTATCAGCAATACATCTCGAGCACGGCTTCTTCCCGTCACACTTTGTCTTCTTGATTCGACACAGGTCGCAGGCCTTTCCCACCCTTTTTTTCTTTGTTTGGTGGTGGTGTTCTTCTGGTGACGACATGCTTATTAATGGCCAAGACCTTGGCTCAGTGGTTAACTATCAGTGGAAATGCAACCTCTTAGTTTTCTTGAACAAAGAGAAACAATTCAAGATGTTATTGTAGCAGCAAAAATGGATGATTCGAGATGGAGATGGATATGGAGAACGTTGCGTTGAGTTAAAATCTTAAGCAACTGTTGCAAGGTTCCAGGATATTAGTAAAAGACGACAAGCCCTGCGTCTGAGAAGTTAAGGCCGAAATGATAAGTAATGGAGAAGTTTGTTGCAACCAAAACACAATAGGAGAAAATGAACAGATATAAATATTTGGTGAAGACAGAAATTTGCAAAAGTCCGGACTCAGTACGGCTAAGACCCCATATATATGCAAAGGGCATAGGTTTTACAAATCACCTGGGGATGACAATGCGTATGCACGGTTGCGAACGCAAATCATTTACTGACATATCGGAGCACTGTCCCTAAAAAGATTTAGCTCCGTCGGTAGGTCACATCCGTCCGGCAAGACACCGGAAAAGAAATGCCGCAGCCGACCTTAATTTCAGGAGGTAAGGGTTTTTGCAATACCTTACTACCGACGCCGACGGAGGCATGGAGATAACCGTGTTATTTCCACAAAGTAATAAATAGCAGGAGATCACTCCAACAAGCCCGAAGGTGCTTCATGGTACGAAAGTTTCAAGCGAGATCGCCGTCTCCCCCACTAACACACACCTGGTCTGACTCGGCCGGCGATTGACGTCCACCAAAGTGTTCTTGCGCATTGTGGGCAGTCTAGTTGACTGTGGGCAGTCTGAGGGTCAATAATCTGGGGCCTAGGTGGATCCGTAAGTGCATTCTAATGCAGGTCGGCCGCATGTCACTGAGGTTCTCATCCACCAAGCAGGAAAAAGACGCCAGCAAAATTGTAACAAAAAGGGCTGAAGTGGCATGCGGGGACCCATGTCGTGGTGGAAATGTTCCAGATTTGATCTGTGTGGACAGTTATCCTCGATGGGTGTGTCCAGAATGTTGGTGCGGCGTGAGATGGGTCTTTTTAGCAATCATTTGGCGTGTGGGGCTTCTGACGCTTCTGACGCTTCTGAACGCTATTCCACGGGTACCTATGGTTATGCCCATGCTACCCTGGTGTCGGATACTAGCCGTGTGTCTGTAGGTTGCTAGCCGTATGCTCTATCGGATGTTAGCCGTGCAAGCTGTCATCCGCGAGAATTGTTGATCGCAAGCTTGTCCCGCGGAACTTAATCTTGCAACACCTAACGCCGCACGAACAGTTGTCTCAGGCTGATCGTTGCCGTTTAGAATTAGCCAAATGTGTTCTATGACAATGTGCTGAACCACCACTTTGAATCGCGGTTATTTGTGGGCCGAAGCAGATGCGTTAGTCCCGGTATTGCAGAGCAGACAGGGGAATCCTGTCACATGTATCTTAAGCGATACAATCGCTGGTGTGTCTCTGTGCTTTCATTAATGTGCCATTGGTAATGCGCTTCGATAAATGTGCTATTTGTTATGCGCTTTGGCAATGCGCTTTGGATGTACTTAGGAAATGTGGGACCTGTGCATCGGTTGTCCTTGATGTGGCTAATGTGTCAAAATCGCCTCTGGCGTTGTTTATTCCTATGCACCATGGTCTCTCATCATGATAAATTGATAATGAAACGACATCATGGTGACTGCATTAGACGTTTTTATTGTGCCAGACACGGGCAAATCTTCCATTGAAACAATAGAAAAAAAAAGAATAAGAACAATCTAGTCATGTTGAAAATAGAAGATTTGAAGGGAAAAGTTAACTTTCTCCACAAGCGCAATAGACTGACATTTTTTTGTTCAGAATGGGCCAAATCCCTCACCCACTTGAAGATTTGCGCCTTGAGGCTTCTTACCATTTCCGGGCTTCGAGTGCCGACGTTCTATGGCACCCAGATTGGTTATTACCGCTGTGCTTACATGAAGAATCTGCCGTCCGCCTGCATTGTCTATAAGTTCACCGTTAGTTCGATTCTTGTTGTGGTCACGTGCGCTGGCCGACATCCCAAAGGACCCTATTAGCATAAATTGTAGATGGCTTGCTACGAGGAGAATTTGCGGAGAAGGGTACACTAAGATAGAACGGTAGGATATCGTTGAGTAATCGTAAGGTTTCCATCGTTTTGGGTTGGCGGGAACTATCGATTAGCCCACACATTACATGGATCTTCAGGCACTTTTCGGGCCAACACTTTCGAGACACACAGGTTGCAAAGAACAATACCCTTTTAAGTAGTGGGGTTTGTCAGCGGAGATCGGCAGTAATTCCGGCCATATCCATTTCGCTAAATGGATGAGGCTATGTTACACCAAATATTTTTTTTTGCCAAATTGCGCTTGTCCATCGATGTTTGAGGTGCATTCTTATGGGAAGTACCAGTGTGCGATATTTTTAGTGGAGGATTCTGAGAATGGGACCATGAAGTTGTGAAGAAAAGAAATTGGTGATTGCATCATGGCTAGTTTTGAATAGGAAATATAAACCTCGAAGATTCGATGGCCAGGAAGGGAAAAAATATCAAACCTCCAAACAAGAGAGAATCTTTTTGGGGATATGATAACCTTCAATCCCCAAAGGTCACTTTTCTGAACAAATTGAGATTTCAGTTCGCATTCCTCACACTTAAATCGCCGGGCAAGCCCCACCTAACACATACAATTGGGATCAAAAAGTAAAAGGGTTCTGGGTAATAGAATAACCATTTCTCAGTGGTTTTATTGAAATGGCTCGATTCAAAACTTGGCAATAATATTCTTATTCTGGCCATTAATTACTGATGAATGCAAGCTCCTATAGTACTCTATCCACTTCTTCTGTCTCAGATAAAAGATGTCAATTTTAATATCTCTCAATCTAGCATAATAAAAATAAATTCTCATGCCCCTATAACGAAATTCAACTCATCAGACAATAAGAGAAGATGCGCACTTCCAAACCAATTACAGGAATGTGGACGTTTGGTATTATTTTCCGATGTCTCAGGAGTTTTTAGGTTACTTTTCCACTTGAAGAATTATACCCCTATTTTTAACTACATCTACGAGCTTCCACTGGTTTAAAAACATAGAATATATCGAAGTACCTTAACTCACACTTGATCCGATGTTTATGCAATTAGTGAAGTCCTCTTAGAGACTTGAATAACCCTTGCTATCATGCACAAAATTCTCCCATGTCTGCGAGGAAGATCTGAAGCCACTGATGTCATGGACTTGTCCTGTCTAAAGAGTGTTCACACTGGAAAGTGAACCACACTTGCATCTACTGATGAGCTACCTATGGCACCTTTCTTTTGACTAATGTAACCCATAATTGTAACCTCGTATTTGAAGCCCCCACAATATGTAATGCACTACATTCCTCGTTAGTGCCAGCGGGTATTTTATCCAAGATTGGCCGTTTATCAGTTCATATGGGCAGCATTTGGATCATGCGATGGTAACTGCTTCTAGAATTTGAGGAAAAATGCCCCATAACGTTTTCCTGTCTTTAGCTTGCGAATGTATTCTTAGTAACTCCCACATTGATCATGTGCCCTCACCTTACAATTCCGCATTACAATAGAACTTTTTTCTTGAAGATGTTGCATTTGAATTTGTAATTTGTAGTGACTCTTTCAACTAAGAAATCCTACGTTTACGTAGCATGATCGCAAAAAAGTCACTCAGTTGCTCTTGGTTATCTTGAATCTGAGGTTAATGACGAAGTTATGAATATTTTGGAGTCTCTTGTACTACCACTGTAACTAGCTATATCTTAAAAGCCATTAGGGAACGGCCGTTCCCGGTTCTATTTCACGGAAACATGCTCCATGTGTTTGCTTCTTACGGATGGAAAGAAGCTTGAAATTACTTGTTCTGGTGTACTTTGAGCAACGTGACAACCTTGCATATTGATTACTGGAAGACAATACCAGTCGGGCAAATCCTATGCGAATTTTCTTTGCTTCTAGATGATTTGTAGCCAGATTCGCATATTTGGCAAGAGACTTGTTGGCATATTATTTTCTTTGCCTATTTTGTTGTACAATTGTGCTCGCTTCCTCTCTCTCAGTATGCGGAATAATAATCCCTCTTAGAGACTATTTAGGTGTTTGATACTGGGTCGCTAAGTGAAAACTGCCATTCTCTTTGATACACAATCCCCAGAGAGGAATGGACTGTTTTCGTTTTCGGATTTGGCAAAAAGAGAGGACATATACTGTACAAATAACCCGATCTATTAAAAGAATGATACCATATTAAGATTGCTTCACTAGTCAGTTCATAAAAACAATGCAGACAGCACTAACCCAGTAGCAATATGCTAGTTTGACAATTTACAAACTGTTGTAAATGGCTTTCGGTATCAGTATTGTGTTCTTCTTGTTACTAAACTTTACAATTTCATGCACAGAGTGGTAATAGTATAGTGGTGGGAGTTGCTTTTCTGTGCTCAGAATTCCGTCTTAGCTAACATTCTTCTCTTGGTACAAGCTTTTGGTGATCCTGATTTCGCTGGCGAATTTCGAAATTCTTGAAATCATTGGGCGTCAAATGTTCTTGAATAAGCTGCTACATCCGGTTTTTTTTTTTTTTAATTGATTCACTCTTTTACTATGGGGTTAACATGAACTTTTTAAACTCATTCTGAAAATTTTTGAGTCAAGCTTATTTGATTTGTTGGGAGTCTCACAATAGCTAGGTGCTGCCTTTCACTTATTACATGAATCTCAATGACAATTTTACTTGAGATTCTCAAAATTGATATGGTATCGAGCTCTTTGCTAATGTTTCGCCCCTCTTTTTTTGATTTAACAGGTTGAGATCTTATTAATATTATGAATTTCATGCTTGATTTCCCACCAGTGTTAAACCTCGTTCGTGGCCATAATCGAGATATCTCTATTGACAATCAAATGGTATATCGGCTAAAAGAGTTGTACATTGGCTTGGATAGACATTCAAAAGAATTCTTTTGCGAGCAGACAATCATTCTTGAACCAGAGTCTAAAGAAATCATAGACACACTTGTTCTGCTACCATCAGATCAACATTGGAGAAAATCAGGATGGTAACTCAATGCATTCAGCAATTTCTCTGTTTTGGCAGTGACTATTGGCCTTCGATGATTAAACATTCTTTTGGTGAATTATTATTTATTTGTGAGAATGCCCATATTGGAGTTTGATTTCCATGTATTCCATTTCCTGGAAGTACTGTTTGTTTGTTTGCTTTTGTTTTTGAAATTTGAAGTCAAGGAGAGGGATCTGTTCTTTGGACCTATTAAATATTTGAAGTAATTCGTCGCCTTCTTTTCGGATACGATCGCACCCAATCCCAGGATGAGCCAATGATAGACATATTCCTCGGATCCACTGAGTTCAAAGTGTGACGAAAGGAAAAAAAAAAAAGACAAACTATGATTCGTTATCATCAAACATTTCACAAAACCTGATCTCCTCGGTTTTTGAACTAATTTACACAACGACCTCAAGTTCCCATTCAGTTTCAGTTAATCAGGGAGTGAAGCACAGAAAGAAAGATACAGGAGTTTCAAGAGAATAAAGATGATTTACAAATATTGGAAATGATAATAAAGAGCTAGCAAATGCTCTTGGAAGAAAAGAAAAATCTTTCAAAGTGTGGTCACATCATTGAAAACTATCCTCTTCACTGGCATTCTTCAGTACATTTTCAAAATCAGGACATGAACTTCCAGGCAATATTATCATCTTGCCATAAGTTTGTTAGTTGAAGTTAACTGTTACTTCATGAAACCGGCAGTACCGGATGTTCCATGGATAGATCTGGCTTTTTGGGTGACCAAATCAGCGGAGAAAACACACCAAACCTGTAAATTGGCACAGAGAATAACAAATTAAACACTGATTAATGTGAAAGGAATATACTTGGACATACTCGGAAATCCCTATCAAAAAATTTAATCTGAACTCGATTTATCATGTTGCAGACTCTAGAGGTCGAACAAAACTGTTATTTTCAAATTTTATATGTAGTACGGAAACTTGATTTATGTGGCTATCTCCAGTAAATTTACCAGGCATAGAACACCTAGTAAATCCATGTATTGTGGTGTTTTATTAATTTCAGAGTTAATTAATGTTTTTATGAGGTTGAATTTAAATTTTCACAGTCAAATCATGATAATTATATTAGTTTATGTCAGAAGCTAACATGAGGTACTGAAATCGTTGCCCCTTTAAATACGTCCGGTACTTAAAATGCAATCCACATGTTATGCTTACAGTAATTGTTAAAATTGCAGGTTAGTGGATTTAAGTATATGTCGTTTCCAACGATGAACGCACCTAACAGCAAAACACTTCTGGTATAGAACGATTCTTTTGTGAATGTGACACCGTAGTTTTGAAATATTCAATTTCAATGAGTCTTTCTTGAGCATATGGGAGACTGAAGTGTCCATAGCTCAAGAACATTTCTCATCCCCTATTATATCCACCGCTTTCATGGTTCCGCCTTGAGTTATGTAACTGGTCGCATAGTACATCTGAAACATATCCGTTATATTTAGCCCAGCGAAAGCATTTCATTGAGACATCCATAAGTATTGAAGATGGAGGAGAATATGTTGCGAGAATTTGTCTTAGCCTTTTTTGTTTGCAACCAGTCAAAGAAAACTATGAAAAATTTTCATTTCCTCCAAACCATTAATTTTGCAACTTAAAACATTATTTCACTTACTAAATGTCTATATTGATTAACAATAGTGTCTCAAAATGACTCAGGCAGCCGTAAAACACGAAAAAATATAACCATTGTCGGTTATAACACTCCTAAAATCAATCCAATCACGAATAGGAGGTTCTGTGGTCTAGTTGGTTATGGCGTCTGCTTTACACGCAGAAAGTCCCCAGTTCGATCCTGGGCAGAGCCAACTGTTCTTTTTTTGACTTTTTGGTTCACACGACCCTCGCGTCCTAGGGAATGTGGAGAAAAAAGAACCGGGGCCGCTGCCGATGCGCTGCGCGCGGAAAACGGTATTTATGTGCAGTATGGACCAGCCATTTCGCAGTAAAAATGTTCGCGGCCTGGGCTCGCTTTTTTCTCATTTCTATATCTTCTTTTTTTGCACCCTAATAGTTGCATTTCTCTCGTTGAAAACAGCGCCAAAGACCGGAACTGCTGCATTACATCTTTTCTAGAACCTTTCTGAAAGTTCTAGAAGCGACTCCCGACGCATCCAGAAAAAAAAAATTTATTCATACTTTCTAAACTCTTCAAAAGGCTAATTTCCATGAGTTTTGTTAATAAGAGAAAGAGAGACGCCTCAGAGCCTGAGTCTAAGAAGACAAAGGCACTCATTGGAGAGAAAGAAAAGGAGTTGTATACGCTGTCAGAGGAATGGCCCGTGTATAACCACCCTGAAGGTGGCACCATTAAGATTACACCTTGGGGCTCATTGCGCCAATGTGTGGATGCTCAGACCGGTGAGACCATCACCAAGTTTGAGGACGCCTCATTTTCTGACCTCACATTCCCAGCGGCCAATGTGGGGGCCTTTGGTAGACAAAATTGGCAAAGTGGACAAAATATCGCTGGTGCGCAAGGAAGCCCATACTACGAATTACCCTCGACACCTATGTCGTTGAACATGTCGGGTTCATCTAGATCTTCGCCTGTTCCCGACAAGGTGTCGTTCAGTCCGAGCTGTGAGGCCGAGCTGTACGTGGTGGACGGGTATAGATATTCCGGGTTCAATGGTGCTGCTGGACAGGCTGTTGGACAACAGTTTAGCCAGGAGCAAGAGAACTTTTTCGGCATGGAGGAACAGGAGGAATTCTCCGACAACAACGACTCGATGATGTTGTAAAATGTATTATAGACAATGGACAGGTAAGTTACTAAGCGTAGAACCAACTGAATATGGGGTGACAACCTTAGATACTGAGAGGCCGAACTCAATGATGAAACAAACAATTCCAGAAACGTAAAGATGCAAGAAGTAAATTGTCGTATGCAATATTCATTATCTATATAATGCAAGCATTCTACAGGCTTGTCTCAATGCTCACCAAACCAGTGTCATCGACATAGAAATCTTTGCATTCATTCGTCATGGCCGCCAGCGACTTGTGAAAGTTCTTCATGTGTCCTTTCACTAACGAATTGAATGTGTTACGCAGAATAAACACCTTCCCATCTTGGTTGATATTCTGAGAGTCATTTTTGGGAAGCAATTGGTGATAGTTGGAGACCGTAACAACATTTCCGGCCCATTTATCGTATGAATTCAATGTAGGAATACAGTTGGAGATGTACTGCTTCTCAGCAGGTGTATAGAGATTCTCGTAGCACACAATCTTCTCTCCATATACATCAGTGGTCAGTCTCAGGTTCAATTGCGAACAATCGACGCTAGATACTCCAGTCAGCAAAGATTCCATGGAGCCCAAGCTACTTAAACTGGAGCAGTTCAGATAGCTGTCTAGCGATGTGACCGAAGCCCTTTGCTTCATAATTGTATTGTGCTCATGACACAAGGCCTCACGAGCAGATGCTTCCAACAACGCGTTGTTCCTAGCAGAGAAGTTGTGAGGAATCGACTTGAACCGTACAACCACACGTGAGTCCAACAGCGAGGCCAAGTCTCGTCCAATGGATAGATTGCGGTACCACTGAACCATGCCCTGAAATGACCAGAAATGGAGAAGAAGTTGTACATGCTCTACACGCAAGCGAAGAGCGTTTCGATAGTTCAACAAAGCAGCGCTGTGAGCCATTATCTTCAGTGGGTCCTCCTTATAGTTTTGCAGATTCACGGATGGCGCCTCTCCGACGGCCAAGTTCTGAAGCGTGTAGCAGTGCAAGAGCTTTCCCCTGTACTTCTTCGCAAACCCTGAATACACGGCACTGTCGGAGGTGGGCTCGAATAGAAGGCCATTATTAGCAACCCCAGCTGGAAGGCCCTTCTTCAAAGTCCGCTTAATCTTCTTGTCGGAGTAATGCTTCCGAAGCTTAGATACCACGGTGGGAAGCTGGCCGGAGAGGTCATCGTCACCATAAGCGTCTCCATCAAACAAATACGCGTCGGTAGTCACCTCTACTTGTTTCCCAGTACAACCATCATCGTAGTTCTGGTGGGCGTACAAGGCTTCTACGGCCGATATCACCGCGCGGTCCGCTTTGAACTCATATAGACGGAGTTGGTTGGAGTTGAGCTCCGCAACCACAGGTTTGAGCGGCGACAGATGACAATTCCAGGGGGTGTCAAACTCGATCTTGAGGAGTGAAAGCCCGTAGAACTCGAGCGAAGCAGCGTAGTTCGGGATATCGTCGTGGTATGGGGGTAGATCATCCATAACTGTAGTAGGCATGACGTGTAATATAAAAGACAGGAGGGGAAATCGAAAACGAAATGAAAAGGGTATGAAATCTGGGTAATGTTTTTAAGAAAAACAGCGTTGTAAATGACCTGGGAACATTCTGGGCATGCCTCCATATATAACAAGACTCGAGGCTTGGAAGGTGGGGAGAAGCGATATGTGTCCTGCATGTAGACGAGATCATTGCTTGAGTGAACAAAACTTGCTCATAGATACCGTCGGATTTGCGAAGTTATTCCCGTGATTCACGCCTTTAGAGTTAATAATTGGGCGCATAAGGTGCATTCAGAGTATACCCTGACTGTCGGAGCTCTCGGGCCGAGTTGGTATGCGGACGACGATAAGTCCGCTTCAAGGCATTTTTTTCTGGGGCAACCTGGTCATGTGACCCCGATATATCCATAAAAGTTCTTGGAATGAAGAACACCGATAAAATTCTGGGAAAAAATTAATGGTGATGAAATCCGGATCGGTTTCTGACCACTTGGCGAGCTATTCCGTCCAATTTCTACCATTTCTGTACGCTTTGACTTCAAAGCGTTGTCGCATTGATAATGATGACAAATGACCACATGTAGGAAACCATCATGAAGTCATAGTACATTTCTTAGTCATGAGGATGGCTATTGGGCCACTTCTTTTCGGATATGCGGCCCACTGTCAAAATCTGCATCTTGAATTAATACGGAATGATCTCACATTCGGAGATTCTGCACCGAAGGTTCGAGTTGTCCGATCCCGCGTGAGTGATCATTCATTAACTCTTAAGTATCCGGCAAACCTTTTTCATGAATCTTTCTTGATAAACCTTTATCGTTGAAAGCTTCTTCATTGGCTTTACTTAATGATCCGTTGGCTATTGACTTCTCTGCCGGGACTCAAGAAACTCGATAATATTTGCAATCATATCCGCCTTTTTAGTAGCACTCTTAATCTTATCATACTTTCCCATAAATGCCCGAAGTTGAGCCACTGTCACCTTGTTCCATGCGTCATTTTTCCACAACGTGATAATGGCGGCCTCACTGAGTGGCTCCGCTTTAGCCTTTTTCAAGGGCTCTCGACTTTCTTCGGCTGCGCGCTTGATCAGTTCGGCATTGCTAACCTTATTCAAGTACATATTGATGAACAGGAAAAGCTCCTCGGTGTCCAAATCATTTGTTACTTTCTCTCTTAAGGCAGCCAACTTTGCTAAACTCCAATCATTTGCCTCGACACTCAGATCCTCGTCCTTGATGTCGATCTGCAATGCCTCATGTTTGATCACCTTGTAGAAGTACTTCAACACTGGGTTACTGTGGTCACCAGGAACGTAAGACTCCACACCAAACTTATCCAACAATTTCTTGTACAAGTTAACTAGTTCGGGCGGAGAAGTTGCTTCGTTTTCCGGGTAAAAGTACCGGTTATCTGTGAGCATGTAGTCTGGAAGACTACGAACCTCGCTGAGCCATGGAAGAGCGATGAGTAAAAAGCCATCTGGGAACGATCTCGCTGCTTCTGTTTTTGATCCGGTATTGGTGGGATACAATGCATAGATGCGAGGGTTAGAGTTCTTTCTGATGCATCCAAAGAGCACGGCATAACGGTTCATTCTGATACAAGTTTGGTACAAGGACCGGAATGTGTTGAACGACTTGGTATACCCACCTTCTTTGCTAGAAGAATTGAGGCCATCACTGAAATCTGCGGTCACAAAAATAGAGGCTTTGATGTTGAAATATGGCTGGAACTTCAGAGTATCTCTGAAACATAAAAGCTTGAGGTATGGAGGATTTGAGAAAGTAACGAGGTTGGCGTCTTCATCTCCATCTTCATCGTCTTCGTCTTCGTCCTTTTCGTTATCTCGATTGTCGTCCTTCTTTCCTGGAGTATGGTCAAATGATCTTCCATTCATATATTCCACCACTTCGTTGTTGAAATACAACACCTTCTCGTTGGGACCACTAGATTCCTCCTCGTTATTTGTAACCTTTACAGGAAATCCCTTGACGAGCAACTTTTTTGTTTCCTTTTCAGTCTCGATTGTCTCCAGTGCATCCTTTCTGAGCACCTGAGTATCATGATGCACTAGTTTCAATCCAGCGCCCTCTGTAACCACCTGTCTAAAAGCCCGAATGTGTTCATGGTTATACAATGTATATCCCTTGATGGAGCAGCCGAGATTTCCGCCCATTTGCGGCCCATCACTTAAGATTAAGTCACAAGCGAACTGGATTCTGCGCACCTCCGCCAAACGGAAGATTGCCTGACGTATTTGCGACGACACCGTTGGACTCAGCCATTTTGGAGCGTCTTCATCTCCAAAAGGATTGTCCTCAGCAGTCTCGTACTTCAAGTAGTTAGTATTGAGGAAAATGTGTTGGTACAATGTCGGGTCAAAGGGTTTTTTCAGCTTCTGCGCTTCATCATCGAAAATGTCAAGGAAAATTGGCGTTATATAGATATGATTATCTTCAAAATCACTGACCAACGTCCGCAAACTGTCTTTCAAGTCCGGGTTCTCGTAAGGTGTAGAACTGTGGGTAATCCAGAAGAGCTTTTTGACGTTGTACTGTGGTTTCACCTGGAATTCGCGTAACACAGTCTTCAAAACCGTATGAAGATTGTCCTTGCGATCGTCTTCGACTGTAAAACGGTCCTTTAATGGTTTAAAACCATCAGCCTGATCGCGTAAAATATGTGTTAGAATCTTCATGTTGGAGCTATTCAAGTCGTTCAACGAGAAGATCTTAGATATACCAGAGTTCTTAGGGAACTTCTTGCTGGTTTCCTTACTGTTGTACAAGTATATGCCCACGCCATTTTTCGGAAACGTCATTACCATGTCAGCCATCAATTCGTTTATACATTGTAGAATTTCTGTGAGTTGGCATTCCAGATTGAGATCGATAATTGGTGTGAAAAGATGGCTCGAAAGATCAATGAGGAAGATAATTGCTTCTTTGACCTCATATTGTTTGTATGATTCGTGTTCTTCCATGTTGAAGATAAAGTGCTTCAAGAAAATTGGAGGAAGTAGTGTATTTGATATGTGGAGATGGATGAGTAGTGTAGGAAAAAGAGTGTACAACGTGTGGAGAGTGTCATACCTGTCAAGATTATCGAGATAATCAGAAAATGGAGATTGTGACGAGTTCTCAAACTGGAATTTACATGTGAAGTCCTTTTGGTGGTTTCAAATTGGTTCTCCTCATTTGTTGGAATGTATTGGCAGTCTTCAATTGGCTGGATTGAGACTTGTTCGGAATAGATCAATGCGCTTTCTCGGAGGTGTTTATTTGTTCTGGATGGAAATGGGATTCATTTTCTGTGCTTCGAGCTTTCCCTTGAACTGCCGAATTTCGACTAATTCGTTACTCGTGTCTAATTTATTATGGTTTTTCAGTTACAGTGTTCAATGCATATTCGCAGACACCATACTATTGACATTATTATTACCGGTAATAGTCTGACTTGAAACATCAGTGGTAGAATGTAATTAGAAATTAACTCAGTATGAATTGACTATCTTGTTCTCATTCCGATATTCTACTTATAGTCTCTTTTCAACACCGTCACCAAACATTTCCTTTGATGACTCCTTCTAAACGTATTCCTACATCTATGCATTATCCATTACCAACCTTTTCTTTCACCATGTCCATTCATTACATCCTCATACTAAATCGCCAGGGCAAGACGAGACTTGCCAAATGGTTCGATAATTCTTTCACGGAAGCACACAAGCACGAGGTCATTGGCGAGGTGCACCGGCTCATATCTTCTCGAGATCTGAAGTACCAGTCTAACTTCGTGGAGTTCAACCACCACAAACTCGTCTACAGACGTTATGCTGGGCTCTACTTTGTAATGCTGATTGATTTCGTGGACAACGAGTTGAGTTACTTGGAATCCGTGCATTTTTTTGTGGAGATTCTTGATACTTACTTCGACAATGTATGTGAGCTTGATTTGGTGTTCAACTTCTACAAGCTTTATACGGTGCTAGACGAAGTGTACCTAGGTGGAGAACTCCAGGAGATTCTGAAGGTTCGGGTGTTGAACCGGTTACAATATCTTGATTCGCTTGCCAGTTGAGCAGGTGATTCACTTCTGCAGTGGGTTGGATACCAATAGACTTGGCCCGTCAAAGTACATTATATTCTATGAAGTGAGGCCCATGATCACGATATTATACTACATACCACTTTCAATTCTTACATTATTGCCGATTGCTTCCCTCCGATCAGTAGTATTGGATCCAAATATGATTCCAAGTTAAATATTACCTTCTGCTCATGTTCAAAGCACTGTTCCATGCTCGTTTACTCCAAGAACCTAAGTGAAGTGCGCTCTTGTAATCTCCTCAAGAAGTTTCTGGATTTCGCTGGATCTCCTGGAGCATCATCTTTTGATCTCTCACATAAGTCTCTGAATCTCATCCTCCCGGCACTTATCCACGCCGTGACTCTCCACCACCTCCATTAACTTATCTGTCACCTCCTCGATCAGAAGCGAATCTACTGTCACAATCTCAATGGTCTTATCTGCGTTAGGATCAAGAATCCTCAAGAAACATTCTTTGACAATCTTCTGAAACTCCTCCTTCTCATAGCGTTCCTCACCCCAACCCTTACGTTTGCTCAACTCCGCTAAATCAATGGTCAAGAACATGGTCAAGTCTGGCTTCGGAAGCCCCTTGTCAGGAGAGTAGAGCCAGTCGAACTCGTTCAAACTGGCTTTAGCGAGCGAGTAGGCGATTCCCGAGTAAATGTATCTGTCCATTACCACATGTTGACCCAGGTTTAGCGTGCTCACTATGTCATTTTCAAGTTCCCATCTATTGGCGCTGAAAAGCAAATGGGCTGCCTGGTCTGGCAAATGGAACGTTGGGTCAACCAAGTATTGGTTGATAAGGGCACCGATTGGGGTAGATCTGTCGGGAAACTTGAAGAGTTTCGCCTTCAACACTGAGGCGAGAATGTCTGCCTGTGTCGATTTGCCCGTACGGTCTAGGCCCTCGAGGAGAATTAGACATCCACGCATAAGAAGAGTCGCGTTGTGCGCGTGGAGTTGACGATGTGTTGAGAATTTTGGGAAGTGAGAATTCTGAGGAAAGTATTGAGAATGAATGAGACAAGCGTTCGAGCGGAAGAAATATTTGTTGAGAAGACGTTGGCAAAGTAATGAAGAACTGCAATTGGGGTTCTTTTTATTTTGTATTAGGCCATTCTTGTTTGGCGATGGAATGGGGTTTCTGTCGTGGGATCTGGTTGGAGCAGGTGTTGACTATAATTTAAATCAAGAACTCTATAATTGACACGGGAAGTGGTATAAGTTTTGCCGTTTCCAGATAAATTTGATTCGGCACTGAGACTTGTGACGATATGTTGTAGGTTACACAGATTGTACCCAGTAGAAATTGAGTAGATGATCTCAAATCCCATGGCGAAATAATAGCGACATCTAGATCAGAGCAACGATCTGGACAGAATTGGATCTACTCTAAGAGTCTGGGTGAATGGCAAAAGACTTAATAGGGTTTTGATGGCCAGATCAGTAAGTTACAGGACAGACTGAATGACATCATCAGTCAATTGACTAGACCGATTCAAGACTGAATGTCTAGAAGTTCATTGGGGATTGTACCCTCATATGAATCACTAAACTGGCTAAGAAACCAGCTGAGGAATATACCTGAGTGGAGATCCGGTTCTTTCTTCTTCCTTTACTCTTCTCTCTATTGTAATATGCCATGGTTCAACCATTAACCAACACACTACACCACTTAAACTTACAACTTTATAGACCTACTTCAGTAGAACATTCAATCATATGCATCACTCAATCGCTCACAGCTAACACTACTTCTGTTAAAGGGATTATGACCGAGAGAATCAGAGCTGTGCTCATCAACCGGAGATACACCCTTGTTTCAATCTCCAAGCCACACATCCAAGACGTAACCAGCACCAGGCTAGTCACGGAGGAAGCCGGTAGCATCAAGTTGACGAATAGAAGTCGACAACGACGCCGCCGAAATGGCCCGTAAGAAGAAAAGAAAAAATTTTGACACTTCTCAGGAATGTCTTGTGGACATGCGTGTTTTCCGTTTATGTGCAGTATGTCGGTCCAAGAAAGCCGGATATTGATTCAAGGCTTGGATCAAGAGAAGAAAAATAAAAATTGATTGAATTTATACGGCTGTAGCGGCTGTGGATTCCGTTTATGATTTCCATTTTCCTTTTCATCCGCCACATTGCACCAATAAGAACCGTCACACGGACAAAAACTTCTCCTACTCAGCCCAGTCGCACTACCAACATTTGGGAAGGTTCACCAAAATGGGACCGGTGAGAGATTCCATCGATAAGAACAGATTCTCAAAGACTAATGAAAAAAATTAAAAAAAAAAAAATGAACTGTCAAATATTCTTCCAACTTTAAGACCCCTTTCTAGCATCTTTTATCCAATTCACCCCCTGCATCACCCCAAATCACCAGCACCATCACTAAATCAACTACGAGGCGCACCTCTATATCATACCCATACATGCCGGACCAACTATTCAAGTCACAGACTACCAGGCTTTTTCTACCCTTCTCCCATCTTTTTCCCTGCTCAAGTCTCGTCGTCCCTCGGGCGTTTCCTCCTTATTTGTGATCCCCTACTTGCACCCCGTGCCTTCTTTTGTCCATGTCCTTACAATTGTTGACCGGTACGTGACACCTCACATTGCTGATTGCTACACCTCATACTAACTCCACTAGTGGGTTCCAGCCCAGCCGTCAGCTTCTACGCATGGCGACTTCAGTCTACCAAGGCGTGTTCGGTCACTATGGTGGACCCGCTGCTTGATCCTGCCGCTCCGATTTCCTGGCTGTCGCTGCATTTGGACCTGGGTGTTTTCACCCCAAACATCTTGGTGCCCACCGTGCAGCATTTGCCCTCGTCGGCCAAGTACGACGTTGTTCTCGTCAGCGTTAACAACTTGCAAGCATTCCAGTCCATCTGCGAGCAGTTGGTGCCTTACATCAATCCAGATACTCTCATTGTTGTAGAAAGCACTGGCTATGTTCATTTAGAACCGTTTGTCCAGCTGAGCTTGGCAAAGTTCTCCAAGATGTCTGTTTGCTCCATCATGTACGAGTCTGATGTCAAACGTGTTCCGGGCTCCAATAATTTTATTCACAGAATGTTGGGCACAGATCATCGAATCTACGTGGGAACATCTTCCTCCGATTCGTCCACCTCCATGACCAACGCACGGGATCTGTCCATTTTCACAAAGTTCTACAAAGTATTGCAGATGGTTCAAGAGGATCTGAAGGGCAATATCAGCTTGCTCAAACTGACAAACCCAAGAGAGTTCATGACTTACCAATGGAAGTTGGCCTTGCCACGCGTGGTATTGAACTCCATCTCTGTGATCTTTGAAGAGCCATATCCTCAAAACTTGGAAAAGCAGATCTTGGCAAAACCCTTGATCACGGGCTTAGTCAACGAAGTGTTCAAAGTCATCAAGAAAATGGACTGTAAGCTTGTTAAGGGCTTTGAGAATGAATCCAATCTCTTAAAAAATTGGCAGAAATACTTCCCGGTGTCTAATGAACAGTCCACGCCTTTGTATGCCGAGTCCAACTCGCTCTTTTACAGATTTTACCATCAGCAGGAAATCGACGTGGACTTGCTATTGTTGCAGCCAATTCTCTTAGGTGACGACCATGGCGTTAGAACGCCTTACTTGGAGAATTTGTACTCGATTTTATGCCAACTCAACAAGATGAACATCGCGGATAATTCTCTCTTCTTCACCAGAAAAGTTCCTGGGTACGAAGGTAAAATGAACGAGCTCAACGTGCTCACTGGAGATCTTGCCAACCTCCGCATAGAAAAACAAAAAGCGGATTCCTCGTATCAGGAAACCTTAGTGCTGCTAAAACAGATCGAAGGCTCTATTTCTCAGAAGAGGAAGGCCCACGAATCTGCCATTAAGGACTTTGAGTTGAGATCTAGTGACCATCAGGCCAAGTTGCTCCAGTTTGACACTATCCGTAGCGAACAAGAACGTGCTATTGCAGATATGGATGCCCGTTTGCAAATGAAGCACCGTGAGCTTGACCAGTTGAATTCCCAGATTGCGGACGCCCAAAACGCTGCTAGAATCCACCAAGAACCAGTTACCCAACCGACACATGTGCTGAACCATGTCCAGCATCAAAACCAGGCGGTACCTTCTGAAGAAAAGGGACCCGTCCACAAAGAGGTTGTTGACCAACTAAAGGGCAAATCTGTTCAAGTTCATGACACTCCCGATCTCTCTGATCTTTCTGACATTGCGATTTACGGCGCCGCTCTCAACGGTGAACAACATGTTCCAAAAGAGGCTTTGCAGCCCGAGCAAGCTGCCATGAATTCTCAGGAAACTGGACAAGATCCTGCGCGGGTACGTGAGTTGGAGCTCGAGCGCAGAGAGCAGATGCTCATTGAACGTGAACGTGATCTCGAACAGGCTCGCATGAATATTGGCCCAGATGAGAACTATAATGGCAACCAAAACTATAATGGCGGTTACAATGGCAACCAGAACTACAATGGTAACTACAACGGCAACCAGAACTTCAACAATAATCAGAACTTCAACAATAACCAGAACTATAATGGAATCCAGAACTATAACGCCAATCCAAACACCAATGGAATGCAGACCTTTGGCAACAACTATAGTAATAACAATTACGCTGGAGGATACGGCCAACAGGCCAATGGTAATGTTAACTATGGAAACAATTACAACGGACGGTCACAGTCGCAAGCTCACTCGCTCACCACCGGCCAAAGGCCACCTACTAACGACGGCTACTTTGACCAAAAGCCACCTCATGGATTACCCTCCAACGGGTTTCCACAAAACACGTTGCCGTCTACATTGCGCAACCCACAAAGGTACCAAAATGGACAACAGCCACAACATGCCCCCAACTCCAATGCTCCTCGTCAGAGATTGAGCTCCATGCGGTCGTTCCAGGACCCTAATCAAATGGGCATGCAACAGCAGTATCAATCGCAGGCATTCGGCATGAATCAGATGAACGCTCCACAGCAGATGAACGCTCCACAGCAAATGAACAACGGTCCTCATCAAATGCAAGGCAACGGGCCAATGATGAATCAGCAAGTTTCTAACCGCGTCAGCAGTGCTCAAGGGTATCAGTCAAAGGGCAAGAACCGTAGATCTGCATTCCCTGATCAAGCCTTAAACATTGATTATGGAGGAAGGGGAGGTATGCCAATGCCAGCAGCCAGCTCGGCCTCCAATCCCGGAGCGCCAGCAAAGAACAAACACAGGTCGATGATGCCAGGACAAATGGGAGGAGCAACTTCTCCATCGGTTCAGCAGCGTAAATCGATGTCGGGAGTTCCGGTAATGCCGTCAAACAATCTTCTCCGTCCACCACAGACGGGTTCAGAGTCGGCATCCAACTCCAGCAACATGGATGAGTCGCCCAAAACTTCCACGCCTGACTCACTGAATAACATTACCATTGAGGTTCCAGCCTACAATGATGCAGCAGCTAAGCCATTGGGAGGATTAGCCCCAACTCAACAGGAAAAGAAGAAGAAGAAAGGATTTCTTAGAAAAGGGTAATGCTGATATACGATTAGCACAGGATGTATAGTAATGTATTCAAGTAATCTCGATATCTTGTTTTTCAATTTGGATTTTTATACGGAATCAATATTTCATCAAATTTCCCTTCCTGAAATGAGCTTTTTAGCTTTATAATAAGGTTATACAAACAAGCATTACATAAGTTTAAATTGTATTAACTCAAATATTGCATATTCATCATTCTTGAATCTGTACCTTTCTCACACTATCTCAATCAGTCAAAAACTCCTCTCTATAGTGTCTCACCAATAAAGTGCGAAAGCGAAATTCAACACTCATAGCTTCATATATTCAACCGCGATCACCAAAATGGCACCAAAGAGATCGTTCTACGAGGACGAGGAGCTTATAACGACTAAACCAGGTTACAACTCCGAAATCTCCAAGGAACTCAAGGAGAAAGAGTCGGCTCATGGCAACATCTCCTTCATTGAAGGTATGGGCGTCAGAACGACCCCATACTTAGAAAAACATTTCAACAGTTTGAGAAGCTACCTCCACGACAAGTTCTCGATTGCTGCTGCAGAATTGGGTACTCAGAGAACCGCCGTTGCCAATGAGTGGTCAACATTCAAGAACAAGGTGGACGAGGTGATTTTGGAGCCAGTGATCCCTGACTGCGTCAATGTGATTTTCCCTGTGTTGATTACATCGGTTGCAGTTGGCAGAAGATCCCTCCCTGTTCGTTTCTTGGCTACTTCGGCCGCATTTGGCTTGTCTGTCAAATACTACATGCCTCGCACTTATGGAGCTGCTAAATCGAAGCTTTTGCTGTGGGAAAAGGAGAACTACCCAGATTTATGGAAGAAGCAGCAGGAGCTCGGAGAGCAAACGCGGGATTTGGTTGCTGAGACCAACAACTTAAGAGCTCAGCTGAAACAAGACTTGCAGAAACAGATCCACGAAGTTAGATTGTGGGTAGCCAAGCTTTTGGAGGATTAGAGTAGCATGAAATATAGCAATGAAATGTATTGTATGCAATTAACAAACAGGTCTAGTAACTGGTTGATCTTTTGGGACCTTTCTAAAATTCTATCTGAGGGAAAAGGTGGTCACATTAATGACCAAGAATGTCGTAGGTGGTGTAGATTAATGCCACTGCTCCTATGGCAACCAAGAAGTAATCCACCATGGCCAAAATAAACTTGGTGTTCTTGCCCTGTGTTGCATTCTTATAGTCACAGCATGACTTCAAGTGGAGCATGGGTGGATACATGTATACCAACGGAATACATGCGAAGCATCCCACAAAAGACACAAATTTGTCGAGGTTCTGACCACCGTAGAGTGCAATGGTGGCAGTAGTCAATACAAACACAAGGCGCAAGAGGTTCTTTTGCCACTTGACGACCTGTGAATTACGGCCCGAAGTGGAGGGAGAAAAGATCTTCAGTTCAATGAGGCGCACAGCAGGGAAGATCTGAATGGGTGTGGACAACAAAATTGCAGCAGCATAAAGCAACTGGATCATGATAACTGATGGAGAAGTTTGAGGAAGATTCAACAAAATGACAGTATCAATATCAGCACCAAAAGTTAAATAGCCAATAGCACCAATGAAGATAAAAATGAAGGAGATCGTGATAATCACCTGGAACAAAACTCTAGGGAAGTTGTTGGGATATATCATGGATTCTTGAATGGGAATGATAAGCCCGATGCCTTCGAAAGCGAAAATGGCCACGCCGATGAACAACGAGAATTCAGACTTGTTGAACACGTAGTAAATACCATCTCCTGGCTGGAAGCTGTTTCCAATGAACTCTGCAATAGTGTAGTATAAGATGGTGATCAATCCCATGAAAATAAAGATATTGGCTAAAAGTGCCAGCAACGAGAGCTTTGTAATGTCTCTAATCAAGGTAATTGGCGTCAAAATCAAAGCTTCCGCTAAGATGAACCAAAAAATGTCTAAGTCCGCTGGAGTAAAGCTGGAAATGTTACATACAAATGCACGTAAGTTTTCGGCTGTGAACACAATGTACGCAGCAACAAAACCTACTTGGGACAACACAATAGACGACAAGATGAGGTGTTGGAGCCAAGGCCCATAGCATAGCATTCCAATCTCTCCAAAGCTTGACACCTTCATGGCGATTTTGGCATACACTAAGATAACATAGCACCAATAGGAAAGCAAGCCAAAAAGAAAGAGCGTCACTACTGAAAATACCAAACCACCGCTAGAGAATGCTTTAGGCAAGAATAACACCCCAGTTCCAACGAACGCCTTGAGAAGTAAAAAGTACGCCTTAGTGTCGGTTGCAGTACCTTTGGGGTTATAGTTTCTTGCTTGAAGGAGAGGTACATTTTCGTCCAGACCAAATGGGTTCTGTGCCTCATAGTGACATGCCACCGCATCATCGTCCTCTAAGTCTTCACCAGCAAAATGGCCATAGATGCTCAAGAACTCCACGAAGTTTCTGGTAAGAATATCGGGTTTCCTCTTATTGGCATTTGCCACAAGAAACTGCCTTCTGAAACCGCCAGGAACGTTAAGAGAGCTCGCAGAGGAGCCACGACGGTCGTTCCGCTCGAAATCCATCAGTGTCCAGCTTCGAGAACGCTTGGGCCGGGTGCTTTCCTTGTTCAAGCGGTAGATATCTCTGGTGATGTCTGCACCTTCCAGAGTGAAAGCTGAGTCGTCAGCCTTGAGATGTTTGGCCACAGCCTCAACAAGTCGAGAGTCATTGATGCCTGCGGAGAAGTCTGAGAGGATCTCGGGGACAGGAGTGTCGTCTTCACTGGTTCTGGCAGACGAATCATCATCTCTATTCAAGAAAGGAGCATTGCCTAAGTACAGCCCAGGTCTGGATGAGTTTCTGGGAGAATGCGGGAGAGGCGACACAGAAAGTGGGGATTTGGCGAGCTTTGCAATCGACTGACGGCGGCTCTTCTTGATTTCCTTGGGTTGGCTCATAAAGAGATAAGTAGGGTACAGGAGATAGGAGATATGCGATATGAGAAGATTATGACAGGTGGAGGAGGTACATGAGAAATTAACATGGGGAAATTCCAACGGTAGTTCTGGTTTTATATACTGAAAGTATAAAAAATAGGAAAAGGGGATAAATTTGGAATTCGTTTGAAATAATTAGATTCACAATTGGATTTGGAACGTGACTCAATTTAAGTATGTAGATCCAACGTGAACAGACAACAATGTATACCAAGTGGAGTAAATAGTGATAAAGTTGAGACTGATTATTAGAATAGAGATCTTAGTGGGCTAGAAATAGTTTGTCATTTACAAAGTTATGAAATGGCTAACTAACAGGTATTACCTAGGTCCTTTACTTATGTATTTCGAGGTTTTCATGTGGTGAACTCAGATATCGCCATAAACTTGATTTCTTCAATACTTCAAAAAAAGAAATACTCGTTTTAATCCATGTGAGCTCTTTTTTCTGATCTCAAGGAATTTCAATTTTGTTACTTTCCAACTCCAGAGCGACTCATAAAAGTGGAAACTCAACCCAATCTCTACACTTTCCTATTCCTACATCTACTCAGAACATTCCTACACCATACAACACAGCCATATTAGAGGTTCGACTCCAACAAACCGAAAAAAAAAAAAAAAAAAAGAAAAGAAAAGAGAAGAAAAAATTAGAACGTTCTTAACATCCGGGGTTAAATCCCATATCAGTATTCTATCCATTTGCTCCAGCTCGATCGAACTCTTTCTAATCATCATTTTTGTCGCACGTGACCGAGGCACGGTATTCCTTCACAACATCTTCATAGGTTTTCATTGCCTTGTACATTTTTCCCAACATGAACTTCTCTCATTTCCTCACGTTCGTTTTCGTAGCCAGTGTTGTTGCTGCCCTCGACTTCGATTTGGCCAGAGACTTCTTCCACCTCAAACGTGCAGACGGCACCACCTCCTCCTCCTCCTCCAGCACTTCGACCCTGTCGAGTCTGAGCAAGTCCGATACCACGGTCTGGGTGACCATCACCACTAACGGCGCGCTTGCCACTGTCAAGACCATCTACACGCAGAGCTTCATGTCCACGTACATTACTGAAGTGGATGCTCCATCCTCGGGAAACGTAGGTATGGGTTCAATCTCGGGAAACGTGGGCTCTCTCAAGGAGTACTCCAAGACGACGATCACAAACGGAGGTAACGGTAACAGAAACTTTGCTTATGGAGGAGCTGCGGGTGCTCTTTTGGTTGCTGTCGGAATGCTTTAGTGTATAATAGGAATATAGGTTGCGTTTGAAGAGACTTGGACCTGGAAGGGTTCAGTAGAGACCAGACATGAGAGAGAACCGGAGACTACATCTGATACTAGTTTAGATATCGGATGGTCCAGATTTCACAATCTATTACAAAGCCTGGCTACCAGGTAAGAGTAGAAATAATAGTAAGCTTTATGTACTGAAGTTGAGGCTTGTACTGAAATCCTAGTATACCACAAACCATGAATATCGACGACTATTATGGTCCTGTTAGCCACTATCAATCAACTAACTGGTTCTTGAAGTATCTGATTGGAGTAACTCAGTTGGGCCAATCAATCGTGCGTCAGCGGAAGGTGTTTGTCCTAAAAGCCACGTAGAGTGAACATTCATAGGGATATCGGCTGTTTTGGAGTACTCGCAGACTGCTGAGTTCGTCCTTGGTGTCCTTTTCTGTCTTATGCTAGGAGGAACACTTGATCAATGAAGTGATATACGTTAGACATGATCAGCTGGATGCGATCGGAAAGCCTTTGTAATGAAATAGTGTTTGAATTGGTTGGAGAAGCTACTTAACTTTCCCTAAAGTAATTCCTAAATTTTTAGCATCCATATTTTGATTGGGTTTTTGCCTAGTTAGCACTTGGATACACGGTTGCAAGGTCTCTGAAATGTTCTCATTGCTCTAAAGAAACTGTCTAAGCAAACAACCAAATTTATAGAAAAAATAGGGACCATTTCTAATGTATGTTGTATGCTTATCTCCACAATTTGATTTCTTCTTTTATACGTTGTCTCCATTGCTTCCCATTTCAATTAACCAATTCTGGCCCTATTCTGCGTCCTTGGTAAATCGCATCAGTGTACTTCCAAACGAGCCCCATATAGAACTTCCTGAAAAGTAGGCAGCAGCTTCAGAATTCAAAAACTTCTGCATTCTAGTATAATTTTTTGGAAATAACTGCCTTTCAATCCATCATCTCCTTTTTCCCCAGCTCCACTGTCAGACGGTAGAGTTGCCCGTGCTGAAGTTTACGCGCGCCAAAACTTTTTTCCAACATCGATTTTTGTGTAAAATTCATCTTTTGAGTTAAACCACTAGCAGTACGTACAGCAACACCACAGAAGCACTCCGCAGCATCCACATATACATTGTAACCGCTGCTATTCAAGATTGTGCCCTCCAATAACCCAACTAACACGCAGATGTCGGAAGATTTGACCAAGAAAACCGAGGAATTGTCTTTGGACAACGACAAGACCGTTTTGAGCAGCAAGGAGGAATTCACTGCCAAGCACCCATTGAACTCCAAGTGGACCTTGTGGTACACCAAGCCTCAGACCAACAAGTCTGAAACATGGCTGGACTTGTTGAAACCAGTCATCACATTCCAGTCCGTGGAGGAATTCTGGGGAATCTACAACTCCATCCCTGTGGCCAACCAATTGCCTTTGAAGTCGGACTATCACTTGTTCAAGGAAGGTATCAAGCCAGAGTGGGAAGATGAGCAGAACGCCAAGGGAGGCAGATGGCAATTTTCCTTCAACAACAAGAGAGAGATTGCCCAGGTGATCAACGACTTGTGGTTGAGAGGCTTGTTGGCCGTGATTGGCGAGACCATCGAGGACGACGAGAATGAGGTCAACGGTATCGTGTTGAACGTTAGAAGAGCTAACTTCAGAGTGGCCATCTGGACCAAGGACTGTGACGAGTCTAAGTTGGTGACTATTGGAGAGAGATTCAAGAAGGTGTTGAAGTTGGCCGACGACCAGAAGCTCGAGTTCATGTCCCACGACACTTTCAACGCCAAGGGTAACGCACAGATCACTGTGTAATGTCTTGTATAAATATAATGAGGAAGAGATGTAGATATATTTGCGGTAATAACGTTTAAATTCTAATATCCATCAGGATCCAAACCCTAGTATCCAGCAGGATTGACCTTATCCTGAATAAACTCATGCACCCGCTCCCAGTAACCTGGCTGGATCACGGTGTCATTGTGTGCTGCTTGATCATACTTGTACATGACCTTATCGTTCGTTCTCAATAATTGGAAGATACGATCCATGTGGCTAGGAGGAACGATCTCGTCTCTACGGGCACTGAAAAGAAGCACGGGGATGTTGGATGGAATCTGTGGCACCAATACCTCTGTGTTCCATTTCTGGTGAACCAAAATTGTGAAATACTTGAGAGCAGGGAAGATGTGAGGCACTGTCTTGGGAATCAGTAAGAACGTATTCTCCAAGATGATTCCCAGAATGGCCGAAGGGAATATTGAAGAGATATACACCAGAACGGCACCACCAAGTGACCGGCCGTACAAAACCAACGAGCTCTGCAGAAGTTGCTCGTCTTCAGTGGTGATGTATTTCATAACTCTTTGGGCGTCCACCTTCAACCCGATCTCCAGCGGGCGGCCAGACGACTTTCCGTAGCCACGGTACGAATAGATAAATACATTGTACTGGAAGTTCTTGTAGAACATGGAAACAATGGGCAATGCATGCCCGATATTACCAGCATTGGGAGAAAGTATAAGAACGGTCTTGTTCGTGTACAGCGGCGACAGACGGTCGTGCTTGAGCGCATAGCATTGGATACTTTCGCCGTCTTCTGTGCGCAAGAAGAGCTCTTCGTAGTCGGGCATGTCGAGTTCGTCGGGGGTAGCACAGTGACCTTTACCATCATTTAATGAAGATGGGTAGATAAGGGTGGACTGGAAGGTGTAGAGGGCCACGAGGGCCAAACCTCCGATCGAGACACCAATGACGGTGAACATCTTGAAGAAGGATTTGATTTTGGATACTAGCCACACGGGCATGGTGGTGTAAGTAAGTGGTGCAGGTTACGATAACTGGAGGTGAGAAGTAGGTGATGGAGTAGGCAGGCAGATAGATAGAGACAGATAAGACAAGACGTGACATGGGAGAGACAGCTAGATATTGTATGAGTAATTGATGTAGGCTGATTTATTTTGGCATTGGGTAATAGGACTCTCATGAAAATTCTGATATTGGAAAGAAGAAATTATATTACTAGTGTGAGCTATTATTATGGTGATCCACCTGCTCCAAAATATTGACTATCCAAACAAATCTTTAATGGTTCTAATTTGTCAAGAATTGTCTTTCTATGTATTCTGCCATCTGGAATACAGTATTTACTTGAGTCTTTCTATATTGTAACTACTGCACGGCGTGACCTGATAATACTTATTAGCACAATGTGATTCATTTCCCTCTTAGATATGGAAACACAGATTACATAAAAAATAAAATAATACAACGCAGCAAAATTATTAAAAGAAATGCACATATACTGAATCCTCAGAGATCTCTCTGTTTTCCAGTCCATACGTTTCTTTCCCTCTCATCTCGTCCTCCACCATGCTCACTATCAATCAATCTACACAACCTACTCAACATACTTAAACATCTGCCCCACATCTGCCCCACATCCGGCAACACTAGCCTCGTTAGACTCACAGGACATACATCGGCCAAAGGAAACTAGCCAGATCTCGCTGTCTATTCTCATCAATGGCTAGTGGCCCCAATCAATCGCAACTGAGCCTCGCTCGTTTTGCGTTCAACATCTATGGGTCGTTGGGCTCCAACGATCAGCCGCGGGGCAAGTCTCCAGATCCTCTGAAACCTTCCCTTCCTCGCCGAAAGAAATTAATGTATTCGTGTGAACGAGAGATCACTTGTCTCTCGCGGCTCAAGCATCCAATGGGAAGGCTATCGGCATCATTTGACCCATCGACATCAGCTCCGATCCACCATGTTGTCATTGGAGGAAAAAACTACTTGAAACTTCTTGCCCTTAATAATGATCAGTCCGAAGTGGTGGCTGACGTCAATATTGTGGAGCCTCCAGGTCTGTCTCGGCTCCATTCATCTACAAAATTGTTCAACGTCAACACCGTCAAGTGCTACGGCGACATGATCGCCTGTGGCCTTACCAGCGGGTCCGTACATGTGCATCAGGTCTCTGGAAACGGCAAGTCCCGTTTGGCGTACAAGTTGGAAGACCACAAGCGTGTGGTAAACTCGGTGGATTTCACCGACCATGAACAGGTGTTGTTCTCAGGTTCGCAAGACGGAACTGTCAAGCTTTGGGATCTCCGGACATTCAGTCCAAAGCCAGTGTTGAAACTCTCGGCTTCGCAGCACTCTGATCCCGTCAGGTCTTGTGAATATTCACGTCACTCTAAAGTCAGAGGTAAAATGACTGTTCTCTCAGTTCACGACTCAGGGCTGTTGTGTAAGTTCGATTTGCGCTACCCAGGTTCTAACTCGTCCAGTACAGTTCTTCCTGAGCGTAAATGGACCTTCCATACTGGCCCTGCGCTCTCGTTACATATTCATCCGGAGTCTGAGTATGTGCTTACAGGAGGGCGAGATAAGAAGATTTGTGTGTGGAACTATGGTGAAAACTCGCTGCATCCAAACTCTCCTGAAATGATTCTCAATACTTACGGCCCCGTCATGAAAATTCGTTGGAGTCAAATCCCATGTCACGATCGGCCCCATGGCGCATCCAATTTCGAGTTTGGCGAGGATGACCATGATCCCAAGCTTTCATTGTACGACTATGATTTTGCGTGTCTGTTCTTGAACGACGATCCTACCATCACAGTTTTCAATTTAAGGAGAAAGCATGTGCCTAAAGAGATTGTAACAACCACCACTCTTAAGCCCTTCCAGAACTTCATCTGGGCAGGAGACTCGTCCTCAACAGAGCGCAAATTGTGGACCTTGACCAAGTCAAACATGTTTGTTTCTTATAATTTGACTACTGGTGACGATGGCTTACTGAACGTTACTAGACCTCTGGACGATTTGCCCAGCATCGTCACAACATGGCAGAATGGTTTCGCGGACCTCTCCATTGTTACTCAAGACAGCAGGGATTACGGTTTTCAGGGTCCTGAACAGGTGGAAGTGGAGTCCGATATCCTGGATCGGACCAATTTGGATGAGTTTACTCGAATCGATGAAGAACACACTTTGGAGCAGCGCTCCTCTTCAATCACCCTCGATAATTCCAACATCTACTCGAAAACGCCCATGGGATCGCTTCCCAATCCTTCCAATTTACTTTACCAAAAAACTCAAAATAATTCGCCTAAGGATCGGCCGCAGTTGATCAGACTGTCGACAGCTTATACTCCTACCAAGTCTCCATCACCGGTTCCATTTGGTCGACCTAATGTGGTAGATAACTACGGATCGGTCATGAGACCGTCTCTTCCTCGAAACCCGTCTCAATCAACACAAGATTCTGAATCTCCGCTTTTTATGTCACTGGTAGCCACTTCTAAGAAGTCACCTTTCAGTGGTCCTTCTCCGTACGTTGTTGGCGTGAGTGTTCCTATTCCCCTTGGAGATGAAGCAGTATTTGAGGTGCTCGCAAATGAATACTATACTTCTGTTCCAGACGGGTTTGCATTAGCTGATGTCTGTCAAATGAATGCAAGACTTGCAGCAAGTGTGCAGCGCTATAGAGATTGTCAAGTCTGGCGATTACTTGCGGTAGCTCTTGAACAGGAGGAGAACAGCTTTTTCGATGACTATACTCACAATGAGAGGGTTGTTGTTGAAGCCGAGAGTACTCTGAACCAAAGTGCTGCTGCTAACGATGACGCTAAATCAATATCTTCAGATCTAGATAATTTCGTTGGGTCCTATAACTCAAACTCAACTCTGACTACTAATTATGGTAGTGTTCCCAAGGGCTCTGAAGTTGCTTCGTCTTTACATAACACCTCTCTCTTGGGATCATCAGCCTCCTCCAGGTTAGGTGGATCGTTAATGGGATACAAATCAGGCTCGACCGCAAGCATAGACCAATTTCAGTCAGGGCACTTGTCTGGGCCATCAACTGCTTCTAGAGCCAACAGTCTGCTGATGAAAAGAAGACCATCGCTACCTGCCCCAAAAATGATCACTCCTTCCACTGAACAAGAGCATGCTATCGTAGATGATGATGAAGATGATGTCCTTTCTGAGGCTTCAAATCTGCCTAACAAGGAGCATCATATTTCCAAGACAATCCCTAGAAAGTCTTCAGCTATTGATATCAGAAGTACCAAATACCTGTCATTCGGGGCTCAGACTAGTGCTTCTCCCGAATTTTTCAATGAAGAGGGCTCTCCGTTGATGTACTCACGCAAGAACTCGGTCAAAAAGTATACAGCAGCATCTTTTTCTACAACACAGCATCCATGGGCCATTCCAAACAGCTCCCAAGACTTGGATAACGAGAATTTGAACATTCTTACAGCCGCTTCATATTCCACATCTGCTATGCACACAGGTAGTGGACATACTGTCAACTCGGGAATCAGAAGTAGACCTTCTATGGGATCCTTAAAAGGGTCCCCCATAATGACGGCTAGTTACGCTGGACGAGGATCTTTTGCTGGAGGCAGAAGTGGAGCCTTGGGTATCAAGCAGACCTCACCCCAACACCTCGAAAGGGTTGTAGAGGCTAACGGTAATGAGCACCCACGTAAGTCAGCACTCACGAGTGCTTTTAAAGAGAAAGACAAAGAAGACGAGGATTCCGAGGTGCTATTTTCGGACAAGCCATGGAACACTATGGGGATGCTCAAGAGGGCCATTGACTATGCCATGGACCAAGGAGACATCATCATGTGTTCTACGCTTATATTGCTATTCTACGAGCTGCTTCATAAGTACTTTCCAAAGAAAGTACTTAGCAAAGAAGGATGTTTGGAGTGTTTGGGAATGTACATTGAAACATTAAGGAAGAGACAGCTCTTTACTAATGCTGTGAAGGTTGTGAAGGATGCACCGACGGATCTTCTGTATGAATTAAGCAATTATGCAAACAAGGACGTCGACTTAAGGTTCTATTGTTGCTGGTGCAACAAACTAATGCTCAATGAAGCATCCAAGGCTAAGCACGGTGCTGGTAGTGACAAATTCGGATTTTGGTACTGTGATAATTGTCGACGGAAGCAGCTGAACTGTATTTACTGCAACGAGCCATGCAAGGGTCTCACGGTTGTTGTCAGTCTCAAATGTGGTCACCGGGGCCACTTCGGGTGTTTACAGGAGTGGTTTATCATTGATCAAAACACCGAATGTCCGGGTGGATGCGAAGATTCAGTGATGGCATAGACTAAATCAACTCGATTTCGCCAAGATCTAAATATGGTTTGATAAGACGGTAGATCACCACGTATACACCTTTATGGACGAGCTCCAACTCGCCTTCGTGACCCAAGTTGAGAATGATTGGCTTCTGTCGTATCACACGAATAAATACGGGCTGGTTCAATTCTGGGGTGGTAATCATGTTTTGGTTTCCTGCTGAGTCGTCCAAGAAGGTGAGGAATTCAGGAAATTTCTTGAGGAAGCTGTTGTTGTAAAGCTGGGTCAAGATCTTGAAGTGCTTATGCATGTATGACTTCTCTTGGTCAGTCATCAAGGAAGGGGCACCCTGGGGCTCGTTAGATGTCTCGTTGATGTAAAAGATGGTGAAATTGTCGATCTTGGCCAATCTTGTACGGACATAGAGTCTAACCAAGTAACTCAAGCGCTCGATCTCCGTTTCGATTATCATCAACTGGAGTTTGAAGTCAGCATTGAGGACTCCAGACTCAGCGTTGGAGTCGCCGTATTCGTACGAATCCAAGAGATATTGTTGCTGGTTCAGAAGCTTGGTTAGCACTTCTTTCATCAACTCGTGCTTGTAAGGTAAGAGGTCTGGGGCCATTCTCTCGTTAAGCATGGCTGTAACCATCTGCTGATTGAGATCCTCGGACTTTTCTTTAGTGGCAGCACGAGCCCCGGTCTCGAACTCAGTGAGGATGTCATCGATGTCCATGATGAAAGAAGTGGTGATGGACTGGATAAATGTTCGCGTTGAGTAAAGAGAGCTACATAGAGATAAAAAAGATGAGGATAGTGGGAAAAAGGAAACACCAAATTAGAATGAAATCACATAAAGTCTTATTGTGAAATTAATAACGTAAATTACTTTAATTTTCTCATCTTATACGAACTTTCTCCTTTATGTATCCGTTCCAAGATGACCAAAATGACCATCTTTACCTCTAGATTAACCTATATACACCCCACTGTTTATATCATTTATCAAATCCAACTATGGATAGACAAGCCCTTCTAGAACAGAAACGACAGCGACTACAGGAGCTCAAGCAGCGGCGCTCAGAATTACAGAAATCATCCACCGTTTCGCAGGTGCCTAGCTTGCCCGTTCTGGTGAAGGTGGATTTTGCTGTGCAAGTTGATCCACCAGCTGTAAACACACATCAAACAGCGCCAACTTCCGATATACGGCCTAACGAACATCGTTCAGATGTTAAGCGTTTTGATAAGGCAGTCCAAACGGAATTTGAAGAGGATTCTGACATTGGAGAAATCCCATCTCAACCTAGCACCAAAGAGAACATAAAAGAGGAAAATGAACTGGATCCTGTGGAAACAACTGGGCTTACAACGCAGGAGTTGGTAGAGGAGGCTCTAGAGGACCAATTGGCGCAGTCCAAACTTGGGTTTTCCTTTTCTAATCTCCGTTTGGGTGTAAAGGATCCAGGTACTGTTCAAGAAGACACAAAAGAGCCATTCAACGTTGCCAACGGGCTCTCGCATTTCCTCGACCGGCCCATTACGCATATAAGTACGGTTATACAGTTTCCAGAACTTATCCTCGTGGGATATGGAAGATCCAAAGAAAAGAAGCTCGATGACATCTCTGGAAGTGCTGGATTGGCAGTTATCTTCAATAGAAATGCTTTCCCAATGGTGCCTGAGTTTTTCCTTCAATGTACAAGTCCAATCACAGCTATCGAGTTCAATACTACTGATCCATTCAAGATAGTGGCCGGTTTGGAGAACGGAAGGGTGGTTATGTGGGACTTGACTGAGGTCAATCCTACCCAAATCGCAGTGTTACCAACATTACAGACTACAACGCTAGCAGCATCGACAAATACGTCGAATCACAGATATATCCACCACACCTCGCCTATCGTTCGTATTCACCAATTAGATGCGAACAGCCAGTTAAGTTCAAGTATTGTTTCTGTATCATCGGAAGGAATTCTTAACATGTGGTCACCCAACTTTCTTGCATTCCCCAAAGTTGATAGTGTGAGGCTCTCAGGAGAATCCGAGAGACTCAAAGACCAGTTCTCTTTGACAGACTCACTATTCCTTCTGAGTCACCTAAGGTTTACTGACGAGGTGCATCTGGCCAAATCTCCAGAAATGCGCTTCTTGAACCAGGCTCTTGTAAGCTCAAAGAACGGTCACATATACCGTCTTTCCAACAATAAGGACAAAAATTGCATTGCATTGGAATACTCGGTCATTGAAGACCAATCGCCTCAAGTTTCGCTGTCCGTGACCTCGATGGCCGAATTACCAGTTTCTTCCACCATCTCAATAATCGTATCCGGTCACAATGACTGGCAACTCCGAGTGTGGGACTTGGCTAAAAAGAAGCCGATTGCTAGTATTCCAACGGCGACGGTGGTGACAAAAATAGTGGCACGTCCCGGACACCCCTTTCACATTATCACTCTCGGTAGTGTCAATCCTCCCAAGATTGGTCCGTGCATTCAATTCTGGGACCTTCAAGCCAGACTCATGAGTCCGGTATCAACATTTTCAATCATAGATAAGACCTGCCGGGCCACTACAGCATGCTTCACCCCGGACGGATCACATGTAATGGTAGCGTTCGCAGATGGAGATATTAATATTTGGGAGATCGAAGAGTCCAGGTTGGACGCCATTACGAGCATAACGGCTAACATTTCGATAGACGAGGGCATTGTCCCTCTACTAAAGTCTGTATAACTACACCAAATCTGCTATAGTACATTAATTAAAGAAATCTTGATACAAGATTGTCTCTTGGTCTGATTGTAAGGTTCTTTCCCAACTGGGAGAGACCATTGGTCTCGTCTTGTTCTAAGGAGATACAATTATGGGAAGCTAACACAAGTAACTCAAAAAAGCATTTAGTTGCCTCTCTTCTCTGACTGACCTTTACAGTGTCTGAAGCTTTATGAACTGCCCCAAGTGGCACGTTATCTCCGTCCGTCATGTCTTTGTCCATGAGCTCGTCAAATTTGATTGTTGGCTGCTCAAAAAAGGTCTTTCTCAAGTGTTCAGCGATCTGTGTAGTGCCCTTCACACTGTCTATTGTGTTGTCATCATCTTCGCGGGGTGATTCTGTTGGTTTGGCCATGGTGTTAGCGTCGTTGTCTGGCTCAAGACCTGGCAAAGATAAGTCAAAGTCCAAGCTGTTGTCAAGATCGAAGCTCATGGAGTGGTCAGGAGATTCTGAGCCTTGTTGTTCTTGGTTGGAGAGTTGGACACATCTCTGCCTGAGCTCATGGTCAAGATTCCAGATCTTTCTCCGTTTCGAGCTGGCAGGAGAAGCGAGTTCCTCGATCAATTGCAACTTTTCGTTCTCTGTCAAATTTAATGTCAATGTCTCTTCCGTAAACCGGCCATGTGTTTGTAAATGTTGAATACTTTTCAAAATCTCGTTCGGAAGTCCCCTTTGCAACTCCTCTGCATTATCCACAATTAACTTCCTTTTTGTGGTTTTTATTACACCCTCATTTGTCACACCAACAAGTCTTGTGCGTCTGGCAGGACCGATGGATTCCTGTGGAGGGGTAATTGGTGAAGTCTCTTGTGGTTGAACACTAGAACGATCCTCAATGGTTTCTAGAGGCTCACCAAGTCCCAAGTCATCGCTCTCAAGAATAGGCGAGTTGGGACCTTTGGAAAGGTCCAAAACAGATTGGTCTGCCTCCAACATAGGCGCCTGAGCATCTCGACCTTGCTCGATAGACTGATCCAAATCAAGATCAAAGTCCAAATCCAAGTCCATGTCCATGTCCATATCCGGTTGTGGCCCCGATTGTCTTCTTGCAAACTCAATGGAGCGGTCAATTTCGGAAGCATCATGGGAGGAGTGGTTCAAAGAGCTGACTTGAGAAAAGAGCATGTCATGATTGGTCTGTGCAACTGCGTCATCGTCCAAGTTTAAGTCTTCCTGGTAGAACAAGTCGAGTTCTGTCACCTGGTCTTGCATTAAATGCTTGGAAAAATTGGTGATGGTGGTTCTTGGAGGCGGTAAGTTCACTGTCGTAATATTAGATCCCAAACTGGCACCACTAGCATATCTGAAAGAGCTCTTCAATTTGTACAAGCACTCGTTGACGTCGTCTAAGAGATATTTGGTCTTTCTGGAGTAGATTCGAACAATTCCTAAGAGCAACTGGCCCGAAAGTCTTAAGGTGATAGTATCCGAATTTGTGTCTCCAGCGGACTGGATCTGCCTCGTGGAAATGATGTTGGAGGATGCAATGATGTTTGTGCTGAGGAGCTGCAGTTTAGAAAGCTTTCGGTCATAGTTGGACGCGAGCCAGACATGGGCCAAAGGTCCCTGTCTCGAGAGCAATTCAGCCATGTAGTTATGGTTGTTATTGGAAGAGAATAGTAACGCGTACTTAGATGATGGGTTATGTGCAGTGTAGGATGTATGTGGATTATATGCACTCGGGCGTGGAGTAGACAGAGGATACTTAATATATGTCTCTGGTGATGCATAAGGATAATGAAGGTATATGTTGTTTTAAAATAGAGGATGTAGAATTTATGTGGTTGTGTGTTTATTTCTTCATTTTTACGTCTCTTCTGAGAGCCATGGCTGTAGTTCTCTCAGGATTCCGCAAGGCCCATATTGTTAGTCCTGAGTATTATTGCAAATTGACTTACGAAAATACATTCCAATTTCTCTTTGTAATGCGTTATCTTCAACGTGTTTGGTTATCTCAACCATTGATTTTTCTGGAGCTTCGTTGTTGTGATGATGCTCTGTTCCACACAGAACTCAATTACTATAGAATGCTGGGTGACTTAAAGTAGATAGTTTTTGGAGCCTGCGCAAATTTTATTTGCAAAGGGTTTAAGAATATCTACTTTATTCAATATTCACTGAAAAGGCAATATTTGAGTTACTACATTGTTTTGGAGGGTTGGATTCTATGCTTAGGTTTGAATCTTGGAAATCAATTGCTTTCAGTCCAAACTTCAAATATGTATCGAAGTTCATTTGCTACTTTTCGATTAAGGATTCGTTGTTTTATATACATTGAATATTAATTTTGAAAAAAAAATTTCCCCATTTGTCTACTGAGGCTGATTCTTCCCGCAAAACCCTCAATTAATAAACTCTCCATTTATAGTATGTGTTCAGTTCTCAGTTCTGGTCGCGATTGTCATATTATAATCAAATTTCTACACTTGATGCAACTTCAAAAATACAAAAACCATCGGTAAAAAACGAAAAGCATTAAAAAAACTACAAATTTAACACATTGCAAATCCCTTCGAAGTATCCATCTCTCATATACCTCTCGATTAAAAAGGATCCGTTTCTCTTCCATACTACTCACTTCCTATTATTTCTGCCGGCATAGAATAATCCATAGTATAATCTTTTCAGAATCATAATCACAACCTCTAATGAATCTTGAAACGAGACTCACAGACACGTTGAACGATGTGCTTCGAACATCAGGCTACATCTTCGAGATGATCAACAATAACAAGAGACAAAGCAACCTCATCACAGGCCCTAATAACCAGCTAATACCTCCACAGGTTACCAATCAGCTCACACTAAGCATTGCACAGTTTGACCAGATTCTTGACGAAACAGTCAGCAAGTTCAATGATGCGCGTTGGTGTATTGAGCAAATGGTGGAGAGTAAGCAAAAGCAAGAGGAGTTGCGGATTCAGGAGGAACTAGAGAGACAGAAAAAGGCGGAGGCAGAGAGAAAGCGCAAGGAGGAAGAGGCAGCGGCACTCCGGAAGAAAGAGGAGGAGAAGCGGCTTGCAGAGGAGAAGGCTCGCAAAGAGGAGGAAGAGCGAATCGAGCGTGAAGCCAAGGAGAAGAGAGAAAGAGAGTTGCGGGAAGCCGAAGAGAGGAAGCAAAAGGAGCAGCCACAAATGGACGATATCATGGACTCTGGATTCGACTTTGATATGGATATGGACAAGGGATTGGATATTCCGAACCCATCGGATATCTTGTCGTCGATGAATTTCAAGGATGGAGAACAGCCATCTAACAAGAAGAAGAGTATTGACGATATGGATTTGGATATGAACAATGTATTGGGAGGCGAGCAGTCGTTGCTAGATGAATTTAATATGGATATGTTGGGTAAGGATATGGACGGTGGCATGGGAGGAGCAGAGGAGGAGTTTGATGTCGATAACTTCTTGAATCAATTTGGAAATGGAGACTAGTTGGTATCTTGTGGAATTTCAATCTTGACTGGCAGACCGTGACTGTTAATGTGACTTATTGGCTGTGAATTCGATGATCTCAGTTCGATCACAGCAACTTCTCGGCTTCATTCTTGAGAGCACGGAGCGTCCCCATAGCTCTATGCACATCAAGGGAAACATCTGATCAAGGTCAGACTACGCGTACTCTTGGTTACGTGCTACTTACTGACACGGACTCACATTGTATAATCTCATCCTAATCCCAAGCATTGTGCCTGATTTCCATCCATCTCAAGTGCTCAAGTGACCATTCAGACAACCCACCCGGAACTTAATTGACGAATGTCATTTTCGAGTTCACTCTAAATGATAACGAATCTCAAGTTTTTTCTGTTGAGAGCTTCATTCGAGCCAATTCACCAGTCTAACGACTAGTCCTACAATGGTGTGCATACTCATACCACCTTTATGATCCCAGGCCATTTCAAGACTCTGACCAAATCAGCCAAAATATGCTTAGGAATCAATATGAAACGCCTAATACACAAGCAAGACCACCAAAAACCACCACCTATTCTTTTTTTCACTCTCATTAACCTCCCTTCCCCTAGTGTAGGTTATACCACCAACAACCAATAGGAAGCTCCCTCCAAGGTCGTGCGCGCACCTCAAACCCACGCTCGGTCTTACCAAAACCACTTTGAAAAGATTCACTGAATCCACACAATGTTCAGACAAACCTTGCGCCAGGTCGCTAGACAATCCAACTCCGTGGTCAGAAGAACCTACGCCACTGAGGCTTCCAGTTCCGATGCCTTGAAGTTGTCGTTGGCTCTCCCACACCAGACTTTGTACTCTGAATCTGAGGTTCAGCAGGTCAACTTGCCTTCCGTTAACGGAGACTTGGGTATTTTGGCTAACCACATCCCAATTGTCGAGCAGTTGAGACCAGGATTGTTGGAGATCATCTCCAAGGGTGGTGAGACCGAGCAGTACTTCGTTTCTGGAGGTATTGCTACTGTCCAGCCAGGTAACAAGTTGACCATTTCTGCCATTGAGGCTTTCAAGCCAGAGCAGTTCGATGCCCAGGAGATCAAGTCATTGATTGCCGATGCTCAGAAGAGAGCTTCTTCTTCCGATGAGGTTGTTGTTGCCGAGGCTAACATCCAGTTGGAGGTGTTGGAGGCATTGCAGAACATTGCCAAATAAGCATATAGGTAAATTTCATGACACGTTAGAGAAATGTAGAGAGATGTTATTTTTGCGAGCTTAAGTATGAAGATTTTAAAATTCCGACTATGGTGACTGGGGACATGGTGCACTGGAAATTTCAGAATCTTTTGGTGAACATGCGATTAGCTCTATTACTGCGTGAATTTGATCAAACTAAGTACTTTGTCTGAAATGCACTGTTGGTCGTACATCCATTAATAGCGTACGTTTGAGAACTTCAACATTTTCTTATTTATCTTCATTTCGTTTATTCAACTCTCGACCTAATTGTCTTACTTTGTAGACCTCGTGCTCAACACCTACTTTCATTGATCCTCTGGTACCCACTTCAACCAAAACACCGCAAAAAGAAAACAACAACCAGCAATGAATCTCACGAAATAGCAAATTATTTGAATATTAATAGAAAGCTCTTCAAATTCCAAATCTTCCAATAATCAAGATTTCTCTGTCCCACCCATCCAAGTGTGCATAGTGCGAAAATTTTCGATTTCCAACTAGACTTCAACTTTCAACTTCTGCCATCACCAATGTCGTTGTCTGCCAAGGAGGCGTTTGCCAAACTTCCTCAGAAGTTGCACAACTTCTTCATCAAGTACCCACCAAGACCTTTCGCAGCATACTCGGAAAAACCATCCACAATCATCGACCCTAACTTGAACCCTTTTCTTCCAAACAAGAACCCAGAGACTGGAAAATGGCATGGGGCCAAGTACTCGTTGAGAAGATCTGCCGACTTGTTCAAGATTGCTCGCAAGTTCGGAATCGAGACACTTTTACCACCTATTCCTCACAGAAAGTTCTACGAAGACAAGTATGAGAACAAGAACTGGATGAGAGGTGTTTTGAACCAGAAGAAGCAGAAATGGGAAAGAGAGTTCCCGGAGAAGTTGGCCAGCAGAAAGGAGGCCATTGCCAAGATGGACGAAACCATCATTGCTGCCAGACCCACATACAAGAAACAGCTTAAGAAGAAGAAGAAGCAGGAGAGATCCTGGTACTAGACTGGAGTGGAGCTTGAGGCTTTCGCTACAGTGGCATATGTATATAGAAGTCAACAGGATGACTGGACAGATGTAGGTACGAGACTCGAAAGGAGACTCGAGGCATCACATTGTAGAGAGCATTAACGAACTTACATAGAGTATGGTACTGCGAGGCCAAAGTACTAGAAATTGCAAGTTCTAAGAGGCTAATAGAGATTGATTTGATACTTCTCAATTTAAAGTGGCCACCAAAGCCGTCTACCCTGTCCATAGCTGACAGATATCCACCTACATTGTTCAATCGTTTCCTCACATTCATTATAATAAGCAGTTGATAAGTAGTTTCAACTTCAATAAACTTTCTATTTGTTCATCCCTGTTCTCTAAAATGCACGCTTACCCTTTCTGAAAGGCTTTTTCCGATCAGAAAGTGTCTTGCTGGGCTTAGCTCCTGGTCCTTTGATCTTCAATTCACTTTTCGCCAAAAGATCCTCGATGTTTAGATCATCCGGGAGAATAATCTGCCGTATCTGATTTCCACGAATATTCATGAATTGCATGAGTTGTGGATCTTGATGCTGTTGAATGAGTTTGATGTTCTTCATGGAAAGATTCATCAGGGGCGAACAGGACAACACCTGACCGTTCACGGAATTTCCGTTCTTCAACTCTACAGTAACGGGCTGGTTGACTGCCGAGGGCAAGTTCATGAGAAATCGAACCAACTTCATGCTATTTTGACCTCGAGTAGATATTTCGATGGATGTATGTACCTACATATTTGGAATTTGAGATGTACGGATGTGTATGTTTTTCGTCAAAGAAGTGAATTTACCTCCACCGACATCTATACCTCGAATAAAATGGCCACAATCAAAGATCATTTGCTAGGAATTCCTCCGGTGACGCGGTTCTTCACATCTGTGACATTGATCACCGTATTGTTTCGGCTGTTGCACTGGATATCTCCAATGGAATATCACTTCTTTGCATCACAGTTTTGGTACGACCTAGAGTACGTTCTTAACGCAGACACATGGTCCGAATACGTGTGGAGATTGCTTGAAAACTCGAAGACTTTCTACAAGTTTTTTACCACTTTCTTCTTCCCAGTGGAAGGTGGACCATTTGTTTTCATGAGTATGTACTCTTTCTATCTCTACTCTTCAAAGTTGGAGGGACGCACAGGAAAATTCAAAGGTAACTTCCCAGATTATCTCTGGTTCATTCTTTTGTGTGGTGCCATGTTGATTGGTGTGGAGGTGGTTGTTAACTACTTTGAAGAGCACTTGATGTTCACCCAGTTGTCGGAATGGACTGGTGAGGCGTACTACCGTAAGCTCCAAGCTTGTCTCATTTATGTGTGGCTGAGATATCTGAAATCATCGAATGTAGACTTCTTGGGAATTTTCCGTGTTCGCTCGTATTACTTGCCCTTGTGTCACCTTGCACTTGCAGTGGTCGATAGTCGACTTGCCGTCTGGGACGCCATTGTTGGCTACTTTGTGGGGTATATATACCTTTGCATCCAGTCCGACACCTTGCCATTCTACAACCTCATTCCTCGTGTCTACGGCAGGGATGATCCAAGACTGAACCGTACCCTTGGCCTGGCCACTGCTATTGATTTCATTCCTGCTATTTTCGACTTGGGTTACTTGAAGGCACCCCGGTTCCTCTACTCTATATTGGGGTATCCTTACAACACCTCCAAGCGGTCCACCGCCTTCAAGAATGCACCGGAGCCTTCTGTAAAATTGATGGATGGCTTTTCCTCAAGCTTCTTAAACAGGGGCGCGGAGAACACTTTCCGTGGTACTGGTCATCGCTTGGGAGGTGCTTCTGACAAGAAGAATGATTAGACATACAGGCGATGCTGTAGCATCGCTCATCTCATTACATATGTACTTCTTTCGAATTCACGATATTGATTGAACATTCCACCGAATGGGTGAATCTGGTGTAGAAGGGACATAAGCACTGTCAATGATATATTGAAAGTTGAAATTGGTAATTAAGTATTGTTTTGCTAATTGCCAAGTTCTAAATTCCTTTATCAAACTTTGAAACTTCTGTTAGGAATCTATTGTTTTCAAGTTCCCCTTTGATGCGTAATAAATTGAGGGAGTTACATATCGCCAGCCAGTAGCATGAATAGCCAGTCCCCCCTCACCCGCGGAGATATCTGCTTCCGCAGATGTTGCCAAGGTTTCCTCATTTTTGCCATTATTAATGTATCATGCGATTTCATGAGGTCTCTCTTTTCCCACGATGAGTCTTCACCAGACAGTTCTACCTTATTAAAAACGAATAAAATTCATCATTGACAATGAAAACAAACCTGTTTCCTCAAAAATTGACTTCCCAATTCATTTTTCATTGCTGACACACCAAAAACTGGCCAAGAAAAATTCCTTCCATTTGCTTGACATGACCTTCCTAATTAGGATAACTCCGACATCGCCCGACGCCGCAGCGGCCAAGCGGGCACTATAATAATCGGCAAAATTCCACACTTTTTTGCTCTATTTTTTTGTTTCTAATATTAATTTCTATTCAATAATACGTTATGAGCAAGACAAATCTTACTTTTACTTGGGAGGACGTTTCTGTGTCTCTGGATCTGAAGATTTTGCTCGACAATGTATCTGGCTGCGTGGCTGCGGGAACTATGATGGCCCTCATGGGACCATCAGGTTCAGGCAAAACTACCTTGCTCTCTGTAATAGCAAGAAGACAAAGGGGATTAAGTGATTTTGAAATTCTGGGGACTACCGCTTTTGGCGGAGAAGAGCTTTCGACTTCGAGACTTCGTCAATTGTCTAGATTTGTCGAACAGGAAGACCATCTAATTGGCTCCCTTACTGTGAAAGAGACGGTTTCATTCTCTGCTAGAATGGCCACAAGATTAACCAATGTGTCAGAAATTACTGCAAATACAATCGATGTATTGGGCTTGTCAAAACAGGCCAATACTAAGGTTGGAACTCCGCTTCAAAAAGGTCTCTCCGGCGGGCAGAAGAGACGACTTTCGGTGGCTGCGCAAGTGGTGACCCAGCCAGAAATTTTATTTCTTGACGAACCAACCTCAGGGTTGGATTCGAAAGCATCATTTGAGGTGGTACAAACCTTGAAGAAGTTTGCTCAGATGGAGAACGTCGTGGTAATTGCATCTATCCACCAGCCTTCCACTCAAACGTTCGATCTATTCGACTCAGTGACTTTCTTGTCCGAAGGAAAAGTGGTTTACTCCGGTCCTCGTGACGGTGTCGAGCTGTACTTCGACAAAGTGAACTATCCTATTCCGACGCACTACAATCCAGCAGAATACATTTTGGATTTGATCAACACTGATTTCGAGGCTGAGGGTATGGACAAGCATGAAGTGTTGGAAAAGTTAGCAACATTTCATAAGCTGAACAAAACTCCATGTGATTCGCTTGTTCTTTTCAAGGAAGAAGAAGAATCTGGGACCCTGACAAACAAGAACCCACTTAGACAAACATGGATCTTGGTGCAAAGAGCCTTTATCAAAGCTCGCCGCGATTATCTTGCTTACTATGTGCGGATAGTCATGTACTTAGGGTTGGCCATTCTCATGGGAACCGTCTGGTTACGCCTTGGATATACTCAAAAGAGCATTCAACCGTTCACAAATGCAATCTTTTTCAGTGGTGCTTTCATGTCCTTCATGTCTGTCGCATATATTCCCGCGTACCTTGAGGACTACTATGCCTATAGCAAAGAGAGGTCCAATGGTTTGTATGGACCTTTCCCATTTGTGCTTTCCAATTTCATCATCGGAATCCCCTTTTTGTTTTTGATTGTCGTCTTGTTTTCTATCATCACTTATTTCTTGTGCAATTTCAGAAAATCTGCTGAAGGCTTCTTCATGTACGTTATGTACTTGTTTCTCAACCTTCTCGCGGCAGAGTCACTCACCATTCTTATCTCCACCATTTTCCCGATATTTGTGGTTGCATTGGCCCTCACTGCCTTTGCCAATGGACTCTGGATGGCTGTTGGCGGATTCTTGGTATCTACCAACGTCTTGAACAAATTCTGGTACTATACCTTCTACTGGGTTGACTACCAACGATACGCTTTCCAGGGCATGATGTTCAATCAATTCGAGAAGGCAGTGTTTGCATGTGGAGAAGGTTGCCATTGTATGTATACTTCCGATTTGGAGAGCCAATGTAAGATTTCTGGACCCGCAGTGTTGAAGGCAGTGGGATATGGCAACAGAGACGATGGGCTTTGGGTCGGAATCATGATTGTGTTGATTTTTGTTTTGAGAGCAGCAACTTATGTCATTTTGAAGCTCCGCAAATAATTTTCAGAAAATGCCCATAGCTAAATCCAAATTATTTCGAACTCACTTCTCATCGTAACATTCACCGAGTTTTCCCTCCTATGTATCAATAAATCCGAAACTATTTGGGTAACACAAGCCGTCTTATCAATCCTATACTACCAGCAATTTTTATTATAATATGCTAGACATTTCCAGGAAGTATTTCTTTCATTCTTTACTAATTCTTTTGAGGTCATGTGCATAACTGATTGTTGCAAACACCAATGAAAAACATCGTAATGTCACAATGAGCGAGCCACACCAACAATTCCAACAATATTAAATTGATTTTTTTTGTCCAGTTTCAATCCTACTTCCAAACCATTAAACTCTATAATTTCCAGCATAAAGTTCTCTCTGAACCCATTCAACCTGAACCCATTCTACCTGAACCTAAAATTAGACCAATTAATTAGTCCTACATAGGCCCGCGAGCTTACACATGGATCTTAACAATACTAGACAACCATAGTATCCAGTCACACATTCTCCGTGGACGGCAAGTTTTGCACCCAGACCGACTTGTGACTTCCAAATATGTCAGAAAGGGCCGGCAAAAAAACTTCCCTCAGCCGCCAGGAGGGTTCCAGTGCAGAGGTTGCCGACAGACCTTCGGGGTCGAGCACCTCTGTAACAGCTTCGCCTTCATTGAAGCCCAAAGGTGTGAAATTGAGAAAAAACAAATCTAGGCCTCAAATGAAGAGACTTCTGTCCGCACAGTATAAGTTGATTTATTCTGTGGATGACGATATCAACGAAGAATTGGAAGACGATGAAGAGCTGGAAGATTTGACCAAGACGGAGAAAAAGTACTTAGAGGGTTACCATGATGCATTGAAACTCCTACATCACCATAAAAAGACTAAGTTGACAGAGCCAGGACGCAGGGCCGGGCCCATTGAGGAAGATGAAGAAGAACCCGATCGACTCCGGCTGAGCCAGATTTTGGACGATGTCGAGAATAACACAATTGGACTCAGCGACGATGACACCGACATTGCTGACGAAACCGCCCAACAGGATGGAGACAATTCCGACAATGAGTCAGCAAAATCCACGAGCCTGAAGGAGACAATTGAGTCGTTGAATCTTAAGGACCGTCAGGAGGCCATCAACACTACGCATCCTTTCGGTATCAAGATTTGGAAGCCTTCTATTTACAAAAAGAATCGCTCTGTGGCTGTCAGAGCAGAGGAAGATATTCATGACTACGACCCCAGACGTCCAGCTGGCCGGATTTATTGGGGTGTTCACTTGACAAACTTTATCTGGTGCTTAACCTTTGGACTCTTCTTGTATGCCTTGTGTGTATTGGGAGCAGTTTTCGTATATGTCATGTCTGGATTTGGCTGGAACAAGAATCTGAAACCGTACGCTCAATTACTCCTTAAATTGGGCCGCTTCTTCCTCTTTCCCTTCCGGAAATTCGTTCTTCTCAATAAGGACGAGAATTACCTTGACGAGGATGAGTTGGACGGTAGATCCATCTCAGAATTCCACCGCTGGAGATTGCAGGAGGAGGGCCGCTTATTTTTTGCTCCTCCTCGCAGAATGACCAATTCCGAGTCCAAACCTTTGTTGAAGGACCACAAGGGTAGACCCTTGAGGGACGCGTACTCGTCCTTAGGAGACGATCAACAGGGTGTAGATGCCGAAAGTGCTGTTGATGATAATAACGATGGCGACTCTCCGACTGAACTCGATAACAACGACATCAAAGTGAGATTCTTTGGAAGAGGCAGATGGTCCGTGGGTCGTTTGTTTTTCTATCTTTTCTTCTACGGTATTCTCCAGCCAATTCTTTTTGTGATTCTGATCCTCGGATGGTTGTTTGTTTTTACTATTCCAATGGCCAACCTCATCAGCATCCTTTGTGACCATTTGAGAAGAAGACCACTTGCTCTCCATTTTGAACTTGAAGAAAGCTATTACCGCAAAATCGCTGATCCGAAATTGAAGAAGTTCTACAAGAACCAGTCCATCATTCTTTGTACCTATAGATGTTGCGGATTGCACTACTATAAGTATACTATTGATGGAACCAACATCTTTTTTATCAACTTATTGGTGGTTGTGTTTTTCGTCATCTTGGACTTCTTCCTTTTGAAAGAAACCTTGGGATGGGAAAAATGGTACACCGACTCATCGTTTTTGTTCTGTGGCTGCTTGTTTTCAATTGTTCCATTGGCTTATTTTATCGGTCAAGCTGTGGCATCCATCTCTGCTCAATCTTCGATGGGCGTTGGTGCTGTTATCAACGCTTTCTTCTCCACTATCGTGGAAATTTTCTTGTATTGTGTTGCATTGAACCAATCCAAGGGTAAGCTTGTGGAGGGTTCTATGATTGGTTCCATTTTAGGAGGTGTTCTTCTCTTGCCTGGCCTCTCGATGTGTGGAGGCGCCTTGAAAAGAAAAACACAAAGATACAACCCCAGGTCCGCTGGAGTTTCCTCTACTATGCTACTCTTCGCAATGGTAACTATGTTTGCCCCCTCATTGTTTTACCAGATGTATGGTTCCTACGAGATTCGTTGCAAATCCTGCGATGCATCCAGCTATTCAACTGGGGCTGAGTGTACCACCTGCCGTTTTATCCAGCCTTCGTTGACTTTGGACAAGCTCTACCTTAGTGTTCTTCGCCCATTCTCAATGATTGTCGCAGTGATTTTGTTCGTTGCGTACGTTTGTGGATTATTTTTTACTTTAAGAACACATGCATCGTTGATTTGGGCAACTAACTCCCATGAACAAGCTGCTATACAAGCGAGAAAGGATAGTTTACCAGCGACTCCTTTGAAATCACCAAGTATCGTGAGCATTGACCACATTCCATTATTGAAATCCAGAAGTATTGAACTTCCACCGAAGAAACCCGCTGTGCCCACGACAGCGCTTCAAGAAATCAATAAGGCGAAGATTTTATTGACTCCAAAAGTCAGTGCTCGTGCATCGCCACAACTTCAGGCAAAAGATCCAGAGTTTCTGGCTGACACTGGAGAAGAAGAGGGAGGGCACGACGCCCCCAATTGGTCTAATTACAAATCAACAGTCATTCTTTTGGGCGCAACATTACTTTATGCAATTATTGCCGAGATTTTGGTTGACAATGTTGACGCCGTGCTTTCTAATTTCCCCATCAATCCTAAGTTCTTAGGTTTGACGGTTTTCGCCCTTGTCCCCAACACTACCGAATTTGTCAACGCTATTTCCTTTGCTGTGGGAGGGAATGTTGCACTTTCAATGGAGATTGGTAGTGCGTACGCGTTGCAAGTTGTATTAATTCAGATTCCAAGTTTGGCGGTGTTTTCTGTTCTCAAAGGTTTCACCAATGTGGAACAAATCTTTTCGTTAATCTTTCCGCGTTGGGACATCATCGCCACATTAATCTCCATTTACCTTTTCACTTACATCTATGCCGAAGGAAAGTCGAACTATTTCAAGGGAGTAATCTTGATTTTGATATATGTGGTAGTATTGGTGGGCTTCTACTTGGACGATGTTGTAGCCGACCTAGACGATGGATTTGGAGTTTCAGCGTCAATATTTGCTCAGCTTCTTTCACGCTAGCTTCAATGACTTATTGTAATTTATAATAAATTGACATGTATTCATAAACTCAATCTTATATAACTCTATCAGTTCAAAAGGTAAATTCTACCCTCGTATGGGCTCAAAGTGCTCTCTTCGTACAGCTCCTCGTTGGAGATGAGGAGCTCCAAATCACCATCAACCAACTTCTCAAACTTGATTGATTCAGTGCTGAAGTTCAACACAACATAAGCCTTCGAGTTACCAGATGTCTTGACGTAAGAGAAGACTTTCTCGTTGTCAAAATCTAAGATCTCTAGGTTACCATAGATCAAGAGATCCTTGTGCAGCTTTCTAACCTCCAAGGACTTCTTCCAGAAGTTGTACAAGGAGTTAGGGTTATCAACCTGCGAAGCAGCGTTGACCTCAGTGTAGTTAGGGTTGACCTTCATCCAAGGCTTACCAGTGGAGAAGCCTGCGTTGGCCGAGTCATCCCATTGAACGGGGGTTCTAGCATTGTCTCTAGCCAACAAGTTAATTGAATCCATCAACTTATCTAAGCCCTTTTCGCCATTTGTAGCCTTGAAGTTCTTGACATAGTTGATGGTGTTGATGTCCAAGTACTCCTCGATGGGCCAGTCCCTTGGAACATTGCACATACCGAATTCCTGACCCTGGTAAATGAACAAGGTACCGGTCAAAGAAGCCTGGAAGAGTGCCAACATCTTACCACTCTTAAATCTGAACTTTGGCGAATCGTTACCGAAACGAGAGATTGATCTAGGCTGGTCGTGGTTCTCAGTGAAAACAGTGGCCCAGGCATCAGTGCCTTCGACGAAGGAGCACATGTTCTGGACAGCCTTCTTAAGGTCTGGCAACGTGAAGCCATTGTAACGGAATCTGTCCTTAGGGTCTGAACCCACCTCAACCACATCGAACAAGAACATCATATTCATTTCCTTCTCCTTAGCACTCACGTACTTCAAGGCATCCTCACGAGTCGAGTGACCGACTTCTCCCACTGTCATTACATCGTACTTGGAAGTGACTTGCTGGAACATCTCCTTGTGGAACTCGTGAATTCTTGGACCAGACTGGTGGTAGAGCTTACATGGCTGGTACTCCTGGTCCTGGAACACAATTGGGGCATCTGGGAAGGTCTGCACCTTGGAGTACATACCAGCAGTGTCGATTCTGAAACCGTCCACACCCTTCTCGAACCAGAAGCTCAATGCGGATTTGTAAATGGCCTGTCTGGTTTCCTCATTCTCCCAGTTAAGGTCTGGCTGTGACTCGGCAAAAAGATGCAAGTAGTACTCATCGGTCAATTCGTCGTATTTCCATGCACTGCCAGAGAAGTAAGAACCCCAGTTGTTAGGTGGGTGTCTGTTGCCCTGCTCGTCGTACTTGGCGGGCTTCCAGATGTACCAGTCTCTCTTTGGGTTCGTCTTAGAGGATCTGGACTCTTCGAACCACTTGTGTTCGGAGGAGGTGTGGTTGATAACCAAGTCCAAGATCAACTTCATGCCTCTAGAGTGGACCTCGGAAATCAACTTGTCCATATCCTCGAGGGTTCCGTACTTGGGGTACACATTCTCGTAGTCGCTGATGTCGTAACCCATGTCGTCTTGAGGAGAGTCGAACATTGGGGACAACCAAACAATGTCGATGCCCAAGTTCTTTACGTAGTCCAAGGTGGAGATGATACCTGGAATGTCTCCAACTCCGTCTCCGTTGGAGTCTTTGTAAGAAGCAGGCCAGATTTGATAGATGGAGGCGTCTTTCCACCAGGTGTAGTCAACAGTCATTTCGCAGTAGTGATTTTTCGTGATGATATTGAAGAAAAAGGTCTGTGGAAATATATAAATAGTGGGGGATCGCGGGGTGGAATGAGTGGGGGCCGGAAAAATACCCCAGATTAATTTGCAAAATTGCAAAATTGCGAGAAAGTTTGCGAAAACCCTGCGAAACTTAGCGAATCAATGCGAGGTTTAGTGGCCTTTACGAAAAGGGAAACCACTCCCCAGGTTTAACGATGGGTTGACGTCTTGATTGGGGAAGGTTACACAGATGACAGTGGCTAATCAAAGATGGAATGTGGGAGGGTATCATGGTTTCGCAAATTGTCAGGTTAGACAGAAACATTAAATGTGATAAAAATAGAATCACCAATTCTGGAGTTTGTAGCCTACTTCAGTGGATACTGTGAATTTACAAGTATATGGACCCTTATGAGAAAACGGTAATCTGTGATGAAGCCTCGTAATTGGACTTTCCCAAAATATTCAGTTACCAGATTAATCCGCACTGTCCCCAACCTTTTTTTCACCTCCACGTCAGGGCTGCCAATCTAACGAATGGATAATCGAGGTAACAAACATACGATGATTTCGCAATAATTAACATTCCACGGAATCTCTTTCGAATTCTTGTTACCCACGAGAGGTGTTTTCTTATTTTCGAGGCAAACGCCTTCTCAGCCCCCACGGAGATCTGCATTAACCTTCATGTCGTGTATTTAGTTGATCGGAATTAAGATCCTCATGACTTCAAACGTCTCTGTTCTGACGAATCGAGAAGGCTCCATATGACAAAGCAAAGACTAGTCGTTCGAGGTTGACCTCTTGTTTTATCTTACAGGTTGTCAAAGTAGAAAAATTTACCAACAGAGGCATTTCAAATTGAAATACTTTCTATCAAATACCCGGACCACACTACGGTTCTTGTCAGATATACATAAGCGAATTTATATTTTTAACTTTTTTTTTTTTAGCCAGAATCTCATACTCTATTCAATGTCTCCTCGTGTCACCGCCTATGTCCGTCGAGTATGTTAACCAACAAATCCTACATCGTATCTAGCTTATTCTCCAGGTCTCCGTTCCCAACTAGGCAACCAGTCCGGTGTCCAACGCTCGCGTTTTTCCTTCCATTTTCCCTCTATTTTCTACATTTTCTCCCCATTTTTGTACTCCAGACTTTTCACATAATCACTCCTACCAACCGCCCACGCCACTTTCGACACAAAGGGTTACTTTTTCGAAATCACACCTTCGTCAGCAACACAACAAGCTAACTCCAAAATAATCAACACGTCTGTTGGTCGAGATTGTCCGTTCTGAAATAAACTCGTAGACCACTGAGCACGGTGCGAACCCAGCGTAAATCTCAGCACCCGCGCTCGCCACCTCCAACGATTTTTTCGTCTTCAAATATCAAATAAACCTTACATCTTGTCAATCCCTCTCCTCTCCCAATACCGTATCATCCATCCATCGGTATAGGTATATTGAGGTAGTGCGTCGCCCACAACTTTCTGCTGTTTGAGTGACTTTTTTTGTTTGATTCCTTCCACGTTTTTCCTTATTCCTTCCGAATCAGAATCCTAACGAGGGTCTCATCGATTATCCACAAACACCCCATCCCATTCATCGTTTCCAGCGCTGTTGGGTAGATTCATTTGTTGGTTACCAATTTCCAGTTTGTCATATCCAGAAAACCACAAAAAAATATCTCATTAACTGCTCAATATGAATCGCCAGTTCCCATACTCCAGCGCCCCGCTCCGCTCCGTGAAAGAAGTAAGTATCCCCCATATTTTTTGTCTCCATTTATAAGAGTTGCTACTAACATGCTCAGGTGCAATTTGGTTTGCTTTCTCCTGAAGAAGTGAGGGCTATTTCGGTCGCCAAGATCGAGTATCCGGAAACTATGGATCAGACCACTAAAAGACCAAGGGACGGCGGTTTAAACGACCCTAGATTGGGTTCAATCGACCGTAACTTCAAGTGTCAGACCTGTGGTGAGGACATGGCCGAGTGTCCAGGACACTTTGGCCATATTGAGTTGGCCAAGCCTGTTTTCCACATTGGTTTCATCTCAAAGATCAAAAAGGTCTGTGAATGTGTGTGTATGCACTGTGGAAAGCTCTTGGTGGACGAGTCCAACCCGTTGATGGCCCAGGCTATCCGCATCAGAGATCCAAAGAAGAGATTTAATGCTGTTTGGAACGTGTGTAAAACCAAAATGGTTTGTGAGGCGGACGTAATCAACGAAGAGGGCGTGGTCACCTCGGGAAGAGGCGGATGTGGTCACACACAGCCAACTGTTCGTAGAGATGGTTTGAAGTTATGGGGAACTTGGAAGCAAAACAAGTCCTTTGACGAAAACGAGCAGCCCGAGCGTCGTTTGTTGACTCCTTCTGAGATTTTGAGCGTCTTAAGACACATTAGTGCTGAGGACTGTCAAATGATGGGTTTCAACGAGGATTACGCTCGACCCGAGTGGATGTTGATCACAGTTTTGCCTGTGCCTCCTCCACCGGTTAGACCCTCGATTGCTTTCAACGACACTGCTAGAGGTGAGGATGATTTGACATTCAAGTTGGCCGATATTCTTAAGGCCAACATCAATGTTCAACGTCTTGAAATGGATGGTTCGCCACAGCACGTTATCAGTGAATTCGAGGCATTGTTGCAATTCCATGTTGCAACATACATGGACAACGATATCGCTGGCCAACCCCAGGCTCTCCAGAAGACCGGTCGTCCTATCAAGTCCATTAGAGCAAGATTGAAGGGTAAGGAAGGAAGATTGAGAGGTAACTTGATGGGTAAGCGTGTGGACTTCTCTGCTCGTACCGTCATTTCTGGTGATCCAAACCTTGATCTTGATCAAGTGGGTGTTCCTCTTTCCATCGCAAGAACCTTGTCATACCCGGAAATCGTCACCCCATACAACATCCACCGCTTGACGGAGTATGTTCGTAATGGTCCTAATGAGCATCCTGGTGCCAAGTATGTTATTCGTGACACCGGTGACCGTATTGACTTGAGATATAACAAGAGAGCAGGTGATATTGCTTTGCAGTACGGTTGGAAAGTGGAGCGGCACTTGATGGATGATGACCCTGTGTTGTTTAACCGTCAACCTTCTTTGCATAAAATGTCCATGATGGCGCATAGAGTAAAGGTGATGCCCTACTCTACATTCAGATTGAACTTATCTGTCACATCTCCATACAACGCAGATTTCGATGGAGATGAGATGAACTTGCATGTCCCACAATCCTCAGAGACCAGAGCTGAATTGTCACAGATTTGTGCTGTGCCATTGCAGATTGTGTCTCCACAATCCAACAAGCCTGTCATGGGTATTGTGCAAGATACTTTGTGTGGTATTCGTAAAATGACCTTGCGTGACACGTTCATTGATTATGAACAAGTCATGAACATGTTGTATTGGATTCCAAACTGGGATGGTGTCATTCCTCCTCCTGCTGTTATCAAGCCAAAGCCTTTGTGGACTGGAAAGCAGTTGTTGTCAATGGCTATTCCTAAGGGAATCCACTTGCAAAGATTTGACGATGGCAGAGATATGCTCAGTCCGAAGGACAAGGGTATCTTAATCGTCGATGGTGAGATCATATTCGGTGTCGTTGATAAGAAGACTGTCGGTGCCACTGGTGGCGGTTTAATCCATACTGTCATGAGAGAAAAGGGTCCAAAGGTCTGCGCGCAATTGTTTAGTTCTATTCAGAAAGTGGTGAACTACTGGCTTTTGCACAATGGTTTCTCTATTGGTATTGGTGATACAATTGCCGACAAGGAGACCATGAAGAATGTCACAACTACAATTCAGGAAGCTAAGCAGAAGGTCCAGGAGATTATTATGGATGCCCAGCTGAACAGATTGGAGCCTGAACCAGGTATGACCTTGAGAGAATCTTTCGAGCACAATGTCTCTCGTGTTCTTAATCAAGCTCGTGATACCGCAGGTCGTTCGGCAGAAATGAACTTGAAGGACTTGAATAACGTGAAACAGATGGTGACGTCTGGTTCTAAGGGTTCGTTCATTAACATTTCTCAGATGTCTGCTTGTGTGGGTCAACAGATTGTGGAAGGTAAGCGTATTCCTTTTGGTTTTGGTGATCGTACTTTGCCTCACTTTACCAAGGATGATTACTCTCCGGAGTCTAAGGGTTTTGTGGAGAACTCCTACTTGAGAGGATTAACACCTCAGGAGTTTTTCTTCCACGCTATGGCTGGTAGAGAAGGTCTTATCGATACTGCAGTCAAGACTGCTGAAACTGGTTACATTCAACGTCGTTTGGTCAAGGCCTTGGAAGACATTATGGTTCACTACGATGGTACTACCAGAAACTCTTTGGGTGATATCATTCAGTTCGTTTATGGTGAGGACGGAATGGATGGTACATCTGTTGAGAAGCAATCAGTGGATACCATTCCAGGCTCTGATTTCAATTTTGAGAAGCGTTATCGTATTGATGTTTTGGACCCATCACACTCTATTTCGGAGTCGTTGTTGGATTCTGGAAAGGAGATCAAGGGTGACGTTAAATTGCAGAAGGTCTTGGACAAAGAGTACGATCAATTGCTTAAGGACCGTCAATACTTGAGAGATGTTTGCTTCCCCAACGGTGACTACAATTGGCCATTGCCTGTTAACTTGCGTCGTATCATCCAGAATGCTCAACAAATCTTCCATAGTGGAAGACAAAAGGCATCCGACTTGAGACTTGATGAGATTGTTGAAGGTGTTAAAGCTCTTTGCACTAAGCTTCTCGTTGTCCGTGGTAAATCCGAGCTTGCTAAAGAAGCTCAGGAAAACGCGACATTGTTGTTCCAATGTTTGTTGCGTTCCCGTTTGGCTGCCCGTCGTGTCATTGAAGAATTCAAGCTCAACAGAATTTCTTTCGAATGGGTCTGTGGTGAAATTGAAACTCAATTTCAAAAATCCATTGTTCACCCTGGTGAAATGGTCGGTGTCATTGCTGCTCAGTCTATTGGTGAACCAGCAACACAAATGACCTTGAACACTTTCCATTATGCCGGTGTTTCTTCCAAGAATGTGACATTGGGTGTTCCTAGATTAAAGGAAATTCTTAACGTTGCAAAGAATATCAAAACTCCCGCTCTTACGGTTTACTTGCAACCTGAGATCGCCGCAGACATTGAGAAGGCCAAGGTTGTGCAATCCGCGATTGAGCATACGACATTAAAGAATGTCACCTCCGCTACTGAGATTTTCTACGATCCTGATCCAAGAAGTACTGTCATCGAAGAGGACTACGACACTGTTGAAGCTTACTTTGCAATTCCTGATGAGAAGGTTGAGGAGACAATTGACAACCAGTCTCCATGGTTGCTTCGTCTTGAATTGGATAGAGCTAAGATGTTAGATAAACAATTGACTATGGCTCAAGTTGCTGAGAAGATTTCTCAGAACTTTGGTGAGGATTTGTTTGTAATCTGGTCTGACGATACTGCTGACAAGTTGATCATTCGTTGTCGTGTAATCCGTGATCCTAAGTTGGAAGAAGAAGGCGACCACGAAGAGGATCAAATCTTGAAGCGCGTGGAGGCACATATGTTGGAATCTATCTCTTTGCGTGGTATTCCAGGTATTACAAGAGTGTTCATGATGCAGCATAAGATGAGTTTGCCAGATGAGACGGGAGATTTTACCCAACGTCAAGAGTGGGTTTTGGAAACTGATGGTGTCAACTTGGCCGAGGTTATCGCTGTTCCAGGTGTTGACGCTACTCGCACTTACTCGAACAATTTCATTGAAATTCTTTCTGTGTTGGGTATCGAGGCTACCAGATCTGCATTGTTCAAGGAAATTCTTAATGTTATTGCTTTCGATGGTTCTTACGTCAACTACCGTCATATGGCATTGCTCGTGGATGTGATGACCGCTCGTGGTCACTTGATGGCTATCACGCGTCACGGTATTAACAGAGCCGAAACTGGCGCTTTGATGAGATGTTCTTTCGAAGAAACGGTGGAGATCTTGTTGGAAGCTGGTGCTGCAGCAGAGCTTGACGATTGCCGCGGTATTTCTGAGAACGTTATTTTGGGCCAGATGCCTCCATTGGGAACTGGTGCATTTGACGTCATGGTAGACGACAAGATGTTGCAACACGCTACTCCTAATGCAAACCTTATTACTTCAGGTGTCCAAACAGGTGATGATGGTGGAGCTACTCCATATAGAGATTACGAGATGGACGATGACAAGATTCAGTTCGAAGAGGGTGCTGGATTTTCACCAATTCATACTGCAAATGTTTCAGAGGGTTCTGGTTCTCTCACTTCTTATGGTGGCCAGCCTTCGATGACCTCGCCAACTTCGCCATTCTCATATGGAGCTTCGTCGCCTGCATTTGGTGGTGCAACGTCACCAGGATATGGTGGAACCTCCCCAACATATTCTCCAACTTCTCCTAGTTACTCACCAACTTCGCCAAGTTACTCGCCCACCTCGCCAAGTTACTCACCAACATCTCCAAGTTATTCACCAACTTCGCCAAGTTATTCGCCAACTTCTCCAAGTTATTCGCCAACTTCGCCTAGTTACTCACCAACTTCGCCAAGTTACTCACCAACTTCGCCAAGTTACTCACCAACTTCGCCAAGTTATTCACCAACTTCGCCTAGTTACTCACCAACTTCGCCAAGTTATTCGCCAACTTCTCCAAGTTACTCACCAACTTCGCCTAGTTACTCACCAACTTCGCCAAGTTACTCACCAACTTCGCCAAGTTACTCACCAACTTCGCCAAGTTACTCACCAACTTCGCCTAGTTACTCACCTACTTCTCCACAATACTCCCCTACTTCACCAAGTTATTCGCCAACTTCGCCAAGTTACTCGCCAACATCCCCACAGTATTCGCCTACCTCGCCGCAATACTCGCCGGGATCTCCGTCTTATTCTCCAGGATCACCACTGTACTCCAGTGAGAAGAAGAAGGACGAGGAGAAGAAGTAGATGGATGTATATGGTTCACCTCCTAAGAAGTATACTAATTGTATTTTTATCTTGAAAAAAAAAAAGAAAACATTTGAGGCAAATAAAATATTTAGAATAATATAACACGATAAACTATCTTAGGATATAGTTTCTTTACTATGCAGTGCATCCATCTCCCCAACTCATCTCTACTAGTACGATGTCCAAGCAAACACCAGGCTCAGGATCTTTGAAAGATTTAGAAATCAAAAGAAGAGAGGTATTCAAACCCATTCTAGATAATCCTTACACCAGAGGAAACTCGTGGCCCCAAGTTCCAGATACAGTCTCTAAATCTATATTGGAATACTTAACTCAGTTACTCTCCAGCTATGGCCAATACAATCAGCTCCGCAAGACCAGCAAGGACAAAAATATCCCGAAACATGACTTAGAGAACAAAATAACAATTGGTTTCAACTCCACAGTACGTGTGCTTGAAGAACAGGCTGCACCTAATCGAGAGAAGGTCTTGAAGAGAAAGGGCAGACAAGCACCAATTACGAGTACCAAACCTTATGTCAAATATGTTTTCGTTGCGAAATCTGACATCACTACGCCTTTATTGACCAACAGTTTGCCACTTCTAGCGTTTTCAGCATCTCGATCTCTGCAAGATAGAGTCAAGCTCATCGAATTGCCCAGAGGCTCGCTGGAAAAGCTTCTGAAGGTGCTCAAAGAGGACAGGGTCAGCATAATGTCCCTTCGACAAGACTGGGCCGAGGGGGCTCCGTTGTTCACGCTAATCGATGACAAAATCAAGGACGTAGAAGTTCCGTGGCTCGAGGCATTATTTACTGGTGATGGGGCTCTTGATGCTGTGTACCAGAAGCCGGATGTGAGATTCTTGAAGACATCTGCGCCTATAGGGAAGCCAAAGAACCAACAAAAAAAGCAAAAGAAGCAGAAGAGAGATGGGGAGGGTGAGGAGAAAGATGAGAAGGAAGAGAACTCGAAGAAGCAAAAGACAAATTGAAGGGCTGGTCACAAGAATGGAGTGAGAGAGACAAATAATTGACTCAGCAGTTACAGTGGTACAGTGTATATTTGGCCTTAATAGAGAGTTACTACTCTACAGTGGACCACTGCTCGACTTCGTGAAGTGCCCGTCCTAAGTCTTTACTCGTCAATACGATGACAAATTCTTGAAGATACAAGCTCACGTGTATGGCGACAATAAAGTATCTGAAGATCATTCTTAAGTCTATCTTGTTGTATTACAAGGATGGTCTTCATAACATGATTAGTACCAACAGCCACAGAAATTAATGTTCATTCAGCTTGTACAAGTATGAAATGATTTAGTATTTTTAGTGTATCCAAATCTTCTTAAATCTTTCGTCATCTATCTAAATCTTTTAATCCGTTTAAGTAACTCAAACTCCTGGATATTTATATCGGATCACCCTTCAAGTTCAATTCATTCTATAAACTATCTCAAGTCTTTAAAACCACGCGTTCGCGAAAACCAAAATCATCACCAAATTCATCAACGTCACCACGTCCACCACCATGACCAAAAACCTCGCGCTCAATCTAGAGCTTCCATGGGTAGAAAAATACAGACCCCACAAACTCAAAGATATTGTCGGTAATGAGGAAACCATCGAGCGTCTCAAGCTCATCGTCCAGGATGGTAACATGCCCCACATGATCATCCTGGGTCTTCCAGGTATTGGAAAGACAACCTCTATCCACTGCTTGGCCCATGAGCTTCTTGGCGATGAGCTCTATCACCAAGCCACTTTAGAGCTCAACGCGTCCGACGACAGAGGTATTGACGTGGTCAGAAACAAAATCAAACAGTTTGCTCAGACAAAGATTCTGTTACCTCCAGGAAGACACAAAATTATCATTTTGGACGAGGCAGACTCCATGACACCTGGAGCACAACAGGCATTACGTCGTACCATGGAATTGTACTCGAACACCACCCGTTTTGCCTTTGCATGCAACCAATCTTCCAAGATCATCGAGCCTCTACAGTCCAGATGCGCCATTTTGCGCTACAACAAGCTTGCGGACGACCAAGTGTTGGCAAGACTTCTTGAGGTGGCAAAAATGGAGAATGTTCAGTATAATTCGGAGGGAATCAAGGCATTGATCTTCACTGCCGAAGGTGATATGAGACAGGCCATTAATAACTTACAAAGTACTGTGGCAGGTTTTGGCTTTGTAGATGACGTGAACGTTTTCAAGATCGTGGACCAGCCACATCCGCTAGTTATCAAGAAGATCTTGGGTTTCTGCGTGTTGGACAAGAACATCGATGCCGCAATCGACTTGCTCGATACGCTTTGGGCCAAGGGCTATTCGGCCATTGATATCGTTACGCTGTCGTTCAGAGTAGCCAAGACGTTGCAAGGAGTCACCGAACTGAAACGTCTAGACATGATCAAGGAAATTGGCTTCACACATGTGCGGGTATTAGAGGGAGTTCTGACGTACTTACAATTATGTGGAATGTTTGCCAAACTTACGGAGATTAATTAGATAATGCATTTTTCTATTTACGTTCCTCGTGTAAATCCGCCTACTTCGGTTTATAGGCATCGCAAAGAAGCTCAAAGTGCTTGATCTGGTCTCCCACAAACTCATTGGACTGATCGTCAAACTCGCTGCGCAAAATAGTGACCACCAAGAAGTAGTTATTGAAGAGGAAGATCTCTTTCTGCACAGCCTTGCTCTTGCTCGAGCCAAACAAACGACTGCTAGCCTTAGTAAGTGCACTTTCATAGTCGTTTCGCATTCTGACAATCGACATGGTTACAGGTTCTCCCTGGAAAAAGCTCAGCTTATCCGATTCCTTATCATGAACAAACGCAAGCTTGAGGAGCCCCGTAATGTACTGTGCAAATTGCTGCGTGGCATTAATTGGAGCCTGGTTTAACTCGGATGTTCTATAGGAGTAAGAACTGGACCCAAGAATATGTTTCTTCGTAGATTCACAATTGAGATCTATGATTTTGGTGAAATGCGGCCACAATTGTAACAAAAGCGAATTGTGGTAATCGTCCATCACGGGGACATGAAATTCATTATGGAGCGTGTACGATTGGTTTTGGATCAACCTGATCATGAGCAATATAGCATACGCATCACATGTTTGGGACAGGCCGCTATTGCCATACGAAGAGGCTGCAGCTGTGGTTGACGCCATACGTTGGGAAAAGCTCTGATGCAGAAATGAGACAAGCCAGTTGACATACAGATTTCCCATCTTGTAGACCTCGTCAAACATCACATAAGACCAGTCCTTCGATGAGTGGGGGAGATTGGAGGCTGAGGAGTCGAGATTGCTGACTGGTTCAAACTTTTCATTTCCTTGGTAGAAAAACTCCACAACGAACAAGTACTCAACAATGATGTTGTCCAACACCGCGTTGGACCACTGGTTGAAGGGAAATTCCAACCAGTAAGCAAACGGCGTGGTCTCCGCAATCTGCGATGGAATTGACCGTCGAGCATCGCTGTCCTTTTCGAGAATATCCATACGCTTCGTAGCTGACAGGAAATACTCTGCCAAGGTTGGTTTATTGGGAGTTGGGCCTGATCCAGATGCGGCCATCAGGGTTGCAGCATACGACGCCTCTACAAAGCCAAAAAGACTCAGCTTGGCGTCCAGGTGGTCGTTAGAGCCGCCTAAAACAAACAGCAGGTCTACTACCTTCAACTTAAGCTTCTGTAACGCATACAAGTACTTGGCAAACCGCGTGGTGTAGTACCATTTCATGGTGTAGATATAGGCCAAGTGGAGCTGTTTGGCCAACGCTGGATGCCGTTCTGCAAGAAAAGCATACAATTCTTTAACCAGAAGAAGCTTTTCCTGAACAACTTGTGAGGATGTTTTGAGCGATCTACGCAAAAGTCTAATTTCCAATATGAGGAAGTCTCGAATGCGTTCAATGGCTTTGGCCTCAAGCGAAATAATGCCTTGCTCCAACTGCTTGAACGCAGTCAGGTCCTTGGAAGTCAGGGAAGTGTCGTTCCGTATTTTTTGGATAAGCTGCTGCTTCTCCACAATGAAACGGACGTTCTCAACCCATTTCTCAGTGACCGGTTCGTTGAGAACGGACTCAGCCACTGCCGGGGGAATCATTAGGTCCAAAATGATGGGATTAAGTTGATCTACCAATTCTCGTTGCAGATCGAGGCCATGATTGAGTTTGGATGACATTTCTTGAAGCGAATAGAGGGTATCAGAGAGATCACATATTTCCTTATTGAAGTTGTCGAGAAAAGTTTCGATAGGAGCCAAGCGTGCCTTAAAAGGGCCAATGGCACCGGCAAACAGCTCAAATCGAGCAGTGAGAACTCCCAACTCCTGCTCAGAGAGGTCATGGAGTGGTGGTAGTGATTCTGAAGCCTCCAGGTTGGATTGTGCGGAGACAGGATTGGTAGCATCCAATTGTGAAGAATCATCCAACGGAAGCAATGTCAGAAGATATGCTAGACTCATGATAGTGTGACCACGTAGCTGATATGATGATTCTGTCAAAGTCTCTGGACTGTAGATATCTGAAGTTGTTTGAATATGGATATATTGAGAATCCAAAACGCACTTCGTATGTTATAGTACAGTACTTCACTAAACCACTATATTACACCACCCCATTCTTACACTGCTAACCCAGGGAACGAACGCCGACTCTGCAGGTATTATATGGTGATGAAACATGACCCAGATCTCCTTCAGGCGGCCATCGAATCTGACCACCTCTTTGACGACAGCTTTGAAAACAACACTGACCACTCTGTATCACAGATCGTCGTGTCTGATCGTCAGTACGACGTGATAACGCATCCATGTAACATGAACGAGGTACTTAGTGTGCGTGCTGGGCCTGGGTCTGGTAAAACATTTACTATCGCAGCTCGGATCGCCCATTTGCTCCAACTGGGCATGGATCCAGGTAATATTTTGGTGCTTTCGATGGCCAACCGGTCCGTGGACGCTCTACGAAATTCTCTCGCAAGTATAATAGGTACCGAAATGGCCACTAGCGTGGATATTTCCACGTTTCATTCGTTCTGCGGCCTGATAATTGACCAATACTCTCCAGTATTGCAACCAAGTATGGCTAGACGGAGAATCTTCGACAAGAAGTGCTGGTACAATTTGGCACAGTTTTTCCTGAGTAAGCTGATTGTGTTGGGCAACTCGAAGCTTGAGGGTCACATAACACCGCTTCGCTTGGATAAATTACTTTCGGAGGTTACTAATGGTGATCTCTCTATCAAAGACGCAGCACTGAGGTACAAAATCAACGCTGACTACATTGAGACCCTCGTGCGGTACTTGAATAATCATGGCATGATGCGCTACGGTGACCTTGTCAAAAATGCATTGTCGCTCATCGAAATACTGAAGACTATGGAGAGAACACACGATCCTCAGAATATGATCTTACTGGGCATGCCTCGTTTGGAGACATACAAAGCAGTATTTGTGGACGAGTTTCAGGATATGTATCCATCCCTTTTATCTGTCGTCAAGGCAATAGTAAACTATCCCACATTTGGCCACGAGAATACCATGAAACACTTGACAATCTCGGGAGATCCCAACCAGAGCATCTACGAGTTTCTTGGGGCCAATGCTTCATCCATGGCCAACATTCGCCATGTGTTTCCATCCATGAATGTTGAGGAGAAGCCATTGGCTGAGTCCTACAGATGCACACAACCAATTTTGGATGCTGCGACAGATATTACCTTGAGAAATGGTGACAGGACGTCGCTAATCTCCAATAGAACGCCTGATGTGCAAGTCAAGCCAGTTGTTCTCCAACATCCCAACCAGGAGTCTGAATTTGCTTTCGTTGCAGATGAGATAGTGAGACTTATTTGCTGTCTGGGTGGACTCATCCGTCCCAAGGACATTGCAGTACTTACGCGAACAAATGCCGAAGCTGAAAGGATCCAGGCAATACTCAAGGGTCGATTTGGTCTCCGAAGTAACAAGATTTCGCAAGGAAATCTTTGGGTGACTTCCCCGATGCACATTTACAGAGATATACTCAGCGTGATCTCTGGTGAGTCTGATTCGAGCTTCAGTTTATTAAATTTGCTTCCAGTCTTAGATCGAGCGCGGGGATCACGCCTCCGAGCTTCGAAGTTGTTCAGTGCCAGCATTAAGAAGGAGAGTGGAGATATAAACTTTCTTGAGTCATTCGTCTTTGACGAGTTGGAGAAGATTCAGGATGAGAAAGGTAAAAAAGCAACTACTGAGAACAAAGTAAAGGCCGCTGCGGCTAATAATGAACACGAGAAGACCGAAACGGATAAAGGGGGCCGGAAGAAGAACAAAAATATGAGTACGCTCGAAACTTTATTTAAAAATTGCAACATGCTGCTTGAAAACATTGCCCAATTTCTCAATCAGGTGCAAATTGAGCGCAGGAAGCTTCACAAGATCCATCAGCGTGATCCATTGGGCTACAACCCACAGGCACTTGCCAAGTGCCTTGCAAATATGGCACGCCTTCCAGGTATTCACGAATATATTTTTAGTGACCAAAAACATGAGTCTCCATTCAGCAATTACCTTGAATCGTTTAACAATTCACTTCATCACTCGTTCGAAGGGTACTCTGCAAGACCGGATCTCCAAGAAAATTTAACGTTTGTGGACTACTTTCTCCAAGCGTACGATAATGAAGTTCCTGCCACTAGCAATAATTTGGTTCAAGTTTCTACCATCCACTCTGCAAAAGGCTTGGAATTCCCCATTGTTTTCGTCTTAGGTACTGGTAAGTATCGGGCATATTGGGATTCTTATCTTGAGAGTGGTGTGACAGACGAAATGGGTGAAAAATCAAATGAGAGAAACCGTGAAAGAAGTTGGGACACCAATGAGGCAAAGGAAGCACTGCTTGCAGTAAACAAAGAAGAGAATAGAAGAATCGATCGCGATCACAGGTCGCTGGCCGAAACAGGAAAACAAAGTGAAGTTAAACGGCGCACCGTGGGTGGTTATGAAGGTGAAAGCGCAAAAGAAAATACAGGTGAGAATGAAGGAGAGAATGAGGGAGAGAATGAAGGAGAGAAGCACTATGAAAAGGAAGGCGAATATAAAGAGGAAAGTGACAAATCAGAAGAAACCGACCAAACCAAACCTAAGACCTTGTCGTCCTCACATCTACTCTACGTGGCCCTTACTCGAGCACGCAACTTAGTGTACCTCGGAACGGGCCTAAGTTGGGACCGAATGCTGTCATCGGCACATCGTTTATTCGCATGCAGTGTGCCAGAGTTGGTAACGTCGAGTTTACGCAACGTTTACGACAAGGATTTTGGCCCACCGATTGACGGTCTTGCACAAACCAAAGAGGCATCCTATGAAAATGGCACCCATCAATACTCCCATGGGCGTGCGTCTCATGAGCAGAATAAACTTCTCTGGGGCCTCTGCAGAGATTTGAATAGGGCTTATCCTCTGCATAGAAAGTTGGAACAAGGCCTCAAATCGTACATGAACATTGTGAATAGCACCCCCACGCACGTGAGTAATGCTAAGCACGTGAGTCACCCTAGGCTATCAACAATAGTGGGGGGCACTATAGGACCAATTCAAACCACGTTCAACCGGAGTAAAACGTTGATGAGGCGAGTCTAGTTCGTCACATGTGTTGAATTTGAGGTTTGAGACACAAATTGGTCAAATTTCTTGTCAGTTTCCTTTTAGGCAAGGGTCCATAATTGAGAAATTAATCTTGACTCTGTTGACCGCGAACAAATGGCTACTCTCAATTGGCATTGATCTAAGGCGATTTGATTTTACGAGGCTATTTTTTTTTTTTTTTTTTTTATCGGGCCGTTGCATGGACATATTTAATACTCGGACTCTGCTAAAGGAACTTTCTCGATCGATCTCCCGAAAAATATGCCCCATTGCCTTTGACCTTTAATCCACCATATATGACTACATGTGATCATTTCAAGCAGGAGACGCCTTGGGATCCGTTCCAAGGTGCCCTTGAAGAGTATCCCGACATCCAGAACTACGTGAACAACTTTCAGGTGGTTCTCAAATGCGCCCGAGCTGGCAAAAGCGCAAGAATGCCTCGGCATTTCAAAGATTCCATCGTGGTCTTCAAGAAGAAAAAGCTTCCAATACGAGCCCTACATTCCCAATCTAATATTTATGACCACGACCTTAAAAGTTTGGAGCTAGACGTTCTGAACGAAAACAAGTCCCGATTCAGCTGCCTACGGTGCCGAAAGTTTAAGAAGAAATGCACCCGGGACTTGCCAGAGTGCTTGAACTGTGTGTCTTGTGACGAACTCTGTATTTACATTCCTCGGAAGAGGAAAAGCAGCGTGGAATCTGCAACTGTCGCTGACAATGATAAGCATGAAACAAGCAGCTCCGCACCTAATACCTGCCCTAATTACAGTCGCTCTGGCAGCCTCAGTATAGATGCTATCGATACGAAGTACCTTCCATTTGACACCGATGAAACCGTGATGAAAAGACGGTTCTCGATGCCAATTAAGCTTCCGACAAGCAGGCAGACCACAGAGCAGCGTGGAGTTCACTACGGCTACAGCACCTTCAGCAGTATCGACAACAACAGCAACAACAGCAACAACAGCAATATGGTCAACTCTGGCAAGGTAATCAACGCCAACAGCATGGCCAACGACAACAGCATGGCTAGCAGCAGATTCTCTAGCGTCACCAGCAGTACCAGCAGTAGCACGTCCAACAGCAGAAGTCCAAGCAGAAGCAGCACTGGCAGTAATCTCTACAAGCTTCTTAATTAGATTACATATTTATTCAAAGGATAATCTGCCACCTTTAAGGCTCGTCATTCGAGTGTACGAAGTGAAAAGTATCTAACTGTTATAATTTTTCACCAACGTCACCACTAGGCCCACCAGACATTCTACCAATGTTATTAATTAAGCTTGGATAACAAACTCAAAAGCCCCGCCTTTGGGTCCTCCTGGTCGCCTGCTTCCCCTGAGGGATCGTATCCGTCGCTCTCCGTCTCGCTAAGTCGTTCATGCATGAGCTCCAAGTCATCCTTGTGGTGAGCCTCGAATTCTCTGAGGTTTTCTGGGGCTGGTGGCTCGTCGAAGTCCGGAGCATAGTCATCCTCGGATTCCGTGTCGCTGCGAACAATTTTGATCACTTCTGTATGTTCCTCTCTGTCGTACTCTTTGATCTGGATGTCCTCTGAAAATGCAACGGATTTCTTCGATGTATTGGACGAAATGGACGAGTCCGAGAGTTTTCTCTTTCTGACTGGTCTTACGTCTACCGGATCAGCCGCTGGAAGCTTTTCTGGCTCGTCATCGTCCTCACTGGAACTTTCATAAGTTGGGACCAAGTCACTAGCTGAGTCTGCGTTCGATTCGAACATGGGCGACTCATCCTCGTCATCCTGAGCTTCCGTGTGTCCCAGCTCTGTTGGTTCGTCCAACATCTCCTGCAACTCCGATCTGGTGGACTTCAACTTGTCCATTTTCTGCAGAATGATCTTGACCTTGGATTCGTCGGTGGTAGCGCCTTCATTGAGCAAGTTCTGGAGGTTGGACAAAATGGATGTGACCTCCTGACGGGTGGACTTGATGTCATGCAAGTTCTGCGTGGTTAAGTTGCACAACTTCTCGAGAACATTCAACTTGGAGATGTACACCTTGGGCAGTGGAAGGTTATCCAGAGCAGAATGGTCATGTGGCAAGTATGTTTTCAGCTGGAACCCCACCTGTGACAAGTTGGACAGACATACATCTTGCAACAGATTGAGGTGGAGGTACAAATTGTTGAGATGGACTAATTCAGGAGCGATTTGAACGGAAGTCGACGATTTGACGGGCGCATCGTCCACCTCGGGCACATTGGGCATGCCAGATTTCAGCAACTCCACTGAGCGGCGCATCTGCTTGATCTGTTGCTTGTCGAAGATATTTCTCTGTTCCCAAACACCAATTAGACGTTCCACCTTGGGTTTTACTGGCGAATCCAAAGTTGGATACATTGCGTTCAAGACATCGGGAAGAATGCGAGCAAACTCGGTGGAGAACTCGGGCTTGCGCTTGTGGCGAGCCTCTTGTACAACGTCGTTGCAGAGATACAAGAGCGAGAGCTTCTTGTTCAGTTTCATGGTGGAGATGTTGGACACCGCGTAGTTGCTCCACAATTCACACAAGTCTTTAGCATGGCGGTGATGGAAAAGCACCCATTGCGAGATGGACACGATCAGCTCCTGGGTGTCTTGGAGCGAGTCCAATTTCTTCCTGAAAACGTCAGGGGAAAACGACATGGAGGTGGAGATGATGATTTTCGCAGTATGAAGGAGTGGGATGGAGAAGTAGTTGAGGCGATGGTAAGAGATGCGAGGAAAGTAATATTAGAGATAATATAAAGGGATTCTAAGTGCGAGGTAATATTATAATAAGTTGCAACTATGGGATGAAATGTTTGAAAAAAAGGTGGATATGGACATGAAGTAATCTAATTTACAAAGCAGTAGGTGAGTGAGGGCGAGGTGTATTGGAAGTAAAAATTGACTTACGATTTACAATTGATTTGTATTGGAGAAGTGGAGATTGTCGAGTAGTGTAATTTGAGCTGATTGGTACTGGAGAGTTGAGTACGTCTTTGTTGACTAGATGAAGGGGCTATCTTTGAATGCTTGTAATTCATAGGAGTGACTGTTGGACATTATTGAACAGATGACTCTCTCGATGACACCAATTATCTCAAAATACTAAATATCTTATAACAGCTGAGGCCAATTACAAGAAGTTTTTCCATGGGATTCAACATTATCAATCTCTTCCTTTCATATCGTTTCCATTACTTCTCTCCACTTTTTCTCATCATTCTCCGAAGCACTCTTCGTTACCTCACCACCTCATCCAACCAAAGAACACCGAGAGCAAAAAATTAAGATACTTAACAAAATATAAATACACAAACACCAACACTATAAATCAGGACCAACACCATTCTATGCCTTCTTTAACTCTTCTAAATCACTTCCCATTTTCAACGTGTCTCATCCAGTATCCAACTTATGTACTGCACCCATTCCACAAATCAACATAACAAACATACTCCACGGCAAAATGGCCAAAACACGCAAAAATGTTCTAGGATCCGTAGAAGGACTAGAAGCAGATGAATATACCAGTGCTGTTCGAACTTCTCCTCGCACAAAGACCCGTGGAAGACCGCGTGCCGACGCTGCAAAAGTCAAGAAAGAACCCGCCAAACGCGGCAGGAAGAAGAAAACTCCTGATGAGCCTCCATTGATGCTTGGAAATAAGAAATCCGATCTAGCAGTTGCTGCTTCAAAGCTCAGCGGTGGCAAATTTCCTTCTCCCACACCAGATCTTAGCAATAATTCTCTGTCCAACTCCACAATGGAGAAGACTGTGTCCATAGCAGTTTCTGGCGGTGCCAGTGTGACAGAGAATGATATTTTAGCTGCCAGTACGCCCCAAGCTTTGATGAAGCTCATAAATAGTCTCGTTACCACGCAACAGGACGCCATTTTCGATAAATATCGCCTGACTTCAAGACTTCAAATGAATCATGATAGCCTGGTAATCAGCGGACTACGCGAGGAGCTCCGTCACAAACAAGCGACAATTGATGCTCTACAAGCGCAAATTATAGAAAACGGCGGTGTCAATGCAGATGTGTCGTCGATTTCTGTGGTTAGCTCAACCCCGAGAAGACAAGGAACCAGAGAATTGTACCAGTCACCAATCAGGCAGAAATCATCGTCGCTGATGCTTCAGCAGGAGGATCTCGCCAATGAGTTGAAAACAATCGGAATCACATTGGATATGCAAGAGTTGCTCACAGGAGTCCGAATCACCAACTACGAGGATGACCGAGATAAATTCTACTTTGACGTCAAACAAACAAGCACTAACATCGACAACGACGTGGACGCCGTTAGTGTGATGTACAGACTTGTCATCAAAAAGAAGTTTGAGCAGACGGCCGAAGTCACATACATTCCCAGCTTCCTTCGAGAAGCGAAGAATGATGATGCACGGCGAGTGTCCTTTCATTTGCCCGACTACTTGAAAGACAACCTCATCTTTCCCTACAACACTCTTCTGCAGTTTTACGCCAAGATGAGTAAGGCGTTGAACAAGAGCGCCAAAGCATAACTGTACTATAATGCATATACTATTTACAAGGAAACCACAAATTTGCCGTCCTCCACAGCCACCTGCAACTGTTTCAACACGTCTTTTTTGTCTTTGTTCAAGTCCTTAGACATGTCTTTGATGATTTTGTAGAGGGATCCATTGGAGTACTTGGAGAGGTCGATTTTCTTCTCTTTCTTCTGTTTGGAAATTTTAGACTTTTCCTTCTTCTCTTCCTTGACAGGCTTCTTCTCTTGCTTGACTTCCTTCACATCCTTCTTCTCTTCCTTGACAAACTTTTTCTCCTCCTTGGCAGGCTTCTTCTTGCCCTTGTACAAGGCCTTCTCATATTTCTCAGCTTCAGAAATACACTGAGTGTGACCCCTATAGTCAGTGCCACTGAAAGTGGTGGAACAGTCGATACACGTAAAGTAAGCACCGTGGCATCTCTGAGAATGCTGATCTAATTTCTTTTTGATCACGGTGTCGTTGCACACCTCACAAGAAAAGGAAACCATAGTAGGCGATGAGATAATTTTTCGCGATGGCTGATAATGAGAAAAATGAAAGACGGTGATACCTTGATTCTGGGACAAGTTTGAGAAGTCCGTACCGTTTATATTCACCGCATTAGATCACAATGATATCTATCATAATCTCCGTCATCATATTTATCACCTGCACTTTCACTTCCTTTTCCGGATACACTGGAATCTGTCACTTAGAATCCTTCACGGTTATCAATCACTCCACAAAACCAATCAAGTCCGTCTCCGAACCCAAATTCTACAATTCTCTACCAAACGGGCTCATCCTCCTTCTTTCTCTTAACTCGGACAATCTCGTAGTCATCACTCACATCTTGGCTGTGGTCTTTCAACAATCCCTGAAGTCTGTAGTAGTCATCACGCTTATCGAAAGACCGTTTATTTTCAATCATACTGAGCATCTCATCCTCGCCCATTTGACGATATTTCTCGTCGAATCTCTCCCATTTGAGTGCAGTGAACTTTTGGAGGTAGAGTGATCCAGCCACTATACTGAGCATGAAAGGAAGACCAAAGAAGAGGAAGTGATTCTTTCTGAGAAGCTTCTGGTATCGGCCAGCAAAAGATTTATCGTAAGCTGCCTGTTCTTTCTTACCTCTAAAGGGCTGACTTCCAAGGTGAACCATGGTTGAGTTTAGTACTGACTGAACCTACCAACAAGTAACGGTTCGGAGACACCCGTACACCATAAGAGAATACACCCATACATCCAGAGACCTAGTCCGTAACCGCCCGGGGGATTCCTCGGAAAATGCAAGGAGGCGATTGAGGGACGCACGTGATGTGTGCGCCTTCAGGGCCACTAGGTTGCATAGAATAATTATCGCATGGGGTGCCACCCCATATTCCAAATTAGGAAAGATCCCAGCCTGGCATCTGCAGCCGGCAACCACCAACCATTCTCCTCGCCTCATAGTTAATCCATGACAGATCTGCAGTATGAATCGTACCAAGATATGGTAGAATCTGCCAGTGTGATTTCTTTTTCTTTTTTCTTGTCAGTGATTCAAAAGTCCATGTTAAAGGACTCTGATAGTTTTCATTAAATTATTGACACCTGTTTCCAGTCATCTGCATCATGATCTGAATCGTCTCGCCAAAGTATAAAATTGACTGAGAGCCTCAATTGGAGTTGCGCGGAATGTATGCAGTATAGACAATATGTCTACTATGAGCATTCACCAGGAGCTAGGGAGAAACAAGGCGTTGGAACATAAGCACGTTCATGAGGGGATTAAATTCACGCTGTTTAGTAATAGCACTCCCTTCCCGTCGAAATTATAGGCTCTTGTATCCAATAACCTCTCAAAGAAAGTCTATACCGTTTCACCCCACCCCTTTTCTCAACGACTATCCAGTGTCCTGCAGGAAGCCCCACCTACTACCATTTTCCACTTGAGTGTTTTTTTCCTCAAACTTCAACAGAGAAAAAAAACCTTACCATTCACCGCATTGTCCATACGCGTGGAACCACAAATTGGCTGAATTTTCCGAGGCTACCAATCAGCAAATATTTGCCCAATTCCCGTGTTAAGCTTTTCCCAAAAAACCCCAAACATCTCTCTGCTACCCGAATCCCCGGATATCACTTTAGGAAATGTCCGTCTACGCTAACTCGGCCCAACTGCAACAGGGTCAAGCACAGCAGCAGCAGCAGCAACAACAGCAGCAACAGCAACAGCAACAACAGAGGCACCAACAACGTTTGAATGAATTGTTGGATGCCGTTAAGCAGGAATTTGACTTCGCCTTGAACGAGGCCTCCAATTTCTCCAAGGTCAAGGACGACTATGACTTGAAGTGCAATCAGCAGACTGCGGAAATGCAGCAGATCAGACAGACCGTGTATGAGTTGGAGATGGCACACCGTAAGATTAAGGAGGCGTACGAGGAGGAGATTTTGCGTTTGAAGACCGAGTTGGAGAACAGAGACAGACAGGCCCAACAGAAACAGACTAATGGCGGCAATTACCCTTACTCGTACCAGCAGCAGCAACAACAGCACCAGCAGCAACAGGTTGCGCCTACGCATGGCCACGCGCAGCCTCCAGCCATCAAGCTGGCCAAGGCGGAATCTGCTAAGAACTCTCCATCTATCCCAAAGACCGAGCCAGCAACCACTGCTCTAGCCCCTTCTACCAATGCTGCCGCTCCTGCTGCAGACTCCAAGTTTGGTCAGGAATTCTCGTCGGCATTGACTGTGATTGACAAGAGCCAGTACATTGTCAACCCTCTGGAGAAGAACTTGCACGTCAAGGAGATTCCTCCATTCCTCGCCGACTTGGACGTGACAAAGGCCAATCCAGATTTCAAGAAGCAGAACCCAGACTACTATGTGCTCTACAACCCGGCATTCAAGCGGGACTTGGACGTGGAGATGATGCAGTCTTTGGACCATTCTTCGGTTGTTTGCTGTGTTCAGTTCTCCAAGAACGGTGAGTTCATTGCTACAGGCTGTAACAAGACCACTCAGGTGTTTGACGTGAAGACTGGTGCGTTGATTGCCAAGTTGGTTGACGATAACAGCACCAACACTTTGGAAGGTCAAGGTGAGGGTGAGAACGCCGAGAACGGCTCGTCCGTGGGAAACGGCTCTGCCAACACAAACGCCAATGGTGACTTGTACATCAGATCCGTGTGTTTCTCGCCAGATGGAAAGTTATTGGCCACAGGTGCTGAGGACAAGTTGATCCGTATCTGGGACTTGTCCACTAAGAGAATCATCAAGATTTTGAGAGGCCACGAACAGGACATTTACTCGTTGGACTTCTTCCCTGACGGTGACAGATTGGTTTCCGGATCTGGTGACCGCACCGTCAGAACCTGGGACTTGCGTTCTTCTCAGTGCTCCTTGACATTATCCATTGAAGATGGTGTCACTACCGTGGCAGTGTCTCCAAATGGAAAATTGATTGCAGCTGGCTCTTTGGACAAGACTGTCAGAGTTTGGGACTCTTACACCGGTTTCCTCGTAGAGAGATTAGACTCTGGTAACGAGTCCGGAAACGGGCATCAGGACTCAGTTTACTCGGTTGCTTTCTCGGCCAATGGTAATCAGATTGCTTCCGGATCTTTGGACAGAACTGTTAAGTTATGGAACTTGGAAGGTAAGTCTGATTTCCTGGCCAATGCCAGCGGCAACGGTCAGTCCATTGCCAAAAAGTCGAGTTGTGAAGTTACCTACGTGGGCCACAAAGACTTTGTGTTGAGTGCCTGTTCCACTCCAGACAGTGAATACATTTTATCTGGATCTAAAGACCGTGGAGTGATTTTCTGGGATCAGCTTTCCGGAAACCCATTGTTGATGTTGCAGGGCCACCGCAACTCGGTGATTTCCGTGGCGGTCTCTCTCAACTCGCTGGGCTCAGAGGGTATTTTCGCAACTGGAAGTGGTGACTGTAAGGCTCGTTTGTGGAGATGGAAGAGACAGTAATTGAAGAACTCACAAGTTTTGTTGTTTCTTGATGGCTCAGAGGTTTTTGGCTACCTCTGGCTCTGCGAAGTTCGTGGCAGCCAATTTGTATAAGTATATATTTTATGTCCTTTCGAACAATTGCCTGGTTTAGGCTGTAAAATTGGTTGTGGTAACTGGCAGCGAATTCACTATGAAGCTGCGCACTAAGGTCCATGAGATTGCGAGATTTGGCTGCTAATAATTTCGCGGTCGATGGTTTTTTATACGACGTGCGAGTTTTGAAAGAAATTAATTCACTTCACTTTCGACAATGACCGTGTACACCGCCTCAACCACGGCTCCTGTCAACATTGCCGTATGTATATGATGATTTGAATAACCGTCCTCGTGTTCGGACCCTTACAAGCCACTTTTTATGCGTTCATACTAACCGACAGACCCTCAAGTACTGGGGAAAGAGAGACAAGACTCTTAATCTTCCAACCAACTCGTCCATTTCGGTCACATTGGCCCAGGAGGACTTGAGAACCTTGACCTCCGTTGCCACTAGCGCTGACTTCAAATCCGACAACTTGTGGCTCAACGGCAAAGAGGAGGGAATCAAGGGTGAGAGAACCATTGCCTGCTTGAAAGACTTGAGAAAGTTGAGAAAGGAATTGGAGGACTCCGACTCCAGCTTGCCAAAGTTGTCTGAGTGGGGTTTACACATTGTTTCTGAGAACAATTTCCCTACCGCTGCTGGTTTGGCTTCTTCTGCTGCCGGTTTCGCTGCTTTAGTAGTGGCTATCGCTAAGTTGTACAAGCTTCCTCAGCTGATGTCCGAGATCTCTAAAATCGCAAGAAAGGGTTCGGGTTCCGCATGTAGATCTTTGTTCGGTGGTTATGTCGCATGGGAAATGGGCGATTTGGAGAACGGAGAGGACTCTAAAGCTGTGGAAGTCGCCCCATTGGAGCATTGGCCATCTATGAAGGCCGCCATTTTGGTGGTCTCTGATGACAAGAAGGATACGCCTTCTACTACAGGAATGCAATCCACCGTGGCAACATCTGACTTGTTCCAGCACAGAATCCTGGAGGTTGTTCCAAAGAGATTCGAGGAAATGAAGAAAACCATTCTTGAAAGAGATTTCGAGAAGTTTGGAGAGTTGACCATGAAGGACTCTAACTCGTTTCACGCAGTATGCTTGGACTCTTATCCACCTATTTTCTACTTGAACGACACCTCCAAGAAGATCATCAAGTTGGTGCACAAATTGAACGAACAGGAGGGCAAGATTATTGCTGCCTACACCTTTGACGCCGGCCCCAATGCTGTCATCTACTACGAGGAGAAGAATGAAAACAAGGTGTTAGGCTTGATCTACAAATACTTCAAGCTGGTTCCTGGTTGGGACAAAGTTTCTAACCAGGTTGTTGACTTTGAAGACTCCGCTATCGAATTTGACACCGACGCTTACAAGGGAGTCAGTAGAATTATTTTGACCAAGATCGGCTCCGGCCCACAGGAAACATCCCAGACTTTGGTCAATGAGCAGGGCCTTCCCAAATAATTGTATAGTATAATCTGACCATGAGCATCATCATATCTTCGGAGTGCGCAGTAGTCAAGTTTTTCCTCACAAGACCATGTTCAGAGTAATACCTACTGGGCTCCACTTAGCCCGAGCATTACGGACTAAACCGCTAGTGCTGCTGCTGTTGCGGCCACAGCTCATTTCCTGGTTTCCTCGCCATGCGCTTACAACCTCGATTCTTCGACTGGAGGAGCTTCGCAAACCACTCCAGCCAACCCCACAATTGGGAAAAGAACAGCCCAAGCGCTCGGCTCCTTCAGTTGCTGCTTCAGAAAATAAAAAGGTTGACCCTTCCATCTCCAGTGATGTATACACTATTCCCAATATCTTGACAATGACTCGGATAGTTGCCACGCCAGGTATTGGCTACTTTATAGCCACCGGCCAGTCGACAGCAGCAATCTCGTTATTTCTCTATTCGTGTGTCACCGACGCTGTAGATGGGTACATAGCCCGTCATTATAACATGAAGTCGGTTTTGGGGTCAATCTTGGACCCTGCTGCTGATAAATTCTTGATGACGGTGTGTACTGCTGCGCTTGGACTCAAAGGAATCATGCCGTGGTACGTAGCCACAATCATCATAGGAAGGGATGTGATGTTAAGTTTCATGGCTTTCTATTTCCGGTACAAGTCTCTTCCAGTACCGAAAACATTGGCCCGATTTTTTGACATGTCGATAGTCACCCATACTGTGCATCCCAATCTTTTGGGCAAAGTCAATACCGCATTGCAGATGGTCTATATCGGTGGGCTAGTTTTGTTGCCAGGACTTAATTACATGATGGGATCAGAGGTTTTGACCGAGGCGTTTGACTGGTTTGGCATTTTGGTAGCAGCAACTACTTTTGCCAGTGGCGCCAGCTATATCTTCAGCAAAAATGCTATGAAGGTACTTCGATAGTTCAGATCCTACCAGTCTTGTAAATAGAAATGCTCTAACAAGAATTGATCTCCGTACACAGCTAAGCAGTGAAGAATAGTAGCATGTGCACTTTTCCTTCGGGAGGTGTCGTAGGCACAGCAGTAATGGAAAATGATATCGATCAAACACTGGAGATAATCCAGGGTACATATCATGAACAGATCAACGAAAACATTAACGCGAAGGAGTTTTCTTGACAAGTCAATTGAAGCTAATCTTGAGAAGAGTTGGAGACTTGTTTCTGATTTATCCACTGGATCCACACCACGAAAAGAAAATACCGATTGTGCCAATATAGCAATTAGCTGGTTTGTTAAGGAATGAGATTTTTCGGATATTTTAGATAATAACGTTTCCACAACGGCCACTAGTAACGCTTTGGCTCTCGCAGTTTTGGGAGAAAGAGTAAACTGGCGTCCCAATACAAGGAGTAGAGCTTCAAGAAGATAAACAAGTAGAAATGAGCAGCGGTGGCCTTTGAGCTTCAAATCAGACTCAGAGAGTTGAATTCTGAACCATTCCAACACTTGCAACAAGTCAGAGGAGGGCTCAAACTTGCATGCGTAGCGGATATCCCTGACTATGAAGTTAACATTAGACATAGTGAGCGACGATTGTTGAGACCGGACTCGCAACGTTCTTGAAGGTTCCAAAATGATATACTTTCGTCTTAACGACAGACGATACTGTTTCTTTGTAGGCGGCAATGCGGAGCCGATATGAAGTATTGTTTCTGGGGTTAGTAGGGAACGGAAGAGAGAGATGGATTACTACCTTCTGGAGAGAGAGAATTTTGTGAAGCATTTCTTGCCACAAGAATCGCCACTTTGATCATACACAGAGTCATTTGGAAAGTAAGTTGAATAGAAGAGAAGCTTAGTGAGAAGTTGAAATGGTGAGAAGTTACAGAAGATATGGGCGGTTGAGGGATTTCAAAAATATAGAAAATCTACGAGGTTACGAGGTGACAAAACAAATTAGTGAGATTGATTTACATAGGTTCAGAGGACTAACGGGGCTGAGAAATGGCTTCGATTCTTAGCTTCGATCTTATTCAGACGTAAACTTAGCCTATTGATTCAACGCACACTAAAGCATGCCACCTCTAAATTACGTTGATGCAAGTCCATTGATGCTAATACATGCTGACTGATGCTACTAAATGCTATTAAATACTAAAAAAATAGGGACACATGCTGATTTATCTCAATTGATGCTAATTGAAGCTAAATTATGCTCATTCATGTTAATTCATGCTAATTCATGTCAATCTGGAAGTTAGAATAAGGCTTTCAAATTAGCCTTTCAATCGCTGTTGTTCCCCATACCCTATCTCGAATGAAACTTTAAGGAATCTCACTCCCAGAATGCTCGTTACTTTTCCAGCCCTCACATACTCTCATTGCACCCCATGCTAGAATTCTCCGGATCCTTTTCCCTCTGACGCATACGGACCCACAACCTCCTCCTCACAAAATCACCGAAGTAGTATGCACCGTGCCATTTCAGTTGAAGTTGCAAAAAGACCAGTTGGTACATCCAGCCCTGATCGTCAACATCGTTCAACATCAACACATACCATTTGTGCCAGCTCCACACCCATCCAAGATCAGGAAGAGGGTAATTTTCAATTTTGTCGAGGGGAAGTAACACCGTCAGGCCATCGATGCGCTGAAACAGAGGAGGGTCGATGAATGGGATGAGGGAGTTTCGACTGAACATGGGGATTCCACAGAGTTTGAGGCCGCGTTGGTTTTCGACGATTAAATCGAAGGCAATGTCGACATTTTCCGGCGACACATGTTGCGGAAGAACATGGTCAAAAAGTAACGGGCCAAGGGTCTGTGTGTCGAAGTTATTCTCTTTTAGTAGAGCTAGGAGTTTGTTATAGTTAGCCATATGTGAATTGCGAAGAAGAGTGTGCGTAGATAAGGGAGATTGATTACTGTGAAAGAAGTTAAAGTGAAGAAGAGAAAAGAAATTGAAGGAATGACATTGAGAAGAAAAGCATGAAATTGAACAGAATGGAAAATGAAATTAAATTGAATGAGATATCTAATACAGATGCGAGAAAATCAAAGAAGATGAATGTATTCAATCCCCATTGATAGATAATTCATATACCACACCAATCACGGCAGCTCTCAAAAAGCAAATAGATTACAAGGTTAGTGCATTTTCTCAATATAAAGGAACTACCGAACAGTGGATGCATAAAAGATTGTCTAGCCAGTCTATAGTCAGTTGGGGGGAGATGCCTGTGGCAACCAACGAATAAGAGGATGGAATAGACTACTGGAGATAAAGAAAACTCAGCAATGAACTCGGAAATAACCGCGGAAATACTTCAGGAAAAGGATACATACGAAAGGATCATGCAAGAGATTAGAAAATAAACAATAAAATTCATAAATATGGCCAGGATTTATCATGAAACTGTGGATGACAAGTAGCTTAACACGAGGATTCCGCATCAAACACATATATGCATCAGCTGTTAAGTGGAGGAGTAAGTTGCAAAGCCGTTTGGCCAGAGAAGTCGGAGGACTGGCATGTCAACGTTAGATATTCAGATCCACGAAAAGGTTGAAATAATAGAAGATTTCAAGACATTTCTGTTGCAGTCAGTGAGTGTTAGGATTTGCAATGCAAGCTAAGGCGCATTGTCGCATTCCTACCCGTTACACATCTACTTCTTGGGACATTGTTGGTACGCTCATTTATGTTAGTAATACGGAGAATTCATCACATTCTCAATCAATTTTCTGATGCTTTTCTAGTGAGTTCTCCCCAATTTCTACCTCGTTCATCTGCATGTTCCCATCCTTTTTTTCTCTCTCTCTCTTTCCTGTCCCTCTCCTTTTTCTCTTCTTTTTTTTTCTTCAGGCCTGTCTCCTCCGCTCGTATTTTCTTTCTTCCCTTTCCTCCACGCTTCGGCCCACGCTCCAAATCCGCTCTTTACTTTTTGCTCCAGAGCATATATTTTTTTAGCTTGACTCCGGCTATTTCTCCTTCTCCCATTGTATATCCCTCGGACCCTGTTCCCTAAATTCGTCTAAAACTTCCCTTCTCTTCGAAATTTTCCTCTCAACCTTTCTTTCCCAAGTCTTTTGTCTCCCTTTTTATCTCAACATCTACTCGCCATTCTTTCTGCCATCCACTAAATTATCTACTCTACTTCTCGCACCATGTGTGAATCTGCCCATTTTTCTTTTTCTTCTTCTGCCGGCCAACGTCCTGCGCGCACTTAGCCACTCCTCGTTTTTTTCTGTGGATTATTAACCTGCCGATATAGTAAGAAGTACAGGCCGCTTTCTTTTTTTTTTTTTTAACAACCTCTTTCCACGGGCCATCTTCTTGTTGGCTTATAAGTTTTCTATTTGGTCCACAAATCACCACTTTGCTTTCGCCAATACCATCTCCATCCCTCCTGGACCCTTCATCCCTCCCGCCCCATTTCGCAAGGCCCTCACTTTCCCCAATTTAAGGTGACTTTCTCCAACCCCATCTCAACTGCCCGTCGCCATGTCCATGCAACAGCCAAAAATCGACCATAACCTGCTCCTGAACTACGGCGCAATCAAACTCGAACACATGGACCTCCTCGACCTGCACCATCCCCCTCCAGCAATGGCCCTTGGTGGGGCCGCTGGCGTTTCGGGATTACCTTCAGTGGGTCTACCTCCCGCCTCGGTGGCTCAAGTGGCCCAGATCCCCCCACTGGCGCCAATGAATGGTTCGACGCAAAATCACCACCACTCAAGTCATCTGCGGCCCAGTTACCGCCACTCTGGAAGCTTCACGGGTTTAGCCTTCCATAACCCGTTCGATATGAATTCATACCCAATCACTAATCCGCCAATACTCGACTCGACGGTCCTTCCCTACGGCGATCTGGGCACTCAACGTCGGCGCATCTCCATCTCCAATGGTCAAATTGGCCAGATAGTCAACCATGAAGCCATCTTCTTGGACGAAGACCTGTTGGACGACTTGAACGACCTCTCGCCTTATGCGGGAAACCTGAATGGGCCCAACTCAGGCGGCGTGCCTGACCAACGCATTATGCCTTTTGATGTGGAAGGCTCCCACTCCCAAACTCATTCGGCCCAACTGCAGCCCTATGGACAGATCCCAGCACCGCCCCTGGGTCCCGTGGTGACGGCCCACCAGGGCCACCAGCATGTGGGTCATCGCCAGTTCCAGGAGAATGGACACCTATCCAATCTGGCTACGCCGGGCCCCAGCTCTGGCCCCACTGATGTAATTTCACAGACCTCTCAGGATATGGCAGGGGTCCCTCCCCCCAACCACCAGCTTATTTATAACAACGAGGTGATTTACAACCCTAACAACGGCCCCATCCCCGGTACCGCTGCATGGAAGAAGGAAAGGCTTTTGGAGCGCAACAGGATCGCTGCTTCCAAGTGTCGACAGCGGAAAAAGCATGCCCAGCAGCAGTTGCAGGACAACATGGACAAATCACAAAAGAAGATTAAGGATCAGACGGAGCGGCTACAGAAGTATGAGAAGCTTTTCAGCATTTACAATGCGGCGTTGGTCCAGCACTTCCAAACGGGGTCGGACATTAGCCTTGAGCCTCTCCGTGGGCTAGTTACATTGCGGATTGACGATATCTCGTTGACCAGCTTGGAGAAATGAGTAAGAATGACAGTGGTTGGAACTTAATAGAAGCTTTAGTGATTCAATTTTGATGTAGGACGACTGGAAACAGTCGAGGTGGCAACAGACTGAGATTGCGAGAGAAAATGAATGACTATCATACAGAAGAAAGAATAGACTTACATGCAATGAACAAACAAACGAAAGAGAAAACCAATGGAAATAAACAATGTACAAGATCAATCACTATGGTATCTCTATTACACAGTGTAGATGGCCATAAATTTTCTGTCCTGCACGCACCCAGACCTTCAAATCGAAAAACCACTCCAACCTCCATTTTTTTTACCCTACAATGTCTTTGAAATTGCCCTCCGCCCCTAATGCGGGCCTTTTCAAACAAGGTTACTCACTGTATCTGGCTAGTGATGGTGCCATCATCCGCAATATCGAAGCTGTTAGAGAAATCACCTCCATTGTACTCACGTCTATGGGTCCAAGTGGAAGAAATAAGATTCTCGTCAATAAACACGATAGAACGTTCATTACCAACGATGCTGCCACCATTTTGAACGAGTTGGACATCGTGCATCCCGCAGTCAAGATGTTGATCATGGCGCTGAAGCAGCAGGAGTTTGAGATGGGTGACAATACCAACTTGGTATTAGTGTTGGCTGGTGAGTTTCTAAATATCCTGGAGAAGTTAATCACACTTGGTTTGAGTGTGCCGGAGATTGTCCAAGGCTTCAAGTTGGCCAACAAGTTTTTGCAGGAATCTTTGGAGAAGTTGGTGGTGACTAAGGTAGACAATATTGTTGAATCTGAAGAGCTACTCAAGGTCATCAAGCCTGTCATCGCCGCCAAGCAATACGGCTTAGAGGATACCATCTCCGGGTTGGTTATTGAAGCTGTTAAGTTGATTCTCAACCCTAAGAATCCGCAGGCATTCAACATCGACAACGTTCGTGTGGTAAAGATTATGGGTTCTTCGTTAAGCAACTCTGAGGTAGTCAAGGGCATGGTTTTTCCTCGTGAGCCTGAGGGATACGTTAAGAACGTTTCATCCAAATCGAAGGTTGTTGTCTTCACATGCCCAATCGACATTTCCACCACCGAGACTAAAGGCACGGTGTTGCTTCATAATGCCCAGGAGATGTTGGATTTCTCCAAGGGCGAGGAGCATCAGTTGGATGAGATGTGCAAAGAGATCTACAACTCCGGTGTGCGTGTGATTGTGGCCGGCTCCAGTGTCGGTGAATTGGCTCTTCACTACTTTGACAAGTACAATATCTTGGTCCTTAAGGTGCCTTCTAAGTTTGATGTTCGTCGTATCTGTCAGGTTTGTGGAGCTACGCCGTTGCCTAGATTGGGTGCTCCAATGCCTGAAGAAATGGGAACTATCGACGTGATTGAAACAAAGGAGATTGGTGGTGACCGTGTAACTATCTTCAGACAGAACGAAGAGTCTACCTCTAGAACCTCTACCATCGTTCTTAGAGGTGCTACCCAGAACAATTTGGATGATATCGAGAGAGCCATTGACGACGGTGTCAATGCCATCAAAGGTTTGGTCAAGGACAACAGACTTTTGCCTGGTGCTGGTGCTGTGGAGATAGAGTTGGCCAAATTGATTACCCAGCATGGAGAAAGGACTCCCGGTTTGATGCAGCTTGCCATCAAGAACTATGCTAAGGCCTTTGAGGTTGTTCCTCGTGTGTTGGCCGAAACTTCGGGCTTGGACTCCTCCGAGGTCTTAAGTAAGTTGTATGCTGCTCACTCTGCTGAGGATAACCTGGGCTTGTCTATTGGTGTTGACATTGCTGGTGAGACTGAAGATAGTCTCGTGGATGTTACTCAGGCGGGAATTTACGATCTCTTGTCCACTAAGCTGTCTGCTATTGACTTTGCTACCGATGCTGCTACCACCATCTTATCTATCGACCAGATTATCATGGCCAAGAGAGCTGGTGGTCCGCAAGTTCCTCAGCAGAGAAGACCAGGCAACTGGGATCAGGAGGATTAGGGTTATGTACAATAATAGTATCCGGTTCTTAGATTTTATGCTAACTGCTTGCCGTTGACAATGAACAGGTTGATTTTGTTCAAGTCTTTATCACCATCCACATTTTCAACTCCTCCACTAACGTCAAATCCGATCACGTTCTTGGAATAGGGTAGCGTTTCATGTAAATTGTCGGGATGTAAACCCCCCGCCAAAATAAACTTACCCTCGAGATCATTAATAAGCGTCCAGTCGATCGGTTTTCCTTCGCCACCTGCTTCTGAATCCAAAAGAGGAAAGGCAAATCCTTTACTTGGTACTCCAGTCAATTTATGAAAGAAATCCGACATGGCTTGAATATTGTTTGGAATCACGTATCTCTTCACAATCACGTAATTTCCATCCTCGTTGCGCTCCAAGTATTCTTCCACATCTTCACTACCATGCAACTGGATCACATCAACCTCATATTCGTTGGCTAGTCTGAACACTTCTTCGATATCCTGGTTTCTGAAAACACCAACGAGGAATGGGCCGTTTTCGACTACCAACTGACGGTATAACTTAAAATACTCATCGAAATGCTCAAACTTTTGGCTCTGAACATACTCCAATATTTCCTTCGAAGTCTGAAATTTCCGGTTTAATTGCTTTCTCTTGTTTCTGGCAATCTTTGAAATTTCGAGGGCAACCTCAGGTGTCACACTTCTTTTTCTGTTTGGGACCATAATCACCCCGAGGAGGTCTGCGCCCAGATTGACTGCCTCTTCTGCAGCTTCAGCAGTTCGTAGTCCACATATTTTAATCAATCTTGACATTTTGGATTAGTCACATAACAAAGGTGAGAAACAAGTAATGTTGATAAAGCCGATTATGTGCAGGTTGTTCCAAGTTTATTAGTCGAAATCATTGAAGTCTTTCCTGAAAAACTTCCCAATATTCTTGAAATTCTCATTAAACTTGTTAACGTGTTGCTCTCCATTGAGTGTGAAATCCTTTAATGGATTGTTGAGTTTGATGTTTTGGATTTTTGCACTGTTGGTCTTGAGGAAATCGGGAAGGTTGGGTTCTGGAGATTTGCTAGAAATCAAATCCTTAAAGTCCACGGGTTGAGGAGTTGGCTGAGCCAATGGATGCGCTTGATTGGCATGACCCTCACTTCCGAACACTGCAAAGATAGGTGATTCGTCAATTAAGTCGTTAGAAACTGTAAGTTGGAGCTTGAAGTTCTCGATGTACTTTGCCTGGTTCTGTTTCTCTATGCTTTTCAAGTCTAAGAACTTCGTAAAGTTTGGCACAGACTTATCGCCAATGAGATTGAAGTAGCTCTCAACTATATTATCAACCGGGAGGGTAGGCGTAAGCAAAAGTTTGAGCAAAGTTTCCAACTTTGTGAACTGATTGCCCAAAAATCTGGTGTAAGCCTTTGGGATTGGAACTTCAGTTTCATCATTTCGCCTCGATTCATCAAAGTTGGGGTCCGCATAGTGTGGAAGAATAGAGAAGTATTTTCTGAGAACCGACACATCCAAGAGGATCTGTTCAATATTGATGATGCTTAACGGCTTTATCAAGGTGAGTTTGTTCATAAAGGTAGTTACAATCATCTCCACCAAACGATCACAATAAGTCCGAGAATAGCCTTCCCTCATTATAAGTGGCAATATGACTCTGTTATTTTCTCTTAAGGAGGACACAAAGTCGTCAATGTAGGTCGAAGTATCTGCAATAAACTCCATAGAGTCCCACCCGTTGTTTTCGAATTGTCTCCACAGAAACTGTAGATCAACAGAAACCTTCAGAACGGCAGCCTTGATAGATTTTCCAATTAAATCGAAAAACAAGTTCTTGGCGGATTCGAAGTCTATCCTCAGTCTGTAACGTACATCGATGAGCTTCTCCATTTTATCTTGCAAGTCGTTCGTATTGTTGATCACATAGTCAGAGGTATTGAGAATCATAGTCAAGTATTTGAGGGGCTCAATTCCTTTGGGATTCGAATTGGTCTGGTTCAAGATAGGAATGAGAATCTTAGAGTGATACTCGCGAAGGTATTTCGCAAATAACTTCGATAAGTCAATTAATATTTCGCCCGTGGACAACTTAATGATTTGGACCAAAAGCTTCTGGAACGTCTTGAATAACTCAACTGAGGAAGCAGCAAAATTTGGGACACTATTGACCCTGAGGACCGCTAATAAATCGTCGGCTGTTTGAGGGGTGATGAGCTCACTTGGTATCTTGGGGGCTGAATAAAACTCCATGAATTTTTGGCTGAGCAAGGAATCCTGTTCCGTGATCCAGGTGGTCAAGTATGGCTCAAACAGGCTCAGAATGATCTTGGTGAATTCGTCCGTCTTATATGTGTCATTCAACGACTTTTCGAAGTCAAGACTCTTCTTCAATGCCTCAAGAATCACTGAGGATGGAATGTTGGAGCCCTTGAGTTGATTTGTCAAGTCCTGCTTGGTGACCTTGCAAAATAACTTGGTAAGTTCTAAGTCCACCTGCCACAGGTCAGGGAACACGTTAAGATAATGTGAGCGAATGTTCGTAAGGATATTGTTGAAAAAGATGTATCGGCGACTCAAATTCTCCATGTTGCCGGCCTCGTCTGTGGTATTGAAAATGGACTGAATCTCTTTAAGTTGGAGGTTATAGAACCACGACAAAAGCTTGTCCTTATATTTTGCATCGACTAACTCCAAGATCTCACAGCCATAAACAAGTTTGTCGTTGGTAAAATTATTGGTGAAAGAGTCCTCGAAATCAATGAATACATCGTCCACCAACTTGTTTTGAGTCTTGTGGATTAGTTGGTTGAGTGTTCCGATCTCATCGATGGACTTGTAAGGTTTGAAGAAATCCATAAGTTCCTTGACCACTCCGAGGTATGTAGCTATCTCTTTATAATCACGCGTCAGCACCACGTCGGTAAGACTGTTGAACGCATTGACCAACATCTGGAGACGTTTCAAGATCTTCATGGAGAGCACCAAGTTACGCTTTGTGGTATCCAATCGCTGAATGCTGGATGTCATCTGAAATATAGTGGCCTGTGTGTTTATTGACTTTTGTCTGATATCCCTGAACGAGTCCGTAAGCACGCCAATGTCGTGGTGTAAGTCGATAGGATGCTTGTATGCGGCGATTTCATTGCGGAGTCTGACATTAGTGGCCAGCTTCTGTTTCTGGATGTGATCTAGCACGGCGTCTAGGTTTCCGAGCGAATCCTCAGAGGGAAAGAGCTTGGCCAATTGGATTTCTGGATCGTAGACGAAGCCCATGGTTAGTTAGTTAGATGTAAGTAGTGGTGATTTGGGTTGAGGGCTGGTCGTGCGAGGTCCAGCATTTGCAACCATAGCGAGAAGTGATCTACTGAAGTGGGAGATTTGAAAAGGGGAAATGGCTACAATTGGAAAAGTGTAAACCAGACAAACAATGGAAAATATTTAAGGAAAATTTTGAAATCTGAACATTCAGTAAAGAACAAAATAAAGAAAAAAAAAAACTAAAAAAAATAACAGCAAAAATCATAACTTCATACTCACTGGGTTCATAACTTCGCAAACTATTCTCACTTTTATCAGCTTTTAACGTTTCACACCAAACTGTCAAAAATGCATAAACCCACCACAAAAATCCCAAACTAGACAATTTCAAAATTTATTGCCCGCAAACTCACCTCAATATACCTGTCAATTCAATTATTGTTTTCCCCTTCAAAAATTCCCACCTTCAATCTCATGGTCATCATTTTCTCACTCCAAGTCGCAACCAGTCACTGTGTCCACCCATCAGCCTCTCACTAGATTACCACATTCAAAAACGAACAGTTGATACAAAAAATGCATTTCCCAATCGGTACATGTCAAGTTTCTAAAATCCAATCACATCCTCGGCTGTGGCCCCCCGCCTTAAGTATCCAGGCCAACCCATCGAACTTGCCTAATGGGGGAATATTCCACTCCCGCATCAGGAAAATGGTTTCCAGTCTCCGGCACCCTGCCGTTTGTGGAGGTGAATGTTCATCGCATGAGAAGATATAAAGTAGGAAGTGTTGCTTACAGACACTTGCAGCCCTTGTTTTTCATCTTGGATACTAGTCGTCGTGGATATTTTCTTATTACACTTTTCTTTCCATAAACTGGTTTTAATTCCTGGGTTGACTTATTGCCTACCTCGGATTATTTAATCACATTCACTGACTGTCAAAACCTGCCTACAGCCGTTTTCTCCACAGAAGTCACAATCCACCTCGACTTCAGGGTGAACATATCAGGCAATTCAAGCTAGTAATTTATCTCCAGATTCAGAAAATCACTGGACTCATTTGTTGAAATTGCAAAACTTTCATCCGCTACAACCTCAAACTCCTTACGTCCGTCTCTCCTGCTCAATTCACGATAACCACATGGCTCGCTTCAGATTTGGCAAGAAAAAGAGAGAATCGGATCCCGACTCGTCAATGGTCACCTCCGAAAGCGTCGATGACTCGCCCACCTACCACCTGTACCTTCGCAGGCCTTCTATCCTGTCCAGGAACCAGGTGGAAACACCTCCTCACGAATCACTGGACAACTTGCCTACCCAGGAACCTGAGGTGGCTGACCCTACGGCCACTACGCCCTGGAAACGCTTCAAGATCTTTGATTCCCCTTTCCCTCGTTACAGACATGCAGCCTCTGCGATCTCATCCGACAAGAATGAGATTTTCTTAATGGGAGGTTTGAAAGAAGGCTCGGTATTTGGCGACACATGGAAAGTCACCCCCGAAGTTGGCGCCGGCAACATCATCCGCGGCTTCACAGCTCAACACCTCGAGGTCGCCAACAGTACCCTCCCTCCGGCCCGTGTGGGTCACTCTTCTGTTTTGTGTGGTAACGCCTTCATCATCTATGGTGGAGACACAGTTGACACCGACTACAATGGATACCCTGACGACAACTTCTACATGTTCAACATCAACAACTACAAGTACACAATTCCTCTGCATGTTTTGAGCAAGCCACGCGGTCGTTACGGCCACCTGATTGGTGTAGCATCCTTGAGTGCAACCAGCTCGAGACTCTACTTGTTTGGAGGTCAATTAGAGAACGACGTATTCAATGACTTATACTACTTCGAATTGACCAACTTCAAGCTGCCCAAGGCACGCTGGGAGCTTGTGGAGCCGCTCAACAACTTCAAACCTCCTCCTGTTACCAACCACACCATGTCCATTTACAAGAATAAGATCTACATCTTTGGTGGTGTCTACAACAACGAGAAAGTGTGCAACGACTTGTGGTGCTTTGACACTTTGATCAACAAGTGGGTGCAAGTGCCTACAACTGGAGATGTTCCTTTGCCTGTCAACGAGCACTCGGCTACCATTGTGGGTGATCGTTTGTACGTCTACGGAGGTAACGATTTTTCAGGAGCCATTTATGAGACCTTGTACTCATTGGATCTTCACACCTTCAAGTGGTCCAAGTTGAGCAAAGATCTCTCAGCCAATGGCCCTGGTCCTCGTTGTGGTCACTCAATGTCATACATCCCCAAGTTGAACCAATTGATCATAATGGGTGGTGACAAGAACGATTTCATTTACTCTGACCCAGAGAACTTCGAAACGTATGAGAATTTTGATGGTCAGGAGTTGGGTACCATGATTTATGCATTGGATATCCCAACTGCAGATCACTTCTTCAGAGGTGGTGCGCCAAAGAAGTTAGCTGCTTCGGCTGGTGGTGCTGCTGGTGTACTCAATAGAAGAGCTCCTTCGCCTCTGCCTTCTGAGGATGGCCTTGCCCGTCACCGTAAGAGCCTAAGCGGTGGTATTGAAGATTTCAGAACTCCAAATGCTTCCATGGAAAAGTTCCCAAGATCGCTTGATCCAAAATCAACGCTTATTGAAAATGAAGTTGAACAGGAAACCACCACTCCAGAAAGATTCGTGGATGTTGATATTCCCTCCTCTGCTGCTATGAGCGAGAAGGATGTCACTACCGAGATGGAAGATATTCGTGACCGTTATATCGCGGGCGACAACGCAGAGGAAGCTGCTCCATCCACATACCACAACGGCCATGCGCCACTCTTTAGAAATGATTCGGCTGAGAAATTGAGAACTGATACAGCAACTCCAATACTAACTCGGGACTTCGCTCACCTTTCTGACTCTGTTGACGATGAAGACGACAGGGCCAGGGACGAAAGCTTTGTACTGCAAGTTCCTACCAACTCGTCTCCAACTTCGAACAAGGTGGTATTCACGGGTTTAGGAGGTGCTGTTGGTGCAAGTGCAGGTATTGGAGCAGCCAATACCATCAGCGACGAGAAGACCGAAAACCCTACGTTTAGTAAAGGCAGAAGCTCCAGAATCACACATACCAACCAGGGTGCCAATGAAGCTGATGCTAAGGTGAAGAAAATAATAGCAGAGTTGAATGCAGAGTTGACTCAATTGAAGAGTTCAACAAAACAACAGATGCAAAATGCCACCGAGAAAATACAGGCTTTGGAGCAGCAAAATAAGGAATTACAAGCTAACAACGATCTGGCTGCCAATGAAAAGTTGAATCTCCTCACCAGTCAAGTACAAGAGAAGGATAATCTCATTGAAGAGCTCCGGCGTTCTGTCGATCCTCAGGATTTGGAAATTGGTGAAGGAGAGGAGACTGGTAGCATTGCTACTTCTAAGAGAGGTTTCACCGAGTTGACCAAATATAAGTTGAATCGTTTGGAGATGTCCAACAGAATGGTGTACTTGGAGAACGAGAATGCCAACCTCAAGGAAAAATTTGCACGTTTCGAGCCATTCATGAACAATCAAATCAGTGAGATTTCAACTTTGCAGAAGGTCATCAAGGGCCAGGAAGATCGTATTCAGAAGTTGACTGCGCAAGTTAAACTGGAGTCAGTCTTACACCAGCAAATTTCTGAATGGAAGCACAAGTTCGAGAACTTGGATCTAGAATTCCAAAATTACCGTGCAATTCATGATGAGGTTGAGGTCAGTGATGACGAGGAGCTTGCAACTCGCGAGCTCGATGGTGATGCGTCTATTGCCACAAGCGGAACAACAAGAAGATCAACTAGACAGATTTCGTCACAATTGGAGAACTTGGTCCTGTTGTGGCAGAGTACTAATGCCACAGATGCCGACACTCGCCTGATTAATACTGTTGACAATCCCGTTGTCGCTCAGTTACAGAAACAAGTCGACGAGTTGTTGTTGTCATCTAAAAAGCAGCAAGAAGGTGCTTCTGCAGAAGTGCAAACTTTGGAGTCTGAATTGCAGGCCAAGTTATTATCTTTGCGTACTTTTGAAGACAACTACCGGGATGCATTGCAGTCAGTGAACAATACCAGTAAGGCACTTAATTTGACACAGGATGAGTTGAAGAGCCAAAAGATTTTGATTGAGAAGTTGATCAAGGAGAATAATGAGTTGAAGTTGTACAAGAAGGCCAGTGCTGTGTCCAAGAGAGCCTCGAGCGCTGTTTCCACTCCAGTCAACGAGTCTTCGCCAGGCTTTGCAAACCCTGCTCTGGAAGCTGACGAAGAAGAGGAAGGATTCACAAGTGCTCATTACAATATGAAGCTCAAGGACTTGGAAGCAGACTTGTACATATTGAAGCAGGAGAGGGACCAGTTGACCGACACAGTGTCATCGTTGAAAAAGGACTTATACTTAGCCCGCAACGGCAACGCTTGAAGTTACTGTTAGTAAAATGTATATTACGTCATTAAATGTGTTGATGAAAAGAGCTTATTCCTAGTTAGATTGGTTCTCCTGATCACCAGTAATAACTAACCTGTCGTTTCCGGAATTGTCATAGTTTGGTACATATTCCTTTGCACCTTCCAGTCCGATTCCCTCGTGGATGTCTGGTGGATCATACAAGTCATCAGCCTCTCGGAAAGCTTGAGGGCTCTCTCCTGGTGGTCGACGAATCGACGAGAAATACATATCGCGGTCAGAGCCCACCCCATTCCCACTCTCCAGATTCCCTTGGCTAATAAGCTCATCCAAAATATCATTACTGGGGTCCATGGGACTGACCGTTTCTCTGTCTTCACCATCTGAATGGTCGAAGTGAGGTTCAGAAGGCAACAAACTAGCCTCATGTAAGCGCATTCTCTCCTTTTCAGATAGGTTGGGCTGCTGTGGCATCGGAATTCTCTCCGATATATCTTCATATATTGGTGCTGTGATGGGTTCTGGAGCACGCGCCGAATGGATCGTGCTTGTTGACTCAAGATATGGAGGAATAGAAAAGTCCATGGGGCCAGACTCTGGAATTACATCGATATTTCCCAGCTGTGCACGTATGGCAGGAGGAGGTTGAGTGAATGCTGGCGAGTTGGCATTGGATGAGCCCAGAGAAGAGCGTCTTGGAGTGATTGCGAATGAATGGCTCGGATCGGGAGATGGTGCAATTGCGGGTTTCTCCAGGCGATGAGTACCGATCACCACTTCGGAAGTTATCTGGAGAAATTTCTTCAGCCTCTTGAACTTGTCAGTATTGATGAACTCAGAGCGATTCTGTGCAGTGGCATATGTGTGGAAGTTGTAGTTGGCAGCAGGGACAGCACCAGGCGTGGATCCCTGCGCAGAAGTGAGTATATCATCATGAGGGCCGATGCTGGACTTGGGATGTTCACTCGGACCATCCAAACTTAAAGACTTTCCAGAAAGGTTGAGCATGACCTCAATGAAATATTGGAAGGACACCATGGGACAGCCCAGAATGGTTGGAAATGCGTCTGGCGGCACACGTAAGCTTGTGTTGATCTCCAGTGAGAAAGTATTTGGATCGACAAAGAGCGGAATAACCAGTTGCTGAAGATCCTTGCGGAAAGATTCGTAGAAACCATCAGGACCGTAGTCTAGACGGCAAACTCGGACTAAAGTCACGATTATGCCACGAGAGTCTTGTATTTGCTTCAAGTGGTTGATGCTAAGCTTGATGGGAATAAGTTCACCACGCAAGAAGCCTCGCTGGCCTATTTCCATTGTTATTCTAATATGGTTGGGTCTGTGATCCATCAGAGGTGAAGAAATCCCATTGGACGAGGCATTTCCCAGACTCAAGTGTGCATTCAGGAGCAGAGACGGCGTGTTGGCAGAAACTCCCGGAGCCATGCCTGTGTGGGCCGTCTGGATGCTCTCGTTGTCAGAATTATTGGATGACATCGTAGAGAAGGTGTTGATGGTAGAAGTGGACGACTGAACACGCAGAAGCTTCTTGTTGTGCCGGGGGTCCTTGATAATAAGTCTTTTCGGTTTCAGTGGCGGTAGCTGGGCCACATCAATCGGGTTGACTAAATTGATGATTTTTTCCGACTTGAAGGTTGCAGTGTGGAACTTAGAGAAAGCTTTCGCTTTCCAGAGTAGGTCTGAAGACGTCGGGCTCGGAATAGGACCTGGCAGATGGACCTCTGGAAGCATAGGGGCGTCGGCAGACCGTAGTGATGTCTTTAATACGTATTCTATTGAGCCCTTACCGAAGTCCAAAGAAGTGTATACCCTTTTGTTCGGAAGTTTGACAATGAAGGGGAAACGATGCTCGCCCTTGTATAAACCGTTGACGAAGTCGTCCAGAGTGGTTGTGGGCAGGTCAGTGTCGGGCCCGTAGATCTTGATGTTGTGGTTGAACAAGACATGTTTCATTGCCCGTAGTTTGGAGTGGTGCAGGGCATTTATCTTAACGTAACCCGTTAGCGAAAACACGATTGCGATATTAGCCAAGTTCTTGCGCGATATAAGAATCACCTGGCCCAGAATTTCTTCTCCTGGAAGCCAGGACTTATGGGGGTCGTCTAGCAGAATGTAGAAATCTTCCACGCTAGACTGATCGATTTTATAAGTGGACGGGTCCGAGGCCGGTCTGGCCCTCGGGATGAATTTGGATACAGCGCGTCTCATTGTGGCACAGGGGCCTGGAAGAGGTGGTAGAGAGACCTTGGAAAGATGGTAGTTTGTAGATGGTGGAGGTGGGCAGCTTCGCCCTGTGTTTGGCGGGCCCCAGATCACGTGCCCGGGGGAGAAAGAGAGAGTGCTCAATAATAAGACGGAGGGGTATTGTTTGACCAAAAAAAAAAAAGAGGGAATCTGATACGAGGTAACTTTTGAATTCATTTATTTCCTTACTATGTTGAAATTGGGGAAGTTTTTCAGGTTTTTTTGAAACTACAATCATTTCCCACGTCCTTACCTTCTCGGTGACACCTTGTGTCAACCTAAGTAGTGAAGGTTGTCCGTGCAGGACATCACTCAATGTGCAAGCCTCCAACGGGGAAGAGTACTGACCAAATAGGAGTTCTGACAAAAGCGTGAAAGACACGGACTGGACGGCCAGACAACGAAGAATCTAATTTTCATCGCTAAAGTATACTGAAAATGACCATTTTTTCTCTCCGGCACCCTGTCCATTCCATTTGGTTGCTATTGCTGTTTATGGTGGCCTCTGCCATGGACGTGGTTGACCTGCGTAAACATCCACCGCTTTTCCTGTAACGTTTTTATTTCTTTTTCATTATTATTATAATTTCCTTAGAAATCGGGATGACTCCACTGTGAGTCGTGTCTGATTTCATCGAGCACTCAATTTACTGGAACACGTAGTCGTTGCTAGACTCAGAGGATGGTAAGGTTGTACCAGTCCTTGCTGTTCTCCTGCATCGTGTTGGTTATTGAGCAGGGTTATTTCATCTTGCATGACATAGACGTACACTGCAGGGCAATTAGGGAGTATGGTCAAAGGGCCCATGGGTCCAGATAAGGGATGTGGAATTGGAAGGGAAGTTTTACAATCTGAAATTGGCAAAATGAAACAAAGGATCGGAATTTGGCTCTAGAAAGTGCTTTCAGGACAGTAGGCTCTCGGAAATCTGATACATTGGATCTGGAAATAAATCAAATAGCAGGTGTCAGTGATTGAGGCAATTTTTAATTCAACAAAAAGTTTCCACAGAAATCTATTTCTAATCCCCAGCCCAGAATTCCAGCAATCTCCAGGATTTGATGTTCCAATCGTTGGATAGAATAGAACTCATGTCTACTGTCAGTCAATACATGTTGTCTCCATCTGTAATCTGAATAAATTAGGGCTTAGTCTCATTAGAGCTTCTTGCGGTGTGGAACACGCGGTAGAATAGCAGATGGTCCTCTACAACTGTTTTTTGGGACAGCTATCAGTCCATGGTTAGTTCGATCAAAATCTCGTATTTGAAATCAAATCTGCATTCAACCCCCCGGATACTGCCTGGCACATTTGCAATGGATTTTGCGCAACTGCCACACCGAAAGGAAACTTACACAGTTTCATCTGGTTAGACATCTGACACTAGTAGATCATTATTTTAGATTTTTTGTGATGGTGCACCTGTTTCTGTATGGATATCTAGAAAATTCCAATTATGTATTATTTTCTAGATGCCAAATAACGAACTAGTAATGGAACAGGGCAATCACCCAAATCTTAGTACTTCAGTGGTGGTCATACAACTAGTAGGTTGAACATAGCAAACTTTTAGTACCCAATTGATACCAAGTTATTTCTTCATAGTGCAATCAAGAATTGCAGTCGGTCCAGAACCAGGTTATCTAGTTCAATCTACATCTATGTCTACATCGTTCTACCTAAAGCATGCATTGACAACTAGTAATATACAGAAATATGCCATCAGACCTAATCAAAGGTCTTCTTAGTACCCTGGAAAGTGGGCTTAGGAGTTGGGGTCGACGATCTCTCACGGCCACCGAATCCTCCACGGCCACCACGGCCACCGAATCCACCACGGCCACCACGTCCACCACGGTCACCGAATCCACCACGGGCGCTTCCCGGTCTGGAGTTGTTGTCTCTTGGGGTAGAGAAGTCCAATCTGCATGCACGGCCCTCCAAGTACTCACCGTTCAAGGCGTTCAAAGCACCCTGAGCCTCCTCAACGGTAGAAAACTGCACGTAACCGAAACCCTTTGGCTGTTCAGTGTCTGGGTGGGTTGGGATTCTGCACGACACAACAGTACCGTGCTCACCGAAGATCTCAAACAACTTGTCTCTCAGAGCGTTGAAGGACAAGTTACCAACAAACAAAGTGTCGGAAGGAGCAGATGGAACATCTCCAAACTTCTTGGCTCTGTCGTTAGGAGTAGAAGCTGGCTTTGGCTTGCCGGAAGACAAGTCCAAGTTGACTGGTCTTCCATCGATCTCTCTACCCTGGTACTCATTCAAAGCCTTCTCTGCAGCCTCCTTGGACTCAAAGTCAACGTAACCATAACCTCTGGACTTACCAGTGGCTCTTTCCATGATAACTCTGGCGCTGATGACACCTCCAGATGGCTCGAATTCTCTTCTCAACCACTCGTCATCGACGTTCCAAGACAATCTTCCGACGAACAAGGTGGCTGGCTCACCAGCTGGAACTGCGGTCTCCTCGGTCTTCTGCTTCTTAGAAACTGGCTCCTCTTCGGTGGCAGAGGACTCCTCCTCAGAGTCGGCCTTACGCTTGGAGGTCTTTTCCTCTTCCTCAGAGTCAGAATCGGAAGAGTCAGAGTCGGAATCAGAAGAGGAGTCGGAGTCCGACGAGCTAGAGCTAGAGTCGGAATCGGAAGAAGAAGAAGAGGAAGAAGAGCTAGACTCTTCCTTCTTCTCTTCCTTCTTCACTTCCTTCTTCACTTCCTTCTCATCTTCAGAGTCCGAGTCAGACTCAGACTCAGAATCAGAGCTAGAACTAGAACTAGAATCAGAGTCGGAGTCGGAGCTGGAGTCGCTAGAGTCCTCCTTGGCAGCAGGCTTGGTCTCAGTCTTCTCATCCTCAGACTCGGATTCAGACTCAGACTCGCTAGACGATGAGTCGGAGCTGGACTCAGAGCTGGAAGAAGACGACGAACTAGAGTCGGAAGACTCGGCCTTGGCCGATTGCTTCTTCAGAACTTTGGTAGCTTTAGCAGATTTGGTGGTAGACTTAGCCATTGTGAAGATGAAAGATGAGAAAATAAGATAGAAAAAATGTGTAGCTTTTTGTAGATGAGGTGCTGCACACACAGTCTGGGGCATCGCACGAGCTAACCGACCGAGATAATAAAGGAAAGAAAAACAGGAGAAGATGAGAAGACGAGGGTAACTTAGATGGGAGAAGGAAAATTGAAGAAGAAGATATCTTTCAGCTTTTGAAATTCCTAAGAAATGCAGAGAATCGAATAAGTTAGAGTCGTTGGGTGAATTTCTGAGTACAATCAAAGGGTCAATATTGGCAACTGTGAGGGGAACTTATAAAAAAGCGATGAGAAGAACCAGGGCCAATTCAAAATGACGCTAAATGAAGATAAACCAAGAAACAAGAGGAAAAAGAAAAAAGATGAAAACAGTTAAAGTGAATAAAATTAAAGTGGCATATCAGAAGGAGAAAGAAATTCCCTTTTTTATTTTTCTTCTTCCTAATCTCCTCATTATCTACTAATTAACCTCTCCTACACCTCTCAATTTCTAGGTTCGTCACATGATCTCAATCACCCCACTACAACCATCAACTCTACAACACTTCCCCATGCAAAAAAACCTCACAAGTTTCACACATTTCGCCCTTCTTCTTCGTGTACTCTTGGACATCTTTCTAACGCCACTTTTCCCGTCTCGGTAGCTGCTCTGTAAAGCCATAAATGCCCAGCCCAACCCTCCACGCAGGCGGCCCGAAACCGCGCCGGTGAAAAATTCTGCTTACTTTGCAACCGTCTTTCATACGTCAACCACATTATTCCTAGCAGCTATGTTTAAACAGTCTAATGTATTGCTTCAGAAGGTGGTGTACAATGTCAAACCGTACGCCAACATGTTGAAGGACCCTTCTACTAAGTATGCGGCTTTCAAAGGTGTCAAACTTCCTAATAGAACCTGGCCTAATAAGGCTGTCACCAAAGCACCAAGATGGCTTTCCACCGACTTGAGAGATGGAAACCAGGCTTTACCTGACCCTATGTCTGTTACTGAGAAGAAGGAGTACTTCAAGAAGTTGATCGAGGTGGGATTTAAAGAGATCGAGGTGTCTTTCCCATCTGCTTCGCAGACTGACTTTGACTTCACTCGTTACGCCGTGGAGAATGCTCCTGATGACGTTGCCATTCAGGTTTTGACCCAGTCCAGAGAGCACCTCGTGAGAAGAACCGTGGAGTCCGTGACCGGAGCTAAAAAGGCCATTGTTCACATTTACTTGGCCACATCTGACGTGTTCCGTGATGTCGTGTTTAACATGTCTCAGGAACAGGCCGTGGCCAAGGCTGTGGAGACTACCAAATTGGTCAGATCTTTGACCAAGGATGACCCATCCAAGCAGGAGACCGAGTGGTCGCTTGAATTCTCGCCAGAGTGTTTCAGTGACACTCCTACTGAATTTGCTGTGCAGATCTGTGAAGCCGTGAAGGAGGCCTGGGAGCCATCCGCCGAGAACCCTATTATTTTCAACTTGCCGGCCACTGTTGAAGTCGCCTCTCCTAACGTTTACGCAGATCAAATCGAGTACTTTTGCACCCACATCACTGAACGTGAGAAGGTCTGTGTTTCCGTCCACCCTCACAACGATAGAGGCTGCGGTGCTGCTGCTGCTGAGTTGGGTTTGCTTGCGGGTGCCGACAGAGTTGAGGGCTGTCTTTTCGGAAACGGAGAGAGAACAGGAAATGTCGACTTGGTCACCGTGGCCTTGAACATGTACACCAACGGTGTTTCTCCCGAGTTGGATTTCTCCAACATGGAGGAGTTGATTGATGTTTCAGAGAGATGCAACAAGATCCAGGTCCACCCAAGAGCTCCATACGGAGGTTCTCTCGTGGTTTGTGCCTTCTCTGGTTCTCACCAGGATGCTATTAAGAAGGGTTTCCAGAAGGCCGAGGAGAGATACGCCAAGGGTGACTACATGTGGAAGATTCCTTACTTGCCATTGGACCCTAAGGACATTGGTAGAAACTACGAGGCAGTTATTAGAGTCAACTCTCAGTCTGGTAAGGGAGGTGCAGCCTGGGTGATCTTGAGATCCTTGGGCTTGGACTTGCCTAGAACTTTGCAAGTGGAGTTCTCGTCCATTGTTCAGAATGAAGCTGACAGAGTTGGCAGAGAATTGAAGACCGACGAGATCAACGATCTTTTCCAGAAGCGTTACATGTACCTTGGTACCTCCACCATCGCTCTTGAGGACTACCAGACCACTAAGAACAAGTCAGAAAACAACAACCGTGAGATCACTGCAGACTTGATTGTCAATGGTGAGAAGGTTCAAATTTCTGGTAAGGGTAACGGACCTATTTCTGCTTTTGTTGATGCTGTGGCCAAGCAGTTTGGCACTTTGTTTGAGGTTGTGAGCTACAGCGAGCACAGCTTGGGCTCAGGAACCCAGGACAAGGCTGCCACTTACATTGAGGTTTCTTATGTCAACTCTGAGGGTGTGAAGACCACCAGATGGGGATGTGGTGTTGACTCTGATGTCAGCGAGTCTTCCTTGAAGGCTATCATTGCCATTCTCAACCAGTTGATTAAGACCGGAGAGCTCACCGTTTAGATAGGATATAAATGACGGAGTCAATAAATGTTCCGTACAATAAAAGGCATTCGAAGTCCAGAGTATCTGTAAGATTATAGAGAATTGTAAAATACTTGATAAGACATAATTATTGAAATAAGGTAATGGAATGGTAGAAGAATGTGGTCAAGTAGTATGCCTAGGTTACGCACTCAGTCAAGCTAATTAATCTATAAGGTTTAGACTTCTTGATAAGTCAACATCCAATTCTTCAAACACATATTTAATTTCAAAAGCCTCAAACTGTTTTCATGTGTCAATATCAAAAAAAAAAAAAATCAATTAATTGCCGTGTTTTCAATTCCACCATCACAATCTCTCTTTCTTCTCTAGGTTTGTCTAGCTGTGTAACTATCGAGCATTTCTCATTTAACTGTAAAAGTCATACCCTATACTACAATTCATACCCAAATTTATAAATCACACCATCATCTTTTCAAATCTAAAACCTATGAATCCCTTTTCCCAATAGTTTTTAACCCATAATCAATTATTCGGCATAATAGGGCTTGAGCCCTTTAATGCACGTGACCACTATCTCACCCTCTCTTCCAATGCCCCCTGCACACCATCCACCATTCCCATCATGCACTACCATCAAACCGAGCCCTCACGTTTTTTTCCTCAAAAATTTTCAACCGAAATACTTCTTTCACAAACCACAAAATGTCTGATTTCCAGCCAGTTGTTGTTATCGACGGTAAGGGCCACTTGTTGGGTCGTTTGGCTTCGATCATCGCCAAGCAGTTGTTGAACGGTCAAAAGATTGTCGTTGTCAGATGCGAGGCCTTGAACATCTCCGGTGAGTTCTTCAGAAACAAGTTGAAGTTCCACGACTACTTGAGAAAGGCTACCAGATACAACAGAACCAAGGGTCCATTCCACTTCAGAGCCCCATCTAGAGTTTTGTACAAAGCCATCAGAGGTATGATTCCTCACAAGACCGCCAGAGGTAAGGCTGCTTTGGAGAGATTGAAGGTGTTTGAGGGTGTTCCACCTCCATACGACAAGAAGAAGAGAGTTGTTGTGCCACAGGCTTTGAGAGTGTTGAGATTGAAGCAGGGTAGAAAGTACACCACCGTCGGTAAGTTGTCTGCTTCCGTTGGTTGGAAGTACGAGTCTATTGTTGACAAGTTGGAGGAGAAGAGAAAGGTCAAGTCCGCTGAGTACTACGCTAAGAAGGCTGCTGCTGTCAAGAAGTTGGCTGCTGCTCAGGCTTCTAACGCTGAGTCTGACGTTGCTAAGAAGTTGGCTGCTTTGGGTTACTAAGCATCTTAATTTTTTGTTGATTCCGATTATCGGGATGCTATGTATGTATAGAAACTATATGTATGTATCGCTAATACATCATTGAACGAAGAGCGCAGGTAGGGTTGATGAGAGATGATGATCAGATCATGGGATTGTATTGGAATCTTTCTTTTCACAATTTGTATTAAATTGATCGTTTTAACCTAGATACTCGAAAGGTTTTATATTAGTGTGATCACAAATAGCTTAACAGGTCCAGATAATTTCCATCTTTACACTGGTTATTTTATTTGAGAGATTACGGGTTTGTTATATTCATTATAATCACGCTTCAATGGCTATCATCATCTACTAAGATGAATAGATGGGCATGCTCAACAACTGGCTTCATCATTGATGGCGAGTACTAGCATCCATAGTGGTAAAATCAGTTGCACTTTAAAAGAACATTTTTGGTACTGATGATTCTGTATTATAGATTGTTGACTACATTTTAAGTTTCTTACTTTAGTCTACTGTCTCACTAAAGTCTTGTCTTTTATGTCATTATTGTCAATTGGTCTCCCTGTGGTCCATGATCATTCAATTCTTAATTTTTTTCGAACCTACTCAGGTTAAATGATTTCATTTCTTCTTCTAATTCTTTTGCAAACTTTGAAAAGAAAAAAATTTCTTGCATGTCATGGTTTGTCTCAGTCAGACTTCTTGTACCATATACCCCAGTCTATCCCCACCCAGTGCGAACTTAAATCAAATCAACTCCACCATGCTCTTCCGTCGCCATTTGACAAGTGTGCCGGCGACCATTCCTTCACTTCTAAACGGTAAGCATGTGTTATCTTCCACTAAAATCCCTGTATACTCCCATAATTCTGATTTGATCCACCATTACCTGCCAATTCCAAGCCTTGACGTTTTGAACGAAGTTTGCTCCGATTCTTACAATGGCTTTCTCCAGTGGAGCAGCCGTCCTTTCTCTGAAAGGGCAGATATCTTGAATTCTGCCGCCGACTCCATCTCGCGTGATCGAGATACCTTCATTGATGCTCACTTGGAGATCGGTGGCTCGCCAATGTTCGCATCAGTATGTGCTGATAACGCCGTTCAGGACATACGAGAATACTCGAGATCCATTTCGCTGCCTGATGGACTGGTGGTTAAATCGAGTACTGCTGACTTGGCAATGGCACTTAAAACACCCATGGGTCCTGTTTTGTCCATTGCACCTTGGAATGCACCCACCATATTATGGTCTAGAGCCATAGTTGCTCCTTTAGCTGCGGGGTGTTCTGTGATAATCAAGTCCTCCGACAAAGCCCCCAAGTTGCCATTTTTATACACTGAGCACCTTCTCAAAGCCGGCGTGGATGTTCAGGCGTTGCAGTTGCTCAATGTCAACCCACAAGATCATGCCAAGGTGACTGAGTCGCTCTTGGCCAACGATTTGGTCCGGAAAGTCAACTTCACAGGATCTACTGCCGTGGGCACAAAAATTGCCCAGACGGCCGCAAAGTACTTGAAGCCTTCGTTGCTCGAGTTGGGAGGTAAAAATGTATCCATCGTTTGTTACGACGCAGATATCAAGAAAGCTGCTTACAGCCTGGTGCTAAGTGCCTGGATGCACAAGGGCCAGATTTGTATGTGCTTGGATAACGTATACGTACATGACTCCATTTATGACAAGTTTACTGAGGCTTTAGTTGCCGTAGCCAAAGAATTTGCTGCTTCTCCAGACATGAAATTGGGCCAAAGAGACAAGGCTGGTGCCGAGAAGGTTAGTCGGCTAGTGTCCGATGCAATCGATAAAGGTGCATCTGTTCTTTTCGGTGAGGTTTCAGCCCCCACTACCACCGAGTCGTCGCCTTTGATCCTTGAGAATGTCACTCCAGATATGTCAATCAATACCGAAGAGACGTTTGGGCCCGTTCTTGCTCTTTTCAAGTACCACGACATTGAGGAGGTGATAACTAATGTTAACAAGTCAAAGTATGGTCTCAAGGGTTCTATTTGGAGCACTGACACCTTGAAGGCGTTATCTCTTGCCAGAAAGATGGATTTTGGAGGAGTTCATATCAATGGGTCCACTGTTCACGATGAAGCAACTCTTCCACACGGAGGAGTCAAACTGAGTGGCTGGGGACGCTTTAACAGCATGTGGGGAGTCGATGAATTCACCTTTACCAAGACGATCACTTTGAACTAAGAGAAGGTAATAGTCTGAGAGGTTATTAAGGATGACCAAGTTAAAGTAGCTGTATGTACATCATATAATCTAGAACCGGTTCTTGCTAAGAGTCTCGGCAATGTCTAAGTATAACGCAATAGCATTGAAACTGGGTTTCTGGTTGAACATCACTTTATCCACAGTAGCTCTGATTCTATTTGTCCAGTTGATGAGGTCCATATGGTCCACATCCTCCAAAGTGCCCATGTAGTTGCCCCACCGAGCCAGATCCACGCTCACCATACCATCGTTCTCGATGTTCTTCAGACCCTTCTTCATTATCTCAGACTTGATGATCTCATATGTCGCACGGAACAATTTGATGCCATGAGGATTCATCAGTGCACCGTACGAAAAATACATGACTCCAGGTTTGTTTCTGACCTCTCTGTTGAATTCCTTCAAATACTTCGATGTCAACTGTGGGATTGCCTTCGGGCAGACGGCCATTATGGTGTCATCATTTTGGATCCAGCTCATGAGAAAGTCTGCGCATTCAGAGCCATGATGTGGTGTTCCCACCGTTGTCAAACTCACAACTTCATATGGTGAATCTTCACTCTGGATCTTAGAGATTAAATACCTAGAATCCAAGCCTCCCATTGAGTGACCAACCAAGTTGATTTTCAATCTCTCACCCTCCACCTTATCTGGATACTCTTTGCATTTTTCAGTGAGTAAAGCATCCAACAGCTTCGCTCTTTCCTCAATGGTTCCAAAAGGTGGCACTTTAGCAGTGAGGACCTTGCAGCCAGCTTCCTTCAAAGCTTCTTCAATGCCATACCAGTAGTTGAGCATGACTGAGCCTGAGCCGACTTCATTGGAAACGTCATTAAGACGTTTTCCATATTCTTTAAAGTTTTCAGTGTTATTCCAAGCAAACTGAGGTGCCTGGAATAATGTCAACGTATCGAACCCAGAAAGTCCATGGCACAAGACAATAGGATGTTTCGGAGGATTGTATTTCTCCTTCAATTCACGAAACTTATCCTTGATAATTTTCAAGTCACGACGGGATTCCTGATTCTCGATGAACTGACTATTCAAGAGATAATTTCGGTTGGGGTCCCATATACTTACTGCCAGAATGGCTACTATGGATGATGCCCGTAGATAGATAGGGAAACGGAACATCAGAAGTGGAAGAGCTGCGATCGACACTTTTGAAATATTTTTAGGTAGCACAACGAAGTGAATGAAATGAAAAACAGAAGGTTGGAAGAACTGAAGAGTTTGAATAGTTGTTGTTGAAATTTTAAATGTGACTAGCAAGCAACAGCAAGATAGAGGAATATGAGAATGCATGAGACCATCCGACATGAAATCAGCATCATAGACACACGAGTGTCAGAAACGGTAGTAATGTCGCAATTGAGCGACCTAATGATTTTATGAAATAATATAATGTAATACGATAGTATATTCTTTGATGATGTAAAAACTTCATTCGTAACCAATTGGACATATCTTACTATATCTTACTATTTACATGTGACTTAACGTCCGCTGATAGCTCTGATCATCATATCCTTCACTGCATCAACCAGATTGAGGGACTTCAAGCCAAATCCACGAATGAATACAAGCGGACCAAAATCAGTGGAGAATATCTTGTGCAATTTGTCACAAATTCCCATCAACACATGGTTATTGGGCCATGCCACAGCATTGAAATTTTCAAGCACTAACGTCAGACCAATATCAAGCCCACGATCAATTCCCTTTTCCAAAGCTTCAACAAGCGCAGCAACATCCGTCTGGCCCATATTAAGCCCTTGGCCAGCCAACGGGTGGACGGTGTGAGCAGCATCTCCAACCAAGGCAACTCTAGGTGCACAATATGTGTCTGCCTGCAAGTACTTGAGTGGAAAACGGGCTCTACTACCGGGTAAGATCTCTGCCACGGGCATTGGAAATTTCTCTTCGAGATCTTCTTGCGAGATCTTTGACATTCTCCACTCTATATCTTCAATAACCAGCTTATCTGCTGGGTTGATTTGCAAAGTCTTGTAAATGTAGTTCAAGTCCACTTCTTCCAATGTCATGGCTGCATTGAGGAGATGTGGGAATATCTCATCATCGACTTTGAGCAAAATCTCTGCAAGTTCCGGTGTGCTGGACCACACAAAAGTGGCATTGTCGTCTGGTAATGGCAAAATGGCCAATGGACCTGTGGTGAGAAATCTCTGCCAGGCAATGGATCTGAAATCTTCAAACTGGAGTTTGATGGTGCCTACCACACCAAAACGGTCATAGGCCCATCCTCGGGACTCGATATTAGCAAACTTTCTCACAGGAGAGTTTTGTCCATCTGCACCTATGAGAAGTCTGGCCTGGAAAGAGTCTCCGCTGTCGAGCGTCACGACAGGCCAGTCTAGTCCGGTCTCTGGGTCGATTTTGATATCGACAACCTTGGCCTTGTCAATAATGGTAGCTTCATCTCCCTCGGGCAACACTTCATTCAACTCTTCAATCTTCCCAAGCAAGGAGCTTTGGATATTTACCACTTCACTCATGGCAGCAATCACAGACAGATTTCCATTATCATCAAATACTGAGCCAGCATCGAAGTGGATACGTGCATCAGCATCCTGTGAATCGTAGGCGACCATATTGTCGTAGAACTTGACTCTATCCTCATGAATAAATGGCCACGAGCCAGATTTCGTTTGCATGAATTCAACCGACTTGGGCGTGAGTGAGACCACTCTATTGGTGAAATTCTCCGGAGGCTCTTCTCCAAATGTCCTCACTGGGTCCAAACTGAAGCCTTCCACCAATGTGCAACTAAGATGACTCGTTTTGGGGGAGTTTTTAAGCGCTGCCATGATGGAAAGACCTGCGGGGCCCCCACCCACGATGACCACATCTTGAAGAACAGCTCTGGACGATGCTTGAGCCGTTGCTTTAGCCGTGGTTTTAGCCGTGGTGGCTAGCAAACGCAGAAACTGTAGAAACATATAGTGGTTGGAAGAAAACCGCACCATTATTAGTGCAGGGTTGGAGAAGTTATACGATATGGATCGATTGCCTGAGGTCGTATAATAGGATAGTCAGAGGAAAAAAAAGATTGCTAGGCAATTTTAATTCATATTGATTTGTTATTGTAGTCCGTTTTTTCCTTATTACAAATTCAGATCGGTTTTGTCTAAGTCAATCTATGTCTCCATCTTCAATTCTGTACTATCATGCATCTATTCGTTACCTAGTAATTGGCTATTCTCCTCTCTGCTTTTTCTTTGGTGGCTCGTCGTCATCACTTATGTCCAACTCCTCACCCTCGGAACTGTCCACATCACTTCCGTTGTCGTTCTTGATGGCCTCAGCGTAGTACCTCACAGCATTAGGGAACAAATCGTCCAAGATCAACCTGGCCAAGTCCTCGCCACTTCTGAACTCCTTGGCTGGCTTGTGGCCCGTCCACTCAAACCAAGCAAAGAAAGACTTCATGCCTTGTCTGTATTTTTTCTTTTCATCCGCGCTGTAGCTGTCACCTTTCTTGTTTTCTCTAATAGTGGAGGGACAGATATCAGCAAGTTCTTGTGGCCATTGAACCTCCACAGCTTCAGAGAGAAGAACCTCCTCGCCATCTTTCTCAGAAACCTGGAATTTCTTCGTGACTGTCTGTGTTGGAACAACTCCTGAGTCGTCCTTGAACGAAATGGTAATGGAGAAGTCTCTGTAGTTGGACACCTGGTCAGAGTCGGCGATGTCGAAATGAACATATATGTCCTCGACAAAGTCCAAGTATTTAAGGTCTTCTGCACGAACATAATCGGCAAAATCATCGTTCTGGGCAAGTACAATATACCAAAACTGGGGGATTTCCTTGGTAATTTCGCTTCTCTTCTTATAGATGGTCTGTGTTTTCTTGATGCGGTAGATTTCTGCATCCTTGTCGGCCTCACCCATCTGCTGTTCATTTTCTGCCAACTTGGCAAGCGAATTGCTTAAGACTTCTGCCTCGTCAGCCATTTTGGTGTTCTTATAGGTAAGTCTTCTCCACGAATTGTCACCTACTCCATCACCACTGTCGAGCATATGGACTTTATATACAGGTTGGAGATGGGCCCTATTCGAAATGCTACTCAAACACCACAGTGTTTATTCCTATATGCAAATTCTAACGTCTGGCGCCGCGTCTCACCATCTCAGGCAACTTGAAGGGAACCTTCAAAACCGCCACCTTGTAAGTAGCAGCCTCCTTCTTGGAGAGTCCAATGGCCTCGGCCATACCCACTCCAATAGGCTTGATGATGGCACCCATGGTACGGAGCAAAGTCACGAGTCTGGTTGGCTTCATGTTCAATTCATTGGCCAATGGGAGTAACTCAAGTGTAAAGCCCTCGATGTGGAAAAGAAGGGCAAGCAAGTAGCAGAGCAACTTGTCCTCATGGTATGGGTCTATGATGAAAGAGCGGTCCTTGGTCTTGCCAAAGTCCGAGGTTCTGGACACGGCAAAGCGCTCCAAAATTCCGTCCACAAGAACTTCCGAAGGCTTGTTTCCCAATCTCTCCATGAGGGCGTTCTTGTTTCTGACTCTACGGTTAGCATAAACTCCAAAGAGGAGAGAGGCATAGAACAACATCTGCACCTTCGACTCGTTGTGGAGAGGCACGAACTTGGCCAAATTCTTAGCCACAAATGCAGACTTGGAGTATGGCAACATTTCCAAGCGCTTCTCCTCGGTCTCCTCGTCGAAAATGGAGTTGATGCGGATGCTGGCCCATTCCTTCTTTGGTATTATGCTGTGCAAGGCGTAGACATCCTCCACGTTGGTAGCGTTTTCGTTGACTGGTGGCACCGGTCTGTCCACAGATCCAGCGTCCTGCAACTGCTGGCGAGTAGGCAAATCCAGGGTGAGCTCCTTGACATTGTCGACAATGTCCAATTCCATGTCCTGCAACTTGTCTGCGTCGATTCTGTTCTTCTCCAAGTTGACGATAGCAGCCTTGGCTTTTTTGGTACCGAAGGCTTCTCCCAATGCAGTTCTTTGCACAAAGTTGTGGAGGCCACGGGATTTGACCTTGGGACCCTTATGGACTCTGCTGTCGATAGAAGTGACTTTTCCATAAACCATAGGGGCCTTGTAGAGCTCTACAGACTTGTGAGCAGGATCGTAGAGGGCAACAATGTAGTCGTTGTTTTCGTCTTCGCCCGTATATCCGTTATACTCCAAGGTACTGTTCTCTCCGTGCAAAAAGTATGAGTCTTTCTTGTGCTTGTGCTGGAACAAATCAAAGTTGCTCTTTTCTGGCACCAGCATGCCGTTAAAAAACGAGCCGACAACCACGGATGGTTCCTCTGAGCATGCGGCCACCCTGATCTCGGTCGTTCTGGAGGATTTTTTCGACATTGCACCGAGCTAGTGAAATAGGTTGGTGATGGACCTCATCGCACTTGGTTTTTTTTGGCTACTTCATCTGCGCTGTGTGCACGCTCCACTGTATAGTTTCACCATTTAGATCCAACCGGAAAAGTTTGAAGAAACCTGGCTGTGGCCATGAATGTCACAAACTATGAGATTTTAGGTGTGGGACATGATGCTAGTACTCAGCAACTAAAAGTGGCGTACCACCAAAAATTGCTCGCTACTCATCCAGATAAAACTGGTGACTCCGCGGATGATTCCAAAGTTCTGATTTCTGCCATTCAAGAGGCATATCGTGTGCTCAGCAATGCCCAAAGTCGGGAGAAATATGATGAAGACTTAAAGACTTCTTTCAAAAAACAGGGTTTCAACATAACTGGTGCTGGTCTCGATGTTTATACTCTCGAGTCTTTTCAATGCAGCGACGACGAATACCCAGTGTGGACTCGAAACTGTCCTCGTTGTTCAAGCGAAAATTCCATTGAATTGAAGGAAGCAGACTTGGAAATGGGTACTCCTGACGGTCTGGGCGGGTACCAGATCATGGTTCCATGTCTGAGCTGTAGTCTCTGGATTACAGTGCTGTACGAGGAGGAAGACGAAGAAGAAGAGTGAAAGAAACTAATGTGAGTATGCTATTTTTATTTTTTGCACTAAGTACTCTCCTCAAATATCCCTGTCCCAAATCTTGTCTGCCTCGATAATTGCATCCAAGGCATTAGCCATGGTCTTAAGATCAGACATCAAGTCCACATGGCCCGAGTTGCTGGCAAACTTGCCGACAATGTGCCCCTCGTCTGTTTCAGGGTTATAGTGTTTGAAACCTTTGTTTTCGGGCATCAACCATCTCGAATGAACGACGCCGTCCCCGCGTCCATAGAAGAACTCGTAATAGTTGCCATCTTTGATGTCCTGACGACTCTTGACATTCGACCCTCGCACTGATGGCACTGTGTCACCAAATACAACCGCCATAGGAGGGTATTTGAACTTCAATTCTTCCTTGTATTCGAGGCTGAGTATATGTTCCTTAGTTTGCTTCAACGTTCTGCTGAGGTAATTATATGCTTCGTCAAACGATATGCTGAACTTGAAGTCAGTCAAGATATCCGTAGGCGAAAGTACCGGGCTCACGCGTCCATCCTTGTGTCTCTTCTGCATTTGCAGGTTGGTCAAGAAACTAGGTTTGGACTTGCGGTTTATTCCGGTGGGTATAAGTTTGATGCGTGAACTGATGGTTCCTATGGGTGACCTAAGTCCCATCAGCTTAATATTATCCTCGGGTTCTTCCACCATGGTATCCTCATCAGCAGCAAGCCTTGCCTCCTCCATGTCTCTTCTTGTGCTGGATACTAAAGGATTGAGGTTGTATTCCACCCAAGTGTCAGGGTCAAAGTAGTCAAGGTCATAAAACTCACCCGTATCTTTGTTGGAGAACACCCGACCGTTCAATGGCAAAAATGAAAAGGAAGAGCGCATCATGAAGTTGGTTTCGAAAGTGAGAATCTTATCCGAGAACATGATTGAATCGCCATAGCGTATGGGGCCCAAAATATTGAGACATTCGCTGGGACAGCCAACATAGACTAGTCCTCGGAACAATTCTGGGCGCTTTTGCATGGCTCCGTGGGCAACTAACCCGCCCATAGAATGTGCCACCACTATTACTCGTTTGCGATTTGTTCGGTAAAGGTCTTCCATGCACTTTATGAGCTCATCACTCGAGTGGCTGAGGCTGAGTCGCCAATCGTAACCAAACTCCTTGACGGTGGTTTTTGGATTGTTGTCCAATTTTTTGATAAATTTTTTACAAATATCAAATGGCCCAATGTTCTTTAGTACTCCATCCGGATAAATGTAGTCACTAGCATGCAATTCGTCCTCTTCAGACGGGCCGAGAAGCAAATTAATTTTGCGGAGATTAAGGCCAGCCTTCAATGGGATCCATACCCGTTTGCCTGTATTTGTATCTCTCAAAGTGGAGCCTCGGTAGCCCCCCATGATCACAATCGGGCCGTCGATGTCATTAAATACTGAGTCATATGTTCTCTCCTTCTTTATAAAGTCCGGAAGGATTTCGGAGATTCCCTGGGAAATCAGATGCTTCATTGCCCGAAAACGCACATCGTCGGTTCCCTTGGTGTTGGAGAAGTACTTTGCTTCGTCCATCGTGCTGAGCGATTCTTGCCTTTGAATACGCAAGCGTAAATCCTCGGTTTCTGGATCTTTGTTGTGAGAAAAAGGGAGCTTGAAACCCATCCTGGGCATGGTCAAGCCCCCTCCAAAGGGCAACGAAAATGAAAACACCTTTCTACCGAAATCATCTGCCTCTTTTGGTTCAGAAGTCTGATGATCGGTTGATGTGAACAGTTCACCACCGACGATGGAGTCTGCATCTTGTCTGGTGAAGTTACGGACTATGTTTTCAGTGGAAGGTGCATATTCGACCACGTCAATTTCGTCTTCTATGGGCGGGGATACAAGTTCACTCAGGTTGGATTCGGAATCATTGGTGGAATTCTTAGCCACAGGAGGACCAATGTAAGAGGAGTCACCTTCAGGAGCCGACATGGCTGAAACTGCAAATATGAGATTTCTGGATAGGAATTGCAGCTGATCCGAAGCGTCCCAAACAGAATTATTTCTCTAAGTCTTTATGGTTAAGATGGAGGTGGGTAGGTGAACCGGCAGGCTCGGGTGATGTTATTTATTAAAAGTACAGGAGAGACCAAATTGCGATGCATGAGGATTTCTTGGAGGATATGTAGATGATGAAGAAGACTTGGGGAGTAGACTTGGGGAGTAGACTCTTGATATCTATTAGTGACTATCAGTCCTGAGATTTGTTGAGGGAAATTCCATTGTGACATTTCTGTAGAATATGACAAAATGTTCTTCCGGGGCCTCTAGGTTGTTAGTACGCAGGTATGGAAGTCCAGGTGCGTTTACCTACCTATCAAATGTGTATACGAGGATATGACAAGAAAGAGAAAATGAAAGTCTTGGCTGCTTTTTTGGGATTCGTATGAGTTAAGTGTGCAGTTACTCATGGGGCTACCAATTACGAATTTAAAACTTTGAGGACCAAACGGAAGATTTTATTTACTGACTACATGGCATCGAGGCTGTACAGCTAGTGGTTTTGACTGCGCCATGAAGCTTTGGCATAATACTTCTGTAGCAGCGGCAATTTTTCCAGTATTGCAGTGCTCTATGCCTGCTCTCTACATCATCTCTTTCAGATGGCTTTTACTTCTCTAAGGATCTCTCAAAATTTAGGTCTCTGGATCCCATTTTCGTCATTTCCAACAATGTCTACATCACGACGTTTAAACTTCTCCCTCTCTGTTTCATTACCCTTCTCATTCACCACTTCTGAGGCATCGTAGCTGTTTTTAGAGGGGAGAGAACTTCTTGCTTCTAAATCTTCAATTATTATGAGGCTATGTGCTGCTGGCTGCTGCCGTATATGCGACTTGTCACTGATAGATTTCTGACATCAGAGAAATGATAATTACAAAACCCCAAAGTTCAGAGAAAAAAAGTGACCAAGACCTTAACATCGTGACCTCGTATGTTCTCTATGTTCAATTCTTGATCCCGTGGTTCGTTTATCAAACGGCCAAATGCTCAAGTGTGGAGATCTTTTAGGTGCGTCTACCTGTCAAAAGCCCGCCTTGCTTCAAACCCTCCTATAAATACTGCGAGGGAACCTCAGGGTTTCAAAAGCCATCTTTTTATGGAAATTATTGAATTTGAATTGTTTTGAAAATATTCAAGACTTTATTTTTGTTGAGTATATGGTTTGTGTCTGCGACTGCTGCCTTTACTTTTAATATTCAACGGTTCCTTTTTGGTCATAAATTAGCCATCGTGGGTATCTTGAGAAGTCAACTCTGCGCACGTTGCCTGGATACATATATAGGTTCCGCCGTGCGCTAAACTAAGAAGGCAGAATTGTGGAGTTTTTCCTTGCCTGCCCTAGTTTCTATTGTTTTCTGGTAAGCCATTTCATTTTCATTGAGGTCTTCTGTTGTTCTACCCGCAGTTCAATCACTCTCAGCGGCTGTCTTCGTCTTTCCTGATAAATGAACCATGATCATCTGGGGTTTCAAGGTCCCGCTGCTCCTCTACGACGTCCATTACATGGCCAAGGTGTGCTCCATCTTGGCGGCATTATTCATAATTGCATGGTTGAATTTTGATCAAAGTGTGGAAGCCAGGCCCCACTTGCGGGGTGGAAAGATATTCTTGGGGACTCTTTCTTCCTCGCTTTAGGATAGGTATATATTAATGGATGGCCAGGCGGGCTCGCGCAAACATGTGTAGGGTTGTGGCGGGGAGGCTTATCACTTTTTCTTTTGCCAATCAAGTCGATGCTATTTATGGCCATTGTTCCCTCCGAAAAAGCAAATTTGACAGAAAATTGCGTTATTGGGATCGGCCAAAAGAGCTTATATAGGCAGTACATGATAGGCAACCAGACTTCAAATCTCAGGTACTCAAGAGAGTTCAGTTTCTTCCAATTGTTGATTAGTAAAGAAATCTTCCGAGCTCCTCGAGTTCTTCTATTACCAAATCTTCCCAGTTCCTTTCTTACTTTTGAACGTTTAGCTCTGCGATCGTGATCAGGCGTGGATAGGGCCATGTGAAGAATATGGAGTAAAAAAGCAAGGCTTGGCATTAATTGATCTTGGAGACTACCATAATTTCTTGAAAAGAATGTTTCTTGTGAAGCAATTTCGAAAGTTCGAAGGCGTGACATTTAAAAATGGAGGCTGTTTTCTGAATATTGTTTAGCGAAAGAAAATTGTAAAAAAACAGCTGGCTAGTATGTTTTATGCTGTTCTCTGGATGTTATTCTTGTTGAATTCAGGCATTTTGTTGGTAATGTGTTCTTGACTATTAACTGGGTGTTAACTCACCAATCAATAATAATCGTACGATAATACGAGATAGTATCCCCCTTTTTCAAGGTCAAAACTTCGAAGATAGATTTAGGGTACACGAACTTGAATACGAACTTCACATTGAGCCTGAATAGAAACTCAGCTACGAAAGTGAATACGAAAAATGAACAAATTCCTCTTGACTGCACGACCCTGCAAATTCACTTTTCGTAATGAGTTCTCCATGGTGATTTTAGATGGCCAAGGGTAATAATCATTTTACGGAGGAATCTCAACACCTTCCTAATAAGTTGTGTTAGTGAACCCTGTGATGGTGGTGCTCACTACCATTCTCTGACCCTTCTGTAGGCAAACACCGCCCAACTTCCACTAACTTCCCTTTTCGGAAGTCTACATTTACCCAAAGGCGAACTTCACACCTCTCATACTTTTACACTACCACTTCACCATTCCAACCATGTACTTGCGGGTCCCTCTCCGGGCTCTTCGGACGCCCGTGTTCTCGCGAATGTCACATTTACCCAAGCGCACTGTTTTGGTGCTGATGTCCAGAGCCTTTCATGCGTCGTCTAGGGTAGCCAATAAGCAACAAGACCATGAATCTAGACTAGCGCAAGAATTGAAGAAATTGCACGAAATAAGACGCCAGTTCGACAATGCCAGCTTCTTTGACAAGTTTAAACTTCGTCCACAGATGGAGGCTCAAGAAGCTAAGGTCATGGAGCTCCAGAATTACCTCACCGATGCCCAACCCATGCCTTTGCAACTCCACAACCCGTTGGAGTTGAACGCTGCAAAGAGATACAGCGTGGTTTTCGACTTTTTATTGGCACATTTCGAGAAGGAGTGTGAGAGTTTCAAGACGAAACGTTTGGTGAGTCCTGAAGTGTTGTCACAGAGAATCATTGGCGACTTTTCCAAAGAACACCCTGCACTTGATGCTTTGACCAAGGATGAGATCGTAGCAGTTTTCGATATCTATTATCGTATTTCCAACCTCGTTGACCCTGTGGATCAAGTGGAGTTCAACCAGGACAAGATCCAGCAGTTATTTGACTATTATACCAAGAACCACCTCGAGTTGGAAGGTAGTGCCCTTGAGAAGGCCGCTTCTGACCAAATCAAATTGGATTCTGCTGTTGTGCGTGAGTGGTTCAAGGTGTTTGAGACCTTGTGGAAGGTGCCCTTCGCCGGTGAAGGCGAGGTGTTTACTAACCCCCTCTGTGGAGATGAATATACCGCTTACAACGCATACAACTCCGAGTTGAACAAGGTGCGTGATATGCTCAAGGAAAAAACTGATAAAGGTGCTCCTCCGCCATCTGGGAACCAGGAGCCAAAGAAGACAAATGGCAAAAAGAAGGATGAGTATAAATACTTCGACATCAACATCACTGGCCTGAATGCTCGTTTGTTTGCTATGGGTGTTTTTGGAGGTTTACTTAGTTTCATTTTCTTGAGTTCGGGTCTGAATGGTAATCATGAGGTTTCTTTCCAGGAATTTTCTGCTGACTTCTTGCGCAAGAATCTTGTGGCTAGAATTGTTGTGGTCAACAACAGAACTGCGGTCCTCGAATTGAATGAGAACGGAAAAGCTCAATATCCTCATGGCGAGTATTACTTCAACATCGGAAGCATTGAGTCGTTTGAGCGCAACTTAAAGGCTGTACAAGAGGAGTATAAGATTCCTGACCAGCTCAGACTTCCTGTGGTTTATATTACAGAGGGAAGCGCTACCAAGATGTTGATCAACTTTTTACCTACTTTATTGTTCCTTGGTGCAATCTATTACATGACCAAGAGGGCTACCATGGGAGGTATGGGCGGCCCGTTGGGCTTCGGAAAATCTACTGCTAAGAAGTTCAACCAGGAAACTGACGTAAAAGTCAAATTCAAGGATGTTGCTGGTATGAATGAAGCAAAGCAGGAGGTTATGGAATTTGTTAAGTTTTTACAGAACCCAACTAAGTACGAGAAGTTGGGTGCTAAGATTCCAAGAGGTGCTATCTTGTCTGGTCCTCCGGGTACTGGTAAAACTTTGCTTGCTAGAGCTACTGCAGGTGAGGCAGGTGTACCATTCTACTCTGTGTCTGGTTCTGAATTCGTTGAAATGTTCGTTGGAGTTGGTGCTTCACGTGTTCGTGATTTGTTCAAGACTGCCCGTGAAAATGCCCCTTCCATTGTGTTTGTTGATGAGATTGACGCAATCGGTAAGCAGAGATCTAAGGGTAATGCAAGCGGTGCAAACGATGAGCGTGAAACCACGTTAAACCAGTTGTTGGTTGAAATGGATGGTTTTGATAGCTCGGACCATGTTGTGGTCTTGGCAGGAACAAATAGACCAGATATTTTGGACAAGGCCTTGATGAGACCAGGAAGATTTGACAGACACATTTCAATCGACAATCCTGAGTTGCTAGGAAGAAAAGAGATTTTTGAAGTGCATTTGAAGAAGATCAAGTTGGCTACCGATATTGACCCCGAATTGCCTGGCCGCTTGGCTGCATTGACACCTGGGTTCTCGGGTGCAGATATTGCCAATGTTTGTAATGAGGCTGCTTTGATTGCTGCCAGATATAACGCCAAGGCTGTGACATTGAGACATTTCGAATTAGCCATCGAGAGAGTCATTGGAGGAGTCGAAAAGAAATCTAAGCTCTTAGACCCTAATGAGAAGCGTGTGGTTGCCTACCATGAGGCTGGCCATGCCGTTTGTGGTTGGTATTTGAAGTATGCTCATCCATTGCTTAAGGTCTCTATCATTCCAAGAGGTCAGGGTGCTTTGGGATACGCGCAATATTTGCCTCCAGATCAGTATCTCTTCACCGCTGTGCAACTTTACGACAGAATGATTATGACTTTGGGAGGCAGAGTGTCTGAAGAGTTGAACTTTGCCTCGGTGACCAGTGGAGCGCACGATGACTTCAAGAAGGTTACTAACATTGCTCAGTCGATGGTTTTGAGATTTGGTATGTCTAACAAGGTGGGTATGGTGAACTATGCTGATACCCAGAGCCAAGACAACCTTACGAAGCCATTCAGTGATGAGACCAATAAGATCATTGATGAGGAGATTGAGAGAATTGTCAAGGAATGTCACAGCAAGTGTAAGCAGTTGTTGACCGAGAAATCAAAGGAAGTGGAGATTGTCGCACAAGAGTTGTTGAAGAAAGAATTCATCACTAGAGAAGACATGATCCGCTTATTGGGCAAGAGACCATTCCCTGAGACCAATGATGCATTTGACAAATACCTTGATGGTAAGGCGGCTTTCAAGAATGAGAAGCCATCAGAGGAGAAGAAGGATGATGAGATGTAAGAGCACTTCCGGCAACTTGTATATAGACCAAGAGAACATAGCCGTGAGGAGGTTGAAGGGAACTGTTGGTGCAAAATGAAAAATACCATAAAAATTATACATTGATACACAAAGCTCGTATAAGACATGATCCAGCGTATACAAATTCAGATTTGCTACATAGTTAGAGTAATCGAATGAGGAAAGAAGCACATTACTATTGGGAGGACTTTGTTGGAACACCTCGATTTACCTTCGGCACGTGACCGTTTTGGTATTTCATCTACACTATCAAGCCTATGGATTCCTGCACCCAGATGGGACCATCTAAACGCGAACAAGAATAAACTCACTACTACAGTCAGATATACAAAATGGCAAGAGGTCACGATCTGGCAGAGGAAGACTCAGTGAGGTCACCAAGACAGTCGCGTCTGCAAAGGAAAAACTTGGCTGGTTTGGATTTGGACCCAGATGGAGAGGATGACGAGTACAATGAGGAAGAAGAGTTTGATGAGTCCATTGTCAAAGATGACGATGACGACGATGAAGATGCAATCGAAGAAGACGACGACGAGATCCCAACCGTAAGAAAGAGAAGAAAGAGAAAGGCGGCTACCGATGACCCTGAAGATGAGGTTGATGAAAACGGTGACGAGGACCTCGAAAAGAACCAAGTCAAGGAAGAAGGCGACGAGGAGAAGGAAGTCAAGGCCGAAGACCCTGTAAAGAAAAAGGGTAAGAAAAGAGGTAGAAAACCTAAGATCCCCAGACCTGACGATGTGTTTTACGATGATAAGGGTAACGAGATCACCATTAAGAATGACGAGGTGTTTATGGAAGATGAAGATCCCAAAGGTGTGGCTAAGATTGATGAAAATGGATTTTTGCAAGGTGAGAGAAAGTTCCGCATCAAAACATTCACGTTATTGGGCAAGGGTGACAGACAGTACATGGTGTCCACTGAGCCTGCCCGTTTGGTAGGATTCCGAGACTCGTATTTGTTGTTTAAGACCCACTTGACATTATTCAAGAAGGTATGCACGCATGAAGAGAAGATGGATTTGATCAACAGACACTTGATTCCGACGTCATATAAGGGAAGATCTGTCAACTTGGTCACTGCCAGATCCATTTTTCGTGAATTCGGAGCACGAATGATCGTGGGAGGTAAAAAAGTGGTGGATGACTTTTGGGAAGACAAGGCTATCGAGAGAGGAGATGTTTCTGGTGAGTTTGCTGATCCTGAAGAGGCTGCCACCACTTTGAGAGCGCCCAGTTATGGTGCTGGAGGTGACCACAACCCATATCAAGCACAGGTTACGGGGTCTGCATTGATCAACTACCAGACAGATCCTACGTGGTTGTACCAGATCTCTTTGCAGACTTTGGAGTTCAATAAGTCCTTGATCGAACAGAGAAACCAGGTGTGGTTGAGAGGTATCAAAGACACTTATAGTGGATTCAATTTCTACCCTGTTGCAAGTCAGCCAACACGCTCCAAGCTCCGGAAGATTGGTACGGTTGCTGAGGATGACTCGACCATTGATTGCTCCATTAAGTTTTATAATTCAGATGTGCGTCGCAAGGTCACCGGCCTTGCCAGTGTGCCTAAGGATATTTTTGATGAACTCGACGATGACGAAATCAAGCAGGCAATTCTTCAGCAGCAAAAGTATGAGAAGGAAACTTCAAACCTCTGATATCCGTGATCAACCATGTATAACCTTGTATAATTAGTGCCTAATGTGGATCAATAGAATTAAACTATGAATTAGAATGTCAACAATTACTCAACAATTACTCATCGTCGTATATCTCGTCATCGTCTCCGTACTCTGTTGAGTCTGGAGGAGAGTCACCAATGTCATCAAAGATAATACTTCCGTCTGGCGCCTCTCTGGCGGAACCCTTCTTTTCCATGTGAGCCCGAAGCTCGAAATCAACTTTAGTCTTTCTGCGTCCAACATGCACCGTGATATCACCTTCCTCAACGATTTCAGCATGCTTCTTGGAGTATGCCACTTCCGCTTTTGCCTCTTTGCCTGATATTCTATGGTTTACTCGAATATGCTTGGCTAGAGTATCGTGGCGAGTAAATATCCTCGGACCAATGCTAGGATCCTGTTTCACACATACAAAACACTTAAACAACTTTTTCTTTTTGGAATGCACCGTTTCTTGGTGTCTAATCAACTCGTACTTCCTGGAAAACCGTCTCAAACACAATTTATCTGGCTCATCTGGTGATGGCATTTGGCACTCATGAATAACATCCGGATCGTAGTTGGATGACCTACTGCTAGGTGCAACCTTGATGTCTGCCCGCTTAATCACCCTGTGAGCTGCCAATTTTGAATCGACTCTAATTTTTCTGCGCTCGCGAGGAATTGGCTTTTCGACCTCCTCTGCCATTTGTTCGGTCACAAACTTATCGTGGTCTTCGCTAAGCTCCTTGTTCATGAAATATAGTGGGGATTTTTCATCCAGAACTTCCTCCGCTTCTGGGGAAGCAGACATGGAGAGGCGGCGCTCGAGGTCTCTCTTGTTGCGTTCCTTCATTACTGCAGCACTCTGAAGGTCTGATCGAGGTAAGCTATTCTGCTTGTATGAATACTTCAGATAGTCACGAATAAAGCGCAGGTAGCACTCATTTAAATCAAAATGAATTAATGTGAGGAACTGGTAGATGGCCGGTTTCCACTGAAGTAGGTTATAGATCTCCCAGTAGTTGAGCGACATAATGACTGTTGTGAGAAAGCGGATGGCCAACGTAGCAACCAGAACCTTGGCCTGGCTGGTGGAAACCTTGACGAGTACATCAAAACATCTTTCCACCACCTTATACAACTGGGACGAGGCAGGGTTCTCCACCTCAACAAACTCAGGGAGCATATCCGCTAGCAGCACGAATTTTGCTTCGAGAGTCGTTATCTGTTGTTCAGTGAGTTCACCATTTAGTAGCAACGTAGCTACTTTAAATAAATGCTCGGCATAATCAGCCGGACTTGTAGGAGTACCGTTATTAAGCACGTCCACCATATGGTCGATGTCAGAAACTGTTTTTTGAGGTAGAGCCGGGGCCAACTGTATCTGGGATTGTTCCGAACCTGGTACCATCCATTGGGGCCCATTTTCAACCAATGGCTGCTGCAGACGACCCATGCCCTCATAGAAGTTCGATCCCAGACCTAGGGGCAGGCTGGGGGTGGACTTGTGGAAATATTGAGAAGATTGAACAGATGTTGGCGCAGTAGTTGGCCCATTTGTCTGACTCGACGAGTCTTCCACTTGAGGAATTTGTGTGCCCGTCGGCGATATCTGGCTCATTGAAAGTTCGTGAAAGGGTCCGCGAATGCGTGGTGTAAGTTGGTTGCAAATATGATGGTTACTAATCCTGGTTTGGATTATTTGGAGGTAATAGCCAAAATAAGGATGTTTATTGTGGCTAGCCGATGCTGCTTCGGATGTGACAGAAGTGTTTCTGACTATTGGGGTCTGACAGGTTTTCGACTGCAAAATGAGGAAGTTGAGGTGTTTTCGGTGCTCGCACGCCAATTATCAATACGAACATTGGTTCCGGCTGAGTGGGATAGGACCACTGGGGAGATGGGACTCGATCATTTATTTACGTTTTCAAATACATATGACTACTTCGATAATTTGCTAGAATGCTCCATGGTTTAATTGATATTTTCTGTCGCATGGATTAATCTGCACCAGGCGAATTATGATTGTTGGTATGTGCACGACGATTTTGCAGCCATTTCGACAATGTGCAGGCTCGTTCTTCTCTTACTGTCCACTTGGTGACTGTTGAGTTGGTGAACCTTGGTGACGCTGTTGTGGAGAGTCGTGAGGTTGAGATTGTTGTTGTTGTTGTTGTTGTTGTTGTTGCTGCTGCTGCTGCTGATGATCCTGCTGCTGTCTGCGTGAAATCTCATTCTGCTCGTGCAGCGGATGTGCTCCATGTTGAGGTGGCGGTGCATAACTAATGTAAGACATCTGTCCAGCCATCAGTTGAACAGGATAGTACATAGCCTCCTGACCATTAATAGGATAAGTGGGCGGCATTCCCACTTGGTAATAATTATTTGGAAACCGGAACTTCTGGAACCCATGCATCATCGGTGGTGATTGTCTCACATCTCCCGACTTATTGTCCTCATCCCTTCCCATTGCATGAGGCATCGCCCACTGTCCTATCTTGTTATATTGCGGTAATACGTAGGGGCTGGATCCATGCATTGTAATTGGCCCTTGCGGAGCGCCTCCAGGATATGGATACATGTAGACACCGGAACCTGGGCGCAAATCCTGTGGATTCGGGGCTATTGCAACGTCTTTGGAGTCAAATGGATATCCCTGGCGCATACCTGCCAAGTTTGGAGGTTGCAGAACATAAATTGGTGATTTCGAAGTCGAAGTCGCTGTTGGTGTCTGTGCTGAGGCAGGTAAGTTGGGTATTTTGGATGGTGACGTGGTCTGTGAACCAACAAATGACGCCTTTGAATCGGAAGGAGGTGCTGAGCTTCCTGTCGGATTGGTAATTCCCTGTGGAGGCGGAACGACATATCCTGGGGCACTTTGTCCTAACGATGATTGGCCTATTGAAACGCCTTGAGCTTTTGGAGCAGTTGGACCTAAAGAGAGTTGTTGCAATATTGGTACGGCAGAAAACTGTGATCCTTGTGGAACACTATCACCAACGATAATTGCATTTTTCTTAGCAAGATTGATGGCGATCTTGTTCTCACGACCTGTGATCCCATGCTTACGGCGAATATGTCTTGCCAATGAATCGTGACGAGGGTATGACTGTGGCTTACTTCCAGTACTTTCACAGTAGACGCACTTGTAAATCTTCTTGGTGGTGGCGTGAACGAATTCTTGGTGACGCTGCAACTCGTTCTTTCCATAGAAAATCTTCAAGCATGGTCGCATATTAGAAGGGTCAAGAAGTCGACACTGGTGAAGAGTTGTCAACTTGGCTATTCCCCTTTGTTCTGCGTCTTGAAGCACACGCTCAAAGACAGAGGGAACGATAATGTATTTCTCCTCAGGCAACCTGGACAAATCGATTGCTTCGTTCTCCTCCGCCATTATTGCATCAGCCTCATCTGTATCATAGTCGTCTTCCTCAACGTTGCCTTCGGGGTAGAATACATCTACCTCGTGATCGATCTGATTAAGATCCATTTCCATGAAAATATAAACTTTCTGATGTCGTTGGTAATCTTCTGTAATCAGCTTGCCGCTGCTCTGAGATCTCAACACAGGAGGAGTTTTTAAAGAACCATCAGAACCATGTAATTCCAGTTCATCGCTGTGAAACTTGGGCAATTTGGGCCACGAGCGAGGTCTTCTGCGCCTCTTGGTGGGTTTCTTCAAGCGAATATCTATGTACTTATCAATGGAAATCTTAGCAAACTTTCTAGAAGATGCATAAGGATCTGGAGTATGGAAGGAAAAGTTGTAGAATGGGTAAGGAAAGGGATATTGAAAGCCCTGTCTCAAATTGAAAGACATCAAATTCTCTGGTGGCTTGACAATGTGGCCAAAAGGAGTCATTGTGACGTCAACATCCACAAGTTTCAAGAAATATTCGATATCAGGTATGATCCGTAGGAGGTGATATATCTCCCAACATTCAAGCGCGTAAATTAGTTTGACGAGAAACTTCGTCACATGAGAAGCAAGCGACATATTGAAGTACAGGCTTGCTAACTTGAGTAGATGCAAATAGTTGTCGATGAGAATTTGGGAAAGGTGGTCCTCAGGGTACTTGCGGGAGTCCTTGGCTGCCAGCAGAACTGGGACGTTGGAAGTAAGATCTGTTAAGCTGGCTTCGTATTCTATCCTAGCCACCTCATCTACTTTCTGATCCAATAGAAGGTCCAAAAGCTCTGCTAATTGGAAGGAGTACTCTGAAATAGACGTTTCAAACGGTTCTTGGGCCATTTCCGTGTCGTTGGTGAAATCTGCGTTGACTGAACGTGGATTCATCTTCATTAGATCTTGAATGATGGGATCGTGGTGAGGTTCTCCGGCTTCTGCGGTTAAAATTCTTGGAATTTGTTCCTGGAGCTTCTCCGACAATGCTGGGGCTGTTAGTATAGGGTTTGGTGGACATTGAGCAATGAGGAACATACCTTGCGGGCTAAACTCATGCTGCGGCAGACTGGATTCCTGTGAGAAGTTAGTAGATGAGCATATTGAGAGATCAACTTGCACGAGGAGCAAAAAAATCAGCTATCGTGGATATTGTGCTGGACATACGTTCTCAGTAATCCTCGTAGCCATAGTGGGCTATTCAGTTCTTAAAAAAGGACAGCAAAATGGGACTGACTGGTAATATCCAGATTTGTGTTTATTGGAAAGTCACGATGAATCTCGACTACAATCTCGAAATCCCTGATAAAGTGTCCCACACTGGTCTGGAGGAGAAGTAGGTGCAAATTTCTATAGATGCAACATACTCGCCGTCATTTGTGAGTGTGCACGATACAGGTTTTAGTACGAAATGAAATTCCCTAAAAATTGTGGGCGATACAAGAGAAAAAGAAAATTTTTAAGTGTCAGAATAGTGTTACTTTGGGCCAAATTTATGTTTTAGAAGCCAAAACTTGATTTTTTGTGCTTGGTGGTGGTGAATCGAAAGATTTTAATGGAGGTTATGGGTAGCGCACGCATTTTGCAGCCATTGGCTTAGGGCAAATGGACTTCACTTGAATAGAGCAAGCTAGTAGACTTGAGAGGAGTATTAATGTTTCAGGGCACTTTAAATCAATATTTATGATCTCTGGAGTGACATTTCTAGAAAAAAGATTGGATTTGGATTTTTAAAGGTGGTTTCTTGTTCCCAATAATCTGATTTTGTGTCAAAATCTTAATTAAATTAGGAATACACACCGTAGAGTTGGAGAGTTTGAGTTTATGTGAGATACAAAGGGAAACTAATTATTTTCATTCATTAGAATACCTATTACATGATGTCTTTTTGAAATCCGAGAATTTTTGAACGAAGTTATGAGTTCCATAGTACCCGTGTCGCTCACATGTATTTTTGCGGTATTACTATATTATCAAAAAATGAAAAGGGAGCTACTTCCAATCAAATACAAGTCTAACACATCAAATAATTATCAAAATCCTACCGTGAACATACCAGTACACAAAAACAAAAGTCCAAATGTAGTTGTTAAACAATCCAAGCTTTGAGCCTACTCTAAATACCCATTTGCCTTGGGTGCCTCACCCAACGCAGCCAACACTAGTGGAAACACTTCAGTCGCGACATCTCGTCCCCATAAATTGTCAAGATGTTCATGGTTTTTCACAGGACTCGAAGTAGTCCACTTCTCTGGCAATTGATTCTCCATGACATTGATATCCACAAGCGAGTCCGAGTCCCCGTATATTAAGTGAATAGGGATTTTGATGTTCTTCAACGGATAGCTGATAGGTGTTAATAAATTGAGCCCTGATGTCTCATCATGGTACATTTGAAAGTTCTTGGACGATATAATCTGGAACCAATGGACAACTGTCTTGACTGACGTCGTAGAGTACAAATGTGCGTACGATGCAACTTTCTGGATTTTGTCAATATTAAGAGACCTCCAGTTGAAGAGCATGTAGTTGGATATGTCGATGGAGGTGTCAAAGAAGGGTGGATACATGAGACGTTCCCAGAACATCACTGAGGGCATCAATACTTTTCTGGAGAACATCAAGTACACAATATTGGGGCTAGACTTAAGAAGAATGTCCAAGAATCTAGAATAGAGCCCATGTGGTGTTGTAGCAGGAGAAATAGCAATAATCTTCTCCACCTTCTCGTTCAATTCTGGGTTTATAGAAACACTGGCGAAAGCCTGAGCTGTACCCTGTGAGAAGCCAATATACGTCAATTTTTCCTTACCAACTTCCGACAATATATAGTTGATGGAGTCTGGAATATCGTACAAGGCAAACTCGTCGATGGAAAAGTTCCAGAATGCCTCCGAGTTTAAAGGTCTGGAGAGGTGCTTGTGCGAGTACTTGTTGCCTCTATTATTTCCGAGCCAAACGTCGTAACCCAATTCGTACAAGATGAAGGGCAAGTTTTCGTGTTCGTCAATCATGGTAACCCATATTTCTGAGCACATGAGCAAGCCATGGTGCATGTAGACCACTTTCCCATTCCTGGGAACATCTTCACCGGGCTTCGTGATTCGCTGAACTGTCAAAAGATAATCGTCCTGAGTCCTGATGACTCTACTTTCCACGTCGTATCCAAACAATTTGCACATTTCCTGGATGTTTCTGCTGTTTAAAAGTCCACTCATTCGATTGTACTTGTCCTCATCGATTTCGCCATTTGACTTAGAAATGTACTTATAGGGAATCTCTTTGTCGACGAGACTGGAATCCTTGGTGATGAAGTTTATTGGGTTGGGTGTGAGTTTGTACAATGCCTTAACACTGCCAGTCATCAAAGAGAGCACCGGCGTAGGTAGCAACTTGGTGATGGCTGTGCTTACATATTCAATCCATGTTAGAAGAACCGAAATCAACAACAACGGCCACTCGAGTAGCGAGAGTCGGCCGATTAACGGAAAGTACATGGTTAAGGTGAATTGTAAGAAGACGTTGAAGCAAGTCAGTGAATGGCTCTCTGCATGCAGACCGCTGGTAAGAGAGATGCGTCGGACTAAAATGGAATTGCAGGATGATTGCACATGCACGTAAGGGAAATTGTGGTATGTATTGACATTTGCTCCTAACAGAATTTGACTCCGGCCAATGGTGAGCCCCTGATCGTATACAATAAATCCGTTTCCGGAAGGAAGACTTGTTTAAATTCTGTATGCACGCAAACCTCCATGGTGGGTGTGAAGTCGAAGGGAAACACATCGGCGAGTCACTTGAGCAATTATGGATTCCCAACATGGTATGGGTATCTTATGGACGGCAGGTGAAATTTTAGACCTGGCATCTGTGCATGGAAAAAGAGGACTGTCAAAACTTTGACACATTTTCTTGACATTGACAGATATAGTGTCATTCAGATCTCCACTACGTGCGCACCAGTAATTGGCTACAACCCGCCTCCTGCGTCAGGACGGCACTTATCATTTTCATCAGGGCCCTTCCCCACGGGATAATTAATTCCGACCGTGGCTATTGGAATATAAAAAGGTGTGAAAAACTTGCCATTTTCTAGTTCCCTGATTTTTTAGTATTCTCCATATTCTAACTTTTTTGATTGTGAAATCCTCTACGTTGGTTGCAAAATGATGTACCTCGCCCCAAAAATTGCTGCTCTTTCCCTTTTGGCCATTGTCAACGCTATCGCTCCTGTGGTATCGGACTCTCCTACTGATGTCACTTACGAGGCCACTTTCAAAAAGACTATTCTGGGCTCGGTTGCTTTCTCCTCCACCAATGGTTCCGTCTTAGTAGAAGTGGACCTCTCCGGCTTGCCTGAAACCGGGGGCCCTTTCTTGTACCACATCCATGCCTTGCCAGTGCCAGCCAACGGAAGTTGTCTTGGGACGGCTGGACACTTCAACCCATTCCTGGGTAGTGCCAATGCAACAATTTGGGACGAGATGGAATTGGGAGATCTTTCTGGAAAGCATGGAGAAATTACCGGAACATCAATTCTGACCTCCTACATCGACCCTTACCTTTCGTTGAACCCCGACAGTAAGTCCTACTTCGGTGGGTTGTCGGTGGTGGTGCACTACCATAATACCACGAGATTGGCCTGCGCCAATATCACCGAAGAGGCTACTTCGTCAAGCTCTTCCAGTGCAAATTCTACAACTGTTTCTAGTTCTAGTACCAATGGAGCCGCATACATTGGCGCTGGTGTAGCTCCTTTGGTTGCTGGTGCTGTCGCCTTGATTATTTAATCGCGTCGTGCACACTAATTATTAGTGAGAAGCCTTAAGTACCTAAAGACCTTTTGAAGTAACTACAGTAGATGATCAGCCTTCGTTCAAAAATCCTTGTCAACGAGGGTGGATCCAATCGTGACAATGTATGTGTTTTCATTACTGATGTGTGATCTTTCCCACTAACTTGAAGTTGGCCAATGAGCGTACGTTCCTAGCATGGCTTCGAACTTCCCTAGTAATCACCTCCATTGGCATAGCGTTGGCCCAATTGAACAGATTTGTGGAGGATCATTCAACAATTTCGATCACTGGCTTGACAATTACAATCCCGCTCCCGTTGGGTGATCCGACTTTAGTGTCGTTGGGTGCTCCTCTTGGTGCTCTATGTATCTTGATAGGCATAATAATACTACTTGTGGGTGCTTTCAGATTCTACCATACGGAGTACTTGCTACAGCATGGGAAATATCCCGTTTCCCGAGCTACAAGCATATTTCTCACTTCGGCGAGTATTCTCGTCATGGTTCTCTTTTTGGTGTCTGCTGTTCGCATGTAATGAATATATGATTCTATGGTCTTCACGGATACTCCGATTCTCGTAATCCAATATATCCATCCGGAGCATTTTCAGCATGTTTCCATGATGCCAACTCTCGCGCTCCTTCTATGCCCATGCTGCTGAGTCTGTTTCCCCACCAGTCGAGGTCTGGTCTGTTGTATTGCACCGTAAAAAAGATGATCAATGCACTGAACGCAACACCAGCTGAGAGTGCACCAGTCAATATATAATTGTACTTCTCCCACCAGAGCGTATAATTACGCTTGAGACGATACATGAAGATATAAGAGAGATACAAGCCACCGGTAAAGTACAGTAAGTTGTATGGAGCATACACTAAGAATCCTCCAACGATGATGGTGGGCTGGAAATACTTGGTGTATCTCGCTGGTCCTTTCTTCTTAAAGTATGCCAAAGGAATGACCAGCACTGCTCCAAAAAGGAAGCACCACTTCAACACAGGATAAATACCGGTGAAAACCTTATGAGGACCGATTTCTCCATATTGAATGCTAGAGAAGAAGAATGTGTTGGCTCCAGGACAGCGAAGTTTGTTTTTTTGCTCTCGATCACAAATGTCGGGAATATTGTCGATTTGCCAGTTCGCAATAGCGAGAGCAACGAATACACTTAAGAATGTGGAGATGATTTGGCCACGAAAAATTGCCCGAGGAGGTATTTTAGTGTAGTGAGCGAGCTTTTGATCAGTGATGTAGTTACTAGCCTGACTATCGATGTTGTACCCGTATGCCTTGAGAGTGATAAGAGCAAGGCCTGAGTTTGGAATGGCGTATCCCACGATCAACTCTACCAACACGTTTAAACCGAATGAGAAGCCAGTTACCGATGCAATTGCCGTGATTGGAACAAGAAAGAGAAAGTTGATGCCAATTGTGAAAAAAATTCCCCAAACAGGGGTCTCTATGGGATAAAAAAGGACACATGCCACTGCAAAAGTCACACTCACTACTAAGATGGTGAGGAACCAGAGACTTGGAACCTCTTCATACGAACTCATCATTTGGCAGTGAGGATCATCTTTGAATTTGCGCATCTGCGAAGTTCTGTCCTTCAGAAATGATTCTCGAACAGTTTGCCAAATACTCACAAAACTTTGTGACATCGACGTCCATTCAGTAACCAGATGATAGAGAATAGCAAATGGATACATGAAGAAGTAAGCTCCATAAAGGACCAAGTTGGCAGCACTGAAGTAAGGGGGTCCATACTTGAGGTATTTCTGTTCATCAAATCCACTACTCTCATTCAAAATCATCTTGACATCATATACTTTTCCCTTGTTGTTGAAAAGACGGTTTGAGTTGATTGGAAAGTAGGCGGTCCATTTGTTATTTGTGTAGTATACCGCTAGAATAGTGAAGAACCCCAAAACAATGCCAATGTACTGATTGACATATGTGTAGAATGGAACAGTCAAGCATCCAGCCATGTCCAAGATATTCCAGTCAAAGGTAGGCCAAGGGTTCAACCCAAGTCCAACATTGGACCCCGTGACATTATTCAAGTGTACCAGGTTCGGAGAAAACCAGGTCGGCCAGTTGAATGTGGAAAGTGCAGTGAAGAAGTAGGAGGGAATCCAATTGTAGAAGAAACTGACGGCAAACGTCAAAAAAAAGAACGAGTATCGTGATATCTTCCATCCATTTATAGTTGATGGAGGGTCTTCGTCCATGAGTGCACGATTCAATGCAATCACGGGAAGTAACGTTGGCCACACAGATTTCTTAGGGTAGACGCAGACCTTTAGCATCATAAAAGCAAAAGCAAAACCCAAGAATTGTGTAGAGAGGGCAAAAAGTATCTGATAGACCCAGGAAACCCACTTGAGTCCATAAAAACGCTCGAGCTTCATGACAAAGATATTATACACCGCATATGGAGTTCCAGCAGAGCACGAATATATGATTGAGCTGAGCATCAATTCCTTATGGTTCCAGCGGCCAGGATTTAAATTGAAGGTCCTACCAAATACGGTGACCATCTTGTTATCGGGAAATATCCGTTCCCAGAGTCTTCCACTAGGCAAGAGTAGAAGTTGCACTGTGCTTGATGAAAGTCTGATGCTGGGGAGTCGATGAACGAAAAAGTTGTTGATAGTTGCACCCAAAACAGTCCAGAATAGCGAGATTACATATACTCGGAATGTTTCCACGGGCATAGAGGGGTCGTCAAATGGATCAACCACAGCACGAACTTCCGGGTATGGAGAATGGAATGCGATCAACGCAGCCTCCAATTTCGTCTCAAGTGTCCAATCGAGAAGTGAATCCGACTCTGTGTCCCCAGTAGCGACTTTCGTGTATTCCTGGGTGTATTCCTGGGTGTCTTGACTGAAGTTATCAGGTGTCTGGCTTACCAACCTTTCGATAAGTTGGTAGTCTCGGCTAGGGAAATTGACGTCGCCATTATGTTCAACCAACGCATCCCTAAGGATCTCAACCGCGTGCACTACGGTCAAGTCTTCGATTTTATCCAACATGAAGTGGGCATGTCTCGGTAGAAGGTTGATATCAAATGGAGACGGAATGTTCAGGACTCCAAGTCTGGCAAGAATGGTGAGAATCTGGTTCTGCGAGAGGTGCTCATGCCACTTAGACGGCAGTGATCTCTCATCCGAGTTCCTCTCTGGATATGAGCTGAGCTCTATATACTCGGGCTGTTTTGGCATGAAATAATGGAGTTGGTTTGAGCAGATCGCGATTACTATAATAGGCAGTAACTGCTCGAGAATGAAACGAAAAGTGAGATATGAAACATGGGGAAAACGAATTAATACTTAGAGAGATTGAAAAACAAGAAAATAAACAGAATATAGATCAACAAAAGCAACGAGAAAGATATGAAAACGAACACTCAAAACCTACCCGATGTTCACATTCAACAATTCGCTTAGGGTCAAATTAAGAGCTTGACTACCTCAACCAATTTCTCTTCTGTGTTTCGCAACCCAACCGCACAGAGATTCACAGGGGCATTAGAAAACAGCTCAGCACTGTCATACTCTTTGTAGATAAATTCATCCATTTCATTGGTAGGTTCGTACTCCACTGGTTTATCAAGCTCAACATCGACCTTGGTCACAGGAAACACCAAAGCTGGATAGTCCAACAAGTTCCACTGAGATGTGTAGCCCCAGTATTTGGCTGTTCTGTGTTTGGCTGGTGGACCAGGGAACACGGGTGCAATCACTGCATCAGGAAGTCCCGACTTCACCCAATGGGCCAAATAAGCTTTTCTGTACTTTTGCTTCTCGAGGTTCCAATGCCACTGCTCATGCATCGCCAATGGCTTGACATTTCGGCCCTCTACAACCCATGCTGTTTGAGGACATAGAGGTTCACCCGTGCTTTCGAGAGTACGTTTGGTGTCAACACCTCCATCTTCGAAGTATAAAGTGGAGATGATCTCCCATGCCTTGGCATGGTCATAGGGCTTGAATTCAATCACTTCCACATTATCAATACTCAGCAATCTCAGCCTTACAATGTCCAAAGCACGTTTAATCGGTGGTTGTGGCATCACCACACCGTCGTAGTTCAAGATCCCGATCTTCAACTTTTTGGTAGTGGTTGGCTTCCAGTCTATGGAGGCCAATGTGGGATCCACCAACCATGGTCTGGCAGATAACATTACATCCATCACCAAATTCAACAACTTCAATGATCTGGTCATAGGTCCCGTCACCGATAAGATGGACTCAGAACCCATTTGACACGAGAAGTAGTCTGCAGTGGGAAGCCGGCCCACGGTAGTCCTCATGCCGTAGATACCATTGAAACTGCTAGGACACCGAATACTGCCACCAATATCTGAGCCAAAACCCAATGCTGAAGCTCCAATTCCGTTGATGGCACCTTCTCCTCCACTACTTCCTCCGCTGGTCAACAGCGAGTTGTATGGATTGACTGTTCTGCCATGGGTGAACGACTCACACTCCAACATCATGAGAGACTGTGGGTTAGTTGTTCTTACGAACGGAATTGCTCCATTGGAAATTACTATATTGACGATATCGGCATTGTAGTCCACTACTCTGTCCAAATAGCACAACGAGCCGTGTGTGACAGATCTGCCCTTGAAAGGGATCATCTCCTTGATGGAAACGGGCAACCCAAAGAGTGGCAACAGAAAGTTTTTCTCTGAATCCAATCCTTTGGCAAGTTCAAGTGCCTCCTCCGGTAAAAACTCATAGACACAGTTGACAAGTTTGGATGCGAAAATGGCCGCATGGAAGTATGCCGTGAGAACCTTCACTGCAGAGATTTTGCCAGCCTTCAAGTCTTGGAGTAACAAATACGGGTCCTTTTCTGTGATTTCCAAAACTTCACTGGGGACCTTCTCCCTATATACGTCAATTGGCACTGGGGCAGGGCTTCCAAAGTCAGTAACATCCCGACCTCTGGCACTGGGAAGCGATTCTAATATCTTGACAGTATCGGGTGCAAGTGGAAATAACTGCAAGGTTTTCTCCAAAGATTTGTCGTAGATGGCTGTGGCCTGAGAGGCCAATTGTTTCCAGTCAGTAGTAAGCATTCTTTTTACGATTCTAGGATTACAAAAGGGCCCATGACGGTGTTTATATATTGGAGGGTCTTATCTATGGCTATTCCGACATCCGACTCAACATGAAAATTCCGTGGCAGTGTTACTCTTGGAAAAGTCTAAAATATCAATTATTCCCCAGAAAACCCAAGAAATCCCCACACTTATGTCTCACTTGGTCACGCGTGTGTCTGTACTTGGCCCATATATACAATTGCTTGGGATTGAATTGGCGGATTTGGACCACCGGTATACTGGAATTGGTCCTGTTATGAGCTTATTACATGCAGAAGGTCAACCATAGAACGAGAAAAAAAATAACGGTCTTCTAGTGATCCCATAAAACCGTCCTTGTTTCAACTATGAGTAAGTTGTTTGTCAATGGTTTTGGTTTAGGTGCCGTAGGCATAGCTTCGTATTTTTGGGGCAAGTCTTCTGCTCCCGTGGGGCAGGTGATTCCTGAACCACCAAAGGGCATCGCAGCAGGAGGCTCTAATGGAAACAAAGTATTTGATCCCTCCTCGGTGCAGCCCGAGGGATTTTATAAATATGGATTTCCAGGTCCTGTTCACGATTTGCAAAAGCACCTGGAGTTCATTGCATGTTACGATAGGTCCACCAGAAACCCATACTGGGTGGTGGAACACATCACTCGAGAATCGATTAAGAGGCAGGAAGGCGTTGACCGTAAAAAGTCGATCTTCAAAGAAGATGAAGCCATTCCTGCGAAATTCCGGGCTCGTCTTAGAGACTATTTTAGAAGTGGATACGATAGGGGCCATAATGCACCAGCAGCAGATGCCAAGTTCAGCCAGCAGGCAATGGACGAGACATTTCTCTTGACCAACATGTCCCCACAAGTTGGAGACGGTTTCAACAGGGACTACTGGGCACATTTCGAAGACTTTGCTCGTCGTCTTACCCAGAGATATGATAACGTGAGAGTCATGACCGGCCCACTATACTTGCCTAAGAAGTGCAGCGACGACAAGTTCCGGGTCACATATGAGGTGATAGGATCGCCTCCAAACATTGCTGTACCTACACACTTCTTTAAACTCGTTGTGGGAGAGAGAAATGGTGACGAGAAGTTATCAGTGGCTGCATTCGTGTTGCCCAACGACAAGATAGATAATAACGAGCCATTGACGAACTTTCAGGTGCCTGTAGAGGCATTAGAGAGAAGCAGTGGGTTGGAGCTTTTGCACCGGGTTCCATACTACAACAAGAAGGACTTGTGCAAGGAGGTAAAGTGTGAGATCATTGTCAGGGAGTTTCCCAAGCAGATGAATGCATTAGCAAGCGGACCCAACTTGCCAGGATTACCAGCACCAAAATAGAAGATGAGTGTTGGTTGTTAGTTGGTGTTACTGTCGTAACTGGGGTGAAATATTACTAGCCAAACAAATCAAGAAGAAGAAGAAGATCTGCATACCTCTGGATATAAGCTATCTGGAATTTCCATTCGCCCAGTTCATAAAAACCAAGTATTGTACATAGAACAAAAGAAACATCTATATCAGTTATCAAGGAACACACAAACCATCCTGTATGGCTAGACCACTAAAAAGGAAGAATAATATCTAAACCTTTCTGAAACACCATCAAATGATTGAAAATCAGAATCCCTTAAATTTTCTAAACCAGTACTTTTTAAAGCTAAAACATCTAAGACAATTGAAACATACAGAAATTCTACAACATAGTCGACATGATAGATTTCCAAAATCTCAAATCCAAAAGTAATAAACCAGAAGAACCAATACATAAACCAACAAAAAACCTACAATACCACAGTTCAAGCCAACCTTCCTTCTTTCCTATCTCTGCCGATGGTAGCAGCCCAGTCCATCTTCCAGAACTAATCAATACCCACTGCAGGATCAAGATAAGCATGAACTAGGAATTTGTGGGTTTTTGGGAAGGTTAGCTGCATCCATTTGGGTTTTGTCTGCATACAACCAGCCAACACTAAGGGCAAGTACAATATTCATTAGTATAGGAGGGCCATATAAAATCCCTCTCCTGTAGGGTAGCTTTACGCACACACCCGTACCTCCGCCCAAATTTTCTTTTGGAACCAATTATCCAACAGCATTTAGTGCATTAGGCGGGTGCGAACCATTTGTCCCCTTTTTAGTGGCAAAACCGTCATATAGAACCTTAATAGTTGACGTACATACAAACTCACAATTACTATTTAAAACCCATCCTAGCAGATCCCATTGCTCAGGAGGCACGGGTGTTTCAATGTATCCTACCGGAAAAAAAAAAGAACCCAAGTCTCCGAGATGCTGGTAGTCACAAACATTAATTATTTAAACCACTTAAAAAAGAAAGAAACTACCAGAAGTTTCCAAACTTCAACTAACCTGTCACCCCAGAATTACAAGCCATCCTTTATGAATTCCAACCCTTCTGGATCCGAGCCACGCCCATTTTTGCACGAAAGTCCGACCAACCCAGCCTGCATCGACATCCCAACAAACATCCAAACCTGCACACACATTGTTGAGAGTTGCAAAATCGCTTCCCAAAAATCCAATACGGATGAGCCCACGTCTCGCATAAAAGTAGTGGATATCCAGAATTAATCCAACCTCAACTTTTTTATTTTTCGTCTGCCCCTTTCTCCGGTTACTCACATTGTTCCTTAATAGACTTTGGCTGCCCAATTGAATACTAGTACCACCCAGAGTATTCGGCCCCCAACATATAGTGACAGAGTGCCCTATCATTGACCATTGAAGCTCCAGGATAAATTCAAGAAAGTTCCGATTATATTTTTTGAGTGTTGCAAACTTTATACTTTTCCAATTTACTCTGCTCCAATCTTATTTTTACTGATTGCCAAAAATGACTACCACACATCGTCCATTTTCGCTTTCCCATGGCTCGTTAGAACACACCATCTTGGTGCCAACCAACCTCTTCTTCAAATACTCCCAATTGAAGGAGCAATTTAACAAGACCTTGCCTGAAGTGACCGAATCGTTCGCCTCCGATGATGAGCCTGCTTCTCCTGCTGAGTTGTTTGCCAAATTCGTCGGTTTCACCGCTTCTTTGGTGGACCCAGCTCAAGAGGGCCAATTCGACGAGATTTTGGCTTTTGTCTTGCAAGAATTCGAGCTGAGATTCTTCTCCAACTCAGACATCCACTCGTTTGCCGCTCTGTTACTCGCCGATGAGGCTTACCCCACCACTGCTGGCAAAGTCAAGGAAGTCATCAGAAACTACTTCGCTGCCGTGATTGCTTCCAACGCCGTCATTCCAAAGAGCGACTCCGACTTGTTGAAGAAGTCTAGTGCTCAAGAGGCCAAGACTTTTGCCATTTTCGGTGGTCAGGGTAACACCGATGAGTACTTTGAGGAGTTGAGAGAATTGAATTTCATGTACCACGGTTTGATCTCTGACTTGCTCTCCAAGGTGGCTACCAAGTTATCTACTTTGGTCAGAACCGCCGGCAACGTCGACAAGATCTACACACAGGGCTTTGACATTTTGAAATGGTTGAAGAGCCCAGAACAGACCCCAGACCAGGACTACTTGTTGAGTGTGCCAGTCTCGTGTCCATTGATCTGCGTAATCCAGTTGGCCCACTACGTGGTCACCTGTAAAACTCTCGGCATCACCCCTGGTGAATTCAGAGACTCCCTCAACGGTTCCACTGGTCACTCCCAAGGTTTGGTCACTGCTGTGGCCATTGCCAGCTCCGACTCTTGGGACTCATTCTACGAGAACTCTATCAAGGCTGTGGCCTTGTTGTTCTTCATTGGTGCCAGATGTTTGTCCACCTACCCAAGAACTTCGTTGCCCCCAACAATGTTGCAGGACTCTTTGGAGAACGGCGAAGGTAGACCTTCTCCTATGTTGTCTGTGAGAGACTTGTCTCGTGAAGAGGTCGAGGACTTCATTGCTACTACCAACAAGCACTTGCCTGTTGACAAGCACGTTGCCATCTCGTTGGAGAACGGTGGTAGAAACTTGGTTGTTTCCGGACCACCAGAGTCTCTTTACGGTTTGAACTTAACTCTTAGAAACAACAAGGCCCCAGCTGGTTCGGACCAGGCTAGAATTCCATACTCGGAGAGAAAGTTGAAGTTTTCCAACCGTTTCTTGCCAATTTTCGCTCCTTTCCACTCCCACTTGTTGGAGCCAGCCACCGACTTGATCTTGGCTGATGTGGAAGACGAGAAGTTGACCTTCAACGCATCTGACCTCAAGATCCCAGTCTACGACACTTACACTGGTGAAAACTTCCAGGATTCTAAGGGTGACGTGACTGCCACTGTCATCAAGTGCATTACCCAATTGCCTGTCAACTGGGAACAGGCTACCAGCTTCCACTCCACCCACTTGTTAGACTTCGGTCCAGGAGGTGTTTCCGGTTTGGGTGTTTTGACTCACAGAAACAAGGAAGGTACTGGTTCCAGAATCATCATTGCAGGTGCTATTGATAACGCCGTGGAAGACGATTATGGATTCAAGCAGGAGATCTTCAACAGAACCGTGGACTCCATCAAGTGGGCTCCAAACTGGTTGGACGAGTACAAGCCCAAGTTGGCCAAGACTAAAGCCGGTAAGGTTTACGTCGACACCAAATTCTCCAGATTGTTAGGTAGAGCTCCTTTGATGGTTCCAGGTATGACCCCAACCACCGTCAACACCGAGATTGTTGCTGCCACTATCAATGCTGGCTATCACATTGAGTTGGCTGGTGGTGGTTACTTCCACGCTCCAGGTATGGAGCGTGCCTTGAAGGAGGTTGCTGACTTGGTTACTCCAGGTTCTGGTATTGGTATCAACTTGATTTACGTCAACCCAAGAATGTTGCAGTGGGGTATCCCATTGATTAAGGAGATGAGAGACAAGGGCTTCCCTATCCAGTCTTTGACCATCGGTGCCGGAGTTCCATCTTTGGAGGTTGCTACTGAGTACATTGAAACCTTGGGTTTGACCCATTTGGGCTTGAAGCCAGGTTCCATTGATGCTATCAATGCTTCCATTGCCATCGCCAAGGCTCATCCAACCTTCCCAATTGTCTTGCAGTGGACTGGTGGTAGAGGTGGTGGTCACCACTCTTACGAGGACTTCCATCAGCCAGTCTTGCAGATGTACGCTAAGATCAGAAGATGTTCTAACATCGTTTTGGTTGCTGGTTCTGGTTTCGGTTCTGATGAGGACACCTACCCATACTTAACTGGTTCTTGGTCGGAGAAATTCAACTACCCACCAATGCCATTCGATGGTGTCTTGTTCGGTTCTCGTGTTATGACCGCAAAGGAGGCTCATACCTCTTTGGAGGCCAAAAAGCTCATTGCTGAATGTAGTGGTGTTCCAGATGAGAAATGGGAATCTACCTACAAGAAGCCAACTGGTGGTATTGTTACCGTCAGATCTGAGATGGGTGAGCCAATCCACAAGATTGCCACCAGAGGTGTTATGTTCTGGAAGGAATTGGATGAGACTATTTTCAACTTGCCAAAGAACAAGCTTCTTGAGGCATTGAATAAGAAGAGAGACTACATCATTAACAAGTTGGACAAGGATTTCCAGAAGCCATGGTTTGGTCGTAACGCCAACGGTGTTTGTGATTTGGAGGACATGACCTATCAGGAGGTCGCCAACAGACTGATTGATTTGATGTACGTCAAGAAGTCCGACAGATGGACTGATCTTTCCTTGAGAAACTTCTACGGTGACTACTTGAGAAGAGTTGAGGAGAGATTTACCACCAAGTCTGGTCAGGAGTCTTTGCTTCAAAACTACGCTCAGTTGGCCAAGGACCCACAAGCATTCACTGACAACTTTTTCAACCACTTCCCAGAGGCAAAGACGCAGTTGATTTCTGAGGAGGACTGTGACTACTTCTTGATGTGTTGTGCCAGACCAACCCAGAAGCCAGCTCCATTCGTTCCAGTTTTGGATGAGAGATTCGAGTTCTTCTTTAAGAAGGATTCCTTGTGGCAATCTGAGGACTTAGAGACTGTCTTTGACGAGGACGTCCAGAGAACCTGTATTCTTCACGGCCCTGTTGCTGCTCAGTTTACCAACAAGGTTAACGAGCCAATTAAGGAAATTTTGGACAACATCCACGAGGGTCACATTAAGAAGTTAATCACTGATGAATACAACGGCGACGCTTCTGCCATTCCAGTGGTTGAGTTCTTCGGTGGTAAGGCTCCGGTTAATGTCAAGTCTGTCTCCGGCGTTACCGTCGAGAAGACTGCCTCCAAGGTCACCTACAAGATCGGTAACACTGTTCCAGAGAAGGAGCAATGGCTTGACTTGTTGGCTGGTAACGAGTTGACCTGGTTGTACGCTTTGATCTCCACCTCGAGAATTGTCCAGGGTCAGAACCACGCTTCGAACTCTGTCAGAGATGTGTTGAAGCCAACCACTAACTTGATCGTCGAGATTGAGAACTACTCTACCCCAGCTAAGGCCGTCCTCACTGTCTATGAGACCCTCCACGGCGAGTACAAGAAGATCGTCGAGATCAAGTTGAACGCCAAGTCTCAGATTCAGATGTCTTTGATTGAGCACAGAACTGCTGACGGCAAGCCTGTTGCTTTGCCATTCTTGTACAACTTCAAACCTGAGGATGGTTTTGCCCCAATCGCCGAGGTGATGGAGGGCCGTAATGACAGAATCAAGTCCTTCTACTGGGTCTTGTGGTTCGGTGCCGATGTCCCTGTTGACTTAGATATTGACGTCGACCAGGTCATTACTGGTGACAAGATCACCGTTTCTGGCCAGGACATTTCTGAGTTCACCCATGCCATTGGTAACACTTGTGAGGCTTTCATCCCTAGACAAGGTAAGAAGACCTTGGCTCCAATGGATTTCGCTATTGTCGTTGGCTGGAAGGCTATCATGATGGCCATCTTCCCTCAAACTGTTGATGGTGATTTGTTGAAGTTAGTTCACTTGTCCAATGGATACAGAATGATTCCAGGAGCTGAGCCATTGCAGAAGGATGACGTTGTCAGCAGTGATGCTGTTATCAAGGCTGTTTTGAACCAGCCTTCTGGTAAGATGGTTGAGGTCGTCGGTACTATTTACAGAGACTCTAAGCCAGTTATGGAGGTCACTTCTCAGTTCTTGTACAGAGGTGAATACGTTGACTTCCAGAACACCTTCCAGAAAGTCACCGAGGATCCAGTCCAGATTGCTTTCAAGTCTCCAAAGGACTTGGCTGTGTTGAGATCTAAGGAGTGGTTCCACTTGGAGAAGGATGTTGAGTTGTTGAACCAGGTTTTGACTTTCAGATGCGAGTCTGTTTACAAGTTCAAGTCTGCTAACGTCTTCTCTTCCATCTCCACTCATGGTAACGTCTACTTGGAGTTGCCAACCAAGGAGGTTATTCAAATTGGTTCGATCAACTACGAGGCTGGTGTTTCCTACGGTAACCCAGTTACTGACTACTTCTCCAGAAATGGTAACACTATTGAACAGGCTATCAAGTTCGAGCATGCCATCCCACTCTCTTCTGGTGAGGAGTTGACGTCTAAGGCCCCATCCACCAACGAGCCATATGCTAAGGTTTCTGGTGACTACAACCCAATCCACGTTTCCAGAGTTTTCGCCAGCTACGCCAAGTTGCCTGGTACTATCACTCACGGTATGTACTCTTCTGGTTCCATCAGATCATTGGTTGAGGAGTGGGCTGCCAACAGCATTGCTTCCAGAGTCAGAGCCTTCAAGGCCAACTTCGTTGGTATGGTTTTGCCAAACGATACTTTGCAGACTTCTTTGGAGCACATTGGTATGATCAACGGTCGTAAGATCATTAAGGTGGAGACCAAGAATGTTGAGACTGACACCCCAGTCTTGATTGGTGAGGCTGAGATTGAACAGCCAGTCACCACTTATGTGTTCACTGGTCAAGGTTCTCAGGAGCAAGGTATGGGTATGGACTTGTACAACAGCTCTGATGTCGCTAAGGAGGTCTGGGACAGAGCCGACCGTCACTTCGTTGACAACTACGGTTTCTCCATCCTTGACATTGTCAAGAACAACCCTAACGAGTTGACCATTCACTTTGGCGGTGCTCAGGGTAGAAAGATCAGAGAGAACTATATCTCCATGATGTTCGAGACCATTGGTGAGAACGGTGAGATCAAGTCCGAGAAGATCTTCAAGGACATCGACTACACCACTACTTCTCACACTTTCGTTTCCCCAACTGGTTTGTTGTCCGCTACTCAGTTCACACAGCCAGCATTGACTTTGATGGAGAAGGCTTCTTACGAAGACATCAAGTCAAAGGGATTGGTTCCTTCCGATGTTATGTTTGCTGGCCACTCTTTGGGTGAGTACTCTGCATTGTCCTCCTTGGCCAACGTTATGCCAATTGAGTCCTTGGTGGACGTTGTCTTTTACAGAGGTATGACTATGCAAGTCGCTGTCCCAAGAGACGAGCTTGGAAGATCCAACTACGGTATGTGTGCTGTTAACCCAACCAGAGTTAACCCAACCTTTAACGATGCTGCATTGAGATTCGTCGTTGATGAGGTTTCCGCTAAGACTGGCTGGTTGTTGGAGATTGTTAACTACAACGTCGAAAACACCCAGTACGTCACCGCTGGTGACTTGAGAGCCTTGGACACCTTGACCAACGTCTTGAACGTTATTAAGTTGAACAAGATTGACATTGTCAAGTTGCAGGAGACCATGTCTTTGGACGAGGTTAGAGCTCACTTGAAGGAGATCATTGATGAGGTTTCCGCTCAGTCTTCGGCCAAGCCTCAGCCAATTGACTTGCAAAGAGGATTTGCTGTGATCCCCTTGAAGGGAATCTCGGTGCCATTCCACTCTTCGTACTTGATGTCTGGTGTCAAGCCATTCCAGAGATTCTTGTGCAAGAAGATTCCAAAGTCTTCCGTCAAGCCAAAGGATTTGATTGGCAAATACATTCCTAACTTGACTGCCAAGCCATTCGAGATCTCTAAGGAGTACTTCCAGGAAGTTTATGAGTTGACCAAGTCTGAGAAGATTAAGGCCATCATTGACAACTGGGAGACCTTTGAGAAGGCTTAAGGTTGACGAGCGGCTATTTATTTAGTTTGTTTTACATCCATGGTGATGATTCTGGGCTATATTCTAAACTTTTACCGTTGCCCTGTCATTGGAAGCACGTGGTACTGCTTTCCCTGATGTGTGGTGACTACATGTACTTAGGTTAATACAAATGATGAAAATATTGCGAGTAGTAGATCTCTAAATACCTGTGACCAAAGGACTGGAGATGTTTACAGGTGTGAATTTCTTTGGTAGTGAGACTCTGGGGAATCTGGACTTCAACCTCTGTGAAACTAAGTCCATATCCAAATGTCTAGTCAAACTGATTCTTGGAATACATCCGATGTAGTGATCATCATCCAAGTGAACATCCAAAGGATCCTGAGTATGACAGCCTGGTGACAACGATAATCTGATAGAATGCTTGCGACCACCTGCACTGTTTGGGTCCCCAGATTCATAGATCTCAAAAACAATCTGAGAAAGGTAATCCAATTCTGGTAATGCGTTTCTGGCGATCTTCATTGGAATCTGCGATTCGTATATGATGTTCAACAAAGTGTAGATGTGCGATTCTTTGGTGAAGTAGTTGACCACTGCAGCCTTGTCGTGTTTCTTCATTTCCTGAATGTCCGACAAGATCTTCTTGGCAAGAGGTAATGAGGTCAACAAACCAATATCTAGTTTTTCTTCGTCTTTAATACCGTATTCCTGAGGACAAATAAAGTCGAAGAGGACCTTGGACAAACGGTATAATTCTCTAAGACGTGCAAATGTTGGATGGTCGAATGGGTTCTCTAAAACCTTGGTATTCTTGTGAGTGTTGGCCTCATTGTTGACTGAAGATTCCTTAATTGAAGAGCTTGCTCCTTTCAAGACCCAACCTAGTGATCCAGCAGAAGCAGTGTTGTTGACAATATTTCCGAGGTTTGATGCAGAATTCGATTTAGAGTTGGAAGTCGATGGAGCCTCACCGGGAATCTTGAAATTATTCATAGCCAAAATGTTGATCGGGTACTCACTAACCAATCCGGAGGAGTTAATGGTATCTCCACAGTGATCTCCCAACCGCTTAAGCAACTCCTTGTCATTTGGATCGTATGAAAATACCCTTCGCAAAAACTGTCTGTTATGCAATGCGTCATATTTCATGGTATCGTACAACTCAGAGATCTTGGATGGGTGTGTCTTTTCCACAGTCAAGAACTCCTGAAAAAGTTTGTCCCATCTCTCCTTAAACAAGTACGGATCCTCACCACAACACCAGTTCTTTTGGAATTCGTTCACATTATTATGCTCGAAGTTGTAATCCATGATCTCACGGTGATAGTTCATTAACTCACAAACACGTTTGATCACCTCGAACGGTTGGGGCATCTTGGGAGGCCAAGTGAATTGTGGTGGTGCCTCAGCTCCTTGTCTCAACAAAGGCTTCAACTTCTTCTTCACCTTATCCATCAAATCCTTAGCCGCATTGGAGTCATCCAACAAGTCCTTTCTGATTATCAAGAAGTCATCTGGTAAAGTGTCCATACCAAGCATGGAGCAAGTAGCAATGTGAGCACTTGCGATAACTCTCCTCTCGGACGAGGTGTATACCTTTACATCTTTCAAAGCTTCTCTGTTGAGCAACTTGATATTTTGACCTAACTGCTCACCGACGTCGCTTGCCTGGTATCTTGCTGAGTGAGTTGGCTCTCCACCCCACTTCAAGATGAACTGCACCTTTTCAACAATTTCGGGATTCTCAGAATTCAATGATGGTTTCAATTGGATTTTGGTTCCTGGGAAGTTAATCTTCTTCTCTAAAGCACCACGCAACTGCTTCAACTTCTTCAAATCCTCGAGTTGCTTCTCTTCAGCAATCTTCACGGTCTCCAATACTACCTGCAAATCTGGAACAGCTCTGATGATCACCTCTTCCGTGTGACCCTTCAAAAGGGAGATAAACAAAGGCGACCTGAAGGAATACTTGAATTTCTGCTTGGGTGTGCGGTCCGCATGCCTAATGACAGAAACCATACCCTTGAACACCCACTTCTGCTCCTTTTCTTCGAATTGCGATTGGTTAATTTGGGACATTTTGGGGATTTTGTTCTTGATGAGGTCTCTTGTCTTCTTCGCCTGAATGAATAAATCCCTCAAGATAGTGGCGCACGAATCATAGTAGTTATTGTTGTCCTTGACAAACGAAAAACCATTGACATCGATGACATAAGACTCGCCATTCACACGCAACAAATCAAAACCACAAATGGACTGTCTGAAAATTCGACTGATGTTTCTTGCAATAGTCTTCTCTCCATCAGTCAATTCCGTAACAAATCTGATCTCCTTGCCGTGGGTGTTACGTCTGACAATTCCGTCGACGACAGGAGACTTACGGGTCTCAGCATGACAAAATTCAGGACCAACAGTATAAGCCTTGACATCCTCAAAGTTGTCAGTGTCCATAAACTTCTCGTAAATGAACGAGCCCTCTGTTCTAGGAGCACACAAGTCAGGATCGAATTCTGAAGACTTGTTTCCGATCTTTCTGAACAAACGGCGACCACCACCACCTGTCGAAACTGGATAGTAGATGTACACATTGTGATCTTCACCGTCGACTGGTTTTTCCACATATGGCTTCTTCATGACCTTTCCATTAACCCACAAAGTGTCTGGATCCAACATCTTCCATTCAGGCTCGTTTTGGTCTGTCAAATCTTTCAAGTGCTTCTCAGGAATGCCAACCTCTTTTAACTTATTATACAATTCCTTATCGATGCGAGGACCACCATCTCTGGAGATTTCCAATCTCTCAGGAGTAGGAACATTGACAAAGTTCAAGATACTCAACACCAAACGACGATCCCATAAGGTTTTCTGCAAAATCAAGTCGTTGATCATGTATGGCTTTCTGTAGTTAGCATAGGCAATGGCCTTATCAAGAGGGAAGCCAGTGGAGAAAAAACTGATCAAAAAATCGCAGGTTGGCCAGTTCTCGATAGCCTCATCCAAAATCACCTTGTCACCAAAAATAATTGTTTCGAACTCGCCATTTTCAATCAAACGACTCAAAATTCTTCTACATGGTTTGGACATAGCTTTGGCGTCCATGGCACACACTCCGATCTTTCCAATCTTCTGAGTGCTTCCAGTGGTTCCAGAAATCTTGGAGGTGGACGAAGAGTTCGATTGGGTCTTGGACAATTTGGCAAAGCCATCCCAAGACGAGTTGGAGTTCGTTCTGGAAAACCCTTTGGAATCCACCTGGCTCAACGCATTATTGTGGGAGAGATTGTCCAGAGTGAGCAACAGCGTTTCGCCAATAGCAGAAAGCGAAGGCCTGCGGGGCGACGAGCTCGATGTGCTCATTTTATTGGCAATTCCATCTTTAGACTCTTCAGCACTGGTTTTTGGAGCAAATGACTCGAGCATAGGTGCAAGCGACGCCATGGCTCTTTCTGTCTCGCCACCATCCTCGGTACTGAGTGAAAGAGGTGACATCGGCAGTTGTTTCTGCGTGTCCTTGATGGGGATCGGGATGGAATCAGACATTATAGGAGAAACCAGAGATGACAATCGACAAGTTTCCCTTCTGTGCATGGCATATATGCACGTGCGATCCATTAACATGATTGGGGGCACGTTTAGTGATAAGAAAGATGGGGAAATGAAGATTACAAAATTAATTTGTAATCAATTCCTTCTCCTATTTACATTAGTAGTGTAATTTCTTTGTATGTGTATATTTACTTTTCCATTGATCTCATTTACCTTCATTTCTATGGTCTAGACTACTCCATTATTCCTAGGTCCACTAATTCTAAGTCGCAACCTGCCCAGTAAGAACTCCAGCATTACTGTAAATCTATTCGTATTACAAACGTAGCTACTCAATGGCCGCAAGTGAGTCAAACAAGACCGAAATGGACTCTCCAAAGTGATCTCTGCGGATGCACTCGGCGAAAATGGGCGAAACATCAATCACAACCAACTTGGAGTTGGCAACTCTTCTCTTCTCATCAATTGGGTACGTGTTAGTCACCACGATGTTGTCGATGTACTTGGAGGCATTCAACTCCTCCAAACAAGTATCTGAGAACACTCCGTGAGTACCCACCACGTACACAGCCTTAGCTCCACAGTTCAACCGCAAATGCTCTGCAGCAGCAATGAACAGGTTGGGCTTGTCGATCATGTCATCCAAAATAATGGCCACCTTATCGTGGACATCACCCACTAACGTAATCAATTTCTCCTGTTCGATCGACATGGGCTCGTCTTCGTCGTCACTGTTGGTGGCATCGAAAGTTCCTCCCAACACATCGCTATCAGCCAAGGGAGAAGGTGTAGTAGCAGTCTGCGAGTCTGGATAGTCGTCGTCCACCACATGGCCCTTTACCACACGGGCAGTCTGCATCTCGCTGCCGATATTGTTGGCCTCGTCGTCGGTGGCAGCCTTAAGGTGTTTCGTCTTCTGAAAGTTGTCCTGGGTTCTACGTCTGTCAGTGTGAATCATGGCGAAGTTGATCTTCAAGGAGTCAGCCAATGCTGTGACTCTCTTTGTTCCACCGGGGTTCTTCGACACAACCACGGCATTCTCCCAGTCGGGGATGTTGTGTCTGATCCATCTGGCCAATGTGGGTGCTCCATATAAGTTGTCCACTGGCTTAGTGAAAAAGCCTTGCATCTGCGAGGCGTGCAAGTCCATCGACACCACATGGTCTGCACCAGCCATGATTAACAAGTTGGCCAACATACGGGCAGTAATGGCGCCTCTGTGCTTCTTCATCTTACTCTGCTTGGAGTAAGGAAACTGGGGAATCACGGCGGTGATCTTTGACGCCGATCCGCCACGACAGGCCAGAATCAAAATGAGTAACTCCATGATGTGGTCGTTGATCTCGGGAGAGCCCGACTGGATAATGTAGACGTCCTCATCTCTCACCGAAACACCAATTTGCACTGAGGTTTCTCCATTGGAGAACTTCTTCAATGTACAAGGCGCAGGCTCCACGCCAAGACGATCACACACTAGTTTTCCCAACTCGGGGTGGGACGTTCCAACAAACACTTTGCACTTACGCATGGCAGTATTGGATAATGGTTGGATAGGTATAGTGGAAATGGTGGATACTGCGGGGAAGAACGCTTTCTAGGAAATTTTGGGAAGCTTGGCGGCAGATTTGTGGGTTGGTTCTGGCGCAGCTGCAATGGCGAATTGTTTTGAACTCAGAGAGGTGCCAGAGAGCAACTGGGAAAGGTTTTCAGCTAGTGGTACGTTCCGATGGAATGAGCAGCCTGTGTGGAATAAAAATTTGAGGTCTGGGGTGTGCAGGTTTCGGGACATCCGACGGGAACCACCGGGGGTTAAATCACAGAATAAAGATTAGAATAATGGAGATTCTGGCATGACAAAGTGTCCTCGCGGAAGTATAAAGGCAATAGAAGTTTCATTTTTGGGATTTTTGCTTATTTTTCGATGTTTTTGCTTGATAACTATGTGAAGAGTCTTTTCGGAGTGTCTCATTGGCACAGTACAGTATTACGCCGGGCTTAAAGCCAGAAGAATGATTGGATTGGCAAATTAATCACATACTACGATATGATTATAGCGGCTTTCGCTTTTTTTTTCTTGATTTTTTTATTAATACCTACATGGTTCCATGGGCTGCATCGATATTCTGTTTTAATTGATTCTGATTATTCAAAAATAGTTCACCTTAGAATCCATTCCTGAACTTGACTCTCATTTTTTTTTTTTTTCCATTCAACTACCCCAGAATGCGCATTGACAGTTACTACCTTACATTAGTTTTCCATCTACCTTCTCTATGCAATAACCGTTTATAAGAACTAAATAGAATTAAATCATGACACATTAGAAGACATCACCCTGGGCGAACATGGCATCGGCAACCTTGATGAAACCGGCAATGTTGGCACCCTTCAACAAAGATGGCAAGGAGAAGTCCTTCTCAACGGAGTACTTCACAGCAGTCTCGTAACAGGTGTCGAAACAGGTGTACATGATGTCCTTCAACTTGGCGTCAACCTCCTCAGTGGTCCACAGGACTCTCTGGGAGTTCTGGGCCATCTCCAAACCGGAAACAGCAACACCACCACAGTTGGCAGCCTTACCTGGAGCGTACCAAACACCCTTGGCTCTGTTGGCCTCGAAAACGTCAATGGCCTCCTTAGTAGAACCCATGTTGGATCCCTCAGCAATGAAAGAACAGCCAGCGTCCACAAGTGCCTTGGCCTCCTCACCGGAAACCTCGTTCTGGGTAGCAGATGGAAGAGCGACATCAACCTGGCCAACGTGAGTCCATGGACGAACACCAGAGATGTATTCAACATCAGCCTGAGAGAAAGCGGAGTACTCGCCAATGATCTGCTCCAAAGACTGGAACTTGATCTTGGCCTCACCAATAGCCTCAATCTGGGCTGGAGTAATACCCTTCTGAGCGATGATAGAACCCTTGGAGTCAGACAAGGAAACAACAGTTCCGCCCAACTCGATGACCTTCAATGCAGCGTACTGGGCAACATTACCAGAACCAGAAATAGCAACTCTCTTGCCTCTGAAGGTGTGCTTACCGTCAGAAGCCTTCTCAATCATCTTCTCGACGTAGTAGACAAGACCGTAACCAGTGGCCTCAGGTCTGATCAAAGAACCACCCCAGGTCAAGCCCTTACCGGTCAAAACACCGGTGAAGTTGTTCTGCATGGCCTTGTAGGCACCAAAGAGGAAACCGATCTCACGGCCACCCACACCAATGTCACCAGCAGGAACATCAGTGTCAGCACCAATGTATCTGGCCAACTGTCTCATGAAAGCGACACAGAATCTTCTAATCTCGGAGTCAGTTCTGCCCTTTGGGTTGAAGTCAGAACCACCTTTACCACCACCCATGGTCAAACCAGTCAAGGCGTTCTTGAAGATCTGCTCGTAACCCAAGAACTTCAAGATAGACAAGTTGACGGTTGGGTGAAATCTCAAACCTCCCTTGTATGGACCCAAAGCAGAGTTGAACTGGACACGGAAACCGTTGTTGACCTCAATACCACCCTGGTCGTTCTCCCAGGCGACTCTGAACTGGATGATTCTCTCTGGCACAGAAACCACTGGAATCACCTTCTTGTATTCAGGCTTCTCGGTGAAAAGAGTAGAGTCTTCGAGGGCAGACAACAATTCGTTGTAAGCTTGTTGGAATTCGGGTTCGTGAGGTAAGACCATTTTTGATTTGTGATGGAGAATGAAGAGAAAAAAAATCCGTTCTGATTTCTGCCGTGGTGACTTATATATGAATTCAGATGGCCTACAACGTCATCCTCACAACCATATTGTCTGCAGTGGTAGAACTCATCCCATGAGTCATTTTCCGGCAGATAACCCAACGAGCTTGATCTCTGGCCAATTAAAACTGCGATCTCACGAGTCATGTTGCGGCCCTGAAACGGGCCGATGAGATTGCCTCGCTGCGATTATCAGTAGCAAATCAGTCTTCGCCATCACAGCCTGGCTCTCCCGGGCCCGATGCTCGGCATATTTGCCCTCTCAATAATCCATGCCGACTCGGAAAAGTGTTTCTGGTGATTATCGGCGCGCCGATGGTTCAAGAGGTTGTACAAGTTTTGATGTTACCAGAGTTTACGACTTACAACAAGGGGTATTTTGGATGGTGGTAAGGGTGCTCGGGGATTCGGAGCAAATCACATGAGCAGTGCATATGGTGAGCCAAGGACCAATTGCCGTTATTGGATTGCCACGCCGGGTATTCAAGTGGTGGGAAGGTGTTTTTGAAAGGCATTCTTCCATTTCCGCTTTGTATCCACCTTGGTTCCGCTCCATGGGTTCATCCAAATTAATGCGCGATCTTAAATCTCACTGGCTGAGAAGATTCTGATAACACTGTCAATAGTGCACACAGTCCGACTCCGACTCGGATCCAAGAGCGGGGGCGACTTAACTTGCCTGTTCGTGGCATTCTGGAAGAGTAAATTATTGCGGAGCTGGTTGTAATCTCACGGAGTTGGCTGCAACGATAAGGTACCGTTCATTTGAGTTGGTGCATAAAATTTAGCACTTCTGTTTAATTACTCCAAAGCACTATACGCAAGGACCAGGGATGCTGTGCGCATCTCGGAGCATCATGGGTCACATAAGGTGGTTGCATACTAATAATGATCTGTTACATTTAATTTGAGATCATGCTTTCTTTTTTAGCGGCGGTGGAAAATCTTCTGTTACTTTTTCCATATGCTTTCTTTTTCCTTCTTGCCTACACTCCTAATAGTGTCTTGTTCTTCTTCCACTCCATCAATGTCTACTTAACCGTTGGCCTCTTGATTATTCTCTTCCTCCGTTTCCACCAGACGTTTTCAATCTTTTAACGGTGTGCTCTACGAGCAATCCCTTCTCCTCTCACTCATCTTTATAAATAGGCTTCATGTGGCAATTCTTCCTATTCTCTTGCAATTTACCTCGTTTCTCATTGAGAACATGGTGTATCTCATCCTTGTCCGCACTCCATGCAACAACACTAAGTGCTAATGCAACAAAAAGAAAAACAATACATGCGATGAGTGGCTTGGAGAACAGAGGTGCATACTTTTCTTGAAACATATGGGGCGCCGTAAGCGCTCCCAATTGTACTAAAGAGTCCGCTAGTGCAAACGCAAACCCCACCTCAGTAGTACCATGTAGCGAGAGCGTCATCCACGCCGTCACTGGTGCCATATTGGCAGAAAGAGAAGCAATGGATAAATTTACGAACCCATAGATCACTCCTCTGTTGGATATGATACTCAAAACTATGAAGCACCCAATGGAAATGGTTAGTGACCCAGTAACTAATACTGGAGTCGATATTCTGGTATTGTCCACCAAGTATGAAAAGAAAATGCCTGAAATTACTGCGAGCAGCAAAGGCGGCATAGTTATGAGTGGGGATTCTTTTGGAGCTGTAAACCCAAGGTTACTAAGAAGACTTGGTGTCCAGAAGTTGGGGCCCGCAGAGCCCAAACTCTGGAACATCTTGATCAACATGAGGTATGTTGTAATTGGTTTCTTCAACGATCCCCACACATCGCTCAATACAAATTTCTTATCGGTTGTCTTAGGTGACCCTGGGGGGAGTCGAGCAATCAAAAACGCCTTTTCTTCTTCCGTTAGCCAATGCGAGTCATCTGGATAATTTGGCTGCCATAATCCGAAAGCAATCGAACAAATAATTGTGACCAAACCTTCTAACAAAAATACCCATTGCCATCCCGACAAATTGCCTTTCCCATCGGCAAACTGAAGGCCATAAACAATAAGAGCCGTTAAAATACTGGAAAAGGCTTCAAGAACGCCGAAGATTGCAAATCGAACCGATACTTCATCTGGACGGTACCAGAACACTATTTGGGCTAGCATACCTGGATACATGCCAGCCTCAAATGCTCCTAATAGGAATCTCAATGAGAGCAAACCTGCTTTATTGGTTACAGCAGCTTGACAAGCTGTGACAGTTCCCCAAAGGAAGGCCATACGACATTGATGGAGTCTTGGCGTTGAAACCTTAAACAAGAGTGTTGAAGGGAATTGGAAAATAATATAAGGAATATAGAACACGGTTGCATTCCATGCCCATTGATCTCTCGAGAAACCCAATTCTTTTAGAACATTGGAGTCGGTGCCTTTATTCATCACTGCTACGAATCCAATATTGTTGTTGTCCAAATTCTTAAACAAATGAAGCAATATTAGTAGAGGCATGAGCCGAAGATCTATCTTCCGGAGTAGTTTGGCCTCTTCAGCATAGGTATAATAGCCTGTGGTCCTGACAGCCTGTGCCACTTGCCCAGCGGCATCATTATTTTCAATGTGTTTGTCTGACAACATGTTGGTTGTCATTCCTAGTGACTCTGGGGGACAAACACAACATTATTTATACTGAAATGATGTGTACGTTGAATTCGAGGCCATTGTGGGGCATGACTACATATGTAGTAAAGTGTGGAAGTGTATATGTCAAAGCAAAGGCATTACGTAAACATAAGACAGGTTTTCGAATTTTCAAAGCTGTAGTGGGGTTGTGACGAAATTTATCTTTGCTATTTCATGTGGACTCTGTGCTTCTCGACAGGACTTCTATTACATGGGGTAATTGCGATGAGCTACTATAGCGTTTGAGACAATGCAAGAATAGTGCCCATCTCAGCCGCACCGATCTTTATTCTCTGACGTATCTCTCTTTACAAAATTGATTCAAAGAAACTCTGAAGGTTCCTGGCTATCAAGAATCTCAATCAACCAATAGTCTTTCTCAATCAGCTATTCTTGAAAGTCAAAGAAAATTTGAAATTTACTAGATAGAATGGGATTGTATAGGTTGAAAAAGCGTTGAAATCGGAAGGTCCGGAACATGCTTCGATGATGTCCTAAAGTAGACACAAGAAATTAAAATACTGAGATCTCAAACGGGCTCTACATTATGAAAAGGAGGTCTAAGGAATGCCCCTTAGAGCCACCTCCCTCAAGAAATTGACAGTTACCACAGTGGGAGCACAAAAACAAGTAGAACGCAGTAAAAGATGAACTCATAACGAAATATCTCAAATACCCGAATGATTCTGCTGCTGAACACCAACAACTAAAAAATTTCTGACAATAACTGGTTTCTATGACGAACTAATTTCAATAGTTGTCTGAATCAAGAACTATTAGCCATTTGTTGTGTTAGAAGAAGCTATGAATTCTAATTGCATTCAGCCTCTAATACTTGCGAGAGAAGCAGTGTTCACCAAAATTCAGCATATTCTAATGTGGTAGTCAAACTCTAACGATTGCTCCTTTCATCTACGATAGTCATATTACTGTTATCATTATCATCGGCAAAGTATCCAAACTCACCGCTATTTACATGAAACTTATTTAGTTTGTTCAAACACACGAAGGCGGTCAGCGATTCTGTTATCAATTTCAACTTCTTGAACCCATTCACTTTCCTTCTTTCTGCCTCTTTCAACCCATTTTTTTGGCCAATTCAACTCCTCTTCCTTAGCGAGGAAATTGTCCTTGTATTCAAATGGTCGGCTTTTGCCGTAAACAATAGCCAATGTTTCGGAGGTCACATCCTCAGCAATGTCTCTTCTGGTGAAGAATCTGTATATCTTTCTGGGCCAGTTTGAAATTCCAACTAACTTAGGAATTGGGTAAACATATAATGGTTGCTCAAACATCACAGGAACGTTGTTGCTATCTCTGATAACAGTGGACATATCGAGTTCGGGAGCCAATACGGCGGACTGATAATCTTTCTGTTTGATGTATGGCTGGGGAACAGGATCCTGCTTTGGTTTATCGCCTTCGTCCTTCAGTCCAAAATCGTCGATCTCGACTTCTTGCTTAGTTTCAGAGGATTCCTCAGAACCTTCAACAGACTCAATTTTGACTTCCTCTATCTTCTCCTCTGGCTTATCCAATGGACCTAAAAGACCCTCTTGGACACCACTGACGTACTCCTTGTATGCACCCCTTCCAATACAAATGATTCCACCAACCGTCTCTACATCAGTCTCGTCATCTCTTATTGGCTGCAACGGCTCAAAAATCTTGTAAAGTCCAAGGACGTTGGTTGGGGAATATAAGTCATGTCTATCCACAAGCACCTCTGGCTCCTCTTCCTTTGCCCTCTTGAACACGTTAGGCACGTCTTCTTTGAAGAACTTCGTCCATGATTTGGAGTATGCTTCGGCACGGGCGTCTTCTTCCTTCTTCTTGTGATCCTCAAGAGCTTTTCTTCTAATCTCTCTGATTCTGTCTGCAATCTGCGAACGAATCTCTCCTTGTCTTCCCTCAGTATAAACATCGAAGTCGATGGCTGCAGCATTCAAAAGTGGCTTGACGTAGCGACGGAAATGCTTCAATGACTCCTCAAGAAAGGCATCGGGTGGAGGGGCAATAAAGACAGTAACTTTTCTAGGAATGCGATTAGAAGTATATACCTCTTCTCCCAAAACTTTGACCTGTTCCGTGTACTTCTCTCTGATTTTTTTCTGCTGGTGTCTATCGTAGTAAATGCCTCCACCGATAGTGGCTAGAACTGACCAGAAAATCATCCAGTTTCTGGACGGAAGTGAGATTTTTGGAATTCCCATGGCTCTAAGAGCAGGGTTGGACCAGCTCTTTTTTGCTGGCTTTGCTGCCTCCTTTGTTGGCTTTGCTGCCTCCTTTGTTGGCTTTGCTGCCTCCTTTGTTGGCTTTGCTGCCTCGCTGGCTGGCTTAGCAGTATTGCTAGCTGGCTCCACGGGTTTCTTTTCTTCCGACATGGCAAGGTCTGTATCCTAAAGTTGGGGCAGTGAGTTCAATGGAAATCTTTTTAGTCGTATGCACACTACAAAGAGAAGTGATTAAAACACTTGAACAAGACATGACTTAGATAGTCATACTAATTAATAAGTGTTGGATAAGTAGATTTTCTTGTTTGTAATTATACTGCAAGCTTCTGTATTTTTCTTGGAGAAGAATCCGATTTTTGAAAGGCACATTTATGAATTTACCGTGTCACATCTTTTCGCAGCAAAAACAATATCTGGTGTGTTCTACTCAATATATACCCAATAAGGTTGAACTTGAAAAATCTGTATTCACGGCAGCGATGTACTTCTATTTCCCTTCTACTCTAAGAACTTTTGTAGTTCCAACATAAGATCATTGTACTTCAACATCTTTCCAATGAATACAATCTTATTACTTTCAATGCTCTCATGAAGAGTTGCACCCTCAATTACCTCGTAAGTGTCTCTCACACCTTGAATCACTCGAACATCCTCACCACAAACAAGAATTCCCTTAACTCTGTGGATCTCCACCAATTTGTCTGCAGCTGTACATTCCCATAGCATGTGCTGTAGATATTCCTCAACTTTAGTGAAACCTTCCGGATTGTCAAAGAAGGGAAAATCAAGAGCCACCGTAGTAATCCGATCATCATGATACAGAGAGTTTGTGATTGCACTTACCAGACTGGCAACTTTGTCAGCAGAGGCCTCAAATGCATGCAAGTCCAAGATCTTGTCCAAATGGATATCACCAAAGCTGGTTTCATACAACGGTGACGACGAATTAATTGCTCTAATTCTTTGCTTGATCTCCTCTAAACCTTGCATATCGTCTTTGAACCGATCAACTTTGTTAAGCAAGATCGTGTCTGCTAGTGCCAATTGAAGATGTGCAGTTGTGACGCCCTCTTGAAGCATCTGCTTTTCCTTTTCTATTTCCTCTTCTGTGACATCCGTCGCCGATTCTGCAATCAAGTGCTTGTTGGATCTATGCCAGTGTCCTCCCACGTCGTCCAAACATTTCAAAATGTTGGAAGAATCCACCACAGTCACTACTCCATCAATATATACACTCGACGAGAGAGCGTCGTCAAGCCAGAACATTTTGGCTATGGGTGCAGGGTCAGCCACTCCAGTTGTCTCTAAAAGAATGTAGTCTATCTTGTCTTTGGAGTTTTGGATCAAATTCTCGATCGCCAAAACTCCATTATCTTTGACCGTGCAGCAAAGACATCCATTGCCCAAATCTAGCCATTCCTGGACTGCTCCCTTATCAGAATCTTGAATGGTGACGGATTTTTCGATAGCTGCCGTGTCTCCAAACTCATTTAGAATGATGGCGAGCCTTTTGTTGGAAGTTTTGCCAATGACATCGAGGAGAGTGGACTTTCCAGATCCCAAGTAGCCTGTAATGATGGTGATAGGAATCTTGTCTGTAACTTCCTCTTTGGGTGCAAATGCCGAGGTGTCCTCAACAGTAGCTAGATACAGTGGTTTAGTATCAAAGTCGGTCGGAAGCTCCTCTACCAAATCGGGGATGTCATCCATTATGGGTAGTAAGTTAAGTGACATTTTGTGGGGGCACTTCGCACACCTTATAGAAACAGCGGAGTTACACCTCAGGGCCACTCATAATGTCAGAACGTTTCTAATTCTACAGTCAAATAGAGTCACACAGTAACAGATAAGTTCTATACTGGGAGCTTTTTTTTTTTTACGTTTATTATTTTCACCTTTGGTCCGCCTCTCCATTGCACGGCCCCAAGTAGACTGCACAATCATCATCAACTTATTTCCAACCACCACCAGTCTTCAATAAAACCTAATCATGAGGGCCGTGTTAGTCTTGGACTTGTCGCTCATCGCAATCGTGGGCTTCTACTTGCTCCTTGCACCCTACACGAAGGTGGAGGAGTCTTTCAACATGCAAGCTATACATGATATGTTGAACTACGGAGTGTTCCCAAGTTCAGTATTACAGAATTACGACCACATCTCTTTTCCAGGTGTGGTTCCAAGGTCTTTTATTGGCAGTGCTGCCATTGCTAGTATTGTAAAGGCCATTGATTTCATTTACACTAAAGTAGCTGGCTCCAGCTTGTTAGAAGATACTGAGTTGGGTCAGTTGAATGTTCAGATCATTGCAAGAGCCGTATTGGGAGCAGCCAACATTTTTGGTCTTGTGGCCATGCGTAGAAGCGTGGACAAAATCGTTTTTGCTGAGAGAAAGTCAAAGGTCAAAGGGGCTATTGGGTTTGCTTTCACCTTATTGCTTCTCTCCCAGTTCCACTTGAACTTCTACAGCACCAGAACTTTGCCTAATTTCGTGGCCTTGCCTTTGGTCACGTACGGATTGAGCAAAATTATCCGCGGAGATATGTCTGGTTTGACTTGGTTGGCATTCACAGGCACCGTCTTCAGATTGGAAATCGGTGTCTTCGCCGCATCCATTGCCGTTGTTTCGTCTTTCGGCTTCGGCCAATCTAATATCGTTGCCAACTTGTTCTTGTTGGTGGCTGGATCTTTAGTAGGTTTGGTTGTCACGACCAGTATTGACTCGTATTTCTGGGGACATTTGGTGGTACCTGAATTCGAATCTTTCAGATTCAATATTGTTCATGGTCAATCTGTTCACTGGGGCGTGGAACCTTACAGCGCTTACTTTTCCAAGTACATTGTCAACTTTTTCCGTCCCCCACACGTTTTGGTTTTGGCTGCTGTTGGTCTCTTGAATGATCCTGCTCACGATGGAACGCCCATGACCTTCACCAAGGATAACAAGATAGTAATTTCTCATCCAGCAAGACACTCGTTGAGAATCTTATTCTTTGCTTCAATTATCTTTGTTGCCATCATGTCGTTCCAACCTCACAAGGAATGGCGTTTCATTGTGTACATTATACCAGTGTTCACATTGGTAGCAGCTAATGGATTGACCAATCTCTTCTGGAGACGTTCTAGACTGATAGGTCACAAGTTCCTACTTTTGCTCTTCTTTGGAAGTTTCGTGTTATCATTTGTGTTCTCCGCCTTCATGTCTTACATCTCCAGTTTTAATTACCCAGGAGGAGATGCTATTGGTTTTCTCAACACTTATCTTGACGAGAATCCACCAAAGCATCATGTTGTGGTACACATGGATGTGCCATCATGTATGACTGGTGTCACTAAGTTTACTGAGTTGCACAATCCTCTCATTGAATTTGACAAAACGGAGAATGAGGAGGACTTATCTCGCAAGTGGAACAACTTCACTTACTTAATCACTCTGGTGGATATGTCCAAGCCTCAAGCAAGCGACTACGTTGTCTACGACCCCAATCACTGGGAACATCTTGCCCTGGTTCCTGCCTATGGTGGAGTCAATGCGGTGACTTTCCTTTTGACCGCTTACAACATCTACAATGACCCAAACCTAAGATATAATTTCATACTTGCTGTGTGGAATGACCTCAAACAAGGTCAGTTTAATACCCTTGAGTCTTTGTTGCGCAGAGCAATCGTTTTGAGAGATTTCATGTTTGTCTATAAGCGTACTGCTCAAGATTCCATGCCTGCCATTATCCTGCTCAAAGATGAGACTAACATTGAGGTTGAAGAATTCGTTGCTGATACTGAAGAGCCATTCTTGGGAAGCATTGAACCAGACACCATTAAGGAAGAACTCAACGATCAAATCGACGATCTTGAAGTTATCGTTGAACAGGAGATTGTGGAAAAATCGTTCCCAACTTTGGAGCAGTAATTTATTGCAAAGCTATAAGATCCCAAAGACATTTGTTTGACCCGCTACGGCGCTCTGTGACGTAAGTCGCTCTCTAAGACGGTTAGTTGACGAATATTGAAAGTCTTCAATATCATCATCTGGAGGAACGACAAGTGGTCTGATCCTATGCAATTTCTTTGCAGTATTCAAAATCGAGTCATCGGAGATTGATGTCGGATTAGTGTGCTCGATGGGTCCAGGAGTCGCTGAAGGAGAAGATGTGGCGTTGGGCGACGTACTTCTTGAGATACCTTCAAACAAGGGCGCAGGTGGTCGTTCCGGAATCTGTACTTTTGGTCGACGAGAGGGAGGAGATAATTTGGTTGCAGTTGAGGGCCTCAAAATGTCATTCTTAGACGCACCCTTTGCCAGTCTATATCGAGTAATCATAGCGTCCATTCGATCAAACTTCATCCTCTGATTAGTTTCTTGTAGTCTTGTTGGACTTGGTCCTTTACCACGTGTAAATGGGGTAGAAGGGCTTTTCACTTGCTTCTTGACTGGGGTACTAAGATAACTTTGGCTGTCTAAAATGCTTGAGCCAGATGGTAGTTTAGGATTCTTCTTAGCCAAGGGCGAGTAGTTGCTTCCAAAAGTGGTATCTGCTTCCGTGAAATCGTACATCGAATCAGGAGACCTGCCTCTCATTTTATGTAACCAGATCTCAAATATCGACCGCATGTGTGCTTTCTGCCATTTTTCAGTGAATATTTCTCGTGTTTGTTGGTTGCGCCTGACATTCTTTATATATCGTAAGTTCCACTTCCGCAAGAACTCAACGAGTCGCAAATAATCCTTTTGATCTATCATGTGTTGTCCAACATCATCTAAGTAATCGACTTTTGTCACAAATTTTTCGTACCAAATAAGCAAAAACCTCTTAGAAAGTAAAGTGATGTAGAATTCCGAACTTCTCTCAGTATCATTCAACCTTCGCCGAGAAAGCTCAATCCAATTTGTGAAAATGGCTCTCTTTGTAGCTGAAGTGTCTAAATGGTGCTGACAATAATATTCGAGTTGCCTTCGTTTTTGATCATTGTAAGTTTTTTTACTTTTCCAATGATTCAAAAAAACAGAAAGTGTACCCGGAGTTCGAATTCGCTCTTCGAACGAGCATACTGCCTTTTGGGTATGATTATTGAACATCCTCAAATAACTTTCACCCCATTTTGATATAACAGCTGAAAGAAGGATTCTTTGGGAGAATGGTAATTGACCTGCAAGAAAATTGTCAGCCTTCTGGTCGTTGGCACACAAAACATTATACAGCTTCGCAAGTTTATCTAAATGCCTCCTCTGAAAGTTGAGATCAGCAATGGAATTCAGTTCTAAAACCATTCGATATCTCGAGTACCATTGTCGAAGATGTTGCTTCAACAAATTAGTATTGAAGACATTGACAGCAATCTCACCATTACTCCTGATGACATTAGTTTTGTGATTCCATTCTTGAATAACTTCGTTGGCGAGATCAGAATTAGTATCTCTTAGACGCCTAGTAAACAGTACTTGTACCTTCCACTTCTTAAAAACAGCAGACATTACATTGTGGTCAACTTTGCTCCTTCCCTTAGCTTCGATGAGCTTAAGCCTCCACAATCGCATGACTTTCTGGTTTAAAGCATATGCTTGAAAGGAATCAGCTTTAACTCTATCATCTGTAATGACTTTCCACAGACTTAGCGAAGTTGATAATAAGATTTTGTTAGTTTTTTTCTCGAGTAGACGACCGAGTTTTCTCAATTTAAATTTTTTCATCCACATCGTTAGAACCTTGTCCTTGTAGTGGTATTGAGAGCGAGAGGTTATCTCTCTTAACGACTTTTCATTCTTGAACTTTTGAATCCAATTTCTTAAGTACTTTCCTGTTTTTACTTGAAATTCAATTGATTCAAGCTTGGAAAGCTTTCTTGAATATTCTTCCTTGTCGAAATGATTTGTGTAAGTGAATTGAACTTTTTCAAATTTCTTCTTAAAAGCTCCAAAAGTATTACCCACCACCTGATAGTCCTTCCTCTTTCGAGCCTCTTGGAAAAAGTCCAGCGATATGTCGTGAAGGGCGACGACGTCCTGATATTTAGTAGTCCAAAGGCTCCAAACACGCCGCCGCAAATGAATTGCAGTAAGATCCATAACATTCTTTCGCTTCTGGAGAAAATGGTCATACTTTTTTCTCCATAATTTGAAGACGTGCTTCAAACTTTGCATATCTGCCTGAGCGGTAGCACTGGAGACAAAAATAATCTTCTGTAACCAAAAACGGGAAAGAACTTTCGCCATTGTCTTCTTGACACTATACGATGCTGCTTGCAGCTGCACTTTCTCAAAACGAACAGTTTTGTTGTACCATATGCTCAATTTCCTCTTCATCAAGTCGCGTTCTGCTTTTTCTTCAACCTTATCGGTGTAGATAGATTCCAACTGGTGCACACTTATCATTTTGTGGTTCCATACACGTAAGACCTGTCTTTTGAGAATATCCTCAGCTTTAATATTCTCCCTTGCTGCTTTCATTAACAAAGTCAGATTAGGCAAGTCAGAGAGGAGTCTCGATTGCATTTCGAGGAGGTCATAGATAATGCTCCGAATCAGATCGCCTTCGATATCTGAATCTTGGCTCTTGTAATTTATAATAATCGCAACGGTTTCGTTTACAGCCAGGATGAACTGCAAATCCTCAGACAGAGCATCTACACTAAAGTCTTGGGCCACAAATCGAACAAATGTCTGGAAGGTTCTCGAAAATTGAAGATCAAATCCAAGTCCAAAATCAGCCAACACGGACACAAGATCATCTAAATGTGAAGCAAGATCGATTAGATCATCATTCAGAAACTTAGGAGGGTATTCGGTCTCTTCATTGGTTGCTTCTAAGTCAATACGTCCTTCTGTGTCAGGTTCTGCAGTGATATAATATCTAGAAGTCTCATACATCTCTTTGATGATATTCTTTGCAAGAACACGGAACTTGGAAGGAACAAACCCTTCAGAAGTTTCTGAACCCACGTAAAAGTCACAGATTCGATCCAACTTCAAATCCTGGAACTCATGGAAGTCATGTTCAAAAAAATCCACTTCGTAGGTGACTTTGAAAAACTTCACCATAACCTTTACATATGAAAATGCATCCAGACTGAAAGAATCCAGCGATTTGGAGAGCGCTAGCTGTAGAAAAACATGATAGAGTCTTGAAAATGATTCGTCCAGGCACTCGAATGTCAAAGCAGAATCTGAAGGTGGATGGTCATGCGTGAAGATTGAATCCACATCTGAGGCTGGCTCACTCAGGGATTTCCTAATGAAACTGTCCAACGCCAGCACCATTAACTGAGTGTCGTTTTCCGAAGCGATCTTCTCGTGCAATTGGGAGTTCAACCTCGAAATATAGGAATGCTCGTAAACAAAGCATCTTGTTAGAAAATCCACAAGATCGTTTTCTGTATCTGCCTGCAATTGTAGTAAGAAGCGAACCAAATCTGAAAACCGAGAAATTACCACCGAAAATGACTGCCGGAGTCTTGGAGGTCTTTGGGAACTATGAGATTCTGCTAGGATATGGAGTAGTTGATCGAACACAGACTGCCCCGATTGCTCCACAGCCACGCCTTGCAAATACAGATAGATGTTCTGATTGTTGATCTCAGCATGGGGGGCAGAACTTTGCGTGTAGTAAATAAACAGGCGGCTCTCGTATACAGAAGTGTAGATGTCAAGATGATGAGGCGGTCTCGTAAGTTCTAGAAGTGTGAAGACATTGGACACGGTTCGTCGTAGAATGGTCTCGAAGTGTAATGTGGGAGTATTTTCCGTTAGTTGAAGAAGGCTGTGAAGGTCCTTCACGGTTTCGTGGAGGAGAGACTTCGCCATAAGTGCCTAGACATATGTTGTGGAGTACGCGGTGTAGGCAGGTCAATGAGAATGATGAGTACCAGAAACCGATTTAATGAGTAGACTCCCTGTGAAAATCACAGTAAACAGGCAATGAAGAAAGCTAATTAGTTCATTAGTAATGCTATGGATCTGGAATGTTTTGGTCTTGGTTATCAAAAGGTAATCAGACTGGCTACGTATGAGGTTTGTCTATAGAACCTGGAAGATCATGTATGGAGTGTACCATTTTTGGCACCTGATTGTCATTTTTGGTGGATCATAGTTGGAACTATCAATACCAAGATCTTGAATTTCGAACCACCTTCCAGTATTAGTGACAATGCTTACATTGCCAGAATACAAAGGTATGAAGTTCAAACTTTAAAATTCCGATAAAAGTTGCATGTTCTACAATTAGGGGCACACAGCAGATTCTCAAATGACCTTTCCAACCAGACTTGATAGTAATAATTATGATGAGAGTCAAAATTTTGTATTTTTCGTTGTTTCATTCGCCTAGTGTGGTAGCAGCCAATAAGTGTAATATACCAGAAAGGCTGGCCCTTGAAACCACCGTGTAAAACGTTACAGCTGTCCCTGTTCGAGAAAATAGTTTAAAAAGCCAAAAGTATGGAAAAAAGAAGCAAGGAAGGCAGATATCTCGTGGACGGTCCACTGTTGCCGTGTTTGGGATGGTTTGTAGAAGCATAGTAATCATACATGCTAGTCGCATCAGGATAAAAGAGCTCGTATGTTGTGCTTCCAAGATCAACCGATCTGCTCGCAGTATTTGTGGAGTAGGAAGTGCGCGATGAAACGTTATACAGAGAGCTGAACCACCACGTAGAGGAGTAGTAATATTTCTTGGCAACCTCGGTATATGAGTAGAGAGGAGCTGCCAAAGCCAGAGGGATCTGAGACACTATATCTTCGAGTTTCTCGTCTGGAGAATTTGATGCCTGGGCCAACGCAACTTCTTTGTTGTCTAAGTTAACAACAACGTAAGCGCTTTTAAGTATGTCCTGACCGAGGTATGGTGGTTTATCACGTTCGTCAATTGAAATCTCGCAACCAAAATATGCATTTTGGAAGATGAGGTCTCTTACTGGTACTTGAATTTCAACACCACTGAAGTAAAACGAGACCAGATCAGTCAGATCCAACAAGTCACAGGGAACAAGATATTTGTTGTAGGCTCGAACTGCGTTCAAATGAGCAATGAGTTCATTAAAGGCCCCAACAGGTAGAGACAGTGTGGTATATTCCATTCTGATATCAACAGCAATGTTCAATTCGGAACTAAAATCAGAACCCAGAATCCCATCAAGTAAAATCAGTACAGAATCTGCACCATCAGTATACATATCAACCATTTTCACCTTCTGGAGAGTTCCTTCATACTTGCGATGATCCACGGCACCAAGTAGAAGAGTACCCTCGGAGGCGTTGTTAATTCCCAATTGGAACGAATACGCATTACTACTAATGTCTCCTTTCCTGACTAGCTGTTCCAAGAAACTCGACTCATTCAATGTTGACTGAAGAGAAGTCTTTTGGTAATTTCGAAATCCCAAGCCAAGCTGACCAACATAATTAGCGTTGGTAGCAATACCGAAGGTCATATCTCCTGAGAAATCTCCATATTGAACTCTATCAGTACCGAAATATCCCCAAGCACCACTTTCGAAGATGAGATACCACCATTGAAACACCTTACTAGTATTATGGAAAGTAGTCAGTTCCGATGGGATGTATACTCCAGCAGAGTCACACTTTGACACTTCAGAGGAAGTGTCTCGCTTGTGATCCCCGGAGTGACAATTGCTGGTGGGGAACCAGAAGAGGTTCGCACCGGTCATTGTCCAGACACGGATTGTATCTTCCTCAGAGCCAACCTTGAATTCTGCAGTGAAAAGGATTTTTCGGTTAGCTAAATTCCCTTCTACGCTATCTCTTTGAGTGAGCCTATCATTTGGATGGGCTTGGGCCGAAAGATTCATTCGCACATGGGCATTGACAAACAATATTAGAAAGAATATAAGCAACATTGTTGAAGGTAGTATACGTCTATCAACATCATTGAGGCGAGAATAATTCAATATTTATACTTACTTGATGAATTTCGTAATCGAATGAATTAGCTTTTCAAGTGCCAAGAAAATCAAATATGCGCCGAACATTCTAATTCATGCTGGTGTTACTAGTAATGGGAAAAGAGAGGCAGCGATATGAGGATTATAATCCACTTCGAACGGCTTCCCCGACATATACTTACAGGAGGTACAAGTCACAAAAGACAAGGGAAATCGAGGAGCATGTTTTGGATATTTTTTTTGGATTAGGTAGTTGTTAAATGCATAACTACTGCATGTCAAACTGGGGAAATCCGTTTAGAGACTAGTCACTTGTAATTTGTGATAGTACGAGGTCACATCCAATCGAAAGACTGTACAACATGGAAGGGCTACAGATCTATAACTAAGTGCATGTTATAGACCAGGAACATCAAGCAGATGCTCCTACTCTTTCGATGTTGGGAATATTATGGTTATTGTGGGCCATTGTTGATTGAGACTTGATCGATTATTATTTTCGATTAAGAAACTCTGATTACACCGAATTTGGAGAATGTTAATATGATTTTCAGAGATGTAAAGAAATAATAATCATGGCTTCAGGTAAATTGGTCCCCTTTTATAGACATCTAGCCCACAATTGAATCTATCCAACTTCACAATCATCAATTCAATATTATAGATCTGATGGCAATCATCAATATGAGCACAAAACAAGCACACCCTCTTTCCTAACCTGCAAGAATCCCACATTTCACGTCTCCTCTTTGCTGAAAAACCAGCAACGTTGACTTGCTCTTGCCAGAATGTATTACCCTGAAACATATTAAATTTAGAGCTTGCCAGATTACTGTCTTTATCAAAATCTTGAAATCAGGGACTGTTAAAATAAGTATTATATTCTCCAACGTTTGGAGGTATTTCCAGATATTATTTGTATTACCTTGAGCGACCTGAAGATGGTGACGTCGATTGGAAATTATCATCTCAAAGTGTGAGATAACGAGTTAATTATGCATTATGCTAGCCAATATAAACTTCCAGCTATTTAGGGAGCATTTTCTTAAGGAACAATTCCACCAACAGCTGAGTTAACGAATCATTGTAACTAACGCATCAGAGAGATTAAAATCTGTATGCTGTATACTTCTCGAGGACAGTGTTGTTTCTTGAAATCTTATGTGCTAGTATTGTTGCATATGTGGAAACTGTTTCTAGACTTAACGATAAGGCAACCCCGTGTCTCCCATTCTCTGTAATCACGCCATAGAGCCTCTGCTATGTCGCTTACAACGAAATTTAATTGGTTTCCGAATCCAATATGATGCCTTGCAATTCACGATCATGAAGTTTCATAAAATATGAAAAAAAAAAATTTCTGCGGTGAATTTATTGGGAAACAATGTACCCATGATTACTATGAGTTGTGTTTGGATATCAAGTAATCAAATGGAGGTATGCTCAATATTCTGTTATGTATATCCACTAAGCGTTTCCAGCTTAGTTCTAAGATTTGGAATGCGAAGGAATTATATTCAATCTTGACCTTAATACCCACTCAGCTCATTTCACAACCTGTCAGAGTTTAAGAACACGTTGAGCTAGAGCAAAATTGAGTATAGAAAAGATATATAGACTATTCACGCTCAACATCTCACAATTATTTCTAATGCTCTTCACGCTGTCATACTCTTCCTTGCGCCTTAAAAATAATAGTTGGCTGCGAACCAGTACATAGGATCCACCCAGTACAGGACCACACCAAAACCTTAACATGCCCATCAACTTTACTAGGTAAGGGAATATCTAGAATGAAAAAAAAAAAGAAAACTTCAACACCAAAGCGCAGATTAGAGATACGAAACTTTGACTCTAATATCCATAGTCGCTCCCCTTCGTCATCTCCTTTCCATCTCGTTCTCACCATTCTCACATCTCACATCATATTTCACATCTCACTGCTTTTCACTACCATCACAATATAAACGCCCCAGTCATTGCTCTCACATCAACCACTCAGAAGTCACTCCAAGATCAAATTCATGCGAACTTTCACAAATCTTCAGAACACTACGTAATCGCCACCCCTGTATCCCCTCCTTCAACTCAGCCCTTGTCTATCTCCAATTCTCTCATAGTGCAGTATCATCAGTGCGAGTGCTATTTTTACCTTAGTCAGAGACATATATCATCATGTCCCGTTCCATGAACCGCAGATCGGCCAGCTACGACTACCAGCGGCCACTACCTTTTGAAAAAGTCCCGCTTATGCAAGAACAGGGCACGCGAATTGTCTCTGATGACGTTATGATTCGATCCAGGCCACTTCCGGAACATTTAGAGGTGTTCGATCTGCCTACCGATTCGTTTGATTTCTTCAACAACCACGAGGTCAACCCTCATGACCCCCCACTACATCCAGAGACTCTGCATACGCTACAAACCACCTCACATCAATTCAATGATCTGCGCATTGCAGCCAGAAATCGCTCTGCACTGGACCAAACGTCATCTAAGTATCGAGGAGGCGCTGGAGGGACCCACGACGATCCGGGGTACCAAGAAAGTAACGAACGCCGTCGAATCAGTGGTCTGGAACTCGATCGACATCTGGCAATCTTTGAAGGGCAGGGCGAACATCGTTCAGTTGCGCATTCCATGCTAGGAAATCAACAGCAGTACCAACATCAGCAGCACCTACAAAAGCAATTCCAACACCAGCCATTACATCAGCAACAACAACAGCAGCAACAGCAACACTTGCAACAACAACAACAACAACAACAACAACAACAACAGTCGCACTATCAGCAACAACAGCAATTGCAACAACAACAATTGCAACAACAGTCGCATTATCAGCAACACCAATTAGAACAACAGCAGCAAGTATACTCACGATACCACAACCACAACCAAAACCAATACCAGAATACCCAGTCTTTCCATCAGGAACAGCTTCAATTCGCATACCCAAGACATATAACTCATCAACAAGATTCCAACAAGAAGATTACACCAAAAGCAAGAATTTCAATTAGTGAGGGAGCACAAGAATACCACAATGATGACGAACTTCCAGAGTTAGATAGACTAGATAACCATGAGTTTGTCAGTCCACGCACCCTGCTGCCTCTGAACCTGCTGATTCTGAAGGTTAGCATCGATCAATCACATCTGCCCCCAAAGTCATTATCGACTTCGCTCAACTCCAATGCCATTGGTCTGATTATAGGAAACTACGACTACAGCACAAGTCTGTTGGCACTTGGTCAAGTTCGGACAGTGGAGTCGAAGAATACCGTGAACACGGCCAGCTCTTCAACATTTTCATCGAACTTGACTTCTGTCAATGAGATGCTTCCTCCCCTACAGAGAGGCGCCATCCACTGCAAGATCTGGTCCTGAGCTTGACTCGGCCACCAAAGTACCATAACCGCAACAACTCGGAAACCTCGACCAATTCCGTCAACTCATCTTCGTCTACTGTGATAAACTCGAAACCCAACGGTCAGCAGAGATTTTTGAGATACGCAATGAGTACCCAGACTGTGCCGTCTCTCAGCACACACAATAGATGGCTGATGGGGAGCGTTTTGGCATGGCTCGATTATCACGGATTTAATGAGTCGTGGAAAGAGACATTCAGACGTAATGAGATTTCTGGAAACAGATTTCTTGAATTGGGCAATTACAACTCCGAGTCAGCAGTGTGGCAACTGATTAGCCAGAGTTTGGGGTCTGATGGGCACAACTCGGTAGTTGATCGGTTCCTTTTGCTATTGAAGGCAGAGCTGGATTCTTTGCCTCAGCCGAGCCCGGCAAACTTGGGCTTTGATTCTGAACATCTGGCCAAGGCCGAAAACAGAAAATCGTCTTCCGCGCTTTGGACATCGTCATCAAATGTTACTTCTGGAATGAAACCAAGGCCATATTCATATATTGATCCTTCAAGCATGAAGGCCAGCAAAGAGACTTCTCACTCACACAAGTTCTTCCGAAAGCACCGCCGGAACTCTTCCACGGATTCAGGAAAAGACTCTCCTTTAAGTTCCACTAGCCTTCAATCAAAAGGATTTGACTACAACCCTTCCAAGAAACCTCTTGAACAGAAAGGTCTCCTTGACCTGAACTTTTCCAACACTGCCGGCTCAAGGAAAAGTGGAATTTTCAGCACATTGCGCAAGTACGGAGGAGAAAAAGCTGCTGGAATTGTGAAACAAGTCAACTCTCTGGCAACCAAGACGAATAACCGGAAGAGCACAGCAAGCTTTACTTCGCTTAGTAAAAAGGCAGAATCTCCCTTCAAGAATGTCTCAAGAGCCGAGTTAGAGAATCAATTGAAGGTCTACGATGAAACAACTTCTCCAAAATCTGCAAAGAGCTTCATCGCTATTGCGGGAGAGGAGACCGCTGCCTCTTCAATTGAAAGTAAGCTGTCGTCTCGATCTGCTAGTGGAGAAACCAAAAAAGAAGCCATTCATCCTAGATACTATCCTTTACCAAGAGTTGTCCAGCCGAATTACCAAAAGCTTATTATGGTCACAAGAGATAATTGCACTTTTGTACCAGCTTCACTTGACCAGCTGGAGATTACAAACGTCGCTCTTTTAAAAAAGAAGCTTTTTAAAGCATTGGATATCATCGATGTGGGAACAATTACTTTCCACCTTACGGATTTCAATGCCAATCCTGGAGAAGCAATGGATAATGAAGTTCTACTTCTGGCTGTTAAACAGGATTTTTTCGTGAAGATAAAGGTAACTCAAAACATCAACTCTCCGTTCGGAACAGGTACTTTTTCCAGCACTTCTTCGGATTCCAAGTCTTTCGACACCAGTGGTGAGCATAACGGCAAAATATATCCTGCTACTCCTCAGTATATGTTACAGGATTCTCACGATAAGAATGTGGATTATTTGAATTTTAAAGATCAACCGCCTCTCACTAAGATTCCAGAGACACTGACTACAAATAATTCACACCAGCCGACTGATACAATGCCTGAATATGCTCCTTTCAAGTTGTCCATTCCTCAAAACAAGAAGGTTTCAGCACTGAAGCAAACTGCTCAACACAGAGCTCTCCCACTTCTCAATACAGCTGCCGTCAATAGATCCACTGAGCACCCGAAACCAGTTGTGGACAACAGTGGCTCATTCAGCGTGGTACGGAAGGAGGGACGCGAAATTGACTTCGATAAAAGAAGACAAGTTGCAACCGACTCCAAGGCACCTCGTTTGATTCCAAACATTTATTCTTCGTCAATGAGCGATTCAGCAGTTTCACCGATTTCTGCATCCACCATCCGTGCATTGAAAGACGAAAACTTGCCGCCTTCACCAGCAACAGGAATTTTAAGACCAAATGTGCTTAAAGATGATATCTCTCGTACTTCATCGCAGGGTTCGGATGTGGAGAAGAATGCGAACATTGTCGCAAAGCGAAAAGCTCCACCTCCTCCTTCAAAGTCGAACTCTTTGAATACCAAGCTCAGTATGTCAAGCCTCAGATCGCTGCCAGCACCCTCAACGAGATCTGACGTTTCTTATCTGGGAGCGAGTAACAATTCCATCTTTATCTCATCCAAGAGAGATTCACAGCGCCGTATGAGCAGATCCAGCGCATTTTCGGAAAACAAGATTGACTTTGGTGACGTTCCAGAGTTTGTTGAGAGCAGTTTCACTCGTAGCGGCCTGTCCAATGACAATGACGATGATGATAGCTTTTTTGTCAAACCACTTATGATCCATTCATCAAGAGAAAGCTCAGGACATAAGAACGATGAGAATGAAGATGATGACGATGAAGGTGATGAATTCTTCATGAAGAAGCCTTCGAAATCAAACCGACAACAGGCGGAAACACCGACACCTCAGGGATCAGGAAGAACCCCAAGTGTTTTGAGCAGGATGAATGTCAGACCACCTGTGGAGGAAGTTTACAATAATCTTGAGAAGTATTTCCCCAATACCAATTTGGATAAACCAATTCTTGATGCTAGCACTGAAGTGAGCAAGACGAATGCACAAAAACAAACTTCAAGAAAGCATTCGATTTCAAGAACATTTTCAAATGCAAACATCTCCCCTATAAACCCACCCGAGGGAGTCGGAGAGGACGAGGTGTCTGAAGGACCAAAACTTCGTCGCCGCATGAAGACAATCAGAATCGTTGCCAACGAAGCAAGAATTAAGAGGTTAGCTAGTCAGAGGGCAGTTAATTCTAGAGTTGCTCAAGTTGAAAGAGCTTCAACACCTGTTTCTCTCCACAGAACCAATACGAAATTGTGGGGTCAAAAGGTTGTGGAAGTTACGTCAGCAGAAATTGACAAAGGCTTTGTCAGTCGGATGAGAAACCCCATGGGTGATTTCGAAGAGTTCGCCTGGATTAAAGGTGAGTTGATTGGTCGTGGATCATTTGGTTCGGTGTACTTGGCACTTAATGTGACCACTGGAGAAATGCTTGCAGTGAAACAAGTGGTTGTCCGGAATAAGGGATCAGAGAAATCAGAGAGTTTGCAAGCTTTGCATAAGGAAGTCGAGACCATGAAGGATTTGGATCACTTGAATATTGTTCAATACTTGGGATTTGAACAGAAAGACAACACCTACAGTTTGTTCTTGGAGTATGTTGCAGGAGGATCGATATCATCCTGTTTGAAATCATACGGTAAGTTCGATGAACCATTGGTAAAGTTCATCACCAGGCAAGTTCTCGAAGGATTAAGATATTTGCATTCCAATGGCATTTTGCACCGAGACTTGAAGGCTGACAATCTTTTGCTTGAAATCGACGGCACATGCAAAATTTCTGACTTCGGTATCTCGAAGAAATCGCAAGATATTTATAGCAACGACGCAGAGATGTCTATGCAAGGAACGATCTTCTGGATGGCCCCAGAGGTTATTCATAGTATGGTGGAGGATAAGAAACAAGGATACAGTGCAAAGATCGACATTTGGTCACTTGGATGTGTTATGTTGGAAATGTTCGCTGGACAGAGGCCTTGGTCCAACGAGGCAGTGGTGAGTGCTATTTATAAGATCGGAAAGACCAAACTTGCACCTCCAATTCCTGAAGAGTTGAGTGCTGAGGCTAAGGATTTCTTGAACCGATGCTTCACTATCGATTCGGAGAAGCGTCCAACTGCAGAGGATCTTTTAGAGCACCAGTTCATGAGTATTGATGCGAAGTACAGCTTTCAAGAAACCAAACTTGGACAGACAATCAAGTTCAGTTCAAGAAAGACAATGATGCCAAATCGAAGGTGAATGGTGAACGAAAAACAAATAACGACGACAATGAGAACAACTAAATTTATCCACCCAACTGTAACTGATATTATACATTGTGCTATTTACATGCTAAACTGAATTCTAGGTCAACTTCAACTCATTGATCACCAAGTGTGTCTGGAAGGGCTCCACATCGACAGTTTTCAATCTTCTACATCTCTGCTTCTTCTTAAACACCTGATATTTGGGCTCACGGGTGATTTCTGCCAAGGTGGCTGTCAATTCATAGGCCGATTCAGGAATGCCATTGTCATCATTGTATGTGAAGTTTCGGGAGCCAATAGTAGTAACCCTGTTCAACTTCAACACATCACCGACCTTGTGGTTTCTGATTTTGTAAGGTAACACCAACTTGTCGCCCTTGGTGACCATGTAAGGAATATTGTGGATCTTGCAAACGGCGTATAACTCTGAACATGCGTTGGAGTCAAATTTCAATGGAGTCAAGTCCGCCACTTTGCTCTGAGAGACCGCATTCCGGAGCGTGACCGAGTTAGAGAGCAGACGGGTCGATGTCTTAAAGGCTGATCTGAACATTTGGTAGGTTGACAGAGAAGATTTTCTTCTCACGAAATTACCATACAACACCCGTACCTTCGGCGGGGAAGAAATTATGAGTGAGTTAGAAGTAGAAAATAAATGATGAGAAAATGTACTTAAGTCATCAGTTTTGTCATATTGTTCACTTTCGCTATTAGGAAAGAAATCGTCCTTTATCTTTAAAAACTATCTTTGAATAGCCTTCATCCTTATTTTTTCTTGGTAATTTTCTATATCCAGTTGGGTAACCTGTCTAATGAGTGGTGCGGGCTCAATCTTGAAATGTACTGGTGCAGATTGTCCCAACAGACGTCATCCAAAAATAGCACTATCTAGATGAATATACCCCAATATAAATATAAGCAACCACAAAAGCGACCCCTCTTCTTAAATCCATTATAAATAACCGAAACCCTACCACGTCCTGTCCTCCATACATTTCTTGCCTGGCAGGGTCCCATAAGTCCAGAATCGTGCTGGGCTCATAAATCAGCCTGAGCGCGAACAAAAAATTTCCCTGTCCAATTCGTTCGGTCCCATAGAGCCCTCGTTATCCCTACCATTTCTTACAGAAACTAGGCGTGTCGGCTTTTCCATCCATTTTCCGAGGCATAGAACAAGCATCCTTTTGGACCCGCACACACGGCCCCCCAAATTTGCAACTATTCCTCGCCCCAAGGTGTCTGCGTTTGGACCAACCACCACTGTCGTCCAGAAAACAGAAACTCCGACCACACTACAGCAAAACCTGCTGCTAGCGCCCGTGTTTTGATCCCAATCCCTTCATTTCCCATTCTGGAGACTGAATCCACCCCCAAGTTTCTCTGCGCTTGTTTTCAAATACCTTCATTAGTCCCATTCTTTTATTATTGCTTTCCTTCACGACTTTTATGATACACCAATTATGTCTGGGTCTTTTTGGAAGCTAAGTAATGGCATCACGTCTTTGTCCAACATATCTACCATTCTCGAAAACTTCGACATCAACCATGATGTGAAAGATACTGCCACTGTTACCGAAACCCTTGTTAAGTTATTGGAAGAGAGCGATTTGCTCCAGGAGTTGATGTCTAACAACTCTCAGCTCTTGGAGTTCTTGCGTAATGACGTGGTTATCAACATGCTCGTGGACTTATTGATCTCAGAGAACGATCCCCTGCCCAATATCGAGGAGTCTTTCGAGAGACTCAGTTTGACCAACGACAAGTCTGCCGACGATAATCGTGGCGCAGACGACTCTGTCGGAATTGATCGCAGCATCTCCGAAGAAGAGGATGAAAAGGATGATGATTCCGCCGAAACGCCAGAAGCAAGGCGTACTCGCCATGCGGCATTGGCATCCGAAATTTTGAGCGCAGATGTCTGGTCCTTGACCGACACTGTGATGGAATCTACGAGCAATTTGAACAAGTTGTGGTCGATTCTCGACCTTGAGGCGCCATTGACTATCAATTTGGCTACTTACTTTATGAAAATCATGGAGCATTTACTAGACATGAAATGTGAGGAGATGATCTCATATTTGATAGATAATCAACCGACCTTAGTGGAAAAATTCATGAAGCATTTAGCAAACCCTCCTTTGATGGACTTTTTGTTGAAGCTTATCTCCACCGATAAACCTGACAACTCCACTGGCATTATCGACTTTCTTCAGGATCAATCATTGATTTCCTATCTCATAGATGCTCTTGATATTTCTGAAGCACCTGCAGAAGAGCAGGAGGAATATCTTGTTAAGCAGTCGTCTGCAGCAGACTTCCTTAAAGCCCTCATCACTATCTCCGCAAATTCCACCACCGACAACTCGACTATTGGCCCTAATGAGTTGACGAGAGAATTGGTTTCGAAAGAAATGATGACTCGCTTGTGTAATACCATGTTAAAGGGTGGCTACGCTCTTGGCAATGGTGTGGGTATCATTATCGAGATCATCAGAAAAAACAACTCAGATTACGATATCTTGCCTGTTCTTTATATCACTTTGGAGAGCCATCCTCCAACTGGCCGTGATCCAATCTACTTGGGCCACTTGTTGGAGGTGTTTGGTAGTAAGATTCAGGCTTTCAACATGTTGTTAATGTCCACAGGAGAAGAGGCTAAGTTGAAGACCACCTTCGGAGAAATTGAACCGTTGGGGTTCGAAAGATTCAAAATTTGCGAGTTGATCGCCGAACTCTTGCACTGCTCGAACATGGCTTTACTTAATGACAACAAAGGCTATGATGCCGTGTCGATAAGAGATGATCTCAGACAGAAGTTGAAGGAGATCGATGGTGTTGGCTTCAAGTACAACGAGGTTATCGATGTTTCAGAAGAATTATTGAAACCATTTCTCGAGAAAGAGAGAGAGTTGTCCAAAAAGTTTGACAACGAAGTAAAGCCAAACCCTGAACAAGATGACGATTATAATGACACTATCGACTCTTTCAATTCTAAATTGCAGGAACAATCCAACTTTCCCGAAGGAGATGATGAAGAACCACATGCTAATGCTAACTTGACAGAAGAACAGATCAGAGGTAAGCCCGTGGTGGGAGATTACTTGAAAATTGCTTTGTATGATACTCAGATTGTTTCCAATATTTTGTCTATGTTCTTCAAGTTCCCATGGAATAATTTCCTCCACAACGTTGTCTTCGATATCGTACAACAAGTCTTGAATGGGTCTATGGATATCGGTTTCAACAAGTTTTTAGCTATCGATATCTTCCATTCCGGTGATATTACTTTCAAGATCACCGAAGGTCAAAGGCTCTGTAATGAATACGAGCTTCAGAACTACGGCTTGAGATTGGGCTACATGGGTCACTTGACATTAATCGCTGAGGAAGTTGTCAAGTTTATTCAATTATACCCTGTTAGTACCGTGAGTCATCTCATTGATGAGAAAGTCGAAGGTGAAGTGTGGGAAAACTACGTCAGCGTTGTTTTGTACGACACAAGAAAGAAGTATAATGCTATCTTGGGAGGTAGTGACATTGATGACGATGAAGGCTCGAACACTTTTGATGAAAGCGGAAGTGAGTTAATGGAAGAGGGTGATATCGATTCCGGACTTGCCCTTGATGCAGACATTGATCATGATTTGATTGAGTACGAGCAAGAGACCAAGGAAGAAGAGTTCCGCGAAGACGTGGACATTGATCATGAAGATGACGATGTGGAGGAGGAGGAGGAGGAAGACGAAGAGGAACGGACAAAGGAGGCGCGCTTCAATTCAAGTGACGACTCAGAGTCCGAAGATGATGACGACCACTTCTCAAGTTACATGTCACTGCAGCTAACTAATTCCGGAACTGGCGGATTTGCTACTTCCCTTCACAACAAAGCCAAGGAGTTTGGTGAGCAAGAAAGTCACAGCTACCAAACAAACGACTACCTTTTGAGTAGTGGAGATGATGATGACGATTACATTGATCCTAATGATGACGGCATGTCGTACAAGAAGGCTAATCCTTTGTACGACTCACATGGCATTTTAATGAATGACCTGCTTCGGTACTCCAACGATGACCATCTTCTGAGCGAAGATTCATCGAGCAGCTCAGACAGCGACGATGATATCGAAGATGAGCTAGTGGAGGAGAAGACCAACAAGTTAACTCGTGCCGCGAGCAAGGGCTGATAAGGTCAGCCATCTCTCCTGACATTTTACCTAATGAAATCATGCTAATGAAACGCCGACGGACGGTCTAGTTTGCTGTGCTTCCACGGACAAGTCTTTTGCAGAAGTCTTCAGAAAGCACCACTTTTATCCGTGGCTGGCTTGCGCATTCTTTAGTCTTGCGTATTCCCTAATATATACTATCAACTCTTATTATGCTACTATTTCGCTAGCCTTCCTTCCCTCGCGCTCTAATGGCGGAAGGTGGGCAACAGTATTGTCGATCGCTCCCTCTGCCACCAATTCGCCATTGTTCTTAGTGGGAACACCGCCCATGAGACCCTTACTCATAGCCAAGCCTGACGATCTCTCCACAACTCCGCTATCGTAGAATTCGTCCATAATCGGATGCATAAGCACCGTACTATTCTTGGTGATGGAGATTATTGTATTTGTAGGCACACATGTCCAGTCACCTCTCTCGAAGGTGAGAGGCTCACTGGCGACAAAAATTACGTCTTGCGAGCGATTGAGTCTCTCCATTTTAAACAACCCTGGCTCATAAGCGAAGAATCTGGATCCCGTACTAAAATGCAATGATGCAGCTTCATCTGTTTTTGACGTGATGTATCTGCTAACCACTACGGACTCTCCGTCGGTGACTGCGAAATTGAGAAGTGAAGGCTCCAGCGCTATGGCTGTCTGCCACTCACGAAGTAACCGAATGGTAGTCAAGAGGGCCTCACGAAGTACCTTATGGTCGTACTTTGTGTTGGGATCTTCAGGATCGTAGCCCATCTTGAACAATGTATCGAGGAATAATGCACAGCAACATTCACTATCAGTGGAACCCTGAATAAAGAGGAAAAACTTTTCTTCAATATGGTTAACAAGCTTCTTTTTTATCTTTCCAAACGCCAGAACACCTCCATTGTGCATGAATAGAATTCTTCCGTACAGAAATGGGTGGCAGTTTGTCTCAGATAACACACCTTGAGTTGAGGCCCGAACATGGCCGAAAACCAACTTGGATTCCGTGCAATTCGACAAGGAGTTCAAGTTAACATTATTCCATGCGGGCGTGATAGCCTTAAACACACAAGGCTCGTCGTTCTCCCTGTAATATCCCACGCCAAACCCGTCACCATTTATTGGATTTCTCATATCTAGCCGAAGTCTAGAATCAAAGGACTGATTGATGATTGAATGTGCTGGTCTGGTTAATAAATCCGAGAGCGTCATGCTCTCTTTACCTTTGTAAATCATAAAACGACACATGGTAAATTATAGAGTGAATAGTGGAAAATATTATGATTAGTCCTAATGGTATCTACTAGTGTGGCATTTAAGTGCAGGTATGATTGTGCTAAGTCAGTGACATTTGGTAATCGGCAGGTGACCTCGCTTCTAGAAACATATGTTCTGATTCTGTGCATTCTATCAATTCAATAAATAATGCTTCACGGCCACTCATTTGCTGAAAATTCTATTAATCTGCGTCAATACTCTTCCTGTTGCCAACCACAATGTAATCACCGTGAGGGCCACATTGAACACAATAAGTAGAAGCGCACTGAACATGAATCTGGGTGCAAAAATCTTCCACACCATCAAATGTCTACGAAAGTGAGCCGCAAAAACAAAACTCATCAAACTCGTGAATGTCTGATAAGTAAGCAATGTGGTAATGTTCGTCACAATCTGCAGAAGTACCGTAATGGGCTTGGCTGATGGAGGAAGTCTCCATAATGTGATCAATGGCACCGACAAACAAACGATTAAGAACAGTCCGAATGTGTTAAGTGAAATGTTGAGATGCGTGAAGGGAAACATGATAGTCTGTGTAGTCATAAAACCAACCTCCCATTGAATGGAGGGAATGGTGGCCTGGTGGCCTGTGCTGAAATAGTGTTGGTAACCTAAAAGCCCAAAGACAATGGGAGCGACCAAGTTTCTTCTGATATCAAGGAAATGGAACAACTCAAGTAGCGACAAGAGCTGAACCACCAACATGCAAATAGAGAGGGCACCAAGAGGCTTGGTAACAAGGAGAACCGCCACTGTGATGTTAACCACAAGTAAAAAGTACGACGACCCATATACGTTATTATATCCAAGAATCACAGTAGTTGGTTTCTGTGGGATTGGCTCTGGCCTCTCACCTGATTCTGCCAATTCCCCTTCGTCATCACGGTCATCCTGTTCATCGTTTTCATCTTCGCCCTCATCCTGGTTTTCTCCACTCTCAACATGTTGAGCTTCTGTGGAATTCTCGTCTGGTTTGGCTAACTGTATCTTAACACAAAGCGGACCACGCGACCAGCTGAAGTTGGCAAGTACAAGTACCACAAATAATACAATTCGAGCAATGGCCAACTTGAGAGATTTGATTAAGTCGGCACTGATCCAATCCTTGGTTTTGCTCTGAAAAAAGTCATCATTCTCCAAATACTCAAATGTCCAATACGTAGCGTTCATGAACATCAAAAATGTCATACCAGTCTCAATCCAAAGTGGAGCGGCAGAGTAGTAAGAGTCAGCTAGTTTATAAAATGACTTGATCGTCATAGGCAAAAGAAATGATGCAAAGTGTAACCCTATGACACTCCACCATGTTGTCTTGAATGTTGGAATACAGTATGGCTGCTGCTCCTCTCTGCACAAGTTAATCATGGAGACTAGTCGTGACAAAACAATGAAGGTTACAGCATGTGAGGCCGCCAAAATCTTCTGAATGCGAGGTTTATCGGAGGTCAAGCAGGCGTATAGACAACAGAAGCCAAAAGTCAAAACGAAGTACAGAACCAACTTGTCTTCCCACACAACGTAAGAGTTTGAAGCGAAAATCATACAATGCAAAAGAGACAACAGAATGCCCAATGCAGACCAACTATTAAAGTTGTATGCAAAGAAGTCAAAAATCTGGTGGAAGAGCCATACCACACTAAAGCGATCCATAATGGGTGCCCAGAATCCAATTGATATACCTGCTGCGGTACCAACAAGTAGGCAGAACTTCAAGTTGACGCCCGCTGGTCTGAGCACAATGAATATCGAGAAACTTAATACTAAGCCCAACAATGTCATTGCAATGACCGAGCCAATAAACTCGAAAGACATCGTGGACACTCTAACTGAGGGAATTGATCTGGAATAGGTGATCATGAAGGATAAGGAAAGGAGCAATACTGCGATACCGATACCTATCAACACCATGTCAAAGCGAGCCCACAAACTCTCACAGTACTCCAAGAATTCTTGCTGATACCCTCTAGATTCCAGAACCAATTCGTTGAAGTACTTTTTGTTCGCTCCGAACTTGTGGTAATGATCCATCAAGAAATGGTACTTTTCATAAATTTTGCTGTTCCCTTGAACCTCAGCAGATGAATTTCTGTAGGTTTCGAGCTGAGTTATCGCGAGAAAACTTGCTTGGCTGAGTTCCTTTTCGGAGCTGAAAAGCTCGTCAATAGGAAATCCAAGGTTGTTGTAAGGAATAGGCAACCCTAGCAACAATGAAATGGTGGGTACAAGGTCAATTTGGTTGACTGATCTGTAATTTGCACCCAAGCCGCTTGTATCATACTTGTCTTGCGGCAAGCGATTGGGCTTGAACTTCTTGTTCTTGGAATAAAAAAAAATCGTGCTTTCGAGCTCCGGAAGACTGTCCCCACCGTGATTACCCGTATGGTCCATACCATGGTCACCCATGACGACAAGCAATGTTTTGTCGTCTAGCTTTTTGATCACGTCCTCGATGACGCCATTCATTTGCTGAAGTTTTTCTCTCATGGCAAAATGGTCCGGTCCATATCTATGACCAGCATGGTCAACACCAAGGAAGTGGCCAATCAATACGTCCCATTCAGACTTCCGCTGGGGTTCAAGCAATGGAAACAAGTGCTCGAGAACGCCATTGTCTACGGTGTGCAAATCCCACACGTTCAAAGAATCATAAGGGTAGTTTAACTCAGGGTTGATGTAATCGTTGAACATGGCCGTCCACGTATCGTCACCCATAAACGCTATGCTCTTGTTATGCTTCTGTAGCTGAAGAATCCAATTGTCCTCTGTCAAGGCGTCTCCATTGAAGTTAGAGCCTGCGTCTATGAATGTGGGAAGGGAACCAGTGGTCAAACCTTTCAAACGCTGCAACGTAGTCGTTGGAGGATCAGCCATGAACTTCAAAAGGACTGCATTATTTGGTTCACTCTCCATAAGTCCATGCAAGATCGGGAAATTGTTATGATAGTAAGTGTTGGCATCAGCCTCATCCACGGGCACTACAAAATCAAAACGTAAGGCATCGATGATCAACACAACCGCCTTGTCAAATTTGGGTTGCATGCATGCACTGAAGCCATCTCCCAAGTCACACTCGGCAATATTGGGTAGTACCTGACGAGAAAGGAGAAACCCCTTCGAGAAGAAATACACTCCAATGAACTGGAGTAAGGCAAAGAATACCAACACCACGATATAGCCAAAGAATGCCACCTTCAATTTCTGATGTTTCATGCGATTTCGCGCCTGTTGCTGCTGCTGTAATAGCAGAACTCTTCGCATGTACCGCTGCTGGGGGTCATGCTGGGGGTCCATATTGGATCTCTAGGTTTGGTTGTCACCTTTATGAGGTGGAATGGGGTGAAGCCGTGGGTTCTGGCGCGAAAGTAAAAGCGGAAATATCGGGATTTCGTCTGGAGTCAGTAAGATAAGCGTCTCTAGGCAGGATTTCCTTAACTTCCAGCTAATACGGACGTGGTGTTGAAAAGTTTCGCAGTAGTGGTTATCTAGATAGAATATGGTGTACGGAATTGATCCGGGTTGGTCGCGTAGGATGAATTGGCACATCACGTGCTTCGAAATGGGCTATACGAGGGGAAATGAAAACTTTTGATATTATTCCGGGAATTTGTTTGTAATTTATTTTCTGGTCTTTGCTTTGAAGATTTATTAATTTTTATATTACAGTCTTTTGGCGGCTGCGGGGGCTCGTGAAAACGTTGAGTTTTGGCCATTACGCTCGGCCAGATTCAAGATTTCGCCGATGCACTTGACAGTTCAGAATAGGTCGTTACTTCCTCCATTTGGCGAGTACTGAAAAAATCCTCCTTTGTAGGTCTATTTCATCTTCTCTCCGCAAATAAATCCGACTTATTTTTTATGCTCGAAAGTCTGATTGTTGTTGCCGCGCAAGTACCGACCACTTGATTTGAAGACAATGGACAAATGAAATGGGGTACAATAGAAAGAGGCACATAAGACATATGACCGACATATGAAAGACTTCTCTCGGCATATGAAATATTGTTGTAGGATGTCGACAAGAATGATGACTCAAGCGACGTACCAATGTGAATGCTAAACACACATCCAAAATTCATCTCTACATGTCATTGTCCATCTGACTGAGGAAGTTCACATTGAACTCATTGTCTCCAATAAGACCTTCGCCATTGTCATTATCTTGGTCAAAGTTCATCAATGCATCCATATCCACCATCGCATCATTATCGGTAGGCTCGGCCAAAAATTGATTGAGCTCATCCATATTAACATCTTCATTGCCGCCATTATCTTGGTTGTTATTCCGGATTGGCCCTGGTCCACTGGAGCCAGGTCCAGCCGCCTTGTTCTCATTGGCATACTCTGTCTGATTAAAGTTTCCGCTATCCACATTGTAGTTTGATCCACTGTAAGGTGTAGCACTCGAATACTCAACAGACGCCGGACCGCTTGGATGTCTGGAAGCAGCGTTACCACTCTTAGGCTCCAGTTCCATCATCATGCTGAAATCGTCATTACCCTGCATTCCATTGTTCATGAAGGGAAGCTGGCCTGCCAACTTTTCTGTATCGAGTAACATGTTAGCGTTCTCGTTGAATGCTTGGCCCCCCATGCCTCTATTGTTGGGCTCACCATTAATGTCAATAAATGACATGATCAGCCTTGGATTATACAGCGGCGGAGCTTGCTTGACTTCGAGGTCTGGTGCCAATTCACTCACAGGAACAGAAAACTTTTTGTATGATTCCTGTTGTACTTCAAGAGTACCCGAAAATTGCCGTTTGTACTGAGCCAACGTCTCCTCCATAGCTTCGTTGAGTGCCTCCAACGCTTCCATGTCGTTGCAAGAGCGCTGGAGAGACGCTAGCTTCTCGATAGCAGCTCCTTGGAAGATGGTTTTCTCGCTAAACACTACTTTAGGACTTAGCTCCTCAAACTCCTTCTCAGCATCATGTAACTCCTTCAAGGAGAGCAGCATCTTTGCTTTCATTAGGCGCAAGTCACCCAAAAATAGCTCATCTGGCTTCATTTCCTTTAAAACTTTTAGAACTTCCTCATCTGTAGCCGAATCTTCGTATTTAGGCTTGGAATGCACCGGGAACGATGATGGAGGTGAAATGGCCAGCGTGTGAAATGGTTTCAGTGTGACATTCTCTAATAAATCCTGATTATTCACGAATCTAGTATAAGCGTCAGTTCTGAAATTGACCAAGTCGGCTTCATCGTGTAATTGGACGTTTTCCTCCTTTCTAGAAAGCAAAGAGTTGGATTCTGGCACCATAGCACCTCCATGGGGCCTATTTCTCTTCGCGCGTGATGCAGCACTCATTGTTGCTGTTCTTATATTGACTGCTAAGAAGAATAGGTAGTATTTATAGTTGATATGTTGGGATGGTTGAGTGCAGGACGTAAATCCAAAGTAGTGTAGGAAAGGTTGGTTATCTATTAACAGTAAATTAACTTGTAAAAAAAGAACGAAACAAAATATAGTGCAGCAGTTAGTGGAACATTATGGTACAATTCTAGAGTTCTGGACGTACTATGGCTCTCACAAGTCGAACCGTCCATTCACAAACTCCTCACTTTCCATCTGATCATCATTGTCAATGTCCATTTCATCTTCTTCATCAATCTGGTCTTCAATGACCTGATCGTCGGGTGGAAGGTTAGGGTTGCCAGGGATGAATGAACCAGGGCTCTTGAAGGCGTTGTATCTGTGCGATCTGTTGAAGTGATCATCCATCGCAGAGTCGTCCACGTAGGTAAAACCCTTGAAATTTGCTTGAACACCAGGAGACAATGGTGTTGATGCCATTTCCATGTGCTTCTTGAGCACCGAAGTGGATTCGTTGGTGAACTCAGGGTCGAAGTTAGACGTATCGGTCTCGGACGAGATGTGTGGCTTGAAAGGTGGAGGAATGTTCTTGGCCCTCAACAAGTTCCAGTCAATGTCCTGGAAAAATGGATGGGCTTTCAATTCTCTTGCGTCATTAATGGCTCCCAATCTATGCTTTGGGTTCCTGTTCAACAAGCCCTTAACAAACGACCGTCCCTCGGTCGACAACACCTCCTTGGGGAATCTCACCTTACCATATGCAATATTTTTGTACATCTGCTGGGTGTTATCAGCGTAGAATGGAGACCAGCCACAACACATCTCGAAAATTAAAACACCTAAAGACCAGAAATCCACCATCTTGGTGTATCCAGTCTCATCAAGCAAAACTTCTGGTGCTAAGTACTCGGTGGTTCCACAGAATGTGTTGGTGGTACCATCATTGTTCAAATTTGCCTTGGACAATCCAAAGTCACACAATGCAATATGTCCGTTGGCATCCAACAAGATGTTTTCCGGCTTCAAATCACGGTAAACGATATCATTGTCATGCAAGTGCTCCAAAGCAAGAACCAACTCGGCAATGTAAAACTTCGCTCTATCTTCACTGAACCGGCCCTCCTTCTGCAAATGCCAGAACAATTCTCCTCCTGACATATAGTCTGTAACCAAGTACAAGTCCATGGGAGTTTGAAATGAGAACTTGAGACCAACAATGAAGGGCGACGCAGCGGCAGACGTTCTAACCAAAATGTTTCTTTCACCGATAGTATGGGCAATTTCTTTTTTCTTGACAATAAGCTTCTTCGATAAGATCTTCATGGCGTAAATACGACCGTTGTCTTTCTTTTTGACCTGGTAGACCTGACCAAATGTACCCTTTCCAAGCAATCTCAAAACCTCGAACGAGTCGGGACCATAAACCTTCTTGGAGTCTTCATGTGTGTACTCCCACTTGATTTGCAAGTATCCAGCGACACGTTCTCCAACAACTCTTGCACGTAATGGGAACCATTCAGCTTCGTGCGTCTTGCTGGCTGTAGAAGCATCGGTGCTTGGAAAAATACGAACCTGGCCCAAGAAAGCATCATCTTTGGCCGCGTCGTACACGGAGATCTCAAGTTCGGACTTGGAGCCCACAACGTCAAACACGGCCTCATGGTTCCATGTTGAATCTGTTTCGCCCGAATTGAAGTTGAGCTGCGATGACTGTCTCTGGTAGAGCGCAGGACGCTTGTCCTTCGGTTGCCTCATAGGCATGCCGCCCAGTTTGGGAAATACTGGGGTTTTGCTCAAGGAAGGTGTGTTAGGTGTGGCATTGTTGACAAACTCGGAACTCTCGAAGGTAGAGACCACATATGGCTGTGAATACTCCGACACAAGCAAGTCTTTGGCACCAATGATGGTGACCTTGAGTTTTCCCTTGGGTTGTGAAGATTGCTTGGCCTGGGATGTTTGACCCTTCTCGTCGGTGGTGATAATTACAGGTTGAGAAGAGGAGCCCAGCGAGGCAGACGAGGAAACCATGCCGCTGGAGGGCTCAGCATCTTGCATGGTGCCTGTGGTAGCTCCGTATGCCTGATGTTGATTCACTCTGTAATTGGAAGCGGTGGCAGCAGCAGATGCAATAGCGGTTGTATTATAGGCATCAACATGGTGCAATTGGCCCTGGTTGGAATAGTAAGGCAGCAAATCACCCAAAAAATGCTGGCCCTGGGGATCGCTAGCCATTGTAGTGGTACCGTAGGCCAACGAGTTGTCCAGCACGGCGGTGGTAGGGGTGGCGGCCAAGTTTTTTGGCAATAACTTCTTTGGAGCAGGCTCCGCGGAGGATTCGCGGCCGTCGTGATGAAAAGATCCCAGCATTCGAGTTACAGTGCTCTGAGACGACTCGACGTCGGTGTAGTGGTCGTTATCGGATGTGGGTGTAGGCTCCTTCTTGTGGTAACCTCCAAGACCAAGAATGGACTTTGCAAAATCTACCATTATGAGGCTGCAGCACAATCGAGGCAGGAACTGGGGGCTAGATGGATCACTCGATAGTTCTGTCGAGCGCTTCTAGCGGCAATTAAGATGGCGGTAGCAGTGGTGGAATAGACTGGGAATTAAACCACTGATCACCTAAGATTGAATCAATAAATAGAAACCAGACAGGAAGGTCTGATACAACAGGCAAATTCAGACGATGGAAAGCAACTGATGGAGATTGGCCGGTAGAACGGAGGTCCAAGTTGGTCTGGGTAAGTGAGACGAGACGATTCCAGGAGTAGGTAGGATCTGTAGATGTCCAGGAAAGATGAGAGGCATGGGAGCAGTGTATATGGGCCTGGACCTGCAGGTTTAAAAAGAAAAGGGAGAAAAAAAGAGAAAGGAGGGATAAAATGGGTTATGTTGAAGAATTGAGGAAATCTGATTAGCCGAATTAGCATCTCAAAATTGTTCTGGCAAAGTTGATGTATTCTTTTTCTGAGATTTTCCATAGTTTTGCCATGTTTACCTATCCTATGTCCAATGGGCCCTCGTCCAACTTTGTCTTAAAGATAGTGGTGTCTGCAGGATGATAATTGCTGGAAGATAAGTGGAATGTATGTCACATGGGCAAGGATTTTGTAGTACACTAAGACGGTGTGTATACTTTAGAGATAATTTAGAATCCAATTGGGTATTAATGTGTAGGGGAGGTTTTTTTTGGGGGTATTAATTCAATTTTTGGTCGCTTTTGATAAGGACCTTTTTAGTCATGATATAAACGTATTGCATATAATATATGAAGGTCCTCTATTGTTGGGGGAAGTTTTTGTTGTTTATGGAGCCATTTGTGATTGGTCGTAAATTAGATAGTTAATGTTGATGTTTTGTGGTTGAAATGGGATGAGGTGGTGTGAGTTGGTGATACTGGTACTTTTCTGTTTGTTGTGTTGTCATTCTTTGGTTTCCTAGCTGACCGTTCGCTGACAGTTTGGACTGTGAGAATTTAGACCTTTTAGTGGGCTAGGCATCTTAGAGTGGACATACTATTTGCCAATATTGGACTGCTATGAGATGTCGTTACGGTGGAAATTCTAGTAATGTGTGTACCAGGGCATCTTCCCAATTTTCATTTCAGTATGTTAAGCAACTATAATTGGATTATCTAATACATCTATTCTCATACATGTGTACACATGTATCATCGTCTCTATTTAAGTAGTGCGCAACGGAAAACCGGTGATTATGTAGATCCCACAATGACCGCTACATTTAGAGTACTGAACAAAGAAATTAAATCCATTTGCTGGTTCTCGATGCTTTCTGTACAACGGCTAAAGCGGAACGGTTGTGGACTCTCAGAAAGTTGAGGATGAATGGGAGACGAATCATTGACAAGTTTAATTAACCGAGAAGCTAATAAAGTAATTGACAGACTGATTGACAGACTGATAGTATCATTGACAAAGTGATTGATAGAGTGACAGATTTGGCGTAGTTCCTTCAACCCAATTGTAATTAGTAAATCATGAGTTGGATCTGAATTGAATTCACTAGAACATAATAATGAAGGACCACATATATAGGATGGCAACAAAAACTTTGGAGCAATTCAAGAAAACAGAAGACAGCACTGTCCCATATTCCGCCATGATTCCATATAGCTAACAATATTAAGCATGGGCATCAACTTAGTTGTGATTCAAGCGTTCAAGTGACCAGTGATAAACAATGGCTTAATTTGAAACAGAAGGTTTTAATTGAAAAATATTCTCATTCTCACCGTCATTGTTTTTTTTGTTTTTTCTTTTCAAATGGGAACATGTTGAGATTATTCTTTGGCTAGAACCTTTAGTTGATTGCAATGTATCTTGCCTAACCTGGTTCTGCACCATGAAGGAGATTTAGTAGGGGACCAAAAATAAACTAACCCCGAGCATTTGCCTGGTTTAACTCCGTGTTGTATTCCATTTAGAGAATTAACTCCATTATGCATTTCCGAATTCATCTCATTTTGTCAACCATAGTAAGTTCATCCATTACGTTGAGCAAAAAGCCAAAAATGAAACGACTTGAGTCATTGATTCATTTCGAGAGATTTATATTATTAATTGTCCTTTCAAATCTGTAATTGACCTTTTTTCTTTTGATCTTTACATGTCTCACTTGTACCATATACTTGGAGTTTCTGGTCTCAATGTGTCTGAAGTGATAGTTGGCTGCACGTTTCTTTATTTATCAGGTTGTGCCAATTGGAATTAGTGTTTTTGATTTTAGAAAAAAAAAAACACCGACAGTGGCTTGACATCGACACTATAGACATGTACTCCAATGGCTATTCAGAGATCCTATTAACCAAGTTTCCAAGAAGTACAACATTCCCAGAGATAAGATAGTAATTCTCTCAAAGATTTTCTTCCTTATAAATGAAGAGGACCCAATTTCTGGATTTGGTGCCTCGGAGTACCAGATTTACGAGCACATAAACTCACATGGCTTTAAAAAAAAAAGAATATCCTCGACGCCGTAAAAGCCTCAGTGGATAGAGTATGTTCCTACTAAGATTTTCTTTAAATCCCTACTTTGGATAACACAATGCAAATACAAGAAACTATGAGGGCTTTGAACGATGCTGTCTCGGAAGAATAAATCTGATACATTGGAGCACCTTCTATGTGGTGAACAGGATTTGAAGAGATTCAGTACATTGCATTTAAGAATGGTTGGTTTAAATTCATTTCTATGCAAATTACTATAACTTGATCTACAGGGAGGAGGAGAGAGAGATGATTCCATATAGTAACGATAAAATATTTGGTAAGGTTAAATGCATTTCATGGCCGCCAATTCCAAAAGAGGACCACAATGAGCACCATACTGAACTCCTTGCAAATCATGGGAGGAATCTTCAAAACCAGGGAAATAAACTGTCCTGAACTACGGAAACACCAGACAACCCACTGGTCCAAAAACGATAAACAACAGAATGTCCCCCTGCGTTCGTGTATAGCTTACAATGCATAGGTGCTCAATATCTCCAATTTGAACGTGAAAAAATTGTTGTACTACAAGATTCAATACAAACACCATCAGGTTAAGAATACATACTCGGAATCAGTGACATAATGCGTCCCACGGTAACTATGGTAGGAAGGTGTTGCCGGCAATAGAATACTTGAGCGCTGATGGCTACCCAAAAGAATCAAATAACTGCAAGATATATTACGAAAATCACAAAAATAAAAAAAAAATTGTTGAAGACTGTCTAATAATCTACAAAGTTTGCATCCTGTTATAGTGTTCCAATTCACTTGCACGTGATTCGTGCCACATGATCCAACACCAAAAAAATTCGACATCAAACTATCTTCAACAGCCATCAATGAACTTTCTCCGGCAGATCACCGTGGCTCCTGTGGCCCAGTCCTTCATTGGGGCAAGATTGTTCTCGTGTACTTCGCTTGCTCTGGCCGAGAAGTACTACAAAATCACCAAATATACCAAGCCAGTTGATACAAACATCTACACGGCAGGTGATGAGGCTCCATACAACAAAGTAATTCCTCGGGTCAAGAAATTGTACCCTGAGTACGAGTATGAAACCATGTTTTTTAAAAGACAGAACAGAGGGTTGTATGGTGGACTCCAGCGTAAGAGATCCAAGATGTGTTCTGAGAGTGGTAACAAAACCCCCAGAGCACACTTGCCCAACATTGTGAAGGCCAAACTATGGTCGGAGACGTTGAACAAGCAGGTCAGTACACGTGTTTCTACCACCGTGTTGCGTACTGTGACCAAGGAAGGAGGTTTGGACAAGTACTTACTAAAAGAAAAGCCAGCCCGTATCAAGACCATGGGATTGAAGGGATGGAGATTGAAATACGACATTATGAAGCAGAAGGAGATTTCTGAAAACTCGAAGGGCTTGGATAAGACCGTGTACCATGTTCTGGAGTCGGGAAAGAAGATTACTGTGGGTAGAGGTAAGCTTTTGAAGGCATTATATCCATATGTATTTAAGGACAACTACGAGCCCATTGAGTGGAACCAATTTCTCAAAACGCATACGGTGTTGACCACAGAGGAGCTTGTACAGAAGTTGGAGCAATATGGGTATGACTTTGCTCCTGTGAGTATCATGTAAATAGCATAAACGAAAGGTTTAGAACTAGTAGAAGTGTAGTGATGTGGTAATAATATGTATGGAAATATTAGTTTCAGAATCGGTCCGTTTGGTTTTATTCTTATGAATCTCAATTCGTGTGAATTCCGTTCTATTGCTCCCAATAGTTGCTTTCCATTCATATATTACTTTCCACTCATAAATTACTTTCCATTCATTTACATCCATTTTATGTATCAATACATAATTCTGATCGCCAAATCTGTTTTATGAGATGTGATTCATAAATTCCGATTTCATCATGAAGAGATATATCTGTATAATTTCAATTGCTCAAAATACTGGATCTATAGTATTACAGCTGATATTTATGGGCTTCCACATGTTGATCGTTTAGACTCTCAATTTTGAAACATTGCAAGATTCGATAACATCAAACTTCCAGAAATTACTCGGTATTCTTTCAATCTCTATCCTGAAGGCCTACTACTGTATTTATGTTACAAAACTCTAAAAATTAAACCTAAACGCCATTTCCCATCCAACCTCAAAACCCCAACTCTAATACAAACAGCAGTCACTGCTCACACGTGACTCATCGCAGTGACTTCCATTTCCATATACACTCCGTAATATCACCACATCCTCCATATTCTCACCATATTCTACATATCAAGATCACGTGCACAGTTTTCTCCCTCTGCAGGCCACGCTCTCGCACCAAAAAAAATTTTCCATATCCATCTTGAATTCTCTCCTAGATACTCATAGACAAAAATGGCTAGATCTGGTATGTGTCCCCAAATCCGTCTGGATATATAAGTGAACGGCGAGAATTCCTCAGAAGCACATTCCGTGAACCATAAGCTTCCGTATAAGTCCAACTTTCCGTGGTTCATAGTCTTCAGTTTCCCCCTCCTCCATTTCAACATGTATTGGCTATTCCAGCCATGAAAACATCACCTAATCCTAGAACATTTCCGAATAATTTCCTATTTTCAAAGTTCCAACTTATCGATCAAAATACGACTTCCATCGCCCCCATCACATCTCATACTAACATATAAGGAATTGCTGTCGGTTTGAACAAGGGCCACAAGACCACCGCTAAGGAGGTTGCCCCAAAGGTCTCTTACAGAAAGGGTGCTCTCTCCCAGAGAGCTGCTTTCGTCAGATCCATCGTGTCTGAGGTTTCTGGCTTGGCCCCATACGAGAGAAGATTGATCGAGTTGATCAGAAACGCTGGTGAGAAGAGAGCCAAGAAGTTGGCCAAGAAGAGATTGGGTACTCACAAGAGAGCCTTGAGAAAGGTTGAAGAAATGAACAAGGTCATTGCTGAATCCAGAAGACACTAAATGTCTTTCCCATATCATCTCCCATAGTGTAATGCTAATACGTCTCACAAGCGAAAAAAAATATTTTGTAGTTGTAATGTAGATTTCTCTGTTGAATGCAAGTGGTTTAATTTGCTTATACTCTGCTTTTGATGGTGGTAATCATGTCCCATTTCCTACTCCATTTATGACATCCTGCAGACTCTTAAAAAAGTCTTCAGTATACTACTTCTCCACCAATGTTCGGTCTTACCACCTCCCTTAATAGGGCCCTTGCAGGCATGCGTCCTATGGCTCGTGCTACTGCTGTTAGTAACTCTGTTTTTGGATCTGCTACTCAGGTGTTCACGCCCATCAGAACCTTCAAAGTGAGAACCTCCGTCAAGAAGTTCTGTAAAGACTGTTACATGGTAAGAAGAAAGGGAAGAGTGTACGTTTACTGTAAGTCGAACGGTAAACACAAGCAGAGACAGGGTTAAGTGATATAGGCCAGTTGGGGCCGAAATTACAGTAGCTGGTGGTAAAGTTTGGCGGAATTTGGGTGGTTTTGTTGACTACATTTCAATTACAAGTGGGTTTAATCTACACCTGGTGGGTCGCCTCCTAACCCATCTGCTCCGTCTACATTGTACATAGTGAAACTTTCTTCATAAGAAATAAATGCATCTCAGTCAATCTCCTACCGTTGCAGCGTGGATGCTGCAGCAGCTTGTGCAGCCTTGACTGCTCTTGTAGTGGGCGCCATGGTCCGGTTCGGTGTGGTTGCTATGTTGTGGCGGTATGCTCGGAGTTGCTCCTGTTGCTGTTGCTGGTTTTGAAGCAGCTGGTGATACATCTGCTGTGCTGTGGCCTGTGGTTGGTTCTGCTGCTCATGCTTCAATAACTGAAGGGATATGCCTGAAGACGAACTGGTGAGCAACGCTTCCAGCCAGAGTCGTCCAATAGTGCCGGAAATATCTTCCTGCTTTTCTTCCCATTTGGGTGCAAACTCCTTAAATGAGTTGGCGTTTTTGTTTTGTGCAATAGCTGCCTTCTTATTCCGCTGCTTCCGCAATTCTATCCCTTTGCTTGGGTTCTGATACGTCTCCACTCGATTTAACGATTCGGCTACCGGGTTAAGGTGTCGCCTGACATTGACATATTCTCTGTTGAGTCGCTCGAAATCAATTCTGGACTGGATTGAGTTCTGGTGCCCACTTTGTATAAGGTACAAGAGGTTGGTCACACTAAGCGAACTGTCTCCCGCACTAGGAGTAACTGAATCACCCGGGGAAGTGTTGTCCGACGTGTTGGATGACTGATGCTGGATGTAATCTCCTCCGTTTATATGCAGCATGTTGGTTGTACTTCCATTGTAGTTGTGGGCAAACATAAGCTTGTTGAGGGACAAGTTGGAGAAGTTAGAGAGTTTGCTGGGATCTATGTTGGCTGCAACATCCATAAGCGAGTTCTCTCGCTGAAGCCAGAGCCGTTGCTGTGTTCTCGTGTCATGGTTCTGTTGGCTTTGATTGCCACTAACGCTGTTGTTCAAGAAGTGCGAGAAATCTTTGCTGTTTTCGTTTGGCACCTGGTTCTCTCTTTCGGATTTTGCATTGGTCTGTTGTCTCAAGTCAGAGAGAAATTGCGTGTTTGTTCTTTGGAGATTGCTGAAGATAGTCTGGTTCGGCTGGTAGGATACTCCACCAGATGCTGTTCTCGATGGAGCTTGGTTAGCATTCTGGCGAGTTTCGTCATTGCGTGTGTTGAATACGATGCCGCTCAAGCTCTCCGGTTGGTTTTTCATCAGCTCGCTTTCCAATGCATAACCCATGGGCTCCTCTGTATTCATCTTGCGTGTGAGTCCCGTAGACTGAGACAAAAGCATCGATCCACCATATAAGTTTTTCGAGATGAGATCATCTGTAGAGCTATTGTTACTGATGAAGCTTGTCTTGCTGCTTGCTGGTTTGAGTCCTATGTCATCCAGCTGTTTGATCTTGCTTAATTTACTCACAAGAACATCACCTTTATCAGTAACTTCAGTATTTCTTTCACTAGAACTCTCTCTGCCCGCTTCTTTACCTTCTGCTGCCTCATGCGGGTCCTCTGAGGGCTGGAACTGTCGCTGGAGCTCAGAGTTGGAGATGGCCTCCAATTTGTCGTTTTCAGCCTCTGAATCTTCACTCAAATCTTCATAGTCATTATCTGCGGCATCTTCATTCAATTTCAAGATTGCTCGGCCTCTTTTTGCAGAGCTCTTGATGCCTCCTACAGCTGTGTTCAAGATAGAAGTTGACGAACCTCCATTCATGCCTCGAAGTGAGCCAGACGACTTATTGAAGCGAATTGACTGGTCCAGATTCGTCTTGGTCAAATTGGGAGCACCTTTGGTGGAGCTATTCAGCGTAGTCTTCTTCAAGCCATACTGTTTCAAGGAATTATTCGACATTGTCTTAGTTAAAGGTTGGAGTGCGCCCAATGCTCTATTCAACGAGCCGTTCAGAAGAGTTTTGGTAAGTGGCTGGAGTCCATTCACTTTCGTATATGACCGGTTATTGCGCTTAATCCCTGGCCGGCCTGTTCGGGATATTCCATCAGTGGACCTTGATCTGTTCAACAACGGCTTGACTGGGTTTGCCGACGTGGAAAGCCGAACCGGAATCTTGTTATGAGACTGTGAACGTGCATGAAGATTCCTCTTAGAGTGGTTCCGTTTGGTAGGAGGTGGCGTTTTGGATGAATTCTGGGCCCTATTTGGTCGGGCAGAGTTCTCGTGGTCATGACGGCTCTCCTGATCCAAGTTCGTGCTCGACACCTTACTAGGCATCTCTGAATTGCTTTCTTCGGAGTGTTCGAAGTGACTATCGAGCGGAGCCACTAGCGGTGACGACATTCCTTGAAGTTGAAGTGCTTTTGATGTGGTTCGGTTTTATGCGGGGAAGAAATCTCAGTGGGAGACCTCGAATGTGAGGTTTTTGCAGCGGCAGTAAAGATTTCTACGGCAACCAATGGGTCTTTCGCCGAGAAATTTAGCCACGTATTACTGTAGTTTGAAGGTAAGTTGAAGTTGCACCTAATGGGTTACTCAGACATTAGTTGGTGTACAGGTGCGGCTAACAAGATGGTGACCAAGTGGACATTGTTATGGCATTACAGAGTAAGCTTGTTTTATTTTCACAAATTCTATATTTTAGAAATTCAAATAGCTATGTACCGAAATTTTCATACTCGACATACTTGGATTACGAATTCCAAGACTTCCATGTCTTTAGTGACTCATGGTCAGCAACGTTGGGGGAGCAGTCGCATTCGCAGCCACTCTAGATCCAGGCTACCGGAATCTTCATTGACCTCACCGGGACGGCCTAGAATATAAGTTGAAGAATTAATCCATACGATGATACTTCAGTAACTTATCAACCTCATTCTTAAGTCCATGAGTCGATCGAGGGAAGGTCTTCCTATAGACTTCATAAGACGGCAGAATGGAGATTAGGTTCAAATGAGGAGAACAGGAAATTGTTTTAAGTAGGCGTTTTCAAAATTCACGACATTTGTTAGAAAAAAACCCTATAATGTGACTCAGAGAGTGCTGATTGAGTGTCACAGATGAGGCACAACAAGTTCTTGAGAAAGAGAGATATCTCCAATATCTTAGAAAGACAGAGAAGTAAGAACAAAGGAGGGTTCATTCTCTAATAACCAGCGGCAACGATCATTCATCATTTTTTTCGTCCTCCCGAGAAAATCTTTGGCATTGAAGACATCTTCTGTCTTCGTCGCTGTACGGGCGTTTGAAGTAGTCGACTCCTAAAATATGTTGAACTCAAGAATTCTAAAATACTAAATGTGATTTTGGGCACCTTAATCACAACACCACTGTGAAATATTCATCATTGCCATTCAATAAGTCATATGACCTTACATTCAGCCCCTCTTACGTAGGCGGTCCGTTCTTCGAGTTTAAGAATGTCATCGATGGTCGACCCTATGAACACAGTGTCTTCAAACAAAGGTCATATATATAATCCTTCACAGGGCATTTTGGACCTTGAGGGGCGAATTTGGGGCTGGAATTAAAGCTGGTGGTCGACGGAGGGATGATCAGTCTAACAGATCAGAGGCGCTGTAAATCAGAACCATTTCTTCAACCTCTACCAGAAGGGCCAGAATGCTTCAACAAATCGATTCCAAAAATGCTGCTCTATTCATTGAGGTTAATCTCACGGCTTCTCCACATTGATGAAAGACACCTCAAGTATTCTTGTGTCGACCTGATTGAACGAGCAAAAGTCCACTGGTGTTCTTAATGCGTGAAAGGTGGCAGTCCTCAATTTGTCGAATTTTGTTTGATGAGACTATTGGGTAACGTACTATTAAAGGTTACGAATGGTTTGATTAAAACGGTAATTTTGAAATGACTATCAATACAACTGTAGATGGAATAGATACAGAGCAGTGTGCGCACTACGAGTAGTAGCCCTGGTCATGAGATGTAGAAGGTACCTCTTCAGTTAGCACTTACTTGAGAGCCGCTGGCTTAAAAATAGATTGAGGCACACCATTGAATACTTGAACTATGAACATGAACCTTAGTTAAACCTTTGCTCTCAAACTCGAGACTCTATGAATACGGAGTTTTCGGTCCAAGCTCCTTTTAAGCGCTCGTATACTAAGTATACACACTTCGCATGCATCATGACTTCACCAACTGGTTGATGGAAGAGATCAACGCGGTACCACTCGAGGTAGTGAAAAAAAAAAAAAAATAGAGGAAAAAGACTTTTCAATAAAGGACCACTCTTTTTAGGATATGCTACTTTCAAGTTTAACTATTCAAGGAAGTATCAACTGTCAATGTTTAACTTATTGGAACAACCATGAACCTTCCCCATGTCAAATCTGCATATCATCCTTATTACGCATACACCGAATCGGACATGAGGTAAATCACCCTGCACCATCTGTTAAACTACTCACCTTTGCAGTGGCATAGTACCGACTCTCGTCTCCGAGAATGGAAATTCCTCGACTAATCGGGCCAGCCCGTGTTTTCACAAAGTGCTTGCAGGTTTCTTTACTGCAGAGTATATAGCTACAACATAAGTGCTCCAATTTCCCCCACAAAATTCAATTCCCAACTTATAGCCAGCTCATTTTATATGTTTTTGGCTTTATATCCAATTGCTACCATATTGGTGCTTGTTTCTGCCGCAGATAATCCGTATGCCACCTACCCATCCGTTGCAAAAACTGCTTCTATCAATGGTTTTGCCGACAAAATCTATTCCTTATTGCCAGAATGTGCTAGATCTTGCGTAGAGTTGTCCACTTCCTCTACTCCATGTCCATACTGGGATACTGGATGCCTCTGTGTGATGACTCCATGGGCCTCAAATGTTGCTGACTGCATCGCCCAGAACTGTCGGGGCAATGAAGTCAAGCAAGCGACTTCTTTGGCAATTTCCCTCTGTTCGGTTGTTGGAGCCTGGGAACCTTATTGGATCATAGACCCTCCTGCTTCGGCTTCTTTAATTGCTGCTGCTGCTTTAGAACCAGAGACCACTAGTGACGACACCACCAGCTCTGCCGGTCCTGAGTCTTCGGTGGCCCCACATACGTCTGCTGCACCTGAGACTACCACTGATGAGACCGAAGCTACTACTTCTAATGTAAACACTGATGAAAGCTCTTCTGCCACTCCTCGTGAGACTGGTAGATCGTCTGAAGAAACTTCTTCTGCTGTTTCCGAAGAAACCCCCGGTGCTACTTCTGAAGAAACTTCCAGTGAGATTTTCACTGTTGCTTCTGAAGAATCGTCTACTGCTACTTCCAATGAGACTGATGCATATTCTGAAGAATCATTTGCTGACGCTACTGAAAACACATACGTTACCGCAACTGGTGAGAATGGTACACCTTCTGCTGAGACTTCTGCTGCTGGGTCTTATTATGTTGCCTCAAGTGGCTCAGAACATACCAGTTCAAGCCAATCAGTCTTACCAACTGCAGCCCCAATCTCCAATGCAGCAATTCCAACTGGTCAAAGTATCATTCTGAATGTTTCTGCTCATAACAATGCAACTAATGGGAAAAGCTACCTCAAGAACAATCTTCTTACTATCGCTGTTACTATTGAAAGTGAAGGCATCCTCAGTCAAGGCACAGAGACTCAGTTCACTCTTCCTCTAGCCTTGTACGGATATTTGTCCCCATATAACCTCTATAGTACCGATGGAAGCTTTGTGGGAACTGTTTCTGACGATTCTAGTGGACTTTTTACAATAACCTTCACTGGCGACTATATTGCAACACACCAAGACTTGAGTGGTACTTTCACCTTCAACACCCGAATCGCCTACCTTTCATCCACCCTCTCGAAACGCGCAGACAATGAAATCGATCTTAGCACCCCTATCGTTCAGCCTGTCATTATTAATGTTCCAGGTAATCTGTTCACGGTGGAGTTGGAATACGAGAATATCGCTTCCGTAGCACCAATCGAAGAAGTTGATATTGGTGACGTCTTCGTGTTTGTGGGAATGTTGGTTTCTTCATCCTCCAATGCTGCCTCATCTGAGACTGAAACGAGTGGAAGTACTGTAACTTCTGGAGATAGTACTGAAGATACTGGCGTTCTGACTGGAGGTAGCACTGAAGCAGGTACTCTTACTGGAACTGGACCGGTGACTAAGACCAATACACTGAAAGTTCTCATTACTGTCACCTCATGTTCTGACAATAATTGCACCGGTGTACCCACTATCGCAATTGAGTCGAAGTATACTTCAACACTGTTTGGTACTGAAGTCGTTTACACCACCTACTGCCCTTTACCAAGCGAAAGCCAGGAGAAGGTTATCACTGTGACTGTAACCTCTTGTTCCAAGAATAAGTGTACCTCCAAGCCTTCTCTTGCCCTTGAGTCTGTTGCAACTGTAACCAAAGAGGGAACCACAAGTTTGCACACCACATATTGTGAACTTAGTATCTCTACATCTAGTTCCTCTGGTTCCTCTGGTTCCTCTGGTTCCTCTGGTTCCTCTGGTTCCTCTGGTTCCTCTAGTTCCTCTGGTTCCTCTGGTTCCTCTGGTTCCTCTGGTTCCTCTGGTTCCTCTGGTTCCTCTGGTTCCTCTGGTTCCTCTGGTTCCTCTGGTTCCTCTGGTTCCTCTGGTTCCTCTGGTTCCTCTGGTTCCTCTGGTTCCTCTGGTTCCTCTGGTTCCTCTGGTTCCTCTGGTTCTCTGGTTCCTCTGGTTCCTCTGGTTCCTCTGGTTCCTCTGGCACCGTCCCTGTCTTTGCTTCTGCTTCGGCTGTATTCGAAGGTTCCGCTTCAGCTCAAAAGAGAACCTTAGCTGCATTGGCCCTCGCTCTCTCGATGTCTGTGATTCTGATCGTCTTCTGATCAGTCCGGGGGAAACTCCTAGATATTGATGACGAAACAGAACTTTGTCACTATCGCTTATTTTCGTGTTCTGTCGTTCCGTTTGATCACTTCTGTACTTCATCTCCTACAAAATATACTCCATGCTTGATCATTGGTCATTATTACATAGTTGTCTACGTTAAGTTGAGTAGGTTGCGAAATGGTGATGTAGCTCGAAAGAGGGATAACAAATTTCTAAACCTCCTAATGACAGGTGGACATGAATTAGATTAAAACATGTATATCGGATTTATATTATTGAAAACGGCTTTGTAGTCTTCGAAGTTGCAATCCAAAACCATCATTTTGTTGTTCAAGTCAAAAACCGTTTCTAGCGCCATTTTTAGTCATTGGTCATTTGGTAATATCTCTACATGTTTTGCTTCATCTTTTCTCTTCGTTCAATTAGCCAGCTGTCAACTACAGATCCGGAACTCGGAACCGAAGTTGTTGGCCCTCGCTATATATACGGTTCAACTCGGTGTCGAACTCTCCTACTGCCAGAAGCTCCATGTACTTCTCATATAATCGAAGTGCTGTGTTAGCATCTTCAATGGAGTCATGATTTCTCGTCTGCACCGCTTCCTTTAAAACAATGTACGCTAAGAACTTGAGACTCAACTTACGCCGGAAATCTGGCAAGTAATAGAATTCAATGGTATCGCGGATTTGAGATTTAGGCACTTGCAAATTGATGCATCGGAAATCGCTTCGAAGTCCGTGCCCCACAAATACACATCCCATATTCAACAACAACCAGAGTCTCCGGTATGCTGTTTGCAACGTGACTAATGTTTTTGTTGATTTTTGCGGATCAAGGTCTCCGGGCTCAATGCCAGAGAAGGTCGTCAAGTAGTCGTAAATTGGTTTCGTGTGAACAATGTAGTCATCAATGAATGGAACCCCATTCTTGGGGCCCGCATCTCCTCTTACAGCAGAGATTCGGGCAAGAGAAAGTGCGGTTGGTCTGATCAAATTGCGTACGCCGGTATAACTGACCTCCACAATTTCGGGTCGCAAAGATACGAATTCTGCGTCGATTGCAACTAAAGATCCGCATTGAGGTGCCTCTTTCTTGGTAAGAAGCTCGTACTCCCTCTTGAACCCTTCCCTAACGCCGCATGCAAAGTGATCTCTGTACAATATGGAATCATCTAAACCAGCAAGTTTACGGAAGGTCGATTCCTCAAAATATGAAAACTTTTGGTTGCGAGGGTCCTCGACGTTGTGATAAATGAGCACAAGAGGCTTCTTCCAGCTTGGACTTATGTTAAACACTTCTTCCTCGGGTATTGGCATCACCAAGAAGTCGTTGAACAAAAACCATTGGTCCTTTCTCAGTGCTGGTGATCGAATCTTCACGTAAGATATAAGGTTATGGTTTCCAGGTGCGGACACAGAGCTGTGATTTATCTCACAAACATAAGCCTGGAGCTCGTACTTTTGTGCCTGTTGGTTCAATAGTGTGATCACAGGCTTGAAACCCAACTTCTTGTTGTTACCAGTAGTTGTGTAGAACTCGGGCACTAACCATTTCTTACAAGACTTGATAACGGAATACTCCTGGTCAGAAAACGGTAAGTTTATCAGCAACACTGGACCCAACTTTAGTATAGATTGCTTAACTTCAACAGGATATGGAGTCTTAGAAGATGGAGGCAATACCCTGAACTGGTTAAGCGAATATTCAAGATATGTTAGAAGTGTGTGGTTCTTCTTGGCCATGTGCTGAGAATTGTTGAATCTGTTTTGGTTCACAAGAATATTGACCTTGTTTAAAACATTGTTAGGAGGAGATACCAAATCAAGTGTGGCCAGGTTGCCATACTTTCTATCAAGAAACTCGCCAGAAGTGGTTGAAAACTCCAATTCATAATGCATAGATGTCAAATCTTGTACATTTACCCTGAACTGTGATGCATAATCATTGATTACCGATTCGACAAGGAATTTGTTGAACGTTATAACCAAATTCTGTAGCTGTTTAGCATCCAAGGATTTTCCATCATCACGATTAATGAGACCGTGCATTTGAGCAAGCTTGCTTTCACTGAGAATCAGCGAGAAATTCGCAATACTCACATTTTTGGACCCCGCGTTGTGCATCATATCAAACAAATAACCCAACTCATTCAAAATGGAAGAACCTTGTGGACATGACTCTTCTATTATGGTTTCAGAGCTATTTGGTAACCACTCCTTCAATAGACTCTGAGTGACAGTATTATAAAAGATAGGAATATAACGATAAGCCTGAAGAACTGAATTAGTGTATGAGTTGTCCAAGTGGTTTTCAAGACCAGCACACAAGCCATTTGATTGGTTGTAGTATTCAAAGTCAAAATCATCAACTCCGAACTTCGAATAATGAATCTCAAGCCTAGTGTAACAAGAAGGCACACGATTTCCCACCAGCGACTTGAACTGAAAGATTGTTTCGTTCTGCGCATTGCCGTCATGGAAGGATGAGTTTCCAATCTCATTGTCGGTGTCATTAAAGTCCAGGAATGTTGGAGTGCCCAATAACGAAGGTGACGCAAGTTCTGCGTGTCGTTGAACAGGCGTGGAGGGACCGGGAGAGGATGTGATACTTCGTTCACTAATGAACTTCGGTATTAAATTCTGCTTTGTGGACTTTTGGCCGTGTTTCTGACGCGTGTTAATCTTCAATGGCTCGTAGTTGTTGTCAACATATCTTGGCCCGTACTTTTGTCTGTCATATGGTAAAAACTTTCCTGGCAAAGATTGGCTGAGCTCCAGAAGAGTTGCACTTACTTGCTGCGGAGCTTTCAGCAGCTCTTTCGTGAACACCATATCCGTAGGATAATTTGAGAGCAAAAACTCCTTATAGTAAGGCATTCCTATAACGTTCAAGGACACATTATCGTCGATGCCGATGGGGTCCAGTGATGGAGGCAGCGCCGTCACATCTGGACGATCTAAGGCCGCAGGGAAATTGACAAAGTGGGGGGTCGTTGAAGCATTGAGTGACCACAAGTGTAAGTTGGGAAACCCGTCACTAAAACAGAGGAATTCACCATTCTCGCTGACGTCAAGATTAGAAAGGTATGATGCCGGTGGCGCAGAAACAGACCCCATAGGAGGATTTGCACTGACCAAGTCCGCCTGGTACAAGTGGACTTCCAGTTGGTCAAACAAGTCGACAAACTGAATTTGGCCTGTGGTCGATGCCACAATTATGATGTTGGGTAATTTGGGGTGGAATTTCACGAAACTGGCGCCTGCGGAGAACGGAACAGGGGATAAAGCCCGCATCATTCTCAAATCGTAAATATTCACTAGAGGATCCACCATATACTCCACTGAAGCATTCGCCGAACCAAAGCGACGATTGCGCACTGAGTATCCACAGGTCGCTACGTAGTTACCCTTGACGTCCAAGTCGGAAAGCAAGCCGCTGTGTCCGCTGAAGGATTTGACTGATTGGTTGGCTAGTGGGTCAAATATCTCCAACGAGCCTGAAGATTTACCCACAGTCAAGAGCTTCGAAGAGTAGTTGATGAAGGAGATATCACCCTCATGATTGAATTTAGATACCACTGATGGTTTCTGTAAATCAACCAGAAGCAACGACGAATTCCCACCCACTATCAAGTCGTTCGACGTTGAATAAGCCAAGGTCATACACGTGAGGTTTTTGAATAGTGACGACGCCGAAGTGGACAGCTTCCCGTCGATTAGCGTGTGGTATAAGCCTCGACGCGAGTTGAAGCAAATGGACGAGTTCAGAAGTGACAAGATCCCCCTCTGATGGTTCAAATGCTGAATCACCGGAGCAGAATTGGCCAGCGCGTGGAACTTGGTGTATCTGAACAATTGGACGGGCGCTGCGTGGCCATATGAAGCTGGTTCCGTTTGGGTTGGAGTGAGCGAGCTGGTATAGCCCATCGAGTCGCCACACCATAACAAATTGGTGGTGTGGTCAAACTGTAGCGATGTTATCTGAGGGTTATCGCCCAAGGCTGGTGAATTGTTGCGCGCCGTGGCAGGTACGCGAGCAACCTGTCGGTTAGTACGAAAATAAGTAAGTGGAATAGAACGGTACGATACATACCTCAGCCCAGCCGTCCATTATCTGGGAGATTGAGGTTAGATGGGTTTGGTTAGAGGTAGGGTTGTTGTAAAGGTGTACGGGTGTGTGGTGAGTGAGTACTGGGAGGGTCAGGTGCGACCTTATATGTCTGAGGAGAGGCTACGAGAGGGAAATGATGTTACATGGCGAGGATAAGCAATAAGAAACGAGCGGAAAGTTGAATCAAGAAAATAAATCTTAGACCGGTGGAAAAGAAAGAATAAAAAAAGACAAAAAAAAAAGACAGATGTTTACTGGTCGCCCGATATCTCAAAGTCCTATTAAGCCCATGGAGGGATTTAATATTCCTATCCAGAACAAATGGTAGTTACCCAACTGTAACCAACTGACAACAATCACTTCGGGATCCGGTCCATTGGATCCTCAATTCCTGGGGTTGCAACTTGCTTTGTGCCGGCCATGTCTCTCGACCTAAGTAGGGCCGCAGTCTCTGAGAAGTGACTCGTTACATGTTTGCTACTGTGAGAAGATGCAATGTAATTACTAAATGCTTGTTTCAGGTGCTTGCTCGACATACTTGCTGTAAATGATGCTCTAAGCAATTATTTGACTTTCTAAAAATACTGCCTTGGATTATTGGCATTACAACCTTAACTACTAAAGTATCATCACTGGCAGTGCACCCATGCAATACTCACCTATCCTAACTAACTTTGGTGGTTACATACGCCACAACATACTTCTACAAAAACACAAAATGAATGCATATCTATGCATCAATTCACTAATCCGAATGTAATTTGGCCATCTTCCCCAGCCTTTCGAATGTTCTCGAATGTTGGGCGCCATGGCGTCATGACTGTGATTGCTGACTGACTCACATCTTATCTATCCCCACGCACGTGAGACAATGATAACCGGAGATATGGTCAATGTCATCCGTTCAACATTTATCCCAACAAGCCAACCATTGTAAGAATTATACCAGGCATACCAAGATAAGTTTAGGTTCTAAATCTCTGTAAATGACCCACAAATCATTCTCCTCCATGACCAATTGTTGTGGGACAGATAACGTGGGCAATAATGAGGATTCGCGCTACTCGTCCTGAACGGGAAATGGTCTCGAGTCACCGCTCCTATGACCCCAGCCTTTGTGTTTACTGGTATATAAAGGAGGCCATCCCCATCCCCAGGACCCTTGTTCATGTGTTTTGTTTTTTCTTAACCGCCACCACTATCCTCTTCTTAACTAGGTGGTTTTCGAGAATCCTTCGCTGCAATGTTTAAGTCCTACTTCCCTTCTGGCTGGTTCAGAAAGGCTGCTGATGCTCCACCTGCTACTACTACCGACTCTTCGTCCTTCACTATGCCTGGAAGAGACAACTCGCTGTTGCTCAAGGTGTCCATGAAGGAAAGCACAGAGGAGTTTGTTGCAATCGATTACAAAAAGATGTCTTATGCCGAGGTGGCCCAGATGTCAAAAAACAAGAAGCAGACATCCAAAGTGCCCTTGGCTGTTCCCAAGAGTCACCGCATCAACGAGAACCAATACGAGATATTGGCCAACGAGGATGAAGACTTGACCGAGTCGTTGTACACAGAAAAGGTCAAGACTAACAACTACTTCTTTAAAAACAAGGTGTACAAGGACGCCGACAGAACTAGAAAATCAAGAAGAAAGACCAAGAATTGATTGGATATTTATTTACTTCAATACAGACCTAGATGGTTTAGCTTTGTTTGTTTGATTATCGCTATGTTTCTCATGGATCTGGAAGCCTCGGCCACTCACTGTAGATAAGATATGGCTCACTGTGGCTTTTAACCTCAATTCCTTAACGTGTTCCTCTAGTAACTATAAACTCTATTCGACTGGTGTTTCAATACCACTTGAACTCTCCCCTCTCAACTAACGCCTTGCTCTTGTTATCCTCGGAGGCAGGCATGTTTCTCCAAACCAGCCCCTATTGTGGGGTTGTTTATCGTTATCGAGTCTTATCAGTGGATCGCGCATTGACAATGATAACGGTAATCCCAAAAATGAGATCCGCGTTCGTACTAGATGATGAATCAATTCAATGGCACACCAGTACTTCTAGGTCACCTATCCTTTCAATTCGTCAACTTCGCCTTCTTGACCCTACTCAACCTCTGGAACTTATGACCCACGTTGTGACCTAAACACGTGTGTGTGCAGGTCAGTCATGATTGACTTTGGGGACACCCGGTGCTGTTGCTACGTGCACCCGGCACCCGGCATCTTCCGATATTGTTTAACTCGGGCCCGCTTTAGGATAGGGGTGTATTAGTCGGCGTGTTGTGCAAATAGTCAATGTATCATTGAACCCGGTCGTTACAATGATAGAATCAAAAAAAATACTCCGATACCGGGAGTCGAACCCGGGTCTGCTCGGTGAAAGCGAACCGTGATAGCCGTTACACTATATCGGAATTTATAATGAAAATTATGTTAATAATATATATCAAGTAAGTCAGATTGTAAAATTCCGGTTTTTAGGGGTTTTGAATTTAAAACCTTTCCTATTATATCTTAAAAGTTCCATTTTTCCCCTCTTCCTCTATAAAAAGTGATAGGTGGTTGTAAATGTGGTTATAGTGATGAGCGTAATCAGCCTGCGTGATAATTTCAGACTTTGGGGACTACATCTGCCAATCTACTACCTCCAAGATGAGATAGTGAACTTTAAGCGGTGGGTTTTCAAAGAATTTAATTAGCTTACCAGCATCTCATTTCCTCTTTGTCACATCCAAGTCTTAATAACAACCATACTCGCAATTGAATCGTGCAAGCTATAGCGCTTGTAAAAGAGGTGTATCCTCCAGAATTTCGAAGACTTTTGCCATCATGGGGAATCCACTTCTATCCCTTTTGACTCTCTATCTATGATACTAATTGTTCGATAACTACGTCTTGGAGTAATGAGTTATGGTTATCACTTTTTTGTTCAACGAAACGAATCACGACTAGCAAACAAAGAAGAAAATAAATTCAAGAATCCAATCTAATAATACTCTCAATCTTAGTGAGGCGTATATCCTGATCGGGACTTCAATGATAATCTGCAACCAAAGTCTGGGCACCACACCGATGTATACTCCAATGTGTTAAAAAATCACAAAGATGTGGTTCATTAAGATCTCTCTGACACTCTGATTGGGCATCTTGTCGATCTTTAAGCCCCTGTCAGACCCTTGTGTATGTTCGAAGGTCAATATGACTGCCTATTTGGGCACTCTATAGGGCTGCGAAACATAAGAAGGTTGCAACTTTTGGCTCTTGTCTCAGAAAACGCAACCACAGACTAACCTTTCAAAGAAAAACTTGTGGCTAATATTTTCTGATTCTCTCCACATCCCAAATAACCGGATTGGGACTTAAATGGCGTTCTGCGGTGTACCTTGAAAGAACTCAACCTGACCAAATCGGTATATATAACTAGCCTGTTTGCATTGATTTCCATTCATCATCAACACAAACATCTCTTAAAAACAATAATTAAATGAAGTTCATCAACGCTCTTTTGCTTTCTCTTGCCGCTTCGGTTGTCTCCGCTGCTCCTGCTGCTACTCCAGTGGATGATGGCTCTGTCTCAGTTCCAACCGAAGCCATCTTGGGCAGAATCGATCTTAACCCAGAAGAATTTCCCTATATTGTATCTGACGGTGAAAATACCTCAATTGTGTTATTCAACACCACAATCTTGGACGAGGCATACTCTGGCGTTACGAAGAGAGACGCTGAGCCATGGGGATGGATCAAGTTCTTCCCCGGCCAGCCAATTGGAAAGAGAGAGGCCGATGCTTCTCCTTGGGGATGGATTAAGTTTTTCCCTGGCCAACCTATTGGCAAGAGGGATGCTGAAGCTGAGCCTTGGGGCTGGATTAAATTCTTCCCAGGTCAACCAATTGGTAAGAGGGATGCTGAGGCCGAACCATGGGGCTGGATCAAGTTTTTCCCTGGTCAGCCAATCGGCAAAAGAGAGGACTAGCTACTTTTCCTATCGTTTTGAGTGATCTATAACCTTTGCTTTTTTCTATTTTCTCGTTGTTTCCTTCAATAAAAACTTCACTCAACTACTTGTACCTGTGCTAAATAACTTGCAAGTATTCTCCGGCTGTCTAACCATCTACTTTTCTTTGGACGCATTTATTAAATGGTTTTTGAAATCTTCATCCTTAGGTAATGCTTTTTTTTTCTTGTTGTTTTTTTTTGCTTGCCTTTTTCATTTCATATCTAATGATGTGTATTCCACATCGCAGTGTGCATAGTTAGAAATAATATTCTATTCTTCTCAACCACTCATCTACTAATGGACAAGTCACAATTATTCGTCCAAGAAGAGGAAGAGATCTCGGACTCGCCAGCCTTTGATCAGTATGAAGATTCGCATGAGCAGCCATTAGAGGAAGACGATGATCCAATCATTCAGTCCATTCCAATCATCCATGGTGCACTTCCCAGCAGAGAATCGCAAACAATCCATGTGCTACAATATTCAGGAAGACCCAAGAGCCGGCCATTCAGCACAGATCAACTTAAGGCCACTGTCAAGCCTCACAGCAAAGTCGTGGAGTTGAAGATTCCCATGGATACTCTGAAATTTTACGATGAGGCTCGCGCAGATGAACTAGGCACTCGTGTGGAAGCATTATCGCTTCTGGGTGTGTTGACCAATACAGACGGTGGACTATACATTGGAAAAGTAGTGGAAAAGCAGGGAAAGTCACAGGTGGTGTTGGTTCCGCTCGATAGTACTGCCCAACTTAGACCTCTGTTTAAGTACATTGACGATATGGACTCAGCTAGATCTGCTCAGGTGAGACAAGAGGCATCAACCGCAGACCCCGTAAAGCCCACTGCTGTCCTGGTGCTTCAGACAGCGTCCAAGGCTGGACAGTTTAACGCAGAGGGTGCTGCACTTTCCACCATTGGTTCTTGTTTGAGACATATCAAGCAGTTCAATGAGGAAAGCTGGGAAACACTCAGCTGGAGGAATTTAGAGGACAGTTCGACCTCCACTTTGAAAAAAGCCATCGAAAGTCCAAGCGAGGAGTCTGTGGCCACATCGACTTTATTTGGTGAATTTGCATAGTGTATAGTAGACCTAGTCAACATAGATTGGTTATTATGAAAAGTTATTGCCGTAGTTTCCTACTTGTTGTATTTTATTCATTTCCATCTAGGTTCTTATCTTTTCCTTTTCTCTTTTTGTTATTTTTATTTGTCACCATCGTTCTTGCACCCTCCGAGATACTTGACATAGTTTCACAGTTCTCAGATTATTTCCGTTCCAGATCAATATACGCAAAATGCATCTCACGCCACCATAAATCCAAAACACGTTCAAATGACCCAAAAGCACATTTAGATAACCCATAATTACAATCAATTTCTCAAACACCTTTTTCATTACAATATCTCTACATTTTACTTTAGGCATCTCTTCCCCATCGCATCTCCAACTTTCAACTATTTCTGCAGGTGCTCATCTCTACTACTCTCCTCACAATGGATGACGACGGTTTAATCTTGAATTTCGCTCCAGCTGAAGAAGGCGTGGTTGCTAATACTCCAAAGAACACAAAGGTTACTGGAGGCTCATGGAAAGAACGGCGCAATTTGAAACTCAAACTCCAGGGAAGAGAAAGAAAACCTGGTTCTGGTGTGAACAGTATCCGGGTAAAGAATGAGAAGTTCGACAAGCTCAAAGCCGAGGCAGACAGGATGATGGCAGAGCATGAAGGCAGTAATAAGAAGAAATCTTTTGATAGACGGAGAGATAATGACCGGAAACCAGCAAAAAAGTTCGATGCTGACAAGGAACCAGATTCCAAGAAGAGAGAATCCGAGACTCCTTTAGGAATCTCCGGTAAGAAGGCCAAATTCGCTGAATCTTCCGGAGCTCGTGGAGGAAACAATAACTCGTATGTGTCATCGTTATTCACATCGAACAAAACAAGTGAAACCTTGAAAGAAACTACTGGTTCCCAGACTGCTTACACTCCTTCCAATGCTCCCCTTCGGGATTCTAGTACATTTGCTGGATTGGGTCTCAACGAGAAGTTGGTCACACATTTGACTGGTTCCATGAGATATTTAGCACCAACGAAGGTTCAGAGAGCTGTTGCGCCAGTAATGCTCACTTCTGCAACTGATTTGTTTGTGAAAGCCCAGACAGGTTCAGGTAAGACGCTTGCATTTGTGTTGCCCATTGTGGAAAAATTAATGGCCGAAGCTGAGCAAATTAATCGCCAAAGCGGATTATTTGCGCTTATTTTGACCCCAACTAGAGAGCTTGCATCCCAAATTTACTCGGTGTTGGAGTCACTTCTACGCTGCCACCACCACATTGTGCCAGGAATCGTGGTTGGTGGAGAGAAGAAAAAGTCCGAGAAGGCTAGAATTAGAAAAGGTGTCAATATCATGGTTGCCACGCCTGGTCGTTTGGCAGACCATCTTGAAAATACTTCCTCGTTTGACATTTCGCAGGTTAGATGGTTGGTCTTAGATGAGGGTGACAGACTTGTTGAGCTAGGATTCCAGGAGACAATTACAAAGATTACAGATCAATTGTCCAGATCTTCCAAGGTCATGGACACCATGCACAAGTGGCCTGGGTTGCCCACACGTCGTGTAAACGTCTTGTGTTCTGCTACCATGCCAGAAGACGTCAAAAAATTGGGAAATACTGTGTTGAATAACCCCAAGATGATCTCTCTTGATCGCGAGAGTACAGACACTAGCAACGCAACTGCCCCAGATCAACTCATCCAGAAGGTCATGGTTGTTCCACCTAAATTGAGATTGGTCACTTTAAGTGCTGTTCTTAAGAACGTCACTAAACAAAGAGGAGAGGCTGTTTCTAGAACAATTGTCTTCTTCTCCTGTTCTGACTCGGTGAACTTCCATTTTGAGGTATTTGCTAGAGGCGGGAAAGCTCTTCGCCGCAAGCAGAAGGAAACTCAAGTTACAGAAAAGAACGAAAAGGACGAAAAGGACGACAAGGCCAAGGAAGACACTCCTGAATCTTGTGTTTCGACCGCTCCAGAGATTTCTAAGGATGCCATCGTTTACCGTTTGCATGGATCGTTGTCTCAACAATTACGTACATCCACTCTCCAGCAATTTGTGCAAAATGAAGGGGAAAACGAAGGAAAGCATCTCGTTCTATTCTGTACCGATGTTGCTTCTAGAGGTTTAGATTTGCCAGATATCTCTCATGTGGTGGAGTACGATCCACCTTTTGCTCTCGATGACCATTTACACAGAATCGGACGTACGGCAAGAGCTGGTAAGAAGGGTGAAGCAACGCTTTTCTTGTTGCCTGGAGAGGAAGAAGGGTATGTTGAGGGCAAACTTCGAACTGTGCATCCTAAGCAAGGAAGTTTACGAATTGTAGGCTACGAGAAGGGCCTCGAGGCAGCTTTCGCAGATGAATCTGCCGAGCCAGCATCCAAAACGGATCCCAAAGCGAAGAATGGAAAGTGGGATATCCAGGCCACCACCTGGCATCTTGAAGTGGAGAGATGGCTCTTAGAGGACTCAGCTGCTCTCGAAAGAGCTCTGCATGCTTTCGTGTCTCACATCAGAGCTTATGCCACACACTTGGCAGCTGAGAGAATGTATTTCAATGTGAAGCTTTTGCACTTGGGACATTTAGCAAAGAGCTTTGGATTACGTGAGACCCCTAAGAAATTGGGACGTCAAAGTGGACAAGTCAATGAGCTGACCCACAAGAAGAAAGAAGATCCAAGAAAGAAGATGTTGAGAATGGCCCGTTTAGCAGAAAAATCAAACACTTCCGAGTTCAACTATTAATGATTGAAAGCTACTAAGAATGCACTACAAAACATAACATCAAACTGTATCGTATATAATCAAACCAGAACTACCCTAAAAATATCCCACAAGTTCTCCAACCAAAGTGAATTCATCGGTCTTCACGAGTGGAAAGGAGAGATCCTTAACAATAGTACCGTTCACCACCTCAACTTCTCTGGAGAATGGCAACGAGCCTGGCTCAGAAATCATTACCTTCACATCGGTGGTGGCACCAGTGATATCGTCCAACTTCACCAGCTCGTCAATCTTGAGCTTTGGACCAGCAGCGGCATTAATTTTGGTCTTAATGTCGATACCGATCTTGGCAGAGAAGGAGGAAGATGGTCCTGTTATTGGAGAGTTCTTGATGGAGTCACTGATGGTGAGTGGGTAAGCAGACTTGACAGACTTAGAGTAGAGGGTCAAGTTGGTGAGTGGATCTTGAACGTCTAACTTGAATTTGTTGGTGCCAATGTAGAAAGCACTGGTAGTGTCCTCAGTCTTCTCAGGGCCACCTGGTGGACCAACTGGGATCTTGCTCTCCTTCCTCTGCTTGGTAAGGACCAAGGCAGCAGATGAATTAGCCACAACAGCATAGCTGGCAGTGGTGTTGTCAATCAAGGTGAAGTTGAACAAAGACTCGATGGTCGACTTGATGGTAGATCTGACAATTGTGTTGCTGAGCTTTGGTTGCCATGGAGAAACAGCTGGAGGAGCAATGGAGACGCCTGAGTCCAACTGAGACGAATTGGTCAACACAACCTCTCCAACTGAGAAAGACACCAATGGGTTCTCCCAAGCAAGCAAGCTTCCAGATACAAACCAAGAGCCAGCCAAGAGATTGGTAGTGGCACTGACTGGGTGTGCCACGGCTGGAACAGGGCCGTTAGCAGCGTCCACTGGAGAAACCAATGCAATGTCAAGAGTCTGAGGACCTTCCCAAAGCAAAGGCAACACAGCCACAAGGTCGATATCGTAAGTAAAACCGGTAAAGGATCCGGAGTCAGCAAGAGGACTCCATAACTTGCCAGCGTCGGTGGTGAGCTTGTCGGCGTGGAACAAGGTTGGTTTAGGAGACACGGTACCAACATAAACACCAGCCACGAAAACGTTGAGCTGACGAACTGGACCGTTGGCAGTGACAGGAACGCCCAATGCAGCAATGTCGTTCTTGTAGAATTCAACTTCGTCCTTAGAGGCCGAAGCAAAGAGAGATATCTTAGCGGAGGTAACATTCGAGTTGAGCTGAGGCAAGGAAACAGAAAATTCGCTAGCTGGAAGCTCGATAGCCTTCTTCTGGAGAGGAACAACCAAGGAAGCAGGACCCTCTGAAGCGAAGTAAGAAGCAGCAGCCAAGGAAGCAGGACCCTCTGAAGCGAAGTAAGAAGCAACAGCCACAGTACCAGCCCTCTTAGCTGGTGCGGCCGAAGTATCATTGAACAAAACCAACTCCAAAGAGGCGGAAACAGGGGCATCACCCTCCTCCAAAACAGAGAAAACAACCTTGGAGCTAGACTCGAACAAGCTCAACAATTCGGTGACGTTCTTAGTGGTGGAGGTGTAGACATCAGCATCAACCTTAGCGTATGGAGTGGAAGATCTCCACACTGGGGTTCCATCCACAGAGAGCTCAACCACTGGAGCAGAAACAGGGGCTGCAGAAGCAGGAACAGAGAAGTTTAAAGTCAAGAAGCCTTGGGTGAAGTTGAACACCTTAGGTGCAACATACTTGGTCTTCAATCCATCAACCACTGCCGAGTCGTTGAAGAGAAGGTACGAGGAGACGTAAGCAGAAGCAGGAACGGTTAATGGAGGAGCAATTTCAAAAACCTCCACGGGAAGCACCACAGGAGCTGGGGCAAACACAGCAAAAATGCTAGGAATGACATTTTGAGCAGCAGTATTGGTGGTCAAGGTGTAGAGACCCACGGCTGCGAGCACGAAGCCTAGAAGGTGGTGAAGAACGTTTCTCTTGGAGCGCTTTTCAGAGTCAAATTTAAGGGGCGTATAGACGCCAGCCTCAATATCGAACTTGTCGTTTCCAGTCAAAGCGATAGCCATTTTTAGTTGAGAGCAAAAAGTGTGGATGGCTTCCTCAACTTAATATATGTAGATTTAGACCGGCGCACCGATTGCTGGAGTGAGCCGCACATAGTGTTAAATTGTGCACACCGACGGCTTGCCGGACCATATGGAAAATTTTCTAAAGTCAATTGAAAGGTGGATGAATTTTTTGTTTTGAGGTTACTGAATTGGACTGGCCACTATGGGCTATACTTAGGCAGATCTCCATGGTTTTTCTTTTGATTTGTCTGTGTTTTTGTCCTTCAAGACCCTGAAATCTCTAATGGTTTCGAATCTCACAAAGGTCGGGAGCCCGCGGCAACGGAATTCTCCGAACGATAACGACCGCCACGGGAGCCATTATCTTGTATTAGGTGCAGGATTAGTTCCAGAAAGAGGACTATTGTTTCTCATTTAGCCTCACAAAAAAAATCCTACCCTGGATGTGGCCGAAAACATTAATTAAAATCCTAGACATGCGGGTATAATATCCTTATCGGCGAAATTTTTTCAAGTTTTCAATTCCATCTGTAAATGCTCTGAATTTCATCTTGTCATTATCACTTTTCTGCTTTATATTTTTTCTTTCCCTATTTTCTCTGTTCGCCTAGATGTTTTGTTTTGTCATTTTTTATGCAATAGATTGAGTTTTCTTAAATGCACATGAAACAAGAACGAAGAAAGGCGAAGAAAATACATAAGAAGAAATTCAATGAATTGACCTACAATTGCACCAACCGTCCCATTCAAGTAATCATTCACACTTAGTATGTCTAAAATTCATTATGCCTCAAGCGCCAATTCTTCCAACAACGTCTCCACCAATAAAACATCCTCATCATAGTCTTTCATGGCTGCCAAATAAATATTGTTGTCCCCACGGACATTCTCTTCACGTGTTGCACTCCAGGTGGCTGCCACTCCATCAAGCTCTGCAAAATCATTGTGCACAGCATATTTCTTCGCCAAGTAGAACCGAATGTCATCCACCAATTCAATAGTGTCAGTCTCTTGTCGTTCCCTAATTCGCTCGGCACTTTTCCGAATAAGACCTGATAGTCTCTCACGGAGGTTGTCATGGCTGCATATTTCCTCCAAGTTGTGAGCAATTAACTTGGTCATGTGTTGCTCAAGTCTATCACATCGAGTCTGCCATGAGATCTCCACCAAGTCGCAAACATCATAGCCGGTGGAGTCCGGAAGAGCAAGAAGACTCTCGTAGTCAAATGTCAGCACTAAGGATGTGATGGAGAGGGCAGTCAACATTTTGAGCCGGTGGATCCAGAGCTCATCGGCTGCGAAAAGTAACTCAACGCTGAGATTGGATGGGATATGCTGCACGTTGTCGTAGTAGAGGAACTCAAGAATAATTTCTGTCACCTGCCAGTTAGTGGTGTTGACGGATGCCTGAAGCACAGGAACATGCTCTATCTCGACATTCGGTCTGTCCACAAGTTCTTGGTCCCTGACCATCACCACTGGCACTTCGTGCGAATTGGTGAACATCTCCGACTTGAACATGGTTGTATAGTAATCGGAGCGACTCAACACAGCCCGATGTACAGGGTAGTATACCACCGAGCCCGAGTCCACGTCGATCGAAGACATGATGATATCTGCAAAGGCGTTGGACTGCAATAACTTAGTGTGAATCTTAGTGTCCAAAAGCGTGGTTGCATCGACATCTTCGAAGTCAACGTCTTCTTCTAATACCACTTCACATTTGCTTGCCAAAACGTTTTCCTTTAAAAAGACCATCAATTCGTTCCGTGCAACTTCCACCAAATCTGATTGCTGTTTCTTCAGCATCTGCAATTTTCCCTTCTGACTACTAGGCAGCTCATCCATCACCTCCAACAATTCTTTGAGCTCGAATTGCTCTGCAAAGCTGCGAAACCCACTTAGAGCGCCCGATATTGGTATAGAATCGAGCCTGAGGTAAATGTAGTCGATGATGGATGCAAAAGCTGCAGCATCAGCCTTCTCAGACATGACAACCACCGACTTAGCCATCCATTCTCCTCCGGCGGTCAACATCGAGTTGAAGTAGCGACTACGGGCAGCAAGAAGGAAGCGGTTCACTACAAATACACGGTGGGCTGGGTCTACCAGTCCTGGAAACACAAAGGCCAAATCTCGAGCTGAAAGTGACGAAAACACCACCAGTAATAGCTTGGAGATATGTGCGGAAAACGGCTGGTTGTCATCCACTTTCTTTGTGATGTCATAACTTAACAACAAGTTCCGAATCTCATCATTCAATGCCCCATAGATACACCGGACTCCCTCGTAGGTATCTCGATCACAAACTGCACCTCGAGATAAAAGTAGTTTCACTATGTGGAGGTGACCACACAATGAGGCTAAGATCAATGGCGTATAGTTCCACTCGTCCACACGGTTTATATCCAAGTTGGGAATCAGCGTGAGTGAATCCACTGCATCCGCATCGCCTGTTCGACATGCTAACAGAAGTTGTTCATATTCCTTCTTGAGCTCGAAGTCTTCGTTGTTGACTGAGGGTTCACTGTGGGAAATGTTAACAAAGTCCATGGGGAGATTTACCACCACATTATCATTATTATCTATGCCTGGTGACATGATATAATCAAAGCGTGACAAAGACCTGTTGCTGAGGTAAAGTAAGCAATAAAGAAGAACAGAAGAAAGTCCTATGAATTACATGTAGCCTGTGGATGTCGTTCTTAATGCGCGAACAAATGTCAATCAAATCAATGAGGCATGAGACGAGTATCTTAGAGAATCGAGGTAGATAAAATACCGATTTGAGAGACTTACTTGGGGTCGATTAGACGAAAGCAGGAATCTGATTAATGTAAGCTTGAACATTTGGAAGTTCTAAGTATTTCTGATTGTGAATCCATCAACCAGAATTGCGAATTGTGGGGATCCACATGGACAATGATAAGCTCTGACATGTTATGCCTCCTTACGTTTGCAAGAGCTAAAGAAATAATCTGAATCATATTAAATACACAGTTTGGCCGAAATGAAAATCCCTAGCGGCGCAGCTGCTTTAGCGGGAATAGTTGTTGATGAAGTACTTGTCGATTATCTTCTTGAACCTCTGCGTACGCTTCTTTGGCGATTTTTTGCTCTCCTTAGTTTCCTTAGTATCTGCAAGCTTTTCATGCTTTCCATGCTTCTCATGATTTGCAGTATTTTGTTCTGGAGTTAGAATATTTTGTTCTGGAGTGGCGATCTTTTCCTCAGGCACAACCTCCTTTTGCTCCGATATTGCAATCCTGGGGATTGAAATCTTCTCTTCAGAAGCAAACTTTTGTTTCGAAGCTGCAAGTACTTGCTGTTGTTGCTTGTATGACAGAGTAAGTTGGATTGGTGATCCTAAATTAACTCCCAGTTCTGGAGCCACCGTTGCCACTGGCCCCGACACTTCCTGGACCTGAACTTTGTCAGTGTCGGATTCAAGGTTCTCCTTACCAGAGGTTGTAGGGTTCAATTGATCCGAAGTTGCCGTAACTGATGCCGGTGTTTGCTCTTGGTGACCAATTGCGGGGACTTCTTTAAAACGCTCCCCATTGCTAATGTGAACCGGTGTACTCAAGTCAAGCGTTACTTTAACAGGCTCGTGATCACCACTGGATTGCAACGTGCGTTCGCTTTCCTCAGATGCAGCGGACCCAGAGACGACGTTATTATCATGAACTTCTGAGTGACTATGAATTCCTGGCTGCTTTGATAATTCAGAAGCCTCGTTGGTCAAGTGATCAAGGTTCGAAACACTAGACAAATCAGGTTGGAAAGCATGTTTCACTTCTGACTGATCAATTGGCTGAGAAAAATTCTCATCTAGTACTTGAAGTTCAGGTTTTGTGATTCTGTTGGGTGCGCGTAGAACTTCACTCGATGAATAGGAACCAACGTATATCTTAGGACCATTGGAAGTACTTTGTGACTGTGGAAAGACAGGTTCTTTTGGGACAGTACCGTCAACATTAGGCACAGGATACTCCAGAGAACCTGCTTGTGATTTTACACCAGTGAGGCTTCCAGGGTCATTGATAGTTTCATCAAGGATCACTTGTGGACGGCTGCTATCCCCAGAAATTAATGTGGGAAGCTTTTCCTCTGGAATCGGTTGTACCTGAACATCCTCCGAATTTAGGAGCTGTAGATCGCCACGGGGAGGAACATCAGAGTTGTTCTGATGAAGCTCTGCAATGTCACCTCTCGCAGGAACGTTTGGATCTTCTATAACATCGGTATGGGATGAAACAGGTGCTGGTTGTATACTTGGCTGTTCAGCATGACCTTCTTCTTCATAATCATCCACGATATCAGGAACATCCACGAAATTTGACGAGCTGTCAGCGGCGGATGATCCATCAGGAATTACAGTATCTTCATGATTCTCATGAATTGCTTCTTGCGGAGGGGTGGAATAATTAGAGGGTTGAGAGCTCTTGGGCGATTGCTCAGGGTACGAATTCTCAACAGCGCTCTCCTCGATGACAGCCAGCGAATCTGGTGTCTGCTCATACATAGTCGAGTCGTACACTGTCACGTCCTTCCGCTTTTTCTTTCCAAAAAGGGAGAAAGGTTTCTTGTCCTTCTTCTTTCTAAATTTCTCCTCCTTTATTCTTTCCTTCTCGGCAGCCTTTAATAATTCTGCGTTTCTCTTTTCCTCCTCCTTCAATAGCCGCTTCTCCTCTTTAGCTCTCTCTTTTCTCGTCGAGCCATGGGCTTCTTCTCCGTGTGGACCACCACGCAATGAGCGTACTGAAAAGTCTCGATGATGATTCTCATATATGTAGTTCTTGCTGATTCCAGCTGATTCAACCTTGTCTCTCTTGTGGTCTTTCTTCAATTTCTTTTCGGCTAATGCATCCAAATCCTGCCCTGGCTCATGAACCACAGGAGATTGAGGTGGTGTATGAAAACCAGCATTATCCTCACTATTTCTTCCATAGACTCTCTCCATGGCTACCCTCATAGCTTGGGAGTACATGTCGACGTTCTTCTTTTTCTCTAAGTCTTTCTTGAGTGCTTCTTCACGCAGAAGTTCTGCCAAATTATGAGACTCGGCAGGATACGAAATCGTCTCGACTGTTTCTCTAAATTTGATTGACGCTCCCGAAGCAACTGAAGTTTGCTGCGGGAAGTCGTGGCCAAGTGCAGCTGGATCCTTCTTATGGGGAGAATATGTATGCTCGTTCTGCGAAATGACGTCTTGGATTGATGCTTCTTCATGACTATCTTGCACTGGAGACGACTGGTAGCTGATACTGGAACTGTTTTTCAAAATAGATTTGAGGCGCTTGGGAGACTGGTTGCTGGATAGGGAGCCAGCACGTTCTTCGGGCTTGCCAGGCGAGTGGAGGACAGGAGCAATCGCTTTGCGCTGTTCTTGAATATACTTTTGAGTTCGTGGACTTTGGTTGATGTTTCCGTCGTTTAGACGTGGCGGAGGATTTCTATCCTCGTGGTCCAAGTAGGTGTAATCAAAATCCTGTAAGTCCTCTTCGATCTTATCCAAATTGTAGTTATTATTGATTCCATGGCTCAATGAGTTATTGCGTAACGAATTGGACCGAGATGTAGGTCTTGAAATATTTGTCGTTTTTGTCTCGATGATGTTGGACCCATCTGGCATGGTCTTAATGGTTTCCGTCGTGATGGATTTGGTGCGTCCCATCGAGTCCACAACCTTCGTGGTTTTCGTGGTGATAACAATACTGTCTGCATCATCATCTTCCTCAGCGAGTGACCGATCGGCCGAATTCTGGCGGTGGTGGTATGATTGCGGTCTCTGCAAAGGAGCATTTCTTAGTGATCCTGATCTCAAGCTATTGGAGCGCAAGCTGTTGGATCTCAAGGATGGAACCTGTTGGTATGTTGGGCCAGGGTGGTGAGGCTGTCTTGGCAGGCTCAGAGAGGCCGTATTGTATGTGGGTCCAGTTTGGTAAGATGGTTTTGGTGTGTAGGTGTAAGTTCTCATGGAATTGCTTCTTCCGTAGTTGGAGAGCGAATTGGAGCGATGGGTAGAGACCAGTGGAGCCGGAGCAGGAGACGTTGGCTTTGAGTGCATCTGCAATGCAGCTAGCGCTGCCTGACTGGCGCTGTTCATAGATTGAGACCTGGACGAGGACTGGGGAATTGGGGCACGCACATATTCGTCTGTGTACTTTGCAAAACCTTGGTACTGGTTGTTTTTCTTGGCTCGTTAGTAATGTGAATCAAGAGAGGCGGCTCATGAGGATCATTTGTGAAGACATGAAGGGCGGTAATGCCACAACCATCTGGATATTATCAACCAACCATTAATATGCATTAAGTAGCCAGGGATTGCGGACACATCACAAGTAGCATTAACAAAGAAATCGTAACATACCTTCCTAGAGAAAAAGCCGACCATTCTTATTATGGAAAAGACAAATGAACGATTACTTGGATGGAAAAAAAGTAGGCTTCAGATGTTTAACTTGTGACGCAAGAACACAGTCTGGGGACAGGCCGGGACGGCACACAGGAAACATCATTGCGCATGAAAAGACAGAAGGAATGTAGGGAAGGTTGAGCTGAATGAAGTTTAATTTTGAGAATTTGGGCTAAGAAAAGTGGATTTTAGTAGAGGAGATAAGCGGTGGAAATTTTTTGGAGAATTTTTTCCCTCTTGTTTTGTGGATTTTGTGGTCGTTGAGTTGAGTATGGTTGCTTTGTTTTCTGTTCAGGTTCACTGCGAGTTCATGTCTCAGTTCTGCTGGCCCACAATTGGATTGTCATTGCCAACACTTTGCTTGCTACATATAGCATCATAACATTTCAAGAATGAACTTGAACTTGGAAATTCTTTCTTCTCTATGTTTTATTGTTTACGAAGTTCAACCGTACACTCGGGCCTATTCTTATGCCCCCTTATTTTGTGGTTCACTGTATCTCAAGAAAAAGCTGCGGAAAGGCTATAAAGGGACGATTTCGCTACAAAAGTGCTTGATTTGGAAAACAACAAAAAAAGACATTAAATAATGACAATAGTGATCACCGTGATCGCCGTACTTGAGCCTCCTCAACATTTTCCAACGTCGTTTATGTCGAATTGACCTGAATTCTACACGATCTGCATCTCTGGATTTCATGAAGGAAGCAACCTTTGGATCAAAACCAATCCACATGTGAAATTGATTTCAGATGAGACTGGACTATGGTTTGATTCATCCTTCTTCTCTTGTTGTCTCAACCGTTCCACTGCCATGCATTTATCTGTTTTCAGATCATAACAAATTTTCCTTTCGCCTTTTTACATGTTTGTTCACTTTTCTTGATAAATACTGTAACCCAGCCCTCTCCTTTGTATTTCAGCATAGTCAATAGTGCCGTGCGCATCACCGATGAATATATTGAAATGATCCAGCAATCGAGTCGTAAAACTGTTCAAGGGGTTATTGTTCTTCCATGCATGAACAGTCCATGACCTTCAACATTGATTGAGTTCAGCAACAAAAGATCAGCCACTAGTCACGAGAAAATTGAAGAGTGCAACTTCGCATAACAACAATGTCCCTTTCGTGAAAGTTGAGAATGGTGCGATAGAGACAATGAGGTTGTTTGAGAGGCAAAAACGCTATAGCTAAGGAAAAGCAAGAAAAGTCAATTAAAGATGAAGCAACTCCAGACGTGGCATATTAAAAGAATTGGAAAAGAAGAAAAACAGTAAATAGAGAATTAACAGTAAAGTCACCTAAAATTAGAGAAACTTAAAGCGAAATCAAAATAACTATGAAGAACTTATACATTCTGATACGAAGTGGCCAATCGGATATGTTCCTGCTTCACAGCTGTCAAAGACAATACCGTCAAAATAGTGCCTCATTCATTTCGCAGCCACAGGAAATTCCAACTATCAAATTGACAGGAGGAAGAAATAAAAACAAAAATTGGAAATAAGTTAGTAATTATGCCCCTCACGATCTCCTCGACGATCTGTCAAATGCTTTCAAATCAAATCTCAAATGGAGGCTTATCGAGGTTTGAAATGTTGTCTCACAATCTACACAACAATACAACGTCACGGAAAAACCTCTCTTTACCACTCCGCTTACATATTGATTACATAGCCATACTCTCCCCTCTGGTATCATACTCTTTTCCCCAGATTCTATCTGCCTCCATACCGTTCCATACCCTTCTTAGTCTACATTTCCAATCGTGGAGTGCACATTTCTAATCATTACTAAACCCAGTCGCGAGGTTGGTAATATAACATGACTAACTTACTGACAAACATGTGTTAGCTTCTGACATATATAGACCCACCTAACTTCGCCTTCGGATGGTATAAATGTTCATTCGATCGTTTTTCTTATACCTTGTTCCAATTATACTAGGTTTTATGATCTTAAAAATGGCTACTCAATCTACCAAACCACTTATCGCCGAAACTGTTCGTTCAGTCTCCAGTACTACTGGTGCTGCTGCCGCTACTGCTAGTGCTGTCAGCTCTGCTCTCAAGCCAGACATTCCAAACCCAAATCCATTCCCCTCGTTTTTCTTCTCACATGGAGGTCCTACCTTTATGTATGAAAATGACAAAGGTGCTTTCAAGACAGTCAAGAGATTGGGAAAGAAAATAAAAAATGTATGGAAGCCAGACTACATCGTTGTGGTTTCTGCACATTGGCAACTGACAGGCTCTAAGGCTATCGAGATTGCCATTCCACCCGCCAGAAATGGAGGAGACTTGGAGGAGAACGCCTTGGTTTACGACTTCTATGGGTTCCCTCGCCACATGTACAAGGAGCAATTTCGTACCATGAACTCCAGATTCGTTTCAGGTGAGATCCGTGACCGTTTGAAGAAGAACGGATTCCATGCTGACCTTACCAAGAGAGGAATCGACCATGGAGTTTGGGTACCATTTAAGGTTGCCTTTTCCGATTACAACACGTTGAAGCCAGCTCCAGAAGGCGTAGATGTTGGACTAGATTTGCCAGAAACCTCGCTTGTGCAAGTGTCGTTGACTGGAAACGAAAAAGACTTCGATACCCACTACAAGTTGGGTGAAGTGTTGAGCTACTACAGAGACAACTTGATCTGGGACCCCGTGAGAGAGAAGTATTTGAAAGGAATGGTGATTGTGTCGGGAATGTCTGTTCACAACTTGAGAGATTTAGGCAGAGCCATGTCATACGGCAAGCCTATGCCATATGCTGCAACTTTCAACAAGTTGCTCACAAAGACAATGGTTAACACTCCCGATTTGTTGGACAACTTGAACAAGATCAAGACAGAGAACGGCTCGTTGCTTTTCCAGGCACACCCAACTTTGGAGCATTTCGTTCCAATCGTTGTTGGTGGAGGACTTCTCAAAGACCATCCCGATCAGCAGATCAAGGAAGTATTCAATTCAGAGGAGCTTTCCTTGGGATGGGGAATCTATCAATTCGGAGAGGATCCTAAGCTTTGAGGTGGTGATGAATAGAACGAGGTCAGAAGGCTATCGTTTCCAAATTTATAAACGCACTAGCCTTTTGGCCCATATAGTTTAACATATCAATTAATGCATTTTTTCAATTGACAGCATTTTTACCATTGTGAATGGGCCCAGATCGACCCGAATAGCCGGTCGAATCTCAGTAATTCTAGGGCCAACGAGTCACAGACCTACAGACCCAAAGAACTTCAACGATATGTGGTTTCTCTCAAATTTCGTTGAAATTGAAACTAACAAAATTTAGCCACAGATCATCTTAGCCTTCTCTACTTCCTCTCTGACCAATCACTCTACACGGCTCAATACCAAATGTTTATTACATGCTATGCCACTATTTTACACTACTTCAACAAGGACTTGACAGCATCTTCAACAGCCTTCTCGTCCAAGCCATCCAAGCTGCTCTTAACCTCCTTACCCTTCTCGAATCTGGCGGTTATGCTAGGGGGAACACCAAAGGACTCTCTGATCAAGATAGGCAACTTGTTGCTTGTAGACGACTTGAGACCTGCGTAGTTCTTCACCAAAAAGTTTCTCAAAGGCACAGAGGCCTCACCTGTTTGGGACAAATGGAATCTCAACTCCTTCAATGCAGTGGACACAACAAACTTGGACATTTCGATGAATAGTTGAGTTGGTTGAGAGAGTAATGTGCTGCTTTTGACTGGTGGAAAACGTCGTGCGAAAGCGAGCACGTGATCAGTCACGTGAATCAAGTTACGAATTGACCCATTCTGATTTATGGGTTAATGATTCATTAACTTATTAAATCTGATAATACCTTGATATAGATTAACCCTGGATTTTTATTTCTTTTTCTGCTTCTGGGAGAATTGATAGAATCTGCTGATTTGGTGGGGGCATATCTCCAAGAAAGGTGATATAACTCACACTAAATTATTGCAAGACTAGATATTTCAAATCATGGAACAAAAATAAAAAAGATCCAACGTAACCTGCCAAATTGAAAGAAAGAAATATTTTATCTCTATATAAATTATAACCCCGTCACACCTCATCCCGATCTTTCATTCGTTTCCCATTCTTATCCTCCTAGTCATCTCGCACGTGACCCTCATCTCAAAAAAATACTACAATCAACTCATCTCCAAGACTCTACCCTATCATAATGGCCGACAATAACCCTGACGGAGGCGTCTCGTTAGACGTCTTTGACATGGAGGACAAATTGGCCAAAATCAGATCGCAGGTCACTTCTAAGTTGGACAACCAGAGAAACCTCGCCCTTATTCTTAATGCTGTGGAAGAGAATATCAATGAGCAGAATAACGAGAAGACTCCCGTTGCCTATTTCGTCTCGTTCCTTGCCTTGTTGGAGCAGTCAGTTGGAGACAACGGAGTCAGCGATGGAAAAGTTGCTGCGGCTGCCGCCTACTTCTTGGACTTGGTTCTTCCATTCACTCCAGCTCCACTTTTGAAGCAGAAGTTTGGCCAGATCTTGACCAGACTTGCACCAGTGTTGACCAGTCCAGATGCAGAAGCTGCTCTTGTGAGATCTTCAGTGGGATCCTTGGAAAGCTTGTTGTTGGCTCAAGACAACCAGCAATGGTCATCAACTGGAAATGTGTCTCCCAGAAGAGCTTTGGTAGGTATGTTGGAGTTGTCGTTTGATCCTAGACCCAAGGTCAGAAAGAGAGCTCAGGAGGCCGTGCACAAGATCTTGGCTAACCCTCCTCCTTCGCCTTCGCCTGTGCACATTGCTGCAGTGTTGTGTGGAGAGTTGTCATTGAAGAGATTGGTGATGTTGATCGAAAATGCTCCCAAGAGCAAGAAGCATTCCAACAACAAGGAGTCTGTTTCCGCCATCATACATGCATTGCAGTTAATTTCAGCCATCACATCTGCCAACTCATGGCCTCCTTCTCAAGTTGAGGCCCTTTGTGACGTTTTGCTTGACGTTTCTAGAACTTCCGACCAATACTTGGTAGGTGCTGCATTCTCCGCATTTGACGGCTTGTTTTCTTCCATGTCGAACGATATCGATGTGGAGAAGTTCACCAGAGTGCTTGACATTATTTTCGAGTTAAAGCCTCCTGTGGATGATGCCCACTTGGCTGCCTCGTGGCTTGCGGTGGTCGCCAATGGTATTCAGTCATTTGCCAAGTTGCTGCCTAAGACTTGCTTGGCAAAGATTCAAAGCATTTTCCCCATTGTGTCCGAATTCCTCATTTCGGAGTCTAAGGACATCTATGTCTCTGCATCTCAATGTCTCATTGCCATCGTTAGCGAAAGTATCCCTGATGACTACCTTCTTCAGCCTAGTGCAACCAACGGTGTCACTGCTGAAATTTATGAGGAGGTGGACGAGGCAATCACCTACATTGCGGAATTCATTGAGAAGGAGTTGCTCTCAATCAAGTTCCAGCATGCTACAAAGGAGATCTTGGAGCTTATTACTGCTTCCGTGCTCAAGTTCAGAAAGAGATCCAACCCTGACTTCCTTAATATCCTTGAGTCGGTGGGTCAATGGAGATCGAATGAAGAGTCCAACTTCCCGTACAACAAGGAAGCCGAGGACATGATCGCAGCTTGTATTTCCACCATGGGCCCAGAGGCTGTTTTGGGTTCCCTTCCCCTTAACCTAACTGGTTCAAACAAGAACGAGCCAGGAAGAGCATGGATGTTACCTATTTTAAGAGACAATGTCAGATTTGCCTCGTTGGGTTACTATAAGCAGAACATTCTCCCACTTGTCACGTTCTTTGGAGAGAAAATTGAAGCTTCTTCTAACAAGGAGTCCATGCACATCAAGATCTTCGAGACCATTGTTGATCAGATCTGGTCGTTGTTTCCTCACTTCGCTGACTTGCCCACGGATCTCATTTCTGCATTTTCCGATGACTTTGCTGCCAGCTTAGCCGATCTACTCTACTCGAAGGTGGAATTGCGTGTAACCATCTGTCATGCCTTGAGATTGATGGTTGAATCCAACTTGGCATACAGCCAGGGAGCCTTGTCGGATGACCTTATGATCCAGGAGGATTTCCCATTCTCTGAGTGCGAGAAGAACTTGGCTTACTTAGCCACTAAATCGTCCAACATCTTGTCTGTGTTGTTCAATGTTTTCTCTTCCACCATGCCAGAATCTAGAGGTTTTGTTCTCGAAACCATCGATACCTACTTGCAAATTATTCCTGACGCAGACTTGGAGGTTACCTTCAACAAAGTTTGTGGCTTGTTGAAGAAGGCCATGGACGACGAAGCTGCTGAGAATGAGAAACCAAGAAAGGACCAGCCTCCAAAGCTTAGTGTCACTATGATGGACCTTGTGGTTGCTATGGCCAAGTACGTTCCATCTTCCTCTTACAATGCTTTGCTTTCTATCTTTTCAACTACCGTCAATTTGCAAAACGATGCTTTGATGCAGAAGAGATCATACAGAATCATTAACAAGTTGAACGAGAGTGAGCGTGGCCAGCAAATTATTTCGCAGTTCATCGCCGAGCTCGAGAAAGTGTTTGTTGACACCATCGGAACCACCCACACCTCTGCCAGAGCATCGAGATTGGCTGCGTTGGAGGTGGTGGTTAACATGTTACCTTCCACTGATTTGCATTTTATCCCATCCATCTTGCAAGAAGTCATCATGTCCACTAAGGATGTAAACGAGAGATCTCGTGAAGCTTCGTACTCCCTCTTGATCCAGATCGGACACAAGATGGCACAAGGTGGTGTCATCGAAAATAGCAAGGTTGCAGGCTTTGATGCCAACGCGGAGGCCACTGAAGCCAGTTTGACTGAGTACTTCACTATGGTGAGCGCAGGTTTGGCTGCTCAGTCCCAGCACATGATTTCTGCTACTATTACCGCCATTTCGTGCTTGGTGTATGAGTTCAAGGACCAGATGCCACAAGAGTTGTTGATTGAGATTGCTTCGACTGTGGAGTTGTTCTTGACGCATAACTCTAGAGAAATCGCAAAGTCTGCCATTGGATTCGTCAAGGTCGAAGTTTTGTCTTTACCAGAAGATCTTGTGCGTGCCAACTTGAAGGAGCTTCTTACCAAGTTGATGAAGTGGTCTCACGAACATAAGGGCCACTTCAAGTCAAAGGTGAAGCACATCGTGGAGAGATTGATTCGTAAATTCGGCATTGAAGCCGTTGAGGAGGCCATTCCTGAGGAGGACAAGAAGCTTGTTGCCAATATCAAGAAGACCAGAGCCAGAGCTAAGAAGAAGGAGGCTGCAGCCGAAGAGTCAGATAACAAACAGGGCAAGAAGTTTATGTCTGCTTACGAGGAGGCCGTTTACGACTCGGAGTCGGATGACTCTGGCGACGAGCAGGAAGACCAGAACAAGAAGTCCAGAAGAGGAAAGGGTGCTGACAGATATATCTTGGACACTGGAGACGAACCATTGAACTTGTTGGACCGTCAGACCTTGACACACATTTCTTCGTCCAAGCCTAAGAAGTTCACCAAGAGCGACATGAAAGAGGCCAAGATGAAGATGAAGGATGGTAAGATTGTTGTGAGAGAAGACGATGACGAGGACCTTTTGAGCAAGGGCTCAGGTATTGACGCCTACTTGGATGCTGTGAAGCAAGCACCAGTGAGAGGACAGAAGAACAAGTTGAAGTTCAAGAAGACGAAGGATGAAGAAGACTGGTCAGACTCGGAAGACGAGAAGCCTCGTAAATTGAAGAGTAAGGCTGACAAGAGATCGAGAGTGACGAAGCCCAAGCAAAAGTTTAAGGCCAGAAAGAAGCTTTAAATATGTATATTTAGGATTATCAGAGAAAAATTAGAAAAAGAAAATTGAAAATTAGAAGATAAAAAATTAGACAATTGGAAACCTCGAAAGATGTCAATATATTAAAGTGCATTCCCACTTGGTAGTGCGCGCATCGTGGAAAATTTGAAGATTTCACCAATAGTGATTTCTTTATAAACCGTCACCATGCCTATCAAATCGCCTATCAAAATTAGATTGGCCCGTTTCGGCAGAAAGTATCAGCCACTATACAACATCGTGGTTGCCAATAAAAAATCCGCGAGAGACTCGCTACCAATCGAGGTTCTCGGGACTTACAACCCTACGCCAATTCCTTTGAGTCCAGAGGAAAAAGCCAAAGGTGTGAAGCCTTACAAGAACATCGAGTTGGACTTTGACAGATCCAAGTACTGGTTGGGTGTTGGAGCCGATGTCTCCGACAGAGTGACGTTTTTATTCAAGAGAGCAGGACTACTTCCTGAGCTGTGGCCCAAGCCTAACAAGTTGACACAGATTGTTGAGAAACCCGTGGTGGAGGATCTCAGGGAGGAGGTGGAAGAGCCCAAGGCATTGTTCAGACCAAGAGTTTAGGGAAGACTGAAATACTGGCATTATTCGTGTATATATACATAGCTGAATCGAAGCTAAGAAAGAAGAACGGTAGGAGCTAGAACTTATGCTTGTGCCATGGCACGTATTTGCACTTGAAGCAAGATGAATCACGCAAAAAGACTCGATTACGGAGCTTTTTCTCCAGTTCAGCTCTGGCATCTTTGACGTCGAGTGCAACGAGTTCATTGAGTTGGTACACCTGGAGATACTCTTTATCTGTGGGGACATGGCTGCGGGAGTAGACGTGGGAGTTTTGAATATCTTGAATATTATGGTGTTGGTAAGGTTGCCGATTTGTTGTGGATTCTGACACTTGGCAGTCTCGATGATTTTCAGAGGATTTCAATATGTGATAATCTTGATGCATGTGACTACTGCCTATCTTCAACTCTGGACTATCCCCTGGTGAATCTGAAACCAATGGATCATCAGAACTCCCAATTCGTGGAGAAAACACCAAGTTTTCGGGTGACTCGGCTGTGCTCATATCTAGACCATCAAATACTTTAACGAAATCAGGTACTGGCAAAGGCTCTAAGTTTCCAATCGGTAGCATATAGGGGCCAGCATCCATTCTATCGTTTGTTCCCTTTTTCCGAATTACAGTTGTCTCTCTTTTTGAAGAATTATCCCAAATCTGTTCGATGTACAAATTCTCGTCGTAGATTCCGTTAAAGACGTCTACAAACATCTGGATGTAATTGACGGATTGAGCCGGGGTGCACCACGTAAGTGGATGTAGAGGAAATTCGGAAATGATCAGGAGAAATGTGGGCTTGATGAGACTTTTCTGAAAGTCATAGAGTGGAGTATATTTGAGTTTCAACGCTAGCTGGTCGACGTCTCTGAAATGACAGACGAAGTTCTCAAAGTGCTCGATGTCTGTGATTAGAACGTTGTGACCCTGCAAAAGCGTTTTGAAGTAGAGGAAGAGAACATTTGTTGGAACAGCATTTGATGTAAGTGTAGTGATGGTTTGAGACGTTTTCTCTAAAGTGTAGAGCATCATCGACGTATAGAGCTTCAAGGGAGTCAAGTTAACGGAAGTGTCGTCAGTTCGATCCCCCTCAAGCGTCCCATAGTAGACATTGAGAGCATTTCGGAAGTCATGAAGTGCCTCAAGTAGATAATTGGTTTGGATACTTGAGACACTCAACCCATGTTGAGCCGGGAGGCCATAATCTTCAGTCAAGATGCGAGGAAGATTGATTGGATTGGTAAGAGAGTAGATGAGAGCCACCAAACTGTACACCTCCTTGATCACCAAGTGACAAGTGCTCAGCTCCACCTGTTGACAGCACTCATTAATGCACCTAACCACCAACTTCTCCATAACCATATCAGAATTCTTCTGGAGAGCATATATGAACTCCGAGTACTCTTCACGGTTGGCTCTCACACAACGCTTAAGCAGAATCACGATAGCATTTCTCAATCTGGCAATCACAATGTGGACCATATCGAATTCCGTGTATCCACACAGCCCTATATACTTGATCAAGGCTAACGTTTGCGAAAGGGTTACATCTGAGAAGTCGAAGTGCGATTCGTCCGAACGGATTGTGGGGTAGTCAGTATAGATTCTCTTTGTGGAGAATGTAGTTTCAGTGGGAGGTTCGTGAGAAAGGTAGAGGGATGTCATTGGTGGGGGATATGAGAAAAGGAACAATTGTACAAATGGGTGCAAACTAGACGCACTGCGATAGAGATTGGAGAAATTACAAGAAGTGATGATGAGGAAGGTAGAAATACACAAAAGCTTAAATTATTTTCACAAAAAATAGGTAAAAGTAATGCTTAGATCAAGTAGTATAGAGAACAAAGAAATGAGGAAGAATCAAAGAATAAGATGAAATAGATGTATACTCAAAGCTCTAGGTGATCTAAGGACGTACCCTTTGAGAGACGCAGTGAGCGAGTTCGCAGAGTGGTACCGTCGCAAATGATGCTTTCATGACCCCGGAAATAGACAGAACTCAAAACAATACGAAAATATCACCGATGAACTAAGGGAATACAAACACTAATTGCCTGTCACTACTCACCCTTCTAAGTTCAATCCGCAATCACACTCACTCTACACTCTCTACTATAACTCAATCAGCTCAATCTATTATGCTTACACACGCTTAATCGAACAAACCGAAACCCATGTCGTCGTCAGACTCCTCCTCCTCTTCAGCTGGAGCATCCTCAGCAGCAGCAGAAGAGTCACCACCGGCAGCAGCAGCAGCTGGAGCGGCAGCAGCGTAAGCCTCTGGGTTGGCCAATCTGTCCTTGATGGCCTCAGAGCCCTCGAAGGTGTAGTCAGTGGCAATCGACAAAGCCAAAACGTTCTTGTAGTGGTTGACGACGGAGTGACCAACAGATGGCAAGGTTGGGTAACCAGCAGCCAAAGAGATGGAAGCGATGGTGTTGATGGCAGAGACGAAGTGACCGACCAACTCGTCATCGGTGATGTCCAAGATGGATGGTGGGAACACCTGACCGTTGTCGTACACCTGCACCACAGTCAAACCGTAAGTGAATGGGGAGATGTTCAACAAGTTCAACAAAGAAGCCTCAGATGGACCGACCTTGTTGTTAGCCTCAACGACCTTGACGTCAGAGACAATCTCAATGGTACCTCTGGCAATCTTGGTTGGGACACCCAAAGCCTGGAAGAAAGAGGTCTTACCTGGCTCCATACCGGTGTTACCGGCTGGGACCCAGACGTCCTTTGGAGCAACGGCACCGGCTCTGGCTGGAGCGGCAACGACGTTGGACACAATAACCTCTCTGATCTCCTTCAAGTCAGCGTTGGTGAAGATGAAACCAACGTTACCCTTGACGTAAGGCAACAACTTCTCGTACTCTGGCAACTCAGACAAGAAACCTCTGATGGCTCTTCTGACCATGGTGTTCTTACCCATCAACACAACAGCCTCACCTCTCAAGTTCTTTCTGACCTCGTGCATCTGCTGGGAGGAGACGTTGTCGACACCGACAATGAAGATCGACTTGTAGTCGGTCAACAACTCCTTCAACTTAGCGAAGTACTGAATCTTTTTGTCACGAGTTCCACCCATTTCGATTTATTTGTTCGTTAGGATTTTTAATGGTCTCTAATGAAGATGAGTTTTAGAAATATTGATGAAAAGTTTTTTGTGAGTGGGTGAGATTTTCGCAAGTCACGTGATATAATTAGGGCTATGGAGCCCTATATAGTGACACGTGAGTAATCAATTGGAGATTGTTATCAAGCAAAAGTTCATCTACTTATTTGATAATTGGGATAAATAGAGTTTTCAAAGGTCATAAATGGTGATTTGACAAGACAACTGGCAGCCTTTTCGAATACTCTTGGATGTTATTGGTGGTGTTGTATTGTATTCTCCAGATTCGAATATGCATGAATGAAGGTTGCAACTTTTGAAATCAACTTAACATGTATGGAAGAAATTAATAAAAAATTGTGAGTAGACATCAATTAAAAAGTGGTGGAATAAAATTCAATAGTATCTCAGAGGTATATCCTTATTTTTTGGTGCCAGACATTCTCTATGACAAATTGTTATATATTCTGAGATACCATCATACTTGATTGAACTTGACATGGTTTATCCAACCTTGCAAAATTTATTCTTCTTGAAAATTGTCACTGCGTTAGAATTTCAAGTAGCGATCAAATAATGTACTATTAAAAAGCTTCAAAATTTCTGTAGCCCTAACATTGTTAATCATCGTTTCAACTAGCTGCTTGATGGTATGAATCTTGCAATCTATTTCCAGTGCCAATTACGGCTGAAACAGTCGCTCTGGTTTAGCCCATAGTATCCACTCATTAGCGGCATTAAAATTCAACTCAATTGTCTTATTATTCGGCTGATACTTCGTTCCCTTCGCATCACTTGTTGCCAGAAAACACTGTCAATCTTTAACTTTCTTTTTCTGTTCATTATATCAATTCGTATATACTCAACCATAGCCCCGATGCTCATAGCCAGAGCTGACAAATGTATATTGAAGAAACAACTCCCAGAGCTGTTCCAAGAAATCATCGTCAAGGTCCTTGCTTTTCTTCGTTTCCTCCACCTCTCTCTTTTCGTCTTTACCCTTCTTGGCTTTATTCTTTTTCAATCTCTTGATAGGATCACCTAGTTCACGTGCCATCTTGAGCCATTCTCCAACAGTTGAGTCCTTCATCTCAAGAAATGGATCATCGGTACAGTATTCGATCTCGTACTCAAACTTCTTATCGCCCTTATTCACCGCGTCCAAATCAAGATAGTATTGAACATATCTCTCGGGTGTGAACAATTGAGGAACGTATCCTGGACCCAATTTGGCATCGGCTGGCATTTTAGGTGGGAAAGTCTTATCTTTCTTTTTCTTCTTGAAAATGGAGAATCCTTCATCCTCACTGTCGTCGTCAGCGTCCAAAATACCGTCAATCCTGGTGAAAAAGTCATCCCAACTCTCCACTTGTAGTGTTTCAATGTCGCACAACTCGGTGATGTTGTATTCCCACACTCTAACACCTGGATTGAACGTTGGCACCACACTAGCAGTCACATGAACAATAGAGTATCTTTCAGAGTTCTTACCTGACTTCTTAATACCTTTGACATTGGCGTAATAAGCCTCACGGAGCGATTCTAAGTATTCAACCTTTCCGCTAGGAATACCACCTTCAATTCTTACGTTGTTGGAAAAATCAAAGTTGAATCCAAGCTCGGAGTCAGCATCGTCATTGTAAATTGGACTGTTGAAAATCTTGTACAAGTCTTCAAGCTCAAGATCTGGGATGTCATCAACTTCTTCAGCAGAAATATCGTCGTCAAACGTGGAGAAGTCAAACTTCTCATTCTTAAATTTCTTCTGCAACGACTTGTATGCTTGCACGGAATCCAATGGAATGAAATGATCAATGTTCATATGTCCATACAAACCTCCAACAATAACGTCTCTAAACTCATGAGTCCAAGCAATGTACTTCCGAAGACACGAGATGTCATAGTTCTTTGCATTGGGAGGAACATGTCCAGTTAACCAGACCTTCATCTTTCTCTTCCGCATCTCTTTTAATACGTTGCCCAACCACAAGAAAAGTTTGTAGCCAGGGTCCTTTTTCCGGTCACACGAGTCAACAAGGGGATTAGACTGGAAAAGATAAAGAGTATTAATGGAAAGCACCGCCAATTGGTTGGGAATTACCTCCTGGAAGAAATAAGCTCCGCTGTTGAAAATATGCAACTGCAGTTGTGGAATGAACTTCTGCCACACTTTGAAGAACTCTCTGGTCTGTAAAGTAGGACCAGGTGCAAACAAATTGTGGGGGAAAACGTCATTATTACCCAAGGAAGGAATGGGCAACGTACCGAACTTATCATGCATCATATTGGCCATGATCTCATTCATTTCAAAAATAGACAGCTCCGTTCTCGGATGCTTTCTATCGTTGTCATGACGCATATTATCCCCAGTCCAGACAATAAAATCCACCTTGTCTTTTAAATTGTCAGCCACCCAATCGATTGTTTCCTCAACCAACTCCATGGGCGAGTCACACCCCAAGATGGCGTCTCCGTATTTTCCAGATTCTCCTTTACCAGAATGGCACATCTCATCATGCAAAGACCCGGGCTTGTAATGAGAATCTGGATGCATGTCTGTGATATGGACAAACCTGCCATGGATGGTTCGGGTAGCACCAGTGAGTGGATCTGTGATGTTCACGGGGTTTTTGGGGGTCAATCCCAAGCGCTTAAGGTGTTCCTTCTGTTCAGTGGAAAGTGGAACAGATGTGTACTTCACAGTTGAAGTACGAGGGGATGCAGCGAGCAGGAAAAGTGGCACAGAAAGACTGGACGAGAGCACCAAGAAACTAGCAGCTAGAGCCGCCAAAATGGCGAGAACTATACGGCTACTCATGTGGTTCTTAGGAAGTGGTATGGTAAGGCTGACATGGTGAGTATTAATTAAACCCGACCCGGTCACGTGAGTGGCTAAGAAAAAAAATATATATAAAATGGGTATTACACATAGAATGTGATTAGCATTTTAGGAGATTGAGAGGAAATAGAATCAATTAATATTGGAGAAGAAAAAAAAAAAGGGAAAAGGGATTTCTTATTGGGAGAAATCACATACTGGTGCTTTGCCTTTTAATTATTTCCTCATTCTTACAGAAGTCGTTCGGTTATGAGAGAACACGTTCTAGAGTGCACACAGGCAGAGAAGATGAGGGCCAATTAGCCCAAACCAGTAAAGTGGATACAGGCCAGAGCGTGAAGGGCCACGCTAGGAAAAGGAACATTTGACATGTATTTGGTTGCACATTGACACAGGGGTATTGAAATGCAGGGATGACATTCAAGAAATCCAAGGCATCCAACACCAAAATAGGATATATAATAGAGACGGAATTAATGGAGATGGAATCAATAGAGATGGAATTAATAGAGATGGAATTAATAGAGATGGAATTAATAGAAATGGAATTAATAGACGTAGAATTTAACATACATTAGACTAAATAGATACGGGAAGAAATATAGGGGAAGGAAGAGGATTAAAATTGGTACTTGATTTCACACATAATCGAATATAAAAGAAGGTAAATACAATTAAATAGAATAGACAATCCAAATCACATAGATAGATCGGGCTTTCCGAATACAAGGTTATTTGGACACAAATGATTGGATATCGGATAGATAGAATTGGATTACTCAGACCTTGTAAAATTACCGAAGTTGATTGGTTTAAACTATTGGACACTCACCGTGAATTGGAAAGCGTACATCAAACCCTTCCATATTTCCATGATAACTCTAATTCAGAATATGTCGCGTCCCTTACCGTAGACGAAGGACATTTCGCCTAAATTGCTAGACTCACAGCGGATCGCGTTGGCCTCGGCCTCCATTAACGGCTGGTACATGAACGCATAGCGTGGAAAAACACCAAAAACAAAAAATTAAATTCAATGGTTATGATTGTTCACGCTACCAATTTAGGAAATACGTAGACCATATCCACGCTTATGTGCAGGTGTAAATACTCCAGAGAATGGACAACCTGTAAACAAAGTTGCAAAGAGGCGAACGATGCTTGGTATGGAGAGCTTCAAAATCCACGAAAGAATCAACACATGCTCACCTTAAAATCGAGCCAATCAGATACTTACTCTGACCGATCTCGTTATTTTGTTTGCAGCTGTCCACAAAACCAACCAACCCCAACACATATAAATCAGCCTGAATCCCACCTTATTCACGGTTCGCGTATTCACGCACGTAATTATCCGCGAAGTAAACAACACAAAACATTCGGTAATTACTTGCATGGTGCCTGCAATTTGGGTGGATCAGGCAAAATAATGAAATAGTTCCGCTGTCTACTTAAAGGTGCACTGCCGCCTTTTTCTGCCCCTACCCTATCCCACCTATTTAATCTGGTCCCACACAAATTGTTGTGTTTTATATATTGCTGAATCATTGGCTTGCATCGTCTCATCTATTGGTGACATCTCTCACTTTCGTTCATTATTTTTTTCCATTCCATGATGCTCACTACTACTCCCGAAAGACAGAGACCTGTTTTGCCCTCTTTGGACGCCTTCAGAACTCCTAGAATGCTGCTTCCCCCATTATCGTCGTTGCTCAACGAATCCACTCCCTTCAGACCCAAATTACCATCTATCGACTCGTTTGCTACGCCCTACACCTCGAGCTATTTGGCTCCAGGATCTTCAGTGAACACCTCGACTGTCAACAGTGGAAACGCCACTGGATCTGAGCCCAGATTCGATAAACCCATGCTTTCGGTCACCACCAAGACGCCCGTGGCCACCACCACTAGCAGAACACCCGCAGTGAAGTCAGAAGTTGTGTCACCAGTGGATTCGTCCAAATTGGTCAATTCCACTATGGACTCCGACGCAGACACTTCCATCAACGACTCCATGATCAAGGTGTCGAAGAGGAAGACTTCCGCGACATCTCCCTCTAGAGATTTCGCCTTCATCTCCCATTCGCCTGCCACTTACCCATCCCAGGAGCCATCCATTGACAACGCATCGTTGGCCAGAAGAAAGAGAAGAAGAACTTCACCTTACGAGTTGTCGATCTTGAACCAGGAGTTCCAGTTGGGATCTACGCCTAGTAAGGCTAGAAGAACCGAGATTGCTGAGAGGGTCAATATGTCTGAGAAGGCCGTGCAGATTTGGTTTCAGAACAAGAGACAGTCACTTCGTCGTCTCAAATCCACCGACAGAGAGGTGACTGAATTGCCTCCTACGCCAGATTCATCCAGCGTAATGTCGGGCATGACTACTGAGGCTGTTCCAACTCCTTTGCAGGAGTCTACGCCAATTAAGCCTACTCTAGCTAAGGCGCATTCCCAGCTGTACACGGAATTCTCCACGTTGGCAGAACTGTCGCCTATCCGGTCATATTCCACTTCCAACTTGTCGCAGAAGCATGCCTTGTTGACTAAGAACCCCAACTCTGCCCTTCTCACCAAGATGCTTGCAAGTGCTGACGACGAGAAGAAGAAGTCGGAGCTTGTGTTGAATTTGACCAACAAGAAACAGCCTGAGTTCGCTCGTCATTCGCCTGCTGCTGCTACACAGGTGAGAACATTCAAGTTGGCACCATCCAAGGAGAGAAAGCCATTGGGTGTCATTGATGTCAACATCCCTTCTACTGCTGGAAAGGGCAGCGAGCTGCAGTGTGTTCACGGATTGCTTTCCTTGAGGGGAGCTACTTATTAATTGGAACTGAATGATAGAATTGTATATTAGTGTTAATGAATTGATGAGCCAGAGAGACAACAACCACTAGAAGCCATTGCAGCAATTAACCCCAAGCAATTGGAGCAACTGCAGAGAACCGTGACGAAGGTGTATTTCCCGCTTCTGATTTACTCTTGGTGCATAGACGCTCGCCAGAATTAGTTACATTCTAGGCAATGCACAGAAGGAAAGAAATTGGCTTTCCATGCTTTATCGTGTTTGGCGTGTTTTTTCCAGGGTCTATTGAATTAGACTCTAAGCAGTATGCCTGAACGTGTTCTCCAAGATCTTGTTAGTGACGTCAAACTCGATCGGGATGGGTTGACATCAGTGATTGAGTTAAGGGACATTCATGATTGACTCAATCATGAAAAAGAATGGATTACTACCGTAGAATCATGTTTACGTTCTTATTTGATATTGACGTGTAGTTTCTAATGCAAAGAGAGGATTCTCCACACTTTAGGTTTCTCCACACATCATTCCCCAACACTACATCATCTCCACATTCTCGACTTTTCAAACCCTTCCAAATCGTCGCCAATGTATGGGGACCATCTCCACATTCTCTCTTTTCACTCATTTCTATGTTCTTTCTTCTGTTTCCCTCTCTTACACCCTTCTCACATTCGTTCCGTATTACTATACACCCTAGTTGGCAACAGCAGCCTGGTTCTGCGAGTTGGCCATCACTCTATCGGTTCTCTCAGCATCAAACTCAAAGTCAAAGTACGACTTGTCGTAGTAGTGCACTCTGATGAAACCATCTTCTCCTCCGGAAACATACCCAAGTCCATCTGGGTGAACAGCCACTGTGTTCAAAGGACCGAAATGACCCTTCACTCTACCGATTTCATCCATGAAGATTTTGTGATAGAATCTAGCCTCGAATTTACCTTGAGATTCGGCAGTGGTGGTGACGTTTCTGGCTTCCTGACCTCCACCCAAAATGACAAAGTTCTTCTTTGGCGTAATGGCAGCAGTGTTCATAGGCGCATCGGCTTTGTAAACCTTCAACACTTCAAACGTGTCCACATCAATCAATGTGGCGTTCTTGTCTTTGGATGCGGTGATGAAGTACAGTCTGTCCTCTGGAGCAAACTGGATGTCGGTGATGGAGACAACCTTCTCCTCGTTGTGGATGCCGTGAGCCTTGACGGTCTGGATGAACTGACCTGTTTGGCCGTCGTACTTGGACACATATCCGTCCTCGTGGCCAGCAATGATGTACTTACCCTCAGCAGACCATCCAGCAATTGTCACCTTAGTGGCGTCTTCTCTGGTCTCGATCACGAGGCTGGGCTCGTCCTTCTGCTGAGTCAAGTTGTCGTAATTTATGTCATAAACGGAAATGGCACCTTTGCTGCCCATAACCTTGTCGGTCACTGCCAACAACTTCTTATTGTCTGGCGAAAATGCCACTCTTCTCACAGGAGAAGATGTCTCCCACTTGTAAACACACTCTCCAGTCTCGGCTTTCCACAATCTGATGGTAAGATCGGCACTTCCGGTGGCACAAAGCACGGTTTTGGAGTCCACGTCGATGGACCAGATGGTACCTTGATGTCCTTCCAAGGTTCCGAGTCTTTCTCCGTTAGACGAGTACCAGATGGATGCAGACGAGTCCTTGGCCACGGAAAAGAGAAGATCTCCCTCTCTGTTGAACTTGACCTGGGTCAACGAACGCTCGTGTCCCATCAATTTGATCGGTCTCATGGTTGTAGTTTTTGATAATGATGGAATGTACAGAAAAACTTTTCATTAGAGTGCGGTCGTGTAAGGCACATAGTTGGAGGAGGAAAGATGGAGAATGATTGAAATATTTGAACGTGAAGTTCGACTGATATTTTAATTAATTGTAATTTATATATATATAAAATTGAATTCAAAAGTTTTGAAGGTGGAGAGAAGTTTTGTTTGAAAAATCATGATCTCTTGAGATGACTCTGGCTGACTTTACCAGACATTTCGCAGCCATTTGAACGAATAGATCTATGGGTAGTGGATTTCTCTGGGTACTTCAGTAAATGGGTTCGGAAGGTTGAAATTCTATCTTATGGGCTATCAGAGTTTCGATTAGGGTGCACCGTTTTTGGGAATTTGTTCTTCCCCTAGTGAATGCTTCAGATCATGGACCAAGGATTGTCTCTGTGAACAAGGTTCTTTGGCTAAATGAACTATCAATTATCTTTCATTTTATTTTAACTACTAATCCAAAGAAATTTAAAATTTTCTTGGGTGTTGTCGAAACTGTTTGAGTATAAGTATAGGTATGAGTATTGATTGGCCAACACTTGCTGCATGAAGTGATGAATCTGGGGTCAAGGAGAAATTCTTGCTAATGGATTACATATCGACTGTTATGTATTGATAGAGGACTTGAGATTTGACGGTGTAAATTGCCGTGGTATTAACTTACTCTGGAAGGCTCCACTAATCAATCGGACTCTCTCCATACATTTAGAACATGTGCAAATTCATTTTTGAAGAGATTGGCAAAATAGTATTGGACCCTATTTGGAAATCGTTTAAAATCAATACTACTGAAACCAGTGATCTGCCCATTTACATTAAGCTTATTTCACTCATACTACTTGGATTCATCCATTCTTAAATGAACTGCCTGTTTCATTCTAATGCCATTTCTACCGTCGAGCTCACTTACCCTGAAGATCCCCCAATCTTGTCATCTATACTATTCTTGCCTTTTCAGTAACAAACATGTATTTGTGTACTTACTTAATTTTGTATCATTTTTTTCCGAAATAATTTCATCGTCTTTCCAACCTCTCTTTTTATCGAAATTTTTTTTTTTGTTATTTTGTTTCCTTATCGTTTCTTCATCAACAACTCATAAAAACCACACCGTCTTCTCATTTTATTTCGCTTATTTCTCTCTTCTCATTCTGCTTTCTACCATTAACAGACATGCTCGATCGCCACAGGCTTGGTGTCCTTCTCTCCCAAGTCCAACTTCAACTTCCGGTTAAACAAGTCAAGAAGCCACTCGAAACACACCTTTGTCACACCGGGATCGTATCTGTCCTTCGACTGCTCATCACGAATGAATGCATGCTGCGCATCGTTGACCTCAATGAATGTAAGTTGAACCTTGTTCTTTCTCAATGTCGAACGAATCAAGTCTCTACCCTCAAGTGGAACGTGCGTATCCTTGTCTCCAAACACCATCACCAACTCACCCTGGATCTCACCACTTCTCTTCAACGAGTCATCGTTCTTTCCCTTTCCAAGAGCATGGATGTGGATGTCGGTAGCGAAGAAGCAGAAGGCAGCCAGAACACGAGCATCCAAGGCTGCTCTGAAGGCCAAATGGCCTCCCAAACACATTCCGGTGGCTCCAATCTTGCCTGTGCAAGTAGGTAAGTTGCGCAAGTACTCAATGGCCAAGTTGTTGTCTTCATCGTAAGACTTGAGCTCTTTCTCGATCTTGTAACGGTTTCCCTTATCTGTACCCTCTTCGTCGTAGGCCAATGCCTCGTGCGACTCAAAGTTGTGGTAGATAGATGGAGCAACAACCACGAAACCCTGTCCGGCGATATCTTTGGCGAATCTGGCCACAGGGCCGGTGACCTGGTAAATTTCCGAGTAGACAATGACTCCAGGAAATTTGGCGTGAGGGTAGTTGGGAACCACGGGATGGTAGACGAAAAGTCTCATGGTGGTTCCGTAGGAGGTCTTGACATCATGGAAGGATTCTTTGAGCAACATAGTGATAGTAGTAGTTATGAATTGGAAGATAGGAGTAGGAAGAAAATAAGTGAGAACGATCGTCTTTACCTGTGTAGTTCCGTATGCACTTGGAGGGTGTGAGGAGGAAGTTATGGGGAGGGTGAGTTAAATGTGAGTTGAAGAGAGTTGCAGAGATAATAATTTGATAAATGGCTTGAAATTTTGAAATTTTGAAATTATGAGGAGCAAAGCATATTCTGGCTGAGAAGTTGTGGAAATTTTGTTTTGTTGGAGATTGTGGAATTGGTCGAGCATTTGGTAGATCGTGGGGAATATGTAAAATTGAGAACAAGGTCACACACATGGAAATTGACCTGAAAACTTAAGAATGATAGAATCTGAAATTTGAGAATATGTTGATTTTAATAAATATATTGAAGCTTATCAGAATGTATGAATCTTGATCGATAAGGGTCTGATTCCACCTCAATGGTAGCAAAAGACCATTGTCTTACTCTACATGTCTTTACTCTACCTTTTGTATATTTCTACGTAGTCTATCGACTTTCATATCAATTATTTCTTAGTCTCTCCTGCTGCCTTTCTTGCATCCGCTAGTCGTTAGTTTCATTGCACAGTAACACATTCCCTGACTACATACCTTCAGCTTGTTTTCTTCTCATTTTCTCAGCGTCCGACTCCATTCTCTTGGATGGATCGCCTGCCTTCTTCTGGCTCTTGCTCTGCTCCTGCTGCTTCTTCTGGTTTTTGGCTCTTGCCAAATCTCTTTGGTTGCCTCTTGCCATGGTTGGTGGTTGGAAAGAAATTCTCTTGTGGGATGAAAACTATTGGTGATACGGCACGTGACCACAGACCATAAATCTAAAACCTATTCTATAATTATTCGATTATTTAAATAGAATTTCTTAACAATTTCTTTAGTTCAATTTATTTTCTACTATATCTTGGGTTTCTTTATATCAAATTGTCCCTACTAATTCATTCCTTCTTTCCCATTTATTTGACACCGCATCCTACATCAATTGTGCTTCTCATAAATTATTTGGCTTCCTCCAACTCAAACACAACGTCCTTGTCCACCTTCGGATCATATGGCTTTAAAAGAAACTTGGAAAATTTCTTCAAGTTCTCCACACCTCGGATCTCGCCTCCAAGCAATGGCATCTTTACCAAATGGTAGTCCTCATACAATTCACCCATCTGGTCCAAGTACTTCTTCTGCATCTTCCAACGTGACTGACATCTCTTACAGTCGTCCTCCTCGGCGAAAAGCAACTGGTTCACCACAATGGAGTTCACATCCATGTTGTAGCTCATCAATTCCTGGATCATTCTCTCGGTCTCGTACAACGACAAAAACTCGGAGATACACACGCACACGAACGTCGTCAAGTCTGGGTTGGTAAATTGCTCATTGACCTCGCTAACGTTCTTCTGGATCTCGTTCAACTTTGCAAACATGTCCTGTTGCTGGCCAGCACCACCTCCCAACATGTTCATCATTGGTCCAAGCTTGCCAGACAAAGCCTGGAACTTGCCCAACAACTTCTCCAAAGTAGCAGGCAACTGAAGAAATCTCAAAGTGTGGCCGGTAGGGGCAGTGTCGAAGATAATGGTCTTGTAGGAAACGGCATTGCTGTCAGTCTGTTCATCAGCAGCCTTTTGGTTCTTGATGTGCTTCAAAACCTCCATGAACGACAAGGCCTCATCAATACCTGGAATGGAGCCCGTGAAGTCGCCCATCATACTCTTCAATGGGTCGTTGGGGTCGTTATTGTACTGCTGGGCCTGGTTTTGCAAGTCGGTCATGGCAGCCTCTGGGTCGATCTCCATACACGAGAGGTTAGGCAAACCCTCCACTTTTCTGGCGTCCTTACCAAACTTCTGGCAGAAAGCATCCGACAAGTTGTGAGCTGGGTCGGTGGAAATAAGCAAAAATTGGTCATTTGGGTATGCCAATGCCAACTGCACTGCTACCGAAGATGACGTGGTGGTTTTACCGACACCACCTTTACCTCCAACGAAAATCCACTTCAAGGAGTCCTGCTGGATAATCGACTCAAGCGTAGGTTCCAATTCGAAGTCCATGTTAATTAATTTGTAGTAAGAATGGTGATTTCAGTCCAGGTTCGCTGGCTTTTCTATATGCTTCTATTGCTGTGCAGGCGAGAGATTTGGAGATGTAGATGGCATGTAGAGGAGATTAAGTGTAATGTGGGAGGAATGAAAAGAGAATAAATGAATTTGGATTCAGAATGCTTTACCTTGGATATTTTGTCCCCCCTTGTTCTTTTTTTTTCTCATCGTTCATCTTCTCTCTCGTTGTTGAAGGCTACCTGTTACCCCAGTGATCGGTTACTAACTGAAGATGTACTCTCACCTCGAAAAATTTATTCTTAAAATATACTCATCATCAACATATCGAGAAACTCGTATCATTAAAAAAATAAGTCTCAATGTCCAACTTCAATAATTCTAACTTCATCGCCATCTTCATCTCGTGCTCGATCTGATGGCCACCGACATACCCCAGGAACATATAATTCACTAAGACAAGAGAAGATTGGAGCATCATCTGTAAAAACAGCTTGTTTCTGGTTGTTCCATTTAGATTGTTTCCAGCTGATAGAAGGAAATTGCCCAATTTCCCATATCCTGCTTCTCACATGACACTCGATGGTAGTTAAGGTAACAACTGGCCGTACACCATAGCCATCGAAGTTACAACTATGGTCAATTACAAATTTTCTCGACAGAGAAGTTCCTATTCCCAATGCTGACTTAATTCCGAAGAATGGAATGGGTGCTCCAACTGTGACTCCGCCAGTGGTTGCTCCACCTGCACCAATGGTGAATTTGAATTCTAGAGCTCCAGAAGTATTCTTATTAGAAAGATAAATACACGAAGACAACAGGATCTGTAAAGAGTCTAATTCCTGCTTCAGACTCACTTTCATTTCGGTGAATTGGATCTTGCCAAGTGACTTCTGAATAACTTCGGACATTTTCAGCTTCTTCTGAACAGAAGTCAGCTTTCTCTGAATGGAAGCGTTGTCGATCTCAGACGGATAGAGGAGTGTCATTTCCTTCTCGCATGTAACAATAAAATTGGGATACTCTGTGATCAAGCGTTCAACTTGAGCCTTGGTGATGGCTTCACAGCTGCTCATCCTCATTCGCTTAATTGGCTTGTTTTGGTATTCCCCTATGGGGGATTCCGAATAAACACTAGTTTGCTTAAGGAGAGTGTATTCATTTTCAAGTTGTAGCGAATCTGTTAAAATGCTGGAAACGTTGAATGTGGTATTGGAGTTGGCGATTATTGGATGTGCAAGACAGATACCAAGCGCAATGATGTACAAGGAGCACATCAGCAAGTGTATAATGCGCATCAAAGACAGAAAATAAAAAAAGGAGAAGTAATTACGGAGCTTTAACTTCTTTTATACACATAAAAGCTTATGCCATAAGTGAGACGGGTCAATTTGCCATGAATAAGGTATGCTCGTGAGATTGAAGTGTGGAAGCAACATATTAGATAAGTTGAGGAATAATCATGAGCACTATAGTGATACGGGGATATGAATCACATACCACTTTTGCCAAATTACACTAAGCGGGATGATCTTGTCAACTGGAAAAGAGCCGGCCATACTTCTCTTTTGCTGTAATGAGACAAACGGTCCATCTCAAAGAGGAACACGAAGCCTCCACTACCACCTCGGAATTAAAATAAAAACTCCATTACAACCCTTTCTAAAACCTCTTTTGATTCCTGACAATTTAAATTCATCTGGCCACGCTCCACTTTGACCAAGTTTTTACAGTTGACTTTTCGCAGCCAAAATGTTTTCCCATCTACTCGACGTCCACCACTCGAAATTTGTAAAAAAACTCATTATCAGGCAAGAAAAGACAAAATATGACAGAAACAAGGTGAAAATATAAAAATTTGTGAATTTTAAGAGAATCATCAAAATGATTTCCCTAGTCAAACAATGACAAATTATATAGAATACTTCCGATATAGTGTAACGGCTATCACGGTTCGCTTTCACCGAGCAGACCCGGGTTCGACTCCCGGTATCGGAGTCAATATTTTTTTTTTCTTTTTTGGTTTCGATTTCAATTATAGAAGCCTTTTAGTCCATCTATCCAAATTTTTTGCTTCTTACCTCCAGATTCGTATCCCACGTGTGGAGTACCGCCCTATCTACCAGCACGGCTGTATAACGGATGACACCTTGACCAGTGCAAAAAAATAAAAAAAGAAACCTTCGAAAACGGACTAGCAATTAAAATTACTGAAAAGAGCCCCCAGCTCATGACCTTTTGAGCAGCACCATATTACTGTGCCATTAATCTAACCAAAATCGAGGCAGAATTCTTCATATGTACTTGTGAACACCAGTGTTCTCCCCCAATTTGTTAATTTATTGTTAGTGCTCATCTCACCTGTCAAGAGTGTGTGCAATGAAGTTCGCCAAGGTGCTCCAGCAGACTTTATTAGAGGAAGATATTCCAGAAGAATGGGTGGAGGCTGCTATTCAATACAAAGCGCTCAAGAAATATATCGGCAAGGTTGTGCATGAGTTGGAGTTCTTGGGTCTTTCCAAGTCCGACTTGAAGCTTTTGCTAGATGATGAAACCACCAAGCGGACGGTGGAGTTAAATGACGAAGAAACGGTGCCAACCAATCCTATTGTTGCCGAGTATTCGCTCAAAAAGCTGAGAAACTCTGAAGATATCGTGGCATACTTGAAGATCACCTTGAATGATACTGAGAAAACGTATAACGAAAACCATATCCAGGAGCTAGCGGACCAGATTCGGGCCCGGATTGACAAGGCGACATCCACCGATGAAGAGGACCATCATATTGTGGAGATCAAAGAGGAAGATGACCGTTTAGTGTTGTCTCCAACTACATCTCGAAAGGAAGAGATGGTGACGGTGCAGAACAACAACGAGATCATTATCATGCTCAAGTCAGACACCAAATTCTTCAAGATGCTAAACTCTGAGCTTGGAAATCTTGATAGCATTCGGAACCAGGAGGAGAAGTCGTTGATCGACCACATTGAGCAGATCAGTGATGTAGTGCTGTCTCTTTCACATAAAAAAACTGATATGTACAAGTGGAGAGAGCTATTTCGGATTTATCTTGACTCGGAGGTATTCTTCAGGTACAACGAGACGACGCTGTTGCAGCTGCAGCGGAGCTCGGAGCAGATCAGAGCCAATCTCGATGAATTCATGGGCCGTGTCCAGAAATCTAACGTCGTTAATACTCTTGACAAGAAGAGGTCGGTGACTGCCTTCAGTGAGTTTGTTGAGCTCAATGAGCGACTTTTAAAGATCCTTCTGTTCCAGGCCATCAACAGCACAGCGTTGAGAAAGATCTTGAAGAAATTCGACAAGCAAACGGCGTTGAATATCTCAGCTAAGTTCCCAGACCTCATTTCAAAAGATCATATCTTTATCACTGGGTCATCGTTAGCACAGTCCATCTGCTTTGTGATGCAGAACAAGCTTCTCACGCTCATTCCCCAGATCGACGACTACACATGTGCAATTTGCATGTCCATTGCATTCAAGCCTATTCGGCTTGAGTGTGGCCACTTTTTCTGTGTTAGATGCTTGGTGAAGTTGAAACAGCGTCACAAGTTGGACTGTCCGTTCTGTCGTGCTAAAAATGCCGTTGTCAATGCAGATTCCAGCAATTTGGACACGGAAACCATGGCAATGATGCAGAAATACTTTCCGAGGGAGGTCAAGGAGAAGTTGAAGGAGGTGGATCGTGAGAAGTTTGGAGATGTCCACAACAAGCAGTGCACTATTTCTTAACTGAGACAGAGATTGAGATGTGGAGAAAAAAGAGAGAAGGGAAAGCAAGAAAAGAAGTAAAAGAGGAGGATTAGAAGAGGTGATCTTATAGTTTGGATATTTAGGAGTTTAGAATCGTATTTCATTATGGTGTTAATCGCTAATATAGCACATCTTGAGATCATAAAGACTGTGTAGGAAGTGCTCACCTAATAGTCCACTACCATGGATAAATCCACCAGATATGATCGTCAGCTACGTCTTTGGGCACAGGACGGCCAAACAAGATTGGAAAAGTCACATGTTTGCCTCGTCAATGCCACCAGCACCGGCTCGGAGATCTTGAAAAACTTGGTACTTCCCGGAATAGGTTCGTTCACCATTGTCGACAGCAGGAATGTCGAGGAGGACGACCTTAGTGGCAATTTCTTCTTGCAGCAGCTGGATTTGGGCAGGAACATTGCCCAGGCAATGAGTCAATGTCTCGGGGAGTTGAATCCCGAGGTTCGAGGTATCGGTATTTCTCAGGACTTGGAATCGTTGATCCAACAGCCTGATTTCTGGGCCAATTTCAGCGCTGTCATAGTCAGCGAGAGAGTCAACTCATTGATCTTGCTGTCATTGAAGCAGTTGTTGTGGGACAAGGGCACGCCACTTTTGGTAGTGTCAACATGTGGATTCTACGGAACCGTTCACATCATCAATAAAGAAACAACCGTGGTGGAAACCCACGACCCGTCCAAGTTGTATGACTTACGAATCGACTGTCCTTGGCCAGAATTGGAGAAGTACGCCGATTCATTCGTTTTGGAAGATCTTGACGATACTGAACATGCCCATGTGCCATACATAGTTATCTTCATCAAGGCACTTCGTGAGTGGAAACTACGCCACAACGGTAATGCACCACTCAATTACGCGGAAAAGAAGCAGTTCCGCTCCGAGTACATCGAGGGAATGTCTCGGGATATCAGACTCGAGACGAACTTCATGGAAGCATCTCAGTCGGTGCATCGAGCATTGCAGGTCACTGCGGTGCCTGATTCAATCCGGAAACTCTTTGACAATAGCATTATTGATGATTCAAACTTGAACTTGAACACTCCGCCATTCTGGCTCTATGTGAGAGCTCTCAAGGACTTCGTGGCCCATAAAGGGCAATTACCGTTGCCAGGGAATCTTCCAGACATGGCCTCCAAGACATCCAACTACGTCAATCTTCAAAATATCTTCCGTGCAAAATGTCTTGAAGACCAGAACATCTTCAAAATGTTGCTTCTTGAGCTCTACAGAAGAATTGGCCGCTCAGAGTCTGAACTCGACGATGAGTCTATCTCCACCTTCTGCAAGAATGCTGCGTTCTTGTTCATGTCACATGGAAGTCCTTACTCGTACTCACCAGCGCTCAAGAAGGAACTTCTAGAAGATTCAAATGACTATTCGAGTAATGCTAGTATATTGGCGATACACTTTGGTATTTTGGCGTTATATGAATGGATGGAGGTGAGAGAAACTGATTCCTTAGCGAGCTATTTGAACTTTTTCAAAACTTTATTGTCTACAGACGAATTGAAACTATCAGAAAAAGTCCTCAACGTATTGAAGGAAATCTTCGTGCACCAAACATCCAATTACCACAACATCGGCAGCTTTATTGGCGGTATAGCTGCTCAGGAAATCTTGAAAATAACAACCGAGCAGTATATCCCACTTGACAACTTGTATGTGTACGACGGGATCCGGTCAGTGAGTTGTAAGTGGAAAGTGTGAAATGTACGATTTCATAGCTAATAGACTAAATGAATGCTGCCAAAATCATAAATCGTCAAAAGATCCTTGCATTTGCGAATTGCTTTTTGGTTTCTTGTTCTGTCTTACCAAATCCTTCCAGTCCACCTGTGTTTCTTCATCCTCTGAAGACTCTTCCATGAGTTGTTGCTGAATAGCCTCTCTCTTTCGCTTATTCTTTTCACGTCTCTCTGCCTTAGTCTCCTTTGCATCTGCTTTCAGCGACCACGACTCGTTCTTCTTCTTGAGAATCTTTCTGGCTTTAGCATCATTGATCTTCTTCTGCTTCTCCTCCTCCATGGTCTCCAATCTGGATTTTTCCCTGGCCTCATCTGCGTAGGCGTAGGTGTTCATGTCAGACAAAGCCGAGGTCAACCATCCATTCTCAGGCATCAGTTCCTGCGAAATGTACCTCGTCTCTGGCATTTTCGGCAACCGAAGTAAAGCATACATTCTAGCAATGCCTAAGTAGTCGAGAGATTGCATGCGGAAAATGGATGATGCAACATGTTTCTGATAGTATCTGACGAATGCAACATATGACTTTACAGCAATCTCATGACGTGCCCGATCTGCGAGCATGTACTTCTGAGCTTTTTCCTGAAAATCCTGGTGGAAATCGCCAAGGTCTGGAGCAGCCATTTCTGACATTTGAACACCCTTTACCTCCATGAAATCAACGTAGTCCTCCTCCATGGAATCTTTGTTCAACATCACCACTGCCCGCCCAACCTTATTAGCTCGTCCTGTTCTTCCACATCTATGCAAAAACATTTCCGGATCAGTAGGAGGATCAAGTTGGATGACAAGATCCACGTCAGGAATGTCAATACCTCTAGCGGCTACATCAGTAGTCATGAGTACGTGCTTGGAAACATTAGAATCTCCATCGGAGAAATTATTGAGTGTTTTCAATCTCGCACTGGTTGAAAGTTGTCCGTGCAAGGAATGGAATTTAACGGGATAGTTAGGGTCCAGCTTCAAGATGCTGAAAACGTTGATGAAATGCTTGACCGAGCTGCAAGTGGGGAAGTAAACAATGCATTTTTTGAAACGGTAGTCGTTAGCAATCTTCAACATGGTAGTAAGCTTTTTCTCTGGCTCAACGAGCATATACTGGATAGTCAAGGACGAGGGAGCAGCCTTACCTGCCGATTTCGACTTGACAGCGATTCTCACAGGATTCTGCATTCCCGTACGGAAGATCTTATCACCAGCAGCGGAAAGTGTGGCCGAGAAGAGACCAGTTCTTCTCTGTTTAGGAAGCTGCTTCAAAATCGACACGACGTCCATCTCGAACGACATATCCAAGAGTTTATCTGCCTCATCCAACACTGCAATTTCAACCGACAGCGTATGCACTTTCTGAGAGGCTAAAAGATCGAGAAGACGACCTGGTGTGGCAATAATAATGTGGTTCTTGCTTGTGAGGAATTCTTCCAAGTCTCCACGAACAGTGTTGAGAGACCCCAACACCAACTGGGTCTTAATTTGGGGGAGATGCTCCGGCAAATACTCCAAAATGCTTTCCAACACCTTCTGAATCTGACTGGCCAACTCTCTAGTTGGCGACACGATGACTGCAAGCATGTGGCCCTTTTTTACTGGCTCAGGCTTCTCAGTTGAATCAATTGGTCCATACAATCTGTTGGACACATGCTGCAACACGGGAATGGCAAACGCTAGAGTTTTTCCCGAACCTGTGACAGACTCGACCACCACGTCTTTATTTCCACAGAAAAGTGGGATGGTGGATGCCTGGACTGGAGTCATGGAGGTAAAGCCCAAGGAAGTGATGGCTTCCTGGATCCACGGATGGATGGTTCCGTTAAGTTTTTCCCACAGTAGCGATGACATTCTTTTATAGATTTGAGTTGGATCTCCAAATTAGGGGCTCTGGAATTTGGTTTCCTAATTGGTTACTTGATATAGATAAGTAAGTGATGATGATCTCCATCTCATCTCTGCGTGCACATGCAGTAACATTTTTCTGCACTACTCACTACTGGATGTTCAAAAGAGTCATGGCAGCCATTTTCAATGCAGAGAAGGCCGCTGTCCGGGCTGTTGAATATGAGAAGATGCTGAAAAAACAGCTCATCAAAAGGCTCCAGGAACTTGAAAACTCCGGCGACGCTGGCGAAGTCGCACCTACTAGCATAGGAGAAGTTGGAAGTGAAATCGCCGGTGGAAACATTGCAACAAAAGCCAAAAAGAGAAAATTCGACTTCTCATCGCATCCCAAACGGTTCGTTGCGTTCCGTTTTGCCTATATGGGCTGGAACTATAACGGGCTCAACTTCCAGTACGAGCCAACTCCGCTACCTACAGTGGAGGAGGAGATTCTTTTAGCCATGACCAAAGCCAAATTGGTGCCTGAGGCTGATCCAGCCAGTTGCAATTTCAGTCGTTGTGGCCGTACAGACAAAGGTGTGAGTGCATTGAACCAGGTTATCTCGTTGGATGTTCGGTCTTCACTTTCTGCTGAAGACCAGAAAATTCAGCTGAACGACAAGAAGGAGCTTCCGTACCTTACCATTTTAAATGCACTTTTGCCACCAGATATCAGAATCACAGCCGTGTGTTTGCGTCCGCCAGAGGGTTTCGATGCCCGTTTCAGTTGCTCGTACAGACACTACAAGTACATTTTCAAGAAGGCCGACTTAAACATTGATTTGATGAAAGATGCTGCTGCAAGGTACGAAGGACCCCACGACTTCCGGAATTTCTGCAAAATTGACGGATCCAAACAAATCACCAACCATTGCCGTGAGGTGTACTCGGCCAAGATCGTTCATCTCCACGATGACTTATACGTGTTTGACTTGAAGGGAACGGCGTTTCTCTGGCACCAGGTACGGTGCATGGTTGCTGTATTGTTCATGGCAGGCCAAAAGTTGGAACTACCATCCATTGTTGACGACTTGCTTAACATAGGAAAATACCCTAGCAAACCCGTATACGAGATGGCCAACGACATTCCTTTGGTGTTGTACGACTGTGTTTTTCCAGAAATGGAATGGCTCAACTCTGCAGATGACTTTGAGGGCACCCAGAAACAGAAACTCGCCAAGGAGCATGGGCGCTTCAACGCTATGCTTCTAGATTACCAGCTTAAGTCATCCATTGCCCAAATGGTTGAGTCCGTATTTGTCAAGGAGTTTGAAAATGAGAGCCAGCATCAAGATGCGGGCACCATCAATGTTGGAGACGGTCGGGGCCGCAACTTCAAATGCTATGTTCCACTTTCAAAGAGAGAGCTAGGTGACACGGTGGAGACTGTCAATGCCAGACATCGGGAAAAGAAGCAGAAAAAGGGAGAGGCCAATTAGAGGAGAAACGACTCTGTTGAATAATTAGAAGATCTAACTAGGGTTAAGTAGATCAACTATGGATTAGACCAAACACAGAAACATACCCTTATATTCCACTACACTGTAACATTACTCCATACCGTTAAAATCTACTTTGAGATCCACGATGGCTCCCAGAACTGCCATTCGCCTGTGGGCCCCTGGTTATCGATCCATAGAAACCCGTTCAGAATCATATCGTCCATTACACTCTTCAGCCGCACGGAATCCCACCCGTAGTTGTCACGGAGAAGTCTCAGGGTTACATAGCCTCCCATGAACTCACAGAGCTCATAGATCTTCTTGTGGTCGTTAGAGATTCCCCTAGAGCCTGAACCTTCAACGAATTTGATCCACTTCTTGTGATTGATCTCCAACACCTCAAAGGCTTTGCCTAGCGCGTCCAATACCGTCATTGCCTTGGCTATGTCATCGTCCGTGATTTGCGTGGGCACATTCAGTGAGTCCTGGAATCGAGACCGTAGTTCCTTTAACGATATAAGCCCTCCATTTAGGTCTCTTGTTTCCTGGCAGATTTCAACCACTCTAACGGCAAGAGCCAAATAGAAGTTGTCTTTTCTTTTCTGTTTCGACGACAGGAAGAGAAGAAGCTCAAGCGGATCCACACCGATCAGGTAGCACATCTGGGTGAAGTTGCTTCTGAATTCTGGATTGTTCTTGATAGTATCCTCATGTTCGCTGGCAAAGTTGATGAGTGCCGATTGGTAAACGGCAAGTTGTGCTGAGAGTTCATCCGAATGTCTTTGGCTGAGTTGCTGGCCGAGTTGGGTGTAGGCCCCTCGATCTACATCAAATCTCTTCATGGTGGTGGTATGTGAGTGTGCAGTAGTGAAGGTAGCAGATAGATTGTGGAATGTACAATAATGTTTCCCAATTTAATGCACAAAATACAATTAAATCCAATGAAGGGTACAATTTTGTGTATGCAACAACCTCTCATACTGTCACATATATGTTTCAATTAAAATCACAATTAAAGTTACTTTTTGAATTTTTTTATTATTTCTGATGCTAAAATCCTCAGACTTAATAGTATTCATGGTTCCTCGGAATCACATCATGAACTCCGCACCAAAAACTCCCAGGTTTCTCACCTGTTCCAACTTACTACAATTAAGTCTCAGTAACACCATCAAATAATTCCAAACACAGGTTCGGATTACCCTGCTTGAAACTTTAAAACCCCAAAACAATCAAATTGTCCACTTTTAAATTTTGTTCCCTCGGCCCATCGTCTCTCGGCCCAATCGCCAATAACCTGTCCGGGGACTGTGTGGAGATACTCTGTGGAGACACTCACGTGAAATTCAAATCCACCTCTTCTCTACCATCTGAACCCAAACAACATCCAGCAACTCGCCAATGGACGAAAAGTTAGCTAAGGACCGGACCTACGGCATTGGAGAAGTCGAGCCTCCACGTGAGATCGACGTGGACATCGGGAATGGAATCAAGGGCACATTGACCATTCCACACTCTGTAGACTTGGACGACTTCCTCCAGCTCGGCTACGCTCCACCAACCAAAAAGGTGGCGCTCATTCTTCATGGCCAAGGAGGTCATAGAGACTATTGCTACCAGAAGTTGGTAGCGCATCGGTTGGCTGCTGACTTGGGCCACTACTCATTGAGAATCGACTTCCGAGGCTGTGGCTATCTGGACGACCATCCAGACACAAAGGAGGGCCGCACATTGACCAGAGACATTGAGGATATTCAGACATGCGTGGAATATTTATTGGATAGCTCGCGGAATGCTGTTAACATCAACTTTCTTCTTCTGTCAATCATTGCACACTCGAGAGGAAGTGCTGCGATGTTCTTGTGGGCAGTGCAACAGGAGGAGCTTGTTCGTAGCGGGAAAGGTGAAAAGGCTGTGATCGTGCCCAACTTGATCAATTGCTCCGCCAGATACCGTCTGGAGACCATCTATGAGAGATACACCTTCTTGGATCAGGATTTCGAGTTTATAGAGCAGACTGCCATGCGGTTTGGCAAGTACCAACCCACAAAGGTCACCAAGGCTGAACTTCTCTCATTGTCATCGCCTGATCTCTCTGTGGTGCGCAAGTTATCCACTGCATGGTCTGTTTTGAGTGTCTACGGACTCGAGGACCATATTATCCCCAGAGAGGATTGTGCCTACTACGCCAACGCTCTAAACAGGGGTCCATACACCCACCAACTAGAGCTTATCGAGGGCGCCGACCATAACTTTTACGGAAGAAAGGCTGTTACCGATGATCTCCAGGAGGATATGAATCCCAACGGATACCCATTGAACAAGAAGAAGAGGATTAACTACAACTATTTGGTGAGTGCAATTATCACCAAATACCTTCGATACGACCAGGAACTACTTCGTTTTGCGACGCAGACGAAGTATATTGGCGGTATCCCAAGATCCAAAACTGTGGATGGAATCGCCAACTTTAGAGACGTTGGGGGCTGGAAAATCAATGCTCCTACGTTCCACACGGCTACACAACCTGGTACCTGCTACTACATGCGCCCAGGATATTTGTTCCGCTGTGCTAATACTATAGACATTAGTGAGACTGGCGCAGAAGCACTCAAGAACTTGGGAATTCGTTCGGTTTACGATCTTCGATCAATCCAAGAATGTGAGAAAGATGGAGTCTCACCACTTTTCGAGACCGTCGACGTCGAACGCTTCCATGCTCCTGTGTTCAGAAACGAGGATTACTCGCCTCAACTGATTGCTGTTCGGTTGTCACATTTGATCACATCGTGGCATACTTACGTTAATATTTATGAGCACATGTTGGACAGTGGTACCAGCCTGTTCCGGACCATGTTTGAACATATTCGGGATCATCCAGATCGTCCTCTTGTATTCCATTGCACTGCAGGCAAAGATCGTACCGGAGTGTTTGCCATGTTGGCGTTGAGGTTAGCTGGTTTGGACCGTCATACCATTGCAGGGGAGTACGAGTTGACCACGTACGGATTGCTTCCCGACCATGCAAAGATCAAACAGAAGTACGTGACACAGATGCAAAAACTCAGAAGTAAAGAAGGAGCAGCTGCATTAGAGGAGCTCATCTCACGTGGACGTAAGAATTGGTCCATTGAGGACGATGGATTTGCAAACTTGATTAGTTCCAGGCATGAGGCGATGTTAGATACTATAGACCTTCTTGATACCAAATACGGAGGTATTGTGGAGTATATGAAGAACGTGTTGGACTTCAGCGAACACGATATCAAGAAGATATTCAACAACTTAGTGTTCACGGACAGTTGCAAGAATGAGCCATTCTTAACATCGGGAGAGGTTTCGAAGTTTTAGAAAAAATGTATTAGGTTGAGTTGATGTGAAGAATCAAGATAACATAACCTAGACTTACACACAAATAAAATAGAGGTTACACGAAGATTAAAGTTAATAACTACAAGCCGTTAGGTTACTTTGCAATTGAACATGGTATGTTGTATGCATTAGATTTACATGATTGGTAATGGTCGTTGCTTGAAAATGACCTTCTTTTCAATAATATCCATAAACTTCATGGATTGGTCGTCGTTGGTCGACACTCGTAGGACTCCAAGTGGTTCTCTTAACTTTTCAACAGATCCAATGAGTCTCTGAGAGTTTCCTATGAACAACACCACTTTGGATGGATCTTTGGCATCAAATTCCATTCTTCCAAACTTTACAGCATGGTAGACATCGTCAACAGTGGCGAAGTTGGCCAAGTATTCAGGATCCACAGATGCTGGGTCTTGAGGAGCACTCAACGGTAGGTTGAGTTCACCTTGGATTTCTAACACCAGAAGCCCAAATGGCGTGGAGATTATGCAATCTCCAGGGACATATGAGTCTTTGGGAGTATTTAGAGCCTGAGTTATCTCCGTATAGTCGATATTTGTGGTGGGCATTGGAGTTGAAGATGAGACACGTCTATGGTGGAATGCAGGAATGTTCGGTAGAGTGGGACGAGAAGAAATTTTGATGAAAAAATTAGAGATTTGAATAAATTGAAATCGATTAGTTGAATGAATTGAAATTGATAAGGCAAGGGAAATGTTTCAAATTTCTTGTTTCCGAAACTATTTCTATGACCTCTTTTAACATCTGGAAGACTGGAATATGAAAGATGGATAGAGGCTTGAGTAAATGGAGATAAAACTTTGAACTAAAAGACGCTCTTGAGAAAACAATGGAAATGAATGTAAATGTCAAGAAATTGAATGGACTGCTCTGCCGTGCATTACCAAAATTGGAGATCTCTCTATGACTTCAGCGATAGTTGAACATTTGCCCTCATCTCATGGTCATTTGACATAAGACTTTTAAAAAACTCATATTCTATTTTCAACAGAATGACATTTTTACCACAGAAAACCTCCAATTTCCTCTTTCCCACTGGTGAACATTATAATACAATTATGGTAGGCATCTCTATTAGGTTCTAATTCCTGCACGAGAAGCAGGCAATTAACCCGTTTAGGAAATTAGTCAAAGACTGGCAATCATGGCTGCCTGATTCGTAACGAAAACATGGAAAAGGCAATCTGACAATGGAATAGATATAGCGACCAAACTGCCATAAACAGTAGCATTCATCAACAAAGTTAAAAAAGTCACATAAAACTAATAGAAGATGGAACAGCCTTATAAATTTATCACCTACAAATACAAATTCCATACTCACCCAACGATACCAGTACCAATAAAACCGCTGATTTTCGCCGAAATACACAAATCAACCATCTCCACTATTAGTTGTTCACATGGACAAACCCTCACCTGTGCCCGACCTGGGACCAAGTTCAACTCATCCAGAAAGAGCAGCCATGCATACTTGCCCAAACAGGAAACCCATCAGCTTCGCATACAAAAACGTTCGCTGTTCACAGCGTAGGCCACGTAGACCAACAAATAATACATTACTAATAGAAAAATATATAAATTCAAATCCTTTACTACTTTCCCAACTTGACAGTCTCCATGTTTACATCGTTGATGATCATTTCAAATAGTGTACTTCGATTTCGGTTTACAAGTCAATGAGATACCGACGTCTGCAGGAGACTGCGGGGCAGGGCATTAAACAAATTCCTATTCGGGATGTAATAGCTAGAGTTACCCAAATTAGTTCCTAAGAGATAAAACCCAATGATCCCCATCACGCCCGGATTTTTTTTATAGCAATACCTTCACTTCTTCATCCTCGACATTTTAGTGGAATCATACCTCCAAGGCTTTTTTTTCTCTGATTTTCTTCCCTTCTTATACTGGTGATATTTAGTGGAACTCAGCAATGGCCGATTCCTTCAATGACCCATACAACTTCGATGGGTACCCAGCGGTGAAAGGCCTTCTTCGTCTCACGCAAACGATTAATAATGGTGCTGCGGATGGTACTGGTATTCGAAATTTGGTAGATATTTGCCACAACTTAATGGGCCCCGTCATTCCCCAGATCATCACCGATTATTCTGTGAGTATGCAAAATAATCTTTTTGGTGGTTATCCCACTAGCTCAGACATTGCACCGAGTATTGTGTTTGCATGCATTTTTGGAATCTTGGGCCTATTCCATATTGTTATTTTCAGCATCAACACATGGAGGGGCCATCATTTCTGGATTTCATTTGCATGGTTTCTCAATTGTATGATAACCATGCTTGGTTTCGTGTTTCGTGTCGAATGGGCCAGGGACATTTCCTGGGTCAACGTTGGTTTAGTTAGTGAGATCTTCCTCATTTTGACCTCGGTCATTTTTGCTTCTTTTGACTTGATTCTTGCTCAAAGATTGTTTACCTGGAGACATCCAGTGGGTGGATCCAGAAAATTATTTTGGGGCTTTATGTGGGGAACCTACATTGGCGTGATTTTGATTCTTATTGTCACCATTCTTGCTGCTTTTGTTCCATACATTAACTTCCTTAGTCACAGAGCCTACGAGAACTGGAAAATTGTGGTGATGGTAACCTCGATTTGTGTTATCTTGTACTCGTTGACATCCATGTCCTTGATTGGCTTGTCGTACTTGTTCCCTCCCACCAAGAAGGATGAAAATTTGTACACTTACCAGCCATGGTGGATTGAGTCGTTCAAGCCATTCTACTTTGTCAAACGAAACGCTGCTCGGGATGCAGCAGAAACGTTTATGAAGAGAAATCACAACCATAGACATGCCATCAGAGTCATCGCAGCCACTCATCACCACTACAATATGGTGGAAGGTTTGACCAACCAGAGAGGTACATTGGACCACAACGTTTCCATGCTTCTTATTGTGGTCACTACGATATTGATTTTTATCGGTGCGGTCTTGAGAAGTATTACTCTTTTTCAAAACAGGATTAACAGACATCTGAGCAATTTATGCCAACCATTTATCATGTATATTTGCTGGGGTGGCTTCGAGTCGCTCATTAATGTTCTTTATATCGTGGGAAGAGTGGATTTGAGATTCTACCGTCCAGACAGACTTCCTAAGCAAGTCAGAAACATCGTCACTGCTGAGCAGAGTTATTACCCATCGGAGAACGAGGAAGAAGACAGCTATACTCAAGGTACTGGACTGTACTCCACCGTTAACGACAAGTCATTCGACTTTGCCCAACAAGAACCGTCACCAGGTGCACAGTCTCCACCTTACCCCAAAGATGACTACTTTTATGAAAAGAATCGTCACAATGCTGACGATGATAACATCTCCGACTTCCATTTCTAAATACCTTACTTACGCGTAGACTATGAGTTATATTGTAAGTAGCTATAATAATGAATAGACATAAAAAATTTGTTAATTCTACTCCTTGGAGATGTCTCTACCGAACATCGACACCTTGGCCCAGTCAAGACACACCAAGATCTGGTTCTTGACAGAAAGACACATGTAGATGTAAGCCGATCTCCAGAACAAGTAGGTGAAGGTACCTCCAGAACTGACGTTGGACCAGTCACCCCACACCAAGTCAGCCACAGCTCTTTCAGATCCAATGTATGCCAATGAACCCTGGTGGTTGTACTTGAATGGCTCCAAGGAAGACTCCAACTTGACCAACTTCTTGGACAATCTGTCGACGTGCTCCTCGCCTTGAGGGTTGGCGACTCTGTACTTCAAGGACTCGATTTCATTCAATCTCTGCAAGTGACCAGCCAAGAAGATACCCTCCTGGAAGGCAACCTGAGCGGTAGGAGCGTACTTGGTGAAGGTACAGTCACCCAAAGCGAATATATTGTCTGTTCCGTCCACTAGTAATCTGTCATCCACAAGCAAACCCCTTCTAGCGTTCTTCTGTTCCTCGATATTGGAGGACAAGTTTCTAACAAAAGATCTAGGGGCGTTACCAGTAGCCCAGATCAACATACCATATGGAATTTCCACTGTTTGGGCAGTACCATCTTTGTCCTTAGTCTGGGCAATCACTGCCTTGTCGTCCACCTTCTTGACCATGGTGTTTGTTCTCAAATCAATGTTTGTGTCCTGGAAAACCTGCTTAGTGTAGTCCACCAATTTCTTGTTGAACATGTTCAACACATTTGGCAAAGCCTCCACCAAGGTAACCTTCAACTCGGAAGCAACCTCAGGCATCCAGTTACGGAGATCCTGGTCAATGTAGTCCTGCAATTCACCTGCAACTTCCACACCAGTAGGACCTCCACCACAAACAACAATAGACAACAATCTCTGTCTCTCAGGGTCATCCTTTGGCAAGATGTTGGCAGCTTCAATGATATCCATAAGTCTTCTTCTGATCTGGATGGAGTCACTCACTTCCTTCAAGAATGTGGAGTGCTCAGCAACTCCTGGAATTCCAAAAGTAGAAGGCTGGGCTCCAACACCCACAACCAAGTAGTCGTAGTTCAAAGAAGTGACAATGTCTTCACTAAGAGTAGATTTGGCCGAACTGGTATCCTTACCGGAATGGCCGGAGTGAACGGTGGTGGATTGCTTAATAGTGATCTTGTTGTTAACGTGGTCAATTGCAGTAGCCTCAGCCTCCAAGTAGATAACTTCTCCAGGGCGTCTTCTGGTGATTGCTCTGACAGGCTCGACAATGGATCTCAATTCGACGGTTCCGGTAGGACAAGATGGCAACAATGGGGTGAAAAGAAAGTAGTTACGAGGAGAAACGACAACCACGTTATACAAAGTGGTGTCCAAGTTCTTCAAGAGGGAGATAGAACCCCAACCAGAACCCAAAATGACCAAGGTCTTCTTCTTACGACCATTTTCAAATGTCGAGGTCTGCTTGACCTGTTCGGCAGGATTGGACTCGAGGTGTACCTTATAACTCAAGTATGAAGCAGCACCAACCAACGTCAACACAGTCACAGCAGTGAGAGTTCTGAATGTCTTCTTGATGACACCTGGAGAAGATTTTGGCACCGCATTGAATGCTCTAGGACTGGTCGAGAACAAACGACTCGACACGGACGCCAGCAGTGGCTTGGTAGCCTTGCTTGCCGCAGCTCTGAACATTTGCGCAGTTCGCAACATTGGGCGAGTACTGAACATTGAGAAAGAAACTGGTTCCAACGGTATAAATTATCCAAGTGCGTTTTCGCTCGCGATATTTCGGAGTTTAAGACACCGACGGGGAGATTGTCGTATGTGCACTCATATAGCGACAAATCCTGTTTTCGGGTCATATGCAACCGGGTTCTTGTGCAGATAGCGGGGCAATATGATAGTTTACTTATTGTGTTGGTACCGGACTAGTCGGAATTGACGTAAGTTGAGAATTTGAATTGTGACTAGTGGCTAGTATTCTGTCATTGGCCATGTTCGGATAGAAGGGGTGCGTGAGTAGAGCTTCCATAGACCCGAGTGTGGATTATTCATTTGCACATTATCAGAGAGAAAAAAATTGTTGCGGCTCACCTGACGGTGCAGCACCATCGCAAATCCTACAGCGAATGGGCATTGACTACCGATGACTGAAGTCCGTAAGGCGGTTTGATGGATATGCTCGGATGTTGAAGGTATGGATGTCTTGATTGGTTGTGGGTGTCGGAAATTGTCGGAACTTAATAGGATGGAGAGGACTGGCCATCTGATCGTTTTGATAATGCGTCAACTTTTGTGAGTCGTAGTGAGTCAGACGACGTTGGTGGATACTGTGTAGGAATATAAATGAGGATTTGGAGGGTTGAACCCTCATGAAATGAATGAAAGATATAACACTTGAGAAATTAGAGAGAATTTGATATGAATTAAAAGGTTTTATGAGTCTGTGGCTTGACATAATTGTCTTGATGCAAAATAATGAATGGTTACAGGTATGGATTTTGCTGATCAATTGTATTGAAAATGTTCGCTTGTGGAATTGTGTATAGGTAAGATCTACAACTGTAATTGAATTGATGAATGATCAAGAAAAGGGAACCTGGGCAGAAATATGGATGATTTCTTTTGAAATGAGCAATTCAAAGTCATGTAGTGTAGAATTGGCATGAGAATTGTAGAATTGTCAGGAAGATTGGAGGAGTGGCATACCAATATTTCGTACATTGTCGGATTGAGTGAGAAGTCATTTGGGGAGAGCTTATGGCCGGGGCAATCAACTCTATCGATACCAATGTGCAAAGTCAAAATTTATGTAAGATCAAGAGGATCTGAATCATCGAAATAGTTAGTAGGATAGGCATAATTGATATCCAAGTCGTATTTGTGATCTCATACTCTAAACAACACCTCGACCTTCAATCTGTAAGTTTATACCTATGATCCAATCGTGTAGATGGAGTTCGCTACTCTGTGAAGTACTCTAGCTTTTCATCATGAATTGTGGTTGTTGACTGACAATTTTATCTTTCATTGCCATTTTACCCCTCCTTGATCGATGCAACAATATAATCATCAGACTCTCCTTCCATCCATGTCACTTAAACCCATAAGCTCGTTATCTTCTGAGACGATTAGTATCTCCTCGAGAAGCATCAACGAGAAGTATCAAAGCATTGACATCAACCTAGATAAAGAATGGACACATTGACCAGTCAATTCACGCCCAAGATGAAGAGATTACTCTCAAATCTATCTAAATGAGCCCACTTATGCGCTCTTCATCCCACCGGTTCAACTTCTCCTTTAAAAGATGGTACAGTTTCCTTTTCTGCCTAAAATCCTGAAGAAAGTTCAGTAGCAGTTCGCCCGAGTTCCGATATTCTTTCACCGCATTCATAGACTCCTCGTCGCTTGCACTAGTTAACTTGGAGAATTTCAACTTCAAAAAATTCTGGTTGAAGTTCGAACTTAATAGCTGGTACTGATATGTCTCGTAATTCAAGAACTCCTTGTATAACTCGTTCATCTTGCTGATTGCACTTGCAATGGCACTCGAGTTCTTCTCATATGCATCCAACAAAACTATGATCTTATTTATGGTGGAAATCTGCTCGTGGATAATGTTACGGAGATTGGTTTCCGTTTGAGTATAGGCATCTAGCTGTTTAATATAGCCTTTCACCAAGTCGTATTGTCGAGAAAAGTCTTGGAGCACATGTGGAGGAAGAACCTCAAGGGTTCGAGGAAGTGGAAATGCATGTAGCAGCGCAATGGTAAGGGGTTGAGCGGTGTGATCCATTAGTAGTATAATAGTTGTAGTTATTAGAGTCTGGATCGCACTACACACTACAGATTATAGATAGCACCTACTACTTGCTTCAAGTGTTGACTCAAATTTTCGATTACATATTACTGTATATTGTTCACTGTCTCTTTGTATATTTGCTTTGTTTTTTATTTTTTTTTAATTTTCTTTTTCATATTTTCTCTGTTCTTGATCCTTCCCTTAAATTTTTTGTGCTAGTTTTGCTTTCAATCTTTCATCTCTCTTCTCTTGACTCTTCTCCATTCTGACGTTGGCCCACTCCCGGATACGCTTACCATATTTGTAGCATAAGATTGGGAACGGTACTGCCAAAAACACCGCAATGATTGCACACATGGTGTTGGCCCACCCGTAATCAAGACGGGCATACATAATTGGTGCAAAGAGGGGAAAAGCGAACCCAAAGAGACATCTGAAGATAGCTGCTGCCGCGATGGAAGAGGCGGCAAATCTTGGGTTCATATCGATCAAGTATGCCTGTAAAGTCTGGAACACACACACTAGGCCAAATGCAAAGATTGCACTGCCAATACATGGCATAATCCAATGGAGCTTAAGCTGTGCAGACCAGCCATACCAGAGTAAGCCAATAGGAATGATGGCGGCTGCAATGAAGAGGCACGGAAGGCGGAATTCGGGCTCAGCAACACCGTTGTTTTTTTCAGTGAGATGGTTGTATACGACACCAAGAACATATGTCCAAAAAAGCATTCCCAAGATGAAGCCGATACCAAGTGATGAATACATGAGGCCAGTTTGGCTCTGACTGAACCCGTATGTTTTGCCAAACACTGATGGAAATGTAATGATCATAAGGTACAAGAATCCATAAATGAATGCCATAAAGGATCCCAAGCCAATGATCATAGGATGGGTGAAAAGCAACATGAGTGGGCGAGAAACCGTTCCTTGCAACTTCGCCAAAGTCGTTTCTCCGTTGGAGATCTCATAGATGGTATGCAAGTTCATATTGCCAGTTTTCTTTCTTAATGCTTGAGCCTTCTTCTTGAGGAGAGCAGGGGTGTATGTCTCCACATAGAAGAAGGTTCCAAGTACCGCTACCACGGCATTGATGATGCAGAGCGTATATAACACCCAACGCCAGCCTTTGGCCTCTACCATGAATCCTCCAATAATGGGTGCAATGGCGGGTCCAACAAATGGCACTAAGAACACTCCAGCCAAACTGAGGTTTCTAGTTTTGGCATCGAAAAGGTCACTTACCACGGCTGGCGAAACATTGAGTGGGGTAGCACTGAAAAGGCCAGAGATAAACCGAAACACAATAATCTCGGTAGTGTTGCGAGAGAGAGCACATCCAAGGTTGAACGCAAGGGAGAGCCAGCACGAAACACTCAAAACAGTTTTTCTTCCGAGTCTGTCATCTTCAGAGAGCGGTGCAATCACCAAGGGACCAACGGCCCATGCTAAAATGTGGATAGAAATAACCAATGCTTGAACAGTAGTAGAGGTGATATTGAAATCTTTTGCCAAATCTGACATTGCTGGAGACAAGATCGATGACGACATGGGCGAAATAAGAGTGTAGAGAGACACAAAAATCACCACAAACACTTTCTTAGATGTTCTCCAGTTTCTTGGATCCTCGGGGTTATTGTATCCCCACGTAATGAGCTCTGGGTCAATATTAGTAAATTTCTCACCATCATTCTCGATGGGCAATCTGTCTTCCTCAATCTTGTAATCTGAATCATCGATATCTTTTGTGTCCACAATATGGCTGATAATAGTTTGTCTAGTAGCGTTCCTCTGAAGGTCAAATTCGGCCTCATCAAGGCTACCTCTGATTTCCTCTTCTGTATACCTTTTAATTTCGTCAGCATCTTCAGTAGAATTTCCATTCACAGCTCTTCTTAAACTAGAAAACGATCCTCTCAATGATCTAGGCAGTTCCGTTGTTTCTTTGCCCGTAAATGTTACTGGACCATCGAAGTCGCTACTATCTGAAGAGCTGGGATAAATGTCTACAGCATGTTCAACAGAGTCCTCAATTGGGTCTTTTTTGTCTTCGTTGGCCAGCATTTGAAGGTAAGAAAGTGTGGAAGTGAGTGCTTTGTATTCTGTAAAAATTTTACTTAAAAATTTTACTCTATATTTACTGTGTTTTATCCACAAGCTTCTTCTGCGTTACCAGGGTATTATTATCCGGGTGCAAAAAAGCTAGGTCGCTGCACCAGTACTTAATCGCAAGATCTCGGCTAATAGCGGACTTTCCGTGCACCGTGCGGCATCCATTATCCGGTGGATATTGTAGGTATAACCCCGTAATAACGTTAATTGTTTAGTGTTGACTATCTTGTTTGAATTTTTTTTCTCTATAATTTTTTATTTCGATTTCATTTTCATTTTCATTTCTATTTCTATTTCTATTTGTTCGCTACTATGTTTATTATCTATGCAGTTGAGTTCGAAGCAGACTTCTCAAGCGACTGCTCGATGAGATCAATGGAGTTCTCAACCTCCGAAAATGACATGCCACAGCTTAAAGAGATTAACTTGCAGTACTTATAAAGCTTGTCCACCTGAGGAAAGTCAGCAATGGCAGACTTCGTGCCAGCCTCAGATGACTGTGGATATGTCACTTCTTTTTCTCGATGCCCCGAACTGTTGCCGTCAGAATTTTCGTCTCCATCAACATTCTCTTTGAACTCGTCTGGATTTTGAACCAATACTGGCACCTTGCTGCCTTCTTCGTATACTCGAGTAGACAACTCCACGCGCTTGAGAATCTCCTGTTGCAACTTTGTAGCAAGTTCTAGCTTTTGTTCATCACTTTCTTCTTCACTCCCCGCAACTTTGAACTTATTCTCCAACTCCGCTAACCGCTGAGAAGCGAGATTTTCCATTATGTAGGTGAACCTTTTGAGCTCAAAGTCAATTTCATCCTTGATGCTGAGATATTGGAAGAGCAAGTCATTGTGAAGTCGACTGATCTCGTCTTGAATAATCTTATCTCTAGATCCATCAATAACCAAAGACTCAGTGTTTCCAGGTTTGGATAAATCATCCGTGCTGGTTTCGAAGTCCTTCTCAATGTCTTCCACTAAGTTATCAAGATTGAAGATTTCAAGAATTGCCTTTTGCGAGCGGAACTTGTCATAAGCAATGAAGCGGAATACCTTGTAAAGTGCGAGCAACTTGTCATCTTTTTCTCCAAGTTCTTTGTCTATGGCAAATGCTAATTCACTTAGCTTTTCTGTGATGATGTTTGCTGTCGAATTCTGCAAATTGATGGCCAAATTGGTCTTGTGCAACTGCGATTCGAAACTCTGCGTATGTTCGGCTGGAAACAAGGTGGGTTTAATCTGGTGCTTATCCTCCTGAGTAGGAACTAATTCATCCTCACCATTCTCCAAACGTAGCACATAGTTGTGCGATGCCAAGTAATCCTCAATAGTATAATTGACCAAGTTCTTCAAGCCAAAGTCAATATACTTGTGGTGACTGATGAATATTTTAATCAACTTCTTGGTCATGTTGTAAGCTGCAATATGAAACGCAGTGTTACCCTCATTATCTTGGTGATTAATGAACTTGGCAATGAGCTCTTTCTTATCCTCTAGATTTCTGTTCTCGTTACCTTGCAGTAGTTGGTAGTCGGGGAACTCAATGATCTTGCCAAAGACAACGTCCATATAGTACTTTGAGAAGCGCTCTTTCTTCTTACGAGGCTCATCATCTTTTCCTGATCGTAAGGATACATCTTTGCGGCCCGAACTACACGCGAGAACAATGTGGTGCAAAACTGTTCTTCCATAATTGTCGACCGACAAAATGGAATCAAAAAGAAGGTCAAGAATGGCAGGAAAATTTTTGAGTTGAAAGCTGTTATTGAATTGTATCAAAAACATTAACGGCGTTTCTCCATGATAGTTCTTAACTTGACTGTCGATGAAATTCGTGAAAATGGACAACAAAAACTCAATCATTGCGATGTTACCCATGGAGCAAGCCCAGTGAAAGATAGTATTTCCGTCGTTATCAATGGCTTGGTTGATGTTGATTTTGTTCAATGGCTGCGGTGGGTTCAAGATGCTTTCGGGGAGCTCCAAATTGCCATTGTGGCCCTTGACAGAATGAGTGGGCGAACCCTCATCTTCCAAGAAAAAATTAAGCAAAGTATTAAAGTATTCCACTGATTCAGGATCTCCTCTGATGCTAGTTGTTGGCGACTGTGACGTGAAATGGTTGTTGTGATGGTATTGGTTCAAGCCGTAACCATCAGCAGAAACGCTGCCATTGAGACTTAACAAACGAGGAATGTTGTTCAGATTCATGCTCCGAGAGTGCTTGTTATGCATGTGGACAATTTTTTCGAACGAATCGCGTGTAGCAAAGGAGTCTCGCGATCCGAATAGCTCTCGCCCAGACATTAGCTCGTCTTCGTCGGTGTCTTTGAGGCCAAAGTCAGGACGCAATGTGTTGCCTGGTCCATGATCTTCGTTATCACTGCTAGCTGCCTCAAGATCCTCTCGCTTAACGTTCAAATTGCTGGCCATAATTTGTAAAGCGTCCCTCTCGGTGTCCTGACGCATTAGGGGAGGTAACTGCAGTGATTGCGAGTATGACAGTTCTCTGCGAGCATTGAAAGTGCCCATGCTGGGTCCACTGGACTCTACTGGCATTGTCCTGCTATGGCGCAAATCTGGTTTTTCTCTGGCAGTCAAAGCGACTCTTTTAGGTCTTCCTCTCTTTTTCAGTATTTCAGTACCTTCGCTAGCAGAAACTTTCATTCGTTTGGCAGAATGTTCATCCTGGAGGGCTGCCTCGGCCTTTCGCTGCTGCTGTTGTTGTCTACGAGCCACGTTGGAAGCAGACGCATGGTTATGTTTCGGAGCTGGTGGAGGAGTGTCGGACTTACCTTCCACGTACTCGAATTCAAAAATGGGCCGTAAAATATCAAATACGCCAAAAGTCTTAGCGATTTCGGCGCCCAAGTTGAGCGGAACGTACGTTCCCTGGTATTTACCGTAACCTCCCTGGACTTTTTCGTGGATGCCCGTCTGGACGTCTTTTTCCAAGATCCTTGTTCGACGAGCCTTAGGAAACTTGGCTATCTTCAAGATATGCGTGGCGTTGATCCATGAGTCGGACTTTCGACGCATAATTGGGCCCTCTTCCGTCACAAACTCAAATACTGGGACATTGGAGTAGGTGGCCGAGTAGATCTGATCAGGATTGTCAGCCATGGTGACAATGCACAAAAAGTGACTGGTTGGGGTATGTGAGGTGAAAAAGGGTGGAGGTTCACCACTTTGGACGGCGTTGGTAGCAAAGAAGCAGCGGGTCTATGTCCAACAATGGGAGTGAGTTTATTCTGACAGAAACACAACACAACCGTGGTAAAAGTTGGAGAATTGCAACAATGGGAACACCTGGAAACAACCGGACGTGAATTATGAAGCCGGACAGGGAAAACAGGATGGTTTGGATCGTGATTCCCGACTATAATGTAGTAGGGTTTTGAGTTTGGTGTTTACCTCTAAGATTAGTGTATAGTGCGTGAAAGATGAATTGTGCACGTGACACAGAAGGCTGAATGATGGTTAAGAGAATCATGAAAATGAAGATACTACGAAATTAAAATGTTGAAGGTAGAAGTCATGGAGGTATATTTGAAGCTGGACAGGAGTCCATTCTACAAATTTCATGCAAATATTAAACCATAGCCTACCCAAAGATCACGGCATAAAGCCTATAAAGTACAACGACAACCACCACTAGTATTGCCGAAATGAAGTAAAAAATATGCTTAGTGAAATGCAGCATCGACAATGCTGTAAGTTGATCCCCCGTGAGTGGGATGCTGACCACATGTTCAGCAGCCTGGAAGCAAACGTCTCTTCTACGAATGATGCGACAGTCCACCTCTTCCACGTCTCTTTTGAGAATGGCTCGTCCAAGAAGAATGTTTGTGTACTGTTGCAATGACGTATCGATGGTTGTGAATACCATATCGAGCAACTTGGCTTCACGTTCGAGGCCTGAAGTGATAGAGTCGATCTTGGTGAGTTGTCTAATGATGGTGGCATCGAAGTCGCCCACGTTGGCTAACTCGTCGGTGATGGTGGTTAGACCAAAGAAGTAGATGGCGCCTGCAATCAGTTTCTGGATCATTTGGGTGTGAGTGAGTAGACATGGAATGAGAAGTTTCTTGAGATTATCAAATGACAGAAAGAACACGTCGATGCAGTTGAGTGTTTTAAAAAGGTGATTAAACAGCTCATTACAGCTCTTCAAGATAAGAACCACCATAGGTTTGAGCTGTTTCTCATAGTGTTTCTGTTCCCAGCCTTCATTGACTGCTGATAGACTCTTGCCGAAGACAACGTTCAAATCCTCTTCCAAACGAACAAAATTCAATTTGGTTTTATTGGTCATGTTCGTGACATCATCGTAGTTGGGCACCTTCAGGAGAAGCGTGCTGTAGATGGTAATGATGTCGGTGTAAAGATGGACTATTTTCTTCATACTGAGTAGATAACTGTGGACTGTGGAGTTGAGACAGTAACGAAGCATGTCAGGATGGGCACGGACGATACGTTCATCTTCGGGAGTGAGGCCCTTGGCACTGAACGTGATGATCCGGTCTCCGATGGTGTAGGTCATGGGTGTGGATTTGTAAGTTGGTGGGTGGATGACGCTTTTCACAATTTGGTTTGACACTACTACGATAAGGGTCCATGGTACTTGGATTTATATGGTGGGGTCTTACATGAAAGGAATCGTTAGGTTTCTGAAAAGAATTCCGGAGATTGTGTGTTATTCAAATAATTTAGCTTCTCTTTTTTTCTATTTATTTGGTTAATTAGGCTTGTGTTAATGATGTAGGTAGTGGACGGAGTGAAGGTGAGAAGTGAATGGGTCGTGGATCTTAAATGAAGACCTGAGAGGACAAGTTTTGAGATAATTAGGTTTGAAATTAATTGAATCATGTTTCCTTGGATTTGCTTCTTGGGAATCTGTCTGGTCAGATATTCTGTTAGTTGAAGTATGTCGTCAATTGATGACATTTGGGATTTGTAATCGTTAATGCGCTTGACAGGAAAGGTTTCTTCGGAATATTGGAGTATACCGGTTTCTGATTTTCAGTTTCAATTCAGATACTCTATTCAACGTTATTGACTTTGACATGGTCTATCGATTAATTCAATCTGCTACTGCCAGCTTGTACGATCTACTCCATCATAGAAGTTGTTTATGAATCTTGTTGCTTATTAGACAGAAATGTAGGGTCCTCTATAACACTGTACTTTAAACTTATCTTTAGAATTGAAATCAATGCTTTATGAATTGAATCATGATGATATGGAATTGATGTATTTCCATTGCAGCAGATCTCTTTTTGGTGCACATGTATTGAAGATTAAGAGGATGCAGCAGAAAATGCCAAGGATGCAGTAGGGGATTCAAAGGATGCAATAGAAGGAGTAGTATCGTCTGTTTCATAATTTGTATAATGAAAGTTGTGTTTAGAATACTGAAAATCCACCATGTAGGCAACAATAATTGAAGACGATCTCAACTACGTACTATCCCTGGTCATATCCTCTGGTTCATTAGTGACACAATTCTACTCTCAATTATTCTCTCGAATTCTAATAAACCTTGCTTTACCTCATTCCCCCTCCTTCAACTGTCTCCCGTCACCATATTGCAAGTGTAATCTTCGGTGTATTTATTATATCTGTCGCATGATCATGACCATGCCATATATGCTGACATGACCATCAGACACCAAAATTAGGAAATATTACACCAATATCCATCCCATACAACCTATCATTTATTTTTCCGAGTTTCTTCCTCATCCATGCTTCGTCTCATTATCAACATCCATAAACTGTCACCTTTAAGAGTGCATACTCGCCTATCAATCTTGAGTTTCACCAATTCAATACTCCACACTTTTCTTCTCTCAATGGGGTTCCTCAGCTTCTTTAAGCTGAATCTGTTCGATCCAGACGCCTTCGACAAGGAATTGACCGCTCTAACCCAAGCAATTTCTAGAACAAGAAACCAGGTGACTGCATTATCGGTCAAACGCAAGGCTGTAAGTAGAAATATTACTTACCCTCTGGTGATTGCTTACGTGGCATGGATCGCTTATAGGTACAGAGTATCCTTAAACAACTTGGGTCCTCTAGCATTGGGGAAGTCTCATTTTTCCATATTCTTGTCGGGTCAGAACACCCTGGACTTGCTCTATACGGTGTTGTTTCCTTTGGTGATAGCAACCTTGGTCTTTCTCTTGGATACTTTATTTGATTTGTGGATATCCAGCAAGAATAAGTCATTGCAAGGGTTGTTAAAGCGTCACAAGGCCAAGATTGAAGACCTAAAGCGTGTGACGAACTTCAATACCACGTCGCTGTTGCTTCAGAAATATAGCAAGGAAGGCGACCCTCAATTGTCTAGCGACAATGGAGGCAAGAAGAAAGCAAAAGGTCAGAACCAGGCAAATGCCAGTCAAAAACCTGGCGTGAACTCGGGCACTTCAACGGGCTCTTCATTGGGACAAAGTGACCAACGACCAAAGAAGCTACCGGCTACTATCAATCGACCCAATATCCAGGTAAATGGTAGCAACCCTCAGGGCAATGGAGCCAATTACCCAGTAGGGGGCCCCCATGGCCAATCTGATACCCGTCAAACTGATGCAAGTGTCCGTCGCTCTGCTCCTGTCCAGGGCCCAGTACATAAAAGTCTACAAGATCGGCTTCTTGATTATATCATTGGATCTGAACATAACGAGAGCGTCGAGAGCCGGTATGCTCTCATTTGCTCCAATTGTTATACCCATAACGGATTGGCACCTCCAGGATGCACTGATCCTCATACTGTCACGTATATCTGTCGACAATGTGGATACATCAATGGAGCATTGGACACACCACCAAGTTCCGGGACGCCAGGCAGCGGGGCGGAATCTGTGGCTAGCTCTATGCCTCTTTCCAATCAAGCTTCTCCAACATTTATTGTGACGAGCCCTAGTTTAGACAGTGCAGAGAAATCCAATACTTTGGATCCGGTGGATGTGGATGCCGTGGAGGCGGAAATTGTTGATGAATCGAAGGGAGAAACGAAAGAAACAAAGAGTGACGCTACAGATGTTCTAGAGGACATTTCGAAAGCGCAAAAGCCCGAATAAGTAGCATCCATTCGAGTCTAATTAGTGTATTCTTATAGTTAATTACCCTAATTTACTTCCCATGGTCAACTACAGGTTCTATAGCAAGAATCATTGACTATACACATTCTTGTCCGCTTAAGACAAGTCCATGATGGCATTGACCATGTCACCCTTGTGCTTTCTCAAAGCAGCAACAGCCTTGGCTCTGGAAACTTGGGTCTGCTCAACGATGATGGCAATGTCACTGGCATCCAATCCAGACTCATCGACCTCACCCTCTTCGTCAACAACTTCCTCGACCTTGTTCTGGTTCAAAGAAGCCTTCTCCAAGTCAGCAGTAATGGACTCTGGAGACTTGTCAGCAACCTCTTCCTCCTCAGCCTGGGCCTGGCCCTGAGCCTGAGCCTGAGCAGCCTGAGCCTCAGCCAATCTCTGGTTCATGTCATCGACCTTGGCCTCACCGAATACAACGTAGGTACCGGCAGCGGACTTGTAGACATCTGGTTGGTCAATGGCATAGATCAAGTTACCTCTCTGCTTGAAGGTGACTCTAGAAACGCCCTTGATCTGCTTCAAGTTCAATTTCTTGATCAATTCTCTGGCCTTCTTCTCGTTCTTAGAGATGATGTTGATTTCGGCACCTTGTGGGATTTCTTCGACGGACATTTTGTAGTGGGTTGTAATTACTCCAGTTTTTTTTCAGTTTCGTCGAGAAAATTGGTGGAGGGTGTGCCAGGTACAATGTGTTTGGCACGACCCGGGGAAGGAATTCTGGTGGGTGCTTTTGATGATAATAAAGATCTAGACGTCAAACGTTTAATAGAGCGTTGTTTTTGAAAAGCAAAAATTTGTAGTTTTGTAGAACTAAGCGGGTTAAATTTCGTTGCTATTGGTGTATGAGATGTACGGGTGTCTAGTCGGAGATATGACGGATTTGGTAAATGCTATAGATTTTGGACTGATAGGTATTATTTAGTTGACACCGATCTTTCTAGTAGGATTCAGAGTAAAATGATGTGTTCAGTAGCAATTAGAAGAATTGGTCGAGATTGATCAAAATGCTACTTTGAAAAAAAAAAAATAAAAGAGAAGCAAAAAGTCATTCAATTGAACCTTCAATATGTTATAACCTGTAAGTTAATAGTACCAAATACTAGAAAGTCCACTGCAAAACCTCCATATACTCAACCTTTACCAGACCCCAAGTTGACTATGTTACTGTACCATTGACATGCATAATCAACGCCCGGAATGGCAATCATCCCAGTACTAAAGTATCATGCTGGTGTTTACATTTCCTCTTCTTCTGCCATTACTAATCCACTAACCATCACGGAACTTACTATTCTCCGTCCAGATATCAGCGATGAAAACTCACAACAAAACCCAGTTCAAAGCCGCCATGAAAAGCCACTATAAACTCTGCTCAAAATGGCAATCTAAGTCGTATCCATCTTGCAATTTCCGTTTCCTTTCATCTCTTCCATCTTCCAGTTTAGTCATTAATCCACGCACAGAAGTCGTATTCCGGCCGCGCGAGCCGTACATTCATCGGAAGAATTATCTCCATGCACTACAAAAATCCCCATGAATTGGCCATAAACCACATGAAAAGACTCCATTGGAAAAAGATCCCACCGTAATTAAATCCAAAAAGCAAATTGGTGATGCATGATATGTGTACGAGTTAATTTGAAAATACTTAAAACTATTTAATACGAAATTCAAGTTGAAATTTGACAAAATCTTTCTTTAAAAAAAAAGAAAAATAATGTCTCATTCCACTAAACTTCTTGCGTCAACTACCGGCATGGCCGGCCCATACCATCAAAACCCGCAACTGCCGAAATTGTCCAATGTCCCTGCTTACTAACAAAACCATTGCATTTACGTCCATTGCCAATTTATCTCTGAAAGTCATTGATATCCCAATACCCCCATCATCATTAACTCCGCCTGTTTCGGCCAAGAACATCTATCCCATCGTCTAAAACCACAACGGCCCCGAACTATCGCCTGGTGTACTGGTGTAACTTCTCCGTTGTTACTTCCGACCCGACTCAAGGCAATATTTTATTTTCTCACACACTTTTCTTGATCCAGCTACTTCTTTTAGGTACTGGTGCTAGCTATTTAGGTGAAACAAGCCTGCTGCTGACGTCTACGGCCTTCTGTTCTGCTGTTACCTCGTCGACGCTGCCAAATCGCCGTCTATTCCCAAATCCCTAGTCTCACTCCCCATGCAGAAGGAAGATACTGAATCAAAGCTATCGACCTTGTCCATGGAAAACAACTCCAAGCAGGAGCGATCCATAGAGGGACAAGGTCTGCAATCGCAAGGTTTGGCTCTGAAGAAATACTCCATCGATGATTTGTTGGCTGCCAAACCTCCAGACTTCAAGCTGAAACTCCAGACATATTTCTTTAACAAAGGTTTGGCCGACAGACCACAGTATTTGCAAGATATCTACGACAACACTCCCCGTCAGATCTATGTCAATGAGGCTTTGCCCTCAAACATGCTGACCGGCGATGGAAAGCCGGTCCTTCAATATCCCAGAAACAAAATCAGATCGACAAAGTATACTCCGCTCTCCTTCATTCCCAAGAACTTGCTATTCCAGTTCCGGAAAGTGGCTAACACCTATTTCTTGATCTTGGTGATTTTGGGTGCGTTCCAAGTGTTCGGTGTGGCCAGTCCGGGGTTGGCTGCCGTTCCTTTGATTGTCATTGTCACCATCACTGCCATAAAGGATGGCTTTGAGGACTACAGAAGAGCCTCCAGTGACGCTGAGCTCAATAATAGCCCTGTGCATTTGCTAGTGGGCATCCATAACGTCAACGTTGAAGTGGATGAGGTGGGCGCCTGGAGAAGATTTAAAAAGTTATGTTCGAGAATTCTTTGGGCCATCGTGAAGGTTTTAAAGAAAGTCGTGATCAAATTGTTTGGCTCCAAGGCGAAAAAGGTCGAGTATGTGCGTAAGGAGGCTCAAGAACGTGAGAATGAGTTGCGAAGAGTATCCACAGTCCAGTCCGACTATAGCTTCAACTCATTGGATCTTCGACCATCCGTCAGCACGAAGAGACCTAAAAAGTCCCATCAACTGCAACGTATTTCACATGCGCCAACCAAACCACTTCCTGACAGTCTTCTCAATCCTGTGTTGCAACAGGAACACCAAAAGGACCCAACTCTGAAGCAGACCCATTTCAAGAACCGTAGATGGAAAGATATTAGTGTTGGAGACTTCATTCGTGTTAGAGCTAATGAGGAGATTCCAGCCGACATCGTACTTATTTCGTGTTCTGATGAGGAGGGTAACTGTTACATTGAAACAAAGAACTTGGACGGAGAAACTAACTTGAAGACCAAAACCACTTTAGCCTGTGGAGGCTCCTCCAATTTGAAACACTCCACTGATCTTGGAAACACAAAGTTTTGGATTGAATGTGATGCTCCAAACACCCACTTGTATTCCTTCAGAGGTACCATCCACTACGAGAATTACGACGAGTATGGCCAGTTGGTGAATGCTGACGAGAGAGAGGCTATAACCAGTGACAACATTCTTTTGAGAGGATGTACTTTGAGAAACACTAAATGGGCCATTGGTGTAGTAGTGTACACTGGCTCTGAGACTAAGATTGTGTTGAATAGTGGCATCACTCCCGAGAAAATGTCCAAGATTTCCCGTGAATTGAATCTTTCTGTGGTAATCAATTTCGTGGTCTTATTCGTGTTATGTTTTGTCTCTGGTCTTATAAATGGTCTATTTTACAATGATTCCGAAACCTCCAGAGTTTATTTTGAGTTTGCACCATACTCTAAGACTTCAGCCGGAAATGGTGTCTTGGCATTCTTTGTGGCTTTGATCATTTATCAGTCTTTAGTCCCGATTTCCTTGTACATTTCCATTGAAATTATCAAAACCGCTCAAGCATTTTTCATTTATTCGGATGTTAAGATGTACTACGAGCGTCTAGATTTTCCATGTACTCCGAAGTCGTGGAGTATTTCGGACGATTTGGGACAGATAGAGTATGTTTTCAGTGATAAAACAGGTACTTTAACCCAAAATGTCATGGAGTTTAAGAAATGTACCATTGGAGGTATTTCCTATGGTTTGGCTTATACTGAAGCCAAGCAAGGTATGGATAAGAGAAATGGAGTTGATACTGTCAAAGAAAGCGAGAGATGGAACCAGGCTATCAAAAAGGACAGATCTGATATGATTGAGAACTTGCAGAATTTTGTGCAAAACGATCAGTTCAGAGAGAACCTCTTGACTTTTGTCTCCAATGACTATGTGGAGGACACCATTGTTCCAAACACTTTGATTCAATCAAGAAAACAGTCGAACGAAGAGTTCATGCTTGCTCTTGCATTGTGTCACACTGTCGTAACAGAAAGAAATAGTGAGGATGAGTTTTTGAATGATTTGAAGGCAGAGTCTCCCGATGAAGCGGCCTTGGTTGCAGTCGCCAGAGACTTGGGAATTGTGTTCAAGAAGAGAATGAGAAAGACATTGCTTTTAGACATTTACGGCAAGGAAAGAGAGTATGAATTGCTCCACATTATTCCATTCACATCTGCTCGTAAGAGAATGTCTTGTATCTTGAAAACTCCAGAGGGATCTCTCCTTCTCATTTGCAAGGGTGCTGACAATGTTATTTACCAAAGATTGTCTCCTTCTACACCTGATGATTTGTTGAAAAAGACAGCCTTGCATTTGGAAGACTTTGCGAAGGAAGGTCTCAGAACGCTTTGTATTGCTCAGAAATCTATGGACGAGTCGCAATTCTACTCCTGGTATGAACGTTTCCGGGAGGCAAATGCCCTGATTGAAGATTCCAAAGACGAAATTATTGATAGACTCAATGCTGAATTGGAACAGGGATTAACTTTGCTTGGTGGTACTGCTATTGAGGACAGACTTCAGCAAGGAGTGCCTGACTCTATTTCTATTTTGAGTGAAGCTGGTATCAAGTTGTGGGTTCTTACTGGTGACAGAATCGAAACTGCCATCAACATCGGCTTCTCCTGTAACCTTCTTGGGAACGATATGAAGTTGCTTGTTGTGAGACCTGAAAATGATGATATGTCCAATGTGGATTACATTGATGGCCTCATCACAAAATACTTATCTGAGAATTTCAATATCAACCTCAACAGTGCTGATGATGTCAAAGAGGCTATAGCAGCTGCCAAGGGTGATCACTCAATTCCAACATCCAACACTGCTTTGATTATCGATGGTGCTGCTTTGACATTGGTTTTCAGTGAGAACGAACTTGTTCGCCAAAAGTTCCTCCTTTTAGGTAAGCAGTGTAAGTCTGTGATTTGCTGTCGTGTGTCGCCTGCTCAGAAGGCTCAAGTTGTTAAAGTTGTCAAGGAAAATCTCAAGGTTATGACCTTAGCTATTGGAGATGGTGCCAACGATGTGGCCATGATTCAGGCCGCTAACGTTGGTGTTGGAATTGCTGGTGAGGAAGGAAGACAGGCAGTCATGTCGTCGGACTATGCCATTGGACAATTCCGTTTCTTGACCAGATTACTTCTTGTGCATGGCAGATGGTCGTACAAGAGATTGGCTGAAATGATTCCAAGTTTCTTTTACAAGAATGTTGTGTTCACTTTCACTTGTTTCTGGTACGGTATCTACAACAGCTTCGACGGTTCTTACCTTTATGAGTACACTTTCTTGATGTTCTACAACTTGGCATTTACTTCGCTTCCTGTTATCATCCTTGGTGTTTTCGATCAGGATGTATCCGATACGGTGTCTTTGATTGTTCCACAGTTGTATCGTGCTGGAGTTTTGGGACTTGAGTGGTCGCAGTATAAATTTATTTGGTACATGTTTGATGGACTTTACCAATCTGTGGTCTCCTTCTTTTTCCCTTACCTCATGTACTACGTGAGTTTCCAGAATCACGAAGGGTTGCCAGTTGACCATAGATTCTGGGTCGGTGTCTTGATTTGTGCAATCTCTGTGACATCATGTAACATATACGTGTTGTTGCAACAGTATAGATGGGATTGGTTGTCCTTGTTGATCAATGCGTTGTCAACTCTTGTTGTCTTCTTCTGGGTTGGAGTTTGGTCTGCTAGCGCCTATGTGGGTGAGTTTTATAAGTGCGGTACCTATCTTTTGGGTACTTTGGGATTCTGGCCATGCTTTTTGGTTTCGGTGGTAATTTGTGTGTTGCCTCGTTTCACCTACGATTTCTTGCTCAGAAACTTCAAGCCAAGAGACATTGACATCATTCGTGAGCAAGTAAGAGCTGGAGAGTTCAAGGACTACCCACAGGGCTACGATCCCACAAATTTGGAGGATATTGAAAAACACAGAATTCTCCAGCGTCTTAACGAGGGAGACACAGAGCTTTTGGAGAAGGTTGAGAATGCTGTAGGCGCCCATGATACTGGGTCAGACCATTCGATAAACGAAGACCACAAGCTCTCCAGAGCTTTTAAGTCCATTACCAGAAGAGCAACAATTTCGAGATCCAGACGTGGAACCATTAATAGATCCAGACATGGAACGATCAACGATAAGGCCAAATACAACCAGCAGCTTCTCAACATGCCAATCGACTTGAATCAATTGAGACAAGACATGATCAAGAGAGGAGAGTACAAGACTGCGAGAAACTCACTTGACAGAATTAGCACCACGCATGGAATTCCAGGCTTAACGCAAGCAGAAACGTTGTTAACATATCACACACGGAACAGTATTAGTTTTGACCGTTAATCGTTCCGATGCATTTATTTTCCTTCCGATTTTTTTCATTCTTATATTTATCTTAATGTACATTTACTAAGGCACTGCATGTGTGTAAGTCTTCAAGTAGCGAAATCACCAAAACCACCAAAACCTCAAAAACCTCCGGCTTCAAAAGAAAACCACCTAATCTTCCAACCTGAGTTCTTTCATTCAAAGATTTCCAACCGAACTACCATGTTCACCTTCACGTTGCTAACGCCAAGTGACTCCAATAGTGCCTTTCGGGCTTCGTTGTTGAATTTTGACAATGAGCTTCATATTCTTGCAGACCCAGGATGGAATGGAGAAAACCCCGACGATGTGCTTTTCATGGAAAAATACTTGAAAGACGTGGAATTGATTCTTCTTTCCCACTCCACTCCAGAATATATCGGTGGATACATTCTTCTTTGCACCAAGTTCCCCAGTCTTATGTCAACTATTCCAGTCTACGCTACAGTGGCTGTAAGTCAGTTGGGAAGAGTGGCTACTGTGGAATTTTACCGTACTAAGGGACATTTGGGGCCCTTAGAATCGGCATTTATGGAGGTCAACGATGTGGACGAGTGGTTTGACAAAATCACTCTGATCAAGTACTTCCAAAACATGTCCACGTTGGAGAATAGAATTTTACTTACGGCCTACAACTCCGGTCACTCTTTAGGTGGATCATTCTGGCTCATAACAAAGAGATTGGAGCGTATAGTTTATGCGCCAACTTGGAACCACTCTAAAGACTCGTTCTTGAATAGTGCTAGTTTCCTCTCGCCTACGACTGGCAATCCCATCTCGGCTTTGGTCAGACCTAGTGCTATCATCACAGGAACAGATTTGGGCTCTACCATGTCACATAAAAAGAGAACAGAGAAGTTTCTTCAACTCGTGGATGCCACGCTTGCTAATGGAGGTGCGGTGTTATTACCTACAAGCATCTCGGGCCGTTTCCTTGAGTTGTTGCACATTATCGATGACCATCTTGCAGACCTTCAGGGTGCAGCCATTCCCGTTTACTTTCTCTCGTACTCTGGTACCAAGGTGTTGAGCTATGCATCGAATTTGCTCGACTGGATGTCGTCGCTGTTGATCAAGGAATACGAAGGCATTGCTGCAGAAGACAGAGCATATAGTCGAGTTCCATTTGAACCTTCCAAAGTGGACTTGTTACTGGATGCTCGTGAGTTGGTCCAGCTTCCAGGACCTAAAATCGTGTTTGCTTCAGGTTTGAATTTCATGGATGGAGACTTGTCGTCACAAGCACTTCAACTTCTCTGCCAAGATGAGAAAACCACCATAATTCTCACAGAGAAATCGCCGTTTTCGACCAAGGAGACCATCTCGTCAAATCTCTTTGACGAGTGGTACACTCTAGCAAGCCAGAAAAACAACGGTGTTGCCGAAGACGGCATTCCAGTTCCATTAGAGAGATCATTTTCTCTCTCATCATGGACTCGTGAGGAACCTCTTAACAACCAAGAATTGGCCAGCTTTAAAGATAGAACGGCGCATCTCCGGAAACAAAAATTGATGGCCAAGGTTCGTGATAAGAAAAACAAGAACATTCTTAACGCAGACTTGAATTCCGACGACTCATCCTCATCTGACGATGAGGTTTCCAGTGAAGAGGAACAGATTGAAGAAACCATCAAGACAGAGGTGAACGCACCTTCCGTCGCCGTGACACAAACTAATACCACCACATCGTTGACTTCGCATGAGGTTTTCCTCACCGACTACGTGATGGAGAGACTTGAAGCCAACCAGCCAGTGGACATTCGTGTTACCCACAAGCTCAGGCCCCGGCAGGCAATGTTCCCGTTTGTGGTGGGTAAGAAGAGAAAGTTTGATGACTACGGAGAGGTTATCAACGCCAACGATTTCCAGAAGTCGGACGAGAACAGCGCAAATAACAAGCTCATTAGCGAGAGCAAGAGAAAATTTGAACTCAGCGATAAGGGTGGATGGGGCGAAAGCGATGGAATGGATGACGATAGAAGGGGCAGAAACGGCAAAGACAGAAACCATAATAGCAACAAGTTGACTCCACAGGAAGTGTTGAACAACCAAGTGCTCCAGAAGTACCTCGACACATTATTTAAGCCTGTCAAGAGAATCCCGTTGGGAGCTGCATCCGCACTTCTGCGTAATGTTGAGTTGAAAATGAGATGTGGATTATCTTTCGTAGATCTCAGTGGTTTGGTGGACTTACGGTCCATGAATATGATCATTTCGGTTTTACGTCCATATAACTTGGTATTGCTTCCCGATTTTACTTACAACCCCATGTATCTGGACTCGCTCAATGGGCTCAAGCAGGTGGAAGCTGCGTTCAGCAAACAAAAAATAGAGAAGATGAACGACGTGTCGCAAGATGCGTTGGCTTCCACGGGGAAATTCGATTTGATGTTGCATTCGCGTAGAGGTATTGCGAAGAACTTGTTTACAGAAATGGGAGTATTTGTTGCTAACGGAAACCAGACATTGCAGATTGGAAGCGATGGCCATGGTAGATTAAGTGATTTCGAGGTCAAATTGGATGAGGAGTTCAACAAGTCTCTTGTGTGGCAGTCATTGGGTGCAAATTACAAGGTTTCGCAGATCCATGGAGAATTGGAGATTTTCGATGGCAATGGGGCCGCCAGTGGCAGTGTCGATGCTTTGGTTAATTCGGGTACACAGTTTGTATTGAAACCTTCATCCAAACCTATAACCAAGGTATCTTCGGATCCCCAAAGCTCTTCTGGCCAATCACAACTGGTGGATTTTGGTTCTACCATAGCTATTGGCAATATCAGGTTGCCGGAGTTGAAGAAAAAGCTTATTAGTAAAGATTTGAACGCTGAGTTCAAAGGTGAGGGTACGCTCGTTGTCAACAACGCCATAGCCATCAAAAAGATCTCTACTGACAACTTACAAGGAGAAGATACGGGAGATATTATCATCGACGGCCAGGTGGGTCCACTTTATTACCAGGTAAAGAAATGTATCCGGGAACTTCTCGCTTATGTCTAATGGCTGGCTGCGAAAAAGGATGCGAAAACTGAGGTCGAAAAAGTCTGTTGTTTCCTGCACATTTGTAAGAGTTCGTCGTGTGTGGCCCACTTTCTCACCAACCAATTGCACAATGTTCAAATAAGAAAACCAAGTATCCGGAATCAAAATCTACAATGCAACCATACTCCAGATCCGGCGGTACTAGAAAGTGCTTCTATGAGTTCCAGACTCTTGTGGCCTGCTACACGTCTGCTGACACCGTGACCAAAAAAGAGTGCACTCCAGTTTTTGATGACTACTTTGAGTGTTTGCATGGCTTCAAAGAGAGAGAGAAGGCCAGATTGATGTTGCAACAGTTGAAGGCCAACGAAGCCTCTGGTGAAGGTGTTAAGGCCACTGACTTGTACAAGTCTGCTGGTGGTGTTTACGAGAACTTGGACCTTGTGTCAAAATAGACTGACTGTTCTTCTGCATTTATTGGTTATTGAAATGTACGCTTTGCATTAATTCTATTCGCTTCAGTTATTAACGGCTGTTGCTGGCTTTGCTGCTCTTCATCAAACTTCTTGATCCGTCTCTAATTACGGGACAGTAGTGCTTGTCGAGCAAAACGTTCTCCCAAAGAACAGCCGAACCCACATTACTTCTCTCGTAGTCCACCTCGAAACCTTCTTTCTCGATGCCGAGAACGTAGTCCCCTTCTCCGCCAATTGTATCCTCTGTGCTCCACAATCCTTTCAATCCATCTCCATATTTTCCAAGAAGCTTACCTACAAACTTCAACAAAGCAATGGTTGTCTTTTCTGGAGTTTGCAATGCACTCATATAGAGTCTCTTAATGAAAGGCATGGCACGAGCCTGACTGCCAACCCTGGAACGGAAAAAGATAAAGTCAAGACTCTTCAAGAGCAATTCTGCTTCCGTTGAAACGTTGACTGCGGGTTTGAAAGCAAAACCAGAGTCATCGAGTGGATCTGCGAGTCTGAGCGATTTGTGAGAAAATTCCATGTCGGTATCAAGACTCAAGTCGGCAAGAATGGTGTAAAGGGACGACACAAACTTGGACAAGTCTACGGAAATCGGAAGTCTTCCCACTTCCTTGTGGTTAACCATCAATGCAAATGCAGCGACAATAGAAAGAAGCAACTTTCTAGCCTCATCTTTAGTGTAGACTCCTCCAGAATCAGACACCTCGCCGACTCCGTATTTGTCGGTTTCGAGGGTGTGTTCTTCGATAATGTTGAACATCGTTTCTCTTAAAACTTCGAGGAAATCTCCAAACAAGTCAAAATTGGCCATCAGACCAAATCTCGATAATCCTTCGAGGACGGCAGCCATTAATAGCGACGCTTCAGACTTTTCATCCACTGATGTAGATGCGGCCCTCAAGATCTCAAGGTAGAACTTCAAGAGCAATTTCAAAGTCTGAGCTTGAAATCTCTCACGTTCCTCTGCCGTAATAGTTTGCTCTGCCTTACGCATTTCCTCGTCAATGGCTTTCATTTCTTTTCTGGCTTTCTTTTCCTTCTTCGAGAGATGTACTCTGTCCTTCTTTTTAGTCTTGACTTTGTTGTCTGTATCTTTCATGCCATGAGGATCGTAGTCAGCCAACAAGGAAAGACTCAAGAAGACATTAATGACAGACTCGTCCACACGGAACTTTTTGTCCTTGATGGTTTTGGTCATGATTCTTACTATGTCAAAAGTGATGCTTCCATGGTCCTTATCGTCCTTGAGCAAGGTCTCAAGTGTTCTCAAACACTTGTAGAACAACTGCACATCAGACTTATCCAGCGGCTTCTTGTTGAGTCTGCGGACAGGAATAGTGAAAAGATCGAGCTTGAAGTTGAAGTGTCTCAACGATGAAAGACACAACTCACAAGCTGCGTTTGTGGCTGTGTGGCCCTGCTTAATCTGGAATGGCGTAACCTTCTTGTTTCCGCTAGAGTTCAGTGCCAGCACTCTGGCAAGCTTGCTGAGAAGATCAATATAGTGACGGTAGTTGTGGACTAAGCCCTGCTCGAAGTTTCTCATTTTGGCCACTTCCTTGCTGACACGTTCCTTCTGCTCGACTTCCGTCAATGGTCTGATCTGGTAGCCTGGAGCAAGAGACTTGAACACTGGCACAAGAGCCAAAATAGCTAACTGACTAGTTGCAAACTCCTCGGATTCAGCAAGTACTCTGAGCTTTGTAAGCGCAGAAATGTTTTCCTCGGGGTCTTCCATTAACTGTGATGCTAATGAGGCGATTTCCTCTTTGATTTTGGCAAGTTTTTCTTGTGGAGTTAAATTATCCTCTTCGATCTTCTCGTCGACCTCACTTTCTGGCTCCACAGGCTGTTCCTCGACTTTTTCCTCCTCTTCATTGTCTTCATCTTCTTCCTGAACTTCCTTTTCTCTCACCACTCTTTCCACCACTTTTCCTCTTTTGATAGGCAATCCCTCTACCACTTCTTTTGTGTCAAGAGATCTTGGTGCCAATTCATAGTCTTGTTCTGCGTTTTCCCAGTCCTCCACGTCCGCTGATCCTTTCGAAAAAACTCCAGACAGAAGTAACGAGTCATTATGGGCACGTTGCTTTTTTCTGCGGCTTTCCACTGCGCCAGATGTTCGTTTAGCCATGGTTGATGTTTAAATGGGAAGAGGGCATCTCATCTTGATGGTGATATTTGCACGTGCTCTGTGTCACGTGATTGAGGTGCGGAAAATGAACCTTAGAAAACTCAGTAGATTTAAGAATGAGGAAAACTTTAGAAGGAGATCAGCTTGCTCACAATTAAACAGGAAATAATTCACAAGAATTTGAATTTGAATCTGAATTGGAACTTAAGTGAACAGAGCAGAGTGTTGAGCATAACTGGAACTTAAATTAGTTTACCCAGTATGATAACCAGCAACTCATTATTGACTATCATCTACCCTAGACTAAGTTGTGAGAAGAAGATAATTCAACCATTGCTCATACAGCATTCACATCTCTCCGTCACTACATTTGTCGATTAAAAACTCATTTTGACCCATTCTTCAAATTTCACAAAATTTTCAATTCCAGTTTTCTAGATTTTTGCAAAAACTCCATGTTAGTTTTCATCTGCTCATTTATGCCAAACTCCGTCCCTACTTCGTAATACTACAAACAAAATTTTTTATGTAAGCCGAAAAGTGTGATAATCGTCTTAATCGCCGAAAAGAAAAAATTAGCGAAAATGCCAAAGCACACCCCACCAATGACCCAACTGACATAAGAAACCACATAAGTTCTCATAACATATCTTTTCTTGATTAAGGTCCGTATCTCCTACCACTTCACAAGTACACATCTGATTAGTATGTGGCACGTGATATCCAACTCTACGCGGCCCGCCTCTTCGGCAACTTATCAGATTCCACCGATAGTGTTTGGGTCCAGAAACAGCGCAAGAAACTCATAAGTACCCCTAAACTTCATCATACATGAGAAAATCCACCCACTTCTACATATCTAGCAATCACACGTCTCTCCCTCGCATGATTTAGCAAGGGATTATTGGGCCACTTACGGTACGACTATACGACTTAATAAGCTGTTCCTGCAGTCAAGACAGTAACAAATGGAGCCATCATTTCAAACATCAAGAGCAAAAACACCATAAACATTGAAAAAATTATTTGGTAACTTCCAAAACTCCATGCAAACATATCTCTCATCACTTCTGAAATTTCTAATTCTCTCCAATTTTCTCCTCCACTTCCAGACCTTCCACTACTTTCCTCGCTATCTGTCGTATAAACTGGTGCCGAGCCCGCGCAGAGGGAAAAAAAAATCCCGGCTCCGGTAGTATATAATATGGCTCTTGTCCCTGAAACATAAACATCAGTCTTTCTGGGCCCCTACGTACGCTTTCATCCCAGAAATGGAATTTAATAACACATCGGCTTTGGCTGACGCCGCAGGCGTTGTCAGGGCCTCCTCCGGTGCCTCTGGTATTGCTACCCAGGTACTCTCATTATGGAATTCCCTCAGTTGGTGGCAGGTAATTACTACCGTAATTATTTCTGTCCTTGCTTATGACCAGATTATGTACCAGATCAGAAAAGGTAGCATTGCTGGTCCCAAATTCAAGTTCTGGCCAATCATTGGCCCCTTCTTGGAGTCGTTGGACCCCAAATTCGAGGAGTACTTGGCTAAGTGGAACTCGGGCCCATTGTCATGTGTGTCCATTTTCCATAAGTTTGTGGTGATTGCCTCCACCAGAGAACTTGCAAGAAAAATCTTATCTTCGCCCAAATACGTCAAGCCCTGTGTGGTGGACGTGGCTATCAAGATCCTTAGACCCACCAATTGGGTGTTCTTGGATGGAAAGGAACATGTAGACTATAGAAAGTCGTTGAACGGCTTGTTTGTGCGTAAAGCCTTGGAAATCTACATCCCTGTGCTTGAGAAGTACATGGACAAGTACCTTGAAATCTTCTGCAACTATGATGGCCCAAGGGAGTTCTTCCCCGAGTTTAGAGAGTTGATGTGTGCTTTATCGCTCAGAACTTTCTGCGGTGACTACATCACCGAGCCCCAGATCAAGCTTATCGCCGACAACTACTACAAAGTCACCGCTGCTTTGGAGTTGGTCAACTTCCCAATCATCATTCCTTACACCAAGACCTGGTACGGTAAGAAGATTGCTGATGACACCATGAAGATCTTTGAGAAGTGTTCTGAGCAGGCCAAGATCCACATTCAAAACGGCGGTTCTCCAACCTGTGTGATGGATGAGTGGATCTACTTGATGAAGCAGGCTCGTGATAACCACAAGGAAGATCCTGAGTCGAAGTTATTGATCAGAGAATTTTCCGACAGAGAGGTTTCTGAGGCCATTTTCACCTTCTTGTTTGCATCCCAAGACGCTTCGTCTTCGTTGGCTTGTTGGTTGTTCCAGATTGTGGCTGACCGTCCAGACGTTCTTGCCAAGATCAGAAAGGAGCAGTTGGAGGTGAGAAACAACGACCCTCTGAAGAGATTGGACCTTGACTTGATTAACAGCATGAGCTTCACTAATAACGTTGTCAAGGAATCTTTGCGTTACAGACCACCAGTTTTGATGGTTCCATACGTTGTCAAGCAGCCATTCCCTGTCACCCCAGAGTACACCGCTCCAAAAGGCTCCATGCTCATTCCAACCTTGTATCCAACCTTGCACGACCCAGAAGTTTACCCCGACCCAGACACGTTTATCCCCGAGCGTTGGGAAAACCCAACCGCTGACATGGAAAAAAGAAGTTGGTTGGTTTTCGGCTCTGGTCCACATGTTTGTTTGGGCCAGCAGTACGTGATGATGTTGTTCACTGGATTGTTGGGTAAGTTTGCCTTGTTCTCCAACCTCAAGCATCATGTTACCCCATTGTCTGAGGAGATCAAGGTGTTTGCAACCATTTTCCCTAAGGACGATCTCATTTTGGAGTTTGAGAAGAGGGATCCATTGGCTGCAAACTAGACGTTGTGTTAGGTTTCATAGATAATATTATTTAAGACTTTTTGGAATGCCTCCACGTTTGACAGGTAAATTCAATGCAGGTTATCATCGACAGGTCAGGAAGAATGATTAACCCAGACAGTAATATAATGGAGGAATAAAGATTAACCTGAATTGTAAATCCGAAACCAGGAAGAAAAATTAGCCTTGCCAGAATATTCTGATTTACTGAAACATGGAGTAACAAGCGTTCAAATAATCTATGCTCAGCCTTCGAACTCAGCCTTCAAAAGCTCCTACTAATCTACATGATTTAAAAGCCACGATTGATTACACTAAGCCATAATTACCTAAGCATCGTAAGTGGTGGCAGAAATGTTACCACCTCTACCGGTCCAGTTGACGTGGATCCACTCGTCCTTCTTCAAGAAGTCGTTCTCCTGGCCTGGCAAAACCTTGAAGGTGTGAGCACCGAAGTAGTCTCTCTGGGCCTGCAACAAGTTAGCTGGCAACTGTGCAGATCTGTAACCGTCGTAGAAAGACAAGGCAGTGGAGAAAGCTGGAGATGGAACACCATACTCAACAGCCTTGGCAATGGTGGATCTCCAACCCTGCTGAGCCTTGGTGATGGCCTCGTAGAAGAATGGGTGGAACAACAAGTTCTCCAAGTCTGGGTTCTCTCTGTAAGCAGCGGTGATCTCACCCAAGAAGACGGATCTGATGATACATCCACCTCTCCACATCAAGGCAATAGCTGGGTTGTTCAACTTCCAACCGTACTCCTTAGCGGCCTCTCTGATCAACATGAAACCTTGAGCGTAGGAGATGATCTTGGAAGCGTACAAAGCCTGCTCCAAGTCGTCGACAAACTTCTTCTTGTCGGTGATAGGAGACTCACCCTCAACGGATGGGCCAGTCAAAACCTTGGAAGCTCTGACTCTCTCGTCCTTGATGGCAGACAAACATCTGGCGAAGACAGCCTCACCGATCAAGGTGACAGGCATACCCAAGTCCAAGGCGTTGATGGCAGTCCACTTACCAGTACCCTTCTGACCGGCAGTGTCCAAGATCTTCTCCAACAATGGCTTGCCGTCAGTTGGGTCGTTGTAGTACATAATGTCTCTGGTGATCTCAATCAAGAAAGAGTCCAAGACACCCTTGTTCCAGGTAGCGAAAACGTCACCAATCTCCTTGTTAGAGAACTTACCAACTCTCTTCATCAAGTCGTAAGCCTCACAAATCAACTGCATGTCTCCGTATTCGATACCGTTGTGGACCATCTTGACGTAGTGGCCGGCACCGGCATCTCCGACCCAGTCACAACATGGCTCACCGTCGGACTTGGCAGCAATAGACTGGAAGATCTCCTTGATGTGTGGCCAAGCGTCTGGGTGTCCACCAGGCATCAAAGATGGACCGTAACGAGCACCCTCCTCACCACCGGAAACACCGGAGCCAACAAAGAGGATTCCCTTCTTGTTCAACTCTTCGTAACGACGGTTAGAGTCTGGGAAGTGAGAGTTACCACCGTCAATGATGATGTCACCCTTCTCCAAGTGAGGCAACAATTGCTCAATGAAGGCATCGACTGGAGAACCAGCCTTGACCAACAAGATGATTCTTCTTGGTCTCTTCAAGTTGGCGCAAAGCTCCTCAATGGAGTGAGCACCGATGATGGACTTGCCCTTAGCCTCGTGGGCCAAGAAGTCGTCAACCTTGGAGGTGGTTCTGTTGTAGGCAACGACAGTGAAGCCGTGGTCAGCGGCGTTCAAGATCAAGTTCTGACCCATGACGGCCAAACCAATCAAACCGATATCACCTCTGGGAGAGTTAGTAAGATGTGACGAAATGGAGGAGATTCGTTCTTGGATACCCATAATGAGATGTGGGGGAGGGGACGAAGATGGGATAGATTGTGGAAGGGATTGGTGCTGAGAATGATTGCCAATGGGTTCAATTGGCAAGTTTCAGATATCAATGGACAGATTCGGAAGTTATCGAATCGTGAAGTTGTCGAGTTGTGAGAGTGTATGTCTGGATGTGTGATGTCAAACTTTATAATTGATTCAGTCTGATTGATACTGGTCAAACTATCCAGAATCCGATTGCTTTAAATTGTTTCTCACTTTCTCAATTACAGGTGACCTCGCACTCTTTATACACAATAAGAAAAAAACCCTGCAACTTCTCCAACTCGCCGAACCGTGGGATCTAATAGTCAACCTCGGTAGTAGCAACCAAAAAGAATTTTTTTGACTATCATTGGAGACTTAGTCATTTGTGCCCCCGGGATCAATTGAGCCCTCCAAAAACAAACCTACGGCCCGTGCAAACGGGCCAATGCCACAGATACATACTTTGGAGCAGACATATTCAAAATTTGCGTGAAGATTTTCAAACAAGAAGAGTTGTTGAAAAAACCAGTAGGTAGCGTTTGTTGGGAATCGCCGTTCATTTATATACACAGGAGTCCAACTTCGGAGTCGGGGGACAGTGTGCGCACACCCACCAAAAATTGTATATTTAATATAACCTTAGGATTTTCTGCACCTTTGCCATTGTGCAAAACAGTGTCCGGTCACGGGTATCGTATGGAAGTTCCGGCAATTTCAAATGTGTAACTGTAAAGGTGTTGGAAGTGGAGGTGGAGACATGCCAAAGGCCATGGGATTGGACATATCACGTGCGATAACCGTGAGTCGGAAAAAGGACAACCGAGACTAAGAAATGTTTGTCAGCTCAGTAGTTAGCAACCTGTGCACAGGTCCCCCACGCCAGGTGGGGCAGTTTTCGTTCTTGATGGTGGGATTTGGAGGAAGGTTTGTAGACAGTGGGGGAGACCCCTGAGGGTGCGGTAATACTGATACTGTTTGTGGTATCGAAAGGAATTCAATGGGGAAGTTTGGGGGATGCTAAGTAGGTGGGGGAATATAAACTGGGGAGGGCTTTTTTGGTAGTTTTCTATGGGGATGATTCATCCGACATGGTTTTTCCGGTGTGTGCGAATTGGAGAAGATTACTACGGAAAGTCCGGGTGGGAGGGATAAACGTGAGAAACCTAGATAGAGCAACATCGGGACGAATGGAGAACCTAGAAGATATGGGGGAATGGAATGGATTTTTTTTTTTTCGGGGAAAATTGATATCCATTGTGAATATGAAGTTTCCTTTCATCCTATCACTAATACACCCGTACCTCTCATGGATGAGTGGAGAACCGAAAAAAAATTGTGCTCCTTCATGTAGGATAAATTCTGGAAGGTGATATAAAAGGTGATAAAATCGTCCATGGCCCATAAAATGCAATGTTACATGCGATATGCAAGCAACACCCGTACATCCGATGTATGACAACAAAAAATTGCAAAAAAAAAATTCTGGTGATCAGTGCTTATGTCATCATTGATGAACGACAAGTTGATACATTTAAGTACCCTTCAAAAATCACATTCTCGTCAAGACAAAATGAAACTGTGGATATCGCCAAGACCTCAAGAAGCCTCATTTCGACCATTCAACGCCCAGAACTTCCAAAGTTCTAATCTATCACTACTTCCACACAAAATCTTGCAAAGAAGTTTCACTTGGTCACGTGAGATTGTCTGATTGAATATTTTGCGGCCAAACGTTTAAATAGTAAAAATCATTTCTACTCTCTAGTAAAATCTAAAGGAACAGAAACAAAATTTAAAAAATGCCCATTCCAGTCCCTCACGGAGGTGTTTTGCAAGACCTCGTCATCAGAGACGCTGCTTCAAAGCAGGACCTTTTGGCCCAGATCGACCAGCAGAATTTGCCTGTCTACACCTTGACTGAGAGACAGCTCTGTGATTTGGAGTTGATTTTGAACGGTGGTTTCTCTCCTTTGACCGGTTTCTTGAACGAGGAAGACTACAACTCCGTCGTCAATGACATGAGATTGACCTCTGTCAAGGACAAGGAGTCTGGCAAGGGCTTGTTGTGGTCCATTCCTATCACTCTTGATGTTTCTGAGGAAACCGCTAAGAGTTACTCTGTTGGCGACAAGGTTGTGTTGGCCGACTTGAGAGACCACAAGAAGTTGGCTGTGTTGACCATTGAGACTATCTACAAGCCAAACAAGCAAGTTGAAGCCGAGAAGGTGTTCAGAGGAGACCCAGAGCACCCAGCCGTCAAGTACCTCACCAACACTGCCGGTGAGTACTACATTGGTGGTTCTATCCAGGGTCTTGACTACCCAACTCATTACGACTACGTTTCCCTCAGAAAGACTCCTACCGAGTTGAGAAAGGAGTTCCAGAACTTGGGTTGGGACCAGCAGAAAATCGTGGCTTTCCAGACCAGAAACCCTATGCACAGAGCTCACAGAGAGTTGACTGTGAGAGCTGCTAAGGATCTTGGTGACGATGGCCACATCTTGGTGCACCCAGTCGTTGGTTTGACCAAGCCTGGTGACATTGACCACCACACTAGAGTCAAGGTGTACCAGCAGATCTTGAAGAAGTACCCAGACGGATTGGCCACCATCTCGTTGTTGCCATTGGCCATGAGAATGGGTGGTGATCGTGAGGCCTTGTGGCACGCATTGATCAGAATGAACTACGGTGTCGACCACTTCATTGTTGGTAGAGACCATGCTGGTCCAGGTAAGAACTCTCAGGGTGTGGACTTCTATGGACCTTACGATGCTCAGGAGCTCTTGGAACTGCTCAAGTCTGAGCTCGAGAACAAGATCAAGATTGTTCCCTTCAGAATGGTCACTTACTTGCCAGACGAGGACAGATACGCTCCAATTGACACCATCGACACCTCCAAGGTCAAGACTGCCAACATCTCGGGTACCGAGTTGAGACAGCGTTTGAGAGACGGTACTGAAATTCCTGAGTGGTTCTCGTACCCAGAGGTTGTCAAGATCTTGAGAGAGTCCAACCCTCCAAGATACAGCCAGGGTTTCGCTATCATCATCGATGCTGCCAACTACGAGGGCTCTAACGCTGAGTACTTGTCTTTTGCATTGCAATCAACCTTGAACCAGTTTTCGGGAAGCCGTCGTATTACCAAGTTGCCAACTCAGTTCAATGATGCCTCTTTGGTCAATGAGCTTGTTAAGGCTGGTTCTGGTGTGATCATCACTGCCAACGGTGACTACTCGGACATTGTCAAGGCTGTTGGAGACTCCAACAGTGCTATTGTGAAATTCGGCGCTCTGGAGTCTGCCGGAAACGTGTTCTCGTTGGGCTCTAACGATGTTGAGTCTGTGACCAAGGTTTTAGAGGCTATTGTTGGTTACTTGTTTGAGCAAGGTTTCTACACTGCTTAGATTGAAAAGATATTTATAGGCCATAAAAGCATTTAGAGAGATATTAAGTTGAAGATAAAGAAGATGAGGAAAGTGAAGTCAAGTGATCAGGGGAAGTGAGAATGAGAGGGACTTAATGAAGAAAGCGAGAATGAGCGAAAGATTAAATGACCCTTTTTCTACATGATTTTTAACTTTTAACTTTAAATTTTCAGTATGAAACGTTTTCGATTTCGAATTGAACACATACGGCTAATCTTTTGTTTCTCTCTTCAACCTTCAGAAATCAACCTTGTCTATGCTTCCAAATCTTCTTTAATCTATGGAATTCTTCACTAGACCTGCATAGTTGCATTTACCAAATCAACTTCGAAATATCCATTATTCTAATCTGCCAAAATGTATACTAAGGTTTAAAAGTTATAACGTTACTAACAGTCAACCACTACCTCAAAATCATCCCGAATTCATTGATTTTTCATGCTCAATTTGCCAGAAGAATTTTATGTTCCGTGTCACGTGATATGAGTCACATGCAAACACTCCAGAATAGTTTTCGACAAATTTCCTACTGTTTCCTACTCCTAGTCCTTCAATGCCAAAAAACACATTATACGTCACCGGCTTTACCAAAGAGTCCAAAGCCGCAGACTTGGCTCCCGACTTCGAAAAGTACGTTCCTTCCTCCCCATATCTCCATTCCTTTCTCTCTTGATGGCATAATCCAGACACTACGACTAATTCTGATTCCCCATCCCTTTCCCTCCCTGAACCTCGTTTCTGATCCTCCTCTTCATCCGATCCAGACTAACCAATTCCAGATACGGCGAGCTTGTACGTCTCGACATTCCTCCGCCCAGAACAGACGACGGAGAAAAGTATGCGTTCGTTGAATATAAGAATCCAGAAGATTGCGAGAAAGCCCTTGAACTTGATGGAAAACAGTTGCCATATGCCATGAAGGATGGACTCGTAGTTCAACTCGCGCGTTCCGACCCATATTCAGCAAGAAGAGGATACAGAAACGGCCCCAGATATAGACGTGGGGGATACGGAGGACGAGGAGGAGGAGCCGCTCCAGGATACGGCTATGGTGGTCCATATCCACCTCCAAGAGGTCGCGGCGGCTATGGCTACCCAGGTTATGGATATGAGAGAGGTGGTTACGGTGGTGGCGGCTACGGTGGCGCATACCCAGCCCGTCCTGGCCGAGAGCCATACTATGGAGGTTACGGTGGACCATACGGCAGAGAGGCGTACGGATACCGTGGTTATGATGACTACAGAGCTGGTCCAGATGACAGAGACCCAGGCTACGATCCCAGAGACAGATATCACAATACCGGCAGAAGGGACGGAAGTGACCGCAACTATGAGAATGGAGGTAGACCTGCCGACGCCTACCCCAGAGAGGGGCCACGAGAAGAGGGCCACGATGGTGAAAGAGGCGAGAGAGGTGACAGAGGTGATCGCGAGGAGTATGGCCGGGGCCGTTTTTCGAGGTCGGCGTCACCAAAGAGAGAGCGTTCCAGATCACGTTCTCCAAGTCGCTAAAAACAATGTAACATTAGCATGAGTCATGACTCAGTAATTTATAATACCAAAAGTGAAAAAGCAATGGTGTAGAATCAATTCAAGTACGGAGTTGGATACCCATGATGTATATAATTACCTACAATGTAGCGGTATATGAGTAACCGATCCCAGCTGTTGGACCTACGCCTGGTGCTGCACCAATGGTGCTCATTCGACTTACCAATGAGCCGTTGGAATACCGGTTAGTGGTTCTTAAAGCCGTTTCTCGCAACATGAGAAGTACCGTAGAGAGAACCAACTGGTCCATGTTCACTGACAATGTGCTTGTCAAATCTGGATGGGTATTTTCCGAAAGTGGCTGGTAAAGCTCAATCTTTCCGACTTCAGAGAACTTTCTGGGGAGAATCAGCAGCTCAATTGGGTACACACACGAATCCAAGAATCGACCAAAAGGAGGCATTTTGTTGGGAATGTAGTTTCTTTTAATTACCTGGAAGAACCCACCTTCGTCTTCCTTCAATACTCTATTATTTTCGTCAGGAACAGGATCGTCGAGATCCTCTGGAGCAACTTCTTCGATGGCCACTGGTCGACCCTGATTGACCGTACTTGCCCGGCGGTGCAGATGCAGTGGTCGGTTTACAATGTGATCACAAAGAGACGTCTGCTCTTGGTCAATGACAATCAACTTTAGCTCCGGGTTGTAATTCATTAAGTAGGCCGTGACAAGTGACGATCCCACGACCCTGAAGCGAGTACCCTTGTAATTGAAGTCCGTGAAGGGTCTGTAATTATTCTGGAAAGCTATGATTTTGAATGGAGCTGCGTTCTCAGGTGTGAAGTGGAGCACATAGCGCTTATACTGTTGGAACACCTTCAAGTGGACGGTGCAGAAGTCGTATGTCTCGTACTTTTCATCTTCCTCAGACTCCGTTCTGGAATTTGGCGGCGCAGGTACCTCCTTATACTTGCGGAACACCATATATGGCACCCTCTTACGGAAAGACGACATGTAGGGCACCAGGATTTTGAACAATGGAAGCCCCGAGCCTTTAAGTTTATACTCTAAAGGAATCACATGCTGCCTCATATCCACAATGTTGTCGGCGGCAAGTGAGGATCCAGAAAGCTCGGGCACGGACGCTTTTCCCAGAATACGCTTGATTTTGCCATCTGCCTCGTATACAATAAGTGAGTTCTTCCGTAGTCTCTTGTTGTTGGACCTCAAATACTTGAATGTTCTAAAGCTCTCAGCGTCAGGGAACACGTAAGTCGTATTCTTAATGAATTCAGACACCACTATCATCAGCCGCTTGTGGTTGTACTCGGCCGTTTGTCTGCGCATAATAAGATTCAGCTCATCAACTAAGGAGGCCACTGTCTTCTCATCGTCTGAATCGAAGGGATCCTCGGCGCTAGCTCCATAATCCCCCGAACCTTCGGCACTTCTAGCATTAAGTCCCGTAGAATCTGCAGTTTCCCGCTCGCTCTCCTGGCGTAGACGCCGAATGACAAATGGCAAGTATGCCACGTAATTATCGTCAAATGTCTCCTGTAGCTCCATTCGCTGCTGACGCGAATACGCCAATGTCTCGGTCTCCGAAAGAGCAACCGACTCCACGTCTGAAGATGTCACTTGCGGTGTCACTTCGGGCCTCGCAGACGTGGTGGGCAGAATATCCTCAGACCGTGGAGTCAGATCATTCTGAGGTGTATTCATCCAGTGCAAAACCTCAATTTCCTGGTGAGACGGCAAGCTGAAGCGACGGCGCATTTCCGCTGGTTGTGCCAGGCTTCCTGAAGTGCTCCTTCGCCTGAAAAAGTTTCTCATGTTAAGAATGAGTAGTATTTATCAGCAATTAGTAGTCTAGGGTGCGGCTGGGTTTTAATGATATTGGTGCAGGTGATAAGGAGCCGGATATTCGCACCCAAACATACCGAGAGATCGACAGAATCTGGAAATAGGAGACTGGATGAACTGGGGAGGCTTAGAAGGTTCATTGATATGAATAGGGGGGAAAATTGTTTTTTAAATAATGATGAATTGCAAAATTTTAACAATAAATTTTGGTTCCACATTTCTTTCACTTTTATCTCTAATCTCTTTTTATCTGACACTTTCCGCTCGAACTTTTTACCTGCCAATTTCATTCATGCCACCATTTCCCATCTGCACTCCATAATCACCAAGTCCCACGGAATGGAAACATCCAACGTTCTGCAACCGCTGCAAATTTCCTTCTCAAACTGCTTGACATCCACACCTCCCAGCAAAACACCTATAACGAACTCCCCCTCGAGGATTCTCCCATTGGTCACTTCCCCTACCTAATGCATCTCGCCATTCTAGAGCAAGCACTTAGACCCGTACACCATAACTACACAGTGGGGTGCAATATAAAGCTCATGAAATCCCAACCTAAAGACGACCCGCTTCAAACACCTATTTTTTCTATAATTTTTCCATTTTTAAAAGTACTTACATTTATCAATGCCCGAATTGCGCCGTTCTAAGAGAGTCTCGCTGGCCCCAGTGCCCGAGTCAAAAAAGCCTAAGTCCGAGGCAGAAAAGGTGGGAAAAGTGAAAAATGTGGCTGAACCCAAGAAGAAGGCCACCTCCAAAGAATTGCTGGAGGGCGACGAGATCCCAGACTTGACGCTTTTGGACGAAAATGAGAACGAGGTCAGTTTGAGAGATGCAGCTAAGAAGAGAAAGTATTTGGTGATTTTCGCTTACCCCAAGGCCTCCACGCCTGGATGTACTAGACAAGTATGTGGGTTCCAGAAGAACTATCAAAAGTTGACGGAATTGGACACCACTGTGTTTGGATTATCGGCCGATAAGCCCAAGTCTCAGCTTAATTTCGTCACTAAGCAGAAGTTGGAGTATCCTTTGTTGTCTGACCCCACAAGTGAGTTGATTGGGTTATTGGGAGCCAAGAAGTCTCCAAGTGGAATCAAGAGATCACACTGGATCTTTGTTGATGGTGTGCTCAAGATCAAGAAGATCCAAATCAGCCCAGAGGTAAGTGTTAACAGTGCCTTGGAGGACATTGAGAAGTTAAGAGAGGATGCAGAGGATGAGAAGGATGTGAGGGATGTGAAGGAAGAAGAGAAGGAGGGCTCGAAAGAAGAGGAAAATAAAGACGAGACTGAAGAAAAAAACGATACAAAAGAGGAGGAAAAGAAGGAAGAAGTGAAAGAAGAAGTTAAGGTAGACAATGGAGTTGAAGAGAACGAAAATGGTGAAAACGAAAATGGTGAGAACGGTGAAAAAGGTGCCGAAGCTTAGGACCAGGATCAGAATTTTGTACTTTTGTAAGATTATCAATGAACAGTTTTTTATGACCCCTACTTAAGAACAAATGCAACAGAATGCAAGAGAATCGACAACAATGTTGCAACCTTCGATGCCCACCAGATATGCTGAACAGTAAAAGAACAGTATGAGAAATTAAACTTCCAGGCTTTCTCCTCATAGTCAAATTGACCAGTTACTAATCCGGTCTGACCCTCGAACTCTCCCATCATTGCTCTCACTACCACCTCGTGGATTGGCTTTCTGTCTCCTGGCTGTGCCTCTTTATCTGCCACCCAGTGGTCATTCACATGACTGTACCACGAATCACAGCCAACGTGATCATGGCCAGTCAAGATAATACCCTCTTTGTCCTTGTTAGGAAACACAATGTTCAATACTTTTTGGGATGTTTCATACAACAAGTGGTTCTGGGACCGGAGCTTGCCATTCTTGTATGGCTCTCTTTCGTAGTCAACATAGTATTTGTGTTCTGGTCCATCAGCACAAAGCCCTTCCCGTTTGTAGAAAGGGATATGAGTGAAAAGAACCGTGGAACCATGAAACTCCGAGTTTGAATCATCAAGTTTTTGCAAAAAGTCCCATGTGTAGTTTCTGAATTCCTCTTGAAGTGCTGGACCCTCCAAAGTGAGCGAGTCAAGTACAACAATTCTCCATTCTTCTGGTGTTCCCTTATTGTAGTAGATGACATAGTTGTTCTGGCCAAAAAGTAAATGGAATCTGGCCATGTGTTGCCATGTAGCATCTCCGCTGTAGCCAATATCATGGTTTCCAGTCAAGTTAATGAAAAGTGGGTTTTCAATGTTGGGCAATTTGCTCTCAGGCTTGTACCAGTCGTACGTATCATAATAAGTTCTTGATTTGAATCGGTCTTCAGGGTCTAATAATTCTTCCTGTTGCATCCACGCCTCCCAGTCGTAGTCCTCGTGCTTTTTCCACGCTTCGATCACCGTCAGCTTGTGCAAATCGTCTCGTGGAAAGAGCCTTTCCACAAACCTATAAGTTCTGTTGTAGAACTCAGAGTCCAAGATCCATTGCGACGAAAATTGGTCTCCCATGACAGCAACATGACTGGGATGCAATCTTTCTTGCATGAGTCGGTAGATATGGCCCAAATAGTAGTCGTTCCCAAAATTATCGAGACGTTTGATGTATGGAGTAGATTTCCAGTTTCCATTGATCTGGGGGTCTCCAAACGTGAGCATGTGAATGTCAGAGACCTTGCCGTTATCATAAATGAGTGGTTCCTGCTCCTCTTGCAAGCTTGGGAAGTTAAGTAGAAGCATCTGTACCCAATTCAGATTGAGTGGAAGCACATCATTGATGAAGTCATGCTTACTTCTAAGCTGGGTGCCTTTCCACAGACATTGGTCAAAGTCGTTAACGATGTTGGGGTAAAAGTAGACAAAGAAATTGAGAGCCACGGTGATAAGCGTGACTCCCCACTTAATCTTGGATAGAAACAGTTTACTCATGGCGGAGTAAGTACTTTTAACGAAGCAGTATTATTTGCAAAGGCTGGTGGTGCAGGAAGGGCATATTGGCCCATGAAGAGAACGGCATTGAATAATGAAAGTTTTATGGATTTTGATATATGTGAGAAATCTTGGAAAGCATTTGAACATTTTTTTATGTGAAATTGATAATTTTGTATCATTTTGGATTCTGTTTCGTATTTTATATGTGGGCATTTTGATATTAGTTGAAGTTATACAAAGACGCGAAATTATTGCTAAAGTAAAGATGAGTCTGGTGAGGGAGGCTTAGAGTGAATAATATTATCAGTCATGATAAATGGAATCCACGAAAAATATAGGGGAAGAATGAATGGAAAATATGAAAACTTTATGATAAGTATGGGAATGAAAGATAACAATTGAGGCGAACATAGTTTGAACAGTAGTCTTTGACATGTACTTGAATAAATCCGAGAATCATATATTCGGGACACTTTTAACTTCCACACATCTACTACGCCTTCTACATTCATCTAACTCGTGTTTTTCATTCAACTGAATATGTCGTCACTTTTTCTAGCGTACTACGTACATGCAACTTACAAAGCCTCACCAATGACCTGGTTCAACTTGGCAACCTTGGAAGCAACAGACAAGTCGACAGTCTTGTCACCAACTTCAACAACCAAACCACCCAAAATGTCTGGGTTGACTGGGTTGGAAACCTTCAAGGTCTTACCCTCACCAACAAAAGAAGACTTCTGGATGGCAGCTTGCAATCTCTTCAAGATCTTGGAGTCCAATGGCTTGGAAGAGGTGATGGTGGCCTCAACAACACCCTTGTAGGCGTCGAACAACAAGCCAAAGTTCTTGTAGATGGCGTTAAACTCGCTCAATCTGTTGTTCTCAGACAAAACACCCAAGAAGTTGGTCACGGTCTTGTCCAACTTCAAGTTGGACGAAAGGGTGTCGATGACGGTCTTTCTGTCGTCCTTAGACAAGGCTGGGTTGGTCAAGAATTCGTTGACCTTTGGGTCCTCCTTAATCAAGTTGGCGAGCTTGGTCAATCCCTCGTAGGAAGCGTCAATGGAAGACAGCTGAGCAGAGGCCGTGTATAAGGCGTTGGCGTAAGTGCCGTCCACACCGAACAATTGGATAGGAGGCTTGACGGACTTGGCGGCGGTGGCCATAGAACGGGCAAAAGTACGGGAAGCCAACATGATCAGAAGTAGTTGTTGTATAAGACTTGGATGTAGTTAAGAATCGATTTTGATTTTTCGCACTCGGCCCAGGAGCGAGAAGTGATTGGCTGTGAGGTCGTGCGGAGGCCAGAACCGGAGGACTGGAGGGCTGGAAAAAATTGGGGAGGTGTGGCGAAGAGGTAAAGGAGGAGGAAGTTGAAGACATTGATTATGTGAATTGAGAATCTCGAAGGTGTTACTTCTAAAATTTAAGCTAACTTTGGCGCAGATTAATGGGAGGTGTTATTACATGTTTGGAAAGTATATGCAGGTACTTAATTCATAGAGTATACGAAGTAAGTGTTCAATAGACCATGAGATTATACAACGTTTTCATAGAGTATGGTAATCAAAACTATTGGAATGAGCTCGAATTGATATTTAAGTATTTTTTTTTCTGAAACCGTAGTGATACGCGGAATTGATTCATATAAGTGGATTGAGTCAATGGAATGAGAATACCATAACATCATGTAGACAACAAGCCAATGTCAAAAAAGAAAAATTAAAATGATTCTCAGTGTAAGTACGAACCCAAATTTATTTATGGTATTGTAATATTCTTAGCTCTATCCCTTTTTTACCTTTCGTTGACTCTTCTCCCTACCTGAGTCCCACACCCGTGCACCAGAGATTTTCTCACCGAAAATTCTGTCAACCAACTCTCCATACTATTCATCCACTAATGTTCTCTCTATCCAGGCGTTCGTGGGCGCTCAGCTCCAAGGTTCTTGCCAGGTTCCTGAGCACCAGTGCAGCCCCCGTTTCGCAGACTCCAAGTCTCACATTCGGCGAAGATATCACGGAGTTGGAGAGAAAAGACGAGATCTACATCAGACAGAGAAAGCTAGCGATGGCTCAGGTCAAGGTCAAGTCTTATGCCAACGGCCACTTGCAGCCAGGTTCCACTCACTATAAAAAACCAGTGCATGACCACCTTCACAAGGGTAGACCTATCAGAGAGTTGACTGTGGCTAAGAAGCAGACCGCAGGTAGAAACAACACCGGCCACATCACCATCAGAGGCCGTGGTGGAGGACACAAGCGTCGTGTAAGACTTGTGGACTCCCATAGACTTGTTGGCGGCAAGCAGACCGTGGTTCGTATCGAGTACGACCCAAACAGATCGGGCCATATTGCTTTGCTTAAGCATAACCAGACAGGCGACTTGTCGTACATTTTGGCTTCGTCTGGATTGAGAGCAGGTGATGAGGTGGAGTCATTCCGTCCTGGATTGCCTAGCGACTTCTTGCAGGAGATGAACGAGCACAACAATGGAGAAATCGACGAGGCCTTATTGAACTCCCGTATCATGCAGAGAGGTAACTGTTTACCATTAAACATGTTACCAGTGGGCTCCATCATCCACAACATTGGTTTGCACCCCAATGGTCGTGGACAGTTGGTCAAGGCAGCCGGAACGTTTGCCAGATTGTTGTCCAAGCATCCAGACATGGGTAAAGTGATTGTGAGATTGAGTTCTGGTGAACACCGTTACGTTAACATGAACTGCCACGCCACCTTGGGCATTGTGTCCAACAAAGAGCACCAGGCCACCTCGTGGGGTAAGGCTGGTAGAAACCGTCACAGAGGTTTCAGACCTCAAGTGAGAGGTGTGGCCATGAATGCATTTGATCACCCTCATGGAGGTGGTAGAGGTAAGTCCAAGTCCAACAAGGTATCGCAGTCTATGTGGGGACTTAAGAAGTTTGCTAAGACGAGAAAATTCAAGAACGTGAACAGATGGAAGGTGAAGGACAGACCAAGACGTTGAGGGAGCTTGTAAATAATATCTGTACATATATCTTCATACAGAGGCTTTGATAACTAGATTATAAATGTAGGGCTATATTTCACATATATTGAGCCTGTCTTCTGAGAATATCAACATTTCGAGCCAACACAGAACTCGAAGAAAGAGATCAGGGTTTTGGTACAGACTAAATATGAGCCCTCCTATCAAAGCGATAGCCAAGGCGGCTTTCCACCGGCTGGATAAGACCATTTGAATCAAGGCAGCGGGGCTACCAGCACAAATGAAACATTGAATGATCTGGGAAAGTTGACTGGGCTGTTGAGGTGTAGAACGGAAGCTTCCCTCACCGAAAGAAGTGGCCAACGGTGTCAATTCTGTATATGACGACAGCTGTATTTGAATTGGAGGAACATTAGGTCTTTGAACTGTGGGAAATTGCGGCGATAGGTTTTTCGGCTTCTCTGTTGACTTTTGAACTGATGGCCCTTGAAGTTCAGGTGGTTGACATTCCATTCCCAAATTTGCACCAGAATCCACAGTATCAACGACGGTCTGCAGCTCCAAGTCGTTTTCCTGTTCGATATTGCCGACCATATTGTGAGCATATCGAGCCACAGAGTCGAGTTTTTGAGAGAGAGAACGCTTGTCTGCTTTGCGACCAAAGGAGAAAGTCATAATGGTTGCAAAATGGATTCACAAATCAGTGCGATTTCAGATATGAAAGGTCTCTACTGTAACGTTCCTTGAATCCTATTCATTTTGCCTTTCATGCGAGTCTATACTGGTACTCCTTTAATTTTAACTCTTATCATTTCGTCTCATTACCAGTTACACCATCACACTATTTATCTCCTCGATCCCTCATTCTTCGTCTGAAATCATCCCATCGTTCATTGCTAGAATACTCCATTTCAAGCCATCATTATTTATATTTTCTTTGTTAAACTTTTCCCGGTAATTTTCGGCTCCGTATACGAACCGAAGTTTGTTTTCATGCCTGGCTTCTACTCTCATCGCTGTTCTATAAAACACCTCAATCTCCAAAATCTCCAAGTAAACAACTTCCGTTCCCCTCTCCAACTCGATTTTAATGCCTTTGAAGTTGTCTCGAAGAAACGAGTTTGTCGCAAACCGGAGATTGGCCAGTCGTATAATGATCAATGAATGAACTGGACAGCTGGTGAGTCGCTGGCTGTATTCCGATTCAAAGTTGCTAATGCATTCACGTGTGAATAACACCAATATCTTATGTGATGACTCATTCAATATGGCACAGATCTCCTTCTTGGCTGTCGTATTAGTATACTTGAACACCCGAAGTATAGGTGTCCAATCAATGTTACATTTACCAGGCCCCTGGTAATTGATAAACCCTTTGGCTACAATGTTATTCAGGTAAGTCTGTTGGTCCTCGACCTTATCATTAATTGTTTTGACAAGCCATGAACTGAGTAAAACTATAGGATAAACCATGAGTTGGTACTATCTAATGGAGAGATGTGTTCCTGTGCAAGACCTGGATATGTACACTGTATAATGTGGATTTGAAGAACTATATACCTTCGCCAGATAGACGGCGTTTCCTATTCCCAGAAAGTCTGAGCAAACGCTTAGCTTCTCGCTTTTCAGATTTCCTCAACATCTCTTTCTTGTCTTTCAATATTTGGTCTTCGGTTTTCTCACTGGAGGAGAGTCCATTGATTGCTGCGAAAAATGGTTTCTGGCAATTCAAGTCCTTGTAACGAACGTTCATGAGATCGTAAGCGTAGCATATCTGTAGATCGTCGAATGAATATTTGTTTCTACCGTCCATGCCAAAAATGTTGGAGGTGGTCCTGCCAAGGTAAGATTTAAGATGATTGGTCAACTCTTCGTATTGGCCAGCATTTTCAATGAAACTGTGTTTCTCCGAGAATCTGGCACTGAAATGAGTTAAAATAACCTTTGGACAATCCATCAACTGGGACACCTTCACTGCCTCCACCACAGTAGAATGCTTTTTGGCAATGGCCTCTTCGATAAGTTCGTTCTCGAGAGATGCCTCATGAATAAGCAAATCGCTTCCACGCCCAGAGTCAACAAATCTGGTGCTTGGTCTTGTGTCTCCGGAGAATGACACCTTGAAAGTCTCTGAGGCAGTCAAATTGAATGTCAAACTAATAGAGTAGGACCAATAACAATGGATTGCACGAACAGTTTGAATTCTTTGAATATTCAAGTCATGATAAAGTTGCTCGATCAAAGCAGTGCTTGGAGGACAAGGAGCGGCTTTTGGAATGTGATCATTAAGCCTGCCATTGTCGAACTTCTGCTCAAATTCGTCAATCGAGAATTGCTCCAACTCTTGCTCGGGGTATCTCATAAACTCTTCACAGCTAATATATACAATCCGGTGCAAATCAATAGCACTGGTAAGATGCTCGAGTCGATACCATTCCGATACGAAGTTATTGTATTGCCAGGGAATGATGAGGTACAATTTTTTGTTGTTGTATTTGTTGGCCTCAAACCATGCGCTGATGACGGAAATGATTCCAAGATGGTGGTCAGCATGCAAATGACTGAGATGAATAAGTCTCAACTCGTCAAAAATTTGCTTAAGATGCTCATGTCCATTATGACCGAAATTCCTGGTCAAAGAACCAATGGTATTTTCACCGCCATCCAACAAAATGGAGTTGTATTTGACCTCGTTGGTGGCTGGATCAACATACGGAATTCTCAATAAATTAGAAAGAACATTTCTGTGGATGGAAGGCAATGCAGAACCAGTACCCAAAGTCACGACTTGCACTAAATCCTTGAGCGAGTTGGGAACTTCAGGCAACAGCAATGGGAGAATTGCTTTCTGCAACAATTCTTGCTTCGACGTTTTGGAAAGCTCAGTTTGCGAAATCTCCTTGTCATACAAAGTAGACCATGTTTCACTGACAACATTATCGTTGATTTCCAGGATTCCAGAAGGATCAATACTGAACTGTTGAAGCGATTGAAGCTTTAAAATGTTGGGACGCTCTTCCAATGGCTTGTGTTCTTCAATATGAGGTAAGCTGAAGCTGTCATTAAGAATGCATTTGAGCTTGAGCAAATGGATGGCATAAGTCTTGAATACCAAAGTATCATCTGCGATCAGCGAGTGACTAATAACATGCTTACAGTCAGCAGGGAACTTCGAGATGAAGTTAATATACTTGTCCAGCCAGAATTCGATGTCGTCCCCCAAGAAATGGTACACTAAACCGGCAGTTTCGGGTCCAGCATCTTCAGATTCAGAAAACCACTCTCCACTGGAGATGGTGTTGTCCAAGTAACGTGAGTTTGGAATATCAAGGATAATGAGCTTACGGAAAGACTTGGAAGGTTCCATGACTTGGTGAGGATGCACCAACTCGTCTTTATCGTTCAACACCGATTCTCCATTGGTGAGATTTCTGAAGTTCACGCCAGGCTTGACACCGAAAGCTTTTGCCTTTTGGGGGTCGAACTTTCCTCTTACAGGGATGAATCGGATAACAAAATTAAGCGAAGGTTGGTCAGCAACCTGGGCCAACATTGACGGGTCTGGAAGTCTCACGTGGGTCTGGATTTCAGTTTCACTGGGATCTGACTTGTAAGACTCTGGGTCCGGATCGTTGGCCTTGGATGTGTCTAACGGAAACATCAACGAAGTCAATTTTTTGAGTTGTGAGTGGATTTTCTGAGCAAGCAGTTCATCCATAGAGTTGGTGGCCGCATTACTTTGGATCTTGACAGGTCTGAAAACAGTGCTGGAGTCCCCAATAAAGTTCTGGTTATCGGTATCAAGAATGTTGAGTTCAATGCCTCGGCGAAATACGAAGTAACGCCAAGTAGCAACTACGAACGCCATGACTCTGCTGGAGTTCGTGAACACATCAATACCTCTGCTGGTGGCATCGCTGATGGTCAAGAACAAGCCCGGAAGGCCACCGATATCCTCCCATGTGCGGATTGTTCCCGTCAAGAAGATGCTCTTCAACTTTCCGAGCTTTACGCCATTTTCATTGAGCACACGCTGGGTTCCCTCGGGGATTTTGCCAAAGAAGTATCGGTAGCCTTCTCTGTTGGTAAGCATCACCAACGGCTGCTTACAGTCGCTGGTTTTGTGGGAAATGGTAGTGATGGAGAACATGAGCGACGAGTATGTGTTTGAGTCTGCGTAACTGTCGAAGAAACGAGAGTGGTGGTCGGCAGAATCAAAGAACTTGGGAGCAACAGTTCCAGAGCCTCGAATGAAGTGTCTTTTCTTCTTTTTGGGAGTAGACGAGGATTTGACACGAAGTGCAGTGAGGAACACGGGAGTCCGGGGTAGAGAAGGCCGACTCGCTGAAGAAAACAACGCTGATGATATGATTAGTGCTGTGAAGATGCGAACATCACCTTGAGGCGAGAAACGGTGAATTCGATGAGTGCGATGGTATATTTTTTTTCGCACCCAAGTAGAGGACGATGAATCATGGGACTTGAGGGATCAGAGGGAAATGGTAGAAAAAAGAGATGATAAGAAACAAGGAATAGGAATTCATGCTTATAGTGGAGATGTTAGCAATAAAGGAAATAGTGAAATTTGTAGTACTAACTCTAATGGATCATTAGAAGAGTGGTGATCATACAAATATAAAGGAGGAATTTACGATACAGGCTACATGGGGCCCTGGCAGCATGGAATGAACAGTGGAGCATTCTCGATAGAACCTCAATTACTCATCATGAAACATATTCATATTAACAATAAATCCATTGAACTGACCTATTTTTTTAGTTTCTTTTTTTTTCTGTATTTATCTCTATGAATCAATAGATTTTCATGTGGCTACAAGTTCCTTTGCTCAGGGTGGTTCAGTCTTTGCTTCCCAAAATCACAGGCCGATTCCCCAGACTTTCGCACCCACTACAATCATATCTCAAATACACCTAGCAATACAATTCTGACAAGCAAAACATACCCAAACACCAAGTCAGACTAGCAACACATACACAAAATGACAGAGTTGGCCCCCACCGCGGAAATAATCGAGTCCATCTTTGCCGTCAGCCCTCACCTCAGGCCACCCGAGGGTCCCAAGTACGATACCAGTGCAAGAACGAAAGTGCTTTCGACGCTAAAAATGCTTCCACTTATTGGCCGTATATTACCAGCAGCAGACGAAAGGGCCGAGGAAATCGCCCGTTTGTTGGTTGAGCAGAAAGAGGCCGTTTCCTACAGAGCATGGTACGCCATCTCCGCTCGTTTAGACGAACTTACTGGCAACAATACCTGGAAGTTGAGTCCTGAATCTGTCCATTACGACTATGACCTGGTATATGAGAACATGATGCATATGCGAAATGCTCGGATAAATAAGGACTACAGGTTACTTATTTACTTGATTCGTACTCGATGGACCCGTAATTTCGCCAATATGGGTGACCTTAATCTTTACAGACATTCACATGTGGGAACCAAAAAACTCATTGAAGAGTACATCGATGAGTGCCAAGAGTCTTTGCATTGCTTGGTGACCAATGAGGATGTCAATTTAGATGACCGCTACCTCTTAGGAATGCTTATCCAGACCAGAAAGAATATCGGCCGTACAGCACTCTTGTTGAGTGGAGGCTCTACTTTTGGAATTTCCCACATCGGTGTTTTGATTGCTCTAATAGAGAATAACTTGGTTCCCCGTATCATCAGTGGTTCGTCCTCAGGCTCCATCATCGCCAGTATCTTATGCTGTCATACCAATGAGGAAATCCATGAGCTTTTGATGGGTATTGCTGACCAGAAGTTTAGAATCTTTGGTGAAGCGAGCAAAGCAGCTGGAACCAGCAAGCTCAAGTTCGTGCTTGAGAGGGTCAGCCACTTCTTAAAGTTCGGCACCTTCTACGATATTTCGGGCTTACAGGAAACAATTTTCAACTTTGTGGGAGATTTGACATTCAGAGAGGCCTACAATAGAACGGGCAAGATCTTGAACATCACTGTATCGCCTGCCTCCATGCACGAGCAAACTCGTTTGTTAAATTACTTGACTGCCCCAAACTGCTTGATCTGGTCTGCGGTATGTGCATCTTGTTCCTTACCAGGTATTTTCCCTTCCTATACCATTTACGAGAAGAACCCTCGTACGAATGAGATCCATGAATGGAATAATGACAACACTTCCAAGTATGTGGACGGCTCTGTGGACGGAGACTTACCCATTGCTAGACTTTCTGAAATGTTCAATGTGGATCACATCATTGCGGTCCAGGTGAACCCGCATGTTTCTCCTATCTTAAAAATCGCCCTTGGAAATATTGGAGGGGAGTTGGACACCGAATTGAGAAACACGTTGCGTGGTGTCATGAATGACTGCTATGACTTCGTCACCAACGAAATGATCCACTATTTGCAAGTTCTTCACGAAATGAATTTGTACAAGAACTTGACTTTAAAAGCGGTTTCAATTCTCTCGCAGAAGTATTCTGGTGACATTACCATTTTGCCTGAGTTGAACTTTAAAGACTTTTTAAAGATCTTTCAGAACCCCACTCCTGAATTCTTGCTTGAGTTTACCTTGAAGGGTGCAAGAGCAGCATGGCCCAAAATCACCGTTATTAACAATCATTGCCGAGTTGAATTTGCTCTTGACAAAGAGATTTCCTACTTACGTGGCCGCTTGGTGTCATCTGCCAATAAGAGATTGACCTACACTGAAAGCGTACCAATGAAGACAGCTGCATCTTTGATGAGACAAGGCGAATCAAACTCTTATTTGATTAGTTCTCCCGTCCTTAGTTTCGAGAGGGATCTGGTGAGCCCCACTCGACCTGATAGGTCACAGGCTCCAGGCATTCGGAGATATAAGTCGCAATCGAATGGTCAATTAGCTTCAGGAACAAAGAGCTTTAACATTCGCAAGAAGCGCAACACAATCAGCGCTGGCGAGCATGCCAAGGCTGTCCAAAGAGGGAAGTCAACCACTTCATTGCAAGCATTGAAAACTACTTTCAACGCAAGCTCAAGCGGAGCCGTTTCTGCTGTCGCCACATCTGACGCCAACTTCGCAAAGTTATTCCAAGAAGGTTATGATGTTAACCTTGGGACCTATTCAGAGCCTCAAAGTGCTGTCATCAAGAAGCCCATGCGCAAGGCACGCAGTTCTGGCAACTTCCATTCTCAAATGGATAACGAACTAGTCGAGACTCTAGCCAACTCCTACAGCTTCCGTGCTAGTCCAAAGTTTGAAAAGACCATTCATTTTGGTTTGGATTATGACAAACTCGCTAAGAAATTCATCGGAGGTGACAAGGTCGAGTCGGGGAAAGAGAAGGCAAACCTTCCTCGCCTCTCTAAGCCCAATTCGGTCAAAAATTCATACATCGGATTGAACAGATTGAAAGACCAACCATGGTCAAATAGGAATTCTTCAACCAATACTGTGAACAATTCCTCATTTAATTCAACAAACAACTCTTCACAGAATTTGAGAGAACTATACACTGATGAGGAGCTAGCATCGAAAGTCCTTGACTCACCGAAATTGCACCGGTATTTTGCCAATCTTCGTCCTGGAGTGGTGACAAATATGGCTACAGCAACTTCACCATCCAAGATCAAGCGAAGCCCCAAAGTCTCTTTCTCGAATTTGGCGAACAAAGATTCGGGGTCTGAAAAGGTGGAGACATCCGAAGAAACCGATGAAAGCAACAGCCATAACTCGGACAATGCCGAGGCCATCTCCACAGAGGCAGATGTGGACGATGAGGAAACGGAAAGAGAAGATAATGGATTGAGGAAAAAGTTTTCTTTCGAGGAGGAGGAGGAGGAGCATCCCGCCGAATATTTCGCTTATGATTAATGATCGCCTGCAAAGGTGAAGATGACTGGGATAAAGATTCCAATCATAGACAAAAGCACCTCCGATCTGGAGAAGGTGGAGCCGTGTTGGTGAGCGGTGGCTGCGACCAGCGGGTCTGAGACAGCTACCAGAGAGTAGTCATCCTTTTTGTTCATGACCTCCATCATTACGTGAATCACACTGTACAAGAAGGTGCCAGCACTGAATAGGAAAAGGACTCCTACCACGAAGTTGTTGTTTAATTTGAGCAACAACACGAATAAATATGTCAATATCGAGCTCACTGGAGTCATGACAGAAAAAACTAGAAGATGAATCTGTACAACACTGTCTAGTAAACCCTCTTGATGTAGCATCACCGAGAGTGAAAATGCCGTAGGTAACTTATGGATGGTGATCATCAATAAGAACAAGATTTGGAAGGAGTCGTCATTGTTGACAAACGCCGTTCCTAATGCTATACCGTCCACAAACGAATGAAGAAGTAAACCCAATGTCAATGGAGACCGGAGGAAAGACTTCCAAATGGAGTCTTGCTCTGGCAGCGTATTTGACACCTCACCAGTTGTAATTAATTGCTCATAGTGGTCAACCAAAAACATCACGGCAAAGCCAACAATTAGTGAGAGCCCGATAACTCCACTAAGTGCCATTCCCGAGTCAGGATTGTTTGAATACCCTGAGTCTAGCAACATTTGAACACCTTCGGGAATGACCGCAGCCAAGGCTGTTCCAACCAAGATACCCATACTGAGAGCAGAGGCTAGATTCATGTGGTGAAGTGCCACGCGAGCCTTAAGTGGAAAAAGGCCAACTGCAAGCGACGTGATGGCCATGATCACGCTTAAGAGGAGCAACCATAGAAACGTTGTCATGAAGAGGTATTGAAGTAACTACAGTTGGTGATTCCGGATGTGCAGGTGAAGATGGGCCGATATAACCTGGGGAAGAGGAAAAAGTAGGTGGGGAGAGCTTTGATGGAAATCGGAGTAGAGGATAATTTTGAATTTCCATTGAAGTAGGGGAGAAATGGAATAGCTATTTTATCAAGGATTAAATGAAAAAGTGACAATTGGTGGATTTTTGCTTCATGTCTAGATACTAAGTTGTCAACGCATGGAACATCCAGAAGACGTCAAACATGCTTCGGCTGCGAAAAAAGAAGATAAATACATTGTCCAAATTCTACGCATGATAATTGTTGAAAAGTCATCAAGTATGAAATTCACAGACTTTTAGACATTCGTTCTGCTGTTTTTCACAATTCCAAATTTTGGTGATTCGTAGTCTCTTACAACTAGATCTTCACATACACACTTCGCGTACAGACGTGTTTGATCAACCTTTTGAGTTATGGAGTTGGAGGAGGAGGTTATACAAGGGAAAATAGACTTGGCCACCCATCATTTTCGATCGAAAAACTTCTCCAAATGTCTCGAGCTCTTCAACGAAATCACTGCATCTTTCCTGTCGTTGGATCGACACGAACTTAAAGCAATTAGGAAACACTATGCTCTACCTTCCGATCCCATACCTGGAGAGAAGCTTGTGCATCCACAACTAGCCACGGTGCTTGACTTGCGAGCTGCTACCTACGAGAAGCTTGGTGAATTCCAGAAGGCCATGAAAGATGCTCACACAATCATCTCCATCAAGCCCAGTGACTGTCGAGGCTACCTACGAAAAGGTAAGCTCCTTCTTCGTGAAACAAATACGAGAGAAGCTTATCAATGTTTCCAGCAAGGTAGATATTATGTGAAAAGAGCAAAGGAGCAGCTTGGTGTGGAAGTTTCCGACAGGTTGCTAGCCAAATTGGAAGCTGAGTATCAGAAACTTAATGCTCACTTAAAGATTGAACGAGAGCGAGAAAAAGGGAGTTCTCTGAAACAAACAAAGGAAAAGTCTCTGAAACTCTCCACTGTTTTGTCTGTGAAACATCCGGCGTCCAAATCATCGCTTTCTGCTGGTAAATCCAAGAGTTTCCCGTCAGCCTTACAAATGAAGCTTGATGAGATGCTACCTCTCAAAAGAAGCAAGTCAAGCTCGCATATGGAGGTAAAGAAGCAGAAAGTTCAAAATTTTTCTCCTCAAGACCTCTTCCGAGTTCTTCCTGGAGATGTTATCCAACATATATTCTCACTTCTTCCTCCCAGCACTCTTTTGACATGCCACAAAGTCTGTCGATACTGGTACCAGTCACTCACATCCTTGCCAGACTTATACAAACATATTTTTACTCTTAAGCACGGCATCACTCCGTCAGAGTACTTTCAGGGCCTTAAATTGGTCAAGAGGGTTCTGCAGATCCGTTACTCCAGATCTGTTCATGCCATAAGATTAGGATCTACGACCAATCTTCCCAACCTAAACAAGATTCTCGAAAGTATTATAACAGATAAAACGTTGCGGCTCAATAGACTTGAGATTATCAACAAGCTGGTCTGCTTTGAGTATCTAATAAAAGTGCTAGATAAGTGCAACTGGAACTACGAAGCGTTACAGACAATTGAATATTTACGCTTAGGTTTGAACTCTTCGATCCCATCATACCGGGCATTTCTAAAGTTGTTCCCCCAGTTGCGGTCGTTGGACATTATCATCATTGATCAGAAATTCCGAGAGACAAACAAATTCTTTCTTCCTCTTGACTTGACAAATATGAACCTATTCCTCAAGGAATCAGAGATGCTTGAATCGAATGACATATTGGAGAGTCTTTCGTTAGTCAACCATACGGCATTAACAAAAGATTTTCAAAGTAGAGGGTCCGGGGATCGGACATATTACACTAAACCACGCTTTCTAGCGATCAAAATGACAAACTTAAGGAAATTAACTGCCGTCAATTTCGACTTTTCAAATTTGGAAATTGATTTAGGTCGCTTTTTATCTTTCAATCTGCAATTGAAAGACCTCTACTTGGAGAATAACACCAACCTCAGCATGAAGGACTTTCTAACTGTTCTTCGACTGTACGAGCCAGAATTCCACCTCGATAGACTTACAATGCGTGAAAAGCAACCACAGCCTTCATACGGAATGGCAGAAATGGATGTTGAGGGTATTAGGTGTCTTCATTCCTTGAAGCATTTAGATATATATGGTAGCTCGCTCTCATGCCGAGGATTATTGAAAATGTTGTCGATAGCCAACCATCAATTCCAGCTTCAATCGCTCAATATTGGAAATTCCTGCTATATCTATCTTAAGAGAGACAGTTTTGTCCGTGGACGAGAAGTTTTGAACTTCGGTCAGGTCTTTGAGCTTGTTCCTGGACTTCAAAATCTTTACTTGAATGAATTGGACTTGGATAATGTCTCGATGAAATTTTTGCATAATGACCTCGTGAAAGTCACAGGGTATACAGAATGTCCTCTTAAAGTGCTTGACTTGTCATTTTGTCACCAGATTGATGGTATCGGCTTGATGAATCTTGTCAATGCATCCTATTCGCAACCAAGTGAGGCATCTACGTTACAATTTGACGAGCTCATTTTGGATGGGCTTAGCATCAACAAACTGACATTATCCTTACTTTCCAAACGAGAACTAGTGACAAAAGTTACTTGCGACCCTTTAAAGGCCAAATGGCGCCAGTATGGCATAAATTCATTTGTACAAGATGTTGTCCAAAATCAGCGGTAGTCCATTTGGACTCGGCACGAACATCAAAAAACTATGCGAAACAGACAGGATGAGATGAGATGAAGCTAACGCGAAGACTATTAGACATGGTGGTAACCAGAAGTGGTAGATCCACGCGTGAAACTGCCAAGAAGATCAAATTCACAGATGACGGTGAAATGCCCGAGCAGGTCGAGGTTTTCAGCGTCGAATCAACAAGAGAACCTGAAGAACAGCCTCAAGAAGAAAGTGAAGAAGAGTCGGACTCAGACTCTGACGAGGCACCTGAGGCCGAGTCTATTTCCACATCCAAACAAGCATTGATTCAGAAACAAAAGGAACAGGAACAATTGAAGCAGGACTTGAGAAAGCAAGAAAGAGAGCGTAGAAAGCAACAGGATTTGGTGTTTAAGCAACAGCAAGAGGCCAAGAAAGCCAAACTTAAAGAGCTTGCCGCAGCAGAGGAACTACCTGACTTATTGCCTGAAGAAGCTCTTGAATCGGATCACGAAGAAGAAACCAAAAAAGGAAAGCACCTACGCTCCGAGGACTTCGAGAAAGAGCATGCTGCTATGCGTAAGAAGATGAAGTTGGAGAAGTTGAGATTGATCAAGGAACAGCGCAATGCTGCATTGAATAAGGGACCTGTTGTTGTGCAAGTGCAGAGGTTCAACTCCAAGAAGCAGGCTCCAAGGGCAGAAAAGAGTATTCTTGACAGCAAAAAGGCTTGGTTGGAGAGAGCATCGTTGGGAAAGAAGTAGGAATCTATAGGATTTTGCATACGGAATGAAAATCAGCATTTATTTTAGGTATTTTGAAGTCCTGCTCCAGATTCTGGGACTATACAGTAGTCCTGTCAAGTTAGGTTAGCGACATGCTGTTGTAGACATATAATTCTAGACATATGATGTTGTAGTCACATTATAGCTGGACGATGAGATGTATGTACAAGCAACATTGAAATCATCACTAGCTTCTTTCGTTTCTCGTAACTCCGATTCTCTCATTCTTGTTCTGTAATGGCTCTTTGAATATGATTCCTGTCAGAGATTTGTCTTGTTCCTGATTGTGATCTACCAGAGAAATACTGGCACTCTGCTGCAAAAGGACCGAGTCATCGTACTCGAGGATATCCTCTGGGGTTAGTTTAATGGTGGTGGCTGGTCTTCTAAGCATTACAGGAGGAAGAAGTTGATATTTACATTTTTGATTTGATTCCATACACTCCCAGCAATTCATGATGTAATGAATATGAATAAGAATAGGAATATGAATACGAATATGAATAGGAATATGAAATATTCGACGAAAGATTGGTATAAAAGTTTAAAGATATTTATCGGGTTAATTGAACACACTGCTCATTGTGGTGCAAGTATAGATGTACTCTTGAACCCAAAAATAGTATTCGAAAATAATAACAGCGAAAAGAAGAACAGTTTTAGTACCCGAATAATAATTCAGAAGCTCATGATTCATCAATATTTTTGGTGTCTCATCAATTGTATTTCGTGATTCATAAGTGAGCAGCTTACTCCCAAGTAAGACTGAAGTCGTTAGCGAATGCACCGTCTTTGGTCTGGTCCTCCAAGTTCGTGATGTAGATGGTATTGTTTGTGAATTTGAAATCAACCGCTTCATCGTTGAATTGAACATCTGATGGCTCATCAAGAACTCCTAAGATGGTAATGTTAGCCAAAGGCTGAGTTACGTTGTACTCTCCATAGGATGTGGCAGACAACTGTCCGCTCAAGGCAGAGAAGTCCACAAAGAGCGATTCTGGATCCAAAGATTCACCATCGTCAACATAAAGCTTTCCCAGTGCAGACTCATCGAGATCCAAAGCCACCAAAAGTGACCAAGAGCTGTTACGGCACTCAGCAGTTGTCATCTTGGGCTCTTGCATTGGAAGCACATTACCTCCTCTGATGTGAAGTGGAATGTGACCTAAAGGTGCCTTCAATGTCTCATTCTTGCCATCCTCAAACTCTTGCTCTTGGTGAGTGTACCAGTCGTAGTACACCTCCTTAGATCCAGAACCTGGGAATGTTCCCTTAACACTTGTCACATTTGGCTCCAACACAGGAGTGACAATAAGTGCTTCTCCAACGAAGAACTGAGTAGAAACATCCGCGAGCTTAGGGTCATCTGGGAATTCCCACAGCAATGCTCTCAATACGGGCAAGCCAGTCTGGTGAGCAACATACATCAAGGTGTAATAGTATGGAAGAAGTGAATATCTGATGTCCATGGTGATTTTGGAAGCTCTCAACACCTCGTCCCAAACGTATGGCTCCTGAGGAAGAGCTCCCAAAACATTATGGTTACGGTAGAATGGGAAGAAAGAGCCTAGCTGCATCCATCTGGAACACAATTCCAAGTCCGAATTTCCGTTGAAGCCGCAGACATCGACTCCAAAGAATGGTAATCCAAGCATACCCATGGTTAAAGCTTGTGGAATGGAAAAGTACGCATATGCCCATTTCGAGGCATTGTCTCCACCCCAATGGCCAGTATAGTTTCCAGATCCAGAATAAGTGGATCTGGAAATGATAAATGGCCGCTTATTAGGGAACACCTTAGTAAGGGCGTGGTAGGTTGCCTTCGTTTGCATGAGTCCGTACAAGTTATGGATGTTGTACTCGATAGTTCCATCTTGATGAGTAGCATTTGGAGAAACAGCATGGACTTCCAAGCCGTTGCCCTCTTGTGCGTTGTTGATAACATATGGTGGATAATTGATGTTTCCCACACCAGTTTCCAATGTGTTATAATACTTTGAAGCAGTGTAGTTGACGTAAGTGGTGCTGGCGACGGTGATAGTGGTGGTGGTAGTGGTTACATTACCGGAATTAGCAACCGTTGAGTTTCCACTTGGTACACTGCTGACAGAAGATGAAGCGGAGGCTGCACTAAGGGACGAAATGTATGCTTCCATAGACGAATATTGCGAACTGTTACTGTTCTCAAAGCCTTCAGGGAATTCTGTCTGCTTGTTGCCAACAGCAAATGGAGGGTGTACTGGATTAGTGTCAATACGGCCGGTTCCACAAGATCCAACACAGAAAGAAGAAACCTCGTTCATATCCAACCAGATACCATCGAATGGAACCTTTTCAAACCAATTGAGAAACTGGTCGTTCCAGTACTCAGTGATGTTCTTGGCCAAGAAGTCGGGGAACACGGTGTATCCTGGCCACACTGCTCCAATGTACAAGGAGCCATCTGGATTCTTCAAGAAAATATCTTGGTCCATTCCTTCATGGAATGTTGTGTAGTTGTCGTCGGTCTTGTTGTTAGGGTTGGGGTGGTAGATGGCAGCATCAACAATAGGAACATAATGCTGGTGATTATCATGTAACTCGTCCAAAAAGTCTCTGAAATCATCTTCAGGAAACCTATGAGGGTCGGTTGTGAAATCCTTATAAGAGTCCATGTAGTCAATGTCGGACCAAATGGTTTCAAGCTGAAGCCCACCAGCTTTGAACAAATCAACCACCTCTGCAAGTTCATCCACATCGCTGTATCCCCATCTACATTGGTGGTAACCAAAAGCCCAGTATGGCTGCAAGGCTGGAAGTCCAATTTCTGCAACGTATTGCTGAATCACGTCTTTAGGCGTGGGTCCCAGGAAAAAGTACAAATCAATCACTCCATTGAGAGATCTCCAAGTGAGGGACTCTTCTTCAATGATAACCTCCTGAGGAGCAGCAGTTCTCCACCAGACACCATGGGCCCATGAAGAATTCACCTGGTTGGAACCCTGGTAAAACGTGCTGTTATACGTGTAGGTTGCATTCGTGGTGTTGATGCTGGTTCCATTGTAGCCAGTGAGAACCTTGGTTCCATTGACTCCTGGGTAGGCTGTGAAGTTAAAGGTGGCATTAGCGTCAGGTGTTTTGCTTTGAATTGAGTATCGTTGATCAATGTAGAATGGATGAACACCGTAAATGTTTCCATCGATAGGGTCTCCCACATCGTTGGCATAGAGAGTTCTTACTGTTCCTGGAGGATTGGTGAAACCATGGATGGCCTCACCCAAGCCTGTGATGACATGTCCAAGAGGAAGAGAGGTGTTGAATTGTACAAACTGATTAGCAAAGACCAATGGGTTGTTCTTAGTGGAGAAGATAACATCAGAGGTTGAAAGTCTCACTACTTCAAACCAGAACGATTCATTGACTCTGGAGTGTCTGAACAGTAAGTCTTGCTTGGCGAAATTAGTACACGATTCGTTTCCATTTTCATTTCCCGGCTTTTTAACCCAATCACTAGGAAGAACAAATACATCATCTGGCGTGGTGGGCTCGATGTGCACTGATAACCTTGTGTCAGCCTGATACAGAGCATTGAAGCGCAAGTAGTCAAAATCGTAGCCGTAAATGTTGGATTCCTTGATCAATTTCAAAATTCCAGTAACACCACAAGCATTTCTAGTCACATTGACCAATAAGTATCCTGGGGCAACTGCATTAGCGTCCACTGCAGTTTCATTGAGTACGTTGGGAACCTGAGTAATACCCCAGGTGAGCTCAATTGGAACAGTTTCTTGAGAATTCGAGGAAGTAGAGTTCAGCGAAGTTGAATTGGTGGAGTTCGTAGATGATGAGTTTGTCAATCTCCTATCCAACACCAAACCAGACGTTCCGCCCGGTCTCGGAACTAATACTGCTGAGACTACGCCAACCAAAAATGGGAGTGAAATCTTCATTCTGGAGGAGTATAGAGAAGAAGGAAGTGGGAAACTACAAATTTATGAACATACTTCCGATTGCTCCAGCGTTACGAAAATTCACCAATCCTGCCTGGTCCGAATGCTCCGTGGTGCCAGTCCTCAGCAATTTTGCACCCAGTTGTTATGAGCTATGGCTGCGGAGTACCTTGAACAGTCATTGATTCTGCACCAAATCTATGCACAAGTTCCTTTGCGGGCGATGATTGCCAGGAATTGCTCCACTTTCGCCGATGATTGCTCCGTATTGGGTTGCATTGGAGCCATTCGGTGTCCAGGGGCGATCTTCTATGATTCAGTCAAAACCTTATTCACTGACTGTTGATTGCGATTTTTGCGTAGTTTCACTTAAATTTGCGAGAAGTTCCGATTGACACATAAAATTAACTTATGTCAGGAACTAGTCTAAAATTTGGAATAGGTACATATATTCTGTTGGATCTTAATTTGTGGGGTGTCAAAAAAACTTTGTGTTGCATTGTTATAGACGTTTCTGCCGTTCAATTAGTTCCGTAATAGCTGGATTGAATAAACCGAAAGAACATTAAATGCTACACCAGTCCAATTCCTGAGCAAGCAGTATGCTATTCAAATGTTCACCATTTTGGAAATGTAAGTTTAAATGCCTGACAGACGGTGGGACCTTAAGTCGACACTTAAAATCTGTCAAGTCCAATTCCTTCAAGCGAGGAAGCTTCCAGTCGATTCCAGTACTTCGTCCATTTGCTATAACAAGCTCTCGTAGAGTTTTAGGTAAGTCAAGACAAGATATTTCGGTCCTTTGACGGGCTGGAAGTGTTAGCTTAAGTCTTATCAATACGGGTGGGAAAATTAATTTCTGCGGCCTTCCGGAGATATCGATCTCTAAGTTTTCTAAGCTTTCTGTAAGTCTAGTTTGCTCAAAGTCACCAGTGTCCACTGGCTTTGAGAGTTGTAAAAGTGGACGGAAATTTGACATTTTTCATCCATCAGATGCTTTCTGTAGATTTGGTAGTAATGTCAAGAAATCCCGATTCCGGAAAATGAACTCTGTCCAAACTTATCAAACAATTGCCAGGTGCATAGTATTCGAAAATAGGAAACTGACATTCGAGGGTACCCATGTTGGTCCCTCCCAATTTCAATAAGGTAAATTGTACTAAGGTTTGAATTTTGCAATTCCCTGATCTCATTATTTTAGTGCTGAGTACTGAGAGAGACACGGGAAACTTGAAGCCTTCTGAAAACTTCACAATCCGAAAGCTCAAGAAACTCCACGGAAGCTGGAAATCCAAGCGAAGTTAACTTGCTACCAATATCAAGACTTAAACTTAATTTTCTCAATCTCGAAAGTAATTTGGCAACTAGCTCTTCAATATCAGAGAAGCAATCTACGATCAATTCTTCGGGTGATTCCGAGAAAGTTATTTGATTCGACAACAGTTTGTTCAGCAGGCATATTATTAACTTTCTCAATCTCGCAGGTACTCTGCTCATTAGCTCTCCTATATTAGAGGCAGAGAATTGTCGAATCAGCTAGTCCTGGAGCGATTTTGGAAGGTAAATCTCTATTTCATGTGCTCTAAGTTTCTCGTGTATGATAAAAGCGCCAACCATGCTTTCCCAGAAGGAAAGATTTGCATCAATTTGAGTTGCGACGAATATTGGAAACTTCGTTTTGCCAGTTCGATGTCAAAATGAATTCTCCGAAATGCAATGCCGCTTTATTTCTTACAGGGGCCAAAAATTTTGAGCTTGAGTTCAACTTCATTGATATTAGTGACAAAACGAAGAGTTCCTTAGTGATTCATACGTGTCGACGGTGTCGTGTACTTGGGTGGTGATAAATACAACCAGCCTGTTTTACTTTCCATCTCCTTGTTGCTTGCTTCGGGCCCCAAGGTTGCCCGTGGAAGTGATTATCCCGAAACGTTCTGATCACGACATGGATCTCTGCTCTACAATCTTGCCTGCCTACAACGGTAAGTGTAAGATCATGGAGAACTACCTTCCAGAGCTGCTTACTATTTGAGAGGATTTCAGTTGAAAAACGCCGCTCTCTTGGTTTCTTCATTCAAAATTAGAGATTAAATATTCTCATCTCGACATTTGAAGTGCATAGATCCCTCAGGAGCGCGTAGACTTGATGTTTCGGCTAGTTGATCCACCTACAGACAGGGAACTATTTATATTTTCTCCGATTTGCAAGTAGCCCGAGCACCGAATCATTCTTCTTCCATCAATAAAAGAAAAATATTGTCCAGCATATTCAGTTAAGAATATCAACAATGATATCTAACCCGAGCACCGAAAAGCTTTTGAAATCGATTTATTACTCGAAGACTAGTATGTATTAACAACTTGACTAATTATCGAGGGCTATAGTAGCCTGCGTCAGCACAACCAACAACATTTTTGTCACGCTTATTATTTAATGTTTTTGTATCTGACGCTTTTTATTCGAAGATGACGTGTGATCAAGGTTGCAAATTTTAACAGGCAACTCCTGATGTTGTGAACTTCGTAAAAGGCCATAAATATAGTTAACCTGGATGGAACCATGTTAAACCTTCTAAAAAGTCTAAAATTGATAGAATATCAAATTGTAGCCTTTTGAAATCGTCTTCTTGCCCACAAATTGGTGATCTGTGAGCCCCAAGTTACATTGAATCATAATCAAGTAGTAGTTTGGATAAAGCATCATTGAATTCGCCTGAAGAACAGTAAATGCCACACCGATATAACTTCAGGGGAAGCGAAATGTTTTTCAAGTGTTCTCCCTTCTCAACAAGTATGTTTAGTTTCCTGACAGATTTGGGAACCCGAAGTCGACCTTTGAAATTTGTCAATTTTAACTTCTCCAAGTGGGGTAGCTTCCAGTCGAGCCCTCTACTTCGAACATTTGTTATTTCAAGCTTTTGTAGAGTTGTGGGGAGGCCAATTTGAGAGACATCATACTTTCTATGAGCCCGAAGTGTTAGCTTGAGGTTCTCCAACCTGGGTGGAAATTTTAGTCTTGGCAGTTTTCCCGTGATATTGATTTCCAATTCCTCTAAGCCTTTAGGAAGCCTAGTTTGTCCATAGTCACTAATGCAGTGTCCATTTGCTTTAAGAATTTTAAGAGTGGATGGCCATTGGACGTTTTTTATACTCCTGATTCCTCCACTAGGAAAGGCTGTGATATCAAGAACTTCCAATTCAGGAAACGTAGTTCCGTCCATAGTGGTCAAAATATTTCGAGACAAATACAATTCCTTAAGAGCAGGAAACCGACAACTAAGCGTGCTGATCTGATTCATTTCCAAATTTAGTACAGTAAGCGATTCTAGTAACTTCGAGTTATGCAATTCCTTGATCTTATTATTCTTGATTCTGAATATTGAGAGAGACTTGGGATATTTGAAGCCTTCAAGGCTATCAAGTCCACAACCTGAAAGATCAAGTTCTTCGATTGAATCAGGAAACACAAGAGAAGGCAACTTTTGTCCTATATCAAGTTCCAATTTCAAACTTTTCAAACTCGCAGGTAAACTGGCAACCAGCTGCACTATATCAATAAAAGAACAATATCGAACCAGCAACTCATTGAGCGACTCTGGAAAGAAGATTTTGCTTGAGAATGCTAAGCCTATGAGCAACAAATCTAACTTTTTCAAGCTCAAAGGTAGTCTAGTCATTACTTCCTCCAAGTGAGGAAAATAACATTGCTCAATGTATAGTTCCTTGAGCGACTCCGGAAAAATGAATTCGTGTGACAATAGATTCATCAAGGATAACTCTAACTTTTCGAGTTTTGGAGGTAACAGGTCCCATAGTTTATCCAGAGAATGGCAGTGGAGTTCTCGTAGATTCCTTGGAAGTTCGATCAATTTCAAGTTCGTTTGATCATAGAGTATGATGCTTGTCAACGAAAGCGGCCACTTCACCGACATGCCCGGGTCTGACTCAAAGACCTCTATCAGTTTCAAGTTGGGTGGTATTTCTGATGGATCGAAACATCTGTACATGTACACCTCAACATTCCGAAACGGGATGTCTTCATATTCCTTGTAGTCACTGTAAAAAGGAACGTGAAGTTTAACATTCGAAATATTGGAAACAAAAGACGGATGTTCCCTAAGAAATTTGATACATTCTTCGTCACCATGCAAACACATCGTTCCCACGCGAGCATTGAGACCAGCTGCCTCAGCTAGTTCCTCCACCCGATAGACGGTGAACTGATTATACAATCTAGAAATTGCAAGTGCTCTAAGCTCTGTGTTCTCGTTTAATCCATGGATGAGACGTTTCAAAGTTTTCTCTGATAAAAAGAGAAAAATATTGTCTACAACCTCTAATGGGAAGATATCGACTAAGATGCCAGACATGGTTTTCAGTTCTTAATGAATCTATGATTCAAAGTACTATTCGGAGACTGAACTTTGCCGTTGAGGATTATGGGGCTTTAGTCATGTGTAAGTCACCTTTTATGCATCATTCAGGACTCACATAACGTTCAATGCGGAAATTAAGCCTTCAATAATAAGGTAGAAACAGCAGTTTTCACACTATGGCACTCTCTACACGCTTATTGTAGTCCAGTTACTGGTCACTAAATATTGTTGTAGATCCTGGTAAAATCAGAGAAATGTGACCACGGGTTGCAAAACTTATCCCAAATGCCGATTCCTGAATATAATAGAATGCTATTTGTTATCATTGACAATCATGTACAGTGTAATCTCCGGGAAACAAATAGAGGATTCTTCACTACATAATTGCATTCAATTTAGAAACCAAATTATGTTGTTATTGCTTTAGCGCACTAGGCTGATATCGCCTTAGTCAACTCGGTTGATCCGAATATTTAGTATCATGTGACATTTTGGAATGCTATGTGATTAGCTTCTTTGAAACTCAATTAAATCCGTTATAGCTTCATTGAAAGTTCCAGATGAACTATTAATGCGACAGTATCCCAACTTATTAGTAACCACTATGCTCTTCAACTGTTCTGCATCTTCTACGTGTATGAATAAAGTCTTCACTGATGGAGGAACTCGAAGTCGACCTTGGAAATAATTCAAATTTAGTTCCTCCAAATGGGGGAGCCTCCAGTCAAATTCAGTACATATCCCATTTGTTATTTCAAGCTTGATAAGGGTAGCCGGGAGATTTAGGAGAGAAAACTCGGAATTCGCAGTGTTAGGAAGTGTAAGATTGAGACATTTCAACTTGGGTGGAAATAGTAATCTGTGAGCTTTTTCACTGACATTGATCTCCAATTCTTCTAAGCCCAGGGGAAGTCTGGTCTGCGGATAATCTCTAATACAGTGCCCAACGGCTTTGAGGACTTTTAGACTGGACGGAAATTTGACATTCATCATACTCCTGATCTCTCCACTAGGGTAATTTGAGATATCAAGTACTTCTAATTCAGGGAATGTAGCTCCATCCAAAGCAATCAAACTATTTTCCGATGCATATAATTCCCGAAGTTTGGGGAACTCACAATTGAGCGAACTGAAATTGTTTCTTTCCAAATTTAGTACCATAAGAGATTGTGGAAATGCACAAGAATCAATCGTCGTAATTTCATTCCTTTCCAAATTTAGTACAGTAAGGGACTCGGGAAATTTCGATTTTTTCAACTCCTTGATATTGTTCCATCCTAAGTTAAATTCAACAAGACAATTTGGGAATTTAAAACCTTCAAGACTTTCAATTTCACAATAGGAAAGATTTAGAACTTCAAGGGAGTCAGGGAACTCGAGAGATGCCAACTTGCTACCGATGTCAAGTTCCAAAGTCAACTTTTTTAAACTGGCAGGTAATCTAGCGACAGCATCTTCAATATCTGAAATACAACCAATAATCAACTCCCTTAGCGCACTCGGAAAGAGAATCTGATTGGAAAAGGATGGTTCTGTTAGGATCAAGTCCAATTTTTTCAAGCTAGAAGGTAATCTGGAGGTCAAGCTCTCCATATTAGAAATAGAACAATTCCGAATCAGCAATTCCTCGAGTGATTCTGGTAAGAGTATTTCATTCGAAGAAAATCTAGTTACGTGTTTCAACCTTAACTTTTTCAATGTCACGGGTAATCTGGTTAATAGCTTACCAATAGTAAATCCAGTACAGTGTTTAATCAGTAATTCTTTGAGCGATTCCGGAAAGAAAGTTAGATTTGATGACAATGATTCCATCAGGATCAACTCTAGCTTCTCGAGCCTTGGAGGTAGCAAGCCCCAAAAACCATACAGATCTTCGCAACTGAGCTCTTTAAGGTCTTCTGGTAGGTCTATGAGTCTCAAATTTGCATGACAACTTACTTTGAAGCATGTCAATGAAGGGAGCCACGCTTTCATCTTGATGGGGTTTGACCCACCATAAGCAATATGTATCAGTTTCAAGTTGCGAGGTGCTTCAGATAGTTTTAAATTTGCAGCCAGTTCGAGGTTCAAATGAATACTCCGGAATTCCATCTTGCTATACTTCTCGTAGTCATGAAAGCAGTCAAGCCAGAGATGAACATCAGAGATGAGGGAAACAAAACCTGGATTTTGTTCGAAAAATGTGACATAATCATTCTCACCTCGCAAATACAAAGTTTCCACGGGAGCATTGAGATTTGCTGCTTCAACTAGTTGCTCTGAGCGAAATACTTCCAAAGTTTTATACATTCTAGATAGTACAAAAGGTCTGAGCTCAGATTCCTCAGGTAACCCCCGGAGGAGAGTTGTCAATGCTCTATCTGATAAGAATAGAAGAACATTCGCCGTGACTTTTGAGGGAAATACATCGACAAGGATATCAGTCATGGTAATCGTTTTATGGACAAATTCTTATACTTTCAAACTGTGTTTGAAATTGCTCTTTTCCCCCATGAAAATTAGTCATATAAGATCAAATCTACGATTTTTCGAGCAGGTAAGGGAGTCACCTACGTCTCATGTTCAAATGAGGAGTTTACGCCTTCTGCAGTGAGGTAGTCATGAAGAGTCATAGTAGAATCGTCTTGTTATGCTTGTTTTGTGAGGGGTGTCCAGTTATTATTACGTGGTCGGCGTGCTCGAATTAATGAATGAAACAAGAAGACATGAGCATGGTTGCTAAACTTGGCACAATAGATCCCTTGATATTATGCAATCAAATTATTGTTGAACTTTACGATTAGCTGACATGCAGAGAGCTGCTGGATTCAGAAGGGAATTTGATTCTGCATCAAACAATTGCAAACATTTCAGTAAACACACTATCTTACAAATTGTCCTATTTTTCAATGTTACTCAGTGATCATCATTCATTGACACCATACTCTCAATAAATTTGAACATGTCACCATCTAAGTCTTTTTGAAAAATGTACTCGTTAATCCAAAGGTACTTCAATTCGTGAGTAAGCACAATATTCCTCCAGTGCTCCCTCCATTGCTTGTCTTGTGGAAGTACTATGGTTAAATTGTTCACCGAAGGAGGAATTTTAACTCGACCTCTGAAATCCAAATCCAACTTCCTCAAGTAAGGGAGCTTCCAGTCGAATTCAGTATATGTCCCATTTAATATTGTAAGATCTTCAAGTGTCTCAGGAAGATTGAGAAGAGCAACTTTAGATTTCTTGAGAAATGTTAGTTCGAGGACTCTTAGCTTCGGGGGAAAGGACAACCTCAGCGGGTTCCCCCTGACTTTTATTGCCAATTCTCTCAAGCTGGCAGGAAGACTGGTTTGCCGAAAGTCACTGACACAGTGACCACTGGCCCTGAGGATCCGAAGAGTGGACGGAAATTTCACATTTCTCATACTTCGGATGCTAGGTGTGGATTCCGTAGAGATATCAAGAACCTCCAATTTAGGGAACTTAACTCCATCCAATCTGGTCAAACAACTGTTCGACGCATGCAATTTTCGAAGACCGGGGAAGTCACATTTGAGTGATCTGACCTTGTTTTCTTCTAAATTTAGTACCCTGAGAGATTCTGGAAATTCACAACAGTCTAACATCGTTATCTTGTTTTCATCCAAATTAAGTACCGTAAGGGATTCTGGAAATTTACAGGAATCTATCGTCGTGATCCTATTGTGCTCTAAATTTAGTACTGTGAGGGATTCTGGAAATTCACAAGAGTCAATCGTCGTGATCACATTGTAATCTAAATTTAGTACCGTGAGGGATTCTGGAAATTCACAAGAGTCTACCTTCATAATCTTGTTCCATCGCAAATTTAGTACCATAAGAGATTCTGGAAACTTCAAGTTTTGCAACAGGTTGATCTTGTTACACCCTAACTCAAGTTCAACAAGACACTTTGGGAATATAATACCTTCAAGACTCTCAATTCCACATTCCGAAAGATTTAAAACTTTGAGAGAGTCAGGGAATTGGAGAGATGCCAATTTGCTACTGAAACGATATTTTAGTTGAAAGTTTTTCAACTTCACAGGCAAGGTGGCCACTATCATCTCAATTTCAGTAACGCAACAACAACGAATCAGCAAAACCTCTAGTGACTCTGGAAAAGAATAAAGATGCAAAGAAACTGGTTTGCAAAGGTGAAAGTTCAACCTTTTCAACCTGTTTGGTAATCTCGACATTAGTTCCTCCGTGTCAGAAGCAGGACAGCGACTAATCAGCAACTCCTGGAGCGATTCAGGAAGGAGAAGTTGATTTGAAGCGAAAGGTTTTATGTTCAGAAGTCTAAATGTTTCGAGTTTTGGAGGAAGCAGGTCCCATAACCCGCCCAGACCCAGGCAAGAGAGCTCTTTAAGGTTCCTTGGTAGGTCTATAAGTTTCAAGTTTGTGTGATTTTCGACAGTCATGCAAGTCAACGAAGGCGGCCATCCTTTCAATTCCATTTGATTCGATTGATAAGCGTAGAGTACTATCAGTTTCAAGTTGTGTGGAACATCAGATGGATTAAAACATTCACATAGCTTGAGAACGAGACATGAAATACTCCGAAACGGTATCTCTCTCCATTTCTTGTAATCATGAAAACACCCAAGCAATAGATAAACGTCTGAAATATTCGAAACAAAGGTTGGGTTCTCTATGAAAAATGTAAGATAATCGTCACGAGCCTGCAAACCCATCATTCCTACCGGAGCATGAAGACTTGCGGCTTCAACTAGTTGATCTAACTTATAGACCTCGAATACTTCGTAGATTCTGGAGAGTACAAGTTCCCGAAGTATCGAATGTTCGGTTAATCCCTGGAAGAAAGTTTTCAATGCTTTCTTGGATAAGAAGAGAAGAACATTGTCTATGACATCTAAAGGGAAGATATCAATAAGTATATCAGACATGGTGACTAGCCTTAAGTAATGATCATAAAGTATAGATAGATCATTGGACCTTAAGTATCAGGAACATGACTCACCTTCGAGGGCAATTCTGATTTATACGAATGAATCGACAAGTAATTACTCACTCTTGTTGCAGTCCGTTTTCGTCACCGATCACTCATAATTTACGAAAATAGAAATCAGCGAAGCTCAAGCAGGGCTGCAGAATAGGTCCCGTTTGCCGAATTCGTAAATAATCGGGGATTTTCTAGAGGTAAATTGACTCATGAAACATCCCTACTTAAGCAGAATAAACATGTCTTATCTTCAAGGGCGATCTTGACTTACAAGCATCAAGCAACTAGCACTCACACTTATTTGTTTTCGGCCTCAATCAGACGTCTTGTATGTAAAGAGACATTAGAGAAGTACTACCATGGTTGCAAAAACTGCAACCAATTTCGTAATTCTGAATTTTGTTAAAGTGATTAATTATTGCAAATTGAGTGAAGTACGATTTAGCAGCTTGGTGTTAATATAAATTGTAAGAGTTATTTGACTATGAATTGCAACAATTTGGAAGGAGAATTTTGCTGTTTCATCTTTATTGAACTCTTTGGATTCATTTCTGAATGTTACGTCATGCAACACTTCGTCTTACTTGATGGTAAATTTTACCCCTTTGTCGTGCAATCGTCATGTTTATACCTCGATTGAAATAGTCCTCTTCTCCGCGGATGTCACAATAGTCCAATATGTGAGGAACCACTAAGTCTTCTAACCATTTTCGATTTTTAACGAGTAACTCTAAATTTTGCTACTGAGTGAGGTACCCTTAATTGACCACGAAAATTTTTCAATTTCAATCTCTCCAAATTGGGTAGCTTCCAGTCGAATTTTGTACATATTTCATTTGATACTGCAAGGTTTAGAAGGCTAGCTGGGAGGTTGAGGAGAGAGAACTTTGATTTCCCAAAGTTTGCAAGAGTTACATTGAGCGATAATCTCTGTGGCTTTCCCTTGTCATGTATCTCCAACTCTATTAAGCCGTCAGGAATTCTGGTTTTCTCATAGTCCCCAATGCAGTGTCCACCGGCTTATAGTATTTTGAGAGTAGATGGGAATTTCACATTCTTCATACTCTCGATGTAAGCAGAGCCAGTTTTCCAAGTACAAACAGTAGATTCAGTAGGATTGGTAATTGTCACGAGAATCAAAGCGACGGGAAACAATTCGGAATATATTCATATCTCGACGTTAATTCGTCATATTGTCGATGCGTTGGATGGTTTGATTGTTCTGCGCAGTATGTACAATCTGAGTCTTCAATGTGTGGAATATTCTTCTCCGCCAGCACACAACGTCAAACCAGACCTCGATGTCTAGATCATCTCATAAGAGCTCAAGATCAGTGTTCGTGTAGTGCCGAGCTTCACGAAAGTGAAATCGCTCTGATTTTGTTGGAGCACATTTCATCCCAGACACGATTATCTTACCAAGACCAGCAGAAATTAGACAATCTTCACGAGCTTCAGAAACTTCAATTGCTACTCAACAAATACAAAAATGCCCGAAATGAAGATATGGTTAGCCAGGTTATGCAACAAATGTCTGTATTGGCCGTGGAAGATACTCCTCCACCTCGTGATGACCAAGAAGTGATCCATTCCATAATTCCCGAGATCCTAGCTAGAGGGCCCGATTATGCACAATATAGACAACTAAGACTGAGAAATATGCTATTTCAAATGCTTTCATCTGTATTATCCCTCAGACAACCGTTTGCTACTCAGCCAGTCGTTCAAGAAGACTACATTCTTCAATTCAATGGTGAACTCTACAACGAGGAGTGTTTAGAAACCAATGACACAACGTTTATATCAGACAAGCTCAATCTGGAACTTCAACTGAGTAAGCTGCGTGAAGAAGCGATTATGTCTGTCGTATGTCTGCTAGATGGTGAGTTTGCTTTCGTACTCACAGACTTGCTTGAAAACAGGGTTTATTTCGGCAAAGATGTTGTCGGAAAAAGATCTCTTTTGTATTCCACTCATGATCATGGACTAATTATCTCGTCTGTGTATCATGGCCGTCATGAAAATGTTATTGAGTGTAAAAGTGACCGCATTCATATCTACGATCTTGAACACAAGACTTTGTCATCCAAGCTCTACGCTGAATTGTGGAAAACACATACTCAGGACCACCAATTGTCCCTATGTCCAATTAACCTGGAAATTACATTTTCAGAGGAGGATTTGGTGTCTCGTACACAAGTCTTACTGGAAGTTCTACTGCGTGCTACATTTTTAAGACAAAATACCATCCACCCTCTCCATCCTAGCCGTGAGCATCTCGATCTTGGAATTTTGTTCAGTGGAGGTCTCGATTGCACAGTGGTAGCAGGGTTAATAGCCAAAAATTATATTCAGATGGGAGCAAATGCTGTGATAGATCTTCTTACCGTTGGATTTGAGAATCCTCGTACGGGGCTTGGAGCTCGAGAGTCTCCAGACAGAAAGTTAAGTGAAAGGTCGTTTTTCGAACTTGCAAGGGCTTTCCACGGTACGTCTGTTAAATTCAGATTGGTGCAGGTGGATGTTCTGTACTCACAATGGCTTGCTCACAAGAATCATGTCCTTGATCTCATATACCCATGCACCACTGAGATGGACTTGTCCATTGCCATAGCATTCTACTTTGCTTGCCGCTCACAGCTGTGTGAAGCATTGGAAGTGACTGCAGATCTTTCAAAAATTGACTGGCAAACCTTCTCCACTGATATGGCTAATCAGGTGTTGAAAATCGAAAACTACACGTCGGAGGCCAAAGTTTTATTCTCTGGGCTTGGAGCAGATGAGCTATTTGGCGGATATTCCCGTCATGAGAACATTTTCAACGATCTAGATCAAGCAGCAGAGCCACTTGTGATTCAAGAGAAATATCGGGAACTCTCAGCTTCCTTGATCAGCGATATAGAGATCATCTACGAAAGAAACCTAGGAAGAGACGACAGGGCAATGTCATGTTGGGGAAAAGAGTTACGATATCCATTTCTTGATAATGCCGTGATCAAGTTCGTGGTCAATCAGATTGAACCACAGTTCAAGATTAAGTACGAGTGGACAACAGTCAAGACAAAGAAAGGAGAGAAGACAGTCAAGCAGTTTGTGCGTAAGCATATTCTACGGTGCTTGGCTAGAGATCTAAATTTGAATATGGCAGCAGACGAGATCAAGCGAGCCATCCAGTTTGGTGCGAAGAGTGCCAAATTAGAAGTTGGACAGAGCAAAACGAAAGGAACAGATCTGTTGGCTAGCAAGTGATTTTACATGTTGAAATAGGAGACTTTGTATGAGAATATCCATTCCAATAAATAGTTAAACTGGCTTCTTATACCAATTCTAAGACCAGCATCTTATACCAATTATGATACCAGCATTTAATACCAATGCCTAATGTGTAATGAGGTAATCAATAAATAATTCCAGCCCTAGTGCCGGGTATTGTTCAACTCGTTGACCCACTTAGGTTCAATCACTAAACAAATGCACTCAGTCAACAAGTTGGCCTTGTCCTCCACAAATTCTGGAACAGGCTTGCCTTCCAAGTCTGCTTTCAAGTCCACCAGGAACACCTGACCTTTAACGCGACATTTTCTGCCCTTTTTGTCTAATAAAGTACACTTGAGCATCACGTACGAGTCCACGAAGCAAGGCTTGAAGTAGTTGAGCTGTAAGTTGGCAGTCACACCTTTCTTAGACTCAAAGCTCTGAAATGCAAGTCTACACGTCAACTCATCAAGAATGGTGGCCAACAACCCACCGTGAATGATCAGAGTGTGTCCAGACAACTTGCTTCCCAAGTGGAAAAACGTGTAGCTGTGATTATGCTGATCTGGTTCAAGCTCATCGATGTCTTCAAATTCCGTTAAGAACTTCTCGTCGATTACGTAAAGCCCGCGAGATCTGAGGTTGATTTTGTCTGGCCCCACTAATGTGTGACCTGTCAAATGTGGCCAGATGTTCTCCTCGATGAGGGCATTTTTCTTGTTGGCGATACTGTGGTTGAGATTCACGTTCTCATAGTACTGGAAGATTGGGTGGCTGTACAAGGTCAGCTCGATGACTTTTTGCAGACCCGAGGTCAAGTCAAGCACAGAGCTTGCGGCTGTGTTAACCAAGGTAGAAGCTTCCATAATGTATAAAAAAAATCAAAAATGTATAAAAAAAAACGGAAATTATGAGTAATGATCATCTGTGGAATATGGGACGGCTTTATACCCACGGAAGATAAGCCTGCATGTGTCCGGAGAAGATTGTGGGGGGCAGGATCCGAGGAACAAGTAAAGAATCGTGTAATTATTTATTGAAAGAAACCACCTGATATATTTACGCGATTATTGTGAATACTTAGATATTAAGATATTTGCACACATTTCATTAAAAATTATATATTATTCGTATTGTGTTATAGCTGCTCACAAAACCTTGCCGAAAACCTTCTTGAATTCATTCTTCGCATTAGCCTTGATGACATTGCCATGGCACATAACTATCTTGTCAAAGTCCCATCCATAGATAATACGCAAGCCTTCGGCAGATGCTGTTGAGTTTGCAATTTTGTTCAAGATCTTATTGCCGATACTCGAGTCGGGATTCAAGTACCGAGCAAGAAATGAGTATCCAGAGAATGGGAAGTAATTTTTGGGGAATCCCAACTCTTCACTGAACTGCTCTTGTGGTTGTTGAGTGCTCAAGTTGAAGAGCAAATCTGCCTCGAAAAGAGTCTTGCTGTTCTTATCGTACATTACAAGTTCCTTGTTGGCGTGGTCAGGAAGGTAGACGAACTCGAAGTGGTCAGTGATGGTGGGGTCAGTGATACCGATTTCCTGCAACACCTGCTTGTCGATGAGTTTCTTGCTGTATTTGGAAGTCACCACGTAGTCAATGGGAGTCTCAGGGCCCAAATCCACCAGCTCCACGGAAATGATCTTCAATTCTGGATATTTCGCCTTGAACAGCTTGGCTGCGATAGTGTGCTCGGTATCTGGAATGATAAGATACGCCACGGGGCTAGAAGACTGACCTGTGAGTTTCTCGATGGCTTTGTGGACCTCGTCTCCAAATGGCATGGCAGACCACACAATTACTGAGTTATTGTAATGGAATAAGGCCATACGGCCACCGAAGTTGATCTTGTCGAATCTCTTGAACCCACTGGCTGCTAACAAGATGTTGTCTGTGAGCTTCTGAGTGACGATCTTCAATGGATTAGGATATGGCATGGAGAATTAATTGATGGGATGCAATTGAAGGGATGTCTCAATTGAAAGATTGAATGTAATGTCTTGATAGCAAGTGGAGTGTGATGGCCTTTATATGATTGTTGCCAGTTGGTACTGTATGTGGGGGTGTCCTAGAACTTGAGATGACAAATGGTTGCTTTGTCAGAGGACTGGGTGTGATTTGAATTGAAGACTGGACAAAACGGTGAACAAGGCGAAGTGAAATAGTTAAAGGCGGTGTGGGAGAGAATGTAGAGGGGGCGGAGCTGAAATGTCATTACAGTATTCTTGAAAGGCTTTTAGAAATTTTGAAACCTCTAGATTTCGCAGCAATTAAAGTTGAGTAGTAAGCGACCTGAACTTGGGTAGAATAGAAAAGAAAACTAAGACATGGGGCAAAAAGTGGGAATATGATGGGAATCATAATTATGTAGAAGAGAGAATACAGACATTTCGACAAAGATGAACAATTGCCATAAATGACTTGTCATAGATCGATAGTGTGAACAATGGAAAAGAAATTTGTGGGTGTCTATCATCATCGGTTGGTCACTCATATTGGCGATTAAATCTGAACGAAAGATTCGACTATTGATTCCCTTTTTTCTGTGGATTGGGCTCAGTTGGGACAATGTGATTGTTACTGGCGTGTGTGTGTTCTAAATGCATGTGCTGAAATAGACTTTGACATCTCCTGTTATGGAGACCATGAATGAGGAGGATACGGCCAACGAAAGTCTTTAGGGCTTGGGAATGTTTCTGTCAAGAAATGGGACTTCATAAAAATAATCTACTCTCAAGTCCCTAAAAACTTGCCCAACTGTCTTTCGAAAAAGATCTCTGGCTTCCTGTCGTCAATTTCTACAGGAGAACAGACAGAACGTAGAATCTGTTCCAAGAACAATCAGCTTCTACAAAGTGTTGATACTAGATGGGTCTACATCAGCTTTTTCTAGTCTTCGAACTGTAATATCGGTCCTTTCAACTATGACCATCCAGATTCGTTATATTTAATTGTTCTCAAAATGTGAAGAATAGAGAAAACGGAACAGAAACAAGTTATCCAGTTCTATTGGACCCACTCAGTAGTGGTGACAATGACCTTTGACTTCGTATCTTTCGGGCCTACATGTTAGATTTATCCAGTAACAGCTTTCACAAATCAGTATGAATTATAGTGTATGTGTCAAAGTGCAAAACCTATTCAACCTCTCCAGGTTTGTCGTGTATTATCAATTTTTGAGATAATGATGCTGTAGGGTTCGTGTTCTTGAATAAGAGTATACTGAAACCTGAAGAGGAAGAAAATTACCAAGTCCTCTTTAGATGAAATTCAAGATTTTCTAAACCGAAAATCCGAATCTCCAATGCTTCTACAAACATGCCATCCATGTCTGCTCTAATTCACTCAATTTTGTTTTCAAATGCATTTACACATCAGAGTCAATGTCTCCCAACCGCTTGCAAATGCGGTAGCACCATTCAAACTATGAAACAATACCGTTATGAGTTACTCTTAACATACATCCAAGGATAATTTCCAGCCAATCGAAAACATCGACATCTACAGTACGCACCCGGAGAACATTGTTTATATAGCTTGTTGTTCTAGTCTTTGACCCTCCACCCTGTCAACGTCAGATCCCCCACACTTTGCCGCACTATATAAACCCACACTTTACAAAAAAAACCCACAATCAACTCCACACTGAAACCACACCAACAGATAATCTCATCTTCTTCCTCCCATTAATTGCCTATTCTCTCTCACCACCACCCTAATAATCATATTTACAAACCCGAAAGTCCGTTCTGATCATCATCCGTTTCCTGGGGAAGGCTGTGACACCGTCATGCATATAATAGCGTCATCGGAAGCATTAATCAACTATCCGAGAAACACATTCAATGATTACCTAGAAGTTCAAGCCTGATGTCAAAATTTCCTCCAACCCCAACAATAACCTCAGCACACCCAACTCAAACCTTCTTTTCCAGGTTGTTCTCCTCACGATCATGCTTGCTGGAGGCGGTGTTTTAACACAGGAAGACGCAAGTAATTTCCCGCACTGGGATCAATGATGCAGGGTGCCTATCTAGTCTTTCTCCGGAAGAAAAAAAAGTTTCATCATACTCCTCCTTTTTCTTCTGAACTAGTCTTGAACTCTGGCTGTGGTTCGTATCCATAGTTGCTAAAGTCATTTTCCCATATATTCATGCTGGAATCAGAATCTCTAAGTGATAAGGCTCGCAGGTTCTACAGAGATGTAGTGGAACCCAACATGGGTGTGAGTCTTTTACTCTTGTCACAGTTCCTCAACTCCATCATGATCCTCACATGTAAATTGTTGGAAGGAGACAAGGACTTTGAAACTCCGCTCCATCCGGTGCAGATTTTGTTCGTCAGAATGTTTGTTACATATGTACTCTGCGTTTTATACATGGTGATCACTAGAAGTGTGGAGGATGCTCCATTCGGGCCCAAGAGCCAAAGACCATTTTTATTGTTGCGAGGAATCATTGGATTCTTTGGTGTTTTCGGCTTATACTACTCATTGCAGTACTTGAGTCTCTCGGACGCTGTATCCATCACGTTTTTGATTCCCATGGTGACTGCGTTCTTTGCCTTCATAATGTTGGGCGAAAAGTATTCGGTTCTAGAGGCCGTGTGTGCGGTTCTTTCGTTGGCTGGCGTCCTTCTTATCGCTAAGCCGGACTTTCTTTTCGGGACAGACACTGAGGTTTCTCATAATGACTCAGCAGAATCCTCCTCTAGCAAGTTGAGATTATTAGCAACTGGAGTAGGTCTTATCGGCGTCTGTGGTGCTTCCGGTGTCTACGTTGTTCTTCGTAAAATCGGCAAACTGGCACATCCATTAATTAGTGTCAGCTACTTTGCGTTGCTGACATGTGTAATCACATTTGTTGCCACTTTGGTGACGCCCTCGCTCTCGTTCCAGATGCCTACAACACTTTATCAGTGGTTTTTGTTTTTTTTGATTGGTGTTTCAGGTTTCTTTATGCAATTCTGTTTGGCAGCGGGTCTCCAGAGAGAAAAGGCAGGTAAATCGTCGCTAATGATCTATTTCAACATGGTGTTTGCCTTATTTTGGGACTTTGCCATATGGGGCCATTTGCCAGGTATTTTGAGCATCTTGGGAATGGCTCTCATCATTGGAAATGCATATATTGTTATCAAGTACAAGCCAACTGTCCCGGAGGAAGAGCGTCCTCGGGACTTGGAGCATGATGCTGTCAAGTATCATCGTGCGGAAGATATCGTTATGGAAGAGTTCAATATTTCAGATGATGACTCGGCGTCTTCTTCTGCGTCCTCTGATAGACATTAGATTGGTGTAATTTTATAGATTGGAGTGCAAGTTTAGTTAGAAAAACTTTGAAAGTAATCACTACCGTATGATCCGTTTATATTGACTTGTTCAGTCTACCAAATCGTCTAACCAAGACAATTCACTCTTAATATTCCTCAACCGAAGCATATTCTCAATGGCATCCTCTGTTTGTTCAGTGGTAGTTTTGCTGGTGGAAGCTAAAGATGTCACATTGGCAATCAACTTCCTCGAGTTGTTGAGATTGACGTCGATGTACTCGATTTTCAAAAAGTCATTGGATGATGGATCTGATGGTAGTGCTCTAACCTGCTTGATCCATTTCGTCATGGTAGGAAAGTGTAGATATAGTGAGATGTTGCTGATTTAGATAGTAGATTGTTAAGGTGGATTATGTCGTATGGTACAGGATGCTGACAGTGGACAACGGTAGATAAGGGATAGTCTATACAATATCTGAGAAACCTTATAGTACTTTCACATTTCACAAAACAAATGCTAATTTTTCTTTCATTTTCTTTTAAGGCATATGCCTTGTCTAAGTCTTTCATCATCTTTCTGGAAATCAATCGATTTAAATGCGAGCTAGAACTTCACATCTCCGTTTTGGGATCATTTTGATCTCCAACATTCGTGGTTTCTGCAAAGAAAGTTTCCAAAATTCAAATGAAAAAGGCTGAAAACCATATATCGGTAAATACTAGAGAGTGAGAGATAAGATCAACGAAGGTGGTACACTGAAACTGAAATCACAGCATTCTCTCTTCAAAAGTAGACTCTTTTCAATCCTTTCCAATGATCAATGTTTGCTACATCAAAAATATCTATTTCCAGAAGGACCTTTCAAAGTTAATATACAAGGACTGAGAGAGTAAAATCTGCCAAATCTGCCAAATCTGCCAATATATCAAAAAATAATCATGCGATCAAGTTCTCATGAGATACTATGAGTATCCTAGAAGCTTCTATTGGGCTAATAGTCTTATAGATTTTAACGCCACCTCTGTCGAATTATAGCTACAATTTCAATATATGAAACAATTGAAGGTAAAAACAAAGTAACTTTTCTTAAATGCTCAAACTCTAATTAGCACAGAGAGCAACAACATTACCATCACCCACAAGCGACTCTAAGTAATCGTTGAATTCCTCGTAAGGGACCATATCAATGGTTCCCAAAGGTCCACTAGTCTTCAATGGCTGTCCACCATACAAAACTCTCACGTAGGAGGTTTCATCGGTGGGCTTCTGCCACAATTCAAACACAACTTCAGCACCCATTCCTGGCCATCTCATGTACTCAATCTGGAGAGCACCGAGCAAAGGAGAAACAGACCCATCATGCGCAATGTTGTGTCTATATTTGATAGTGCTACTGCCATCCTTTGCATCCTTCAAATGCTGTTGGAGCTCCATTAAAAAGACACCATAACGAGCAACCGAGTACAAGGTAGAATTCAACGACTGTCTGTACAAATAATTGTATTCGAAATCTCCCAATCTGAACACTTGGTTAGCTTGAATTTCGCTAATACATTCATCAGACTTCAAACTGCATGGTAATGCCATATTATGACAAGTCCGGTGGGCCAAGTTGTCAAAGTAGTGGTCCCACGAGGTATGCCACGACAGAGAAGTGTTGGATACGCCTGAAATCAGATCCAATTCCTCAAAGAGAAACTTAGAATCAGACAAGTGGTCCAACCATCCCTGCTCGAGGTAAATGGATGCTTTCGTAGCGTCTGCACCATCACATTCATATTTTGGTTCTAACGAGTCTGAAATGGCTCTTTGCATGTTTACATCGATGTTCTCGTTGGACTCCAATGGGAACATTCCAGCAATCAAAGCTCCTGCCACTTGCGAGGTAATAACATTGGAGGTGACATAAAACTGCACCAACGATGAGTTGTATTTCTCTGGCAAAAAGTTCAAGTTGGTGTGATAATTTGCATAGAGATCGACTCCATGGTAGTATGAGTCGTTGAGGCCTCCATCGCTGATCTGCGGAAATTGACACGTTCCATTGAACCCTGGCAGCTCAAACGCAAAGGGATTCACGGGATCCTGGTAGTTGCTCCAGCCAACATTGACGTTCTCGTTACCGCGAGTAAGAACGTTGGAGTAGTACATGTTTCTAACTGTAGAACACGAGAGTTCAGTATCTTCCTCTGGGAAAGTGTTGTCTTGGTATGGAGTTCTCTTGTGGTGACGATGGATTACCTCCACATACTGCAACTTGAAACCCGACTCTGGAACTAAGTACTCCAGCTTTCTAACGTGGGGCATGTTACAGAAGTTATACTCACCATAAGCCTCTGGAGAAACATAAGAGCCATTGTAGTGGCCCCCGTTGGTATCCAATTCATCATTGAAGACGTCTGTCAAGTTAGTGATCTCATTAACGATCGGAGGGTAGTGTGTTGGCACTCGAGCCTCGCCAGCCAATGCAACAGCCACTAAGTAGAGAGAAGCCCAAATCATGGAGAATTGTGGAGATGAAGATTGGATATGTGGCTCAGAAAGTGGAAAATGTCTCTCTATTTATAGTTATCAGCACGTGAGAGATTTTTGAACCGTTTTCTGTCAATCAGTATGTAAGTGGGTAGTTGTAATTTATCAGTAGTTTCCAGTCCACGTGCGGAAACTAATAGGAAGACGGAATTTTGGAAAGACGAGGAAATTCTTCGAAAATTTGGACGTATTCAAAACTTGTTCTAGCTGATTAGCGATTGTATTTGTATAAAGAGGCGGAATTGGGTTTTGAGATGCAGAAATGACGATCGGCCATGAAATTAATCAATAGGTGCAAATCGTAAAGTATGTTGTTCCTGTACACACATCCTGCAACCAAGTACCTGATCCTGTCTAACCACAAGATTGTCCTAAATCATCATCACCATGTCGTACAACGGCATTGGATTACACACCCCACGTGGATCAGGAACCTCGGGATATGTACAGAAGAGTTTAAGCGGACTGAAAAGGGAAGGGTTGCGCCAAAAGCGGGAACGAGAAGCGCAGGAGGACCGCATAAGGGAATCTAAAGCGAAGAAGAAGATGATTAGACATAGTGCTGGTGGCGAGATTGTCGATCATGATATGAAAAGATTGATAGAAGTGAAATGTATGGAGCTTCGAGATAAATTGGAGGATGATGACGTTGATGATGAAGAGGTGGAAAAGCAAGTTGCTGAGTTGAGAAGAGAATTGACCGAGGGACTGCGACCTGGGAAGATAATTGAGAGGAACGAAGAAGATGGTGTTGAAGAGAATAAGGAGACGAGCCCGGTTGTTGAAGAGAAGAAGAGCAAAGTAACTAACATTAGCAAAGATAAGCCAAAGACTTTGAAATCTGAGAAAACTGAGAAAACTGAGAAAACTGAGAAGACTGAAAAGATTGAGTCCAACGTCCAGGCCTACGTACCTCGATACGCAAATCGATAGAATACAAAAATAATGAATGAATGAATGAAATCATAATAAATGCAGTTAAATACCTTCCAGGGTATGTAAAACTTCGACCTTGATTGGCTCCGCATCTTCAATAATCTCTCCATCTTGAGTGCCAGTATGCCCTGTTTCTTGAGAAATAGAGTCCAACGAAGCAGGAATTTCTGAAGCATCACTTTCGCTAGGTACTTTGACTGGTTCAATGCCGCCTACATCTTGTGAAACATGAGAAACACCAACAGAAACCGGAGCACCGGGAATTTCACCTTCTGGGCTCCTCACAACTTCTTCATTGACGTGGTAGGTCTTCTCCGCAATGATATCATCTGGAATTTCAGTCTCCGGTCTAATATCCTCTGAGACTTCAGTCTCGCCTATCTCTGGAACTTCAGCCTCGCCCTTCTTTGTAACTTGAGCCTTGTCTGAGACTTCAGTCTCCAGATTAACGTCTTCTGGAACTTGAGTTTCGAGTCCAACCTTTTCGGGAGTCTGAGTTTCTGGTTCAAAGAGTTCAGGAACTTCAACCTCGTTCAGTGATGAATCCCTCAATTCAGAAACACCCAGTGCTTCCACCAGCACTTCGCGACTTTCTCTCAACTCTTCAATTGCTAATTCCACCTCCTCGATGCTTCTCACACGCTTAGACTTGTCTTCATTGCCTAACTCTGAATTTTCTGTGATATGCTTGTCTAATTCGTCGCTCTCAAAGCGCTCATCAATAATATCTCCGCTGGCATTCTCTTGAACCACCTCAACCTCGTCGTTGATTTCTTGCTTAGTAAATTCAATTTCCCACACATCATGGACTGAAACCTTGTATGGAGATTCCACAGTAACGGTTGTCTCTTGGATAGCTTTGGGTAATCTTTTACCCTTTGGTCCACGAGCACGACGGGGAACACCAGGAATAGATTCAGAAGTAGTGTCAGCAGTTGTCTCTTCCTCGTTGCTTGCCTTAAGTTTTTGGAGCATTTCAGGGTTGGCCATGCCTGGCAAAGCAATTCCTCTGCCCATCATATTCTGCAAGTTGGAGGCAAAGTCCTTCTTATCAGAAGAAAGACGTCCGGAAGACCTGACACCGCGAGAGTCTGGCTTGGGAGCTTCTGGTGCTGGCTGGTTGAACATTTGCTGGAACGCTGCGATCTTGGAGGACAACTTCTTGGGTTTTGGAGGTGGCGCCTTCTTGGTTTCATCGGATTTCACAGGGCGATGAGGAATAGCTGGAGAGGCAGAAGGCACCACTTCTGAAGAGTTGGTTTTAGATTTCACCGGTCTGCTAGGAATTGAAGGTTGCTTTGAGGGCCTCGAAGGAATGACAGGGATCTGTTCGGTTTCAGTAGTAGAGACATTTTCTTGAGTTTTAGTCTTCTCTTCAAGCACTTCTGAGGGAGAGATTTCTTTCGCAGTCTCTGGCTCTTCCACCTTGGGCTGTGATTCTTCCTCTTCTGATTGAAGTTCTTCCACTTCTGCAACACCGGACTTTGAGTCAGCATTAGTCTGCATTTTGTCAACTTCATTGTCTTGAACATCTGAATCCTCGACAGTCTCTGAAACTGGAACCTTTATTCCCTGACTAGAAGCCTCAGCCAACACCTTTGGCACCTCGGGTTCAGCATATACTTCAGAGGTCTTGTCATAGTGGTCTACTGTAACAGCTTTCTTATTTGGCAGAGCATTCTCTGTGTCCGTCTCAATTGGGGCAGTCTCAATTGGAGCAGTCGCAGTAGGTTCAGAGTCTACTGGAACATCATTCTTTTGAACCTCAGGACCCTCACCAGTCAGAATGATTTCATCATCCGAATCAACTTCGTCTTTTGTATTTTCGTTTTCATCATTAAGGGACTCCTCAATCACCTTAGCAATCTTCAGCGGACGTTGAGGCACAACCGGGGACTCAGCCTCCAGTAAAGCAGCCTCGGGTTCAGGTTTCTCATCAAGCTTGTCTTCAGCTGTCTCTTTATGCTTAATTGGGCGTGGAGGAATGACTACCGGAATTGAATCAGCCTTCAATTTCTGATTATTGTCTCCCTCCCATTCTTCCCCCTTCACTTTCGATGAAACATCAACCTCATCAATATCGTTAACTACATCGTCTGCATCCAAACCAGTTGGGATCTCTACAGACTTTCTGATTTCCTTTTCAGTATCAATTCTCTGGTTTCCGATTTCCTGGTTAGTTGCATGAGTTTCGCCAACATTCTCTCCGACCGCCTCTCCTACAGTCTTTTCCTCTTCATCTACATCGTTTTCAGCATCAATGCCGACTAAGGGCGCCACTGTTGATGCTAACTTGTCAAAAAGACTCTGTTCCTTCACTGGCTCCTCACTGGGATCTTCGGGCTCCTTGGATTTCCTCTTGGGACGCAGAGGAATCACAGGCTGTGGAGTTGAGGTGTCAGATTGAGGAGAATGCTCGGCAATTTCCAGATCAAACGTCGAGTTCGATGGTGTTTTGGATGGTCTTTTGGGCCTCTGTGGAATTTGTGGGATTTGTGGGATTGGAGAGTCTGACATTGATGTCGATATACTAGTAGGGTCACTCTAATTAGTACCTTTAGCTATATGAAGGTAGACGGTGGAATGTAGACTTCGGTATTAACTTAACAGTAGAAGGAAGAGAAGACGGATGAAAAGTGATTGAAGACTGAGGTATCAAGTAGAGGATACAAGATTCAAGCACATGTAAATTGAATTTGGTATAAACTGTCAATTGGTGCTCTTGAAATTATTTCTTGTTTCCAGCAACTCACAAGATCCTGAGAGTAGAGCATTCGCCAATAAAATAAGCAAAACATATAGAGGATGTCAAGAAAGAATTAGGCTGGAAGAAGGTAGAGTTTGACTGACAAGTCGAACGTAGACGAGAGTTTGATGAATCAAAATTACAGTAGCAACTTCCCAAACACATCAATTTGATACACCTAATGTCACATACATTTAGCACTATTCAACTACACCAGCACTCTAAGTCATTGATTAGGAGTAGTTCAATCTGAAGATATCGTTGAAAACATAATAGGAGTTTCCATCTGGAATCAAGTGGAACACCTGGGAGTAACGCTGAGCGTTCTGCTCCTCGTCAATCAACAACTCACCAGTCACCATCACCAAAATATCGCCATTTGGCGATGCTGGCTGGGCGTCCAAGGTGGAGATTCTGTGAGCAACCTTCTGGAATGGCAATGACACCAACTTCTCCACGATATCCTTAGCACCTTGCAACTGGGCAGTCTCGAACGTCAACATGGACTGTTCTCTGTACAAGTTACCCAATTGGTTTCTGTCCGAGTCGAACTGCTGGTAGTAGAAGTTGCAGAACTCGGTGGCTACGGTGTTGAAGTCGACTGTGTGTTAGTAGGAAGTAAAGATTGTTGGCTCAAGAGTCGTAGGTCCTGATTTGGAGATTTTCAAATCGTCTCATTGAAGTGAAATATTCATTCAACTGGAATAATCATTCTTTTCATACAGTTGATTCAACATATGCAAATGCCTTCACATCCAAACTGATGTTCAAACTTTAACTCATGGTTTTGGATGTTAAATGTGAAGTAAGACCGTCAACAAATTAGACATTGTTCATTGTATTGAAAGGATTGGAATCTTAGAACTTTCACAATACTCAAGACCTCCCTTGGGATCCATTTTGATACATACCAGACATTATGATTATATGAGAGGTAAGTAAAGAATTTTCTCCTGAGTGCGGTGTGCGTGCACGAAATATGTAGGTGTTGACGGGTGTACTATCTACTATGAATTTGTATATAAACTAATGATCATTCGTGAAAGTTTTATTTTATTTATTTTTTTCTCATTTTTTGTATGTTGTATTCTTTTCCTTATCCATTGTCTCTAGGAAAACGCTGCTCTCAGTGGGAGGGTGCGTTTCACCTTTAGATTCCCTTCGTTTGAATAGGTTGATTGCCTAACGAGAGACATTCAACGGTGTCAATTTTTGGTTAATAAGCTATGACTATCCTGAGTTCCTTCAATTTGGGCAATTTTCTTTTCTCACATCAAATCTCTGTTCCTCTCCAACCATATTAATCACCCTTATCTATCTCTAGTTGTCGTCTTTCTCTCGAATGATCTCCCTCCCTCTGAGCTTACTTCGTTCCCTCTCAGCTCAATTCCTTGTCTCCACCCTTATGCTCCCACTTTTCTACTCACACCAACTGCGAGTAGTCCTTCAAAATACCCTTCATGTGAGTGTTGGTGATCTTTCCTCTTCTAGCCTTCTTCTGCTTCTTCTCCTGCTGCTGTGGCTTCTTCTTGAGCTCGTGAGGATCAGCACCAGTAGGCTTCAAAGAGTTATCAATAAGTGCCTGGTAGAGATTGTCTCTGTCCGGCACCCTAATCTTGTTCCACATCTCCACAAACTCGTCATCGACTGTGCCAATGTCTCCGCCAAGATTGGCCCACACAAGCCGCGGGGCGTTTTCCTTCTTGTTGCGCAAAACCAAAATCTTGTTCTCCTCTTCTAACATGGTAATTGCCTCCAAACATCCCGCCCAACCATCTCGAAGCTCCTTGACTGGTGTGCCTTTGAATGTTGCCTGAGAACGGAGGAAATTCAACAAGTCGTCAGCGCTACTAATGTTGTGAAGCGACATGTACTCCAAAGTACCCGCCACAGGATCATACTTGATTCGGTCGATCTCCTTAAGGAGCGGAAGCAAGGTATCCTTGATGTCAAATGAGAGATATCCCAGCAATTTGGACACAGACACAGGAGCATCTTGCTGTTTGATGTACTCCACAGCCAAATGCAACCTTGTAGACAAATGTGAGCCCAGAATACTGTTGTCAGACTGCTTTTGGCGCTTAATAGCTTGGGCTACTGAGTCTATGGGATCGTTGACCCTTTTCACCTGTTCTGGGGTCTGCACCACAGGTTTGGGTGTCACAGCACGTCTGACGGCCACCGAAGGTCCACTTCTGATTCTATTTTTAAAAGCAGACAACTGCGAAGATAAATCAGACATGATGGTGGAACCTTAGGGAGTAAAGGATATAAGTAACCATGACTTTTGGTGGTATGCGCTGGTGTACGGGTGTGGGCCAAAGTAAAGCATACTTGTTTTAAATGTTGGCGGTTCATTTTTTTAAATTATGACAACTAAGGCTTTCATAGTATCGTTTACAAAATTGAAAGCATCGATTTACAGTCACTATTTTGAAAAAAGGTAGTGTAGATACGGTGTGGGTGTACTCAAACTTGCCCTACTCTTGCAGGCATTTACCCAGCCCTAGGTCGTGCGTAGCCCTGTAAACCGACTATAAAAACCCCCATGCGCAGAAAATTTTGAACCCACGAGCTTTCGTTCTACTGGCGTCGCCAAGGCATTAACATCGAGCCTAGGCGTCTGCTAGAACGAATGTCCGAGATCAAAAAGCCAGCTCTAAAACCATTGCTGTTGGAGGTCGCCGGTCCGCAAGGATCTGAGCAGACTCATGAAACAGTGATGACCTGACTGTTGGGACATTTTCTTCTTCTACATTTTCTTCTCTTTTCATCAAGTATTCCGGGGTACATTTGTCCGAGAAGCATGTACCAACCTTACGAGAAATAATTCTCCCCGATACGGCCACGGCGAATTCGCTCGCGGATCACGTACTCCTCGAAGCTGCTGATCAACTCTTCGTTGATGATTCTGTGAATTAGCTTCTGACCCTCGTAAGTATCGGTGTCGATCTTCTGCGCCCACTGTAAGTTTTTGTACATACCCGAATCCGTAAGATCAAGAACCTTGAGCCCCGACCGGCGAGCTCCCAAGGCGACTTTGCGGGAATCTTCCTTGTTGGAGATGGGTTCGCCAACCTCGAAGTACTTTCCACAGAAAAGTAACAATTCCCTTCCATCAATATTCTTGTGCTCTAAGTCTGCCATGAGCATCTTAACCAAAAATTCACGCACCATCTTCATGTTGATGGAAATCATGGAGGACAAATTGACGTTTTGCAACCTCTCAGAGCGCAAGCTGAGACACTGGAAGACTTCAGACTCGTTAACCACCTCCAAATGCATGTTGGTGATGGATTTCAAGTTTAAATCACTCAAATAGACTCTGCCGTCACCCTTGGACAAGTACAGGAAATCCACCACGGATTTGGGTAATGGTGGGAGCAAACTATTGTACTTTCTGATAGGTTTGGAGAATGTGTTGATTGAAAAAACCGACGACGCAGACGACTCAAATCGGTTGTCCTTGGACCAAGACAGAAACTCCTCGTTGAATGGTGGAAGCGATGAATCCATTGATTTTGGGGAGATGGAATCAATCACCTTGAACAAGTCCTTATGGTAATTGTTCATCACGTCATACGACTGGTACTTGTGGGCCATGGGTTGAACGATTCTATAATCGGAAGACAAGGAGAGATTTCCAAAGTTCAAGCGCTCGAGATTTGGACACAAATTGATCAAGTGAAGCACGTAGCCAACGGGCACATCCTTGGAGCTAGAATAATTCATGAGAAACTTATTGATATTAGGATGTGGCGCATTGGCGTGAGTATGCCAGTTATTGCTAATTGCTGAACTGTTGTGGATTGCATTTGTATTGGCATGAGTGTTGTGGTTCGTTGGATGATTCGTGTGGTGGTTTACCTGAGCATACGAGACAGATCCCGAGGATCTTCTTCGTTTCTTGAAGTACCTTGTAAGCTTGGCAGTTTTTGGTGCGTGGTTCGAGTTGAGCGAACTGTTGGAAATTGCCTTGGTCAAGGGAATTGCAGCGGCTGGATGCAACGCATACAATGGGTTGTTCTTGAATTTCCAGTCACGCCAACCTGCCAAAATAGAGGCCGGATTCTCAAATAAATCGTCGGATTCCATGGCATCGTTTCCCTCTTCCGCATTCATCTCCAACTCCCAGTTTCCAGGTTTGAGCTGTGATAAATCAACTTCATATACATAGCAGCCGAGAGCGGAATTGATCCGGATACAAGTAATGAACTGAGCAAAGCGATAAGTTGATGTAAAGCGGATGGAGCGATACAAAAACGGCTTGCTGAGCTGGTAGAACCGCTTACTGGTCAAGAGGCAGTTGCGGTAGGCCTCGTGATCATCCACGAATGTGAATATATGGATCTGGATCTCCGTCGGGAGTTGCGAAAAGTGCTTGCAGCGGTTCCACAATGCCTGAGTTGCCTTCAACGTGTTCTGTGCTTGAGACATAGAGTGATTCTGTAAGCTTGATTGCATCTTCATGGAGAGAATCAGCGCCTTGCGAGAAACATCGCTGAGGAGTGACTTGTACTTCATTTTGATAGTCAGAGACGAGCTCTGTTTCAGCTGGAAGCGTGAGATGATGTTCTTCAAGTCCAGCTGGCTGAGCTGCACCACCTGGTGGGTCTTGTAATCATATTGAGCGTTTGGAGTCAAAAGTGAGCGATACGAGGGAAGATACTTATGGTATTCAACATCCATGGAATATTGCGGGGGAGGGGTGAGGATACTAATGGGAGCAGCGAATATAAATATTGAGCGGCACCAGCAGCAGAAAAGCGTTTGAAAAACAAAAACAAAAAAAAACTGTGTTGGTGGATGTGGTGCTAATGTTCTTGTGGCGTGGTGTTGTTTTCAGTCCCCTGAAGCAATACTTTTAGCCCGAAACAGGAGAGGGGGCTCTGGTTAGAGATCGCGAGATAGTTGAGGCGCCGTGCAGTCTAGCCGTTGGCTTGGGGATGTGGCAGTGATGGGAAAAAAAAAATAATGCATGGAATCCTGGTCGGGGAATGGGTGTTATTTATATACTTTTTACAGGGGAGGGATCCACAAAGGAGAGATTCTTGTTCGTGGCGGCTGTTTAGAAATTTTCTAGAAATCTGGGATGTTCAATACTTGAGTTGCTATATGGCCTCCGCCATGATTAGTTGCAACCTCCACAAAAAGAGGGGGCAGCCGTCCTGCAGGAAAGCGACAAGTTTCAATGAATAATAGGGGCAATACCGAGGTAGACAAAGTGGTTGGAATAGGAGGCGGTGCACAGATGTGTGCGGTTGATACCACATAAGATATTAGTAAAATGGTAATAAAGTCTGTTGACAATAACAAACTGATAGGCATATGACACCTGTACATCCTGAATTAAAACAATCCGTGCATCGGCACAAGAGGGAATTTGGGAATGCACCCGTACATCCCTGATTGGGGTGATCGGGTGTGAGTTTATCCTACACCCGTACATGCGAGAACACATTTTCGCACCCGTACATCTTCGTTAACTTTAAACCCGTACATTTCTTGGGAGTGTGGATCCGTACACCAAGATAAACGCACGTGCATCAACCAAACTTGGTCTTATTTTGAATTCATGCATGGTGTAAAGACAACAAAAAAAAGACCCAAACCCCAAAACAAACATCCGTACATCGCATATTACAGGAATTTCCGTTCCGACACATTCAATGGAATGACAGTAAAGTTTAAAAGTAGACCAAAAAAAAAACACAGATTCCGAGGCTTAGATGCTAAAGCTAAAATCATAAAATAGAAATTATCTTTGAAAAATATCAGATCTTCATGTGGCTATTGCTTCGAAGGAAGCTGATCCCCCTTGATGTCAAGATTGGCGCCACATGTGGTAAGTCTAAGAGTTGAAGTCAAGCATTAGTCATGACTCCGACCTGCATTAGTAACCTGATGCATCATGATGCAAACGATGCTGCGAGTCATGTTGCATATCGAGAACGGAAATGTATTGTCAAGGCGTTCTAGGCTGGAGAAGCACATGGAATTTCAGATTGAATGGTGACGAGTGATGAAATTCTGTAGATGTCGGGGTGTAAAACTCCTGCTGCAATAGATACATCGAGGCGCAGCACAAAGTGGGCCAGATCTGCGTTAACAAAGGAAGTATTCCTACTACAAGGCGTCAGAGCAATCACGGATCGGCAAGGCAGCGAAGTCGAAGGAATGCCGACCAGCAAAAGAAAGGAAAAAACTGACATGAGGTTGAGCGGCGCAGAACAGGAGTAAAAAAAAAGGAGCACGATGCGAACCCCGCCAGGATGCATATTCTACGCACGCACCTGGGCCTGCTGGCCGTATACCATGCCGAGGTGAGGGAGCTGGCGAATGGCACCGTCCCATCACGATTTGATGCGGGCGATGAAAGAACATTTACGACGAATCTTCAAAATATCTGCAGGGACTCTCTGCAGCTAACAATGCGACTTAAGGGAGTGGTGCATGCGCCATGACTAGTCTTGACGAGGCGCATCTGCACATCCACTGCACACGTCTGTACATGAAGCTGGACACGGGCATCGCTAACCCAGTTGGTTCCTGGTTCTCCTCTCGGGAAGGAGCACCGACGAACTTCATACGCAGGCTGTTAAGGGCTGCCAACTTCGAGTGGCTAAAAACTTGTCATCCATTTTTACCCCCAAGTGCATCTACTTGTACACCATTTTCAATCGCTCTTGCTTCCCCTTCCGGCGCCACGGCAACCACAACAGACGTGGCCCCGACGACAATGTAGGACAATGCCTGTGGCCGATATGCCGGCCCCCACACTAAACCGGAAGATGCATGGAGCAAAGCGCACACTGTTATCTTCGGAGCGTCAGTCGTACCTTATTGACAGAACCAGAATACTCCATTCACTAACTTTCAGCCATTAGCCTTGGTGAGCTTCGGAAGCCGAACTGATGACTGAAGGGTGTGGGGCGGATCCCTGACCGGGTAAACCCAACTTAAGCCCTTCCGCCTCCAAGTGGCTCTGAAACCTTATGACATGCATCAGCACCATGGACCCTGGCCTGTTAATGTACGCAATATACCAGAGCAGCATTACCCAAGGGAGGCAGAGGACAGATAATAATAATCGCTATGGCTTCTGGACTCCTATCAAACGAAATCTTCCTCACCCGCTGTCTCCGTCCCTCCCTCCAATATATCCCTGACCTGTCCTGCCAGCCCTCTTACCAACCCACGTCACACTTTTTCCCAGTTACCGTATTTTTTTTATTTTTTTATTTCAATATTATTCCCATTCACTCGCCGTTTCTCCCTTTCACCATGACCTCCCCCATGCTCACCGATGGTGGTCTCACTCGCCCCGTCATGCACAGTGGGTTAAGTGACATTGGCGACTAGTTAAAGCTTAACTGACCCCCTCCCGCAACCTCCAGTCACAACCCTGGACCCCAGACCACCCCAATGGTAACTGGAAAAGAAAAAAAAATACTTCAAAGTCCCCCAGTAATATCCCCTCCAATCCTACCACTTCATTTGTTCCACTCGCCACCCTGGCACGATACCCTAAGCTTTTTAGGAAAATAAAAATAAAAAAAAAACGATAATTAAAGTCACCTTCTATGTCTCCCCCATAGTCGTTCACCTTAACCTTTGGCATGTACGGATGCGACCCGCAAGATTGCTCGACTGGCATCGCTCAAGATTAAGGTTTCTCGAAACCGGCAATCTGTTTTAGGATGAGGTGTTTTTGTTTTCCACTGGCGGAACTGGGTTTATAATTTTCTTCTTCTATTCTTCCTTTTTTTGAATTCTCTTTTATTTTTTATCTAAGACTCTTTGTCTTTGAATGAAACCTTTGCTCAACTTTTTGTCCATCAATTCTTCTCTTGCACTCCTCCTCCCTCTTTTCCTGTGCAACTCGCCGCTATTCCTCCTGCTCCGACACCATGTCTGTGTGGTTTCGACACCAGTGATTTAGCCCCAATTTCCTCCCATTTTTCTAATTCCACTGTTCCACTTGTTGCACGTGGGGTGTTACTGTTTGTTGTGTTCCCGCCGGCCATTCCCCCCTCGCCGCCACTTGCTGTTCTGGGGTTTTGTCACTCTTACCTTATCCATATTATCCTACTCCGATCGGGTGGTTTTTTGTCACGGAAAGTGTGTGGTTTTTCCAGCCATCGCCGCTGTGATTTGTCGTCAATCTTAGCGATCTCTCCCTAATCTTTTCCACATCGCTATTTTGTTTTTTTTTATTTGGGCTGCCAACTGTCTCTGTTGTTGTACTTTTTGTGTCGCTTCTCCACATTTTCCTATCTCGCGCCAACTCCAACGGTGATACCGGTGAAATACCTCCGAAATCTCCAAATTTACTATTTCATTCACAATAATCAATGTCCCTGCTGTTGACGCCGTCGTACACGGGGTTTATCGGCTCCACAAAGGATGCCGTTTTGGTGATCCAAGCCGTGTTGCTTGGTGATTTCCCCTTGGTGGACCATCGGCCCCAGGATCGCGAACGGGCAGAGCTAATAAAAAGTGGAAATGTATTTGTGTTTATCGAAGAGTCCTCTGGCATAAAACGTTGGACCGATGGCATTTCGTGGTCTGCTTCGAGGATTCTTGGCCGTTTTTTGGTGTATCGCGAGTTGGACCCTTCCAGCATGAATGAGAAGGACGACAAACGAAAAAGACGAAAGCATCTGGAACTGATACCTCTGAGGAAACTGCAACCTGTTGATTATCAATCAGATGCTAATCTTGTCTCCGATTTCCATCGCTCACACCTCGATTATCGACCTTATGAACTGGTCGCTCCAGATTATGTGCCTTTAAGCGCCATCAACACCGCCCCATCTGCATCTTTATCAGCTCCAAATGCTCCAGGCGCTCCATTAAACGTCTATCCAAGACAGTATTCCCGAGAAACCCCTCACCAAGTGGTCCAGGATCACGGCCTCATCAAAAAGACCCTTTCGGTCACTACAGGGAAAGAAAATTCCGTTACCAGCAAAGAAAACAAGCAGACCATCCACTTAATTTCTTATTATTCAGCACACGATGTGTTGCTGGGCAAATTGTCCCGCCCCTCTCATGGCAATTTGAAGAATTTGCCAGTCCCTCCACTGCTTTGGGAAGCTGTTAAGAAGTCGTCCTTGGGTGGGAAAATCCCCATAGAGGACGAGGCCTACTATTACTTGGATTCCAACTACCAGCTCCAAAATATGTCAGTATTGCTTAACAGTCGGGCTGATACTGCCAAAAAACAACCGCTGACATCAGTGGGTTCCGTGGGCTCGGTTGCTTCTGTAGGTTCAACTCACCAACCTGCTGCTAAATCAGTCCAACACAATCCCTCCAAGTTGCCATATGTGTTACCAGTGCCCTTTGCGGGACCTGCTCCGCCGATTGCGTTTCACGCCGATTATGTTCCTCCTTTATTTCAACAGCTGGGCAAACAGTCTAGCGCAAACTCCATAGACACGATGAAAAAAGAGGACGATTCCGCCGAGTTGGGCTCAGTGTCGACTTACTCGGCCCCTACATCTTTGCAGACCTACAACCATCCCAACACATATGGTTATCCTGAACAACGGTCCCCCGAAATTCCGCTGCTGCTGCTGCAGTTTGGTCCAACGCAGACTACTCAGTACCCCCTCTACGACCAACTGCTACACCACCATCACCATCATCATCCACACCACCCTCAGCAGATGTATTCTTTACCCGGGCCCTCAGGCACACTGGACCAACACTACTTGACCCAGGATGGGGCCTATCCACAGGGCTATCCTGGTCAGTACCCTGGTGTGCCCTATCAATTGTACAATAGCACCGCTTATTTTAACCCAGGAGGCGGCCAAATCGTGCAACCAGCGAACACTAATCTTCCTCCAACAGGAAATGTTCCTGGTTTAACGTCTCAACAAGTTCAGCAACCACCACCGCAGGTTTTATCTTCAACAGATTCACAACCACAGACTTTGCAGCAACCGCAACATCTGCCCCAGTCAGCAGACTATGGCAGTGGGCATCGAGCAGGGTTTTATGGAGGGGTCATGCCACTGAATGCCAGTGGAACCACCCAAACCTCCTCTGTTTCGAAACGGTCTGTGGAATATCCTGAGTACTTCGCTCCGGCCGAGGAGCCTTATAATTATAACTGATGGGTGGAAAAATTTCTGTTCTTGTTTTGTTTTATTGCCGGTGGGCCATGTGTGATTTTACTTGTGACGTCTGCCATAATCTATGAACCATGTATTAATAAAATGTCCGCCACAATTATAAATGCTTTTATGGGGAATCCAGAGGAGGAGGCGATTTCTTCCATTCTAATAGTGGCGCCAAATCCTTTACCAGTCCACTCTTGTAGAGAATAAATGAATGCTGTAATAACTCGTCTGTAGTTGCTCTAAAACCGACATCAACACAGAGACAAATGGACAAAAACTTTTTGATGGCATTACTGAGGAGCTCGGGCTTCTTCAATTTGGGCGTACCATTGGTAGCGATCAAATAAAGTGCCTTCAATGGCTCCTCGTTCAAGTACGGTGGCTCACCTTCAATCATTTCGATTGTCATGATACCCAACGACCAGACATCAACTTTTTCATCATACTCTTTCTGCTTGACAACTTCTGGTGCCATCCAGTATGGCGTACCCACCATTGTAGCTCTTTTGGAGCGCTGGTCAGTCAACTTAGCACAAAAGCCAAAATCGGTAATTTTAACGTTTCCTGTTGCGCTAAGCAACACATTGTCGGACTTAATGTCCCTGTGGATGATGTGCTTCTTATGCAAGAACTGGAGCCCTTTCAAAGTCTCATTACAAATGGTAGCAATTTGTCTCTCGTTCAACTTGCACTCATTGTTCTCAATCACCTCCGTCAACGAACCTCCCTCCATGTATTCCATGATAACCAAGAGATCATTTGTTCCACGTAAGTATGAGTCAAGGAAGTTGACAATATTATCATGACGAGAGTCCTTCATAACCAAAATCTCATTGATAATGAGTTCCTTTCTGACCTGGGCTTGAAGATCCATCTGCTTAATGGCCACTTTCTTACCACGTTCATTGGGTATGAGCGATTCAGCGAGGTAAACTTCTCCAGATGCACCTTGACCAGCCTTGGAGATGATACGGAATAACGACGAGGGGTCATTGTTGTTGACCACGGTTCTCAATTTTGCAATCACCTGGCGGTCATTCAACTGTTCTCTCTCTTTTTTGAGTTGCTTGGCAGTCTTCACGGGGGCTGGACCCGCAGTATGGTGTTCCTTTACTTTAGGCTTTTCGCCGATTGTGTTCTGCGTCGATGCCTTCAAGGTCAATTGTTTAAGGTTTGGGGTAACATGTGCTCTCCCTTGGTCGACGCTCGTTTGGGACGACAATCCAGGTTTGTTGTCTTGTGTTTGAATCTTAACATTTGGATGAACGTTATGAGGTAATGTTGGTGGCGCCGTTCTCGGTGCTTGTGTGTAAATGCCTAAACCAGCAGGCGTTTTGAGACCAGCATTCTGATTGTGAGACGAACTTGATGTTGACGTAAGCTGCGGCTTCTCACGGTAGCTTCCCGCTATAGATGACGCAGATGAACTTGGAACGGGTGGAGGAGGAGCCCTTCTGCCCGGCACCAAGTCGTCGTTTTTCTGGACGTTCATTAGATTAGTCAAAGGTGAAAGATCGTCCTTGATTGGCTGTGGATTCTGCAGCAGTGTCGACGACAACAGCAGCAGCAGCAGCAGCAGTTGGAGCTTAGCGAGGTGGTATGGCACTGGCGGTTTGGGAGCTGCTCTGGTCGGTCTGAGATCTGAGGAATCTGGAGGAGACTTGGCAGTTGGATGCTTTGTCCAATCTTGCAAGTTCATCTTTGCCCTTGTATTAGCATTAAGCGCCGGAGAAGAAACAGGCGTGTTGTTGCTAGAGCCGTTGATGTCTGAATAAAACTCCAACACCTCTATGACGGCCACAGGATCCTTTTTCCAGTCCTCGTTGGTGATTTTCGAATGCTGAAGCATACTCTTCCATGCCTCAGGCAAACCCGTGAAGTTGCCACTGGCAGGATCAAATCCCACATGGACCTTATGCGTGAAGTTTATGGGGTTGGACACCCCAGTATTGCCAGGACCCGTAACACCATTCTGGCCAATGGTGGCCAATGGACATTTGGTGGTGAAGGTGTCGAGCCAATCCAAATAATCGTTGTTGTTCTTGATGGACACCAACATGGGCTTGTTTCCATTCTTGGGGGCAATTTCTATGGTGTAGGAAGTCTTGCTATAGCCTGAGTTGGGTTTCAAGTTGATGGCACTGATGAAACTCAAAGGAAACAGCAAGTCCACTTCGGCCGACAAGTCACCAGGTGCCGGTTCCAGCTTATAAAAATTGAGGGTACGGTCTGAAATTGCCATATACCGCTTGTTCCAACGGAATGACGTAAAAATGCCGTCGTCTTTCAAATACACCCATCCACTTTGTTTTCTTGCTGCCATAGTGAAAGGTACGCTGGTGTCAGCATTGGCGCCCGGTGGCGGCGGTGCACGCCTATGGTTTTTGATGTTGGACGTGTAGATGGAGGTCATGGTGTAACCAGCAGAGACAAAGAACAGCAGGGAGCCGGGAGGTTTTAAGAGAATGGAAATGGTTGAGTAGCTAGCGGAGTGTATGTAGTGGGGAGACAGTTACACGAGAGGATTGCAGGGAAGACGTGTCGCAACGAGAATAGGAAATACCCAAATAACGTACAGGGCCTTAGGAGCGGAAGGAAGGAAGTGAGATCTAGGAATGAGACTATGGATAATTATTTGGAGGTTTATGGGATGGAGGTTTTTGTTTAAAAAAAGCTTGAGTGGATGAATATTCTTATTGTGTTTCAGAATGTTTGATGATGAAACGGTTTTACCGTCCATCTGGCTTGTTTCATCCTCATGTTTCATCGTGAACCGCTCCTTAACGGTGATGATCCTTCCCCCCAGCCTTCAAATGCATAGTCGTGGCTGACAGAAGGGGGTGTGAATTCGTCGACCGTGCAGGCCGGGCCACAAAGTTGTGCATCTCTCCCTGAGTTTATCAGCAGGTAAACACCCCAATCGGTGCCAGGAACCATTGAATGTCGGACTGAATAGTTGCGATTGGTGATTGCCGGTGCAGGAGGATACAGAAATAGCTTTGAGAGAAGAGATGGATGTAGACGAGCTGAGGCATGAAGATCGATCTGAAGAGAAGAGAGAATGTTATTTTTATGATTAAGAGGACTTTTTCTTTCTTAACTTGTATTTTCTGTGGCTTTTTACTTAGTTCGGCTTGTTGGTAGGTGGTCAGCTACTGTTTCTAAAAGTCCAGCTTTCTCTGGACATTTAATATTCGATCTTGATTTATTCCAACTAGAACTGTTGACAACTTGTGTTTGTTTTCATATTTTTGCAATTATTTTTTCATGTTTTTCATTGATTTTTCTCACGTTCCTAGGGTTATCTGGAGAATATAGAAGTTCGTGCGGACGTTACTATTTACACCTTGACCATATTCGTCGTACTGCAGTGGAATTTTTCCAACCTACGGAATAATGAGTGTTCTACCGAGCCAACTTAGTCTAGAAAATTCAAACCTAAACATTAATTTGCATTTGTAGATATGTTTGATCGACATTGCATCCCAAACTTTGTTTTTGTTTTTGGCTTTAGGATTTACATGTCTATGCACATGTGCAGATGACAGCCATTGATAAATTTGGCAAAGGTTTACTCAGCGGTATGGTCTTCTTGAATAGAGGCTGTCAAAATACGTAACAAGTTTGAGTTCTTTACTCTAGAGCGTGTATTTCTGAACGTTCAAAATTGCACTAGATACTGTGAGCAAATCATACGTGCTATTCTTTGGAGATAAGGTATAACTGGAAGCTTGTGATTGACTGCTTGAAAACGTTCCGTTTTGCAAGACTTATTTTTAAATTGGAGGTGTTTGCTCCACACGACAGAATCTACATTTTCACGTCTAACGGACCAGTTAATCGACATAATTCCTAATAGTGTATTCCTTCTATGAGTCAAGAAGAGATAACCATTTTACCGGACCAGGATTCTATATGGTACCATATGTGTTACTTTGTCTCGTCGACATATAATAGTTCCTTCTATAGCTCTAGGTCTTAGAGTTGGGCCGAGAGTTGCTGTCCCTGAATCCATCATTCTATTGTTCCTAATTGCTCAATTGACATAGATAACTTGAAATTATCGCTATAGTAAGAAAATGTCTACAATCTGAAGTTCCGGAGACTTCTGTGTCAACTCCATCTTCTCCTTTCCCGGAACTTGTTTCTTCGTAATCATATCCATTAACACGGTGCCTTCTGATCTGATTAATAAGCAAAGTCAAATTCATATTCACATCAACAAACAATAAGGGTCCACAATTTCACAAGATGACATGCAAAACTTCTAAATGAGTCTTTTGAAAATTCTTTTCTTTCCATTTTATTCTCATTCAACTATCTCTTTTATGTTACTAATTGCTATCATTTCGCAACATTTACCCCACCAACCGAAGAATGTGCGGAATTACGCAATACATTTCCTTTCTCAAATAATCATCATAAAGCACCAACAAAATCCAAAAAATCATAAAAATTTCTCGACATTATGCACATTCATAAACACATAATCCCCTTTTTAGTTAATTTTTTTCTCCGTTTACCTGCTTTCCCTCTGTTAATACATCAAACCTTCACTTGCTTGTCACTCCTGCACCCATCCGATATCACTGACATGACCGATCGATCTGACTGATTCTACACTTATGGGTTTCTTCTCCAGGAAAAAGGATCCAGCGGTGCCAGTCATCACCAAGGTTCCTTCAAATACCTCTACTCATTCTGTACATACATTGAAGCTGCTTTTGAAGCCTAAGCCTCAAACAGAAGTGCCCGTAGACAAAAACTTATTGATTCCAACGATCGTGACAAATGACGTTAAGATTGAGACCAATGACCGCAACAGGCGAGTCAGTACTATCGTTGAAGATGAGCAGCACGCTGATTTTGAAGGCGATGACTTTGAAAACGAAGACGATGCTTCGGATTTTGAAAGTGAGGACGATGATTACGAAGAACATACTCATGCATTGATTCCAAGACATACTGCTACGGTTTCCCAATTATCTGCGCTCATGGGACTTGTAGGACTTTCTCATACAAAAGAGGCACTTAAAAAGCTTGCTAATGAAGAGCTGAGGCGCACGTTTTCGTTGATTTCCTCCGACTTGAAGATCAATAGACTTCTGCCAACTATGAGCACTTCGGATCCCCATCTTTTTGAGTCTGTCATCGGCGACTTACAAATGAAACTTATCAATGCACTTACCAGCCAGCTTAATAACCTCATGGACGCTCTGCTGGATCTAGACGTTCAGTACCGTCTTGTTGATGACCACAGAACCTTGTTTGATAGATACGGAAATTTCAAGGATGTCATTGGCAGAGGCGCCTATGGAGTGATAAAGATTGTAGATCCAGACGACAACGCAGACGGATTTGCTATTAAGAATAAGGTTTATGCCGTGAAGGAACTCCAGCAACGTACGAGCACCGACAAAAACAAAGAGACTAGAGAGCTCTTTCTCGAACGTGCAGTGTCGGAATTCATCATTTCCTCCACTTTGAACAACAAGCATATAGTCCGCACGTTGGATTTCTTGGTGACATTACCTCCCAGAAGTAAATCTGGTATACCTGTGGAGATTTCCGAGAATAGTCTTAAAATCAGCCAGGTGATGGATTGCACAAATGGAGGTGACTTTTTCTCTTACATCAAACAGTCGCTTGCCTCTCGACAGTACATCTCCATCGACGAAATCGATTGCATGGTCAAACAGATCACCAAAGGGTTGTGGTACATGCACAATCATGGAGTTGCCCATTGTGACTTAAAGTTGGAGAACATTTTGATCACATATGACACCAGGACGCCACAAGAGGGCCAAAGAGGCAAAATGAATTTAAAGCTTTCGGACTTTGGAAAGTCTAATGTCGTGCGGACGAAATGGGACGCCGAGGAACAGTTGTCTACTAGTGGACCAGTTGGTTCCGGTCCATACATTGCGCCCGAAGAGTACATTCCAACAAAGAAAGGGTACTCGCTCATTAAAAAAGACTGCTGGGCACTTGGAGTTCTAATATTGGTTCTTTTCAATGTTCGGCGGTCGTATTTCGTGGGGAAATATGGCGAGGTGTGTCAATTGGGATACTACGATGAACAGGCACATGAGGACACCACAAAGAACTACAGCTCGTCATACTTGTGGCGCACTACTGAGGCAAAGACAATCTCACTTTCCAAACACAGAAAATATAAGGATGAAGTGTTTGACGAGTACGTGAGAAGTGCTATGGTTGCAGACTACGACAAGAACACCAAAGAATGGACAATTCACTCACCAGGAAAATTTCTCCCCATAGAAACATTATTCGATGCTAAGGATGACGGTTCGATGTTCGAAAGAGATGCTGAGTTTGAGGAAGACGACTTTCTTCTACGAAAGTACTTCATCTACAAATTGCTCGACATCAATGCACGCACGAGAGCTAGCGTGGATATGGTGTTGAGGAGCGATTGGTTGAGTCCAGTAGAATGCTGTTGCGAATAGTATGTACAAACGCAAGAAGTGTGATGCTTGGGCTGACTTTTCCGGATGATCTAATTATGTCAAGCTGTGTAGCTCACAAGGAGCCAGTGGAGTGCGGAAGGAAATAAATCTAGACGAGGGGAAGTCCCTGTCAATCCCCGTCAAGAAATGCATGGAATGGTTAGAAGTCGGTAAACTTATCTGCGTAAGGGTCTGCCACGCCAGAAATTCCGTAGTCCAAATTCTTGTCTTCTGGGTATCTGTCGAACTGCGAGGTGTCTCCGACACCTGAGGTGATTGGAGGCTCATAGGGCGTCTCGATGTCTCTCGAGAGCAATCTTTCCCAAATAACCTCCTTAAACCACGGGTGGTTTTTCACGTCATCGGACCCATTCTGAAGATTACCCAACCGTTGCGTCAAATCCTTGACGATGAGCTTCTGCAACAAGTCGAGAATGTCTGGAGGTAAGTAGTCTGGATATGTGATGGTTCCATTCAAAATATTTTCATATGTTTTCATGGGCGTGGGGTCGTAGAACGGCGTATAACCTGTGAGCATCTCGAAAATCAAGATTCCGAAAGACCACCAGTCCACAGACTTATTGTAAGGTTTAGTGGCCACCACCTCGGGTGCAATATAGTCGGGAGTTCCACACAAAGTGTATGTGACATCGGTAACCTCCTTGGCAAAGCCGAAATCCGTCAACTTGATATGACCGTTCTTATCCAACAAAATGTTCTCTGGTTTCAAATCTCTGTAGATGATATCGAGATTGTGCAAGTACTCGATGGCCAAAAACACTTCTGCGGCATAGAACTTTGCCACAGGCGTAGGAAACCGCTGGGACTTTCTCAACAACGAGAAGAGCTCTCCTCCCTCGATGTAGTCCATGATCATGAACAAATTGTGGCAGTCCTGGAAGGTGCCCCACATTCTGATGATGAATGGATGCTGTGCCAACCTCAACATTCTGCGCTCATCGTTAGTGTGTTCCACTTGCTTCATCTGAACAACCCTGTCCTTCTTCAATGTCTTCATTGCATAGAAACGTCCGTTGTGGACGGATCTGGCCAAATGCACTCGTCCAAACGACCCTGTGCCCAATGTTCTGAGAATCTGGAAGTCATTCAAAGAGTATTTGCCCTTGGTTGTAGTGTCTTTAGCAGCTACTTTGCTCTTTGCTGGGTAGGACTCCATTACGACTGGATGGAGGAGGTGGATGGAAGTTGGAGCTGACGAAAGGAAAATAAAAAATAAGCAAACTAGGACAAGATTTGGGTGGTCGAAGGGACAGCACGGACTAGAATTCTCGGCGGAGGTCTCTATGGAATAATCACCAAGGGTGGTTATAGAGATGCTGTGAAAAAAGACGTAGGTGTAATATATCCAGAAAATAAAAAAAAAAAAAAAGATTAAATAAAAAAAGGCTCGCCCCTTGTAAGCAGTATCAGATTCGTAGATAGCGGACCCAGTGACAAAAGGTCAAAAATATAAAAGAAAGGAAAAGTAGTCGTGGCAGAAACGACAGAAGATTATTGAATTGGTGTGTGACATTGTTTTTCACACTTTCGATTATGTTTCTTGGTGTATGATATTTTTTTTTTATCTTCGGAGGATCTACAATGTGAGCAACCGTTTCTTTTTCAGCTTCGTCATATGCCAAATTTAGTCAGTAAGGGTCGGTGACGATGCGATGTTGACCGTTTTGAAGTTTTGGATGCGTTGTGCCATCATGGACGAGTAGATGATTACCTCTTAAAATGCGGGTATATCATAATTCTGTTTATACTCGTCTGTATTCTTGAATGTGTTTTGTTTCGTGGTTTATGTGGTTATGTTTTTGATCAATTACTCATGGTTTTCTCATTTGATGGTGACTTACGATAAATTATGGTAGCAATCTGTGATTTACTTCGCATTTTTCTTTGTATGCTATACCTTCCTGTTCTCGTTAGCTCCTTTCCAATCGATTGACCCATCACAGCCCTCGCAATAAGCCATTCTTCTTCACGCCGCAGCATTGTTGGGCACTTGGTCCGGAGGTAGAGTTCCTAAAATCCTTGGATAGGAGCAACAACCACATAACCGTGGCGCATATATATCTCATCCAGGCATATCCGTTATGTGCCAAAAAAAAAACACCCCGAATCCTCCAAGCACAGTTTGAGCCACTTGGCTATCACAGATGGGATATGGCACCATCCACGAAATCCTATTGTGCATGGCCTCCATCACTTGCTTGTATATCTTAGGGCCCTTCGGTCCATCTGATTCAACATGCATTATTGCCCCGCCATGCATGCCCAACGTCAAAGCATTAACGAGTGCATGGCGCGGGGGGGGTTTGACCATTCTCGGCAGGTCGTTGAAAATTTTCACCAACGTGAATGGCTGCCATTGGCTCAAATGGCTCAGTGGTTGCGAACATGCCCGCGACGACTGCATCATCCTCGCCTACCGTTATAGTGGATCCATAGAGAGGATATGCTTTGAGGTAAAAGATTTGCATTCATCGATCTGATGATCGTGGTTGATACACTTACGTCGTCGTACTGGGAAACATTCGTTCTTGTTTCTTTGTACCTTCTTCTGGATACCTGGAAAATTTCCTTGTGTGTGTACGAGTAACTTTAGGGTGCGTTATTTCTTCGGGCGACATCTTTTGTTGAACATTATTTTCTAGCATGTTGGACTCCAAGTTTTCTCCCATTCTAGCCTGTCATCTCTGACGATTGACGTCAGATCCCTCCTATGATCGTTGAACTGTGCATGTCCGCCTCGCCATGACTCGTTCCGCTATATTCGTCCCATCGGTTCATGCATCGCAGCTTGTTATCTCTCCTCCTGCCGTAGTCGCAATTCTCCTAGTCGCATATGTACTTCTCGTAGTCGCACAGTGGCTTAAAATTCATCGAATCCAAGGCTCATCAAAGTCTTCTTCTTCGTCGCCATCTACGACTGCCTCTTCATTGTTCCTCTCTTGTTGTTCACCTTGTGACCTACCGACCTGGCCAAGCCTCTCTTGCGATGTTCCATAAAATTCTCTTTGCGACCAACTCACGTTGCTGGCTCTCCGTAATGGATGTGTGCGCTTAGACTTGGGATATTGCTGGTTTCTAAATTTTTTCCCTGCATCATCCGATGTTCCGGCTAATAACGACACAATCTGTTGATGCGAAGTCTTGCACTTCTCATAAAGACTGTTGGCATTCACGTTGTCAAAACGCTCTAGCGAACTTCTCTCTTTACTCTCGGCTACCTCATACTTTGGTGTAGACATGTCGTAGATCAAATTCTCCAAAACATCGGTGAATCCATGCTTGTTGAGGAGCTTTGCTCTGTCTAGTTGAGTGAGTAATCCGTTCTCCTCCAGCGTTGTAGACTCTTGATTATTTGCCTGATGATCTTGTTCGTCTTCGTCTTCTTCTTCCTCTTCATCACTCTCTTCAATAACAATGTTGGATGGCGTGAGTAATCTGTTACTACCTGAAGCTGTGTGCGAAGCCTGTGAAGACGTAACTGTATCGAATAGTCCAAAACTAATCTTGTCAGACAACTGATAACCATGAGCCTGTTCAATATAGGTCAAGTTGACCAATATCCAAGTAACAGCTAATTTCACTTTGCAGAGCAGAGTTGATAAGTTCACTCTGTCCTTCTCATTCAGACCGCAAATTCTGGCTTCTAGTTTATACAGCAACTTGACTTCGAGAAGTCGTTTCCAAACATCAAGAAAGTTAGAACGAGGGAAATCAGACCGGCGAAACTCGGTTATGTTTGCGTAACGGTTACCCTCCAAGTAGCATATATTCACCACAAGGTTAAAGTACTGTTCGTCCAGGATCAATCTGAGTAAAAACTCATCGTCATTGAAGAATTTCTTCTCGAGTGAATTTTCGTCGCCTTGCAAATCAACGAAAAGATCGTAGCACATTATGTTATCGTGAAGATAATCGTTCCAAGATTGAGGAACATATAACTGTCCATTGTCATGCTTTTCCTTCGCATACTTTAAGTAGGAATTCTTGATGTCTTCACTGAAGTATGTGGAAGCCGCCGCGAGATTTCTCATGATTCCAAAAGCGATCACTTTATGCTCCAAGAAAAGTTTATGAATTTCTGGATCCTCCTCCCATTCATCGATAATACCATATAGGGACTTCTCATATATCAATGAAAGTGGAAAGAATTCCCAAACGATCGCTTTGTTTTCTTCAGTTTCATTGTATAAGTAATTTTTCAACACTTTGAATACTCCAAGTTGTACTTTCAATTGCTCATAAATGGAGTCTCTTGCAGCAACATCTTTAAATTCGGAGTAGTCGTAAGCACGCTTGGCTTCTATCGCATTCATGTTGATGTTTGCCAAATCTTTAAGGAAATTTTCATGGTTAATAATTCCCGCCCTAAATGAGCTGAAATCAAGACCGAAATTTGCAATTGAACCTAGCAACATAACTTTCTTGACACAAAGGGATTTACGAGACAAGATCCTTTGATTATCAACGTCGTTTTTCACAGACACAAAGTATTCCTTTACAACGTGTACATCTTCAAGCAGACTCAAGATTTCAAGCATGCTGGTAACAAAACTACCCTTTCTGTCAAAAGAAATCTCCCGATCATAACCCGCACTGACGATATCCACAATGGACTCGCTATGTTTCAGTGGGTCCAATGTCAAGTACTCCGACACTTGAGATTCAGCATCCAAAACACTTTTCACTGAATTCAAATCAACAAAGAACGTTCTAAGTGTGGCTACTGACCGAGAAAGTGATCTGAGAAGGTACAAAGTATTGGAGAATATAGAGTTCTCCAACAATGTAAAGAGGACGCCAATGTTACTGCCAAACCATGTAAGAAACACTTCATCCACAATCGTCAGTTGCTGCAACTGAGCGAAAGTATTGTAACTCATGAGTGTTTGAGTCACCAAAAATCTGAAATCGTCCATGATCTCGAAAATCATCAAGCACAAGAAATTGGGTCCCGAATGGGAATTCTTATCGCTCTTATATGATGTGATGCGGCGACGAAACTCCTCGCTCGAACTAGTGAAGACTCCCAAAAGAAGCAAGTAGTTGGAGATCATGTCCAATTGCAAGCTCTGCACCAGTAACAAATTCAGAGATCCGGTTGATTCCAATTCTGCAGTAGACTTCCTTAGTATCGTGAAATCAGCCAATTTGCTGGTGTTCTGAGCAGCTGACTTAAGTGCATGTAACTGCCGGAACAAGTGGACCTGACCAAAGAGGTTCTCGAGCTCGTTCATCATGCGGATATCCACGTTGGTATTGCGTAAATGATCGCATATTTCGGGATTCTTGAGACACAAGTCAGAAAGAATCGTCACGGGCAACTGGATATACCTGGGGTTGGGCTGATCGTTGGAAGCCGAATAGTCGTAATCGAGAAGTTCGATAATTCTCGGGAAGAGCTTCTCGAAAATAAGATTGACAGTTTTGACTGATGGATTGGCATCATCCATGAACGTGAAGTAGAACCGAATGAGGTTGAGAGCTGCCACGTTCATCAACTTATTGTCTTCATACTTAAGAAGATAGAGAACGCTCTTGTAAGTAGCGGAGGAGGTGAAGAACTCCCGTTCGATAGGAAGCACTTCTCTGCGACCAGATCCACCGAAATAATTGAGAATCTGCACCACAGCCACCACTAATGCCGTTAGTCTATTCATGTCTGCATCAGAGTTTGGAAGAATTACATCAATATTTGTGTTATCTTCATCAGCCAGGCTCCCCATCGACAGAAGCTCATTAAAGAGACGAGTGAGCGACACCGCTAGTAAACCCTCGGCATAGGTTTCCATACGTTCATGGGGCCCTCTTTCCAAGCAGTAGGGAATCATTTCTAACCCTGTTATCAACACCTTCTCCATTCTGAGAGAGCCCTTAGAGATGGGACCATCGGCAAGAACCATAAGAGTAGTGACAAGCCGCATAATGGAGTCAAACCGTACATCTTCCAGCGCCAGTTTCAGCGCATTTGCTAGTACTAAGATGACATGGAACGAATCACACACCACGGTATCTATAACGTCGGTTATTTCGGCCAATTCTGCCTTGTCAGTTTGATCAGCAGCGGAAGGATCCATTACTCGTGGAAGAAACGAGTCAAGCACATATTTGAGCAAATCAGAAAGAAGTGGCACGCAGAATCGAAGCTTTGCCACGTCCACACCGTCCACCAGTGGAGGCTGGGACTTTGACCCCGCAAACGTCACCAACATCCTGAGAACAAGAACCCGGACGTTCAAATCATTAACAATCAGTAGTGTGGGCGTTTCTGCAGCAACCAATGAGTCCAATCCGGACAGTAGTTGCTTGGAGAACCATCCAAGGAAACCTTCATCAGTCACCAAACGAAGCTTGAGATCGTTGTTGCCAATGAGCGCAAAACGGAGCTCAGAAATGGCATCTGTGTTCAGCAACGCATTTGAGGCGCCATGGTAGTGTGTGTAATCATCCATGGGCATTTTGGTGAAGGTTTTGATGAGGAGTTGGTGATAGGTGTGGGGAGAGTATGCGCACGATAAGATTGAGGACAGGAAGTGAGGTAGGAAGATGGAAGGAGGCAGATAGGATTTGGATGATTTGTGATTCTTCAACGAAAATGATAGACTTTAGGAATTGGGTAATCCTTAGTGATTAGGGAGACTGGAGGTATGAATTTGGGTTTTCTGAACGCTATGTCCTTTGTGGTGTTTGATGATTTGTATTATGGAGAATGCACAGTGGAGTGTGACATATGGAAGCAACATTTCGAGAATGAAAGTTTCGATGGACAGTTGATGGATTGAATACTCTTAGTGACAGAGAATCTGGAATTATTGTTCCTAATTGTTGCTGAGCAAATTTTGAACGTGAGTTGTAAGAGATGATGATCGTTCAATCTAATGGATCAACTTATAACTGGAGATCACAAAATGCATTAATTCAAAGTCTTATGTACTTTGAAGAATGAACCAATTTATGTCATTCTAAAAAGGATCTTTTATCCATCTACATTGTTCTCCTGAGTCTTTATATCATTCTCTTTGCCTTTCATATTCCTATTTCTTCTCATTCTCCACATTCTCTGAATCTTTTCAAATCTTGCTTCTCCAGAATTTCTGTGCCTCAGCAGCAGGGCGTCCTTTCGTAATGTCCTCCCTCACATGTTCGTCTGCATCAACTCTCTTTGGAATGTACTTCAATACCTTCTCCAACTCAACCTTGGCTTCGTCACCCTTCTCGTGACCAACAGGCAAACGTACCACGCCATTTTCATCTGCAATGATGTAATCCTGTGGTTTTATGATAATTGGCTCCAGAGCACCGGCCACCTTCACGGAAATCGGTACATTAATCCCCACAACCTTCACAACTGGTCCTGGAGCTGTAGATCCCACTCCATAGGACCATACGGGATACTTTAGGTTTCTGTGCTCATCCAAGTCACGGATCCTTCCCAAAACTACCGATCCTGCCGCCTCTCGGTAGTTTGCTCTGGTGGACATCAATCCGCCATAGAGTGCATTATTGATGGTTACGTATGGTGCATCTGGTGTCTGGAGATCGGGAGTGAGCCCGAGCACCAACACGCTGTCTTTAGGGATTTCATCAATGTAAGATTGCTTGACGGCCGGGCGAGGGTCGCTTTTGGCAGCATAGAGCACCGTGTACGCTTGTCCCACCACAGACGATGCTCCACTATTGGGAGTGTTTCCGATTGAGGACCTCTGGATCAAATTAGGGATGTAGCCGCCATTTTTAACACCGAAGTTGACAAGCGCATCGGAGACATCACACGGAGTGAATTTGGAAAGAATTGATCGAACAGACATGGGCTAGTAGGAAGATGGAGAATGTCTAATATGTAATAGTGGGGCTCCGCACTAAAGCCGGGGTCCGGGAGTTCGGCGAAAAGGGTACTTTAAAGAAGAAGATAGAAAAGATAAGCAAAGTTCATATCGAATTTGGTCAAATATCCGGATTTCTATGTAACATATAGTTGATTTGAATGGAAAGAATGCAATGATATATTTGGTTTACAATGAAAGTTTTAGGTGAATGGTGATAGAGACACTGTGACGCGAACATCTAGGTGATACATTGCATGAGTGAATTGAGAGTTCAAGTATGATCAAGTGTTGAAAGGAAATTTATGCTGAGACCTGACAGAAAGTATCTATTAGGAGAAAATGATGGGTTATTTTTGAACTGAATTGACTGAATTGAAATGACACTACAAGTGTGACCTGTGACCTACGAAAGTAACACAACTGATGAATAGACATGTAGCAAGTTAAAAGGACACTATTGAGACATCTGACTGCTCTTCCATTGGTCGATGTCGAGAATCAAAGATTTACAGGGGTTTATCATTGCAAATATTCTGTAGAATTCTTCAAATGACGTACATTGGTCTATCTATCTCCAATAATTACCATCTTAATCCTCCTCCTCCAATTCTAATGCTACTAACCAGAATCCATTCATTATATATACAAGTGGCCATGAATCTGACTCAATCGCCTAACACCTTCGATTAATATCCTTCAACTACTCTAGCCTCTTCCGGAGCTGCTTGATACGGTCCTGATTCACTGTTTCCGACATATCACCATCATAGTCAATCATAGAGCCTTCTGCAGCTGCCCTGGCCCGTGGTTGGCCCATCTTGGGTCCGATCTCATCGTCTTTTCTGTCCTCTTCGATGATCACCACGTTTGATGCCACCTTGAACCGATTCAAGTTATCAAGAAACGCTTTCTCCACCTGGTAGTCTTTCATCACGTCCTCTGATGAAGTCTTGTGCTCGTTTATTGCGTTCAAAATGGCCGTCAACGTACGTGGATGGATCATCGACCTTGAATCGTGCAGCGACAGAAGTTGAGCCTTGACCTCACTTTGACCCTTCTCGTAAAGAGTCTTTCTGTTCAAGAGTTGTTTAAGTGCTGTCACATTGAGTTGATCCTTTGGGTCTCTGGCTGAATGTGACTGGATCTGTCTTCCTAGTCTGTTGATAGAATCAATGAAGGCTTTGTCAGCGGTGGGATCCATTCCATCCTTGCCTTCGGGCCCGGACTTTCCGCCAAACTGTCGATGAGCACCATCATCTGAAACTGACAATTGCGTCTTTTCGCTCTTTTCTTCTTGCGCTTCTTGCTTTCCAGCAGCGTTTTGTTTCTTTGTTTCTCCACCACTTGCCTGATTCTCATATTGCTGCTTCAACTCCGCCGAGGGAAGCTGAGGTTTTGAGGATCTGGCCACCGAACCCGTGTTGACAACTGTATTTGCGAGTTTTCTGGCGGGTCTCGATGCTTTGTTTCCCATGGTTTATTAATTGGAGAATGATGATTTGCGGATGGGTGTGCAGAAAGATGTAAGATGGAGTAGGAAGAAATGTATGAGGAAGAGGTTCCATGACAAAAATGTTTGGACTGAAAACTTGAAATAGATGATAAGCTGTCGTTATCAGTTGGTATTGTAAATGATGATTTTTCAATTTAGAATTTCGTTCTTTGCTCCTATCACTTCTATATTACCAATTATGTTCTTGACGTTCTCACAGTCAACACCGTCTACATTGTCTCAAAATATATGTCTATTGAATATGGTACAGATCGTTTGATCAATCCTTCTTCTTCTTCTTATCCTTCTTTTTGTCCTTTTTGTCCTTCTTTTCCTTCTTTTCCTTCTTGTCCTTCTTCTCCTTCTTCTCAGATGCGGGCTCGATTCTCATCTTCTTAATGACTTTGCCGTCCTCATCTAGTCTCGACTCAGGGATAGGCTGTGCTTCAATGTAGTTGCTGGCAGAGTAGCCGGTGGGAAAGTGTCTCATTCTCAAGTTCTCTTCCTTAGGCACATCCGTTCTGGCCTGGATGGCCCTGCTGTAATTGATCTCCGGGATCTCGACAACTTGTCTTACCGTGTAGTATCTGTCGATTTTCTTGTTAAGCAAGCTCTCATGGATGATGGTGTACTTTGCAGAGTCCGAAGCAAAAGTCTCCTCATTCACCTGAAAGCTCTTTCCTTCTAGGTCAAATGGTTTAACTCCCTTGTCGGACACCTTGGAAGATGTGAAGGAGACTGGCAATGACTTCAATTTTGAGACAGGGAACCCTTTGGGAGCCTTGATCAACCATACTTCACTGTTACCAATCTTGGTTTTTGGTGTGAGCAAAGGCACCTTCTCAAAGTGTTTTGGAGCTTCAAATCCCACATCCTCGAAGTCCGAGCCACTCTCTGAGTCATATACAAATTCCTCCGATTTGTGTTTGGAAGACATGATGTGGATTAACAAGAGGTGATGCTCATCAGAGAAAAACTTGATGAGATGTGCAGGCGGAGAATGGATTCCTATGTTTGTGCATTTATGGGCATTGCACGTGCTTGATTAGAAGTGTCAAAAGGTAAACTTTGAAAAAGTGGAAGGAGAAAAGAAGAAAAACGAAAGTCTGGCTTCTCAAAAAATTAAAAAAAAAATCATTTGTTACTTCAATACCAATATCGAGTTACCTTTCTCTTCGTTGTGAACTTTGTCACAAGTGTCGCATTCAATGATTAGTTGTATTGAACAAGATCTAAATTCTCTAGTTCACACACTTCCAATTTCAATTCATCCCTCAAAAAATTCTTTCTGTAAAAATTTAAATATTTTTAAGAAATCACTTTGCACAACTTAGAGGCATACTTTCGTATTTATCGGGAGAATCAACCACGGTGCGGAAATATGCATTTGCAACACACGTTAACCTGGGAAGCTATAAATTTCTACAATTCATTTTTCTTCCACAAACCAATTGGCTTGCCATTCAAGGCATAAAGATGTATAATAGGCAGATGTGACTTATGACAAAAGAAAACCTCGGTTACTAACGTTCGGCAGAATCAGAGGATACAAGATGAATAGTGGATAATCTTGAAAACTACAAACTCCTAAAAACTCATTCCTCTTGTCTACCAGTTTCATTCTTCATGGTGGTGCGTGGCTTCAATCTAATTGACTTAATTTACAAGATCCACGTTGCAACCCTCATTCTTTATGCGTACGATATCATCGCCGTATTAACACCTGCCGCGAGGCCACACCCAAGTTGAAGCCGTATAACTTTGCTCTCAAATGTCAGACTCGAACAGTCCGAGGATTACTATTTACACAACAACCTCATAGGTGGGATCTGGCATTCTTGCATCGCAACCTGAATTTCTCACACCATCAATAAGATATTCTTAAGTCGTACTTTTCGGTAAAATGGGGACACAAACTCCGGCTACAGATCGTCGCATGCTATCTTTTAGCCAAATTTGTTAACAGACGGTCTGGAAATCATTGCACACGTAGAGTTCGTAACAGGACAAAACAATTATCATCTTCATACCTCAGCATTGTGGTCAAGTGTTCATGCTCTGCAATCATCATCAATAATGACTTATTGGGTCATCTTTGATTGATGCTTATTGTTGCAGGGTTGGAAGAAGATGAGGGGTGATGGCAGAAAGCAAAGGATAGCAAAAACGAAATATAGCGAGCTTCAAATCGTTCGTTCACATAAATTATAACGAGATTGTTCACAGACGTTGTACCTGTGGGACTTTTATTGCATTTCTAAGTGACTGAGACACATTCGGTGTACAATCCATTTCACTTTGAACTACAATTAATACTCTCCACTCACCAAGTTGCCATAGAAGACGGGAGTTACTTGTTCTCTCCTTGATACAAGTGCCTGCCACTTTGACGTCACGGAGCTCGCTCGAGATCTCCAGGTCGCGACCTCAACCCAGGCGAAGTTGACCGTTGTGACGCGAAAATATGTGACTTATCATACGAAAATTAATTAGAATGTCATAATTTCAACAATATGCAGCTGTGAAGTGTGTTTCTCCGGCGTCCGTCTTATCGCCGCATCACATAACCAAATGGCCCTGGTTCAGCTGTCTACAAAACATCAGTACCGAAGAAAGAAAGGTGTGGCTTTGCGTAGTTAAGACCATTGGGACCCCTTATCCAACAAATTCCCTTTCAGAAGCTTTTGACAAAAAAATTGAAACAGTTTCTCGTATTTCTCTTCATGCAGTAGGGGCTTTGCCTGTCATTCCGTCGTGGCTAATTCATGACAGGAGCAGTGCGGCTGCGTTGTTTCCGCTTACATAAGCGCTTAAACAGAAACCCTAGTCTAGATGACAACATAAAAAGGGATGAATTCCCAGTTCAGTCTATATTGTCTCAGCTTGAAATCATGGGATTCCATTCACCAGACTCCGGCATTGCAGCCTCGGTATTCCTTGCCTTGTACACGCTCTTCTTGGGCCAGATGACATACATTATGATCAAAAGAGGCTTCAAGAACGTCTACACTTTCATTTTCTTCTTCACCTTGTTCCGTTTTGGAGGCCAATTGTGTGGTGTCGTCTACGCCGCATTGGGTCCACTGCATTATAAATGGCTCATTGCGTATCTTGTGTTGGGGGCCGAAGGTTATTTTGCACTTATCTTTGCTGGATTCCGCTTCACTTGCAGGGCCCAGTATGAGAAATTTGGAGAGTCGTGGATGCTCCACAAAGGTCCAAACGTTGGAAATCTATTTATTCTCAAGCGTCTTTGTAAATCATGGAGCCGCATCTTCCATTTGACTCTTATTCCAGCAAACGCACTTGTCATTTCTGGAGGTTCCATGTTGGCAGGCATTCTGTACGATGACATGGCAAAGGAGCACAACACTGTTATGACCTCCAAGGCACTCCGGACCACAGGCCAGGCCATATTTTTATCCATGACGTTGTGCCTGATTTTCTTGACCATCTATGTCTTTGTTGTAGAGAAGGTGAGAAACCATACCACCATTGCAGTGTTGTGTGGATCACCATTTATTTTGGTCAGAGGTATTTTTGGTGTTCTCTCCATCTACATCACGGAAATGAACTACTTCCAGTTTTCCAATTATGATGAGGAAGGAAAAGTCAACCACAAGTTGGTCGTTTACGAATATGTGTTGTCGACAACCATGGAGTTCATTACTGCTTCGCTCTTGATGACTAAGTACTGGTTCGATTTGAAACACCCAAGCGAGCAATTGTTGCTCGAAAACAAAAGAACTAACAATTCATCAAATTCTGATCCAGTCAGCTCAATCAGAGAGCAGTCAATGAAGGGAGTATTGAAGGCGGAACGCCAACGAAACTAAGTTGCCAGGACTGTTGAATTCTCAAGTCCTATACTTATTCGGGTTGATACCCAACTTTTCATTTAGTCGGATGCGATTATTGACTTTTTTATTAAATTCTCAAAATTGGTCGAATGTCTTAACAAAGTTCTTAGAATGATATTCTTACAAGTATTAAAATAAATCTCAAATTGTTATTTTTGATTCGTAAACGTGTATCGGGTAATCTATGGTACAAGCATCAAAAAACGGCACAAATGGTAAGCGCATCGTAGAGAAGCAAAAATTAGCGAGAGAAGAAAGACGTGAATATCATGTGGATGAAGCAAACGTAAAAAACATGCAAAAAGAAGCAAACGTGAAAATCATGCGATTAACGCAAACATAGAGACCAATCCTTTTGTACGCCAACTAAAGGAAGAAGAATCTCTTTCTCTTGTTGGAGATTGGAGGAATTGTCAGATTGCGGTTGTTGGTCTCAGGATTGTAGTTGATGGTTGCATCAGTCTGAACAATAAGATCAATAGTGTAGCCCCGAGCATCGTTGGGACAAACTGTCTTGTTGTTGTTACCCCAATACACATAATACTCGCCTCTGTAAGAGTTTCCAGGACATGCCAAAAACTCAGTGGAGTTCTTATAGGTCAACTTCTGAGCATCAATACCAAAGCCAGTGGTGGAGTTCAGTGGAGATTTGGTAGTAGACAACTTGTATGTCTTAGGGTCCACATAAACATTCGTGGTATCAGCAAGGCCCTGGGTAGAGTTGGCAGTCTTGTTGCTTCCTGGAAGATTCAAAATGTAACCTTCGGAAGCCCGGACTCTGCCAAAAAAGGCTTGCTCATCGGTGTTAAGCACGAGGTCTGTTCCATCCCACTTTAAAAGATGGTATTGAAAGACTTTACCTTCATGGTGGGCAATCACTGAAAATACCGGCGACGATGGTCTATAGAGTCTCTTCCATAAAGGGAAGGCATTGATTGTGGAGACAAAGATTAAAAGGTTAATGAGAAATGCAATGTGCATGGCTGGATCAAAAAATGGATGGATATGGACATTCAACCAGCAGCAGAACTATGTGGACTTATATAGTATTCCTGATTGGCACTCGCAGCCAGCAATTTCCACCTGTATGCACTATATGCTGGCTGACTATAGTAGTCATGATGTATTGGCTGCGAATGTTCCTATTTTTAGTGGACTGCACCATGACGTGGGGAGCAATTACATCACCTAATGAGGAAGTTTTGAGAAATTTCGATACGAACCTTGACCCAAAGGGGGAAGCTGGAAGTGCAACAAGCAAATAGCCTGGGTTTGTGGACCCTTTGATGGTGTCAGATGGTGGCATGTTCTTGATCTTTTGTTGTTGTTACCGTGAACAGAAGAAGTAAGAATGGCATGTTCTTGGAGGTTTTCCGTATATACCGGAATATCTTAATTATATGCACAACTTCTACTCCTTCCTTGGAAAGTGACAATTCTATTCTCTACCCTGCATACAGAAAGAACGTGGATAAGCCTAAGTGTATTAAATAAATATCTATAACATTTACTTCTTCAACTCGATACCTGGAGGACAGTTCAACACAGACTTCAAGGAACCGTAGATGGTGAACTGCAAAGAGGTCAAGGTACCGACCATGACCAATCTGGTTGGCAAACCGGTGAAAGAACCCTTGATACCCAACTGCTTGGCCAACTGGATCAACAAACCAACAGTGGACTGACCCTCAGCCTTCTTGGTCTTGTTGACCTTGGACAACAAGGTGTCAGCTGGCTGGGAAACGAAAGCGGCAGCACATCCAGCAATGATACCAGAAGCCAAGTTAACAGCGGTGGTGGTAGAAGCGTCCAACTGGTTCTTTGGGGTAGAGATGGTACCGTAGATAGCCTCGGCAGCTCTCTCGAACACCAAGAACTTAGCAATGTTGTAAGGAATCTGCTTGAACAAGATTGGGGTGAAACCGTTGTAGAAAGAACCAGCACCCTCCTCCTTCAAGATTCTAGAGAAACCACCAATCAAACCGTTGGCAAAGGTTGGCTGAGACACCAATCTAATTCTGGTAGCCTCCAATGGACACAAAGCAATGTCAGCGAAGAACTCAGCCAAAGCAGCGGAACCGATGTAGACGGAGTTCTTGTACTGAGCGGCGGTCTCAAGACCCAACTGCTCAATGAAGGTCTTCTTGAACAATTCGTAACCACCGAACTTGAAAGCACCCTGCAAAGAGTAACCCAAGACGGTTGGGCCCAAACCGGTCAACAAAGCGCCAGCACCCTCAGTGGACACAATCTGCTTGAAAGAACCAACCATACCCTTGTTGTAAACGGTAGGCTCCAACTGGATTCTGGTCTTGATGACATCAATAGGAGTCATAGCACCGTGGGTTAAACCACAACCCATAGCACCGGCAAGGGCGAAGGAAGCGTAGTCACCGACGGTAAAAGTTGGAATTGCTTGAGCTTGAGCCATTGTGAATATATGTACAAATGTCAGAAAGAAGAGAAGAAGAAAATCCGAATGCGAGGTGATTTAGCCTTGGTTATATGAGAAACATTTTTTCTCGCGCACTATCGCACGCCCTCTTTCTATTGGTTTAGGGCCGGGGGGTTGTCGTGCGCCGGTTGCTTTTTGGGGCCGGAAAAAGCGCGCAGGTACAGACCTGGTGTTGCTTTTTTCTTCCCGTTTATGGCCGGGAGAGGAATAGTGACTGTTGGGGTATTGCGGAGTTATGCAGATTAGGCTTAAATCCGTACGGGTGGCGTTGCGGAGCTGTGATCAATTATCTTGTAAATGCTTCAACTTTCCTTCATTTTGGTGGCAATGGCTGACTATGGCTCGTTTGCAATTATATGTGTGGATCGGCCCGCGAATGTGCCGGAAAGTACCAATTTTTCTTTTTGGTGAGGAGTGCGAGTAGTCTGCAGGTCGCGGACGCCAAAGTTGCAACCAAGATGTCAACACCTAATAAAAAGCAACTGGATGCAAAATCTGGGAAATTAAAAGCACAATTAAAAAGGCATGCACAATCATGGCATGTGTGCCTGACTTCAGATAATAACTCACCATACAACATCCCCATTTATCTTCTGGGGCCCCGTTTTTTTAAGTTGGGAATTGGTGGTAATACTCCGTAGGGCAAGGGCATGCGTGCGTAGGATTCGGAGGAAGGACTAGGGGTCGGAGCCGTTGGTGCGGTGGACGGAGATGCGGATGTCGAAGTTGATGATACTGAAGTCGTTGTAGGTGCTGTGGTGGTTGCAGTAGTGGCAGCAGTAGTTGGTGCAGTTGGTGCAGTTGGTGCAAAAGTGGTACTTGAAGCAGTTTCGAAGCCGGCTAATGCTTCAGTAGATGTGGAAGGCGGTTGTGTAACTTCTGGCGCCGAGTCAATACCATCTTCTCCATTAAGTACCGGGGAATAAGCCTCATCATCAGATTCCTCTGGATCATCAGCATTGGATTGAGTGGATTGTTCGTTGTAGGCTATTTCAATTTCTTGATCTTCGTTGTCCTCGTTGTCGTCTTGCATGTCATCTCCACCCTCAGCAAGATTTTGTTGCGTGGTCGTTTCAGGTTTGTTATTCTCTTTACTCTCACCACTTGCATAGTGTTCAAGCAAATACTCGAAGAACTTCGTACGTAATTCCTTGTCTTCGAAAGTAGCGAACATAGCTTTCTTCTTGGCTTCAACATATGAGACACCGATTCCGATACCCAACTTAATGTCGCCTACACTTAGTTGACACGTTAATGGACTCTCTTCGGAATTGAATTCGAACTCGTAATTGATCTTTTTTCTTCCTGAGCTCAAGAACCCAGAGTCTCGATCAACCAAGAATCTAAACTCCGCATTTGCAATTTCATACGGATCCCTGAGTTTTCCTTGTTGGGAGCTCTCCTCATGCAAGCGAGAAATGACCGGGCCATATAGTTTTCCAACCCACATTTTAATTTCGTCATACGAGTAGTCGCTTTTGGACATGGCGCCCAAATAAGCCAAAAAAACATTCTTGAAGATGGATAATTTCTCCTTGCTGGTCAATTCCTTTGATACGTTATGCATGACAGATTCCGGAAAGTTGTAGCAGTATGACAAGTTGGCCAAAAGGTGACCATTGGTGAGCTTGTACCTTAAGTACTCAAGATCGTCCTCGTGAGCCTTTGGGAAAGTTTCGTCAAGAACATCTAAAAGGGCCATATCAAGCAATCTTGCACCATGAAGTGCCAACTTGCGATTGTGGTTGTTGTTGAAGTCATGATGACCGTCATCAGTCTCCAGCTCTAAATAATCAGACGGTTGCCTTAATGATTTATCCGTGAGAACCAATCGAAGCAACAGCGAGTTTTCCAATGGTGGCAATGATGGAGGGTAAGGAGCATGGTCGTCTCCTACAGCACTTTTGTCATGTTTCTTTGGAGGATCTTCAGGCCCTATGGCCTTAATATCCTTTCGTGATGGCTGGTAGTCCAACAAGTAGCCCACATATCGGTCCACTTTAGGTGATTTAAAGTTGATTTTGGTCAATGTCTTCAAGAACGGCAAGTAGCCCCGGTCAAAGAGACTTTTGATCCTCACGGCAACTTTTACCTGTGGAGATTGAAGCGAGGTGTGGAGCTTCTCCATGAGCGGCTGGTCGGCCTCAGCGGCTCCCTGAGAATACACTTTATCCAAGTGCTTATACTGTGCGACACTAGGTGCTTTGTTTAACACATGGTTAAGCGTAGCCTGGAGTTGTGAAATATTACCCTTGACCTGGTGGAGGTCATCGCACCAAGTTAGAAAGTCGTCTGAAGCCATAAAGGGGGGTGTTTGTGGGGGACGACGCAGGCTAACAGTCGGCGTCTACTACGGGAGGGAGAGTCTCTGGGAGAATCTCTACAAAGAAGAATGTTTAGAGATGGAGAGATGTAGGATGGACGTTAAGTTAGTGAGGGGGCGTGCGAAGCACAGAAATGTTGGAGGTTGTGATTGTATGAGATGGGAAGTAGAATTCAGGAAACTTGGAAGTGTACAGGAGATTTGGAAGTGATTGATGTATATAGGATTGAGTAGAACTACAATGTTAAATCTGCTTCAAAAATTGTATGGGAATGTTATTGGCTAAACTTGAAATCGAATGCAGTACGTCGAGGCACTTCCATGGTGCGGCATTAGTGAACTTGGCGAAAGTTGCAGAGATGGGTAACATGAATATTCTTTGGATGTCATTAAATTCGAGACTCACTTTCAAAATTCTTCCAAACTCTAATCATTCCATTTCTCCGCCACCAAACTATTTTCCATCATCCGTGTTTACTCAACCTAGTTGAATCTAATTAATGTACTCTACCTATACATAACCTACGCAAAACCTCCATAGAGATGCATCTAAACATGCACATAAGGCCATCATATATTTGAGCAAATCAACAAGAATCATAACTTGTCCTCTTCGAAATTAGAAAATATGTCACAAAAACTTGCAAATTCTCAGGTGATCCAATCAAATACAACCCCCAGCACCCTTCAATAATCTAACCTTCGGTCCTCATGAATGGTTCCCCGATGTCATGCACGTGACATTGATGGGCGGTTGCAGAAACAGGTACAGGTCTAGAGAGAGAAAAAAAAAGTAACTTGAGCAAGTGAATTCAGAAATTTTTTACAGATCACTTCTTCTCTTCAACCCTATTATGCTCCTTTGACATCTCCAGTAAATTCATTCACTTACACATATTTCCTCATTTTAATTCTTGAATTCTAACTGGTGATGAACAACAACTACTTTGCTGAAGATTATGTTCCTGGAACAACTAACATCTTGGTTTCTCTGGATGATTCGTCCAGCAACCACACTGGAAAGCCTTTAAAAAGGACTGCTAATGGCATTATCTTGCTTCCTCAACCCTCGGACTCGCCCAATGATCCTTTGAATTGGTCCAAATCCAGAAAAATGTGGCATTTCCTTTTGGTATCCTTTATAACTGCCCTCACTGCTGCCATTTCCAACGATGCTGGTGCCGCCCAAGATTCGCTTAATGAAACCTACGGAATCTCCTATGACGCCATGAACACCGGTGCTGGTGTGTTGTTTCTATTCATTGGCTGGTCGTGTATCTTCTTTGCTCCAGCCTCGTCATTGTATGGCCGCAGAATCACATACATTGTGTGTATTTTGGCTGGTACTCTTGGCTCGGTGTGGTTTGCTGTTTCGAGAAGAACTTCCGACACAATTTGGTCTCAGGCTTTTGTTGGTATGTCCGAAGCCTGTGCCGAGGCTCAAGTCCAACAGTCTTTGGCTGATATCTTCTTTCAGCACCAGCTTGGTTCTGTTTTGACCGTTTACATTATGGCCACTTCGATTGGTTCGTTTTTGGGTCCTTTAATTGCTCACTTGATTTCAGAAGCCCAAGGTTTCAGATGGGTTGGCTGGTGGGGTGCCATAGTGAGTGGTGCTACCTTAATTTTGATCGTTTTCGCTTGTGAGGAAACAGTGTTTGACCGTAGCAAGTACTTCCCTGTTTACGAGTCGGAGAACTTACAGAGCGTGGAAAACTTGGAAGAAACGAAAGATGAGGTGGAGAAGATTTGTGATGATAAGAATGGCGACAACATTGGTGAAAGTGAGGTCAATGAGAAGGTGCAAGTTGCACGCAGTTCAGAATCGGTTGAAAATTCCAGACCTAATGATCTCTCTATTGATGAGGAAGCCGATCCTTCGAAGGAGAAGCTTATTCCTTACCACAAGCGTATTGCTCTCATCACTCCATCTTCGTACATCGAGGGATTTGGTTTCAAGCAGTACCTCAAGAGATTTGTTGTCTACTTCAAGGTTTTCACTTTGCCTGCTGTTTGGTTGTCTGGTATTTTGTGGGGATTACAGGACGCATACATGTCTTTCTTCTTGACGACCCAAGATACATTTTTCTACGACGACCCATGGAATAAGAGCGAGACAGGAGTTGCTTTGATGAATGTGGCTACTTTAATTGGTGCCGTCATCGGCTGTATTATGTCCGGTATTCTCTCTGACAAGCATGTTCTTTGGTTGGCCAAGAGAAATAACGGTATGTACGAGCCAGAGTATAGATTGTGGCTTCTTTTCATCACATTGGTGGTTTCTCCCATTGGTCTCATCATGTTCGGAGTCGGTGCCGACAAGGGTGGAGATTGGCCCGCGTGGGTCGTCTACGGAGGATTGGCATTTATCGGATTTGGCTGGGGTTCCATTGGTGACACAGCCATGTCGTACTTGATGGATGCTTACCCAGAGATCGTCATCCAGGGTATGGTCGGAGTTTCCATCATCAACAACACTTTGGCATGTATCTTTACTTTCACTTGTTCATTATTCTTGGACAAGGCAGGTACTCTGAACACCTACATTATTTTGGCGGTCATTGACGTTGTTTCTATTGCATTTATTGTTCCTACCTTATACTGGGGTAAGTCATGGAGAAGAGCAACCAAGGGACTCTACATTGAGTTGGTGGAGCTCTCACAGGGTATGGAATAAAGACTATATATACCCCAGGCAGATACCCCTAGTTAATATTCTTAGATTTGACTTGTCATTTATTTAATATAGATAGTGCATTGATTGACACATATGTATCAGCATCAACGACTGAGGAACAACGTGATTCCACTTGACATTTGCATGAATTTTGCTCTCCCGACTCCAAATTCTGCAGCCAATCCTAATTTCCATCTTCCTAACACCTCTCCTGGTTCAATACGCCTTTACTTGCTCCTCTTACTCAATCTGCCATCTCACCATTATCCTGTGCGGAGAAAGCAGGTGCTGGCTCCGAGGTCTCACCCATGTAAGCAGACAACTCTGCATCCAAATCTTCGGCGGTCTTCTTGACTGGCTTAGGTTTTCTGGCCTTAGGCTTTCTGGCTCTTACTCTTGGAGCCTCCTTGGCAGAATCGTCTCTTGGGGGACGAGAATCACGTCCTCCACGCACAGTGTCACGCTGAGGACGCGAAGGAGCAATTCTATCAGCCAATGATGTGGCGTTCTCCACGATCAAGGTGTTTCCCATGGCCTTTTTGCCATCGAACTTCTGAATGGCACGAGCGTTGTTCTCGCTATTGTTCAGTTGGAAACACACGTACGCCGTGGTCTCCTCGCGAGGGTCAAACTTGACAAAATCGACAGGAGCAATATTTAGAAACAAGTTGTTTAAGTCCTCGCCGTCCAAGTCGCCATGGACGTTCTTGAGTCTCAACAAAGGTCTGCCATTAGCGTCTCTGAAAATCTGTGAAGGGATTCCGCTTCCGTGGGATGGACGAAACTGAATAGGTTAGTATGGATGAGGAAAATCTCTAACAGTGACTTACGTCTTTACCTCGTTGGTAATCATGTAAATATCTAATTTTTGATGATTTTGTTCGTTGACGTAGCTCACTTCCTTCAGATAATACATACACTTGGTGCTGGTCTGCGAGAGCTTGCGCCTCGGGAGCCTCTCGGTCTACCAGAACGTTCTCTTCTGCGGGGCTGGTTATCACCAATAATTTCGTCTAAGGACTGTTCTAGAACGCCAGACATTGATAACTTGAGTTAGAAGTTGGAAAAAGCTAGATTCGTTGAAAGTTGACTTTTCGCGGGGAGGGTTTCTGCAGGACGGTCACCATTGGGTGCTAAAAAACCACATTATACAATAAAACATCAATTAATAGTACAGGTCTAATTGCGCTTCTTGGAGGTCTTGAAGTTCTCGTGCTCATCATAACGGATACCCACAAACTTACCGTCCAAGTTGAACACGTCTGACTTCTTCAAGTAGTCCAATGGCATCAACAGTGGCCAGTTGACAAACTGGTAGCCATTCTTGAACACGTAGCTGGTATTGCGGAAGCCAAAGTACACGCATGTACCCACGAAAATAAGGTTCTTCCAGCTGAAAAGGGACCCGCTTGGGTACATAACAAGCGCCACAAGTACCAAAAATGATGCACCAATCAAGTACGGAAGCAACTGTATGTAAGGAGATCTTCTGTCAATGAATGGGTTCGAGATAGAGTCCTGGAACGGCCTATAATTACCCAAAAACAAGTCGTAGGAATCCTGTCTGTATCCGTCCTTGTAGTTGTTGAGGTAATATCTGGTTACGGAATTGATTCCATCATTGAGTACTCCCAACTTGGTTCTCTTACCAGTTCTGGTGTAATCGGTCTTCAAGGCACCAGTACCCGAGTATGCACAAGACACTGCATCTGCGTTATCAGCCCAGAAGCTCTGGAAGAAAAGGTTAAACTGTGGATCTATGATCTCCCAAGGCGTGGTGTTGTCCCTGGACAAATAGTGTGAGTCCTCCATTTGGGACTGCAACACCCACCTGCCCAACATCGACTGTACGACGTTGGTACGATCCAAACAGTCCATACAGTTGGTTCTAACTACCTTGTTCTGTAAATTCTTGACGTTGTTGGCGGTGAGGTCAAAGTGGAAGTAGTTGTCGCTGGTGAAACCCAACTCAATCAAATGCTCAATAAGGAGCTTGACTCTGTCCCAACGCATACGTCTGCACTCGTGGTGGAAGTCAAAGTAAATGTACTTGACATGTTCGGCGATGCTTTCCGGCAAGGTTTCCACGGCCTTTCCGTAAGCGTCCTTGATAGGTTGCTCGTAACCACTCTGGTTGACCAAATTGACCAAATAGTTATCACCATAGAGTTCCACCTGCTCCTTGAAGTGCTTAGCAGTAGCCTCCTGTGCTGGCCTGGAGGAAAGGACCAAGTTAGGCTTGTACTTCAAGTTGTTGATTTCTGACCAGTACACTGGCACAGAGCCTCTGGTCTGCAAGAACGAGTAGATCTGGTTATTACTTGTTGTGAAGATCTGCTCAGTCTCGTTAAAATTGGCGACGTTTCCTTCCTCATCAACTCCACGACGGAAGTATCTTGTACCAGCACGGAGCCACGATCTACGTGTGAGCAACGCAAATTCCAACAGCTGTCCACCGTTGAAGAACGCAGAGTGTGACTTGAAGTATCCGTAAATAACCGGCGACACAAAGTCTACCGCTCCAGAAGAGAGCAATTCCTCTGACAAATACTTGTTCCACCAGAAACGAGCATCGGTCTTGATTGGCTTGACCCCAGCAATTTGCCTCTGCAAAGAATTGGTCAAATCGTAGGCATTGTCCACGGAGTAAAACAACGTGGCGTTAGTCAAGTGCTGGTTCAACAAGCTCAAATACTGGCCCTCCTCGGCATCCTTCTTGGAAATGCTATCATTACCGAGGGTATAGATCTTGAACGAAGACACCTTGGCGATGTGTTTGCCCATGATAGATCCAGTGATCTCGTGCCTATCAGCGAGAATAAGGTATTTGTTGATTTTCAACTTGATGGTTCCCAAAACACATGAAACAGGGGTGGCGGTTTCCTTGGAGTAAGCAAGCGGTATTTCGTCTACCACCTCGATAGTAGAACCGTTTACTAAGAGATACTTGCCGGATACGGACAGGTAAAGCACATGGGTGCCATCATTTCCGATGGAGTGAGTCAACGTCATGGCAGTCAGAAATATAAGCCTCTAGCAAAAGTTCTGAAAGGAAAAGTTTCGAAATTGACGATGGGATCTGTAATCGGTGCTATTTAGTTGACACGATCAATATTTGTATGGGAGGATCCGTACCTCCGCCGTGCAGGCCGGCCATGTGACTGGGGTAGGAGGAGTACTTGAAGGATTTGGGAAGGATAATTAAGGGGTTCATGGCTGTGAAATCGAAGGTGGGATGGTCTAATTCTTGGTGCTTGTATTATTTGTTAAGTTTGGGGGTTGTGGTTGGAGGACCGGGGGATGTGGATGTTATGTTGGAGAGTTGAAGTTATTGGGGAATTGTAGTTCTACATAATTTTAATAAAGATTCCAAATGCATGAAAGGAATTTCATTTGGTTGGATTTTGGCTTAGTGTAGGTAATTTGCGTGTTTGGGTAATTTTACTGTTAATATTAATGAATTTCATCCCGCACTTTTCGATGTTCCTGTGATACCATCAAGGTATTGAATGTGAAAAGTGATGTCAGAAATGTGGAACAACATGTAAAACACTGAAGTTAGATTCAAGTGATTATTATTCTGTCGTATATGTATTCAGGTGGACTTATTGTTGTGTAGGAAATAAATGGAAATTGTTTCCTGGATTGAGCATTGTATTGATCGATGTCGGCTGCTCACTGTTGATTTTATACCCTTCACTTATCTTGATACTTCAATCTTGATTCTTTCCAGCAGATCACCAATAAGGCTAACACAGCGACTTGGAAAGACATTTCAGTCTTATTCAAAGGGAGTTTCTTGTCATTACATTCACGGAAATGAAAGCAGGAGAGGTGATTTGTAGCCACAACTTCTTGCTGTGAATGAGCTTGCCAGATTCTCCCCACTTGTCACTTCTCAAAGATTGAGAAGTCAATTCAAGACATCAGAATATATTTGGCATAAAGGATGTCAAATAGTGCCCAATCCTTAGCAAATATCACTTGTATGGTTGAGATTGCAACAAGAAATTAAGAGTGATTCAGCCGTTGAAGACTGATATTAAAATGAAGGACTATCTTTGTCGGAAAGTTGTGAAATATAAGATGGAAACTGTAAAAGTTGCGACTGCTACCATGAACAACAATACTATGCGCTTAAACTGTTCCTGATACACAGAAATAACATCTGGGTCATTTGTCACCACCATATAATCCTTATCCTTAAACATCGAATGTACACTCTCTCCAAGGTCTGTGATAGCAATTGTACTATCGAGGGAACTGGATTTCGAAAAGAAAATCCACACGTTATGAAAGAGAGGTGGTGGATGTGATTTTGATTGTGGATATCGGGCGACAGCGTACTCTGAAGCCTGCTGCACGGTACTATTTGGTGGAAAAGCAAACACGGCTCCTTCTTGAGCAAAACTATTGAAAAAGATCAGGTCTTTCTTCTTAGTGAAGAATATCACCTTCGTTCTGGAAGAAAACTCGGAGATGAACCTGTCACAGTTGCAGAGTCCTAATCCAAGCCAGATTTGGGCAAGAATGATTGCAACTCCGTGTCTCGAGACATAGCTTATAGAATAGCGAAGGAAGTTTCGTCAGGTTTGAAAACAAGCAGATAGGTGAATCTCAAGTATTTGACACTAGCATTTCCGCGCCAGCGCTCCATAACCATGGAGACCCAATAATAAGTTTTAAGAGAGTTCAAATTCGTAGACAATACAGAGGTAAGTAATTCAGATGTTTGGCTATGTTTATTCTGTAGAAAATGTCGTCACTGACCATTTTAAAATGTACTGATCGATTTACGCTCCATTTTGTGGAACCGAGACTAATGGCGATTTTCAAAATTCGTTATCTTCTATCAAGATCTGGCCAAGGACATTGACTGTTATCAGGAATTGAACATAAGCTCCAATACTCCAATACTATCAAAAGTCGCTTTCTGCCTGTGCAAACTTGAAGGTCACTAAATTCAAGGAGAACTGGAAGGAGCTCCTCTTTGCGTCCTATCTTGACAACTACAAAACTTGTTTACACCACGCCTTAACAACGACATAGAGAAGTAATTCAAAGACGCCAAAGTAAGGAGTGCTTTCAGGTTATGTGTCTCCCTCGGATTGGCCAACAAGATCGCAACTATGGTAGAGGATGGCTAGCTGAAGACAATCAAAGCAGAAGAAAGTATCAGGGACTGGACAACCAGACACAAATCGCTATGATTGCAGCTATCAGAGCGAGGAAACCTAAAAAGGATGCCCCAAATATGGCCAATCCATGGTTGGCCTGTTTGACTTGGATAGCGAAAATATTCGGGTCATTACTAACTATCATGGTATCATCTTCCTTGAACATAGAATGGACATTAGCTCCGACGTCTGGCACGGCCATTCTTCTGTTCATCTGGAGAAGAGAACCACCCAAAAAGAAAACAGACACTTCATTAAAGATGGGTGCTGGACGTGATTCTGTTGCAGGATAATTTGATGCAGCATACTCGGCAGCCTGCTGGATACTACTGTCTGGTCCAAAGACATAAACAGCGTCGACTTCCGAAACAATATTGGTGTAAGTAGGGTTCGTATTCTTCGTGATGAATCTAACTTTTATTCTAGAAGACAATCTCGCTTGTGAAGTACCAGCCACAGTTGCTGAATCCGAGTCCAAGCTTGATTTTGGCAAGAATGATTGCAATTCCGTGTATTGGGACATTGCAACTGAAATGAGGGAAGGAGGTTTTGAGAAGGAGTGGTTTATCTTGAGATCTCACGTCATTGGAATTGACACATTCGCGCCATCGCTCCATAACCAAAAGGAAGATTGAATGTTGAAACGTACGCGAAGATGCAAAATCATGGAAAATTCAAAGCTAACCGAATCCGACGCATGGCAGTCTTGATTCTGTGGAAGGAATATGGAAAAAGATAGCCGTTGTATTGAAAGATATGCGCAACACTCCATAGACTGATTACTATGTGGTCAGTGACCTGCTCTAACGATAAGGAACAAACCTGAACATCCTTTCGAAGAGGCTATAGTTGAAAGCACCACGATTTCAGGTCTAGAAGAAGCTCCTCCACCAAACGTATCTTGATGACATATATCTTTGCAATCTTTGCACCAAATGTGGAATAGTAACTACGAGATCTTACTGTGAATTTTGTGTTTGCGTCTTATAAATGCCATTTAGGTCTCAGAACGGTCATCAAGATCGCCTATTCCAAGAAAAGAGGATGCAACTCGACAAATAGAGTTCCGGAGATCTAACTAGAAATGGACCTCCAGATTATACTCATTCGCTTGTAAAGTTTATGACAACAGCTATCAAACCACAGAAACCCAAAACGAACGACAAAAATATGACCAGATAATGTTCTCCCTGCGTCTTGGAAATATCGTAGATATCACGATCATTGCTTACTATCATGAGATCATTTTCTTTGAACAAGGAATGGACATTTACACCACGTCTGGAACGGCCCTCTCGATGACCTAAAACCATCCGAAAACCCAAACATCATTAAAGTCGGGTACTGGGTGTGATTTTGATTCTGGGTAATGAGAAGCAGCATACATTGCAGCCTGCTGAATAGTACTTTCTGGTTCAAACACATATACAGCATCAATACTCGAGAAAAGGTTGGTGTATGTAGGGTTCTTATTCTTGGTGAGGAATCTAACTTTTGTTCTCAAGGAAGATCTCAGTTGAGAAGAGCTAGCCACAATTGGAGAGTCAGCTTCTAAGCTTGATTTTGGCAAGAATGACTGCAATTCCCTTTTTTTGGCCCATTGCTAATGAAGTATGGGAATTGAAAAGGTGTAGTTGATCTTAAAATCCCAAGTCGATATTGACGCATTCGACCCATCATTCTAACCAATTTTGAAAGTGAAAACCGTGGAACAGATACTGAATCGGCGACAGTTGAAAGGTAATTATTTATATACTTCAGAGTTTTGATTAGCTTAAAGAAGAATGGGGAGTTGAAGCTCTACAAAACGGTTATTACTGGGTATATTGAGTAAAGAATCACGGAATGTAGCATGACACACAGCCTTGGAGGGAGAATGGAAGATAAAAGTTCCATAAGAAGCCCAATTATCGATTGTGCCTAGCAAAATATGTCATTGTGCCTATAAATGCGCAGAATAAGACAAAAACAACCAAGAAAACAATGCACGCACACTTATCCTCCATATGTGCTTCAATCTTGAACACATTACGGTCATTTGCCACTATCATTGTATCGATATTCGAGAACATGGAATGTACGTTTACATTGACATCTGTAATCGCGATCCTCTTCTTCCCGTCACCCTCTTGGAAGAAAACGCAAACTTCATTAAAAGGCGGAGCCGATTCTGGGTCTGGAAAATGAGCAATAGCGTGCTCTGCAGCTTGTATGATAGTGTAGTCTTCATCAAAAACAAATACAACGTCTGCCCTTTTTACCCAACCATCAGAGTCTACTGTCACGAACTGAACTTTGGTTCTTGTCTTTCCCCGTCCAGAGTTCGCAGCCACTGTAGTTGAGGAGTCCAAGCTGGTCTTAGGAAGAAACGTATCTAGCTCAGTATCGTCCTTCATTGTAGACGAGCGATGAAAAGAAACTTGGAGAATAGAGACAGTGATTAAGAGCGAATGAAGATAAGATGGAGCCGCACACTAAGCCTCAGGTCACTTGAGATTCGAGGAACTGCACCTACAGATAATAATCTTGAAGTAGCTAACATGCATACTAAAGATGATAGGAGATGATGAATTTTGACATCAAATCTCAAAAGGAGAGATAATTATTGAAAAACTTTCTAGTTCCGGATTAATCGATACTCGCTTACCTTGTTATCACTGTTATTTACCCATATTTTGTATCACTACAACTTAATTGGCAACAAGTCTTGGTCTCGGTTTCACTTGAGTATAGCTTAATCCAAGCTTCCCTCGAAATATTATGTCAACATGCATTTTCTCAGTTAAACTCGGAATAAGGTTTTCTACTACTTTTCTGGCATAGTCTTGCTATCTCGCTCTCGCTGTTTATTCTTAATCAATGTGTACAAATGGCACCAATAGTCAAGGAAATTCACAGAGCCGTCCAGGTCCATATATAGGAGCAACAGTTGGCACAACCTAGCCAAGATACGAGGACTGGGCTTAAGTTGTAAACATAATGAAAACAATTTGACCAGAACTAGAATTTCCACAAAGTAACGTTCGAGAACTCGAAAAAGAAAATGAACCTGAAGTTACGAAATTGCAGGCTTGACCCGATGATTTAGGATGTAGAAATTCATTGAGAGTGTGAACTTGTGTTTCCATTCTCAATCATTTGGTGAGCTGGAATAATGAAGTACATTCATGGACGTCACTTGTCAAGCTACTCAGTCATTCACGTTCGGTTATTGGAGTACTGATTGAGTCTTGCATCACGATGGTAGCCAAGGACAAGAGATATGACATTAAGTCATTGTCATATCTTGAGAAACAACGAAGCGTAGAGACTGTTTAGCAAATGTTTATACCATGATGATACTAATTTTCGCTTCAAAACAACTGATCACTCACTCCCTTTTCAAGGAAGGCATTTAGCATCAGCATTCATGAGTCAGGTAAAATGCAAGCCAAAGTTGCTTGTACTTCATCTTTTGTCCCATTTGATTATTTTCATTTCGGCAAGCATCAACGCAGCTGACCCTCTCAATGTTTCAATTCAACAACTGGTGGAAAGACATCGATCTTTCAAAGAACATTACCAGCAAGTTCTATCCAATCTCAGCCACCGCCTCCATCTCCTCCGCCATCTCCGCCTCCACCGTCTCCTCCACCACCACTTCCTCCTCCTCCGTCTCCACTAGTATACCTTCTTCTTCTTCTGATCTTGAGAAATTCTGGAGACAATGTTTGGAACGCATCATACTCAATTGCAAAAGCTGTAGCCAAAGCCATCAACTTGAAAGTTTCTCCCAATTGCTCTGATGCTCCACTTCCCCGGAACTCAAACTGACCCCACAGATACTTTAATCCCGAAGCCCATACTGCCACCACTTCGCATGGAGTGTTTGAGTATCTAATAGACTTCACTAGATTCCAAGTTCTTCGACCGACATTTCTCCATTCAAAGTACTCTTTATGACGGGAAGTACCATGGCCAATATCTAGCTCGAACCACACAACGGGGCCATTTGAATTGTCCATAATGGCATATTCAACTCTACTTCTAAGCCCCTCGCGTGGAGAAGCTGCTAATCCTATCACAAAGCGATAATATTCTCGCTCAAACCCCACGATCATAAATGGTACTTCGTTTAGACCATCACAGAACTTTAAACTGCTGAAAACACCAAACAACTGATCAGCACTGATGATACGAAACAGCCCTGGCGCTCGGATATCGTAAGAGGTGCCGTGGAAGATCTTAGTGGCATCGACTGTTAAGATGTTGGGGAGAGGCGTCTCTAGGGGGATAGTCTGATAAGCACTTGAAATTGAGTTTCCCATTGACTACAGAGCACCAGAAAACAATAATTGGATATAGAGCAGAGGAGCTAGGCAGGCACCATAAATTAGGAATAGTGGAGCTAACCGTATTAATTAGACGGGCCATGTTTTTCCTGTGGATAGAGAAGTACCCAATTACGAGAAACACAGGATTCGTGACCAAGTATTAGAAATAAGGATTTTGAATGGATTGCTTTCATCCAACCTTAACTTCAGAACGTTAAACAAATTCAGACTCTTTTGGAATTGATGGACCATGGCGTTTTCGCAGCCATGATCTATATATCTGCCCTGCATTATTTGTGGTTCTGTCAATAGGATTTATCTCTACTAAATTGCAAAACCAGCTAGTAAAGATATCCTGTGTTGTTTAAGATTTAAGACTTCGGAATCGTTTGGTTTGACGAATATGCCCATAATTAATTGGTTTCAGCATCCTAGATATTTTCAGCAAATTTGAATGTACCAATTCTTATGGCTTAGATTGGATTGGCTGCGAACATCTATTTATCATCCATGCAGACTATTGTATCATAAATGTCACTCGACGAAAAGTTACGAGAGAACATACGAGGAAAGATAGATTTATTGCAAGTTGTGAATACTTAGGTTCTGACCTTCAATTGTTTCTCAAGTGAGTGTCTCTCATTCAACCATTCCGCTTGGACTAGTTCACCTTTCACATAATCTGTTAATGGTACTAGCTTACTGCATTAGACTTGGCATCTCTTGGTCAGTTCTGTGTTTCACAGTTTCATTTCTTCTGGAATCTTGGCCAAAAAATCTCGAGCATACTCTCTTGCCTCAGACTTCCCGATTGGGCATGTTTGTTCTAATTTGAGAACGCTACCAAGGAAAGCAATTTCTTTTCTGACAGCAAACAATATCTTTTTCTTTGATTCTGCCTTATAATAATTTCAGACCCTTTCTAGATTAAACAACATGAACAGGCTGGCGAGATAATTTGATGAATTGTTAGATAAACTCCAGTTCATATTACTTGTAAATCGAGACGATGACAGATCTCAAGTTTCCGTAAATTGCCTGTTAATCAAGAAATCTTCAAGCCTGCCAGGAATCTTCCTTTGAAAATTTTACGATTCTCACATAGGGTGAACAATACATCAAAATCAAGTGAATATCTTCTTTTCAGGGAAGTGCTAAATTGCGAAGTAAAATGAAGTTACAAGTTACTCTTATGCTTCTTCCTCAACTTTACTTGACTCTGCTATTATTGCTGGTTTATTCAATTTGTATGCTGTTTAGAAGCAAGCTTTTTTTCGGATGATGGTTTGTTGATTTCAGATATTGGCTTACTTTGTAGGTTCTTGCCTTTTTAAAATTCTGGTGACTCTTCCACATCAACGTATATCCTAGTCTAAATAGTAGCAATCTTCACAGCATAACCTGGATACCATTACATTCAACTTTAAAACTTTGTTATTTTTGCACTTTTCAAGATTCGTTTACCTAACATAAAAGAAAGCTACTCACCAACTTGAGTTGGACCCCCAATAATTTGAGACCTGGGTCAATGTATTTTCTTGTTTTAATGAGTACGTAAGCTGCAAGGTTTGTGTTGGAATACTTTTTCATTGTTTGCACAGTGCCCATTTACTTGATGCTCAACAATGAGAGAATTTCGGAGCATCACAATAACGCTACATGTGCTTGGTTCTTAATTTAAACAATACTGGTCATCATGAAATCATCAGCATAACAACATATCTGACTTTGAGATCCTATTATTTTTTGTCATTTTTTGAACTGGTGACCATAATCTATATTTATTCATAACTAATCTGATATGGACGTGATGACTGAGAGAATTGGGTAATCGTGAGGGCCATTCTTGCCTGAATCTTTTCAGAGTGAAATATCAAACTTTGATATTTCTGATATTTTGACCTTTTATTACTGGCCTGACTTCTGAGCCACCGCTTGGATCATCCTCGGTAATCATGGTTGCACAAATGGAATTTCACCTCAGAGCTCACGATTCACAATCCCAATTAATAAAGGCGTTGCACTCCGAGTTTTAATTTTAGTCATGCTAAGGATATCTTCAAAAATCAAACTTGAATGATTATTTTTAATTTGTTCCAGAAGACTTTTGGTTAGTTACTTGGCGATTTGTAAGAGGTGAACCCTCATTGAAAAGGTGCTCAATCCTCGGATTATTACTATTATCATCAGAAACTGCGAAATCATGAATGTTCATGTTTTCACCACAAACGACAACTTCAAACCAAACTTACATCGTGAATTTAAACTCGAATAGAACCTCAAGTAAATAAACTTCGTATTCACCAATACTATTCTTCTAGAACAATCCCATTCACTGCTTCAGCTCTCTTCCAGATTGCCTTCATAGACGTATCTGCAGGCAGTTCCGTTCACCAACTGATTGACTTATTCAATAATCTACCGTTACCAATAAACTTCATACATGTATCAATTGAGATCAACACTCACAGGCCACGAGCTGGACGTTAGAGGAGTCACTGCCATCTCTGAGAATGTCATTGTTTCTGGCTCAAGAGACGGCACAGCCAGACTGTGGGACATACAATACAATATGGATATCTCCAGCAACAACGAGATCTGCTTTCTGTCGCCAACTGGAGCATTCATCAACGCAGTGGAATCCTTACCAATCGATCCAGCCAACCCTCTTGTTGCCATTGGAGGTAAGGATGCTGTGATCTATATCAGCGATATTCATGATAGTTTTGTTAAACAAGGTGATGATTTCGGCAAATACCAGTTGATTGGCCACCAGGGCAATGTTTGCTCTCTTAATTACAAGGACGGCTCATTAATTTCGAGCTCCTGGGATTGTACGGCGAAGGTGTGGGATCTCACCAATTTTGGAGTCAAGTATGATTTGGTGGGCCATACGGCCTCAGTTTGGGACGCACAGATTGTTGATGCCACCGAGGGCATTTACCTTACTTGCTCCGCAGATAGAACCATCAGAAAATGGCGAGGTGATGTCGAAATCGCCAAGTACACAGGCCACAACGATGTGATCAGAAAGTTGTTGGTTTTGCCTTGTGGAACCAAGTTCGTCTCTGCGTCCAACGATTGTACCCTCAAGGTGTGGGATTTGGCTTCCGGAAACGTCTTGCAAACGCTTGTTGGACATGACTCCTTTATCTATGACATAGGCATCTTGTCCAATGGCGATCTTGTATCTACTGCAGAAGACAGATCCGTTAGAATCTGGCACAACGGCACAGTGGCACAAGCAATCACACTTCCATGCATCTCTGTGTGGAGCGTGGCAGTTTTGCCCAATGATGATATTGCTGTAGGTGGCTCAGATAAGCTGATCTACGTCTTTACTACTGACAAAGAGAGAGCAGCCACTGCAGAAGGTGTGGCCCAGTTCAAGGCACTTGTGGAGAAATCAACAATCTCTGAGCAGTCATTGGACAACTTAAAGAAGACCGACATTCCAGGCTACGACAGGTTGCAAAAGCCAGGAAAAGAGGAAGGTTCCACTATCATGGTCAAGAATCCTGCTGGAGTCATTGAAGCCCATCAATGGACGGGAGGCGAGTGGGTGAAGATTGGAGATGTTGTCGATTCTGCGGGAGGAAGTAGCGGGAAGAAAGACTACAATGGAGTAGAGTACGACTACGTGTTTGACGTGGATGTGGAAGATGGAAAACCACCTTTGAAGTTGCCATATAATGCGGGTGAAAACCCATACACTGCTGCAGAGCGTTTTTTGGCCAATAATGACTTGCCTGGATCATACGCAGATGAAGTGGTGAGATTTATCAATCAGAATACTGCTGGCTTCCAACTTGACGAGCAACTGGGTGCTACTCCGGGAGCCGCATCAGAAGCTCCAAAGGTTAACACTCCAGCCTCGAGTGCACCCGTCGCCTCAGCAAGTTCTCTTTTCCCACAATCTACCCTTATCACATTTAAGGATTACAAGTCAGAGCAGTTGATCAAGGGATTTATCAAGTTCAATTCGCAGATGAATGAAGAGAAGAAGTTCTCCACTCTGGAAGAAAAATCAGTGGAGACCGCATTGAACGACTTGAAATCAAAGCAAGCACTTTTCTTGATCAATTCGATCATCCCTAAGATCCTCAAGGAATGGGGCAAGTCACAAAAGTTAATTGCGTTCGATATGCTTCGAATCAGTATACCTCGCGTTTCTACCATTGATTTGCTCCAATCAACTGAAGCTGCGGAAAACATAGTGGAGATGCTTTTGCTGAGTCTCGAGGAGCTTGAAGAGAATGATGTCCCTCTCTTTATGATGATTTCCAAGGTCTTGTGTGGATTAACTGCTAGTACTCTTTTCGCCCAACTTTTCCTCACTATCGGAGACGACAACAGTGTGGGGTTGAGCACATATTTTGATACGCTTGTGGAGAGAAGCTCAATTGTGATTAAGATCTTCACAACCTCCCCAGCATCCCAGTCCCACAAACTTTACAAGAGTGCATTGTCAGCCTTCGCATCATTCATCTTCGATCTTTCCGCTTATCCATTGTCCAACAAGTCGTTGAATTTCAATGCCGGCTCGTTGCAGCCTGTATCGTCATTCCTAGATGACGTTGCTGAAGATATCATCAACGAGGACGAGGAGTCTACCTACAGATTGTGTGTTGCCTTCGGAAATTTGAAGGTGCTTGGAGCTACAAACTCAAATCCACAGTGGCTATCTACTAGTGAAAAAGTTTACACCGAAGCCAGATTTCAAGAAGTCTATAAGGCTCTTTAGAACGTTCATTCACGAATAGAACTCTTGAAGTCTCAAGGACGTATGATATTGGGTACAGGTGTTCTAAGCAAATACGAAAATATATTAGATGTGGCGCCACACATTCAATAAAAGAAGCTAAATTGTCATGAAACAGTCATGAATGTCGAGATCACGTAGAATAGAAGAGCTCAGGCACTTTCTGGACATAAGTGGCCAACTTGTTGGCAACATCAAGGTTTGTGTTGTCGGAGACTTCCAACATGGAGTAAGCATTGATTTTGAAATCTGAAACGCTAGCCTTTCCGATAATCTCATAGATTTTACCCTCCTCTAGATGGCTACCTGGAGGAACTAGCACATCGACTGGGCCACCCGCATTCAAGCGGGCCAATTCTGAGGCACCATCAAAGGATTCAACTTTGCCAACCACTCTGACAATTCTCCCTGCGAATTCTCTTAAGGTAGTCGAGTTAACTCTAACACTGGCAGCATCCATTTTTGATGAAGTAGAAGTAGTTGAAAACGCGTTTTTAGTGGAGGTGTACACCCGTACATCTGGTAATGAGTATCTCGTAGTGGAAAGGAAAAGAAAAGATGAAGAAGGATAAGAGAGATATTTAAGCAATAAGCCATGTCTAGAATGCGATGTGTATGACTTGCGCTATCTTAACTATTGAAAATCGAATAATTCGACATTCTGTCGTTATTTTTCAATGGAACCATTCTGTATCTTTTAATATGTACAAGAGGTATCTCCGATTATCTTCTCCGGCCGTATGTGTGAAACTGTGACCCAGTTAGAATTGAAAACCTGTTTAATCATCTGTGATATTGTATCTGATTTTCTTCCAGCATACCAAATATCTCTTTGTTGGTCAGATTCTGTTCTGGCATAACAGCACTGCACACAACTTTGTATTATGCCAAATGGCTGCGAAATCTCCTTCGACTTTCCATTTCTAGTGATCTTGTTATGCCATGACAGAATCTAGCATAACAAATCCCAAAATGTATATCTAGATATTTATCGGTTACCTTTTTTGTCTCCAAATCCTTCTTACAGACAAGTCTAAATGTTCCAGATGTCTCTATCATCGCTGTCAAGTAGGGAAAGCTTTAGCAGAATAAACTTGACAAAAACACATAAAAGAAAGTGGACCCTGCTCAATTCCCCAATTTTTCTGATCACTCCATCTTCTCAGAACTCTAATTGCTTACAAAATGTCCGCCCAAGACGATCTCCGTAGCCTTTTCTCTGACTTTTCTGATAACGATCTGGTTATTGACCAAATCGACGCCGAGCTTAACGAAGCCCTCAGGGAGCAACTGGCTAATGAATCAGCTAGTGCTGCGGTTGTGAAATACCCTCTTCCAGATTATTCTGTTGCTCTTCAGCCTACTGCTTTGCATCCTAATGATCCTCTCTCTGTTGATGAGCTGGCCTGGTTCCAATTTCCCAAAATGTCTGAACCCATCACCGAACCCACTAACAATTTTCAACCTGTCCCAACTATGCAACCCATTGAAATTAAACCCATTCCTGGTTCCACTGAACCCAACCCTGATACTCTTGCTGCTACTTATCTGCTTCTGGAAATTTTCCCTTCCTCTCCTAATGAAGTCTTTTCTGAATTCATGAACTTAAACACTCCTGTCGAAACTACTCTCAAGCCTTCAACAAATTCTTTCACTTACAACTTTTTTGGTGAAGATGTGGGTTCTAAGCTTGTTCCCTTATGTGACTCTACTAAACTCTCTCCTCATGACCAGCCTGTCCCGATTTTCACTAAAGTATCTACTGAACCACCTGTTCCCATGGAGCCTGCCACCATGGACCCCAAAGATTCCTTTGTTCCATTCTTCAATGGGGGCTTTGATACCGTTGAGTTTGAGCAATTTTGCATTGGGGAATCACTCCCTGTTTCCGGCCTTAAGAATACCGAGCTAGCCCTGCCTTTGGACGCTGATGCCTTGATCCCACTTTTCGGAGAAACAAGTTTCCTAAACACAGAAAACATCACCGACGATATGCTTGTTGACCCTCACAACAATGCATCTGCCACCATTAGAAATAATGAGCCTTGTGACTACACTCACTCTCCAGATTTCAACATCACTTGGGAGGAGGAGAAGGAAGCCAAGTTGTCTGCTAATAAGATTGACTTCAGTGAACAAACCCAAGCTGCTTTCAAAGCACAACAAGTAGCCTCTCCTCTGGATTTGATGGACGACATCTTTGCCGAAATTGGTTTCTTTCCTGGTCTGTACCCTCAGACCGATGCTATCAATTTTTCAAAAGGTGCTAACGATCCTTTAATTGTCCCTATTCAAGACAATATATACTCCCAGCAGTTCAGTGATCAAACATTATGTGCTCAAGATTATATTGAACAGTATTCATATCCTGAAGCCAACCAAAATGCCTTCGGCGAGGACACCTTGGTTGATTTGGAAGGTGCTATTGCTGAGCCCCAACCTTCTGAGGTTACTGTTGGAAAGATTGATGAATTGTCTCTCCAACAATCTGTCAATTCCTTCACCACAGTTAAGAAAGTGCCTCGTCCTAAAGAGGCTCTGGTTTTTATTCACAGACGGCGTCCGAATACATTCAGACCCAGGAGCATCAAACACATGGCAGTCAAGTCCCAGAATTTGGCAAAGGCAGATCTATCGACTCTTACAAAGTCTGCTGGCTCCAAAGCCACTACAACAGCAACAAAATTAGAGCGTATTAATGATGTTTCTAAGCCTATTAACTATACTTACACAGATGCCCGTGTGATGAAGAGCAATGCTGCAAAGTTCAAAAGACTTTCCAGTGTTCCCAGGGCCAGCCAAGCCCGTGTGATTAAGCAGATCAGTGAGGCTGCCGAGGCTCAGGCTGCTGCTAAAGCTGCCGTACAAGCACTTGCTGTTGCTCAGACACACGCAGACGAAGCTGCTAAGGCTGCTGAGGCTGCTGAACGGCAACTTTATGATGCTCAGAATCACGCTAATCAGCAATTCACCTATGACACTTGCCAAAACGACTATCAGCCTCTGCAATTCTCTCAACACTATCACAGGCTGATCTCTCAAAATGGGGTGCTGAGCCAGAACTACGGTAACCAGAGCCTCTCATACCCACAGGCACAAGATGGATACTCCGGTGATCAGACCCCAGTTCAGTTCCACCATAAGATCGACCCTCCAAGAAAAAAGCCTAAGACTAGCGGCAAGGCTAGAAGCTGGAGCCCAAGAATCAAACCAGAACTCGAGTATCCTCTCGAAAGCATTCCATACTACATTGAAGATGCTTCTCAGCTAACTAACAATGCAAGAGCGTTGGAACTAAATCCTGGTCAACACCGCGACAAATGCATTGAGCTTTACGAAGGTCAGAAGAAGAGAGAGCTTCAGACTATTGTGAGAACTAGATATGTCAGAGACAAGAACGCTTTCTTGAATCTCAAGCACAAAGATGTCTTCTATGAGTACAATGACTACTTTGACGTCAGCAGACCCTATCAACAGCAATTCACCAGAGTTGAACTCGAGGATGGATCTCCCAAAAATGAAACTAGATGTGCCTTGTGTGCCTATTGTGAGCATCCTAGCTTCTTCGAATTGAAGAACCTGTGCTACGCTCAACACATGAGCCATCTGCATGGCATCTACACAGATGACTATTTGGCTCCAAATCCAGTTCAAGCTGGTCGTTATGCTGTGGCCAAGAATGCTAATCCCAATAGAAAAACAATTGCTAGGGTTAGAGAGCATGAATGTGTTGTGTGTCCAGTGTGTTACAATCTTTCAGAAGTGAGGTGCTGGTCGTCTACTTCAAAGCACAAGCCACTTCTGAATTATCTTAGACACTTTAAAGAATGTCACCGTATCGGGAGACAAAAAAGTACATTCTTTGATGGATATTCATACTAATAAGTATGCCAGTTGCATTTATTCGATTTTCTTGTTTTATTCCCCTTCTTTGTTCATTCGTCCTATATTCTCTTTGCTCTTTTCTTCCACTCGCCCCATTCTCTCTATTTATAACTAATTACTTAACTGTTTCATTTATTAGTAGTTTAATAATTACGCATGGATAAGCTCATTCAAGAACTTGCCAGCTTCACCTCTCTCCTCAGCTCTCATCAAACTCTCACCGATCAAAAAGCCATCGACATCATCCTCGTACTTGTACTTCTTAACATCATCCACAGACGTAATTCCAGACAAGGCCAAGACCAACACATCGCCATCTCTAGAGTTCTTTGCAGCCTCAACCAAAGAACTGGTAGTGTTCAAATCGACATCAAACGTGGCAAGGTTTCTGTTGTTGACTCCAATGATGAGTGGATCCTCAGTGGAGTTGTTGTATTTCAATGCAAGTGCGGACTTCAACTCAACAGCATCATTCACCTCCACTAAAGGTACCATACCCAAAGATAAGGAGTACTCATAAAGCGACTGTAACAATTCAAAATCTTGCAACATTTTAACAATCAATAGAACGGTGTCAGCACCTGCCAAACGAGCTTCTAAGATCTGGTACTTATTAAACACAAATTCTTTTCTCAACACAGCTGGTCTGGAAGGAACAGAGTCGATGACTTTCCTTATCAAAGACAAGTCATCCAAGGATCCCTTGAACCATTTTGGTTCTGTCAATACAGAAATGGCCGAACATCCATTTTGTGCGTAAGTCAATGCCTGCTTACCTGGATGAGCAGAAATGTTGATGTCACCCTTGGATGGCGAGGCACGCTTGAATTCAGACAATATTATCGTCTCCTTCTTCTCTTTTGTGGCAATAAGACGCTCATAGAAGTTGATGAGTGGAGGTGCAACACCTAGGCTCAAAGATGTCTCCAAGTCCGCAAACGACTTTCCAGGAAGTGCCTCAATGGTCTTATAGTCCTCTATTCTCTGGTTGTAGATGGTAGTCAAGATGTTTCCCTTGGGCTTAATAGAAGCCGGCTTTTCTTCGTGCTCTTCCCAGGTGCCTCCAGTCATCTTCAAGACATTCTCGATGAGGACATGGCCCGCCTCAGTCAAGATCGATTCAGGATGGAATTGAACTCCCTCCACTGTGTACTTCTTGTGTCTTACACCCATGATCACCTTTGGATCCAGTTCAGTGGTGGCAGTCACTTCTAAGCATTCTGGAAGAGACTCCTTCAAGCCTGCCAAAGAGTGGTATCTGGTGGCGGCAATTCCCTGGGGAATACTAGCAAAGGCACCCTTGTTATCATGCTTAATGGTGGAAGTCTTTCCGTGGACAATTTCTCCGGCGAAAGTGACCTTTCCCCCGAAAACTTCAACCATACATTGTTGGCCCATGCAGACACCGAAAACAGGGATTTTCCCGGCAAAATGCTCGATAGCGGCCTTGGAAATACCTGAATCATCCTCTGGGTTACCTGGACCTGGTGAGATGAACAAAATGTCTGGCTTAATGACGTTTTCAATTGTTTCAATGTCTATTTCATCGTTACGAAAGACGTCTACTTTCTCACAAAGCTCTGATTGACAGAGGTATTGGTACAAGTTCCAAGTGAACGAGTCATAGTTATCGATCATTAGCACATGCTTCTTGTCGAGTTTTCCCACCATTTTTCCCACGAAGTTGCTAGGTATTAGAATTTGGAGAAATGGTTGTGTTACTTTCTCACTACTGGAAACTTTGACTCATGACCTGCATGTAGTCCGAATCATTTTCTAGTAATGAGTCTATTCTCAAGATGTTAACAATTAACATATGGTTGCAATTACCACAAAATCTTTTATTTACCTGATTATTTAGTCTCTTTTTCTGTTTCTGATACGTGAGCTGATTGGTGCATCATCCTCTAAAATCTTGTTGATGTGCTCTTCATGGGCACGCTTATCATCATCGAATTCAACTCCCCGCAACATCACCGTACTGACAAGCTCTAGAATGAGCATGAACAACGAGGATAAAATTGCCAAAACGTAGTTTGAAATGGTGACTCCGATGTCAAGCCATGAGCCTTCCGTTTTGACTAAGTAGAAGAAGTTCAAAGACAAAAAGTCTGAAGTGGAGATGATTAACGTTGAGATGGTGAATTTCCGGATCTCGAGTTGATGGTTCATGATTCCAAAGCATGTAGACAACAAGACGTAAGGAATGATCAACTTAAGCATGAGCAATGCACCCATGGGGAATGGCGCAAACACAGGAATCAATCTGTAAACTGAGTCAAGAGAGAAGGTGGAGATTGATGCCAAGTTACCAGTGCCGAAGAAGGCAAACTGCAAGAAGAAAAATCCGATAATGGATATACGGATAGTTTGCAACCAGTAACCCTTTGGCAAAGTATGGTTTTCTTCCAAGCTTTTAGTGATTTCCTTCTTTGAAAATTTCAATTGTGTTTCAATGTTTAACCACTGCAACAAAACCAACGAGTATCCGACAAAGAAGAACAATTCAAATGAAATGGTCAAAATGATGAATGTTGGGACGAAAGTCAAATAAATAATCAAGAGTCTTAATTGATAATCAGAAGATGCCTTGAACGTATGCAACACAGGCAACACAAACAACGAAACAATGAATGTTATCCAACCAGTGACTTGAGCATGCAATGGAAGTCCATCTCTAGCCTGCAAGGAAGCGACAGCTACATTCGTTGCATACAAAATCACAAGAATGCAAGCCAATTGAGCAATCACAACCTTCTTGGTAAATTCGGCCGGGTTTCTCTTAAACACCTTACCCGTGCCAATTACTCCAACAATAAAAGCCGCAGCAGTACTAACATTTATCTGCCACAAGCTCTCTGTCTTCACAGCATTCAAGTTCGTGAAAGTGCACATACTAATACAACTGATCAACCAGGTCAACTTGGTGCCAAACGACAACTCCTTGGTCCATGCAAATGGGTACAAGCCAATCAACACAAACAAGATGGAGAACATAATTCTGTTAGAAAAACCGTAGACAATACTCTCGTACATGCCAAGGAAGGAGACAAGAGTGAAGAGCTTTGTTGGGCCAGAAATACCAAACAAGAATGTATTCAATCCCTTAACAAACAAAGTTCTCTCGTTTAAAATGGTGTACCAGAAGTAGATTGGGAATGCCGCATACATGTAATAGTTGAACGGAGACTTTTGGTAGAAAAGCAAGTAGTTCAAGGACAATGCAATACCACCGAAGGCAGCAAGGAGTGGGGTGGAGTTTGGTGGCTGCTCAAAGCTGGTCAAGATGAACAACTTCAAGAAAACGTTGAATGAGTATATGATCCATCCAAAAAATCCAAGCGTAACAATGGATCTGAGCAAGAGCCAGTTGTATGTTTGCAAGTAGTTCAAACCATCCAAACCACACTTCATCAACAGCTCAGTCAACTCAATTGCTTGATCAAAGAACTCGTCAGTATAATCCACCTCCATAAGTGAGATAAGACTTTCTATCTCGTGTTTGTAGACGGAAATAGGCTTATGTACAAATGGATCAAACGGCTTGTACTGGAACTGGTGATTGTACACCTCGCTCTCCTTGACGAGGTACTGCTCAACGATGACAAGAGCGTTTTCATACAAGGCCTTAATCTTGTTCACAGGAGACCCTTGAACATATGGCAAGGGCAACTCTCCTACCGAGTTGGCAGGGTAGTTAGCACCAATAAGATAAGCCATCAAGGGAGCAATATCTGCCTGTTTGACATCATGACGCGTCAAATGGTCAAAACCCCAAGTCTCAAAATACTCCTCTTCATAACCGGATGCAACAGGGTCCTGTTTGGTCTTTTGCTGGTCCAGAGCCGCCTCAGGCTTATTCACACCAGCACCCCATACAACAAGTGGAGTTCTGGTATTATCTGGGTGACCGTCTCCGTGAGAGCCAAAATCAGACATTCCGTGATCGGCAGTAAAAACAAAAGCGGTGTCGTCGTCCCCGAAAAACTCATGGAGTCTTGGAACCAATTCAGCCAACTTGGTGTCGATATACTTGATATTGTCGTAGTACTCGGCCGAGTATGGACGATAGGCATGGCCAGCAGTATCAATTCCAAGCAAGTGCAAGAAGAATACGTTACCGTCCTGTTTCAATTCGTCATTCAATGTCTTATTGGTCTTAGCATCCTCTAAGAGCTCGTCCAAATGGTTAAACACGAAAGCATCCAATTCAATAGAGTCCAGGGTGAAGTCCTCAAACTCGTGGCCGTACATGTGGCAGTCAATTTTACCAGGAACAACGTTTTCGCCGTAGGCGAACATGGGTAAGATGTCCGGGGATCCAAACGAATAAGTATGGGTTGATTGGTTGAAGAATGAGTCGAAATCCACTGGATTCTCCTTCCAGCCCTTGGTTACAGCACTCACATCCTCGTAGAATCCAGCAATCATGGCTACATGGCCTGGTCTAGACTCCGTGGGCATTCTGGTGTTGGAGACACCCCAGGTGGCCTCATTCAAAACCAAGCTACGCAAGTATGGAGCCAAATATTCCTCGTTGCCAGTGGTCGGGTGTAAAACCTTCTTGAATGTCTTGTCTGCTCTCAAGCCATCGCCCACAATCAAGAATAGTCTTTTCGCTGGAGGTTCTGACGTCGACTTGTGCTGGTCCATACCATGAACCAATGGAGACACGAAGTAGATGTCGAAAATCAGCCAGAGGTAGTAGAAGTGGAAGAGAACACCCACTACAATGAAAAGCTGACGGTGGAAGCTCATTTTGAGCGGATTTTTTTCACGTATACCTTTGATTTCTTGACAAGTATAATGTCCGGATCGCAACTGTATAATTTTAGTCGCGACCGCGTAGCTACAATGGAGGTTACGATAATATACTAACTATACAAGCGATACAAAAGAAAAAAAAAATGGAAATAAAAGGAAAACGAAAGGGGGAAAAAAAAGAAAAAGAAGCAAAGTGTAACAGTAGATAATATCAAAAAGCATTTTTTTTTCATTTTTATTTTGAATCAGTAGGAACGAATCGGGAAGCGAAACAAATGGAAGATAATCAGAAGGATGTGAATCAAGGAAGTAAAAGGAACTCACAGTCGACGTGGAAGGTTAATAGAAAGATTAGTATACAATAAATTGGAACAGGGAGCCAGTCATTTTTGGAGCCTGAAACTAATCTTCACGCTTAATCTGCCTCTACAATAACGGTGCCTCCACCTATAATCCTTTATCCTAACCTAATAATTATACATTTCCCAGTGTTTGCATTGCATTGACCTCGTCGCAGTTGCGCTTGAATGTCTTGAGTGTCTCCCGGAATTCCAGAAGAGTCCGGTGATAATTCTGAATAATGAGCATGTCATTGAACAAACAAGACAGGTACGCCTCAACGCACGACGTGTCAGAGTAGATGATGTTGCGGTGACGCTCGTCCTTTTCAAGACGTCCTATTTGGTACTGTAGCACCGCCTTCCGATATTCTGCAAACTTGCGTTCGTAATTGTTGATATTCTGAACGTATTCGTCCCATTGTTTGTGGGTGAGACTCAGCCCTATATCGATTTGCGGAGGTGTGGCTGTAAACATGATACTATTCTCGTCAACATCAGGTGTCAAGTCAGATGGAGAAATCGTAGAGTTTGTGAACCGTGCACTCAGCTTATTGATCGGGGTGAAAAGAGTTTGTGCTCTCGACGTGCCATCAGTATATTCTGTTCTGGCTCTCTTGAAGGGGGATTGAACAGACCCACTGGCTTTCCGAGTCTTTGGCCCTGTTTCTGGCAAGTTGTCTCGCATATCATCAAAACTCACGTCGTCCAAATCAGTTCCAAGTGTATCCCTCAAATCGCTCATATCGGCGAACCGTGGCTTCTTAGCACTGGTTGGACCATGCTGAAACGATGCCTCACGACGCCGCTGTTCGTTAAGGAATTTCTGAGTCTTTACCTTCGCTTGTGGCGAAGACATGCTGTACAATGGTTTCCGCTGTGGACTCTTTGGTTCCTCATGTGAGAATATACCACTCAGACCATCAATATCTCCATCCTCTGGGATCTCTACCACTTCCGGACCATCATTTGGAGTTTCAGGAGCACCTTTCAGTGAGGCATCCGTAACGTTCGCGTCCGAACCATCATGGTCTTGGTTGAACGATTGATCTGGTTCCTCAGCAGTCGGGGGCCGACTTTGCCAATCATGGACACCATTGTGAGACTCATCTAAACCTGAAGCTGCGTCTGAAATGCCTGAATCCTCGATGATCTCAGATTCCACTTCCACATCATGAATGTCCTCTGTCCACCCGTCGTCTGCATCCAAGTCCACACTCTCGTCACCAATGTTCGCATCATGAAAATCACTAGCATCATCTGTGTCGCTATCCGACCCCACTTCGTCCTCGACTATTATTGGCTCGCTGGAGTTGGTTCCTGGCTGCTCGTAACTATTGTCATAGCCATTTACGCCGTGCCACAGCCGCTGGAATGCTCTCTGTTTAACTCCTCTGTACATTTCCTCTAGCTCCTCGGTTTGCTGTTTCCTTCTTTCGCGTTCCTCTCGCTCTTTCGCCTCCTTTTGTTTTCTCATCTTCCTATCAAGTTCTTCGAGCTGCTCCCTTTCACGCTGTTGCCTTGCTTTCTCCATGTACTCATCTTGCCTGCGCTTCATTTCTGCTTCCATTTGCTTCTGTGCCAATTTGGCAGCCTGTGCTGCCGCGGCTGTAGCTGCCGCAGCGGCGTCCTCCTTCTCCTGACGGGAGTGGCGGTAATATGCGTCCTCATACGCACGGAAGTTCAGCTGTTGCCAATTGAAGTATGAACCTGGTCCGTTTCGAGTACTCAGAAAGTATGAGAAGCCGTGGTGACTTCGAAAGCCATCACGATGGAATGGATCGCTTTTTGAGGAGCTTGACAGGCTGGATATACCGTTCTTGAGGTCGTAGGTCTTTCTCAGGGTGTCATCCTTGAGGGTTTCGTAAGCTTCATTAATTAGAAGAAACTTATTGTGAAGTGACGGATCGTTCGTTTTGTCAGGATGAAACTTGACAGCGAGTTTCTTGTATGATCTCTTGATTTCATCTGCGGTTGCGGATGGCGCTAGACCAAGCACACCGTAATAGTCGGCGGGCATTGTAGTTGGAGTTTGAAATTGGTGATCTGGAACAATAATAAATGGTATTTATCTGCAGGATGGTGGATGTTTGGGAAATGGGTAAAGAGTTGGGAGGAATTTGGGGAGGAAAATGAAATGGAAATAAAAATATTGGTGATCATTTTGGATTTTCAATTTTGGAAAATTTGGAAGACAATTTTTAGTTGTAGTGGGCGAATTTATTATACAAACTAGATTGCGAGGGTACGGCAGTAGCAAGTATTGAGGACTTGATGCAAAGGATTATTATGTGGGGAATTTAGAAAATAAAAAAAAAGGATCAAACTTGGTTAAAATCGGCAAACGGAGAGACTACTTTTAACTGGACACTCATGACTGAATGTTTTGGCATGTGTCCAGACTTGAAGTCACCAAAGCCAGAACAGGAATTTATCTGATGGAAGGAGGTTCCAGCATTAGAATAATTACTACGTTCGTAAAATAGCGCAGCCAAGTTGATGAAATTCAAGTTACGGCTTTCCATGGTGGTTATTTATTTACTCCTCAGCTCTGTCCTATTGGTTTTCTATACATCCCTACTGATCTACTCTATAGCTCCATCATACACTAAAAATATATCACAAGATTACAGTCTAATCAATGCTCTTTGCTTCATCTTCGAGATTTCCCTCTGCAACGACATTAGTCTCGGTCTCTCCAGTCTTGTTGAAAAACTTCTGTATTATCACCTCCGCATACTCTGGAATCTTAATATTCTCAGAAGCAATTGCCAGTGAGAAGATGGTGGGCACCTTCGTGTTCTCAACTCCACCATTGTAGTCCTTGGGTAAGTTGTCCTTGCCAAAAGCATCGGCCAAATTTCCGTGATTTTGCATTTCAAACTTCTTCAATGTGGCAGCACTCATCAATCCGGTGGCCTTGAAGAAGGCGAACACCCAACCCATGATGAGAGGAACATTAATAAAGTACTTTTTCGAGAGAAGCTCGGGGTAGTTGTCGCTGAACACCGTGATGATCTCTTTGGTGGCAGACTTCATGCCTGGATCCATTCTGAACATAGACACGTTGTTGTAATCGTGGACCTGGGCGATCTTGCTGTTGTGTGTGTCGGTAAAATCCAACAACAGCAAGGAACGCTCCATAAGTCCCACACGCCATCTCAAGAACATCGTACCTGGCAATTTGTCTGCAGAGTCCTTTTCTTCCACACCTACTCCAAACTTTGCGAAAAGCTTCTTGGGATTCTTCAAATTGGCATACAAGTTCCAAGTCACCACGCGGAAATTGTCCTTGTTACCCTCATAGTCTGTAATGACTCCCAATTTCTCCAAATCGGCGTCGTAGGACTCTCCAAAGGCGGCATTGAGTACCTGGAACTCTCGTCTCCAGTTGAGAGACTTTGTCACTTTCTTTTTGGCTTCCTCCACGTCGTACTCGGTGGCTGCAAGAAACTTGTGCAAAATCTCGTTTCTGATGGCCTCGTTGACGAATTCTTCACCATCGGGCGCTATTCTGTAGCCGTAGATTTCGTCATAGTCGGCGTTATCGGTGGCTGCCAAAATGTCTGGGATGGCAGAGATGAGCTCAGTGAGCTTGGTCAACTGGTCCGAGGAGAGTTTGTGTGAAATGGTAGGAGATGCCATAAGCGAAAGAATTAGGTGAGTTGAAATATGAGGTGAAATCGGTGTAGATTTGAAATGGTAGAAGTATAAATACTCTTGTCCGAGTCGGCCATACAGGGTTGCATGAAGAGAATAATAATAGAGGGAAGAAATACTGGAAGTTGTACAACAATTTGGGAATTTTGACAAATATTTTCTTTGGTAGTGTGACTTTAATCATTTTTTGATCTTTTGTAACTTTTTATGATTCATTTGCTTGATTTTTTGACCTGTTCATTATATTAGAATGATTACCTTAAGTGCATATAGGTGGAAACCTGCGAATACTCCATATTTCGCAAATCCAAGAAGATCAAGTGAAGAAATGGTCAGACCGATATCGCCGTTTTCAAATGACCAAGAAATGACCAAGAAATCAAGGTTGACCAGTTACATGACTTGACTGTAGAATATGGATTACTTTTCGACGGATCTACTGGTAAACTTGTATTGAGCTGAATTACTGTAGCACTGAACTTTTAAGATTCTCTACTGATATTCAGATACGAAGATATATTCAAGTATGTGAAAGAATTTCGCAGCCACTACTACACCCAATAATAACAACGAATGTCATCAATTTATAACCATTACTTCTATCTTTCTATATACATCTATCAGTGTCCACCAGGAACAAGACGGAAAGAAAGAATATCGTTCTTTCCCACATCAACCGTATCCTCTTCGCCAATTCTCATTCCTCCAACACCTTCAATGGCAGCAATGGTGACATCACCCATGATCTTACGAGCAACGGAAATTACAGGCGTGCCTCTCTTCACGAGAACACAGTCTCGGAACACATTGGGACCGGAACTTCCGCCAAACGTATGAATGTTTCTCACTGGATACACGGGCACCAAGTCCAAGAGCTGGGCAGCACTTTGAAGAAGTTGGACCACGCCAGTGGATCCGAAACGGTAGAGTACCAAGTCACGGATGTTTTCGATTCTGTTCAATAACTTCTCATCCAAGGGACGAAGGCCCTCGTCGGGGAGATCCTCGGCGGTGTCGACAAATTCGGTTCCCAGTTCATACTTAATGAAATTCTGTGAAGCCAACTTTCGGAGGAAAACCTCAGTGAGCGATGACGTGAGCACACACTTCAGTTCCGGATATTTCAACATGATCTTCGACACGTTCTTGTCTGCATCTGCATGGTCCATTTTATTGAGAGCTAGAACGGTGGGGAACTTGGTGTTCATAAACAGTCTCACCACTTCCTCAATGGTCTCCTGGTCCCACTCCTGGAGAGGTCCCAAGTTGGGAACAGCATCCAATGCCTTCGCTATAAGCTGTTTGTTGGCGTAGTATCCACCCAATTGTGCACGCAACGTCTCCAAAGTGGACGATTTAGTTGCAATATGTCTTCTCACCACTGAGCCCCATTTCTCGGTGAGATTTCCCAAGATCCACTGGAAGATTTCGTCCTGGAGCCACTCAATATCCTTGAGAGGATCGTATCCTCTAGTCTCTTTGCCCTCTGCATCGGTGGTTCCACTCACATCGACAATATGGATAAGACAATCAGCTTCAGTCAAGTCACTAAGAAACTTATTACCCAAACCACGGCCCAAATGAGCGTTGGGAACTAAACCAGCCACATCCAACATCATCACAGGTACACCTCTAATTCCGTCTCGGCAGTAGCCGTAGTTGGGCTTGCATAGCAGCTGCTTGCCAACTCTTTTACATGCACATTCCACTTCAAGGTACCCAGTAGCCTTGTTTGGGTCTATGGTTGTGAATGGAAAGGCGCCGACCTTTGCGTTGGCGTCTGTTAGAGCATTCAACGTAGTCGATTTTCCACTGGAAGGTTTTCCCACAAGCCCAATCACGGTTTCTCTACCCATAATGACTATCAGTTGAATTTTTTTAAGTTGCGGGACTGTACAATTAGAGATGCCTTGAGAGAGATGGAGATGAATTGAATGATTGGATAATTTCACGGCTTGACCACGGGTGTATGTATTAGAAAATAAAGGATTTATAAGAAAAACCGATTTATATTGTATTGGATTGAATCTTCCTTTCTTCTCCTTTTTCGTTCATTTCATTCACTCATTATTACTCATACCACTTCTCACTATCTACAAGTCTGACTCCATGTTACTCGAATTCTGCCAATTTTTGAACAAGACAAGACAGATTCTCCAAAATGGTCTTCATACGTTCTTTGGTTTATAAGTTTCAAATTCGCCTCCAACCCCAAATTCTCTATCAAATAACCTCAGCCACCTCGTCATTAGCCAGTCTGCAGACAATCACTCTGTATATGGCCACTCATTTCTTAACATCCAGACTTACTTTCTTTCTACAAACTACTCTACGTACAGCCATAAAACATCAACCATGGCATTGAACGTACTGACCGTCTTTTCCAATATCTTCAATGGGTTCTCCCAGGATTTTAAGAAGAAAAACTTCTCACTTTATGGTCAATGGATCGGAATCTTCACAATCTTCTTGTGTATTGCGTTGGGAGTGGCCAATATCTTTCACTTCAACTTGGTGATCATCTTCTCCATCATCTGTCTTGTGCAAGGCTTGGTGGTTCTTTTCGTCGAGATCCCATTCTTGTTGAGAATCTGTCCTTTGACTGATACATTCACCAACTTCATCCGTAACTTTGACGACAACTGGCCACGTTGCGGCTTCTACTTGTTGATGAGCGTGATCCAATTCTTGAGTTTGACGCTTCAAGCCACCTCGCTTATTGTAGTGGCGGTGTTTTTCCTTCTTGCCAGTTTGTGCTACCTTTTCGCTGCTCTCAAGCATCAAGAGTACATCAAGTCCTCTTTCAACGTGGGAGGCAATGGCACTGACTTGGAGAGCCAGGCTGCCAACCATATCGTCAGAAATGTGTTGTAAGACGACTTGGTCCAAGTCAGAGGGCTGACAGTGGTGTTTATTGATTGGATGCCGATGTTTGGTTTAATCACTATAAGGTTGCGACGAGAGAGTCACTCAATAAAATGCAAGTTGCCAAAGTGTATCTTGTTACTTATGAAAATGTATTATTCTAGTTTTTGGACTCCTTGACTCTAATTCTCTTGACATGGACTAAGTTTCAGCCTACATGTTCACTTACGTAGCGGCCAAAAAAATTTGATTTTCGGAATATTGGGATCGAAAGAATGCGAAATCCACTCGCTACTTAGATTACACTGTGGTTATTTTACAATTTTCATCCTCTTCCTTCAAATTTGTCTTTTATTACCATCTACCCCAACTTCATCCCGTACTGCATACACGCATTACCTTTATCAAAAATAAAAAAAATTATATCAACTACTTAAACAAAACATGGGTCTACTATCGTTTGCTGAAGACACTCAGCCTTCTCACGTGGATGACAAAATGAAGTGGAAGGAGAGCTCTGCTCTGGCAGAACCTTCCAAGCCCCAGCAAAAAGAGAAAGTGAAGCAAAAACAATCCAAGCTGGATGATGGCCTATATTCGTTATCTTTTGACCAAGTCAACGACAACGCAGACGAACTTATTGAGCTCAGAGGAGAGGGAAGGTACTTCGGTGTGACTGACCCAGATACTGGAGCCACCATCAATGCTCAACAGAGCTTAGGTCCATTATGTGATAACTGTCACAAAAGAGGTCATATCAGGTCCAAATGTAAGACAGTGGTTTGCCACAAATGTGGTGTGGTGGGCGATCATTATGAGACACAATGTCCGACTACGATGATCTGCTCAAGATGTGGCGAAAGGGGCCATTTGTTCAGTGCATGCAAGAGCAAGACCAGAAAGAAACAGTACTGTAAGACATGCGACACATTCAACCACGGCGATTTCAACTGTCCCAGTATATGGCGGTCGTACATCACGAAAGTTGCTAAAGACGAGGAATATGTGCTCCCGGTGATCTTCTGTTACAACTGTGGAGATAATACGCATTTTGGAGACGAGTGTCCCCAGCAGCGGTCATCTAGAGTGCCCAACTTTAACGGCAGCGCATTCAGCGGCACCAACTTGCCCAAACACTTGCGGTCGGTGTACTTTGACTCGCTCAATAGGGGTACATCGCGACCAAACGGACCTAAGAAGAGAAACTATGAAGATTCAGGCAATCTGCGCAATTACAATCTGGGATATAGTCTGGGGTACAATTCGAACCTGAATTACAACTCGAATTACAACTCGAACTATAATAATTTCAATTCGAACGGCTCGAACAACAACTATAGGAACTACAATTCCAACAACAACAACAACTCGACCGTGAACTCATACAACAATGCACAACCTTCACGGTCGGGGTTCATTGCATCAAATACCAATAAGAAGAAGTCACAACTTCCTCCGAGACCATCTCAGGCCAGTCGCACAGGATACCTTCCCAAGAAGGGAGCCAAGCCAAATCGGTCTGGAGTGATGAAAGGCAAGAAACGCAACGGAAACATACAGGTTTTATACTAGAAGGAAAGGGTCTAGTTTTTGGAAAAGCGCTGGTGGTCATTACGGAATAAACTGAGTGAGCAATTTATTTTAGATTGAAAAGTTAAGAGATTGAGACAAGGTTGGACATTTTCTGAAATGCTCGTAAAAAAGCGAGATTTTTATTTTGACAGTCCCACCCTCAAATTACACTTTGAATTCATTTCTTTTTAAATCTTTGCCTGAGACCAAATATATCCACAGACAATCTCGTCATTTTCATGACACAATTCGCATCTATTATTGGTTCCAGCTGCACACTTCATTTGTAAGCACACACTTAATATTACTCCTCGATCCGAGCTCGGGCAGCCACATGTAGGAAATCATAGTAGCAACCCAATCATCGAAATCCCACTAAAGGTACTTATAAATCCGAAAATATTGATCTAACTCTGGAAAATCCAGTAACAGTCCATTAAAAGAAAAAGAAAACGACAAAGTTCCGCCATTGTACTGTAAATCTACCTATGGTTCTTCTCTACCTCACCTTTCCGTGATCACCTGCACCTGGTCGTACCTTTCTTTTATCTATTTGATCACCAGGACTAATCGAGATTTTTTTTTCCTTCCCACCCTTAAATACCGTCTATATCTCTACGGATCCAGGCACTTTGTCTCCGTGGCTTTCCTGTCAGTATCCAAAATGGACCAAATCGGTGTCATCGCGGACTATTTCCACTACCCTAATGGTAAAACCAAAGAGTATGTCGAATTCCGTCAATGTGTCACCATGAAGTACGGCTTGATCATGGGTTGTATCACCATGGCGGTGCTCACGTGGATTCCCATCCAAAACTACCTCTTATCACGAGGTAAATGGTACTTCAGTCGCGTTCATGTGTTGGGACCGTTGAATCTGAGACTTGATAAGGTCATTCTGTGGTCTGAGCACTCCAATAGGCCATTGGTAGGCAGAACGTGCACGGCAATCAAGGCCGTCGCCTACAAGTTGTACTTAAATAGCAGTACAATGTTCCAGATCTTCTTATGGATGTCAATCTTCCTGGTTTTGGCGTTAACGGACATCCATCATGGAGACTTGATCTTTGTCACCAAACGTCTTGGAAGACTCGCAGTGGTAGCACTTCCAACGGTGTTTTTCCTTACTTTGAGACCAAGTCCACTCCCCAATACCCTCTACTTGGCGTTGTTGCCCATCCACAAGTGGTTGGCACGTGTGGTGGTTCTTCTGGCTGTGGTTCACACGATCATCTACTTGGGATACTTCCACAAAACGAATAGCTGGGCCAAAGCAGGCAAAACGGCCAACTTATATGGCTGGATGTCACTTTTTGGCTTTTTAATGATTTTGATCACTTCGTTGCTGAAAGCCCGTGATCGTTTCTATAAGCTTTTCTTCCTCAACCATTACTTTTGGAGTTGGGTGATCGTTCTTTGTCTTCCCTTCCATGTCCGTCCAGTAAACACCACCTACGCCAACATTTTGAACGTTCTGATTCTCTCGTACCAGGTGTACAACCGTTTGAAGCTTACAATGGTGGCATCATCGCCTCACGACTTCAAGATCATTGATGTTTCACCTAACATTGCATTTGTCGAATTCCCAAACTATTTGATCAAAAATAGAGCCATCAATCCTGGTGCTCATGTTCGCATTACGAACTACCATCCTAATTTTATTGTGAGAGCATACAAGCAGCTCATCCCCAATTATCATCCTTACACTTTGGCATCGTTGCCTCTGGACCGCTACCAGAGACTCATCATTCGGAAAAGTTCGTTCAAATGGGTCAATGGGCAACGTTACATTGTCAATGGCTCCTTTGATCCTAAGTTGCTTCTCGTCAAATCACGGAACGATCCGAAAAGTAATTTCTCCATCTCAAAGTTGGCAGTCAATGCTAGAAAGATCTTGATTGTTATCGGAGGTTCTGCAATTTCGTTTGCCCTCCCAATTTTAAGAGTTCTGAATTACCACGGCATTCCAGTCAAGGTAATTTGGGTGATTAGAGACTTTCGTGACATTGCTGTCCTTCGCTACTTCGACGGGTTCATTCAAGGTGAGGATTTCGAGATTTTTGTCACGGGCAGCCCTGCCATCGACGATGGGTTTGATCTTGCAGCCTTAAGAAATGCAACCAGCTACGGAACCTTCAGGTCAGCTAGGCTGGATTTGGAAAACAATGATTTTTCCCGATTGGTTACCAATGACCCTGAAGATTTCACCTCCAATCAGGAAATGGAAAACGTCATTGTTGACTTATCCGATGAAGAAGACGAGGACGACTTGGAGCGTGACTGTACATCCAATCTGTTCCATGATTCGCCATATACATCAGAAGAGAATAGTGATGGAGAAGTACAAGTTGGCGAAGATGTGGTCCAATATGATGATGTCAGGTCCAGACACTCCAGACGGTCCAGCCGGTCGTACTCGATCAACGAGCAGTTCATTCCACAGTTGGAGAAGGGCAACGAGTGTCACGAGTACTATAAAAAGACTGTACAACGACTCCATCTCGAGCACCACATCTACAAGGGCCGGCCCAAGTTGAACTATAGATATTACAACTGGTGTGCCAATGCCACAGACATTTTCACACAATGCTCGGGCCCAGTTCTAGATGAATCGAGCAATCTCGTTTGTTGCCGTGATCTTCCGGGCAGACACCAGATGAATGCAGCACAACAACTTCCGGATGTGGAGAAGGTGTGGGTCATTTCGGCCGGGCCGAAATCGCTTGTGAAGAATGTGAAACTCTGGGCTAGTGAGAATGGCCTCAAATACCACGAAGAGGCCTTCTACGTGTAATGCATTAATTAGAAATTGAATATATACATGAGATTTAAGTGAAGCATGGACCAGCAAGCTGTAGGAAATAGGGAGATCGAGAGAACATACAAACTCATATGTTACTTTCCTCCTAACTCTTGTGAGAAGTACTGATTTCTCTTAAGATCCTCCTCTTCGGCTAGTTCCTTGGTGATATTCAATTTGGCAACTTCAGCCGAAAACGTAATCCCCACGATTCCCCACGACACCAAATACCAGGTCTTATATGGCATCAGGAAGAATCTGGCATTGTGACCATGGTTGAATCGATAGTTAAAGTAGTAGCCAGTCACCAACGCGATGAGGGTTCCTTTGAGAAATCCAATGGCACCAGCATGTAGCATCTGATTGGTTATTTGGTCCATGCGCTCCTTATTGAGGTTGTTAATTGGCATATTGGATATGGAGATAAAATGAACCAGTAGTAGGTGCGGATTGCTCTACTGCAGATCAGATACAACAGGAAGGTTCTTGTCAGAATTACTTTTTGGACTTCGGACTTTGAAAACTTCTTAATGTTTAATTTTTAGAATAAGTCTTCCTACTCAATAATAATTTATTTTCATTCATTAGTATTATGCAATTATACGCTATTTGCGAGTCGAAGCGAAAGTAATCATTATCATTAATCTGTGAGAACAACTCCTCCAAAATTCACCTTTCGTAAGTGTGGACTCCAGCCCTTCAACACCTGGAACACCTCCTCGAGACATGAATGCTTGAGCATCTCCCGGAATGGATCCAACTCCTGATTATGCACAATAGGCATGTCGTTCATGTTCAACATAGTACCTGTACTGTGCAAGTTTTGCTCCATGATCACCTCCTCCTTTCTGAGTTGGCCCGCCATATACCGAAGGTACTTGACGTTTTCTTCGAGATTGAAGTCGATGCTGGAGGTGGAAGCGTTGTGGGTGTCGATATCACGAAGACGAATCTTGTGGTTGTAGTGGTTGCGTTTGTCTGCACGGGCCAATTCGATGAAGCTGCTCCGGTATTGGCAGCATTGGTCGCAGGTACAGCGATTGAGCATTACTTCCCAAGTTCTAAGCTCGCGTTCCTGAAGTAAGCTCAGGAGCCCATGCAGCCAGTCGTTAACAAATTTGGAGATGTGGAGAACCTCAAGATCTGGAAGATGTCTCAAACCTTCACACACTTTGGTCCAGTCCATGCTAAGAGTGGTCGAACTCAAGTCGTAGTTAAAGTAGCACTCCACAAGGTTGGCGAAAAGTGGACTCAACACGTAGTTCTCCACAATCCATTTGAACTGCACTGCTTCGCCCATAGTCTTATAATTGACCAAGGCAAACTTTTTCAACTTTGTCAACGACATAGTCTGGATGTTGTGGTGTTTCCAATCTTCGAAGAACTTCACCATGCACAGGTTCGAGCACTCTTGATGATATATACAGCTCAGCTGGATTTCTAGCTCTTCCAAATTGTTCAAGTCAAAGAACTTGTTCATGTGGGCAAAGTCAAGAGGAGCATTGTTACGCACACGATGAGAACAGGTCACTGACAATCTCTTTAACAGCAATCTGGGAGCGTTAAGAGTGTCCAACATTTCGGTAAACTTGAGGTATGCTAAAGGTGAATGTAAAAAGACTTCGTTGATGTTCTCCAAGTTGCGCATAGCTGCATCAGAAGAGCTCATATGGTTCATTTCATCCGCGTGATAGCCGTATGCGTTGCTCTCTACGTACAAGTTGAGTTGTTGTAACTCTTCGTTGTATGGAGCATTCAAGAACTCTGAGGTGTCCACGAGAAACCAGTTTCGCAAGTTCATGGTCTTGTTATCTTTCCTGGTAACGATGCAGTTCTCCTCCTCGATGTCCATGACCTGGAGGGAGTTTTGGGCCAAGTAGCTATCGAGTGAGTTAGCAGAACGAAGAGAAAGCACATCGTAGTTGACAAAGTGGATTGCATGATCGCAGTAATTCCACAACGCCAGAAGTTTTTCGTAGAGACCACGAAGGACTTGTGCCGAATTGGAGCCATGGGTGTTGACCACGATCTTGTCGATGTAGCCAAAAGTGTGGAGATTCAAGCAGGCTGCGAATTGTTGCACATTGTCTGTGCACACTAAGGTGGAGGATGTGGAGACGAGGTCAGTCACGGTATCCACGATCATGATGTTTCTGTACAAAGTCAGATTGACTCTGTGACGGAGGTAATTGTTGAGTTGGGCCAATCGTAACTGCAGCAGCCGGGACGAGAACATCACAATGTCGTCCAACACATTGTATGGAAGTTCGGTGAGGGACATGGCACTGAGTTATACAGAGAGAATGCAACAGGAAAAAAACAGAAAAATGAAAGGCTCTGAAGGAATAAATTTCAGTCAATGAGCAAGTACCTGTGGATCAAGCACTTTTAAATGAATTTTTGCAACCACAGGCGGTCTGGAATGGCAATAATAGAAGCTAAGAAATGCCAACCCTAAAGTGTGCAGGCCTGTGACCGAATGCCATAGACGGACTGACGGGATGAGTAATAAAAAGGAGAAACCTAGGAAGATTTGGAAAAAAAAAGGGTTGTAATGAGGAGAAAAAAATTGGATTCCAAGGTGGAGTATGTGTGGAGTTGAAACGAATTTTGGTGGTTATACGTTGCTTTTGGTCAGTCTCGTTTTCCTGATTTTGGTGTCCTTTTGCTCTTCCCCATCAGTCATCCTCCACGGTCATGTGCCCCACACTGCGAATGCCACACAGGGCGGATTCCGGTCACCAGGAATCTTCTCCTAATAATTGAGGCTTTGCAATTCCGAAATGTTGACAGTTTCACCACAAGCTTGAAACGAAGACTATTTTCGGTATATTTTTGGTTAAGCAATTTTAAACTGTAGGATTTCCGGTTATGGTTGTGGCTTGCATTAAGTCTTCGGTGTTTAACCTCCGCGATTCCATTAGTCCACTGTTTCATCCTCTGGTCCACTATACCGTGCCACGGGTTCACATTTCCATACACTTAACCACTGGTCCTTTAGTCCACTATTCCATCCACTTGTCCGTATAGTTCAAGGTACCTTCACTTCCGTTGCCAAACTTGACAAAGTCAATGGTATCAACGGAAGGGAAGGCGCCAGTTTTACTAAGTGAAACCACCCGTAATCTGGGGAAAAGCTTTCCTTTGAGTAGATTCTGGTCAATGAGGGTTACGAGACAATTTTCAACCAATTGGTCGTCAACACTATTGTTTCCAGCCTTTGTATGCACAAAATCAGCCACAGAACCCAATGGTACACCTTGTAGTGATGTGGCTAGTGCAATGGATACACTATCGTAGGAAAGTCTGGTGGTAGACCCTTCAATTAGCCACACTCGTTTCAACAAGTTTCTAAGGAGAACCACTGCGGACTTGTTGGAGATGAAAAGGAGCTGTTTGTGGTACTGCAACACCTCGAAGTTGGCAGTAATGAATCTCTGGAACTCATAGAAACATCCTTTACGTACAATGCTCATCAATTCCAGGTATATGGCAAGAAACAGCGGAGCCTTGCTAGCAGAGGTGTAGAATGTCTGGTATATGGAGCCGAAGTTCGGGGTTTTGCCCAAGATGATGGCCACTGGAATCAATTCCCGAAGAATTCTTGACACATTGGCGTTGTTCTTTAGGTAGTTAATTGGACAGTGGTCTAGACACCACTTGAAGTGCTGGTACGCATCAACAAACTGGTACTTAACCAAGTAGAACTTGGCCAAATAGTAGCGATACTGAATTTGCTGGTTCATGGGGAACCTCTTGAACTGCAAGCTGGCGTTGTTCATGTTTGAGAACACATTTCGACAAAGAAGTGGGTTGGAGAGCTTAAAATACGTCAGACAGAGCTTAGTTCCAATGTAGAGGATGATGGACCTTTTAACTGTCTCGGCCTGGTCCCCAGCCCCAAGTTGGGACCGGATGTTGTTGAAAATTTTCAACAAAATGGCTGCCAAATACGTCAAGCGAGGCTTTCTGTTCATTTCCTTCGCCACAAGCTGGAAATCCAATTGAGTAGCCAATGGAATCACAAACTCCATCGAACTTTCTATCAATGGCGACAACAAATATCCGTGGTTCTTGTTGGTGAACGCTATCAGCAAGTCATTTATGTATGTTGAGTATAAGTCAAAGGACTCGAGCGACGACCATGGGTTGATCTGGTTGGCGAGGTGAATAAATGACACCACAACTTGGTTGAATGCTATCCAGTCGTCATTGTAGAATTTTCGGGCGTCCACGGCGTTGGCGATTTGGGTTTTATCCAAATTTCCAAGATTGTTGAACATCACCACCGCAGGGTTGACTTGCGGATGGAGCAGCAACAAAGTGACGAGCTGTTCAGACAGCTTCTTGGAACGCAGCCTGGTGGCCTGCTGCACCTGCATGAGGTAATTGTCTAGAGCGTTCATGGGGCAGCTGAAGACTTGAAGATAGTGATTTGGTAGTGTGTAATACACGAGATGTAGGTGGGATGGAGATGTGAGTGTTGACAAGAGGTAAATTCACGCTGAAGTGAAATTTTAAAATCGAAGAAAAACTGAAGAGTTCGATTTGTTCTGTGATTTGACTTGATAATCCCTCTTCATATATATGCTAGTCCTATGTCTACTTCCCATGGGACCGTTTCATTGGGCATTCGCAGCCTATGCTTTACAGGTCAGTAATCATATACTCATTTACATATTCTATCACATTATACGAAAAAGAGAAATATAAGTTTGTGGTAAGCTAGAATACCTGCTTTTCAAAGATTTTCATCTTCTCACCGGACAAAAACCTCATGAAACCAATGTCTTTCTAGTCCACCTTCATCACCTCTCATTCCTTCATATCATCATATATATCATCTCCAATACCACTACTCTTCGTGACCCCACAAATGGCAGCCGTTGCACCCGAAATTTCCGCCAACAAAAGTGGAAAACAAAAGGTTAAAAGCAAGCAGTACCATGTGGTGTACGACAATCCTGAGTTGAAAGTGGTGGTGCGGTTGCTTCCACCTTCACTAAATCAAGATCAGTTCTTGGAACAATTGATCCAAAAGGGTATCTTTTCGAAAGAAAACTCTCCCTATACGAAATTCTATTACGAGCCAGGTTCCCGGAATGTAAAATTGTTCGAGGAGCCTGTCTTCTCGCGAGCGTACTTTCAGTTTCCATCCAAACAGCTTGCGAACAACTACATGAATGAATTGAACAATCTTACCTTTGAGGAGTCAGACACCGGCGACCACTTCATGTGCCAGACCATGAAGTCCATATTTGGAGCAGTTGGACAGTCTCTGAATTCTTCTGAGTCGGAAGATTTCTCCACTATTCCACTTTATACCAGGTACTTGCAAGTACGGGAAGAGAAGGGACCAGCCGTCAATCTCGCGGAGGTGCAGCGTGAATTACAAGCAGAGGAGAGACAAAAGAAATTGGCGAAAAAGCAAAATAATAAAGTCAAGGAAAAGAAGAAGAAAAAGAAGGAGAAGTTGAATATTGAGAAGAGCAAGGAAGGAAAACAAGAAAGAGAGACGACTGTGACAGACCCAGAACTCAAGAAAAAGAAAAAGAAGAGATCCAAGAAGAAAAAGACAGGTGGTCAAACTCCCGATCTTCATAATGAAGCTAATGGTTCCGTTACTGCTGATGTTGGTAAGGATACTGGTGCTGTTCTAGGTGCCGAGGAAAGCCATAACGCTGGTTCAGGTTCTAAATCAAAAAAGAAGAACAAATCCAAAAAGAAAGCTCCTGAGGCTAAGGATAATACTGAACAAATCAACTCTCCTGCGGAGGGACTGAAGAAAAAGAAAAAGAACAAACCACCGAAAGAAAAACATGACGACCAAAAGCAGAATGGGTCAGAAACACAGCAGCAACAGAATGGATCAGTATCAATGCCAGCGAATGGAGCAGAGACCAATGGACAGAAGAAAAAGGTTCAAAAGAAGAAGAAACCCAACAAAAAGGATAAGGATGGTGGTTCAAGGGAGAACGTATCGACAGAGAATGGTCAGAAACCAAAAAACATAGAAAATCCCACCAAGAACCGAGAAAAATCGGATGCAGCCACTCCTGCTGAAAAGTAGAGCACTTTTTCAATCGCTCAGACTGACCAAGTCGATCGTTCAAATTGGTATGAGCCATCGTTTATTCCATTTATTCCACTTCTATCCTGGAGACAGCTGGCTGCGAATTCCGTTTCTTACTATGGTTCTGAATGCTTCCGACCGTTTATAGACACTAATGAATAATTATTACACTACTTGATCAATAATTTTTTCAAATAAGTCTCGAATTATCCTCGCATAATTCTTTCATTGGTCCAGAGATTACTCTCTCCACAAGTGATCGTGCACACTAAAATCCAACTTTATCTAGTTACATCACCAAACTCTCCAATTAGTAAACCATGCTCAGATACCTACGAAGTCCTAACGGCATTCGTCGATTATCGTCTTCTAGAATGTATCTCCTGAATAAGAAAACCAACATTCCCTTCGCTCGTACGTTGGATCCTGTTGAGTCATCTGTCCATACCATGGAGAAGATCTTAACCATTTTGCACGATGCCGAGTCAGCATCACATGAGGAGCAGGTCACGGTAGCAGAAGCTACTAGAACATCTGTTGATTCGGAAAACTTTTCCCAGAAATTCTTCCGCAGCTTGGGAACTGATGTGTTTGAATATAAAGTTATCCAAGTGCTCAATTCACTCGAGATCGTGAACCAGTACGATGTATTCCAGCTGGTTTCGCCAGAAACAACTAAAAACATTTACGGCCAATATTTGTCCATATTCAAGGACCGGTACCTTCGCAAATTGGACCCTGACGTTAACGCCTTGGAGACTCTCGGTCGTCAGTTTGGAGAGTTGCCTCTGCCTACACTAGCATCGCTCACTTCAAAGTTAAAGAACCTCAGTTCGTCGCTATTAGTCGATGGTTTACACCTACCGAATAGGGAACATTTCAAGTTTGACTTTCCTGATGTTCTCTTCTATCAGCCATTCAAGCAAATCACCACTGACCCTCTTGTTCTACGAAAAGGCTTAAGTATGGGCCATTACCCACTTAATCTTCTAGCTACCATGGTGAATGATCCGAATGTTCTAGAAACCTTCTTAAAGCGCTCTCGAAGCACTGTTCCTGTGTTGAAATTACAAAACTTCATGGTAGCCCAATCCTTGGAAGGTTCGCAAGCATTCAAGATTGTTGTCAAGCGATACTTGCGTAATTCAGACCCAGAGAAAACCATCCACAGCCCATTTGAAGGATACCATGCTGCTAATAGTACGGTCGAAGATGGAAGTGATATCGAGATCGTCAAGGCAATTGTAGCTAGTAGAAGTCGTTTGATGGATAGACTACTTCCTTATAGGGATTACAAATTTGCCTTGCTGAGCATGGATGAATCAGAACAGGATACGAACGAGAAGGTGGTGAAGATCTTGGCCAATATTTTCGACCGATTCTTTGGTGTTTGCTACCGCTTGGATGCCAAGTACTGCAATGATTGGGCGGAGGATCTTATTGAATTCTATTTACAAAATGCAGAGAATGAGAAGTTGTTTGAGCAACTTTTCAAAGACAGCATTTTCAGTTTCCGCCAGGCGTATGCTGGGCTGAAGTTTGATAACTTCAAATTTAAATGGGACAAGCAGAACGCAAAGTCCAAGACAATTTCGAAACCTCGGCCAAAGAAGAAGAAGAAGACGAACGATGCGACAGCGGCACCTCCTTCCATGATCAAGGATGTCAGAGCTTTATTGGCGGATTCCACATCATTCCATGAGAAGTCTTCGGTGTAATTTCATCCAAGTCTCTCACACAGAGCTTAGTAGTTAACTTGAACTCTGTCTCGTTAAGAGCGTTAAAGTTGATAATACCATTATCTATGGTGGCTAGAATAATAGACCGACCACTAACTCCGCTTTTTAACTTGGAGTCTCGCAACTTGAGGTATTTGTTTCTCTCGATAATTCTGGAATCGAGCTTGGACTCTCGCTCTTTTTTCCTTTGCAACTGCATTTGCTTCTTGGAAAGCTGCTGTTGCTTATTGCTGGTCTTCTTTGGGGCGGGTTCTGGTATTTTCTGAGCGGTAAACGAGACGTTTAGCTGGTTCCACATGCTCTTAATGGCATCTAAGGGTGGAAATGGCACCCGTTCAATATTGAGCACACATACTTGAAAGTCTGGCATGGGAGGATTTTTCTTGCTGAATGCCTGGTTTGGTTTCCACACATTATATGTAATTTCGTACCTCTTGTCTGGAAGTGGAGGCAGCCATAAAGATTCGAATGCAGAGTATGAGTTCAGTATTTGAAGGGACTCAAAGACCAGAGTGTAATTAAAATAGTGCGAACTCTGTTGGTAAAATGACTTGCTCAAACTGCGTGAGTAAAGTCCTAGAGAGGCAAACCAACCGGTAACCTTACACCATAGAGATTGATGAGCTGTTTCCAACTTCAAGTGAAGTTCATTCCAGCTATCATATTGGTTGTAATGCTGACGGAATTCCATAATCATATACCCAGACCTCTTAAGCAATGCATATACTTGGTACTTATCGATGAGATCCGGTTCAGATCCCAAAGCTAGACTATAGAGATGAGCCATGGAGAGCTGGGTGAGTGACAGGTATTCAAATTCCACGTCGTTCGAGTCGACAAAATTCATAAAGTTCTCATCGGCCAAGTATGTAACCATAGACCCTCTCTCTGTCAAATACACGGTCTCCACGGGAGTTAGCCACATGCCTTGTAGTTTCTTCTTATTCTTGAAATTGTGAGCCACGCCAATGTCTTTGAAGAAGTTACCTTTTGCGTGAGGAACCAATGCCATTTTCTGAGAGGGAATCCAAACTGCTGCCAAAAACAGCTTCATGTGATGACAACGAACGCTCAGGAGTGCCAAATACATTTGTCTTCTGGACTCTTCAAGTTTGGCATTCTGGGTATTGGATCCATCGGGGTCAAAATACTTGTCTGAGCGTCTTGGAATCAATTCCGTCTGAGTATCAATATATACTCCACCCGGGGCTTTATTAATGATGCCCCAATCAGGAAGAACTTCATCGTCCAAGTCTTCCTGGGAGGCGGTGATCTTGTCGTTTTCATCCATTGGAAAAAGATGGTGTGTGTATTTTGGCAGTATGGGCAAAAAAATCCTGAAAATAACACTCCCATACAATTCCAAATGTTCCCAACAATCAAGTTATGATCACAATTTCAAAATTTCTTATGTTGGACCTTACAAATTGCTGCTATTCTTCATGTAAGTAGTCTAGCTCCAGATGGAGACCCGTACATCCCTGTCAAAGTGGTATACCGGTCCAGATCACTAATGGGAAATTCCTATAAAACCTGGCACTATGACGTCGGATGTGACCATGGACCAACTCGTATGTACTCAAGAAGCAAAATAAGAGCCAAAAGTTTCTAACATTCAAGGCTCAGTCAATTTTTGACGATATCATGTCCAATATCGTTCGTCAAGTATCTCTCAGCAACATTTCTCGTTATAGAACCATGGATGGATACGTTGAGGGCGATTACAAAGACGCAGTGATAAATTATACGCTAAAAAACAAAGATATATATGGTCAGGATAAAACGAAGCTTAAAACGTCTGAAACTTCCCGGTATTTTGAGTGTGGAAACTGTGGTCGACAGATAGCCGGAGGAAGGTTTGCGCTGCACATCAACAAATGCTTAGAGCGTGATCGGAGGTGAAGGGGAGAGCTATGAAAGATGACATAAGCATAGTTGGAATTGTTATTCAATTGCGGGAATGTGGAATCAAGGGAAGTGATGAGAAAGTAATGGAGAAAGAGAAAGACTGGTATTGTCATTGAACAACACGAAATAATAATCGAAAGAGAAAATGATTTTAGCAATAATGAAATTTCAATCATGAGGAAGTTCAGTCAGTTGAATTGATTTGAAGTTGGTATTTGGGCTTCATGTTTAATGATGAGTTCATTTGGTTACGTGATCAATTGACTTATCATTCTCTTTTCGAGACTTTGTTTTTCTTCTCCTTTTCACCATGACTGAAATACTTGAAAACCTGTCGATTTTTTCCTTACCATTCCAGTTTGCCCAAGTTTTGACCTCCATTTCGTCATTAGATTCCAATTGTATGTGTCGCGTGTACTTGCCGTTTAGGGCTGGTTTCTCCATCATGACTCACGTGCCGGTCACTTGCTACCGAACATTTTTTTTCGAATCTATCAGTTATCGAATATCGCTAAAAGTCTCCATTTTCCCTAGCTAAAGTCCATGGCGCCTCCTCCACCAATCATTATCGACGCCCAGGTCGTCTCTGGGATCACAGGTTCGATCTCCATCGCATGTTGGATTATCGTGTTTGTTCCGCAGATTTATGAGAATTTCAGAAGAAAGTCATCCGAAGGTTTGTCCTTAATGTTTATTATTCTATGGTTGGCTGGTGATATTTTCAACGTTCTAGGTGCTGTCTTGCAGGGAGTTTTGCCCACCATGATCATATTGGCAGTTTACTACACTTTGGCTGACATTGTTCTTTTAGTGCAGTGCCTTATCTATGGCCATGGAGAAGAGCCCGATTATGTCCATTTATCGCCTGCTAATCCGCTCAGTGAAGATGTTTTGGAGACGGTTTTGTCCAGAGAAAGACACCACGAAGACGACTCCGACTATGACAACTTGGATGATGCTGTTATCGATGACGAGTCCACCATTTCCCCACTCAAGGCAGTGATTCTCAAGACCCTGATGGTTTTGCTTGTCTTCATGGCCGGTTTGATTGGCTGGTATATCTCGTACGTGAAAGACCACGGCAAGAAGAAGGGACCGCCATCTGAACTTGTTTTCGACCCATTGGCCCAGTTCTTTGGTTGGCTCTGTGCTGTATTCTACTTGGGTTCGCGTGTTCCCCAGATTTTGCTCAACTACAAGCGTAAGTCGTGCGAGGGTATCTCGTTTATGTTCTTTCTTTTTGCCTGCTTGGGTAATTTGACCTACGTGATTTCCATTTTGGCTATCGACATTAGCTGGAACTACTTATTGGTCAACTCGTCTTGGTTGGCAGGTTCATTGGGTACATTGGGCTTGGACTTTACCATTTTCGTTCAGTTCTTCTTGTACAACGAGAATGTTGATGACGAGAGCTCTTGCAAGACCAGCGATACAGAGGGACTTTTGACCACTCCCTCGGAGAATTACAATTCCTTGTAGAGTGATCTGTTGGGTTCATGTATGTGCCTGAGGGCCTTGTATATTATTCATAGGAAAGTAGACAGAAATGCATTGATTGATGAGTAGAGCTTCAGTAAGTGGTCACATTGAGCAATTTGAGAATTCAATTTGGATACTAGATCACTTTTAACAATTCGTATGTTACGTACCTTTATATCGATGAACGACATCCCAACTATGTTCACTTGACTATTCCTTTCTTCGTTATCATGATGAACGTTTTCATTTGATTACGCATCATCACTTTCTTTATGATTCGTATTGATATTTTCAGTCCTATCCATTTTTTCTTCTCATCATTAATTATTCTCTTCCCATTATCATCTGTTCAGCCTCATTAACAAAATTTCTATTCCGGCTGCTCATCGACATCAACTTTATTATAGTTGAGCCAATTCCTATTTTTAATTCCTTTCTTTCAATCACAATCACAACTCTTCACCTTAATTATTCCCTTTCCCCTCTCCTTTCCTCTTGAGGACTTGCAAGTTGCTAGGGTGTTCCTGCCTTATGCACTACTAATTGGTCTACAGGTGCTCAGTGATATCAAGCTAGATTACTCATCGTATAATTCTCCGAATAGCGATGCTGCTACCAAGGGCTCCTGTTAGACGAAGAATCCGTGCAACGCAAGTGTGCAATCGCTGTAAACGGCGCAAAATCAAATGTGACAAGAACAAACCATGCTCTAATTGCGTGAAGATGAACTACCCATGCTCTTACGAATCAAACTGGGCCCCCGGGCCCGAGCCTCAGCTGAACGGTGATAGCGTCAGTCACGATGCTCTAGTGGCCACTCAATTGCTCGAATCGCAAAATTCTGTGTCGTCTATAGCACAGAACGAATTGGATCACAAGACAATAATTCCAAACCTCAAGAATCCATGGTCGGCCAGTGCCATCGAGGAGATGGTTTTGATGCCGCAAAGTACGTACGAGCAGCTTCTACCGCTCCTGCTCCAAACCCCCATGCATCTGGTCCTCCAAGTGACGGTTGCCCCGGTGATCCTCGGAGATTCAGGCCAGAAAGCACTCAATTCCAACATTGGCGAGATCAAAGGTACATTGCACGATCCGAAGTTTCCGGGAGTGCTTCCATCGTTAATGTCAAGCCGATCTCTCTCCTTCGGTACGCATATCATCAAACTAGTCAAAAATGACTTCGTGGGTGTGAATCCCTTCATGAATCGAGATGAACACCTCACTTTGAGTGCTCCGTTCACCAAAAGTGATCCATCTGCTGGAACAGTGTGGGAGCATTACGGTGTCTACTCGTGGAAAACATTGCAGGCAAAGGATGTATGGCTTTCTCTGATTTTGAAGTTTACTGCTGAAGAGTCTGAAAAAGCTAATTCTGAAGAGTCTGATTCTAATAAGCAAGAAGGGTTCAGACAACGGTGTCCGAGTCGCAAGGGTTCACCAGAGGTAAAATACGAAAATAGATCTTCTGGTGGATTTTCAGATTCTCCTCAAAGGTTAATCTCGCCTACCAACACTTTGGGACTTGTGCTTTACGATGGAAACGTTCAATTCGACTTGAATGCCGTGGAGCAATTGAGACTTATGTTGCCCAACAAAAGGGTGGTATGGACCTTAGTCAAGCGCTATTTCCAGTCTCTATATGCTTTCTGTCCTGCCCTAGATGAGTTGGATTTTAGAGAGGCCATAACCAATGTGATAGGCCCCGAATCTTATGAAGAGGTAGAAGTTGTCTTGAATGTTACCAGTAAACTCGATTTCATTCAGTTGGCTACGCTTTTAGTGATGTTACGCTTTAGTTTCGTCTCTCTTTTCTCCAACCGGGAAAGCGTAAACGAAGCCGTTATTCGGTCGAATGATCCTATTCATAACGAGTTAAAGTACTTGCTAACTCATCCAATTGATGTCAATGTGATCGAGATTTGCGAAAATTGTCTTCACCAGTTCCTTCATCGCTCAAAAGTAACCGTTCCCCTCTTTCTGCTTGCTTTACTTCTTGGAGGGTACAGATTCCATGCACCAGAGGTTGCTTACGGTGAAGAGGGCGACAATCTTCCAAATTTCAATAGTTTGCTATTGAATATGGGCTACAGTCTTGGGTTCAATCGAGACCCAAATAATTTCCCTGGCCAACTCGACGGAAGAAAAACTAATTTCATCAGAAAGGCTTGGTTTTTTGTCTGCATCAACGACGTTTACGAGGGCTACCGATATGGCAACCCAACGTCTACTAATCTCAACTTCTTCGACACAGAGTACCCTAGTGTAGGTAATGGTATTGAAAACGTGTACGACAAGGAATCGGACAGAGCGGTCACCAAATTAATGAACATCAGCGACATGCTCATTGATGGTGCCATGAAGCAGATGGTTGACTTGAGTTTGAATGTTCGAAAGCCAGTATACTTGTCATACTTCACCTCCCTTCTCAATATGCTCGAGACATGTTTCGCAACAGCATTTGGAAGTCTCAAAGACTACTTGCGACCTCTTGAGACGTACAATTCAGCGTATTCATATGGAAAGTTGATGAAATCTTTTATTTTGTTGTCTTTGCATGTGTTCTCGGTCACTGTGTTGATGCATTTGACTGAATACTACAAGGCCAAACAGAATAGCCAGCTTTTCTACTTTTACACTAAGAAGATGCTCTTCATCGTTGCCAATGAAATCATGGCAGTGGTTCCTGCGTTCGTGACCAAGTTTGAGATAATATTCGGCGAAGGTATCTGTTTGTTTATGAATCCCATGATGATTGATGCCATTTTCCGTGTGAATGAAATCTTCATCGCTAACATCCTCAGGTGCAACAACTACATCTATTACAGAACCAAATCTGCAGATCACGAGCTGAGAATGGCCAATGATCCTGACTACTTCGGACATTTCCAGAGAGTTTGCGATTTAGTTGTCCTCCTTCAAAGATTTTGCAAGCTTTGTGTAGTTGTCGAATCCATCATGAGTAATAGATACTACATGGCCTGGAAAGTTCTCAAGTCGCACCAACTGTTTGTGAGTGCTATGGCTAAGCCTGAATTCTACGAATATGTCGGTATAAATCCAGAAATCTCGTCGACTGAAGGTCCCCACAATTTCACGACGTCGCAGCTCCAGGAACTCATTGATATTCTCAAGAAGGCTCTCTCATTTGTGGAGAAGCAGGTTAGTGAAAATAGTGAAGAGCTTTCTTTGGAGAAAGTCTGGGGAAAGCCTACCAAGGTGGAAATCCCCATAATCATAAATGAGCACACCAAAGGCGAGGAAAATTCTACGCCTGCAACACCAACACCCCATGCCACTTCAGCGGAAACTCCACAAGGAATGCAGGTGCCCAAGAGTACGTTTGATGAAACCGCAGAGATACTGCCAGAGGTTCCACTTGATATTGGAGACTTGAACAAAATTTTGGACTGGCATCTTGTTGGTATGGATGATGTTCATGCGTTCAACAATTACGAGGTGGACACTTTGTGGCAACAAATGTCTTCTCAAAGATTGCAAAAGCACGAGCAGTTAGAACGGGCAGCCTGGCAGGGATATTTCGAAAACTAGGTTTTGAAATGTGAAATTGGGACACAAATGTTGAATCTGGGAAATTGAAGAGGGTCTTCAAGAGGAAATGATCGAGAAAAAGAAGAAAGGTTTAAGAAAAACAATTATTGAAGTCATGCTCTTGTAACTTCCAAGGAGCCCGTGAATATTCAACACTCCGTGGAAATCCCAAGAAAGACGCTTAGTTGTATATTATAAATATTATTGGAGATTCATGCATCGAACGCTGAGTCTATTCCGTCTACATTCCGTTTTCTCCGGACGAGATTTCTCTCCCACCCCACAACTAATCCACACTTTTAGTCACTTCTTATGACCATCCGTTCTGGTTCATCCACCGGTTTGACACTTAAAACAACTTCCTGGTCTCCGGTCAATTTCTTCTTTTGCCGTCCGCTTCCTCTCAAGGTTATGCGGCTGTCAGATCCTGCGCACAAGCGGAGAATTTCCACATTGGGCCGCAAACTCCGCATTCTTATCCCACTGAGTAATAAGAGACATATCGGACTTTTTTTTCTTCAAAAAATTCAAGCCGTACTGAAACAAGGTGGCAAATCTTGTATTGGAGACCTCAAAAGTTCTGCACGTTGGCTCACTTTCAGTTTATTGTGCTATCTCGAACTTCTCACTTCTCAAACATTGTTACTACTCACGTAATCTCTAGCCATTAGGCCCCAGCCTACCAAATGGAACAGAGTCAGAAGAAGAAACGTCTGAGACCCGTGGTGGTTTGTACCCACTGCCGCAAACGCAAAATCAAGTGTGACAAGCAGTTGCCGTGCTCTAATTGTGTCAAAGTGAACTTGGGTGATAGTTGTACTTATGACTCTCAGTTGGATAGGAAACCAGGGGACGAATTTCAGATGGAAATGCAGATGCCACTCACGAAAGAGTTTCGAAGCTCATCGGGGCCCGGTGAAGGGTATGTGGGGCTGTTCACACTCGACAAAGGTCCTATTGCCAAGAAGAGGAGAAATGATGTCAACCAGCACAACGGAACAGGCGTTGGTGTACCACCGCTGGATCCACTGAATTACTCGTTACATCTGGCACAACTTAGTGCACAGGGACAAGCAAACATCTCATCTGAATTTTCAGGTAATAGGAGTCTGGTTGAGCAACGGGCACAAATCGGGAGAGTTCCCTCAAATAATCAGAATGGATTCAATAGTCAAAGTGTTCAAAAGGGCAGTCCAATAGGTCAAGGTTCTATGAATGGTCATATCACCCTGAATGGCCATGCCACCCAGAATGGCCATGCCACCCAGAATGGCCATATCGCCCTGAATGGCCTTGTTGCTCAGAATGGCCCTGTTACCCTGAATGAACCAAATGTACCAAATGTACCGGTTGGCCGCAACTCAGGTTCTAGTCTGTCCAATGGCATGGTGGAGAAGAAGGAGCTCGAGTTCCTCAAGGAAAGACTTCACCAGATTGAGCAGTCTCTACTAGGCTCAGCTCCTCGAGACCACCACACTTCAGTTTCTCTGAACTCGTCCATTGACCTGATTCGTTCAAATACTCGACTGCTTCCACAGCCACTCTCTCGAACCTCCCAGAACGGTACACCTCAGAGTGCCATGCAAATTCCTCTGGTCCCTCAGCCTGTTACGATTCCCACGTCGCAAGGTCCGATCTTTCCAGACCTGGGCTCTTCAGTTTCTTCGAGTTTGTCACTGGCTCCTTCGCAAATGCCCCCACCAATGTTCTCCCAGTTTTCCTATCAGTACTCTGGCAGTATTGCAGGTGACAAAGCGGCGCTGCCTCCACTTCGTAATTCGATGCTCCCTCCATTGAATGCGCAGGTCAAGTATGAAACAGACTTGGCCCATTCATCAGTCCCTAGCTCGTCTGCTAACTCTGCTAACTCTGCTAGTTCCGCTACTTCTGCTACTTCTGCTGTACCGTCAACTTCATCCTCGGAGCTGACGAGGAGCCCTTTCAGTGTGAACAGCAATGGAAACCGTAATTCCAGTTCGAACTCAAGCACTCCGAAGAGCCAGTGTCTGACTAGCGAAGATTTCCTCATTGGTACCAACATCTACCACCACCCCACCGATACTATCAATTTCTATGAAAAATACTCCTCGGTGCATTACAAGGATCCGCTTCGGCGAATTAGTTTCGGGCCATTTGCGTGGTCGTCATTAATGCGTCGTGATAACGGGCTACGTCTCATTTGGGACCATATAATTGAGCAAAAGGGCAAAACTGCTAGCAAAGACGAGAATACAGCTTTGATGTTTGCTCAGCATTCTGCTGATATCACCCAGGAAACGACAAATACAATTCTTTCTGCCGATAAGTTCACAGATCAGCTGGAAAAGCAATTCCAGAAGCGTGCATTGCAGACAGATGGTTACGATGACTTGATCCCTTACAACAGTATCCTTATGGCCCGACGGGAGAGAAATATTCAAAAACAGAATCTTAACAGGACGACTTTACCTCTTGGTTTGACATTCTACGACGGTCAGATCGACCGAGAACTTCAGCTTATTGAGAAGATCCAAGTTGTGCTTCCAAAAAGGCGTGTGGTCTGGAAGTTGATTTATCGCTACTTCTCGGTGGTCTATACTTACATGCCGTTTTTGGATGAAGAGTACTTTAGACGAGATGTGGCACGAATCATTGGACCATCATCCTTGGAGGATGAACCGATCAAGGATTTGAAAATTGAAAAGAAATTGGACTTGGCTACGGTTGGTATTCTTCTTATTGTGTTGAGACTTTCCTATTTATCGCTTTTTTCCAATAACAGTCTGTTGAATGAGGAAATCTTGAATTCGAACGATCCCTCGCATGAGGTGCAAGGCCCCAAGTATTTGATGAATAACCCCATTAATATCAACACCATCGAGGTGGCACAATTGTGCTTAGATCAGTTTCATGTGTTCAGAAGGACCAACTTCACTGTGTTGCAGCTAGCACTTTACATTCGTCTTTATCATACTTATGCTCCTGAAGATGGAGATGGTGCCGATGGAGGAGATTCGCAGGTTTTGAATGCTGTGTTGATTCAAATGGCCTATTCCTTGGGTTTAAATCGTGAACCTGACGAGTAGTGTAAAGACTTGAAGATCAACAATCTCTCGCGAAAGATATGGCATTATCTCGTGATGTCTGATATCAATCTGGCATATTCTTTTGGAAATCCTATGGCAACTGACTCCATTTATTCAGATACAGGGTTACCGACTTATGTCCCTGGAGGAGAGAATATTATTGATAAGGACAGAGATAGGTTGATCAATGAGCGGTTTGCAAGTTGTCAGTTTTTATTCCCAGCTTTGCGAGGCTTAGTGAAGCTTTGCTTGAATATTAAGTCGCGTGTTCCACTTCCCGAATTGTGCTCTCGCTTATCTCAAATTGAGGTTGAGTGGCACTCACGTTGTGGTACTCTTAAGGATTGCTTGACATGTGCTGGAAAGGGTGAACCATTTGCTGTGGAAAGAAATATGAAGGTGAAGATATACCTTGCATTCAAAGCGTTCTTGCTTTCTATTTATTTCCACCTTTCTTTACACTACGAGGCTAAGAATTCAGACCTTGCATTTTTCTACTTGAAAAAATGCTTGCTCATTACCACATCTGACATTATGCCTCATTACTCTGCGTTGTTGGGCCAAAGTGAAGTGATCAGTGATATGTTCATCAATCCAAACCTCGAAGTTGCGGTCCATAAGTCCAATATGATCTACTTGTCTGCCATGGTGAGGGTGAACTTCATGATCTTTAATATGAGACAAAACGCAGAGCATGGCCGGCTTTGCAAGGAAGACAAGAAGTACTTAGCATATTTCCAGCTTTTATGTCAAGTGTCGTCCTGTTTGACAAGAGCAGCAGAGTATACTATCAGTGCAATCAGTAAGATCAGCAATCGGTATTACTATGCCTGGAGAATTGCAAAAGGTCAGACATTCTTGTTAAAGACGATCACTTCCAATGACTTCTACGAAGCCAACTTTCACAATGCTTATCTGTTGTACTCGCTGAAATACTCTTCAGAACAGCTCGAAGAGATTGTTAAACTTTGTGAGGCTACCTTGTCCAAGTACCGTCATTCTGAGTTCTGTACTTACGGATTTTCTAAGCAAGCGGAAAAGTTTTTCAATTGTGGTTACACTCCTGACAGTGTACGTTCTGAAGGACTGACGGCCAGCACTGGTGCCACAAGTAAGGCAGCCGATCCAGAAATCGATAAATTGTGGTTGCAAGTTCTCTCTATGAAGCACGATCTGCTGTTGGCAGGGAACTTCCAGGATGGACATGTGGACGCAAAAACACCAATGCCTCCACCTACTGTAGGACCTAATGAGGGATTATATGAACTGCCTCGCCAAAGCATTGTTGGGTTTGATCTTAATACACCAGGAGGTGCACCAAATAACGTTGATCGTGTTGGATACGACATTGAGATGTCCAATAAGTTTGATATGTTCAGTGACTTGCCATTTGACCAGATGTTTAATTTTTAGGATTCTTGAATGTGTCTTATATTGTCTTAGTATTTCCCATTCGGTATCTAGCTTAAAATCGAGTATCCGTTGCTATTTCATTCACTAGTATCTATAGCTTTTTCTCTCTAGGCAGGTAGATTAACACTATTCATCGTCATCGAAAACAACCACAGGGTCCCAGTCCGGAGAAATGAGCCTCTTGGTTCCCAATTTGGAAGATATCTCGTTTACTGCCTCTCCATCTTCGTCGGACAAGTTCACTACATTGAAATTGCTCTCAATTCTGCTAGGTGTTACCGACTTTGGAAGAACAACAGTGCCTCTCCATACAGCCCAGCTGATAAGAACATTAGCAGGGTCCACCTTATATTTCTCAGCCAACTTCACCAACGTTTCGTTTTCCAACAACGGAGAGTTAGTGGAGCCCAAAGGACTGTATGCTTCCAAGATAATATCGTTCTGTTTGCAAAACTCCAAGAGTTTTGGTTGTGGCAAGTATGGGTGCAACTCCACCTGGTTGGCAGCAGGAGGAATGGTAACTTCTGGCGAATCAAGGAGCTTCTTCAAGTTTTTAACAGTGAAATTGGATACTCCAATTGCCTTTGCAAGTCCCAACTCCACCAATTCTTGCATATCCACGTAAGTAGTTACAAAGTCTCTATCCAATAGAATGTCTCTCTTACCATTGGGTAAAGTTGGAAAGGTTGGGTGTGAGTCGTTTTTTGGGTTCAACGCCACAGGCCAGTGCATCAAATACAAATCCACGTACTCGAGGCCGAGATTCTTTAACGATTTGTTCAATGCCTTCAATGGGTCCAAGTGATCGATCGAAGCCAATTTAGTGGTGATGAAAAGCTCCGAGCGTGGAATACCACTGTCAGCGATGGCTTTTCCAACAGGAACCTCATTTCCATACACAAGTGCCGTATCGATGTGTCTGTAACCTGCTTTGAATGCACTCAAGACAGCATTGTAGACGTCTTCGTCGGTGGATTGCCATGTTCCAAGTCCGACGGCTGGGATAGAGTTCCCGGTATTCAATTTGAAGGTTCTGAGCGTGTTAGTGAGAACTCGAGGGGCCACTTCTGAATACAAAGGGTAATTCGTGCTCTTTATACATACTTTGACATTTGGATGATTTTCAGGAGAAGTTGAAGGTGTGGATTATAAATTGGAGGGTTTCTAGGAGTGTGGGGGCACCCAAATGGGGGCCGGGCATATAACCGGTTTGACGTAAGACGATAATTGCTGCAGATCATTAAGTATGACAGAGAACAATGTTGAAGTTCTAAAAGGATAATTATATTGGGAATACCTGATGGTTTAACTTAGTCCTTAATGTATATATAATGCTTCAGGCGTTTGATAACATGGGAATCTGTAGCAAAATTAATATACTACATTAATTAGATTCTGCAAACTTAGTAGACTCGGAAATTTCAGTGAAACTATCACGTTTACAACTTTAACACCATTCACTAGCTAAAAGAGGTACGGATTAAGCGGAATTTAGTATCGGTTGGGGCTGAAATGTTTGTACACATTGAGCTGCCTTCCTTCACCGTTCAACGTCTGTACAGAAATTCGATGGCATCGCGAAATTCACCTTGTCTACAACCACCAAGCTACTGATGTCGGAAGTGGAGTCCCAGGAACCCAGTGCCAAGAGGCAGAAGGTCGACATTCCCGAGGGAATGTCCAAAAATGCATGGAAGAAGCTTCAAAAGCAAAAAAAATGGGAGGATCAGAAGGATGAGTATAGAAACAAGAGGAAGGAAAAGAAAAAGGCTGCTAGAGCTCGCAAAGCCGAGCGTAAGGCCAATGGCACAGAATTGGATGACAACTATCATCTGCAAGCAAAGAAGGCACTTCCTCAGACACAGAAACCAAGCGGAGTCAAAATCATAATGGACTGTGAATTCGACGAGTTGATGAGCGATAAGGAAATCGTTTCAATGAGTAACCAGATCACGAGATGTTATTCGGCCAAAAGGCATGCCGACTACGAGGTGGACTTGGTTGTGTCGTCTTTCAACAAGCGGTTGAAGGGCCGTTTTGAGAAAAGTGTACTGGACTACACCAAATGGCAGAACATGACATTCAAGGAGAACAATACGTTGGCTGAGTTGTTACCCTCCAACAAGGACGAGTTGGCCAAGTATGTTTATTTGACCGCAGACACTGAAAATGAACTTGAAGAGTTGGAGGAGGGTCACACCTACATCATTGGAGGCATTGTAGATAAAAACAGACACAAGAAGTTGTGTTTAAACAAGGCCAACGAGCTTGGATTGAAGGTGGCCCGGTTGCCTATTGGTAAGTACATTGAGATGAACGGCCGTCATGTGTTGGCTACGTCTCACGTGTATGAGATCATGGCGTTGTGGTTTGAGATGGACCACAGCTGGGAGAAAGCATTCAATGCTGTACTTCCGCCACGAAAATTGAAGGCAAAGTCGGAAGAGGCAGAAGAGGGTGAGCAGGACAAGAAGGTGAAGGAGTTGGAGTTGAAAGAGGAAATAGATGGAGAAGAAAAGGGAGGAGATGAAGAGAACTATATCGAGGGAAAGGAAGATGAAGAAAATGGAGAAGTTGACGAGTAATGTATAAAGATAGAATAGAGCTGGATCTGAATTGTAGAATTACACACGGCTGAGAGGCCAAAGCGAAAAAGAGAGAAAAGAGGGGGAGAGAGATAAAATATGGATAGTAGAAATGCATAGGAATACACCGAAGTACCCGGAAAGGCAGGGACAACACCTATAATTGAATCTTTTGCCAACACAAGACATTTTGAAGATCCTGAAAGTTTTTACAAGAGTTTTCATCCTCTTGACAATTACACGATCTGACCTTTCGATTATATATGAAATGTCCATCACTTCCCATCCTCAACCACGTTGGAACAAGATCAAACAAATAATGATCTCAATTTTCACTTCATCTGAGCACTATCCCAACTTATCAGGATATAAGATCAAGCAGAAATGTCGAAGTCCAACGTAAATTTATTGCATTAGCCTTTCCATGCCTAAAACAAAAAAATAACCCCAAAAAAGAAAATATTCCTCACTTAATTCTCACTCAATTCTCACTTGACACCTTTCGGTGATTAGCCGTCTAACTCTCAAAACATCATCTCCTTTAATATCCCAATACTCTAAATTCGTCTGATTGTTTACATTAAAATCAATCTTCCAAGCCCTCGTTCCCCACTATTTATCTCATCATACAAATTTCACATCCTAAACACTCTATTGTCTACTCTTCCACGTGACCCGTATCGGTCACTTGACATTCTAATTCTCTGCATGCAACCATGGACTAGGCCCGATCGCGACTAAGGAGGGAATGTGGCTTCTTGAATATTGAAATCGGGAGACAAAGATATTACAAATTGTAGGAAAAAAAATTGATTAGTCATGATTTTACGATTGTTTTGTGATAAATTCCTTTCAAAGACCTCTACCTCCTAACAAGTTTATAAAAATTTTGCAATTTTTACCCTCACCTTTCCTTCGCTTTCCTCTCTAAAACCCTTCCCCCCCTGGATCATATCCTGGCAAAAACCACGCTCACGCACACCCGTACCTCCCTGCACCCACAGCCCTAGGCAACAAAAATCTACGAAAAAAACATAGACGGTGATAACAGGTTTATTCTTCTACGAGTGCTGTCTTTTCGTTACTGCCAATAAATCCTACCTAGAAATTCGCACAGCATGTACGTATCGATTTCTGCCTTTATGGGCCCTGTAATTTCGACGGATTGGAGGGGTTTTCTCTTCCAGATAGGGGACTTATGATGGATATGACACTTTCGTGTTTTGACGGTACTACCGCTCGAATCGGCGAGCCAAACTTAGCGGCCATGATCACCTACTCCTCTAAGGTGACGTCAATGTGTTTTGGCCGTTTTCCCTTATTAGATGGGACAGGATCGTTGAGGTTGTAGTTCTGGAGATGAATCCTTGAGACTTGCCGCCGTTGTCGAGCAGGGATGGCAATACCGTCCCAGATGGCCCATCTGTTATTTGACCGTCTTTCCAAGCACCTTGACACTCTGATGGTGTCCGGTGGCGAGATGTTGCCGCCATCTCCAATTTCAATAGAGGTTTCAAGAATCTCGACTCCAGCCCTCCAGTATCCAAATCAGGCCCACCTATCTCCCTATCAATTATCTTCTCATACTAACAGCTAGAATGGTTCCTCCTCCAGCAGAAATCCGCAGAAAGTTGGTCATCGTTGGTGACGGTGCCTGTGGTAAAACTTGTCTTTTGATTGTCTTCTCCAAGGGTACTTTCCCAGAGGTTTACGTCCCAACTGTGTTCGAGAACTACGTTGCTGATGTTGAGGTTGACGGAAGAAAGGTTGAGTTGGCTCTCTGGGATACTGCCGGTCAGGAAGATTACGATAGATTGAGACCATTGTCGTACCCAGACTCCAACGTCATCTTGATCTGTTTCTCCATCGACTCGCCAGACTCCTTGGACAACGTTTTGGAGAAGTGGATCTCTGAGGTTTTGCATTTCTGCCAGGGTGTCCCAATCATCTTGGTTGGATGTAAGGTTGATTTGAGAAACGACCCAGTTACTATCAAGCAATTGCAACAAGACAACCAACAGCCAGTTTCCTCTTCCGAGGGTCAGGCTGTTGCCCAGAAGATTGGCACTCAGTACTACTTGGAGTGTTCTGCCAGAACTGGCGAGGGTGTTAGAGAGGTTTTTGAGACTGCCACTAGAGCATCCTTGGTTACCAAGGAAAAGAAGGAGAAGAAGAAGAAGTGTGTTGTTTTGTAATCAAAGATACAACCTCTTTTAACCGCTTGTCCTCCTTTTTTTATTTCTTTGTTTCCATTCGCATTTAATTGTTAATATTAGTGCCGTTCCGCTCTTGATCCACAGAGGTATGACGATGTTGCTGTGTATATGAGTGTATGTCCGCTTTTCGGTGATTTGGATGTAGAAGATTGTAGGCTGATGCTTTGCGCTTAGCGAAAATATACTTTGGGCAGAATTTAGGACGTTTGAATGCATAAGGGCACCCGTCGATGAAGAACACTTCAAAAATAATCCAAGGAAACCCTAACTGATACTGAAATTTCTTTTCAACCATACTTCCTTGTTTGAAATTCTACTCAATCTCACTGTACAAGTAATCTAACTGACCTGTTCTCTATTACGCTCATATAAATTTACACTCAACAACTTAATTGTAGATATAAATAGGTATTACTTTTCAATGGTCAAAGTCAGTTCTGAAGATTAGCAAAATAGCTTTCAGTATAGATATTCTCGAGAAACTCCTCGTCATCTACAATGTACTTGGATCTATCAACGCCATCAACAGCTTGCATCATGCTATAGGTGGTGTTAGCCAACTCCTCAGCGACGTTTTTCTTGAATTCCTTAGCAAATGACTGCTGGCACTTGTAGTTGCCAAATTGGAACTCTGAAGCATCTCCGTAATCCTGTTGGGCCCACTTAGGCTCTTCGTTTTGATCGTCTTTCATACGTTGGTTCTGGAAAGCATTCAAGTCATCCCACATGTCAGTAGCTGCAGAGGAAATTTCTACTACAACGTTTGATTCCTTCCAGCCCTCAGAAAAGATTTCAGCTTCTGGCAACGAGAAGTAGGCAATCAATGGGAGCTCTGGGTCAATCGCTGTTGAGCCAGAAACCATAGCAGCAGTGTAAGATGGGTTAATCGAGTCAACAGAGGCGGAGTCAGAGGCATTAATCAATGATGGAGTAGGACACTTGCGGATTTTCTTTAAAGGAAGTGACTCTTGGAAAGAACCAGCGAAATGAGACGACGATGAGGAGTTGTTGAGGTCCAAGTTGGCAGTGTAGTAGCGAGGCTCACAGCAAGATAAACAAGCTGAATCAGGCAAAGAAAGAGAATCACAGGACTCAACACAAGTTTCATCAGACTCATTATATTTGTCAGACTTGTGATAATTGTCAGGCTCATTAGCCTCAGCGATAGACTCAAGTTTGCTGATGGAAATGTCTTTAACTCGAATTCTGACAGATAAGACTTCATTGGCAAAAGAAGAATAGTCAGCTGGCAAAATGAATGAGCTACTATACTCGTCATAGCGTGGGGCAGAGGCATAAGTTGGTTGGGTGCAAAAGCGAACTTGGTTCCAGGTACCTGCGTCTGTTTCGCAGCCGGTTGCAATACTACTGGACAACGAACATGGCGAGTAGTCACCTTGAGCAGTTGAATAATTAGCGGTCTCTAAGAGCCTACTAGTAGAAGACGGGTTCAAGGAATTCAAGCGGCACTTTTTGGGAGGAAACCAACTTTGAAAAGCAGTACGAATTCTGTCTCTCACTCTACGATGAGGAGAGGATGTATCACCCGTGCCACAAAAGGCGGGCTGTTCATACCTACAGCCAGAGTCCTTCCGGTGGAAAAAAGATTTTAAGAGAGCTTTGGCTTGGCGTCTTCTGCCCTTGGAAGCTGGCAGAGGTCCCATTCCCATCGAGGAAGCCGATAAGAGAGGGGCGTAGGCTGTACCGACAGAGTGAGAGAACATTGGGTATTGAGGCGGCGTAATGAATCTAAAAGTAAAATTCAGAGGATCGAAGTAGGTTCGACTAGGTCTTGAAGCAATTCTGGAAAAATTTGGGGGTTCTTGGGGGAAGATTGAGAGCTATTACGAGGTGTACCTAGGTAAGAGCTGGGGGAAGTGAAAAATAATCTGAAAAAGTGAGAAAAATTATGGGACAGGGGTTTCTTTTATATTCGATGGAGGGAAAGAATGTTATGCAAGTTTGTGGTCGGCCTCGTGACCGATTTCTGCAAGTAGTTGACAGTAAGATGATGAAGGTGCAGATACGAAGGTATTTTGCAGCCAAATCTGCTTAAAAGGGAAAAGAATGACTTCGGGGTTGCATAATTTGATTGACTTTTCTTTGCATATAGACCAATTTCTGTTTCAAAATGCATATGAGCTTCGTTCTTCATGATCCAGCATAACATACTTTGACTTTGTTCTGATCTTTGCAGAAGACTTACGGCTATAGGAAAATGAATTTGAGTTGAAGAAGGGATGAAAGATCTGATTTGAATAGTCATTAATGTTTTGAATCAAAGAAAAACAATTCGTAAATTAATTTATAAAGAGGTGGTGGATTTAGTTATGTCTCATGCGACCTTCGCGTATGGGCTGCGCAAGTCTGTCAGGTTAAATACATGGGAGTACCAGTATAGAAAGTGGGATTGAGGAAAAAATGATATTTGTGTCAATTGGATTTGATTTGTAAGAATTTTCATCTTACAGAAGGTAATTATGCGGTACTTCTTGTTACTTCAGAAGCATGGCTCAACAAGAAGGTATTGTTGAAGATGAGAAGTAAGAATTTGATCCACAGTGATTGAATTTGTATGAAACTTTTGTGCTTTTTTGCCTAGCTATTCTATTACGTTGCTTAAATTTACTGATACTTGAATTGAAACTCCAAGATTGGTATAGTGGATGGTTGCCAAGTAATATATACTCTGGTCTGGATATGATTGATTTTCTCAGGCACTGTCACAAAATTGAATGCTATGCTGATGCATAAGTAATTGCTGCCGCAAAGCTCAAGTTTAGAATATCTAGTACTACACCATTGCTTGAAAACTCTGCTGGGCAAAACCTCTTTTGATTTCTAAGTTAACACAATGAATTTGGTGGTGTCTCCAAGACCTCTGTCTCTCATTCTTTCTTTTCCTCTTCTCTAAAATTGAGATGTGCTTCAAAAGCATCAAGCCTAAAAAGAGATAACCAAAAAGAGATCGGATCTTTATCATAGTTCTCATATACCATGTGATTTCAAAATTACATGTTCCTTGTTACGTGGAAAAGAAGTCAGATGATATTTGTGAATAAACATAAAAAAATGCTAATCTGAAGAAAATATGTCAAACAAAGAATCCAATATAAACAATCACAAAAAAACACAACAAGTAAATAGATAGACTACAACTCCCTAAACTTACACAAAAAAATAATACATTAAATACCCATAGTTCTCACAATCCCTCATTATTGCAGAACCTCTTTAGAGAACAATCATGCATACACTATCCTCGCCGAAAAGTTTAAACAATTAGGTAAACATCTACAACCATACGAAAACAGGCAACATTAGAGATCTCAGGATGCAAGAAAGAAATTTTCCGAACGGCAAAGTTCAATATCACAATAAAAATTTAACTAATCCGCAAATCTTCCTGTTTTTGGTCGGATCTTGTTTTTCCAGACTAATGCAGTCCTCCACATTATACCTATAGCCTCACCGATTGGGAAGTCATCCTAAAATGATGCAGGCAGATGTAAACAAACAGTGGGACTATGGAGATGACCAGAAAGAGATAGTGTGGTCCTTCAAGTAGCGTCCACATGCTTATCTGGAAAGCTTGAAGACTTCACCTTGATATCTGCTGCCACTTATTTGGTCCATTCTCCAGTCAAACAGATACTTTTCATATACTCATAACAGCCTGAGACAAGACCATTATTTTTCACACTTTTCACCATGTCCAAGCTAGATACGCTTCTCGCAATGGTGGACAGCCTTAGCACCAAATCTGACCGCATCGTGTCGTCTATATGTGAGTCCAACGACCTTATTGGTCTGATCCTCGAAGTAAATGGGTCTATTGCTGCAGCAGACTCGGAAATCGATACCATGACAGAACTAATCAACAAGAATAATATCTGCCTTAACGAATTCGAAAAACTCCACGAGAAATCCTTTTTCTTGGACTCCAATCTCCATCTCAATCAGCTCTATACCAACGAAACAAGCTTGAGTAACTTGAATAAAGAATACTCATATCTTTTAACTTCGTTTGGGCATCAAAATGTCCGCCATTTGAGTGATCAACCTCTTACGGAGGCCCCTCTTGTGGTTGAGGATAAGAAATTGAAGAACGCCCTTTCGATCTCCAATTTGGAATTAAAACCTATTCGGTGCCGAAATGCAAAGGTCACCAAACAGAAGTCTCGCTACAGGCTCTCAGCAGCGTATACGCTCAATCCTTTGCAAGAAAACCCGAACCGAGACTTCCTGAGAAGTTCCCATGAGACAAACTTTTCGAGTATTATGGAGAACAAAACAATTGACTCCTCCGATACGTCAATTGGCGAAGATACTTCTAAAATACATCATGAAACGTTCATCGACCATGAGGATTTCAACAATCTTGAAGACACATTCGAAAACCAAACTTCGCCCAAGATTCAAGAAAGACTGTTTACATTTGGAGCCATGAGTCCGGTCAATATGAATTATGTGAACCTAGACGACTTGGAAGAATATGACTTCAATCTTTCGGACGTTTCACCGTCGTCATCCGAAGAACTTGAAAATTTCCATAAGTATCTTCGTCAATCTCGTGTGGACCTACGCACGGCATTTCCAGCACCCCTTCAGAAATCTCGATCTCATGATTCGGTCTTCTCTGGAGTGAAAATACCTACCCAGCAACCTCCACCACCGAAGTTCCACAACCCTGCAATAATGTTGAAGTCTCACGCAAAGGAGACCATCAATCAGCCTACAGTGGAGACTATATACTCCAGTTCGAGCAAATCCAACATGGACATGGATATTCTTCCGGCTATGTCACATTTTAAAGAACACTCCCAACGTTTGCTACAAGAGGTGCAACCACTGACACAGCCGGTGGACATTCCAGAATCTCCAACGAAGCTCAAGCCACTCACACCGAGAAGGAAGTCGACATTCACCATTTTCAATCTTTTGAATTCGCCAATGGGCTCTCCTAGTGGCTTCAACAAACACTCCACAGAACCTGCTGAACGTGCTCCTCCTCGACGTGGAAGTATTGACCTTATGAGCAAGTCGTTTGCGTCTGGACTCATGAGTCTTGTTGCAAAGTCCGTGGACACGACCGAAAGGGGCAAGATGGCAGAGAAGACCACCAAATCGGTACATTTTTCTCCTCCTGAGAAGATTAAGAAACTCAAAAAGGGAATCAGAGACCCTATTGAAATTCGCAACGATATTCAGAGCAAACGCCTTCCTCCGCCTGATAGAAATCTTCAAAATGGGAGCCATTCCTCATTGACGATCGGACCCGGAAACACGAAGGTCCTAAATCATGGAGAATTTTCCATTTTCAAGAGACCTACTGTCCGGACCATGAACCAATCGAAGCTTCGAGAAGCTCTCAATGAATCGTTGTTCAACTAACTGGTCGATGACTCAGTTGGTACCAACGGATATCATTCTATACATATTTACGACGTCATACGATATACACTGTGCATCAATAATACATAACCTTTCATTTTAATACTTTTCATTTTATTAATTATGCAATTACATTCACCTTAACTGAACGTACCACCTGCTTTATAGAGAGAGCTGGAACTTTCACGGTGGGCTCTACCAATGCTTTCTTCGATCTCCTTAGCTTTCGAACTTTCGTACTTCGAACTTGGAATGCCCTTCTGTTTGTTTGACTTTGACATGTAGGTAATCGATGCCTTTGAGCCAGAGGCAACCTTATACTGTTTGTTGACGGTGACTCCGCTGAAGGATTTCGTAGAAACTTGGACTCCCTGCTTCTCTTGGAAGGACCTGAATGAAGCCACCATCGATGGCCTTTTGAAGACGTGAGAAAAACCATCATCGTCATCGTCGTCGTCCTCATCGTTGTCGGTCTGGATTTCATCGTGTGTCCTCTTGTTGGAAAGTGTGTCCAGGTCAACAACCTCTGGAGTCGGATTTCTGGTGTACAAATTGCTCAAGCTCCGACTCTTGAGAGTAGCCAAGTCATCTATATCATCATCAGATGCAATTCCGTGCTGAGCATTGGACATACGCTGAATTTCAAGGTAGTCATCGTCATCTGTTTTCGAGAGGAACGATAATTGTCTCTGGACAAATGCTTCATGGATACGAATGACCTTTTTGATAGGTGCAGCTTCGACTTCATCTGCATCTGTTCCCTGACTGTTGTTTTCGCTCGGCTTAGGCTCGCTCTCGCTAGCAGAGTCTTCTTCGCCCAGCTCATCGTCTAAAGTGATGATATTTGACTCCTCTTCCATGGACTCAAAGAAGGCTCTAGATTTTACATTCAGAGCCAACTTCATAAGTTTCAGATTGGCCAAAAGTCTTTGCTTCTGCTCTTGCAACTTTTGACGGCGGTATGCCATCAAGAGCTCATCTTCCTCGTCGCTAAGCTCGATATCAAACCTATTGGCACGAGCACGCTTAGTAAGCTTGTGGTTTTTGATATCATCAATTAACTTCTCCAATTCTTTTCTATCCTTGATTTGATATTGCTCCATGAACTTCTTTCTCACTTCTTCATCGTTGAGGTCAATATTAAAGTCGTTATCAATCATTCTTTCGTCTTCGGAGTTTGCTTGGTCACTCTCCTCGTTTTCTGCTCCACCAATTCCCTTCCACTCGTCTTCAGACTCCTCTGCTTCTCCTTCAACAACATTCTTAATTCCCCTGCGTTCCATTTCTTTTCTCAACCGACGTGCCTTAAGCTCCTTTCTTCTGATTTTAGCTTCGAAAAGAGCAAGCTTCTCCTTGAGTAGTTCTTGTTCTTTCTCATTGTCTGCTTCATCGTCTTCGTCTTCTTCCTGGACTGAATGAAGGACGTTCTTGCTGATGTGTCGACGCCCTCTATTGACTGCTGCAGGCAAGTCTTGTTCTTCATCATCAGAATAAACATCTTCCTGGGTTTTATCAGCAAGCGTTTTGCTGGTATGTGTAGCTGAGGGAATGATCTGGGTAGCAGGAGAGACTGCTAGAGTGGCAGAAGGAATGATCTGCGTGGCAGGGTAACTTTGAGCATCTGCTTGAGTTGGCAAATTATCAGCATTTGTTTCCTGCGTTTCAGTGATATCCTGGAAAGAAGGCAACTCAGGTACATGGAAGGATTCGTCGATGGTAGATTCTGTAAAAGAAACATCTTGTGCTTTTCTGGGGGCTAGATTCAGAAACAACTCATATTGATTAGACTCTCTGTGTTCCACTTCGAGGTCCATGGTGCTTGCAGAAGTGTCGTCATGACCTCCAGCCCTGACTTCCATTTCGTCATCTGGAACCTCGACCTCATCACTTGTTCCTCCAAACATGTAACTGTCATCATGGCGTTTTGTTGCTGGTTCCGTGATACTTGAATTGGTGGCTGTTGGTGCGTCTTCCTCATCATCAGAAAGAACAACTCGTTTTGGTCTAGACACTGTTTCAGTCTCCTCGTCATCCAGCTCATTCTCGTCGCTAAACTCAGATTCTCCCGAATTGGAATCAACTTCACTGTCAGGAACATCTTCGTTGCCTTCGTTACTGTTGTAGTCGGCATCATCTTCATCATTATCGCCGCCATTGATCAATCGCAACTTCGCTTTCTCCTGAAGTTTTTCCTTCTTCCGGATTCTTCTCACTCTCTCCATCTCACGTTCCAACAAGTTCCCCATTTCCTCTTCTTCTTTCTCGATTTCTTCCAAGAGCTCAGCGTCAGGGTTACTTTCCTTCAACTCATTCAACTGTTTAACGTTTGCTGCTCTGAGCTCATTGAAAAGCTTCAAGCTCTTTTCGCGTCCTCTTGGTTGATGAAACTTTGAGTATGCAATGTTGCTTTTGATTCTCTCGAACTTTTTCCTCGAGTACCGTTGCTTAAGAACAAACTGTTGTTCCTTTGTTAATTGTGGAATATCACTTGGAGTCGCTTCAGCAGCAGTTTCATCTCCAGAATCATCAAGAGTTATGACGCCTTCGTCTGATCGCGTCGGAGACGAAAGCATTCTCTTTTTGAGCCTCTGGGCGTATTCATCAATGGGATTCTTTCTATTCTTAGCAATGGGCAGCTGAGGCTTGGCGATCAAATCGAGAACATTGGTTGTATCGAAATCTGAATCGGAGTCCAATTCTATGTCGCCTTTTGTAGCACCGACCTTGATTGGAGAGGTTGTAGGGCTCAGCTTCAATACCTGCTCGCTGCTGGGAGCATTTTCCCCCTCACTATCCGAGTCAAACGCAGCCAATAATTGTTTAACGGGATTTGTCTCGCTCTTCTGGAAAATCGGCTGAATAGTGCGATTTCTCTTCTCTTCATTGAGTTTACGATCGATCTCTTCGAGCTCTTTCTTAGTAGTTGCATTTTTCTGCACGGAAGAGTCTCGCGTGGTATCTGCTGCATCGTCCAAGTCGTTTTCTTCGTCTGTCAATGTAGTATGTGAAATATCTGCCTGGAGCTGCTGCTCTTCGCGAATACGCTCCCGGCGTTTGAGCTCCACGAGCCGTGCAAGTTTCTCTTCTCTTGTGAGCTCCACAGGAACGTCTTCGGGCCCTGGAATGAAAGGTGGAGCGGTTACTTGAGTCTGAGGAGTGGCGAAATCTTCTTCGTTCAAAGCTAGTTGTGGAAGTCTGATGACTCTCTGAGTGGACGTTTCTGGAATTTGAGTAGACAATACCGTCAATTGTGTACCATTTTGGGTATTCAATTCGGTATTTGGAGCATTTTCTTCTTGATTTTCGACCAATTGTGTCTCTGCCTCATGTTTCTCTCCTATTACCTGGGTGCTTCCAAATAGAAGCGAATCTTGGAAGTTGGGAATCACTTGTGTGTCCAGGCCGTACAATCTTTTCTTGACACGGTCAAGTATAGACAAATCTAAATCAGCCATTGATGAGGAACAATTGGAGTAGCTGGTAGTTGGAGAAGTTGGTACGCGTTATTTACTATACGCGGTTGGAGCATCGCGACTTGCATAGTTGGCAGGAGACATTTCGACAGGAGACATTTAGTCAGAGGGAAGATTAGATCGCGACATGCAGGTGCGACATGTGAGACATATTTCCGGGCCGGCACCAACGTCTCATCTGCGACATTGACTGTGTATTCCTTTCTTCAGCGACATTGACTGTGTATGCCTATCTTCACTAAATCGCGACATTGACTGCGTATCTCATCATCATTTTAAATCGCGACATTGACTTCTTGCAACTTGGTGCCACCGTCGTATATAAATGTTGGCTATCCCCTCATATGTCACTCTCCAACGCTCGACTACTTGCTTTTTCTCCACCCTAAGTCCCGCCTCTCTACGAAATTCTACCCAATTGTTTTTTTTATTCTCGCCTTCTCCAGCTCTTGAAACCCTATCTGTCACTCGTTTACTCGCATAATCTCGTTTAGCTACACCTGCACGATTTTCACATGAAAAGGCCCCGTGGGTTATCCGTTCTGAGAAGCATCAAAGGAAAAAGGATACAAGTACTGCAAAACAAAAAACAGAACATTCGCTTTTTAACGCCATTGACTGCAAACACGTACCGCAGTCACAAGCCTAACCAAGAAAAAATACATCACAGGGTTCTCTTTATTTAAACCGTTGTGTTCGACTCATTCAAGTCACGTGCCCTTGCGAGCCTGATGCACAACCTCCATCAAAATTTTTTTTCGCGGTGTATAAAAGATCCACAGTTTCCGCCAAAAGTTTTCCATCCAGTTACCACCAACACAAGTCCTCTTCCAAATGCCAGAAACTTTCTTTTTCACATCTGAATCCGTCGGCGAGGGCCACCCAGACAAGATCTGTGACCAGGTCTCCGACGCCATTTTGGACGCTTGTTTGGCAGTTGACCCATTGTCTAAGGTTGCCTGTGAAACCGCAGCCAAGACTGGTATGATCATGGTTTTCGGTGAGATCACCACCAAGGCCCAGTTGGACTTCCAGAAGATTGTCAGAGACACCATCAAGCACATTGGTTACGACCACTCTGAGAAGGGTTTCGACTACCAGACCTGTAACGTTTTGGTCGCCATTGAGCAGCAGTCTCCAGATATTGCCCAGGGTTTGCACTACGAGAAGGCTTTGGAGGAGTTGGGTGCCGGTGATCAGGGTATCATGTTCGGTTACGCTACCGACGAGACCGAGGAGAAGTTGCCTTTGACCATCTTGTTGTCGCACAAGTTGAACAAGGCTTTGTCTGACGCCAGAAGATCCGGTGAGTTGGGCTGGTTGAGACCAGACACCAAGACCCAGGTCACTGTCGAATACGAGAAGGAGGCTGACGGAGCCGTCAAGCCTTTGAGAGTTGACACTGTTGTCATCTCCACCCAGCACGCTGACGAGATCTCCACCGAGGACTTGAGAAAGGAGATCTTGGAGAAGATCGTCAAGAGAACCATTCCAGCCAACTTGTTGGACGACAAAACTGTCTACCACATCCAGCCATCTGGAAGATTCGTCATTGGTGGTCCACAGGGTGACGCCGGTTTGACCGGTAGAAAGATTATTGTTGACACCTACGGTGGATGGGGTGCTCACGGAGGAGGTGCTTTCTCTGGTAAGGATTTCTCCAAGGTCGACAGATCTGCTGCTTACGCTGCCAGATGGGTTGCCAAGTCTATTGTCCACGCTGGTTTGGCCAGAAGAGCTTTGGTGCAGTTCTCCTACGCCATTGGTGTTGCTGAGCCATTGTCCATCCACGTTGACACCTACGGTACCTCCAAGTACACCTCCGAGCAGTTGGTTGAGATTGTCAACAACAACTTCGACTTGAGACCAGGTGTGATTGTCAAGGAGTTGGACTTGGCTAGACCAATCTACTTCAAGACTGCCTCTTACGGCCACTTCACCAACCAGGAGAACACTTGGGAACAGCCAAAGGAATTGAAGTTCTAAGTGGCGAGAGCAAACTTAACAAATTAATGTGATGACTCACGACCATGTCAACGCTCAACTCGTTTGACAAACATTTACTTCCACGCTCTTTATTTTTTCTTATCATTTGCTTTATGGGATAGAGTTTTGCATTAATTGGGGTCCTCAACGGACGATTAAGTTAATAGAAGGTATACAAATTAGCTACTCATTGTAAAAACACGTTGGTTTAACACTTAAGCTATCGATTGATTAATTCATATTCTATCTCTATACTGCTTCTCTTCGTTAATTCTTTTCATTCGTTCCTTCTGCTCTGTTCTTCGACTTCTCTCGTATTTTTCCTTGATAATCTGTTCATCATTCACTTTATCTTCCCTCACTTACACCTCAATTTCAGCATGGTACTTCTTGTACAGAAGCCACCCAACAGCTATACCAATTGACAGACCAAGACAAACATCGAAAAAATGATGTCTATAGTCCTGAGTTCGAGAAAATGCAACGTAGCATCCCAAAAGAAGTGGCCCAACACGCAAAAACTGCCAAATCCACCTATTGACCCGCAGAATTGCACCATGTTCTCCAAGCCACAAGTATAAGTAGAACATCAGTGCAAAGATCATGGAAGAATGACCCGAGGGTGTCAGCTTCATGCCATCCGCCAATCGATTGAGCCCAAGAGGAGCATTGCACACCGCCACATCCACATAAACGTCGCTGGCTGTGCCTGGTTTGGCTCCACACCGCTCCAAGAAGTCTGGCCTAGGATTTCCAATCCAATCCTTTAAAATGTCTGTGAAAACGGCTGCTACAGTCAATGAAATCCACAACCCAACCATTGTGGCATGTACGGACTTCAGCAGAAGCGCTAATTTCCTTTTTGCTGTGTAAACGCCCGCCACAATCCCCATAGGGATCACAGTACAGAGGAAGTAGAGCTGGAGATCAGTGACACGTTCCTCATGAGCAAACAGGTGTTGGAGACGCGAGTCCGAGAGTTTGAACTGGCGGTAGAAAGGCTGAGTCCGTTCGAAGTACCCGAAAAAGGCTACCACAAGCACAGCCACGGTGAGCCAGTCTTTAGAGAAAGAAGACATGGTGGTTGGTGGTGGGTGCAGGAGATTTGAAGTTGGTGATGATTGAACACCTGGAGAGATTTGGAGTAAGATGATGTGGGGAGGAAGAGGTATTGGCTAAAAATTGGCAAAGGAAAGGATTCTGGAAGTCGGTAGATGGTCTGAAATTGGTCGTGGAATGGATGAATATGGCAATATTTGTCACCACGTGGATCTTTTCTCCAGATATGGTAAGACGTCACTATACTGTAGGAGCGCGATGAGATAAGGTGGTTAAGAAACTGAGATTTTGTTGAGGATGATATGGCAGATTTGGGAAGCTTAAAGGTCTATTTTGATGATTAAAAAGTTTGATGATTAAAGAGTTGCATGAAATTTAGAGGATTTCGTTTGGAAGTAATAGCGTTAATTTTTGATTTCGTATGGCTGGGTTCCTAGTCATTAATGATTAATTGAGTCATGGTGAGCCGCACGCCTATACCAGTGAAGCTTTAGAGGATCTAATTGGGATTTGTTTGATTAACATGAGGGAGGAAAGAAATAACTGAGAAGCGCTTGACAGTTAAATAGATGGATATGCTTTTGAGTGGAGGAATCTGTATAGTATCGAATTGCTACCGAGAATTGGTTTTGGAGTGGGTGTGTAAGTACAAGACTCAATACAAACATAACTTATCTCGGAAATGATTTGTCTCTCGCCGGATGACACGAAAAGAGCGGTGAGTAGCATCGCTGGCATGATATTGCTGGTGGGAGGTAATCGATGTGTGATTTAGTTTATAATCTTTATAGTTGTTTATGACGATTTCCATGATATGGGATTCTATAATGTTTAGCATCTCTAGACCCTTTCTCATGATGCTGTTATCATGACTTTGGATGTGGAGGCCCTTTCTCATAGTTTTTTTATGGTGATTTTGGATGTGAAATGATTGAGTTTTTCCGTGGTAGAAGGTAATTCCTAGAAAGTTCAGCAAGAGTGGACGGGATTGTAATAGCAATTCAGGATCTCGCTATCTCTTAATTTGGTCACTTCAAACATTTCATCTTTTGTCTTATCGTTCCGTGGCACTTTATTGAGGTGAAAGTGGTAAAAGAATGTTTTACAGCCAAACGCTCAATGAGAAGAGCCTCCAATCCATCTGTTTCTTTAAATTGCGTCACTTTCACTAATCTATCAACAATTGGAAATAAACAAGTGATAAGTATGTAGAGAGACAATGCTTCTTATCTGAGTTTGCTTCTATTTCATACTCATAGGCATTAACCTCCATTCCAATTTTGAATTAAAGAATTGTCCTACTCTACTTTTAACGAGACAAATGATATGGACTTGTAAAGAAAGTACAATCATTATCTGCTTACCTATCTAGCATCAATAGAAAGGGTCTCAAATACTCCGGCTCAATTGAACACAATGAGGTTTAATTGTCTAAAGACGTACATTCAACCAAACCTGGAACAGGGGCACTCTTCTCTATTGCCTAATAGAAATTTTACTTGCAACGACATCAATCAATTTAATTGGAACGCTCTAATTTTTATCACCGGAACTCACAATCGATACCTTTATAACATCCCATTAAGAACGATTATTTGAATTATTAAACATGCTAAATAAAGAATTGAATTCTATGACCACCACTTAATTTTTCAACTCCGAGTCGTAAGACTCAGCCTGTTGTGTAGCGTATCTGTCAGTGCCCAACTTGGTGACATCCACCTCATCATGGTAAAGTTCACAGATCTCCTCCAAAGTCTTTCTCTTGGTCTCTGGAACCAACAAGGTGGTGAAGACACCAAGCAACATGAACAAGGCGAAGATCTCCATGACGTGTGGCAAGAAACAGTTGTCCTTCTTAGAACAACCGTGGTTAATCAAAGTACCAATACAGGTCTGGGCAATAATGGCACCAACCTTACCGGAGGCAGCGGAGATACCGTGAGCAGTCGATCTGTATCTGGTTGGGAAAACCTCACCTGGAATGATGAAGGTGGTGGTGTTAGGACCGAAGTTCTGGAAGAACTGGGCAAGAACGTAAAGAGCCAACTTACCGTGATCAGAGATCTTGTGGTAAGCGAAACCAAGAATACAGAACAAGACAGTCAAGATAATGAAACCTCCCAATTGGATTGGCTTTCTACCGACAGTGTCGATGGTGGCAGCAGAAACCCAGTAACCTGGCAAGGAACCGGCACAAATCAAAATCAAGTTACCGACAGCGGTGTTGTACAAACCCTTGTAGACGTTCTTGGAAGATGCGTAACCAATAGTCTTCAAGATGACAGCAGAGTTCAAACCCAAACCGTAGTAAGCAACATCCAAGGTGAACCAGGAACCAGCAGTACCAAGCAAGATCTTACCGTACTTCCACTGGCCGAAGTGTCTCCAGAAGTCCTTGAAAGAAGCCTTTGGTGGAGCGATGTCGTGGGCAACAGCATCCAAAGCAGCCTCAGCATCAGCGACCTTCTCCAAGTTGTCGTGCTCAGTGATATCCAAAGCGTAACGAGGAGACTCAGCGATAGTCAATCTGTAGTACAAAGCAATACAACCTGGAACACAGCCGAAACCAACCAAGATTCTCCACATCTGGTCATTGGCCTTGATACAACGGCCAACACACTCCTTGGCAGAGTTAGCAAAGATCAAGTCGTCCTTGTAGGCAGCGACACACACCAAAGCAACAAGACCAGCCATCAACTGACCCAAACCCTGGTTAGAGAACACAGCAGCCATGATAGCACCTCTCCACTTGGTGGTGGAAAACTCAGAGGAAATAATAGAAGACAATGGGTAGTCACCACCGATACCAATACCCATAACAATTCTCAAACAGGCGTAAATGGCAACGAAGTTAACAGCTGGAGATTCACCCAAGCAACACTGCAAGATAGTAGCACAAATCATGACAATCAATTCGGTACCGTAAATCTTCTTTCTACCGATGTGGTCGGCAAGGAAACCGAAGGAAATCTGACCAATAACGGTACCAACAGAAGTGGAAACCTTGATCAAAGTAGTGGTTGAGTCTGGAATGGAGCCCTTCCAGTAGACATGGCCCAACATAGAGACACCCAAGTTAATAGCGAAAATATCGTAAGAGTCAGTCATGAAACCAACACCAGCGATCAAAATCATCTTTGCTTGAGTCCATCCGAAACCAGCATTGTCGATTTCTTCCAATGCCAATCTTCTTCTCTCCAATGGATCTTCAATATGAGCAAACTTTCCAATGTAGTCCTTGAAGGCGGTCTTACCACCAGCAGTGGAAACCTCGTGAGCAGTTTGAATTTCCGACATTAAAGTTGTGAGTGATAGAAAAAACTGACCTCCCTAAAATTTCGGGACTTGACGTCTTATATACCCCGGACGGTATAGCGATTAATTAAGTAATTTAACTGGTGCCAGTTGCGAATCTGCATGCCCGAGGGAAGGAACAGAAACGGAAAGCCCGCCCATGTCCGCGTGGGCTATTAACGGGTTGCCGGCCTACATATATGCTATTAGTTCCGTAACTCCACCCAACGTGGGTAGGTAAGCCATGGATTTTAGATGTGGATGTTAAGACGGTTTAATTTGGTCTTAAAACTAGCAACATTGACGTGTGCTGTCAAAACGGCCATTAGTGTCTTGTCTGACGATTTTGACACCTTCACAAGCAGAACATTTCTTGAGTAAAAGTCTTGGAACTCTGGGCATTTCTATGGTAGTGTGACCGTTTACCCATAGTATCCATTTAGTGCCTGGGCTCTTAGTCCCCACGTGGGTGCAAAAGATCGAAAATATCAACTTTTCATGCACGCCGCACGGTTGAGATTAGATTATCTGCAGTATGGTCGCTTGGATGCGGTATCCATCGTGCGACCACGTTTTTCGGTTATTACACGACATCTGATTAGTAGTAATTATGAAAGTTTTTCTATACTGCTTACGTACGGCACACGGCAAAATGGAACTGATATCATATCATCAAGCACGTGTGACTACTTCCCAATTGTGTTAGACTACTGTAGTAAATTGATTCATGCATTCGCAGACGTGGCATTTGACACACCTGTCATCGTAACCAAAAATCGACCTTCCCGGCGCCGGTTTTATTATTTCTCTCAAGATAATCAGTGCGGCCCTAATTATGCTTGTGAAATCAAGAGAAGCCTTTGTTTCACGTGGGTGCAAAATTTAGCCTCGCGCCCCACGTTCGCTATACTAGTCCGCTCGAAATTACTTGTTTCTTTCTCTGTATGACCTCACCACATAGGAATGATGCAACTGCTTCTAGAAATGCGTAGTGAGCGAATCCTTCTCAAATACGAGAAGCTTCTCTCGAATTTCCGAAAGTTCCCGCTCCTGAGCCTTGATCTTCAAGTCCTTCTCACTGTTCTCTTGATGAAGAAACTCCACCTTGCTCTTGTACTGACCAATCATATTCTGGTAGTTGAAGTTTTCGTCATTGTACCGCTTCATTTGCGTATTTTTGATGTTATTATCATACTCAAGACCCTTCACTTGCTTAGCAAGTGTCTGCTCGCGTGATTCATGGTCGAAGATTTCTTGCTTCAACTTGTCCACCTCGCCATTAAGCTTACTGATGTTATCCTCCAAATATTTGAGCTGTTCATTGGAATAAAGCTTCTCTTCCAACTCTCCAACCTTCTTCTTGAGCTCTTGATTGACATTCTTCAACGTCTCATTCTCTTGCACAATTACCAAGTTATCTGTCCGAGCAGTCTTGTATTGGCCATCACTTGTGTCCCACTTCAGACGAACCACCTCAAGCTCTTCCTTCAATTGTTGCTTGTCTGATTCTAACGTTTCGTTGTGTCCGCGAACCAAACTTAAGTTCAAGTTGCACTCCTTGAGCTGATCCTCAACATCGGCAAGTGTCGTCTCCAATCGAGTTTTAGTGCTTTCGAGATTACCATTGAGAATATTGATTCTTTCAATTTGGCGTCCATTCTCTTCAATGAGCTCCTTTAATGCTTCTATCTGTTTGTTGCTTTGCTCAAGTTTCCGTTCGTTCACTTGCTTGGTGTTCTTCAACAGCTCAACTTGGGTCGTCAAGGATTCGTTTTGCTTCAAGAGTTTCTCGTTCTCCTCGTTAACTTCCTCATTTTCTGCAAGAACATCCTTCTTCACACGGGATAATTCCTCATTCTCGATCTTGATCTTCTTGTTCTCTTTGATGATCTCTGTCTCCTTCTCTAACTTGAACTTGAGGTCCTGGTGAAGTGTTCTAATTTCCTCCTTATATTCGTGGATGGTGTTCTTGCGCTCGCTGTAATTGTCATTCAAGTAACGTAATTGCTCTTCGGAACTCTTGATCTGGTTGGTTAACTGTTCCGCTTTATGGCGCTGTTCAGCCAACTGCCCATCCAAGCTATTTTTGTCCATTCGTAACTGCTTGATGACTTTCTCACTTGCACGGATTTCCTCCTTCACAAGCATTAATTCAGTGGTCTTCTCTTCCAACTCCTTGCGGTACTGCTGCTCGTGTCTTTTACTGATTGAAACAGCCGACTCTGCTAGCTCGAGTTTGGCATAATACTCCTCACTTCTGTTCTTGTATTTCTTCACTGCTTGTTGGAGTTCCTCCTGCTTTTTGGTCAAAGTTTCATTATTGACATTGACTCGAGCCAACTCGCGTTCATAGTCACTGATAGACGTTTTAACGTTGGACTTTTTAAGTTCATAGAGCTCGTCTTCGCTATCTCGCAATAAAGACTTTAGTCTCAACACTTCTCCCTTCGACACATTCAACTCTTCCCTCGTCACCTTGAGAGTTTTGGTTATGTCCTTGTATATTTTCGCAAAGTCCCCTGACCCCGTGTACGAATTAATAGTGCCAATACTTGAGCTCCGAGAGACGGTATCAGGTGTCAGAGATGAGCCTGACACATCCAAAGCATTTCCAAGCTTCTTTTCAAGGTCTGCAATTTGATGCTGGGCATCCTTGAATTTCGATTCATAGTCAGTGAAACCATTGATTCCTCTAGACATTTGAAGCTTGTTGAGCTTCTTTTGTAGTTCTATGGCATAGTTTTCAGCTCTTGATACATTTGCTTCCTCTTGCTGCAAACGACCGGTCAAGTTTTTGATTTCAATTGCATATCTGGACTCGTTCACTTGCATGAACTTAAGATCCTCACTACATGCCAATGACCGCCTGAGCTCACTGCGTTTCAGAGGACTCTCAAATGTATCATCCACTTTTTTTCTCAAAAGATTCACCTCTTGAGAAAGCTTTTGGTTTTCGAACTTTTCCCGCCTAACGGCAGCATTCGATTCATTAAGCTTCAACTTAAGATTAGCAAATTCTTCCATTGTCTTTGGATCCATACGATATTCTGCTGGGGGTCTATTCTCCTTGTCGTGAAGCTTTTCTTGCAAAGTAAGGACGTCTTCTTTCAACTTTGTGATCTGTTCCAGGTACTCTGTCTTGGCTCGAGACAAATATTGAGTTTCATGCTTCAAGTTCTCTAAAGATCGTTCAAGTGAAGCGTACTCTTTGACTTTCTGTGAGAGTTTGCTTTTTTCTCCTTCAATTTGTTCAAGCAACTGTGAGTTTTTATTTTTCTCCTCCAAAAGCATCTTCTCTAAGGACTTCGACTCCTCGAGTTGAACATTGAGAACCTCGTACTTGCGTTCAAGCTCCAGATGACGCCTTGAAAGGTCGATGTATCCAGATTTTTTCTCCCGTAATTCACCTTCCAAATATTCGACTTTTTCAATCGTTTTTGTCAACTGAGCTTTCAACTTTGTAAGCTCTGAGGACTCATTTTGTAAACGATCGATCTTCTTCTCGAAGTCTGCCTTTAATTGGTTGATTTGACTGGCTAATTCGGTTGACTTCTGCTCGTGTGCTGTCTTTTGAGTGTTCAAATCCGCAATTTGTGACAAATGATCTTCATGGGCAGACTTGTATTTGTCAGTTTCGTACTGTGATTCTTTAAGTTTCTTTGAAATATCAGAATGTTGCTCCTGAAGATCTGCAACGGACTTTCTGGATTCATCATAGGCAATGGAAATGCTGGTGAATTCTTTGAGTTTGAGCTCGAGCTTATCGATTTGGGACTGAGACACATTGCTCTTCTCAGCAACCGATGCCCTTAGGGATGTAGCTTCCTTTTCAAGGTCAGCAATTTTGATTTTTGCCTCCTCGTGCTCGTTTTTAACCTGTTTCAACTCCCTGATATCCTTTTGAAGGCTATCTGCGGCTTGTTTGTTTGTTTCGAGTTCAGAGTTCAATTTCTTGAATTGCTCATCCATCATCTCAATTTTGCTTTTCGATTCTTCAAGTTTAGAGGTGAGTTCTGCCCTCTCCTTCCCAAGTTTTTCATTCACAGCTTTAATCTCAGTAAGCTGTCTGGAAACTTCCTCCACCTTGGCACTCTTGGATGATTGATCTCTTTCCAAAACCATCAACCTATCTGCTTTTTCGGACACTTGCGTATTCGCTTTAATTATTTCATCTTCCAAACTCGTCAACCTCTCCTTCAAAGAGTCGTTTTCGGACTTGAGTGCAACCTTAGCATTTTCGGTCTCTTTGAGCTTTCCATTAATTTTCTTTAAGCTTTCGTTCATCTCGTTGGAATCTAAGACTTTGACAGATTCTTCAAGCATTGGTTTCAAGCCCAAGAATAACTTAAGCCATGGACTTTCACCCTTATTGACAAGCTTATCTAACTTCTCAAAATTTCTTGCAAGAACTTGAGATGCTCTAATGACCGCAATTTGTTTCTCTATTCTCTTTCTTGCGAGCTGGCCTCTTACCATGCTTTGGAAGGATGTGAAAGCATTCTTCAAACCTGCGTCACGAAGTTCTTCAAGCTTTCCGAGAATGCCATTCTTGAAAAACAATTTAGTAATACCGATCTTGTAAACTTCTGGATCCAACTGGATATGCTTGAGAATGATTTCACTATTCGTTTTCATGTTTTTCGTGAAAACGACTTCGCTGGAATTGAGGATTGAATATCTATTGAAGAATTCCTCAAATGTCATCTTATTGGGGTATCCTGCTCTGGCAATTCTAATACCCTCTAACACACCGTTGCATCGAAGTTGATGAAGGACTAATTCTTTATCAAATTTGTTAGGGCGCTTAGACAAGTTGGGCAAAATACATCTCACGAAGTGAGGCTCTGTGCTTTCAAGCTGCAGCATCAAATAAGATAACTGCTCTTTGTGCTTCTGGGAGACCGTCTTGAGTTTAGGAGTCTTTCCCAGCTTTGGAACTAAATGATCATCATCGGAAATTAAGTCACGGATGAATTGTACAGAGGAATCCTGTAATAGTTCCAATATATTGTTGCTGACAGGGTCGGTATTCTTCAGGAGCCAGTTTTCAATGTTGTACTCCACCAACCCAGCATAATGATCAATGATGAATCCTGAACGAACCTTGTTTGGGCGGAAAGTCTTGCTTTCGCCATTTCCCCAAGTTTCGAGCAACTTGTTCATGAATGTCTCCTCAGATGCCTTTGGCAATATACACTGCTCATTCAAGATCTCCAAAACACCCATGGGCCGTTTTGTTTCGATCAAGTCTATTGTGGGCTGTAAGTCCAATCCGAAATCAATGAACTCCCACTGGATATCTTCTCTGAGATATTCACTCTGTTCTAGGATAAATGAGTGGTGATTGAAAAACTGTTGCAACTTCTCGTTGGTATAATTGATGCATAACTGCTCAAACGAATTGATGTCAAAAATTTCAAATCCTGCAATGTCTAAAACACCAATAAAGTTCTCACCAGTGGTCTCTTCCGCAAGAAGACTCTTGTTGATCCGCGAGATAATGAATTGAAAGATCCTTTCATACAAGTGTTTGGCAAAGGCGTCAATAGTATTCTTCACGTCAGCGGCCCTCTGCAGCTTCTGAACAAATTCTCTTCCTGCCTTTACTTTAGGACGAAGAAGGTTCCTGGACAATTTGTCTTCATCCACACCAAGCATCTTAGCAATCAAGTCGATTCTTGAATCTGCTGAAAAGTTCGCCTGCTCAGACTTCCAGGACATAAAGTCAACGTTTCCTAGGTGGAGAATCAGCGCCAAACACGTGAAAATGCTCTCCACTTCGGTTTCAGTGAACTCCATAATCTCGAATGCCTCGCGAAGGACACGGAACTCTCGTGTATCGTCCATTTGCGGGACTGTGCCGTTCGACATGCTCAAATACTTGTAGTCTTGGATGTTTTGTGTCAAGTTGTACTTCTCTTTTAGGTCATTCTCGTCCATGCCTTTAAGAAGCTGGTAGAATGCATGATAGTTCCGTTCATCCTTCAGTTGGTGCAGCACCCTTGACTTTTCCAACAAATAATACTCAATCATGGCGCCACTTATCAATCCTTTGCTCTCAAAAAAGATCTTGATAAACTTTCCGAATCTGGAAGAATTGTTATTTTTGATAGTTTTGGCATTTCCAAATGCTTCCAAAATCGGGTTTGCCCGCAAGATCTTCTCATGAATATCGTGATGGTCTGCACTGGTGGAAATCGAAGATAAGTATTGGATGATTTTTTTGGTGTTTTCTGTCTTACCTGCTCCACTTTCTCCCGTCACCAAAATGGACTGGTCCTTTTTGTTGGCCACCAAGTTCCGGTAGGTGTTTTCTGCTATGGCAAAGATATGTGGCGGCAAGCGCTCGTCCAGCAGCTCCACATGGAACTTGTTTAGCACCGCTGATTCGTAGATGGGCAACTTTTTGTATGGATTTATAGCAACCAAAAAAAGACCCGAATACGTGTAGATCATATCGTCATTGTAGCGCAAAAACAAGTTGTAGATGACAGATGGCTCATTGAGATGCGTGAGTTCAGCCATGTCATTACATTTGTTAAATTTGGAAGGATTACAGTTCTCCAAAACCTTCTGGTCAACTTCCTTAACAACTTCTTGAGCTCCGTTTTTCACGGTGACTTTCACCAAGCCATTTTCAAGATATTCGGAGATGTAGCCCCGAACAAATACCTCGTCCTTGTCTGGAACCCACACCCAATTATTTGTGGTGAAATCGTCGTCGGACATAGCTATTTGTTGAAGACGGTTGACTAGAGAAGTGTAAACAAGAAAATCATAGGCGATCGGTCACGTGATGTGATTCATTGATGAATTTTTAGCTCAAATCGGATAAATACACAAAAAATCCTGGAGGCAGGGGCCAGAGTGTGCTGCCATTCACGACAGGAGTTTGAGTTTACGACATGATTTTTTTTTCATGACCTTGATTGGATAGAGTTCCTTTCTTATTAATATTTTTTTTTATTTTTTCTTTTTATATTGGTTTCCGATTCTGGTTGTTGTAGTCGTTTTTCGCGGTAGGGTCTACTTCGGGTACAAATATTGGTGCATGTACGTGCTGTAAGATTAATTACATAAGCATTTATGTAAGCGTGGAACCATGCCAGACCAGAACGCGCCTGGGTGCAAAACATGGAAGAATGTGTCAGAGAGTGATATGAGTCAAAATGTAGCGAATGAATAGGGCGACCTGGCCCACTAGGCCGTCTCCATAATGACTGTGGTAAGCTGCGGTTAGCAAATTGCCGTAGGGAATGAAATGGAGCTTCGACAGTTTCTGGAAAGCGGCTTTAGGACTTCTGATTCTGTGATTTCCTTCAGATTCGAGTCTTAGACAGCGGAATAGGCAGCGCCCAGTCGCTGTCTAGATTAGGCAGGTAACTGGAGAATTGCGCCAGGTCCAGGTGGAGAACCGGAGTCGTGTATGAGGAGTTGTCGTTGAGTGAGAATACCAGCAGCGACGTGGCCAGCGGAGGGGTCAGCGGGAGTGTAGCATGCGAGGCGAACCCTGGAGGCGGAGCCAATTGGTGAGGAGCCAACTCCTGTGCAAGCATCATCAACACATCGGCGGTGTGAGCCAAATCTGAGCCAGGCAAGATCACGAGATCATCGGCCTGAAGCTGCTTCGTGCTGTCGAAAACAGCTTGCACAGTGAGTGGATGTCTGTTCGAGTAGTTGTGGATCACGGGAATGACTCCGAGAGCCTGGTATTTACGCAGCAACACGTCCGAAAGCGAAGCCGTTTGAAGGAAAAGCATCAAGACGATTTTGCGGACGGTAGCGATGGCATTGTCGTCGAGTCCCAGCAAGAAAGGACCCATGACTATAGGGGCCTCGTTCTCCGAGTTGCTCATAGACGATGTAGAAGATGAGCGACTTCCAAGAGTCGACTGCGAGCTCAACTCCAGACCAGCCAGCAGCCGGAGGAGCTCCTTCAAGTATGAGCTGGCGGAAGGCACGCCGAGCATGGAGCACGCCAAAAGCGTGGCGGAGATACTGATGAGAGAAGTTGGCACCGTCAAGAAAAAACGGTCGTAGAGCGACAACTCGCAGAAAAAACGGCCCACCGCCGTCACTGCAGAAACTTTCAGCAGCAGTGGGTCCGACAATGAGCGATTGTACTTGCATGGCGTCACTTGATTAGACACACCGGCCTCCACGATAGCCAACTGTAAGCACTCTTCCAACAGCGGGTGACTCAACAGCCATTCGAGTGTCAGCAAGATATGGAACTCCATTTGCAAGAACATCTCCTCATCGTAAGCTTGACGGCACATGATGGCCAACTCACGGAGGGTAGGCACTCTCAGTTTCTTGTCTTCGTACTTTCCGGCGATCCAAAGCGCCGTGCACCCGACCAATTGGTAATGGCGCTTGAACACAATACGTTTTGCGCAATAGCGGTCGATGATGTTGATGGCGAGAAAGAGTGTGGCAGGCTGCAAACGAAACAGCTGGTGCAACTCGATGAGGAAGTCCAACAAGTATGGACGCATGTACCATTCGACCTCGGGTTGCAAGTCGATCATCTGAGCATTAGCGCCCGACTGGCCCTCTAAAACTGAGAGCCATTGCTTGACATCTCCGGTGTACTCGGAGAGCAATTTCTTATTTGCCAGCGATTCGAGAACCTCTAAAAGGTACGGGTAAGGTCTAGCCCTGGAGAGGGGAGGGGGGCCGTAAGCTCTGACCATGGGTATCAACAGGGGGAGGGTCGGACGGGATGCGATGGGAAAATCGAGTTAACTTGAGGTACAAGGAGTACTTGAATTAACAGATGGTTTACTTGCGGTGAACTTTTGATGGTGTGAAAATGAAATGGACTTAAACGGAGGAGTTAGCCGAATATGAACCACAGGACCAGGATACACCAAACAATACCACAATTAGGAACGATGGAATACGATACCGGAAAGGAAACGGAAAGGAAGATGGCACGGGGATGTGAAGGGCACAAACACAAAGTCAAAAGATGAAATGAACGAAGGTAGAAGAGCGCCGATGGTCAAAAGTGAATACCTGGCTGGGATGGAGATTATAAAGGCCCAGGACGCGACTGCGAAAAAAGACGAAGGCACGAGTCTCGGTGCAGGTAGCGGTCGTGGTCGTGACGTTAAGGGACAGGAAATGGACAGGAAGTGGATAGGCAGAAAGAAGTAACCTGGGAGATCTCGAACGGGATTGCTTGGAAATGGAATGAAAGGGTTTAAAAGGGGTTTTGGGGTTTGGGATTATGTGCTATTGAACTTTCCCAGATTTTAATCTTTGATTCCTATTCAATTGTTCTGGACATTTAGCCTTAATGGGGTTGTACGTCAGATGCGCAGACTTACAGTCTGGGGGCCGCGAGTTTTTGGCCCGCGCGACAAGAAAGCTGCGGTAGTCGAATTCGTCTCGAAATTAATTACATGCTTAACTTCCGTTGATTGTCTGGCATTGCATCAGCAATTCCATCTACTCAAATTTAATTGTTCCAGTTCGATTTATTTTGTTTCATTGTTCCAATAATCAAACGTATTTCTAGGTCCGCCTGTTCCATCTTGCACATTTTGGCTATCACTTCATTCCGGTCTCCGCAACTTCTCCTGTCTAACCGTTTAACCATCCTGCCTGGCCGCCTAGCCAAAACCTGCCTGCCGGCTTCAGTCCTGCCAAAACGCACTAGGTGGGGCTGATTTTCGCGAGCCTAAAATCCTTCCGTTACTGGGGTGTCTCAGGCGCGAAGTGCCAGGGCTACGGGGCTGGAACAGGAGCCACTTAGCCACGCATTTTACATGGAATTGTCCGAGGCTTTCAGCAACAAGTTAGTGGCTTTGGTCCACTAACTATGACTATCAAGAAAAAATAAGGCTGATAGTATTGTCCCTTCTTATCTAATGAGAAAAAGAAATAACTAAGAGCACTTCAGAGATTTTTCATCTCTCAAGTATCTCTCCCTTTTCGTTCTATTATGTTTGGTTCAGATGTTCATTTCCTCAGTATTTTTCTTTTTTGGCACGACTGCAGTGCGCGTTGGAAAGCTCCGCACAAGGTGCTATTTCGGGACTTAAATGAGATTTTGTACAATCTTCCATCTATCCATACAATCTATTGCGCTTATCAATTCGTGTTTGCTTGTTGATGATCAAATCTATTTGAAGATTATACGTTCAATCTTTCAAGGTTTCAATTATCTTTCATTTTCTGGTCGGTTATTTGTGTGTTATTTTAATCATTCCTCTTTCTCATCTCAACCTATTCTCGGATTGGCTTTTACCACCTCCGATCTTTCGTTTCGACCGCGCTCGCGTCGAATGCTTCTACTCGTATATTGGCACGCTTTTTCCCGGTCTTGCGTTCCGTTCTAGACTCCTTCTCGGCTTTTCTTTTAGTTAGCTACAATTCGGGATGAGAATGGCTTTGAATGTGAAAATGAGTTGTGGAGTGTGGGGAGTCAATTCAAGGTAACTTCATTCTAGGCTAGAGTTTAGTTCATGTGCTCACAATATAGTTCAACGATAGAACTCCACAGTTTACAATTCTTGAATAGGAATACGCATTAATTTGTGACCTTCTATAGATATTCAATTTCTTTCTCTTTTAATCGGACCATAAAATCGACTCCCCTCGATTGTCTTTTTAATCAATTTCTTTTCTTTGATTGACCTCTCTGCTTTGTTCATGTCGCGATTATCACGTTCCACCGTCTATGTGCTTTCTTATTCCTGCACGGATTTCTACCTTCTTGAAAATAAAGGTTTCCTCCAGTAGTATTGTTTAAGAAATGCCTTTGTTTCATTTTTCTTGTTTTTCTGTGCTTCGATCCCTTTGTCGGTTTGCCCTCGCTATTTCTCACAATGCACCTCCTTCGTGAAGTCGTTTGACTCCAATTCTTCGTAGTTTTCTGCCACCCATGGACCGCCCATTCGTCTTTTCTACTTCTCCAGTTCCTCGTAACCCTAACCTACTGTCCCTTATATCTCCTACATTCAATCTAGACCGGCTCTATTGAGCTATATGATACACTGCGGAATAAACCACATGATTAGGCGACGCTAAACCTTAACATAGGTCCAGTGATTCACGAATTCTCCGTCTCTCCTCCATCTCTCAGTATGCGCCGCGGCCACGGCCTCCGTTGGCTTGATCATCCTGGTTCTTGATGGTCTCATCAACAGAAAGTAATAGCGTTGCAGCCTCGGTGGCTGACTGAAGGGCATTGATCTTCACAAGAGATGGCTCCCAAATGAACGACTCCATATTGTTAGACACAGACTCTTTGTGGAAATCAATACCAAACCATGTCTCGCCTCTGGCATGAGAGCTTCTCAATACATTCAAAAGCTCAATGGTATCCAATCCAGCATTTTCACACAATTGGCGAGGAATCACCTCCAATGCACGTGCAAAAGCTCCGATGATGAGTTGCTGCTTTCCGGCCACAGTCTTGGAGAATTCTCTCAAATGCTTAGACAACTCCATCTCAATGGCACCTCCTCCTGCAACAACAGAGCTGTGTTTGACTGCACGCTTGACAATCATGATGGCATCGTGAAGCGATCTCTCCACTTCAGCAATCACCTGCTCAGCACCTCCACGCAAAACCAATGTGCATGTCTTGGTTTCTGGACATCCTTTGAACAAGTTGTAACGGTCTCCACCAATCTGAACCTCTTCAAACTTGGCACACGTACCCAATGCGTTCGGTTGGACATTGGTAACTGTAGATTGAACAGTTCCACCAACGGCCTTGATCACTCTCTCCATATCTTCAGAAGCTACTCTACCAGCACAGAAGATATTTCTGTCAGCAAAGTACTGGGTGGCCAAATCACCAATAGGCAACTTGGACAACACAATGTTGGCACCCGAGTCCTTGATGGCCTCCAACTTATTGAAAATAATCTGCCACTCGGCGTCCACGATGTCCTGGTAGTCCTTGACCTGCTCCACACGAACTTCGGCGTTATCCTTTTCAGCCTTGAGCTCCAACTCGACGTTCAAACATAAAATTTTAGGGTCAGTGAACGTTTTGGGCTGCTGCTCAAATCCGGCATAACTGAAGGTCTTCTTGAATGCCACACCGTCCACGAAGAGAGAGTCCTCCATCGCTCCACCTGCAACCTTCTTAATTCCAATCATGTTCTCGTCCAAATCATCGTCTAATGACAAGACGGCGTCCACGACCATCTTGGTGAAGAATTCGGAGTTTTTGCTAATCAACTTAGAAGACATTGCCGTGGTGGCACAACGCTCCAAAAGCTCTCTAAATTCCTTAGATTCTTCTCTCTTTATGTCGACCTGAATCTCTTTAATTTTTGCCACAGCCAAGTCGCATGCTCTGCGCAAGCCCTTGATGATCAAATGAGACGAAATTCCGTCTTCAATAAAGGTTTTGCTCTCTTTCAAGAACTCACCAGCCAAAATGGTTACCGACGTGGTTCCGTCTCCCACCTCGGCATCTTGTGCCCTGGAAATATCCACCAACATCTTAGCAGCCGGGTGAACAATGTCCAACAACTTCAAGATGGTGGCACCATCGTTTGAAATGGTGGTTTTGCCATTGGATGACTTGATCAAGATGTCTGATCCAAAAGGTCCCAAAGTAGGCTTTAAGGTTTCCTGAATGGCGAGACATGCATTGATGTTGTTCAAGATCTGGCCCTTACCTTGCGAGGCGTCGGTGCCTTCCTTAAGCACGACGATAGTTGGGGTTTGGTTAGAAAATGCCATGGTGATGTAGAAGGTAGATAACGTGAATTTTCTTCCAAGTAGTTTGAGTGTATTGGTGAATGCACGACTACTGATCGAAGTTGTGGAGGTTGACTTTGGTGCTTGAAGAGGGTATTTATAGTATTTGAAGAGGTTCAACATCATATATTGATTAGAAAATTGGCAATTTTAGAGCTTTGGAGTTTTTGACAGATTAATTATGTGATAATTTTGATGAGGACCTGAGAGTAGGTAGCACTCTAGTTACTTACTTATATAAATTGAAATCAGTGATTTTTCAAGAACCGAACGAAGTTATTGTTCATCGACAGGCAGTATTAGCTTAAATGTCGAAAATACAAAGGTTCAAGTTAAATGGAAGTATACCGTAATGAATATTATGTGTGGAAATATAGTGAGAATCTTGAGAACACTGAGAATAAAGACAAATTGACTGTGGGCGTAGAACACGAAAGACACTTAGATCATAAAACAACAAATAACAAAAACTATTTGAATACACGCAAAACTCGAAATTCATTTACCATCATAATAAAGTGATTGGCATTGTATCATCTCAGTTCATTCTGTTAAAATCACAACCTACTCCATCTATTATCCTATACACAGGCTGGGAAAAATTTCATAAACGAACTACACCATGCTTAGAAGACTCGGGTTGGGCGTTCAGTGCCAGTTCACTAGAAATGCGTCGAGAAATGTGGCCATGAAGAATGAGGTACACCTCTCCAACAGAAGAGTCATGAGAAAAATCAAAATGGGTAAGGCTAGACCTGCCATTTTCCACCAGTTCGACACTTTGGTGGAACTCTCCGACGGATCCGTGATCAAGAGAAGATCGCAGGCACCAAAGGACGAGTTGAGAATGATTAACGACCAGAGAAACAGCCCATTGTGGAACCCTAACAGAAGCGACTTGGTTACTGCTGATCCTAACGCAACAGGTAAGGTGAACAAGTTTAAGAAGAGATTCTCGCAGTTCCAAGCGGAGGAGGCTGAGGAGAAGAAGTCCGATGACTTCGTGGAGTTAATGGGCCACAATGTTACTGAGGTTCAGGCCGGAGGAAAGATTCACGACAAGAAGAAGGCTAAGAAATAGACATGTACATAGTAAAGCTGGACGAAAAGTAATATAAGTTGGTAATCTATGCGATAGTAGATTGAGATGTTTACCAGGGCAACAGTAAAAGTCGACTTCGTTTTGGAGTAATCTGGAGTATTTAGAGGAGAGGGTTTTATCGTGATAAGTCATAATTCTCTGTGACCATTTCGACGGGAAACAAGATACTGATTGATTTAGAAAGTGAGAGTTCATTAGACAGGTTTTTACTTACCTATTAGGGACAAAACCTATTGAAATGGAAATAGATAATTAACCCTTAATCGTATGGACATCATGTTTCAATGTTCATTTGTCGTTAAGTATGGCTGCCACTTCTGGAGTAAGATAATTGACTTCAATCTCGCCTTCCAGAAGTCCCATAGCAACCAATTCAGCCAAGGCCCATTCAATGGTAGTGCGATCCTTCTCGCCAATAGCCCGGTTCAAGATGATGGTGAGACAAGTTAGTCGATTCGACTTGTCGATATGTACAAGGTCATTGAACTCCTTAGGCATTTGGTATGATTGGAATGCAAAATATGGTTTCAGCGCAACGTAAGTGCTCAGAAAGACAATGTAAAGCTTGCGGCTCGCTTTATTACTGATGTGGCCAGACAAATACTTGAATATGGACACAGTAAGGTTTGTTAATGCAGGGTCATCTCTTTCGAGAAGCTTGAATTTTCGAACTGCCAATGCAAAGAAATCATGTTTCAACTTATCTAGTTGCTGAGGTTCAATGTCACAAGCAGAGTGGAGTGACAGTGGAGGATGAGTCAATAAAAACTCGATGGTCCCAACGTAGCCTCCTTTGGCAACACTGAAGTCTGTGCTTTCGCACATAGTGACAGATTGCTTGATCTTCTGTTGTCGGAGAAGCCTCTTAATAATCGTCTTGAAATCGTCTGGTGTCAAGCCGTTTTTAGTGCTGAAAATAGCCTGAAGAATCCGCTCAGCGGCCACCTCATTGCTCTGAAATAAAAATGCAGCGAAAAGCACCGAGAGGGTGCTTCGCAGAAGCGGCGATTTGAGCTCATGAGTTAACTGTTCGAATTTGGAAACCAGCTTCGAATTCTGGCCATAAAGTGATAAAAGCGAATCAATAGCTTGTGGATCCTTTCTGATTTCTGCCGGGAAATATTTGTCAGCGAGCTCCATGGCCCTCTCGTGTTCGTGATCTGCAAGTTTATCGATAATTTTGGAAAATAACACCATGTACTTCTCTGCAAAGGATGGATCTCGTTCATACATTTGCTTCCAGACCTGAACACACCTTAAGGTATTGCCATTCTCCAAGTTGGCATCAATAAGCTGGGCAGCAAGTCGAAGAAAAGATGGGTGCTTCATGATATCCTTTTGCTCCATCATCTCATCAAAGCAAACATTGGCAAAATATGGAACAACGGGCCCCCCTATCATCGACTGTACGGCATCAATTTTCACCTGTTCATTGACGTCGTAGTTCTTGAATGTCTTCAAGAGCTTGCAAATGGTATATGCATGGTAAGTTTTTCTGTTTGGAGTATTCACTGAGAGACTTTGAATCAACGCAGTAAGAGTTGATGGATCGATGGCAGCATCATGGGCAAGCAATTTTAATGCACACAGTGCAGCCACTAAAGGCTCTCCCGTTCTCAAGTTCTCCCTCACAAGCACACAGCTCAAATAAGTCCGAATTCGAGATGTAGGAAGGGTATTATTCGCTAACATATGTAGCGTTGAGCTATTTTTTCGATCAAGAAGGCCATTTTCTTCCATGATGCTCATAAACTTCACGGCCTGCTCCTCTCTTCCCTTGATGAGCATAGTAGAGATTTGGTCCAAGATAAATGCTGCCATCAGTTTGGAATTCTTGTAATTAGCAAAAACGATGTGCTGAGATTCGTGATCCCTAACAGCTAGAAAATCATCCACAAGTGTGAATTTCTCTGAATCATAAATCTTGTAGCAATCCATGGTGGTATACTTCAATCTTTTGGATGAATCAAGAAGCTCAGCGACCTTGACAAGTCTATTGGCGGCCTTGAGCTGGTTTTTTTTCTCAGCTGAGAGTCTTGCTTCGGAACTTGACAACCTTCCTGATAGTCGGTGGCGGCTCGAAAATCGGCGGACTGTGCACCGTCCTAATGGGATACGAAGCATATATGGTTCAAAAATTTGGTGCCTGCATCTTTCAGTTGATGGAGTAGGTAGGATTCTAGAGATGGACTAAGGTTGAAACATCGATTGATTGATTTCGAGATTTTACTGCTGTTGCTGAATTTTTCATTCCCAGTAACTTCCTTGACATTATTTGTAAATCAAAAACCCAAGTTTTTGTTCCACAATTTCGTCAGTTGGGCTGGATATGCATTCCTCACTTCAGACTATTACACAATCTAATGAAAGTCCATACATCACTTTTTCCACGTGCTTCTTGATAAGTGGCCAGTCCTGGCGTCGCTGGACAAACTCGTAAATTTCCTCCTGACTGAATATTCCGTTGAATTTAGACAAATCACTCACCATCTGACCAATGGCTTTTGCGTCTTCTCCTCCGATAATGTAAATGGACCCCACCTTCTTTAAGGCCTGGAACAAAGGAAAAACCATGCGCTTGTTGCTTCGAATATGTGTCAAAATAAAGTCATAATAGAGATTCAAGTCCGAAATGAGCGTCACGGCGCCATCCACAGAAACAGTACTACGCTTCAACACCTTAACAATTAACTGGAAGAATCTCTCGGCCACTTCTTGCTGGAAAACCTCCACAATAGACTTGTCAGCTGAGTCCACGAGCAAATCGATGTTGTCATCGAGGATATGTACAGCTCGCTTGGCGGCTTTGGTTGGTCCAACTGCTAATAATGCTGCTCCTGGTGTAGGATTGTAGTCTGTTTCTTTGAGCGTTGAAAGGTATACAGACTCGATTTCTTTGAAAAGAACATCAATGCCTGTGTTCAAACCATCAGCAACAAATTTATCGACCATACTCTCAAGCTTCTTCTTAGACTGGAGTGATGGATTGAGAACGGAATTCTCATGTTTAACTACTTTTCGGTTGATCATCTCCTCCTTGTAGAAAATGTCTAGCATTTGCACAATCATGTCTGCCATGTTGATCAGCTCAAAGAATATCACAAGTGGGCCAATTGCGCTGTCCTCGGATTCGTCAATCAAGTTGTTAAGCTCTTTAGGATTGTAATCTTTCAAAAATTTGAGCGCCTTCAGAAACCCTAGCTTCAAGTGGTCTTCACCAATGCAGTCAATGACATTCAGAAATTCCTCTTGCATGGTAGAATTCAATTCGTGGACGACAGCCGAAACGGTGAATTCTCTGAACTGCAGAAGACGTTCAAGAGACTTCTTTGCCTCATTTAAAATCGTAAGTGCCAACTTGGGACTAAACACTTCGTTCAAAGATTTGATATTTTCTGCAAGAATACGTGCTCTCGCCTGCATTTCCGAGTAATTCTCCAAGTCTTCGGTTTCATCGGTTCGAGTCGAAGCTCCATTTATGGTGAATACCTTTCTAAAACTTGTCAAGAAGTCGTTTTTCGTTTCCACCTTCACATGCTTTAGAATGTCTTGTGTTTTCTCGTGCTCCCTTTTCTGGACTTCGAGTGTCCACTCCCGGATCTTTTGCGAGCAGAAAAGCCTGAATGTGAGTCTTTCCTCGTTCATGTATTCTGATGCATAGGATTCGTAAGATGCATCAATAAGCTCGTGCATCAAGGTCTTGTATGACTCTCCCACATTGTTGGAAGGGGCAAGCTTGTCGAGGAAGTCGTGAGTTAGCTTGTGGTAAAGCATAGGAGCAAACTCCAAGTAGACGTTTCTTTCTTTGGCTGCTGATGACAATACGAGTACAATTTCCTGTAATTGACCCGTGATGAGCTCTTCGCTCACCTTGAACATCATTGGAACCGATTGAGGGAAGATAAGATCGATGATTCTGGCCTCCTCGTTGAAAACGTCTGCAAGTTCATTGATGAACTCATCCAATTTGACCACATTCACAGCATATGACCCTTCTTCCGTCTTCTCCTCGTCTTCCAGTTTCAATTCGTCAAGTTTCTTCGTGGATTCCTCAATGGTAGATTCTCCTGCCCAAACTGAGTCTTCAGGTTCGACATTCATACTCTTTTTCCTCACCTCTTTCTTCTCAAAAAACTCTGAAAGATTGAACGTCTCCGGATTGAGAAACTTGATCGATTCGTTGTCGAAACAGGTCTTTTGTAAAAAGAAATCTATGAGCGTCTGGTCATTTTTAAGCTCGATTAAGATCTCCACAAACTTGCGAGTATTCTCATAATCCTGGATATCGTAATGGATTTCCAACTCCCTCAACACGGCGTTTTCAAATATTTCCAATAAATCTGTGATTTTCTGCCTCACGAACCGCCGGTTGGTGGCGTCTGCATCGATAGCATTGTATCTGAGTAAGTTCGACAACATTTTGGCCTGATCCTGCGGCGTATGGAAGTTCTTGAACACACGAAGGCGCTCATATGGAACATTCAGTTGTAGATCTTCGTAGTATTTCTGAAGACATTTGGAAATCTTGAGCACCTGGAATTTTGCAACTCGCAGCTCCTGGTAAATTGAGCTGAAACAAGTCAACGGGTTATTCAACAGTGAAAAGTCAGCATTCCTAATTTCATCTTTGGAAACCACACGGGCATTGCTCCACACTCCCATTGCCTTTAATTTCAGCGTCCATAGCTGTGGCTCATTAGCAGCTTTATGGGCATTCTTGGATGTTAAAGAGAACAGTAGGATGTCTGGAATAGCTAGGTAGAGGGCCAAGTTGCGGGCTACCAGGAGGGGAATAACTTGCGTGTTATACACGTCGATGTCTGAATTCCAGAGCACATGTGCCATTTTGGGTGTGACGGAGGCCCTGGCTTAACTTCGGTATGATGGTTATTGGCCTTTGATATGTTGGTTCAGGTATATAAGGTGGAGATATGGTTATATTAGGAGTTGATAGGGTGGGAGAAAGACTTGGGTTTTTTGGGAGTTTAAAATTGGTAATTGGTTGGGATTTGAATCTTGTTGGAATTTGGAATTTCTGTACTTGTTGTCGGTTTTATTTACGTTTCAGTTATGCTAGGGTGGCCACCGCCCATTTAGGTTACTGTTGAACATATGTAGAGGTGGGATTGGAGATGCATTGCTCTAGAAGATTAGTCAAAGTTCTAGAGATTGATTTTTCGAAGAAGTTCTTATTTTTGTACTTCATTCTATTTATTATTAACTTCTCCCATTTGTGGTGTATTTTTGATTTCCACCTGATTGTCTAATTACAGCAAGGAACCAAATTGAAACAAATTGAGCAGTAAATAAATTTAATTTAGATTATAAGGAATTGAAATACAAATAACTTTCTTATGTTTTTTTCTATAACGTTACCAGGTTCGTTGCATATCACATCCATCTCCACCTCTTCTGTCCTACGTCCTCCACACAAAAAAGATTCACTACCATAAAGCCTCAAACCTCAAATCCTTCAACCCCAGGATCTACGCATACCCACAGGCTCTATGGCCCTCTGACAAATCATAACAATTATCACATGTTTCCCATCCGACTATCGTTTCTACGAAGAAACTGCCGGTGGAATCGCATGTTTCCCCATCCATGCATCGGTATAGTGAGGTATTCTACCATCAAGAAAAGTTCTCTTGACTTTCAGTCCAACTGCGAGAAAGTCGAACTCGATGAGGAGAAAATCTCAAATCAGAGCACATTACTGGCGACCGATGGTAAGCAAGATGTAAATAGTGGCCTTTCAGGTATGCTTATCCGGTTCATCCAGAAGGAATCCAAAATCCTACGAGAGTCTATGAACATAGACGAGTCTCTCGATTCAGGTCCTGATATTGACAGATCTACGTTGTCTCCATCCATTCGAGCACAGTTAGATGCTCAGGTGGATGACTACCAGCGGTTTCTTCTACTTTTGACCCATCATCCCATCAATGTTCCTCCACATTTGATGTTGCATTATTTTCTGGCTATTCCGGCCATCTTGCCCCAGGAGCGGACAGAACTACTAAAGTACTTGGTATTCCATAATCTCTGGTACGATTTTTGGCTGGTTGCAGTCTCTGATGGTACCACCATGTCTGATTTGGAGGAGTTGCTTGACTTGGTGCATGAAAGTTTGATTTCCAATAATAATTTGAAACTTGGAATCTGGCAGGCGTTGGCTGCTGCTCATCTGGTAACCTCCAGCTTGGGTCTTCTCAATGCTATTAGTGAGAACGCCGAGTATCGGCTTGAACTTCCCAAAGGTTCAGTTGAAAACTTTTACAACTATTTATTTTCCATCCAGACTGCTCCCAACATTGATGCATTGAGACAGGTTTCGCCTGAAGAAACTCTAAGAACAAATCTTGTACATCGAGCTTTCTATGTTAGAAGACAGGCTGGCTTGATATCCTCCGACGACATTCCATCATTTTTGCATACTATAGACAAAGAACTCACCAAAATTCCTGGGTTTGCGTCTCTCATACTTTCCAGTGATGCGCTGCTCCGAGTTCTACTGGAAACCGTCACTTTGCTAGTAGCGGACCGCAAGTCACATCTCAATGATTTTGACTACTTTTGCATACTCAAAACATCTCCACCGTTGTTGTATCCAGTTTATCTTTCAATGTGCAAGAATATCAAGAGAAGGCTTGTCAAGAGTGATCAGATCATGTCGCTTTTGGTCGATATGGCAATCCCTGACGTATCACTCGTTGAGACATTGGTTATGAAGTTTCATCTGGCAATTAGTGTGGAGACATGGATACAGTTGATTCCTATCTTTATTTCCAATAACCAAGTATTGAGAAAGTTGAGAAAGACACAACCATCAAAATTTAATAAGGCTATAGATGGCCTTCTAGCGGACAATCCCGACTTGCCAGACCTGACGCTTCTCACTTTGATAGACATTTGCAATGGCCATCCCCAGATTATTCGAAAACTTCTTCAGCGATTGAGTCCTGATACTAATAACCTCGAATTTCTTCTCAGGATTGACTTTTCAGCGTACAATCTACTAGAAGTGATGAGATTCGCCTTCCGTCACCGAATTGTCAATGTCAACACATTCAGACTTGTGGATCGAATGCTCCATCAGACATGGGATGTGGATGCCTTAAATAGACAGGCATCTGTGGCACACTCAGAGCAGAAGCACACTAGCACTTTACGCAATGACGATTTCCGCATGTATTATCGGGCATCAAGCGAGAAGGACAAGCAGGCGCTTCTCTTCAATGTCCAAGCTCTTGCACAGACGATTTCACTTGGAAGTCCTGAAGACACTGCGTCTATTCTCAACGGTCTCAGAAAGTTTATGGATCTGGAGTCTTTCACGTTTGTCAAATCTGCCACAGGAAAGAACTACATTTTTGACCGATTGGTCGCTCGAACCATGCATTTTATCTACAAGAATCACAGTCACATGGCAAAACAAGGCGTAATGGCCATCCGAGAGGTACTTTCAAAACTTAATTTTGACTCCACCATCACCCAGGCATCCCTTTTCGAGCACATTGTTTACGACGATCCAGAAATCTGCATAGATATTTTGAAAAACTATAGGAAGAACAAGGCATTTTTGACTACGCCACTCATGGAAGCACTCCAGATTGGAATCTTACGCAGTTCCAAGCTTTCACCAGCTGGCAGACTCGATCTCTTTGAGAAGTTTCGCACCAAGATGCTGGAGTTAGGCTACAAGAGCAAGATGAGTGCACGGACAATGGCCAAGTTTGGAGACTTAATTTTCAAGGTGGGACAAGATCGGGGAGATACAGAGGGGCTAGCATGGGTGGTGACTATGGGTTATGACCGGGGAGTACCCGTCAAGGTGATTAAGAACTGGTCAAGAAAGTTGAATGGGTAGTGTATTGAAGTCTGCATATTAACTATTTCAGAAGAATTAGCACTCACAGTAGTATGTAGAGCTCGTACTTTGAAGGATCATGGCAACTAAGACATATGGAGTTACAGGGCCAGTATCGCTCGCTAATCCGACTCAAAGTGAAATTCAATTGAATGATTCATTGATTGCGGAGCTCAAAGCCAAAGGTTCTTTCGAAAGTGAGCAGGCCACGAAGAAACGAGTTGAAGTCTTGTCCCTCTTTCAAAGAATGGTACAAGAGTTTGTATTCACCGTGTCAAAGAAGAAGAATATGAGTGATGGAATGGCTCGTGACGCTGGTGGCAAAATTTTTACTTTCGGTTCGTATCGGCTTGGAGTCTATGGACCAGGTTCTGATATAGACACTCTTGTGGTTGTTCCTAAGCATGTGGCTAGAGAGGATTTCTTCTCTGTTTTCGAACAGATTTTGAGGAAAAGACCAGAATTAGAAGAAATTACTTCAGTTCCTGACGCATTTGTACCCATTATAAAGATCGAATTTGATGGTATTTCAATCGATTTGATTTACGCCAGATTGAATGTCCCACGAGTACCTCCTGATATGAACTTAGAAGACAAGAATCTATTGAAGAACATTGATGAGAAAGACTTAAGATCTTTGAACGGAACAAGAGTTACCGATGAGATTTTACAATTGGTGCCCAAGCCCACGGTATTCAAACATGCTTTAAGATGTATCAAAATGTGGGCTCAGCAACGGGCTGTTTACGGGAATGTGTTCGGATTTCCTGGAGGTGTTGCATGGGCAATGCTCGTGGCTCGAATTTGTCAATTGTATCCAAACGCTGTAAGTGCCACAATTGTTGAGAAGTTTTTCACTATTTATACAAAATGGAACTGGCCCCAACCAGTATTGCTCAAGCCTATCGAGGATGGACCCCTTCAGGTCAGAGTTTGGAACCCTAGATTATACCCTCATGACCGTCAGCACAAGATGCCCGTTATTACTCCAGCGTATCCATCTATGTGTGCTACGCATAACATTACAAATTCCACTCAGAAGGTTATCTTGAAGGAATTGGAACGCGGTGCTGAAATCATGAAAGAGATGGCGTCTGGTCAAAAGATTTGGTCCGATTTGTTTGCCAGGCACACTTTCTTCCATGACTACAAGTTCTATCTCTGCGTTGTAGCAGGAACTCTCTCCACTGATGAGGAGCATCACAAGTGGAGCGGAATGATAGAATCGAAGCTCAGAATATTGGTTCAAAAACTTGAGGTTACGGATGGGATAGCGGTGGCTCATCCCTATGTGAAAGACTTCTCAAATTCTTACTTGCTTGGTGAACAGAAAGTGGAAGAGGTGGTTAGTGCATATGGTACACTACAAGGTAACGAAACAATTGCAAAACTTGAAGCAGTTAAAACTGGCTCACTTTCCGAAGAAAGTTCGAATACCCAACCAGTAATTCATCTCACGAAGCTCTTTATTGGATTGGATGTTAGTTTGTTGAAGACTGGAACAGGGACAGTTAGAAAGCTTGATATTCAGTACCCATGCTCTGAGTTCTACAATTTGTGCAAAGGCTGGCAGGCATTTGATGAGAAGGTGAACTTTATTCAAATTAAAAATGTGAAGTTGTATGATCTACCTGATGATGTTTATGTTGAGGGTGAAACTCGACCTGTGAAATCAACTAAAAAAAGGAAGAAGGACAACAAGGCAGATCAGCTCAAAAGACCAAAGAGTGTGACCTCTACTCCTGCCATAGCATGAATTTGACAATTATTGAAGGAAAACGTCTTCAATCTTCGAAAGGAAGTAAGTGTCGTTTACTTTGCTGATCTGTTTTACAGAGCAGCTTGCATCGTCAATAATCCCCAAGCTGCGATATAGCCAGTATAGAAATTCTTCGTCTTTTGCTGTTTCATTGTAGAGGAGAGCATAATAGTTCCATACTTTTCGATTTGGCTCCAGCTTCCAAGCCACAGCTAGAGAAGCTGATATCTCTTGTTGAGGTTTTGGACTTTTTATTGCCCTCGAGTAGAACGACCGAAATGCAATAAAGCCGTTAATTTTCGATTTCCTTTTTCGATTTTCGTACCTTGACTTCAGTTTACAAGGATGATACATAGGATCCGCAAAATTAATACTAGTCAAAATTTCCTGTAACCATTTTGAAGGTGATGGTAAAGGTGGTAGGTCATTTAGTTTTAAAACGCTAAAGAATTTAATATTGCTGCTATCTTGAGACATTAGGGAAGGGGATCCTTATAGAAAATGTGGGACTTATCTCGCAAAGAGCATGGAGCCAAGGGGCAATTAATGAAGATACACATCCTTCTTTGCAGATCTAACATCTTGTATACATGAACTGCCCTAACTATAGATTCCTTGGGTAATCAACTGGAATTGGTCGTACAATCTTGTGTACATGCTTCCCAAACTTTTCCCAATAAGGACTGTTTCAACAAAGTCGCAAGCTTCTTCCTCGTTAAGTTGAAGTTGTAGTCTCTGCTTCAATAGGACACTTGTACTTTCTCCATTGTTGAAACATGGCAATGACGAATCTTTTTGCATAATCTCAACCATGTTAATAATTTGCTCACTATGCTCCCTCAATGCTAAAAAACACTTCTTGCAAATATCCTTGAAATATAAAAATAATTCACTCTCCAAACCACCAAGCAAGTCAACATACTCCATCGTTAGTTTGAATGGTGCCGCTTCAAAGCCAACACTTCCGGGAGAATTAGAAAGTAAAAATCCAAAATCAATGTGTATGATGTGACCTTCATTATCCAACATTATGTTTCCATTGTGGCGATCTTTAATCTGAAGCATGTAGCAAATAATAGAATATGATGCCAAGCTTCTTGCAAAGTTCTCTTGGGCCCTTTTATATGTTGAAGACTGACTCCCATTGAAAATTTTCTCAAAATAATCCTTCAACGTGAAAATTCTTCGCTTAGTATTCTCACCTTCCGCAATCGAAATCTCAGTTAAGGATTTCTTTACTGAGTGTATGGAAATTGCATTCGTTATAGTCTCAACTAGTCCAGTATTAGCACTAGTGATTAAGATCTTCATTCTCTTTGTCCAGCTGGGGATATTTTTCTTTGTCCAAATATTCGAGATCAAAGCTATCAATTGGCAGGCAAAAGCTTCTTGTGGAAGATCTGAGCCATTCTTTGCAATGACAGAGCATAAATCCCAGTTAGGAAGATGACCATACACGCTCGCATTTCGAATTCTCTGCTTCTTGGCTTTCCAGTCTTCTGCAAGTTTGAAATCGTTTTCTAATTTTCTCTCCCCTGCATTGTCATCTGTACCCTTGAGTTCATTGTATTTATCATAATCGATTGACTCAAATTGATCTTGCAAATCAATCATTGACTTGACAATTCTTTCTTTGATAGCAGAAGATTGCTCAGAAGTAGCTTGTCCAGAGCTTTCAAGCTGTTGTAACATTACGGCAGCGATCCTCATCTGATCTGCCTTATCTTTGGCATTGACGTCGATCTGGCCCCGAGTCTTGTCAGGACGCTTGCCAATAAACTCAAATCCTGAGTTAAAATTCGTCAAATCATAACTGGAATTATCTTTAGACACTACTTTTAAGTCACTCAAATCCGTTTCCACTTGGAATAAAGCGCTCGCCATATCCTGTTGCTCATCCGTTACTTGAGATCTCTCCATTGTGTTCTTCGAGACGGGATAACCCTTTTTGTGCTGCTTGGTTCGATTTTCGAGTATCCGCTTATTCTGGAGGCTTGACGGATCGAAATCTAATTCATCACTCAAAAACTCCACGAAGATCAAAAATGGTACTCTTTCTGCAGAGTTCAAGACGCATGCCTCATTAACACTTAATTTGAGGATTTTGTGGAATTTCTTCTTCGTGCTTGTAACAGGTAGTAATTGAGGGATGTCAACTTCTGACGGGAGTAATGTTTCGTTAATAATGGAAAGCTCAGCTCTAAGTGCTGATAATCTTGCTTCCTTTGGTAGCTGAGAGAGTCTGAGAGAAACATTTTGAAGTGCAAGAATAAATTCGGTAACCTTTTTGGAGTAGTTTATCTTCAATAGTCTTTCCGGATCCACCTTTTCCGTGTGATTATCATCATTTTCATGAGGCTCACCATCCGAATATGTGTCAAACGTGATTTCGGATACTGCAGTGGTTAGAGCTGGCCTGATTGAACCAGATAGATTGGAGGATCTGAGGTCGGGCATTGAATATGATTGGTGTTGTTGGTCCAGTATTCTTTTAATTTGGTCCCCTTTCTTTTTAAGTACTGAATTCACATCTAAGCGACTTTCGATATTGTGCATGAAACTGATGCTTTCCGAGTTCCGGGACCCACTTTCATTTAAAGAAGATTTTCTTCTAATTGATTTTGAAGGTTGTTCGTCTTCGTCACTAGTATAGAATTCAGATTCATCAGAAGCCAATGTTTGCATTGAAAGTCTCTTTATTCTTGTAGACGATTCGGAGTGTCTTTCTTGATTAATGCTCTTCTTCGTAGTAGGTGTAGCCTTTTCATCGTCAGAATGCACTGCTCTTGACTCTGCAGAAAGCTTTCGATTCTTCAAGGTCAAGTTTCTAGTGAGAGATTTTTGGAAATTTGCCAATCTAAACACGAACGACTTCTGCTGTCTTGCCTGTGCTTCAATTATTGGCTTGGCATAATCGTGAATCAGGGGAACACCAAACGAAGCGGCAAGGGCACCGCATAAAACCAAGGCAGGCTGTAAATTTTCCCGGAATTCGAGTCTCAGTGTATTGGCTTCAGCATTAAATAAAATATCCTGAAGCTTGTTAACTAGACTTCTGACCATCTGAAAAGAATATGAGTTAGGGTTGTCCTTCAATTCGAACACGAAAGCTTGCAAGTTCCAAAAAACAATCAAGCTGAAATGAGGATACTCTTCGCTGTATTCCATTATAAACTCTTCGACAGCCATTGAAGTAGTCTCGAAAGAGACCAAGATTTGAAGAAATTGGGGGATTAAGAATTCAATGTCTTCATACTTGAAAGTCTTCAATTTCTTGGTCAAGTAAAATTGAATACCGATATCAGTCGAGTAACGCCTCAAGTAATCAATACAGCTCAATAAATCAAAACTGGGAGAGTTTATTGCTTTAATGAGATCTTCTTGGTTCTCTTTCATGATCTAGTACATTTTACTCTTGACAAGGTGGCCCGGATGTTCATGAATATTTAGGTTTTATATGCAGTTCATATATTAAGGTCTACAATAGTTGAAAAATAAGAAATCAGGCGCTTTCTTCGGCAACAATATCATGAAGTGTCAATAATTTGGAAACCATATCCTCTGGTGAGTCTTCTGCTATGTTGATATCAGTTTTTATCAAGAATGGAATCTCATTCGAATTGTTCCGCACAAAATAATCAGGTTCATAGTGGTGGCCCTTCTCGCTTCTTTCCTTCGCTTTAAGTCTCTGATCTTCTTCGACTTTGAACTTCTCATCTGTTGCAGCAACGTGGTCCCTTTTGTCCAATGCCATAAGTGTCTTGTGCCATAACTTTCTAGACTCGTTTGGAAGTTGAGCATCAAAATCTTTCACCTTCGGTTTGAACACCTCTAAATTCGTAGTGTCGAGGAACATTTCCTTTTTTCCATCCAGTCCCTGCTGAATTTCTATGATACCGTTCCACTTCCCCGTTATTGTGTACAATATTCTTGAAGTTTTCGTGTCTCTAACTACACCTTCAATTGCATCATAAGAGCCACTGATGAAGCCTTTAGTCTTAAACTCAATGTCAGCCAGCAACGAATTTGCTTCACATTTGATCAACATATGGTCACCAAGCTCATATCTGAGCTTACCAAACAAGATTCCACGACAGTACACATTAGGTTGAGTTACTGAATAGACTTCATTAGCATGTTCGCCAAAAGTGAGATGAGCGACACCCTCCATCATTGCAGCCGATGAATTTCCCAAAAACTTTGATTTAGGGATAATTGCTCCATCCGCTCTTATCCTTTTTTCTGGAACTAAATAGAAATATGATGACTCTGGAGGATGGTGAGACGTTTGCTCGGAGAAGTAATATGCGGTGGAATCATCTGGTAAATCATTCCAATAGCAACCGAAAATTTCTCCAAGGACAGGGTTCAATGGCTTTTTAACAGCTTTAGGCGCAATGTGCCAACAAGACAAGTACCATTTAACCACCAACAAAAAACGCTGAACCTCATCCTCTGTTGCATTAGCTTCAAATAGAATCTGTGGAGTGAAAAATGCGTTCGTAATTCTCTCTAGCATGGACTTCTTTTCCAAGATGAAGGTCGGCAACGTTATCCTTGTCAAATCACATCCGGGCCGCAACTGTGATATAATTCCCATTAGGATGGATTGGTTCTCCGTGTCAATTTCGTCAACATCATCGGCAGCTGCCAAAGCTTCAGAACTTTCGTTCTTTGGCCCACTCAAGCTAATTTTGTTCTTCAATCTGTTTAATACCATTTATAAGGATGAGGAGTACACAGTTACTGTCCCCCAATCACTAAGCAATGTGATAAGATTGTATACAGTATTACACGTGCACAGAATCTTAAAGCTGTAGCAAACTTGGTGATCGAAAGGCAAAATAATGTCCAGAAACATAGTGGAACAAGATTGATTAAGAAGCAGATCTAGTCAAATTTTATTAATGCTTCTGGTGATAGTAAGTCTTTCATGATGTTTCATATCTCTAACAGTGTTGAAACCAAGCCTCAAACTATAAATGCACCGAAAGTGTGTTAACTTGTAAAAATAGAAAATAATGGGGTCCGAGAACCTGCAAGCAATACTACTTGAGCTACAAGAACAACTTGGAATTTACATTACAGCATTCTGTACTCTGCTGCTCGTTGATCTTGAAGTAGTTAATTGTGAGCTTCAAGATTTTTTAATTCGGTTACTGGCTATTTCAACGGTGTTTCCATCTTCCCTGGACAATCGAAATCTTATACTGGAGATTGTCCGGTTGATTGTAGCATGCCAGCAGATGGTCATTGAGAGAAAAGCATTCGAGGACTCCTTAGTTCCATAGCAGGCTCTGTAATTCTTCGCAACTACTTTATTGATTCGACTATCTCTATGGTTCAAATACATATTTACAAGAGTTCAATTGGTGAGAATCTTAGGAAAACCACTTTCCGAACGAAGATTGTGGTTTGGAATAGTCCCTAGGCCCCAGGGGCATGGCTCCATCCCACTTACCTAATCCAAAGTACCTCAATACAAACTCAACATCTCCGAATTGTGCACGGTCTCCCTGCATCACCACCGTAGGCCTAGCCAGTTGTTCTCCATTGCCGTTTCCAAGAAGAACCTTGCGTGCCACATCTTGGACATCTTTAATAGTGAGTGCCTCGATCTTTTCCACCATTTCGTCCACCGACGTGACCTTACCCTGGCATTGTACCTGTCTACCGATATCCTCTAAAGCTGCCAATTTACTCTCAACATTCATCAAAAGTGCACTGGTCAATTGGTTCTTGGCTCTGCGTAATTCTTGTTTGGTGATTCCACCTTTACCCACATCCTCTTCCATCACCTTTGCAAGCTCATGTGCCACAACCTGTGCCATATACTCGGCATGGTCAACATAGCACGAGATAGTGATTCCAAAAAGTCCTGAGTCGCTGTACGCGTGGTTGAAGCACAGACAGTTTTCGACGAATGGATATTGGTTGAGAACTCTAAACAATCTCAGGAACATACCCTTTCCTGGACCTCCAGCTGAGAATGACAGGCCTCCACCTAAAAGCTTCTGAAGTGTAGCTAATGCATACAAGTCATCGCTGAGTAGACCAGCATTTTCAAATGCAATTTGCATATGCACCAATTTGGGCAAGTTGGCGTATCTTGGTTCCTGGTAAGGCAACCAAACTTCTCCACCCTGGTACTGAGACTTTGCCTTCTGAGAAGGATTAGCAGAAGGATTGACCCAGTCACCCAATTGGGCCTCAGCCATCTTCACTGCTGCCTCGTGGTCTACGCCAACCATGGCCACCACTGTGTTTTCTGGTCTGTAGAACGACTTGTGGAAGCTCTGAACAGATTCTGGAGTTATTCTAGGAAGTGAGTCCATCGACCCATAAAGTGGCATTCCGAGGGTGTTATCGGGATATGCAGCGGCATGGAGAACTTCCGGAAGAAATGTATCATATTTATGTGAGAGCTCATCAAGCTCATATTCCACTGAATACTTGGCCTCCTCAATCTCGGAATCTAACAATTTAGGTTCTCTGACGGTTTCTGCAATACAATCAAACATCTTGGGAGTATCTTTGTTGAAAACCGAAGCCTGGTAAAGAATCAGCTCTCGCTGGGCTCCGCACATATAGTTTCCACCCAATCGGGCCAAGTCCTCCATCATCTGAACTCCCGAGCGCTTTGCTGTCGACTTCCATGCCAAACGGTCAAGCATGTGAGATAATCCGCTGGTCGAATCTGTTTCATATCTGGATCCAGCATCGATATAGGCTCCAAGTGCACTGAAATGTCCTGGAGTGGAATCTGTCACGACACGAACACCATTTTTCAACGTGGTTAATTCGAGATTCGAAGAAGCCTTCGAAAATGCTCGTTTGAAAGTCCGAGCACTTCTGGATAGCATACTGATGAAGGTGGCGAGGAGGTGCTTAGGTCTTCGAGGTTTGGAAGTTCTGATGCTTCTGTATATAGTAGTGTGTGGCCAGAAACTCCATTAACGAAGAAGCTGAGGAATAGAGATTAACAAGACGAAATCTGGCAAAGGGAAACTACTAGTTCGTAATTGAGCCGGATACTTTAACCTCAACCTCTGAAAGAATCATCTGGGATATCGAGTTGTTTAATGCATGCATTTGGAGATGGATCATTCAAAAACATCTTTACAACGGATGCTACGTTCTTCTTGGTATTAAAAAAATATATATATATCGGGGTTGGTTTAAATAGGATCGGCAATATGATTGCTGCTCATAAACATATTCCATGTTCTGGGTTGACTTTGAAGTAATAGTCACAAAGTTTCAACCACAAAGTCGAACAGAACACCCTTACACCATAACTTTGAAAACACCCTTACACCAGCTAATAACATCCGTACCCCCATAGTTAAGCGGGATGATTCCCCACTAGCCGTTGGATAATCCAATTTCAACTTTTTTAATTGGTATCTTCACATTCAAAAGCAGTCCGAATGATTAGTCAAAATCCATGAATCTAGCTTCCGGGTGATAGAACGTAGGACACAGCCAGTAAGCTTTCCTAATACCATCCCAGACACTGTCATCGCCCTTCTTCAAAGTTTCATCTGGAACCTTAACTTCAGTGAACTCACACTTGAGACCATAATTTCCTAAATCAATTTCTACCAACTTCTTGTATACTTCATAAATCACCTGACGGTCAGCTCCCAAGCCATTGAAAAAAGAAAAAACACCATGTGGCTTCAAAAGACCAACAACATAGTCAAAAAGCTCCAACATATCCTGGTAATGCTCGGAAAATGTATCATAGTATATTCCGTTGAAGTAAACATTCCCAGCACTAAGCAACTTTTCGAGCTCCTGCTGCCATCTTCCTTCAAGAATTATAACGTTTGACTTCTCATACCAACCGTCGTCTTTTAACTTCTGGAGCACGTCAGGGTGTGCCTCACAGATATAGTGCTTGGTGGGATTTTTGTTGTTGATCATGGTGTCAATAATGCCCATTCCGAAACCAATGTTCAAGATGTTAACCTCAGACTCGGGCTTTCCGTTCACCAAGGCTCCCTTGAAGACGGAATCACATCCAAGTTTCATGAGGTCAGTCTCCCACTCCATCATTACACCATCTTGGTTGGACTGTGTAACTAGGGCACCATTTTTGTATTCCAATTTGGACTTGAGGTATGCGTCTTGATTATGGGAAGGGTCAAGCTCTGGAGCAGGTTCGGACTTCGCTGATGGCTCGGTGACAGTTTCACTTTCACTTTCAAATTTAGTTTCTCCTTCTGCTTCTTCTTTTGATTTCTCGCTCAGCTGCTCTGTTTTGGTATTGGGTTCAGGTTCTCCAGTCACTAACTCTGGGATTTCGCCAAATTGTTCATGATCAAGATCGTCAGTATCATCAATGATTTCCATATCATACTCGCTAACCTTTCTCAAAAGAAGCTCTGCACGAACTCCAGCATCAACGATTTGATCGTAGATGGCATTTTTGTTAAGCTTCCTTCTAATCAAAATGCATCCTGGTGTTTCGTCGTTCACATCTGTGAGACACCAGCCTGCACCGTATTCAAAAAGTATCAGCACCATTTCGTTGACGATTTCCAACTCCTCTTTAGTGGCATCTTCTGGGAGATGTGTAGCAATCAAGTGTAAAGGCGTGGTGGTAGTGGTGGGCTCTTCTTCGATGCCATTTGTGTAGTTGTAGGCCTCTTCGATGGTATAGGTGGATGGAATTCCATTTTTTAAGTAGTACTTGAGTTCATCAGTGTATTTGGACAGGATTGGACGCTCCAGAAATTTACACAAATCGTGAAGATCGGACATTTCGTGTTCTGATGATTAGAACAGATTGAAGTAGAGAAGACCAAGTCGTGTTATCTGCAGTCGTGATGAGCAGTAGGTCGGTGTTTCGCCGTAGACCCAGAGGACAAGTCGAAAAAATGAAGAACGGAAAAATCTACCGAAATCTTAGTGTATTTTTCTCCTTCTCTTCGTTTCCCTTTTCTAGATCTTACGTCAACAGCCAATCATAATGCAAAATGGAAGTGATGAGGTTGATCTTGTGAGTATATTCCAGCTTCCAGTGATAGTCAATCAACTTTGTGCAACGAACTCGTAAGCGAAGCACACAATTCTACTTTTTAAATGGGATTTTGCTGCCGACGCTATCTTCAATTCTTCAGGTCGAAATCAGATTCGGCTAACTTGTGACGTGAGAATACCAGGCCATCAAGTTTGCAAAGCATTGTTAAAATGGTGGCTACTGCAGGAAGTTAGCCAAGGTGATTGGTGTGGCACCAGGGGTTAAGACAAAAAAAAAAGTATGTGCTTCCAGAGATTCAAACCTTTAAGATCAAAAGATCGTAGGCAAGGCGGGCATCCGCTGCGATGCCACAAATTGACAGAATCAAGTCTCTGCTTATCCTGTAACGGTTGGATGAACCGCCTGTGTGTGCGCTCCAAACCGTGAGGCGGAAGTCACAAATGGGAAAGGTGATGCCAAAATTGACCACGATGAAGATTAAAGTATGAACTTTTGATCGAAAAGAAAAGAAACTCAAACAATAGGTCACTAGAGGATGGTGAATGGCACATGTTCCGATCTCCGAAACACAAAGGAGTTAAGACAAAAGCCCAACCCAGAGTTTCTTTTTGTGTGCAGATCGCTTGAATAGTCACAGTCACGTGAAGAATGATTGTCAGTGCTTCGACGCGCGGTAACACCGAGCCCAAAGGAATTTAGCAATCTTGATCCCCGCTGTTTCAAAAGGTGGTAGCCCGTGGGAATACCAAACATAGAAAAGGCGAGTAAAGGGACAAATTCGAGATAAAACAGTCTAGCCTTGAAGAGATTGAAACAAGTATGACGGGTATTTGCCGGTCAAAACCGGATCTGCAAGGCTATTTGTCCGGAAAGCTGGAGAACACACCATTGCTCCCTCGGAAATCATTGTATTCACGTGACTTTCGCGTAATTAACCTAACCAGTTCCGGTCAACTTATCATACGATTCTTGTAGCGTGATGGAGTCAAATGCACAACTTGCCAATTTGTTCCCGTTATTGTCATTGGTAAAGTTACGAATCTAACCGCAACTGGCCACTCTTTATAATCCCGGATCCACCCAAACATGCACCACCATGTCAAAAGAATATAATTCTGGACAGTTGGCTTCTTTTTACGACGAAGACTCCAAATCTCCAATGACAGATATGGACGTGCTAGATCTCTCATATTCCAAAGTCCAGCCAGAACTCTACCCACGCCTTGACATGTTCGATTATGGTTCCGGTGGTCAGCCGTATGAGCGTATCTCTTTCTCCGGCTTCAACGACTCGTTCGGCCTTCAAAATGGCATGAATGCTGGTCTCAACATGAATAATATCAACAATCAGAACGCCCAGAACACCCTGAATGGTGCTAGTGTCGGCGGTCTCAACAACGTCAACAATATCAACAACAATATCAACAACAATATCAACAACAGCATCAACAATAACACAAACAACATCGGAAATCCTCGACTCGCGCCTGAGGCTCGTTCCATGCCCCTTGGAAGTATACCCATGGGGATGGACGCTTTTGTCAAAAAAGAGGACGATGATGACGATAGTGGAATGCTGCCCAAGCCCCCTGGAATGGGAAAACGGGAGAAACCACGTACAAAGAGCGCACACAATGTGATTGAACAGCGGTACCGTAATAAGATTAACGACAAGTTCACAGCGCTCCAGAACTCTGTGCCCACGCTAAGGGTAATTGCACGCAAAAAATCCAAGACGAGGTCAGATGACGACGACGAGGAAGAAGAGTACTACTACCTGCCGCCGCTGGGAAGGGAAGATCTAGAAGGTTTGGAGCCTGCCAGGAAACTAAACAAGGGTACAATTTTAGCCAAATCGGTGGAATATATCAAGTTTTTGGAGAGGAAAAACGATCGCATGAAGTTGGAGCACCAGCAGCTCATGGAACGGGCCCGCATGCTTGGGATAGTGTTGGATGACACCACGGGTGATGGTTCGGGGATCAACTATGAACGGCCTGGATGAACGAACTGGTCAGGATATTTATACTAATGCTATGAGCATGTGCGGGACAAATTGTAGAGTGTTGGGGAGTTTATATTGGTGTAATAGTTCGATGAAATTAATGTTAATGACAGTATGGTTGTAGTAATGATGGATCTAGTGGATCGAAGACAATGAGGCAGTGAAACAGGTTATTCAGGTAACATGGATCGAAGAGCAGAGGATTTTAGCAGGATTTATGGTAAACGATGTTTGACACTTCGTGCATTCATTCATGACAGCATTGGCTAATGTATTCGTCTTTTCTGATGTTGTATCATGCCACCATTCTTCGAGTTACATCTTGACACAGTGATCTGAAGCGAGCGCATCTCGGAGCGGAATATCAGGTTGGCCCTGCCCTTCCGTGTTGTCCAGCTATCTGTTTTGATTTCGCAACCTCTATAGTATGTGGCAGATCATGCTATGCTCTGTCTTCTTTACTAATTTCCATCGTTCTTCGTACATCTTAGATTTCTGGTCTGATTCCACTCGTTTAGTATGGGACCACTTAGCCACTCATGTGCGCGCTCACTATGCTGACAGGTTGCGAAACGTAAAAAGATGCCAAGATGAGCTCTATGAATTCAGACCTTTTCACTTGTATAACTTGGAAAATTGCAAAAGCGAACAAGCAATATAGCTTAATCCATATTTCTTGCAGAATAATCAGAACTTTGGTCCCATATATTCTGTTTCCTCTACATTACTATCTTCCGATGGCATGGCTACCGCTACCGCGTGTGGGAGACACCCGTGCACCTTCGTATAGACCCAAAAATCTATTTATCACCACCGATTTGTCGTTTCTTTCTCTACCCAGTTTTCCTTTTGCTTCATCATGGCGTTGTCTGCGTATGCTGTGACTGCTTACGAGCTTTTTTGCTCGCTCAGTCTTCTTTCCAAAGTGTTGGTTGTGGTCGGTGTACCATTCGTCTATAACTTAGTGTGGCAGTTCGTCTACTCACTTAGAAAGGACCGTGTGCCGCTTGTATTCCACTGGATCCCCTGGTTTGGTTCTGCTGTTCCTTACGGAATGCAGCCTTATGAATTCTTCGAGGCTTGTCGTCTGAAGTACGGTGACGTGTTTGCTTTCATGATGTTGGGCAGAGTGATGACTGTCTACTTGGGCCCTAAGGGCCATGAGTTTGTTCTCAACTCCAAGCTCTCGGACGTTTCTGCCGAGGATGCTTACGCTCACTTGACTACTCCCGTCTTCGGAAAGGGTGTCATTTACGACTGCCCTAACCACCGTTTGATGGACCAGAAGAAGTTCACTAAAACCGCTTTGACCAAGGATCTGTTCAGACGTTATGTTCCTCGTATTCAGGAGGAGGTGCTTGACTACTTCAAGACCTCATCAGATTTCTCCATGACTGAACGTAACTCCGGTGTTGCTAATGTCATGAAGACTCAGCCTGAGATGACCATTTTGACTGCCTCGAAGTCTTTGATGGGTGACGACATGAGAGCTAGATTCGACACGTCGTTTGCCCAGTTGTACGCTGATTTGGATAAGGGATTCACTCCAATGAACTTCGTTTTCCCTCACTTGCCCTTGCCTTCCTATAGAAGAAGAGATGAAGCTCAACAGAAGATTTCGGCTACTTACATGTCCTTGATCAATGACAGAAGAAAGACTGGTGACATTGTTGCTGACAGAGACTTGATCGACTCTCTTATGCTCAGCTCCACTTACAAGGACGGTGTCAAGATGACTGACCAAGAAATCGCCAATTTGTTGATTGGTGTCTTGATGGGTGGTCAGCACACCTCTGCTGCCACCTCTGCGTGGTTCTTGTTGCACTTGGCTGAGAAGCCCGAGCTCCAGGAGGAATTGTACACTGAAGTTCTCAAAGTGTTGGCCAACAAGGGTGGCTCAATCACCGACTTGACTTATGAAGACTTGCAGGAAATGCCTTTGATCAACAACACCATCAAGGAGACCTTGCGTATGCACATGCCAATTCACTCGATTTTCAGAAAGGTTATGAAGAACTTGGTTGTTCCAAACACCCTGTATGTGGTTCCAAAGGGCCATTACGTTTTGGTTTCTCCAGGTTACACTCACACTTCCGACAGATGGTTCCCCAACCCAAACAGCTTTGACCCTCACAGATGGGATGCAGACGACTCGGCTGCTGCTGAAGCTGAGAAAGATGACGGTATTGACTACGGTTTCGGTAAAGTCACCAAGGGTGTTTCCTCTCCATACTTGCCGTTTGGTGGAGGAAGACATCGTTGTATTGGTGAGCAGTTTGCCTACGTGCAGTTGGGTACGATTTTGTCCACCTTCGTCTACAGCATCAAGTGGCTGTATGCTAAGGGTAGACACCTTCCACCAGTTGACTACCAATCGATGGTGACCTTGCCAGAGGCTCCTGCTGAAATTGTTTGGGAGAAGAGAGAGACCTGTACGTTGTAAGAGAAAAGGTTGTAAGAGACACAGGGAATTTTTTTTGGCAACAAGGTACTAGTCCCTTGGGTTCCATATAAATCTTAATAGAAGGCTTTTCCGAGAAACTTGTAAATCAGTGAATCCGTAGACCGATGAACGTGGTCAAATATGGAAAGGAATTGGGTTGCATCATGCGATCAAGATAGTGTGGTGTATGGGTGTTTGTATGACTCAAAGTCTACTTTCACAGAAAAAAATTCGAACACGTTAAACATTATGTCAACGTCTTTCAAGCTCAAGGTGCCAGCGTCGAGTGCCAATATTGGACCTGGATTCGATGTGTTGGGTATTGGTTTGAATCTTTATTTGGAAATCGAGGTGAAGGTTGACCCATCTGTGGATACTAGTGCAGATAAATACAACGCCAAACTTAGTTACGATGGAGAGGGAGCCGCTGGTGTTCCTTTGCAAAGTGAAAAGAACTTGGTGACACAAACTGCTATGTACATTTTAAGATGTAATGGAATCGACAAGTTTCCTAACGGAACTCAAATTTATGTCAACAACCCAATTCCTTTGGGAAGAGGATTGGGATCTTCAGGTGCAGCCATTGTGGGAGGTATAATGTTGGGTAACGAGATCGGAGGATTCAAGTTGTCGAAGGAGCGTATGCTTGACTATGCTTTGCTAATAGAAAGACACCCAGATAACATTGCTGCCGCTATGTTGGGAGGATTTGTGGGCTCCTACTTAAATGAGTTGTCTGCCGAGGAGACTGATGCTAAGAGTGTTCCTCTCGAGCATATTTTGCCCGATGAGTTGACTCCTGTTGAAAATCACGAGACCAGAGCTCCACCTTTTGAAATTGCACAATATGTGCAATACAACTGGAACAAACAAATTCGCTGTGTCACTGTCATTCCTAAATTTGAGGTCAAGACAGACGACGCTAGGGCAGTCCTTCCTGAGCTGTACAACAAGGAGGACATTGTGTTCAACTTGCAGAGATTGGCTGTTTTGACCACCGCTTTAACTCTCGAGAAACCAAACCATAAGATGATTTACGAGTCGATGAGAGACAAGATCCACCAACCATACCGTGCGCTGCTCATTCCAGGTTTGACCCGTGTGTTAGAAGAAGTCACTCCTACTAGTGACCCAGGCTTGTGTGGAATCTGTTTGTCTGGAGCTGGTCCTACCATCTTGTGTTTGGCTACTGAGAATTTTGAGCAGATTGCAGACAGTGTTATTGGCATCTTCAAGGAGAATGGTGTGGAGTGCTCGTGGAAGCTCTTAGATTTGGCTTACGAGGGTGCCACGGTTGAATAGATATAGATTCTGTATATACCACAAGTCGATTACAAGAAATGAAACATTCGACATGAAATATATTAGGAACGTAAGGAAAAAAATGCTTCATGGCCAATTCTTTCCGATTCTTTCCAATTCCTTCCAGTTTTCTTCAGTTTATTGCATGTTGCTCCCAGTCTCGATTTTTTATCCTCTTTTGTAGATTTTCTAGTTCTCCCAATAGTACTGGAATAATGTAAAAAATCGTCGCACTGACCGATAATCATGAATACTTGCGAACTACAAACATGCTTCCTTAATACAAATGAAATTTGAAAATTGATACATAGAAGAAATAAACGATTGTCCTCTAAATACCAAAATCCTAAATGCCATCATTCTGTCAACGTCAGCACTGATTGTTAAAAGTTTCTATGATAGGATGTGTATCACACGACCTCAGAGCCAATCAGATAACTAGTGCACCTTCAAATCCACACTCCACCACAATGGCACCTTCAACGTCAGATCTCCATGCGCAGATTCTCAAGCAGGATGCGTTTGAAGACTTGAAGACTAAGCCCGTGTATTTGGCTAAGGTCGAAGTCAATGGCGGTGATCGCTTTACAAGAGAGTTCTTTAACAAGCTATTGACACCATTAGTGGAACAGAGTGACTATACGTTTTCACAGTTGTTGGAGAAGGCCGATCAGAGTTATGTGAATTTGGAGAAGACACAGGTATTCAAACAAATATCTCCTTCGTTCCACATTGACTATATCCTGCCAGTACCCGAAAAGCCTAGCTACAATATCGAAAAGCCAATCGTCGCCAAAGTGATCTTTGACTTGGAGCCAGCTGAAATTAGTGCCGGTGAAGCTTCCTTGGGTTTCAATTCAGAAGACAATTTGGTTGTGGACTTGGGCTATGTTAACAATAACTTCAATCACAACGCTGAGTTGGTCAACATCGGAGTCAACTACAGACCTTACAAGCCATCTGAACATTTAGTATCTACTATGAGAGTGGTTTCCAACTTAAGAAACCCAACCTTCAAGTTTATTCTCGATTTGTACAATTCACACGACAACAACCAGCTGTGGCAGCAAAATTCTAGCAGAGCTACAGGTGGTGTCATTGGTGTCTCATGGTTGAATCTGGCCAAGACATTTTCTGTATTCAATGGATTGGCATTGACGAAAAGAACCATCTACGATATTGATGACGGTGCACATGACTCACTAAAAGTGTTTGGTGGGGACTACTTGAAATCGTCAATTGTGAGTAGATTGGCATATTCTAACGTTGGACACTTGGGTAGTAGCCACAGCTTCCCAGCTTCAGGAATCAGTGCAACGCTCTCAAATGAAATTTGTCTGGACCAAGAACAGGAGGTTACAACCAACAACCTGACTGTGTTTGTGAAAACCGCAACCACTTTCAACTTGTATAAGTCCTTCTTGAATAATGCATTAACTGCACATTTCTTCAAAGAAGCTGGTGCTATCTACACAAGCTCAACAAGTGGTAGCGGCATTCACTTGGCTGATCGTTTCTACTTGGGAGGCTTTAGCTCTTTCAGAGGTTTCGCTCGTAACAGTGTTAACGAACAAGGAGGATCACAGTTCTACAAGGCCGGCTTGACGCTCTATTCGAAGCTCCCAACACTTATACCTGACAAGTATGCGGTCGAACCCAACCCGTTGAGATTGTATGCTACTGGTGCCGTGGGTAGTGTTGGCGACAACGTCTTTAAGGATGATGGTGTTTTCAGTGCTGGAGTTGGTCTTAAGTTTTTCAACAAGTGGGCACACTTGGATGCTGGATACTATGTATCTCAGAGACTCAACAGTAGTAACACATATGGAGTTAGAGATGGATTCCAGTTGGAGATTTCTCTCGGAGGAACAACTCGTACGTAGTAGAGCATAAAACAAAAAGAATAACATGAAAGTGTAGTTGAGCAGGAATAAATGAAAAAAACTGAATGTGAGAGAAAGAAAAGAAGAAATCGCAGGTATTACCAATCATGGCTTCTTTGGTACCTTGTTGAATTGAAAAGCTAGGCGTTAGCTGTATACGACCACCTCAGACAGTATGCAGACTGATATCGTCTTTGACTTTCAAACCATTGAAGGTTCCACTAAAGATCTCCACCATGCTCAAGGAAAACGATATCATCCAAAAAGTCCTCCTCACTATCGAGCAGTACAAGGGGAACGCGAACATTTTCAAGAATTCCGTCCTCAACAATGAGTACACGTCCAAGAAAAGCAACTTTACAAGGCTTCTAGTATGGAAGACTTGCTTCATTACTGAGAGTTTGAACCTCCAAGCATGGGAAACGAATCTCAAAACCTCAAGAGTTATCTACCATAAACTTAGGCAATCACAGGAGATGCAGTTGCCGTGGTGGAAGCTAGATATTGATAGTCCATTCTATGCGCCAGAGATAGTAGATCGGATCACTAAACTGTCTAAGCCACAAAGGTTGGTGAGAGTGCAGAACGTCCAGAATGACCCACTTGTCCTGAAAAGTAGGTCACCTACTCCTCTGGGCCCATACGAAATTTCTGAAGAAGATGTGGACCTATTGCAGTCTATTATTTTGGATATACATAGATTATTTCCTGGAGAGAAGCTTTTTCATGATGAAACTAACGCAGCTTTACAAACCAAAAAGCAGCTAGTTTCTATTCTATATATTTGGTCCAAGTGTAACCCTCAGGTTGGGTACAAGCAAGGAATCCACGAGATACTTGGACTACTCTACTTAAATCTACTTGCCGAGTCTGTGGAGATTCCTAACACCAATACCTTCTCATCGGACGACTTGAGAATTCTTTCATTGTACGATGTGCATTACCTTCTGCATGACTTATTCACGATTTTGAACCGGTTCTTAATATCAAGCGGAGTCATCTCCCAATTCTATCAGACCGAAACTCACTTGATGGCATCCATTGAGCACTTCAATGGCATGCTCATGAAGACCGACCAATTGATCCACTACAACCTCATCACCAAGCTTCGTTTAGAGTCTCAATTATGGATCATTAGGTACTTAAGATTGCTTCTTCTAAGAGAGTTAGGAAGCAATTTGGAAATTCCGTCCCTGCTTTGGGACAAACTTGCAGCCTGTCAGCTGCTTGCTGGAAATGGCCAGCAATGCATTCCTGATTTAATCATGTTTATCATTGCCGTTCTATTGGTGCATATCAAGACTGAATTGGTCCTTTGTGACTTTTCGGAAGCACTTTCGCTCCTTTTGCATTTCCCAATCACATCAAGATTAAACCAGGATCCCGAATTTGTCGATAAAGTGTTTAAAGATGCATTACACCTTTACGAAAATAAGGATAACGACTTGAAACTCTACGAGTATGGACTCAAGCTCAACAAGAAGTATAATTCGCGACTCAGGGTTAGCGTTGGTTACACGTCTGGAGACAGCCCTTCCAATTCACTGAGCGCAGTTTCGTCTCCTAAACTGTCAACAGAAGTGACTAGATCAATTCCTACAGCGGAAGATTCTCGAGCAGCCAAAATGGCTTTTGAGAAGGTTCGAATGGAGATGAGGCTTAAGAAAAAGGCTCAACTGATGCTCCGCAATTAGCAAAGTACATAAGGCTAATTATGGTTTACACACGCCATAACTCGACATAATCAATCTTGAACTAGTGTTCACAATCACATTGTAGACATGGGTAAGAGAAAAGCCGCTGCTAAGCCCGTGAAAAAAGTGAAACAAAAGCTTGATGTGACTTTCCGTTGCTTGTTCTGCAACCATGAGAAATCCGTTATTTGCACCTTAGACAAGAGAAATAGCATTGGCGATTTACATTGCAAGATCTGTGGTCAGACATTCCAGACCGCCATAAATTCCCTATCACAACCAGTTGATGTCTACTCTGATTGGATTGATGCATGTGAGGACTTGGCCGAGGAAGTGGATGAAAGGGGAGAGGATGCCGAGAACGATGAAGAGGAATACAGTGACGATGAAACTACTCCACATAGAAAAGAAGATGAGGTGGAAGATGACTACTAAAATACAGATATACAAATAATACAACACATTTCGACACTTGGTGTGGTAAATAAAAATGTCTGAAGCAGTGATGCATTCGTGCTTCTATTTCTGATTAAACTTGCTCAAAAGCATATTGAAGATTTCTTCTTCATTCTTGTGAGTACCCTCGGGAGATTGAGAATCCAAAGTTCCAAAATCTTCCTTTTGGTGTTTCTCATCAGAGTTGGCTTCATCTTTCTTCACGGGAACAGATTCTCTCAACAGTACAAGTTTTTCACGAATTTCATCCAATAGGTTGTGGTCATCCTCCTCGGTGTTAGACTTATTACGATTTTGATACAAACTCTTCAAAGATATTCCCTTCTTAGCAGCATCCTCAAGATAATCAATAACTGTATCAAGTTTGTCCAAGTTGACATCAATCAATTTCCTTCTGATTTCTTCACCAGAAAATTTGGAGAAATCTTCAAACATCCGACCATTATCATTCTTACTGATATTCAGCAACTTCAAAACAGAACCTTCTTCCTTGTTGAGGTTACTCAAACTCGTCATGGATTGAGTTCTCGAGACAGGCACCGAACTGGTCTTAACAGAGAGGGATGTGGTTGGGTCTGTGTTATCTCCTTGAACCTTTTCATGAGCGTCGGATCTTGCCTTATTCTTTTCATCTTCAGAAAGGTTCATGTTTATGAGATCTGAAGAGGAAACGGTCTCTTGGTTTTCAACGAGTGAACTATCAATGAGTTTCAATCCACGCTCCAAAGACGAATCAAGAAATAGAAGTTTAATCAACGTCTCTTTGCCTTCCATACTCAACTCATTCTTCCACTGCAAGTGGAACAAGTCTGCTATTGCTGCCTTCAACTTCTTGGAGTCATCCTGGATTCTCTTAATAAAACTGACAACTTCTGGTGATGTCATATCAATCTTTTCATCCTTTTTCTTTTCCAAGAGACTGCTCAACTTTTCCGCTATAGACTCTTCCTGAGAATCTTCACTCTTCAAATCCACAGAATTGCTACCTGTTTCTCCCTCCTCTACGTGTCTCTTAAAGAACAGCTCCATATTCCGCATGGTATGCAAGCCAATTCTTTCTTTGATGATCTCTGGTAACTGATTGAAGTCTCCATCAACGGTGATCAATGAGTTTGAATTCTCTAGGCCACGGATCAAGGCAGTGCCTGCTTCGACATCGAAAGTATTACCAACAACAGATAAATAAGCCAAACTCTTACAGTATGGAACCGTCTCGAATATATGGATCAATGAAGTACTCGAAAGACCACAATTCTCCAAATTCAAACGCACCAACTTGCGGAACAATGGCAACTTGGAGCAGAAATAACTGTTTATGGCCTCCTGAGTGTACAATTTGCTTCCCTCTGAAGACGAAGGTGCTTTTGAACTCAGACTGCCAGAAATACCTTCTAGCTTCAGTTCGTCATTCTTTTCATTGGTGGTAAGAGAGGACTTCTGAGGCGACCCTGGACTTGATCCCAGTAGGTGAGCACCAAACAATTTTGGATTGTTTGACAAATCTAAGTATTTCAAGTTGGAAAGGCGCAACAACACCTTCTCATAAACTTCCTTGAATTGATCATCAAAATACAAGTTGGTAGCATTCAAACTCAAAAATCCAAGCTCTGAATTTGAAATCATCCTCTTGAATTTAGCAGTCTTAGACAATTCCAAGAAAGTGTTAATGTACGCGGGAGATGTCATGTCATTATACCCAAGATCAAGACCTCTACTCAATCTTGAAAGAACCCAGTTCTCCATTACAATCCTGAGTTGTGATGGAGTAATCTGATTGTAGGCGAGTCCGAGTTTGTATGTCCTTAAAGTCACGGCCTGCTTTATCAACAGCTCAAACACTGCCAAATCAGTTATGCAACAACCAGTCAAAATCAATTCCTCAATACCGCCTCGAGCGACCAATGTTGCAGTAAATAATGACCAGTCCATATCGGATCTATTTTCCATGTTGCAAGTCATCCGAACTATAGTCTCTTCATCAATCTTCTTCTCAGGCTTCTTTTTCTTCTTCTTCAAGACATTAACAGAAAGTGGGGGACATTGAGTAATATCCAACTTGTTTATAACTCGATTTCTTGAGAGAAACCAACACAACAAAGACCATCCTGCTGAATCAATCGGAGTATTACGCAAACTTAACTTTTCAAGTTGTTTCTTGGCGCACATTGCACTCAAAAGAATCTTGAACTGTTCGTAAGACAACGAGACTCCATCAAGTGAGATACAAATGATTGGAGCAATTCGAATGAAATCAGCAAAGGTTTGTATCTCGATCATTGTTGGGGTAGGATTTCTCAATTGTAACAATGGCAAAGGAGTCATGGATCCCTTAGGAATCTGCTTTGCAATCGCTGGAATGGGAAGAATTTCTCTCAAATGACAGCACCTTGTATACATCAAGTCTAAAGCCATTTTCTTTACCGGAACTGTGTATCCCGGTCTAGCCACATGATGAAGCATTGGCTTGTCGATCGCCAACAGTTTAGCATGCTTGTCAATAGCTGTATCTTCTTCGCCACACCTATCCTTACCTACCAATGGCTCGTCAATGGAAGAACCTTCGTCCAGATCGTCATTTCCTTCTTTTTTGATTAATCCAAGTGCTCCAGTACCTCCAACAACTAAACCACCACCGAGTCCCTTTTGAGACTTTTCAATCGCAAGTTTATCAGCCTCAGTGAGAGGATTAATACGAACAGTTCCAGAAGGGAGGATTTCCACATTACCCTTTCTTGGAGTTCGAGAAGGTATTTGCTGAGGGGGGTCAATCAAGAATGTCAGCGAGTGGAAGGCGACTCTCTTGAAGTCCTTGATGTCTTTGAATTGAGGAGGCACTTCGGTGGGCGCTGTAGACACCAGGCTTGCATTCGACTCCATCGAAGTTTTCAGAGGATTGCTATTATTGTCTTGGTGTGAAGTTGAAGGGGACGAAGTAGAAACAGACATTCTTCTAAACAATGAGCCGATTTTACCTGCTGATGAAGGTGGCTCTGCCACCTTAGGTGGAGGTGCCTCATTGTTAATGATACAACTGTTGGGATAGATATTGTTCTCCGCCCGGAGTGAACCAGTACGGCTCAGACTCCTATTGCTGGGCCGTCTGTAAAATCGAATATATTCCTCAAGCCTTGGATCTCCGAGTTCTGGGTCGGTTGGTTTGAGGGAGGGTGCGACAGATTTGCCAGCTGAATCGCTAGTGCTTTCCATTCTGTAGTTGGACTTGAATACAGGCGAAGCAGAGGCGACTGGTTCATGTGCATCCGATCGAGAAATTGGATTCACAGTGGAGTTACCATTGAGATTACTCTCCAACATGGCAACCGAAACAGAACTCGACCTAGATGTTCTGCGAGCTTGCGGTGAATTCACATCCTCAGAAACAACTTGTGCCGAAGGGCCTGATGCAGATGACTGTGATTCGGTCCGGTGGAGTTTGTTCTTCAATTTGGAGAAGAAACCGCCTGAACTGCCCAAGCTACCAGCGCTAGCAGTGCTACCATTACTAGCCACACTTGACACACTGTTTTTTCGTCTAGGTATCGCAGAGCTCAGTGTCTTCGGGGTGTATTCAAGATAAGGATCATGATGAGCCTGCTCTTCAGAGATGGGCAGAATCGAAGGTTTCGTCTTGTTGACACTATTGGCGTTAGAGTTAGACACCGCCAAATGTGGCGAAGGAGGCGTCACTAGCAGACCATTCAGCGTTTGCTTCTTTAATTCTTGCAATTTCGACGCATATTCTGCCTTCTTGGAAGCATCTTCCTGCTCCTTGATATGAGGTTCCACCTTGACGTTTGAGTCGGTAAGAAACCAGTCAACGTCGTTCTTTCCAATGCTCTCAAGAAAGGCATTACTCCGCTCCAACACGAAGCTGTGGACTTTCTCCCAGTCTAGTGTGCGGGACTTTTCGTCACCCATTAAATGTTTGTTGTACAGAAGTTGAGCACGGGACCTGGCGAAATGAGAGTGTAATAGCTTAACAAAATTCGACAAAAAGCACCTGGCGTTCAAATGACAGTGGAAATCGGAACGGACTCAGGTGGCTAAATCGGATTTGTTTCGTAGAAGGCACTGTTGTGAAGGTGACGAATAATAGTGATCAGTGACCGATAGTGGAGCAAGGACTTTGGTCCGTCATACAACTCGATCAGCTGACCAGGGGAATGGTAGTAAGGGGAAATTGGAACAAGGTCTACGCTGCGATTGATATTATTTTTGAAGGGCAGAATACGGCCAATTTTAAAAATGCATGAACCTCCACTTTATTGCAGGCAATACTTCTTGCCATGACTCGAACAGCCATCTTCTGTTGCTGTTACTGTTTGGTGAGGCTCACTCCAAAGATCACCATCAACTACCACACAGTACATGCAGAAGATTCTCCATTCTATTCGCTCTCAGCTGAAAAGCCGTGGGCATAGGGCTGACAGCCAATTGGAGGGGAAACAAGATAGATACAGACCGCATTCACCTTATATATTTCCAACTTGAGATGTTTCAAATTTATTGACTACCTTTTTGTTTCCTTTTTTTATTCATGTTGGAAGTTGTCATCGGATATCAATGATTATTATTCCGAGCCGAGGAATTGTGCGGGACGACCAGGGGACATCCAATGTACAATAATAAAAACACGACAATTTCCTGAAAGTTGCCGCTCATAGATCAGATAAGTTCATTACACTAATGGCATGATTCGTGGACAGCTAGAGGCTTACTAGCCAGTAGACATTGACGTTTAAATGCCCCAATTTCAAGTTAAACTGGTGAAGCAAAAACGTAAATACTGCAGATAACTAACCCCAGCTTTGTTTACGATGATCTGAGTTTTTAGTGTGGAGTGAGGGGCACAGCTTCCACACGCGCACAATAAGAAGTTTTCGGCGCATCAGATATGAAAAAATTTGCTACGAAATATGCCAAAGATAGTATTACTGGTGATTTGAGATCATCTATTAACTTACGACCTCAGCAATGCCAAAGCATTGTCGTACTGGGTTTGCAAAGATCCACTTCACCTACATACCCATGCCCCCCATGCCTCCAAACTGCTGCATCATCTTCTGCATCATACCTGGGTTCTGCATCATTTGCTGAGCCTGCTGCATCAAATTTGGATTCTGTCTCATCATCTGTTGGGCCTGCTGCATCATTTGTGGATTATTCATCATTGCAGACATGTCTGGCATACCACCTGCTCCACCTCCACCCATCATGTTCATGGCCTGCTGCATGAAATTTGGATTAGATTGTGCCTGTTGCATCATTCTCTGCATGTTCATTCCACCTGGAGCTCCGGCGCCACCTGCTGCGTTCATATTCTTTGCAGCACCAGCCATTGACGACATCATTCTCTGCTGTTGTAACACCATCTCAACCTCCACGGCGCTGCATCCAGCTCCACGTGCAACTCTTATTATTCTCTCGGGTTCATTTGTGAAAATACGCCCATCACTGTCCAACTCCCTGGAGGTCATGGAATCCATAATGTAGATCATATTTTTAATTTTTTTGCTCGTCTCCTCCTCGCCCACTTGATTCATAATATTGGACATTCCAGGAATCATCGAAGCAATGTTGGTCAATGGACCCATCTTCAAAAAGTTGTTCATCTGCGTCTGGAAGTCTCTCAATGTGAATTTACCCTCCTTAAAATTCTCGATGGTTTTCTTATGGCCCTCGTCGTCCTGGAGGTTCAACAGCTGAACATGTTCAATCAAAGATTGAATGTCACCAATTCCCAACATCTTGGAAATGAAAGTTGAAGGCTTGAACACTTCGAAATCACCAACATGCTCTCCTGTACCGATAAACACAATTGGTGTCTGTGTAGCAGCCACTGCGGAAATTGCTCCTCCTCCTTTGGCATGTCCATCCATCTTAGTTAAGATAATGGAACCAAAGTTGGAACTCTCCTTGAAAGCCTTGGCTTGGCCCTCGGCAGCCTGACCTATGGAAGCATCCATGACCATAATGGTTTGAGTAGGCTGAACAGCTTCACTAATTTGAATCATTTCATTGAAAAGCGACTGCTCTTGCTTATGACGACCAGAAGTATCGACAATAATGATATCGAACTTATCCTCTTTGAACTTTTTGACACCCTCATATGCCACCTTCACAGGGTCAGTCTCTAAGTAGGAACCATAGAAAGGAATCGATGACTTGATAGCGTTCTGCTTCAACTGGTCAAATGCACCAGCTCTGAACGTATCGGCACATACCAAACCAACTTTGAATCCTCTCTTCTTGTAGTATACTGCCAACTTTGTACAAGATGTGGTCTTACCAGCACCTTGCAAACCAACAAACATTATAACGTGAGATTCGGCAGCGAGTTTTTTCGTCTTTTTGCCGTTCTTGCTGACAGACTTACTTGCCTGGCTCAATTTCTTTGGCTTCGGAGGTTCTTCATGGGAATCCACGAGCGCACACAACTCGTCGAACACAATCTTCTGTAGCTTTTTACGCTTATTTGCCGATGACTCTGACTCATTCTTAATCTCAGCGGCAATCTTTTGTCTGATATTGTCTCTCAACCTTGCCACTAACTTGACGTTCACATCACTTTCTAGTAATGCCGAGCATATGTCTTTAATCATCGACTGGATTTCAGTCTCCGAGCCGGACTCTACCGAACCGAGAGCATTACGCAATCTTGAGCCAAGGTCAGCTAACACCATGTTGGGTTCAAGGATTGATTTCGGTGGTTGTGAAGAATGTCGAAAAAATGCTGGGGAGAACACCTGTGCACCGCGAACCACGCATGGTGACCAGAAAGGATTTGGTCGTCTGCGGTTCAAAAAGGCAGTGAAGAACATTGACCATTAGATTGTTGAGTTCTGCATGTAAAATAAGATAAAAATCCGTACATCTGATATCTACCTAATAGTTATGGTGGAATGACTGAATATTCCCCCAAAATTATTAACCTGAGGGATTATTTATTACACAAATCATACGGAGTCCTCTTGCTTACTAAAGGCATAGAAGGAATACTACCCCTTTTAACGCAGATCACCAGGTTCCCTCAAATACATTTAACTAGCACTCTTGTCACTCTGTATCCTGTGTATACTCATTCAACATGAACTTTAATCACATGAAGAGAAACACGTGATTACTCTACAACGTTATCAATTGATATAGAATTTAGTGCAGGATGTGAGCTTTGAGATAAACTCAAGGCCAATCAAAATATGTACGCAGAGTAGCAACCCGGCCAACTCCAGATGGAGACTCTACAACAGCTCAACACTATTCTTTGAGTCTATTTACTATCGGCTAATTCTCAGAAGCAATTTCTTGGTTTCTTTATTGGGATGTAGACTCAGCTGTCTACTGAAGATCTATTGGCCAAAATTGGAATTCCGCGCATCGCAGGGCTTTCTTGACTGTGGGGAGCTTATCGGAGGACCGAATTGCCAAATCCACCCACCCCGCCTCTGCCATCGCGATACCATTTCTGTCCAGAGCCAACGGTTGGACGCTCTGGTGGGGTGAAATGTGGGGGCACGAAATGCGGAGGTAGAAAAGAGGAGGGATGGTGTTGGCCTAGATTTTGTTACTGATGGCACACCTAAGTGTTGACCGGAAGTGTGATAACACATCCCAACAGTGATACCATATTCCCCCATGATATCACAATGAAGAGTGATAACACACCCAAAGTAACAAACCGAAGGCAGATAAGAGCCACCCAACACTACACATTCTCGTCTGCGCGAAGTGCACCGTGTCGCTTGTCATCGGAATTTTTTTCAGCGCCGACAAGGTCTGAGTTCGGCAGTTCCCGAAGCGAGAATGGTAGATGCAGTCCGTTTTGATGGTTTGCGTGCGAAAGTGGAGAATTTCCATCAGAAATGACGAAAATCGAATAATGTATACCTTGTAGTGATGTTCTGATGATGGAGATTTGCACCACTAATTCTAAAGTTTCTCGTAGTACTCGTAATTTATTGTATTTGATTTGATTTTTGTTATCATTTAAGGTGGAAATGTCGGTTCAGTCTATTTCGATACCTTCGTGGTTACCTACATTCCTCATTGCCTAATTGCTGATGCACCCTGCATTACTGAAGGTTGCTCTACATCAGGCTCATATAATCGGTTATGCGACATGCTATTATGATAAGTAACTTGCTAATTACAAAGCGGACCTCAGGAATTGCAAAGGACGCATGAACATTTGGTCGATCATGTTCAAGTCGTTTTCTAAGTTGACGCGTGGTAAGTAACTTTTCAAGTCCAGCTCGAATTTAAAGTCTTCCATATCGTCGTCTTCATTGAGGTCTAGAAGCACAGTACGTGGCAAATTTTCAACACTAATGTTTGGAAGTTGGCCGGGTATTAGTGAGCTGGATGGCAAGATTGGTGGCTTGACCGGCTCACACTCTTTGTAGACACTCTGTGTGTCAGACAACATGAAAGATAAGTTGACACAATCGTAATCAAAAGTGGTCTCTTGAAGTCCCGTTCCAGCCGGAAGATCCAGACGGTAAAATTGTGCTGAGGGATTGCTATCGTTGGATGGTGAGGAGTTGTTTGATGGCAATTTGCGCTTGACATCTTCATCCTCGTCGTATGAAAATTTGAACATGCGCTCAATGTCTTTGATCGACTTGGAGAAAATCTCCTTCTCGAGCTTGATCCGTTTGCTTGATTTATACATGGTTGTGCTGAATGATGGAGAAATCAAACAAAAGACGGGGTAGAATGAAAAGGTAGATAGTTAGATATATGTATATATATATTCATATAACCAACAGCGAATGCACCAATTATATTTACAGATAAGAATTCAAATCTTTGAAAATGCGCCCCACTTGATGTATGCAATGCCACAGTATAGGGGCACTGTGGGCATTGGCGTTCTCCAGAAAAGAGCGACTTTTTTCCCACAATGGCTCAAAAGCAATGATCGGCCGCGATTAATCTCCTGCCATGCAAAAGATAACAATAGTGCCGTTTGGTCATACGTCGCACCAGTTGCATTTGAGATCCAAACATCATTCCTTTTTGTTCTTGAGGGGATTTTGGGGGTTTCATGAACTGGTTTGGGGGTGATTCTTAACCCACTTGATCACGGATTCGAGAACTCTGCTTATTGTCTCTATGATTTTCTCATTGCTACTTGACCCATTTCCTGCAATATAAATTCATGAGGGGTGTGTATATTTTTTTCTACTTTACCTAAGTCTTCTGAATATTGATTTTTGCGAGATACTGCCTCGTAACGCCACAGATGGCAGAGATAAACTCTGGCGCCAGCAATCATTGACCAACAGATTTTTTTTCTGTGCGTCTCTGTGTGCAGAGTCTTCTTCGTCACTTGACACATTTTTTACCCCATCGAAAGATGAGACCGCCCGGCTAAACATTTCACCTGATGTCGCCTAAATTTGTGATAGCCAACACTCCCTCCGGCTTGAATGGATCGTAGTATTCCTCTTTACTACTTGTCTTCATGCCATATATCTATTGTGTCTCTTTTTCTTGGTCACGGAGCAAATAATCGATTTCATTGCTCAAATCTTCTTCATCGAAAAGCTCCTCATCGTCATCTGTATCTTCCTCAATAATGTAGGTGTCGTCAGACTCATCCTCAGTAAATTCAAACTCATACGTGACCTCGTCAACGACGACCTGCAATGAAGGTTCCTCGGACTCCACCTCTGAAAATTCGTCGGATTCGCGGGGGGCAATGGGCCCCTGTTCGGCGGTTTTTTCTGGATAAGCCTCGATCTCCTCAGTAAATCCCCACAACTGAGAAAGTTCTTTGCACCACGTCGCAAGACCGAAAACGGAAATAAGTAACGAGGGAACTATGTAAAGAAGTGCTGGCTGTCCGCGGCCTGAGTAATGGTTAGCAGTGATTGTGATACAGAGTCCAGTGACGTAAGCTGAAATTGCCAGAATAAAGTACTTGGGTGTTCCAATGCTTCTGAGGTGGTGGAACGCCAATTTAGTACGGTTGTAATACTGGAAATAATCATAGCGAAGACAAAGCGAGATGAACGCACCAGGAATCGCAATATCTCCAAGTCCTAGAAGTGAAGTGCCCCCTCTAATTTGATGCATCTGTTTGTTCCAAATTTCTGACCACGAGAAGAATTCAGGAGGACAAGTTGGAACCACGATCTTCACCGGCAAGTCAATCCCAGTAGCCACAGATACCATGAGAGTGGAGCCGAATACGAAGTAAACGTCGTATGCGAAAAGTGCAAGTAACATCAATGTACCCACTTTAAATGAACCCACTCGAGTAAACATACATCCCGATATCGCAAATACTGACGCAATGACATTATTCACGATCCAATTGACATTCTTCAACTTGTACGTATCAGAATTATAGACGTGAAACACTACCAGAAGTGCAATCGCAATAGGTAAAGTGAACAAGAACTTTGCGTCCCAAACTATGGCAAAATTCTGTTTCTTCACCTCTACTTTGTGAAGCTTGACAAGCTTGGCGTTATTGCGTTCAAGCATCCAATTCTGAAAGTCTTTAAGTTCAGATTTGGACATGCTCATACTCTTTAAGTCAAACTGCTCAATGACACCCAAAGGTGACTTATCATCATTGGAGTGAGTGAGCCGGTATCTGCTGAAGAAATATCCCAGATTGTGCTTGAGCCCCAATATGTAACCGATGTTCCTCAAAAACGCAGTGAACAAGAAATTCAAAGTCAAATGTGCCGTGGGGACGACCATGGTCGTAATATACATCATAAATACTTTAATCTTCAGGATATCAAAATGACGAATCAAGTAATCAAGTCCAAACAAAGCACTTGCGGCCATCACAGGTAGCGTAAGTGCTGATTTGTAATCGATCAAGTTCGTATTCAAGTTAAGTGCACTTTCGGGCAGCATAATATACAATGAGCTACCATCCCTGTCAGTGGGGTCCCATAGGGAACTATGTCTATCATATATTGGATCTGATGCCAGTTTGGGCTGGCTGATTGTTGAATAGGACCCAATAACAACGAGAGTGGTAGCAATGAAAATTATTACGCTGAAAGTCGCAACTTCCGGCTTCAATCCATACGAATAAAACCAATGGGGAGCAAATATAGCTAACTTGTCTAGGGCCGAGATTTCTGCAAATGTGGAATTGAGATTCACTTGCATGGTAGTTCTGACAGTAAAGCTTGTTGGTGGAGTAACAATGTTTTGGTGGAGTTTGGCTACATACAGTATACAATTGAAATACTTCAAATCTTTGCCATCTCACCTGAAACTGACCAATACAGGACCAGAGATGACGGACTCAAGACCCACTCACGGCTTTCGCCCCAATGTTTCAAACTTTGCATACGTCACATAACATAGTGAGCTGTCTATAGGGTTCCTAAATATTGATTTAGTCGCAGTCTGGTACTTATGACAGAGGAAAAGAAACAATAACTTAACATTGAACGCACAGTAGACACTCCTTCAAAATTCCTATACCCATTAGGCAGGGCATCCGGCCAATTTGCGCTTTTTGCAGGACAACTTGTTCTCCACCTTCATTTTAGAATGAAATGCCGATTCCACATCCAAAAGAATCTGCAAGATGGTTTCCCCATGGGGAACAGAATTTCAATCGTGATGGCATTTGCATTGATACACTTCCAGAGGACAACAAGATTATAGCCCTGGAAGAAAGATTGTGCAGTGAGGACTGCATTTCGGAAAAGACTTCAAGTGGTGCCAGCTTCTTTGCCGCATGCCTGGAAAGTTCCACGCCGCAAGAGAACGTTCTGCTACCGTGTCCACATAACTATTTCACCCGCCAATATAAACCTATATAGGTCCGAATGTCATTCACGACAGGACTATAATTACAAACCATACTTCAAGTTGACATGATTCTCATTGCACCACTTCCACGCCTTTCAGAATCGATAGAAGGATCGATTTCCATGCAGCGCGCGGAATTGTATGAGTCGGCTTTTTTTTTTTTTGCCTTGTAGCCGACTGGTCACACCTTGGAATATTTCCAATCTGGGCCACATCTGAAGCAGTAATAATGAGGCAAACGTGACTGCCCTGATGATAATAACGTGTTTCCGTGTAGAAGGTGATAAAATTTATTTGTCTAGACCCTGTTGTAGAGTTTGTCTCCTTGTTGACGCCGATTACCAAGTATGACTTGTTCGAATTTAGCCATGCTGCGCTATTTTTGAGAAAGAGCTCGTTATTTTTTTTTTTTTTTGTCCTGTAGTTCCTTTTTGGAAAGATCGTCGTGACTTATCACTTGAACCATTTGCTCTCCCTGAACATTATTTATAAAAAGAAGACTGACCTTCACCCTTTTCATTGCTTACACACCAGTGCACTAATACATCCTCCACGCTTCATAAGAGTTTAAATAAACCTGAAGCAAGCACTAATTCATCTTTACAACCATATTACAACCTATTCGAATTGATTGATGCTGGATACTTCTCAAGCTCCAAAGCAGATCGACCGTAAAAGCGAGGCCGAAGACGTCATTTCCTCATACAAAGACCCCGAGAGTATTTTCGAGAGGTCGCTCAGTACAAGTCCTTTCAAGTCATTACCACCGTCGAGGAGAAATTCTCGTGTGGGTTTAAGACCCAATGGCAGGTCCATGTCGGTGGTTTCAAATGGGTCGGTGTGTTCCCTAAACCTGATTCCGGCTCATTACAGTACAGAGGACTTCGTTGCTCCTGTTTTGGATACGACTACAGAGATTTTGACAGACCCCGGAATCGACTACAGCGAAGTCACTATTGTCTCATGCGAATGTGATGATTCGGCATGCCGGTCCAGACACAGCAGACACAAGGACAGCAAGGCTTCTCTGCGGCCAGGCGTACTCAATAGAAGTCGCTCCAAGTCTCGTTCTTTCATTTGCAATAGTCTCATGGGAGCATTCGATACCACCGATGAAGTCCGTGAGGAGGAGAAGGAGGACGCAGAAGAGTTCACAACTCCTGTGTCTCCAGAGGGGAAAACCATCAATTTCTACTCGTTTGCTGATGTTGTGAATGGTGAGAATGATTTAGAGAAGTTCAACGCCCAGCCTATGAGTGAGTTCTTAACATAGCCTTCTATGGTTAGCAGGAGCATGATTGTGTGTGTTCATAAGTTGGTGCTGGGTTAGGACTGGATCTGTATTGTATGCTGTGACAACCTGTCATTAAGTTCTTAATTCGTCCCGTGAGATTAATCGAGACCTTCATGTTTACACTTTCAACTAGAAATTTGAAACTTTGTTCTCTAATTTTACTCTTCGATTACTTACTGTTGCCCTACGTACCAGTCAACCCACACCTACTTTTACTAAACTTAGCTTCATCAAGGTATCCAATTGATTGCTGCAAATCACCTCGAAATAATTAAACTTCGACATACAAATGTATCTAATAGCCCCTTGATTGGCATACTAGGGACAGCAACCTTCAAACCGCTGAATGCACACCCTCCCAATGGGTTGAATTGCTCTAATCACCAAGTTGGATTTAAGAAAGAAGAGAAACAAGTGAAAAAGTGAGGCGGTACCATTCACGAAATCCTCATGGTGCCGTTATTGTCAAGGTCCCGAACTACGAGTCAATGGAGCAATTGCATCATCGAGGCAGGTTAATCAGTTGACGAGATTCTTTCCAACATTGCTTACTTCGAGTACTGTATCTACATGAAGCAAGAATCGTCATCATCAAAATACCTAGACCTTTTTACCTTTTCTTGGTAGTTACAAACTTACTTTTTGTTTCCTATCCTGAGACTTGCACCAGCCACAGGTTGCTGGCATGAACTAATCTAAACGCACAATGTTATGACGTAGTACATGATGCCTGCATGATGGCCATTTCCAAACGATTACACCACTCCATCTTTTTGACAAAATTCGAGGTAACAATTGCGGAGTAAAATTGCTCTGTTTACTGTCAGAGGAAGCTTTACCTTTACGATTTGCTGAGTGTTTGCAACGTTTTCGTTTTTAGGTTTTTGGGAACGATTTCGCGCTAGTTCACTTTTTTCGTAATCAGTTTGGGTGTGGTTTACATCGCAAGATCAATTTATGGCTAGCGGCCGTTGAAAGTCGTTAAATAAGCTAAGGATTCTCAGGGAGAGTTATATTATAGTCGAATACCTTTCTAATTTTTTCATTGTGGCAATGGATACTGCCTCAGAGCCTGTGGAGGACCTTCAAGGAGACCTTTCACTGTCAGCATTGCCTACTCTTGATGATGAGTTGGCGACAGAGTCTATAAATCTTCGCTTGCTTGTTTCTGCTCGTGAAGCAGGTTGCCTTATTGGTCAGAACGGAACAGTTATCGATTCTGTTCGTGAAGAAACAAATACTCGAGCTGGAATCTCTAAATTGCAACCGGGGTCGCATGAGCGTATCTTGACGGTAAGCGGAAATATTGATGATGTGGCCAAGTCACTAAGCTATTTTGCTCAGGCTCTAGTCAATGCATTTGCAGAGGCACAGTTTACATATCTGTATTTTCCACTCAAGCAATTGTCGCTGATTCCTAATGTGGAAGGTGAAACCACAGTCTTGCGACTTTTGATTCCGAATGCTCAAATGGGAACACTTATAGGACCTAGAGGAGTGCGAATTCAGGAGATCCAACGTAATTGTAACGTTCTGATGATAGCATCAAAGCTGTTCTTGCCTGGCCTGAACGAAAGGTTGGTTGAACTTCAAGGAGCTGTGGACAACTTGTATGACGCCCTCCGTTTGGTTCTGAGGTGTCTTATCGAAGATATTCCAGCGACATCAACTATTACTTATTATATCCCACGAGTAACAGGCTCACGAGTTGGAGCCAACAGTCTGGTCTTGCAAAAGCAAATCACAGCAACAGTTTCGTTTCACAATGACATTGTTGGAGCTTTGATTGGGAAACATGGAGCGCGGATCCAGGGTGTAAGGAAGGTTAGCGGGGCCACTATTGGAATTTCTGAGGAGGAGGAAGGACAATCCGGTAGGACCTTCACTATCACAGGAACTCCCAAGGCTGTTGAGAAAGCTAAGAGTTTGTTGTATCATAATTTGGAACGCGAGGAGCACCGGCGTAACCAAGCTGAAAGTGAATTGCAAGATTGAAATCCGGCTTGTTTTATTTATGCCCATTGATTAGTTCCATGGTTCGGGGGCCATCTTATTCGATGCTTGTGGATTGTCACCTTATGTTGTATTTCCCCTGGTGTACTATAGATTCTTATTAATGTCTATGTTTAAATATATAAAGTTCAATTCAAGTATTTGCAATCATTAAAATTTCCAGTTGTTGGTTGAGGAGATTTTGCTTGTCAACTTTACAAGATATCTGACATCCTCCTCGTTGAATCCATCTTTCTTTAAGCAGTCAATATCAAGAACTCCAACCACTCCGCCGTCCACCACAATTGGTACCACAATCTCACTATTCGTTTCACCGTCACAAGCAATGTGGCCTGGATATTTGTTCACATCAGGAACTAACTGGGTCTCTCTCAGTTTTGCTGCCATTCCACATACGCCCTTACCAAACAGTATTGTCTGACAGGCAACTTTCCCTTGGAAGGGTCCAAGAATAAGTTGATCCAGAACTTCTGGGTCAAGCACGTAGAATCCCGCCCAATTGACTGGAACCCCAAGCAGATGATATGCGTGCCATAGGAGTGAAGATGCGTTGGCTAAGTTGGCTACCCAATTGGTGCAGGATTCGGAAAGTGCCTCGTACGAATCGACAACATTCTGAAGTGTTTCAGCCTTCAGCAAACCCGAAAAGTCAGCGTAATCTGCGTGATGTTTATCTTCCCCCATTTTAGTAATTGATTTGTCTCTGGTTTCAATCATCACCTAGGGAAAAAACCTGTACATAACAGGGAATGATAACTGACTGCACATTCAACCATAGGTGGCCGAATCCAATACCTATTGTAAGACTCTGTCTTTTCCCACTTACCCTTCTCAATTAAGCCTTTTCCTTTCTCGAATTGAACTTGGACTCTTTTCCCTTTGGGCACTTTGTAAACATACGGCTGGATGAACACTTGTCCATATTGGCCTGCCTTGACAATACATGTCACTCCACCACTGAATTTCACAGACGTAGAAAGTGATACACCGAAAGCAAGTTTGAGAATATCTCCTTTGTATTGTCCAAGACCAGCGAAGCCCCCTGAAATGCCACTGGATCCTCCACTGGTCAATTCAATTTCGATTAAAGGAGAAATATAACCTTCATTGCCATCGGTCATATCTAAACACCATGAAACTGGTACCTTCTGTGTATTTTCATCTAAGATCCCATCATTTTCTTTATTGTAAAGGTGAAGGTACCACTTCTGAGAACCTTCATCGTAATAAATCACCTCATTTGTATCCTCCAACTTGATAATATTGTCTTTTGACTTGAAAAATCTATCAGAATCTCTCAACGTACTACGATTCGGCACAACAAAAGTTTGGCTTGAGCTACCTGGCGGATCCCCAGACTCTGCCCTGAGTGCATTCTTAGGGCTTTGCAAAATACTTCTGAAATTAAAATTCTTCCAATCGTCATCTCTTGGATCGAGAGGGTACACGACCAGTTGGTTTTCTTGAGAAAGGCAAGGTGAATTATTAATTTGCGCCTCAGTCACTTTGCTCAAAGAGACGAAAAATGAGACAAAGCGAAGAATCACTATTGTTGATGAAACCATTATTAAGTACAAACTCTGAGAATATCTCCCAACTTTTTGATATCTTTTAGAGTAATAGAATGACCATCATCTTCTGTTTAAATACCCCAGCTATTTCCTGAATGCCATACAATTTTTTGATATGCTCAACTAAATTTACCAGAACCGACTTTATATTATTTTTGATTTTCAGTTACATCATATTGAATGATAGAGAAATAGGTATCTGAACGGCCTGTTAGTCACATTATTGGCACAATTTTTTATTTAAACGGAACACTCAATCATTACTTGTGCTAAACATAATATTACTAAACTGTCATTTCAAGTGAGAAAAGAAAAGGTTAGAATTGATACATTTCATTTTCTACGCGGCTTGCAAAGGAAGAATAACATGAACTATCATAACTTAAGACAAAAAAAAAGTGTTGGTAAATAGCAACTTTATCTCAACGGTTTCTGTCATGCATATGAGTTACACACCCCAATCACTCCTCCGTATCTAAGTTACTGAAGAAATTAGATGAGATGGCAAGCCATAAGGGCCCTCCGCCTGAGTATTCACTCAAACTGTTCTTAGAATTCCTTGACTATCGAGGGATTCTGCGTAAACTTTGGGTTAAGAGATCACGGCCAACGAACCACCTACTGCGTCTAATACACTTTCAGGTGGAGAGTGAAAGTGACGATGATCCGAGATCCAATGGCAATAATTTTTTCATGACAGAAGAAAATGATATTGAAAATTACTTCTTTGATTCAATTGATGCATATCAAGCTGATGGTGGAACAGCACCCAAAGATCCTGATAACTTTTACAACCAAGCACAAGCAAAGGATGCCAGAGAATTTCAACCTGATGATGACTCGTGCTACAAGTATATCAGCAATGGGGTGGAAAGTGACAGAAGATATTCAAATAATTCGGAGAGAAGGCCGACTTTGTTAAAAGATGTTAAGAAAATGACAACATCTATTCAAGATGCTTACAATGAGTGGGAGAGACGACTGACAATCCTTAACGAGAGCGGATTGACTAATGAGGCGACAGAGGAAACGGATTATTCCGAAGGTGGACTCTATGATCCATTTCGCCCGGGACTATCAAATATCGCCATCGATAGTGCTTCGTCCTTATTGCAATTGGCACCCGCTACAAAGTACCGAGACCTGCTCCAACTCAACTACATGGGCTCTACCACCCTCAATGGGCTCACTGCATCGAGAAGATATAAAAATAACTTGTCAACTATAGTCCATGATGCTGAAAATACTGATCTTCTTCTTGTAGCGTGCGTGTCGGAAATATTCGTTTATGGGTTTGATTCACGTCTTCACCAGCCTAAGGAAAAGGAGACTTTCCGTTTCGAAACGAGACCACCTGGCACCACAAATGCCGATGGTAACCTGCTGACTTGGCCATATTATCCACACACAATTAATTTCATGAGAGGGACAGACGATTGGTTGCATGGCAGCGCAGTCGGAATTTGCACAGATGATGGCTCGGTTCTTATTTGGCATGTTTCAAAATTGAGACAAGAATTGAAAAAACGGAGTAACGAGAATCGAACCTCTTATCCCAGACTCTATAATTTAAGAATTACCGCAGATATTATTTTGAGATTGGAGATGTCTGCTTGGGGTCTAGATTTTGCATCTGCCGTGGATAATAAGGGAGAGAAACACTTTGTAGCAGTTGCCTCATCCAACTCGCAGACCGCAACACTCTTCTATTTCGATAAAGGAACTGGGGAAATGTCTTCTGTGGAAACACTTGAGCTCTTACACAACATTCCAGAGGTTTCCATTATTGACTACACCATTGAACAAGATAAGCATGAATCCACAGTTAGCTGTTCATCGATCTCAGGTGAACTAATTGTTTTTCGATTTTCCTTTTATGTTGGAAATTTTGCGACCGAGAGGTCAGTAGACTCCCCGACAGAATTAGAATGGCCAAAAAGGCAGGGTTGTGCATTGTTTTTCGAGCCACAGATTCTTCACAGGACAAATTTGGATTCCGAATGTTGGACAACTAAACCGGTTGCAACCAAGTATTTTAAGCTGGTTCAGTCTTTGAAAGCAATGACTGGTGATCCGTTTGTCGATGACCAAACTGAAATATCGCACATACTCACAGAGTCTGCTATTCTCAATTTATCCCCTGATCCACTCAAAACAGCTGACCTAGGAGGTGCAAGTCGCTTTCAGTTTTTTGATTCACCTGTTGTTTGTCTTGCCGGGAGCGGTGACAGCAACTTATCGGAGAATAATACGAGCAAGTTTGGGAGTCGTGAGGAGGAGTATCAGCGAATACACCAAGCGTACAAAAGTCTTTGCTCTGGCACTTCAGATGTGTTGCACAATACAATTCTTGCTATATCTACAGATTCAAGATTGGGTTTATTTCGGGCAGACACTTTATTTTGCACATCTGCAACTAGGAATGTGTTCACTCTCAATATACCTGAAAATGAGGAAACAAGGTGGTGTAAGAGAATTCTGATTACGCATGTTGTCAAAGAACTCCTGTGCTTCATTGCCGTCAGCCAGCAAGGATTGGTGACTATCATGAGATTATGCGAGCATCGAGGGTTGTTCGGTATGCGACAGGAATATCTTTTTCCCAATGCGTTGAGTCTCTCTATAGCAGAGAGTAATTTGCGAAGTATTACTGGTCTAGCTGTCCGGAATTTATCTATTGAAGATGAAAACCTTAGGTTCTTTCTTTACATCATATATTCGGACGGCTTGGTTTTAACTTATGAACTAAAGGATCACAGAGACTCTGTTCTCGATATTGATTTTTAAAACGCGGGTGTAAGACCTGCTTTATTAATATCTCTATATCAGGCCATTTGAATTAATCTGTATATTGTAACAATCATCAAGCATCATCAACTAGAAGTCATTACCTGCACTATAGCAGTTATTTTGATCGCGGTCCGCGTTACTTACAAACCACATAAATACAAGACAACAGGCAATGGACTTGTTGAAGTTGGGCTCGCAAGCAAGAAAAACAGGGCTAAAAGCTCGCTCAAACATTACCAAAGACAAATATGACATGGAAGATATCGATGAGTTCTTCGAAGACACCATATGGTCTGAATCGAAGAAACCGACCCAATCGATTTCTATCGACTCCAAACCATCTCAACAGCACAGAGTGACTTCTTCAACTGAACTGATGAACAGCAGGCGAAAGGTGCTTGGGGTTGGCAAAATAAGGAATTCAAACAAAAGACATGATGGTCCTATTCTAGATCTAGAGCGCTCATATAAACCGGAAGTCAAGCAGTCGACCAAATCCGATTTTGAAGAAATTGATCAAGAAATTCCTACTTTTGCAGATATTAATGATCTTGATGCTGATGAAGAAACCAATAACCTGGATGATCTTAAGAACAGAGCTAGCGATACTAGCATACCTTACGACAATGATAGTTCAGCACATAATGAGAGGCAAAATTACAGCGAGTTCAACGAGAATGGACAAGAGAGAACCGAAGTAGTTCTGGTGACTAACGAAAGTGGCGATAATACTCTTGATTCGAATATTCTTGATGGCCTTGAAAAGAACACGACACTCTCTCCAATCAGACTACAGATGATAAAGAGCAGTAAAGAATCAGTTGAGGAACTGGAAGTTGAGTCTACTCCAGAACCAGCAAGAGGAACTAAAACAGGGGGCAACTTTACAAAGAATATGGCCTTGTCACAAACAGCAAAGAAGAGGCACCCAAGGATATACGAATCTGAAGAAGGTGATCAAGAATCCGCGGAAGAAAAACAGACTAATTACTCTTCTGATGGAGGTGATGGTTTTGACTCTGACTTCACGGAGAGCCAGCATTCGCAAGGTAGTACTTACAAGGCGACTCAGGTTGAATCATATCAGGATTCCCCTCTTCCGTCTCCACCACCAGAAGGACTTCGAAGATCTAAGCGCACAAAAATTGCACCTTTAGCATACTGGCGAAATGAGAGAATCGTTTATTCACGAGCTCAAACAAACACTTCGGACCCTGATAGCACCCTTATCAATGATATTCGCAAAGTACCACTTCAGGAGATCAGAGAAGTTGTTCATATTCCTGAAACTTCAAAGAAAAAGTCCACAGGCAAACGTGGGAGACCACCAAAGATTTTGACTCAGGCTGGTAGGGGCAGAAAGCCAAAATCCAAACCTGAAGACTATGACTATGAGTCAGATCCTGAAATTGAAGGTTCTGAGTGGTTCAAAGATAAACTAATGGAGGCTGAAGTATTTGACAGTGAGGAGTCGCGTATGAAAATGGTTGTAGCTTGGTCGCCCGATGGTGGGGATTTCAAAACTGGTCAACTGGAGTTGGGAACTTTTAGAATTGCAACACTTTTCAATTCGGATAATGGATTAGTTGGAGCTGGTTTACTTGAGTTTCCATTGGATGGATTTAAAGCTTCGCAAACGACTGGTGATTCTCTGTTTATTTTCCATGTTGCAAAAGGTCTTATAAAAGTCACGCTAAGTTCCCAGACCTTCATTGTCACGCGAGGCTGCTCTTTCGAAATTCCGAAAAAGAATACCTACGACTTCAAGAACATTGGTAGGGGAAATGCTAGGTTATTTTTCGTTCAATGCCACCTATAATGATGCTTTTCGGATTTCCTTATAGAAAGTATATGAATATTGAGACAGGGGTAACCCGTGGAGGTGAAATTAATGTACAAAAAAGAATAGTAAGATGATTGACTATTCGAGCTTGGTTACCTCCGAACTTTCACCATCGAAGTAAGCGATAGTCTTAACCTTAAACTCAGATGCAGCAACTCCAAATTGTTTCAAGATTAGAGCCTGTGTCACATTCAAGGTGTCTCCCTTTGAGCACACATGATGTGGTTCGTTGAGGAAAATCTTTCCAGATTTGATCTTGGTGGGGATCTTGTACTTGTTTCTCATGGTTTCCTCCAAAGAATGGGACATCGGGATGTCTTCTTCAATTGGAAGTTGGCCACCTCTAGAGTAAATGATGCCTTCTGGTATAGTGAAGTCAATTGGGGACTTTGACTTAGCTCTGCAGTAATCAGCCTTCGTGTATGCAGTGAAATATGCCAGGACAGTTTCTGGGGTCTCGTTGGTGAACAATAAGCCAGAAACACCATTACAAAGTTTCGACAATCTGTGTAAGTTGTCTTTGTATTCTTCTTCTGGGGTATCACCGAGTGCTTTCTCCAAAACTCTTCTCTTACCCAACAACAACTTAGAACCAATCCAATCAGATCTGATGTCTTGTAAGACTGGGGTTCTCACATCATCCAACTGCAAAACCCAAACATATCTGAACTCATCAAGGGCCTCTCTAACCTCATCAAAAATCCGGGTCTTGTTCTCTTTACCCTTTTTGTCTGTTTGAGCTAGAGTAACAAGCTTGGAACGTTTCGATCTTGGCATTATATTCAAAGGTAGTATTAGATTCGAAGTGATGAGGTCAAATTACTGGGTTGAAAATTTCTATATCACGTGATTGCATCTCGGTGATGAGTTCTGCATGTTAGTGTTATAAATCCGTACATCTGAAATCTACCAGACGCCACATAATGAAAAACTCATAGGGAAATGTTTGTTATCATAATTAGGGGCTTTCCTCTTGATTATCAATCCAGAGACAACTATAGTTCTTTAGAAGATGTGACCCTATTTGCCCCAGAGAGCAATACATCTATTAAAACCCTCATTCTGTAGTCCATTTGTATTTTCATGGACCTACATTCTACACTCGAGCGAGATCTTGCAAGCTTACTTTAATTTTCTTAATATTTGTGAACAGCATAGTTTATGAACTACCGTCAGGGCGAGGACACGCAATAAGAGTTGCAAAGGAGTCATGAGCGATAGAGAAACACTCCAGCAAGCTGCATTGTTTAAGACACTACTATGTGGAGAAAGGCTAGAACTTGTTCCAGTTAAGACAGGTACAAATAACAGAAGATCAATTCCGTTTAAATTAGAAAAGACCAGCCGCATCGAAACATTAAAAGTATAACGATAAGTGAGCAAAAGAGAGTCGATTCTGAAATGGTTCAGCTCCTCGCTGAAGATAGTTGTGGCAATATTGTACATTTAAGGAATGGCAATTAAAAAGGCAATAGCCTGGGTTCTATGGACAATAGTGTCGGGCGGAGACGTCAATGACGTAATTGCAGAAATTGATCTTTACCCAAATGACGGACTTGTGATGTGCCTAACACCTACACTCACTCTTATCGACAATCTGTCTGAACCTAACGGTGAGACGTGACCCACCATATGTAACACACATTCCAATGACAGAACATTCTAAAATAAAACATTTTGAAGGCGTTTATACCGAGAACATACTGCAAGTGAAGGAAAATACAATCAAAATAAAGAATGGGCGATGGTATGTGCTTATTCTCTGTATCAGTTCAAAGGTAGCATGTTCGCCTGGATGGGACTAGTACACCTGGACGCAGTTGACTTGAATTTTTTTTTTTTTTTTTGCATTTGGTCGAATGCGCCTCTGATGATAATAAAATTAGATGCTTTTTTCTCGTTAACGAATAGATCGCTTGTCATGTTGAATGGTGGACCGTATTCCGTGATCCGAATTGCATTTTCCCAGAACTAGCGCTCCACATCTTCTACTACATACATAATCGGATTGTCGAAGATAGTGAAATTCGCTCGGACCTCGTACTCGAAGTTCAATGTAATGTACGAATAGAGTACGAGGGTAGTGAAGTGCTGGCATTATTCACTACTAACGTAAAGACGAGGTTTACAGTTTCCCAATCAGGGCGAGACAAAGTTCGAAATTTGTTTCGTAAAAGAACACTTCCTGGCAATTAAATCTAAAGTGTTTTTTAGATTCTTCGCACGTCACCTCCGTACGCTACCGACCTTAATCGATCTAGGCATAACTGTATGCTTTCATGATATCTCGCATCGTGTGTTTTGGGGTTCAATGTCAGAAGCTCAGAAAACTCTCGTGTTATATGAACCATTAAAATGTTTTGGTCATGTCGAACAACTTTCAAATTGAAGTAATTCACGTGATTCATTAACAACCCAGAATACATGATTTGTCTTGGTCAAGAAACATTTGCCAGCTACTAATCGGACCTATTAGTGTCACTGCCGAAAAACAACTAATTGCAAGAGACTCATTACGTCGACATTGCATGTTGAAATAGGTGTGCTTCTCATCTTCATTCAAAATGTTTTTAAGACTCACAAATGCTTGTGCGAAACTCAAGATAACGAAAAGAAAATGCTCAAATATAACCGAAAGACAAGCTAAATAATCAAAGGTTTATATGTCATTTCGAATCCAAAAAAAAAAAAGAAGTATTCCCCTGGATGGAGGACCCAATACATACGCATATGTTTGTTCTGTAGAACTCTTAAATCTCTTCGTAGAAAGAAGCTAACAAGAGAGATTAAATCTCTATAATCTATTGATCTAGGAGGGTTTTTTCATGTTTTCTTTTTTCATTTTTCTGTACACTATGGGTATGGAAGTGAAGGTATCTAATAGTGGTCCAGAGCGACTATTGTAAGAAGGCTCCGTTACAATACTGTCCATTAAGAAATATGTCAACCGTAATGATTGGAAGTTCATTTTGGTAAATCCACAGAAGAAATAAATTTCTGAATATTAATAATGAAATTTGTTATAATGCATTTTGTTTCCTGTTTTGATTACTACACCGGGGGCTATTATTACTTCTCTGTTCCACTGTCCAGTCCTAAGAGGCCAGCCATGAATGATGCCGCCTTGAAATGAGATCCGTGATTGAATACCACACAACTTAACTGTTATTATAGGATGCTGCCCTAGCGATCTATAGACAAGGAGTCTCAAATGTATTTGCCAGTTTGGATAATAAGAGGATTGTGACATTAGAAAGCACAATACGAGCAAGGGTACTCATCGGGGCCGCCATGGAACATCCCTCGACAGTCAAAGTCAAGATTCTCGAAGTGTCTCCAGTTAATCTCGCAAAGAATCTTGAGGCTGAATGGCGTGAACCATGTATGTAAAGCGCAATTAAAATTAAGAGCGATCAATTCCCATTTTGGCTATAAGCAACACTCAAATTGCAAGCTATTGTCAGAAGTCAAACTATCTCACAATGAGGAACTAAATATATTCCATGGCAATATCATGTTACAAGCAATAAACAGTGTAACTCTAGTCTGAAAGTTGGGATGGTCAACCAAACAGTGAACTCAGAATTGATCTAGGAGGACGCGAAAAACAATACTGGAACATCAACGGATACCAAGTCACACTTTCAAGAAATATATGAACATAGACTCCCAAAGGATTATGATACTTAGCACTTCAAAATTTGCTATTGGTTATTTTTGATATTTGCAAAGAAATCTCTTCATTTGCATGATAATATCAAGAACCTGCTGGCAAACAATGTGCTTTGGATTCATACATACTTTGTGGGATCGATTGAACTACTAAAAATCACAGCTTTGATAGCAAGTTACATTCTGAGGCTAGAGACTTGTTCTTTCCATAATACTTTATGAAGATTTACAAGATATATACCAATAGAATATTCAACATTACATGGATTTGACACCCAGGAGGGCTCCTACATATTTTCATCACAAATCTGTATTAGCCACGTATGCAAGCGTATTAAACGTAATTGAGGATCTCCATAGACTGGAAGCCCGTTGTCTTCGTTCACCAGTCACCTGGAACAATATTTTCCTTGGCTAATGGAATGTTTCTCTCAAACTTGGTTCCTCCTGGTCTACAAGGAGGAATGTATGGATCCGGGTGCTGCCATTCAGCCAACTTTGATTGAGCTTTGGTGATGACTTCCTCCAACTCATTTGGATCGGAGATATGTTTGTTGGACTCAAATTGGGCTCTGATTTTGATTGTCTCTCTTCTGTATGCATCGAATTTGAGGGAAGAATCAAATGCTGTTCTCAATGCTTGTCTGAACAAAGAGGCAACTCTTTTGCTGTTAGCTTCAGTGAAAGGAAGAATGGACTTGCTCATACTGTGCTTGTTATAACAGATGTACGAGAAGTTAGCACTATCAACGTAAAGATGTGAGCCTTGTAAATGCTAAAACTTTTATTGGACGGAGAGTTAATGGTGTACTGGTGTTAATGGAGTGCACAAATTATTTTGCGCAGTTTCGTACTGGCTACATCATTATAATACAAAACACTTATCTTAACAATATTCATGGCAACATATAGTCGATTTACTTTTGGTCACTGACGTTCATCAAGCTTCCAACAAAGGATAAGATCAAACGACTTCTCACTTCGTTGATATCCTCTGGTACCAACCAAATTAAGGCACCAATTTTTCTAGCAATCGAAATAGCTAATCTTGCGTTAGCATATTTCTGCTCGTCAGTAACATTTGCACCTTGATAAACCAAATCGTAGTCAACATAACCAGGCTTGATCCCGTTCAATATATCCAACAAGAAAACACCATTAGATAAAGTGGAATCCTTAAATGACCTGATGTTACTTGTTCTTCCGCCCTTTGCAACTTGAGCATTTGCCCACTTCAAAATGTCAGCATCTGAAACATGCTTGCCATTACCCAAGCTGGAAAGTGTGTTAACAATATTCCTTCTCATTAATTGCCAAACAAGGCCCAATGTCAACAACTTGTTGCCATCAACGATATCAGATCCCTCGATTCCAACTAACGAAAAGTTGTTAGCCTTGCCAATCTCCACAGAATAGTTAGTATTTTCTAAGGCTTTGAAACGTGACAACTCGCTACCATTGGCTGGCCTTTTATTGATATGTTTCCAGGAGACACTGCCAGGTAAAACCTTGTCGTAAGCTTGCAAAAGCGCCAACCCATCCTTCAAATCCTCAAACAAAGAGACAATTGGGGGATCAACATCCATGGAGTTTAACCACAACGTAAACACTCTGGCCTCTCTCTCTCCTTCAGCATCAAAGTCTTCAATGTCAGGCTTCTCACTTTCCTCGATAGGGTCCAAACCAGGATATGTGTTGAACAAATGCGCAACGAATGCAAGATTCAATTTCGGATTTCCACTTACCAAAGAAGTTGGAGTCAAATACTTACGAACTCCAATTCTCTCAGCACTCTCCAAAATTTGCTCCGCACGTTGCAATAAGTCTGCAGTCTGCAATGGGGACAAGTCACAACTTTCTGGTTGCAATTGGTTCAACAACACAGTATAGTTTTCTCCATCACTTATGTCTTTAGAGAAGTTTCCAACTCTTCTATGCCAACCAGCGTTCTTCAAATGGTAATTGAACCAACGTAGCAAGATCTGTTCAGGAGGCAATCTCAAAAATTGCTCAAGAGTTTCATCGTCTTCCAACAAGCGGTACAATTCGGGATGTAATTTAATATCGACCTTGGATAACAAGCCGCGACGGATAATCTGCCAAATCAAACCCAAAATCAAGTGTTCCTTACCATCAATAATATCCTCCGAATGAACATTGACAACAACACATCCAATGGCTTTAGCCGAGTTAATGACAATGTTGGCATTCTCTGACATCTGAAAATTATTTAGTGTTTTCTTCTTCGCAGATGGAAGATTCAAAACACGAGTATCAATTGTGTCAGGAACCGAATCATTAATCAATTTGGATAATACCAAACCATCACGACATTCATCGAAGATTTGGAACGTCTCGGTGTCGAATGGCAATCTGCTACCAACATCTGAATCTCCGGAAAGAACGGAATTGATATGACGGGTGAATTCAGATCTCTCTTCATCATTTATAGTGTGAGTAGTGCCATCAGTCTTACCACTGATGTATGTCTTGTGTGCCGTGTTCGCCGTCGCAATTGGCGCAACTCCAGATGACACTCGCTTAGATGGCGAGGCAGCTGAGGAACTCAAAGCACCAAATGATTTCCCACCGGACGGAGCCCTTGGCGAAGGTGCTGGTCCATCGACATTCTTCAATTTGGCCACCAACTCGACATAGTCATCTAACTCGACATGGCCAGAGGCATCCACGTCAACGACTTTCAAGGTTTCTCTTGCTTGATCGTAAGTAAATTCGCCCTTTTTGGAGATTGCATTGATAACATCCTTCTTCTCAACCCAACCCTTTTCTTCCAAATCGATATTCCGGAAATCTTCAATTATGGAGAAGATGTCACCCTGGTCTAATTGGGGAAACTTCTTCTGTAACTTTAAGACGTTCATTTTCCCTCAAAACTTTCACACAATTAAAAGAGAAGCTATTAAAAGGACAATTTCAATTGGGAGTGTTTTTGTTAGTCATTAATTGTGAAGTCATTCCCCCAGGCAGTGTTTTGGTTTATACACTACCACATTTTAAAGGGGTCCATGAGACCTTGTTCAAAGAATCACACATTGAAGTGCTGTCTGAGAGACAATACACATACTCGCATTGACTCTGTACGGGGCGATTCATGACTATCTTCTTGATCTTCTTTTCCAAACCAATTCTTTTTCACGAGAATTTTTTGTACGTTAGCTTAGACTCAAAATGAGTCCATCAATACTCCAGAATTATTTTTTTCTTTTTTCACAAGGAAGGAAAACTTCAAACGAAAAAAAAAAAAAATAGTAGCACTTGGAGGAAATGATATTTACAACTGTGTTTCATTTTCCATCTTATCCTTTCCGACCATCAGGGTCTGGAAAACATCCTTACATCTCACTATTCAAGCATGATCTTAAACATTTGTGAGTAGCTCGAAAGTCATGTCTAATTCAATAAAACCCACTGCCTCAAGGCAATTCATATCAGCAACTCCTGATTTTTTGGAAGATGATACATCTGGGTGGAAGTCCGACCAACCGTCATTCAATATCGAAAATGTGCAACTTCAATTTGATTTACGAAATGGGCTCCAGAACTTATTAGTGTCAAATAATTTCATGTATGTTTTGTCTTCTAACATTGTTTTCAGAATCGATTTGGACAATCCATCAATTCCTACAAAAATTATGGTCCCAATGCTGAACGATGGACTGAAAGTCACCAATTGGTGGCTTCATCCCAATGGAAAGTTCTTGATTGTGCAAGTCAATAACAATCAGTATTTTCATCTTCACAGTCAGTATTTAAAATTCAAAATTCTCCCAAGATTCAAGGGGCTAAATATCGAACATATATGCTTTGGAGATAAACATTCCCATCAGAGCACCGGTGATTTTCTTTTATCCTCTAAAGATGGAAATATTTATGTAGCAAGCATCAAATTTCACGAACCCGGAGTTCAGGATAAGAAGCGTGACGACAAGTATGTTAAGCAATTGCACAGGCTTGACGGGACTATTCATGGACTTTTATTCTCAAACAATAGCACACAGATACAGATATTCGTGGATGATGAAATATTAGTGTGGGACTGTTTTGAGCCAGTCATGGCGGAACTCACGAGAGTCTTTCGGCAGCCTCCAAAGAAGTTGCCCATTACACTCCTGAATGAGCAACCGGTCTTTTTTATAAAGCAACTGAACTTTTACCTCGTGGATCCCTTAACTGGAGACATTTACTCCAATGACGAAGAGATTCAAATGTCCTCTACTGACAAAATGAACCTAGGGGAATTTGGCTTATTCGGCGGACGAAACTCTTTCATCGTGACGTCCCATCATATCATTTGTTTGTCACAATCGCGAGATTCTTTGATTATATTTAGCAAGCTTGTTCTTCAAAGTCCTATTGTCATTCCCCTTGGACCTCACATTGAAGCTCGGGAACAGGTTTTCGGTCTTGTTTCAGATGTTTTGGGTAACACACATTGGATTTACACTTCTGACGGGATCTATGAGATTCTTATTTCAAATGAATCTATTTCTGTTTGGTATAATTACTACAGAGTTGGAAATTATGAACAAGCTTTGAGATTATTGGAGGCCAGTAATGTGCCGAGCTCGTCATTAAAGAAGAATTTGGTTTTAGTAAAACAAGGTTATGATTTACTTCAAAAAGGAGATTTCGGTCTCCAACCACTGAGCCATAGTCATGAAGCTTACAATCTTCAACTTGAAGGAGTTAGACAATTGGCTAGACTGAAGGAGCCATTCGAAAAAGTTTGTTTGATGCTTTTCGGTTTGCAGGAATCAAACTTTGATGTATCTTTAGTTGCGAACAAACTTCTCTTGGAGTATTTGAAGGTGAAATTTTCCCTTTCTAAGGATTCCAACAACAGAACTCGAATTGTAGTATTGTCGAGTTGGATTGTGCAACTACTGTTAAGAGTTATCCAAACTTTGGAATCCCGACTTAGGATTGATGATATCGATAATTTTGCTAGTTATACCGAAAATTATAATACGGGAAAGGATGCTTTGAAGAAGTCCCTTGATGAGTTCAACAGTTCTCTCGACGAATTTTTGAAAGCCAATTACAAATTGGTCGATTCCATTACAATTTATGAAATTCTTCGGGGAATGGGGTTCCCATTGAAATTGCTTTCGTTTGCAGAATTATTGGAGGAATATGATTTTATCCTCAACTATTACATTGAAAGAGAACAATGGAGCAATGCGCTTAAGGCTCTTTCGAAATTGTTCGTTAAAAGCAAGGAAAGAGCCCTCGAGGCAATGCAACGCACCTCTACTGTTCTTCTCATTAACTATGCATCAGGCACTATAGAGGCTTGGCTTCGCTTCCCTGAGGTCTATTATGAAGCATTGTTACCCGCTATTTTAACATACAATAGAAACGGCGAATATGCTCCATTCAATCAGAATCCCACCATGCAATTTTTTCTGCGTTTGATATTTGAAAAAGGCATACAAAGCCAGGTCATGAATGATTACTACCTAGCACTTCTCGTAACTTATCCTCCGCAGGATGATGAGGATGAAATCAATACAGCTCTTATTAAGACTATAGAGTATCTTAAGAAAGAGAATCTGAATCAACTTCGAAAAGGAAAGCAGTACGACTCTGAATATCTTCTTCGACTTTGTTTGAAGCACAATAAGGTTGACGCAGCAATATTCATTCTTGTTAAGGATTTGCATTTGTTTGATACTGCTTTGAAACTTGCTATAGATCAAAATTTGGTATCTGCTGCAGAATTCGTTCTACAGCTGTTCAACGAATATGTCTCAAATAATAACAAACCAGGAAGTGGTGAGCATGTTACCACTGGTCAAGAAGAAGAAAGTCAATTCACAAACCATATTAAACTTGAGGATACTAATTTTGCTTCCCGAAAGAGATTGTGGATGATTTATGCAAAATACTTAATTACCAGTGTTTGCAACGGTGTTCATTTTAATACCTTGGAAAATAATAATGAACTACTGATTGCCAATTCACAATTTAAGAAGATTAAAAGCAACAATGAAGTGATCTTAGCAAATGGAATTGGTGAAAGAGGTAGCGCAGATACGGATACCAAGTTGAAATCCCAAGAGTTGAATAAAGTTTTGAACTACATTCTCCATCTTAATCGAGAAGATGAAACTATAAGTATTCTTACTTTGAAGGATTTGTTACCCTTATTACCAGAAGATGTTTTGATAACCAGTTTCAAGGAAGAAATTGTGGATTCCTTGGATAATTATAATAATCGCATCAACCAACTATCTCTTGAGATGCAAGAATCTGCTGAAATTGCTGATAAATTGAAAGGACAAATCTTGAATTCTGAAGCACGTGAGAAGTCCGGTTCACTTTTCACAATTATCGAACCCGGTGAGCCTTGCAAACTATGTGAGCGACTACTTATTGATAAAAATTTTCTTGCTTTCCGCAATTGTCATCATTGTTTCCACAAGGACTGCGCTATTCGTTATTACCTTAAACTGAGAGGTGATTACAGGTTTAAAAAGATCTTCCAAAACTTCAAGATAAATTCTTCGGTTACAGATGAAAGAGAGCTTGATGACATTTTGTTGTCCAATTGTTTGTTATGCAATGACAGCAGTATTAACTCTGTTGATGAATATCTTGTGGACTTTGAAAACCAAGTCGAAGAAAAAAAAGATTGGGATTTGTGAGAGTATGCACTACACTGTATGTGCAGGTTGGAATAACCTATCTTTTTTTCCTCTTCTCATCGCATCCATTACTAGCCTACTATATAGAATGGGTAAAACACAGAAAAAGAATAGTAAAGGTCGTTTAGATCGCTACTATTACCTTGCCAAAGAGAAAGGATACAGAGCACGTTCTTCATTCAAGATTATCCAAATTAATGAGAAATATGGACATTTTTTAGAGAAGTCGAAAGTTGTGATTGATTTGTGTGCTGCTCCAGGTTCATGGTGTCAGGTTGCTTCTAATTTGTGTCCCATCAACTCCTTAATCATTGGTGTGGATATTGTTCCAATCAAACCACTTCCAAACTGTATAACATTTCAGTCTGATATCACTACTGAGGACTGTAGATCTAAACTCAGAGGACACTTAAAAACGTGGAAAGCAGATACTGTTCTTCATGATGGTGCTCCAAATGTCGGTTTAGGTTGGGTCCAAGATGCATTCACTCAATCTCAGTTGGTGCTTAAAGCCTTAAAGCTTGCAGTTGAGAACTTGACCCAAGGAGGAACATTCGTTACCAAAGTTTTCAGGTCGAAGGACTACAACAATTTGATGTGGGTTTTCCAGCAGCTTTTTGAAAAGGTAGAAGCAACCAAACCTCCAGCTTCTCGTAATGTCTCGGCTGAAATTTTTGTGGTTTGTAAAGGTTTCAAAGCGCCAAAGAAATTGGATCCCCGCTTGTTAGATCCTAAGGAGGTCTTTGAAGAGTTGGAGGCAGGAAAAATCAATAATGAAGCGAAGGTGTTCAATCCTGAAAAGCGTACTAGAAAGAGAGAAGGTTATGATGAAGGGGATTATTTGCAATACAAGGAAATGCCCCTTTCAGAATTCATCAGGGACGATGAACCGATCAATACTCTTGGAACTTTGAACAAACTTGCAGAGTATGAAAAGGAGGATACTGAATGGAAGATGCTTAGAAAGTTGAGGCATTGCACTCCCGAGTTTCGTGAATGTATCAAAGATTTAAAAGTTTTAGGAAAGAAAGACTTCAAATTAATTTTGAAGTTTCGGAAGGAAGCAAGGGCACTTTTGGGACTCGACGATGAAGATGAAAGTGGACAGCAACAGATCGAAGTTGAGCCGCTCACTGAGGAAGAGCAAATTAATCGCGAGCTTGAACTGTTGAAAAAGAAACAATCCCAAAAGTTGAGGAGGGAGAAGAAACGCTCAAATGAGCAAAAACAGAAGGAAATCAGACGTATGCAAATGAACATGTTAACCGACATGAGTATTGGAATCGAAGCCGAACAAATGGGTTCAGATTCTTTATTCAACCTAAAGAGTGCAGAAAGAACTGGACAAATTGAAGATTTAGCAAAAGGAAAGAAAAGAATGATCTTTACTGAAGAGGAGAGGGCGCGGGGTACCGAAATAGATGCTGGTGATGAGCAGTCGGATCTTGATACGGACGGTGAATTAGATTCCTTGGAGGCCCAAATGGACGCCATGTATGAACAATTCAAGCAAAAAAGGGCAGAAAAAGATTCAAACTACAAGGCAAGGCTTGCTAGGGGAGATCATGATGATGATGCGTGGGATGGAATTACTTCTGACAAGGATAATAGTGACGAAGAGTACGAAAAGGACTTCGAAATGGATATTGATTCAGATGATGAATCTGACGACGATGCCCAAATCGAAGCTATTATTGAAAAAAAGAGAAGGGAAGAGCTTTCAAAGAATGCTAAAATTTTCTTCGAGTCGAACTCTGTTTTTGGAGACCTTAATGAGGACGACCTTCTCACTTCCTTCACCAAACCACAACAAACTCTGCTTTCCATACCGGTAGCTTCGTCCAAGACATTTCCGAATGCAGACGACTCGTCACTCACAGATGACGTGGAATCAGATTTCGAAATTGTTGCTGAAGAGCAGGATGTGGACAGTGACTCTGAATACGACTCTAATGAGGAGAAATTAGGTCTGCAGTTGAGGAAGGCACAATCACACAAGGAAAGAGTTGACTTAGCCACAGTCGAGGCCATGACATTAGCCCATCAAGTTGCATTAGGGAAGATGAACAAGCATGATTTGATCAATGAAGGTATCAACAAATACTCTTTTAGAGATCGTGATTTGCCAGAATGGTTCATTGAGGATGAAAAGAAACACTCCAAGATCATCAAGCCAATAACAAAAGAAGCTGCTGCTGCAATTAGAGAGAAACAGAAAGAACTCAATGCCAGACCTATCAAGAAAGTCTTAGAAGCGCAAGGTAGAAAGAAGATGCGTGCATTAAGAAGACTTGAGAAGCTTAAGAAGAAGAGCGACATAATTAATGAGGACAGTGCTAAGAGTGAGCGAGATAAGGCCGACGAAATTCTGAGATTGATGAGAAGGTTGACAAAGAAGCAAAAGACCAGACCAAAGGCGACTCTTGTGGTGGCTAAGGGCAACAACAGAGGTTTGAGTGGAAGACCTAAAGGTGTTAAGGGTAAATATAAGATGGTGGATGGAGTTATGAAGAACGAGCTGCGAGCATTGAAGAGAATTGCAAAAAAGCATAAATAGACCCCCTCTCATACGCGTCCTTCGATAAACAGAGTTCTAGGATCGTTTGCTGTCTTTCATTTCTGCCTTATCTTATTGCAATACCTAAGGAGAGATCATTTTCGTTTCATGGCAATCAGTCTCGAACCATGTGTCAGGTGAAAGCAATGCTTAAACTTTGTCAGTCAAATTCGAAGAAGATTATTCAGGCTTGTAAGTTAATGCCCAGGAAAACATCATATAGAATCATAAACACTTCAAATACTAATAAATATTACAAGTAACTTTAGGTGTTCAACAAAGATACAGAGAACTTACAAAAGCAGCCACCACACTTGACACTGCTATATTCCGTGCACCGAATAAGGCTCTTTGGGGTATACGTCATCTTTCAGCAAATCACGAACATTAAAAGTTTTTTGATTCAACGTCGTGACAGGAAACTGTCGCTCTTCTGTGGAGTTTTTTGATTATTTGCAAGAATCCCCTGCAAGGTAAATGTGCAAGTATCATTACTTTTGTGTGAGATGTTATCTCATAAAACGGTATCCCTTGTTGGCAGTTTCAAATGGTCAATTCAATTCCATTGAAAATCTTCCAATGGTTGCAAATTTCATATCATCGCTTCTTGATTATAACAGATGCGTAACTTTCAAAATCATATTGTTCTTTTGAACGAATTGAATGCTAAAATTATATCGGATGATTTCTTCTTGTGACTTTCTGAAGCCGATGACGCAAAAGAATCAAGCATTCATTCTTTTTCGAGAGGGTCAATATATTTCCGTGAGTAGTACTTTTGCAGGTTTCCTGGATCTCGCGCTACTATTATACCACTTTATTGTTCATCAGCTAGCATGAACCTAAAACAAAGCATAATTGAATGAGAAAATACTATTTAACATCTTCACGCTCTTCAATTAAATAATGTACAAACTCTATAATCGATTCCAGTTTATTTCTACTTGAAACTTCTTGTTCACGTGATGAATGCAGGGAACGATGTCTAAAATTTTAAGGACGACTCCTTATATCTCAGAGCCGAACCAGTTCACTTTGCTACTCGATTCTTGAAGATAGTTCAGCGTTGGCGGTAGCATTATTCAGATAATAAGAGTATTGTCGCTAATTAAGAGGCAACCTTTTTTCTTCATATCACCTTTCGTCGCAAGCTGACCTATCCTTTTCAAACTCGGGCATCCATACCCAACCAACTCAAACCTAAGTGCTACTAGTTGTGGACCAATATTGGACCCCTTCCTTCCGCTCAACCTAAGTTGGCCGTTTTCCGAACAAGGGTGGTACTTTGAAAGGGTCCCTCCCACAGAGATTCAGCATTGCTACACGTATAGCGTCCCTTCTTTTCTACTTTATTCACCTTCTAGTCGTGGTTACTTGTGATTTTGGCGGCTGCTTGAGTATTGTTTCACAGGCTGTCATTTCATTGTTAACTATCCTCGTTTCCTCATTTGCCTGTTGCCATTTCTTCACGAAGTTTATGCTCATTCTGCAGCTTTATCGATGAGTTCTGTTCCCACTTCATCTCATTTATCGGCATCGCCAACTCCAGGTCCTGGCGGCCATCGAATTCATCGCCACAGGAGATCAGCCGCTATTTCTGGAGATTTTGATGTTATTGGGCTAGGATTATTCTCTCCTCCTCCTCCAATCTCCAAGACGTCTAGACACACTTCAATATCTTCAAGTTCCCAGAACTTGATTTCGCATTCCACCTCGCATCAAAGACTGTTTCTGAGCTCATACTTATCACAAGCAAAAACTGCTATCGAGGACCCCGATAAGCGTTTTCAGCGTTCCAGTGATGATGATTTCACAAATAAGCCTCAGCAAGATCCATTTCATTTTCCTGTCAAAAGTCCGGAGATGTTTCTGCTGTCATTGCCTTCAACTCCGAAGTATATGGCATCTCCAATACGCAAATATGGAGACGTTAGTCTTAATTCACCTATAAGACTTAAAAATACGAAGAACGCATCTTCAATTAATTGTCCGTCAACTCCAAAATTGTTCTTAACAGAGGAAACAACCTTAAACAATGAGAATATACCTGATCCTGTAATAGATTTGGATGAAATCTTGAATGCAAACACTGCAAATGGTGATAACGCTGTACATGATTGCGAATTTGGACTTAGAAATCAAGATGATTTTCTTGCATCACCATTTACGAAACTGGGACTGTCTGCCTTCTCTTTACAGACTTACAGCTCGCCTTCATACATGAAGCAACCAATTCGTGAGCAAGCGGCTGACGCCATAGTTGAAGAAGACGATTTGGATGAATTTCAACTGGCTGAAGAGGAAATACTTGAAGAAAGAAGTGAAGGTACAACTGTTTTGGACGAGAATGATATTGATGTTGGCTCGGATGTTTTCGCTAATCCCCAGGATACTTTTAGCGGTCTCTATCTGACCCTCTCTGCGAACTCATCGAACTCCAGTCTTCCTTCCACCGGGGGTAATCGAATGCTATTCCCGTCCGTGATTGAGAAAACTTCTTCAAATTCTTCAAAGGATTCCGGAGTTTCGACATTTTTTTCATTCAATGGAACTCCTACTTCGAAGCGATCGAGTGCTATGGCAACGCGGTACCAATCTTTTTATGATCAATCGTACAAGATTTCGAGTGCATTAAAATACTCATCGACGGAAAGTATTCCAATAGTTTCATCGCAAGGCTCTGAGAATGTGAATTGTGTTATTGCTTCCTCTGGAAAGGAAAATAACACAACGGGCTCGAAAATATTGGGTCACTCGTCGAGTCTACCCAGTTTAAAGTCAAACGTCATGCGCCCCATACCTGTGAGATATAACGACTTCCGAACCAAACGGGATGTTAAAGCTGGTAAAGTTTGTCTGCAAATCAACAAGACTCCGGCTTTTCGGGAGCACCTGTCGAGGTCCCCGAACAGTTCACTTCCGATCACATCGAATGCTGTAACTCTGTCACCTTCAAAAAAGCTTCAATCTAAAGTTATTGACCTACACTCTGGGCTGAGCAAGCAGAAGAAGAACATACATGCGCCACCGAGCTCGAAGGTATCAAATAGTCCATCTAGTTTGGTCTCTGAGTACTCTTCTACGGTGACTTCTGCTGGGGAAGCATCGACAGATCATTCTTCGGTTATGTCTCAGGGAGACGTCCTTGTATCAAGCTTGAAAACTAGTGCCAGTGAGATGTCGAGAAGCTCGACTCCAATTATTGTTGTCAGTACTGAATGTGAAAGTTTGACATTGTCCAAACCACCAGCAAATGAGCATTTTAATTCAGGTTCTTCCTTTGAATCCATCCGGCAAGAGAATGATGGATTCAGGCAAGAGAATGCATCTCGTCGGAGTTCTCGCCGGGCGATGTCACCTAGTGAGAAGAAGATTTTGGCTTCGACAGAGATACCCCCCCTCCGAAAGCAGGGAAAGACGAAAAGCGTTAGCAGAACAGCTACGACCAATGACTACGTGGGATCGCGTTCTGAAACAACGCAAGCAACAATCGGAGATGTGCATTCCACTGATGATGGTTCATCTACTTTAAAGAAACAAGGGCGTCGGAAGTCGGACAGGTTCTCATCCTGGTTCAGAAGACATAAATAAAAGGTTAGTAAGTATCATAATTTAATACTCAATTTTTGGAGGGCATTGGCTTGCACCGATAAATGTAGTTGTGTCTGAACTATATTCTATATCCTGCACCGCGCAAGCTGACAAATTTTAAAAGAATCAAGTCACTGGTTCTTTAATTGTTCGGTGTGTCTCGTTGTTGTTGGATATTGGAACGATCCTTAGTGTATTGTTCATAATCATGAGTACTCAAACTATGAATCCTTCAAGTGATGAGCCGTTTGTTGGTCCCAATTTAAATATAACTTTGGTGTGCCCGGAGTGTAAGATTTACCCTCCAGACTTGATTGAAAGATTTAGTGAAGGCGACATAGTTTGTGGGAGTTGCGGCCTAGTCTTGAGTGATAGAGTTGTTGACACAAGATCTGAATGGAGAACATTTAGCAATGACGATCAAAATGGAGATGATCCCAGTCGTGTGGGTGATGCTGGAAATCCTTTGCTCGACACAGAAGACCTCTCAACGATGATTTCCTACGTTCCCGAAAATGTTAAGGCTGGTAGAGAATTGAATAGGGCACAATCGAAGTCATTGGTTGACAAGAAGGATAATGCCTTATCGGCAGCTTATGCAAAGATATCTCAGATGTGCGATGGTTATCAATTACCTAAAATCGTACAAGATGGAGCGAAGGAAGTGTACAAATTGGTTTACGATGAACGACCACTACGAGGTAAGTCCCAAGAATCTATCATGGCAGCCGCTATTTTCATAGGTTGTAGGAAGGCAAATGTTGCTCGAACTTTCAAAGAGATCTGGGCATTGACCAACGTTCCAAAGAAGGAAATTGGGAAGGTTTTCAAGATCATGAGGCTGGTAATTCAAAAAAAGAATGAAACCAATCCAAATGCATACTCTTTGATCGAGGATAGTGAACAAACCACTCAAACCTCGGCAGAGGACTTAATTCGCCGTTTCTGTTCACATTTGGGCTTGAACAATGAAGTCACTAATGCTGCAGAATACATTGCTAGAAAATGTAAAGAGTCGGGGATTTTGGCGGGTCGCTCACCTATCACTATTGCTGCCACGGTAATTTACATGGCTTCCTTGATCTTCGGAGCAGATATAACTCCTTCTAAAATCGCAGGTAAGACAGGAGTCAGCGATGGAACAATAAAGACTTCTTATAAAGTCATGTATGAGGAAAAGGACAAGCTAATTGATCCTACTTGGATTGAGAGTGGTAAGGTTAAGTTGGAGAACTTGCCTAGAAATACCCGTGATTAGTCTTTGCAGTTCAAAGTTGTTTTTTTTTCGCTTTGTTTTTTTTTTTTTTTTTTGGTTACAACCTTATTGTTAACTTGTTGGAACACTTAGTGTTCATCAACTAAATAGGCAAAGGAAGAAAACTCTTTCTTAAAGATTTTTAGAGTGAAATAATCAGTCTTCGTCTGAAACTTGTAACTGTTTTGTTTCGGTGATCATCTCCAAAAGTTTAATATAGATTATATCGACAGATTGACCGTCAAGTCCTACTCTTCTTTTTTCTAGCCAATATAAAGAAGGAAACAAAGTTGTGAATGTTTCTTTCTGTTCTGTGCGGATGTCTCGCGAAACTGTACACGAGAGTTTCCGCGTCCTTTCCAGGTTTCAACTACTTTCCATGACTGATATTCAAGACAACTTCGCTAAACAATTGTTTGGTAAATATGCTACTGCTCAAGATGGTGAGCATTTGGTTTTCAATGGAAAATCTGCTGTTAACGAATCTATCGTTGCTCATTCGGGTGGTTCAGAGTATTTGTTTGATTTGACTGAACTTCAGAGTCTCGAACATCGCCCAGAAATTGGAACCATAGATAAGAATCCATTCGAGAAGCCGGAGCCGGAGCTAACTGTCCTCTCGTCATTCGGTAATAAAGACGAATTTCGAATTGTTCTCAACAAGTTTCCAGTAGTTCCAGCTCATTTTATGATGGTTACCAAACAATTTAAATCGCAAGATACACCTTTGTCTCCATCTGAACTTTCTTCTACCTATTCGCTTTTGCATAAATTGGAAGCTCAAGATCTGAACAAGAAATGGTTCGCGTTTTACAATTGTGGTCCTCAAAGTGGTGCTTCTCAACCACACAAGCATGTGCAATTTATGCCTCTTCCCGACAATTACACTCCATTTGCTGAAGTTTTAGCGAATACCAGTGGTCACTTCATTCCCAATCAATTTCAAGAACCCTTGCAGGATGGAAATTTGCCTTTTGCTCACTTTTTAGCAAAGTTGCCAGAGAAAAACACAGAACTTGATGAGGAAACTTTGGCATTGACTTTCCTGTCTTTACTTCAAAGAACTTTGACTGTACTTAGAGATAATGAAGCAGGCCATATTTCATATAACGTTATAGCTACTACAAAGTTTATTATGTTGATTCCCAGATCAAAGGCGAAGTTTCAAGGATCTTTGGGTATCAACTCATGTGGATACATGGGACTCATCTTATGCAAGAATGCTAGTTTAGTTGGGTTAGTTAAGTCTGAAGGACCACTTGCAATTCTCAGTTCTGTTGGCTTTCCAAGCACAGCTGGCCAAAAAAGTGATGAATATCATTATTAGCAAACGATTTTTTTGTTCAATCGAAGAAGAAAAAGTGGAAAATTGGTTCAGTGGTAGCACTGGTGGAGTGTGGAAACAAATAGCCCCTATACCCAGAATCGACGATCGATTTGCTCGTCAGAATCGGAAGAACATCCACCAGAGTTTCATCTGGCTCCACCCTATCCGGGTATAGGTCACCATCCTCGGGTTCCAACAGCTATGCTCCTACTCAAATCCGTCCGTAAACTTCCTCAAATAATTATTAAGTCAAGTATTGTTCTTTAGATGAACTGCATGTAACATGTAACATGTAAATCTAAGCTATAGGTTTCATTTACACTATTCCCAATTAGGAAGTCAACAACAGCCAATCACGGGAAGCGTTTCGTAACACCCGCGAAGAATCTTTGTCAGAGTTCACTCATTCGTTCCTCATCAATCATGGCTTCCATCACATCTATTGTCAAGACAGCTGATTGGATCTTGTCGAGACCAACTTTGGCAAAGGTTGTCGTTCCTGTTGCTAAAACTTTCTGTGCCTACGCTGGATACAGAGAGATGGGTTTGAAGTATGTATTTTTAGCTCAAATCACAATTGAACGAACACTAACGAAATAGATTCAACGATTTGCTTTTGGAAGAAACTCCAGTTGCTCAGAAAGCCCTTTCCAGATTACCAGATGATGTCACCTACGCTAGAAACTACAGAATGATTACTGCCCATCAGTTAGCTTTGTCCCATCAATTGTTGCCTCCAAGCAAAGCTCTCAAGCCAGAAGAGGACACACACTACTTAATTCCTTACCTCTTGGAGGCTGAGAAGGAAGCATTCGAGAAAGCCGAGTTGGACAACATTGAGGTCTAAAACAAGACAATCACGACGATCTAAATATTACATGTTGCTTCAATGAATGCATAAAAATGAAGATATCTATAACTTCTATAAAAAAAAAGCCTTCAGAATGCGAGTAATGTTTCTTAGAACATTCCAATTTCATATTTTCTCAATTGCTCCAAGACCAAGAATGTGACGATTGTGTGAGGACCCAATCTGATAAATGATGGCAACCAACCTCTAAACATAAACCCAACTCCTTCAGTCTTCACTGCCTGCGACAATATGGTTACTGCTCCTCCACTAGTTCCCTTGGCGTTCATAATTCTGGTCTTAACAACATCAGCAGGTGAACATACTGTTGTAGCGACAAGACCTGCCAATAATGAAGCACTAAAATGTGTGGCCTTCTTGTGAGGATCCATTCTCAAAGTGTCGACTAATAACAGCTTGGCGATATCGTACGTGACAACTTGAGAGGCCGTCATTAGAACACCTCTGACTAGATTGGGAGTCAATCCTCTGAATAGTGACGAAATTCCTTCACTTTTAGAAATACGGTAAATTCCATCGAACGCATTCCTATAGTTTCTTCTCTGATCCATAGGTAATGTAGAATCATTCTGCATTCTAATGTTTACAACATCTGATGGGTTTCCAACTAATCCTCCTAAAGCACCAGACAACATGGACATAGGTAACAAAACCGCAGTCGTGGGCATCTTTTCATACTTTTCTTGATAATATTCCTTCATAAACTCGTATACTCCAAATCTGACAGTAGAGTATGTTGCTTGTCTTAAGAGAGAAGCTGTCAAACCGGAATAGATTTTGAAAAGTCCTTCATTTCTAATGATTTGATACACCATAGACACCAATGATTGACCAGGAACTGATGCTGTCTGCAAGCGAACCTTTGCCAAATCTAATGGATGAGTGACCAAACAAGCAGCCATACTTGAAGCACCTCCATACCAGAATCTTTTGGTTAGTAAAAGTGTCTAGATAGGCAGACAAAAGCGAACACATACGGATAACTGACTTTAGTTTTCTTTCCTGACATGTTTGTTTCTTGTGAATAAGAAGAAGAAAAATAGAGAGAAAACTACAGCAAACGTGCTTCAAGAAGAGAAAGAAGTGAGGGGAGATGTTGAGTTCAACAATGCCGATTACCTAAGGTCGTTACGAGAGGCAGCAGGACATCAAGAAAAAGTTTATATGTAGTACCTCTGAATACTGAACCTAAAGTGTAAAATTACACCCAACAGAACCCAAGAATGAAATGGAAAATGCTTGAAACTAGTACGAGGGTATTGAAATGCACTTCGAACACTTTATTGTGTTCCCTGTTGTGTTCTTTCTGTTGTTTTTCTGTCTTTTCAAAATGATTCTCGGCGAAAATCGGGAACATCTCATCGGAAGCGGGGCATCCCCTCTAAGTACTTTTTGGGAATTTTGACGTACATGCAACTACCATTCATTAGTTATTGAAAGTAAAAGATAGAGATATTCTCAACAATTATGAACGATTCTCGTTTCAAATACACCCATGGGGGTGGAGTTGGGACGTTTTTTTGGGGAGGCATTATCTTCTGCCGATATGTTCCTAATTCTCTTCTGTTTTCTACAAAACTAACCAAAACTAAGAACTTACTTGTAGTCGGGATTGTTCAGAATCGCTCGTGCTCCAACTTCGAAAAATCAATGCGACTCAAGCAAAGCAATGTAGTATACTTGAGCCGAATGAAATGACACATCCATCATTTGTTAGCATAACATTCCACGTTTGACTCAATTAGAAGTCCAACTGTCAGGATGAATCTAGTATGCAAGCAACACCTCAGAATTTATCTTATGTGCACCATAGACTCAGCTTCTGTTCGTATTGAGTATCTTGGAATCTTGAAGCAGAAATCGGTAATTTGCAAAGATTCACTTGGACAATTGCTTACTTTGCCAAGCTATCTGTGAAGCCATAGTCATTTTTATTGCACACTTTATTATTGACAATCTCAGACCTGAAATTGTTGGTATTCAATCAGCTACTTGCATACATTGATCATTCCTAGCCCCATGAGAGTCGCTTTCTCGTTGAGTGATTGGGAAAGAAATCATCTCAATCATTTGAGGTGGCATACACTTGATTTATGAAAATATCGAAAGCTCAAGAAAAGAAGCTATTAAAACTGAATTTCATCTCTTAAGAAGACATTGGGCTCAAAGCCGGTTCATAATGGATCGCAAGAGAACCATATGTGTGTTTAGACCGACATCGTTCAGGATACTCAATTGAGCAAAGAAAGAGGAAACTTGCTACGGTTTGCATTTTTTTAACAAGGCAGAAGTGGTGGCTTTAAAAGAGTGATTTCACCAGTAATACTTCTAAAAAACTTCGCATTCAATGGTGACAATTCTCTTGTGGTTTGAAACTGATGAATCGGTTCCAAGACGAAGATCTGTAAGCGTAACTAAATACGCTTGGCATGAGAGTGCAATGTCACAGCAAAGTTCTGATGTCTTCAACCGTCACATTTTGAGTCCTTTTGAGCAATTCCAATTGGCAGTGGACAATGGGGTCTTGGTTTTGTTGTTACCTTGATCTTTAGCACATCGAATTGGAGATTGCAATAGAAAATAGAAATCATGATAGCTTAAGTGAACTACTAGGGCGCAACCTAAGTAGCTAACCGAATGGAATCTGAAGGGTACGGAGAGTGCAAACCATTAGAAGGGCATGAATTTGTCCGTAAAGTCAAACAAACAGGTACTTATCCGTTACTTTAGTTGACTCTATGATGTCTAAGTTCAATGAACCAGAGCACACCATTGGTCATGAATAAATAATAATAATCGAACGTGGTGAATAGTTTATTAATCCACAAGCCAACTTTCAAAATGAAAAGCACCCAATTTAACAGCGTTGGGATCTGAAGTTCAGGAATGAGCCCCTTAAATGAACATCTTTCAGGTGACATTTCGATCTGTGATTAGTATCCTAATTTTGTTTCGAAGTGTATAAGAATCGTAGCTCAGCTCAGGCTTAAATGCTGATGAGGTGTCTAATGAGACCAAAAGAGTTCATAAGCCCTTCGTTAAGCAATCCAACATCATTTATCACTCCAGGGTAATAGGACCTCAAATTTCCCTACAGATCAAATACAGCAAATATCTTACTAGAGGGGGAAATTTGAGACAAAAAATATTATCTCAAACTGAGATTATCTGAAGAAGCTTATCGCCAAACTTTTCCAATAACTTGGAGGTCAAAACTTGAAAATAAGAGATTTTAATATTATCCACGACAGTTCCCTAGTCCGGCAGAATGTCAAGGCTCGGAGGAGCTCGGGGTGGGGGGTAGACTGTATGAGTGGCGCAGGTCGGCCATTCGTTGAACACTTCAAATATCCTACCCATTCAGATATCATTTGAACATGAGTCGTGCTGAAGTAGATTTACAAATCAGTGTACGAAAAGCTTGCAACACTGAGGAAGTTCCTCCTAAGAGAAAGCATGTTCGTGCTTGCATTGTGTATACTTGGGACCACAAAAATTCAAGAGCATTTTGGAACGCTGTCAAGATTCAACCTTTACAGAGTAGTGAGGTCCAATTGTTCAAAGCTTTGATAATGATTCACAAGGTTCTCCAGGAAGGTCACCCCAATACTTTGAAGGATGGCTATCGGAATAAAGATTTCTTGTATTCTTTGTCGACAGTATTTCCAAGCTCAAGCAGTTATGGCCGTTTAATCAATCAATATGATCGGTTTTTGTTGAGAAAATTAGACTTCCATCGCAACAATCCCGGTTTTAATGGAATTTTTGAGTATGAAGAGTATATTTCGTTGAGGACAGTCAATGATCCCAATGAAGGCTACGAATCCATTTTGCAATTGATGGATTTACAAGACCTGATCAATGACTTACAGAAACTCATCTTTGCAACCATCCACCAGACTCCAAACAACCTTTGCAAAGTTAGTGCATTGGTACCTTTGATTTCCGAATCATACGGAGTTTACAAATTTTTGACATCTATGTTACGTGCCATGTACCAACAGTTGGGAGATGACGATGTCATGAGTACTCTTTTTGACCGATTCTACTCTCAACACTTTATTTTGAGGGATTTCTACACTGATTGTCAATCAATTAAATTCTTGACTAGCTTAATTACTATTCCAAGACTAGGTGGAAATCCCCCAAATCTAAAAATTTCTGACGAAGCCCAAGCAGTCACACCATCAGCTAACGAGTCTGCCTCGCAGATTTCTTTGCAACCTACATCGAATATCGATGTTGGTAATGCAGCCCCCCCTCCTGTTGATCTGGTGTATTTGCAGCAAACCGGAATTTTTGATCAACAACAGCAGTTTGAACAAGAACAACAACAATTAGAGTTGCAACGCCAACAACAACTCGAAGAACAAGCAAGAAGGCAGCAATTATTTGAACAGCAGAAGAAAGAACAGGAAGATCGTCTCCTTCAAGAACAGGAGATGTTGAGGCAGCAGCAAACTCATGCAAATCAACTGAGGGTCTCTGAATTAGAACATGATCTCGTAATGTTCAAAAACCAATTTGACAATGACCAAGCTCTTCTTCTGCAATATGATTCCAGAGTGAAATCTTTGGAAACTGAGTTATCCAACATCAATGATACTGCCACTCAACAGATTGCTTCAAAAGATGAACAAATCAGGAATTTGGAGGAGCAAGTTAACAGCTGGGCTAGAAAATATGAGTCTTTGGCCAAATTGTACTCCCAATTGCGCCTGGAGCATTTGAATCTCTTGGCCAAGTTCAAGAAGATTCAGCAAAGAATCAGCAGTGCCCAGGAATCGATCTTGAAGAAAGAAAAGCTCGAAAAAGATCTCAAGTCCAAGAATTTAGAATTGGCAGACTTGATTCGTGAACGTGATCGTGCTCGTCTTGATTTGGATAGGGTGAGAGCCTCAAAAGATCAAGAGATCGAGAAATTGCAAGCAGAAATTCGGGAATTGTCTGCGCAGGCAAGCGATTCAGGGCGCTTACATGACACAAATATAACTTCAATTGCTGCAAGGCACCAAAGGGAACTCGACCGTCTCAATGCAGAACTAGTGGAAAAGAATTTGCAACTTACTTCTTTGGGAGACCTTTCTGGACTTCAAGAAAAGTTGAAGGAGAAAGAAATAGATTTGGAAATTACGCATGAATCATTAGACGCCGCACTTAGGGAATTAGCAGTTGCGAAAAGAGGTGAAGGGGTTGGGAAGCTTTTGAATTTGCTTGATGTCATCTTGGCGAACAACGTGAGACGAATCCAAGACTCAAAGTACGAATTGACTTCCCCAATGCAAGCCGGAAACCCAAATGCTACTCCCGAATACTTGCTTTCAATCATTGATTTATGCTCTGACACTGCTACTGACTTTGGCCTGGCTTTCAACGATTTTATTGCAGAAGGAAGAAACATAGATGAGGGCATTGATGATAGTGCATACGCTTCAATTATTTTAGCAAGTTCTGAACTCACTGCAACTGTCAATGACTTAATGTTAAACGCCAAAGGTCTCAGTATGGTAATTCCAACTGGTGACGACGAAAAACTCACCCAGCTTGTGTCTGGTGTGTTAGAAGGGGCGGAGCTCTTCTTCCTGAGTTTGACTACCGATATTATTGAAGATTTGGAAACTGATGATGACAAAATTGATTTCGTGATCGACTGCAACGTTTCATTCCAGAAATTGTTACAAAAGATGTCTTCCTTTGTTGATACATTGAGAAGGTCCACTTCGAGCATTTCTTTAAAAGGTGATATCGAAGATGCCGTTGACAACGAGTTGGATGAAACGGCAAAGGCTGTCAAGTCAGCTGCGGAATTTTTGAGTAATCTTATGATGACAGCAACCAATGGTGATAATGTGGAGATTGATGAAGCCATCTTGGCTGCTGCCTTAGCGATTACTGATGCCATAACAAAACTCATCTTGGATGCCGCTGAATCACAACGTGAAATTGTCAACCGTAATAAGGGGTCTGGCTCGAGAAGAGAGTTCTACAAGAAAAATAATAGATGGACCGAAGGATTGATAAGTGCGTCCAAAGCTGTCGCAGGTGCAACCAATGTTCTCATCCAAACAGCAGATGGGGTTCTCAAGACGGTCAACTCGCATGAGCAACTTATTGTCGCATGTAACGAAGTTGCTGCTTCCACAGCACAACTAGTTGCCGCATCCAGGGTGAAAGCTAATTTCATGTCTCCAACTCAAGAGAACTTAGAAAGTTCTTCAAAGCTTGTCAACTTGAAATGTAAAGCTCTAGTTTCGAAAGTTCAGCACTTGATATCTCGTGAGGAGAATAATGAAAAGACTGTTGACTTGAGCAAATTAACTCCTTACGAAGGCAAGACGCTCGAAATGGAGCAGCAAGTTCAGATTCTCAAACTTGAAAATGCGCTCAACTCAGCAAGAAAGAAACTTACAGAAATCAGAAAAATTGGGTACCAAGACAACTACACTTTGGAAACCGCCTGATATCATCATAAAATACACATTTGTTTTCCAGGATCATAGTATGTACAATTTTCCGTAATTCTATAAAAGCCGAGTTGTCCCCCCATGTTCCAAAAGGTTAAGGTAATTTCGCTGTAATATCTCTAGAATAACATCAGGACCAACTACAGAGCTAAATACATAGAAAGATATTAATGCTAAATACATAGAAAGATATTAATGTGTGATCGTATAATTCTTCAAATGCGACCGTAACTTTGAGAATAGTCTCAACATACTCTTCTAGAGTTCCGCTCATGATGTGAGAACATAAATAGTGAGAAGAGGAAACACAAGGAACGACATTATTACTCATTAACACTTACATTGAATTTGAAAGTTCAATTTAAAATCATCAAATCAGCCTCGAGATTAAGGACAAGAGTAACATTTGAACTTGTCATGACCTATTAAGCAGCGACGATTACTGTCCAATTCAACAATCACCAGTCGACTTCATTCCTAATTTCCCAGTTAATATAACCAATATATCTGCTCCTAATGTTCTTGAAAGTTTATTTCATCAGCATATAAATGTGAACAGATTGCAACAGCGGGTCAAGGATAACATTCTTAACAAGAAGTTCAAGTTTAAACTAAGAATTAATCAATATTGCAATCAGAATCAACTTCTCTACTGCTTATAATAATTTATTTCTATTGTTCTTTCGACAACAATGACTCCTCTCTTCGAATGTAATTAGCGTTTCAGTTTACATCCTTTGTTAAGGACTATTAGTTCAAACAATGTGTGGAGCCTTTGCCGATAATAAAATCAACTCTTCTAATTAGTCTTGCTTTTGAATAGATTGAATAAATGTCATCGGTAGAAATGAAGATATTGATTGATCTCCACTGGACGTTGTAATTATATAGTTGTCATACAACATTCTATAATTTCAAAAGTACCGTGAATATTCAAGTAGTTAGTCGTGATTATGTACGGCAATAACACATACCATATTAAATTGGTAGTGGAAAAATGGGTATTGTTTACTAGAAGGCTTAGTAGTGTTATAGTTCGATATTGTTTCTTCCTTTATTCACTTTTTCAATGAATCTATTGCGTGTTTTTGTAATGCTTGGATACAAGGTTGAATAAACTTAAAATCTTCTGAATTGCTGATTCTTTTGTATATTCATGTTTTTTAACAGTTCAAGTTATATCGGCGGAATACTTGCGGCCACGGGACCTATTCTTCGAGAAATAGTTTTCTGTACTACTTCAAAACTGATTTGTCGGTTGTTGCGTTTCTGGTTTTGTGATCTTTTTGGAATGAGGACTCGCTTACGAAAATGATGAGAGCTTTGGTGATGAATGTCAGCAGCGTTAGTGTTTGCACTTAACGGAACTATGACCATGGCGTTTAGAATGGTCGCTGATGTAGTACAATATACAATTGTTTCATACTTAAACGATTCACTTGGTAACTACTTGAATCAAATTTAATTTTACATTTATGTAAAAGTGAGAACAAATTGGAATTGATTATGAAAGTCTTTATTTGAATCAGGAGGCATTCTTCGTGATAGACAAAAAATATCAATGATGTTTTTTTAAAATATACGAATAAGTTTTGTGCTACGTACAAATTAGTTGATGTTAAGAGTGTTAAACTATTCTTACAATTTTTTTAAAAATGATTTTTTGGGGAAAGTTTAGTGCGACGCTAGTATCTCATAGTTTGCTAGTAAGAATCGATTAGGGTTATCTTTTAGTGAAATAATAAGATAATTCACATTACGACTAATTATAGGAAGATTGAACAGAGATCAGGAAATGTACATCGCACTTTAGGAGTTTGGTAGAATAGTGTGATGAGCATTCGAAAATAGATGTTTTTTTACACTTTTAGGACAATTGTTTTGCTGGTTGTCTGGGTTTAAGTTGACAAGAGGTGTTTAATCTTGTGTGTTACGTAAGCCTTGAATATTGGTTGTTACTTTTATTGCTTGTGTCTTATCGATATATATATTAGTTGTATTCAAACATTCTGTTGGGAATCAGTGTCCATACTTCGTCTTCCCAATATCAAAAGGTAAGTATTTGTACTTGATCATGTGCTGAATTTGCTTTCTCATAGTTAAAGTGAACAAAATGATGAAATACATCACAAGAATAGGCCAAAAGACAGGAATATCAAAAATCGAAAACATGGACAAGAATAAGGAGATAATTGTCGCTCTAGTTGCATTTAACCAGAACTTAAATTCAGGCAATCTCCGTATGAAGGGCCGGAATTCTTCTTCGGTTACAGATTCTTCTGCACCCTCTTCAAGAGAGGATGATTTCAGCTCTTGTTCCAATGAAGGATCAAATTTTGGAGTGAGAAATGCAAGGAATAAATTGAGAAGGTAAATTCCCAATGCATAGCAAATAATATACCAACCTTGAACTATGAAGATTCTCACCATGAAGATGACAAGAAGAGCACCAAAAGCTGACCATCTTCGTACATAGAAAGGAACGCTTCGATCAAGAAGCTTTTGGTATGTCACCTGAATCTTTTGGTACTCCCTCCACACAAGATTGTCGGTTAAATTTTCCATGTTCTCCAGCAACTCCTGAAAATTTAAAATGAATGCGGATGTTGAACACATCATGAAACCTGCAGGTGGAGAAATCGAGAAGGTACGGAGTTTCATGGGTTTCCAATAATGTCGAAAGGAGCTAAATGAAGCGTCTTGAACTTAGATTGCCTTAGAAAATGTGAAGTGAGTTGGATCGATGTGGTCCCATTTCTAGTATTCGTTTTACGGGCAACCATGAGGGGGAGGGGGGTGGCGAAGGATCAACGTTGATCAAGCATAGCCCCACTAGCAACTTTATGGTGTCCCATGATTGAATGTAAGCATTTCCACTTGAAATGAGCTATAAATTTTTATCTGTAACTACAACTACAGATCAATCTGAAATTTGGATAGAAAGCGCGTCTTTCACTTCGTAGCCTTTAGTATGATGGATTTATGCTCATTGACTAGAAATCGCGACATTCAATTCGTAATCTTAAGTATGATGAATTCACACTCACCCAACTTCAGTAGTCAAGTACTCGTGAAAGGTAGTTTTCAATCATTTTTCACTGTATACACCACCTCAAGGATCCAACCGTTACCATCTATAGTCCGGTATGCAGAGTAAGGGGGTGTTTGTTTGTATTTACTTTCCATAGGACGCAATGCGCGTCATTCTTTTGTCAAACGCCTGGGGTGTCTCATGTAACATCCTTTATTGAAACACGTAGACTCGCGATCCTATATAACCTTGAGAATGCCTTAAGATAATTCATAAAATTATATCACAATCAACTCCTGCGAATACTAGTCGCGTCCATTCCTTTAACAGAGAATTATGATCTTCAACTTAGCTTCAACATTGGCCCTTGCAACTCTTGTGACTGCCGTTCCCTTCAAGAGATACGATAATGTGACTGACACTTCATTGACATCCTCGTCTGAAGTGGATACTACTATAACTGTTGACAAGTTTCTGACCATTACTTTACCTTATACTACACTTACTCTTGATGCCACTGCCTCAGATGAAATCGCTTCAGCAGAGAGGGTAGCCTCGACAGCAAGCGAAGGAACATCAAGGGCATCTTCCGATGAAGAAGATGTTTCTATTGTTACAATCTATAGCACTGTAACGGTCTCCGGATCTATTGTCACAACTGCAGTGGCAACCTTGACAACGACCTCGGGCGCCGTTTCACTGCCAACCACAACTTCCACGATTACTCACTTTGTAACTGTTACCCAGGCTAACGGCTCTGTGACTACTGCAGCTGTGACAGAGGCAGCCTGTACTCCGACCACTGTGACTGTGACGAAAACTGAGACTGCTGAGCCTTCGTCAGCGACTCAGAACGTTTCAACCATAACTGAAACTTTTTCGTCCTCCTATCCTATTGTCGCAACGTTTACACTTAGTGACTTTACGACTACTGTTACCTCTTATGTTGAAGTGACTTCGTTCCAGACGACTGTTTCTACATTGCAGACTGCATCCAGTGCACCACAGAATGGTACTTCGCAGTCTTACAAGAGACTCAGAAGAGGACTCTTCTATGACTTCTGATTAAATTAAGCACTCACGAATACGAAGGTGCGATGCACTCTTTGACCGTGATGCGTAGGATAGCCTTTTTTTTTTGCCGAAATGGTAATTGATTTCATTGTTTAGTTGTTATGTATGATTCCATTATTCTTCTGTGTATTATATTAAGTCTTGTGCCGCGCACAATTTTCTATATCAATCCCTTCTTCTCCAACCAGATTTGAAAGGTATGACTAGAAAAAGCTTAACCTTGGAAGAGCAGCTTTCTCCAATAAGGTTCCCATCTTTGGAACTTTTCAACTCAGAAGGAAAGGAAAATACTGTTGCTCTTCCCCCAGTTGAGGCGACGATACTTGATCTGGAGAACAACAACCACGCTAGAATTTACCCACACGGACTTAAACCAAAGCATGAAGCCAGAAGGAATACAATACATCAGGCAATTACTGATAAAACTCCAGCAAAGAAGGCTCAGAGATTTGCCTTAACTTCGCCTCGATTGGTTATCCCGACGCTTTTCCCTCCAGACACAGAAGATAATGTCACAGGAAGCCCATTATATGGAATAAGGAGTAAGAGGCTAAGCAGTGCAACGAATTTCAGTATTGATAAATACCTTAATCGATTGGGTAAGGGCATATCCGTGCACCAGAATATCGAGTCCGATGGTGATGAATTTTCGCCAATCAAAAAACATCGAGGTCCTATTCAGTCTTCTGAACAAGGCTTGGGAAATAATATTGAAATTAACAAGACCTCACTGTTAGGCTCAGATAAGTTGATTGCTTTGCAGGAGATTGCCACCTCGCCGACAGCCAAAAGTTCAAAGAATAGTTGTTCAAATGATGGACAATCAGAGGATATCAAAACAAAGTCACATAACCCCCCACAAGATATAGTCCGGATTGACAATGAAGATCTGAGCATTGTTCTAGGTGAATCGCCTGAGTCCAAGCGATTATTTTCTAGGAGATATATTAACAAGGTTCAAAACAAGTTTCGAGATGAAGTGAAAAAACTTGAAATCGAAATTGCATCCAAGAATGATCTTCTGAGTGATCTCTTAATTCGAGTCAGCGAGCAAGAGCGAATTAATTTGAAGTTGGAACAAGATTTAAATCTGCAGAGGCGTGAAGCTGTGAATCTACAGTTTGAAATAGACGCTTTGAATGTCAATTTAAGGGAAGTTGTCATTGACTTAGCTCGCGCAATTAAAAAATTGAAGCGAAAGGATTCTCTTTTATACATGGTAAATGAAAAGCTTGATCATTCGAAAAAGCGAATAGAAGAGAATCACATAAATGCAAGCCATCAGATTGTTGAGATGGAGGAAGCAGTCGAAAGGTTCAAGCGGGAACTTGCATTAAAACAGACTTTACTCGATGAATTAAAAATCGAACTCGGGGATGCTCAAGAAGTGTTGGGTATGGATCTGTCAGGAAATTACAGTATTAAACAAAAGATAATTGAATTGTGCAGTGAAAACGATCAAATTAAATCAGAACTACAAATGGTTTCATCAAAGAATATTGAACTTTCTTCACTCGTCAGTGAGCTTGAAGAAGCAAAGCAGAAGAGCGAACTGGCCAGAGAAGATTTGAATGATAAATTCCTTGGCTTAATGGAGGAAACCAAGAAGGTACAAGAAGAGATGACTACTTTTGAGACAATTCATAAACGATTGGAAAATGACATCTCAGAGAAAGAATCCCAAATTAAAGACTACTCTTTGGAGCTTGAGTCGGTACGGAACGAGAAATCTGCGATGGAAGAATCCTTTAAATCGTCAGAAGTTGCCAAACTTCTTGCTTTTCAAAAGGAGAAACAGGATTTGCTACAGCAGATAAATACTTTGCAGAAGCAGAATGAAGAAAAAGACCAGATTATTAGCGGTGACACCAAGAAGTTATCGCAGTTAGTGGAAGAGCTTGGTAAGCAAAAACTGCTCCTATCAACACTCACAACATCGCCAGAACAGGCTTCTGCCCAAAACACCGAACTATTACGTCAAATTGCTAATCTCAAACGTCAGATTTCTCATGCTCAACTGAAAACAGAGGAACGAATACAAGAGGTTGCCGAGCAATTGTTTCATCAATATTCAAAAAAACACGAGCTCAAGGTAAACCAATTGAAAGAGAAGTATGAAGCGAAACTTCAGGAGAAAACCAAACAAATTAATTTGAGTGCTCGTCAGTTGGAGAGTTTGGAAAGCCGTCTTAATATGGGCGAGAAGGAGAAGAATTACTTATTGCAATTGCTTGAGAAAACTAATTCACCGAAATAGTGGCCGAATCGACTTATATGATTCAGTTTTGCACATAAAATATAGTGCGAAAATCGAAATTTTGTAGGAATGACTGAACGTTTCACTACTTGCTTGTTCCTAATCCAACAGGGAAAGACGAGCCTAATCCATTATCACATCAAAAATAAAGTGATCTATACTTTTTGAATCTGAATAACGGTGTTTCTGAACTGGATTTTTGTTCTATTCTAACATGTCGAATTACGAAGCAGGAAAGTTATATGAAGCAGTCATCGACGAAGTGATCACTGATTCTAGACAAGACTTTGAGGATAGTGGTATAGATGAGTCAACGCTACAAGAGTTGAAAAGGCTTTGGTGTGAAAAACTAAGCCATGCTAAAGTATGCAACTTTGCTTGGGATGAAGAAGACCAGGACTTGCATGTCCAACAGACAATACTAGGAGGATCCAACGCCAGAAGCGATAATCTACACTTGAATTCCGGCTTGGAGCTACCAAATATGCCATATGATTCTGGCCTGAGTGCCATCCACAGCGGAAGTATTGGTGGTTCTAATGAAGGGGCCTATTCTATGGGAATTGAAATCCCAACGATTAAACAAGAGTTCAATGACGATACTGGTTTGATCATTCCAAAGGTGAATCAGAGTGACGGAGCTTTCGAATTGACAATAGAAATGGAAAGTTCCGAAGCAATTGCTTCCATGGAAAAGTTGAAATCAAAACTAGGGAAACAAGTTGATGGTGCCGGCGATGATGATGATGATGATGACGACGACATTTTCAATGACTCGGACGACATCAATTCGGATTTAGATGACGAGTTGGATTCTGAGAAATCTGATGATGATGATGCAGATCAGGAAGGTCGAATAATGCTTTGCCTTTATGACAAGGTGCAAAGAGTTAAGAACAAGTGGAAGTGTAGTCTTAAGGAGGGAATTGCTAATATCGAAGGTCGAGATTTTGTATTTCAAAGAGCAACTGGTGAGAGTGAGTGGTGAAAATTTCAAACTCTAGCAACTCGATTAAAGCCATGTCTTCAACATGGTGTAAATTTATTAGATATCAAATGGCTATATTCTTATTATGAATTAAAAGGTTGGTATTTGCAAATCAAGCACTAGCCTCTTCTCATCGGGAATAGGGTCTCCATTACCAAAAATGCAGTCAAAATCTGTTAAACAAACACTTAATATGTCAATTGAAATGTTCAAAGTAGGAACAAAAACGATGCAAACATTTCTTAAGCTCATTTTATTTGTGGAGCTCTTGGTTATAACGGACCTCAAATATCCAAATATCGTTACGCAGAAGTCAAAATTGACCTTACTCACCAAACCAGAATCTCTCAAAAAGTCCCTCATCATATACACCGTCGAAGAATTTGGACTACCCCCAGTTTGAGAAACCAAGCTTTGAAGTTCAGAATAAGCTTTCCTACCAAACACTGGGTTAGGCAACTCCCTCAAGTAAGTTTTTAGTAGTCCTGCAACAGTATGCATATCGGGTCTCAATGGAGACTCAAATAAATCAACATCGTGAACAGAATTGAAATTCTCTTTTAACTGCCTTATACTGGAAGCGGAGCCACTCAAGCGAAAGATTCCTTCTTCATAGACGGCACCTGTTTTGCTCAAAAAGTCAAGACATCTATAACAGATACTTGGGACTTGTCTACCATTATAGGAATGGTTGGAGAGTCGGAAGGCCTCCTCGATATCTCTGCCAAAAATCACACGAGCTGGTTCATCAGAGAGCTTCATTTGATCCAAATATGTTTGCATTGGAAGTTCACTACGTTGAGGACTTGACACAATCTGATTTTCTTGTTGATTGACATGAGTTTCACTGTGCGTGGAAACCCTGTTTCTGAATGGAAAGCGACTCTTCTTTCTCGTTGCTCTCTTAGCTTCCCTTTGTGACTCATCGAGAATCGTCACAAAACTTGAGTCTGCCTCAAACGACAGATGTGCATAGTTCGAACTTGTGCCCGATAAGTATCGATTTGATTGATCAAAGTCTTCATTTAACATGACATGTGGACTATCCAATTCTTGTAAAGAATTCTGGTCGTCATTACTAGCAAGTGGGTCATTCTCAGTGTACTCAACCATAGCGGCAACCCATTCATCTCTTTCGCTGTCAGACTCAGAACAAAAGAAATGTTTGGAAGACGAGGCGGAAAGTTTGGATATTTTAGCATTCTCCAATATAAGGAAAGCGTGCCGATACCCTCGTTGTTCTGCGACGGTATCCGAAGACTGGCGTCCAATTTGTGAACCAATAAGCTTTATCAGTTCCAATAAATTTCCACCAGGTGAGTCATATATCTCTAGTTCTGGCCCATCGACTTGACACCATCGAACTTTCCAAGCCGTACCGAGACCCAAGCCTTTATATCGACGTATAAGGAAGCCTTCCTTTTTCGCCCCAGTTCTGAAATCGTCAAGAAGATTTACAAAGTCGAGAGATAGAAACCGACAAATTCGAAACAAGACCAGTCGTGGAACGTGTGGCATCACAAATAACGTATTAAAGTAGTTCTGAAGAGAAATTCGCCTAGAATCTACCTTCAGTGGAGTAGTAGAGCTGAATAATGACTTTTCTGGCAACGGTGGTAAGCCAAAAAACTCGACCACTGGTCGTATTTCAGCGTCAAATGCTACCAATTGACTCAATGTTTTTCTAATTCTCCACATTTCTTTGCTTGTTTCCTTATCATTGATTGATAATGTGCAATTAGGATCATCTGCCTTCTTTGTGTTAGCAGAAATAGTACTCACGACATGAATTCTGATAGATTGAAACTCTTCTGGCTTGATAAAAAGCTCTACACTTTCATCCTCAAGCTTAGGAGTGGAGAGGACGTGGAAACTTGAGCCGGGAGTTTGAGAAGATGGTCTCTGGTAGCTATGAAATGAATCTGTGGATGCAAATGTATGTGTGTTTGGCGTTTTAGAAATTTCCATATTCGAGTTAGTTGTGGGAGTCATGCTTGAATTAGGAGGTGAGTTGGTAAATGGAGAACCAAAATAGCTGTGAGAATCCTCCGACAATTGACCAGAAGCTTCGGTCCGCGCAAAGAATTTTCCATTGCTTGAGAGTCCATCTGGAGTAAGTGGAAGTCTTGGTTCTTGGTTCTTAGCTGCCTCAGCCGCAAGGTCTGCTTTATTCTTGAAAGAAATCTGATTATTCATAGGGTGGCTTTCCTGGTTGATCAATGGTGTAGAAGGAGCGTTGCATGTCAAATCTGGTTGTTTGAGTGTTGGGGGTAGTTTAATCCTGGATTTGTAAGAATTCACTGAAGGGTTACTTGCCTTCCGAGAGGAAACCAATTCGTTCGCTGTCCCTTCAACATCTTTGTTTGACGCATTTTGATCGAATTCAACACCCTGAATATTTGTATTTAACACTGTCAAATCTACAACATCATCAGAGTTCAATATTCGAGGAGTTTCATCAAGTCCCGGTACATTCAAGTCATGTCGTGAAGTTTGTGGAGATAGTTCATTTGAAGTTGTGATTCCAAGGGCAGCAGAAAGCTCAGATCTGAAATTGCTAGAAAGTGGCATTCCATCGATGGCCGCGATTGGCCCATTCGATGTAATCGAAGCAATACTCTCTCTTCTAGAATCTGATTCAGCACTGCTCACTGCTTCTTCGGGACCTTTTTGGCTAAGCTTTCTTCGCGCAGAGCGTTGGGGGACATCCTCATCAGGAGTCCTCAGATGGCTGTGGGTATTGGCGATTAGGACACCTGTTGAATCAACATTAAAATGCTCCAATTGAGCTTGGAAGTTTGTAATCATGATATCTTTAGACTTCAAAGCTATCTTTAAGTCGTTAATCTCGGAAAGTAGAAGCTCTATAAATTCTTCAGATGTGTGTTCCCTTCTATCGAAATTTGGATGTGATGGCAGAAGCATTCTGTTGACCATTTCATCTTGGTCTTCGATCATTTGATGATGAAGTCCATCATCTTTTGAATCCGAACCGCTATCGGACATTTTTCAAGAACGACAATTTAGTGACAATGCTAGACACCTAGTCAACACAACTCGAAACACGAAATAGTAAAATCTGGGTTAGAGTTTACGTCAAATAGTATCGATGTGAATTTCTGGCTCCACTTTGAGAGGAATGACGAACCAGTAAATCGTATTTCTGAGTGTGATGTCGGTGTATGTTAAGAATTGCTCGCTCTCTCCGCGTGTTACTCAAATCCTGGTGTACTGGTGGTCGAGTTAGCCGTTTGAGATTTTACCTTAATTAGGAAACTAATTCATTTGCTAGCACTACTTACCCTTTCTTCTTATAATAAGACCTTGTATGTCGTATTATCCTTCTGTTGTCTTCAGGGTCATTTCTAACAGGGCTTTTTGAAAACTCATGCGGATTACCCTCTTCATCTAAAATTTCCCTGAGCATCTTATTCCCAGCGACTGCATCTGGCGATACAGATCTCTCAAAAGCCACTTTGTTAGCCAGATCATTATACTGATAAATGTAGTTAGTAGGTAATATGGAATTTGGCATCATTGCTCTACCCAATTTAATAACTTCGTTGGCCCATATCGTAATATCTGATTTGGGGTTCTTGTATGCTGCCCAGGAACGCTTACACCCTTTGGATAATTCTTTTATGACTTGTTCTGTCCCCCAAGTATCATTCCACAACAAATCATCATTCTCATCATCGTATTTCTGATTATTGGTGAAGCCAATCAAATGAGAGAATATCCCAGAAATGAGAGCACCATCTGAATAGCCACCTTCCAAAAAAGAAACAACTTTTCCTTCAGTATGAATCTTGGCAAGTTTAACAACATCTTTTGTGAATGTTGCGTAGAATGACGTTGGAACATTGATGCCATGACGCTGCATTTGGGGATTCTCATACTCAGAAGCATCAAATCCAGCAGAAATGACAATCAATGGTTTGAAGGGTGGTGGAGGAATCGGTTTGCTCATGTCCTGTTTATACAAGTGAGGCTTGAGCAAGTACTTGTTATACTTCGAAAGTTCTGTCAAATACGAAGCGTAAGTCTGCTCGTATTGTTTCTTGGCCAGATTTAGGAATTGATTAGCACGATTCAATATTGCAACATATTTGGTTCTGTAATGCTTGTAAAATTCCTCTTCTGTTGACCAGTCTTGAAGGTGAACATTCCATAGATTCAAATCGTGATCCATAATGCATAAGGAGGCATTTTTGATGTTTTCCTTTGTCGCATAACCTAATTCTGTTGGATAAGATTTGATATCATGCAAAGAGAAGTACCCAACCTTTGGAAACAGAGCGAATTTCTTCCCGTAATCATTTCTTGGATTCTCTTTGGCGTCAAAAAATTCATCATCCTTCTTACCATAGTCACCCCTGAACCCAGCTCGTTCCCAACAGATGTCCTGAGAGCCATCTCCATGATGAAGATCGATATCAAGAACCGCACAATGAGTAACACCATACTTATCATAGGCGTATTCAATTCCAATTTGTGCGTTATTCAACAAACAAAAACCACTAGGTAAGCAAGCATGTGAATGATGTCCAGGGGGTCGAAGGACGACAAAAGCGAGCTTATGATTATCTTCCTCATTCTTGGAAGCGTATAAAGAGTCAATTGATGTCTCGATTGTCCCCAATACTCCTTCTAGAGCAGTGATTGTTTTAGGGGTCAAATAAATATCACCAACATTCCAATCTTCTGGTACCTCAAGTTTTCCTTCGTTCAACTTTTCATGTGATTGAATGCATAATTCGAACAATTTACGAGGCCAGTCCCTTCCGTGTACTTTGAGAACATGATCAGAAAACAAAGAACCCTTTTTTGTTGAATTTGCAACCTCATAGAAATATGGGAACATTGTGAGTGCTGCTGAAACTCCAATAGAAGCTGCCAATAATCTTTGTGGGCGTTCAAAAATCGTTGCCAAGTACGACTTTGATACCCACTTCCGACCAAAAGCATGCTCTGGTGAATAAGGCGACAATAAAACGAGAGTTTTGTCTGTGTTAACTCGGAACTTTGGACTTTCCGACATGATTTGGGGATTAGCCGCTATAAACTCCTCAAATGTTCGATTAAAGCGTAACAACTCAATATCAAGATATGGAGAAGGCTCCAATGTCTTTCTGAAAGCTGCATTTTGCAGCGACAAGTATTCTGAGGTGTCCGCTTTTTGAAATCGGCCCTTGTCGGCCCGGTTTATTTTTGTTGTTTTTATAGCATTTTCGGGTTGAAGTCTGTATTGTCTCTTGGCCTTGAAGTTGGGAATCTGTTCCAGAAGTTGTTCCTCTTCTTCGAGCTCTTCGATATCAACGATGGATTGGTCTCGGTTGTAGAGCCCAATTGTTGTTCCGTGGATCACAGTCGTATGATCGATTGATAGATCCTCATCTTCTGGAATGTCGTTCGAAGGTCTGATTGATAATGTAGTCTCGAACTGAGAAATTAAAGACTCTTCACTGTCATCTTCATTCTCTTCTTTAAATTTTGCCATGCTCTCTTCGCTATAAGAAGACGGGTTCTGCAATCAGAGTCCAGAACCTATGGAGTTGCAACTACCCACAGAAAAACGTGATACAGGAAGTACACGAAGGTTGACTTCCAATAATTGCGCACCCGTTTTCTGTGCCTCACTACAATCATACTCTTGGAACTTTAAATTTTTAATGCCTGATCAGTAGAAATAATGCTTTGGGTGTCGGGGAACAACCGCAATCTTCAGGCGCAATTCGATGAGATCCATGAAGGTGGGCGACTGTTTAGATGGAGTTTTATTGAAGCTTCCTGACAATTCATCAAGTGAAGTTAATCGTCTTCAATACACCTACACACTGTAGATTCCTGTTCTATACTTTCCTAGATGATTCTGATTAATTGAGTAAAGAGGCAGTCACTGTACTGCTTGAGATAAGTGTACGTAAGTGTGTTCGATCACACCTGAGAGATCTCCTTGTTGTTAACCTGCTCCAAACGAGCAACCTCGCCAACATTGTGCTTTCTTTTCCGCAAAACATTTTCAATGAAAGCTTCTCCGGCTTTATAAGAAGATCTCACCAAGGGACCACTTGCGACGTACAAGAATCCCATTTCTAGAGCGATATCTCTCCAGTAGTCGAATTTTTCTGGTTTCACGTATTCAACAACTTTCATATGTCTCTTGGTTGGTCTCATGTATTGACCAAATGTGACGACATCACACTTAATTTCACGCAAATCCCTCAAGGTTTGCATAATTTGTGCATCAGTTTCTCCAAAACCAAGCATTAATGAGGTTTTGGTAACTAGAGATGAATTGGTTTGCTTTGCTTTCTGAAGAATTGATAATGATTGTCTGTAAGTGGCTCTCCGATCTCTCACATGAGGAGTCAACGCTTCAACAGTTTCCAAATTGTGAGCATACACATCTAAACCAGACATTGCCAAGATCTCACAGCTGTTCAAATCACCCCTGAAGTCACCTCCCAAAACTTCCACTAAGATTTGGGGTGCTTTCTGCTTAATCCTACGAACAGTTTCTGCCAAGTGGTTTGCACCACCATCAACCAAGTCATCTCTGTCTACTGTGGTCAATACGACATAGCCCAAGCCCCATCTCAGGATAGCTTCTGCTGTGTTTTCCGGCTCCAAAGGATCCGGTTTGGCTGGGTTCCTGTTGGTTTTCACCGAGCAGAATCTACAGCCTCTAGTACACGTATCTCCCAACAACATAATTGTTGCGGTAGCTTCTGACTTCTTTCCACCCCAACATTCGCCAATATTGGGACATTTGGCCTCTTCACACACGGTGGCTAGCTTGAGCTCACGTACATCTTTCTTAACGTTATGAAAAGATTTTCCTTTCGGAATAGGAACTTTTAACCATTTTGGAAGCTTCAGCTCCGGATCTTTACGAGCTGCTTCTAAGGGATCGACGAATACATCTGCTGCTTTACCCGAAACAAAGTCATCGAAGGATGGGCCCTTGTTCAATTCATCAGTGAACACCGTTCTTCTTCTTCTGGTCTTTTTGGCATTCTCAAGGGTAGCAAAAGATCTGATAAACCGACCATTCAAGTTTCCTGGGATCTTTCTGGGGATCATAGTTATATCAGGCGATGTATACGTTCGAGAGATGGCCCTCTTTTGGGCATCCTTTACAAAAGATCTGACTCGGTACTTTTGGATTCCTGTATTCAACTTAGATTGACTCTGAATTAAGACAGAGTATACTTAACTTAAGATGTTCGTAGTATACTTACAAAATAAGACAGAACATATAATTCGCTTAAAGGAGTCTATGAATCTTGTCATCTTCGAATTGTTTAAGGTTGTCAAGGTTGCTCCACCATTTGAACAAAAATGTCTCGCAAATCAACTTAAACCAAGGAGTAAAGACGAGTTTTTCATCTTCGAACATGGCCCTTAATTCACCAGCACTAACAAACTTATAATCTCTGACCTCATTGTAGTTTGCATTAACGGTAATATCATTCTTAGTCTTTAAAATAAGAATGTAATCAATTTCGTGTTCCCCCCATTTTGACGTTTCTTCGCCACTAGCTGATTTATAGTGAATTCTGGTCAAGTAGTCAAAATTTTCCAATGGACAGTCAGCCTCGGGGATTCCAAGTTCGTGAAACAACTTTCTGCGTGCAGCAACTTTTGCTCCTCTCACGGCAGTTGGTAAATCATTTATGTCGCCTGTATCAGAAGGGAGTAATCCCAATTCAGACGGAACACAAAGAGGGTGTGAGCAACATGTATTGGTCCACATATTTGGAAATGTGATCTTCTCGTCAGCTCTTTGCTGTAACAACAACTTACCATCCTCATTGAAAAGGAAAACAGAGAAAGCCCGATGCAACAAACCAGCATTGATATTATCCATGATATGGCACAACTTCTTGGTACCAGCACCGATTGGAATATCGTCGTAATCTAGAACGATGCATAGTTCTTCCATGAGTCTTATCTGTTCCTCATCGTGACCTTCAAAGAGCTTGTTGTTAAGATCTGTATCTTTAGAAGATGCCGTAGCAATGCCAGAAATCTCCTTCAAGGGGATCACATCTGACCATGTGGACAAAATGTCAGATGCTTTAAGCGACTCGACCAATCTAGCGTAATCTGATGTAGTCATTGAAAAACTCTCAAAAATGTCAACTGGACTATATTTTTGATTATATCGCAGACTTTAAACGAGGAAATGTGGTTATATGTAGGAAATGGGTTTCTTTTCATTTTTTGAGACAGTAGAGGTGAATTTAGTTGACCCCAAATATCGTATAGAATTTTGAAAGAATAACTCAAGAATTTAATTTATTGAAATTCAGTAATTCCAAATTTTCATTCTTTTACAAGTTTCCTTTTCTTTTTTGAAAGTAGCGTCATCAAGGTTCTCTATTTTTTGTCGTTTAAGACGGAAACCCAGAAATTTGAGAATTGTAATTTTGAGTAAATTGGTTCGTAAAATTCCAAATCTCATCCAAATAGTTCTATTTTATTTAGATATGAGTTTGTCACCCAAAATCTTACTTGAAACATAATTATCATATGCTCAAGCACCTCAAGCAAAGAAATTCTCATAGTCTCTTGTTGTTAAGTATATGCCCGGCGTATAGTTCTAGACTGCACACGACTTTCGTCGAGATTGCAAGGTGGCCATTTTTCACCAGATCATAGTTACATTATCACCACTTTCTTTATATTACGAATTGAATATGTCGAGCACTCAACGTCCAAGACGTTTCATCAAGCGTCCAGATGACAAGGCAATGAACCAAGACATCAACGCTTTGAGGGATGAGATCAAGAAATTGGATTTGACCAACAACGAGATCAATGCTCAAATTGACAAGACCGTTCTTGACCCCCAAACCGCTGAAAAAAGAAAGACATTGCAGAATGAAATGAAGGAAGTGATTTCAAAGCAAGGCAACTTGAAGCTGGAGAGGAATGCCATCCAAGAACAAATCAGAAATGTTGACACCAACTTGAAAAGAATGTTTGCAGACATCCTGAAGTTGACTTCGAAGAACAACTACAAGTCTGTTTCTGAGATTGACTCCAGAGTCAAATACTTGGATGACTTAGTGGGTGCTGGTAACTTGAAATTGGCCGACGAAAGGAGACACGTCAAAGAAATGACATCCTTGAGAAAGTTGCGCAAGGACTTCGCTGAAGTCGAGAAGCAACAGGAAGCCATTGACAAGGAAAAGGCCAAGATCGCTGATTTGAAGAAAAAGTTGGCTGCAGTAGGCAACAAGGAGGTTCAACAGCAATTCGAGAGAATTCAGAAAGAGTTGGATACTATTAACGAGTCTAACAAGTCTATCTACAACAAGAGAACTGAATTGATCAACAAAAGAAATGAAATCAGAAAGACTAAGGACGCTAAGTACGATCAAATTAGAAAGTTAAGAGCCGAGTTTGACGAAGAGTTCGCTAAGTTCAAGAAGGCATTAGCTGAAGAGCAAAAGAAGAGAGATGAAGAGTATAAGTCTCAACAAGCAGAGCAGAAACAAGCAAAGCTTAAGGAAATTGCTGATCAGAAATTGGCTGAAGCGTCTATTCCTGCTTTTACTCATGAAATCAATGAGATCCACACTTTGTTGGCATACTTCGACCCGACATATGTAAAGCCTCAGGTGAATGCCGTTGCTGAAGCCACGAAGTCCACTGCTTTCCAGAAGCCTACTACTACTCGTCAAGTAGAAATGCCAGAGGATGTTGTTATCTTAAAGAAGGAGCAGCAGTCATTCTTTGAGGGTTCGAAACAGAAGAGGAATAAGAAGAAGTCAGCAAAGGCTAAAAATTTTACTGTTGATTCTGATGTGATTATTTCATTGACCGACTTGTCTATTCCATTGCCAACAAAAGCTGATGACGTCCCAAATACCATCGATATTTTGAAGGAGACTTTGTCAGCATTACAAGATAAGCAAGAAGAGCAAACTAAGGTTAATGTTGAAAAGGCAAAAGCTGAAATTGCAAAGCTCGAGGCTCAGGACGCTGAAAACGAAGAGGTTGAAGAGTCTGAGGTAGTAGAGGAGGACGCTTGATTTAGGCAGATATCATTGAAATCATTTTCCACAGATTCAGTTTATCTTTTATTTGCTTTGTTTAGACAGATCAGTAAACAACCATAGAATATCTCACTCACTCTGTAGGTAACTAGTTGATCTAATACTGCAGGATATTTGCGAAGAGGTGAACTTTTTTCACGTCTCTGCTTAGCGTCTTAATATCAATAGCTAAAGAAAAAGTGCAAGTTTCCCAAAAACCAACAATGGAACCCATTAAAAGTCACCAGGGTAGAAAATGTGCTATTTGTGTCCCATCTTCAATAATTTCGGGTAGTAACGCTAGAAATTTGGAACAAATTACCAACATTGCATACCAAGTTGCAAGAGCAGCTACAATCTATAATGTTTCTGAGATCGTCATCTTGGATATTCCAAGTCCCGCAGAGAAGCAAGCCAAGAGAGACACCGAAGCGCAGAAGTTTGTGGCGGTCGCTGGAGAGGGGGGAAATAAAAAGATTTCATTCAATCTAGCTAACGATGACAGTGATGCTTCGGAACAGATGACGGAACAGGAAGTTAACACCAGAAAGCTGGATGAGAGTGAAAATAATGGACTATTATTTGCCACTCTTATGCAATATTTCGTTACTCCCCCATATTTAGTAAAGGGTGTTTTCCAGGAGAGTATATTCAAACACAAATTCAAGTACGCACAAAAACTTCCGAAATTGAGTACTTTACCCTTCATGAGCAACAACGAAGTTACGAAAATCTTTAAAGAGGGATTATCAGTCCCTAAGCATACTCCAAAAATCAAGAAAAAGAATAAGAAGGTTAGCGCCCTAAAGAAGTTGCAAGTGACGAAGTACATCAATATCGGAAATGAAACTCCACTTATCTTGAGTGGAGCAGAGATCCCAATTAACGTGAGAGTCACCGTTGATATTAAGAACAAAAAAGTTGTTAGCCCTCAAGTAGCTTACGGAATTTCAGGCACTAAGTCTTCCTTTGGTTACTTAGTTCGCTACGCTAAGACATTTAGCTCCATCTTCACCGAACTGTCTTTTCCAAATGGTTACACAAAATCAGTTTTCATTCAAGCGAACGATTACTTTTCGAAAACAACGAAAACTACCTTAGAAAAAATCGACAGTATTGAAGAGGGACAAGTGCTTTTGATAGTGGGTAAGCTTGAAGAATTCCGAGAAAAATTCTCGCAGGAAAGCATTCCCGAAGTGGACAGTGTCACTGATATGTTTGATGGAGAGATTGAAGTACCCGCTGGACTTCGAATTGAGGATGCCGTAATGATTGGATTGACGAAGGTTTTGTAATTCGGGTAAATGGGAGTGAATCCCTGTATGGAACCATCTCTTTTCAGTCTAGACTACCAGAAATCCCTTTTGTACAGGCTTGTAAGTGATTAAAATAATGAATGCACTTATGAAATATAGATTGACATCTGCTTACTACACCTAATCTTGTATCATGCACGAAATTAAGGAGTGGGGCCAAAATTTTGGAGCAGATTCCGCTCTACATAATAATACTCACAAACAACCACCACGCACTATCCATGGTCTTATTATGGTTCCTACATATAACCATGGTTGTCGCAGTTTGTTTACTAACAAAACAGGGGGATATAATTCAAGTTTGACTAATTCCCACATCATTTGATGCCAACAGTTTATAAGGTTGTTTCAATTTAGAGCGTTAGTTATACAGGAGCCGAATGATGCCAAATACACAAACATTGTATTCTTCTTTCTAGTTGTGAGGAACTTCCGTTTAGGGATACCCTATTTTACATACAGGATACTTCCAAAAATAGTTGCTTTTTTTGTGCTTCATAAAAGTTCGTCAGTTCGCAAATCCTATTAAAATCCAGTTACTCCTACTTCTCTTAGGCAACACACTCGTTTATAATGCAGTTCAAATACTTGTCTACTGTTGCGGCAGTTTTGGCCACTGCTCTGGCTATCGGTGATGTACGTATTTCGAAGTAACATAACTTGCGCTCATATCATGCTAATGTCCCAGGCTGTGCTTCCATGAAACTCTACTAACAGGAATAGCTCGGTTTTAACTTGGGTGTCAAGGATAATGCTGGAAACTGTAAGTCCGCTAGCGAATATGCAACTGACTTTGAAAAGTTGAGCGCTTACACATCAATCGTGAAGACTTACGCAGTTTCAGATTGTAACACTTTGCAAATTTTGGGTCCAGCTGCCGAGAAGGCTGGCTTTCAGGTTATCTTCGGTATTTGGCCAACCGACAGTGCTCATTTCGAGGAGGAGAAGGAAGCTTTGAAGAACTACTTGCCAAACATCTCCAAGGATACTGTGAAGGTGTTTACCGTCGGTTCCGAGGCTTTGTACAGAGATGACATGACCGCCTCCGAGTTGGCTGACGCTATTGATTCGATCAAGGACGTCTTGGCTGGCATCAAGGACAAGAACGGTGACTCATACAGTGGTGTGCCAGTTGGAACTGTCGACTCTTGGAATGTTCTTGTTGACGGTGGTTCTCTTCCAGCCATCAAAGCCGCTGACTTTGTTTTCGCCAACGCATTTTCTTACTGGCAGGGTCAGACAATGAAGAATGCCTCTTACTCCTTTTTTGATGACATCATGCAAGCTTTGCAGACTATCCAAACCGCCAAGGGTTCAACTGACCTCAACTTTTGGGTTGGTGAGACTGGCTGGCCGACCGATGGTACCAACTTCGAATCCGCTTACCCTTCTGTCAGCAACGCCAAGCAATACTGGCAGGAAGCTGTTTGTGCTATGAGAGCCTGGGGTGTGAATGTTTGTGTTTTCGAGGCTGCCGATGAGGCATGGAAGCCAGACACCTCTGGTACCAGTGATGTTGAGAAGTATTGGGGTGTTTTTGACGCAAGCTACTCCTTGAAGTACGATTTGGACTGTAAATTCTAAGTTTCTCTCAATTTATACCCAGTAATTGAAAAGTCGTTTGATTAATAGTTCGAAATGAATGCGTCTGTACCTTAGTTGAGTTTCTTGAAGTGTTCAATGGTAAAAGGTTCCTTATGTACAAAAGTTGACAAGAAATAGAACTCTAACAGGGATATCATTACTTTTTGGCTACTGAAGCACAATTTCAATCGAGCCACTAGAATGGAGTTGGTTCGTATCTCCTAGTCCAAGATCTGTTACTCCTATACATGCTCACTCAAGAAGGTCAATAGGAAACTTCAATTATTCAAATATGGCACTCGAAATGGACTAGTACACACAATTATGCAGATTCCCAGAGCCACTATAAATAGCATCCTATGCTGCCGCAAGAACTATTTGGATTGGTAGATATCGCTTATAAGCCATACTATCACCTGAAAGTGAACACTTAGTAGTACGGTAGGATGGTATCAAGAATAGAATTTTGAATTTAAGCTCAAGGTTTGCTCATTCTCGAAAAAAAGAGTACAGTTGACCAAGGTATTCTCTTACTTATCCATGGGGACTCGTCTCAGATTTAAAACATTTCTTACCAATGGTTAGTGATAACTATGTTATGATGTTTATAGGATGTGAATTTGTAGGAGATTTAACTGCTTGTTAATGTCATTCTGAAAACTGATTCACATACAATAATGGAGACACAATTGAACTATCGCAATGTGGCTGCGTAGTTCTCTGGCTCCAACTACTTACATGTTCTTCACCAGGTTTACATTTTTAGGCATCATGGATCCATAGTGATATGTGTCCGAGGTGCAGCCATTAAATCGTCAGAGGTTCTTGAATTCGACACACTGGAAATCCAAATATCTACTGTACCACATGTATCTTGCTCGGGTTGGATGCCCAAAAGAGTAGGAATGTGTTCATCCCAAGGTGCTTTGGTTGCAACGGCTTGGAAAAGGAGACCGGTTTCAGTTAATCATGCATGAAATTGAATAAACTTTGAACCTTTGACAGAGAAAGTAAACACCGGAATCGGATGCTTTTCGGTCTGAGGATCGTTTAAGTTCAGGACCATTCTTGCCTACACCTGTAGAATACGGTTATCAATGTTGTCATCATCACTAAAGCTCTCAAAAATAGGCTAAACAAGCTGCCCCCTCCTCTTCGGATCCCCACCAGGCGCAGCAGCTGACAAAATTATCATTCCTCACTTTTCCACGTAAAACGTGGTTGTCAATGATGAGAGTCCCCGGATTGATTATGGAACTTCCGTGTCAGTTACACATGCAATATGATGTGAAAATGGTAGTCAAGCTTTCGATGGTTAAAGTCAGCTAGAACTGAGCTATCATTTGGTAATATCGAGTGTGCCTGGACGACGTACTGCCACCATGAGGCAAAAACCAGCCGATTTGGATACGACATAACTTTTCGAAGTCAATTTCTTCAATAGACTACTTAGTTCTATACCTGGGACTACACACGTAAACATAAAGCTGTTAGGCAGTATCTGAATTAGTTGTGTTGGAACATTACCATCTTCGTCAAAACTCTCCCCATTCAGCTATGCAAACTGCAATGCCCAAAAAATAACTTGTCCAGATGCAACAACCGACAAGTCAGCTTTAACTCAGGGCACTACAGAAAAATTGGATGTCGATAAAGCACGTTTCCAGGGAACTTGGGGCTATGATCCATTAATCGTGAGGATATGTTGATTACGTTTCTTAACAGGAAACATAACGACTCCGTGGCCAAGCTGGCTAAGGCGTAAGACTGTTAATCTTGAGATCGTGAGTTCGATCCTCACCGGGGTCGTTTTATGTTTTTTTAGATATCCAAAGGAGTAATTTGTACTAACTATCTTTTGTTTATGCAAATTGGGAACGTCAGTTAAATCGAATTATATTAAATCTATGGCGAACTAAATACCTATCTATTTCTTAAAGTAGATAACCCGTAAACACAAGGAGTGCAAACCAATGAACAGCCTTTCTTGAACCCAGGTTCTCTTGTTGGATGGCCAGAGAGACTGTAGATGGCAGAGTAGTAATAGTCAGCAAAGTACTTTGGAGGACTCCGGTTGTGCCAGATGAAGCCAAGCTCAGAATACTAGTACTTCCTAACCCAGTTTGATGAATGCCACTTGTAGTAGTTGCGGATGACACTTTTCCAGATAGTATATCCAGAGCGCTTATACTGGCATAGGGATTAAAAAACACGAACGATGAAGTAGTCTTAGCGCTCAATGAGGAAGTAGACTTCAGGGACGTGACGGAAGATGCAGACTTCAGGGACGTGACGGAAGATGCAGACTTCAGGGCCGAGTCAAGCAGAGTGGTCGACAGGGAAGTTGAATAAGAAGTTAACTTGGCGGATGAGCTTAACGAACTCTTCGCAGTGGAGGATGACTCACTCGAGTAAGTGAAAGTTGAGGCGCTTTGCAGAGACACCACAGTGGAAGACGATGAAGTCTTCAGTTGAGAAGATGAAGCCTTAGCCGCGTTGCTGACGGAACCACCATTTTGAAGAGTATCGAAATCTTTCAAAGCCTGACTCTCACGGCCATTGACCTCACCATTGATTGCTTTAATAGAAGTCCATTCTCCAGAAGTGTCAGTATACTCGTATTCTGATCCTGTGGAATAGTCTGCCACAATGACAGACTGAATATACATGTCGAAAGGTGCTTCAGAATAGTCAGTCAATCCACCAGCCCACTCTATAGTTCCAGGCTCATTAGAAGGGTCGCCTCCAGCCCAAGTGCCCGCCATTATGTACATAGGACTTTGAGGGAAGCCCTGACCATTATCAGGCTCCAACGTTCTGACAACCGAGCCATCAAGAGACCACGTAATTGAATCCTTGGTCCATTCAATGGTGTAAGTGTGAAAGTTCTCTAATGGGGAATTTGAGGTTGAGTGATATTCACCTCTGTCGTAAGTGGTAGTGTCACCCTTCGAAAACCAGTTTGATTGGAACTCGTAAGCATCTCCACCAAACAATTCTATATCAATTTCGTCCAAATCATCACTCTGGAGATAAAATGAGGATACTATTCCCTTTCCCTTGGCTGCTTGCATCACAACCTCAACCTTTCCGAACATGATATAGAAGTTTGACTTGATCGATGGATTGTCAAACCTCTTGGCGATCTCTAGCTTCAAGCCATCATTGGAGTACGACAAACCTGTTGCCTTCACCTCGTCGAAGTATGAAGATTGCAGATGAAAGTCCTCTCTAAATGAGGATGCCAATGCTGTAACAGGTGAACATTTGCCTTGAGTTGGGTTGCATGCGTATACAGTTGCAGCTAAGACGGCCCCAAGAAGGCTACTTGATAATCTCATGATAGCTGTACAGAAAAGAAAGGAAAAAAGGTTAATAATGGAACTAGAGAAGGCAGGAGATGCTCTTTATATAACTTGCTGATCATGGCGGTGCTTCTTTATGGAGGAATCTCAGGCTAGTCTGATCTATTTTTGACCGCGTGTAAATATTTACGTTATTTGCGCGCGTTGCTTAAATGACCTAGGCTGAAGGGGGCACCCGAATCTTTATCAAATCTCGTTTACCAACTTAAGTCGAGCGGACACTAATTACGCCTTCGAATGTGATAATTTTAGGGTCCTTTTGAGGCCATTTTCCATCAGGACAGGCAATTTCAAAATACTTGCGAATTGCAATCATCCACTTAATTGGCAGTTTTTGCCTCTGCTGCAGAAGACCAGCTCGTAACAAGGAGAAGACTAGTTGGCCTATGTTGGTTACCATATGTTAATAGGTCGGGTGGCTGGCTGTGGTGCGAAATCAAGGATGGCAAGGTAGTGTGATCTGCACACGTGACATGTTTTACCTACCCGATTTGTATTAATCACCAGCGTTCATTATTAATGAGTCTGGTTATCACCTTGCAACTGGTCAGAGCCGAAATATCTTTCGATAAAGAGACGAGGTAGGATTTTTATGATGTAGTCGAGCTCAATGGCGAACCATTAGGATTATCCATCCCTGGAATATTCCAATACTTTTAATGGAGCTGGAATGTGAAAGAAGAAATGGGCAAGAACAAAAAAAAATTAATAAACTTGACGAGGTACAAATAAAGTATCAGTTAATCTGGATTGCTCCCTAAAATCCAATTAATACAATTTCGCAACATCGACGTTTCCAGAGAACATTTATCTCTCCACCTTTTCCATCGATTTATGGAAGTCGCAATCAATGCATGCACTCCATACGACCTACATGCACTCCTGAGATAGTGTCATGGCTAAGGTTGGTCGTCCCTTCTTTTATGACTTATCTTTATCGAGTTTGAGTTATTGGGCATATGTGGAGCAAAAGTTTCATATTTTACACCTTAACACAGGTGGTGAAGTCATATCCGGTAGTGATTTTAATAGAGGAGGATGTGCCCTTTGGTGGAGATGATGAAGGAAGTACTTTGCTTATACTTTTTATTCTTTTCATATCTCTCTTCGGATTGTTGTTACTAAGTTCTTTGATTTATTGCGTCATCAGAACTCACAAGCGTATCAGCGAGGACGTATTGAGCAGAGAGGAGGATAACCAAGCATACTTGGAACTTGATCTGGAAGAACAGGAGCTCTATTTTCAATCCAAAGAGTTTTTGCAAGCGAATCCCTATTTAAGAGGAGACTTGACCTTGTCGCAGAACTTAAGCATTCAAGAGAAAGCTATTAAGGCTTGGGAGTTTGTAAAGGATCCAATGTTGACCAATAATGATTTGCTTATTGTGAACAAATGTGAGTTGAACTTTTTCAAGAACTTCGAGTGCTCTGCACAAACGAATTTACCTATTCCTCAAGTTAACGAAGTTTACTACTTTGAAAGCAAAATATACTCCTTGCCAAAGCCTGAAGAGACACTTATCTCCATCGGCATCGGCATCAAGCCTTATCCTTGGTTTCGGTTGCCTGGACGCCACACACAAAGCATTGCATACGATAGTGATGGCTTCAGACGCCATAACCAGCCATTCAAGTTTAACACTGAAAGTCCGTTTCCAAAATTAATAGAGGGTGATGTTGTCGGTATCGGATACCGAGTTCGTTCGGGAACTGTGTTTTTTACCAGGAATGGAAAGAAAGTGAGCGAGCTGAAACTTGGAGGTCACATTAAAAATTTCAAGATACCTCATGAAGGTCAGCTTTACCCAGTGATAGGAGCAAACAATCTCTGTTCCGTACATGTTAACATCGGTCAGATGGGTTACGTTTTCATTGAGGGTAATGTTAAGAAGTGGGGATTTGCTCCTCTTGAAGGCACAGGTCCTGCCCCTCCAGCGTACAATAAGTTCAATGGAGATATTTTGTTGGAACGATCAGAGATCGATGAAGAAAACGACCTTTCGGAAAGAATGAATGATTTTCCTCCAGATTTTTGGGATCTTCAAGAGAGAGATGGTGAGGACTACGAAAACCAAGACAAATTCAGCTACAATATCCATAGTGACGCCTCGTTGGATGAGCGGATCACGTTGCACAGCCTAATACCCAACAAACCACCGAGTTACGACTCCGACCTGGATCCGCCGGGATCAATAGGGGTCGGTGCACCGTGGGAATCGGCATCAATTGACAATGCACAAAACTGTGGGGTTGATGCCCTTGAGTCCGAAAACAGAAATGATGTGCAAGTGGAGGAGATCGATTTGGATGAACCTAACGGAATAGTTCGGACAGAACAGAATGCAGACAACTCCAAAGGTATAAGTGGAGTAGTCACAGAAGAGGAGGGTGAATAGAACAACTTTCGTATTGCTTCGTCTCATGGGCAATTCTAGGGGATATTTTGTGCATCAACATCGGACTTTAATACATACATCTTATGATTGGGTTAAAGTACTTGAATGTAGCCTTGGTCATAGGAATAAGTCGGAACGTAGTCCCCTCAGTTGTGGTTTTTCTTCAATTTTACGGCCCGCTCTTCGGCCCTACTCCCGAATGCACCAAAGGGTTACGTATAGCCATACTTATTCCACTGTATGTACTCACTCGGACACGGCACTTTGAATATGAATCATCTAAATGCAGTAAACCCCACAGTATTGTCCCCCAAAGTGAAACACATCTGGAGTGCATGGAGAAGAAAAAACGAGAAATTGCGGAAAAATCGCACTATTCTTATAGTTTCCTGGGGTAGTGGTGGGGTTTTCAAAACGCCGTACAAAAGTGGATTTCTTATAAAATGATAAGGAATTCTGGCTTATCACAGGCCAATAAGATTATAGTACCTAATAATAGTGAAGCCATGATCCAGAAATATACCTGTGTGCCAGTTGATGAATACGACGTCCTTATTGTCACGAACGGTGCAGTGCATCAAGTAGAGCAGGCTCTCCATCAATTGAACGAACGGACCGACAATGATATTCCACTCAATGCAACTATTGTATACTTAGATTCTTTCGAAGATTTGGTTACACACTTGAGAATTACTAACATGGAAACAATGTCGCCAACCACAAACTTTAAGGGTAAAACGGTGTTCATGTTTTTTAACGGTCTTGAGTATATACAGAATTTCATTTGTGAGGTAATTGATTACTATGGCTCTTTGGTGATGGGATTCACACCAGATTTCCACAAAGCAAGATTGAGCATTCTCAACAACTCCTACTATTATTTTGATTCATCCGTGGCCACAGACCTAGGGATGGAACCCACTTCGATGTTGAGCGATTCTGTTCAATTCAACTACATTGTCACCATTGTTAACGACATCTTGAAGAAAATGAGCTTCATGTTGCATAGAATTCGCGGAGTGTACTTGGATGACATCCAATTTAACGGTGAAAGACTGTACCCATTGCAAGCATTACTACGCAACTTCCCCAACCTTGAGAGAGTGGATCTTGCAAGTGAAGCCGAAGTTTGCTTTAGGGAAATAGTGGTTTAGGAAGGATATACGAAAAGTTAAATGGTTTTAATCGAAACCTTGTAGTGTGCATTGTATATGATACGAAATGTTATTTCGCTCCCGAAAACTTCTCGTTTCTCATTTCCCTATGGGCTTACACCAGAATGTGTATTAGAGTAGAACCTACGCTGTATCTGAGCATAGAGCCACAAATGTGTAGCTCTTTTGATTGACGAAAGCACCAATATAGGAACCATTCGAAGATCTGTAAGTGATCTATTATCTGTGCCGTTGATTCTAAATACAGCTAATTACTACACTTCATAGTTAAAGACTGTCAAAAGGAACATCCACACTCATTTTATCTAATCTTCAAGTCAATTTCGGAGTATCGATCCCGCATGGCGGATTGAGTTGTCGGATTGGGATTCCGCACTTTTGTTATCTGCTTACAGTTAATCTGCAGAACTTACTATTACCTACATAAATCGATCAGATCTTTATTTAGTCCATATATTTGCTTGGAAGGTTTGATGGTTCTTTTCATCATTCTAGTGATAGCTATTGCTATTGTAGCCTATTATTACTACCCACCAAATCCACAGATACAAGCTCCAGTTGGGACATCTCAGATAGTTCCAGAAGTTGAACCTGTGGATCCGTCTTTCAAATGGCATGAAGCAGAACCATATAAATTACGCCCATTTGTGGGAAAGAAAAATTTTCGTCCGTCCATGTCTGTGCATAACATCTCTAATAAGCGGGAGAATCTCTTCCTCATTGAGAAGACGTACTTGGAAATCACAAACCACAGACGCCAGGTTGCGAATGATTATTCTGACAAGATTATTCACTGCAACCCAAACACCAGATCCGTGGAGGCAGTACGAGAGTTTTATGACATGACCATTAAATTTCTCTGCGAAAGATATCCTCAGTATTTCAAGATCGACGAGGAGAAAAATAGTGTATTCAACCTTATCAACAATGATACTCTTCCTCTCACATCTGTTCAGGAGGATCCAAGAACACTCATTACGATTTTAACGGGAAACATCGAGGAAGATTTCCTAATTTTGCTCAAGGATGACCCTAAGGACCACAGTCAAGAGTATATTCTTAGAGCAAGCTTGACTGGTACTCCTGCGGGATTTGATCCCTCAGTCAATTTTGATAAACCAGTTTCGTTCATTCACGTCCCAGTTCCTCAGTATCAAGAGCGGTTGGAATCACCAATGGCTCGTTTCTTTAATAGATTGGAGCCTAAGGACTTGTGGCAGAGAGGAAACTGGTCAGTTCAAACCAATAATGTTTTATTCAAATTAGACAGCCATCACGGGAGGGAAGGCGACGAAACCAAAGAATTGAGTATGGACGAGATTGACTTCGATAATGCTTGCTTTATGCGATGTGAGAGACAAGTATTCACCAGATTGCCAAAATCAAGAGCGGTAATTATGCTAGTGAGAACCTACTTGACACCTATCAAACAAATTCGTGAAGAGGGCTTAGGAGAAATCATGGCAAATGCAATCGAGTCATTGCCTGCGGACTTGGCATTTTACAAGAGAAGACAAGCCTGGGGAAACGCAGTTAAGCAGTATTTGAGAATGCCATAGGGTTCATAGATCTCTGTTTTGATAGAAACGTTCAAATTTTTTATAGAGCCAATTGAAGAACTAACGTTACTGTAACTTGACGTAGTTAGCTGGGAACAATCCCACGTCTCCAGTCTTGGAGTTCTTACCAGACCACCAGTCTTCGTCAACAAAGTCAATTTCTATGATCAAGTCCCCCTCGGCGAAAGTGATCTCATTGTCCTCTTCTTTTTCGTACTCATATTCAGCAACAGCAGTCTTTCCTTCAGAACCAGCAGGAGAATCGGTAGCAGTAGCAGGGGCCTCTGAAGCACTCGAAGGTTTTTCAGCAGGTTCACTTTCATCCTGAACTGTCACATAAGAACCTGGGAACAACCCGGTCTTCCCAGTTCTAGAATTCTTTCCCGACCACCATTCTTCGTCAACAAATTCTATCTCCACAATAATATCACCTTCATTGAACTCAACTTCATTGTCTTCATCCTTCTCGTAGTCATATTGTGCAACAGCCGAGATACCAACCTTACTTTCTTCAGTTTCTCTCTTTGGCATAGAAGGTGTTGGCAGTTCGGCCTTTGGCTCCTCTCTGGTAGGAAGTGGGGGCAAGTTACGAGCTGGCAATGAAGGAACATGGGCTGGAGCAGGAACCTCCTCTTCCTCTTCCTCCTCCTTCTCCTCTTCAGCTGGGGCAGATGGAAGGACTCTCTTCGGTGGAGCAGGGAAGCCACCAACAGCCGGCTTGATGATAGTTGGCTTGAAATCATGTTTTTCTTCTTCCTCTTCTTCCTCTTCTTCCTCTTCTTCCTCTTCTTCCTCTTCTTCATCCTTTGGAGCGACCGCTGGTTCTTCTGTTTCTTTATCATCTTCCTTATCTTTCACTTGAAAAGACTTAAACTCAGACTCCAATTCCCTAGAATCAGACGTACTAGAAGCATGGACTGGTTCCTCATCATGATTGACATCCTTGAACTTACCTCTCTTTTCAGCCCACAACTGAGCAGGTGTTTTGCCATTCTCAGCACCGAAATTACGAGATAATCCACCAACCAACTTATCCTTCTTGTCCAAAGACTGCCCAAAATGTGGCTTAGCACCAAAAGTTGGCGCAGAACTCGAGGATGAAGCAGCAGTATAACGGGAAGCCACGGAGTGGTTAACCTTTGGCTTTGGTAAAGACGTAAGTCTTCCGTCATCGCCAGCCAGCTGAAATGCTTTCATTCTGTCGCTCAAAGTCTTCTGTTCAGCCAGTTCAGACTTGCTCTCTTGTGGCTTCGATGGAGCTATCTTAGAGGAGATGGTGTCAGATTTCTGCTTTCTCAACTCAGCAATATCGACCTTAGTAGGTTTATAAGCAGAAGGAACAGACTCTAGAGGCTGCTTCTCGAAGTCTCTTTCTTCAATCTCTTTCTCTCCTCCCCATTCATCTTCGTCTTGAGCAGTTGGCTCGGATGGCTTCACTGTAGGAGACTTAAAAGCTGGCTTTGGAGTAATTGGGGCCACGGGCTTCCCCGTTGACTTTGGAATAAAAGAGGAAGGCTTTGAAGGCTTCGAAACAACGGCAGGCACTGGTTGTGGCGAAGCCTTCTTGACAGATGGAGCAGCATTGGCTGTTCCGTATCTTGCACCAGCAGCTGCTCCCACTCTAGAAAGAAACTCGTCCACATCCAAATCGTCAGAATCTCTTGCGGTGATTTGAACATGATATCCGCTCAAAACACGCGAAACATCTGCGAAGTTGGCCGCAAAAGACAATCTCAACTTTGCTGGAGCATTGTCGGGACACCAACCAAGCAAGAGGTTCTTAACCACGTCAGATCCCGGAAGAGTCACACGAGTCAAACCGAACTGAACTTGACCATCAGAGAACTCGGAGACAAATTCCTCCAAATCTCCTGATCCGCCGCTGGTAGCATCGAGCACTCCATTCTTGTCAACCGAAAACACACCGTAGGTGGTCGATTGGTCACCACGAACCACTTTGTTGTAGAGGTCCTGGATCTTCTTCGAGTTAGTAGATAAGTCAATCTTCTCCATGATTGATAATTGAGCGAAATACGGTCCTATTGGAGCTTTTTGTCAATGGAATTCAATCGCCACGTTGAAGTACTAGCAAATTATGAGGTTCCGAAGCTTGGGGCTGAGAATCGGCTCGCTCCATTGCTCATGCAGGCATTTCATGACGCTAGGGGATCGAATTGATCTGTAAGAGACGACAGTGCTATGTATTTCTGACCGGGAAGCTTTGCAGTCAGTAGCTAATTACTAAGTCTAACATTTTCTTCTGTTCTTGTAGATTATCCGACCCGCTCGCATGCCGTTCAATACTTTAACCACAGTTTCTACATTGCGGTCAAAAGCACTTCAACGAGATTAGGATAATGCTGGACCGTTAAATTCAGAGATCTCTGTTTAAATCAACTAGTCATCGGTTTTGATTGACATTTACGAAAATTCACCAAGTGCAAGTTTCATGAAACGCAATTGTTCATTAAAGAGTGACGATGGCATTGAAGCAGCATTCACTCCCCAAACCTTCTTAAAGCCACTCAGCTGAGGGAATGGTAACTCCGTGAGATCAACTCAGGAATAGATCTCTCCTTGCAGCTATGATGGTTACTTAACGAGAGCATACGTTAAACACCACATCATGACGTAGCCAGCCAAACTGGAACTGATACCGTCAAGGAAGATCTCTTTCCACGGATTTTGAAAGAAGCTCTCTGGCTTCCCCTCACAACAAAGTAGAAAAAACGACAAATTTGACAAGGAAAACGTCACTAAAAAGAAGAAAAACCCATTCAACGACTCTAAACATAAGACACCCGCCCCGACTCCGAGGGCCAATGACATGACATCTTGAAGACGCTGTAGTTTTTGCTTATTTGCAAGGATATTTGGAGGGAAGTACAATGGGTCCATGGTGGAAGGATGCCGTCGGAGGTTGAGGTTGATCGTAATGAACAAGGTTGTTGATCAATATGTGCAGTACTTAATGAAGCTCACACTGGAAGTATTACCGAAGTTTGGCAATATTAAAGTCTGTTTGAAATAAAAATTGAAGCATCAGTGTAATTGAAAGATAATTTATTAATGAAGAGGAAGGGAGTCGAAGATAAATGCTTTGATTGATTAAAATCCCCAAAGGGCGAGAAGAAGAAGAACACATTCAGTAGGGGCCCTGTCAGCTACATACGCTCTTCTAGATACAATTGATCACTTTTATGGGTAAAAACCGGCAAGTTGGAAGGAATGGTAGCAAGTAGAAATTTGCAAAAAAAACCCGTATTCATTTTCGTTGACTATATCAAATAACCCTCACGTGACAACACTGAAATTATCTGCACACTTCAGTCTTTGCCAGTATCGCCTTCCGGCAAGTTGCCTTCTAAGACAGTGGTTAGAAGTCATTCAATTCCAAATAATTAGTTTGAAAAAGGTTTCAGAAGTGTTAAATTTACCCCCGTTCTTCCTGGACCATCCCACAGATGATGCATGACTTACGCTTCGACACTGTGTTGAAGCGATTCTTGATCGATCTACCAACCTTCCATGATTACCAGCTTACCGAGGAGGCTAAGAAGGACATCCGAAGGGCGTTATTTGTCTCATTATCGAATAACGGTCAATGTCTCGAGTGGCTTTTCCCTCAGCTTTTCTCTTGCAATACCGATCGTGAAGTTGCAATTGAGACCTTAGAAAACGATCTCAATTGGCTGTACTCTGAATACTATTCCAATGTCTCCAAGAGCAGAGATCCAACACATAATACCCATAATCACCATGCATTCCATTCCAATTCTCCATGTGCCAGGATATTTCGTCGTGGAGAACCAATTTTCAAATGCTTAACATGTGGCTTTGATGAAACATGTGCTTTATGTTCTCATTGCTACCAGCCTGAGAATCACAAGGATCATGCCGTTCACATCACTATCTGCCAACGTGAAAATGGAGGCGTCTGTGATTGTGGTGATCCAGAGGCTTGGGTTAGTCCCTTTCTCTGTAAGTATGCACTGGAAGATGGGAGCTATACAAATTTTAGTTCCAGAGAGGTACCAGAGGAACTTCAGTATTCCTTCTTTCGAACGATTGAGATATTCCTAGATTATGTTATTGATGTAATGAGTCAAGCAGATTTACAATTCTATTCTCCATGGGAGGTGGCTACAAATCCGGAAAAATACTCTGCTAACTGCAACTTAGATCCGAAAAAGTACGGTTACGAAACTTTAAATGATTCAAATTATGACAAGCCAAGTGAAAAATATAGCTTGATAGCTTACAATGATCAAGTTCGTCATTTCAGAGATGCAGTTCAGAGGATCCATTTGGCAAGTAAAAAAGTGCCTGAGTTCGCAACAATGGTGGCCGAAAAAGTTCAGAACCATGGAAGAGCAACGGTGATAAGATCAAGAGACGTCAGTTTATTGTTTGATCGACAGAAAACACTTAGTGCCACTGGTCTTGCCTCATGTATCCGAAATGCAAGAGACGAATTCAGAGAGGATATGTGTCATGAAATGATCTTATGGCTTGGAAGCCTCACTGAGAGTGAAGTGTTTAAGTCAAATGACACTTTGAAGAATCTATTTTGTCGTGCTTTTTGCTGCCGATGGGATAAAGGTCTCTTAACCAACCTTTCGAATCATCAAGGGGAGTATTGTAGAGGGAAACTCGATAGTTACTTCCTCATTCCCAAAGTTGACTGCTGTACAAACTTGAGTTTGCAAAAACAGCATTGGTCATTTACTCCTTCACTATGGAATCTTCCTCAACAAATATGCGAGGACTGTAATTACAATCTCAGTCTCGATGATTATCAATTGGATAGCGGCCATTTGGGGTCCAGATTTCAATACATGGTGTACCTTGACATCCGTTTCTGGAAGTCAATTCGCATGTTTCTTCATGATATGTACGCCACTTCACTCATTACTAATTTGACATTCAAGGGAATTATCAGCTGCCAGTATGTGGATATTTATCCAACTATAGCGGACATGTTTTTGACTCTTGACGGGGAACCAGAAGTCAATATTATGTGTACTCTTTCCACGCAGCTTTTTACATGTCCCTCGAATTCCACCTCAATTATTGCTCATGGTGACGTTTCTCGGATATTTTCATCTATTTACAACTTCTTGAAGACTGGACAAATTAAGTCATCGTCATCATTGCCGCTTGATGATAATAAGATTTTGATGTCAAGTTTAAAGAATCGCAGATGGGGCCAAATTTTTTTTGATATTGGTTACATATTGAGCCGTGGAAAAGATAGGGAATTGATTCTTACGAATAGTATTATTCCCATGGCTTGTGACATCCTTTCTTTGTTTCAGGGAAGGCCAGTGATGAAAAGAGAAAGGGAAAGCCATGTGGAATACGAGAGTTCTGACTACACTGCGTTTTTCCATGCCATCCCCGTTATTTTCCAATTTGCCGAATACATTGCTCACTCTGTGACTAATTTGGACCCAGCTGAGAGAGAGAAGATTTCACACAATGCGATTAGCTGTGTGACGAACTACTTGCTTCAACTCGAGGTTTGGGATCATGAGGGTATTTTGACAGACTATAATGACGTCGATTACGGTCAAAGATCAATTGATGTCGACAGCGGGGACCAAGATTTCAAAGTCAGTCTTTTGCATCCTATACATTCATTCCTATCTTGGCTCATAGAGTTCTCCAATTTTGATTCTTTGGACAAAATGTTAAGCATATTTAAAGACTCCTACCACACTTACTGTCTTGCTAATAGAGTATCAGAGGTCGCAGATTACGACTTTTCGAGAATTTTTGAATATCCAGTTCGGACGGTGGTGCTTTCATCTCAAATTAAATCTGGTTTCTGGGTGCGCAATGGTTTTAGCGTCAGGAGCCAGCTTCAACTTTACAAGAACACTGGCCTCCGTGAACAAGGCTACATGAGAGATTTGTTCTTGATCCAGGTGTTTATGATCAGTTCAGATTATAATACCGTTAGTGATCTTTTCTTGAAGAGATGGTTACTTTCTGAAGGCTGGATCACAAACACAGATAATTCTAAAGTTGCCTACGATCTGAACATCTTGCCTTACATTCTTGAGGAGTGCCTTAGTTTCTTCATTCACGTTCTTACAGAAGACGTATTCTTAAGACATTTGAGCAGCGAAGAGACAACTCACTTGAGGGTGAAAAATGAGATCATTCATAATTTGTGTTTCGGACCTATGAGTTTTTCTCGGCTTTCATCTCAAATCCCGGAACATATCAGCTCGGAAAAGAGGTTCGACATGATTCTAGAGGAGTTGACAAACTTCAAGAAACCAAAGACTTCTAAAGACACGGGAACCTACTCTTTGAAAGAGCAGTATTTGGATGAAATTGATCCTTATTATTTTAATTATTCAGCTAACAAGAAGGATGATGCAATTAAATTTGTCAAAGACAGAGTCACAAAGTCGACCACAAATCATTTTCACGAAGCTGTTATCAAGCCAAAGAGGAGAAATGCTACAGAGCTCGGAATTTACAGACATCTCGGCAACTTTACAACTTCTAGATCATTTGTTGAGTTTCTTATTAGAACTTTGAAGTTTATATTTGACGAAGGAGTACACAAAATGGATGGTCTCTTGGAAACAACTCTTCATCTCATCCATATTTGTTCTATGGAAGAAATGATCGATACCGAGCTGTGTGGCACATTTTTTGCTAGGTTTTGTGACATCTCACAAACTTTCCAGACTTCTCTTGCTATTCAGTTGTACCACATCATTTCCATTGATGACTTTAAAGCACATCATTCCAAGATTAGAGAGATTTTCAAGGTGCTCGATAAGAAGCATCACACTTTGGTGAAGATCTTGTCTGGTACATGCAATGATTTCAATCCATCGAAGTTGGAACTTGTAACGGAAGAAGGCGTATGTGAGAACGAATTGGAGAGGAAGAAGAGAGTTGCCAAGGAACGACAAGCGAAACTAATGGCAAAATTCAAGAAACAACAGAGCCTGTTCATCAAGAAGAACAATTTTTGCACAGACTGCAGCGATACTGAGATGGAAGAACTAGAGGAAGAAGGTTGGAAATTTCCTGACCCTCATTGCATTTTATGTCAGGATACTGCTCAAGATGCTGGCCCATTTGGAATCATAACTTTCATCTCAAAGTCATCCGAGTTTAGAGATGTGCCTTTCGATGATCCCTATTGGTTTCTTAAGTCATTCTCAGACCACTCTAACCTCAACGAAACTGAGAATGAGCATTACGTCCCCGAACACCATAGTGAAAAATGGGAACATTACATGAAGAAAATCGACGAAGATTATGTTATTGGTCCCGGTTTCAGCAATCAAAGACTTGTACATAATAAATTGGTTTCTCTGACTTGTGGCCATGGAATGCATTTTAATTGCTACATGCAATTTCTCTACAGCAGCCGAACCCGTCTGAGTCAGATCACAAGGAACACTCCAGACAGCATTGAACATAGGGAGTTTTTGTGTCCCTTATGTAAGGCCATCAACAACATGTTCATTCCTATATTGTGGTCCTCAAATGATAGATCTCTTGAAAGATTTATCACACCTTCCACTGTTCCCAATATTTTTGATGGTCTACTGAGTCAGAAGATTCATGAGAACGAATGGCTAAAGGAGTTTTGCAGGACAGCCTCCGCAGATTTGGAGCAGATATCTATTCTAACTCCTAGTGCAAAGGAAATGATAAATTCAGAGTCAACTGCAAGCACTATTCAGTTTAGAACTCTACTATCCAACATGTTCCACATTCTATCGTCGCTTACTTTTCCTCAAATTTTCAAAGCAGATTCACCGGATATTTTGATTAATAGCATCAAGTCTACGGAAATCTCCTTGAGAGGGGTGAGCTCACACTCAGCGCTTTTAGTTGATCAAATCTCTAATAACACCTTGATCAATCTCAGAGCGCTCAATGAATTTAGAATCACAAGCTTACTTATGAAAATCTCGAATTGGCTCCAATTACCTTCTAATCGTCCGGATGCACATGTCAAGATCTTAGCAAACTTATTTGCATTATCTTCAGACTCTTTCAACTCCAGTATACTTAACTTGGACTTCTTTTCGTTGCTTGTGAACATTTTCCCCTTACCTTCAACAGGATTCTCATTTAATGCAATTTTGTCTGCATGCTTCACAGGCTCTATTATTCAGAATTTATATCTTATTTCGACCGAAATTGTGTCTCACAAATTCTACTTGGAAGGGGATTACAATATTCTTGATGTTCCTTTTTCTGAGATGATTACAGAGGCTGATGCACAAAGGGTGTTAACACTTTTCAAGAAGTTTGTTTTACCAGCACATGACATTTCACTTTATGCGGGCATTGTATCTGATCCAAAATTTGGATATGTGCTCTTTTCTATGTTGATGAAGTCCATTAACCCATTTTTGAGACAATCGGCAATTTATGCATACGTTTGCTGCTCCAACATGGAAGGAGTGAGATTGGGCCAATCTCTCGATCAAGTTTTTGAGTCCGATGCACTCTGCCAGTTCTTAAACTTGCCCACTTTAAGTGAATCTCTTTGTCGTTTATGCTCAACAAGCAGTAAAGAGGAGTTACCTTTCGAAGCAAAAAAATTGAGCTCGTTTCTTATGTACATCAAAAGATCGGCTGCAAAGGTGTCTAAAGAGGATCACGACATAAGAAAGACGATTGAGTACCCCGGGATAGTTCGGTTGGCGAAACTCCCCGAAAGGCTTGATAACTTTTTCACGAGATACTATTATCTGGACAAGTATAACAATCCAAACTTATCGATTGAGAATCCTGCTATCTGCTTATTTTGCTGCGAGGTTGTCGATGTTCAAAAGGGTGCTATTGGATCAGACTTTGGACAATGTACTACTCACTATTTGAAGGAGTGCTCAAATAGTGTTGGCATATTCTTGCTTCCCAAGGAACGTTGCCTTTATTTAATTCACAAAAATGGAGGCTCATTTCACGATGAGCCTTATCTTGATCAACATGGGGAGATACCGGGAGAGAACAAAAAGGGGAAAACTGTATACTTGCTGAAGGAAAGATACGACGACTTTACAAGAAATGTCTGGTTGCAGCACAATGTGCCCAATTATATTGTGCGAAAGCTCGACAGTGTGATTGATGCTGGAGGATGGGAAACTCTCTAGAGTATGTATTTAATAGAGACGAGGCCCGGAAACCATTAATGATTATTCCCAGAAACCAAAATCATCATCAGAATCCTCATCGAATTCAAGCTCTGCTCCAATATCATCCATATTGGGTACCATTGGAGCATTACCTCTTAAACCAAAAAATGTTCTGGTGACAAAACCGAACAATCCTTGAGAAATCCATAGTTTGCTTAGATAATTGTATCTGAAGTGATTTAATGTGGCTTTCCCAGGTAAACGATCTCTCTTGACTTCACCATGAACAGTCAAATAAGGAGCAGGTATCTTTACCTCAAACGGATTGTTGGGGATGAGAATGACAACATTCAACATGTTTGATGAGGGCGAAAAGTAGATTGGCATAAATGAACACCATTGCATATGTGACACATGACTCAATGTATTGAGATAAGTTCCACACTGTAAGCAAATGGAGTCAACACCACTGGCGGACTTGTATTGTGGGTCAGTGATGCAATCGTTGTAGTCGTCTGGGAGGTCGATCAAACGGACTACTCCCGGATATTGCAAGTTTAATATTCCATTTTCCAACCGACTGGGTATTTTGGCGTTGAAATGTACATCCAAAATTCTAGCTTCAAACTCAAAGGCTGGGTCGTCCAGAACAATACCTTTGAGGAAATCCGCTAATGTTGGAAGGTTCAACATGTCACACAACAGGTCACATGAATCCTTACTTGACTGTGATTCGATTCTTGACTTGAGATTCGTGATGCCTTCGACAGACTTAAACTCGTTCTCCCCCAGTACCTCACAAGTGAGAAGATCGTAGAAAATGACGCATTGCCTCAAGAATGGGAGAAGAAGTCTTTCCATCGCGAAATAAAGGTTGCAAGCAAAGTGGTTGGAATATTCATTGCTTTCAGAGTCTTCATCGTCATTGGGCTCGAAAGACGAAAGAAATACGACCATTGCTCCAATGGTCGTATCATCCAAGGAATCCATTGAGCGAGGGTTTATTGGTGGCCCGTTTAACATCGAACCAAAGTTGCGGCATAGGGCGTACGCTGCCACAGCAACCAACTTTGCATAGCCCAATCTCATGCAAGTCCTTAAAGATTCACTTGTTTGAAAAAACAATAAAACCACCTCATTAAACTGACCATCAACGTAGAAGGACTGGTCCCAAGTGATATTGACCATCTTTGATATAACGGACTGCAAATCTCCCATCATCGTTTCGGACGCAGAATGAAGAAAAATTCGTGTTTGAATCATCGAACGTAACATCGCTTTCGAACTCATCGGAATTTCTTCCATGAAATTTGAAAGACCCTTGTTGCCATCAAGTCGTGTTGTCATTTCATTTGCTCGAATTGAATCTGCGATAAGAACACTAAGATCGCGGAATTTCTTTTCGGTCAAAGTAGTTCTCTCCGTATTAATAGCAAGCTTGACAAAGTCTTCCTTAAAGGAATTATCATCAAAATACTCTTTGCTGAAAATCGACCTGGAGATTTCATTCATCTTTTCACCACCACAACTTGCAAGTATGCGATTGTACTTTGCAATTTCCGGCTCACCGTCCAAAATTTTCTTGGGAATAGTCCCATTTGTCACAAGCATGCTTGGTATAAACGAGTCATGCAAATTGTGACATAAAGGACAGGGAAAAGTCTGGAGTTGAGTTCGAGCTCTAACATAGCATTTATAATGCATGCCATGAGCACAACTCGATCCCACTACCGCACTAAGCAGGATGCCATTATCCTTCGACATCATTTGATAAGGATATCCAGGGGCGTATAGTTTTCCATCTTCTGGTTTGGCTCTTGCATCCAAATTTCCGAAAGCCAAATCTCGATATTGAGTAGATTCCGGTACCTTCCAAAAGATCGAACTTTCAGTATGGCACAAAAGTAGTCCGAAAACTCGATCTAAGGATTCCTCTTCTCCACATGCAACACATTTCCTTGTATTTGAAATTTCTTCTTCTTTTCTTTCTTCCTCTTCTTGTTTATCTTCTTTGAGGTCATTCTGTTTCATGAATTTTTCTCTTTGCTTAGCAAATTTTCTCATCACTGCCGCCTTCCTTTCCTCAGCAAGACGTTTCCTCTTCTCTGATTCCGACTCAAAAATGCCAACTTTTCTCTTTTTATACAACTGTACATGATCTTCTCCAAAACAATCCACTAAAGATTCCATGATACGATCATCACGAGTTACAAATTCATCGAGTAAGAAATCAGCCTTCAGAACTATCTCTGACGACATGGAAGATTCCGCAATTGAGAGTAGCAAGTCGCTTATAGGAATTGAGACAAAAAAATCGACCAAGTGACCCTTGCCGTGAACTTGTTCGTCGTCCAAGATAACTGCATGAATCAAGTGTAGCAAATGAGGCAAGAAAAGCTCATCCAGAGAATTGAGCGCCACTTGCAATAATTTGTAAACCAACTTTGCAAACTCTTTAGTTCTGGTGAATTCACCAATGTTATCATTGACAAAAGAACTCCTAGATCGATAGATCTCGGGTTTCAACACAACTTCCTCTTCCCTAATATTCTTGCTCTTCGCAATGCTTGATATCAAGGATGCTGATATAGACAGGTAATTACTGGAATCTACGAGAAAACTCATAGGGTCCAACGATTCACAGAGAGAAGGTTTCAACCTGTAAATTCCACTATCATACAAGCCTGTAGGAGGGCTGTAATCCGCGCATTCGTATAATATGTCATCAAAGTTTCTTGTTGCAGCCATCGATCCTAAAGTTGATTTCAATGCAGTGTAAGATTTAGGTTCTCCACACAAGGCATAAGAAATTGCCTTTTTGACTCTGTGAACTCTAGCTTCTTCGCACTCGAATTCATCAAAATAGAACCTGTCTGTTAAGGTATTGTACAAAAAGAGTATGAATTGTTCACAAATGAAACCAAACCTTTCCTCATAAATTGTTTTATCTTCCTTGATCTCTCCAGTGTACCATTGAAGCAACTCCCATCTATCAAGAAAGTTTAGCAATGTTTCTCTTGGATCATCAATGACACATGCAACTTGATTCAAGAAAAAGTCACGGAAGAAAGAAACCTCGGCGATGGTATCAGAATAATACGAAGCTTGTCTGGAGACGGTGACACCGTTTCGAATCCAAAATCCAATTTTCACTTGGGCAGCCAACACTAAACTTCTCAACGAAAAATCCGAGACAAACATGAAAGGATGAACTAACGCCTTAAGATCATCACTCACGTTCTCAACTCCGCAATCTTGCAAAATGTATGAAAGAAAAGAGTTGATTGGATTGACAAACGATACAGGTTCCTTACTCACCCGAAATTCAGCGATTCCGTGGGCGCTGGAATTCAACTTCCGCATAGATAAAAATTCCACAATTGAAACGACAGCCTTGACGGCAAGTGTCTTATTCATAACCTCAACTTTGGACACACTTTGAACCATGCTCAAAACTGGCAACGATCTTTGTAAAAACGTATAGAAATCTTCCAACATATCCCGCTCCACATGATCTCCATACTTTCTTTCAATAGGCAACGAACCTTGGAAATACTTCAAAAGATTGATCAACATCATTAAATTATCGTGGACAAGGAATTCATTGAGAATGTTGGAGTCGTCATTCTTGTGCATGATGTGATTGATGCATTCAATGGCCTTGTCTATGGTTTTCTGAATTGATAGCTTTTCACGCTTACTCCGAACATCCACGACGATATCAATTAAATTTGGCAAGCCACTAGAATTGACTCTTGATGCATAAGTCTCGATCAATGCAGACAATGGACCGATCATGTTGCCGATCTTTCCGGAAGAGACAATCCACTTATTCGAGCGAGGGCAAGTAAAAAGCTGACTAGCAACAGCAGTGATTGAGGCAAGTTGATCTTCTCTGTCGGAGACTGCCAAAACAGTAATCGAAATCGGGAAAATATCGATATATTGCTCGCAAAACTGTGCTTTTGTTGCTGGATCAGTGAAGAAAAGAGGTAAGATCAGCAGAGTGAACTTCTTTCGTACAGCCGAGACAAATCGGATCTCAAATGCAAACAAATATTGGATTCTGGAATACTCCACTTTCTGTTCTAAAGCGGGACGAAAAATATCTGAACATTTCTTCATCAATGATGTAGCTGTTATACCAGGTTTTAATCTTGTCAATGCCAAGTTCACTAGCTCCCCGTCCATAAGTAAACCATTTTTAAAAAACTCTCTTTGCACATCCAAATTTTCTGCTTGGAAAAACGACTTAGGGAGCACCTTAGAAAACTCGAACCCAGGCTCCATGAACAACTCTGCCAACAAGGCCCTAGAAGCTTCTCTGAATGCGGCGTTTCCACTGAAACTAGCGACTTCAATAAGCCAACTGAACATATTCAGCACAATGACCTCTCTCATATAGTCTCTGGCGGACATGATCGTTGCAACCAAGCCGTCGGCCTCCGCCAGTTTCTGGCCCTTCAATAGGTCGGTGTATTTTTTAGCGACTTTTAAAATTGCACGTCCATTTGCATTAATTTCGCTGGCAATCTCCTTTGCTTTATCATCAGGCACGCCCGTAGCTGCACGAATGCCCGTCTCAGCCTCAAGGTAATCGTGATTTTCATCGTTCCAAAGCACCAAATACCATTCTTCGGAATTAACATCATCGGCACCGTACACTTCAAACGGGAGTGAGCAGTAGTCTGAGATGGTTTGTGATGTTACTCGTAAATTCCCACGACGGTTGATGTTCTCGTGGATAAGGGGCAAGGTATTGATGGAAAAGTTGGCGACATCCAATATATAGTTCAACACCACCGTCAATGTTTCTCTCATCAAAAGCTTGAATTCTTCGGGCAACTCTTGAATTTCTTCATCAGTCTTCTGACATGCACAATTGAGCTTCTGGAGGAAGGCTGCTTCGTCTCCACAATCGCACATGCCTCCAGAGTCTCCCCTAGACTGATAAACTGACACGTTGTGGCCCACATGGTCTTCACGGTTGAAGCAGTGTACACAAATCACACACGTATCATCGTATCCACAGTCACTGCACCGGTAAACCGACTCGTTCTCTTTCAAGACACGCCCACATGTCAGACCTTCGGGGTGAGAATATCCTGATGGAGTCACATACTTATAGAATGGCCTAGTTCTGTTGAGCTTAGGAGGCCAAGAATAATCTTTCAATGCAACCAATTCATCCTCTGGGACATCTGAAAACAACAAGTCCATGTACTTGCCCTCCCCGGTTATGGCATAGTACAATGCCTTATAGAGGTTGACTTTGACCTTACGTTCTTCGCGAAAGCCTAGCGACTGCGGCAAATGAACAATATAGCGCTTTAGTTCATCCATTTTTCTGGGATGTCCGCTACTGATATGCTCCAATCTGCTTCCGATCAAGAACCCGTGAGAGGATGGCTGTGGCAATAGGTAGGAGGAGGTAGTGCAGGAATCTGGTGATGGGATCGGAGATGGAAATGGTAGATGAGAGAGGGGGTATGGTATTTCTTCTGGGTGATAACGAATCTCAAGGAGAAGAGATGACCTTCTTTTCCTAGAATTGATACTACTGTTATTGTATTCGCTCTATTATATTTGTGGCAGATGACCCAAAGTAATTGTAAATAACATTCCTGAGGTAGCCATCTCAAATACATGGGTGCAGTGAAGAATGCCAAACTTAATCAGCGAAGCATAAAATTAAATAATCTCATAACAAGAATAGACGGGTAGAAAAGTTTGACGATATGCTCAAGCAAGCCCTTAGAATTCCAAAACAAATTTATGACAACCTTCCCTTTTGGATCTTCCGAAACTGACAAGCGTTAGATACTTTTGATAGCCGGAGGTACGGATGTTAGTCAAAATTCTTCAAAGCTATGCATATCGAAATTTACTCTAGAATCTACATCTTCAACGATGAACGCCGACGAGAAGTTTAATTTGATCACTAAAGGCTTGCAGGAAGTCTTGAACCCCCAAATTATCAAGAACATCTTGGAAAATGAGAACAGACCTGTCAAGGTCTACTGGGGTACTGCTCCTACTGGTAAACCTCATTGTGGTTACTTTGTGCCAATGATCAAGTTGGCTCATTTCTTGAAGGCTGGATGCGAGGTCACTGTCTTGATTGCTGACTTGCATGCCTACTTGGACAATATGAAAGCACCTTTGGAAGTGGTCCAGTACCGAGGTTCTTACTATGCATCTGTAGTGAAGTCCATCTTGAAGTCCATTGGTGTACCTATTGAAAAGTTGAAGTTTGTTACTGGCTCGGACTACCAGTTGAAGGCTGAGTACACCATGGATTTGTTTAAGTTGTCAAACAAGGTGTCTCAGAACGATGCCAAGAGAGCCGGTGCCGATGTCGTCAAGCAGGTTGACAATCCATTGCTTTCTGGATTGATTTACCCATTGATGCAGGCCTTGGATGAGCATTACTTGGACGTCGACATGCAATTCGGAGGTGTGGACCAGAGAAAGATTTTCGTTCTCGCTGAGGAACAATTGCCAGGCATTGGATACAAGAAGAGAGCACACTTAATGAACCCAATGGTTCCGGGTTTGGGTCAGGGTGGTAAGATGAGTGCTTCCGACCCCAATTCCAAGATTGACATCATTGAGGAGCCAAAGGTGGTCAAAAAGAAGATTGCCTCTGCTTTCTGCGCTCCTGGCGACATCGATAACGGTTTGATTGCTTTCCTTGAGAACGTCGTGCAGCCTATCCAGGAATTGAAGGAAGATAAGGAAGGTGTCTTCAAATTCTACGTTGACAGACCAGAGAAATACGGTGGCCCAATTAACTATGACTCGTTGCTGGCCTTGAAGGACGACTTTGCTGCCGGAAAGTTGTCCCCAGTGGATTTGAAGGCTGGTGTTTCTGACAAGATCAACGAATTGTTGGCTCCTATCAGAGCAATGTATGAAGATGACAAGGCTTTCCAGGAAGCTGCTGCTAATGGATACCCTGTTGCAGCTCCTAAGGAAAAGAAGGTTAAGAAGGTTAAGAACAAGGGAACTTTCTACCCTGGAGCTGGAAAGACCACTGGAACGGAGGAAGTGGAGCAGAAGTTAGAGAGTGCTAAGATCGAGTAAGCGTATGGCTAGGGGAATAGAGAAGTACAAGTCACGTTCTTTAGTTTTTTTTTTTTTGTATACATTAGATTCAATTAGTTGGATTTGGCACCCATTAGTGTCCTTACTGTATACAAAGTTCCATTCCACCCAGTAGCCACTCGTTGAGCGTTACATGCAATACTTCGAGGTTGAAAACATCCAATCAAAAATTCGCATTATACAATACAAGTGTAAATTTCCTTACTTGTTTCTTATAACTAGACTTGCAAGAAATGGTATGTACATTTCACATCACAACAGGCGCCTAAGTGATACTCATGATTTTACGACCCATATGCTGGATTCCAAGACCTAATTTCCTTTGAGGAACATTGATTTATTGAACACTTCAGTGATTTTCAAGCGACAACTATTGTCCATTTTGAATGGACAACTTTGACCACCGAAATGCAATGAAGTCGAAGGAACCGTATCCCATTCGCAAATGCTACCTGAATCTGTACTTACGTCTCCTTGATCAAAAACGTTGATTCTCTGGGAATTTCTCAATTCACCTTTAAGCAATTTTTGCTCATACTAACATCCAGTTGTCTGCTTTGTTTAAGAGAAACTCTGTCTACGTCGCTACGATTTTTGGTGGTGCTTTTGCCTTCCAGGCTTTCTTCGACACCGCTGTCACCAGATGGTACGAATACCACAACAGAGGTAAGTTGTGGAAGGACCTCAAAGCCAAGATTCAGGCTGGTGATGAGGACGACGAAGATGACGAGTAAACATGTTCTACCGTCCAAAAAATACTACAATTTCAATCAATAGTGATTAATGCATAACATTTTAGATGATCAGTAATATTCGTCGTCTCCAAGTTCCTGTCCATACTCGAATGAATAGTGGTTCTGAGAACCGGGTTCATCATGCAAATTATCAAGAATGGATTCGAATTGCTCTGCGTATGCCAAAGAGTTGAACTCCGTCAAGCCATAAACCTTCAAATTGTACAATCCCGTGCACCCCTCTCGAGACGAAAGTTCGATATAAATGTCTTTAGCAAGAATCTTTTGGTTGACTAGACTAACAGGAAGCCTAATATGTTGCACTGGCTTGGTGTCAAGTGCAACCTCTTGGATCTTGAAGAATTTTGTCAAGTATTTGTTATCCTTACCAGCTGCCAAAAACTCTGGCTTGGTCCGTTTCAAGCAATCCTCAACTGATGCAACTTGGCTCTTCTTGCTGGGCTTGATATATATGGATGCTCTCGTGGGCAAGCTGATCCCCAAGTTTGACTGCGACGGGTTCTTGAAAATGAAATCAGTCAAGATGACGGGACTGCTCAAACGTACACCAAAGTTACACCTGTTGGTTTCGCAAACCCAGTAAGAACCCATATCTTTCAAAAGATTGTTGGCATTATATTTCAATTTCTGCGGAGTCCGCAAACCATGCGAATTGAAGTAATCGTACCAGCCTAAAAAGATCCGTCTGATGACGGACTTTTGTTTATAACTGTCGAGCCCCGTAGACGTGAGGAAACCCAAGATACGTGCTCCATTCTTGTAGTCTGCAAAGTTCATTTTCACAGACCCCTTGCTGACGATATCAACCAAGTTGTCGAGCATCACCTTATTTGTTGCATGTGCCACGTCAATTCTGGAGATGTTTCCACTTAAATCAATTTCATCGAGAATGGAATTCAACTTAGTCATCAACGCCTCATTAGTCTCATTGAGCCTTTTGTTCAATATCGACATCAATTCCTCTTTACTGACTAGTGATGCAACTGTATCTCCCAAGTCTTTGGAAACCTGTTTCTTGACCATCATGTCCAATTTGGAGGAGTTATCCGCAAAGTCAGATGATGAACCCTTTTTGGCCATGAACTTCTCGATAAAAGCATGTAAGAAACTCTGAAACTCAGGTAAATAGTGGATCTTGTTGTCTTTTATGTATACTGGAACGTGACTGGGCAATTCGCTCGCAAGTGAGGAGATTATATCGTTCTTGAAGGCGTTGAAATCTTCACTTATAGTTGACAATTGAGAGAGTTTGTGGGACACCACAGCCAAATCTGCTTCTAACTTCTCTGAATCACTCAAAAGAACCTCCATGGTGTCGACCTTTTTCTTATATGCATCGATTTCACCTTGAAGACTTTCTAATATAGATGTACCAATCTCTTCGTTGGCAGACTCGAATCGTTGTGAAATGGTGTCGATCTTTTGAGTGATGCTTGTAATGAATGCCCGTTGCTTCGATTCGAGTGAATCGGCTTGATTACTCAATGCTTGTGTTATGTCATCGAGAACATCCACTTTGCTTCCAATTAAATCGATCCGCTTGCTAACAGAAGACAAATCCGGAACCACCTGGTTGGTAAATTTGCGAAGCAAAAAGGGTATAAGAACTAACAACAAATTTCCTACCACGAACCCAACAATCCACAAGCCCAAATCAGCTTCCAACCAAGATTTAATAGACGACTTCGGCGCAGGTCTTCTTTTCAAGGTTTCTCTTTCACCTGTGTGGACTTTGTCTGGTGCATCTTCAACTTCCGTTTCTTCTCCATCCGAATAGAAAGAGGGCCTTCTGTGCTTCGAATAATGCTCAAATCGTGCGTTCAAATCATCCAGTTCCAAGAGGAGGTCTTCATCACTAGAAGACCGCAAGGGCCCTCGATTTAGAATCTCTATGATTTGACGATCGTAATTCCTTTTTGAGAGCGGTCGAGCTGGTCCGACATGAGTATGTAAATGTATGGAGGCGTCATCGTCGGTGTCACCTCGTATCAGTGGAACTTTTGGGAATCCTGCCATTGTCACTATGATTATGCTATGACAGTGTATTAACGTGGACAAGTTGTGTGTTAAGATGCCATATAATTAAACTCCATTTGTTCGCGTGTATGTTTATGCGAAGGAAATGGTCGCAGAATTGTTTAACAAACAGGGAGCTTCAAATAGCTAAGTTGTGGTTCAAATGCTTTTTTTAATTATCTGAAATCTAGTATATAGACGTTTTAACTTAAATACTTCATTTTGCATTGACTTATGATTATTTGGTTTTATTGATTATTTATGAAGAAACCATATTTCTCAAATTCTCGCAGAGTTGACTTTCTCACAATTTAGGCAACTTTTGCAGCCAAATCACAAACATCTCTAATATTATCATGAATCAAAAAAATAAAACTAAATAGTTTTGCATAACAAAGGTCTAACAGATATAAAAGATCTGATAACCAAATAGATATCCTTTAAGAATTTAGCCGATCACAATTCAGGACTGAGTCCTTTCCAGTCTTCCGAAGTATTTGGTATGTAATTACACGATCTTCAAAGCTATTTAAGGACAACAATCCCAGATTGAGGGTCAAACTGTGTCGTCAAATTATGTCCAACTTTTTGATTTATGGATTTGTTTCCCAAATTCAATGCCCGGATTCCAGCTCTGATGACGAGGGCGACAATGTTTTGAAGGCGGGGTTTGAAACTGAAGCAGAGACCTATGCAAAGATTGACACTCCATTGACCACTCCTTTGCCAGATGAGGAGGAACAAGAGGAGGCACAGGAGGATGAAGAGCTGGTGCATTCACCATTATCATCTGGATTGAGTGACGTGCGATTAGATGTCAACGCTGGAGAACTCATTCGTTATTTACTGCTTCCTTATGAATCAGAGGAACAAAATCAACCTTATTCTGACCTGATCTGCGAGCAACAGCCCAATCTGAATCTTCAACTAAACTTGGATCAAGAGGCGAACTTGGATCAACAATCAACCTCAGATCGGATACAACTAAGCTCACACCAACAGAGAAGCCGCCTACTCTTACAATCAGATACCAATCAAGAAAACCACTGGGAAATTCCTAGAGTTCTTCCAGAAATTGACCTTGTTGGTGCACAATTCAGAAGATTTCCATTCCCAGTTCAAGTTAGTACTAACAACTATACATGGGTGTCACCAAGTCCTGACAGAGTCGTGGGTTCTCATTTTCATTGGTATAATCTCTCAAGAGAGGATTTGGATAGGCTCGACGGCTTGTTTAGGTTGAGAAGAGGATGACTTAATCAATGTTAGAACATGGATAAATCAATTACTAAATAGCCAGTATAATCTATACTCAAAAAATGCTGCAATAGTCTCTAATAGAATGCCTTAAGTTAATTGGTCAATTGGAAGTAACGCAACCACAGCGCCGAAAAATGCTCCAAGATACCCTCCACACATCAACGTGATGGGCCACTGCTGCCATGGTCTGTCCCAGTCAAGAGGAATAGGAAGAACTCCAAACCAAGTACCCACCACAGCAAAAAAGCTGCTCGCAAGCACGGGATTGGTGAAAACAGCCCGGTATATCTTGTCCATTTTGAAGAGACTAAAGAATTGTTCGTAGTTGAGTTTGTAAGCTATCAAAAGAGGTTGAAATATGATCAACGAAAGATGGTATGCAAGAGCGTACGATTCCTTCAAGTTTGACGACAACGGAGCTCCAAAGAGAATCAATATGACGAAAACCACGTTCGCCAATCCGATAGAAATCACCGTGGCCGAAACCACCAAAAGCGGCGCATTGTCATTTTCAACCTTCTTCTTCTTGCCTGCCTTTTCAATAAAGGATGTAGCATATAAGTACCCATATACGAGTTGTAATACAACCAAGTTCACATAACCCTTGACAATGCTATTGAAAGGATCAGCTGTAAGCCCAAAATGGAACATACCATATAAGTTTAGCAAAAGATGGAATGGAAGTACCATGACGGACTTTTTGATCCGTGGAACAACTGCTTTGAAAGTATTGGTCAGTTGGTCTGTCGTGTCTCCAACATTGGCCTGGAACGATACACTTTTACGAGTTGCTTTGGGCGGCATGATTTGTTGAACTATACACTGACAATGTATAACTTTATGTGTTTTGGAAATCAGACTGCACATAACTTCATAAGGTAGTTAAGATTATAAAAGTATATCACAAATTATTCAAGAGATTTTCGAACTCAATAAGGTCCTTCCAGAGATCCACCTGGACGTTTTGCATTCCAACCTTTTGACTTAAGGTGCGCTTCCGGTCTTCGTTCAACTTTGCAAATCTGCGCAAAAGTTCAATATCAAGAACTGGCCGCAAGTTACCATCTTTACTTGCTTGAATTCCAATTCGGTTAAGTCTAGGATTCAATCCACAGTGGTGGAACTCTTTGTCTGAGAGTTGCTGCTGCAAAATATACATTCTTCTGTAGGTGTTCTCATTCACAGGACACACCACATACATTGCACCTTCAACAGAGGAGCCAATGGTCTGAAAAGGAACATTGCTGTTATCCGTTGTTGGGTGAAGCTGCTCGTTCTTGGGGATCGATTTCATGCAAGTGGTAGAATAATTCGTGTTGAAGGTTGACTTGTGTAAAAGTTTTTGTCCATTAGCCGAGTGTGGATCCTCAGGATTGTAATGAAGAACATGGATAGCCTTATCGTTATCTGCGACAACGATGTAGATTTCTTCATCTTTGATCAAGAAATCAGCTGCAGACGCATCGAAATTGTGTGAGTCTTTACCCAACATGATCATACGGAATGGTTCGGCATCAAATCCAGCTAACCATACACTTTTCAATGTATCTCCAAGAATCACCAAGTTACCAAAACTTTTGGCTTCACTGACATACACTGAGGTATCAAGGAATGCAACGGGAACGGCACTGTTGTCTTTGATATCACGAACTATAATCTTTTGACCTTGAGCAACCAAGAATCGTCCACTGACATCGCAAATGGACGTAACAGCTCCCTTGGTGTCTTCTTTTGTAAATTCCTTGAACTTGTGGTTGGTTTCTGGTCTTCCACGTTCAGGGACAATATCAATGATCTCTAGAAGTATATATGATCCATTACTGGCCAAATCTTCAATTCTATACTTTCCTGTGCCCACCAAAATGAACTCCTTCTTATTCTTGAATCTTTTAGTTTCGCTTCCAACATCAAGAGGCACTGATTTAACATGCAATCCAACCTCATTCTCAGCCAACTCGATTTGATCAATTACAGACCAGTTGATTGGTGACAATAATTTGATCAGACCTTGGTAAGAGATTGCCGTGGGTTTATCAGGTTTAATTCCCACAATTGGGTTTCCTTCTTCATCAATGCACTTGTATGGAATCTCCTTGTATGTAGACAACACAAAAGTATCAGAGCCTTCATGATAAGCTACTGATTTGACGGTAGCACCAATATGAATCTTGCGGAGTGGCAAGTTAAAATCGTATCGGAATTCTGAAGGAAGTTCGACGATTCTTGCATTCTTTTGAGTGTCAAGATAGATAAGCCCATTGTGGATCTTATCATCTGAAAATGGAACAAATGAAACTATAGGTATCTTGGAGAACTTGAAAATCTTAACAGTGGAGTATCTTGACCTGGTGATTAAATATGGAACCACTCCAGTCACCAAAATACAGGTTAGACCACTTATAGTGGGAAAGTAGATCAATCTTCTTTCAATTGAAGTTCCATGCGCATACGCGTTGAAAGGTGCGCCAGTGATAGGTAGTGAGGTCTGCTTGACGAAACTGTAGTTTTCCCCATCAAAAAATAATTGGTACGAAAATATTTCTCCACCCACTGTCAAAATGGTCAAATATTCATCCTTAGAGTACTCATCACCCAAATCATTCAACATGACTTGTTTAATATGAGGATCTGGATCTTCACCGTTAATATCGAAAAAGCCTAATGATAAGGTGTCTGTAAACTTATCAACAGAATTCAATTGGAAGCACTTTTCGTTGTGGAATCTGTTGAATACGATGATTCTGTTGTCACCAGTCACTAAAACAAATGTTTTCAGTTTCGGATTATTTTGGAACTCTGCGTTGTCTGACTTCATAGGATAATGAACATCAGTATCTCTTTTTCTTTTGTGACCTCTATTGACAAGCACCGAAACATCATTACTCACGACGTTTAGAAGCCTCGAATTAGTGATGTAGCCCGTTGTGAGGATCGTCTCGGATAGCAATTTTGGAAGCTCAATCTTAGAGAAAGTTTTGTTGTAAGTGTTAATACTGTAAATGACCACTTCACCTGTCGAGAAAAAGATCATGAGAAATTCGTCATTAAAGACACTGTTGATGATGTCAGCATCACTGTATTCCTTCAACTCTTCATCAAGTGAAGTGATCTTTTTGAACTTATCGTTGAATAGAACAATATGCTTTGGTGTCACCTGAACAATAAATTTTCCGTTATTCAACTCATGCATGGCAATGGTCAACTCATTGTTGATGAAGCTTTTTGCTGGCAATCTAGAGTAGCCCTGATCAATTGCAAAAATTTCCGATTTTTGATTTGTGTCGTCTGATGTGATCAAGTACTTATTGTTGAGCGCCCACAAGCGATTAATCTCGGAGAATCGAAGAGAAGACTTGATGACAGGTTGAACTGTGGGCGTAAAAACATTAATATGACCTGCGCTGTCAATTCCACCAGTTGCGAAAATAGAGACCTCTTGACTTGAAGGATTGGGCAAGTTTGCAATAAACTTCTCTTTGGAGTACTGGCCAAAAGTGAAGGACGAGATTGGGCCGTTATTGGCGAGTTCGTCTTGCTTGATGAAGGTGAGGGGACCATATCTTAGAGTCTCGTCTTTGACTTTCTCGTCTTCTGCGTAGAAGTCATCCTCATCTTCGGCAATGGATTCTTCCTCTTTCACTTTAGGTGCAGTTTCTTCGGCGTAGTTGAGTTCTAAAAGTAGCGAATTAGAGCCCTTCGAGGCAACAAAGATCAAATTAGTATCCAATGTAGTAATCTCGCCTGGTCGGACCACGTTAATATCCTTGCGTTTCTCCTTGTCAACATCTTCTACAACCATTCGCTTGATGGTCTTACCATCGACTTCAAATCTCACATAGTACAAATCTCCAGTTCGCAATATCATCAATAATTTGTTATCATTTGGAAGTGGAGCAATGGAACATCCCTCAAGCTTCAAGTCTTTCAGCGATTGGTCGACATAAGATTTGATAGATGTGGTGATATCAACAGTGTATTTGTTCAATGCAATTCTTCTCGTAATTCCTCCGCTATCCACATGAATAAGCTCGTTACATCCCACCAACAAACTTCCATTCAAAGGCGATGGGAGGGGGATGATCCTATCGAGATCGTAAGGCAAGTTTTCCACCTTCAACACCACAGTCGCAGATCTGGTGTGTATGTCAAGCGACAAGACGGTAAAAATGACATTATCCTTCGTCTTTGGAAGAAGACCGGCCCAGGTCTCTCTCCTTTGAGATATTATAGCCACAGTTGGCTGTCTGTATCTGTACAAGAACTGCAAGTCCACAATATCGCCGATATTTTCGTCCAAGTCAGAAGCTTCGACGATGTAGCTGGACTCGAAAAGTGAAGCATTGGAGGAGCTTGAAACTCCCCCATTCTGATCCTTAGACTGTTCAGACTTATCTACACTATCTCCATTTGCGTTGCCTGCTACTTCGTTGTCAGCATCTTCCATCTTCACATCCTTTCCGTTTGATTTTCCGACAGTCTCAGTGGCTTCTTCATCGACATCGTCATCGTCATCCTCAGCTAATTTGTTAAAGGGTAAAAAAACAAGTAGATTGTTAGAACGTAAGCAGAAGACCAGCGAGGACTTTGGTCCAACCACAAGTTTAGACTCACTAAGGTTCTCATATGTCAAATTCTGAAGGGTATGTTCGTAGTAATGCAAGGAAACTGTTTGAATTGAGTTTCTGAAAGGATCCCATCGGACACAAGACACTTTTGCATTTTTCGTGGAAACCAACAAATAGTCCAATTGAGGATTCTCCACCGTTCTGATTGGCTTGAGGTCAGTGACTTCGCCTTGTAGTTTAAACAGTCCCACTAATTTAAGACGAGATTGCAAGGAATTGTTGGCGGTAGACAGAGGAATTTTGACCACCTCAAATACCTCCAAAAGCGTCGACTTGGCGGTGACCAAATGTTTGACGGATGAAGAGATAAGGTTGCATCCAAGACAATGAGAAACCACCGACGGCTCTATGAAGACATCGTAAGCGTCCATTGGGATCTGGTGAAGGTTTCTGCAATTGTTAAAGGTGGTTGTTCAAATAAAAGATCCGTACACCAGTTTTGATGGAAGAGGTCGTATAGTTTCTTCTGACTTTTTCTATTTACTTGATTACTTTATTTTGCAATTACACCAGTAAATTAACTGTAGCAACTCTTCTACGATGCCTCTTGTGACTTCCTTTGATAATTTCGGGAAAGCAAACAAAAGAAAACATGGATAATTTCGAAATGTGACAACGACTACTACATGTTCATAACGCGATTTATTTTATTACGATAGGCTATTAGTACAAAGAAGCAAGCACCTGGACCCCTCCAGTGCTCACATTCAAGTTTTCGCTTAGAGAAGCATAAAGAAAGCTGGAACAGCACCGAGCAAAGCTGGCAACATGCGGTTGGCACTACCCTCGTAGGAGGTGACAATAGCAGAAGGAGTAGACTGAGCGGTGGATTCGGCAGCAACAGTGTTGGACTGAGTGACGATGTTGTTGGTGATCACGTTGACGGTGGTCTCAACATCGGATTTCTGGACTGTGGTTACAGGCTTAGCCTCGGAAGTAGGCTTAGTCTTGAAAGTGGTCTCAACTTCGACGGTTGTAGTAGACGAAGTAGTCTCAGCGGCAGACTTAGTCTTGACAGTGGTCTCAACTTCGACAGTAGGCTTGGTCTTGACGGTAGTCTCAGCAGGGGTGGCGGCCTCAGTAGTAGAGGTCAAAGGACAGAAAGTAGTGTAAATGGTCTCCTCACCAGCAATGGTCGTAGTGATTTCAGTGACACCAGTGGTAACTGGGACACCAGAGCACTTATTCTCATCACAAGAAGTGACAGTGATGACGGTGGTCTTCTGAACAGTGGTTGTGTCCTCAGCCTCAGTCGATAATGGGCAGTAAGTAGTGTAGACAGTAGTAACACCTTCCACAACATCAGTGACAGTCGTAAGACCAGTGGTGACGGCAGTAGCGTGACACTTGTTGTTGGAGCAAGAAGTGATGGTGACGACCGTAGACTCGATGTGGGTCTCGGTAACAACCGAATTTTCGGCAATAGGAACGGCCGTGACGTATGTGGTCAACACACCGTCCACAGTGGTGACGACGGTGGTCAAAGAATCCAACTCAGTGGTTACATAACAAGCACCGGCATTACACACGGTTTTGACGAAAGTGATTGTGTCTTGGGCAGTGACCTCTTCGGTCTCATAAATGATGGTGTCACCTTCAGTGGATGTGGAGTTCCCATAATACGGTTGCAGCAGCAAACATGTGGAAGAAACAAGGGTGGAAGTGTAAGTGACAATGTCAGCAGCGGCGGTAGCAGCAAAGGCAAGGCCGGAGGCAGCCAACAAAAGCGACTTCATTGAGATGGAATCGAAAGTAAAGCTTTAACAGCGGAAACTGGATGACAAAAGTGCGTAGCGAAAAGCAAGAGGAATCAGAGTATTAGCGAGAAAGGAGTGCTAATATAAGAACCAGGAATGAAATTATTTCCAGTGGGATTTCGGAAGAATTGTTACGAATTGCATATTTTGCTGCACAAGTTGGCCATTTAATAAGACGCTCAATGCTGGATAAATCTTCGTGCGCTGGCTGTGTGCAGCCATTGATGCTGGCTACTGCACGGGTTTTGAAATTACCCAGCAATTAGGAGCCTATCGGCAGGTCATGCAGCTATTTTCGACGATTCCTTATGCGTTACTTGCAGACCGACCGTGCGGAACTGCGGGCCACTCCAAATGGCACTCATAGGACTATTCCCGCAGGGTTTGAAATCGTCTCATTTGGACTTCTCTGGCTTCAGATGCAGATCCCAATGAAGCTATTGAAGAAATACGGAAGGTCGCATCCTCATTGAATACTTACTTTGCTGACAAAGGCTGGCGCTAAAGAATTTGGAACATTGTCTACATTGAGATGGATTCAAAGGTGATTTGACGAGTAGGGTGCTTCTTTTCTTATTAGGGGCTGAAGACTTGATTGCAGGTACAAGGTTTTTTTTTTTTTTTTTTTTTTTGTATTTCCCCCACTATTGTTATCTTTCTTTCGTTGTTATGTCCTCCATATGGATCGTGTCTTCTTTCAAAATTTAACTATTTCATTTCTTTTGATTTCCCTTATGCCGCCATTCCATCCTTTTTTCTTTGTTCTAAAATCAGGAGTAGTTCAATGAGCTGATGAACAAGTCCCACAAAAATTCACGTCACGAAAGAAGGTTTCATGCATGGAGTATGGCTGGCACATTGCACGTGATCAAAACCAGCAGACGGGGAAGTACTTGTTGCGTCCAAATCTGGCAGCGTACATGACCCGGAGATGGCTGGGTTCTGTTCTTTTGAGGACTGATTGCTGGTCCATTATCCCGATGTGGCTCTAATGATTTTGCCCTTGCCACTTCGATGCCGAATCTGGAATACTATTAACCATCAAGCAGATGCATCTTGGACTCGGCTATCACCAAGCGAGCCTCAAGAAGGAATGCTCAACGGTTGCTGGGATCGAAACGCAAGAATCTCGGGCGATATTTTTGGTGGATCGTTGTATGTGCACAAAATCATGCAATGATCGATCAAATATTCGGGCCCTTGCGAAAGGAGGTTATTGTAAGCTAAGTGAAGGACCTCAATCTAGACAATTTGATGTTCTTACCGTCTCTTAGCTAACATAATAGTTGCTCGTATTACTTGAGTCGTTTCCTTCTCAAAGCACATCTCCAAGGTTTAGCATATAGAAGTCGGTGTGGATGGCTTCATAGCATCATACTTGGAATTGGAGTCTTTGTACAGGAAAACCAGAAAAGCCGAGGATCGAGAACAGCCGATTGAAGGAAGCTACGGTGAAAACAAGGAAAATGAGGATGAAGACATAAAAAAGGACGGAGAAAATTAGGTCAGGTTTGTAATTCAGGACCTTACATATCATGTTTGCGTTCTGAGTATGGGAATTGAACATGTAATCTGTATGAGATATGACTATGTGATATTGGGCACGTGATATGGAAGATTGTTGTCAAACTGTGACTGTTGTCTTTTGGATCAGATATAGCCCTTCATGTCGCGCTTCTTTCTATGTCAGAGCCTTTTCTGTATCTTGTATCCGTGTATACTGGATGTGAATTGGACTAGCCCTGAGTAGGGAGTAGGCTCTGATTTGGACTTGGCTGAGATGGCAAATAATGTAAGGCATTCAGAGTCAGCTTTAGATTGAGTTTCGGACAACATTCTCTCCTACTTTTCATATTCAAATCAACCAATCATTCTTTTTTCTAGTCTATTTTATTCTGAACAAGATTGATGTCTGACTATATTCATGTTGTCGTGCATTAGCAAATCAAAATCAAAATTGTCCTACATCTAGCGCATCATCAGAAATTATCTTTTTCATCAGTAATGCTCTGGCTTTCAATCCTATTATGTTTGGCAACATTAGCCGTCCTGGAAGTTATTGAAATTGGCTCGACTCAACAGATTTTGCAGAAACCTTACTCACTCATATACTTTTCCGCTCCTGATTGCCGATATTGCGCAGACTTTAATCCGGACTTTGAGTACATCTCCACACTCTACAACGGAAATGAGAACCTCCAGGTCGTCAAGGTGAACGGTAGAGTCCACAAAGATCTAGTAAAGTTGTTTGAGGTGGCAGCATTCCCCACGCTCAAGCTTTATGACACAACACAAAAGAAAGTACTCACATATTCAGATCCTAGAACGGTTGAAGATATTGAGAGGTTTCTTCAAGATAAAACGGATGCCATTCCCCAGTTGGACAATATCATTACGGTCGTAGAAGAGGTTGCTACTCCAAAAGATGTGGAAGCCTTGAGTTCCCATGGAAAGGTGCTTTTAGTGTTTATTTCACGACAAAGTTATGACTGGTCGACCTATTACTATCCTGGCCACTATTACCAAAGGTTGTCCAGAGAGTTTCCAGAATTAAAATTTGGAATTGTTTTTGCCGACGAGGTTGGTACAGAGTTGATGGAGCAGTACCATATCAGCAATATGCCTTCGGCAGTGTTTTTGGACGGACCAGCGGTCAAGATTCTTAACACCGTCTCTACTAACCAAATGGTAAATTATAAACTCACTGAGGAGATGATCAGAAAGTTGATTGTGAATGCTGACATCAAGGAGGAGAACCTCTGGTTTGAGAACGTCGATGCACTTGCTCAGTATGCTGCTTCGGTGGAATTTGATGGTCACAAACAGCGGAAGGCCGGCATGAATTTCATAGAAAGCAGAGAATTAAATTTGGATGCTGATGAGGAGTACGAGCTTCTACTCTCTAAGATTGGTCTCTAGTATTCTCTGAGATTTTCAACAATTGAATTTTTGGGGGAGCAATGCCATATAGTAAATGGAGTCTTTTCTCATTTTATTAATTTGACCCGATTATACAAACAATCCAAGTTCAACTTTCTGTTAATATGGTAAGTCGCCTCTCTTCCATACTGCATATAGACTATTGACAGCTGTAATTCACTGCTCACAGTCAACCAACATAGCAACTAGATTCTTACACCATGAACATTTTTAGGCTTGTGGCAGATCTCTCGCACATGGCGAGTCATCTCATCTTGCTATACTCTATACACCGTAATAAGTCCATCAATGGCTTGTCCTTGAGTACGCAGATTCTTTACGTGGTTGTGTTCGTGTTGAGATACCTCGATGTGTTTACCAGTTACTTCTCTCTTTACAACACGTTCATGAAACTTTTCTTCGTGGGGTCTTCCGCATACACGGTTTATTTGATGACGAGAAAATACCAGAAAACCATCCGCGAGAACATCGACACGTTTCCCGTTCGGTACTTGGTAATTCCCTCAGCTGTGATGTCGTTGATTTTTACTCACGCCTACACGTTCAGAGAGGTGACATGGTCGTTTTCTATTTGGTTGGAGTCTGTTGCAATCATTCCTCAGTTGTATATGTTGCAGAGAACGGGCTCTGCGGAGAACATCACCACTCATTACATTTTTGCATTGGGGATTTACCGAGCATTGTACATTCCGAACTGGATCTATCGTTACTTTTTCGAAGGCTGGTCTGACTACATTTCTATTTTGGCTGGTATTTTGCAGACGATTGTGTACTCTGACTTCTTCTACATCTACTATACCAAGGTCATGCAGGGTAAGAGTTTCGAACTTCCCGTGTAGATCACCAAGAATATGCAAGAAGGTAGTAGAAGGCTCAAAAGAGAAAGAGGATGAGAAATTGAATGAAGGAGAAGAAGGAAAGAGTAAGTGGATTGAGGATGGGAGACAAAAGGAAATGTGAAATATAACTTCATTTTTAAGTGAACTTATCTTCCAGTTCTCAGCTCTTCCCAAATTTTCAGTCGAACTGAATTGTATAGTATCGAAGAAACGTCACATCAATCTGAGAATAGTCTACTCTACCTAAATTGCGTCTTAATGTAATTCATTTCTAGCTCGTGCATTAATCTCTCTTCAATGGATAGTACTCCTTGCGCACACCATCTTTCGTGACAATGAAGATCTCTAGACCGTCACCCACCTGAATATGTCTTTCAGTGGCGGACGTGAATGCATCCTTAACCAACTCAATGACCTCCTCCAAGCTCAAAAAGCGGATTGGTCTCTTTTCTTTTCCGTCAGTTCCTGGAACATACTGATTCTTGAAATTGACCTGGTTGTCGAGGAATGGCATGATTAACGAAGCAGCAGCACCTCCGGCTCTACACTGTTCACGCTCGTATGAGCCAACTGGGTCATACGAGTACACGGCACCCTTTCCTTCTTCGTCCAAACCTGCAATAAGTGTACTAACATAAAATGGGAAGAAACGTTTACCGTACAACAAATGCTGGATGTATCTGGCAGCACTCTTGATGGTCAACTTCTTGTTGTTATTGTCGAACTTATACCACTTGTACGAGGTCTTGAAACGGTCAATTAAAGCGGCACCATCTGCGGCGAAGCCGTTGGCGGTCATCACGATGTCGTCACCAACGTCGAAGATCTTGGGCTCGTACCGCGAGTCAATGTTATAGCCAGACACAATACGAGTGTCTCCTGCCAAAACAGCAAAGTCCTCACCAGCGATTCCAAGCACCGTTCCTCCATTGTCTGTGTATGGGTTAAATCTGTGTTCGATGGGCACAGAAGATCTCTCTGCGGAGTATTCTGAAGCGACTGTGCTCATTGTGGTGATATAATGTGTAATTGGCTAATCCAGAATGGTGGTGGAGAATGCCAGTTGATTAGTTGACTGGACTTGAGAATTGAGACTTGAGTAGTCGCCACTTAGTGCAGGCAGGACAGGCAGGTGGAGAGAAAGAAACCAAAGGAACAAGAAGAAAAATGAAGGAAATCACTATCGGGTGAAAAGGAGAAAGAATAGAAAATTTCGAAATAAAAAATTATAGCCAAAATGCTAAACAAAATTAAAAAATGAAGCAATCTAAATGAAGAAAACTTTGTTCTCGAATAAATTTTCATCTACGCTAATGCTCAATAATATGTACATTAATCTAGTATTTACAGTTTAGGCAGATTTCTCGCTCTGGATCCGAGAGATGTAGGTCTTAGAAATCACATTCCACGATCTCATGTACTTCTCCAAACACTGATTGATACAGCCATTTTGTTGCGCCGTGATAGAGTCTTGAGGGTGTAAAATGCACTTATCGAAGCAGTTCTGTGTGATCTTGTTGACCAATTCCGTGGCGTTAGCCACCGCCAACTCCTGGCTGATCTGCTCTTGGAGCTGTGTTTTAATCTGCTGAGATTGCAGCGATGCCGCCTGGGAGGAAGCGCTTCCAAAGAGTGCCATGGCTGGATATGGTGAACTGCCAGTAGTATGCCGAAGTTAGTAAAATTGTTTTGGTTAGCACACGTCTTGACTGGATAGGTAGTAAGGTCTGAGTTTTAGTAACAGATATTCTGGATTTTCTTCTGGGATTCATGGATTTGTTTCGATTTTCTAATATTTGTTTCTGATGTTTGTCGGATTTTGATGTTTCGTCATTTTGCAAGACGTATATGTTGTTGCCAAATGTTTGAATTTTGAATAGGTTATACCCGACAGCATTCTTATTTATTCTTGGGCTTCCAACAGTAGCAAGTAATGATATCTGACTATATAATCTTGTCTTCCTATTATTCTTATTTTTTATTTCACGGATTTACTCCTTGACATGCTCAGCCAATCTCATTCCACATTTGAACTAGTGGGCCGTACTGACACTCACTTGAGAGCTTACAGCCACATGGATTGCCATACAAATACATTAGTGATTCATTTTCACGTGCAACCAGACATAAGTGGTACATTTGATTCAGCTACAAATTATCATATCATCTGAAAGTTTTACCTTGGATTCTAAGGCATGAACAACCCGACTTTAGAGGTATCTAAGTATTGTACATCTCACAAGCAACATTGCCATATCGTCTAGTGCGATATGCAGTGATCGCGATAAGAAAACTAATTCTGGATACACGCATTATCTTAATTATACTTAAGATTCATCAAAAAATGGCCCTGGCTGCTCTGGCTGCACTGGAAGCAACACCAATCGCCGATGAAGATGCCCACCTTTTTGTTTTGGTCCATGGGCTTTGGGGAAGTCCGAAGCATATGCTGGTAGTGGAAAGAGCACTCAAGAACTCGCTTGCTGAAGTTTCTAACGAGAGAATTATCACTCTCAAGCCCTCGTCGTTCCGGTTCTGGAAAACATACGATGGAATCGAAAGATGTGCTGAGCGGGTCATTGCTGATTTACTTTACGAGATCGAGATTTTAAAAGAGAAAGACCACTTGAAAGTATCCAAGATCAGTATCATTGGATATTCGTTGGGAGGCTTAATTTCTAGATTTGTCGTGGGAAAATTGTTTTCTATGGGATTCTTCGATGAAGTATCCCCAGTGTTTTTCTGTACCTTTGCTACTCCTCATGTAGGTGTGCATTTCTTCAGACCCAACCTCTTTGATTATGTGGCCAACAGGTTAGGCAAGCTCTTGTTCGGCTATACTGGTCTACAACTATTTGTAGCCGACAATGATTCATTGCTTGTAAGAATGGCTGATCCAGAATCGGCCTTCTTTCAAGGGTTGGAGCTTTTCGAGTCCAGATTGCTATTGGCCAATGTCAAAAATGACCGAAGTGTGGCATTCTACACGAGTTATATCACTGAGTTTTCGCCATTCGACCAAATCGATTCTGTCAACATCAGATATTTGAAGGACTTACCCCCCTCGAGGATTGGAGTTACTAAGGTATGGCCCAAATTCATAGACATGGAGAAATCACACCGGGTTGAGAATCCCCAAGAATTTCAAGGAAACAGACAGGAAGCCACCTCCATCATTCGATCCAACAAAATTCTTCGTGGTACCATTCTCCTTTCAGCAGCAGTTATATTAGTGCCCTTTTATATCCCTCTAATCATCTGCTTGTCGCTTTACGTCTCCGGATATAGTGCCTTAAAAGTGAAATTGCTTAGATCAATGAGGATAGAGGAGCACTGGAAGGAAGTTCGCCTGTCTGTGTATCACGAAGGTGTAATTGACTCGGAGCATGCAGAGCAGGGTGAATCCAGAAGAAAGCAAAGACACAATTTGGCCAAGCACGAAACCTTCAAAGGCGATACTTCAAACTTCACCGAAAGTGCCATGGAGGGTATGTTGTTTGCAGAAGACGAATTTGTTGGAGGTCAGTCCAAGATTATAGAAGAGAACGAACCGTCCGACGAAGAAGATAAAGATTCAAACAAAGTTGTTTGTATGGAAGCACACGATGAGGAGCAAGCCGAGCTTTCAGAGTCGGACTCAAACCAAACCAACAAATCGTTATTTGCATCCTTTTTGAGAAAGAAGCATATTATCGACATTCTGACAGATAAAAATGACCGGGTAGTGAGGGAGCATGTGGAATCATTGAGAAACAACGACTTGTCAAAGATTCCGCTCTTTTCCGAAGATAGCAAGCTTGACTTGCTTGAAGAGCAGAAAATAATCGTGAAAAATTTAAACAAATTGGACTGGATTAAGATCGCCGTTTACCACGATCTGTTCAATGCGCATGACGGAATAGTTGCCAGAAGAGGAGAAAAATCAAATCCCAAGGGCACTTGCACGATTTATCTTTGGGCATCTATTCTTCGGAATCATATCCGGGACCACATTTGAAAAGTTCACGGTATTTACAACCATTGACAACAGTTAAAGGTACTTTTATATTGGAGCATTCTACTATATCAAGGCATATTTGTGCACCATGGATAGGCTATACGGTTAATTGTGCTGAAGATAAAATCGAGAATGATGAAAGGCATTAGAAACAAAAAAGTTTTCAAGATAATTAACAATATTCTGTATTTCTTCAGTAAGCTCTTTTAACAGTAGGTTGAGCAGGTTATCCACTACCTTTGCAAGAACCAAGCAAGTTTGCTACATGCACCACTTTCTAAATATACCTTAAGCAAAGTTCCCGATCCTCAAGACCTACTTGTTAGAATCCAATGAGGAGCTTCAATTTGCCATCTTCTAGAAGAGCAGTAGACTTGTTGACCACGCGATTTCGTCCGGCGTCTGTCAATTTGTCTAGTGTCAATCTGGCAAGGTTGCTATCAACTCGAACTCGCCAACAGCAATGGAACGGGTACGAAGGCAACAGCTCCAATTCCTCGAGGAGAGGTCTTCTCATCAATTTATGTGTGTTTTCCGGAGCGATTTCCGCTTATAATCACAAGGACTTCATTCTCAATGATGTTTATCCAGTGAATAATACCATACACGGACTTAAACCTATCCAGGCTGCCGACACCTGGGAGAATGGACTTTATCAAGCATCTCAGAAAGAGGAGAAAGATCTTTTCTATGAATTTAGACAGAAACGGCTCTCGGAGAGTTCGTTTTTCTTGAGGATTTTCTACCACATCAAATTTGCACTAACAGATTACGTGGTGGATCCATGCATTACCATTGCTAGATTTTTGGAGTTGACAGCCATTTTCGTTCCAGTACTTTTATCGGCACCAATCTGTTGGATCGGAAGTAAAGATCGCAGAACCGGCGAAGATGTTCGCAGTGGAGCAAAGCTTTGGTTTAGATACTTGCGATGGAGTGCTGAGCATGCTGGTGCATCATTCATAAAATTGGGCCAGTGGGCAGCCTCCAGAACTGACATTTTTTCCAAGGAAATGTGTGAGGAATTATCCCATTTGCATTCCAATGCAAAAGCACACTCGTTTAAGAAAACGAAGCGTATCCTCAGCGATAGTTTCGGCATGCCATTTGACGAAATTTTCGCCGAGTTTCAGGAGAAACCCCTTGGAGTGGGTGCTATTGCACAGGTGTATTTGGCAAAACTTTCAGACAAAGCGATTGAGAAGGTCAGGACTGAAGGAGATCAAAAAGTTCAGCTCACATTGGACCCTCAAAACAAGGAACAGACTCAGTTTTGGGAAAATGTGGTTGTTACACAACAAGAACGTGCTATTGACTCGAAACAAGCGGTTGCAATCAAAGTGTTGCATCCAAATGTAGAGGTGAAAATCAATAGAGATCTTCGTATCATGAGCTTTTTTGCAAATGTCATCAATGTGATTCCGACTATGGAGTGGCTCTCGCTTCCAGATGAGGTCGAGCAATTCTCTATATTGATGCGTTTACAGCTTGATCTTCGAATCGAAGCTCTCAATTTAGAGAAGTTTCGCCACAACTTCAGAAACAGGCTTGATATTCATTTCCCAAAGCCTTATTTGAATTTCAGTACTAGAGATGTGTTGGTGGAAGACTACGTTCAAGCGATTCCAATGTCCAAGATGTTGTCCTTGAAAGACAATTTCGGAAAAAATCTCTCTAAGGAAATCAGTGATAAAGGTCTTGATTCCTTCTTGCAGATGTTAATTATAGACAATTTTGTTCACGCAGATCTTCATCCTGGAAATATGCTTGTGAGGTTTTACAAGAATGAGCATTTCAAACACAAAAAGGAGTACAAGATTGTCAAGTCTAGTAACGAACATGAAACAAACAGAATCACCGAGGAGCTTTTGGCATTGGGAGATGACGATAAGGCGTGGTGTAAGAGATTAGAAGAGTTATATGAGAGTGGATACCATGCAGAGATTTGCTTCTTGGATGTTGGGCTAATTACTGAGCTTAACCAGATGGATAGAGTCAACTTCATTGATTTGTTCAAAGCTTTGTCCGAGTTTGATGGTTACAGGGCTGGAGAGTTAATGGTAGAGAGATCAAGAACTCCTGAAACGGTGATCAACAAGGAAATCTTTGCTCTCAAGGTGGAAAAGTTGGTGGACAGAATGAAACAGAGAACCTTTACCCTTGGTAACATCAGCATCGGAGATTTGTTGGACCAGGTTTTGGGAATGGTCCGGTCTCATCATGTGCGGATGGAGGGAGATTTCATCACAGTGATTGTTGCTATTTTGTTGTTGGAAGGAATAGGAAGACAGTTGGACCCACAGTTGGACTTGTTTGCAAGGTTCGTATACGCATTTGTATTTGGCTTCCCCACCGAGAACGAATTGAGTTTTAGTTTTACTTAACGGGCAGCCCATGAAAACTCACACTACTAACACGACAGCTCTTTGCCTGTTTTGAGAAAATTGGGAGCTCTGAAAGAAGGCAGAGACATTTTAAGTGATGAAGATTCTCTTAATATGATCAAGGTTTGGGTCGCACTTGAGGCCAGACAATTGATCCACGCTTCGATTCAAGATGTATGTATTCTCTGTGATTCTGCTAATTTGGAGATGATAGTCCTTACCTCCATTTTTGGAGAATTTTTTTTCTTGTTAACTTACTAACTTTTAGATTCACGCATTAGTGAAGGCAGATATGTTGAGTCCCAACGTCTGAGTATTGCATATTGACTGTGGAGGAAATGTGCACTAGTCGTGGGTCAGTGGAATTGTCATTCTTTCTTCCAACTTCTATTTCTCGCTTCTATAAACAATGGCTTCTAAACCACCAGGACAGTGCTGCATTGAGACCAACTTCCACGAGGGAACTACTCAAGGTAAACTGGAGACCATTTTCGGATTGGATACTTATGTTGTAGGCAATTCCGAGTCTAGATTCATTGTGATTGCTACCGATATTTATGGCCACAAGTACAACAATGTGCGTTTGATTGCCGATCAATTCGCTAAGGATGGTTACAAGGTGTACGTTCCAGATATTTTGAAGGGAGATCCAGTAGTTCCGGGCGATGATTTGCCAAAATGGCTCCAAAATCACACTTTGGAGATCACAGAGCCAATTTACGTTGGATTCTTGTCTAAGCTCCGTGAGGAGGTTGGCAAATCTGCTTTCATTGGCTCAGTTGGTTACTGTTTCGGTGCAAAGTACGTCATTCGCCAATTGAGCGCTGATGGCTTGATTGATGCCGGTGCCATTGCTCACCCTTCTTTCGTTGGCATTGAGGAGGTTGCTGAGATCAAGAAGCCTCTTCTCATTTCTGCCGCCGAGACTGACTCTATTTTCCCTGCTGAGTTGAGACGCCAAACCGAGGACAAGTTGGTCGAGATTGGTGCCAGATACCAGCTTACCTTGTTCAGCGGAGTCGCCCACGGTTATGCTGTCAGAGGCGACATGTCGGACCCAGTGGTGAAGTACTCGGCAGAGAAGACTTTGAGCGACCAGATTGTGTGGTTCGGCTTGTTCTAGATATATTGCAGAGCAAGTGGGCCGATGTAGAGGTGTTATTACCTATTAGACTTCGTCAGTATTACAGTATATGATTTCGAAATTGACATATGCATGACATGTAGATCACGAAGTACCTTGGCACTTGTACATTTGACGATTACTATCCTTTTACGTATCCTATTGTTCTCAATTCCGTAATCTGAAGCCGTACGCGGAACTGCAACATATTTGTGCCGAAGTGCGATAACATATATAGCACATTATCACCAACAGTTAACTTTTCTTTCGTTTTCAATTCAGCTAAAACTCAAAAAATGAAGTCAGAACTGGATTTGCCTATCCATAGCAAGGGTTCGAGAACTAAAAGGAGCCCTTGGTTGTTCAGGGTAGCCATGTTGTGCATCGTAGTTGCTCCTTCCGTCATTTCGCTACTTTCAGGTACATATTCATCTCCTGAAGTCAAGATCAAGCTCTCGGCCATCAAATCTTCTTTTGGAATATTTGGAGATAACGATAAAAATCCTGACTCCCTTTGTCCTATTGTCGATAAGGTCGACCCGAAGGATTTCATCTATGAGAGTGACACCTTAGATAAGATCCTCCACGATGAAGGTTTCCGGAACGCCTCAATGGAGAAGTTGCTTGAGTCTGTTAGGTATCCTACGCAGATCTACGATGACATGATAAATCCCAATTCGGCCGAAACACTTGAAGAGCTCTACAAATTGGAACCCAGATGGAAGGAGATGGAGAAGTTTCATGGATATTTGAAGGAAGCCTTCCCTTTGGTGCATAAGCACTTAAAATTGGAGAAGGTCAATAAGTTTGCTTTAGTTTACACGTGGGAAGGCAGTGACTCCAGCAAGAAACCTATTTTGTTGACTGCTCATTATGATGTTGTGCCAGTCCAGGAAGAGACACTCGACCAGTGGAAGTATCCACCATTCACGGGAGGTTTTGATGGAAAATACCTCTACGGACGTGGAGTTTCCGACTGCAAGGACTTGCTTATTGGGCTCATGGAGACCATCGAGCTTTTGCTCACTGAAGGAAAGTTCGACCCTAAGAGGACAATAATCTTGGGTTTTGGCTACGATGAGGAAGCTCTGGGAACGGGTGCATTTGAAATTTCGAAGCATCTTATTTCGAAATATGGCCCAGACTCTTTATTCCAGATCATTGACGAAGGAGACTCGGGTATTACAGAGTACGAAGGTAACAAGTACATTTTGCCTGCTACAGGCGAGAAGGGTCACTTGGACTCTGTCATTGAACTTTACACCCCTGGAGGACATTCATCCATTCCGCCAGCACACACTTCAATTGGACTTTTGTCCAAGTTGATTAGTGAAATCGAAGATAAGGAATTTGAGAGTATTATCTCCAACAGCAACCCGGTCTTGAACCAATTGCAATGTGTGGCTGAACACTCCAAAACGGTTGACGCAGAGCTCAAAAAGAACATTCTTAAGGCACACTTGGACATCAATGCTAACTCGAAGCTTTTGGACTTTTTGACCAAAGATCTCGAGTCGAAGTACTTAGTTACTACTTCTCAGGCAGTGGATATTATCCATGGAGGAGTCAAGTCCAATGCTTTGCCTGAGCATGTTTCTGTACTTATAAATCATAGAATTGCCATCGAAGAGTCCGTTGCTTCTACTGGGCAGAAGGTTGTGGATCAGATTGTTGATTTTGCCAAGAGATACGACTTGGGTGTGGTTTATGATGGAGATGTGCTCATCGAGAAAACCGAAAAGGGCTACTTCAACTATTCGTTGGTGGAGCCTTTGGAGCCTGCACCTGTGACTCCTATGGGTGACGAAATCTGGAACGTCTATGGCGGTTCGTTGCGTTACTTGTACGAGGATTTGGTTTTCCCAGACTCGAAAGAGACATATATCTTTGCACCATACATCAGCACTGGAAATACCGACACCAAATCATACTGGGATTTGACTAGAAATATCTTCCGTTATGCTCCCGGCCTCGAGACTCCTCATGGGAACATCCACTCCATTAATGAGAGATTGAACTTTGAGGGTCATCCACTCATCATTGCTTTCTACTACTATTACTTGCAAATTGTTGACCAGCTTGCAGATCCTGTCAATTGAATGTTATTTAGATATTAATAAAAAAATAAATCTATAATTCCATTCTCCAGAATAAACCAATTCTGCATTTTGATTTTTCCTAGTGATTCCATCCTTCATACTTATCATCTTACTCCATATTACGAACCGCATCTCAACTGTATGTAGTGCACAAGACTTCTATAGTACTTTTTTTTTTCAAAGACCTTCAGCACTTAACAACCATGCCCACTGAACTTGAAGAATTAGTTGAGTTTTTGCATTCGCCACAGCCTGCTGTTGTCCAAATTGCTCTCGATAACCTTGTTGGCTTCTCACAGGGTCCTCACCAGCAGGTTTTTGCTTACGCTGACTATGAGGCCATCAAAGATTTGAAAAACTTGTCCCAAACAGAACAGAAAACTACCGTCACCCAAGCAGTGACTATCTTGGCTAACTTGTGTGACGATTTAACTATGAGAAAACTTATTGTCGAAGACGTTAAGTACCTCGAGTTCTTGGTATCTGCAATCATCAGACCTACCAACACCAACGCCGACTTAATGTGCATTTTGTTAGCCAACTTGGCCAAAAACGACGCCATCACCAAAATTTTCGACATCAGAGTCAAGCTATCTGATGAGCAGAAGAAAATATTTGCTCTGGACCATGCCATGGATTGTCTTATGGACTGTTTCGTTAAAGGTTCAGACAGAACTTTGAACAAATTTGCCGACTTTGACTACTTGGCTTACTTCTTTGCTGATATCTCTCGTTTCGAGCTTGGTAGAACATATTTTGTCACAGAACAGGCATATGACGAAGTTGTTCCCATCTCCAAGTTGCTTGTTTTCACTGAGAAGTACGACTCCAAAATTAGAAGAGAAGGTGTGGCATCCACCATCAAGAACTCGTTGTTTGATGTTGACAGACACTCCACATTGGTTTCAGATGACAAAATCAACCTTTTGCCTTATCTTCTTTTGCCTATTGCTGGCCCTGAAGAAATTGACGAGGACGATATGTTCAACTTACCTGATGAGTTGCAATTGCTTCCTCCAGATAAGAAGAGAGACCCCGTGGATTCTATCATTGGTACTCATTTGGAGTCGCTTTTGTTGTTGTGTACAACTAGAGAAATGAGAGAGCATTTGCGTGAAAAGTCCGTCTACCCATTGGTCCGTGAACTCCATAAGAGTGCAGACTCTGAAGAAGTGACCGACTTGTGTGATAGATTGGTGCAGATGTTGATGAGAGATGAGGCATCAAAGGATGACATGGATGTTGACGAGGAAGAGGAAGACGATGACGATGATGACAAGATTGTCGAGATCATGTAAAGTAGCTAGCGATCTTGGATCATGTATATTATAGAATGGGAAGGACTCTGTATGTGAAATGTGTAGCAGCTACTCCTCCTTGAGAGTAAGCTTTCCATCGACCAACCTGAAATTCAGCTTGACAATGGTGATGATGCGGAGTTTGTTGTCCTTGTGGGTGCTGATTCTGCTCTTGAGTTTCAAAAGCAACTCCTTGGTGGTGAGAGGGTTGTTGCGGACAATATCCAACACCTCCCAGGTTGTTACCAACTCTCCGTTTGGTCCAGCATTGTTCAAATCTCCAGCAGCTGAATTGTCCGGTGGGGGAGATGCACTAGGACTCTTTTCGTCCCTCTTTGTTTTCTTGGGCGAGGGAGTGTCGAATGTCTGTGATCTCTTCTTAGCCTGTGGGTTCCACTCGCCAGGCTGGAAGCCTCTTAAAAACTGTTTGGGAGCTTTTATAACAATGTAGCCGTTTGCGGCGCTCGAGACGAAGAATGAACGAGGACGCAATGGGTCACTCCCAGCAACCTCGTCGGTAGGTTCTGTTTTGACGTTGAACTCACTCTCAGACTCTTCTTCACTTTCCAAGTCTGATTGAGAAACGTATGGGTTTATCTGTTCGTTATCATCAGAGTCGTATACACCTCCCTCGGTACGGTTCAAAACCTTCTTCAACTTCTTACCTTCCTTGTCAACCTTTCTGGATTTCTCCACCTCAAACAAGTCGTTCAAGTCATCTCCACTATCGTCACCGTCCAGTTGGCCTTCGAAGGTTGCGGCCTTGAGCATCTCCTTCTTAATTTTCTTTTCCGACAATTTGTTCTCTTCCTCGTCACCGTCCATAATGGGCGCCTCCTCATCATCGGCAAACTCTTCTTCGAAATCCAAGTCGTCGTGGTCAGAGTCTCGTCCATTGGACGAGGAGCCACCCTGGACCGTCCGCATACGGTATCTGCTACCAGTAGAGCTCTGGCTAAGCTCCAGCGGACGCACAGGAGCCGAATAACCGGAGTTTCTGAACCGAGCGTCACCACCCTCCTCGTCCATGTGCTTCATCAACCAACGAGGAGCTGACTGGTTCTTTTCCATCTTCGCCTCCGCTTCTTCCAACGTCAACGTGGCATATCTATTTCTGGGTGTGAACTTGTAGACCTTTTCCGCAGGCACCATCTTGAAGCCGTCCTTATCGAAGACAAAGAGAACATGGGTAGATTCCGACAGACCTGCCTCGTAGCTGCCTACATAAACGTTCTTGCCGTCATAGTCCTCAATTACCCAGGGGTAGTACTCCTCGTACCTGAGTTTACGTTTCTTCTCGTCCATCATGTGCACCTGCTTGGTTTTCCTCTTGAACAAGTTTCTCCGGTGTCTTCTGGCGCCTCCATCGGGAGCTACCTGCGACATGTCTGCTGGCTGAATGATGTTACCCTCCTCGTCGACGTATGTAGGCTCGGTAACTGTTTGGCTGATGCCCCCACCTTCTTTGCGGCGCTTATCCATTTCTTCTCGTGAAAGATGGAACTGGATGTTCTGTGGATCTTTACGGTGCAAACGAACAGGTTTGGTGAAGTTCTTGACAATATCTACGTCCTGCTTGGTCTGGAACCGCATGATGTGGTTTCTAGTATCCTTCAACTCTTCCCTAGAACATGCCTTGAGAGGAATCACGTTCCATTCACCGCCAGCCGAGGACTTGGGCGTGGGACTCATTTGGGGCGAGGCACTGGTAGCTGGCGATCCAGTCTCAGGCTCAGGTTTGATGCCGGGGTCTTTTTTGACTGAAGGCTGGCTCATGGTGCACTGGTAACAAGGAAGGGAAGTTTCACTTGAATCGCATTTGTGTGGTAGTCTGCAGGCTGGATGCAAATCCACCTGGTCGTTCTTGGTGGATTTAGGTGGGTGTGTGAAGGGATGGATGTGGTAGGTTCTGCTGAAATTTTATTGTGATGTTGGTTTGCAGATGGTGAGATTGTGAAGTTCTCTTTTAGGAGTTCCGAAGTTTCGAAGTTTTGGATTCTCGGATTTTGGTTTCTTCTTTGTTAGATGAGTGGTGGTGTCTTAATTTCCATGATGTTGGTGAAGAGGGAATTATATGGGCAAAAGTACAAAATGGAAAGAGGAAATGATTGATTTTGCCTTGAATCGTTTAAAAATAATTTTTGAGGTAGCAGAATTTGTTGAGTTATGGAGATTCGTGACGCTGGCAAAAAGTGACATTAGTAACCAGTGTAACGTGAACTAAATATTTTGCCCTGCGGACGATTCATCTACTCATTCTTTCTATGTTCCCTTTCGATTCTGAACTGCAATCAAAACTGTCAACTCTATCCTTTATTTTCTTCATTGACAATTATCTCTTCCTACCCTTTCTAATCTCTCTCTATCTTAGTTCCCTGTACCCCAGACCAGATCCGCGAACCTTCACATAGAGGCCGGTTCCGGCGAAGTTTTTTCAAATCCGGAGTTTCAATTACATATCGTGCTTCACCAAGAAACATCCTAAACTCCACCAAAATGACCAATAATGAAGAAAAGCCTCCCCCACCAAAGTATCTTGGCTTTGTTGCGGGAATGTTCTCGGGAGTTACTAAGAATGCCGTGGGCCATCCATTCGACACGGTGAAAGTAAGACTTCAAACTTCAGAAGGCAGATTCAAGGGTCCCATGGACTGTGTCTGGCAGACTTTCAAAGCAGAAGGCATCAAAGGTTTTTACAAAGGTTTTACTCCTCCCTTGGTGGGGTGGGTGCTCATGGATTCCGTCATGTTGGGATCTCTTCACTTGTATAGAAGATTGTTGAAGGAAAACGTCTACCATGACGAGAAAAAGTTGCCATTGTCTGGTCACATTATGGCAGGTTTGGGTAGTGGCTGGACAGTCTCGTTTGTAGCTGCGCCAATCGAACAATTCAAGGCCAGACTCCAGGTGCAATACGATGCCAAATCTAGAATATACTCTGGTCCTATTGACGTCGCTAAGAAGTTATGGAAGATTTCACCATTGACATGGTACACTGGACTCTTTGGAACCATGGTGTTTAGAACTAACTTCATCTTTTGGTGGGGTTCCTATGAGGTGTTTACCAACTGGTTCTCGGAAAATACCAAGTTGTCAAAACCTTCCATCAACTTTTGGGCAGGCGGTTTATCCGCTACTGTTTTCTGGATCTTTGCATACCCTGCCGATGTTGTCAAGCAAGTCATCATGACTGATAGTCCTATTAAGTCTGAGAAGAAGTTTCCACATTACATGGATGCTGTCAGATACATTTATAGAGAAAGAGGCTGGAGAGGTTTCACCAGAGGTTTTGGACCCTCCATTTTGCGTTCATTCCCAGCTAATGCTGCTGCCTTAGCTGCATTTGAGGCCGTCATGCGTTTCTTGCACTGATCAATGAACTGGCATGAAAGTCTAAGAATGTTAACAATCAGCATTTCTCAAGACTTAGGTATCACCGCAGAGTGATAATCAAGCAATCACATTTAAAGAAATCACTAGTCCTGCAAGGCCAATGTATTGGATAGGACGAATAGGAAAGCCACAAGGGCCCCCATACGCAAGATCAAGCACATCACAATATCTTCGGTTTCGTTACACGACAACTCTTTTTGCATATTTATTAAATTAGAAGCACATCAAGCAGTCATTTCCTGTATATCTGAAGTTTCAGCATCATTCTCTTCGGATTCTGTCTTTTGTTCCCAAGGCTTAAGTCTGGACTTTGCTTCCAGCTTTGATCCCTGGTCACTCAAAACAGTATCGGGAATCTGCTTGATTCCTGGCACTGGCTTTCCTGAGACTATAAGATCCACCAATTGCTGATAATTAGACGAATAAGGAGCATCTTGGCTCTGTTCAGTGGACTGTGAGTTGGCACTGGCTTTCTCATTTCCATTCTCAATTGTAGCACTATCTACCTCTACTGAATCGTCAACGTAGGTGATTTTTCCTCCATTGTTTCTTTTCCACGCATAGTAGTCATCTAAATTCAAAATATTACCCGTCTTTGAGCAAAAAAAGAACAGCTTTGCCTGGTCAATAAGTTGCTGTTTTTGTGGTGGAGGAATCAGCTTGACGGACGGATCATTCTCTTGGAGCAGACTCAAATGGCCATTCAAAATTTCGGATAGTCCTTCTTGAAACTCCTGGAAAGAGTCCCAATCATACTGTTGAAATTGGAGATACACACTTTCCTGTGAGTCACCCATGGTTTGTTGGAGATAACAATTAAGATGGGTGGAACTTACTACTATCATACACCCGTACACCCCGAGAATAGCTCCCCGTTCTCCATTGTTGGTGGTGTGATGGTGAGTACCGTGGTGGTATGAGGGTAAATCCCTTAGATTGAACTGCTTAAATTAGTTCTTTTTTTATTTTGAAACACTAGCGCTGAGTTGATGTTTCTGATCTTGATTTAAACAGTATGTAACTCCTTGATTGGGGTTGCGTATCCAATGAATTCTATAGTGAAAAAAAGAAAAAAACGATAAAACAATTGCTCTGAATGACGTCCAAAACCACTTGGCTTTCTCTTCCTCTTGCTGAGAACTTTCCCATTACATCTTGTTCAATTATTTAACCCAACCTGTCGAGTCTGTATAATGTGCACTACGTAACGGTACTTGTCAAGACTTAAGACTACTTTGCACTACTTTAGTCATGTCAGGGAAGAGTGTTCCACAGACGACTTTGAAGTCGCTAGTTTTCAATCCAGTAAGTCTCGGAATACTTCTCCGATTCGGCTTCTTCTTCTTTGGCCTCTATCAAGATGCACATATGCCCGTCAAGTATACCGACATTGACTATGTGGTATTCTCCGATGCTGCCGAATATGTGTACGAGTCTGCCTCACCATACAAAAGAGAAACCTATAGGTACACGCCATTGCTCGCGTGGATGCTCGTTCCGAACTCGTTAGGTGACCTCTTCTACCATTATGGTAAACTTTTATTCATGTTCTGTGATATCTTGACTGGAATCTTGATTGCAAGACTACTCCCAACCAACACCAATACTAAGACAACTTTGGGGCTCCCAATTAGCAAAAGGACTGTTCTTCTGAGTCTCTGGCTCCTCAACCCGATGGTCATCACAATTAGCACCCGAGGATCATCCGAAAGTGTCTTGACGTTTATCATCATGATTGCTGTCAATAGTTTGGTGTGTGGTCAATACACAGAGTCTGCCATCTGGCTTGGATTGGCTACTCACTTCAAGATATATCCGATTATCTACCTTCCCACGTTCTTGTACTATCTCACACGCAAGGATAAGCCCTTCACGATTTTCAAGAACATTCCAGTGTTGAACTGGCTCAATGGAACCAATTTGATTTATTTATTGGTGACTCTTCTTTCATTTGCTACTTCTGGAGTCATCATGTTCAACATATATGGCTATGAGTTCTTGTATCACTCGTATCTCTACCATTTCATCAGATTGGACCACAGACATAACTTCTCAGTGTACAATGTGGCACTTTACTATAAGTCTGCAGTGGACTACTTAGCAATCCCAAAGGAATCGGGAATTTTAGGTTTGTTTAACTACTTGACTGGAAACTTGGAGAAAGTAGCCTTTGTTCCACAGATTGCACTCTCGGCCATCATCATTCCCCTCTCGTTAGCTCAAACAAATCTCATTCCCTGTTTATTCATTCAAACGCTTACATTCGTCACATTCAACAAAGTCATTACGTCACAATACTTCATTTGGTTCCTAATTTTTTTGCCAGGTTACTTGGCTACTTCCAAATTAGCATCTGGTCAATACAAAGTGACAGGTCTCACAATGCTTGCACTCTGGATCATTTCTCAAGCTAGCTGGCTCTTTTTCGCGTATAGACTTGAATTTGTCGGTGAGAGCACCTTCGACAATGGACTATTCTACCTGTCGATATTTTTCTTCTTGACCAATTGCTGGATTATCTCTCAGTTCATTCAATACGTCTAGTAAATATACATATATGATCACGTGATCATATATCACGTGTATACACTCACCAAGAGCGATTTTGTTCAAGATGAGCTAGTGATATTTACATAAATCCAATATAAAATCAGCGTGCCATGTCTCGTATGGAACTATACTCACCTGAGGGTTTGCGTATTGATGGAAGAAGATGGAATGAGTTGCGCAGATTCGAGTGCAGAATTAATACCCACCCGAATTCCTCCGATGGTTCAGCGTATGTTGAACAAGGTAATACAAAGGTTATGTGTGTTGTTCAAGGACCCAAAGAGCCACCTTTGAGATCTCAATCAGATCAGAATAAAGCAACCATCGAAATCAACTTGAATGTTGCCAGTTTTGCCACGATCGAGAGAAAGAAAAGAAGTAAAAACGAGAAGAGAATCGTTGAGTTGAAGACTACATTGGAGAGAACCTTTGAGCAGAGCATCTTGTCAAATTTGTACCCACGAACATTGATTGAAGTGAACGTACAAATCTTAGCTCTAGATGGAGGACTTTTGGCTGCAGTTACAAACTCTATCACCTTAGCACTTATAGATGCTGGAATAGCCATGTACGATTACGTTTCCGCTGTGAATGTGGGCTTACACGATCAGACCCCATTATTGGATCTCAATACCTTGGAGGAAAACGATATGAGCTGTTTGACCATCGGAGTGGTAGGCAAAAGTGAAAAACTTGCCATGCTACTTTTGGAAGATAAAATGCCCTTGGACAGATTGGAGTCAGTGCTTGGAATTGCCATAGCTGGAGGTCATAGAATACGAGACTTGATGGACGAGGAAGTCAGAAGCCATGGAAGCATGAGACTGACGAAACTTGTGTCGTAGTTGTACAATAGATAACATAATGCATACGTTCAGGAAAGAAATAGAAGAGGATACTCATGAGGTAGGTAGTAGTAAGGAAGTAAAAATTATAGAGACTGTCGTGGAGCTTTAGGGAAGTTTAAAAAAAAAACCTCAGTTGACACGGACAGGAATCGAACCTGCAACCCTTTGATTTGGAATCAAAAGCTCTGCCATTGAGCCACCGCATCTAACTTCTCAAACTATTCAAACCTGGATAATCATCTGAAAGTAGATTACTTTTTTTTTGAATTTTCAGGAGTTTTGTAGCCATTTGACGATTTATTCGTTCACTTGTTTGAAAAAGAAAGAATGTTTTCTAATTCAAACACTCTAAAGAGGTGAAAATTGTATAAATCGCTGATTATGGCTGGTTGGAGTCGGAATAGAGTAAAGTTGACAGGTTGGGACAGGCAACCGATTTCGCCGCAATAATTTACAACGAAGTTTGGATGTTACGATATTCAGTCATGAAAGCGATCTTCTAGTAATATTGTAATTCCGCATGAGTCTTCAACAAATACTCGTTACCATCAACACGTGCATTGATTATGCCCGTCGGTTTATTTCTCAAGCTACAGAACGTGTAACAAACACACATCCCAAGAGTTTCATAATGAAACAGAATTCTGCTACCTTCCGATCGATACTACTTGTAGCAGCTTCATGTTTAATGCAACCCAAACATCATTGTGTCGGACTGAAACTGACCTAAATCTATCTAACACGATCAAAGAAAAAAAAGATACATAACTCAGAGTTAGTAATAAAACCTTTCAAGATCTAAAAAGAATACAAAAAAATATTACGGAAGAAGAGGCTTAAGTTCTGAGCCTGCAGTTTTAACTGGTCGTACCCATTACCTTCCCAGCCTGACCTTCTCGACTGCCCGATTAGGCAAGTTTCAAACGTCTCGTAAGTGACCACATGGAACCCCCCACACAACGCATGCAACTTCAAAAACAAGATTGTCTCCAGTTTGCCCGTAGAATTGTTCTTAGGTTAGGATACCATCACCTTTTGAAGTTTCCACTTAGGGCCAATTGTTTGGTCGTGCATAGCGAATATTGGAGAATGATCCATCACGTGCATCGCTTGCTTCAATTAATGTCGGCGAATACAGCACCAAATCTACTAATAGTGTGGAGAAAATGTGTTTATAGGTAAGATTAATTTTCTGAGATTAATTTAAGATCAAAATCATTAGGGAATGACCTAAAACGCACCAATATCACCCATCTCCTCATTCCATTACATTAAGTTGCCGGATGTCCTGCAGAACATTCGGTGGATCATTTTAACGACACCACGTAAGCAGAAGTCAAAGAGTACTTCTCACAGCTACATATCCGAGAAAGTTTTTTTCAGTAAGAGCTTTTGCAATTGAAAGTCGAAAACAAGCTTAATTTTCGTCTTGTCCATTCCTCTTTTTTTGGGCATTTTCTCACCACATAGCAAGCATGTCTTATAGAGGACCCAACCAGTTCAACAACCAGTTCAATCTGCCCATGGGGTCGCCAATGGGTGTTCCTCAGCCCAGCAAAATCGGACCCGTATCGACTCAGCTGTCGAGTCTTGAGAAGTTTGAGGCCATCTCGAAGAAAATTGAAAATATCTTGGATGACTACTTCAGTCCCGTTAAGCCATATGTTCCAGGTATCGGACGTTTGTTCATCGTCGCTACCTTCTACGAAGACGCCATGAGAATTTTCTCGCAATGGTCTGAGCAGGTTTACTACTTACATGTCTACAGAAGATATTGGAAGTGGCTTACAGTGTTGTTCTTGGTAGTCAACATCGTCACCATGTTCACTGCTTCGACCCTCTTGGTATTGAGAAAGCACCTGACCTTTTCCACCGTGGCCTTGTGTCTGGTTGTTGTTTTTCAGGGCATTTTCTATGGGTTGATCTTTGATAGCCAGTTTCTCTTGAGAAACTTGTCTGTGGTGGGAGGCTTGATTTTGGCCTTCTCTGACTCCCTTGTCAGAGACAAGAGAGCTTTGCCTGGCTTACCTATGATTGGTAACCAAGATAACAAGAAATACTTTTTGTTGGCCGGCAGATTGTTGTTGATTTTCTTATTTTTGGGATTTGTTTTCTCTGCCAACTGGTCGTTCGTACGTGTCATTGTCATTCTTGTGGGTCTCTCGGCATGCACTTCTATTGTGGTGGGTTACAAGACCAAGGTTGCTGCTGCAGTGTTGACTCTTTTGTTGTTCAGCTACAACATGGCTGTCAACCAATTCTGGAAGTACCTGTCCTATAATGCCAACAGAGACTTCTTGAAGTATGAGTTTTTCCAGACTTTGTCGATTGTGGGAGGACTCTTGATTATTGTCAATGCTGGAGCCGGAGAATTGTCTATTGACGAGAAGAAGAAGATTTACTAGAGGAATAAAAGTTACTCAACACTGTTAGAATAGCGGCATCTGAATCTTATCAATTGAGGGCATTTTTTTGTAGATTCTTTTAGACAGTTGCAACTAGGACCACATTTCACTATGTTTCTACTATTCCTTTCATTTATGTACTCGCCATTTATTTTTTATCAAGTTCACATTTTCTCCAGGTTTTCCCTTCCACTGTCCTACCTTACGTCATTCAATTTTCCACGACACCATTTAGTATAGTTCCACTTAATATTCATAAATTCAATATTCAAGATTATTCCGATCTCTTCCTGTTTATTCTCTTCATTGCCTCTCTTCCCATCCTTCTCTACTTTTTTCTCACTTCCTCTACCTCTTCCGTCTTCCCTCTTCCTCTTTGGCTCTCTACATATAAGACAGTGCGAGAGCCAACTACAATTACACATTACTAACCATGGCAGAAGAAAAATGCCCCGTGGACCACACCAAACGTGGCGAGTGGATGCAAAAAATGTCGGGCTCGCCTCCTGTAGACGATCAGCCTAAATGTCCCGTGGACCATTCGGCCCGGTCTCAGTGGCTCGGTAGCGTTTCTGTCACAGCCAAAACTTCATCTGAGGCTGTTGAAGTGGCCCAGGGTGCTGAAACCAGTGTTGGTGCTGTGTCCGATACTCAGGATACTGGCTGTGATTCGTCCAAAATCTCTGATGCTTCGCAAATTGCCTCAGATCTGTCGTTACCCACGGAAAGAGAAATCAGTTCCATCCCACGGACAGATGCTCCGTCCAACTGGATATATCCGTCACAGAAACAGTTCTATGATGCCATGAAAAGAAAGAAGTGGAACCCAGAGGCTCAGGACATGCTGACGGTAGTTCCCATCCACAACCACGTCAATGAGCTTGCGTGGAAAAACATCTTGAACTGGGAGCGCACCCATGTGGAAGAGAGCAACCAAAAGTGCGGAGGTATTTCATTGACCAGTTTCAAAGGAGATCTGAAGAAGTTGACACCCCGCGCGTGGTTCAAGTGGGCTGTTTTGGGGTTGGACAAGCCGTTTGACAGACATGACTGGGTGATCAGCAGATGTGGCTTGGAGGTGCCATATGTGATTGATTTCTACAGCGCAGGGGCCAGTGGTGTTATTGTAGATGTGAGACCAAAATTGAATTCTTGGGAGGGGTTGAAGTTGAGAGTGGGCCGGGCCTTGGGCTGGGCATGAACATGTATATATTGGGACCATAGCATTGATAAATGAATTTTTTAAATAGCTGTAGCTTTTCAAGTGACCACTACTCTTTCGCTACATGTTCTTCTAATTTATTCTTACTTTCTTTTTTAGTCTTATCTTGTTGATTGCCACTATGTAGTTGCCATTAGCCGTATATACAAATTTCTTACTGTCTGCCCATGAAGGAGCCAGACTGACCCAACTTTTGCATGTTCTCGCCAACCTGGACGTTGGTCTCGAAGTACTTAGACACACATCTGTCCAAGCACAAAGCTTCTTGCTTGGTCACATCACCTTCGGCGTAAGAACGGTTGATACACTTGGCATGGCACTGCTCAACGAGAGAGTTGAACATTCCAGTAACCATGTCCAATTCAGCCTCTGCGGCCTGGATTTTCTGTTGCGAAGTAACTTGAGGGGCGCCACCGAGTCCGAACATTGTGTTTTCTCTTTGCTGTAGCCTTGACTATAAGGTTGCCATTTTTCAAAAATTTTCCTGCGATTTCCATGGTGCACGGGTGCGGTCCTAGATCCACTCAGATACCTAACCAATCCATTCTTCTTTTTCCACTTATAGAGTGGGGAAAGTCAAGTGACAATGGCCACCTAATAATATGGAATCCGCTCCCAAACCCTTAGCAAGCTTTGGGTAGTCTTTGGCTTTTTCTGGCGAGAATTCTACCATACCGTGGCATATAGTTATCTGCTTCTCCACAATTGAGAATGCTCCTCCATATGTGCAAATCCTTGCATTTCTTAAGTAGTCGGTGCCCATCAACAAGTCCATGGCTTGAGGAGACACTCTTCCAGTGAGATCGTAGAAAAACCGACTGAATTTCCAAGTTTGAGACTGGAGATTCAACACTGGAACTCGCAATAAGTTCGAATTAGTACTGGACATCAGGAACCTCGAAATTCTAGAGACATCAAATCGGTCACTTTCATAAGGAATCTGTTCGTGATGGCGTAGAATCTCATTAGTAAATCCACCGACGAATGCAACGTATTCGAGTCCATCTTCCAGGAATAAAAGGGCTTGGTGATGACAGCATCTTAATTCCGCCTCCACAAGCTTAGGATTCTCGACCTGTCTCTCAAGCGTTAGTAACTCGGTATGTTCGTCCTCATAAGGATGCTTCGGAATCTCATAGTAGTCAAATGCATATGTCTGCGACATCAGCCACCGCCTTGTCTTGAAGCGGAACAAGTGCATGTCATTGCATACATTGTGCTGCTCGTCCACACCTCCATGAATCATCAAGGATTTCGTCTCGAAGAATGTATCTGCATTGTATGAGTGATGAGATTTGCCAGTTGATTTTTCACTGATCGATGCTGCTTCAGATATTAGCGATCGCGAAGAGTCGCTGTCGTGAAATTCCACTGGTTTGACGAAGTCGCAATGTGCACTGGTGGTGTCATTGTTGATTAATGTGTAGGCAAAATAACCTCTTGGAGAAGGCCACGAGCTCTTTTGTGAATGGGGCAATTCAAAGGTCAACGCTTCAGGATGGAAAATCACCTGTTCTGGATCATCAATTATGAGTTCGATTTTGATAAGTTCATTTGTTGCAACAAAGCTGAGATTCCCTGCGTGGTTCAAAACTGCTTTGAAACCTCCAAACTGATAAACTGAGACTGAAATTACTCCGGAACGCAAAGCTGAGTCGTCTAAATAAGAAGCTGCATAGCTAGCACTCTCTCCTGAGGCCATGGATTCTAATTCGGGAGCCACACTTTTATCCAGAATGGTGACAGCACTGGTAGCAATCACCTTCTTGGGTGTTGGAGTTGCTATTGCATTGCTGGAGGTTGTAGACTTCTCACTGTGGAAGGAGTCTGTGTCCGTCGACTCAGAGGCAAGACTGACGGAGTCTGTAACTGGCTTGTGTAGAGGCGACTTCAATGACAGCCGCAGAGGAGATGTAGACCTGCTAGTTTGCGAACTCAGCAGAGTCTGGCTTCTGTGCTTCTTAACGTGGTTTGAGTATGCGCTCCGGATTTGAGGTTGTCCGTTGTGACGTACGCCACTACGATGAAAGATCCTTGTAGATTTCTGAAGAAGTGACGAAACTTTCAGCGATGTTCCTGAATTAGACGAGGAAACTGTCGGAGAAAGTGGGGACCCACTCATTTTGGCACTTTCACTAAGCTTTGCTGACCGAGACGAGTTTGTTGTAGCAGTTCTTTGGGGAGAATTATCCGTAGTCACTCGCAATGTTGTCCTGCTGGATGTTGAAGACACCGAAGTCTGCATGGCTGGTGCTGAGTAAGGATCCGACTTCGGCTCCTTTCGCGTTTTCAAGACTTCATGCTTTACCTCTACATTTTGTTTCTCTTCTGCTTCTTCAGGCGACTCCTGAAATGCTGTAAATGGGGCAGTTTCACTAGAGTCTCCAACTGGCAGCGCAAAGTCTCTGTCCGGAGAAAGAGAACTATAAATGTTAGAGACCAAGCATGCACCCAAACGTTTAGTATAAGCCTGGTCCAGTTTAGACTTCAAATGGATCTTGGTTACTTTCATCTTGGTAGTGTCTAAAACGTAACCGTCCTCGTTGAGCTTGATGCTTTTCTTGACAATCCATCTCTTGATGTCTTCGGCGTACCTGACTGAGTCAACTTTTACTTCAAAACCTCCACAATAGAAGATATGATTTGATCCCACCACTGTACCTTTCAATTGACAAAGTTTGCCCACGTAAGCTTCACCAACGGTGCTGATATCGTAGGCTGTGACCGTTCCCCTGCTCGGATTAAACATGATGAACGAAGGGTTATTGCACATTACCGGAGACATCAAGATCTTTTTGTTAACATATGGAGGTAACTCGTCCTTTAATTCGACCGAAATCCGAGACAAGTCTGTAGATCTAGGAATTCCCAATTCACCCAAGTTCAAATGCGAATTTTCTAGCATTCCTCCAATCATATAGGTGATATTATTTACCTCCACATGCGACAGGTATATGTAGCCACTCATGCTAAGTGGGCTTTTGTGGCCCGGAAACGAGTAAGAGAATGAGGGAATATGGAAAAGACCTGAAAAAGGCGAAGCTTTGGAATCGTTTTTGAATTCACTAGCATATTTCGATGCTTTGATTGCCGAATGTGAGCTCGACAACGATGACAGCCGTGTGGCTAGGTTTTCAGGCTGAACCTTGTTCAACACCACTTTAGGTCCAAAAATCATCTCGGCCCTATTGCCGTTCTCGTAATCAGCATTGCTGGCTGTTGACTCAAACCTCTCGTACTCAATTACATTGTACAATCTTAGGGGCCCATGGATCCAGTTTTCCTGGTGCTTAGAGAAGAATTCCTGTTCTCTTGCAGAATGCTCCTGAAGTTTGTAGAATTCGTGGTAGCTGTTCTCATCATCTAGCGACGAGGGCACTTTGAGCGGTGAAATGGACAGAAAAGTCATCTTGCACTATAGAAGTGAAGACGGATATCCACAACCGGTATTTCTCCACGTTTGGAGGGTGATTGACGACTTGAACACAAGTGATAGAGTTTGGCCAGACAAACTCAATACAGAATCAAAAAAGGAAAGCTTGCGTGGACGCAAAAACAATCAACAGGAAAATTGGTGATCTGAGATGCCTGAATCGGTGAGATATTGCGGTAAGGTTGACGATTGGGACAGATTTTTCTTCGAGAAGTTTAGTGAATGGGTATAGATTGAACCAGAAGTGTAATGAGTGTTTGAGTAGTCTGCAGGCCACGATTGTCCGTTTTCGGTAAGTGAGATTGGGGGATAAATTGGTGAGAATAGGAGAGATTCGGAAAAATGATGCCTGGAAAAGGGAAAATGCGGCTCATGGTGAATTTTTGGCGGTCATTTCGATTTATTGGTTTCTTAGAAATATTCAAGATGCAATGGGGCATTTGGAATGCAATGTATATTTACCTCGAACATTTCGCAACCAAATTAGGAAACGTAAAATGAAGATAGAAGACTTGAAAACGAACTGGAATTACTTTACTTTCAATAGTAAAAGACTTGGATAGTCATGATACATAATGGAATATACTGATATCTTGAATAGGTCCTATTTGGAGGGGTTGGAGTAGTTCTAATTATGACGTTACGAGCCAATGTTCAGTCTAAAAAGTGGCAATAGATTCTCCTCTCGAATTAACACAGTCAAGACATGAAGCAACTGATTCTGGACGTCCTGGATCTGTTCTAGGATCAGAAACATGTCGAGCGTTTATATACTTCTGCCCAGTTCTTACTTAATACTTTATTGTCATTAATATCCTTCCCTATTAGTCTATAACCTAATCAATAAGCATGGACGCATCACTGGATTTCTCCGGCTCGTCAATCAAAGTTTCTGCCGGACGAGATTGGTGACTGTGCTTATCTGCACCAGGCAATCTGCTGTAGTATGTGTTCACAAATGGTAAAAGTCCCTTGTTGTAATTGCACACAACGACAATCTCCAAGACAATTGTGAACACCAAAAAAATCAACGTGATGATCGCAAATGAAACAAGCGACGTTCTTCCTGGAAAATATGATCCAGGATTTCCAATTGAGAGATTGTATGCGGAAGTGTACTTGGTGAACAAACGGATCGTCTTGAAGAGCACATACACGGCCCCTCCAACTAAGCACAACAAAGTGACCACGGAAAGCCAGAGATACTCTCTGGTGGCTGCGTAGTCACAGAAGAAAAGCACAAGAATCGTCAAGGGAAGAACACAGCACGTGAGAATGAACTCCACAGACAGTTTGTCTCCCACCATAATCACCAAGAACTGTACGGTGAAGCCCAAAAAGAAGAAAAGATCAAACACTAAAAGCGATCGATGGATCTGGAAGATAGTGTAGAGACGCTTGATTTCGAAACTTGCACCTATCTTCTTGAAACGGAACCATTTCACACTGCTCTTGAGAAACAACACGAGCACACCTTGAATAACCAATGTTACTCCCAACACGCAAATAGCCACTATGTTGGTGATGGAGACGGCGTGGGGCCAATTCGAGTGGCCCTTAATCACGCTGTCGTGAGAAATTTCCTTGTATTGGAGACCGGTGTACACCAACATACAGACGTAGAACACACAAAGCATCGATAGAAGCATCATGTTTTTCGTACGGAGACCAATAATGGTGATGACAATTTGATACACACTAGCAAAGATGAAAAGCGCCAAGTAGATGGAGATCTCCGAGTACTTCATGTCGGATTCAAAGTCATCTCTGTTGACGTTAATGGTGACATACATGTATGCTTCGATGCACATGACAATCACGGCTGACAAGATGGACACCGCCAAAAAGATGTGCAGCAACGATTTGTATTTGCGGGTGTCGTCGGTGGCGCTTTTGAGCTTGGGTGTATCGGTGAATGGAGACACTGGAGTGTGGTATTCAGGGTCCACCGATTGCTGAATGTTGTCAGCGTGATATTCGTCATCTGACGAAGAATAGTCGTACACCACTCGGCCAGGGCCGGCGTTGATAGCCAGAGATTCTCGTTCATGGACATGAGAGTATTGGTAGAAGTCCTCTTCCGATCCCATTGGGGTGGTGGACAGCGGAGGCACGAATTGTCTGGACATGAATGATTGTTCAAGGATTGTTTAAGGATTGTTCAAGGATGGAGTAGATTAATAGATCGATAGAAACAAATGCTTATCTGATCTGTTGAGTTGCTAGTTAGGATTGATTAAAGGGAATGGTATTCCTATGAATAGTTGGATTCGAACTAGAGTTCAATGATTAAGATGGAAACCTCTATTTATAAAAACTGGAATGGACACCTGTAATGACGGCCAAGTCGGCAGAGAAATGTCCTTTCATATATATTGAAGATTTGGCCGATTAATATAGGAATTCCCCGCGTATGTAGTCCAGCTTGTCATGTATAGTGGGACAGACGGCTGAGTGACGAACGACTAATGACTTTCGCCTAAAGTTGCAGGAAGTGCCGAGGCTTCGGGCCGGATGATTTAAAATAGATGAGGCTGTGAGACATGACTGGAGGCTTGCGTTAAGTGACTTAGAGGCTCAAACATTGTAAGACTGAATACGTTTATTTTTGGGTGAGAGGATGAACATTAGGTTTAGTGAGATTTAAAATGGAATTTATGGTACAAGTGAAACCTGAACTGTGGTGAGAACGCGAAAGGTGTAGTATTGGAGAATGTTGAATAATGGAACACGATACAATGATTTGCGTTTAACAATGACTTCTACTTCTGATCAGTCTATAAAACGGAATTACAGATACATTCCGTCAATTCCATTGTCACGATGGAATGGTGGCCTCCGTGCATTCAGTTAACCCCATGATCCTTTGATTGGATTCTCTCTGCCGTTAGAAATCGTAATCTTCAACTGGCTCCTCTTGCAACCCGAACGCCTCCTCGCTCAAATCCAACCATGTAACATTAGCAAACGCCGCATCTTTAGCACTTGCCCGCTTCAATTCACCAATCTTCGACTCTTCCACCAAAAGACAAATAGCATCGTAGCCTCCAGCTCCAGGCACTACACCTCCTAAGCATCCTGGAAGCTTTTCACACAGATCAAGCAATGAGGTTTGCTCCTTAGGCTCGATATCTGCACCGGAAGATGCAGTGAGTTTCTGGAGTCCCTTTCTAATTCTTCTCAATGCGTCCATCACTGGCTCCAAAGCTTCTTTGGACACTATACTACTCTGTAGACTAGTCAACGCACTCACGAAGCTTGCGTTGGCCAGGTCAAGTTCCGCATATACTTCTGCACTGTCAGGACTGGCTCGGCGCCATGCAAGGACCTTCGACACCAACTTCGGAGTCTCAGATCCTCCGTTCACATCTCCCATCAATAAGCGTATTCCTTGAGGAAGGGAGCACTGCGTGTGGTTGAAGTGCCAATCGGAGTCCACGATCCGCTTGATCTCAGCACAAAGTTCGGCACTCAGCTGTTTTCCAAGAACATCGTCAATGGTCTCGGGAGTAAACCGTCTGTAGATAATAGATCCGTAAACGGCTGCTGCAACGTCAAAACCCGATCCGATCTTGCCCTGTGCCTCGCAGTGTGCTATCTGGGCGATATTGTGGATGATTTGTCTGTTTTGATCTACTGGCTGCTTCGTAAAGTGACCTACCAATGCACCTGTAACCACAGAGACCAATCCAGCGGACAGACCCATGCCAGTTTTAGCAACCTGGTCGATTGGCTTGCTGTGGAAGAGAAATGTGCGACGGCCATTGCTTGAAGTCTTGGCCTGTGTCTTTTCTTGGGTATGGTACCCCGGGTCCGAGTACAAGGTGATGCTCAAGTTGAACTTTTCACTTGGTTGGAAGTAGTTGAGAACCGTCTTAATGGTGGCCTGCAAGAAGGGGTTTTTTCTTCCGTGTGTCTCGGAGACATTTGCAATGGTGCTATCGTGAATAACAAAGTCCCACTGTCCGTCAAACTGAGGCGACTGGACGGTAATGGAGGAGAATGGCCGAGTAGAGGATTCTTCAACGTGTGCATGCATTCTGCTGGAAAGGGCCGTGACGTAGGCGTTATACGCTGGATCTAGAACTAAATAACCGCCTGCGATGAGGGCTTTACCTGGGGCACTATATGCTTTGGCCATTCTGCAAATTTGTGTAGCTTCAAGCGAGAGTTTGTGAGATTATTGAATGAGAATCAGTGAGAATTAGTGGGGTGAGAATCTTGGGTGAGAATTGAGTAATGAGACCTGTAAGGGAAAAAAAAATAGATCATCCATATAAAGTAGACAGATTACAAATGCAATATTAAGTATTTGGAGAGTATTAAGGGGAGTGAAATTCATGATTGGAAAAGTACTCCAGCTTGTGTAAGTTAAGCTTATTCTCCTCTCATGGTGAGTATACTGTCCACAATAAGTCCAAAGTGAGTCAACGTTGTTTTCAGCGTAATTATCTCTAGCGGAAGTGAATTTGACTTCACTAAATAAAATTCAAACAAGCTTACTTTTGATAATTGCAAACTTGAAAAAGTCCAGTCCCTAGTTTTTGAAAAGTTTCCACTTCACCTACTCCACCCAAATATCCTGCCCAGAACATTCACTATCTGCTTCACCAATCTTTCTCCATGGAATCCCAATTGAAAGCGTCAAAAGTCATAGGCATCATCGGCCTCGGTGACATGGGTGCCATGTATGCCGAGAGGTTCTCCCGGGACGGATGGAAGGTCATAGGAAGCGACAGAGAAGACAAGTATGAGGAAACCAAGATCAAATTCAAAGATAGCCTTTTCCAGGTATTGCCTTCGGGCCACCACGTCTCACGTATGGCTGACTATATCATGTACAGTGTGGAGGCAGAAAACATTCGTAAGATTGTTTCCACTTACGGTCCCTCTACGAAGGTTGGCGCCATAGTTGGGGGCCAGACATCTTGTAAAGCGCCAGAAATTCAGGCCTTCGAAGACTTTGTGCCCTCAGATGTAGAGATCATCTCGTTGCATTCACTTCACGGACCAAAAGTTGATCCTACAGGCCAACCATTGGTGTTCATTCAACATAGGGCATCCGACGAAAGTGCTCAATTTGTCCAGACTTTGGTTTCATGCCTCAAGTCGAAGGTTGTGTCATTGTCGGCGACTGAACATGACAAGATCACCGCAGATACACAGGCAGTAACTCATGCGGCGTTTTTGTCCATGGGGCTGGCTTGGAAACTGAGTAACCAATACCCTTGGGAAACACCCAAGTGGATCGGAGGCATGGAGAATGCCAAAATCAACATCTCGCTCCGTATCTACGCCAACAAATGGCACGTCTACGCGGGCTTGGCAATCACTAACCCGTCTGCTCACGGCCAGGTGCTTCAGTATGCGGCGTCTGCCACGGAACTATTCACATTGATGATCCAAGGGAGAAAGCAGGAACTCAAGGATAGGTTGTATGCGGCTAAACAATTTGTCTTCTCTCATAATCCAGACCACGAGTCTCTTTTGCTTGACGACACTATCTTGGAGCAATTTTCCTTGAGTAAAGTACCTCCCGAAGGTAAACAACCTAACTCTCATTTGTCTCTTCTAGCCATTGTGGATAGTTGGCACAAATTGGGAATTATTCCTTACGACCACATGATTTGCTCCACGCCACTTTTCCGTATCTTTTTGGGTGTCACCGAGTATTTGTTTTGTTCGCCAGGATTGTTGGACGGATGTATAGACGTTGCAGTCAGCGATCCATCATTCCGCCATGACGATTTGGAATTCACATTTGCTGCCCGCAGATGGGCAGAAATAATTCAAAGGGGTGACTATGCGATGTACGAGTCTACGTTTGAAGATACGCAGAAGTTCTTCCTGCGCAAGTTTGCCGAAGCAAACGAGATCGGAAATGCCATGATCAAGACCATCTTGCAGAGGGTGAAGGAGCGTGGAGAAGAGTAAGAGTTGTGTGAATATAAAACGAGAGATGAGTGAGAGATGGAGATGAGTGAGAGCTGTACACGAGTAAATGCTATACAAAAACCGAATAGTGTTCGAAGAAACTGTCATAGATCTACATCAACATTATCAAATACAGAATACTGGTGTCAATTACAGTATGTGAATAGAATTACGTACATCTAATGCAAGCATAGCTCACAACTCCATTATGCGGATAAGACAAAAGAAGCCATCGTTGGTGAATGTGACCAATTCAATGCTGGGAATGATGGCTTGCCTCTATCAATAACTCCAAGTAGCACTACAACTGCTCGTCCTTGATCACATCCATGAGCCAATCCAAACCCTCAGTCAAACCTTCACCACGAATGGCGCTCGATGCGACTATACTCCAACTTCTGTCCTTCAAATCGGTTAGACTAAGAGCCTGGGAGACCTCGGCAGCAGTCATTGCTCCCGGCTGATCCTGCTTGTTGGCAAACACTAAGAGGGCGCTATCTAGCAACTCCTCCTCCTTCAACATCATATGGAGCTCTTTGCAAGCAATATCAATACGATCCTTGTCAGTGGAGTCAACCACGAAGATCACAGCAGCAGTGTTGGAGTAGTAGCATCGCCAGTACGGACGAATAGAAGTCTGGCCACCCAAGTCCCAGATGTTCAATGTCAAGTTTTTGTACTTCAACGTCTCCACGTTGAATCCGATAGTAGGCTTAGTAGTGACCACCTCACCCATCTGCAACCGGTACAAGATTGTGGTTTTACCGGCACCATCCAAGCCCAAAATGAGGATCCGGATTTCCTTCTGGACGCCCCAGAGCTTGGAGAATATGTTCATGAAACTGAATGCCTGGCCCATTTTTCCAGACGTTAGGATCTATGAAGCCAGAAAGATCTCTACTGTCAATTTGTTGCCATGATCGGGAAGCTTAGACGTCCCGAGATTTTGTGCACTGCACTACTCGCCTTCATATGACAGGTGGATGCGTGGGCTATTAGTTGGGGACGTGTTGATAAGGTAAGATATGAAGTAAGAAAATGAAGAAGGTTTTCAAAGAGATATCCTGGAAATAGGTTATAAATTAGAACTTTTTTTAGAAGCATCAGATTTTGTGTGTTGCCTTGATAAACTTGCTAGATAAGTAGTATGCGCACTTCAAAGCTAAAGTGACATATACAGAAGTAAGTAGAGGGAATCTTACCCAGAGAGCCCTTATTTCTGGCAATCCTTGATATGTTCAGATATTCCCGGAATATCTAGCAAAAGGCGTTAGGTCGACCTTTCAACTCAAGTTTGGAGATGTATGGAAGGTTCTGAAGGGTGCATTAGTAATGAAGTCATGACTTTTGGCGCCGTTATCTGTAACTCAACATTTTCCACCGAGATGTCTCCATCTCCTTGTGTTACTGGACCTTATTGAGCTCTATAAATAAGTGGGATCTAGCATGAGGGCCATGGGAAAGTATCCATAATAGTTCTAAGTTTTTGGTGATATCAATATTGGCTGAGTTCACAAAATTGTGGAGAGTTGTGATTTTTCAGCCATTTGAAGAATAAGAATGAAAAATAGAACAGAATGAAAAATAGAACAGAATGATAGAAAAATAAAACAAAAAAGTAAATAAATAAAGGAAACTTCACCAAGACAAAAAGTTTAATCGTCCAAAATTCTAATATCAATTGCCTGATTCATAGTCGAAAATTTATGTTGTTGAAAGTTCACTTGCATAATTAATTATATTTTCATTGTATCCTCACTTTCCGAAAACTAGAAATTCTATGGTCAAGTTCCTGATTACAGTTACAATAATGAAAAAAATGAAAGCTAAGTAGGAAATCAATCTAAATTAACCAACAAGAAATCTTGACAACAAAATATCCGGCAGTAAATTCTTAAACGTTAACATTCAAATCACCAGGTGCCATTGTAGTTGTAATGGCACCCATGACTAAACCTACTGGTGCACGGGTGCAGGTGCAAGGTATGAAGGACGGTCAGTCAGATAGAGGATCCTTACCACGACTACTATCAATGGAACCACGAGGAATTTTGAGGAATAAAGACGAGGCATCACCGCACGAGCACTCTGAGGGCGACCTCGATCGTCAAGAAGTGATCCGAAACACAAGGATTAATGCGCAATTGTCAGCAGATTCCACTAAGGGGGATAAGATCCGGGCCAAAATCGCTGAGGCCAGAGCCAAGGACGGCCTTGAACCTCTTCCCGAGCACTTGAAGTGGGATGAAATCAATCTTTACAAGACCGAGCAGGAAAAGGCCGCCACCATGAAGATCGACGAACCTAAAACTCCATATGAGGGTGGTTTCAACCCAGAGGGCGAATACTACAGGGACGATGACGAAGAGAATACACCCATTCCAGACTTTTCGTTGGGTGAGGGCCAGTTCGACTCCGAAGCTCCCGTAAGTCAATCACTCAATGGCGGAGCTGTGTACAAAGAAGAAGGTGTAGAGGAGGAAGAACCAGAAGAAGAGGAAGAGAAGCCATTGCTGGCGGAGGAGAAGCACAAACGATTTGAAGAGATGCGTAAAGCACACTACCATTTGGCAGCTACGCCTCTCAAGCACAAGATCGAAGTTTCTGACGACGAAGTATAGAAACAAAGATGTCAAGGTTTGAGCCACACTAGTCCAGGCGACTACAAAAAACATGTACTTCCAGTCGTTATCTGTCATATCAAGTTACTGGTTATAGTTGCTGTCACTCTATGACCTCCGTCACTCCACGTTGTATTTAGTTATAAACAATTTAAGCGAAGTACTTGATGAGGCCAGCACTGAGCGAGCCAGAAGCAGTCAACTCAGCAGCAGCCTCGGTGTAAGCAGCCTTGACGGAAGCAGCATCTCCACCAACCTTGGAAGCAAGAGAAGACAACTGAAGGTCGTCCAACTTCTCAAGCAACAACTCAATGTCACCATCAATGGCAGCAGCCTGAGCCTCCTCTCCGAAGTAGTCCTTGTCCTTAGCACCACCTCTGACAGCTCTCTTGTTCTTCTTCTTGGCAGACTTGGCAGCCTCCTTGGCCTTCTTGCTGTCCACCTTAGCCTTAGCTGCTTCCTCCTCAGCAGCCTTCTTAGCAGCCTCTTCCTCGGCCTTCTTCTTAGCAGCCTCCTCAGCAGCAGCTCTAGAACCAGCCTCTCTCTCCCACTTTTGTCTCTCCTTCTCCTTCTTAGCAGCATCCTTGAACTGCTTGATTCTTGGGTCCTCAGCCTGAGCACGAGAAACAAGCTCAATGAGTCTCTTGTTGTCCTCGACCTTCAACTTCTTTCTGTTGGAGATGTTCTTACGCTCGATGTAACGCTTGTGGTCTCTGTTGGCAGTGTCATCTGGAACATCCTCGTCCTTGAACTCGAAAGTCTTCCAGGAGTCGAAACTTCCCCAGAATCTGTAGAAAGCATCAACCTCCTCCTTGGTGGACTCGGAAGTACCCAAAGAAGGCACAGGCTGCTTCTTGGAGAAGTGAGCCTCGGAGTCGAAAACAGGTCCCCAAGCCTCGAAGAAGTCATACTGAGTCTTTGGAGCTGGAGCAGCAACAACAGCATTCTCATCCACAGAGTCGAACTGCTGTCTCTTGTTGTTGTCCAACATCACCTCGAATGCCTTCTGAATGATCTTGAAGAAACCATCCTGGTCCAAACCTCCAGCAGCAGACTTCTTGTCTGGGTGATGCTTCAACACCTGCTTTCTGTGGGCTCTTCTGATCTGATCCTCAGTAGCTCTCCATCTCAAGTGGGACAATCCCAACACGGCATACAAGTCGGCAGTCTTCCACTCTCTTGGATCGTGGGAAAGCAATTCAGCGTCCTGCTCCTCATCTCCCAAGTCCTCGTCCTCGTTGGTCTCGATCTGCTTGACGTTTCTCTCGGCCTCCAACTTCTCGAACTCAGACCAGGTGTGGCCTCTCAAGGTTCTGGTGGCATGAGCCAAGAAGTATCTGCCGACAGGCTCGATAGGACGACGAGCTGGGGCGGAGTACGACTTGACGGACTCAAAAGCAGGGGTCTTTGGGCCTTGCAAGGCTGGCAATACGATAGACATGGTTAATGAAAAAGTGGTGAAGAAAAATTTCGCAATGAGATAGATGTAGGAGTAGATGAAGGTGTTAGTTGAAATGGGAATGGGAGTGGGAAGGATGCGATTATAAGATGAGAAATGATCAAGTCCAATAATTAGAGCGTAAATCTAATAAATTAGAGGTTCTGGCTGTGAAAATTTAATTGGTAGGTCGAGATGTGATTTTTTTGAGTGATGTCAATATTTCGCAGCCTATAGTAATCTGGTCGAAGGAAACGTTGAATAGAAAGAGAGAAAAATGAAAGAAAAAAAAAAGAAAGGATATATTTGGAGACCATTGAATTCATAATGTGCTTTCAGAAAAGGCTAGCCTTTGGTACGAGTGTTAAGATGTGGGTTTTGTCACTTACTGAGTGCTTAGAGACTTTCACTTGGACTTCAACTGAGAGAAGACAGACATAGTTACAGAGAGTTTATGAACCATTTAGCAGAAGTTCAATTTACAACTCATAAACGAGCTTTCATCACAAATCAATACATTTGTCCTTCATTTCCAACTTGTCTGTGCTTTATATGTCAATAATCTCATATCCGCAACGAAATTCTTCCAGACTTCACTTCATCTCTTTCATCTCCTTCATCTCTTGATTTTTCCATCTCATTTCTCAAGTCTTCTCTAATTTCCAGTCCTCTCTTCCATCCCTCTATTCATCGCTACAGTCCCTCCTAATTCATTAACCTTTATATCTATCTACTCTTGCACTGCTGCCATGTCCAACACCTCAACAGAGCCCTCTCCCTTCTTGAACTTTGCATCTTCGCCCTGCAAAATATCAACAATGGTCTTATAATTTGAAGGATCTATGATAGCAACCGCCTCAAACAATTTGGCACCTCCATTCTCGCTCTCGAGCTTATCAAGAATAGGCACCAAATGCTCCCTATACGACTCCTCCACACGAGCCAAAACAGTTATCTTCACCTTCATCTGTGCTCTGGCAATTGGAATCACCTGCTTAGCAATCAAAAGCTTAATGGCCTCAAGGGCTTGAGTCTTTGCGGGCTTGTTGGGGTTCAAGTGGAACTTTAACTGTGCCAATGCCTTCTGAAGCATACTGGGAGGGTATCTCTTCTTAGACCGTGGGTTGATGCATTTGGTTGAGATCAAATTGAGGAATTCATTTTGCTTCTGGGCCAAGTTGGCACTTCTCTCCTTTTCATTAAGCTGGATCTCTCCCTTCTCTAATATTTCTTTGATGATCTCGTCGTGGTTGGTGGTGCCAAAGGCCTTCAATAAATCCTCATTATTGGCCACTTGGCCCTTGGAAACATTCATGAAAACCTGTGGAATTTGGAGAACCTCATCGATATCTTTCTCCACCCTCAGTCTCCAGTCCTGGACTTTATTCTGGTAGCAAGCGATTTCGAATCGTTTTTTCTCCTTCTTCATTCGTACTAGAGACACATTCGTGAGTCTAATTTGGCCCGAAGGCTGATTAATGATGGCCATTGTGTGATGGATGTGAAATTTCTATATGTGAAGTACTATGTAGAATTGGTGAGATTTTAATGAGTAATGAGTAGTGAGATTCTATAGTGAGATTGGCGAGGAACTTTACTATACATTTGACGAGAAAACTAAAACCATAAAACATTAATAAACTATAAATCAAACTTATTTAAACAAAACTTTGAACGTGGCAATCTCAAATCCACGTAAGGAAATTTTAACAGAGTCGTCCAGCAACTCAATCTCCTCTTCAATTTGCTCCAAGGCATTGGTCCTAAAGACCTTATCTACCTTCAATCCGCTGAACTTGATCTCTCCTCTGGACAGTCCTCCCAAGGACTCGTAAACTCGAAGAACAGCGGACTTCTGGCCCTTGTTTTGGACAGGGATATTCTTGTAGATGTTGACATCCTCGTCGTCTTCACCTCTCTTTACGTTCGACAAAATCAACGAGTTGTCTCCTGTCAAAGTGATGGAGTCCACCAAGGAACGTACAGCCTTGCTAGATCCCACAGTCTGCAAAAGCCTATAGTTGAAGTTGTGGGCCAACTTGACTGTGTTTGGTCCCAACGTGCCACTGTGAGGATACAAAGCATACTCAAAGTCATGAGTGCCCATGTCAGCTTGGTCATCTGGTGCCTTAGGTGCACGGAGCAACGACAAACGCAATAAGTTTCCGTGGATTGAGGCTCCATATTTGCAATTGTTGAACACAGACACACCGTAGTTGTACTCTGACAAGTCCATGAATTTATGGTGGGCAACTTCAAACTTGGCCACATCCCATGTGGTATTCCAGTGAGTTGGTCTCTGGGTGATACCGAACTGAGTTTCGTACAGCGCTGATGGAGGAGTAGTGATGGTAGTTGGGAACTGGACCTTCAAGAATTTGGCATTTTCGTGCCAGTCAACGTGACATGAAAACTTTACGTAGTTATTTTGGGTGATGCTCGAGTCAGTAGTGATACCTGCAAGCGAAATGGTGGTCAGAATACTTGACAGTGAAGAAATATCGTGCTTCACAACCAACTTTGACTCTAATGGATTGCTTGTAACAGAAATCACCTCTCCACCTTCGAGGTACTTGTATTTCTGGAAAGAGTAGAGCTCTGTGTCCCATGCGTCGTTGCCATTTGGAGTATCCACAAAAACAACGTACTGGTTACCTCCACCTGTTGATTGTTTGGTGACGGTAGTGTCAATGATCTCACGTCCAGTGGTCAAATCAACCAACGAAGTAATAATACCACTGGATGTGATCTTTGCCTTGAGAAGGTCATTAGACAAGACGTAGGTGTCATCTTTGACTTTCTCAATCTTCGCTGGGTACTTGAGATCACCCTTGCGCACAAAGTTGTTGGTCTCAGTGTTGAAACCAAACGATGTGACATCTCCAGAGACGGACCGCACAACATTGGAGTCCAAGCTCATTGCCTCAACCTCACTCGTAGGAACATCGAGCAACTCAATTCTGTGCCATGGCAAGGTGTTGACTCCTGCCACTGCCTTCTCCTTCTTTCCATCAATCTCTTTCAATGCCTCATCAATCAACTTATCCAAGGTCTTCATCACATGAAGCAACATGGGCTTTGCCTCCTCGTAATACACCATACCGATAGAAGAGCCAGGTAAAACATCGTGAAATTGACAAAGAGCAATGTTTTCCCAAAGATCGTGGATTTCCTTGGTAGGGTACTTGTAGGAGGTGGTCACAGAAAGAAGGGTTGCAAGTAGTTCCAAGTCATGCATTTTCACCTCGGAGAATCTCATCCACTTCTTAATGTCGGCTTGAGTAGTGTAAGTACCTCTGTGAAACTCCAAGTACAATTCACCAGTCCAAGTAGGCAACGATTTTCCGTTGTCAGAACGCTCCAAAATGTCATCGTAGAACTCCTCAACGGTGTTGCCCACATGAACGGAGGGAATGGCCCCAACGGTGTTTGCCATACCTCTGCATCTTCTCAACTTTTCCAACATATCCTCAGTAGGGCCTCCTCCTCCGTCTCCGTAGCCATATACCAAGAGACCAGTAGGTACATCTCTCAAATTCTTGTGCTGATTCTGAGATCTCACCACATCACCAAAATTGGCCATGGCAGTGTAAGTATCATTTGGAGGCATGTGAACCAACACCTGCGAGCCATCAATAGCCTTCCAATTGAAGGTGGAAAGCGGCACTCTGTTGATGTTGTTCCAGGAAAGTTTCTGAGTCAAGAACTTTTCAATTCCTACAACCTGACAGATTTGGGGGATCTGAGAAGAGTACCCAAATGTATCCGGCAACCAGAAGATGGTGGCTGCAGCACCAAACTCGTCAAGAAGAAATCTCTGACCCAAGAGAAATTGTCTGATAAGAGACTCTCCGCCTGGCAAGTTAGTATCGTTCTCGACCCACGTACCACCAATTGGCAAGAACTGGTTCGTGGTGAACTTCTCCTTAATCTTGGCTAAAATTTCAGGATGATCTTCCTTCAACCACTTGAATTGTTGCATTTGTGAGGCAACAAACACATATTCAGGGTATTCATCTGTGATTTTCAACTGGGTGGTCCACGAACGAACGATTTTTCTTCTAGTTTCTGCAAACGGCCAGAGCCACGCTGTATCAATATGACAGTTTCCAATGCTGTAGACATCGATGATGTTCAACGGATTCTTGTGAAACACGGCATCGGAATCGAAGTCGTCACCCAAATACTTTTTAGCAAGTTTTCTACATTCCAAGATCGAGTCACGGTCATTGGGATCAAAAGTATCCATGATAGTTGTGGCAAGGGACGCGGCTTGGTACTTCTGGGCCCCTCCACCCAACTCTCTGGCTGCATCACTAATGATCAAGAAATCAAAGTACAATTTGTGAGCTTCAAGGTCACGCAAAATCAAATCACAGCGGTCCAAGCGGAAGTAACGGTTTGGGTCCGGGTGACCGCCAGAGCCATTTCCAAAAATACTGTTGCAGGCAATTTCCAAGTAAAAGAGCTGCTTTCCTCCCTTTCTGAACTTCTTGGGAATTCTGAAAACCGTGCGGTCCCCGCCAGTAAATGCCTGCAAAGGCATACCCTTCGAGTCATAAATCAAGCCCTCGTTACCACAATCCCAGTTGAAATGGATATCCTGGTCTAAAGCCAACCATTTTTCAGGAATGACCCATTCAATCTTAAACCAAAAAGATTTCCATGAGGGTCCAAACGAATCACCCTTACGCGCAGCCTTCCACTCAATTGCATCAAAATCAATATCCTTGAAAAGCGGACGGTCGGTTTTGCCATCTTTATCCGGCACTTTCCATACCTGAATGTCAATGGCATCACTATTGGAGTCTACACGATCTTTGTCATAGAATTTGGGCAAGTTGAAGTCTCTGTAGTGACCGTCATCGATGAATTGTCTAAGCCGATCAAGGAAAAGATTGTCGATCGGCTTAAACGTGGGCTGCAAGTTAATTCTGTCGTAGCCCATAGTTAAGAGAGTAGTGACCTGAAACCTGGGGTGGTGTGGGCCTTTTATCGTGGGGCAGTTATCTGCAGGGCGATAACATGGGGGGCTATGAGAGAGAAATTTAGTGGGGAGAATGAAAGAATTGTGACATGAAGGAATTGGGGGGAATGAAGCCGTTGGAGTACGTATTCTAAGGAAAAATATATAGACAGGATACCAAGAAACGTTTGAATGGATTCTTTACTATTTTGAAGATTTGCTTCATTCACTTTGAAAACTTCTCTCCTAATGTTCTATGGCTGGCTGCTAGGCTGTAACTTCCTGCAGAATGATAAGGGTGACTTCCACTCTTGACAACAGTACATTGAACCACATGAGGGCCAAATATGTAGAATAACGTAGGTTACTCCAAATTATGGGAGGCAATGGTATTCAAATTTGCAAATTGATGTAAATTAGTAAAGTGACTCTCAGTATTTTAAAGATCAACTTAGATCAATCAACAACATCCCACATGCTACAAGAAACAGGATCGTTAAACATCGCTACAAAATCGTATCTAATCGTTGATTATATCTATTGAATCTTGACCTCCTTATCCTCTTCAACATTCAACACCAGATCGTGCTTCTCAATGGCGTCAGTATGAATGGCAGGCAACAGCACCAAGAACCCCTTGATCAAGGAGAATTCATCCAAGATCTTGCCTCCAAGCTCGGAAATCTTGGACTTAATAGTCGACACATCGGCATCGGAGGCAGACTCTTTCAAGGTAACAATGTAGGATTTAGATTCGGTCATTTTGGGAAAAAACTGATGGAGGTTCGCCACCACATGATAAGAATGGATTTATATATCTAGCCCACGTGCAGGATAGCAACCGGTGTACCGGCCACAGTGGAGAGATAGTACTCCTATCGATTTAGGATATAAAAGTGATAACATTAGTGATTAGTCTGAAAAAGATAAGATAAGTGGATAAGGATAGGTGTCTGGACATAAAAGGTTTGAAAACAAAAAGGTAGTTGCCAAAAGTTGAGAATAAACTTCAATATTCAACACATCAAGTTCACACACTTGAGCCATCTGACAATCACAAGGATTTCCCACATTTTATACTCGACCACATTTATATTGTAATGGGCTACGTGACACCAATTGACCTGTTTCTTAATAAATTCAAACGGCCAGGATTTATTCTTTACATCGGACTTGTCGTCGGCGCCTTGGGCTGGACCCTTTGGGAGATGCGGTCGATTACGAAGAGATTAGAGGAGGAAGAGAGAAGAAGAAAAGGGCGTAAATAGCGATATAACAGAAAAAAAAGCTTCTTTCTTTAATTTAGAGAAATGCAGGTGAAGGCCAGTACATCCTACTCATTTGACCCCTCCCATAACCACCAACATCCACATATTGATAACCACTTTAATGGTAATAACCACTATAGGTTTTTGCTTCACTATTTATGACCACAGTTTCGCCATGGTGGAGCGGTCCGCGGGGATGTTTTTTTGAAGAGGAGGTACGGGTTTTCATTATGAAGGAAGAGTGGGCCCCGTAGATCATCCAATGAAATCCAAACTTCGGTGTCAATTGATTGCGACCATACTATCCATATCATTCAATCAGATGCTCCAATTGAAAATTCTTCTGTGAAAACCCGTACAACTCAACCAATCATCGTGTTACTTCTCTCCCCATTGCAGTTGTGGAATTCGAGTCCCGCAGTCCCGGATTATGGAGCAAACGTACTGCAGGCAAACCTTACCGGTGACTTAGTAATAATCGCTGGTCCAGCCGATTTTCCTACTTTTTTTCTTTCCATTCATCAATTCAATCATGGTTAAAGCTGGTACGTATTCTCTGAATAATTGCAGCCATATTTCAATTGCATCCCCTGCCACTCATGCAGGCACTTAGATCTGGTTGCAAATTGCACAAAGGGCACAAATTTGCTCTTGTTTGAGCAAATATCCCTCCTCAATATGGAATTCTTACTAACTCATCAGTTGCCGTCCTTAGAGGAGAAAAATCCGTCAGTGGTATCGTCCACTTTGAGCAGGCCTCCGAGTCTGACCCAACCACCATCTCTTGGGAGATCACTGGTAACGACGCCAATGCTTTGAGAGGTTTCCACATCCACACTTTTGGTGACAACACCAACGGTTGCACCTCTGCTGGTCCTCACTTCAACCCATTTAGCAAGGAGCACGGTGCCCCAGAAGATGACAACAGACACGTTGGTGACTTGGGTAACATTACCACCGACTCCGAGGGTGTCGCCAAGGGTTCCAAGCAGGACACTTTGGTGAAGTTGCTTGGTGCCGACTCCATCATTGGTAGATCCGTCGTTGTTCACGACGGTACTGATGACTTGGGTAAGGGTGGCCACCCAGACTCTTTGAAGACTGGTAACGCCGGTGGCAGACCAGCTTGTGGAGTCATTGGTTTGACCGATTAAGCCTGGAGCTTGTTGAGCTATGCGTTTATACGAATATGCCTGATTTGAAATGAAGTCTGTAGAGTAGAGCGATTTATGAGAGTAGAGCCGTTCAATTGAGTCAATTGCATCACAATTGCATCAATTCAGTTAGTTTAATTGATTTGATGTCATTGAATAACATCCCTCAACTGGTATCCACCGATCTGTGACCACTGCTTGTTAACATGATCGTACCGTTTGAATGAAATCTGCTTTGGTTTCTCGGATGCTCGTTGAGTCATATAGTTGCCAATTGAGTCCCAAAATCACGAATTGAATCCAATAAGTACCAATCTAGTCGTACAAATTCCAATTGAGTCAAGTACATCACTACAAAATCCACTGCAATCAACAATCATAATTTTATTCTTTTACTTTTACTTTGGAAGATACCAAACCTCCCCAGGACACGAAGACTTCGTCAAGGTATCGGTAGCCTTATATTGGCCATTCAATACATTTCCTCGGACTTCGTGATAGTACCAAATCTCTGAAATGGCACCCTGCGAACATCCAACATACACTTGTTTCCCATGATGTCCATAAGCCAAAGCATTTTGAACATCGCTTAAGTTGTACTTCTTTTCGGTGGTTGGAACAATGTCTGCTTGTTCCAAGAACTTGTAGGTGGGCAATCCGCTCCACACCTCAACAGCTTTCTGGTAATATGCTACGGCATTCTCAAATTTTGTATAGGGTCCAAGGAAACAGTTTGGCTGCAAAGTATTGAAACATGTTCCATGCTTATTGTACTCGTGTTGCCAAAGTGATTGAGACCCAGCAACGGTCCCATTGATCCAGTACTTGATCATCAAATCATACAAGTCTTGTCTTCCAAATTGATTGACAATTACATTTTCAAGATTGTCAGAATCGGTAAACTCCAATTCTGGTTTACAGAACTGGTCATAAGAACCGTCACAGCGGTCATTCCAAAGCCCGTGAATGGTGAATGTCTGGTTGACGTCACTGGAATATGAGCGTTCGGGTGTTCTCTTCAGAATTCCCTTGAGGTAGTCAGGATTGAAGTCCCAGAATTGAGTTTGCATGATAATTCCGTAATTTTCGTAACAGCATGAGCTGTTTGAGACAATTCCTGGAGCATTACAAGAAAAATACTTGTACTCATCGACTCCAAGACATGTCTGGACAGGATAATACACCTCTGCTAATCCGTTGCACTCGCCTCCGCCTCTGGTCGGATAAGCACTAGCCACAGACACAATTGCTACAAAAGCTGCAAGACCGAATGATACCATTGAGGCTTAGTGATTTTTAATTGATGTAAAATTGGCTTAGATGTCATTTTATACTACTGAAACCGATATGTGGTTAGAAGCACCGAAAGTGCCATGTACTTGCAAGGCACAATCATAAAAACGTGGGTAATCTAATCGGAAATCATTAAAAGATGATACGAATGCGAATTGAAGCCGTTGGTGGCCCGAGCATGCTGAACGTGTTTGAAGTGTCAACTAGACCAGAGGATGCTTTACTAATATTGTGTTTCATCTGGAAGATTGGGAACTTCACGCTATGTTCGTACTGTTTGTATTTGCTTTGATACGGGCTTTTCATTGTTCTTGATGGTTGATGTGGTTGACACAATTGACATGGTTGACATGGTTGACATAATTAATGGTTGACATAATTAATGGTTGACATAATTGAGTGGTGCCCGAATACCGGAATTATCTCGCTTTCCGATGAAACGTCGGAGAACAAAGCCCGAAATTCCCGGACACCACGTTGAAAGACACTTTTCAATCTTCAATCCCCTAATCATTGGAAACAACTATCCCGCCACATAATTTCCTGTCATCTTTGACAATGTCAATTTCGTAATTTGCACCCTTTTTTCTCACATGCATTACTAGACTCTCATCGATGTAGCACGGCTCACTGTTTCTATACTTGAAAGATCTTATTCTGACATCTGGAAAGATACTACTGAAGTAATGAAGCATTAGAGACGCTAGTAAAGGACCAGAGGCAATCACATTTGCCAAGTTCTCTTGGTGGCAGTACAGGACATCACTGTGAATCTTGTGTAAGTTGTACGAGAGTGAACTGAATCGCCTGACATCATTTAGAGAAAACAGAAATTGCTTTTCGGCCACCAATTCTTCTTCACTTGGGACAACTTGAGGATCTTTGTCGATCTGTCGTCTTTGATAGAGCTCATTGGTATAAACCAACGTCCGAAGCTCTCGTAACACTGTGCTTCCATTACTAGCAGCAAAGTCTCGGTCAATTGTAACGAAAACACTAGTGCCAACAGTTCGAACGGCCTTTACCTTTTCTATACATCGTATGAGATCATTGATTTGTGGCCCCTTTCCAAAATATTCCAAGTGGCCATTAACCCACATTCTACGCTGAAATAGAGGATTTCCCGATTCTGACATTGGAGCTTGGTAGTTGTCGTATCCATCACTTCCCAAGTTGGAGTTGGACTGATTATTAAAGATGAAGTGTGTACCATATAGGTTTTTGCTTTGCGAGGGGATAAGTCCTTGCAATAAGGTACTCAAATGATTGTGTTGGCCAATAGAATGTACATCATCCCACACCCAAGAACTATTTTTTATTTTCTTTGCCCATGCTGCTATCTGTTGCTTCATCAGGTGTTTTCATTACATTTATGTCAGTCGTGCATATGGAATGTTTAGACGAAGGGGTACGGGTGTTTAATTCTTGGTGTATGGATGTTCCTATGAGAATGTACGGGTTTTAAAAACTTGGTGTATGGGTGTTTCCTGTCAAAGGTGTACGGGTGTTCGGTTTTTGTGTTTGTGTTCATCAACCACAGATACCATCAAAGGAGTTGTAACCGAATTAAGCTCAAGTCAAAGTGAAAGGCTTTCAACTACAATTACCATCGAACTAATTCGGCCATGAATTTCCATCTACTGGCATTGCTTACTTGGTTTTGAATTCATCCAAATCTTGTCTTTAAGCCAACTGTCCCAATACTATACTACACGGGTTATCATCTTAATTCCAAAACCCAAAAGCTTTTATTCCTTTGACTTCTAGTTTCTCTTTCCAGTATAGTCAAAATGTTATCAAACCCTTCCAGCTAGTATATCACTTAGAGTATGTGCACACCAGAATGGCCTGTACAATCAGCGAGAACAAGTAAAAGAATCATCCTAGTCATGGCTACTGTCTCAGGAGCGTGTGTGATCTCGAAGGTATCGGGCCTCCTTCAGATTCGTGAGGATACCACACCTTCCAAACTAATATGGAAAGCGATTGATCAGGATAAGTCATTGGAGATTCCTTTGAACAATCTCGATAAGCTTCAAGTATCGAAAGAAACCTCCCCCAAGATGCTTCTTAAGTTGTACTATGCGGAGGGTGGAAATCCAGAAATCAAAGATATAAAACTCACGTTCAACAACAGACAAACCATGCATGCGGTCAAGGATATTCTTCAGACCATACTTGCAAGACAGAAGACTGTGATCAAAGACAGTCCAGCTCCAGTAAGCGATTCAGGAGCATCTGCCCTGGGAACTCCAGCACCGACAGGAACTAGTTCTAACGGCCAATCACCAGCACCAGGTGATCCATTTGACTTTTCGAGTCAAGAAAGTCTTTCAGATTCAGCATTAATGAAGAACCGTCAATTGCAACAGAAACTTTTGTTGGAGGACAAATCGCTTCGAAATATTTTCACACAATCTGTTATAAAGTTTAAACTTTCGCCAGCCATTTTCTGGTCGAGCAGAGTTAGTCAGTTGAGAACATATGCATTGACTATTTCTCAGCACCGTGGTCCATATAATGTGCTTTCAACGATTCGTCCGGTCGCCACCTCAGACAACCAGGTTAACGTGAATGTTACAAGAGACACCATCAACGAGATTTTCGAGACATATCCCGTGATCAAGAGAGCATTCAATGAGTTGGTTCCCGTAAAGCTTAACGAAGGAGAATTCTGGTCGAGATTCTTCAACTCCAAGCTCTTTAGACGACTTCGTGGAGATAAAATTAACATAGCAAACTCCCGTGGTGATGTGGTCATTGATAAGTACCTCTATGTGGACGCAGACTTTGTAGAAGAAGAAGAGAAGAGCAAGAATCTGACTGAAACACCTGGGGAAGGAAAAGCGGTCAAGAAGTTCATAGATTTGTTTGGAAATGAGGCCGATAACTCACAGAAACTTGGAATCTCACCGGATTTTACCATGAAGTTCTTGGATGAAGATGCAGCAAATACTGGATCGCAAGTTCGCAACGAGCCTCGATCTCACAAGAACGAGAACGAGATGATGATTCTCATGAAGAATATGAACAAGCTTTCCAGCAAAATGGTGACGATTAATTCTAGTGAAGCTTCTGAGCCAACAGGAGATAAAAAGATCTACGAGGAGCTCGAGGAAGAGTTGGATATTGCTGATTTGAATGAGGCCGAAAAGCTAAACTACATTGAATTGAACATTGATACTCAAGCTGCTCGTCATAGCATGCATTTGCAAAAAGAGTCTACTTTGCCCGAAGACTCTGCCAGCGATGAAGCAGTTGCCTCTTTTCTCTCAGGGAACGTTTTTTCCAGCGCCAGCCAGGTTGATCTCCGTGAAACCTATGCATCCAAGACTGACGATATATCCAAGGCTTACCACGATATTACCGCGCTAGTCAAGTATAATTTCCGGATTTTCAAGCTGGTGCATAATGTCAAGGATACAAACCAGTCTAGTGGCGAAAAGATATTGAGTGACGAGGAGGTTCAAGAACTCATTACGTTCAACATCACCATTATGGAGTTTCTCCTGCATTTCTGGAACCTCTTCTTGAATGGTGGAAATCCTGTTCAGTTGAAGAAACTTTTCACCAATATCCGTAATTGCGAAAGCACCCTCAACAACATGAAAAAGAAACTTACCGACCAGATCCTGGAACACCCGTTGGTGAAACTGAATGATAAGCTTCGCGATAAGTTGTTGAAGGACCTAGACAACTGTATTTTCCCCATGAGTTCTGGGCTCACGAAAGCCAGCAATGACTACATGACGGCAGTACGTGCTGCTAACCAATCAGAAACGAACGAAAACGGGAAAAGACCGCTTCCGGTCGAGAATCCATGATATTTTTACATGAGGTAGCTATAGGTGCGGTGGGGCTATTCTGCAGGACGCTATCACCTACCATCAGAGATGGCATCGCGAAAAGAAAAATGACCGACTCCCATCCATCTTCACCCAATATGAGTGAGCAGAAAACCAACGAGGTTTTGAAGAATATCAAAAATAAACAGCGCAGGCAGAAAGTGTTTGCTGCGCTTCAAGCAGAAAAATCCAAGGAGAGACACAAGGCTCGTGCAGCAAGAGCAAAGGAAGAACGTCTGAATCCACAGCTTAGAGAGGAACGTCTAGCAGCCAATGTACCGGAGACCATTGAATCGAAACGAGTTTTCGATGAAACCATTGCCGCAGAAGTGGAAGGAGAAGATGAGTTTTTTGAGTTGTTCAACCGCACCCAGAGAGACCCAAAGGTGCTCATCACCACCAATGTCAATGCCAAGAAGGCTGCGTACGAGTTTGCAGACATCTTGACGGAGTTTGTGCCCAACGTGACGTTTGTCAAGAGAAAGAGAGAATACAACATGAAGGAGATGGCCAAGTATTGTACCAACAGAGACTTTACTGATCTTATAGTGATCAATGAGGACAAGAAGAAGGTCAACGGCCTAACATTCATCCACTTGCCTGAGGGGCCTACGTTCTACTTTTCCGTGACATCGTTGGTGACTACTGACCGGATCCGTGGGCACGGAAGAGCCACGTCGCACATTCCTGAGCTTGTGCTCAACAACTTCAACACGAGGTTGGGTAAGACTGTGGGCAGGTTGTTCCAGGCAATTTTCCCTGCGCAGCCGGAGATTCAGGGTAGGCAGGTACTCACGCTCCACAACCAACGTGACTACATTTTTTTCAGAAGACATCGTTATGTATTTAAGAACGAAGAAAAGGTGGGGCTCCAAGAGTTGGGTCCACAGTTTACGTTGAAGTTGAGACGGTTGCAGAAGGGCATCAAGGATGAGATCGAATGGGAGCATCGTCCAGACATGGAGAGAGACAAGAGAAAGTTTTACCTTTGATAGCATTAATATACGGGCGAGAGAGACATCTGTACGAAGAGCGGAGAAGTTCTAGAAGAGAAACTCAAGGATTTGAGGAAGGAAAGACCTTTTCAATAAGAATCAAGTGAGTTTGGTGACTGAAGACCTCCCCTGACACTGAATATTTCGCTTCTAGCATTATTCCCTACGATATTTTTCTCTGGTTTTTTTTCTGCAACCTCAGCCTTGATAATCTCATATCTACATCCACGAGATATCCCTCACACGAAAAAGAAACAAAGGACCCCTCCTCTAATAATACGGAACCTTTCAATCATCGCCAACTTTCATTTTGAAATCACCATAGGAGCCTCAAATATTCTTTTTCCTCAACTATCCCCTTCACTAAACTCTATTCGGATCCTATTTAGTCCCGAAGCCATGCATGACATCCGTACACCACGATGATAAACTCCTGTCATATAACCCACGAGCCATATACACAACAAGGCTATTTCATCTCAGGCATTCAATCTATTCGGAGACTCCAGTAGGTTTTCCCGTGAAAGAAAAGTCTCCAATCTAATCGCCGTATATCGTGCGTTCTTCGGTTTCGAGATTCATTGTGCACCGCTAGCACCATTCTCATCAACAGTGTACTCAATTCCTAGTACCTTTTCATCAAAAAAACCTCATGACAATGGACACCAGCGGAGTTAACCAGATTCTCCAAGCTTTGGAGGTGGTTCACGAGCCGAGGTCGTCCAATCAGGCCCGAAGAGAGGCGCAGAGCTTTCTAGAACTGATCAAAATGTCGGAAGAATCTCCATATTGGGGGTTCCAATTGGCGTTGCCTGAAGCGTATGGAAAAAACTACATTGTTCGGCACTTTGGCTTGTCGTTGCTCCAGCATGCCATTACCAAGAAGTTTCAGACGTTTGACTGTGCTAAAACCTTAGCTGTACGAGACTGGATCATTAGCCTATCTGAAAAGATCGTGAATGATGACCCGCATTATCTCAAGGAGAAGCTTGCGTTTTTGTGGGCATCAATGGCGAAGAGAATATGGGGCAATTTCCTTGTGAAGGCTGCAGATGCACCTGACGTCGAAAAAACTGTGTCGAAAGAAGAGGCCAACGAGGGCTGGTCTTCCATGGACAGTGACTTGTGGAACTTGTGGAGTGCATCTACCCAGACTAGAGAGTTGTCGTTGGTTATCTTAAGAACTCTTTTTGAGGACATTTATTTGCTCGACGATCCATTGGCATCTAAAAGGACAACTATTCTAAATCAGCTTTCAGTGTTGATCACGACCCCAAAAAGTGTGCTAGAACAAATTTACGAGCCAAACCCAAACTTGGCCATTTGCAAGCACTTGAATGAGGGCTGGTTTGTGGTGTGGAGCAAGTATTTGCTTGAGTTGTTGTCCAATAATGAGTTTTCTTCGCCTGTGGTGGCTCAATTCGTTCCCAAGATCCTTGGAACCTTCAAAACGTGTCTCCACTGGATACAGCCGTCTGTTTTGCGTGAAGAAAACATCATGAATACGCTAGTCAACATTTTGACCATCCCTGATATGAAACTCAAAACTTTGGCCGTGGACTGCCTACACATTCTCTTCACGAGATCATACAGCGATGCTGAAGACTTTGATTTCTTCATCGGAAGCATTTACACAACTGAGGGCTTGACCAAACTTTCCCAATTTTTCCAGTCGCTCGAGATCGACCCAGATGACGTTGATGAACAGGCTTATGCTCTTCTCAAAAAGACGGTGGAGATGATTGTCTCTTTGAGCGAATATTTGAACATTCTGTTGCCTGTCAAAAGTCGAATAGATTGGAGTAAAGCGGATGTCGATCTTTACTTAAATCTTGTTTTAACCACTACCAACCACCCCAGTTTAATTATTTCAGGATTATCTTTACAGATGTGGGTGACTACGTTGAGATTCGATGAACTCAGCTCCAAAGAACCCATCCTTAACATCCTCATGGACTTGCTAGAAGTTTCTGCCAACAGAATCATCAACTACAGCACAATTGGCGAAGATAACGCATCCAAGAAGTTCTTGGAGTTGGACTTCGATTCAGCACTGGACTCCGCGTCATTTTTGTCAAACTATCGCAAATTCAATGAAGACATTGTCAGAATTACAATCTGCAAGAAACCTGAAGAAGGTCTCAAGTGGTTGGAAAGCAGACTTGAAAACTTTTTCAGTTCTCCCTTAGGTTTGGAATGCATCACTCAATCGAAGCTCGATGAGAAGTCTGACGTCTACAATTACGGTACCTCTCAGTTTAATATCATAGAAAACAGCATCAGAGGAGTATCGAGATGGCGCATCTGGTACAGTGGGGAAGACTTCGATACGAAAAACAACAGACTTAATGGCCTTGTGGAAGCTTTGGGTGAAAGACTATTGGCCATGCAGTTAGCTTCACCTTTGCTTATCCGTAAACAAGTGCAGACGATGGTCCAATTCGCTCCTTTGCTCAAAGATGTTAGCCCTTTAATGTTCAAAGTTTTGGAAAGAATCTTGACAACTGCGACATTCGAGTTTCCTCCAGACATTTCTGATGAGGAGAAGGAGCTTATTCGTGATTTAAGGACTAGTTGTGGAACAGAACTTAACAGATTGGCTTATATCATGCCAGAATCGCTCAAGAGAATATTTGGAGAGCTTGAAAATGTGATCTCAAATATTTTGTCTTCAAACAAAGTCAGCAATCATGAAAATGTCGCCTTCAAATCTTTTCTCTTGGTTATTGCATCACGATCTTCAATTGATGATAAAGAGGAGCTATTTGCAAAAATTGTCGATCCTGAATTGATTGCTTGGTCAGCCCCCGAGACCGAAAAGGGTTTGATGGATTTGCATTGGTTTATGGAACGCATGGGTATTGTCGAAATCGCCCAATATTTCCAGAAGAGAAACATCACAGCCTCTACAAATCTATTAGATGCCGAAATGGATGAAGAGGGTCGTTTATTGAAGAATTCATTGAAGGATCGCTGGTCATCTATCTTTCCAATTCGTGCCACCAGAATTTTCATTCAGTACAGTATTGAAAAGCTTAGCCATGATTCGCCAGAGTACTTGAATCTATTGAGATTGTGGAAGCCCAGAGTCAGACCAATCATTCCTCACGTTCTCCAACTTCTTGCTCAAATCCAGGCATATCATAATCCTGAAAACTGGCGGGACCTCCCAGACGAAGTCCAAACATTTTTGAGATACAGCCGAATGGAAAGATTCTGGCAACAAGGAGTTTCTATTCAAAGTAAGGAGACTTTCATCGAAGAAAGCGTCAAAGCGGCCCTCACGTTGAGAGACTTTGCTGACAGTGTTGGACATTTAGTCAGATATACCAGGGAATATGCATTTTTGACCATTGGCTCTCTCTCACAATTGGAGGATACCTTCTATGAAATCCCCAATATTGCTACTCAATTGTGGAACGCTTTGGCCGGCGATACCGTGGGAGTAACATTACACAGCTGGAAGCATATGATCAATAGCTGCTTGCGCAGTGTGGTAAAGAACTGTCCAATTAAATATGTCGATATATTCATGGCAGAGCTCTTGCCCAAAGCTTTGTACGATATCGATAAGCTCATTGTTGAGAGATGGGACAAAGTGTACCTTAAGGGCTTGCAATTACAAGGAAATGAAGATGATGATACCCTTAGCGAAGAGATGATGGAGGAGCATATGTTGCGTCAACTCACGGCCACTGTGGTCAGACTTTTGATGGATATAGTTCCTCAGTTTAACGCTAAGAATGTCACAGATACTCAATTCGCTTGCAAGCGCTTGGTGACAACCAATAAGGAAGTCATGGGAGCATTTTTGCAAATTTGCGCTCACATCATCAAATTGAAGGACACGAAATGCTCGTTCAACACTATTTTGGTCGCCAGAAACATTCTTCCAGGGATCGTGCTCAAAGATGACGATGTTGACAAGTACTTGTGCGAGACGTTCATGAAATCCTTATTGCTGGTGATGGTGGATGATTACTTTTCAGAGACGCACTCTGAGGCCGCCACAGCTCTTACCACTTTGTATTGTGCATTGAGATCCAAAAATGACTATCCAGCCCGGATTCTTATTTCCACGTTACCGAACATCACTTCGCAACATGTTAGTAATTTCGAAACACTTCTTGTTGGATCTAGGTCTTTGAGACACCAGCGGTCTGCACTCTTGGAGCTCATTCGAATCGCGAAATCGAATCAGAACGAGTCTTCTGAAGATGCCGAGCTTAAATACAGAAAGAAGCAACTTGAATCTGCGACGGCTAACAGAAAGAAGAAGGCTCTTGCCAATGACATTATGAATGATCCGTTCACTGAGAACGGAGCTTTATCCAACTTGTTTGGGGATGATTAGGGTGCGGAGGTGCCGATGATTACAACCTCTCTGTGTATATAAAGTATCTATTTAGGTGCTTCAAAGTAGAGTCTCACGATATCTCTCTTGAGTTGGCCCATGTTTCCTCCCACTGTATCAATATGCAAGTTGTCTGCTTTAGCTTCGGATGTTTTATCAATAAACTCTTTGATAGAGCCGCCGACTCCAAAGTAGTAGGACTTAGCTGCCACCAATGCAAGATAGTTGGGTGGGGTTGCCAATTGTAGCAAGACATCAATGAGAATTGGCACTGAGTCGAGAGAGTAGATCGTCTCCGATGTCAAGATCAACTCAGGTGAGAATGTGAATGCAATCTTACAGAATTCAGAGCCCCACAGACCAGAAATAAAGGATAGCAGCAAATTTTTACGGGCCAAGTGGTTCTCGAATTCTTTTAGCAAATCAGACGACAAGAAAACCTCATCGTTATTTAAGTGGATGTCTGATCCAGTCAATTGATGCAAAAAATCAGGTTCCAAAGTAGAAGCCCAATGGATGAGAAGGTTTGGAACAGTCACCAACCGGAGAACCTCATAGTTGAAGTCAGAAAGAACAAGACTTCGAGACGTGGCCAGATCTTGTTGGAGAAGCAACGTCAACAAGTAACATGATGGTAAAGAAGTTCCACAACCAATTTCAAGAAATTTCGAATGCAGTATAAGACTGCCCTGCTTCCAGAGCTTATCAATCTCATCCACCAAGTCATAAGAGCACTCCCACAGCTTGAAGCCCCCTCGTATACGTTAGTTCTGAGATCTACATCATCACTAGCATTTTCTGAGCCGACCAAGATCTTGTGGACGTCACTAGCCCTCTCAGAGTCTTCCTCCATCATAGCTTGATGCTTAATATCGAAAAGTTCTCTTCTGTAGACGATATTGCCACCTGGAGTAGTGAAGTTGTCAAAAGTGATTCGGACATCTTTTAAGGTGGAGAGAATGTCCAGTAGCGAGTGGAGTTTGGGCGGAAGAAGAGCCTCCACGGGCTTGGAGTTACTGGTGGATGCAGTAGCCACATTGGTCATACTCTCATCGTCGGAGATATCGTCTCCGGTGAAACCAAACGTGAAAGACATGGAAGGTTGGTTGGAGATGAGTAGGTGTGCAGATAGATGTGGAGATGATGAAGGAAGTAGGTTTGTAAGAAAGATCAACAAATATTGTTATCGATTGACATAAATTTATTTATTTTCCTTGATCCTTACATTTTATGATTTAGATAAAAAAATCAAAAGATAATCATGTTTTATTCCCTGCTTATCTTTGTTTCATGTTGTCCCCTGCTACTATCTTCTTTATGAGGCTACCGTGTCACGTGAACATCATATCCGGACGACAGGCTTTTTCGGTTCCTGTGTACGTACTGCACATAATTTACATACTTCCATTTTTCGTTGCTTGATGTAAACGGCTGACCACGTCAGTTTTAAATAAGGTTACAATTTCTTTTTCTTAATTTCCCCATCCATTACCACTCACATTATTCCCAATTTTCTCAACCTTTTACAAACACAAGTTCAATTTCTAATCCCCCACAATCCCCCACACTACCCCCGCTACATTTCAGCAACTATGATGGTGTACGGGTCTTTCGTCAGCAAATTTTTTTATTTTCCCCCTCCGCTCCGGGCTCCCATTACAGTTTTCTCTCAACTATGGTGCTCGGGATCAACTCCGAACCCCCACCTTTCATGCAGGACATAGTCCCATACAATTAGTTTTTTTGGACCGGCGCCGACCCAATTTCTTTACTACTTGCTCTTTTCACACCGCAACCAATAAATATCGCTCCCCCTTCTTTTTCTTGCACTCATATTCATCCCGTTGCCGCTGCAGTCCGTCTCCATCCCGCCGTTCTTGCTCCAATTCTTTGCCGACCATGGAAGATCCTGACCCGTTTGCTAAGTTCATGAAGCATCAAAAACAGCGAGCAAAGTCCATCTCAAATGCTGTTTTGGCCAACCTGCGGCTCAAGGGGAAGCACGTATCCTTCAACGATGATGGTGATGTTGTTTTCATTGCATCTTCGAATGATTCAAGTCCTCTTTCCAATACCTCTACTGATAGTGAGGGTGACGATATCGAATACTCTCCCAGAGAGGTCAGTCCCATGTCTCCGAATAAAAAACCTGTTGATGAAAGTAAGGGGGCCAAATCTCCTAAGTTTTTATCTGCTCACAACAATCTCCTGGAATTGAAGCGGTTCCGTTCGCATCCTCACCAGAGCACCTATATGGCTCAGGCTGCGCTGCTTGACACTAGGTATTTCAGTCCTCAGCATTCTAATCTTAACTTGCCGGAATTCAACAAGCGTCCACTCACCGACACACCTATTGTTTCAAGTGTGGCATCGCCAGTAACCCAAGAACAGCTGAGTGATTCAGAAACGGAAGAATGTGACGATTCCGCCGATAATGCGGCTCCAGGCATCAGACGCTCCAGTTCCAAGTCCAAGTCCAAGTCGCCTATTCACAAGACGAAGAACATCTCGCATCTCAGTTTAGTGGACTTGAATGCTGTTTCAGCTGCTGTAGTTTCTGCAAGAGCTGCTGACATCTCATCAGACGGAATCTCGCCAACAAACACCAGCGAGGGCACTATTGCTGTAGAACCTGAGCTGGACTCAGTCATTAAGGATGATGCTGGCGCTCCTACGAAGGCGATTCCCGATATTTTGAGAAAGCCTCTGAAAGCCCCTCAGAAGGCACCCTTGGAAGCTAAAGGGGACGAAGAAGCGCCTAAGCTTTCATACCCAACATTCACGGTTTCTCCATCATCAGAACCTTCGGATGTGGACACTCCTTCTCCTGGTAGTAGTACACCAAAAGCATCGAAGAGTCTTGATGCAGCAATTCTACGGCAAATCAAGAAGGATTTGTTGCCGGATGTTCCTGAGGATCTCCAGCTGCAATTCGAGAAGACTCCTTCCTTCGAGAAATTGAAAAACATGCTTCTACTGAAGCCTATTCCAAAGCCTCAAAAGGCATACACGCTCAACATCGCGGGTCAGACCTCGTCCAAAATCTCTCCGGATGGACGGATTGCATCGGTAGACGTTGGTTCCAAGATGGTCATTGTCATGGTTGGCTTGCCAGCCAGAGGTAAATCCTACATTACCAACAAGCTCACAAGGTATTTGAACTGGCTCCAGCATGACTGCAGAGTGTTCAACGTGGGAAACACGAGAAGAATGGACAAAACAAACGTGTTAGGTCCTGCTTCATCTCCTTTACCTGATACCAATACTCCACTGCCACACGCTGGCCGTTCCCCTGAAGTAAAGCCTTTGTCGCCCGCAGCCCATTCGGCAGACTTTTTTAACCCTAAGAACGCTAACTCTACAGAATTGCGTGAGAAATGGGCTATGGACACTTTGGATAATTTGCTCAATTGGGTCGTAGATGGCCCTGGATCTGTTGGCATTCTTGACGCTACAAACTCCACTAAGAAAAGAAGAATTAAGGTTCTCAAGAGAATTCAGGAAAGAACAAATGGAGAATTGAAGGTCTTATTTTTGGAAAGTATCTGCTCTGATCCTGCGATTCTTGATACAAATATCAGGTTGAAATTATCGGGACCTGATTACAAAGATATGGATCCGGAGGTTGCGTTGAAGGACTTTATTGGCCGTTTGCGCAATTATGAGTCCGCTTACGAGACCATCGACGAGTCGGAAGAGTCAATTCCCGGTTATCAATATGTGAAAATGATAGATGTGGGAAAGAAGGTTGTCAGTTACAACGTTCAAGGTTTTTTGGCTTCCCAAACCATTTACTTTCTTTTGAACTTCAACTTGTGTGAGCGCCAGATCTGGCTTACTCGCCATGGTGAGAGTATTGATAATTTGAGTGGTCGTATTGGTGGAGACAGTGCTTTGACTAAACGTGGACAACGTTTTGCCAAGACCTTGAGCAGATTCTTGAGCTATCAGAGACGTGTCTTCCGCAAGAAGCAACTTGAGAACTTCTCGTCAAGACTCGAATTGCATTACAACGAACTCACTGGCAAAGCATCGGGTACTGGATTGCAGGAAAGCCTGCTGCTTGCCCATATCCCTACCGAACCAAACTTCTGTGTTTGGACATCCATGTTACTTCGTGCCATCGAGACTGGAAATTACTTCAACGACCAAGAATATAACGTTAAAGCTATGAGAATGCTTAACGAATTGGGAGGAGGTAAGTACGATGGAATGACCTACGACGAGATTCGTAGAAAGCATCCTAAGGAGTTTGAAAGCAGAATTAAAAACAAACTTACCTACCGTTATCCTGGAGTTGGAGGTGAATCTTACCTTGATGTTTTGGTCAGATTGCGTCCAGTCATTAATGAGATTGAACGTACAACCGATCATTTACTTATTGTTTCACACAGAGTGGTGTTACGTGTGTTGTTGGCTTACTTCTTGAATTTGGATAAGTCTGCTATCGTCGAATTGGATGTTCCATTGCACACATTATACTGTCTCGAGCTGAAGCCATACGGTACCGAGTATGCAATGTATGAATATGACGAGACGTCTGACTGGTTCAAGAAAGTGGAACCAGAGCATCGCAAGAATGTCAAGGAGGTGGGAGTCAATTTCCGTGAAAGAAAATACTCAGTTATCCCTACAGCTCCACCTACTTCCAGTGGCAGTAAGAAGATTCGCCCAAGCATCGACGGAAGGTTGGGCAGCTTTTCAGTGCGCAAGAGTATCAGCACGAGTACGCAGATTCCTACAATTGACGAAATTTCTGGTGATAGTGGTCAACGTGTTGTGAATTCGTCAAGCTCTCGAAAGTTGGCAGACTTGAGTAAAATGAGAAAACCGTAAATTCATAACCATAGTGAGATTGGATAGCATCATAATCACAATGGTTTGTGGGACTTTAGCATCATGAAGAGGACAAATATTATATACTTGAATTGTTCCTTTGTTCACTGTAATAATCGCTTAAGATTGAAATGCTCACTTATTCCTATAAAAGATCACAAAGAAGTAGAACATAAAGTACTATTGAAATTATGAAATAAATAGAACGGGAACAGAAAACAAGATAGTGTGATTGGCAAGGATTTCGAGTTTATATCTAGGTGGCGATAACGTTAGTATTCGAAAACCTAATCACCACATTGATTTGAGGGTCCGTAATTGTCTTTGAAATGGGCTGTTTGAGAAGTTTTTCCGCTTTGAATCCTTCCCATTAGTGATTTGTTGTTAGATGAAATATGCTATGAAGATTAGAGCCCTCAATTTTTAGTTGAGGGAGAACTTTAAATTGAAATCCGTGAAGTATCAACCATCAGGAGCTTATTGTGTTTGAAACAACACCAACGAAATCAGTAAACGAGACAGAGTAGGGATAACTAAATTGGTTGTCTTCATTTCTATATTTTAAGGACGTATGAACCTAGAGGCAAGTTGATAGACAACAATAGCCAAGAAATGTGCGATTCTAACGTACCTATATCAGAGCATGTCGTTACTCTCTAGTGTAGTATAAGTCAAAAAACAATGTATTTCTATAAAAAAGACATTAAGGGAAAAGAGTAAAAAGTTAAAGAATACAAACCAAACTTTGAAACAACTGTCATTGACACTGTCATTGACTTTATCACCATCACATATCAGTCAACTCCATCTCCATGCACACACAGTTTAGTAACTCTACAATTGCCTTTTCAATTGAGGCATCTAAAGTCACCAAGACCTGAACGCCTTGTCGTAAATCATCGACGTTGCAAGTCATTGCTAACTTTGCATCACGAACATAAGTCTTGTGGAACTCTCCAAAAGTGCTGATGAAGTCAGTCTTTCCACATATCTTCTGAAGTGTCTGAGGGGAACACGTTGGATAAGATTTCAACAAGACATCAGAAAAGAACTTATCAAATTCCAGAATAACGGTCGAAATCGCAGCAATGCAAGCCTGACACTCAGCAGTATAGTAGTCGAGCGCCTTCCCCAACTCACTAGCTAAGTATTTGGCACCATTGCTGACTAGGTCAAGACTCTTTCTAACCTTCCCGAGATTATTTCTCTCATCAATAAGAGAAACCCGAACGTAGTCTAAGGAATATGAATCATTAACATGACGATATTTCTCCAACAAAACCTCATATCTGTTTGCTATTCCAAGAAACGAGTAGAGTGTCAGAGATACAAGTTTCACGGCCCATTCGCATTGACCCACATACTCATGGAGTCCGTAAATCTTCACTTCATTAACACCTACTGTAAGTTTCCAAAAAGTCAGTTGGGAGATGTCAATGAAATTTTCGACCTCTTCCCAGTATCTATCGTCAGCATTCTCAGGGCATCCCGTGATCTTTGTGGCCCCAACAAAGCGACGACAAAGCTCTTCAAACCAAGAGTCATCAGTTTCAAAGTTAACAAAATCTTCAGATGTTTCAGATGCTCCATCCCAATCATCTTGAGCTTCTGATATCAGAGGCTTGCTTCTTTTAAGACAACTTTTGAGAGGTTCACATTGGTACCATTCGGAGTCGGAACCTACCGCAAGTGCCAGTGGAGCTTCATCAGAGTAGAACTCCGCAACCTGATCAAAGTTGGAGAACGTGACAGTTGAATCACGTTGAAATCCCATGAAGTCGACGTCAGCGACCTGGTACTCCACATTTGTGGAGTGAAACATACGGAAGTCGGGAATGTTGTCAATAGCAGAAGCGATAAAGTCCAAGAACTCTTCAACCTCCTCCGTATTTTGATCCTCTTCGGGGTCAACTAAGCCTGTTGCATCGTTGAATTCTCCGCCTTCATCGTTCTCGTGTGCACCTCTTTCTGGTACAACCTCAACGACACGAGGTAAGTTTGCCTCCTTGATATCCTCAAGCCAAAGGAAGTAAGAAGTAAACTTGAGATTATCCCACGATTGAATTTCCCACAATACGTAAGGAGCATATTTGCCCGTATGTGGAATACTTTGGGAGACGGTTGAATTCACAAATTGCGAGCGACGGACCAGGAAAACGTTAGCCAGCAAAGCCTTTTCAACGGCAGTACCTTTCACATTAGACAGTTTAACTTGTAGGGAGAAAATGCAATCAAAACAACTTTGAGTACATACATTCTTAACCTGAGCAGGAGAGTAGGTTGGATGGTAGTTTTGCAAATATGGAAGCAATTTCAATAATCTCTTGAAGAATAATGAAGAAAACTGGAAAGGACAAGAAAGAGCTGCCATATCAGCAGCAGAGCAACCAACTTTAGGGACATTGACAGTATCACTTCTGGGGTAAGAAACAAAGAAGCGATGAGGGTTCATGGTACAATACAGCTCATTGGTTTCAGCAGCTTCAACACGATCAACATCATACGTTTCAGGAACTTCACTAGCAGGTTCAGTACACCCATAAGTGATCAATGGAATAGAAAACAACGATTGAAGATTATTCTTTGGAAACTCCACAGATACCACCGAAGTTTGACCTGTGGCATTGCTAACAACAAGGGAGATTACCAGGTGTCTATTGGAGGAGACGGCATCCTCAATAGGGAGATCGTACAAAGCTCTCATGGAATAAAAGACATCATGTGAGTAGTCAAACGGGGAAAAGGCTTCAGGGTCTTCAGGGAAGAATTCAAGGGCAGTAGTACAATCAGGGAAAGCAATAATAGGAGAGTGAGGAGCGGTAGAAGGGGATAAATTTGAGTCCGTCTTCCTGAACATGGTTAGAGTCGTTCCCAATTTCTTCTTCAATTTCTTTGCTTTGGCTGCAAGCCTTTTACTTGGTCTAAACTTCCTGAACCATGGAGACTTAACCTTAGTGGGCTTTGTTGCAGAGGTGGAGAGCACCTCAGTGTCCACTGCAACGGGATTTACCAGACTCTGTGGAGAAAACAAGTTTTTTCCACTCACTGGCTTGGGGACGTTCACGTTGGTTGGGGATTGTTTTCTTACAGAAACACAAACAGCAGCCGTGATACGGCGGAGAGTTCGAGAGAAGGAGACCATCGTTTAGATAATCTGAATTGTCGAATTGGTTTGTTCGAAGTTTTCAAAGATTTCAATCAAGTTCAGGCTATATCTGTAGATGTAGGCTGGACGAATGTGAGAAGGAAGCAGTAAAAGAAAATTGGAAATTGGGGAAATGCGTTTGTGACTTTAAAGTGCGAATGACCCCCATATTAAGAACAAGTATGGAGATCTTGAGAAGGGCCAGGAAACTGTTTTTTTTTTTTTTCAAGGCTCCCCTTCTTCTTTTTGAATAGAATAACGGAGACAGGACTCTGTCTCTTTTCAAGATTGGTTCAAGTGCTGTAGAAGTGCTATATCACTTTTCGCAGCCATTTCAAGGCACGAAATGGAAAAAATAATGTGTACAAACCATTGAATCAAGACCTTGTTTTTTTTTTGCCTTTCCTTTGATAGTACTTGAAGATTCGAAGCAATCTTATTGTAGAGATTTTAAGGCACTCCTCCAGGAAATGATAATATTTTGAATGAGAGTACTTGTATGGTATAATGTAATTGTAAGTGAAGATGTCATGACAATGGGCCAGCAATGAATTCGAGATGGTTTCCTTTTTTAAGGCTGTGTTTTGTATCTTTTTGATTTTACACGAAGACTTTGGGTTGTTCTTTATCATTGCCCTAGAGTCACCAAGGAATCCCTGGATTTGGACTTGGGATATACCAAATAATTACTGATCATCTATCATAATAAAGTGGGAAAATGGCTGGTTGCTGCTTAGAAGTCTGATTACGTTGTACTATTCCGCTATAATCATAAATGGAGCCTACAGAAGTGACAAATGACTAGGGAAAATTTGGGTTTTTCACAAGAATCATACCAGAGAGTATTTGCAACTCAATCTTTTTTACTCTTTTGTAGATTTTAACTCAAAACCTCTACCGGCTTTCTTAAAGAATGGAGAGTTTACAGTTCAATAAGTACGATTACGTCTAGGCAAGTCTTTGAGACACATGCCTTCATAGGTCCATATACTAGCAATGAAACGAGGGAGTTTTCAACGTGTCATGAAAGACGTTTCTAAAGGTTTAATATAAGTCCTTTTTTTCCTGAGTGCTGAGTATAAGTATTGAAGCTCACGTCGTCATATTTCAAGCCAGCCTTTTGTACAAATAACATCATTCATCAAAATTCATGCAACAGTCACCCAGATTCTGCGAAACTATGCAATGTAAAGCAGAAAGACACTTGACTATCGAAGAAAGAGTGAGGCAATTTCCAACCAACTTTTGTGAATCTCATACCTATTTGAAGTCATATTGTGAACAAATCATTTGAATCGTGACAGATGATAATTGGCAGATTCGCACGGATTGGTCCAATATTTCGAATTCGCAATCTCGCAACCATTTGAGCCACACAGGAAAGATTACTGAACGAGGCAGGACTATTTGCACTAAAATTGCTAAGACCACTACAGACAGTCATGGGACCTGTAGAGCAATGTAAGGATAATAAGTGGACAGGATCAAAGGTTGAGGAAGTTTTGAGAAAGTACTCAATGTTTTTCTTTGTTGACTGACGATTCTCAACGTTATCCACTATTTAGATTTTATTTTCTCACTATCAATAAGTAGTGATTGTATAATGCCTTCCAAAGGCTTTGAACATTCTCTAATCTTCTTGTTGATTTCGATCTTTTTTTTTCTCTGATTTTCTCTTTACACTTCTAATAATTTTCTTCGACTACATCTTCTGCCGACGACATTTTCCTCTAAATTCATTTGACTTCTTTACCTTACTTCTCTCTCTGTACACCTCACTGATTGCCTACACAAAAAAAAGCCGCATACAATAAACATTCCATCTCCAAATCTCCGAAATCATCAACCGTATCCAACATCTACCTAAATTCCTATCCTTCATTTCAAAGTTTACACTTATCTGCTTCAATAATTTATATCTCCTTGTATCGCTAAGCCGTATTAACAGAAGGCTTCAGACCCGTACATCCTGGAAAGATAAACCCATTATTGCCCTGTCTTGGACCAACAACATAACTTTCTCCACAAAGTACGCCGCTTACGCCAGTTTTTCAATTTTTTTTTTTATTATCACATATACATGTCCTTTTAGTGTGTGTTTTTCAACATAATTTCGAATGGCCATGTCTGAAAAGCCGTCCTCCACCAGGAACCTTCGGCAGTTATCCATCAGTATTCCATCAGGTCACAATGCACCCACAGGACTCGAAAAGGCCAGTGGTGAAGGTGAAAATGTTATTAAAAGTGACGCTACCGCTGCACCTGAAAATCCTCGTGTCGAGGAGTCGCTAGAAGAGAAACTACTCAAGCAAAAGCTTCAGGCGGCACTCCCCGGTGTGTCATCTGTAGTGTCGACTCCTGGCACTACGGGGACTCCCAACCCGCTTCTGGGCACGAACTCATCGGTGGTAAGTGTTGATCTGCCCAACACTGCCGGCCCCAACGTGATTAACAAGCAGCTACTATCAAAACTCAACAAAAGTTTGAAAGAGAAACAGAAAGTCATCCAAACCAAGGAGAGCCACACCAAAACCCCCACCCTTATCCAGGACATCTTGACCACACTGCCACTGCAGCCAGTCTTCTCTCACAACTCGCCTATGCCGTCACTGGCCCAGGTAAACGAGGTTGGTAGATCTACTTCTCCAGGTTTGGAGTCTACAGGCGATGACCAAGAGGCGGAGAGCGGGATGCCACCTACGGTAGCTGCGAAGGAACCGGAGCCTAAGCCTAAAACGAAAAAAAGGATAGCAAAGCAGAACTCCACGCGGACTGACTTCTTTGCTGCGAAGCTAGCCAGTGCAGTGGATGATGTATCTCTGTCTAATAGCGATGAGACGTTCGTGTACGAGAACAACGTCAATGACTTTGGCGACGAGGCTACTGGTGAAAGTGGCCCCAATAGCGGAATTCCGGGGTCAGGAGTGATTACAACTGGTGACGAAGCATTCATGACAGGAGCCTCCGATATCAGCAACCATTTGGCCAACGACACCGCATCGGTAGCTGGCAGTGTACGAAATGCCACTCTTTTGGAGGGCGTTGGCAATTCTCCGTTCACAGAGCTTCGGAAGGATTTGCATGATGAACACAAACCCGACCAGGTTCGAGCCGAGTCCATCCACTCGTTCCAATCAACGAAAGTGAATCCACGGAACACCTTCAACATTACACCTCCAAACACAAGTAATGGCCGCTTGCTGCAACCACCAAACCTAGCGCATGTGGATAACCCTGCTCAGTACCTGAATCCGTACTTTCATAACTTGATTCGTGATGCTTCCAACAAGGCCACCAGACGCAAAAGTAGCTCTCATTCCCTTATGAGTGAAGACAAAAGCTACATTCTGCGCTCGCCAATGTTGAACTTCTCGGACCCCAATCATACGCTAGTGCCTCAGTCACACTCGCTCGCAACGAATATTCACCTGCCCGTCACACCTAGTATCGCTGAGGGTTATGGCGAAGGAACGTGTTCTCTTGATGAAGAAGATGATGAAGATTTATCTGGTGATGATGGCGCTTCGTCGCTTCGTCTGGTGTCCACAGAATCTAAACTTAATAATACCATTACCAATCCTAATGATGGATACTTGAAAGCAGATCATTTGTCTGTGAGTGGCAAAACAGAGAAGAAATCGAAGCCATCAACAACATCTTCGAAGTTGCGGTCCACAACATCGAAACTTTTCGATAAAAAGGGTGCTCAGCCAAGGAGATACAGTACTATCCCCGATGACATCGACATCGAGGATTTTGACGATGAACTAATATACTACGACAACAACAACATTCGCTTTCCATACAATAGTCAAAACGGAAACGAAACATCATCATTGCTTGGAGGTACCCATCGGTTGCCACACCACAGGTCTCTTAACCTCAGTTTCAACGGCAAGCGGCAAACCAGCAATGCAAAACCAAAGCGTTACACATCCTTGGGGTATGTGCCTTCAAATGGGAAAGGGAACGATATTTTTCCTTTTCCATATCCAGAGCCAAATCAGAAATACTATTACGATTTTGATGAATACGATGAAGATGAACACGCTGATGGTCGAGACGAAATGCATGCAAAGGGCATTTCTGTTGGTAAAAACCATCTCTCGCCTAATAATGCCCACTTTTTCTTGCCACGAAAGGTCTCTCGCGATAATTTTGGTAACAATCGCGTGAGATTCATCAAAAGTTTTGTCTATACGTTGATCAGCATAATCTGTATTTTAGCAATTGGGTTCATTCTGGGTTTCCTTCTCGCTTCCACCAAAGATTTGGCGAACATATCTATTATTAACATCGAGAATCCATTGGTTAGCCAAGATGAATTGGTTTTCAGCATTATTGTTGAAGCACTCAACCCAGGATGGTTCACTGTTGAGATTGAAGAGGTTGAGATCGACATATTTGCAAAAAGTGGATATCTTGATGGCCCTGCTGGTACTTCTGTGGAAACAGTTTTGCTAGGAACTGTCTTTAATTTTGAGTCTGCATTGGTGTTCGATGGAGGATTCTTTAATAAGGAGTTAAGCCAGCAAAGAGGGGAGATTAAGCTTATTGCGCCAGGAAAGAACTTGACAGGTTCTAGCGACCCCATGCAAGCTCTGATGGGGTACAAACTCAGGACGACTGATAAGCTGGACCCACCAGACAACTCAGAGAAGTGGGCCCTTATATCTAAGCATCCTTTTGACTTGATTCTCCGAGGGGTGCTCAAGTACAACCTCCCCATGACTACCAATATCAGGTCAGCAGTGGTCAACAAGGTAGGCTACGTCGATCCGTCCACTCCTGGAGTAGATATTATTTAAGTACTATTGCATGAAGTTCAGGCACTTGTGGGCCCTCGCGAGGACGAAGCCATACTCTAAACTCTGTAGGCTCGAATGAAGTTGCCGTAAGACACAGGTTCCCCTCGAAAGGGTTGAGTTTCATGTGGTATTTACCATCAGCTGGACGACGAACTTCAAAAAGCAAAATTGTTCTACACAACAAGGTGTATAGGTCGCGAATGGCGAGTTTGTCACCCGAGCACTTGCGAGAACCCAAGCCAAAGGTAAGGTGTGACATTTTGGTGTTAATCATTTCATCTTCATTCAACCATCTGTCTGGATTAAATTCATTGGGATTGTGGAATTGATCTGGATCATGGTTGGCAGCAAATGCATTCATTACCACAACCGTGTTCTCTGGAATGGTTACACCGTTGCAAATGATCTTTTTAGTGGTGAGTCGAGGCAATCCTAAAGGTAAAACAGTGAAGTACCTCATTGCTTCAGAAATGAGTGCTAATGCGTAGTTACAATCAGAGGAAATAGCCACCTGATGCCATGCCACAACCATATCACCATCATAGAGATTTATGAGGCTGGAATACAATTTTTCTTGCATGACATACCCATGTTGGTGAGAAAATTGACCCATAAGGTGGTCGAACGTAAGAGCGGAATTGTCGAGACCAGCACTTACCATAGTAAGACAAATACTTTGGATTTCGCTAGCCGAAATCGAGACTTTAGGGTTAGAGAGGATTCTACCTAGCATACTACGGACTGCCTGTGGGTCATTCATCAACAACCGGTGTTCAAAGTCGTTGTAAAGTCTACGCATGTATGCATCTCGGCGATCACGCCAAAATTGGGGCTTAGATGAGAAAATCCAGGAGAAGGGCCATCGAGACAAGAACGGGAGGTAGTCTTGATAATTTGCAAAGAGGGCACGGGTACGAATGATTTGATTTTCAGTGGCTATAATGGACGCAGTTAATTCTGAATCCGCCCTTTCGCAGTCCATTGTCATTCCATAGGTGATGTCGATAGCGACACCAAGAACAAAGTGCTGCGCAGGCAAGAGCATACTGACATCGTTTAGTGGAGTCCGACAATCACATCCAACTTGCAAACGAAATCTCAATAGGTGTTTAAGGGCCATACGGGAATGATGATCCACGGCCGCATTTACCAGAGATTGATGAAGAGCAACGTTAGACAATTGCATGGAAAGGCACTTTTTCTTTCGTCTGAACGAAGCCCCGGCCGGAGTACTACCAACGGTCACACCTTGCACTGCCGAAACCACCGTGTGGAATGTGTGCAGCAGAGGACGAGACGAAAGGCCGACCGAGTGGTTTGCGTAAAGTTCCCTCACCATGCGGAAACTTGACACTACCACCACGGGCATCCGACCCAAATGGACCAAGAGCACTGGCAGCAGAACTGCCTGGGCCCAATTGGAGAGGGTTAGCGCAGGGTTATGGTACAATTGGAAAGCATTACCCACAATAGGAAGGCCGAGAATCGATGGGGCTCCGAGAACATGCACCTGTGGTTTGTGAAAAAGACGTGAAACTGCAACAAGGATAGATACAAGGAAAAGTAGAGAAAGGATGAAACTGAAAAGACTTATCATAGTTGCTAGAGCAGCAAACAGTGGAAAACTTATAGCTAAGAGGTCACGTCCAGAAGTGATAGCGAAGAGATCAACAGAGGCACAGAGAAAAGGCAAGGATGATCAGGTAGGAAAATAGCGATTTATCGAGAAGAGCGAATAGAAGGAGCAAATTTAATAACAAGAGCAAAATTTTATAAGAAGTACAAAGACCACAGTCACTAGCACTCGTCAATCGCGCAAGAACGTTACTGCGACCATCAGCATGTAGACGGAGATTTCAGCCTGTGGCAAAGCTTCCAAAAAATAAAAAATAAAAAATAATGTATTTCGGGCCGAAAGTTCAACGTCTCCACAAACATTCCGGCTCCCCGGTCCATCAACGAGAACCTCCGCCGCACACCAACTTCCTGAAGATACCTTCGGTATACATCCATGCGATGCCGAACGCGCAGATCGTAGCTTTGCGCAAATCTTGAAAAAATTGGCCATTGATGCAAGGAAGTGGCGGAAACTTTAGACAAGAAACGTGGAGAGGTAGGGAATGGTAGACATGGTGACAGCAAATTTATTTTGCCATTGAAAATGCATGAGAATGGGAAGGGGGAAATAGATAGATGAAACACAAGCAGAAGAAAAAAATAAAATGAAAAGAAAAAAGAAACAGCCTGTTTCTGGCGGCGCCCGAACACCCGAGAGAGGTGAGAGTGCGCTGTCAGCCCCGTCCAGTTGGAAAAAAAATTATAGAAAAGTTCAAACAATCGCTCTTAATGTGACAAATCATTGTTTCTAGACACATTCACTTACTGCGGGATCATTCTGACCGTTGGTGCAGACCATTGTACGATAAGGCGACTTCAAGCAGTCTAACCGAGAATTTTGGGGGATCAACATGCAACTTGCTATCGGCATACAGGGAGGGCAACAATAACATGGAGAAACCCTGGCGATGTAGTGGCCAGGAAATCGATCAAAATCATGTACCAGGCGGGGAAGGAAATTGGAGGCGCCGACCGAGGTACCAGTATGGAGGTTAGCTATTATGCGGTATAAGCATGCAATCTGCGGGTATTGCCCGTAATGCCAGCAGCAAGTGACGGATTTTCCACAAGCGGCAGTCCGTGCTGGGATCCTTATTGACAGGTCGCTTACCAGATGTGCGGCATACCAATTTTTTGTCCTTATCGCATTCGTATCTGCAGCACTTTCAGTGCTGTCCTGCTGCTTTTCCAGATTAGGAGCCCCCTCGTGCATTTGAAGACGCCTGTTCGAGTATGTCGAGATGGTGGGCGCTGGATATTCTGGATGAACGCATGCTGTGCCTCGAAATAGACGAAAAAGACGCACTTCTATCGAGACATATTTTTTTCATGTTTACAAATTTTGATCTTGTCCTCGAAATGCACTTGTCTGCCCCAGACAGTTAAAAGCATGGTTCTTCTCGGTATGCAACTCATTCGACCTGCCCGATCCTTCCTTGTGGCCCTCGGAACGACATGCGGCTGCTCTTGTTCATCAACCTCTGTGCTTCTGGGACCTTATGCAACAGGGGCATAAGCAATGCTTTTTAAACCTTAAAAAAAGCCAATAAAAACCAACGAGAGCCTGTTCAGAGAGATAGCAATTACAAATTTCGGTCAGAATCACTTCGAAATTCTCACCAAGAAACATCTGAAAGAAGAAAGACATTCCATCCCTATGCTAAAATAAACCAAAACCTCTACCTCCTGCAACAGTTCATGCCGGTCCCTGTAGACGTCCATGTTCATTCCTCATTGCTCATGTCCATGCACACGGGTTGGTTGTATTTCTCGCCGAGAATGATACCGTACCCTCGGATATTGTTAAACAATCCTCCCTCGGATTACCACCCTTCCACCAGATCGTCCTGTGCACAGGCCGATTGTACATTGCACCCCCGGAATAACCACTATATATATTGAATCGCTTCCCGCACCTACTACTCCATCACCACTTTTGGTCTCTATCCATAGCTACTGTTGCCTAATACACCCCTCCTCCCCTACACATCCGTATCATCCACGTGCGCTACATTCCCCATCCTCCTTCGTTCTTTATAACCTCACTCCTCGCCATTTAGTGCTTCTTTCTTTGGTCTCTCCACCTATGGAGTCATGTCGCAAGATTCCCGCCGTCTGCGAAGCGAATACCTGAAGAACGGATGTAAGGAGTGTAAGCGCCGCAAAATCAAGTGTGACGAGTTTCGCTCGCCCCCGGCCGAAGCCGTCCGCGTCATCAATGCCCAAGGTCGAGATCTGTGCTGGCAATGTACTCGACTTAAGAAGGAATGTGAGTACCCGCTCAAGGGCGAGAAAGTGGCGCGTGTACTGTTGAAGGTGCTCAAGGAGGAGCGTGAGCGTGAGCGTGATGAGAAGCGTCGTCGAGATGCTCTGCGGCGCTCCCTTCTGAATCCTGACATGTACGGTGTCCACATGTCTGCGCCTCTAGTGGCTGCTCAGGGAACTGTTCATTCGGATTCCTCGGTTTCCACGCTTGCCACGGTTCTGTCAAGACATCGTGGACATTCCGCACTTCCCGCACATACTGGTGTGTCTGGCCAGGCAGTAGTTGGCCATTCTTCTGTTTCAAGCCTCACCAACCATTCTGGCCCTTCTAATGGCCCCATTACTGGCCATTCAAGTAGCCTATCAACGGTTCCTACCAATGGTCCTGGTCACTTTAGTGGTCCAGTTCTCTCTAATAGCGGTTCCGCGCTTTCGACTGGCTATTTAGCTCATTCCACTGGCCAATCGGTTCACTCCGCCCCTTCCAGCGCTTCGGCTACGACACCAGTCACATCCGCCCCCTCGGGAGTCTCTCCTCTAGGTGTTTCTCCGGGTTTGGGCGTCTCTCCAGCTATGTCTCCTGGAATATCTGGTCCATACCTACCCTACACAGAAAACGGCCCAAGTACGGTGGAATACCTGCCACACCCTCTGTATGGCCAATTCCAACAACAGCCTCGCTACATCAGTGCTCTCCCCTCGTCTGGACATGTTTCGTCTCTAAACATTCCGCCTGACCCACATTTTTACGACCATGCTGACCTCACTGGCTTAGCTACCGACTTGAACAACTTGGTTTCAGACATGATGTATGAGGCCAACCCTGACTCCAAAGTTCTCAAATCGGATACAAACCTCACTCCTTTGACACCTAAATCCGAAGAAACTTCATCCTCGGTGGATTCTTCTAAGGCTCGCATCTCACAGAATGATTGGATACCGAGAAACGTTGGTCTCGGCTATTTAGATGTGCGCCGCCCGGAGGAAAGACAATTCTTGCAAGAGTTCTACCTGGAGTTTGCCAATATCATTCTACCCTTTAATGCCTACGACCGGCCCCTGCAAGCCTATTTTAATCCTGTCAGAGACATATTGCTCAAGTGCGCGTCCAAAGAACCATTTTTGCTTGCTGCCATCATGGCTCAAGGAGCTCGCTCGTCTTTGGCCAAGTCTTCTAACGCAGATGAGGAGGAGGCTTACTACCAATATCTTCTGCGGTGCTTGAAGTTGTTGGGCCCTGCGCTTGGACACGCCAGTAGCAAAAATGGGTTAGCATTGACTTCAAACATAGAAGCGGTGCTCTTGACAGTTTTGTTGCTCACGTCATCGAACGCAGCGAATGCTAAGCAAAATTGGCGCCCCCACCTCAAAGGTGCAAAAGACTTGCTTTTGAAGCACACAACAAACAGGTCAAATGTTCGAAATTCCAAAGTGTTGATCTTTTGCAAGTATTGGTTCATGTCGTTTGAGATATTGGCGGGCCTTGGACTGACTCGTGGAGGTACAATCCATCTGGAGGCAGAACTTGATTTACTCTTGAACTTGCAAGATCAGTTCGAACTACAGACTTTAATTGACCTCGGTATTGTGCTTCCAAACGGCTTTAATCTTATTGTGGGTTTTCATTGTGAGCTCATTCATCCATTACGTGATTTGGTTAAGTTATTGAATAAGGTCAGACAGAACAAATTCTACGTTCGCCTGGAGACCTCAGAGTATGTTCGACTTTTGGCAGAGTTCCATCGTCAGCTCAATGTCACTTTCATAAACAAGAAGGCTATTTTCGATATTAACGAATTGCCCGAGAAAGTCATTCCTGATGGACACCTACTAGAAGCTGTCACTGTTGATTCTAAGCCCTTTGTCATTAGTTGGATGGATACCTCTCAGCAGCTCTATTGTCTCGCTGCAACGTTGACTCTATTAACAGAATTTCTCCAGTTACCATACAGCTCACCACAAGTGCAAGAGCTCACTTATCGAATGACGATGCTTCTTTCATGCATTATTCCTCGAGTCAATTCACCACTGTTCATCAAGTATTCGACGTTGATGATTCAGTGGCCCCTGTTGGTAGCAGGGCTTAATTGCGTACGTGACTCTGACCAATATTTGGTAACGGAGTTTTTCAATTCAACAACCAAATTGGGAGCTGGAAGTGCCGGCCACTCTATGAACCAACTTAGAAGGGTTTGGCGTAAGCACCACAGTGGTAGCATGGATGATTCAGGAGACGAGTCGCCCGTGGATGTTGTGAATTACTAGCGTTAGCAATGGAAGCTTTCCGAAATCGACAGGCTCACCAACTATTTGCTCGACTGGGTTTGACTCAGGTAGTCACCCTCAATATCATCACCTACATCTGCATAACACATACACCATCACAGTTCAGAATATCGAGTGTAGCAATGTTTTTCAAAGGTGCATTTTCCATCGACTCATAAAGCAAAACATCCAAATTTCAAGAATGAATTCCGGATGTTGATGCATAAGGGATAAAGTCGCAATAATCTTTGTTGCATAATAGTCATCAAACAGTTTACTTACAATATACGACCCCTGGCCTTCACAATATAAACTTAAAATAGCTCATGCGACAGGTCATGAGGACCCTAGCATCAATCTTGATTTGCAATAATCAGATTGCTCAATTCACTTCAAATTGGAATATAGTAGAACAGCAGACAATTTGCCAACGTTGCCAACACTCCAGGACTGATCATTGATTTTTTTCCTTTTTTTAGGATTAAAGGATTCTTAAGTTTTCTCGGAGAAACCCTCAGAGAGCCAACATCCAATCCTATGCTTCCAATTACTTTTCCAACAGTCAAAGAAGTTTCTAAATTGCGATCATGTGCCAATGGAAACTCGCAGAACTGTTCCTGGGCTGTACCTTGTCGAAATGCATGAAGTGCTAAGTATCATTCTCTATGAAGAAATATGCACGAAGAATATTCGTAGTACCCCGGTTCTTGTTGCTAGAATTCCGTCGAAATCATGGAAATTGTAGCGAGAGTAAGTGATTCCTCATCAAATGGGTCGAAATTGACTTCTTCTAGCTGTTAGAGCAATCTGATTACCTACCATTGAAGTCTTTAAAAAAGTATAGTCTGTCTGAAGAGAGGGCAATACGGCCAGTGGTTTCAGCTGCCTATGGCCGCCTCTCCCATTTTTGGAAGTTTATTTCGAGATTCGAAGCAAGTAGATACATTATCGAATGACTCGGTTATGCAACAGGTAGACGATTGTCAGCCGTATTGCTAGACGGAACGTTTTAGACGGTTTGGAGGTGAACGGTGGGTTTCACAACAAAAGTTATGAAACTGTGGGAATGAGTAAAAAACCAATTGATGGTATGTATCTATTTATAAGTTGTTGCATGGGCGGACAAGAAGGGCTGTGTTGTAGAGATGTTGATGACGGTTTGCTTAAAAAGTTCAATTTTTCTGTTGAGCTGTTGCTCGTGTAAAGTTTATTTGCTCTTTCGAAAGTTTTCTTGGGTTTTCTTTTTACAATTTTATTGGAGTTTTATTTGGATTTCTATTGGACTGTTAGATCCTGGACTTTAGGTGGACGGGGATATTTCGAGGTGGTGTAAGACTCTGTTTCTCCATCAGGAACAAGTAAATTTGGATTTAGTTAAAGCGAGATGTTTTCTCGAGCTTCTTAAGGGGTTGGAAAGTTATTCAGTTGTCTTCGTCAAACTATTGGGCTTTTGATGGCTCGTACACTGACCCAGAGATTGGTGACGTCAATCGATATCTTTAAACTTAATACATGTTCTACGACATCATTCTGTAGAGAGAGACAGATTGAGAGACAGACAGACAGAGAAACAGACAGAGAGAGAGAGAGTTCCCACCCCAGGAACGAATTGGGGATGTTAGTGTAAGTGCAATATATTTCTCTCAAAATCAACCAGAACCAGCTTAAAGAATAATCAAGCCCATGCGAGAGATCCGTGCTATCATAAACCTAAATATGGTCAACCCAAACCAGTTTTAAAACTCAGAAAGGAAGCCCTCGATGATAGCCAACAAGCCTACAGCCCCAGGGTCAGGGACGCCTCCTTCGCTTTGAAATTCCGCCTCGTTCACATAAGAAGCTCGACCGAATTTGGCGTGCAATTTGGCAGTCTCTTTACAAGACTTCTTTGCGTCGTTCAACGCTAACTTGAGGTCTCCACTTTCCACTAAAGTGTCCACAAAAGGCTGCAACGTATCCACCAACGTACGTCCGCCTTTACGTGCCTTGGTGTACTTGAATAAGCCATCGTAAAGAGCATCCTTCATGGCCGCAGCAATTGTCTTCACTTCTGTGTTGGATACCTGCTGTAAGTTTTTTACCAAACTCGTAAGGTAAATGGCATAAATACCTCCCGAAGTTCCTCCCATGTTATCCTCCACCAACTCGGTAATGAAACTCAAGGTTGCGACGGGGTCATCCAAATTGCCCTGGAATGATTTATCTGAATCAAGAGCCTTCAAAATGGCTTCAGCACCAAACTTGAGTGTCTCGCCACAGTCACCATCGCCAACTTGTGTGTCGTATTTGGTAATAAGAGGCTCCTGATCAATAAGTGTGGCCATGGCGTTTTTGAGAGCAGCGGAAAACCTCTTCCCATCGATCTTGATTTGAGAAGTTGGCACCTGGTCATGCGCTTCAGGCAGCTCATGGTCTTTCTGCTCTGTGCTCCAGCTCTGAGCATCATATACCTTAGGCTTCCAACCAGGAGCATTGGTGGGAGTGTCCAAGAAAGATAAAATCTTGTCGCTTGAGAATTTGGAAGTAGCAGCCTTGGTGACGTTGAATAGCGTGACGGAAAAACCAGGGGCGTTTAAGGATGTGACAAAGTCCAGAACTAGAACACGAACGGGTTTGGTCTTCAATGGGCAATTCTCCAAGACATAATGCGTCACCGCAAATAATTCCAACGATGAGGTGCCACCGATATTGTTCACGAGCACCACATACTCGTCGTCATCTTCAAAGTCCAAGTAGTGGCGCTCTTTATCGGAGGCATCCAATAACTTTTTATATAAGATGTCGACTAAATCTTCGATTTTAGGGATATCCACCTTTTCGCCCGGTTCATTGTGGATTCCTAGGCCTAGTTCAGCCTTTCCTGGCCCTGTGAACTCATTTTCTTCCTCTCTTCCTGGAACAGAAGTTCTATCCAAGGAAGCACTGATAGTGACCAAATTGTCATTAACCGAGCGACCCAAATCAGCCACATCTGCTAATTGACCACCAGCAGCTGCGGCTGCACCAACCACCTTGTGAACAATTGCTGTGCCTGCTAATCCTCTTCTTCCGACCATGGCATTCTGGGTTCTGCCCACGGCAACATCATCAGCTACAATAACCAATTCCACGTTATATCCCTCAGCCTTGGCCCTCTCGGCCACCAATCCAAAGTGCAAGATGTCTCCCGTATAATTTTTCACCACAATGACCGCACCTTTATCCTTGTCTGCGGTGGCTTTGACTGCAGCCATAATCTGCTTGGTGGAAGGTGATGCAAAGATGGCTCCACTGACAGCAGCATCAAGCAAGTTTTCTCCGACGTAGCCCGAGTGGAGAGGCTCATGTCCAGCACCACCTCCGGAGATAATAGCCACTTTCTGGCCAGAGGTAGCAGCATTGTAGACAACTTTCTCCGAGGGAATCAAGCTCAAGGTTGGATTGGTAGCAACCAAGCCACGTAAGGCCGTGAGCACCAAATCCTTGTCTTTGGGATATTTCCAATGTTTAGCAGATACCATTGTATGTGAATGTGAGAGATGAAGCGAAAAAAAAACTTTCAAGGAATGGTGGAATGACGTGTGGGTGTTATACCCCAGAATTATATAGTATTGCGTCTGCACACCAGAATCGGAGTTCGGTTATAGAGATGGGAGTGGAGATTGGCCTATGGAATATAGATTTTGGGGGATAGAATTATTGAAAATTGACAATTGGGATTACATGAATGAGATCGATGAATTACAATTAGTTAGGATGTGGGTACCCTTTGGGATATTCTAGATTGGAGGATATAGTAGTCACATAGACGGAGTCACGAACACCGTTACTTAGCACTAAAAGAATGCGAAAGAATGATAGAAATGAGGCGTGGGAGATCATGCCAAGTGATTGAAGAGGGGTAGAAGCTCAATTGATAGGGAAGATATCCAAATTATTGGATAGTAGATGGCTAAAGAATTGTTGTATGACGGAGAATTGCCTGATTTGGGAATGTTAGCCGCAAGTCGACTACTAGACCGGTAGTTGCGGCTAATTTTACCATGGGAAGCGTCAAGAAGATCTGAAGATGGCAGTTCGAATAACTTGCTAACCACGAATGTCGTTAGAACTTCACCAATGAATTGTTTGATTTGTGACAGATTAATTTGTGACGGGTTGTACTTTAAAACACTGGTAATTATTACTTAATGTTAGAACCGAGGATCGAGAATTTGTCCAGGCTAAATTTGGTTGACGTAATTTTACTTCTTCAAGTTTGATGCTGGCCATTGATATCGCAAAGCACTCATCACCTGTTCATCGTCGTCACCTGATCATCGTCTTCACCTACGTCATCATCTGCGTCATTACCGAATGAGCAATCTGGTGATATCAATCGTGTCCCTCTCAAATCTCTACTGGAGAATACCTCTTTCTCTTACTTTACTCTTAAAAACGGTCGATGTGACTAAAAAAAGAATAATAGATGTATGAACCATGAGCCCTTTCAAAACTCTCAAAATTTCTTTATGTTTTTGGTCTTCTGTGTCCATGTCTGCTCGGGTGTCAATAATCTTTGCATTAAGGTCAATTGAGAATAGACCTTATCAGTTCTCAATATGTCAACTACTTGGATCGAAATTGGGAACATGAAAAAAATGGAATTTGTAATCCGCCAAAGAACAAACGAGCAAAAGAGTTTTGAGTTTGAAAACTGATTGCTTGATCCTCTAACTAGTGCTAAAGCGTCCCATGCCATAAGCGTAGGTAATCAAATCGCCATACCTGTTCTACAAAAGAAAGACTAAAGGAGAGTATGTAGAGAGCACAAAATGGACTAAATCGATAACTTCATAAGGTATGTTTAGCGTGATAGACTACTGAGAGAAACAAGACCATTGGAGGTGAAGAAAGCGAAGAATCCTTCTCTCCTCTTGCGATCATGACATGTCTCAAACTTTGCACTCTACCGATTCTTCTTCAAAAACCACATACACCGAATGAAAATCTACAAAATCAATAATTAATACCGGTATTCTTCAAAACTCAAAATATTCATGTTATGTTTTCAATACAAAAGTGTACCCACATTTATTTATCTTACAACTTTTTCACGCAACGACCAGAATCTTGCGAATATGCAGAAACTAGTATAACCTCTCCTTAAAATCATATATCTCGACTAAAAAGCTACCTTTCAAACATTCAAAAGATAAAACATCTCTTGCTACCTTCCATAAACTCCACAAGTTCCAACTCCCTCAATTTGTCTATATATCATCACATCCTCTAGTATCATACATAGCATTATCAGTCTCTCCATTTTAACTCACGTTTAAATCTCTCCAATACATCAAATTTAAAATAACGTCACAAAATAACGGTACCCCACCATCATCATACGGCATTTTCATCAACTATATATCCCTGCCCCACTGCCTCCTAATTCCGTTCATTCTGACTCTTCCCCATACTTCCGCTCTCTAACAACTGCCCTGTCTGTGGTGGTCTGGTACAATACCTAAGTGCCTCGCGCTCACCTTCCCTATGCGCCCCAGACTTAATATTTTCACAACTACTCACTCAAATCACCATTTCTATTTATTCCTTAACGGCTCATACTTCTTGCAGATCTTTACCATCGTTCCTGCTCGATTCTAATTGTTCATAGCGTCTTACAGACAGCCCTAATTTCCTTTGGTGTCTGGTCATCCTTTGTTGTTTATGAGCAGAACAACCACTCCCAAGAGACTGAGAAAGTCATCACTGAAGACCTTCACAGGATGCTTCACCTGTCGCTCGCGAAAGATTCGCTGTGATCTCACAAGACCATACTGTCTAAATTGCAAAAGAGCCCAGCACAAGTGTTCTGGTTACGATATCAAGCTCCGATGGCTGGTTCCTATCGGATTCCGTCCCAATGGCAGAAACCCCATTGCCAACCCGGTAGTGTTTCCGGAATTGGACCAAGATGGTGAGTCTGGCTCTGATTTCTTCCAGCGACGTAATGTAGGGTTTGTTGTCTGGGATGCCAAGAAGAACTGTCGACCCTACGAGACCTACGATGAGATGGACTTGGATTTGAACAGATTGAGGCTCGACAAGTTGTCCGACGACACAAAGCTTAACGGGCCCTTTGGAGTATTTTCATCTACTCGTAGACATAAACTCCTCAAGCCAACGCTGACACCTTCCACCAATGCCCACTCCACTCCAGCAGGAAATATAGATAAGGCACTGACACCTGGATTCCCAGATCAGGACGCTTTAGGGCCCGACCACATCTGGTTGGCCAATGAGTTAAGGGAGCATGCACTTTTAACGGCTGCGGCTCTTAATAATGATTACTTGAACCTTGATCTCCCTAATCTTGGCTTCCAGACTGTACCTGAGTCGCTGTCGGATCTTCTTAACTTGGTGTTTCATAGGCACAACAACCAGGTGCCGGGATATCAGGGTGGTATCACCAACATTCCAGCGCCGGAAATTCCCGTTTCCACATCAGAAATGGGTCCTCCTCCCAACCAGTCAGAAATCCCGGCTGTCAATAATAAGCCAGAACAGGACAATGTCGCCATCAATCCCGACAACCAGCACCTTTTCTATTCCAACTTCGACAAGTTCTACTACAACAACGCATACCTGACCAACGACACGTTGGAAATTCAGTTGCATGCTTCATCTACGGCTCTGAAACAGGACGATATGTCTACGGACATTGTGGAGGGCGAGAACAATCTGAAAACGCAGATGCCTGAGGCCATCATGGCCATAGTTGCATGTCCACTTCAGCCAAAACTAGGCTTTGATATTTCGCTCCCAAAGAACGGCGTAATGCTTCCCACCACAGCATTACAAGTGCAACCACTCGCACGGTACTTGTTAAACTATTATGCCACACAAGTTGCGGATTTAATGACGGTGATTCCGCTTACAGAGAATCCCTGGAAGACCATATACTTTCCTAGAGCCTTGATGGCCATAGGTGAGCTCAGTGCCTTAGGTCAGACATCGACCGCCAAAAATTCTCTACTCAATGCACTTTTGGCAGTGGCTGCGTTCAATCTCCAAAGTAAATTCCCTAAGAATTCTGACCAGATGAAATTCTATCTCAACCTTGGTATTCGGTTGCGAAATCAAGCCACGCTTTTCGTCAGGACTTTGCTAGGTTCACAAGCAAACTCTCGAGATGATGTGGAGAGATGTGTTGCCTCTGAAAAGTACAAAGACATCCTCTGTGCGGTGATGTCGATGATCTCGGTGGACTTAGTATGGGGAACAATGCAAGACACCAACTTCTACATCAAATGGTGTGAGAAAGTGATCTACACCAAGATGACCAACAAGAAAAAACTCAGTGCCAAAGCCAAGATTCTTCATCGAATTTTTCTGAGCTTGAAACTTATTCAGGACTCCACCTGTTTGGATTTGGTCAACATCAAAGAAGACTTCGAGATGACTTCAATGTATGGTCACGACGTCCGAATGCGCTTTGAAGCAGACATCCACTCCAACAACACCAAAGGCAAAATCAACTACATCGTCGACACCACCCGTGTGTCGTCACCGATGTTTGTCAACAAGAAGTTGATAAACACAAACAAAAACGACGAGAATTTTGCCACTGATGCATTGTACGGGCTTCCGAATTCGCTTATTTCATTGTTCAGTGATACCGTGCAACTTCTTCGTAAGAAAATCTACCACCGGGAAATGTATGGAAAGCCGCCCGCCAATTTTGACGAGCAAGTGCATGTTCTTAGTGACAAACTCACTCATTGGAAATTGGACTGGAAACTCAGCGAAGATGGAACCACTCAGAAATTCTTGTCGTCGATGCACGAGGCGACCTACCACCATATTATGTCTTTTTACCATGCGCTCACCATTTATTTTGATCGGCTTATTAAAGAAGTGCCACCAGAAGAGGTTCAAACCAAGGTTGCAAAAACATTAGAGCATTTGAACCTGATACAGAGACTTATTGCCAAAGACGAGGCTCATATTATTCCACTTTTCTGGCAAGGCTTCATTGCTGGATGTGAAGCAGTTTCTCTTAATCTCCAAATGGGGTTCAAAAAGTGGGGAGCAGACATTGCCCAGTATTTGGGCAGTTATTGGGGAGCACGTCAAATCATGTTGGAGGTTTGGCGAAGAAAGAAGATGAATGAGAGAAGAGCAGACTGGGTGAGTGTGATTCAAGACTGGGAAATGAATTTAATGTTAAATTAAGGTTTCTTCATGAAGAGTTGGTGATGGTTACGAGAGTGCTAACGAATATTTTCATAATGATTTGAAACGGCGGAGATGAAATGCGGAGACATAGGAATGTGAAGATGCGGTCAATGCTCCTACTGGATCTTGGATCGTGAAGATCGACTACACCATTCCCTTTTGAAGCGTAAGAGAGATCGAATGTGCCATTCCGATTTGAAGCATTAGGCTGATTCCGATTTCCATTTTGGATGTGTGTTTAGACCTTTTTGGATCCCGATCTCAATTCTGGCTCCTTTTCTTTTTTGTGGTTCCTACTATTCTCGAATCCCAAAGCGGATGTTCTATTTCCGGTGCTTGCTTCATTCTAGAATGCTGCGATTAGTCCACGCAGCGCATCGATCCCACATGCTATCGTCTCCAACCCACGGACACCCCCTCTCATTCTCTATCTCGCTTCCCAACTGAGCACACTCCATTTGCTCGTCTACAAAATGCACAAAACAAAGAATGGCTACTTTTTGTCTAATCAAGGCGCGAGACACCGGCATCAAGGTTGCAGAAGCCGCTCAGTGCCATTTGAAAGAATTTCGGACGTGTCGCTCAAGTTTGATTCGCGCGTCGCAGAGGCATGAAGGCCGGATTGGAAGTGAATTTGGGGCCTGAATTCGGCATGAAATAGCGTGCAATTGGCGTCATGCCCGCCCCAATGGGGCCAAAATTCGCACAAATCCTCTCTCACAGGGCCCCATACCGGCCTCCATCGCGGGCCTAACGCGGCTCCATCGGTCGTGCGAAAGGGCCCCTGCCTAGGCGAATGTTTGTTTGTTTTGGATCAAGTTGGCGCGCACCGTGTACTGTCAACACGCACACTATGGGGTTAGACATTTTCGTTTCAGGCCCCGCCAAAACACGCCAAATCTCCATAATACATTCCGTCGAAGGGGTCTCGCGTGCATAGCCGTCAGACATGAGAACGTGTCTCCGCGTTCTGTGTTGACTTGCTTTCCTTCCTGGTATCGTGGATTCCGTTGCTTCGAGGGTTCCATGTCGACTATATAAACCTAGACATGTTCGCTCAAACTTTAAGTTCATCATCACTTCACACTCACTACTTTCACTCGTTTATATCATGAAGTTCACTGTTGCCTCTGCTGCCATCGTTGCCTCTGCTGCTGCTACCGCCTCTATCTCTTACGAGACTGAGTACGTCACCAGAAACCACACCACCGAGGTCACCATCACCTCGTGCTCCAACCACGCTTGTGCTACCACCGTGGCTCCAGTCATCGAGACCACCATCACCAAGACCGTTGAGGGTGTGGAGACTGTGTACACCACCGTGTGCCCATTGACTGAGACCGTTGTCACCACCACTGTTCAGGGTGTTGAGACCATCTACACCACTGTGTGCCCAGTCACCGAGACTGAGACCACTCCAGCTGCTAAGCCAACCACCGAGGCCTCCACCCCTACTACTAAGGCTGCTGTCCCAACCACTGAGGCTTCCAAGCCAGCCGTTGAGGTTTCCACTGTCACTCCTGTGGCCACTTCTCCAACCACTCTCGCTGCTGAGTCTTCTAAGGTTGTCGTTCCTGAGTCTTCTGAGCTGGATATCTACGTTGACGAGACCACCACCCCAGTTGTCGTTGAGACCACTTCAGTTGCTGCTACTGTGACTGCTCAGTCATCCTTCACCACTTACTACTCCTCTAGTCCTGCTGGTGTTTCCACTTTCGAGGGTGGTGCCAACATGAACGTTGTTGGTGTTGCCGGTATCGTCGGTGTTGTCGCTATGATGTTGTAAGTTTAAAATAATGGTAGTTTGGGTTTAATAAAGAAAATAGTTAATGGATGTAGTCATAATATCTATGAAGCAGTCTAGAATTGAAAATCACTAGATTGATTATTCAGAGGAGCAATTTGTCAGAATGAATCCATCCCCTCGTGTGTCCGACTTCAAGTCTTAAATTTCTTACATCTTAATCTACAAGTTTTTTCTAATTCAATGTACTTTTGGAATCCGGCCCCCTAATCTATAATTCATCTTTTAGCGTCAGCTTCAAGTCCGACTGTGGAACATACTTTGCCTTACCCACGTAAACATTCCACCAGCCATTAGCATAATACATCGCTAACTGGTACAATCTCTTGGGAAAGTCAACATATGATTTCAACACAAAATTCAACGCCAACTTCACATTCTCCACCTCCTCCCAGAATCCTTGCTTGGTGGATTTTGTGTTGTAGATTTGTCCTTCAGCGTTGTAAATTTCTTCTGCGGCCTTTTGGTCACTTTGCACCTTCTCCTTAATCTTTTCCTTGTCGCCCGTCTTGGGCTGGATGGAGACAAAAGGGAACTCGAGACCCTTGTCGTGAAGAGGCTCGTAGTCTCCGTGCTTGGCGATTCCAGCAGCGACATCCTCCAAGTGCAGTAAATACATCTTCTTGAAGTTGTTGATGGATGCAATGGACTTGGACAATCTGTCCAAGGTGTTGAAAAGTGCCACCAATTCGATACGGCGCACCTTCAACAAGTGGCTTGTGGTTGGGTCCTCCAGCTCAAACAAGATCTTGAGTGCCGTTCCGTAGCCAATAGTTTGCAATTTACCCCACATACGGCAACGGTCACAGCCAACACAGTCCATAATGGCAGAAACATTACGGAATCTTGACCGGAACTCGTTCTTCAACTCGGGGTCCACAGTGGCCGGATCAAAGAGCGAGTGAGCTTCGAAAAGAGTTTCAGAGCCCAATTGTTCTTTTATAGTGTGAAGCCACTCATTGTACTCGGCGGGCTCCTCAGGTTCGTTCTGCAAAAGGCCAAGCTGCGTAACTGTCTCGTTGCTGCTATCGATGTACTCCGGAAGCAGAACTAAGTCGCTCAACTTGACGATGGCCTGGGACACTAAAGCGTAGTTAAAGTAGATGTTAGACAACCGGTCGTTGAACTTACCCACACGCTCCATAAACACTTTCAAGTTAGGGCCGAACTTCTCTGTGGTAGGGTCCAAATACTCATTGGACAAATGCACGCCAATGGAGGCATGCATTCCGGAAATCAATCTGTAGAACAAATTCTTCTCCACACATTGTTCAGGCTCCAGATCCGGCAACATGGACATAGGGTTGGTGTTTGGGAAACAGTTCTCTGAGTAGATGGCTTTCCAGACATCCAACGACTGAGCACCACCGTATCCAGTGAAACGTTCTGGATTATCGATCAAGTCGACAAAGACACAATCGTGGCCCTCGTCAATGTGAGAATAATCCAAATCTTCACAGACGCCTTGCTCATCTTCTGTAGCGGGATTTCTCTGGATTTCTCCGAGCTTCAGAGGACGAAGGTCGTCGGGAACATGTGACCAGTTAAACTGTTCCGTAGGCAAGATCTCCACGGCACAATTACGCGTGGCACAGAAGTGCTGGGCATTCCAGAACTTGCACTGCTTATCCAAGTCAAACTTGAAGTAGCGGAAAAATGGCGAGTGCACAATCTTAACAATCACCGGACGGATTTGCTCATTGATGGTATCAATGTATGAGAAGGTTGTGTTACACGTTGGGGTGATGATTTGCAGACAAAAATCGGGCGAATCGAAGGGCGAGAACCGTGAGGCAGACACTAGCGCAAAGACCAGAAAGATATAGAGCAAGAACGATGCTCTCATTTTGTGTTGGTGAAGGTAATGCTGTAGATTGAAATCTTTTCTTTGATGTTCTTTTTATCTGAGTGTATCACGTGATCAAATGAGGCCACGTCGATAGTATAACCCATTTAAATTAATCAGAGTGGCGGTGGCGTGGAATTTGGTAGAAAAGAAAGAAAGGATAGATTAAGAGACAGGAAATTGAAGTTGACGTTTTCGTATTTTGGAACAGTTAACTTAACGTGATCATCACCTGGGATTTACCTTAGATATTTTGGCCGTTTTCTCGGGGTTTAAGACGATCTAAACACGATGATGCTTGCACAGTGGCCGATAGAATTTACTTGCGCACTGATAAGGTGAGGGAAGATAGAGATTAAAGAAAATGGAGAAATTGAAGAGGTCAGAAAGGTTGAGAAGAGGTTTGAATTGGAGAAGCTTGCTATAATGAGATAAATTCCGTAGGGATGAAGAAGATAGGTGGCATTGACTGTGCAGGGAATATTTATGGAAGGGGAATTGCTTACTAAGGTGATGTCAAACTGATGAGTAAGGTGATGGGTCCTGTAGGGTGAGCTTGTAGACGAGTCCTGTAGGCTGAGTCTTCTGAAAGTGTAGAATGAAAGAAAGATTCATTGACTGAGGAATTAATTTTATTTTTTTTGGGTGAAATGGTTCTCGACATGAAATAATTCTAACATAATTAGTTCAAATTTGGAATGGTTTTGGTCAGTTTTTAGGGCATGTTTTGATGGAGGATGGGTCATAAATGTAAGGTTGTGTGTATCAGTAAGTATTGGAGATTTCAGTACTGATCTGAAAACGGTAAAATAGAATAGTCTATGTTGATTATAAGTGACACCAAGGGATGATAAATTAATTTTTTTTTTGAAAGGCATTCTGGAAAACTCCAAAGTTCCAGGTATGATCATTGTTGCTTTGAATGGAAATGTGAGAAATTACAAGTGAGTAGATAGTGAATTTTGGAGGTTATTCGCGGACTAATTATCTTGACTCAAGAAAAATCAGGGAAACTTGGATTATTGGACTCTCAAGAGTCTTTGAGGTTGGTCATTGTATCTAGGACCCAATCGATTACACTATCAAATGAACGTCAAAAGTACACCAAGAAAATGAATGCGTTGACCACTAAAATTTAATGAGTAAACTCCCTAGAGCATTTCAATCGTTGAAAGTCTAAAGGAGTTTTAGAAAAAACTCATGACCATTTACATTTTCATAAATTACGAACCTCTGTGATCAACTTTGCACCAAACCACATCATACATCTGCATCGTACGTCACCTTACTTTGAGTTGCTGTCTGCTCAAATCAAACAAGAAGTATTGATTATTTGTTAACGGCCCTGAAAATCCACTGAGCAAATTGATATCCAAATTGACATGTGCCAATCAACTAGCGACGCATGCAACTGCCCCAATGACATTCCATGCAAATATTTTCGACCTTATTGTTAAGTCCCTCCCAGCCACATATGCTATGCAAATGTTCGGCTCTTATCCCCGTTCGGCGTAACCTCGGAAGCGCAAGTTTAAGCATTACAAGTTATACTGCTTTATGACTTCCGAGGGATTGTTCTTCGGAGCTTATGCATAAAGTGCACCAGGCTCCAAACGTTCCAGAACCAGCCCATAGAATGACCTTCGGCTCAGTTAAGTGTTTTCGAATGACGAGGAACATCTGAGAATTTACTTCCAACAGTTCCCAATTAGAAAAGACGCAAAATGATTACATTCTGTCCTCGGTTGAAGAAATAATTGGCCACATGCAATATGTCTGAGAGAATGTAGATAGTCAGACCTGCCGAGTTTTTTTATTTTTGTCTTTTCAGTAAATTGAGGAATTCATTGAATTTCTCTTTCTATTCTTTTGTTATGTTCTAGTCTCCCCAGCCGTTGAAACTGTGTAAGATAAATCATTATCCAAAACGAGAATTTAAGGATGATTTGGTGATGTTTAATTGTAACTACCTATATGGTGGTACATTGCTTCAATTGTTATGTATCTAGAAGTAGTGGTCCGGGGAGTTGGTGGTGGCATATATCTAATCATGTGTGAGTTTCTTGTCATTCAAGCAAATGTAATTAAAGTTGTATGTCTTCACTGTACCAATGTAACTTCTTTGTTCTTCCAATTGAAATTTGATCTTGGTAGAACTGAATGACCAAAGTATTAACTACTCTCCTCATGCTCTGGCTAACCTTTAGGTTTAATAGCTACCAGGGAACACACACCAAGTAAATAATTATCTTGATATGTGCATCAAATTGCCAATAGTCAGTCCTCTCCAACTGAGGAGGCTTGCTAGGCCAAAAAGATGCACTGGATACTACGTCAATATCTAATAGCTCATTTATCTTCTTTCGCCTGAGGCGATTTAATTTTTTCTATTGCTCTGTACTCAGTATCTGACCTGTTCCTCAACTCTAATCATCAAACTTAATCTTCTTAGCAGTCTTGCCCATGTCAACATCCTTGAAAAATGCTCCGTACGCAGAATGCGTCTTCTTCTTGGTGTGTCCACCAAACTTGAGCAACTCATCAGGAACTGGCTGATTGGCTCCACGCAAAATGTTCATCAATGCTCCACTAAGATGCTTCTCATGCTCGGTGAAAAGAGTGTGGGCAGTTCCTGTTTGTCCAGCTCTTCCGGTTCTTCCAATTCTGTGAACGTAATCCTCAGCAGTCAATGGGAAAGTCAAGTTGATGACGACCCTCACGTTAGGAATGTCAAGACCTCTGGCAGCAACATCAGTTGCCAACATCAAGTTACATTCACCCAGCTTGAACTGCGACAAGGCATGGGTTCTCTGTTGTTGAGACAAGTCTCCATGGATGGCAGCCACAGAGTATCCGTTTCTTTGCAAGAGTCCCTCGACCCTCAGTGCTTCCTTCTTGTACAATGCAAAAATGAGCACCTTATCGTTCTTATGAGCTCCAGATTGGTACTTTCTGAGTAATTGCAACAACTTCTTCTCCTTTTCACGTGGGTCAATCACCTCCACAATCTGGGTAATTCTCTTGTTAGCGGCAAGCTCATCACGCTCTCCAATGGTGACTTTGACTGGGCTGCACATGAATACAGATGCAAGGTCTCTGACCTCCTTGGGCCAGGTGGCTGTGAACATCAAAGTCTGTCTGTCTGTCTTGTTGGGGGTGTGGCCAATAATTTGCTTGATGTGCTCCTCAAATCCCTTGTCCAACATTCTGTCTGCTTCGTCAAGAACAAGGTAGTCCACAGTAGACAAATCAACTAAGCCGTCTTCCAACAAGTCGACCAAACGACCAGGGGTAGCCACAGCAATGCTGGCAGTCTTCAACTTCTCGATCTGGTCGATTTTGCTGACTCCTCCGTAGATGGCCACACTGGAGATAGGCGTGTTCTTAGTCAATTCCTCCAAGTTGTCGTAGATCTGCAACGCCAACTCACGAGTAGGCGAAAGACAGAGCACCTTCAAGCCTTTCTTGTTTTCCTTCAAGATGCTGTTGACGGCAGGAACTCCGAAAGCAAAAGTTTTTCCGGAACCGGTTTCAGCGACACCGATAACGTCCTTATGACTGAGCAAGTATGGCCACGAGGCAGCCTGAATAGGCGTGGGCTTAGGGAACTTGGAGATGGCCTTTTGCACCTCAGGAACAAAGTTCACGTGGTCGAAAGACAACAAAGGTCTGATAGTCAAGTTGTGAGGGTCTTCAATGGCGATTTCGTTGGCGGTCAAGAAATCCTTGACTTCGGACTCTGGAGCATCGGTTAAACGTTGCGATTGGACGTAAGGTTCAGCTTTGAGGTTAGATTGTTCGACTTTCTCGACCTTGACTGGCTTATCAGACTTTTCCTTCTTCTCCTTCTTGTCAGATTTCTCCTTCTTTTCCTTCTTTTCCTTCTTGTCCTTCTTCTCCTTCTTTTCTTCCTTTTCTTCCTTTTCTTCCTTCTTGTCCTTCTTGTCCTTCTTGTCCTTCTTGTCCTTCTTGTCCTTCTTGTCCTTCTTGTCCTTCTTGTCCTTCTTGTCCTTCTTGTCCTTCTTAGATCTCTTCTCTACTGCGTCGACATCGTCGAGCTTTCTCTTTTTATCTTCTTTACCCATCGTATAGTTAGTTAGAAATCTCTGCGAGCCGCACGATGACTATGGTTGCAAATGGGAGGTATGGGTGTAATGCCTGACCCTACTACTATCATATTAAAAATTAATCACATTTTCTCAAATTAGCCCCTAAATACTTAAATAATATATTACCTTTGCATCATGTATCTTCCATCATCCATTCGAAAGCATCTCAACTTCTCAATGTGGATCCAAATCCTTTCTGCGACCCTCGTCAAGATCAATCTCTTCCAACCTTATCCATTTCGTCCGATTCACCAACTTAAGAAATCCGAATAGAACAAAGAAAAACGGAAGAAGAATGTAAGCGTCCACAAAATCCTTGGCAGAGAACGGCTTGAAGGTCGACCATCCTTGGATCAAGGCAAGAAACACATTAATGACGATACCAAAAATTGGCAAGTATGGATACCACAATCCCTTGTATGGGAGGGAACTCACCGACCGACCGTGGAACCTCCAGGCTTGTCTGAACCGGATATGGTACACGTTGATGGCACCCCACACAATGAAGACGGCCACTCCAGACAAGTTCACAATGTATTGATAAGCATTGGCAGCACCTGTGCTGATATTCATGAGTGAAAGAAGTCCAAACGCATTGAAGAGAATCACAGCCAAGTATGGAACTCCCTGCTTGTTGACTTTATTAAGGAATCGAGGCGCAGAACCCTCGTTTGCCAAGTGCACGATGGTTCGAGATCCAATGTAGATAGAACTGTTGATAGCAGATACACATGTCAAAAGAATGAACGCATTGATCAAATGGGCACCACCCTCCCAGCCTGCATTCTTAATAGCCACTGTCATAGGCGATTTCAATGTCTTGTTGCCTTCTGTCAAGTCGTCCGAGTTGTATGGGACAGTCAAACCGTAGAAAAGCGCAAGACCCATGTAAATGAACAAAATACGGATAAAGGTCTGTCTAACAGCGGTTGGAATGGCCTTCGATGGGTTTCTAGTCTCACTGGCAGCAATGGCGACAGATTCTGTGCCCGAATAAAATGTTGAAGCAAACACGAATGTGCTGACCACAGACTTGAAGCCATTAGCCAACATACCAGGGTCATTCCAGTAATGAAAACCAAAAGCTTTCTGTCCCTTGATACCACCAGACACATACACAATAGAGAAGATGTAGAAAGCCAAAATTCCCACGATCTTCATCAATGCGAGCCAGTACTCAGCTTCACCAAATGTCGCAACACCCAAAAACTGGAATGCCAAAAACGCTCCCCAAAAGATCAACACATAGCCATACAAAGGCACTTGAGGCCCCCAAAATCTCATAATCGCAGCCACGGTGTTGTACTCGTTGGCCAAAACAGCAATCCAGATGATAGCATAGTTCCAGCCTACAGTACCTCCGAGAGCACGGTCAAACAATCTGTTTCCAAGGGTGGAGAATACGCTTCCCAGCGGATAAAGCGTAGCCAACTCTCCCAAACTCTGAATCATAGAGAAAGCAATCAAGCCAATAATTCCAAAACCTAAGATTAAACTCAAAGGACCATTAGAAACAGGCAAAGCAGCACCCACCAAAATACCAGGACCAATAATTCCTGCCAAAGCAAGCAAGGAGATGTGACGATCCTTCAAGCCTCTCTTTAATTCCAACTTGTTGTCTTCATGTTCTACAAAATCTGAATCATCCAGGTTTATCACGTAATGGTCATCACCAAGCGAGGTGGATTTGAAGTCGTCTGACTCCTGTGATCTGAAGAACGGAGCCATTGAAGCGTTTGCAAAAAGAAAAGCTGGGGGATGGGGCGCTATTTATGCCCTAACCCTCTGCTATGCATAACGGTAAAGCAAGGTTCCTTTGTTCCATACCGGATGAAAGGTTGGGAGCATAAGACAAGAAACGGTAATGCCAGAAAATAATACATGAAAACGAAGAACGAGATGATTACCAAGTTAGGGCTTTCAATTGTGATAGGGTTAAATTTGCAACAGTTCAAATCAGCTTGCAAAAACAATAACTTGACTTTTCGCCAACTGCTATATTTGCAAAGAAAATACTTGTTACTTCCCGTTCATTTCATAGTCATCACGACTATTTCGTCCGGGCAAACAGAATCACACGTGACTAGGCTCCACAGTATGACAATGAAGTAGGAAGTATTATCTAGTATGATAGAAGTGTTAACCAAGAAAAACTATCAAGTATAAGCCTTACTAGGTATGGTATAATGTAGGGGCGGCCACTCGACTCCACAGAAAAACGGCAAAGTCTTCTAGAACAACCAATCCCCACGATCCTGCCAAAAGACAAGGCGAGGTTACAAAATTCGCCAGGGCCGTTGACAGGCTTATTCTTCTCCATCACCAGAACCTATAATCCAATGAGGATGGATTCAGGGCAGAAATAGGAGTGTTTTCTACAAGGTAGGTAAAAACTATGTTTATTGCTGAGGTTGAAAGCTGAGGAAAAACTTCGCATATATATATATATATCGCCAAGAGGTTACCCGGACCAGCTATGGTATACATCCACTAATAGGCGTACCGGTAACTTCACAAATAAAGACATAGAATAAATTGCAACTTTGTTGTACCAGGGTGTGAAGAGTCTTTTCGAAGATTTCCAAATTTCCTTTCTGTAGCAACAAATTTCCCAAATCCAATCCGTCTAAATCCAAACTCTACAATCACTAGTATCTTATCCGTGTACTTTTCATACGAAAGAATGTTAATAGTTATGTAATAGTCAGTTATGCCTCCGGTCTCAAATCGGCCCTTCTAGGTGCCTCCAACGGGTGTAACTGCGCTAAGTAGGTGATGGCCCACATCAAATAGCACATGGTCAAGCCCAAGATCACCGAGGATCTGAACACAGTACGGTTCTCTTTAGGAGCAAAGTTCCATGCCAACACCGAGAGTGCCACGGTGATTAGCAACACAAGAAGTACGGTGTAGCTGGAGGTTAGTACGTGATAATTAGACGATAACAATTGGAAGACGACAACCCTGAACTTCCAGAATAGGAGATGGAGGTCCGAGAATTATGCTGCCAGCTGTGTGAGTCTGGTGACTAGATGGATAACATACCCGCTCATATTGAAGGAAGAAGTCTATGATGTTTAAGGACTTCTCCGAATTGATAATGAGATTGAGTGTCGGAGATAACACCCGTACACCACGATAATGGGAAGGCAATATTATTGTGAATGCAACAAATGACAGAAGAATCTTGATTTCAAATTATTTATATTCTGTCTTTTTAATGTCTGGTCTATGAGCTTTCACTCGAATGTCTTAAGTTAAATTTATTCATTTTCTGACTATCAAATTGATGATTATCAGTTTATGACCTGTATACATATTCCGCCCATATCAAACTGAAGCCACTAACCACCATTTAAAATCCACATTCAGAACACGATCTAAATGGCCAGCATCTCGAAAAAGGTGGCGAATTGGCTTTATTCGGTTCTTCAGCCCCAATATCTCCACAAAGAATTGGCATTCAACGATATTTACAGGTTTCTTTCCGTGTACTTGAGTCAAGGTTTCAAGATCAGAACTGCCGTATATACTTCTCAGCAAGGCAACTCCAACCTCCTTGTAAATTTATATGGATCATTAAATTGCAAGAATATTGAGGTTCCTTTGAATATTTGGGTGCCGCTAAATTATCCGTTTGCTGACAATTCAGTGGCAGAACCCAATGGTGTCCCAATAGTTTACGTGGTTGCTACTCCAGACATGTTGATCCGGCCAGGAAACAACGTCGACTTGCAGGGCCGCTTTTACCATCCTTATCTCTCGCTGTGGCACCTGGAACTTCTTCCTGGCAGCTCTAATGCCGAGTATAATTTGTTGAACTTGATGAGTTGTTTAATCACAACATTCAACAAGGATTCTCCATTGCAACATCCTCCAGTGACTTCGGGCCCAGAGCTTCCGCCCAAACCAGCAGCATTGTCACCTAATAATACAGGATTTCTTCGGCGGGAGACTAATGGGCCGCCACTCCCTCAAAAACCGGGATCGACAGCCAATGATGGAGTGCCTTTGAAGTACAGATCTCCACTTCCACTTCCATCACAAAACACCGGAAATAGCGACTATGCCAATCGCCGAGTGGAGAATATTGTTCCTGGATTCACGCCCACACAGCAGTCGCCATATCGTTCAGACACTCAATTGATACGTTCAGAAAGTCAGATCCAAATGGGCCATACGGGCCAAAATAGACTAGGTCAGACTCGGCCGGAGTACCAACTGCCTCCACACTCACTTACAACGTCGCCACCGCATTCGTTTGTCAACTATTCATCTGTTTCTCCTGGCCGTGGAAGACCAAGTGATGTTAAAACACCAACCCCAACACCAAGGGTAGGAGTATCGGAAATAGAAGATCTCATGGATAAAGTCACATTGGACGACGGCGCTAGCACCATCCCTAGGGAGATACTTGAGCAGATTTCAGCGCATATCAACAGCTTTCTTTCGCTGGAGACTCCAGACAACGCCAACAGCATAATTGGCAAGATTAACGAGAATTCCCACCGCATACAAGCTCTCTACTCGCAGCTTGAACATCATAATAAGCAAGCAGCAGCTAATAAGGAGAACCTTGATAAGCACATCAAGTACCTTCAGGGACAGGTATCGGGAATTCAAAAACTCAATAGTGAGTTGGCTGCCTTGGACAAAATGAACACCTCCAGCGTCGATGAAATCTACACCCTGACTACAGGACAAAAATTGAATCTAGAGGATATCATCACTCCAGATCTGAAGCTCGTACACCAATTGTATGATGTCACAGCAGATATCAAGGCATGTAAGGATACATTGAAGCTATTGGGCAGTGGGCTTAAAGGTGAGGAGGAGATGATCAATGATGGAAATTTGGACACATGTGTGAAAGCTGCACGAGGGCTCGGACGAGAATTATTCTGGCTCGAGGTTACCAAGCAACAGATCGCAAAGACCATGGGGCTATCTACATAGGGTATTCTAGGGTAAGTTTCGATTGGAATTGACTTGAGTAGGAAACCTATTGAAAGGTTTGGGTGTGCATACAATTTACATAATAATATTTCAACCATCAATTAAATTGCCCAATTAAAGTAAAAAAAGATCGGGGAAAAAAACATCAGTCACCATTAAATAGCCATCATTACAACTTCTGAAAATTTCAATGTTTCCACCTTACGGCTACACTGTTTTTACTTACCCCCTCCCATAAAACACCCCAACTACTCCTTCCTATTTGGGAAAGTCCCATAGTTAAGGTGAGCGCCGCACGATGCTCACCAAAAGCCAGAAAAAATTCATACAAAACTTTTTCTATAAACCACAATGTCTGAGGAATACATGATCAAGCCCGAGAACGTGGCTCCTTCCAAGGATACCTCGGAATGGCCACTCTTGTTGAAAAACTACGACAAATTGTTGGTTCGTCTGGGCCACTACACCCCAATTCCTGCTGGTGCTTCTCCATTGAAGAGAGACTTGAAGTCCTACATCTCTTCTGGTGTTATTAACTTGGATAAGCCATCCAACCCATCGTCGCACGAAGTTGTGGCATGGATCAAGAGAATCTTGCGTGTGGAAAAGACCGGTCACTCCGGTACTTTGGACCCTAAGGTCACTGGATGTTTGATTGTCTGTGTCGACAGAGCCACTAGATTGGTTAAGTCGCAGCAGGGCGCTGGTAAGGAGTATGTGTGTATTGTTAGATTGCACGAGGAGTTGGATGATGCTAAGGAGATGGGCCGTGCTTTGGAGAACTTGACTGGTGCTTTGTTCCAGAGACCTCCATTGATTTCCGCTGTCAAGAGACAGTTGAGAGTTCGTACCATTTACGACTCCAACTTGATTGAGTTCGACAACAAGAGAGGTCTCGGAGTGTTCTGGGCCTCTTGTGAAGCCGGTACCTACATGAGAACCTTGTGTGTTCACCTTGGTATGTTGCTTGGAGTTGGAGGACACATGCAAGAATTGCGTCGTGTTAGATCGGGAGCTATGGGTGAGAACGACAACATGGTCACCTTGCACGACGTCATGGACGCCCAGTACGTCTACGACAACACCAGAGACGAGTCTTACTTGAGAAAGATCATCCAGCCTTTGGAGACTTTGCTTGTAGGCTACAAGAGAATTGTGGTCAAGGACTCTGCTGTCAACTCTGTCTGTTACGGAGCCAAGTTGATGATTCCAGGTTTGTTGAGATACGAGGAGGGCATCGAGTTGTACGACGAGGTTGTGTTGATGACCACCAAGGGTGAGGCTATTGCCATTGGTATTGCTCAGATGACCACTGTTGACTTGCAGTCGTGTGACCATGGTGTGGTTGCCAAGGTCAAGAGATGCATCATGGAGAGAGACACCTACCCAAGAAGATGGGGTTTGGGTCCTGTTGCTCAGAAGAAGAAGCAGATGAAGGCTGATGGTAAGTTGGACAAGTACGGTAGAGTCAACGACAACACCCCAGAGTCCTGGAAGCTGGAATACAAGGACCACGCTGACGAGCCAGCCCCTGCTGTTCCTGAGTCCAAGTTGGTTGCTCCAGAGATTCAGTTGCCAAAGAAATCCGAGGAGAAATCCGAGGAGACTGAGGTGACCGAGAAGAAGGAGAAGAAGGAAAAGAAGGAGAAGAAGGACAAGAAGGACAAGAAGGAGAAGAAAGAGAAGAAAGAGAAGAAGAGAAAGGCTGACGACGGGGAAGAGTCAGAAAAGAAGAAGAAGAAGAAGTCTAAGGACTAACCAGCATTATTATTTCCCCTTTGTACATTGCTTTAAAGAACCATCGAAAATGCTTAACTTGTAGACGTGAGTAAGGAACTGGACTTGTAGTAGCTGTGATTAATCTATAAGGATAGTATGAGCGCTGATTGAAATTATGCTGATGTGCTGGAATTAATGTTGACTTTAAAGCCAAATTGAAGTCTCGCAAGTTTATCCTGGACGCTGTGCTCTAAAGCCTGAACTTTCATTTGCAACAACTTTCGCTCTTCCAAATCATCCATTTCTGACTTTTTGCTTATGGCCTCTCTCAAAAGAAGAATCATCAAGATTTTGGAATTGTCGTCCTGGTCGGAAATCCTGCCGAGACACAGAGAGAGGAGCTCTTTTCGGTGTTCAAGATTCAATGACATATTGTAGAGGACAAATGTACCCAAAACAGATATCAATTCTCTTGGAGGAGATTCTTTGAGTAGATCTTCAAATTCAGTCATCATTGTGGAGTCACGGTGGCTGGAGTTATTAGTGAAACCTTGTTGAAGGTAAATGCAAGATAGCACCTTGAAGGAGAGTTTAAACATCAAGTTGAAGCTCGCAAAACTCTTGAAAGATGAAGTTTTGGTGCTCGTGTCAAGGGCTTGGGAAAGGTCTTGGTATAAATCTCCCAATTGATTTCGACTGAAGCCCAAGTTTGATTTTGTTTGAGGTTTCTCAGAGTCCGACCATGAGTGAATTTCGTATTCTGTGATTTGAAGCAAGTGAAGTGTGGCAAACATGAAAAGCTCACTATTTCCATCAATTGGAGTCATGGATTCGCATCCAATGCCCAAACCTCTTTGTAAATAGGAGATCTTGTGAGAAGCTTTGCTTGTGTTTCCGGAAGAGCAAAGCTGCCGTACCCTCATGTAGTAGTATTTGCTGGCAGCCAAGTCTCCTGTGGCTTGGAAGTATATGGCAGTTAAATAAAGAAAGCGTGGAATGAGAAGCTTGTAGTAACTCAACTCTTCCTTGGTGAAGTTCTCAACGTCGAAGTCATTGATGAACTGCTGTAGAAACTTGATGCCTGTGAAGTCGTTTTTTTCCATGAATGAAACCCAGATCCTATAGTAGTAGACAGAGTACCGAACATAGTTCAAACGAACAATTTTGCCAGTGAGAAGTCGAAGAGAAAAGTTTCTTGCACCAGGTCTGGCTTGAGTCAACTCCTCAAGCTGCAGCTCGATGATCTCAAGACACGTCGTAAAGACTTTATTTGCCTTCTTGAATGAGGACCGCTCAGACAAGAAGAGAATGCCACTAAGAAAGTAGAACATGATCACAAACTCGTCTGAGTTCAATCCCTGCAATGCAAACGGAATCTCGGTTTCACCCTGCCTCAAGAACATTCTCACTGAACCATCCTCATTCCAGTCTGGCCAGCCGTTTTTCCGCTGAGTGGTTATAAAGTCGGACACATCTTGTAAGAATTCCTTACCCTTCTTGATTTGATTCGATTGCACATAGGTAGAGAGTTGTACTAGATGACACATGGCAAGAAACTGGGCAGGAGCATCTGCTTTAAGAGGATCCATCTTGTGCAATAATTCTTGAGCAGTTTCGGGACTACCACGGTACAAGTGCAAATCTGCCTGATAGAGTGATGAAAGCAACTTGATATTGGGTTGGACATCTGGCTGCAAACTCAATGATTGTAGTAGAACATGTCCAATTGTGGAGGATGTGACAATTACATGTGTGGAACGCAACAAAGCAAATAGGTCAGCGATGCTCGTCATGTTCTTCTTCATGTACGACGAGTACTTTTCAGATAAAAACGCTTGCAAGAGATTGGGGTCGGACATCTCGAGAATCTGGCAGTAGAGTAACTCGCTGGTGACGGCGATTTTGGTCAATGAGTTCCTGTTGGCAATCGAAATGGCCCGGTTGATGTAGGTGTCTGCTAGATCTAAGTTGTCGGTCTCGAAGAAGTAGAGACTGGCAATGTTGAGATACACCACCAGCTCCAAATCGAGATTGAGCCTTGTGTTGTATCTTGTAGCGAGCATGAGCAACGATTTCAATGCCGTTTTGATGTAAGTGTAGTAGGTCTTTGTACCCTGGATATCATTGGCGTCCAACACCGTGGAATATGCTTTTTTGATGAAGAAGTCAGAGATTCTCACAAGCATTGCGATATGGAAGTCAGCAGACTCTGGTTTTTCCGTACATAACAGAGATAAGAGCTGGGTTGACATCTCAATCTCCATTTCGGATTCTGGAGCATCTTTCCCTTCAAATCTATCTGAGGTGTTACCAATCTCAACCTTTCCAGTATTTTCGCTTCTCAGCTTCTTACTCAGCTGTCCTAGTTCCTCTCGCTTCTTCATATCATTGCCTTCCAGGGGCAAATCCAGTAATACCTGAAACTCTGAATCAGAACCAGTAGGTAGGAATTTCGACAAGTTTTGCTCATATTTCTTTTCAAACAAGGTCTTGGGGGGCTCGTAGAATCTTGAGGTAGATACCGCCGAAATACTTTTCAGAGATTTGGCATTAATTTCCCGGGAATTAGGGCGTGACGATGTAAGAATCAGAGCTTGATCCAGACTTGAGGAACTGGGTCTACTGGACGAACGAGATTTTGATTTTTTTCGTGGAGAATCTAAGACGACCTCCCTTCTGGAACTATCAATGACACGTTTGAGAGGGTGTTTTTTTCGGCTCTTTCCGTACACATTTCTCTGCATTACAGACGTGTAGTTGGCTTTGTAGATTCCACACACTATGTACAATACATGCATCTATATCATCACTACAGAAGGCGTTCATAAAAAATTCCTTTGCTTCTATAAAACCTATTATACACGAATTCTAAACATTAATATCCAACTTTGCCAATTTGTCTTCTAGCTGGCGCCTCTTGAGACGCTCCTCGCCCAACTCCACCTCGTAGCGATCTTGCATGTCCGTCACCATCTTCTTGAACTCTTTACGCAAAATAGCGCTGCTTGCAGAATTAGATTTCTGGGTCGGGCTCACATTGTTGTTAATATCAGGGGCAAATAATAATGTGGGAGATGCAATGGAGTTGCGTGGCGACTTGTTTCCCAAGTACTCCACTTTCAAGAGGTTGATATCCTTCCTAAGCTGGGCGATCTCCTTGTCCTTAGCGTCCAAGGTATCGCGAGAGTGGTCATTGAGTGACATAGAGCTGCCGTTGCGGTATCTAGCAACCTCCTTCTCAAGAGCGGCGTTCTTGCGACGGTAATCCAGTATCGTCTTCAAAGAGTTCTCTTTCAAGTACTCATACTCTTTCATGAAAAATTGGTGGGAGAATCTCAAATCGTTTAATGCGATCTTGTATTCCGAAATTGTCTTATCCAGAGCGCTGTTATTGAGAGCATATGGAGTCGCCGATAAAAACGAGTGGTCGTTCAACACAGAGTTGTCAACTGACAGCGAGCCATCGGTTCCGCGAGTCAGTGTGCTTGTAGCAGTTGAAGGAGCGGATGGCATTGAGGGGGCTGATGAGGACGAGGGAGAGCGAACAATAGCATCGATACATTTTTGGGCCCAGGCGATCTTTCCTGGTAACGTGCTATCCAACTCTAAAGTGTGGTCAGGCAAAGGCACGTTCTTCTGTACGGCCAACGAGGCGATGTGTGCAAACAAGGATTCAAATGACTGTTGAGAGGCCGGGTCAATTGGAATGCCTTTGGAGGCAGAAGCCAAGTCCATGCCAGACGCCGAGGACGACAATTCCACATCTTTGACGTAGCCCAATACAAGGCAGGACAAGTTGTGGTTTGTAAGTTTCTGATTGAGAGAGTCGAGCTCAGCCGAGATGGTCATAAGCTGCTGCTGGAGCTCGATGTTCTGCTTGAGGATTTTGAGCAAAAGACCAGGGTCTAAGTCAGACACAGGAGATCTGCCTGGAACAGAAGAGTCCGGATTGGCAAGCAATGTAGAGCAGAACTGGTTGGAGATAGAAATGCGCTGCTCCAAGTATTCCTTGTGGTCTTTCTTATCGGCTATGAGCTGTTTCAACAGTTTGGCCTTATGCAATGAAAGCACGGACTTCAGAGACATTTTGGAGGCATCAAATACAGAGTTCTCGATCAAAACTTTCAAGTTCATGTAATTTGTCTTGTCGGCGCCGGAAACTGCCTTGAGCGGTTCCGAGATGTCAGACGAAGGGGTGGACGACCCAGAAACTCCATCTCTCAGAAACTCGTCGTTTTCGTCGTGGTCAAAGTCGATTGACAAATTGTTGGCATCAATTACATGCTGTAAATGGGCATTGAACTCCACATCCATGAGCAGCGGCGCTAGCATTGGTGGCTGTCTTGTTTGTTCATGAAGCAGAAACTTCAAGAGTTCTGGAGTGGTATTGTTGAGGTTATAGTGGTCACCGTTTGCGACCTGGAAGGGACTGTTCTTCATGAACGACTCGGGGTCCAACATGGTGTGGAAATTAAACGAACGAAGATTTTGAAGGAAATAGAGATAGGGTTAGGGATTTTTGTTTGATGGAGGATACTTGTGCCAGATACACCCGGACCTCCTTACAGTTTGTGACGCGTCGTCAAAGCAAAGTTGTTTTTGTCACGTGCAACGTACCAGATCGGAATGCTAGAGAGAACGACTAGTATGAAGACGTTCGCAAGTATTTGGAGCTTTGGTACATGATGAAGATGGTCTAAATATTTAATTTTTTTTCAATTTTTGATTTTAAGACCATCTGGATATTAAAGTCAAGAGTCTTTAACTTTGATATACAAATTGCTATACTGTACATAGTCCCATTTCGAGGCACCCAGTATCCCAAGAACACGAGGTTTTACGTACCTTTTTTGACCATTTCGTGTCTGCATTGGTGCTTATGATTCAAATAGCTTCACTTGCGTTGAATTGCCGTGAATTGGAGGAAATGCCCGTAGGATCGGCCAATGAAGTCGTAGTTGATTTTATGGGGTTTTAGAATTAATTTTTGGACTTACGATTTGACAAGGTAATGTAGTATTATGACAAAGAGAGTTGAAGTCTTTTCATTTCAGTGAGTAAACCCTATTTCAGTTATTGAATCCTAGTTCAGCCATAGTAGAATTGAATGGTTTTCAAGGTTCTGATTTGTTTCTGTAGTAGATAACATTGACTCAAGTATTCAGTCATTTTTTTCGATATTTACAACGTCTATTCTGTTTCTCTATTTCTAGTCTGAATTACGATAGACGTTCTGTATCCATGGTGTTTCACTACCAAGCTGTGTGCTATCTTCAAATGCTCATTAACATGCCAGGTTCTAGTAATATATCAAAAGTCGATTTTCCATAAACTCGTCGTCGAATTTCTTCCTAATTACTATCTAAAATCTCGAGCTGTTGGTTCTCGTCCGATCGTCCCCATTTCTCTCTTTTTGCACATTTTTCTACTATTATCTCCACTTTTTAGTATCTAAGCTTCTCAGCCTACTACTCTATCTACACTCCAGTATTCTAATCATCTACACCATGGAAAGACTACACCGTCTTCTCCAATCTGACCCTCTCAACAAAATCCCCGCCAAAAGTCTGGGGAATGTCCGTTTTCTAACATTCAATATCAATGGCTCAAAGACCTTGTTCAAATACCACCCTTGGAATGCTCTCCAAAACAGTTATGATGACTTCCTACTGTGTTTGGACGCGGACATAGTATCACTTCAGGAGCTCAAGGTGCAGCTGGATGCCCTCACCCAGCTTGGTTTACTCAAAAAATATACCTGCTTCGTATCTGTTCCGAAATCGAAGAAAGGCTACAGTGGTGTTGCTCTCTACGTGAGAAAACCTACTGATCAAGATTCAAATAGACTTAGGCAGTTTTTGACGGTTGTCAAGGCCGAAGAAGGTGTCACTGGAAGACTTCCAAGTGGCAATTCCCTGAAAACTCCATATTTCTTGCTACCGCCTCAGCAATCCATCGGTGGATACCTTGAGGATGCGGATCTCCAAGAGTTGGCTATTGACGAAGAATACATGCAATCGCTTGATAGTGAAGGGCGTTGTGTGGTGGTAGAGCTAGCCAACAACGTGGTTGTATTCTCCTTATATTGTCCGGCTAACTCCATGGGCACAGAGGATGGAGAAATGTTCCGGCTCCTGTTTCTTGAGGTACTACTACGAAGATGTCGGAACCTTAAGCAAATGGGGAAGGAGGTGGTGATAATGGGCGACATCAACGTGAGCATGGACCTAATTGATAATGCAGAGGGCATAAATGTCCGCATCAAACAGAAGAAGGTTATTAACAATCTCTCTGAGGGGCCTGCTGCGTTTGAACTGACCAACTCAACTGAATGTTTAGAATTTCGAACAAGTGCCCCACAGAGGCTATTACTTAATGCTTATACCTACCCGACGTTGCAAGGAGCTCCTACTGTGCCTACCCAATTTCTCTACGATACGACTCGAGTGGTTCAAAAACGACGTATGGCCATATACTCGGTGTGGAACACCATGACGAATGCCCGACAGTCCAACTACGGGTCTCGAATTGACTTGATTCTTGTGAGTTGTCCGCAAATGGCTCAGAATCTCGTCAAATCCGATATTCTTCCCTACTTGCATGGTTCGGATCATTGTCCAGTATTTACAGATATTGACACTGCCTACCAGGAAGAAGCAGACATTCCACTAGCTGTGAAATTGCCTTTTGAGGCTAGAACATTCTATAAGCTAGTTGTACATCGGGACATCTCGTCAATGTTTGGAGCTTGGAAGAAGGAGGAGAAAGCTGAGAGAGCTTTGGACAATCCGGAGATTAGAAATCTGGACATAGAGATGTTGGAGCTGAAGACGTCTGATCTCGACAATTTTGATCTGAAACTGCTGGAGGAACCCAAAAGTATCCTGGGCACTCCCGAACCAAGGGCCAAGGCAGAAATAAAACGAAGAAAATTGGAATACTCCAGCCGCAAGAAGACCGATTCACAGCAGCTGATCAAGAACTTCTTTTTCAAGGATGGTGATAATTCCACTTCAAAAAAGACAGATGAGCCTCCTCCCAAACCCACTAACGCCGTCAAACTACATTCCATCAGTGGTTTTGCATCCATGGTCTACAATGATCCACCCACATGTCGACACGGAGAACCTTGTTGTCTTAAAACAAGTCTTACCAAAGAAAGCAAGGGCAAGAAGTTTTGGTGTTGTGCAAGAACATCGAAAGGTAATTCGGAAACACTTGGAGAACACCGTTGTGAGTTCTTTGAATGGGCTAGAGTTAATAGAGCGAAATAAAGAACGTTAAATACCTTCAGTTGTCAATTTTTTTCCTTTTATATTTCGTCATCTAATCTATTTGAATAGGGATCAATCATAATGGGTCAGGTCGCCATTGCGAGGTTGGAGGGTGGGGATTAAGAACAAAGAACTAAATGAAATGCAACCCACGCAAATCCCTGAACAAGGCAACCAAAATGACAAACTTAAAAATACAAATCCTTTGACCTCCCAACTTTTTGCCTCCAAAGCGTGATAAAACTTTAAACCCCAATAACTAGTGTACACATCTTACGATTTACGGAATTCACTCAACACAGGGTAAATGGCCTCGAAAGCAGCATAAATCTCCTCTCTTTGCTTTGCACCTGTGAGAACAATCTTCCCGGAAACGAAAATTAAAAGGACGATCTTTGGCTTAACCATTCTGTAAATCAAGCCCGGGAATAACTCTGGTTCATAGGACGAGAAAGTTCCGTGCGAGAAGGCCAAACCTTCCAATCTGATGGGGAACTTCACGTCACATGAGCCAACAATATTCTGGATCTTGAAGTCAGTGAACTTGGCATTGAAACCCAACTTTTGGATGATACGGGCATACTTTCTGGAAGCCAATTTGGAGTCGTCTTCAGACTTGGCACCAGTCACAACCATCTTACCAGAAGCAAAGATAAGAGCGGTCGTCTTTGGTTCTCTGATTCTCATAATAACAGCAGCAAAACGCTTTGGATTGTACTCTGCATTACGAGCATGCAAGGCAATGGTCTTCAAGTCCAAGCGACAATCCAAATTCACAGTTGCAACTATATTCTGAAGAGTAGGAACAATGCCCGACATGGCCGTATCGTCATCGATATCGTTGGGTTCCTTAACGCCAATATCGTCCTTCTTTACCATGTTAGCCTCATTAGTGTCAAGGCCCTGTGGAAGGGAGAAGGAGCCAGCCTGAGTGAAGGCCGAAGCTGCTGCGGCATTTGTAGGCAATTTGAGCGAATCCATCTTCTATAACTGTATGTAAAAAAAATTTATTGAGGATATGTTTTGCAGACAAAGATGACAAGTTAATGTATCCTTGGATAACTGGGGATCACTTCAAGTGGTTCTTCCCAGAGTAAGTGGCAATCAACGGATATACAGATGAAATATATACTGTATATAAAGCACGAAATGACACAAAACCGAAATCTCCAACTGGAGGAAATTTGGCGGATCCCCGCGCAATTTATAGTCATGGGTCATCGGCCGGGTAACGGTCATCGCCCCGATGATTGGATGCAGGATGGCTTACTCTGCCAGTTCAAGAGACAATTTCAGACAATGAACGAAGAAGCAAAAAAATCCAAAAAAAAATCCAAAGTAGTTGAATTTCATTCATTTTTTACATCCCTTGGTTTGGCAAATCTATGCTTTTTGAATGTGGCGCATGCATAAACGTCATTTCAACACACTAGCCACCATCTTCCTCATAAAGAAACATCACAACTAACGCTCTCTTAAGAGCTTGTTTCTCTTCTCCTTCTTTCTCATTCTCTCAACCTTCTTAGCATGCATCTTCTGTGCGATCTTCTCATATCTCTCCTTCTCTTCTCTGAGTTCTCTTCTTCTCTTCAACTCAGTAATCTTACGGTTCTTTTCATCCTCTTTTTCCTGTTTCAAGTCGTTCAATCTCTGCTTGTACTGCTCCTGTTGGAGTTTTTGTTGCTCTCTGAGTTTCCAAGTGCTGAGCTTCTTGACACCAATGGTCTTGACTCTGAATGCATCTTTTTTGATTTTCCACTCTTTACCGTTGACTCTTGGTCCTTCACCAACATCCTTCTCGGCGAGTGGATCGATATATTTTTTAGGGATATCCTTTAAGGCTTTGTCTGCTGTGGCACTCATGGTGAAAAAGAAGTGATGGTGAAGAAATATTGTAGGATGAGGTTGATATATTGTGTGTGCAGGAGTTGGGATTACTAGTTCTACGAATGGCCGCAAATTTCATGTCCTGTTGAATTTGAATAATTTATTAACATTGCACATAATTCTTTCTACACTAACTAGTTTGTTATCTAAGTACTCGATGTTTCAATAACTTTGTTCAAATAATCACATCCACTCCAGGTAAGTAATGAAACTTATCCCGCGGAACTTTGGTGTCCACTAAAAGAAGCTCCTTGAGAGACTTGGGGAACACGTAGCCATCGAGACTGTCTATGTCACTTTCCGCAAGACTTAGATACTCAATTGAATTCGGAAACTCAAGGGATGAAAAGTCACTACCTTCATTCCTCCGGAATTCTAGTTCCTTCAAGCTCCCAGGTAATTTGTCCAATATCTTTTGAACATCAGGGATATCACAGTACATGGTGCATAACGTTCTGAGAGACTTGGGAAATTCAAAATCATGCGATGTAATCCAACATGTATCTGAGAAATAAAGACCTTCAAGTTTTGGAGGGAACTTGTGCCATACCCTATTCACACCAGAGCAGGATAAGACTTTGAGCGTAAGTGGAAGCTCTATGAGATATACGCTTTGGTGGTTGTAAATTGACAAGCTAGTCAATGAGCTTGGCCATCCTCCAATTCTTTTTCGTGTAGGCTCATATATAAATTGGAGGGTTAGCAGGGTCAAGGTCAGAGGCACCTGCGAAGGGTCAAAATGGTATAGTAACGCGGCTTCTAAAGAGTAACTCGAGAATTGAATTTCTTTGAGAATCGAGTACTTGGACTCGTCCCAATCATGGTCATCTATGTGAACATGGGAGATTCCAGTAACGAAAGAAGGATTGTCTTTCAAAAACAAGAGAAGTTCTGTCTTGCCGGGCAAATCGAGCTTCCCAATGGGAGTATCGAGTTTTGCTAATCTCATTAGCTCTCCCAATTCTCTTACGGAAACCGGCTTTAACAATCTGGATCTAGCCATCAGCCTGAGTGTTGAATTCGCAGGTAAGTTCTCATAAAGGATTTTCAATGGTCGCTCTGTCATGAAGAGAAAGATGAGCTCGATTACCTCTAAGGGGAAGATTTCAGTTAGAATATCAGACATTGTAAAGTGAGCTGTGAACCCTGTTATTCGCTATTTTGAAGGCATTTAAGTACAATATTATTTGCGTTTGAAACCATGGTTGCCGTCTAGGTCACGAATTGGAATTGGTCATATGAGTCACATCTGGTGTCGGTTAGCTCGCTCATACAGTTTTTGATTCAGAGCCAGGGTCTCTGTATTGGGTCCTAGACAGAGAACTTAGTCCGTCATACAGGAAGACGAATTAGGAAAACAGAGTTCTACCTCTGACAACTTAATTGATGTTTATTCTCATGTGTGGTTGGGCACCATTGAAAACTCAACCAGTAATTCATGGATACTCGTGGTGATGAGCCAAGGGCTGCGAGTTTCACGTGTCATTGAATTTGAATACAATCAATCAATCTCACATTTATCCAACCTCTGGGAGACCTTCAAGCATTTCAAGTATTTTGCACTCTCATTTCTTACCCTCAAATGGCTCACTGATTGTGGAACATTCACTCGACTGGTTATGTCAATCAACACCATTTTTTGCGATTGGGCAATATTTCACGTCTAATCTTCTTTACTACTTCATTTAATTTTGAGTATTTGAAGTGATTGCGGGAGGTTGAGGCCGGAGACGTTGAGTTCTCGAGAGCTTGGTGGTTCGAGTATGAGTCGTTTCAAATTGGTTGAAAACTTCAATTTCTCTGGATGATTTTGATCCTTCATCTCCAACTCCTCCAAACCATCAGGAAGGATCGCCTGCCACCAGTCTTCTACGTTGTTGCCACCGGCCCTCAAAACCCTGAGAGTGGAGGGAAAAATCACATCTTTCAAGCTGATGGTTTTGTCCCCTTGTTGATATGATACATCAAGAACTTCCAACTCAGGAAATGTAGTTCCCTTTAAGCTAACTATTTCGTTGCCCGATAAATGGAGTTCTCGGAGCAGATGGGGGAAGATAAGGCCGTCTAAACTCTCAATTACATTTTCATTCAATTCGAGGATCGCAAGCGAATCTGGAGAATTCAAATTTTGCAAACTCAGGATTCTGTTGTAGTCTAAATTGAGTTTTCTGAGAGACTTCGGAAGTGCGACACCCTCAAGAGTCTCTATGTCACATTCCTCAAGATCAAGAGTTTCAATCGAATGGGAAATGAAAGGGAGGATAGCTTGCCGCCAATATCATCTCCCAATTTTAGAACCCTCAATTTTCCAGGTAACTTATCCACCAACTTCTCAATATCAGGAAGACAGCAGTACAAAGCCAGCAACTCCCTGAGAGATTCAGGAAATTTTGTACTGTCTAAAGGTATCCAATCAGAACTTTCAAAAGTTAGCTTTCGAAGCTTCGGAGGGAAATCGTGCCACACACCAGCCACTCCATGGCAGGATAATTCTTTAAGTGTATTGGGGAGCTCTATAAGAGATGCTTCTTTGTGGTTGCAAATTTTCAATTTAGTTAATGAACTTGGCCATCCTCCAATTCTTTCTAACTGATGGTCATAAGTAAATTGTACAGTTATCAGAGTCAAACTATGGGGAAGCAGAGACGGGTCAAAATAATCAACCAACCCGAGCTTCATTGGAGAACTCTTCATTTGAATCTCTTCGTGAATCGATTGATAAGCCCCATTCCAAGATTCGTTATTTCCAGTCTTATTGTCAGCACAAAAAATTCTAGAAACGAAATAAGGCTCCTCCTTTGGAAACATTACAAGCTCATTCTTGCTTGTCAAAGTCATCTTGTCAATAGAAGTATCGCAATCTGCTACTCTGACTAACTCATCTAATTCACTCACAAACTTCTTTTGGTACAATCTGGATATAACAACTGACTTCAATGTTGAATCCTCGGTAAAATTGTCATGGAAGGTTGCCAATGTTTCGCCAGGCATGAAGCGAATGATGTTACCGATGACTTTCAAGGGAAAATATCAACTAGGATGTCAGACATGGTAGATCAAGCAGTTTAACTTGTTATTCTCTGTATTGAAGGTGAAGTACAATTTCACTTCGCATTTCATGAAGAAGAGCTGACTTCATGGTCATGAACTGGAATAGGCCAAATGGGTAATCGTGCATGTAAAGATATATAGATACGTCTTACTTATGTTGGAAAACATTGTCCATCATACTCGCCACAAAATAACAAAATGTATTAATGAAAATTTACTGACAACTTATCTTATGTTTTTATTCAATAATGATAATGCATTGGGTCATTTTTGAGATCCAGTAACCATGAACATTTTCAATGAATTTTATGTGTTATTGAATTGGAATACACTGTCATGATACTCGCCTCTGTAACAATAAATCTCACATTTATCCAACCTCTGGGAGACCTTCAAGCTTTTCAAGTATTTAGCACTTTCATTTCTTACCCTCAAATGTCCTACTGATAGCGGAACATTCACTCGACCGGATATGTCAATCAATACCATCTTCTGCAAGTTTCCACACAAAGCTCTCATCACTTCTTCCGTTCAATATTTCAAGCGTTTGAAGTGATTGCGGGAGATTGAGTTGGGACACGTTGAATTTTCGTGAGCTGAGTAACTCGAGTGTGAGCTGTTCCAAACTGGGTGGAAATCTTATTCTCTCTGGGTGAAATCGATCCTTCATCTCCAACACTTCTAAGCCATCGGGAAGTTCCGTCTGCCACCAGTCTTTCACATCATGTCCGCTAGCCCTCAAAACTTTGAGAGTGGAAGGTAACTTAGCATTCTTCAAACTAGTGATGGTCTTTTCTCTAAGTGTGTCTGATACATCAAGAACTTCCAACTCGGGAAACGCTATTCCATCTAAACTGACAAGTCCATTCTCCGAAATATAAAGTTCTCGAAGCAGACGAGGAAAATCGAAGCAATCCAAATTCTCAATAACGTTGCAACTTAATCGAAGGATAACGAGAGATTCTGGATAATTCAAATTTTGCATGTTCAAGATCCTATTGTAATCCAAAGTGAGCTCTCTGAGAGACTTAGGAAACATGAAGCCCTCAAGAGTTTCAATTCCACATTGTTCAAGGTGTAGACTCTCGATTGAATCCGGAAATCTGAGAAATGATAACTTGCTACCAATATTTTCTCCCAATCTCAACATCCTCAATTTCATAGGTAATTTGCTCACTATCTTCTTGACTGTTGGTAGCCGACAGTATGCGATCAGCAACTCTCTGAGAGAATCTGGAAACTCCAATTCGTTTGAAGGGACCCAATTTGAACATTCAATAGTTAGTTTCTGAAGTTTAGGAGGGAAACTGTGCCACATTTCTTTCACTCCATGGCAGGATAATTCTTCTAGAGTATTTGGAAGCTCTATGAGATGTAACAGTTGATGGTTGCAAATTGTTAATTTGGACAATGATCTTGGCCATTCTTTGATAGGTTTTAGCGTGTGATCATAATTGAATTGGAGGATTATCTTTTCTAAGTTTTGAGGAATCAATGAGGTGTCAAACGATTCTAGCCCTCTAAGTTCGAGAGAATATCGCTTGAATTGAATGTCTTTGAGAATCGAGTACTCAGCTTCATCCCAAGCCTTTATGTCAACGAAAGAGACTTTTGAAATAAAGGAAGGGTTCTCTTTCAAGAACATGACAAGTTCATTCTTACCTGTGAAACTCAACTTATCAATGTGAGTAGCTAGAGTAGCTGCTTTGACTAACTCATCCAATTCACTCACAACCGTCTTCTTGTACAATCTGGAAATGACCACCGGCACAAGTATTGAACCTTCAGGTAGAATGTTATAGAAAGATGTCAATGCATTCTTGGGCATGAAGAGGAGGATGACATCTATAACCTCTAGAGGGAAGATTTCTAATAGTATATCAGACATAGCAAATTGAGCTGCTCAGTCTGTTTGTTTTATTCTATCAAAGTGCCATTGAAGTTTCTTTATTTTTGGCACAGTAAGAAATTTTAATAATGACCCGAAAATGAAAATAGGAGTCATGTTCTTGGCATACCCTATGTCCATCATACATAACCAAATGATTAGAGTTCAAAATTACATCAGTTTTCAAATTTCTGACATATTAAATGATAAATAGTTTCATGTATGGTATTCAAGGTTACAGTGTGGCCGGTACTTTATCCCATTTACGATGGGTAGAAAAACCACGGGGCCCGCTGATGCGGCCCGATTTGAGGCAGTGTTCTCGTTTGTTCTATCCTCTCGGTTGCGTTATAAATTGTGTTCATAAATATGACCAATAGTTCCTGGTCAGCCGCGTGTGGTATTCCTTACCGTCGGGTACTTGACGGCCTCGGCAACTTAAATATCCTTATGCTCAAATGTTAATGTCTCAGGTAGTACAGTTCGCAGCAAACCCCGGCGTATCAAAGCGTATTCCGAGACTTGCAACACGAGAAGTTCAGACAGAATTGTGGAGTTCAGATAAACCAAGAAGTGAACGTGGACTACCCATCCAACACCTCTGCCTGTTTGTCAATGAGCAAGATGGCCCGCCTGGTCCATTTTCTCGTCCTCGTGTACCGCGAAAAGCCATCCTGGTAGGCGGGTCTCTTCCAGTTTGTGTCGTAGTACACCCAGCCACTCTTATAGCGAGAACGGTTAAACTCCTGGTCTATAGACCACTTATCATCCATCCATTGCCACAGATACGTATACAAGTCGTTCTCAAACACAGGAAACCGGAACTCTGTCTCCAGCCACGGATCTGGTGCAGACATCATCAGCGACTCGTAGCAGAAACTGGCCCGTTCACTGGGCAACAAAAGCTTGGACCAGCCAAGCCCAATCCACCGCCTCTCGTTTTCTAAGATGTCGAAACGCACGGTCTGTCGCAACTGCGTAGGCGACATGATCACTTTGCGGAGAATTGTGAAGTTATTGACCATTTTCACTTTGTCGGACGCAGGTACTCTGCTTTCGGTGAGCTCCTCGATGTCGGTGGTTGCTGCCGAGTGCGTCCGCGAGATAGTCGAGTGACCGGCTCTCTTACAGAGGAGATCGTCGTTTCTAGCCGTACGAATGTCTAGTCCTGTGAGGTAATAGGCCACACGACGCACATACACTGATCTCCAGATCAATCTACGGATAGCAAACGACCACGGCGAGTGAAAGGTCAAGAAGAAAAGGCCCATGACCCATAAGTATCTGCGAGGAGACAAGATGGTATTTGTGAGAACTAGCTGAAGTGGCGTGGCTAGCAATACTCCAATGAGCATTTTGTAAGAATTCTGTCTTGTCAATTGGAGATGCTTTGCCGGACGCAAAAAGAGCTCGAATCGCACAGTTATGTTGTGGAGAGTCAGAAGCACTTCATCTAAGGTGGGCCTCTCACCATATTTGGCGTCTTGCATTACGGAGTTGGTGGTCCACACCACACTCGAGAACACAAGTGACATGAGCATGGGAACAATCCAATACTTCAATGTTTGCCAGTATAAGACAAGAACCGAGTAAGATACCACCAAGAGACAATTCTGGTAGGGGTCGCCATTGGTCCATGTGATGACTTCGAGGAAGTAATCAAAGAAGAGTAGGTAAGGAAAGATGTTTGAGAGAGCTGAAGCTAGGATAGGATTTTCAACCAAAAGTTTTGTTTGCGAAGTCGACGTGAGCAATTTGGCCTCAGACGGCTCAAATAGGGCAAAGACGACCTCGTCGGACATAGTAGACAACGCTCAGAGAAAAGGTGGTGGTAAAGAATGGAGAAAAGTGGATATTTGTGGAGAAATCATATGAAAGGTGCACGTGAGAGATGGGACAATAGTTATTGAGAAACAGCTAAGAAATAGATGGGATTTCGTGACTTTATGGAGTCTTTGAGAATTTTGAAGAGTTTCAGTTATGTCGCTTAGTTTGTTTAGTTTGACATCATACTGAATTTGCCTTTTTTCTGATTTTTGGTTAGTCTTTACGATTTGGTCATTCCATGAGTATTCGGGTATAGTGGGGCAAGTTTGACAGAAAATTAAAACAGGAGACAATAGAGTTATACGATACAGAAGAGAAGAAATTAAAAAAATAATAAATAAAAAAATGAATGAATAAGGCTGGAATGTAAGTGATTCAATAAATTCGTTATCAAGACTACAAGCCATCACCTGCTAGTTCTTCTGATCTAATATCTAATTTATTCTTGAATTCGCAGTTTGTAGTTAGTACCCTTGCGTAGCAAGCAAGTACACCAGAACATAAGAGCCTTGCATTGGTAGTCAAGTTTAAGCCAAGGAAAATACAATGCATGGGAAGTAATGATTACTTCTTGTTAATTATTGAATGTAGATAGAAGATCAGTTCACGATCTGACGTAGATCGTATCATAATTGGACCTAGTCATTCAAGGTAGATCATTTTTTGACCTTGTTTCTTGTGTCACACGATCCCATTCCCAACGGATACAATATCTCTACTTCCTACTCCAAATTAAACTATAATCTATTCCAATATATATACAACCGGTCCCTAGGCATTCTTTTTGGCAGCCTCCTGCTCTGCAAGATAACGCTTCCACTCTGGCACTGGAGCAGGCTCCTTGGCTGCCAATTCACGCTCGTGCATGCTTAACAAAAGCGTACTCAACAACAAAACAACAGTAATGGCCTGAGCGTAGACTCTGGCTTGCACTGCCTTCTGAGCAACTGTCATGTACTTGTCCTTGTTGACAAAGTACCACGAACCGTACAAAGAGGCAGCCCATGCACTGATGATGATCTTATACTTGTTATCGTTTACAAGCGTGAACGCTTTATCTGATGTGGAGAGCTTTTCCCAACGCTCCAACTTCTGCTTCTCCAACTCCTGCAAGTAGTCGGACCGATACATCTTCTCGTCGAACTTCCAGGAACCGTCATCGGCGAAGAAGGCTCCCATACCAATGGTTGGCATGGCCCACATCGCAGCCTTGATAGACAGATTGAATTTCAAGTAGTGAGTAGGGTACCTTCTCTTCACAGCACCCACAAACAAAGCAGCACATCCAGCACCAACCACACATCCCTTAATTCCTTCAACAAGGACGGTGTTCCAGTGCTCATTTCTTTCTTCGTCGTCAAGAATCTTCATTATTAGTTTTTATGATTGTGTCGATGCAAATTGAGGTTCGATGAAGTCGTTTTATATTGGAAAATTAATAAGACCATATTTCCACACTTCAACCGAAAACACCCGCAAAGCCGCCCGCCCGATCAAAAAGTTGCCTGATAAAGCAATGGCCGACGGTCATGCCCGCCCAGAAAAAGAAATCGTCCTTAGGGAATGCGACAAAAATCGCTCGGATACGGCACACAGCGCTCATAAGGTCGCATCTTTCGTACACTATGCGAGTAAACGATTGCTTTTGTGCTCGACTCCCACCTGATGGGCAACCTATTCTGTTGGGATTTACAAGTTGTTTCACACCAGAAATGACCCCCGGAATCCATGGAACTTGATAACAATTGACAATTCGTCACTTTTGTCCATCTATTCTATCAACTAGTGCCTGGCATCAATAATGCGAATATTGTGGCTTAAAGTTCTCTTTCTCCGGAGTTAATCACCCGAACTTCTCCACAACTCACGACATCACACACGATCATTAAACCTAAGATTTGATCTTCTTCTCTAACATCCGACGACGCTTATTAATGAAAAGCAACTCGTTACTTGTAGCCACGCCATCCTTACTAGGCTTCAAAATTCCATTCAATGTACTAGTAGTTCCGGAATAATACAAGTCATTCTCAATGAGCTTCTCTCCACCAAGGAAGATGATCTTGATGATGCGTCCAAAGGCAATGGCGACAGATTTGTAACCGTACTTGACAATACAGTTTGGACGAGTGCATGCAAACTCAGACTCTTCTTTGGCAACTTCGGGAACATTGTATTCTAAGAGCTTTCCGTTTTGAGCCGTGATGACAAATCCTTGCCAAAGTTCATTGATGGAAGGCTGCTCCACTTGAGAAGGCTGCGTATTGTGTTTTCTGGATCTCAAAGAAGAGAATCCATTCTCAGGCAACATTGAGAAAGCCGAGTTGGCAACTGGTTCAGTAACGTCCTCGCTTGGCAAATCGTTCTTACGAATACCAACAATGACATTCATATCGGTAACCTCCCACATCTCGACATTGTCATACCAGAAGTTCTTTTCAATCACGGAGTCAAAACCAACACATCTGATTTCCCTGGGATCTCTCTCCACTCTCAAGCAAATGTTATTTCTGGATTTTTTGTTCTCCACAGTAAAAGTTTGCAAGATAAGCATCTTTTCGTAGAAATCTTGATATACCAAAGTTATAGACTCAACCGATGCACAACCACAGAACTTGCAATGAGTAGGCTCCGAATGAACAACACGGAATGTGCCAGGCTTGAAATGACCAATATCAAACACCTTAATGATAGTGCCAGTCTGAATATCTACAAGTTGTGCTTGCAAATCCTTCACTCGAACAACCATTCCAACAAAATCAATGGTAATAATGGCCGACTGATTGATAGGTGGATACTTTTTGGCGTCAAAAAAGATGTTGCTATTGTTGTCTGGCCTGTCATGGTAGTTTTGTCTCTGCAATTCAAATGCTCCTGAGAAATCATTTCTCATGCTAATGGCTGAGCCAGTTCTTGACATCAATGGAGGAGCAAAGTTGACGGGTGGCTGGGAGGAAAAGAACACATCGATCTCGAGCTTGTTAAATCTCCAGATATTATTGACAGCAGTTCCAACAATAATGTCATCGTTGGAAAGGTTGCAAACAATTCTGTCATTAACTCTTGCAGTTTTCAACAACTTCAGCGAGATAATCTTGAGCCCCAGTAATTCTTTTTGGCCCTCAAAGAGCTGAGTAAGCGGATTGTAGACCTTGATTTTGAGATCGTCGCACGCAATAGTGACCATTTCACCAGACTCAAGAACGATAACAAATTCTTCCCGATGCAAAGAATCCTCGATCTCCTTAGCCCTCTCTTCATTCTCTTCTTTACCGGCTCTGCCCTCAGAGATCATAGGAGGAGGGTAGTTTCCTGTCATGGTCGTTGCAGACAAAATAGAAGTGGCGCTGTTTCTTCTGCGAGCCTTCTTCTTCAGAAGAAGCTTTCTTGCAAGGAAACCAGCCACCGTTCTTTTTCTGAAGAAAGCAGTAACTGGATGCATCTTCTTGGACAGTGTGAGCTCGCTGGTTAAGGAAATTTCCCAGACATAAGTCAAGGATTTCCGATCAAAACACTTGATTCGGCAATTCTTGTTGTTTATGAGAACAACGTAATTTCCATCATCGCTGATAACGATGTGATTGATGGGCCAGAACTCTGGCTTCTCAGCGTTTCCATCAGCAGATTCAAAGAAGGTTGAAATGTTCAATGGTGTGTCTCGTTCGGTCTTGCTCAAGGGCGACCAGATAAGTACTTTGTGGTCAAGGTCAGTGGATACCAAAAACGAGCACTTAGCATTGGACTCAAGCTTGAGAATATCACTTCCGTGAGATCCAGCCAATGTAATCGACTCAAAATACTTGATCTCATCACCCTTCAACAACTCTGCATTCGTGAGACCCGAGTCCGCCATGATCAATGCAGTGATTTCGTCCAGATCGACCTGCTTTCTCTGTCTCTTAGAATAAGTAAGAGTGAACGTTAACTGAGAGATGGCGATGACGAAAACGACAATAGTAAGAAGTTCGGAGTAGAATAGGAAATCGTAGGTCTGACTGACGAGTCCGTCAGGTTCCAAAGATACGATATGGGTTGGGTCGGCAACCAAACCTTCTGGAATAGCCAACTTGAGAAGTAGAATCTTGAAAATGGCAGGAGAAACGAGAAGTGGAGGCATCCAAATTGTCCAGAATCTCCAGGTAGACACAGACGAGACTTTCAAACAGTAAGTGCCTAGACGGTATCTGAACGTGTTGGGAGCTACAGGCGTTCCCTTGAGCCCAAGTAAGAAGGTGGAGATGGGGTTGACCTCATGAATAGAGGAGGTGACGTCGCTGGCGTTATCTGTAGAACTCTTGTTCAAAAAGTCGATGAGGTCCACTCTATTCAAATCAATGACGATTATTCCCACGAGGAAGGTCAACTGGAGAAGGTGGTCTAGCACCAAGGCAAGAATGGTGGCCACCAAAAAGGTGTTCAGACTGGAGGAAAAAAATGCCGCATGGGACTCGGTCAAGAAAAAGTGAACAAGCAGACGGATCAAGAACGAAATCACAGAGATACCAACCACGTTTATGAGAAGAATTATTGTGGTGTTAGGTACTGGAAGCAAGCTTGTAGACATGCGGTCCAACATGAACACCTTACGCAACAATCTGCTCACCTGGTATACACCCTGAGAGTTCTGAACGCTGCTGTTGATGCCGAGGTAGTACTTGATCAATCTCTTATGGATGTTCTCTGGAGCACCGAATGCATTGTCGCCAGCCAAGTCGTTGATGGTGCGGAAGAGGTTTCTCGAGCTGAGCACCATAGTCAACATAAAGTATGCAGACAATCCTCTCCAGCCAAGCGGACCAAACACTTCGCTCCATGATGAGGAACCCTTCACGTAGCAGATGATGCATAGCGAAGCAAACGCAGACATTGAGATCTCGGTGAGCCAGCCAATCATGAGCCCTACATTAGAGCGGATCTTGTGCTGGTTACAGATGGAAAGGTAGACATGCAACAACAACGCCACCATAAGGAGCCACTCAAGGGTCACCCACGCATCGGCCACCAAGCGGATGCCCAACAGGTCACCTCGCAAATACTGGTAATAGTGTCTGAAGTCGGAAACCAACGAGTTCAGGGTCGCCTGAGCTGTTTCCACAAGATTGAGCGAGGAAGGGCAGCTAGAAAAGTCCGGTGTACCGGTCAGCGAGTTGTAGAACACATACATGTGGAGTCTGCCAGCCAGCTGGATCAAGTGGTTCTTCTTACCCAAACGGTCAAAGTACAAGCGGGAGAGCTGGGAGTTCTGGTCGAGATTGAGCGACTTCAACACATATTTCTCAAGCTTGTCGACATCATCCGCAGTTGGAGACGCCACAGGCAACGGAATGGGCCATAGCAGCACTGGAGACAGAATGTAGGTGGAGACGTTTTTCAAAGAAGCCTGAAATGCCAGTAAATCGCACAAGTATGGGTAGCGCAAGGTATTAGGGGCATCGAACGTAAGCTTCACAACACCAAGCGAGTTGTCGGTGGGAAAATCAGCCGAAGATAGGAACAGTGGAGACTGTAAGTTGGAACCATCATGTAAAGTGAAGTTATTGAAATGCGACACCAATTTGCCGTTCAAGGGTCGTAGCGAGATGTCATAAACAGCATTATAGGCTAGAAGGAACACCGACAAAATGGAAAAGACGATGATGGACTTGGGTCTTCGCAAGAGTGAGGCAGTTGCCAGAATCAACCATGGGTGGATTTTCGACATGTTTGCATGGCTCTGCTCACGGCAAAAAAGAGGAATTGGACTGGATAATTGGGAGGATGTTCAGAGACAAAGACCGTGAAGGGAAAGATGCAGATGAAATCTTTAAAGCGCAGCGCACAAATGGTTAAAAAAATCAGTATTGTGGACCCGGGTTTGGATGGAGGTAACAATTGTCCAGGTCTATTCAGGTCTGTTCAAGTAGTGGATAATAGCACACGCAGGACAGGATTGAAATCGGATAGGGCCAGTCTTTCAATGAAGAAAAGCCAATTTGCAAAAAGGATTTATCTGGAAAAGTTCAGATAAGGGAAACTTTCAAAGCTCGGAGGAAAAAGGCAAAAAAAATATATATCTGCAGAGCACAACCAAATGTGTTGGTACCAATTATTTCAACCCTGTAGCGTAGTGGTGTATGCACATCTTATATACTCAGGCCCTAACGTGCCACTTGGTTTGGGCACTGACATGTCATTGCCGAGGAGCCTTGCAGAGTGACTAATGGCGAGATACCATGCAAAGTTACAAACAGAGAAGATGAAAGGTGATGATTTACATTTAGAGGCCAGGGGTTCTGACCTGATAATCCGTGACTAAAGTTGGAGACTGAAGTTATAAAATTTTGAATTGTCACTAAATTCTTTGAGGGTAACGTCTCAAGTCTAAAATGTCTCAGTCTAAAAGTCTCAGTCTCAAGGTGCACCCTCAGGCCCTAAAAGTTGCCGAACCAAAAGTCGCACTATGAGAGGCAGGTCCTGGCAATTTGGCACACCGCCTAAAGAAATAGGGTCTGGTATCCACACAAATATCCAGTAAGAATGTTGAGAAATTTGGACAAAATAGAAATCAATGAGAATTCTTTTTTTTTTTTGCAAATAGAATCCTGTCCAGTAAGATGACTACATTAGGCATTAAAACACCTTAAATCGGGAAAGGTAAGGATTTCTTTTAGAAGACTCTTCGTTGTCTCAGAAAATACTTCACTGCGTTGATATTGATTCTGGAATTGTCATGGTGTGACTGTCCCCTCACAAGATTTTTATATTTTTTATGGTGAGGATGGACAGATCGCAGCGAAGGAAAACCCTCCGATCGCAATGAAATTACGACGATCCTCACTTTCCGTCCAATTCCGAAGTGCCAAAACAACCCGACTTAGTTTATAAAAAACTTTGTTAGTTTTTATCTTTATTTCTTTCTTTCTTTATATTCTTTTTTTTATTGATCTCCTTGTCAGTGACCGTTCTAATCTATGACTTAAGAGTGTCGGAACTGTGTATTTTTGACCCCGGAGCTTTTCCATGGCCCCTTTCATACATTTTACGAGCGTTTGCTCCATGCATGTTAGTGGTCAACCAGTCAATTCGTTTACAGTCCATAAAAAGAGTAGATGATTCGGCATCAACAACATTGTCCTTTAAAGACTTCTTTACTTTCTTGTTGTTTCCAAATAAACTTGGCATTTACAAGAAAAAAATGCTCTTCGGCTAAAATTTTACCATATCACGTTGTGCACAGCCGTGGTGCTCAAAGTCACCAGACGACTCTCAATAAGATAAACTTTTATCTTGGTCAGGTGCATGGTCATCTGACTAAATGATACTAATCATTGAAGTATCTTTCTATTGTTTTTATTGATGCATGTGATCATCTCTGTCATTTTTTTTATATTGTTGCATAGATTTGTGTCATCCTTGTTCTGGTTGCTTACTTTACGTCTCAATGGCGTGAATATCTGTTTGTCATGATCAGATGTTTTCGTGAACCCAATCAAAGCCGTCAATGTATGCTTACTCATTACGATGTACAAAACTCCCACAGGCCAGCGTATATTCCTACTTGGCTCCCAAACTCGTTATACTCAAACTGTTCATGTGCATGAGTAACTCATCAATCCTACCGTCCAAAACTCCATTAGCATAGTCGTCCCTACTGGCCTGGTCCAAGTACTGCTGCACCTGTGCCAACCGAGAGTAACCCTCCGTACAGAATTTCAACTGGATCTTTACTAAACTTTCAAACGATGGGTCGTAAAATGGAACCCTCAAGCTAATGAGCTGCGGCAACTCTGCCTTCAATTGCTCGTTCAATTCGTCAAAAATTTCTTTGGCAATAGCCAATTCCTTCTCCGCCCGAGGCAATTTGCCCGCATCTTTAGCAGGCTTATCCACCAATCTTCTTACCTTGGCCTTGCATTGGTCATAATCGGTCTTCTTGTGAGCTCTCTTCTTAATTGCCTCATCAATCTCCGTGAAGTAATTGGCAAACTTAGTCACAGGGTCCAAAATCGTCTCCCGGAATGGCTCGTCCACCTGCTTGACTGTCTCCTCGTCTATCTCTCGCACACACTGTAAGTAATAGCCTCCAACGTTGGAGTACGCAGATCCGCCCTGTTTAGTATCCTCATATAAGTTGGACACCGTCTCTGCAATGGTCACTTGCGATGCTGTCACTGCTCTCAATGAGTCCAAGTACCCCTTGGATGCCTTTTGCAAGTTCTGGCCAGCAGTCTTCAATGTCTTGTATCTTCTCTCTTCTGTGTCGAAGTCCTTGTCAATGGTCTTATCGACATCTTTGACCATCACGGAGTTACCCGCTCTGTTGACAGCTTTCTTGAATCCTTCCCACGACATGGACTTTTGGGGTTTGGTTACAGATTGTTAGTTACGGGATGTAATTGGAAAGGTCACTGCGAACTGCCTCGGGTCACGTGTGTGGCGACAGTTCCGGAGAGGAAATTATTGTTGATATGTGATGGTTTGGACAGACAGAGAAATACAAATTACTCCATCTTAATCATTATTATGTTTACTTGGTTTTTCGAATTCTTTCTTAATTCTTGTTTCCCAATTTTTTCCGCCTTTAAGTTGCAAATCGCAATGTGATTCTAATCCTTGTTGTGAGCCCTCTACTTTTAATGTTTCGCAGCTTACAAATTCACATCCACAAACTTGAGCAATCCACAACTATAAGCCCTTTTGAAAAGTAAAAAATAAGGCGAACCCACCGTAATCCCAAATTATGCTGTATGAGGCCAATGATGAAAATTACCCTTTGCGGCCAATTCAAAAAGATCTGCTGGGTGTTTTAACCCCATCAACTCATCTCGCAAACATTAAGATAAAGAAACGAGGAACCAAGAGCCCAGGAGACAAGAGCCTAGAAGCCAGGAACCCCAATGCTGGAGGCCCACAAGCCAAAATCCCAGAAACCAAAATTCCAGAGACGAAGGATTTCAATGATGGAAACCTGAGACCTTTAGGTCTACAACTTCCCTTGCCAGTCCATCCAAATGCATATATTCCAGGTGCCTGGACAAATACGAAAGATTTGGGATATGTATCCAAATCTAATCCCATCGAATTAAAACGACCTTTATCACGTAGGTTTCCTCCAATTGACGAGGCAATTGAGGAGTTCTTTGAAGCCGGTAACATTTGCGAGAAGGAAAACATCGCAACCTCGCATGGTTTCTCTGGATTAGTTAGCCATCAAAATCAAAAGTCTTGTCATAACCTGGGAAGCAGCGCAAACCTTCGAAACCTCGACCAATTCAAAGACATCGAGCCTCACATGACAGCGCCACTTCCCAACATCTCCAAACTTGACCTCTCTCTCTTGAACTCCCAAAAAGATACCACCAATGTCTCAAATGCCGTCCCTCTCGCGGGTGCCTGGGAATTCAACTCTTGTGAGGAAAGCGACGAGTGTAGTCTCTTACACATTCTTACGCACGAATTGGAGCATTTGGACGATGCCAACCAGACTAAATCGCTCTGGGGAATCCTCAAGCAGATGACCATTGGTCTCAATGACGAAGAATACTTTGAGAAGTATCCATGGTCGAGATATGTGTCAGACGACAGAGAGAAAGACAGAGGTCTGGCATAGCTTTTGACATCACATTTCCACAAATCCCTTCCATGCCTCTGTATCCAACTTATCTTTATAAATTTCTTTGTGCTTCCACTTAGACTTTTCCGTCCGTAGCAATGTCGTCAGACAGTAGAGAGAAAGACAGAGGTCTGGCATAGCTTTTGACATCACATTTCCACAAATCCCTTCCATGCCTCTGTATCCAACTTATCTTTATAAATTTCTTTGTGCTTCCACTTAGACTTTTCCGTCCGTAGCAATGTCGTCAGACAGTAGAGAGATGCACCAGCCCACGCTCCAAGACATTGTTTGCCAGAAACAGCCATTGTAGGTAACATTCTGCGGAGCTGGGAAAGAAACGTGGCCTTAAACCCTGGGATCTTGGCCACGGCACCCAGAAAAATGACGTTTTGCACCACTTTGGGCCGCGTATCGAGTCCCAATCCCATAATTGTACTTGCGATCTCTCTGGGTAGACATTCACTGCTCAAAACCATGTTCAACGGATGTTCCATGTCAAGTTCTTCCAGATGCAACTTGTCTTTGCGCAATGGAGCTCCAATAAGGGCCTCAATGGCCTCGAAACCTGCGTTTCCACCCGCTAAGTTGTAATGCACAGTCTCCAAGGTGAAATCTTGGTAGCTGTTATCCAGAATTGATCGTAGGTCACTCACAACAGACACGCTGCAATCATGCCAGTCTATATGGACCACAATGGCATCCTCTACACTTGAGGCTACCGCACACATCAACGAATGTGGGAGAAACGATATGGAAGCACAGATCTTGTGCATCAAAAGGGCATTGGAAACCACGAATTTCTGAACTGCCAGGTAGTTTCCATCAACAACGAACAATTTGCACAGAGCAGGTGAGATGAGGAGTTCACGAGCAACGCAGTGCTTGAGAAGTCTGGCAAGGTCTTTATAGTCGTTGTGGTGCCAAACAGTCCATCTTGTATCTTGAAAGTCCGCATTGTAGTGTTCCACCATCGTATGGAGATCAGGACGCCGTTCTATAGCATCCACAATTTCTTTCCTATCAGAAGAATCAAGGGCGTGGGATTCTGTCTCCAAAAACCCAGGATACTGGCGCTGGGTAGAGCTATTTGAGATGAATCGTTTCCATAGTGGAGAGTCTGGAGTGAGATCCACATGGGGTTCCGGCTCGCCAGCAAAGCCAAGACGGAAAGTTCTAGGGGTGAAGTGAAAAATCACCGCATAGTACTCGCTAGGCATTGGGTGCTGGCAGGTATGTGTGGGGGGTATATCGAGTTGGATGTATTTGGTGTAAATATGATTACACAGGATAGGTAAATAGACCATCACAATCTTTGATCTTTCACCAAAACACGTTATAGTTTTTATAAATACTGTTCCGTTTCCTTTACTTTACTGAAATTTTGTTGCTCATTTATTAGGTTATCCCTCGTACTCTCATTAGAAATTATCATATGTTACAACAACTCCAAGTCTGCTTCATCTAGATCCATAAAGTCGTCCCCGATTGCTTCGTCTCCTTCTTTAACGTCTCCGTTTTCTAGATTTGGATTCTGTTGTCTCTGGTAAGCTTCAAGTTGCTCGAGATTCCACACAGAAACACCCTCTTGGTCCTTGGGATTCGTGGGTTGAGCCAAATTTCTCAAAAACTTCTTTGCAGACGCCAACGCCATGTCTGTCGATAAATTTGTATCTGACTCATGAAGAGCCTGTGCAATCCATCTTGGCAATTGTGACTTTTTGTTCTTAAATCTTCTGTCTGCCAAAACCATGATTCCGTAGTCGTCTTTTCCTCTCAAAACTCGACCCAAACACTGGGCTGCATGTCTCATGGCATCGAAAGAAAGGAAGTCGTTCTCTTTGATCTGGAAATGGTCTCTCATGAACTCAAGACGAGCTTTCAAGATTCTCGACTCAGTATACTGGAATGGAATCCCAATCATCAACACTGTACGACCATAATGGTGATCAAAATCAATACCTTCCGAAACCTTTCCACGAGCAACAGAGAGAAGTACAGCACCTCGCCCGTTCGAACAAGCCTTTCTATAAGTTTCCAATGCCAACGATGTTTCCTGGGCATCCGGAGTTTCCACCAAAATCAACTTGTACTTCCACACCTCGTCAAGAACACCCATGTTCTGCCACATAGAGATGATGGATTCCATGTAAAGGTAAGAAGGGAAGAAAACCACCATACCATCAGGAGTTATTTTGGAAAATTCAATAAGCAACGAGCCGTAGTTACGCACAACTGAGGGGTCATTTCTGATCTCAAATCTAGAAGAAATGGATGTTTGGTCAGATCCCTTAGTAATAATCATTGGCAAAAACGATCTTCGCGCCAAAGTCATAGTGTAAGACTCCTGGATCACAGTTTGGAAGTTAAGCATCTTAGGATACATGTCCAAAGGCGAAATGGTACCGGAAGTGATGATAACAGACAGAAAACGGTCGAACACAGGCTTAATGGCAATGGAAGCATCCAAACATGTGAAATGCAAAATAGGATTGGGAACCGTGGATCCCTCTGTCTCAAAAGGCTCAAGAATAAGCTGGAACCCGGTTTCGTACGTGGAGACCAACGTTGCAAAAGTTGCGATATCCTTCAATGCGTTCAAATCCTCGACGTCTGCAAGCTCCAAGGTTCTCACCAAAAGTGAGAGACGTTCTGAACAAAACCGTAAGGGTTTTCTGTCGATAAATGTCAACTCTTTGAGATGCTGGAGGAAACTCACCGGGGTTTCACTGATGACATGGAGGACCTTCATTCTGGTTTTCAAGTACTCAATGAATCTTCTCAAGAATGAAACAAAATGTTCAGCCTTACGAATATTTCCGGGAATGGCCTCCTCCAACAAATCCTTGGGAAGGACCGGGTTGGCCATGAAGAGTTCTTCGTCTCTGGCGATTTCGTTCTGCCGAAGACCTTCAACCAACTTTTCATACTCATTCTGAAGTTTTTCATTGTCTTGAGCCTTCATCTCATCTACAGCATCTGCCAATTTGTTGGCACCTCTACCGGCTCGTTTTAATGTATCATCGGTCAAAAAAAGCGACAAGGACTCAATACAGACGTTATCGATGTTGTGGGCCTCATCAAAGATAATGATACTGTCTTTACTCAACTCCCGCGACACACGCTCTGCAATTTTCGGGTCTAGCAAGTAATGATACGAGTAGATGATGATGTTGCAGAAGGAGATCATTCTTCTGACAGTGAAATAGGGACACGTCCCCAAACCTTTACAGTATTCCAACAAGGCCTCGAACGAATACACTCCACTGGGGATCAAGTCGTGCTGGTCGTAATCATAAAGCTTCTCGTGGAATGAACAAAGTCCATACAGATCGGGCTGTTGCATCATTTGCTCCTGAGTGATGTTCTGCTGCTCGAGCTTCTGTTTCAACTGACCATTGGTTAACCGGCGACATTTCTCGTCCACCACGGCACCTTTCCGCTCCTTTGACACCACCGGATGCAAGCACAAGTTTTTTCTACTTGTAAGCCCCAACCCACGGAAATCCTCCACGTATCCTAGCTCGTTTGCCCTGTACTCCATGAGTCTATGCAACTCTATCAATGCCTTCTCGATCTCCGACATCGTACGCGAACAATACACAATCTTACGGTGCTCTGGATAGTGCATCTGATATGCCACCGTCAATGAAAGCAATGAGATCGTTTTCCCTGTTCCTGACGGCATCTCTAGAATACAGTTGCCTCCAACATCTAGCGTTTTCTTGATGTCGCACATGTACGCATACTGTTCTGGGTATATGCGCGGGTAGGGGAAGAGCACGGGTAGATCGTCGATGTAGAACTTCATTTGGGAAGTTTTTAGGCAATTGTGGTGGTTGAGATGGTGCTTTCACACAATGAAGAAGTATGAGATGAATCGGTGGACTGCAGAGTATGCAACAGCCATAGAGAAGGTAGATGATGACGATCTTTTGGTAGTATAAAGAATGGGAAAAAAGAATGGAAAAAAATGGATACTATTGGAAATACAATTGGGTTGGCAATATTGACAGAATATATGTTCAGTTATGTTCGTGATCTAGGGAGTTCTCATACTCGTGTTTTCTCATACTCATGTTTTCTCATACTCTCATACTATCATTCCTCTCATTATCTCGTTCCTGATTCTCCAGCTTTCTCTTTCGATCTCTCTCTTCTCTTCCTTCTCGTATTTAATACCACCACCTATCCAAACATGTGGTCTACTAGATCCTTCAACTGAGGGAAGATGATATCAGAGGTATCGCCGCTCACCTTGTGAAGAATGCCCTTCTGGCCATAAAACTCCTTCAACGGTTCAATCTCTGCATTATACTGGTCCAACCGCTTCTGGAACACTTCTGCAGTATCGTCGCTTCTCTTCACCAATGGCTCACCTGTCAAGTCGTCAGTAAATGGCTTGACCGGAGGATTGTAGTCCAAATTGTACACTCGGCCACTGGCCGGATGGACCCATCTGGCCTCGATTCTCTGCAAAATCACACTCTGGTCCACATCGAGCTCTACTACAAGATTCAAGTTGCAATGCTTTTTGCCCAAAACGTTGTCCAACTCTGTGGCCTGGCCCGCCGTTCTTGGGAAGCCATCCAAGAGCCACGATGTAGTGCGATTGAGCCACCGCCGCTGCTCCAACTGCGACTGGACAAGCCCCACCATGGTCTCGTCGGGCACCAACATTCCCTTGTCGATGTACGCCGACGCCTCCTTTCCTATAGCCGTTCCTTGGGCAATCTGACTCCGAAGAGTATCACCGGATGAAATGGAGTTGATTTCCGGAAACCATCGAAGCAACCGCGAGGTCTGAGTGCCCTTGCCTGCGCCGGGTGCGCCAAGAAGGAGAAGACGAACAGGATGAATGAGTGACATGAAACGTGCCAGGAGAAAGAGGTGCAGCTACGTGAGGTTAAGTAGTGGAGGTGGAAGTGCGGCGATCTGCACCTGAATGCTGGGGAAGTAGGAAGGAAGAGAAGGTAGTAGGAATTGGGAGGAATGGCAGGGTTTATATAACGCAGACATCGTGTTTGTGCCGGTAGGTGTATTATTGGAGTTGGTGAACTTCTAGTAAATTTTGGGAAACTTTAGAGCATTTTTTGGTTGTGTTTGAGGTGTGCTATAGGTAGCATGTAAGAGTGGGCTTGTCGCGGAGAAATGGAAGTTGGTTAACACCGAGGCTTCGCTAATCTGAGCAGGAACGCATGGAAGCACCACTATAGAAGCTGGTAAGAATCGAGTTAAAAATAGAGAAAATGGGGAAAGTAAATCGAGGAAAGTAGGGATGGGAGAACATCTGCATTGGAATTGTTTATGCTGGATATGGATAATCAGTGCTGTTGATAAGTTGCCATTTGTCTCTTGTACCTATAGCAGATTATATGACTTCACTGGGTTCTGTTGAAAAAACAGATGGCAAAAACAGGAACATTGCCGAGTTGCATTGTTCAACTAGAAGTGAAAGTTATCAGGTTTTTCCCCACTAAGGATTTGACGCAGTTCAATCCCAGAAATTCTCAAAAAGAGAAACCATATCTTGAAGATTCCAGTATCATTTAACATGCGTAGTCATTCAATGATGTTTGATCTGTTATACTCTAGACAGAGTGATATGTTCATAAATCTACTTGAGTACAATCGCATCTGTCTGCGAATCTTGTCTTTGCTATTTATATTCGATCTTTATGGAAGTAAAGCCCTTTGTCTCATCTTCAGCTTCATGCACTTTCATCCTACAGAGTCCAAAGTCTAAATAATAGAGTCCAGGCTCTCAATATCAACGTAGATACTTGCAGAACATCTCACTCGTACCCAACACTACCTTACTATCCTCTAAAATCTAACTTGTCCATTATAGTACATTACTCGTCGTCCTCATCAGACTCCACGATTCTCCGCCTCTTCCGTCTGTCCTCTCCCTCATCGGGCGTGGCTGACTTATACTTCGAGGCTCCGTCATCCTTCAAATTCTTCAATCTTTCTGCTCCACGCTCAAACTTCTCGTCCTCATCTATATCCAAGTGTGTGTCGTCGTCATCCTCGAGCTCCACCTCCTCATCATCATTGGCAACGAAATCATCTTCGTCATCATACTCATCAGCACCGTAAGTCCTCTCAAACCGTTCGTAAGCAGACTCGTAGGTGTTTCCACGGCCCGGACCCGGACTCTCGGTCTTGCCCAACTTCTCCTCTTGCAATCTTCTTCTCTGCTCAATCTGTCTCTTCATCTTGAGGTTCTTACGCTCGTTCTCATCTGCCAAGCGCTGCTTCAACATCGGATCCTTCTCGGTCAACGTGTTCAAAATTTTGTCCTTAGTCTGGATGTTCTTGACCGCTTGCGTCAATCTACGGTGTGTTTCCGTCCTGGTGGAAGATGGAAGCAAGCTGGCTGACTTGGTCAAAATCGAGTCATTCTGCAAAATCTCATGGTCAACATAACTTTTAGCGAGAAAATGGTCCGTGATAGGTAACTCCCTGAAGTCAAAGAGCTCGTCTCCAATCTTCAACGATAACAGTCCATCGTCCCACTGGACAAAGTGTGCATTAGACTGTTTGATGATCTCATCATTTCCACTGTTGGAATATCTCCATCTGATGGTGTTCTCGTTCAAGAGCTTTTCGGCAATGGCATCATTCTGAATCTGTTTGGCGTCCATGGTGCTTTTCGTTCTGTCTTTAGCATTCTGGGCAACTTTCTCCTTGAAATCATTAGGATCAAACGGATGCGCATCCACATTGAGGAAAACTGGCATCTTGATCGAATATGTATCCACCTCAGGCTTGTGGGAGACCGCATGACGAGGCAAAGTAACATCCATAGACGTTACTTCTCGTTCTTCTTCACTGTCTTCCGAGTCATTTTCCTCGTTGGGTATACTTGACTCTGTTGGCTTTGACTCCAAGTCTTCATCTTCTCCGAACAAGTCGTCGACTTCTTCTTCGCTGCGGTTCGACAACTCTTCGTCCGACATGTTTTGTGGGTGTTGTATTGGGGTGGTTTTTTCGAAAATCGGTGCCAGCATTCTCAGACTTAGGTGCACTCCACAACAAATGTTGAAGGTGGAGTGGTGGATGCAAGGTACTTGCCAACGTCAATTTTATTCAATGGGGAGAGACTTACAACCCCCGTAATAATACATATATATTGCAATAATAACCCATAATCCCAGGGAAAAGTAAAAAATAAGGTATCAACAGTAAGCGAGCGGATGATCGTCTGTGTTTGGCGAGGCTAGGTGCCAACCTCACGGGAAACATCAGAAATCGTAATAGGGGGTGCAGTAGATGCTGCAGAGGCGGGTGACTCCTCCTCTGCCTCGGCTGGTGCACCCAAAACATGCAAGAGGTTTGTTGCTGCCGATGGCTTCGGTAGGCCCGATCCATGTTCCTCGGTATATTCTTCGTCGCTGCTGGCACTAGCAAACTCAGTATCAGATAAGGTCAAACCTCGGGCGGCCTTGTTTGTGGTTGTATACCCAACCAAGTCCACATGGTTTGGCGACGAAAGTGACCGGCTATGAGGTCTCCCTGAACTTCGAACTCCGAGCGTGTTCTCTTCGGGAGACAACTTTGGGAATTCAGTGGTCGACTGCTCAGGTTGTGGAGAATTTCTAGACACAGGAGGTTCGCTGCTGGGTAAAAGCTTGTAAGCGTACTGGATCAAAAATTCAACCACAGATTGCGACAATGCGTATTCCTCAGGGTCCAAATCGTGACTTGGGTGCAGCAAGATGGAAGGCTGGAAAATGGCAGCTAGATTGCGAGACGACATGAGATTCTCGCTGCTGTTATTTTGGACCATGGCTAGCAAGTCTAAAATATAAAAAAGAAGTTGTCTGGATAGACCAGGAAGTTCATCCAAAAGCAACTTGAAGTCATCGATAGCATCATAAACATCGCGGGTGAGTTTCTTGTAAGTTCTGATCTTTTGAGAAGATCTATGTTTAGAGTCATGTTCCTGTTTCTTCGGACTCGAGTTTCCCTTGGAGTCGACGACATCTGAAGTAGACAATTTCATTTCCAGAAGGGCACTAGGCTCAGAAGACCTTTCATCCAAAAAGTTGTCATCACGCTCCAGGTCGGTAGGTAATATTTTTGAGGATGAGCCGTTCCCTGCAAATGTAGTTTCCGACTGAGGATATGGACTTGGAACTGGTGAAATCTGAGGGGTCGATAAACTGGCAGAGTTGGCAGAATTCGCAGCAATCATAGGAGATGCTTCATTCGACGCCTGCTGCACTGGAGGCTGAGCAATGGCCAGCAGTCTGGGTGAGTGAGCTCGTGGAGGCAGAGCATGACCCGCTGCCAGAGACATCTTCGTGCGGGGGTTTTCCGACTTGTACTTCATGTATTTAATGATTCTCTGTCTCGTGCGCAATGGATCTCGGAAGTCTTCATAGAGCTGGAGTGGAATCAAAGGTTCAGGCAAAGCGTTGAGGTAGCGTCTGAGCACCAGGGCCGCGTCATGGACAGTATAGCCGTCCCAATTAAGTTTCTTACCAAACTCTGGCGGAGTACTGAAGATGATCTGAAGCTCCTTGATACGTTTTGACAGGCCACCGACACGGAATATGCCTTCCACAGTCAAGCCATTCTTCTTGAGGAATACCCCACACTTCGCGACCACGATGGGGATACGACCATACTGAAGCACGTCAGAGGAGGTGGATTCAGTACCGAGAATGGAGATTTTTGCAGAAGCTTCCTTTATGGCGTCCTCAAGCGGCACGCCGAAGTACTTCAGGTTCTCGTCCACCAAAGGATTGCTTTGCAAAAAAGAATCTCGGTGCTGGCGGAGATTGAAGCTATCCTGTGCACTCTGGTTGGAGTTGGAGTTTGATCTGATTCTATTGACATTGTTCGTCGAGCGGGACTTGTGATTCAAGAGTGGGCGGAGGAAGTCCAGGTGCCCCAGCAGATGAGAATGGGCAACAGGGGCCGATTCTTTGGATGGGACGGGGAGAGGGATGGCCAGTTGGGGCGGGAGAAGTTGTGAGCTGGGGGAGTGAAAGGAAAACAGCAGGCGTGATGGTGATTTGGACTCTGAAGTTGCAAGGTCATCGGAGACCTCGTTAAGCGAGTCGTTCAGGGTGACACCTGCGCGCTTGAGATTCTTAACCCAGCCAAAGATGGAGTTTCGGTTGGTGGGGGACGCCGACTGACTCATGACTGTTACAGCGGCAATGAGTATTTGATGTGTGGCGGGTGGATTTGGAAGATTGGAAGGATTTGGTGGACTGGCGACCTTGTGGGGATGGCAGTGTCAGTGACACGGGGAGGAAGGAATGCAGCGGCGACAGAAACGGCGACGGGAGGCGGCTGGAGGCGCAGGCAAAGATGATGGAGGCGCGTGGTAAGCAATGGGGCAATGCGATTCGATGGTGGGTGTTGCTTGGGATACGAAATGGCGCAAGATAGACACGACGCGGGACAGCAGAGACACAGCGACAGCAACACCGAGAAGGGGAGATGCGGTCGGTGGCTGTGGAAGGGAGGGAGACAAAATTGGAAGGGGAAAAAAAGGTGAATTGGCGAGGTTGTTTCGAATTGAACCTTAAAGGAAGAATGAATGGAAGTAGACGAGAAAAGGCGCACTATGGCAGAGTAATAAAAAATAGACCTGGTGATCGGGCGCAGGCAGGATGCTAAATATAGGTGAGCAAGGCTAGGGAAAGTAAGAAAATTGTGGAAGGAAATGTCGAGAGGAAAAGTTGACGAAATAGGACGAAATTGGGAATGAATTTTAGAATTGAAAAAGGGGAATGAAAGTTTGAAATTGAAGTTTTTGATGGAGAAAACGACTTTAGAGTTTAGCTGAGACGACGAGAGAATAGAGAAGCATCAACGGGAAGAATAGAAGTTAGAGAGACAAAAGATGGTGAGTTTATGAATAGGAAAGAAGGAAAACAAAAAAGAAAAGGAAATGGAGATGGAAATAAAAAATATAGAAAAAAAAAACCAATTGAAACGAGATAAACAAAAAAAAATGAGACGGCAACTGACTCCGGGACTGTCTGGTTGTGGGAAAGGAAACGGCCAAAATAGAGTTTGGGATGCGCAATGAGTGGGAAAGACAAGATGACTGGTTTGAATGGGGAACCAGTCAAGAGTTAATAGTTGGAGATTTCTGTGACTTAGTTAAGTGGCACTATTCACCATATTATTTTTTAACTCAGTTCTTGACATTTCCATCTACCGCACTATCCACCTTTCGTCGTCTTGTATGCTGACTGGCCAATTGTGGGCTCCCAACACGCGAGGCCCCAAATATCAAGAGGAATGTCTTAAGACGGGGCTTAGCTCCAGTTGTTTTCATGGAGCCTTTTGGGACAATTCGGGACAATATTGGACTATTATGGACGACTGGAATGGACCAACTTCAAAAGAATTTTTCATTGACAATAGAAGGGAGATCCTCTAGCATGGACTTTTATTTTTCTGTATTTCTATGAATAGAACTTGGGAGTGTGGAATGATTTTAATGAGAATTTGGCCTGGAACTGAAGGGACTATTCACTGCATTAAGCCTGTGCAAGAGGAAATTATTTTATAGATAACTAGAAAATTGGGACTTGGGGATCAAGAATTTAACGGGGTATGCCATATATAGCGGAGTCTAGAGACTTCAACAAGTAGACCTTGAAGGTTCCTTGTGGTGAGAAGGTGTGCTCAATAGCCAACTACAGGTGACAACTGAGAGCAAAGGTTGGGGACAGTAATCTGAGATCCAGCCGTTCTAGACCTCCCATGGCACATAACTGGATCTTGCACGTCCATAATATCGGTATGTCGGCTGTTTCATTGGACAGCAACTGACAAAATGCTAGAGGATGGGCTATATTTAGCGCGGAATGAAGTAAGGGGTAGTTTAATGGGATTGAGACCATGGAAGTGGTGGGAGTGGAAGTGTCATAATGAGTCTGTCGAGGTTGAATGTTTGGAGTCAAGTCCAATTTTTTTTCTCTTTTTCATTGGACCTGAAATGGTTGTTGTTACGCTAATTATCGCTTGTTTGATGAATTAGTCATTGAGTTTGATAAAATCTGTTTCAAGTCGGTTTATACTTTCTGATAGAAATCAACTTAACACTTTAGTCGCACACTCACTGAATCTCTTCCCATTTTGCAAGTGTCTACATATTCTCGCACCCTTCCACATAGACCTTTACACATCTTCCAAATAACACCTTTCCATTTATGCCTATTTATACCTATTTACACATATTAATGACATTAACACGTTCTCATATCTCATTACATCCAATTTCACTCGAATGAACACTGTATACATATTTCCTCATAATTCCTTTATCTTCTTCCCAGTCACCACGCCCTGCACTACCTACTCTCTTTTCACACACCCGTGCACCAAAACATAAACAAACATCTTTAAACAACTACATGTCTCCCCGTCGCCGCCCCCTCAGCAAGGTTCTGGTGAATATCGACCTGAATCGCATCAAAAAGCGTCAGTCTCGCCCATCGCTTCCAAAACGCGCCTCTTCTGGTCTTCTGCTCGCAGATTTCGAGATTGGGAAGGTGCTCGGAAAGGGAAAGTTGGGCAAGGTCTACTGTGTCCGCCATAGGCTGTCAGGACTCATTTGTGCTATCAAGGCTATGTCCAAGAAGGAATTGGTGGACCTTAAATTGGAGAAGAACTTCCGCCGCGAGATTGAAGTCCAGAGAAACCTCATCCACCCCAACATAAGCAGACTCTATGGGTTCTTCTTTGACGACACAAACGTCTACTTGATTCTCGAGTACGCCCTTCATGGCGAGATATACCAGTTGTTGAAGACTCACCGACGTTTCGACGACATTACGGCATCCAATTACACATTTCAAGTGGCCAATGCCTTGATGTACTTGCATTCTAAAGGTATCATTCATCGTGACATTAAACCGGAAAATATCTTGCTTGCATCTGACAAAACTGTCAAGCTTAGTGACTTTGGCTGGTCTGTAAAAACAAAAGTGCCAGAAAAGAGGCTCACTATTTGTGGAACCCTAGATTACCTTCCGCCTGAAATGGTGGAATCCAAGGAACACGACTATACTGTCGATATTTGGCTGCTTGGAATCTTGTGTTACGAATTTTTGGTGGGGAGACCGCCTTTTGAGGAGGTGGACAAAAACGCAACTTACAAACGCATAGCTAGGGTGGATGTTCAAATACCAAGTTTTGTAGAGGCTGATGCTGCTGATTTAATCCACCGCCTTCTCCAGAAAGATCCAAAGAAGCGCTTGCCCTTGTCCGAGGTGGAAAACCATCCATGGATTGTCAAGTACCGTCCTCTCTGGCCAAAACAGCCAGGTTCATAGACTAGTGCTTGATGCGCTAATATGGATTGGTAGATAACTGGGAAGCTGATGTATATAAAGAGGTGGGTTAAGCATGGGCCGCTAATTGCATTAAATGGCAAAATGGCATTAATTATTGGATAGAAAAGGAATGAATAGATATCTAGATGACATCAAAACGCTCCGGTAGCACCTTGTCAACATGACTTAATCTGTCGATCCGGTCGACGGGGACGGAGTCCCATGATGTGCGAGAAACCGCATCTAATTTACATATAGTACACTACAGCAGTCTGGTAGCCACCGAAGCCTGGCCCTGCGCCTGCTCCATCTGCCGCTGTTTCAAAAGCAACTGCTGCTGTTGTTGTTGCTGCTGCAACTTGAGCAACTGCTGCTGGAATTGCTGTTGCTGTTGGTGGTTATACTGTGCGGTCATCAAGATGGCCTTCAGCGGAGCACGTACCTGATACAACTCTCCTGTGACGGCTGCGTATGATTGAGTGCCACCATCTCCAGCATTATTATCGACATTGACCAATGCGCAACGACCTTGAAGACCACCAATCGAGCCTGAAATGGCCTGATTAGCCAACGTGAGATCACCAGACAGCGCCAGTGAGTCAGCAGCGGCTGATCCATTCGTGATAAGTGCATTGGCATACGCTTCACGCATATAGAGGAAGTTGTGCCTGTTTCTCGTGGGAAGAATAACCTTGCGCTCCAAGGGAATGGCGTAATTCTTAGACAAGCCCTCCAACACCAAGTGGGTCTCCTCGTCTGGGTCGAGCACCATGTTCAATGCACCAGCACCAGTTCCGTCCTCGGAATCCACACCTCCCATTCCTGTGAGTTGAGCATTTTCTCTGCGCTGGGCTGCCAACGCATTGCTGGCTGCAAGCTTGGCTTGGTTCCGTTTCTGATACTGTTGTAGCAACACATCGTAAGGAGCACTACGTCCTGGCACTGCTCTCTTTGCACCCATCGAGTGGGTCTTACATGTGAGGGATCTGGCACAAAACCCTCCCAGTGGCAATGGCACACCACACTGCTTCTCGACATCCACTGGGCCCTTTGTTTTGGCCGGAACCTTTGTCTTCGGTGTCTTTTTCTTCTTCAGAGCATTATTGGCTCTGGCCGCAGCAGCCTCAGCGGCAGCAGCGGCAGCAGCAGCAGCGTTAGCAGCCTCCTTTTCCTTTTGCATTTGCGACTTCTTATACTTCTTTTTTGGCCTTGGGCCCTGCGATTGCGCCAGCGAAGGGGTACCGGGCGTCGGCGTTGCACCGCGAGACAGATCCACCGAAGATGTCTCAATATCGAGTAAAGCATTTGCAGTTCTACCGCGTTTGCGCTTTGCAGGCACAGTTCCTGAGTTCATTTCCTCTTGTCTCTTCTGTTTCATTTCCACACACTTGGCGTAGTGTGTGCTTAACGAGTCTTCACCGATAGGGCGAGTGCACGAGTTACAAACTTGGAATTTGACCACCTGGGACAAGTATGAGGAGTCAGAGAGGACGTTGACAATGACACTCGAGCTTGTGGACGAGTTGCTAACGAAATCTTGGTCAAGGTTCCAGTCAAGTTTCTTATCCAAGTACACGCCAAAATCCTTCCAGATGATGGTTTTCTTCTTTGGCTGTTCGTTGCCGAGGTTGCGCACGGAGTCGAGAGTTACTACCTTGGAAGTGTTTCTTCTGCGTGTGCTGGGGGTCATGGGGTCCGGATGGTAGGAAGGGTCGATGATTGCTGCCTTCCGGTGATGGTGGGTGTATGTACGGTTGATTGTGTGAAGTGTGGATGAGTTGGCGATAGAGGCACGGGTGTGCTTGGTGGTGTTGTTGGGACTGTATTGAATGTAGACGGCTGGAACACAGAGTACAGAATGACAGGTTGATGGATTCCAGATTGCGCTCAGCAAAAAAGTTTTGGAAAAAAAAATTCATTCTTTTTGAAAGTGGAACAATTATTGAATGTGTGTGTCTTTGGGGTTGGCCATCAGTTTGGGTACAGGTTTGCTTTGAAGGAAAATCAGTGTTAAGTATGATGAGCATGATTCTACGAATGGGCTAGAGTAAGAAGAGAACTATGAAAATTATGAATATACTGAGTATAATGAGTATTCTGAGTATTCTGAGTATTCTGAGTATTCTGAGTATTCTGAGTGTTATAAGTATAATATTATGCGATGGAATGGAATGAGTAGCATTAACTTCTATTTTAAGCAATTTCCTTTCTAGAATATAAGTATTACGAGAATTATGAGTCTGTCAGCTCAAAACCTATCAATAACCCCTGATATATCCCGAAAGTAAATCATTTCTCAATACCTGAAGAGCCCATACAATCACTTTTAAATTTCCCCAAAATACCCTATATTCCCTAATTAAGACAAACAGACTTACCAATTATTTCGCAGCCATGTTACCCAAAACTCTTGTTTCGAACTTCAACAGGATCAATGGTGCTTCTGACAAATGAGCGCACCAATTTTTGATGCTTCTTCTTAAAATGTCGGAAGTAGCTCAAAAGGGGGTTGCTTTTGTTTTTCCAGCATGAAAGCTCCACTACTTCTAAGCAAGCAGGGCACTGCACGGCCTTTCTAAACTTCCTATCTTGTCTAGATCGAATGAACTGGTAATCGCCATAATAGAGTGCTTCAGGAATTAAGAATCCGTTGGCAAAGACACCGTGCTCCAAAGTCAAATGTGATAAGTAACTGGAATTTTTGAATGGCTTGAACTTCACTAAAGGACAGAAGGCACATAACCCACATTTTGATTCAGGTATCTGCTTTCCGTCCTGACTTAATTCATATCGATAATATTGAGGCTCGTATGGATTATTGATATCAAATTTGGGCAGCCTTTCGTACGTGATGAACGACACAGAATCGGTGAGCTCGTCGATCTCTCGGAAGTAAATCTGTCTCTGTAAAGCACCACTAACCACCGAAAATGACATACCCGGAGGTCCGTTTGGAGTTTGACCTTCAACAATAGCTTTTGGAGTACAACATGCGTTGAAAATACATGCAGCCAACTTTTTTCTCTCCTGTGGGTCATGAGGAACACTGGCAACATTGGCAATGTTCATATTGATGACAGTTTTGTATATTTTCCCTTTATATCCATGGTATTCTAAGATGACCCCAAGACATTGTACAGATGACATGGAAAGGGTAACAAAGCTGTGAGATTGAAATTTGGAGTGGATAGGTTTGGCTAATTTATCTCCTTTTCTTGTGGAAGTCGTCATTTGTTGCGATATCTGAGACTCTAACGATGGGAGTCCTTCTGATGTCGTTGAATAAGTTTCTTGAGCGTTCTCAGATTCTTGATATCTCTCATCATGAATGCCTGTAATTCTCTCGATTTGGTTAAAGTGAATTGAAGAGGAATCTGTTTGGTGCTCTGAAAACTCAATAGATTGAGCAACCTCGCTTTGATGACCATGGACTGAATGAGCTTCAAGTGGAGGAAGAATCCTGGAAATGGGTAAACCTGTGTGTTCGTGAAACATCGTGGTTCCATTGAAGTTGTCAGATATAGGTGGAAGCTTACTTCTGAGCGACCAATCCCATTGCCCACTATCATCACCGATGACGATATCGCTTTCATTTCTCAAGTCTCGGGAGCTGTCCAGTATTGAGATCTCTGGAACTTGACTGTATCGTGTTTGAGTTTGCAACTGAATATCATGGCTTTTTATGTCAGAGGTTTGAAGATTGTTTCCATAACATGCAACTTTGGACAATGGTACTTCACTCTCTCGTTCTTTGGTCAAAGTGCCTAAATTGAAGCCTTTAAGATCATACCCTGGTACTTGCTGCTCTCTTGGCTCCAGAAACATTTTATTAGCATACGAAAAAGGCTGGGAAAATCTAGGAGTTTGAAGACCTGGCAGGTCGGGTGAAAGCCCTAGTAAATCAACTTCCTCCGAGAGGTGAACCTGACTCAGCGAGATATTCGCAGAGTAAAGGGTTGTGTCGCTGGAGTTGAATAGGGTGAATTTATTAGTATTCATCCCATGAGTATTGAACTCTTGAATATTTGCATCTTGACTTACGAAATCTTGAGTTGTGCCTCGAACATAGTTCACAGTATCGTGGTACTGGAACTCAGATGCTAGAGAGTTTATACCAGGCAAAGTTTCCAGAGAGACAGGCTTCAGATATTCCGGTAGAGACTCACCACCAGAGGTAGAAGCAATCGGTGATTTCAATTTCCAATCGTCCCCTGGATGCTCTTCAACGGTGGAATTTGTGATGTGCCCAGTTCCCTCTATGGGCTCGACTGCGAATGGCAGCGAGCTGAATATGCCAGTCAGTTGGAAAAACTGATCCATTTCCTCCTGGCTGAAATCCAACACCCTGGTCATCTTTCCCTGGCCATTTGGGAACATCTTCTCGTACTGATCATTTACGGGCAACTGATGGTTGGCCATATACCACTAGAGACTATTCTAGAGATAGACTCGAAAGAAAGCAAAGAAAAAAATTATTTAGCGAAAGTGACTTTATAGCAATATTGAATGATCTTAGCAAATATTTATACGATGCCTAGCAATTCAGTTAAAAATTTCAAGTATTAACTGTTTTCTATTTTACAATCGGGCATCCCACAAATGGCTGCGTTTTGGGTGCAAAACCTGCACACCTCTCATCACCTCCACGAAACCTTTTCTTTCCACTATGGATCTGAAGTCGGCAATTTTTGCGGTCTGTTGCGCCCTCTACTACTTTTCGGGCGGCCGTTTCTCGCTCGTGGTGGCTGCATCTACCTGGTATGTGTTATCCACCCGCGGAAAAGAGTCTCTTACTCGTCAAAAGCCTCTGCCCATCAAAGAGGTGGACTTTACCCATGCATACATGCCTGAGCCCACCACAGTGTTTCCCAAGCAGAGAAAAACCGTGAAGAGAGCCCGTTCGCCCAAGGTTTTCCGTGGTGCAAAGCCTGCTGTCAAGGATCAAGGAACGGTGTTAACTTCAACACCTATCAGACTCATGGATTCACAAGTTTACATCTTCTACACTACGCTTACTGGCACGTCACAGCGTGTGGCGGCAGCTTTGCATGATAAATTGGCCAATCTCGAAGGGATTGCCCATGAGCCAAAGTTGCTCTCGCTCGATGATGATGTGGACGACTTGGAAGAGTATTTCTTGAAGACTCCTAAGAATTCCACTCAGAATATCTATCTTCTCGTGCTCCCATCGTATGAAACAGACTCTCCTATCGACTACTTCATTGAGCACTTGACAGACACATTCCAGGACTTCCGCGTGGACAAGTATCCGTTGCGTTCGTTGGCTGGGTTTGCCGTGTTGGGTCTTGGAGATTCCGAGTCGTGGAACGGCTCCAAGTTCTGTTACCAGGCCTTGTTAGCAGACAAGTGGCTTGGTAAGCTTGGAGCCCGTCGTTTGTTTCCTGTGGGTCAAGTTTGTGTCAAGCACGAAGGTGAACCCAAGACCCAGGAGTGGATTAATGGCTTCGCTTCGCTTTTAGCCGATGACGAACCTTTCTATATCGACGACAACGATGCAGCAGATGACAGTGATGCTGAGGAGGATGAACTTGATCCAGCAACTGATGTGGTTGATGTAGAGGATATGGGTGCCATCATCAAGGCCTCTGGAGGCTCATTTACAGTGGAACCAAAGCAGATGGTGGCCCAAGATTCCCCCACATTCCGTTCGTTGACCAAGCAGGGCTATACGATTGTTGGGTCGCATTCAGGAGTAAAAATTTGTCGTTGGACAAAGAGTGCCATGCGTGGCCGTGGCTCGTGCTACAAGTATGCCTTCTACGGTATCAAATCACATTTGTGTATGGAAACAACCCCCTCTTTGGCTTGTTCCAATAAATGTGTGTTCTGTTGGAGACACGGAACCAATCCTGTGGCAAAGCTGAACTGGAGATGGGAGGTGGATCCTCCTGAGAAGGTCTTGGCCGGAGCTCTTGAGGGCCACTACAAGAAGATCAAGCAAATGAGAGGTGTACCAGGAATTCAGTTGGACAGATTCCAGGAGGCTTTTCAAGTGCGTCATTGTGCATTGTCATTAGTGGGAGAACCCATTTTTTACCCTCATATCAACGAGTTTGTGGGAATGTTGCATGAACGTCACATTTCATCATTCTTGGTATGCAATGCCCAGCACCCCGATCACCTCGCTCGTTTGGCCAAGGTAACTCAGTTGTATGTGAGTATCGATGCTCCTACTAAGAAAGACTTGAAGAAGGTCGACAGACCTCTCAACGCCGACTTTTGGGAGAGACTCATGTCGTGCTTAGATATCTTGCGCACCACTCAAGCCCATCAAAGAACCGTGTTCAGATTGACATTGGTCAAGGGCTTCAACATGGACGACATCGAGAGCTACGCCGACATGGTGGAACGTGCACAGCCATCGCAGATTGAGGTGAAAGGAGCTACATTCTGTGGTTCCTCCAACGCAAATGGAAACCCATTGACCATGCAAAACATTCCATTCTACGAGGAGTGCCGTGTGTTTGTAGAGAAGTTGACCGCCGAGCTCAAGTCCAGGGGCCTGAGCTACGAACTTGCAGCCGAACATGCCCACTCATGCTGCATTTTGATTGCACACACCAAGTTCAAGATCAACGACGTCTGGCATACGCACATCGACTATCCTAGATTCTTTGAGTTGCTCGAAAGCGGCGAGGAGTTCTGTGATTTGGACTATGTGAAGGAGACACCAGCATGGGCTGTGTGGGGATCTACTGAGGCTGGTTTCAATCCAGAAGACACAAAGTACGACCGTAAAGCTGAGAAGGCCAAAAAGCGTGAGGCCCGTGAAGCGTTGGCTGCGAAAGTAGCAGACTTATAAGCCTTGGGAGAAAGTGCACTTTTGTCTGAGTTGGACTCCGACAACTAAGCAGAGCACAAACAGGACATGTACCATAGACATATTAGCGTAAAATTAGAATTGCAAAACTTAGAAGTAGTAGATTTATTGTGGGTACAACTCGCACTAACATTCAACGCATTATCATTTGAGGGTCCTCCATACATCGCGACACGATACTCAGATAATTCCACATCCACCAACAAATCATGACAAAAATAGCATTTATCCACCCAGATTTGGGCATTGGAGGCGCCGAAAGACTCGTAGTTGATGCTGCTGTTGGCCTTCAGAATTTAGGCAACGAAATCGTTGTCTACACGTCGCACTGTGACAAATCACACTGTTTTGATGAAGTCAAGGCTGATATCTTGAAAGTGCATGTTTTTGGGGATTTCCTCCCCACTACCATTGTTGGAAAGTTCCATATTCTTTGTGCAATCATTCGCCAACTCTATTTGGTAACGAAATTGATCGTTACGGGCAAAATCTCCAAGTACGACTACTTCATAGTGGACCAACTCTCATTCTGCGTGCCACTCTTGAGTCTCTTCTGCAACGCCAACTGTAAGGTGTTGTTCTACTGCCATTTCCCCGACCAGTTACTTGCAAAGAAGTCTGGCCTTGCGAAAATGCTTTATAGGGTTCCCTTCGATGCGTTGGAAGAATGGACCACTGGAGTCAGTGATCAAGTGGTGGTCAACTCAACCTTCACCAAATCCATTTTCCACAACACATTCACTCATTTGCAGACACTCAATCCTGGTGTCATCTACCCTTGTGTGGATATTAGCCAACCGGATCAGGATAATTCAGAAGCAGAGGCAGAACTTAATGAGTTTATGAAAGGAGGTAAATTTTTCTTGTCCATCAACAGATTCGAGAGATTGAAGAACATCGAATTGGCAATCAAAGCATTTGCAGAGTTCAAGTCCAAAACAACTCAAGTGCCATGTCCCAAGTTGATTATAGCTGGTGGGTTTGATTCTCGTGTTAGGGAGAATGTGGAGTATTTGAGTGAGTTGGAGAAACTCTGTGACGAGCTACACTTGGTGCATTATACCTTCCGAGGAAAGTTGGTAATGATGCCTCAGTCTACAGAGGTGATTTTCCTTCCCTCGGTGAAGACATCCATCAAGAACGCTGCGTTGAAGACTGCCCAACTTCTACTTTATACACCTACATTTGAGCACTTTGGAATTGTGCCCGTGGAGAGTATGTTAAACAAAACCCCTGTTTTGGCTATAGACAGAGGTGGACCACTTGAGTCAATTGTGAACTTTACCGGCTCCAATGGCGCGGAGGCCACGGGGTTCAATCGTCCCAATGATGTTGACCAATGGGCAAAAATCTTGCTTGAGTTCTCGTTGCCTGCGAATGACAAGTTGCGTGAACAATTGGGGGAAAACGGATACAACCGAGCAAAGACGATTTTTAGCCGAGAGCAAATGAGTGAGTCTTTCGCAACGAATTTGAAAGCTGCCTCCAAAACCAAATCTGACAAGGGTATTATATACAAGGTGTTGCTGATGTGGAAGTTCTTGGTTGGAGCTTTGGCAATTGGAATTCTCGCAGTATTCTTGAACAACTTCAGTAAATAGAGCGTCACAAAACAACAAGAATTTGAAGATTACAGTTTGAATATCTGTTTAACCAGTTTCCAAAAGTGGAGCTGTTCCTTTGGGCGCTCAATGACATTATATTGAGAGCCCGATCCTATGCTAAGGCTACCCTTAGCACTGTCGAACACGCCGATGAACGAGTCGCTGGAACCTTTAACTTTAGGATCAATCCTACGAGTCGTGGTCTGCTCGCTATACCACCCTTCTACCAACAGCTTAATATTTGACCTGACTTGGTCATACAGTCGCTGCAACTCCAGATCCTTAACGAGTTTCCACTTATGTAGGGAGCTTGAAGGACATTGTAGATTGTAACTTCGAATTGCCTGATTCAAACTGTCCACCTTTGCACTCATGTACTTGTCGTGGCTCTGAGTAAACTGATCCTTTAATGCTGCCATGCTGATGGCCCTTGCATCAGTATCCAAGTACCTCAACATTTCCATCTTATCGTGAAAACGGTCGCTAAGCTTTCTAATCATGATGTTGAACCATTTCTTCTCCAAATCCAACCGGAATGTGCTGATCTCTCTTTGTGTGCCCTGTTGACTTTCTATCCATGGAGGTAGGCAGTCCTGCTTGTTCAAGATCTCATTGAGAAAAAAATTGGTATCTGTTGAATTGGCCAACCGGTCTCGATCTAGGGGCTTACCCCGAACGCTGTCCATATCTCCAGACTCAAACTTTCCCGTTTTCTGATCAATAGCTGCATTTATTCGGGCATCAGCCATGGAGCCGATCAATCCAAGGGTTGCTTTTGGAGATGTTGCATCCACAAACATCGATGGTCCCATTAGCCGTTCCTTGTACAACTCCCGGAAGTTATCGTCTTTATTCTTGTCGTTTTTATCGGTCTTGCTAACCTTATAATCTAGACTCGATTCTTTGGCATTTTTTATGCGATCTGAAATTGGAACCGGAGGCGTGATGATGGTCTTCTGGCGTCCAACTGCCTTTGCTTTAGGCATAGAATCGACGATCATCCTTAGTGCGGTGTCACTAGTTCGTTCAGTACCACTCCAAGGTGGATTGGTGATTGTATCAGCGAGATCTCTGGCTTGTCGTGATCGAAGCAATTTCTCGCTTTGGACATAGGCGATTTCTTTCTGGAACTTGTCTCGGAACTCATGTTCTTGTTTCTGAGAGTCTTCAATGGCCCTCTCAAGTTCATTTTGACCAGAATTATCACGGTGGCCCGATCCACCTGCTTCGTACTTCTCATATAACTTTTTGAGAGTGGGGTCCCTATCGATGACAGAAGCAGTCAGATGGGATATTTGTTCGTCCAATATTTGCAGAAAACGTTCTGCTAGGGCTGAATTTTTCGATTTTGAATATGTTCGAAGAAACGATTTCATGGTGATTGTGAACATTCAAACCTAGCGATAAGTAGTTGGGTCACGTGAGATAAGTTGGAGAAGAGCAAATGGAGAAATCTCCAAATTAGATTACAAAATACAAACTTATTTTTGATGATTTCTTTATTGGTCTGTGTATTATATGATGGAGTTAATGGCAACGAATGTAGGGTCACAGGATCCTGTGGTCTAAAGAGCATAGAATACAAGCACACATGAACCCAAAACCACCGAGGTGAGGAAAAGAAGCTTAACCAAGAAACACATGACATTCTCGCGTTTACCGCCTGCGGTGATGATGAGTTGTTTTTCCAAGTCGATGTTGTCCATGAGATAAATCTCGCCCTTATCCTTGTTGTTGTCCTGGAAATGCTCAGACATAGCCAGGTCAACGGAGGAGACAGACAGCGAGTGGTTTCTCTTCTCCAGTGGCACGGTCAACGACGCAGATCTATCTCTAGTAGGCACATTGTAGGATGCGGAGCGGTTGATCTTGGGGGGAGAAGAGAACGACACTGATTGCCTTCGTTCAGACATGGATGTGAATAGTAGCGGGAGAATGTACTGGGAGGAGTAGCAAGAGCTAAAAGGAGCAGATAGGAACTAGTAGAAGCCAGTGGAACAGGCTAGTAGTTCAATAAAATATGCCAGAATGGAGTGAAACGAGCAAATGATAGCAAGGCGGTATGAGATGATCGCCAGGAAGTATATTTGCCAGGATTATGCTTTTCGAATATAGCAGAGGGCCCTGAAAGGTCTCAAGATGTTCACAAATGTTATTCTCTATCGTAGATGAAAGTGAGAATAAATTCATAAATCACGGAATGTCACCATCTATATATACCCCACCATCACCGTTTAGGCTGATCCACGAGGCGGCCACCAGTGACATCCATACATCCTGTGTGGGGGCCGCTAACTATAATAAAGCCCAAAATGGGCAGCCACGAGCATTTGGCGAATGCACATGAGGGAGATTTTGCCGCTAGGAGGCATGAGCACGTCGTTACTGCAATACGAGGAACGACCGATGGTGACTTGTGAAGGCTAGAAGGATTTTAGGTCATTGGTTGCACGGTTGAAGTTTTTAAGAAAGTTGAGAAATTTGACAGAATTGGAACAACTGAGTTTCAATTTCACCCATATGAATGGATCACTTGGCACGGCCAATTGGTCGGGGAAGAGAGATAAAAAATAATATGGATTAGAGAGAGGAAATATCATGTAAAATCAAGATTTTGAAATGAAAACATTAATGCTTTGAACTGTATGAAAACACATCACTCATAATTTTGTGTTCCGAACAAAACGACTAGGAAAAATTTCCATAGGTTACTTACTGTAGCAGGGTAGAATTGAAGGTTTTGCCGATAAAAATAGATGGTAGGAAGGGACAAAACGGGTAGATCGCATCGCATGGAATTCTACTTTATAGGGCAAGGCTGTGCATATTCTTATTGAGCACCGAGGCGATGAGCAATGGGCAAGTAAGCTAGGATTGATGATGAAAATGATAGATTGGAGTTTGATATACAAAAACTTTACAATAATAAAGAAATAAGTACAATTTCGAATGAAATAATAGGACCCATCTGGTTTATGACCGTTTTGGTCATTGGGGGTTGGATGTGTGTAGGAAACCCGTGATAGAGTGGAGACGGTCATGGGCAAGAATGGTAGGTCAATAGAAACGGGGAAAATAGCAGAAAAATAACGAAATTTGGATTCTTTTGGAAACGTTAGCCCCATTGAAACGATGAAGCCGATCAATTTTCTTCCGAATCACACACTAAATATAGAATATAAAAAAGGCACGAGTATATGTCAACATGGTCAACATACAGTCCACACCTGCGTAGACATAGAGAGCAGGGACGTGGGTGTTGCAGGTACACTACTAAATGAATTGTTTGGTTAGTTATCGTGATACTGGCCAGGGGCACGAAAACAGGGCTGTGTAATTGATTCATTTCGGATCTTAGAAATTTGGGAATGTGATCACGTGATGATATAAACCAAGTGTAAGATGAATTCAGATCGTCGAAACTGCTGGATTAGAGAACTGAAGTATAGTATTGCAATTATAGAAGGTGGAGTAAGACTTCGAAAGAATCAGATGAATTGTCTTTTTCATTGACTAATCAATTAGTAAATTCTTATCTTGTTTTTGTAAAGCAATAAGCTAGCTCTAGCGATGTGAAGCTGACTAGTATGTGATTATGCTAACCAGTGAGACTCATTCAGTGGAATTGGTTCTTCCCATTGGAGAAACGGGAGAAGAGGGTATCGAAAACAACATCAACATTCAAGTAACATTTCTCAATGCTACTCTACATTCCATTTGAGCACAGTATCTTGTTTAATTATCATGATTTTTACGTTTTCTCGTAGTAACCTAATTGAAACACACAATCGCTCTCAACTTGAGTGATAGTAGCATCTATTAACCTCAAATCCCGAAAATGATAACTCCACGATAAACTCCAGCTATTGAAAATACATTTTGATGCGTACTTTATTACAATATAAATCTCTGGAAACTAGAACACCTCATCTTATTTCTAAGTTGAGACCTTAAGTAACTAATTATTTTTTTTTGACGAGAATCAAACTGACTGACTCATTAACATTCATATGTTTATCTGGTATTCCTAAATACCAAGTGTACTGAGTCCACTATACTTGCTCTGAATGGTAGCTTATCACAAGCAATGGATGTATTCGCAGCCATTGATTGTATCTCGTCTTTAAAACGCATATCAAATAACGAGAGACAATTCAAAAACAGAGAAAAAGGAAAATTAATTCAAATTCAAATATTAAGAGAATGCCTTCCCATCCCGTATCATCCGCTGATGAATCCACATCATCCGAATCATATCAACTTGTTGAGTTCATTCCTCCATTTAAGAATCTTCGCGTCCATCTGGCCAGAGTATCCATTTCATCATCACACTGTCTCCATCCTTTGACTCTATTTATGAATTCTTACTTCCCAGAAGCATCTTCTTTGATTTCATATTCTTCTTCTTTTCATTAAACCCTCTCCATAATCTTCCTCTACCATATATTTGATTTCCCAACCTGCTTGTAACCAACCTATGCTATTTTTACGATTACACAGGACCTCGATATCGACCTAAAAAACTCCGAAAATCCCTTTTCATCACCGATCTCCTTCCCATCATGAAACTTTCCGCCATTTTTTTCTGTCTCTTGGCTGCTGTCTGTGTCTCGGAAGCCGCAGCTCCATACTCGGGCTCTTCCAACAAACCTCTGGTGGACCAGAAGGAAGAGTACGTGCCGAAGTTGACAGTGGACAAGGTCTCGGCCGCCGACAACGAGCCTTCCAACCTGCTTGATCACGACTCGGATGACGAAGAAGACAGAAACATCCAGTCATTCTACATGGCTGTGTCTATGATCGTTGTATCTGAAATCGGCGATAAGACGTTTTTGATTGCGGCTTTGATGGCCATGAAACACATGAAGTTGGTGGTGTTTTCAGCGGCATTCTCGTCGTTAGCAGTCATGACGGTGTTGCTGGGAATCGTGGGACACGCATTGCCTACTTTAATCTCGCAGCGTGTCACTCAGCTCCTTGCATCTGTGTTGTTTGTCGTGTTCGGCATTAAGTTATTGAAAGAGGGTTTGTCTATGTCCAAAGAGGCTGGTGTGGACGAGGAATTGGCCGAGGTCGAGGAAGAATTGCAGGCCAGTAGTATGAACGTGGAAATGGATGAATTAGAGGGCGGTGAAGGCCGCAGACACTCTTTCTCCCATTCGTCCAAGAACCAACCTTGGTACCAGTCTATCGGCACCCAACTTGCTGACCTCGCGTCGTTTGTCTTGTCTCCAGTATGGATCCAAGTTTTTGTTATGACCTTTTTGGGTGAATGGGGTGACCGTTCTCAAATTGCCACTATTGCCATGGCTGCTGGCTCTGACTACTGGTTCGTGATTTTTGGTGCCATTGTAGGCCATGGTCTCTGTACTGCTGCTGCATGTATTGGTGGTCAGCTCCTAGCCACAAGAATCTCCATGAGAAACGTTACGTTGGGCGGTGCTGCCGCATTCTTTGTGTTTTCCGTGTTGTATTTCTATGACTTCTACACTCACGTCCCAGAGACGACTGCTGCGGCTGTGGTCAAGTCATCCACGACGGTTACGTCGGTATAAATTGCTTTATAGAGCCCTTGGGCACACAGCCACGGTCGTGCTGTACCACGCTTCATGCTAAAATTTCCACGAAATTTCATTGTGCTAGTCGAGAACTCCTCTATTCATGAACTTGAGCACCACATTTGGTTTGAGCGCAGGTTTGCTTCCCACAATAGACTTCTGCTTATTGTCTCTCTCTACCTCGGCAGCCTTTTTTTTCTGCTGCTCTGCTTTACCCTCTTCTGTCTCTAGATATGCCAATTCGGCTTCAGAATGAAATCCATCAAAGTTAAAGTTCTCCTCAAGTTCTTTCACCTTGGAATGGCACCATTCTGCAAACTCGTCATCTTTCTGTATAGGAAGACGGAAACCATTACTCTCATTAATAGCAGCATCAATCCATTCGTCCACTTCAGGTAGTGGCTTCTTCCGTAAAAGTGTAGTCACTAAACCTTCTTGTTGAGTAGTGGGAAATGATGGAAGAGGATACACATTAGTGGACCGTAGTATCTCGTCATTGGCATCTAGTTGGGCCACAATGGTTTGAAGCTGCGTGATCAATACCTGGAATTGGCTCAGAAGACTCAGGTAGCTGGGCAATTTCGCCTTTGGATTTCTCTGAGTATATGTTATCTGTTCTGAAAGCTTGCGTAGCGACTGGAGTACCTGATTGAGTCGATTACGGATGAGTTCTAGTGAGTCCATTGGGATCTGACTAGCCACAATAGATGGCGGAGCATTTTGGGTAGGAGGTGATCTGTTCATGGAGAAGTAAGGTTAAATGATGAATTGATGGTTGTGTATAGTAGTTGGAAGTGGAAGAGGTAAGGTAATTGAAGATAATGGTGAATAGCTATAAGGAGAACTGAACTCAAGGAAAAAAAAATGGATAACATGATACGATTAGAGGCCAAAAATATAACTAAGCAGCTCAAATATAGAAAATTAATCATTTAATCAATGATGATCTTACCTACGGTATTGTTGATGAACTTCAACCCAACTCCTCTGTGCCGAACCGTTGATAAACCATTGATGATTCGGGGAAATTATAGCTTGGCCAAGGAGGTGCGCCAAAATGAGCTGAAACAGAGACAGAAAATCCAACAGCGACAGAAGCATCAGCACCGGTTACAGAAGTTGCAGCTGCAAGACCCGATAAGGCTCTATTTCCAGATTCAGAAGCTTGAGGCATCCCAACCTGACACTGACCAGCAAACTCGATTAAAACGGCTCAAAGAAGATTGGAAATTTATTGAAAAAAATAAGCTTCACGATGAGAAACTACGGCCCTTTTTAGAAGAGCAGAAGCGCAAACAGGAGGCGAAACGAAAGGCCGAGTCTAAACTCTGGGGGAAACAGTCTATCTACTTCAATCCCGAGTTGAATCCGTTAGGAAAGGTTCCAGATGTACATAACATTCTGTATGAGATAAGCGGAACACTCTCTAATCTTACTCTGCCGATAAAATCCCGGAAAAAGTACGAGAAGGACCCGTTGCTTGAAAGTTTACAGGTGACTATTCCTGAAGGACCCAGACCACAGTTCTACAAGCAGGTTCAGAACACCAAGATTCAGAAAAAGACAAATATGATAGATCCAAAGGAAGAAAAGGAGGAAAACCATGCTTTGGAGCCACAACCAAAGAGGAAGTTCAAAAAAACAAATTTAGACTCAGACAGTGATGCAGATATCCATTCTGAAGAAGAATGGGACTCCAAGAGACAACGATTCTGATAACAAGACATTTATATCAGTCCAATACATTTGATATCCGCAGCCATCCCATTTATGCTATTTACAAGGAAAAGTATATACAAGTACCCTAACTGCCCGACAACAATCTCACCACAATCTCCCAAGTTCCAAACATGATGATGGAGTTTGGTACCGTACGAAGCAAATGTGGTGTCAAACCTCCATACATGCTGGCTAAACCCTCCTCCTTGATCACAAGCTTGAAGCACTGGATGAGCCCCGTGTACTTGGGCTTACCAGTCAGCTCCAATGGTGCTTGTCTCAACCTCGTTCTCACCACCTCGTGTGGATATGTGATGAGAGACGCCACAAATTTGGCTGCACCGGCTGCTCCAGATCTCGCACACCACTCCATGATATGGTCTTTGGTGGTCTTCTTGGACTGGTCGTGGCCGTGAAGCTCCAAAGATTTCTTATTCAAAAATGACTTCATCTGCTCGTACAACACCCATTGTAACGTTGATTCCACACCTCCCAAATATGAGGCACTTAAACCTTTGTATAAACTCAAGAACCCCTCGTTCTTGATGATATACTTGAAGCAGTCCCACGAGTTCTTGTAATGCTTGCCTTTAGTCTTATCCAATTGAAGTCTGGTCTTGATCAACCAGATTGGATTAGTTGCTGTAGAAGTGACAAAGCCCGCATTAATACCCGAAACCAAATGGATCCAAGTTGCTTCCTGCCCGTTGTTGAAGTTTGTCAGAATGAAGTCTTTCGTGCTTCCGTATGTGAAGAAATTGATGGATCTGGCAGGAATTACTCCCACCAAATTAGGTCCAAGTCCTCTAAACAATGCTCTGCCTCCTTCATTTCTATAAATGGACAGAATTACACCACCCGTTTCCTTGAAATGTTGCAATCCTTTAATGATTGGATTGTGTGACTTGGGTACTTTGTTGTAACTAGCATTATAGACGTCGGATTGCAATCGGGTTTTCACCACATCAAGAGGACATGTAATAATGGCTCCCACCATTCCACCAATACCTCCTGCTACAAAATGGACCCACTTCGGAGTAGTTTGCTGGTTCTGTGTTACCACCATTGATTCTGGTGCTCGCGTAGTGGACGACTTCTCGTCGGAAACCAAGAATCCGAATGCTTCCTCTGCATCTGATTCGAGTGTATCAAGAATCTTTTTCCGTCGTTGATCCGTGGATGACATTCTGGGTAGTCAAATTGGTGTGAAGTAGGGTGAATAATTTTCAGAAAGTTACATACTGCATGGTTGATATACTCATCTGACCGTTTTTTTTTTGTCATGTGGTTTTTCCGGGCTGTGACTATTCGGGCTTGTTAATCTCAGGTTTGTAAACTTTTATATTTTAGCTCTATTTGCAAGAGCTTCATGCATGCTTTTAGGAAGTGTTGTTCTTCCTTCTTGAACTTTTGACTTTAGTCCACTAATGTGCTCCTCATAGTAAGCAAACTTAAAGATACCTGCATCTGACAGCCACTCATCACTTAAGAGTCTTGATGAAGTTGTCAAGGTTATATTCATCTTCGTATTGCGATTCGTCCCATAGTTGACCCAATTCGCCAACGGCATCTGTTGGTATGAGTCCTCCAGTGAGGTCATCTTGCACGTTTTTGTCCTTCTTCTCCTCTGCTCCTCCGTTCTCGATCTTCGATGCTGCTTCATCGACATCGAACAAATCGAGCAATTGGTTCGTGTCCATGGTCGAGAGTCCAGCGTTCTGTTGGTTAACAATCGTGGATGCAATGTTCATCTTGAACTTCTGCAAGCCCATAATCTTCTCCTCCAATGTAGCCTTGGTGATCAATCTGTAGACATTAACAACCTTCTTTTGACCAAGTCTGTGTGCTCTGTCCATGGCTTGTAAATCATTCATTGGATTCCAATCATGCTCCACAAAGATAACAGTATCGGCTCCCGTCAAGTTAAGTCCTAATCCTCCAACTTTAGTGGTCAACAAGAGAACATCAATAGATGGGTCTTCATTGAACTTTCGCACAATAGCTTGTCTGTTTCGAGGATCAGTTCGTCCATCCAATCTCATGTAAGTAACGGATGGCATTTGTTTCTTGAAGAGCTCATCCTCCACAATGTCTAGCATATCTTTCAATTGACAGAAGATAAGAGCTCTGTGTTCTGAAATGACTCCTTCAGATGTTACAAGCTGTTGCTGTTGCTGCTTCTGTTTTGCTTTGTACTTTGCTGATGAGTATTCACTGTCACCAACACCAATTCCACACTCGAGCAAAAGCGTCTTCAACGACTTCAACTTAGGAGAATGTTCGATGCTGCGAAGGTCAGACTTCTTGCTTGCCAAATACTCGGCTACCTCTTTTGCCTTCGGATGATCCGGTGTGAGCACCAAAGCAGGATGGTTGCAAAGCTTTCTCATATATTGCAATGCCTGGAAAATATGGGTCTTGGGACTTTCTTCAACTGTGTCCATTGGATCATCCTTTTCAAGCTCATCCTTAACTTTAGCTTTTTGAGTAGTGGTAAAATCTTTGTAGAGTTTCTTTTGCAAGTCAGATAACTCACAGTAGTAATCCTGAATAATTTTAGGTGGCAAGTCAGATAACACATCTTCCTTCAAACGACGAAGCATAAAAGGAAGAACTTGTCTATGAAGAGATTCCAATGCTAATGCACCAGCTTCTTGTTCCTTAGAAGAAGTTTTGCTGTTCCTACTGGCTGCAATTGGCTTTGCGAACTTTTCCATGAAAACCTTTTCAGTTCCCAAGAAACCAGGCATTAAAAAGTCGAAAAGGGACCACAATTCCAAAACATTGTTCTGGATTGGAGTACCAGACAAGATAAGACGGTGCTCTGCGTTAACTCTTTTCACAGATTTTGTAAGCTTCGAAGCAGAATTCTTGATGATATGTCCTTCATCAAGAACACAGTAATTATAAGCTTGCTCTGTTAAGTTGTCAACATCATTTCTGCAAACATCATACGAGGTGACCACAACATCGGCACCTGGAATTTGAGGACGGATACCAGCACGCACTGACGGACCACCAGCATAAACGACCACCTTCAAGAAGGGAGAATACTGGTTGAGTTCTTGTTCCCAATGACCAGTCAAAGATGGAGGACAAATGATGAGAGAAGGTAACTTTCTAAACTCGTCAGAGTTAGTTTCTGCAAAGCGCTCAGACCTTATATGGTGATCAGAGGCAACAATGCAAATCGTCTGTAAAGTCTTACCTAATCCCATATCGTCGCAAAGAATCCCATGTAAGTGGTACTTATTCAAAAATGCAAGCCAGTTGACACCTTCCTGTTGATACTTTCTCAAAGTTGCCTTGATGGAAACAGGCAACTCAAAGGGTTTAATTTTGGTTGGATCCATCATTTGTTGAATAAAATCACGCTCACGATCTCTGCCTTCCAAAAGGTCTTCTGGCATGTCTGGTGGATCTGGGATACCGGCTTCTAAAGGTACCAACTTAATAATAGAAGCAAAGGTTGTACTTGCTAAAATTCTGACATCTTGATCGGCATCGCTCATTCTACCAAGAACAGGCACAATAAGGAAAACAATATATGGCAAAATATCTGGACCCATTGTGCTAGAAACGTGGTAGACAGCTTCTATTGCACCTTGTCTTTCTCTGAACTCCAATGCATTATTGAGCATAGGAAGAATGTTCTTGACTAAAAATGGGAATGCAGTAGATGGTAACACTGATGAGATAGTGGCAAAACATTTTGCTGCTGAGTATCTGAAGACAGAGAGCTTGTTCTTGAGGCCAAATAGAAGTTGGGGCAAGTAGTCTGCGATTTGGCTCCGAAGAGAAGCACTCAACTTTGGCAAAATAGCCCTTAATACACCAAGTGCATCAATAATGCTCTGACCTTTTTGTGCATCGTCAATAACAACATCTGAGCCCGCTTCTTCTAAGTATTTAAGCGGGCTGAAGAGAATCTCATTTAACTTCGGAAGCTCGTCAAAAAATTTGTCCCCATATGTCGCAATGATCTCGTCCATGGCAAGCAAAGCACCGTGACGCTTGATCTTAGCCTCGTGAACTGCTTTTTCATGAGCCGCGATGTCTGCTGGGTCCGTCTTTGCTTCTTCTTTCTTCAACGAGAGAATTGCATCCTGAACCTTGGCATGGTGAATAAATTCGGGGACTTCAGATGTATCCACACAAATGAAAGCACACAAATTCTTAACAATTTTATCTGAGGCACCTTTCTTGCCAACCTTGCTGAGTTCGTCAATTAGATAAGCAATGGCGACAGCGGACCGTTTCTGTAACAATACAACCTCTTCACTCTTAATGCTGTCCATCAAAGAACGAATAATTGGATTGAGCTTCTTAGGAACTCCAATAAGTGCCAACAATGAAGCGGCATAAGCTGCCAAGATGCTTGTTGTTCTTTGAGAGCTTGCGAGCTTGGCTTCATCAAGAGCAAGAACGATTCTGTGTTTAGAATCCTCAAGGGCCTGGTTAGCTGAAATACGATAAGTTGGAGACAATGTCTTGACCAACTTTGAGTAAGATTCATTGACGAGTTTATCTGCGCTCTCGATACCAAAAGCTCCGGGACCAGATTCAGCCTCTCCTTGCACAATAACAGGAAGCTGAGGAATTTTGTTGGGCGAAATCTGGGCTTTAGTGAGGAAGACCTCGAAAAGTTGCAAGCATGCCGTTCTGGTTCCCTTGAGTGTGGGGACTAACTCTCTGAAGAAGGGAAGTGACTCGGGGCTTCCAAGAACATCAAGCATCACCGTGGTGAATTTATCAACCACTTCTGCTGGAATCTCTTTTGAGCTTGCTTGGGACGCTTTAGCGTATTCTTCCAAGACGATAGCACAGAATAATCTTGGGGTGGAATGAGGTGAGTCCATGTAGACTCTGAGGCTATCAAATATTGGGGACAAGGCAGGGCCAGCGCCAATCTGAGCAATTGCCTTACCAAATGCTCTAGAGGCTGCAGTTCTTGTGGCAACAAAAACATCAAAACCGACAAACATAACGTCACCATTATGAATAGGGGCATCAATATTAATCTTGAGCTCGTCGTTAGAAGGAATAGCAGAAACCACCTCTGTCTTTCTTTTCCGTCCGCGCTTGGTTGCTGTATCACCATTAGTTGTGGGTTCACTAAAAGCTTCTGGTTCCACCGAATGGTCATGCCTTCCTGGATGAGAGTCAAAATTAGATGCTGACGGTTTCATGATCAAGCTGGTATTCATCTTATAATTATGACGAGCAATTCCAATAGGAGTCATTAACAAAGTAAGCAAGGAACCCAACTGTGAAGCAAAATAATACTCTACCGACTCCAAGTTTGGATTCTCTTCGATCTCTTTTAGAAGCTTTTCGAACAAAGTTTGCGAGATATCCAAAACCTCTGGGTTTTGTTCCACAAGCAAATTTTGGAATATCAAACGTAATGTTTTGGATGTGATCCAGAGCTTGGTAGATTGGTCATCGATAGATAAGAATTCCATGATGGTATTCAAAGTCGCCTTTCTCACATTGGTGATTGAGTGTCTCAAGAACGGGAATAGCTTAGGGACAAGCGTCTCAAACGAATTGGAGGTATTTTGGGTCGCCTCCGACTGCATGATTTCAATAACTTCCTTGTGAGTACATAACTTCGAAAGGAGATCCATGACAGAACCAATCGATGCAGACAAATCGTCCTCGAAGTTGGATAGACAATCCCAAACCACTTCCAAAAGAGAGCGAATTGTTTCTCTTTTTGTTTTGACGAATTCATTGGCAATAGGTGCCAAAGTCAAGGCAGCCACGGATTGCACATCATCTTCACTTTCTTTCAAACAATGTAGCACCATGTAAACCACGGAATCCAAAAGCTCTGAATGCAGAAGGAGAACATCAGTACGGACACTGACGAAGTAACGGATTCCGAGCATTCCTCCGTGCTTTGCTTCCCAGCAACGAGGCAAGTCAAGCTCTTTGTTCTGGTCTTGAAGAACCAAACTCTTTAAGCAATCAAATGTCTTAATGATGGTGTCGATATCGAGATGAATCAATAATGCAGCAAGGGTTTGTGCCCCCGACTCTCTGACAGGTGCAACCACCGTATCGTTGACGTAGTCAGCAAATCTATCCAAAGCAAACAAAGTGCAAAGTCTGACTGCCAAATCTTCCAAGGTGGCAGCATTGTTTGCATCATTTTCACTCTTGGGTTTATTCATGACTCGTCCCGCGCCCTTTCCATGGATTTTGATGAGCTCTCTCAAACCCAAAGCAGAACCATGTCTGACCTCCCACCTTTCATCGAACAAATCGTTGAGAAGCAATTCGTATACGCCTTGAAACTGCCACACGAGACCTGCAACTTTTGCATGTTGTGAAATTAATGGTGAGAGCTCGGGAGCCTTTGTCTCCATGACCAATTTGGAGCCGCCTTGCTGAGAAGTTAAATCAAACTGAGGTGAGTCTTTCTGTTTAGAGGAATCAACTTCACCGTTCTCAACCAATTTTCTAGAGATGGAAGACTGCGATAAATCGACCGGAACAATCTTGTTGGCTGTCGATTTGGAGTTGACCTTTGCTCTACGTCGTTGCATGGCCTTCAATCTTGCGTTGGAGGCTGCAGACTTGGCAGAAACCTCTGGCGACGGCGACATGGAGGGCTCTTCTTCCTTTTTGACAATAGTATCTCCCTCTGGGGAGCCATCGGAAAAGTCTTCAGCCTTAACTAAGTTCTTGGGCTTTTTGATGCGGTTGAGTAATGCACTTGAGCTGGGACCTTTCTTGACAGAGTCAAACTCGGCCCCTCCGGATGCGAGAAGCTTCTTGTGGCTCTTTAAAAGCTCGTACAAGTTCCATGAGTCAAAAGTCACAAGAGACAGCAAATTCTCGTCTAGTTTTCTGAGCTCTTCGTCCTGCTCGAGTTTGATGGCTGGCTCGTCTTCTTTCACGGTGTTGGCTTCCTCAATTTCCTGGAGCTGCTTCTCCTTTTCGATTGCCTCGTCTGAGTTCGGGTCCCACAATGGCGCATGTGAGGCAATGCCTCCAAAGGCCTTGGCTGCGGCAATTCTGGTTTCCCATTTGTCGGTCTTTAAAAACGGGTATACACGGCCCAATAAGCTGATGATATCCTCCGGGTGTCCCTTGGCTAGCTCAGAGAGTTGGTCAGCTGCGGTATTCCTGATAAACGGCGTAGACCCGGTCTCCAAGAGCACCACAAGTCTGTCCAATCTGGACATGATTTAGAGATTCCTGGAAAGGTGTAGCAGGCGATTGGCCAGGATAGAATTCTAGGGAAAAGATAGTGGAACGCTTTGTGGACAGGTTCTGGATCACTAGCTGCAATTTGCGGCGACGATGGAGGCGCCGTTGGTGATGATTACCAGGGTAGATGTGGAGCGATTGCTTCTAGAGAAAAATGCGATATTGACCAGTTTATATAGGCAGGAGATGCGCGAGCGAAGCATGAATTGGCGACGTGCAATAAATGGAGGAGAAAGAGGATGAGAGGAAGAAAAAATGTGGTCAATTTGCGAAAGGAATGTGGGAGGGAAGCTATCCTATTTATAATTTTTGAACGGAAAGAATTGGTGGCGTTTAAAATTTTAATTTTATTTATATGATACCGTAAGAGGTCATTGGTTGCAATGAGGAGTTCCTGGAGAGGTGAGAATGATGAGAATGAGAATACTGAGAGGAATTAAGAGTGGACATGAAGAAGAAGTTTGTCAAAGATGGAAGTTAGGATTGATATGGGGAAAATGGTTAAAAAAAAAGAATAGGGAGGAAAAAAATGTGAAATTATCTAGTTGTTGAATTAGGAGGTGATGATGGTGTAAGTGATGGGTTCCCTGCTATATCCAGTCTGACAATAGTTTGACAGAGTAGACCTCATTGAGTCTTCGTAAAAAGTGGAGATGAGTGTTTAACGTGGTTAATCAATGATTAATCAATGATTGAATTGAGAGGAATATGTAGATCTGGTGGGTTGATTTGACTTGTTAATCTGGTATATTAATTGGTTTTGTAGAATAGCGAATGACTGTGATTGCTCGATGTGCACTATATGTACGTTCGATATATACTAGATATTCTTGGATACTATGTGATGTGGATACCAAATAGACTCCGAACTATAGATAATTGGCTAAGCAATCCAATCGTATCATATTACTCAAGTCTATCATATTATCCAAGTTTATTAGTTGATAGTGAAACACTGACTCGTCAAATCTCCCGCTGCGTCTCATCTCTCATTTACTCTACTAATCCATTTCTATTCTTCAATTCACTCTACTAATCCACATCTATTCTTCAATTCACTCTACATTATACCTAAGTAAACTTGCTCTCTCTCGTGGTACGCACCTCCTTCTTCTTGCTCTCCACGTCGTCTCTCGACGCATTGTAGTCCACATTGGTGTCCTGGTTCATAGGATTCTCTGGCGACTTCTGGAACTCCTTGAACACCATGTTCTTGATCTGCTGCAATCTCAATCCAGGGTTTTCCTTTCTCAACTCTGGCGTTCTCCTCTCCTCATAAGCAGCAAATGCTGCCTTCACTCTTCTTTCTGGATGTCTGTCGATGTCCTTATTAGCCACACCTCCCTCTCTGCCGGTCAACGCCAAAGCATTCAATGCATCATCAATTCCTGAAGCGCTCAACTCCTGCTTATCGCTGTTCCAGTCCAAGAAGTCGTCGATCTTGCCTGTTCTCTTGGCTGCCACTTTAGCCGCTCCTCTTTGCTTTTCCCTCACTGGCTTGGATGGTAAAGCAGCCTCCTCGGCTGCTAGAAGAGCATCACGCTCAGCCTTCTTTCTTGCGGCCTCGTCTTTCTTAAATTGGGAGTCCTCCTTCTTCTTGTTGCCTTTCTTAGATCCTTCTTCCCATTGGGCAGCTTCAGCAGCTTCAGCGGCACTCTCTGCTGCTTGACGCTTCTTATTAGCTGCATCTGCCTTTTTGGCGTTTCCTGCTGCTTTTTTACTGTTTTCTCCTCCTTTTTTAGCCATGGTGGTGTGGTAACTGAGTGGAAGTGATGGTTGGCATATTTAGTGGAGTCGCACGTGACTATTTCGATCTCGGAGAAGGTTTGAAGATAGAGATTGGAAAGAGAAGTTAATGGAAAAGTAAATTACTATAAGAGACATTCTGTTCTTTCTAAGTTATATTTTTTTCTTAAATAGGAGGTTCTTACTCTTTAAAATTTGAAATCATGCTACAAGAATTAAAAGTTTTGGTGGAAGAATTACAAGTGTTAGTTCAACGTCGCATTATTACCAGTCCATTCTCTTCAGTCGTTCCTTCCCATTATTTCAATTCAGCTTATTCAAGATCTGTTATTAAGCGATCGGAATCTTTATTTTTTATATGAATTCACCATCTGACGCCAATTCCACAATTGCTTGCTCTACTCAAGTACTATCTCGGTTCCACTGCTAATCAAACACAAACCATAATTGCTTCTTCACTTTTAGCTACATATCTGGACCACTATCACTCTCCAAACATTAAAGCCGTCATTAGTTGCCTATATACTTATCGGTGGTTAAGTGGATCACAGAAATAAGCCCTTCATCGATGTCTACAGATACAGAGTTCAGGTTTTGTGTTGCAAGGCCAGACCCTACCAACCCATTGTCGGTAATCAAAAAACAATTCAGCTGTAAGCAGTTTCACCGACTCACATTCAATCTCCTGGGAACAACCTATGTCGAGTGGAACATTCCCAAAGGAAAAAGACTTAGCGTTCGAACTCGTCTAACTACCCAGCATCCATTTCTCGAGATATTAGATATGCTGGGAACAGGCCGGATTCCATCCCATAACCTTGATTTGGTGATATTCGTTGAAGTTGCAAGAAACTCCTTCTACACTTGGGGGAAAGTTTATGATTACGCCATCTGTGCGTCCCATGCCCCGTTGCAAGTAGAGGAAATCCCAATCGAGCGATCCATCACCGTGTATGGTCGAAGGGCAGATTCCAAAACTCCTGAATTTCTCTTTACAAATCGAAGCGTTTCGAATGGAACCCGGTATTCCTTAAGCCTTGCGGAGTTTGACTCTTTCTATCTCCAAGTCCATGGTATGTACTACAGTGTGTCCCGGTTTCTGAGGAAGCGAGTGGTTTGTAAGACCCAGCATCCTGCTGGAGTGACACGATTTTCCTCCAAATCTATTGTGGTTTGTCTGATTTCATGTTTTTGGAAAGTTTTGGGATAAGAGCAACCACAGTCAAAATACGATACTATGATTCTCGCCAAAGACTCTTTTCGCAGCCAATTCTTAGCTCAGCACAATGTTGCCGGGTTCCATACGCTTTACATGGAGTTGCCAAATTTTGATACTGTCATATTCTTTTACTATCATATTCTCATACTTTCATATCCTCGTCTTTCATAACCTCTAATCGTTTACTCTCTACCTTACAACTTAGGCTTGAACACAACACGTCCCACAACTTCTCCTTTGGCCAATTTGTCCATGTACTCAGGCAACTCGCTCATAGAAGCACTTGCGACAACAGGCTTGAGCACACCAGCACTAATCCATTGCAAAATCTCCGACTGATCCTTGGAGCTGCCTCCGAAGTTGAAGATAATCTGCACTTCTCTTCTGGCCAACTCATAGTTGGGGATGGTGAGTACTCTGTTGCCAAGTCCCACCAGCACAATCTTTCCTCCTGTTTTTACATACTCCACACATGCCTCCATAGTTGTCTGATGACCCACAAAATCAAAGCAAAGGTCAAAAGATTCTTGGGCATCTTCTATCTCGTCTGCATCCGTGTAGAACTGTGCTGCTCCGAATTCTTTGGCGAGGTTCTCGTTGCCAGCCTTCTTATCTATGCAAACAATACGGCATCCGAAAAATTTCAAGATCTGAATTGCATTGAGGCCAAGTCCACCAGCACCAACCACTAAAACCTTTGTGGTTGGACCCAAGTCCAGCTTGACTTTCATAATGGCATGGAACGGCGTCAAAATGGCATCGGTGGCTGAGGCTGCTGCCTCATAAGAGACGTCGTCAGGAATTGGTATGAGAGACCGCAAATTCTGCACAAGCAAATACTGCTGGAAACCTCCATCTTTGCTGATTCCAAATGCCAGCGTTCCATTCACTGTACACCAGTTGTCGTGGCCTGCTCTGCAATTCTCACACGATCCACAGGCATCAGCGATGAGCATACAGAAACGTTGTCCAGCCTGATAGCGTTCGTCAGTGACCTCGGAGCCAACCTTAGCGATACTTCCGCAAATTTCATGACCCATCACCATTTTCTCAGGGATTCTAGGGTCCTGAACAATCAAGATATGGAGATCGGAACGACATAATCCGGTGACTTCGATCTTGAGAAGTACCTCGGAGGGTCCAGGCTCAGGCACTGGCATGTTGTCGAAACGGACGAGTTTTTTCACGCCGTGGTGGATTCCGTATCCAGTTTGAGTCTTTGGAATGGTCATTTTTGGGTGGAGACTTTAGAAATAATGAATTGTTGAGACAGAAAGTTGGTGGAGATAGCTATGTATTTAGTATGGAGTATAATGTGGGGTACATCCGAGGACATACCGACCATTGTGCACACGGTGGAGTCCGTAGTGAAAATACCCATGGGGATATAGACGAAATTGGAGGAAACGACGGAAATGGAATGGAGGAAATTTGGAGAAGTTGATGGGGTTTGGAAATCTTATTGTGCTGATTATTCTCATTAATAGGAGCTTATCGAAATCTCCGATCTGTCACTTATCTCACTAATGAAGATCTCGGAAAAATAGACAATGTCCTCTCTGAGTAATTTTCAATTACATTGGTTCTTTCATTGTCTTCCGATCTCGTCTCTCTCTCTCCCTCTCTCTATCTATCTACAATTTCTTTAAGGCTCATTAATAAATATGAAGAAGTAAACAGTTAAAGTCAAAGTCCTTTTCGGGTCCGGAACGCTATAGTACAAATGACAAAATGCAATGTGGAGACTGAACCTCCATACTTTCGTGACAGTCATAAAGCGCTAAGGAAAAATCGAATATAAAAAGAGCCATCAGGTCGTCTATTCGGATTTTTGTTTCTTAGCAGCTGGCTCCTCGGCACTCTCAGATACCTCAACAGCATCTGGAACAACAGAGTCTCCGTTGCTGGGTGCCAATCTAGGAGTGCTCACTTCAGCATGGTAATCCTTGATGATGGAGTCCACATCGTCGATGTTCAACGATCTAACGTCTCCCAACATCTTGATCTTGTTGGTGACCTCCTTACACTGCGCATCAGTCAAGTGCAAGTTCAATTGGTCAACTCTGGACTTGATGGCGTTCCACCCAGTCAATCTGTTGGCAAAGTGGATGTATCTGGTCAAACCAAAGTCCGATGGGTTCAAGATCTCATAGGTGGATGGGTTGGCCAAAATAGCCTTGGCGTGGATACCGGCCTTGTGAGTGAAAGCACAGAATCCAGTGATTGGGTTGTTGAAAGGAATGTTAACCTGGACAGCATCAGCAACCAAGTTCTCCAAGTCTCTCAACTTGTGCAACTTGTACTTAGACAACACGTAGTCTCTGTCAGCGGTGATCATTCTGGCCATCAATGCTCCCAATGGAGTGATACCGTTTCTCTCACCAATACCCAACACAGAGACATCGATCAACTTGGCACCAGCCTCCAAGGCGGTGTAGGCGTTGGCAATGGCACATCCAGTATCATTGTGGAAGTGACACTCAATGTCACATGAAACCACCGATCTCAATGTCTTAACCAAGTCGTAAACCTGTCTTGGGTTTGCGCAACCAACAGTGTCAGCAATACCGACTCTGTTAACACCGATCTTGTCAACGGTCTTGTAAATGTTCAACAAGTCCACAATGTCGGATCTGAAGGAGTCCTCCGACGAGAAACGGATTTCAATGCCCTTGGACTTGACAAACTCAATCACCTCAATGGCGGACTGAGCAATGTAGTTCATATCCTTACCATGAGAGTACTTTCTCAAAAACTGAGAGGTTCCAATCACCACATCGACACCGTCAACACCAGTCTCAACAGCAACTCTGGCGTCGTCCATGTGACATCTGATATGGGTCAAGATCTTGGCCTTCAAACCCAACTTACAGATGGCCTCACAGTCCTTTCTGGACTGTTCGGAAGCCACAGGAGAGGTCAATTCGATGTAGTCAACACCGAAATCGTCCAAAGCTCTGGCAATCTCGATCTTCTTCTCGGTAGTGAAGAAAGCATTAGCAAATTGCTCACCTTCTCTCAAGGTAGACTCAATCACCTCGAAGTTTCTGACGTTAGACAAGAAGTCGTGCGGATTAGGACCGTATGGGTTACCGGACATTTTAAAAAAGTTTTTTTTGGGATAAAGAAAATTCTATATTAGAAACAAGAACACCTAAAGGTTATATACTGGAGAAAATTTTTCAGTTCTTGCACTTTTCTTTTCCTGCATTACTCATTTAGGTGACTGATAAGTCCCTGTGTTGTATGCATTCGCTATCAAGGTGCCGTTCTTATGACTCATCCATATATATAGCAATGGGGTTGGATAGTGGAAGATTAGCTAAAACCTCGTTTTTTTTTCTGAATTTTTTTTCCATATTTTACGGATTTTGGTTTGAGAATCACAATTGGACTATTTGTAGGCTTTTTTCAACTTTTACTATTGCACTATGCTGTTGGTGCTGTCTATGACTCACAGAATACGGGCCGAAACATCATGTGCGTTGTGGCGCGCACGACCACTCCGATTCCGCTTCCTGTCAGGAGGTTAGTCAGTATTGCGGCAGAAGTTGGAATTAATGGAAGTAATAATAAGGTGAATTATGCGATTAGAGAAGTTTTAATTCTTCCATCAAGTTAATTGTCCCGACATTTGGTGTCTAAAGTGTGGTAAGTCAGGTGCGCAATTGTATTCCGAAAGTAGCAACTTATCAGTGATACATTACTACCGAAATTCTCAGTGACTCACAGGTTCAAGACACTGCGATTAAGAATTGGTTGATGATTGGATGAAGTAAAGATTTTGTAGAAAATTTGATTTTGAAGATATATTTGAAGGAAGTTACATTCAAAAAATGATGAAGGAATTGACTTGAAAAATTTGAAAAGATGATAGTCGGATAAATGAAAATTATCATCAGTAGATTAACACATAGTGGCATTGATAGGGTTATCAATATTTTAAAGACTATGCGATCTAAGTAGATCACTTACTGATTTAATTGACCTGATCTTTTCTCGATCATAGGTGATCCTATTCAATCATTTCAAAACCTGAATAAATTCGAGAAGTTATAGAAAACCAATCTCATCATCAACATGTGCCTACTGGATTACTCTCTCAAAAAACATATACTATACAGGGTCACACCGTCTTGGTGACCATCTTCACAAACCGGAAGATCTCCGTTTTCAACCTAATAAGCTCGACATTCTTGATGATCAACTTGCCGTTCAAGCGATTCACCACAGCCTTTGCAATGGAGTTGATCTCCAGATGCTTGAGTCCAGTGATTCCGCTCCAATCCTTTCTAACACGTTCCCTTGCCAATGCCAACTTAAAACATCCAATGATCAACTTCTTAATGCAGAAGCCCATCTCGGTGTAGTTTGCAAAGTTGTTCAGCTGATTCAAATACCGTAAGAGATAGATGACATCCATGTAGCGGAACAAGTAAATGATGCCCTTCATGAACATAGGGAGCGAGAGCTGCAATCTGCTCACCAAGATCATAAGAAACGTCTCTAACGGCATCTCGTTAGGATCCATTGTTCTGGGCGACTCGGGCGGGAACGAGTTGGTGATTTTCATGGAGATATACTTAACTACGATCTTCATCAACCTCAGCCTCTCGGTATTGAACTGAGTAGGTGACACTCGAGACTCTTCAGCTTGGATCGTCAGTGAAGTTGAGTCAGACGACAAAGCTGAGAATCCCGAAGTGTTGGACTTATTGGTGGAGATGCCCGAAAAACTAGACGTCTCAGACATCTCCAGACGCAAGACTTCCTTGTGTAGCGTCTCATTTTCGGACTCCTCCCTCTCGGACTTCTCCTTTTCAGACTTCTCATGAGTAACTTCCTCCTGCGTCACTTCCTTCTTGATGAAGCGTTTCACCTCCTGGGTGGCAGCTGTGGTGGAAGGTTTAGCATCGATGGACACATCAAAGCCACCCAGCGACTTCGAAGGCGCCGAGCTCTCTGCGTCGGACTCTTCCTCCTCGTCGTCCGTGACAAGCGAGGGGATATCAAGAAAATCAGATAGTTTCAATTCTCCAGAATCGTCAGCGTGCTCGTTGGAAATAAACGAGGAAACAGCAGATGAAACAGGAGAAGGAAGTTGAGGAGGAACAGATGCAGCTAAGAAGGCGGCTGTGAACAGCGTATTGCCACCGCCACGCACTAATTTGGCGTGGCTGGTGGCTGGAGGAGGATCATCTCTATATTGGGAGTCGTTGATGGTGACCATGGGCGTAAACATAAGGGGACGGTGGCTTTGTGACGGGGCCGTAAGCAAGCTGTATTCTTTCTTTGAATTTTTAGCCTGTTAGTTACGGATTCAGAACTTGTAACACACGGTAAATAGATGGGCGAATTAGCCTGGCACTAGTGCTCCATAATAGACATAGAGCAAGGGTGAAGGAAGTAAAGAAAAAATTGTCGGAAAATGACGGAAAGACGAGGAAGTCGACGATGCGGAGGTGGGTGGATATGTCAGTTGAAGACAGATTTGCGGGAGAATCACCGAGCCGATGGTATTTCAAGAAAGGGAAGTGGTTGGAGTGGTGAGAACGGGCTGACTCATCGATGCTAGCTGGTCACGTGCGTTGGAAAGGGGTGTATGCTTCATACGGCACCAAAAAAAAAAACATTGAAGATTCAGGGTATTGGTTGTATTTCAAAATGTAATTTAAAATTTTCTGACAGTATATAGAGATTCATATGATTCATGTGGTTTTGTGATTTACAATTCCCATTTGATTTAGCAAATTTACTTTGCTCGATGTGGACATTTCTCACGGTTTTTCGTTTTTCTCTTCGTTGACTCACCCATCAAAAGCAACCCCAGTATCCACACAGGCTGATCGTCCGTATCCGGACCAGAAGGTCTACATCCGCACGGGAAACCTCACTCCATCCAACCAATCAGCATTATCCAATCAACTCCAAAGGAAGCATTTTGATCTGGTTTTGTATATTAATGGACTTTTTGATCTGGTTATATTTCTTTTTTTTTTTCTTTATTTACTTTTCTTTTGATCGATCCACTAAATTTTTTTTTTCTCATTTCTAATATTGTAAAGTCCATTCTCACTCCCTCCTAATATGAAAGTCCAATACCAATGTTGACTTTTATAATTCTACACTTACCAATTTACACAATTTTTTTTTTTTCATTTTCAAATCTAATTTTTTTGCCTCCCTAAATTTCTCCACCTAAATTATACCATTTCTCTCCTTATCTATCCATAACCCTCCATATCCCTCCAACTCCCACCCCAACCTCTCTTTTCACCTTATCGCGAAAACTTTTCCTCCATACTCCATGTCTAATCCAGAGTCTATGCGTATAGCCAGCCCTCGGACGTATCGTGACGCCATCAATGCCCTCAACACGCTACAATCCAACTTTGCTTCTATTGAGGCCGTCAAAAACCTGAGTTTGTCATCCAGAGCCAGAAGCGAACTCTCCCTCAATGAGGTTTATGAGTACATTCGTCGTTTGGGTTACAAGCCGCTGGATTTCAACCGTTTGAACGTGATCCATGTCACCGGAACGAAAGGAAAGGGCTCCACCTGTGCGTTCGCCGAGTCCGTATTGACCCAGTACAGAAAGGGTGGCATCATCTCCAAAACAGGTCTCTTTACCAGTCCTCATCTCAAATCGGTACGCGAGCGTATCCGAATCAATGGCTCGCCAATCACCGAGCTGAAATTCACAAAGTACTTCTACGAAGTCTGGGATAAGTTGTCGTCGACCACCTCGGATCCCGAAGCTTTCCCTACTTTGCAACCATGCGATACTGTCAAGCCTATGTACTTCAAGTACTTGACGGTGTTGTCTTTCCATGTGTTCATGTCAGAGGGCGTGGATACTGCCATTTATGAGGTGGGTGTTGGCGGAAAGTTTGACTCTACTAACATTATTGAGAAACCCACCGTGACAGGTATCACGTCCTTGGGCATCGACCACACGCTCATGCTCGGAACCACCATCGAGTCTATTGCATGGAACAAGGCGGGAATCATGAAAAAGGACTGTGCTGCAATTGTAGCCACTCAGACAGAGTATCCACAATCTTTGGATGTAGTGGAGCATGAAGCTAAGGAGATTGGTGTTTCGTCTTTTGAGGTAGTCGGACCTGACGTGGTGCCCAAGAACATCAAGTTGGGATTGGCCGGTGATTTCCAGAGGCAAAATGCCGCCGTAGCTATCAAATTGGTCGAGAAGCACTTGACCAAATTGGGTGTCAAGGACATCGATATTGAGGAGAATGGACTTCCCGACGAATTTGTCAAGGGTCTCGAAAAGACATCTTGGGACGGTAGATGTCAGATCCTCGCCGATAGACCGGGCTTTGATCACATTACATGGTACATTGATGGTGCTCACACGCTCGAATCCATCAACGTTGCATCTAAGTGGTTCAAGACTGAGGTGTCCAAGAAAAAGACCACAAAGATTCTTTTGTTCAACCAGCAGTCGCGTGAGAACGCCGGAGCACTTCTCGAACAACTTTACCGTAATGTGGTGGACTCCACCTTGAAGTTTGATCATGTCATCTTCACCACCAACATCACTTGGTGTGACGGCTCCTACAACAGCGACTTGGTATCCATGAACAACTCCAAGGACCAAATCGACAAATTGGTGGTGCAGAAGGAGCTCGCTGGCAAGTGGAGTACCTTAGACCAGGAACTGGGACTCACCTCCAGAAAGCATGTTTTCCCGGACATCGAGACATCGCTCCGTTTTATCAAGAGCTTGACCAACGAGAAGGAGGCAGAGGTATTTGTGTGTGGCTCGTTGCACTTAGTGGGAGGCTTCCTTGCCGTATTGGATGGCGACAAGGACTAATTTACCGTTCTGGGCTTTTACCTAATTGTGTATGAAATAGTATATAAGTACAGAAGAATTAATACCATCGTACCCCCGATCATTAGTTTGCGTTGTTGTTGTTGACGATGTTGTCCTTAGCGTTCTTGACAATCTCGTTGATGTTGTTCAACGACTCCTTCCACTGTACGAGCGACTTCTTAACGGTTTCCCAGTCGTGAGCAATCTTCTCTTGGTTACCAGCCAACACGAAACGGTTAACTCTCACCAAGTAGAAGGTCTCATCCACCTGGTTCAACTTACCTTCGATGACACCGGCCTTGATGGAGTCAATCAACAACTTCTCAAACTCGCTGGGAGAAGACACCAATTCGCTTGGAATATCACTGTAGAGGAATGAGTTCTTGCCTGCGTCATCGCTTTGTACGAAAAACTTGGCCAATGCTAAGATCTTGGACTTGGCATGCACATCCTCGCTCAAATCACCTGCGGCTGAGGTGACCAACTCACCGTTGGTGTACTGAGTGAATGTCTGGGCCAACGAATCAGAAGAGTTGGCCTGCAAGGCAGAAGCGACGTTGTTGTTCACCAAGAAGGAAACGTCGACCACAGACGACGACAAGGCAAACACAATCAAGTCATGCAATTCGGTCAACGACAAGGTGAACTGGGAGGTGAAGGCCTTGATCAACTGCAAGGACTTCAAGGTGTAGGCCTTGTCCAACTTGACAAAGAACCAGAACAAACGCTTGATCTCGGCCTCAGAAGCATTAGCATCCTTCAACCACGACACCAAGTTGTCGCCAATGGCCGACTGAACCAATGCAAAGTCAATCTGGGTGTCGGAAACGATCTTGCAGATCAATTCCACGAGGTAGATTCTGGTAGCCGATGTAGTTGGCAAGTAGTTGAAAAATGTGTTGATGATGGACAAAATAGTAGTAGGCTTGAGAGATCTTCTGTCTCTTAAAGATGGCACCTGTGCTGGAGTGGCTTCTATCAAGAGATTCACAACATTAGAGTCCTTCTCGAAGAGCTTCTCGAAAGATGTACCTTCGAGCTCGTGCAAAAGGTAGACGAGCAAGTAGAACGCAGGCTCAAACTCCTTGTCGGATAGTTTGGCCAAGGTAGTAGCGGGCGAGCCTGAGAGGAGCTTAGCCGCCAATTCGGACTTGTTTGTAATCTCATTTTGGATGTTGAAGTATTGATTCAATGAATCGGAGAACTGGGAGTTCTGGTGAATGGAGTCGATGATCAGACCGTACTCCTTGACCGAGTCCTTGATTTCGTTCTCGACGACAATAACAGAGGCCATGTTGGGTTTGTAAAGGCAACTGATACTGGGGATATCTAGGCTTCTTCACCTTTTTTTTTTTCCACTGGACTACCTGCACTGAGGCACGAAAAGATTTTTTGGTGTTGTATCACGTGTGTGATCACGTGAATGTGTTGCAAAAGAGTATATGATAATAAAGAATAGCATAATAGTAAAAAAAATAGAAGGCTGCATAGGATGTTGGCATTAGTGTCTATTTCTCGTCATCATCTTCCTCCTCTTCTTCGTTGATGAACTCAAACCGCCGCGGAGTGCCAGTCCCGTTCATATTGTCACGCTTCCATACCCTACTATCAACTTGCACAGTATCAAACAGTGGGCTAGAAGTTCCGTTGGCAGTGCCGTTAGCAAGCATGTTGCCGTTTGCTTCACTTTTCTTGGGTGCCAAAATTCCATTCATGGAATTTGTCCCCTTGTTGGCTATCTTGCTCATATTATAAACGGGTGGTGAGTGCGACCTAGGTATAGTACCATTGGTAGGAGAAATGGCAGGGAAAATTGGCAGAGGATTGAGAACTTGTGTTTGACTGGACGATGATTTGGTTGAGCTGATCGACCGCAGCGGACGAAGCTTGGGATGACCCTTGCGCGAAATCTTGGTGCGTGGAGAGATAGGTCTTGTAGGTGGACCACTGTCATCGTAGTATCTGTCAATGAGCTTCGAACGAGCACTGCTCTCGTCGGAAGAGTTGCTTGAAACTTGTGAAAGCGAATACTTTTTGGTTTTGATCATGCCGAGGGATATTATCAGGCCATCTGACAGGCTGCGTGGCCCTAGTGAACGTTTTTTCTTGCTTGGAGGACCCTGAGAAAGATGGGTGACCTTGAGATGTGAAAGATCGTGGTGAGATGTGTTGATGGAAGATTCGTAGACACCTTCGTCGTCCAAATATTCGTCTTCGATGTCTGTTGCATCTAGCATGTCTATTTCGGATTCTGACATTGGGTATAACTGGCTTCCTTGGCTGTACTGGCTGATTTGCGACACAACAGACTCTGGACGCGTGCGACGGAAGTAGCTGTCATTGCTCGAAGAGACTTGCATTTGTGGGGTATCCATGCTGGTGGCGGAGGGAATGGTGTTTCCAGATACATCACGCCTATGATTATTGCTGAGGAATAGAGGGTGGTCCAGAGGCGGAACCTCACAAATATTATTCGAGTCCACTTGGGTCTCGACCACAAGCTTCTCGTTGGCGACATGTGGGCTGGGGGATTTGTTATTAGCTGTGATTTCTAATCCATTGTCCTGGTTATCGAAGGACTCGGATGACAGAGTATACTCGCGAGACTGTCTGAAGAATCTCGGTGGTTTCTCCTCGGCTCTAGTTTTTCGCCAGAACTGGAGTTTGTTGAAGAATTTCTTGCTCTTTCCCTTGGATGGCTCACTGCTGAATGAAAGATTGGTAATGCTTTTGCGCTCGTCAGGGAAGAATGACACCGCTCTCTTGTAGGGCACAGACACTTGGTCTGTTGTGTACGAATCATTTGGTGTTCTATCGACCAGTGAGATTCTCCGTGACGATGGCTGATTGGAGTTGCGAATGCTAGGGGGTTTTCGGTGCTCTTCTGTAGATCTTCTATTCAAGCTCACACGACTGGCCGAATGATCTGGACGAGACGACAAACTGAGTGTGGAAATGATACGCTCAAGAGGCGGCGCTGATGTGTTTTGTTCTGACAACGACAACGCGCTCCTGACTCTGTTCCTTGACTTCTTCAACAGCCTTTTGGCCTCAAAGTAGCGCTTCTTCTTCAAGTAGCGGTCCTTCTTCTTCTTGAATTCTTGTGTGAGGGCCAATTCATAGAACGCCGTGAGCGAGTTCGTCTGTCCACTGAACACCGCCGTTTGTAAGGAGTCCAAATCCACATTCATCTTCTGCATTTTCTTGAGAAGATGCTTCTCAGTCTTGGACAGAAACGGCATGGCGTTCATCTTGTAGTGTTGGCTGATGGAGATGATGGACTCTGCATCGTTGTAGACGGAGTTGCGCTGCTCCAGTTTCTTGTTGGTGATGTCGATCAAAAATGTCGAGTTGAAGATCTCGGTGAGACTGGGCCGTACCCATGGATCCTTGTTAAGCATGCGTTTTAGTAGATGAATGATGTCTGGAGCCACAGTATCGTTGTACACGGGCTCTTCGTTGATAATCTTGTACTTGTTCCTAAGATCGTCATCTTCGTCGAATGGAAGCTCACCATAAACCATGGCATACAAAATCACGCCCAAGGACCAGATATCCACAGCAAAACCGGAATACTTCTCGTTCTTCAAAACTTCTGGTGCCATATAAGCAGTTGTACCACAAACTGTGGAGAGGAACTGACGTTTGTTAGGGTTAAATTCACGCACAAATCCAAAGTCTGTGAGCTTGATCACAGTTTTCCGCTTGTCAGCCAACAAAATGTTCTCCAACTTTAAGTCCCGATGGGAAAGGTTGAGCGAATGCACGTACTTGATTCCGTCAACGATTTGATAAAACAAGTGCCTACACACGTCGATGTTCAAACGTCTCTTCTCGTAGATGTAGTAAAAAAGCTCCAGACCCTCGCAGTACTCGAGAGCCATCCACAAGTGGGTTTCTGTCTTGATCACCTCATACAATTTGACGATATTCTTGTGTCGAAGCTGGCGGTGGTAATAGATCTCTCTGACAATGTTAGGGTCATCAACAGCTCCACACTTTAGCACCACCAGAGTGTTAAGAATTAGATGCTGAGCCAAGTAAACCTTGCCGAAAGCTCCTTCTCCGATTTCTTCGATGATTCTATAGTTTCCGATTTGTGATACATGCGGCAGAGTGATTTGGAGATAGAATTGATTGAACTGCTCGGCCAATTCGGCCACCTGCTTCTGATCCTGAGCTCGCAGCACTGACATTCACGAAGGTTCTGGTGGGTTTTGTGGGGGAGAAACTTAAAGTCGTAATGGAGGCAGAGTGTTCTCTAATGGGGCTACATACACACCCGGTAGTGACCCGATGGTAGACGGAAGGCACAAGGATAAAATAGTGGGATTTGCAGAAATCCTGTCGATTAAAGGGTTTTGGAATGAACAGATTTATGGTTTCTTGCTGATTCTTAAAGTCTTGGTGTAGATTTTCTAAGGGTGAACAAATGCTCAACATTCGGTGGTCGCTGATTATGCATATCGGTGACTGATGGTGAGACTATGCATAACGTGATGGGGATAATACGTTTGAGAGCAATAACTGGCAATAGAAAAGAGAAAAAAAGAAATTAGATGAATGGCTCCTTTTTTCGACCTGGATCGTCCTTCTCGTACCATTGCCCTTTTTGGCTATGTTTAAACTGTCGTAAATTTTGAGGATTTGACCTTCACCATTTTGGTTACTACCTCCACAGTGTGCATTCTTCTCATCTGCTGAATCGACTACTTAGTGTTGACCATGTGGAAACCACTAGGGCCGCCGATGGCACGAACGTCGTACATGGCATTTCGACTACGGTTATTTTCAACTTTCCACTATTGTTCGAATCAATCGAGTTCTGCTACTGATGTTGTTGCTAGTGCACGTTCTTCAGTCAATGGCATCGCACTGATCAAGAATGAACAAACTCCATTTGATCAACTCGCCACATTCACATCCGCCTCTCTCGAGAGCATTCGGGCCAAACTCCACCAGAATAAGTTTGTATATCCATATAATGCTTTAAACGATCTCGACACGGACGCTGCAGATGCACTCGTGGACGATTTTCAGTCCGCCTTGATGGACAAGTACAACGGGTTCTTGAATAGCAAAACACCACAGTTCGATCAGCTAACGAATATCACCATCGCTGACTACCTTCGGCCTCGTTTGGTCAACGCATCGCCGATGTTGTACCTGGTCTATCTCAATCGATACCCAGACCATTTGGCTCAATTGAAAGGCTACAAGTCCAAGCAGGATATCTTGGAGGCATTGCTTATTAGTCTTTTGTATCTGCATCACTCGCGTCGGATACTTCAGGCACTTCCCGAATCAGATAAAACCGATATCAACTGGGATATTGGAAACCCTGCTGAATGGTACCCTCAGGCCAGAAAGATGAAAAGAAAAATCATAATGCATGTGGGGCCAACTAATAGTGGAAAGACATACAACTCGCTAAAGGCATTTGCGGCTGCCAAATCGGGCTATTACGCTGGACCCTTGAGACTTTTAGCGAGGGAGATTTTCGAGAAATATCAGAGCCAAGGAATCAGCTGTAATTTAATTACAGGAGAGGAGGTGATCCCATCGTTGGACGAATTTGGGAATGTCACCAACCTCTCTTCGGGTACCATTGAAATGATCCCATTGCACAAGAAAATGGATGTGTGTATCATTGACGAGATCCAGATGATTGCTGACGAAATGAGAGGGTCTGCGTGGACGAACGCCGTGTTGGGAGTTCAGGCCAAGGAGCTTCATTTGTGTGGAGAGGAGAGTGCCGTTTCACTCATCAAGGAGCTTGTCAAAGCTACCGGAGATGAGCTACTGGTGAAAAGGTACAATAGATTGGGAAAGCTCACGGTGTGTCAGGATCCAGTGGGCAACTTCAAGCGATTGCAGAGTGGAGACTGTGTGATTACTTTTTCCAAGAAAAAGATCTTGGAATTGAAGTGCAGAATCGAGCAAGAAACGTCGTATAAGGTTGGTGTGATTTACGGAGCACTTCCGCCGGAAATCAGATCAAGAGAATCTGCCAAGTTTAATAACGGCGAGTACGACGTATTGGTGGCATCAGATGCCATCGGGATGGGTCTTAACTTGAAAATCAAAAGAATAGTCTTTTGGTCCACCACTAAGTTTAACGGAACCGAGATGGTGGACTTGAGCATTTCAGCTACCAAGCAAATCGCAGGCAGAGCAGGCCGCTACAACCCCAATGGTGGTGAGCTGGAAGGTTTCGTCACCGCCTTCAATCGAAAGGATTTGAAATACATCCAGAAAACATTGCGGAAGCCCATAGCAGATATCAAGAAAGCATGTATCTGGCCACCCACAGAGTTTTGGATCCACTATATGTCATCGTTTCGACTGCCCATACCGCTAGTGGAGGCTGTGTGGAGATTCGAAGGTGAAGTGCTGAAGATTAAGATGAAGAACTACTTCCTTAGTGAGTTTGAGCACCAATCGCAGATTCTCAATTTGCTTGTTAAGAACAACTTCCACGAGACCATGACCATTGAAGACCAAGTTAAACTTGCATTGGTACCCATGAATTTGAATTTTGTTGCTCCTGTTGTTGTTGAAACAGCACTCAAGTTCTTTGAGTGTATTCTGACATGCGAGTCCAAGACCGTTTTTGACTTCAACTTTTTGCATACCACGCTCCTTGAGAGTGACCTGACCCTTGCTACTTCGTATGAGCGGGCTTTCAGTACATTGGAAGCGTTAGAAACCAATCACAAGTTGGTTCTTGTGTTCATGTGGCTCAGTCAACGGTGGCCTACGCTTTTTATAGATAAGGAGAGTGCCCTGGACATCAAAACACTCATTGAGAAGCGTATCAGTGAAGAGTTACTTTGTTTAAGAAGGGTAGCAAAGAGAGATCGCCGAGGTGGCCGTCCCCTGAAGAAAAGGTGAAGATAGAAGGCATTTGAGGGTAATAGGGAGGATGGAGAAAGGACAGAAGGGATCGGTGGTCCACACGAAGAGATAGTATGCAATTATTGTGAACAGAAAGTGATAAATACACTTAGACGGATTAAAGCCAGAATTGACCATATGGACTTGGTGCTGAAAACTTGTACATAGAAATCCGATCTCGGTCAATATAGATTCTACGGTCAAATTATTGAAAACGAAGAGAAAGATCCTAAGAAACAGTCCAATAAGAATCAAGACATCATGAAAATAAAGATATACCCAAAACCTAAATATTTATGGAGATACATTGTGCGAGGCAAACATTTCGCAACTTGTATGTCTTATGTCGTGTACCCCCCACGTCTCCCCCACACGTCCCCCACCTTCATTATAGGTTACATGTCAACCCAACAACTTCCTAATTCTCGACAACTTTTTTTCCTAGAAGTATTCTTCATTCTATTATGGCAACTGTGATTATTGTTGGTGGCCCTGCAGGAACGGGAAAGACTACCATTGCATCCTTGTTGGCTGAGCACCACAAGTGTCCTTTCATTGAAGGTGACAATTTGCATCCAAAAGAAAATGTCGATAAGATGGCCCGTGGAGAGCCTCTCACTGACGATGATAGATGGGGATGGTTGCAAACCCTTGCTGAGACTGCTGCTGCACTGGCCAAAGACCCAAAAAACGCATCACAAGTGGCTATTGCTTCGTGCTCCATGTTGAAGAAGGTGTACCGAGACTTTCTCGAGAGGAGTGCTGGAGAAGGAGTCACATTCCGGTTTGTATTCTTGCACACTCATTACGACGAGTTATTGAAGCGTGTTTCAAATAGACAGGGTCATTACATGAAGTCAGACATGGTGAAGTCTCAGTATGATATCATGGAAGTTCCAAGTGGAGATGAGTTATTGGTGAATGGTGGAGAGGCTTTGGAAGTCGACACAACTGACAAGGAGCCAGAAAATATTTTGAAGGAGATCTTAACTACTTTGGATAAGTAATAAAAGGGCCGTATAGTTTCTATAAAGCTTAACGAGCATGGAAATGGAATCGACAGTCTGTTAATGACATGTGTTCACTAGGAATTAAGTAGGTTTCGGTATTTGACCAAGGTGAATTGATTGGAACTATTGGAGTAGATAACTAACATGTCAGAACATACTGAGCAAAAATCGTAGTGTAGTGGTCTAGAGTTTAGAATAGGATGCCTTGATACTTCTTGTTATACTGGTCTAGTATTGCTCAAATATTGAATAGAGTAGAAACTTTTCATATTCCAACTTTTTCATCTACTTCTGTGTTTCTCTTGTGGATGTGAATTGATATGAGTGATGGTAAAATTCGAACTCGGTTTGTCATAGTCTACCCCAGCTTTAAACTCCACTCGATTGTTTGATGATGAACAAATGTCATAGTAAATGTGACATAATAGTAAGTGAATGAAATAAGAAGTTAAGAACCACTCTGCGATCTACGATATCAGGGTTCAGGTGCTAACCATTTCGTCTGTCAAATTGTCTGCCATCGACTTGGACAAAATTCTTCTGAGAGTTTATAATAGAGTCGAGTAGATCATAGTAGATCAAAGTAGATCATAGTAGATCATAGTAACTTATAGTTAACTATTGGAAACTGACTTAGTAGACTAGGGTAGAAGACTATGGGAATTAATGGTAGACTATAATCCTATCAGTCTGGTATATTATATGATCAGTAACACAGGTTATTTTCATCTGGAATTGTCTGATACGCAAGAGTCTAACTCATGAAAAATCGAATCTTGGCTAACAAACCAAATCTAAAATCGATCTTTGTCTGTAAATCTTTTTACCAGTCATAGAGTAATTAGATTCCACCAAACCAGTCTCTTTCTCAGTCGACAATAATACTCACATTTCCCAACTCTGTTCTGTTCCTGGCCGTAATTCTTATCTCAACCTTATTCACCTACTCACACCACCTCTCCTTCACTTAACATCTCTGTTCCCACCTATTCTCTTTTCCAACATCTTCAATTATGCGCCATCTCTTCAATTCTATTTCCTTTACTTCGCTCCATTTCTCATACCCCATTCATTTATCCACCTCTCTTGGTCCTCCATTCCTCATCCTCTTCATCCTCTTTGTTCCCTTCCGCTTTTCACATCCTCGTCTCTCCGTTCATCTCCCTCCTTCATCTTCCCCCTTCATCATTATCCGTCCGCCCAAACCTCCCTGGGTGCAAAACGCCACCCTTCTCGAGCCCTGGCCATCCCCTTGCACTAGTTCCAGGGGTCCACAACCATAGTAACTACATTGGCCAACCCCAGACATTATCGGAGATACATACATCGCAAAAACGGAAAGTTTCAAAACAAGCTAATCACCATACCCGCCGAAAAGCTTATTTAACCACCCCTCGAATCCATTTGTGTTCTGTGTGTATCTCGCCCATTGTCCCACTATTAAGGATCCTGGCTGACATGGCTCATCACGATTGCGACTCATCTACCTACATTCCACCGAGCACATTTACCGAGCACACATATACCTTCCAAGCACACTGCCGAATCCCCGGACGAAACTGCGGCTGCTTTGTGTGTTTCTTGTTAACATTCATATCTTGTTGATATTTATTTCTGTTTCGATTTTTGTCGCTTCTCCTGGCGTGACTGCTGCTTCCATAGTTACTTCCACCTTTCATTCTGTCGATGTTGAATTCTCACTTCGACCCGACCTCCCTCCCCTACCATAATCCGAAGAAAATAAGGCGGGTCGCCCTCATCACCGCAGGCAATAGCGGAGTGGGCTGGTATACTGCTCTCCACTTATACCTCCATGGCTACGTGGTGTACTTGGCTGGACGTTCGAAGGTGCGATGCCAGAATCTGATAAAAACCTTGGTTGAGGAAGCGGCCGCCATACGAGCGGATTACGACGAGGACCAACAGAATATCCGCATTTTAGGTGAACTCCACTACCTCGAGATCGACTTGGCATCGTTAGCCTCAGTACTCCGTGCCGTTTCCACGTTCCGCAACTTAGAGAAGCATTTGAACATTCTCGTCAACAACGCCGACGTGTCGGTACTCCCTTACACTGTGACTCCCGACGGTTTCGACGTACAACTTCAGACAAACTATGTGTCGCCATTTCTTCTCACAACCAAGCTTCTCCCGTTGTTGGAATGCTCCGCAGACTTGTATCCACAATTGGAAGCTCCACGAGTTATCTACATTAGTCTGGTGGCTCACAAGATTATTCTCGGCTACTTCAACTTGAATGCATGCTTGAACTACCACCCCAACTTCTTCTTCACGTGGATCCGCTACTCCATAGCGAAGACAGCTGGCATTCACTTCATGCGTATGTTGGCTCTACGTAACCCACGGGTGCTCTGTATGTCAGTGCACCCAGGATTCATCATGCATACCAACTACTTCAGCTACTGGACACGGCTCCCTATCATTGGCATTGTTTTCTGGTTATTTTTCGAGCTTTTCGGCTTCTTGTTTGGAGTGACAGTCGAGGAAGGCTCGCATGCGTTAGTCAAGTGTTCGCTAGATCCGGAACTAACGCCTGAAAACGACAACGGATCTCATTTCGCATATAATAACAAGGCGGAGCCCTCCCGAATAGCTCGCAACATGGACTATGCTGCACGGTCATGGATCTGGACTGTGCACCAACTTGGCAAGAGACATATCGACATCGTATAGGCGGCAAGTCGCCATGGCATAATAAAGGTAATGGAGGAATCTAGTTGCCTTCTTTTAGTAAGCATCCTTACTTCATCTTAATTTCCTACTAATATCTATTCGCATCAAAGTTCTGCTAATCTTCCATTCTCGTCTCTCCGCTTATTTACAACTTGAAGTCATTGTCAATACGCTCGATGACAATGGCAGAGGCTCCTCCTCCACCGTTACAAATACCAGCAACTCCGATCTTACCACCCTCCTGGTTCAAGACAGAAAGCAAAGTGACAATGATTCTGGCTCCAGAACATCCCAATGGGTGGCCCAAAGCAACAGCACCTCCGTACACGTTCAACTTGTCAGTAGGCAAGTCACAGATCTGGGCGTTAGCCAAACCAACAACCGAGAAGGCCTCGTTCAACTCGTAGAAGTCAACATCGTCGTACGAGAGCTTGGCGTGCTTCAATGCCTTTGGAATGGCCAAAGATGGAGCGATTGTGAAGTCCATTGGAGATCTAGCAGCTTCACCCCAGCCGGCAATACGAGCCAAAGGCTTCAAGCCTAACTCCTGCAACTTGGCCTCGGAGACCAACACGAGGGCTGCACCACCGTCGTTCAACTTGGACGCGTTACCTGCGGTCACGGTACCGTTCTCCTTCTGGAAAACAGTTCTAGAAGTCTTAAGACGTGCCTCATTGAAGTTCTTTGGTTCATCATCCACAGAAACAACAGTGTCTGGCTTTCCACGGAAGCCCTTGATGGTGACTGGGGCGATCTCAGCATCGAACTTACCGTCAGCGGTAGCCTTCTGTGCTTTCTTGTAAGAGTTGATGGCAAACTCATCTTGCTGCTCTCTGGAGATGCTGTGGTCGGCAGCACATTTCTCGGCAGCCACACCCATCAATTTCTGGCTGTAAGCATCCAACAAACCATCCTTCTGGACACCATCCACCATGGAGGCGTCACCGTATCTGGCACCCTGACGAGCAGATGGAAGGTAGTATGGGGTGTTGGACATGGATTCAGCACCTCCAGCGACCACGATGTCGGCGTTTCCGGTCATGATGGTCTGGGCAGCCAAAATCACCGCCTTGGTACCAGAAGCACAAACCTTGTTGACGGTGGATGCAACAACGGCCTCCAGAAGTCCAGCCTTCAAGGCAACCTGTCTGGCAGGAGCCTGGCCCACGTTGGCCTGCAAAACACCACCGAAGATGATTTCCTCAACGGCTTCAGGCTTGATTTGTGGAACCTTCTCCAACGCAGCCTTAACTGCGGCAGCACCCAACTCTGGGTATGTAAGCGAGGCCAACGAGCCTTGGAAGGCACCGATTGGGGTTCTAGCGGCAGAAACAATGTACACAGACTGCATTTCTAAAAAAAAAAGTGGATGTTGTGGGTATAACGAGATGGAGGAAAGGCTTTATATGTTTGAGCCTATACGACGTGCTCGCATCCGTCCTGCAGGAAGTCGAGGTCCAGTGGTTTTTACCATTTGTAGATTGAATAAGACGGGGGAATGAAATTGAGGAATATGTTGATTGAAATCTTTTGAGAAGGGTTGGAAAATATGAGAGCCTTAAGAATTTTATAGATCTAATGGTCTTAGCATTTTTTTTTTTGCTTGTTGGTGTTTTTTTTTCCATGGATGTATGTATTTTGAATCAGGTAGGTGGGGGCGTAAAGAAATTAAAAAAGAAGCACCATGTGTCGAGTGAGAACAGACAAAGTTCTATACGTCAAAACATAAAAAACACTACAACTGTAAATCAACTTTTGTAAATAATAATTTTAAATCTGTATAACAAATATAAAACCGTTCAAATTAAGAAAACATTGACTATAATCCAACAATACCATCTATCAATTAGTAATCAATGGTTCAATTTCCTCCATTGACTGTCTTATCATTGGTCACCAGTTCAAACTTAGTTTGAAAAAAGGAAGACTGTCTCCTTACGACCCGAGTTCCATAATGAAGCCGATACTACTCGTATCTTAATCGATATCCACGGTTTCCTCGGCCTTCTCGGCTCGTTTCCCCACACCTTCTTAACGTCTTCCTTTCTTCCTTTCTTCCTATCTGCGTCCACGTGACCATATACCGATTTCCACCTCCACCAACTACACCTTCCACTAATGTTCCCATTCCGGCCAATCAGACCCCGCCAATCTATCCTTTTCCGTGGTCTCCGACTGCAGCACTTGCACACATCGCGTCCAGCACTTCTTTTCAACAAAAAAGCTGCACCTGTCCAGCCTGTGGAACAGAGCAATCCACCACCTCTTCAGAATGCTGCCATTCCTGATGATGTAGCTTACAACAAACATCCTATTCTAAGCAAGGTTCCTAAGTTCTTGAGACCTTACACAACACAATTCATCCATGCTCCAGTCTCTCACGTCACGGCATTCATCATTCTTCATGAGATCACGGCCATTGTACCTTTAATCGGTACTTGGTACGTCCTCCACCAGTACCATGACTTGTTCATGACAGCATCCATGGATTTGCCAGCCTGGGCAATTGAGAAAGGCACAAAAATCATCGATAAGGCCATGGCCGATTGGGATTTTGGAACTTACTCTTTCAACGAGAAGGTAAGATTCATTATGGAAGGTGCCTATGCTTACGTGATTGTCAAGGCGTTGTTTCCCGTGAGACTAGCATTCAGTTTGATTGGAATGCCATGGTTTGCTAAGTGGTTTGTTTTACCATTCACGAAGATGTTTTCTAGAAAACGGCCAGCACCTAAAGTGGAGACCACACCAGCAATCAAGGAGCACTCACCCAAGAAGATTGAGAAGCCACGGTTGTAATAATGACAGTTAAGAGCTTAGGTAAATACACTTTTCGACTAATATATCATAATGGCTTCGAACATTAAATGCATGGCTTGCAGTAGCAAATACATTTATTCACCTGCTACGCTACTCTACCTAAGGTTCATCAACTCATTCAAATCGTAATGGGGTGCTACTCCTAGGAGGCTGCTTAGTACGAGTCCTAATCCAACGTGACCCGCATCTCCTCTGGGGACAAAGGCACGAAATCTCCCAATGATGTGCCCCTGGTGAACTTCAATCTATCTAATGCAAATTCCGGGATCATCTTGGTGTTCAAAGAGGGTTCCACCGATAATTCCCGGTCATCAAAGTCAAAGAGTTCTGGAAGTTCCTTGACGTCGGGCTGGCTAGAGTACAACTGGTAGTTGGCGTTGCTTTGATGTGGGTAGTGCGATGAGCCGTTGTAGAACTGTTGACTGAACAACTTTCTGTAATTGGGCAACTTGGTATTTTGATCTCTCAACTCGTCAAAGTAAGGATCAGCCAACGCCTCAATACACGAAATACGGTCAATTGGCGAGTACTCCAACACTCTCACCAAAAATTGAATGCAATCATTAGACATCTTCTTAAAAATCTTCGACAATGGGATTGGCTTAATCTGAGGGAACTTGTACTCCGTATAGTTCGGGTTCATGCTTTTGATTTGTTCTCTCGAAGGCGTACCCAAAATCTTGATAATCTCCACCAATTGGTCCACTCCTGATTCTCCTGGGAACAATGGCTGACCAACAATCAACTCTGCCATCACACAACCAGCGGACCAAACGTCAATCTTCGTAGTGTAGTTGGTGGCACCAAAGATCAATTCAGGTGCACGGTAGTATCTGGAACAAATGTAAGAGACGTTTGGCTCTGCTGGATTCAAAATCTTTGCTGAACCAAAGTCACAAAGTTTCAATACACCAGTGTCTGCATTGATCAACAAGTTCTGCGGCTTGATATCTCGGTGACAAATGCCTTGAGAGTGGATGTAATTCAAGGCACGGAACATTTGATAGGTGTACAATTTGACTTCTAGCGAAGGCATAGACAATCTCTTCGACACGTAATAGTGTGAGGCCTTGTACAAGGTTTCAGGTACAAACTCCAAAATCAAGTTCAAGTATAACTCGTTCTTGTCGTTATTGGTGTAGAAGTAGTACTTCAAGTCCACAATGTTTCTGTGGTGTACCAACTTCATGATCTGAAGCTCTCTGTTCTTGAAGCGCTTGTCTTGAAGGACACGTTTTATTGCCGCAATCTCATTGCTAGGCAAGAGCTGGGTTTGGAACACCACACCAAACGAGCCGTGGCCCACCATCTGAGACTGGGTGTACTGGATGGATTCTAGCTTCCCCGTATGGCCATTGTTGACAGATTCCGTAATGACTTCTATTTTCGACATGTTAGTACGAGTTGTATCAGGTGTATAAAGAGCGAGGAATCAACGTGATAAAGGCTTGGAAGAAGGCTGACAAGCACCGACTGATGCAAAATATGGGGAACAGAAAAAAGCGGAGGAAGGTTTGGCAACAAACGAAAACTCCGACTTCCAGGGGGGAAAATCGCCGACAGCGGGAGGTGACACAATAAGGATTCTATAAGCGACGACAGGACACCACAACACGGAAGTCACGGTGATATGAACAGAATAGTAGCTTGCAAGAAAAACAACTGGTAGTATTCGAAACTTGCTAACCTCTTGTTTGGTCACGCAGTGCGAGTGGGCAGGCACGACCCCCAGGATTTCCATCACGTGTGGGGCAATAACCAACTTAGGAAAAAGTGGGCTAAATTATTGCTTGGTGAGGATAGCCGCCTGACTTGGGATCTGGCGGGGGCACTGTGAGGGTTTGGGTAGCATCGAAGTGGATTCCATGGCTAATATGGAGCTAGTTTTGCCATTTCGTCCTTGGGATATAAGTGGTCGGTGACAGGCTGAGGACGGAGCACTGTACATTGGGCATCCACCCCGCATACCCCAGGGCGACGAATCGAATCGAATCGAATTGACAAACCCAGATGCACTGAAAGACAACTGGTGAAAAGCGGGCCGGAGCTTCGGGAAATAAAATGCTGACGTCCACTTCCATCTGGTGCCGAGATGAAATTTCCACTCATCGCCATTTACCTACTCACAAGTTTGCTGATCCCCCCGCACTCACTGCTACTTATTCGGAACATTTGATCTGCTATTCTTTGCGTCTGTATGACAGTACGTCATCAGCGAAGAAAGTTCTATACTTGATCCTTCGAACCTTCATGTTGTGTTCTCAGTGGGGTTGTCGTCTCCCGCTTTTTTCTGTTTCCTAAATTAGTTAAAATTGACTGGTATGCCAGTCATGGAATCTTGTTCGCGTCTTTGCTTTTTCTCACTTCTTTGCCATTTTTTTCGCAGTTGTTCCTCCTCTGTCTTTCTATCAAAAATACGTACCGATTTGTCCACTCATGCGTCTTCCATTATCGTCCTTGAGTCTCAACAATTTATTCTTAGCTCCTCTCGTAGATGTCATCACCGATTGCGTTTGGTCATATGACGATGTCCGTACCAACCTGTTGTCGGACTTATCAATGCTCCTCCGGGGTCTCATGATACTTCTCAACTTTCCTCCAATAGACGACTTCAACGTGTCCATACTCTCTACCGTCCGCACACTGTTCTGACGCGAACGAACACCCTCTGCATGATGAGCAGAAGCAACAAGTGTAGGTTGTTTCGAATCAAACGGATTGTTGAACTCCATTTGCGACTGCCTTAAATGTGTCTGGGGCGGAGGCTTGATGGCAGGCGCAAAGTAAGGTTGCGGCGTCTTCTCAGCCATTCTCTGCGACCGGTGCTCGCGCATAAGCTTTCTCAGTTCGTCTAACTCGTCAATGCGCTGCTTGTCACGATGTTCTTCACGACGATTTTCAATAACTTCCTTACGAGCATTCTGACGTTCTCTTTTCTCTTCCATTTTCTCTTCCTTTCTCTCTTCCTTCAACTCCTTTTTCTCATCTCTCCTTTCTCTCCTTTCCTCCTTCCTCTCTTCTTTCAACTCCTTTCTTTCCTCCTTCCTCTCTCTTCTCTCTTCTCTCTTCTCTTCCTTTCTTTCCTCCTTCCTCTCTTTATGCTCCTCCTTCCGTTCCTTTCGCTCCTCCTTTTTTTTCTTCTTTGCCTCTTTCTTCTCGCTCTTTGCTTGCTCAGCTGTTTTCTTCTCTTGCACTCGGATCTGACCAGTCTCCACGTCTATTTCAGTGACGTAGGTCTTGCGTAAAGTAGCACCCTTGACATTTTTGACATGTTCGTTTGCCTTCGCGTAGATGGGCTTGTCTCGAATCATCTCCCGGATCTGCGGCGTCAGGTAGTCGTAGTTGTGGATGAACAGAGGGTAGTACTTGCGGATGTGGAAACGTTGCTCCAAGTCTTCGTAGTCCAAGGTGCGAATGAAGTCGTCGTCGGCGGGTACCAACCGTGGACCGCGAGAGGTTACTGGTTTGTCGCTGCGTTTGCCTAGCAACATCGTCATGGTTAACAAAAAGGCTGGCAGTTTCGGGTTCAAACCTATGACTTGAGTAGGAAACCAATGGTTGCGTGCCCGTGAGTCTGGGGTGCAGAATGTGAGGAGAATGCCACTAAAGCGGGGTGGGGGCGTGCACAGGACTCTGTCAGTGTAATGCCGTGAGGAAAGGCTTGAAGGTAAGCGAGGTGCACTAAGAATGAACAGAGAAGTGAAAATAGAGAGAAGATGAAAAAGGAAGGAAATGTAAAGAGATCAATAATGCTTGTGAAGTTTCTTTTTTCGCTATTTTTCCCCTTTGGTTATTCTTTCTCTCAAGTTTTTATTTCTCCCACTCCAGTCTTGTTTGTTGTCTTTTTCCATGGATCAGTTGGGGTCTTGCAGGTTATACCTGGATTAGCTTCCCTGGTATGGCCCCTTGAAGGTTTGCGCATCATCTTAGATACTGAAATCTTGTTTATAAATCCATGGGTACTTGACTATTGTTAAGGATGATGGTGTCAAATGGTTTGACGTGTTGGTGATCTATATTTGTAGCTGTTTTTACTTCATTTTTTTCCTTGTTACTCAAATTTTTGCCTGTTTGTTAACAGCTTCGCGAATGTGATGAACCAAGAGCGCAATCTTGTCTTAAACAAGCTATGGATGTGTTAGTCGAAATCTCTCACAACGAGCGATACTTGACTTAAACAACGAGTCTAGGATTTGGAAATTGGTAGTTTTAATTTATCCTCTGTAATTATCATCACCAACGTATTTATATATCAATGCATTCCCAATGGATCTCCATCTCGTCAGCACTTAATCATTTCACTTTCCTCTCTTTTTTATCTCCTTCTAGCCTCATAGTTCTCATAATTCCCTTCCGTTATACCTTGTCAACTTCTCAAATAACTCAAACATCCCTTCATCCACACATCGTGGCAAAAGTTGTGCTCTCGTCCGTCTTGCATGCTCAGTATACTGAAACTTGACAAAATGATACTTAGCATCGCCCAATTTGGCCCAGTACAACTCATTATTCGGCTGCGTCACTGTGGGTGTGCCAAAAGCTTCGAAGATACCTTGGATGAGTACAAAATCATTGAGTTCAGGCTGCATTTCTCGTTCCCCTGTTTTGGGCTCAACATAATTACATGGCTTGCCGTTGGCAGAGTACAAGTATGACAACACGATCCCCAATGACCAAAGGTCTACCTCCCTGCCGTAGTCGGTTACACCAAAGCAGAGTTCTGGCGCCTTGTAGTAGCCCGTGCTGATGTCGGTGATTTTGTCATCAAGAGGCTCATCCAAAGGAGGATGTGCTTGGTCGTAAGAGATGCCAAAATCGCCAATTACCGGCTCTGTTAAATTCTCGAGCGACTTGAACATGATGTTGGCTGGCTTGATATCTCGATGGATAATCTGTTGACTGTGAATGTACTTGAGCGCATCAACCAAAGTGTTCACCATTGGAATGAGAGGCTCCAAGGGAATCTCATTTTTGGTGACAATAACATTAGCTAGTGGGTCAGAGAGGTTGAATTTGACCCTTTTCTTCATGAAATGGGCCATCACTCCCACCAAATCGACTGCATAATGCGTCATCACCAATACTTGGTCTTCTCCCATCGAGTAGGTATCGATGTAATGAGCAATGCCCTTATGTTGCAACTTTTTGAGTAGAGAGACCTCCTGGCGGAAATTGTGGGGCTTTCGAACAAAGTCCAAGTCTACCACCTTGAGCGCTACGCCATTCCCATTTGAATCAACTCCACGGTAGATGTCGCTGATGGGACCCGAGTAGATAACACTCTGCTTGGTGTACTTGCTCATGATGAGAAATTTACAAGCAGTACCTTCCAGCCAGTTCGAAAATTGAAACAGAAACTCACTTATCCACTTCCAATTTGAGATGGCCCGATCTTTAGAATGGAGAGTAGTTGATCTTGATCTGCAGTCCACATAGACAGGAGGTACATACAGAGCATAATGAATAATTCAACGAGGGTAAGAAATATAAGGAAATAAAGAAGAAAAAAGCGAATTTGCGAAAACCTTAGAAAACTACAATAAGGAAAAAAAAATCATGGAGGTGTCTATTCTACCTCTGTCTCTTCCGCATTAGGCCATCATCAATTCCATGTCTCTTGGATGCATTGAAATTGTTTGCATGAGACGTTATGTCAATGTCATCAGTATAAATTCTTCTCTTTGGATACTTGATGTTCAACCCTTCAAATGCATGCTCGTGGACCTTTGGAGGCTCCAAAAAATATGGATGCACCAAAGCATCATCCGCCGTCACCCGTGTGACTGGATCGTATTCCAATAAGTCTCGCAATAATGAAAGACACTGCTTGTTCTTGCCTCCAACCATCTTATACCAATTGGTAAGATTTGGTTGATACACAGCAGAGCTACTCTGAAGAAATTGCTGCTGGAAAGCGTAGTAGTCTGGATACTTCAGGAGTGTTGGCCACACTTCACTGGAAGGAGTGCCCAAGATCTCAAAGATCTTCTGAAGCTGATTTTTCTGGAACGGTATCAGCTTTTTGTTGCTCATATCGATCTTGGCTTCCTCTCCCTTGAAAATTGGCCGTAACGATAGAAGCTCTGCCAAGATGCACCCTACAGCCCACAAGTCAATGGCTGGAGTGTAATGTCTGGTTCCAAGCAAAAGCTCTGGTGCTCTATACCAGATAGTCACCACGACCTTGTCTCCCGTATATAAGCTCTGGAGAGGATTGTTGAACTTTCGTGCAAGCCCCAAGTCGCCGATTTTCACCACGCCGTCGCTGGACACCATGATATTGGCAGGTTTCAAATCTCGGTGGAAAATCCAGTTCTTGTGAAGAAACGTCACACCGTTGAGCACCTGCCAAATCAAAGACTTGACCGCCTGTTCAGGAATGGGCCTCATTTCTGGATGTGAGTGGAAATGGATGATTTGGAGCAAATCGTGCTCAAAAAACTCAAAGATCATGTAGATGGATTTGTTTTCCAAAATAATCTCCAAGAGCTTAGTGATATTTTTATGGCTCAACTCTCGACACAATGACATTTCACGAATTGCTGATTGTGAAATTCCAGTGTAATGGACGATTTCATGACCGTTGTCGTGACCATTATGTCCGTTCATGTGCATCGCTGAAGGTTTGGCCGGAAGATGATTATCTGACTTGAACTTCTTGATAGCGAAGAACGGGGCGTCTTCGTCGGGTACTTGACTCTCTGTACGACTCAAATTCAACTGATTATCTGTCCCTGAAGGCTCAGTAGTGTCACCTGCTTCATCACCTTCGTTTTTCGCCAGCAGCTTCAAACGGGCCTTATACACTTTTCCATAGGTTCCTGCGGCGATATATCCAATAATCAGATACTTCAGAAGCACTGGCTGCCTGCTCAAGTCCTTGCGATGTCTGTAGGGACCGATGGTGAGGATCAGACTCAGAGCCATCACCGTGGGTTGCGGTAGTTGCATGTTTCCAGTTGGAGCCAAGGACATTGTGCAAGTGGGGTTGAATTGCTGAATGTGAATTTAACGATTGGAAATGAAAGATGACTGTAATAAGAGAAATTTGTTCTGATTTGTTTGATGTTGATTTGCAATGGTCGACTCAAATGGTGTTAGATGTCTTATCAACTTTTGGCCTGCACGAGATGAAAAGAAGAAGAAGAAGAGAACTGAACCAAAACAACGAAAGGGGAGGAAGATGATATGCTGGAGAGAAGTCGAGGAGAAATGATTTTGAAATGTGAAGAAATAGGGATTAATTCCTATCGAAAATGTCTTTTGATCTTACAAATACTTGTACCGCTCATTCATAGGTGCATCCAATTTTGTCATAAAGTAATTAGCTTTCAAGACAAAACTACATGCTGAAATCCAGCTCTAATCTCTATCAAAAAATGCAATAGTATCAAATTACATCCAGTACGTGAACATATTATAACAGTACCCATAAGCCCCTAGTCTAAATGTAGACTCTATCATCGTTCTTACCCTCAAGCTCTCCTCTGATCACTTCCATCTTCTGTGTCTGGTCCTTCCACACTTTCTCATCGGTGGATTTATCGGTGTTCCGTGCAAACAACGAGTCATCTGGTCTACGGTAGGAATTGCCCAAACGGTCCCACAACGTGGTGAACTGGCCGTAGTTGTAGTTGAAGTACAAGTGGTGCACGGTGTGGCAAGCAGTTCCGTTCACCACGGGGTCGTTGGACATGTAGTTACCATCGTGGATCATCACTGTCCAAAAGTTGACGAAAACGAACAAAAACAAATACGACACCTTGTGCAATGGGAAGACCAAGGGGAAAAGGTGGTATGGCAACGACTGTGCCCATCCGTCCACTGGGTGGAATGCATGTGAAGCAAATGGAGTACACACGATCCACTTATGGTGGGGCTTGTGCAACTTCTTGTACACGGAGGGCCAGTGTAACCACCGGTGGATGAAGTAGATTCCACAATCGGTGAAGAGAATGAACTGAGGAATTTGGTAAGCGACAGCAGTCCATCCGCCTGTCAGCTTGTTGACATTATAGTACAATCTGGAGTAGCCATTTAATTCCAAAAGGAAAAATGGAGCGGTAAGCATCACCATCACCGGAATCGATGTGAAAGCTTGCCAGATCTCAAGCGCCACCTGGTTCTTCAAGTATCTTGGATGGTTGAATATCTTGGTGTCGAAAACAAAGTAGTAAGACAAGGTGGCCACGACAAAGTACAAAGTCCAGCCAAAGAGAATGGTGATTGCGAGAATAGACAAACTTTCTCTCAACAAGTTACCTCTGGAAAGAAACGAGGAGTCAGCATACTGAGAGAGCTCGAAGTAAAGTGGTGGCACCAGGCCGTATATTTCGTTCTTGTTCTGCCATTTGGAAGCCACGCTGGCCAAATAGGTCACTGGTGCTGGCCACGAGGGACTAGCTACGGCGGTTCCATTATTGATGGAAGTGAGGAAAGTATTCTGGACAAAATTGGCGAATTTGCCATCCTTGGGGAATGCGGCCGCGTAGAACCGGTCAAGAAGGAAGGTGTCGGCGATTTCCAAGACAATATCCATGGTTTGGTTGGTGTGAAGCGAATGAAGACCGATGAGATACTTTATATTTTCTGATAAACGAGTGCGGTACGAGTAAACGAGCGTGGTCCGATTCGGGACTTGACTATCTGCAGGAAGGAACAGTAATGTACATTTTCGTTTTTGACGGAACTTTCGGAGAGAACGGAGGGTTGATGGGGGTTGATGGGGATGGAGTATGTAAGATATTAGGGGAAAAATTTTGACACTCAGAAATTGGAAGGAGAATTCCGGGTGAGATTCTCATAGTTGATTCAATTCAAGAAAATTTATTCATACACTTTCTTTGTATTTTTTTTCTTTTGCTTCCATTGCTTGAATAGTGTGTATCACGTGACCACTTAGTGAACAAATTATGTCAATCAGCTCACTCTGACTACCACGCAAGTATTGACCCACGTCGTATAGATAGTGGGTGGATAATGAAAATAATAGGATAATGTTAGGAAATTGAATGTTTTTTTCCCTCAATTATCATCTGGTGTACGCCGTTTATTCAGATGGACGTTCATCTGTCAACGGGTGGTGTATTTACACAATATCGCGAGTATATGCATTGCTGGGATGAGACCCCAGTCGTATGTACATGTCATTAACGTGACCCAATAAATAACCTAGGGCATGCAAAGAAAAGCATAGAAGAGAACCGACCGTAACCAAAACCAATGTGTAGCACTAGATGAGCATGAAGCTTGACTAGTTAGAAATATCTGGTACACCATTTATAAGTGGTGTATCATAATCTAAGTCGTATCAAACCGTCAAACTGGCCATCTCGTTGCCGTTGGCACCGTTAACTGGCCGCTGGTTAATCTTCTCAAAGTTGATGGCACTCAAGATCTCCTTACCGCCCAAAGCAGCCAATTTATGTGCCAACTCCTCGCCTGCTTTTGCGGCCTGTGCCTTGTCGGAAACGATGCATCTGACCTCCGCCTCGACGGACTGTTTACCGTCAGGGCTGACAATGAGACCCTTAAAAAAGAGTTCTTCTGTTTCTTCGTCGTAGGTGGTGTATACGCCCAAAGGAACCAGGCAACCACCTTCAAGCACTCTCATCATGGAACGCTCGGCAATGCACCGCATCGTCGAGGGACGATGCTCAATTTTGGACAACACTTGAATCATCTGCATGTCGTCTTTTCTGATCTCGATACCAAGTGCTCCTTGTCCTACAGCGTAGTACATGTCTGGAGCGTCTAAACAAGTGGTGATTCTGTTATCGAGACCAGTTCTTATGAGGCCGGCGGCGGCCAAAATGAGGCAGTCGTAGGGTGAGTCTTTTGCGTCTAATTTGGAGAGACGAGTGGCGATGTTGCCTCTGACGTCGGCAAATTGAAGATGAGGGTAGTTTCTCAAGAGCTGGGCCAGTCTTCTAATGGACGAAGTACCAACAACAGCGCCTTCGGGCAAGTCTGCAAGCGACTTGTATGGGCTACCAGCCTTCATGACCAAAGCATCACGGGGGTCCTGGCGGTCCAAAATGCATCCCAATTCAAACTCGTCTGGCAAGTTGGTGGGCATGTCTTTCAACGAGTGGACAATCAAGTCCAACTGAGGGTAGTCATCCACGGGCTCGAGCAACAATATTTCGAGCTCCTTGGTCCACAAGGACTTGCCGCCGAACGAATAGAGAGGTTTCAGCTGGACTTTGTCGCCCAAAGTCGAAAGAGCCAAAATGGAGCACTCCACATTGGGATGGGTCAGTTTGATGTATTCGCGGACGATTTCCGACTGTTTGACCGCCAACGTGGATTTCCTGCCGCCGATCTGGATGTGGGACTTGGGCGCTTCAACGTGGGTCATAGTGGTGTGGGGCATGGAGAAGGATTTTTTTTGGTGAATATGGAAAAAATTAAAAAATTTGTGCGTGCGACAACGAAACGATAAGACTGGATGAGGTGAGCCAGGAAGGAATTACCAGGAAAGAGTTACCAATAAAGGTAGGAAGTGATGAATTGGGTGGTTCGAGGAGGACGAATTTATGAATGTGGAGACGAACAGCGAAAACGTGACGTTGACTTCAACGAAAATTGAGAATATAGAAGGGCTTGGCCAAGTCAAGGCGGATGGTGAAGCTTATATATCTGTCAATGTGACATGTGCACCATTCCTCAAATGGGGAGGTGAACATTATTCAGCTGTGCAGGTTGGGCCGACAGTGGAAATCATCTGAATTAGTGTGATTGGGTCTGTACAGAGAGGCATTTCTTTTTGCCAGAGAAGAAAAGAATCTGGTGAACTAGGTGGATTGGGATTATAATTAATTGCGGATGATTTTCTGTTGATTGAAGTTTATGATTGGATTTACATTATTATGGTTGATGATTACAATTGACGAATCTTCCATGTCAATTTTTTTTTTTTGCTCGATTCTTTGGTGGGTTTTTTCTCATGGTTATGCTAACCTTCTCACAGTAGCTTTTTGCTCACTTCCTACTGGTTTTTCTCCATTTCTCTGCCGTACTGGATCCGCACCCCGGATATGGAAATGAAGTCCCAGCATGTGGATCAGGATCTCCGGACCCGGAATTGCAACGATTGCTCCAATGCTCATGAAACTTCACTTTACCCCAAATATAAAATCTCTTTGTCTTCTTGACCTCCTTCGCCCCTACTCAGGCAACTACTCCTCTTTCTTGGTCAATCAACTCGCATTACTCTTTCGCGGGTTTGACATCGGATGATCCCGGCATCCTCTGGGCTGATTTGGTTGCTTTTGTCTCTCCATTATCGGCTTGGGGCGTGTGTTTTGGACAAATCGTATTGCACCAATGTCAATAAACGGCTTTTGTATGGTGGGACGCCTGAATGCAATTGCCTTTAGAGTTCTCTTTTCGGAGTTTTGGTTGTCAATGTAGATTGTAATTGGAGTGATTTATGTGTGAGGTGTTATCTATTCCATCAAATGATGTGATCCGTGTCGGGTTTCTGTCACGGGAGGAGAATTCTTTGTTCGTAATTATGAAGTTAGGAGTGTAGATCTCGTGTGACATTCTACATTGATTTAGACTGCTTCTATCTTTATTTTCTGTGTTGATTTGTCTAATATTTGTTGGCAAGGTTATTGTCCCAAATTACTGTCTCAAGTTAATGCCTCAAGTTACTGCGAACTTTTGGACACATTTCTGTCAAATCACTGACACTCCTGTCAATCATTTTTCTATTGTTTGGCAATTTAAAGTTTCAGACTTATCCAATTACATTTTTGACAATGAAGCAATCTCCTTAAGACTTTGATGGGGTACTTTCCTGAATTTGACTTGTCTGACTTTGTTATCCTTTAGCATCCTTTTGGGTTTTATGTGGTTGCCAATTCTTTTTTAAATTGCTCTTTTTTTTCTTCAGCCTTCTTATTTTCTACAATTCATTCTTTTAAACCTCTTGTTTTCAAGCACTGAAACGTTAGGTTGAACCTTCCCTTCCGTCCCCCCTTTTTGTTGGTTCACATTTCTTTGCTCTTGTCGATTCTCTCCTTCACTTCATATTTCCACACAATCACACATATTCTGAGAATATTGCTTACAAATGAACTCCAGCTAGAAATCTGTAGTTTAGCCAATAAACGGAAGCTCTAATTTCAAAATTATTCAATTACAGAAAGGTAAAGTCACACTAGTTCAAAGACGTACTACGGCAGGAACTGACTGCATGCCATGCCCATTTCTCCATCTTATTTCCCTTCATTTCCCTTCATTTCCAATTACATCAGATTCCGAGAGTAATCAGAATCAATACTCGTGGTATCTAAATCTGCACTTTGCTCCGGAACATTGTAAATATCCCCTAGAACCTTCACTGTGAAATCATTCTCGGGCTCTTGCATCAACTTTCTCACCATATTCTCAAGCTCATCCAATTTATTCATCACCTCCACATTGTGACTCTTTGCTCGCTTCACTTGGCTCACACTGCGTTTCCTCTTCTTCTCGGGCTTTCTGCCCACTCCATACTTTCGTCCAAAGTACTCGTCTATAAATATTGAGTCCACCAGGCCACTCCGAAATGCATTGAACGTCTGAGTAGATTTCTGTGGGATCAACTTGTTTTCTGTATGTTCACTGACAAATGGTGCATTACTGTCAAGTGGTGACACCCTGCGCATTTGCAAGTTGCCAAACTGAGATCCTCTTCTTGATTTCATCAAAATCGTACTCACATCTGAATCTTCATCGTTGTTTTGGCTCATCAGCACGAGATTCTGGTCCCCATAATAGTCATCCTCTCGTGAAAGAAACGTAAAGTTCTTCAAATCTCGCTGTTGCTTCTGCATGAGTCGCTTGTTGTCCTTGATAAGCAACTCGTAGAAATAAATCACCAAAATAATCGGAAACTTGAAGATGTTCACAATGTAGTTGAATGCCGCAATCACTCCAAATCTGCTCGTGCCTGACGACCAGTGGAGATTGCCCCATTTCATGTAGATGATCAAATTTGTGGTCTTAAGGTACTCAAACTCCTCTTTGTTGGTTTCACTGACCTTTACGAAGACATTACTCAAAACAATCGCGAGAATGGTGGCCACAATGAACTGGATGAGAAATAAGTATGAGATCTGTATTCCTCTACCCAAAACGTTGTAGTTATTCCAGTGGTCCCATACGGCAGGCGTGAACCCAAAAAACAATTGAAGCATGGTAAAAGCCACTTCGGATGTTGAAAGATCGATAGTCAAGCTGATAAAGCACAAGAAGAATCCAAAAATCAAGGAGGCAAATAAGAACACCATGGCTATCATATTGAATGACATCTTCTTGAAAGAAACAATCAACATGTTGAAAAACTCATAGTTATTGAACACGGAGAGCATTCGGGGGAAAAGTAAAATAGAAATCAAACTGAACACACTATAGTATGTTGAATGTGAAATCATATCGAACCCAAGAAGGAGCCTCATACCGAACGAAATATCAATGAGGATAACTATGAGAAGATCAAAGAATGTCCACAAAATTTTCTTTAAAAACTTAAACTCAATATGCATCAACTTGAGTAGATTGTCGAAGTTGAAACTGAGAGCTAGCATCCAGAAACAGATAGAAAAGATCTTTCCCATGAAATTTCCTTCCATATCTCCTGTTTTATTCTTATGTTTAATCACCAAATTGAAGAATAGAACCGTTAGTAAACCATATTTGAGGTTGATAACCAACGACTGGTACTTGGGTACAACATGTGACCGGATAATGACTTTGCTTAATGTCACACGGCTAAATTTGTAGTTAACCACACTCTTCTCGTTATCGGATATCTCTTCACCCAAATCTTGGGTGCTGCTATTGCTACTTTGACCAGTTTCGTAATCGACATCTTCGTTTCTGGATGTCATTAGATGGATCCAGCTTGCATCCGTTGGATTTTGATGGTCCTTAATGATGAGCTCACCGTTATAAATTCGATCTAGAATTTGCACCACCACTGGTTGCGAAAGGAATTTCTTTGACTTGGAAAGAATAGAGAGTTCAAGAGTATTGAAGCAGTCCAAATGCTTTGTATGTTTCAAGAGCTCATTTTCTTCATAGTGGTGCCGCATTGGATTGAGCAATAACAAGTTGATTCGATCCATTGATCGATACTCGCGTAACATCCGTATGGCTATGGATTCACATATATTGGCTTTGGTGGTGAGCAAGTCGTACATGATTAAGTTGTTCTCACTTTGGATCATGTACTCGTAACGCAATAGTAACATGACATAGATGACATTTGTGGATATCGACAGCTCTGATTTCTCTTGGATCATGCTCCCGTACGTAGTTGGAGCAAATTGCGGGGTCTCAAATGAGAGATCGTAATGGTTTGGGAAATGCATGGAGAACTTGTTATGGAGACCAGAAACATTACTCAAATCGATAATCGTCTGTACCAAGGGCTTAATCAATGAAATTCGGATCTCGGGGGTCTTCAACTGTTCATACTTAAGGCTGAGCACCACCTTTCTATTGATAAGCTTCTGGATCTGGAAATAAAGGTACTTGAACTCTGTGTAGCGATACCTTGATTTGACTGGCGAAGCCAGCTTGACGCTTGCCAACTCAGCATTTCGAGACAAGCTAGCGCCTCTATATCGACCAGACATGGAATGAAAATGGTTGGTAGCAATCACGAAATGATCCGGACCATTAAGTATGCATGTAGGGCATTTCGCAACCAAAAATGGATTATTGTAAATAGTGGAGAAGTACACGATGGGGATAAAACTACGGCAAAAGGAATGGTAAAACTACTTTTGTGTTTTAGAGAAATAAATATTTTTGTGGAGAATGTTACAAATCTTAGGTTTCAGCGCTGCCATTCTGAAACTCCTAGATCTAAGTATCTTTCATGCAACGTCATCGTTGATCTTAATAACCACATGCAGCATGGTTGACAACATTTACCTCTGCAAAATCAATAGAGTGCCATATGTAACTTCAAACGAATAAAGAGGAGTGTGATGAAGATTGCGAGTCTTCATCTCATCAGTGGGGCCAACAACATAGGCTAGAGTAGACAAATCGAATCTGAAAGGAGTTAACTGATCTCGTGGTTGATAAAGTTGAAGGCCTTGTTTCCGTTTTCCTCTCCCAAAATAGACACAAACTCCTCTCGCAGAAGTGTCACCAAATGCACCATGTTCCTCACCTTTTGGATGATCAATGTATAGTTCACATTGTTGATTCCGGGAATGCTCTGAAGAAGATCCAACGCGTCATCATTGAACATTGGAGGTCCCTCATTTGTGCTAATGGACGGATTGACACCTTTGGAGAGCGCTTCGTCGATGTCGGGCTCATTCTGTGTAGCCTTAAGCTCCAAAAAGATTTGGGCTGTCTCGTAAGGTGATGACGACCAGATGACCTTGAGTTTTGGAAACGAAACGAGAAGTTCAGTAAGTTTCAGTTGGATTTCGTTCCTCAGAATCTTACCGGAAATCGGATTGCCCGCAGATACTTTCTGGCCTGGTGGGCGCAATTCTGAAAAGGGTTCAAATGAAAAGGATTTGGATTCGTCAAACTCAATGAGCAATGCCGGAGTCTCGTAATGCCGAAACATCAGCTCACATTGCTGATATAGTCTTCCAGACTTGAAACTGGCGATCAAGTCGGGAATAGCCTTTCTCTCCACGCAAATCTTAGGAGTTAAAATGTAATCTCCCACAGTGATCATGCATGGAATCACTTTAATGCCAACTCTGTAGAGCAAGTTCGGAAGCGACGAAGCGAACTCTCTCGTATCAACAATGATCCTCATTTCGTCGGTCTCCGTACGGAAATTGGCTCCACCAGCTATCCTAGTGTTGACAACCTGAGGTTTCTTAAGGTGAAACTTCCAATTGTCACTATCCGAAGCGAAATGTTTCCCCAATGCTGCTTTTTCTTTGATAAGCTTTGTGAATGCCTGTTTTTCTTTCTTGATTCTAGTTAAATGTGTCTGCTCCTCAACAGACGTTCCATAATACATGAAGAACGTTTTTGCAGGGCTGGTGGGGTTCAATGCTTGGTAAACTTCAACTCGTCGGATGAATGGTAAGTCCGGCTCGTACATGACAATGTAAGAAGGAGACAATTCCTGAAGAAGTGACTCATTCTTATTGTTGTCGTAGGTGTGGATTACAATTTGGTTGAATTTCTCCACATGATCTAACTCAAGAGTCCGTCCCTTCTCTTTGACGAACAACTCTTCGTTATCAATTTGTTCGTCACTTTCGTGGTCCGAGATCATTTGAATACTATCATCACTTTCTTCCTTCACAAGCTCTTCCACACGCTGCACAATGTTGTCGTCTAACTCCACAGCTCCATTAGTTTTCTCGAAATTGCTTCCCGAGTAAAGTCGAGCAACGTTGGCGACTGAAGAGGCGCCTCGTGTGCGTCTGCGCTTACTCTTGGGTGTGTTGTTGCCTCTTGTGAAGGTTTTCGAGGTATTGAGCTGTTCTTCCTCCGGTTGTGGACTTGCTGAGCCTCCTTCTTCCTTGGTGTAAAGCTCAGCTGTGACTTTCTTGGTTAAAGAGGTGAGGTCTTTCCACAGCAAATACTCACTCAATCTACTCACCATGTAAGCTCTGTTGGAGAAAGCCTTTTTACCAGTAATGGCATTTTCCTTCTTCTTGGACTTCTCCAAGATCGACGCAAGCTGTTGTGCAATTTTTCCTGAAGAACACATGATAAGCACGGGCCCATCAGCTTTCAGAGAACTTACCGATCTTTCATGCATAATATCGTCAATAATGAGAGCTAATTGGTCCCATTTGGGAAGCTCTTCCAAATTGTATACTTCTTCTGTGGAGGTTACTATTTCTTCGTTTGTGTCAGCATCAATGTGGTGGTTTCCGATAGTCACTTTCCCCAAAGCCCTCTCTTTCGCGTATGAAATGATAGTTGTAGCCTCATCCATCATGAGCCACGGACTCATGGAGCTCATGTTCATAGTTCCAGCTCCAGAGGATCTCATGTTTGCATCAACTATACCCTGGACTCGTTGGTAGTAAGTGAGCGAGTCTTCGGTCAAGAGTCCTGTGAGAAGGTCCTTGAGAGTTGCTAGATCATAGACCAATTGTTTGGAAGTCCACGAGATACGATGCCATTGAGAATCCAATGAGAGTCTGACCCTGAGCACGAAGTCCTTATCATGAACATTCTCCATATCCCAGTACTCTGTGTCTAGCAGTGGGTTGTGTCTTCTAAGCTCCTGCAAACATGCCTGAAGACATGATAAGATGGCTGACTGGATCTTTGTCATCTTCGCTGAAAGTCGAACATTCACTTCGGTGACAGTGTTTCGCAGCTTGCCAGAAGCTTTTATCAACGATGAAGACACCTCAACATGAAATCTCGGCCATAAGTATACGTTAGATAGCCTCAAAATCTTGAGCTTCGTGGCTAACGGCGTGAATCCAGTGAATGCTTCAGGCTCATCTGATATAGCCTTGACAAACCCCCATTCATTCCCGTCACGGTACAAGTTGACAATAAACAGCTCATTGGACGTTTCCCGAATCCTTTCGCCATGCAAAACAAGAATTCCCGTAATATCGTTAGGTGCTATAATTCCCGAGAGGAGATCCACCACAAGAACTCGCGAACTGATGGAAAGAATACCCCCTTCTTCATACATGGCGCGTCTTTTCGTCGTGTTGGCCATCTCTCCTCCTCCAATTACTCGTAAAGGCGATGTCCACTCGTTATCGTCTTGAGCAGATCCCACGGCTGCATTCATCCATGCCAATTCCACCAACTCGTCAGAAATTGTAGCGATCTCGTCTTCTCGAGCATTAAGCAAGATTACGAGACTTCGTTTCTTCTGTACGGAGTTTCCCACCTCCAATGATACGGACGGTGCACTGAGCGCATACAAGATATTGGTGGTGACCATTTCTGACCCCAAACCATGTCCTAGGATGAGTAGTCCATCTTTCGTAAGCATATTCTCAACTACTTCTTGATAGAAGGAAAGTGGGATGTTGCAGCAGATCTCTCGTGTTTCATACACAGCTGAAACTTCTTGTTTGTCGGAGAAAACCACGGGAATATCTTGCACTTCATTTTGGCGACCTTCAAACGCTCTTTGGTAGTGAGCATTGGTACGTTCAGCCGATATTTCTGCTGGCGGAAGCTCTTCTCTTTCCTCAATGGGGATCTCCCTGTTCTCAACAGCAAGCTCTCTCTCCTCAATAGGAACGTCACCCGCGTATGTGTCATCTTCTTCCACGAAGAGTGACATCGTAGATGCGGAACTAGCGAGCAATCCAACTTGACAATTGGATACAGCTACAATTGGTTAGGGAACCCAATATGCTTTCAATTTCAGTGCTTCGGAGGTTTCCAGATACTGCAGTAACTTCAGATAACCTCGAATACCCACCGATCCTTATCTTTAGACTTATTCGTGTGTCTTGACTGATGGATCAAATGCTCGCCATACAGGCCATTATCACCAACTAACTACAACTAGCATCTTCTAAACCGCATGTCTACGTTTGTCATAACAGACTATGCCGATAAACCGGACATTCCACTAACATCTTCGGTGTCATGCAATATCATACAAATTACCAATGTTGCACAATCAAAAGAGAAAACGCTCGAAGAATGGAAATACTATCATAATCCCAACACAGCACCTTTTGAGCGTATGGAGCACGTGAGCAGACCTGTCATCTATGGAATTGACTTGGAGGAGACTGAGCAAGTGGCCAAAGTGTCCTCTGCGAAGGCTACTTATAAACTTTTGCTCCGAGACCAAAATAATAACTACTTCTATGCCTTGGAGATGGAAGAGATCCCATTTCTACATCCACGTGAGAAAAGCACCAATAGTCCGCTCCCCATTCCACTTGGAGGACGCGTAATGCTTCAGAAAGGTACTATAGTTCATTACGGCATGGTTCTTCTACGAAAACACCAGTGCAATTACTTGGGAGTAGACATGAATTCAGACTTGGCTAAACAACTCAACGACGGCGCGGTCAAAAAGTATATAGACGTGATGGAGCAGCAGCTCCGAGCATCGGCGAGGCCTGGTGGAACCATGTGAGCACTCCTGAAAGTTTTTTAATGTGTCTAGGAGTTCAGGTGACTCAAAGTTTCCACTCAGACCCCGGCAGAAGTCAGTCAAGCAAGGAATTCCACAAAGCGTACTCATCCATGAAGTTGTGGTGTACCATGCTCACTAAGTAGTAGTCACTGTACACGGAATTCAACAACTTGTACGCGTCGGAGTCCTTCTTGTAGCAACGGGCCCATTCAAGCCACAATAAGAATGCTTCCTCGTTCCATGCCTTGAACGACTCGTAGTCAATCACCGTAGGCTGTAATACTTCCTTGGAAGGGAACACTCCCCATGTCACGGCAGACTTGCGATTGTGTGTGTCTTTTCCAATTGGCAAGTTCGAAGTTATATGGCCGGAAGCATCTCCACAGAAATATGTGATGGTGGTGGAGTCGATATCCTCTTGAAGTCTAGGCTTCACTTTTGTGTCCCATTCTTGTTTTGGCACGAAGAACTCCACAAACGATTTCTGGAATAGTCTTCCGTTAGAAGGTCCCCATCCAAGAATGCTATCTGACGAAGGGCAACCATCCACGGCAGGTTGTGAAGCCAAAGTGAACCATCCCTTTTCGTTCATTTCGAAGAGCTGTTCCTGAATTAAAGCCGTTTCTGGGGACAACTCCGACGACACCCATGGCAAAACCTGGATCTTGTCCGACAAGTAATTGACAAACACCTTTGTGATATCCTTAATAGACTTAGGCTCACCCCAGGTGTCCAACACCTCTTTGTTGGAGTGAAGCTTCAACGACGGACCATAACCATCGATCTCACCGTAGGCTGGCGAGTTAGAGTCTCCGAAACGACCGTTGGGGAATTCGTCCCAAGTAGCATCCTTTCCGAGCACACCTTTACCCTTGGAAATATCCACCAACGTCTTTCTGTCTCTTGAAAGTGCCTTGGTCACCAAGGCACGCTTGGCATCGAGTCCGTTTTTTGCGGGCCAGTTCTCGTTAACAGACGAACGTCTTCTGGTCGACTTGAGCGGTGGCAAAGGTTCAGAGTCAGAGTCCAGACTAATGGCATCGTCGTGGTCGACGGCCAAATTATGGTTCTGGAGATTCAACACTGGCGACGACTCAATGATCGAAGCCACTGCCTTCTCTAAGTTTAATGTGTAGAAGTGGAAGCCGCGGACTCTACCCTGGGTACGCTCGTCGATCTGCGAAATGATGTCGTTCAACACCTCGATTCCAATGTCCTTGACGGTGTCGTCGTTGCTGGAGTTGGCCTCAAGCCGCGAGAAAATGTCCTCTGGAATCAGCGCATGGGACAACTTGGTGGCCCTCGTGAATACCTTATAGGTGGTGATGGGCATCAAACCTGGAATAAGCACAGTATCCTTCAATTCCGGAGTGTTGTGGAGCATCTCCTCATAGGCTACGAATTTGTCCACATCAAAGAAAAGCTGGGTGATGATGAAGTCTGCACCGGCCTGAACCTTCTCTACCAAGTATGGAAGGTCCCTTGCAGGGTCCTGGTGGGTGGTATCGGCACCATCTACATGGCCCTCTGGATACCCAGCTACTCCAACGCAAAAGTAGTCGCCGTATTGTGCCTTAATGTAGCGCACCAAGTCCACGGCATTGTTGAAGTCGCAGTTAGGCGTCCAGTACTCCTTGGTACGTGGAGGGTCACCTCTGAGAGCCAAAATGTTTCTGATTCCAGCACTCTTAGCTCTGGCCAATGCATTGTCAATCACCTCTTTGTTGGTGTTGGTACAAGTCAAGTGCAAAACCGTGGTGATTCCCAAGTCGTTTTGGCATGTGGCTGCAAGGTCCAACGACTTCTCGCTGGTTGAACCACCAGCACCCCAAGTTACGGTGAGAAAGAGTGGATTGAGAGCTAACATTCTGTTCAATCTGGCAAGAAGGTTTCTGAAACCAGCATCTGTTTTCGGAGGAAAAAATTCAAACAGGCAGAAACGTTCGCCAGGCGCCAACGCCTTGATTTGGTCGGTGACGGTGGCCATTCTGGAAGAAGATGGAGATGGTGGATGGAGGTAGTTCGGATCAAAAATTTGACTGAGATTTCCGAGTCAGTGCGACTGACTGCGACAGAGAACGTGAAGTCGAAGTGTGGATCAAATGTGATTATGTATACCTGATATAACTGGGTATTAGTAATAATTTCGATGATTTATGGTTCTAGGATATAGGTTTGGGCTCTCTTTTGAGATTCTTGATGTAATTTGTATATTTTCTGGGGGATGTATCTAGAAGGAAATTAATTGTAGATAGGACATTTATAGCGGACGATCTGGAGAGATCAAAAAATAGAAGGTTTTGAAATAGGCACTAATCCAGATGGAACAGTTGTAAGTTGGAAACATAAACTTAGAACCTCTGATTTTGATATTTTTTTTCACAAATTTTTGGGTGGATCACATCTAAGAGCTGAAGGTAGTATGGACTACACAATTTGGAAAGACCTACGAGGGAAACTCTAACAGATACCATAGCTATGAGAAGGAATTAAGACATTACAATTCTAATTTATATGGTAACTACAACATATGATACATGATATCACGATTTGAATATACATCGAAGCTTTTGCTATCTAGATATGACTGAAGACAAGGCAAAATCCTACACTCGACAGCGATCTGAACAGCTTGGAATGATAGAATAAATACATGAACAAACACCTACTCAGCAGCTCTTCATTAAGATGTTCTATCGTCAAACTGCACTGTACTCGCCTCTGTTGGAGTTACCAGTCACCTTCTCCACAATCTCCTTAAAAAAAGCAGGCAATCCCCGCAACAAGTCCACAAAGTTCTCCAACACTTCGCGTAACGCGGTCTGGAAATCAATGGCGTTGCCCTTGTTGTACTGGAACCACGCTCCGCCAATAATGTAGATACTCAAGAAAAGCACCATGAAGATGAAGATCCAAGTGAACCATCCCCACGACTCTCCTGTGTCATCTGGGTTCTTCTCCTTAGGTGGCTTCTTGTTGGACTTATCCGATGCACATGCAGCAGGCGTTCTGAGCTCACCTTCAAACGTCTTGCCATCCCATTTCTTCAACACCAACTGACCTTCGTTGTCACCGCCTTTGGCACAGGTGAACTTTATGGTGGCGTCAACCAAGTTTTCACCCCAATTGACATCTTTGTATGACACACGAATTCCATTTTCCTTGTCGTCGCCTTCTTCACTGAAAGGTTCGTATTTGGTCTGTAGGTTGGAGTTAAAGCCAATCACCTCCGTTAAGAGGTCCTTGCCGTCCACTTGCACGTGGGTGGTACCACATAAGCCAGAATTTTTGGGACAATCAGACAACTCGTCTAGATTCTGGCAGATTCCCACACTCCACGATAACACCAGCTTCAGCGGTGGAGTGTCCTTGTTGAGTTTGGCAGTGTACACGCCCTTGATGGAGTCGAAGTTGTACTTTGCGAGCTCTTTAGCGGAGCAGTCGAGTGCAGCCGCAGAGGCCAAAAGAGTGGCGGTTAGCGCCGCTTGGAAGAACTTCATTGTTAGAGGATAAATGCCGGTTGCTGAGTGTCTGATTGAGTATTTGATTTGTGGTGCACGGGTGTACTGATAAGGTGGATAGGCATTAATGTTCATATTTAGGGAGAGATGATGAGTGAATTGATGGGTTTAACGAGCCTTGTGGATCAGATTGATGAATTAAGTGAAGGAGGTATTGCAAGTGTTAGTTTGTGTTTGTTGACATGGTGATATTGTTGAGCTATACATGGGGTTCTTCGAGAAAGGTCGAGTATAAATTGGCATGAGGACCCTTTGAGTTGACAACCCTTAAAAATTGTGAAAATTGGGTCTGGAGAAAAGACCACTGATTTCTGAGGATAATGACAGAGTTGAAAATTATTTTCAAGTTTTTGTTTTAACGATTTTTTTATTGGGATGTAGCATTTCCAGCTTTTCGCAACCCTTGCCAAATTGCGTAAATTATGGGGAAAAAGAGTGAGATAATGAGGGTTACTAGAGATTAATCAGCTTATGGCTCAAAACTAATATCAACATCTGAAACAGTGCAAATATAATCACTCATTATAAAACACAGATATATTTGAAATCTATTGTCTTTAATGTTACAAAAGTAATAATTTTCTCAGACTCTTTCGCTTTTAGTAGTGATCCATCATATCATTGAACATACACTAAAAAGTCCTAATCACAGTTATATCACCATAATTGACTTCACAGGATATCCCGGAAACATTAAGTTGGACTATTACTAATAGCTTCCAATCGACAATATCGCCAATCTACTTTACTTTCGACCATATGATTCTACACCTATACTAATCTACATCCATACATCTACATCCATACATCTTCATCCACACTATCCTACATGGGTTTTCTACACTATGCACTTACATTTCCCCATGATTCAATCACTAATCCGTCTCTACCAAAATTATCATTTCCATCCATTTCCTCATTGTTCACTTTCTCAACAATTATCATCTTCATTTCCATTCCAATTTCGTAATATTTTTGTCCCATGTCGACCTTTTTATCCTCATATCCATCTCCCCATGTTTTTTTACTCTTCGCTCATCTGACGCACTTACACAGTGACTCAGTTGACTCACATCTCTTGTTTCCATGTCGATTTCTGCCACCATAAACCCAGTAATTAAACCCTGAATATTCATGATTTCTTTTATTCATTCCATCTTCCTAGCTCATCCATCCAATCTCTCCCTCTAATTTTTCCTTGAAATTTTCCCTCCCAGACGTCTCTTCTACACCGGTATCCCCTCTCTGGTTCTGGCCCGAGGAAGTTTATATTCATGTGACGCACTCCAGGGTTTATATAACTACCACGATTTGGGAATTTCATCCTCATTAGAAAACTACATAAATCTCGAGAATTCATCTCGATTGATCTCTCTATATTTCCCGTTTTCTATTTTCATTTTCACTTGATTCCCCACTCGATCGCATCTCTGATCGACCTATATTTCATCAATACATAATACCATGGTCAAAGTTACAGTCTGTGGAGCCGCCGGAGGAATCGGCCAGCCACTCTCCATGCTATTGAAGTTGAATCCTCAAGTTTCACATTTGTCCTTGTTTGATATTGTCAACGCAAAAGGTGTTGCTGCCGACTTGTCTCACATCAACACTCCAGCTGTGGTCACTGGCCATCAGCCAGCTTCGAAGGAGGATACCACTGCCATAACTGAAGCCTTGAAAGGTTCTCAGGTGGTGGTCATTCCAGCGGGAGTGCCTAGAAAGCCGGGAATGACCAGAGCAGACTTGTTCAATATCAATGCTTCCATCATCAGAGACTTGGTTGCTAACATTGGCAAAACCTGTCCAGATGCGGCCATCTTGATTATTTCCAACCCGGTAAATGCTACAGTGGCCATCGCTGCCGCTGTGTTGAAGAAATTGGGTGTTTTCAACCCCAGAAAGTTGTTTGGTGTAACTACTTTGGACTCCGTTCGTGCTGAGACTTTCTTGGGCGAATTGATCGGTGAGGCTCCTGACTCTTTGAAGGGTAAAATTTCTGTGATCGGTGGCCATTCGGGCGACACCATTGTGCCACTTATCAACTTTGACAAGTCTCTTTCCGCCAAGGTGAGCAAAATTTCTGAGGCTGACTACAAGGCGTTTGTCCACAGGGTTCAATTCGGTGGAGATGAAGTAGTGAAGGCCAAGAATGGTGCAGGCTCTGCTACGTTGTCTATGGCTTACGCTGGATACAGATTCGCTGAAGGAGTTTTGGCGTCCTTGTCTGGAAAAGGAGAGGGAGTCAAGGTTCCAGACTCTGCGTACATTTACTTGCCAGGAACCCCAGGGGGACCTCAGTTGGCCAAGACGCTCAATGAGGTAGAATTCTTCTCTGTTCCTGTGTTTTTGAAGAACGGATCCGTGGACTCGTTTGTGGACCCAGCCGAGTTAATAAAGACTTCTGGTGAGAAGGAGATGGTGAAGATTGCGCTTCAGGGCTTGGAGAAGTCCATTGCACAGGGCACCAACTTTGTCACCGGTGCAAAAATATAATGGAATGTCATATTTTCGATTGGTTGGATTGAATACTGGCAGCTGAAATTGATGACTACTGAACGACTTTCAATAAATGATGAGTACAGAAGTATAGAGAGACTGGTAGCGTAGTTTAATGCTCGTTTGAGACTAATAAAAGGCACAAACAAAGTTTGTTTCTCTTTACCAACAAGGTTTCTAATATTGACTGTATATCTTGTAATGACATAGAACTAGTAGTATCATCTCCACCAAGAAACACGAACCTATACAAATATATAGGAATCTGCATGAATGAACAAGCTGTCAATAGAAGATATCCTATATGTTTGCAAAGACTTATACTCCATACCTAGAATAATTATTCTGACACTTAGTTTATTACTTTTTTGATGTCTTCTCAACCACTACCTTACAACCTGCGTATCCAGAGCGTTCATTTTCACACTCACTTACTTCCCTTTACGGCAATAATCTCCAATTCGACATCTCCACCAGCAAACTCCTCTCACCGTTGCTATCGCCACCAAAGCCACTCGCTCGAAACTTAAAGTTAATAAAACCTGGCAATTTTATTATCTTGCAACTACTCATCTCCAGGCATATCCACCATCTCCGATTCGCATCTACCCCACATTTTTAATTTTCAACTAGAATTGTCCATCCACACCACCACCGCTTCTTTCTATGGCAAATTTAGACAAGATTCTCCAGGAACTTGTTGTTCCTAAACATGATAACTCCACACCAGACATTAATGGTATTTTGGCTGGCTACACCACGTCTGCATCTACCCAGTATGTTGGAGCAGCAGGTGTCAAGAACATCGAGACCATGGAGCCTGTGGATCTCGACACCGTGGTGTCCTTCTTCAGTTGTACAAAGACCATGACTGCTATGGCCATGTTGAAGTTGTGGGAAGAAGGAAAAGTCGACTTGGACGCTCCAGCAAAGACATACTTGCCAATCCTTGGAGAGTTTGGCATAATTGAAGAGGATCAATTGGATACAGACACGGGAAAGTTGAAGTATCCGGCGAAAAAGCCAGAGATTGATGTAACTATCCGTCACTTACTCTTGAACAATTCAGGATTTGCGTACATGTTCACAGACTCAGACTACCTCGTACTCCACATAAAGCATAAGACTCATGGAGGTAACCCTACACCTAAACTATTCACACCAGAGGTGATGCCGTTGCTTTTCGAGCCAGGCACTCAGTGGAGATACGGCCATTCTATGGATTGGGTTGGGCTCATTGTCCAGGCTGTATCGGGCATGAAGCTCTCAGAGTTTCTCAAGAAGAACATCTTTGAACAAGCAGGAATGGACCACTGTACATTTCGAATTGACGATCCATCCAAAATGATGAAGTTGCACCAAAGATCCAAGGATCAGTTGAAGCTTCTGCGCATGAAACCACTCCCGTTGAGACCTACTGTTGATATGGGAGGTCAAGGCTGTTTTGGCACCGTGGGTGACTATCTTAAGTTTCTTCGGATCTGGTTAAACTATGGCACGAGCCCAGACACCGGGAAACGAATTTTAAGAAGAGAAACAGTAGAATATGCAATTCAAAACCATTTACCAGATGGCCAATTTGTGGAATTTGCAACTGCCATGAACATCAATGAAGGTGAATTTGACCCTGATGGATTTACATTGGCAGGATGTGCTTATAACAACAACGATTTGCCTACTGGAAGACCCAGTGGTTCTATTTACTGGGGAGGTTTAGCCAACTTATACTTCTGGATCGATTTCAAGAATGATTGTGCTGGCTTCTTTGGATGTCAGATGATGCCATACATGGATCTGAAATGTGTGTTGGGGTACATTCGGTTCGAATATGAAGCATACCAGGATTTGAAGAGAAGAAGAAGTAAGATTTAGATATATGCCATGATTTATGACAAGATGTAGTGATGTCACTAGTACACTTGGTTGTAGTCTATTTTACTTGCATTAGCTATAGATATTAATACACTGGACACATTAGTGCAATCCAAGCTTGTCCATTCTCACCTGAACGGCGTTTCTGTGAGCCTCCAAGCCTTCCACGGCAGCCAAAGTCATCACCGCCTTACCTATGCTGCGCAAACCCTCCTCGGTGACGTTCTGCGACGTGATGAACTTCTGGAACGTGGCAGTGTTCACCCCAGAATATTGTCTGGCATATCCATAAGTAGGAAGTGTGTGATTAGTTCCACTGGAGTAGTCTCCACAAGACTCAGGAGACAAGGCTCCAACAAAGACCGAACCAGCGTTCTCGATGTGTGATGGGACATACGACTCGGCGTTCTCAATTTGCAAAATCAAGTGTTCTGGAGCATACTGGTTGCTCAACTTAAATGCCTCTTCGTAGTCCTTGACCAACAAAGTGTACGAGTGAGCCAAACACTTGGCCACGATCTCCTTTCTTGGGAGCACAGACGCCTGTCTGCGCACTGCTTCGTCGAACTCATTGATCTTTTCTTGTGTAAGATCCACACCTATCAAGATCACTTGAGAGTCAATTCCGTGCTCGGCCTGCGACAACAAGTCACTAGCCACAAAGTCAGCATCAGCAGTTCCATCGGCAATCACCAATACCTCTGAAGGTCCAGCAGGCATGTCGATGGAGCACAAGGCCTGGGTATCGTTCTGAACATACATCTTGGCTGCGGTGACGAACTGGTTACCAGGACCCAAGATCTTGTCACACTTGACAACGGATTCAGTTCCGTATGCCATGGCAGTGACAGCCTGGGCACCTCCAGCCATGACAATAGCACTGGCACCCAACTTGTGTGCAACATAGACAACTTCCGGAGTCAACTTACCAGTAGCACGAGCAGGAGGCGAAGCAATGACAATGTTGTTGCACCCAGCCACCTTAGCAGGCACTCCCAACATCATGGCGGTAGATGGCAACACGGCAGTACCTCCTGGAACATAAAGTCCGACGTTCTCGATGGGTTTGGCAAAACGAGAACAGAAAACTCCAGGAGAAGTCTCTACAGTCATTACCTCTTCCTTGGGCAACTGTGCTCTGTGAAACTTTTCGATGTTGCTCATGGACAAATCAATAGCCTGCTTCATGTCCTCGGTGATGTCCATGAGGTCAGCTGGGAATGGGGCCTTAAGAACTGGAGACTCCAACTTGACGCCATCAAACTTCTCGGTGAGTGCAACAAGGGCCTTGTCACCGTCCTTTTGAACCTGCTGGACAATTGGAAGCACCAACTTCATGATATCGGAGGTCTTCTGCACTGGCCTGGTCAATGCACGTTGAATGTCCTTCGAGGAGGATGAATCTGCACGAATCACTTCCATCTGGTAAGTTTCGAGAGAATTAGTCTGGGTGGCTTCTTCAGTCTTCACTGGCTGCTTCTCTTCTGGCTTCTTTTCCTCGTACTGTGGTTTAGCATCTCCCTTTCTGCGGGTCACCTTAAGACTCTTGAGGTCTAACTCTCTCTCGATATCAGCCAATCTGACACCGTTCTTCACACAGTAAGCAAGTACAAAGTACAACAAATCACCAGCTTCCCATGCGATCTCATTTTTGTCGTTGGACTGACCTGCCTCGATCAATTCGTCCAATTCTTCCTTCATCTTGGCCACCAAAAGCTTCTCGTCATCGAAAAGTCTTTTGGTGTACAGCCCAGCCGGAGCATTCTCCACTCTGTCTGCCAAAGTAGCATCCAACTTGGCCAATCCGCTTCCAAAAGTTTCTGCAGATTCGGTCAAGTCTCCATCTTGGAAACAGGTAAAGTTGTTGGACAAGTGACAGAAGCCGTATCCTGGTCTGGGGTCAACGATAAACTTGACTAAATCGCTGTCACAATCCTTCTCCAACTTGACAAGCTTCTGCGTGGCCCCGGAAGTCTTGCCCTTGTACCACAACTCCTCCTTTCTCTTTCTAGATTGGTACACACCTTCACCCTCGGCAATAGCTGCCTTGATGGAGGCATCTGATGAATAAACCACACCCAACGCCGTGTATGATGGAGCAGGCGTGGTGATCAACGTGGTGTAGAGACCATCAGGTCTGTCAGTAGTCAAGGTTGACACAAAAACACTAGAAATGGCGATCTTATCAGACGATTCAGTGGCAGTAGTCAATTGGGAGGCTGGAGCAACGACAATGAGACCCAACAGGGCTAATTTCTCGGCAGAAGCCTGGGTAACGGCGCCCTTATAGTAAATAGGTCTGTTTCCATCAGAGCTGATCTTTTTGAGCGTCTCACCATCAACTTCTTGCGACAAAACGATTGAGGCTTTCGTATCAAGAATTTCAGAAGTAACTTCGGTGACCTCCACAGCAAATCTAGAGGAAGGAAGACCAGCCTCGATAGCTGAGGCAAATTGTTCAGCAGAAACGAAAAGCTGCTTGACTCCGACATTGAGTAATTTCACAAAATCGTCAACTTGGGCAGTTCCTTCATTAGCAGCTTCAACATAGATATCAACGGAGGAAGGGTAATCATTAAGCACGTGCTTCTGTGGTTTTATAGCTGAAAAGGGAAGTAGAGCCTTACCCACAACGGCCAAATTTGAAATTTCTCCTTTCGAAGATACTTGTGGAAGTATGGGGAATGTCATGGAGAAAGAATTGGTGGGTGTAAAATTGGCTGGAGGTTGTGTGCATAAGATCTCGATTTTTTTTTTCTCGCGATACTGAGTCATAGACTTATCTAAGTGCGATTAGTGGCTACGCAATACGGCAGGTGGATGCTAATGGTTCATGACAGCCAAAAAATGGAAAATAGTCCGAGAAAAAAAAAAGAAACGTAAGAGAATTAGGCTCGTTAGCTGATGCTACTACTCGTCAAAATCTCATGATCATTGCGTGATATTAGGGACTGGTGTGATTCTAGAATGTAAACTCACTGCGGAATTGTTCCAAGTCCATGCCTGGCTTAACCAACTCAAGCAAATCTCTTCTATCCATGGCGATAAACGATCTCTTCAACGTCTCCATAAGAGAAGACGACTGGTTGTGGTTCAAAGTGGATTCCTGACCCTCGACTTGGTGCATTGCCAATCCACTGAGCAAATGCTCTGCAGCCTCTTTGTAACACCCAATGTTGATGCAAGATACTCCCAAGTTGTAACGGGCACGTACAAAAGTAGGCTTAAGTTCCAATGCCTTGAAGTAAGCAGTAACTGCCTCCTCAGATCTGTTCAGATTAGCCAACGAAGCTCCGAGACGGTTCCACAAAACAGGATCGTTAGGCTTGATAGACAATGCTGCCTTGAAGCAGTCAATGGTCTTATCGAAGTCCTCGTTTGCGTAGAACAACACACCAAGTCCCATTTGCACGTCGGGATCCATGTTAGCATGGCTGGGCGACAATTGTGCGGCCTTGATGAACAACTCAGTCACGCGCTTGTGTAGAGTGAAACGATCTTCGTCAGTGATCTCGGGATTCTCTTGTCTGGCCTTATCGGCGACCTGAGGGTACTTTGTAGAGATCCAGCGCTCCAAAGTGGCGAAAGCAGCATTATCATAGCCCTCGTTAATATAGGAAATGGCCAAGGTCATCAAAGCCTCAGAGTTCTCTGGGTTCAACTCCAAGCACTTCTCCAAAGCAGTAATTCCAGCAATTTCTTTTTCATTCTGCGTCTGCACTTCGCCCAACTTGAGCCAGGCGTCCACATGCTGTGCATTTTTGTTAATGGCGGCTTCGAATGCCAATGCAGCCTCGGACAACTTGGCACCGTTCTCCATCAATTGTAAGCCAATTTGATATGGATCCTGATCAGCAGGCAAATCCAAGAACTGGTTTGTCTCTTCGTTCTCAAACTTGTAGTCACCGAAATGAGCTCTCGTAGAGGCATATTTGGCAAAATCCTTCTCCCACTGTTGCATATTGGCAGGGAACGGATCACCTTGGGTGCTTTTGAATTCCTCGTACTGCTGGCTGATGAAGTCATTTTCGATGGCATCCAGGTTCAACAGGTCCCACACTTCCTGGAATGTGGCCTGGTACTTGTCGTCGACGATGATATCGTCGAGCTCAGATTCCTTAATTTCTTCGGCCTCCAACTCGGCTTCCTTGGCTTCGGTGGAGAGCTCCTCAATTTCCTTGAACCGATTATCCCAGTCTACAGTGGAGTCCTGTGTGTTCTTCTGCTGCTGAACGTTAGCACTAGCGGTGTTCATGGAATTCATCGGCATCTGGTTCATCAGCATTCCCATCATGGGCCTGTAACCCATCATGGGCATCTGCATTCTAGATTGTGGCTGCTGTTGTTGCTGTACGGAGCCATGCAGCACCGGCGACAGTGTCTGGAACTCGGATGCCCACTGCAGTTTTTGAGCCTGCGCCATGGGCACGGCCTGCGGAACCGGCGAGTGGGTCTGAGAATGGGATTTGAAGTCCGCCAGCCAGTTTTGCTGCAGGGGCAGACCTTGATGAATTCTGTTGAGCTCATGGCGCATGGGCTGGAACGAGAACGGCGTCTGCGAGTTGCCGTTCATGAACTGGTCCATGTCTCGCTGATTCATCATTTTGTCATTTTTGAACCCTTGGTTAATGATCTGGCCCGGCTGATTTGTCTGACGCTGGAGGGAGCGATCCTGCTGAGAGTGTTTGTTAAGCTGTGCCACTGCGTTGCCACCTACTGAACAGTCTGCGCCGCCCAAGAAAGACATTTTAGATGATGATTAGGATGTGATTTGTAATGGTGGAAAAAGTGAGGCGAACTTTTTGAATCGAGGTAGGCAAACTCGAAATGCGGTGAATACAGAGGGATGATTGGAGTTGCTGAGAAACAAGAATTTGATAACTCAAGTAGTTTACAAAAAGAATCACCGATGGGAAGAAAGTGGAGTGGAGGAGAATATTATCTAGGTCTAAGGTATAACCCGAGGATCGAGAATATTAGGTGGTGCACGACTGTGACTCTTGCCTGTGTCTTGTGATAAGTGAATGCGGGGGCGGGGAGGATAATGATTTTGGAGGGAGAATGATTAAAAAAAAAAATAGGGATGGAAAAACGGGGAAGAAAAATAATAGAATGAAAATAATGTGATGGAAATGAAAGTGGGGAAATTGAAATCATAGGAGTTTTGGAGATCGTGAGCAAATTATATAAGTGGAGATCAAATATTTAAGCAAATGAGAGAAGGATTGTGGGGGATTGAAAAATAGATGGCTATGATCAAAGGAAGAACCAGGGCCACTACCACTTTTTAACACCATTATCACCTTCTGACTACTACTACTACTACTACTACTACTACTACTACTACTACTACTACTACTGCTACTATTACTACTACTCACTACAAACTACTACTATTGCATTATAGATAATCGTACCATGACATGTCTGTAATCAGTTTGGGCCCACTGTAGTTAATCTAGTTCGATCCAACTCCTTTCCTAATACTCTCATCACAAAAACTTTCTTGACCTTGATCAGCCAACTCTCAGGAATACAGAATACTCTTAGGAATATTCTTTAACTTCTAAATGGTATGGATTGTATTGGTTAAATATCCGTATCCTCGTTATTATCCACAATCCCATAGACTTCACTCTCCCTACCTATAAGAGAACATTGATTCTGTTTTCTTACTATAGTTGTATCAAGATCTACATTCAATTGTTTCACAATGATACACCTTTATTTCTCAGTAGTTACCAATCAATTCCACTCTTTTCACCAGAGCCGCAATCCAACTTGTTGCAAAGCTCATCCAACTCCTTCACTTCATCATTGAGGGCTCCGCCCAAGTAGGCCGGGTTAACAATACCTCCCTTCTTCTCCTCCAAGGCAAAGTGATCCTTAACCATGTCACGAACCAAGCCCTGGTAGTACAACACCCCTCTCTCCTTGGTTGGGTGTAAGAAGCCAGAGCCATAGATACCCTGGTTCAAGTTCTTCTGAGTTAACTGACACAAGTTAAAGTCCTCCAACTCAACTAACTGCAAGAAGTCAACAAATTCTTTCTTCTCGGCATCTGGCAATCCCTTTTTGGTGTAGATGTCGTATTGCAAGACGGTGTGTGTAGCAGAAATTGGTAACACTCTGATAGAGTACCATGCTGGGGAGTAGCAGTTGATACCATTAGATGGATACAAGTACACCCACAAACCGTTGAACTCTCCACCTGGGTTCTTCTTCTTTTCCTTCTCGACAGCCTTCTCGACCTTCTTCTTGCCAAATCCGAACCACGATGACTCTTCGTCAGCATCTTTATTGTCATCTTCCACTGCAATCTCCTCTCTGACAATCTCGGCGTAGTGACGACAGTATCTCGTCTTTGGAACAACCTTATAAGTTTCCATCTTGAAAGCAGAGTTCAAACCTGGGTGGGCGGTTGGACAGTGGTAACACTCTTGGTAGCCGTCCATCAAGGTCTTCCAGTTGAACTGGCCGTCCAACTCGTATGACATGTGGTACTCGTAATCGGAGAAGTCAAACTCATTCATTTCAGTGTTCAAGCCCTCGAACCATTTGTCAAACTCAATAAATTGTTCTGGATCGTTGCAAAAGTTGACAAAGATCAATCCCTGCTCAGTAACATGAGTCTTGATAGGAAACAAAGAGTTCTCCTCCTTCTTGAAACCCTCAACATTGTCAAAATGTGGGGCCTTAGTCAAAACTCCGTCGGTGTTGTAAGACCACCCGTGGTACTTACATCCAACAACAATAGATGATCCCTTCTCCTTTCTGATCACAGGGTAAGCTCTGTGACGGCAGACATTGTGAAAAGCATTGAGCTCACCGGCCTTGTTCTTGATGATAAAGAAGTTGATTCCAGTGAAGTTGAATGAGTAGTAATCACCAGCCTTCTTGAATCTGGAAGAGTGAGTACAGAACAACCATGATTTGTTGAAGATAGCTCTCTTTTCCAACTCGAAGACCTTCTCCGAGGTCCACCAGGAAGCTGGTAAGGTGTGTTCACCTGGCAAAAGAGCCTCTTTAGGATCGTCGATAGGTGGAGCAGATGGTTTCAAAGTTGCTGGGGTAGCCATGATGAAAGATTTGTGTGGAGATTAAAGCAATTAGAAAAAATTAGCAATGTGTCAGCAGATGGGACCATATTTATGTTGAAGTGGAGAAAGGTTTATCTTTGGTGTCATCGCTGTCAATGTATGTTGCACCCAAAATGGTAATGAGTTCCATAGATAGTAGGAGGTACAGGTGCAGATTACTATGACGATATGCCTGATTGGGTAGAGGAATCCTTAGTCCTAGTCCGGAATTGATATCCTGTGTGCACTTCGAGATTGAGGACACCGGAATAATGAACGCCAACGGAATTAGCTTCATGCAAAAAGATGTCTATTTGGGTATTTTTCCTGTAACATTCCATATGATTCACCGCAATTTGCCAAGTAGGCCATGGAGACGTACGACTTCTTGTGCAACATCTGGATCAATGCTGGACGCAAGGAGTGTATTCAACACAAATTCTCCCTCTGGCTGCACTCGGTACAAGTCTTTGAATTTGGCTAAATGATCCTCGATATCAGCAGTTTTCTCCTCCGATAATTCTCCCTCGCTGATTGCTGATTTCAAGGTCACGGCATTCGCCAATAATGAGTTAATCAATATCAATGTTTTAATTGCAACATACGATAAGATTCTGTGCTCGTTCGTAGTTTGGGCAAATTTCACCGACTCTGTAATCAACGAAAATGTGTTCTTGATGAAATTGAAGAAAAGCTTTTGCACATTACTGGATAGCCAGTGTGTGGTAAGTAGTGTGAGGTTACCATTTACCTCCTCCATAGGAATTAAGTCAATAAGCAATTTTACTCCGAAAAGGGTTTGCAACACGGTGGAGGACCGCTGGAAAACAAACCTCGTATATTCCACCCCACTCACGGAACATGGAATACCACTAATCAAGAACTTGAATGCCCTAGTTAATAATATTCCCAGCTTGGCTTTCTCCTCATTCCCTCCGAGATATGCTTTGAGCAATTTCTTTGTTTCATGGTGGTCCTTCGGAGATATAGTCACCGATGCCGAACTTGGATGACTGGAAGAGTTGATGATATTCAATGTTCCGGTCAAGATGGCCTGTAAATAGGCACGGTTCCTGGGCTCCCTGACTAAAAGCTTGGTGAACACATCAATACCATATGGTAAATACGTGTATGTTTCGAATGGTGCAATGGGGAATGCAAACTTTAAACTTGAATCAGATTCATCCGAATCCAATTTGGGGCCAAAGGAGGTTACTAATAAGAAAGCCAAAAATGCCTCTTCCAAAGAGTCAAGTTCCATTTGGAAGGCTATTCTGTCCAAGATTAAGAGGCAATCTTTCAAAACGCACAACTTTTTCCTTTCAAATTGGAAACTCTCCGGCTGAACTGCAACACCCTTAACTACACCGAAAATCAAGCTCTTCAATCCTTTATGGCTTGACATCACACCACGGGTACCATCGGTGAAAGACAAATTCCTTAAGGTCATTGTTACAGTGATCAACATGTCAACCAAGAAAACTTGCTGATCAGTAGCACTCTTTGTTTGTGTCTTGCTGAAGTGGTACTTGTTCTCCTCTCTGAACTTCTGCAAAGCAGTCAAGAAATCAGGAATTGTACACAGTGTGATACTCTCGTCTTCGACGTGGGAGGCAACCAGCTCTGTGGTAGTCACCTGAGGGGAAAAAATCTCATCCATCTCCATATCCGAGTCCTCATCCTCAACAACCTCAGCAGTTAAGGAGTCCACAACAAGAACGATATCCTCACCATTCATGCTATTCTTATTCACGTATTTTGCAAATACCGAGTCAATATCACTCTTCGTGTCGAAGTCGAAATTGATGTTGTCCGATTCTGGTTTTCTTGAGTTTGTAACTTGGCCCAAGATCTTGGAACCCAATGAAACTAAGGTGTCCAAAAGCTCTGGAGCATCTGAAACCTTAAATGTAAAATTGCTATCTGTAGTGGTCACCAACAATGTGTTGAGAGCCGAGAAAGCCTCACCTGGATTATTCTCTGAGTAGTTTCTTAAAGACATTGTCAAAGCATGGATGTTGAGTGATCCGAGTTCTGGAGCAAACAAGTACACAGGCTTTGTAAGCTCGATTTCGTCACCAAGATCGGATATGGTTTTCATACTTAAACCTCCAAACGTGTCACCTGCTTTCTTGATGGGTACGTATTTCTTGATCGTATTAGGGTCACCAGAGGGCAAATCAGGCTCCTGGGTCTGCGGCGTAACCGAAGATTCATGTCGTTGTCCGAATTGTTGCAAGTTTATAGATGACTGCCTACGGTTAACACTGCCAGATCTTGATATCTGCTGCTGTTGCATATAAGGCGAGTTGACTGCTGGAGACGTGTGGTTGGAGCCATTAGGTTGGGATGCCTTCCGTTGCAAGTTAGTTACCGAAGTTGCCGGGCTTGCCTGGTTGAGGGCTCCGGGAGTTGCCATGTATCCTGCTCTTGGAGACTGCGAAGGTGCATTGGGTGATTGGAATTGGCCCAATTTCTGGTTTGGATTAGGCGAGTTGGTGGAGTCCATTGGTCTCTGATGGGCATTTTGCATGAGACCCTGCTGGCCAGGAGCCTGCTGCATCTGGTTTTGCTGAAGCTGGGGACTTTGGCCAGGAACTGCAGCGGCCAGTCTCTGCTGATTTTGTTGTAAGCGCAATGCCAATTGCCTTTGGAATTGCACTCTACGGGCCTGAATATCCTTCTGGCCCTCCTCTGTCAGCGTGTGTTGCTCATAGGGAAGTATATTCTGCAAGTAGCAGGTTCCCAATTGCTTCTCGATTTGTAGTTTGGCAGCCAAATTACTCAGAATATCTATTCCATCGAAAAGACCCAACTTCTGACACACTGTGGTCCAGTCGGTAACCTGGAGCGACGGCTGACTGAGCATCTGGAGATGCTTGAGCACCACGGATGCTCCACCGATTTTCCGTGTGAGAATGTGAAGCACCAAGAGATTGATACGCTTGTTGTTCACCACGGGAGTCTGGGTGATGGGCGTTCCACGGCGCGACATGAAGTCATTGAGTGTCATCTGGAACAACTCGTGTTGCAACTGCGCCATTTGTGTGTGGGAGAGCTTCAGCTGAGCCTGGCCCGGTGCCATGGGCATGGTCTTATCTTGTCCTAAGCCCGGGCCACCATACTGACTACCCGCACTTGGAGTATTTGTGTCCGCTCCCATTGCTGCTGGCAGCATGGCTGAAGCCGCGATTTGTGCTTGTCCTTGAGGCCCCTGAGGTCCTGGACCCTGAATTCCTTGATGTGCTGGTGGGACTTGGGGTCCAGAATGTCCCATCATTGAACCTGATGTGGCTCCGGATTGAAGCTGCAGCGGCTGAACCTGAGGCAGTTGATACTGCAGCGACTGCTGTTGTTGTTGCTGCTGTTGTTGTTGGTACTGCTGCTGGAACTGTTGAGTCTGACTCTGTTGGCTCTGTTGATTCTGGTTCTGCAGCTGCTTCTGAAGCATGTGCTGCTGCACAATCTGCTGACGCATCTTCTGGAGTTGTTCCTGCTTGGCACGGTCTAGATTGGTGTGTTGCTGCCCCGGCGTGTGCTGAGCTGGCGCTTGGGTAGGCATGTGCAGAGGAATAGACATGTTATCGTCTTGTCTCATGTACATCTGCTGGCTCTTAGCGTCCAACGGAGGCTGTGACTGTTTCTGCGCGTACCCACCGAACTGCTGGTAGTCCTGTTGGCCGAAGAGCCCGTCCACCTGTTGAGACGGCTGCTGAGATTGTTGTTGTTGTTGAAGCTGCTGATTGGGAGTGGCTGGGTGCTGCAGCGGCGCCTGGTCGAGGTCGTCGAACATTCCCATGGACTCGCCGTTGTTCTGAAGGCCCATATTGAAGCCATCATCGTTAAACCAGAAGTTCGACATGATGGTTGGAGTAGGATTCGTACTGTGTAGGGTTGAATAAGTTTACTTGAAGGTGGTTTTTGATAATCTGCAGGAATATGAAAGGTGGTTGTTTGAATAGATAGAGATTAGAAGGAAGTTCTTGTACGATGAATAGATGGAGAAGGTAACTGGGGGGTTATTGGATGACGTTTAGGGAAAAGAATTGCCTTCACTGGAGCCTTTTGAGAGGAAAAGACTAAAAATAAATTTTGGAATATATAGAGATGTTGACATTCTGCTCATGGGATTGTTTGAGAAAAGTAGTAACAGGGTGAGAAAACCAGAGACAATGTAGAACTTTGATTGAGTAGTCAATCGTACTTCAGACTTCTTTATGCTGTCGGTATTTATCTGTTATGTATGGGAATATGGGAACAACGCGAAGGTGTCTTAAAGTAAATGCTGGAAGTGACAGAGACAGACACGAATACACGAGAGGTTTTATGATCATTGGTCATAGAGTATTGACTAAGTGAAAGGGCAGACGTGTTAATAGGAATCCGAATTGAATGTAAGTGAATGGCCAGACCTGAAACTTTTAATGAAAGATGTTTTTTACTTCCTTATTTTACTGGAATCATCTAGATGATTTGTACTAATTATGAAAACAGTTGATGGAACCTTCTGATTCCGAGATTAAACTTTGAGATGCCCTGTGACAGAAGTCAAAGACTAGAACTGGAGTTTCAATAGAACAGTTGGGTATCCTCACTGGAAACCCGGGGATACTTTGAGAATTTACTTCATCATTCCTCAGACTAAGTACTAGATAGTCACTTTTCAGAGTATTGATGATACAATCGATACTCAAGTACAACCTCCAAAAATAAAATTACCAGAATCTCCACCACTTTTGTAGCTTCTTCGACAACGCTTTGTAATGTTCCATCTCTCCCCAACAGTCCCGTCCATACTCACACCCCGCCATATTAATCACGAAGTCGTGGTTATGGAAGAAAAACTGTGGGTCGTCCAGCTGGTCCGAACATGCTCCTGGAGGAAATGCATTGATCTTTCTCAATGGTAAAAATGCTATTCTGTCACGAACCCAAGATTGTGTTGAGTATAACGTCTCCAAAGCGTCCTGTTCCTTATGCTCCCATTGCATGTGCATCTGCTCATACATAGCTGGATCCCACCACACGTCTAAGAGCAAATCGGTCCATTGAGATCTACGCATCAAAAACGATCCCAAGTTGAAGCCACCACAATCCTGAGTGATGATCATGTCAATAGGACTATCGTATTCCAAGTATGGCAACTCAGTGGGGATGTTGAGGGGGTTGAACTCCTCCAACGTTCTGTATGTGGCATTGTCCAAATGGTCCAAAAAGTGTTCTTCCAACAGCAAGTGTGGCTCCATGATATACGTGTGCAAATCTAACCACCAGAACCACTCAGTTTGAGGAAACTGTCTCATAGCCTGCTTCAAGATGTCGACTTTTTCCCATGATTCTCTCCATTCATGCGAGTATCTCTTTTTCGTGGTCATATCCTTGATAGTCAACCCATAGCCGTGTCTTTTGGCGTAATTCTTTTTGTTGGTAATAGATGACCGTTCTACTGACCAGTCCTGTGGTCCTTTCCACTTGAAAACTCCGCCACCTTCGTTGGCAGCGAGAATGATCACCACTTTTGGATCACCAGATTTCATGAGATGTGGCACCAACGGGATGGAAGTGAAAAACAGCAAAATGAAAATCGTCACCAATGCCAACGAGATCTTTTTATGTGTGATAATCACGTCCAAAATGTCTTCAAACCACAAGGATATGGATCTTTTGGCCGATGAGAACCATCCGGTTTTGGCTGGGTGGTAAGACGCCAGGTACGACTCGCTGATGGCGATTTCTGTGGCATGACGGTCGGCCAAGTCGCGTGAATGTTCTAGCGGGAACCCTGGACTACTCATGGCTGAAGAGAAATGGGGGATTATAGTTTTGAAGATTTATCAAGAGAGAATCATACACGAACGATGGAGTATGTGCAGGATGACATAAAGGGATGTTGATGATTGTCTAAAAAGTGGTCAGAGAAACAGGGAGGATCCAAGCGGTATTTATAGTTGTTGCCAAGAAAATGATAGTTGGCTTGTTATTGTAAATGATAAAATTGTTTATGTGTTTAATGGTGATAGTTGCTGATGTTGGAAGGTCTGGTACCTGAGTGCGGCTTGACAGAAGATGAGAATCTGAAAGAAACTAGGGTTGGAATGTCAGTTAGGGATTCATAGATAAGAATTTCAGGAATAGGGAAAACTTTGAAGACAGAATGAATTAAGGTTCCAAGTTTGGCTGTCGACCTTGGAAAGTTTGAAGCTAAATGTAGTCAAACTGTTAAGTATGTTGTTATGTGAATTACTTTAACTACAGGTATAGGCATCACAAGCCATAATCATTATTTACCAACTGGAGAGTTCTTATTCACCATTTATGATTTGCCGGTCCTTAATTACAAGTGATATAAACGAGCTACCATGGAGGGGCACCAGCAGCCAATTCTACCATAGCAGGATGTTTCCATCAACTCTTCCTCGCACTTATCTCAACGGCAACAAATTCTGCTCAAGACACAGCTGTCTGCAAAGAGGACATTCTGGATGCTCACGAACCCAGTCTACTATGCATTCCCAGCAGAACATGTGGCCGCAATTGGCAGCAGATGGGTCCACCATTGGCGAAAGACAAAGCATACAACTTCTGGAGGCTTCGGGGATGTACGGGAGCTCTTTCGAGTCGTTCAAATCGATCTGTACCTTCTCATTAAGCTTCTCATCGGTTTTAAGCTGCTCTTGCAAGCGCTCGAGTTGTTCGAGTTTGTAGAATGTCTCATGGGACTGTGTCTGGCTCTGGAGTTGCTGCTTTTCCTCATCCGTCTTGTTGCGCTCGTCAGTCTCTTGCTTAACCCAGATAAGAAACTTGACTAAAAATTGAAACAACATCACACTTCCAAGTAAGGTGTAGTTGCCTGTTTTCAGAAGCTTCTGTGGGTCCTTATTGTGGCCAAATACATACCGCAAGCCGAAAATGCGCTTCGAAATCGAGTAGAACAGACCCTGGAAATAGAAAAGCGCAATATGAATATTCATTATGGTGTCCAATAGATTGGGATATGACGTGAGAATTCTGGTGGCCCAATCCTTGGACGAATCGCTCTTCGACTTAATCTTGCGCACAACTCTAGTGACGATATAGGGTAGAATGACAAACGATGCAGTGAAAAGCACCCGTGAGTAGAGTTTTGTAAGCCGCTTTCCCAGCCGGTTTACATACACTAAATCCACGTATTCCTCGCCGAGAGTTCGAGCACCAATAACCGTGGTCAATACATAGTACAAGGCTTTGGCAGTAACAGCGATCTCCTCTGGGTGGGTATTGACAAAGCGCTGTCCCTTTAGTAGATGGAAAACATCCAGGATTTTGGACTGAATGGTGGACGCAAAGTAACTGTCCTTCTGGTTGGCTCTGACTAGGAAGTTAGTAAAATGTGGGGAAAATAGAACTTGATGGGAAACTCCAAACTGGAAGGTTCACTCTTGAGGCTATACACACCTATAGTGGCTGCATCCGCAAAGGGTAAGGCATTTTCATTGACTTTGGACATTTTATATGGCTTGTCAGTAATAAGCTACGAAAACTTGAAGTAGTAGATACTCCGCTTGAAAGTTGATAATCCGAGGTTGTGTGTTATATACAGGCCCGAACCAAAATGTGATGATAATGGATAATCTTAAGGAAGTTGAAGAGAAGATTGATATTATATACTTTTTCTTCGAAGAATTGAAACATTTCATTTGCAGATATTATCTTTCCAGGCTCTCGCGTTTATTCCAAATATCAATTTCCCAACCCATTAATATAGGCTCAAAATGGCAACTGGGTCTGACCTTTCGCCAATTTCTTTCTCTTCTTGACTTTTTCCTTCTTCTCTTGCGTTTTCGGTGATTTTACTTCACTCTGCTCTGTGCCGTTCAATTTCAGCGAAAGCTCTAGCGCAATATGATAGTCCTTGTGCTCAAACACATCATCCACGGCAATATTGCACTGTGAGCAGAATTGGTTGCGAATGAGCTCTTTAAGCAAGATATCCTCTTCTGGTTTCGGCAGTTGCGACACTCTCGATGCACTTTTATAATTATTTCCGGCATCACTCTTTGTGGACCTTTTGGGGCTTTCGCTGGCTGCTTTCATTACTTGTGCATTTGTCTGGTATTCGTCGAACATCTTCTTAACGTAATCTTTATCCTCCTTGAATTTTCCTTTCTCAGATTTGACTTCTGTGTCCGATGCATTCTCTGCTGCATTTTCTGCCTCAAAATCTGCAAACATCTTTTTGATATACGAGCTGCTGCGTGTGACCTTCTTTGGTTTCGGTTCCTCCACAGTTTCAACAGGCTTGTTAACTTCATCAAAGAGTCGCTTGATTGCCTCTTGCGTAGATACATCTGTGCTGTTGGCCCTTCCATAAGAATCAATGAGACTGGCATCTGATGTTTTAACAAAGTTACTGATCACTAAACTCATATTGGCCATGGTTGGAATCTTGATCTCCCTAAGTCTAGAATCAGTCACTCTTAGCTCTCGAAACTTGATGGTAGGGTTCATCTCCACCGCATTAGTAGTTTCAAGCAACTCACAGAGTAACCTGAAACCAGCGGTCTCTAAGGAGGTCTTGAATTTATCCAAATTCTGTATCACGGGAAACTGTGTCTGCTTGGAGTGCTTTGTATATGATGCAGACGTGATCTGGAGTGAAACAGTCCGTGGTCTATAAATAAACGTCTTTTCTCCATCTGACTTTTGCAGCATGGAGAGGTTCATGTTCTCATCGTCAAGCTCGATAAGCCGCCCGTATAAGTCTCCCAGATAAACCTTTATCCAATCAAAGGCATCACCCAAGGTTTTCACCGGATACCTACTCAAGAAATTTTTCCGGGACATCATCGATTTAACGTCTGTGCGTAGTTTCAACCGTAATTGATTGGTTCCTCGAACTAGCTCATAGATTTTCTCAGCCAACAGCTCCTCATTAGGAAACTCTTTCTTCATGTCTTGCAATTCCCAATTCTCTCGAATGTAGGCTATGGAATTGGTATCGGAAGGCACTTGTAATTTCTCCATGGCCACTTCACCTGCCTTACCACCCATTAGAGTGAAATCCACAAGCTCAAAGTTCTTGAGAAATTGATAAGTCAGTCGATTCCGGATAATTGTCTGCATGTCTGGTTTAATGAATCCTCCTGCGAGCTTTGCTGTAGGCTTGGACCTGGCAAGGCCCCCGGAAGTGGTATATTTGAGCTCTCGAAACACCTCACCTCTTATCGTGTACATGATCTGCGACCCAATGAGCATGCAAACATCGTCCCAATCACAAACCGGGGGATTTGGGGTCTCGGTGTCGTTTACGACAGAATTCAGCGCTTTAGCCTCGAGTTGCTCCTTCTCTTCGGTGAATGTTGGCATTATTTCGCCGATCCAGTGTAAATCAGCAGGCAACTCGGCTGGAACTGACGGTAGAGTAGCGTCTGGCTGCAAGTTCTGTAGTTCCGGGAATAAAGCAAGTAGTCGACTATACACGAGTCTTCCAAAGTCCAAGTAGCATTCGTCCACGCTTGCTTTCTCAACAAGATCGCATTCTCGCTTGAGGATCTTGATGATCTTCCTCAGCTCTCGCCGATATGGATCCAAGGAGACCTTATGTATACCTTGGTCTGGTTTCTTATCTAAATACTGCCAATGAGACTCGCCCTTTTTGAATACCGCCGCATGACCGACAATAAGCCCAGGACACTTCTCTTGGGCGCTTTTCAATGTGTCCATGCGGCCAATTCCATACTTCCGTGCAGCATATGAAATGGCGATGAGCGACAGCCATTGACAACAGACAACTGGGTCAGATATAAGCTTACCTAGACGCATCTGCTCACATTGAGCGAAAAACGCATTGAGATCGATATGAGCAATGACTGCTAGCGGCAGTTGGTACGCCAATGAGGCGTCATTTAGCATACGAACATGCTTCCATTTAAATTCCGAAGGTTGGGCTATGACCTGTGGAGGTGGAAGCGGAGGTGACGGCTTTGTATTAGACATTGCATGAGAGACTGAGAGGTTTGGAGTTTGAAAAACGTTTTGGGACTAGAATTAGCTGGGATAGAGAAGTTGGGACTAACAGTTCGTTGTAGGAAGTTGTGATAAGAGCAAAGGATATATAACGGATGTACAGGTTTGAAATGTAGATTATAGATAGAAGAGATTGAAACTGACCAAGAAAGTGAAGATGAAAAAAATAGAGAAAAGTGGAGGACGATACAAAGGTCTGAAAGATACATGTAGTGAATGTAGAAGTGATTCTTACAATTCTGTCTTTTTTTTGTCTGGAGTTGACTCCTTTAAACGACGCATAGTTGACGAAATAACTCGTAGTAGAGAAGAATAAAGAAATACTTGTATGAAGGCAACAGGAGTCGTAATAGCCAAGGATTAGGGAAAAATATATGGCTATTGTGAAACATTCTTGATTGTGCAATGGGAATGACGTGAAAGCACGACGGAGTGAATGTGAAAGGATACATGTAACCACAATGAAAGAGACTGTGCAGAGGCAATCAAGGAAGTCATAAATATGATTAAATCAAGGATGGAGAGATAAAAAAGAGGAACTACGATTGTTTATAATCCCCGTTACCCTGTTGTTCGAGATGGAACACTTTAAGTTTGTCATTTAATTTGTTTTTCTATAATTTTCAATTGATTCAAAACTAGTTTCAGAGCAATCGATGTTTCCACTACGAGATTGACGGAAAGACTTTAATGTCCGAAATGCATAAGAAATATGTACAAAGAATAAGTACATAATACGTCCGTCTCCCCTTTCCAGGTTATGCAAGAAGTGGTAAACATTTTCCTCCTTATTGTCAGCCATTGTCCGACAGCCATTGTCTTGATTACATATCGTTGCTTTCCTAACTTGAAGAATATTTCTTCAAATGCCGGAATGGGCATTTTTTTTAATTAACCTCTTCAACCTGAGTTGAACTTGGTTACTGGTTGTGGTTTTCAACTTTTCGCAACTGCGGAATAATCCCTCCTAATCTGACAATGGACTTCAAAAATCGGAAAAGGAAATAGCAATGTTTCAAGCTACAGAGCAATGAAAAGTGTTAAGAAAATATCGATTGCTGGTACTTATCCGTCAAAATTTTTGGAAATAGCAGAAGTAAAGGGGTCATTCCGTAGAGAGTTGTTTGTGAATGTACGGGTGTACAATTTAGTTTTCTCAACCTGACTAACTATTTGCTGATCGGCAATAATAGTAATTGCCGAATAAATGTTCTATCAGGAGGCTTGTTGACGGTAGATATAGTTCTTCTGAAAAGAAAGGGAGCAAAAATGAAGCGTGGAAACGATATTTGCTTGAGAGTAGAATAAGTTACGAGCTGCTACGAAAAACGTCTGACCACTGGTTGTGGAGGTGATGGAACAAATGATATTTAAATTTCATTTAGAAGTTATACATGCAATAATCAGGTTTCCATTGAATAGGGAACATGCACTTCTTGACATGAGTAGCTAAGAGCTTCCGATTTCATTGTTCCCAAAATTTATATTCGATCATTTCGATTAGCTTCCAAGCTAGGATAGGATGATTTCAATAGTAATATATTCAATTAAGAAGTCTAAAAGCCAAAAACCACATTTTTTGTGGAGATTCTTCTAAATTTAAAGGTCAAAGAAGATATACCATTTTACAAGATTTACAGGATGCTCGTATGGCGCAGTGGTAGCGCAGCAGATTGCAAATCTGTTGGTCCTTAGTTCGAACCTGAGTGCGAGCTTCTTTGTTAACTTTTTTATTTTTGGCTCTTCATTAGCTTCTTTGAATTTTTAAGCACTTTAAGGATGCCCTTCAAAGTTTGGAACAGGTCGTCACTTTGAGCTTCCTTCTTAATCTTCCTCCCATCTGCCGCTTGAATGTGAATCTCACGAGAATTTTCTTGATAATCTTCTTAACACCATCAAATTTATAGCCTGATTCAAAGGGACAATTGCAGAAAGAAGGATCATGGGAATGAAGAAATAAATTTTGAATCTAGCAAGTAATTGTTGAGTTTATGGTCTACCTTGAAGTTTTGCACATCATTCCGGACATTATTTCAAGCCCTATCAACTATGATTTTCCGAGACGCTGATAAGAAATTCACACAAAATTCTCCAAACGAGCAATTCGATTCACTCCAAGTCTGGGATCATTTTTTTTTACTTCGAAATGAGTAGATATTAATTCTAACGATTGCACCACCGTTGTTTCGAGAAGAAGGGGATGTGAATAGGTTTAGATCCTTTCCAGAGTAGTATTGTGAACTTCAAACACGAGTTCTAAGTAATGCGTTCTTGATATCTGAATTTCTATTTTCGGTACTTTATCAGTCGATGATTTGAAAATTAGGGGTAAGTGTTCAAAATGGGTATGCCATTTACAAAATATGGACCTCCATGGTGAAGCGATGACAGATGAACCATTAAAACAGCAATTGAGTTGATGCATCGAGAGGAGGAGCAGATTATTGTCACAAACATTATAAAAAACTCTCCAAGATGTCCATGGAGAAACTGAAATTGTTTGATGACAAAAAGCAGGGCTGCAAAGTCAATTTGATGAAGAAATACTTGAGTTGTATCGATTCAAATTGAAGGAATAGGTTCATGAAATTGAATTCAGAGTTTGAACCAGATCATTTCATAGGTTTCACAGTGCTGTTTCATGAGACTAATTGTGTAGATATCCTTAAAGACCACCTGTTAGCAAAACCAAGCTCAGTTACCATCAGACCACGGTGCCAACGTCAACTGAAAACAGAAACTTGTTATAGTGAATTTGAGGTATGAAATATTATGGCCAAAATTCGTTGAAGTTGAACGTCCCAAACATTCAAGAAAAGCTCAAGTTCAATGTAGAGGCAACAAAGAAATCCCATCAGACTTTAGAGAATATGTGATCCGGAAACTGTCACTGGTTTCGAACTATTTCATGGGTAACGCTAATGTTGCACAAATAGAAGAGTAGATTCAAAATGACGAAGTTCCTTTTAAGCGTATTTTCGGTACTAAATCGAAGCCAGTATGATTTGAGGTATATCAAAATGACAGTTCTTTCACCGACAATAGCTTGCAAACCAATGTAAGACCAAGCCAGGGGGATAGGAGACGAGTGAGACTTGGCTTCTTTGCATCTTGAAATCTACCCTCATCTATCATTCTATCTGAAAACAAAAATTGTGCTCCAATCGAAGTGACCAGTCTTTTGTCATCTTGCCAGCATCTTGGGGCCCAGCCAATAAATGGAAGGGTTCAATGGCAATGGCAAATTTCCAAGTCGTTCAAGACCTATAGAATCTAACTATGGTTAGTAAAAGTTTCGATAATGGCAGAAGAAATTTCGAGAAAATTCTGTCGAACCTGATCACAGCCAAAATGGAATTCAAGATGTGAAACACATTTTATGAGAACTTGATCAGTTTATCTCAAGAAAAATTAATTTCTATGAATTATTGAATCTGTTTCTGCAATTCAAAATTGCTTCTTATTATTGTCCACATAAATTTCTTGTAGTCGTTCATCTTCTAGAACTTAGCACCCATGTCATAAGCAACACAAACTGTGAGTTACTTGAATAAAAAAGGTAATTGCTCTTAATTTCCTCATACGTGTTCATTACGATAGAATTTTTTCTAAGCCTAGGCTTTTTAGTGTAAGTTTGTGGCAAATTATGGAATTCCGAAGGTGCATATGTTTTCACATCCATATTCTAGAGAATAGCAAATTTGCTAAAAAGTGACGGTATTCTCCAGAGGACTCTTCTGCTAAAGGCATATCCTAGATGAAATCTCCTTAATGCGTTATGACTGTTGGAAAGGAAGCCTCATCGTGAGATCCTATGATGTTGGCAAGGGACACAAATCTTTCAACGCAGTGACAAAATGGAGGTCTCATATGAGCAACTTTTCGATAGAAAAAGAACATCGTTCTTGAAGAAGTATTTGCACTTCGTAAGGTGTTCAATCCATCATAAACCGGCAGTTGAGAGACAACGTCGTACTGGTTTTGCTCCCTTCATTTTTCGATAAACTGGGACACAAGTGTGAAGAGAATAATCTGGTGCTAAAGATTTATCAAGGCCCAAAATCGAGTGTAATGAAGGGACTTCAGCAAATCAATTCAGCATTTTGAAACGTCTCCAGCAGTTTTATCGAGTGTTATCTGATTCTTGAGAGCAATGTTAAAGTGAAAGGAATTTTTAGGGGTCAAGTTCAAGCATAATCAATAGTGAAGTCGCTTCCTAATAATCCAACGTGATTAACGGCTAACAAATCTCAGAGTGCAACACTTATGACCTCCTTGTGCTTGTCGTTTTGATAATGTTAACATTTAATATACTAGGGAACTCAGATTGTTTAAGTGGCATTTAGGGCACCCACAGACTGAAGCTGAATCAAATAAACTGTGATGGAATCCAAATGATCAAGAGGAATTTTGACAATGATCTGTTCAAAAAAAAAATTAAAAAGTTGAACATTTCCATTGACCAAAATGTGGCCATCGGACCATAACTTTAGGTACACCTTCAACAAATGAAAAGTACGCGAGAACAAACTAGGTAGTTGTAAAGATAATAAAGGGTTATCTTAAAAAAGGATAAAGATATGTCATGGATGTAGTCCAAACAAATTTTTGTAACCAATACCGTGAACTAATGAAGATGGTACAGACATCCGTGCTTCATTCTTTCCACGTATTCCACTAACTGACCATACCCATATTGGCCGGAAGGAAGCCAATGGTCAAATTTTTATCCAAATGTCCAGTTTCTGTGTACTGCTCCATTGTCCAATCTTGCTTTGGATCTCGCTTGACCTTGATGGGTGTGACCCATGGAGTTCCGAAATTGGGTCCAGACACATTTAAAGAATTCAATTCAGCTACTTTTTCTTCAAAGCAACCAAACCAGAAGTATTCCAAACCAGTATTCGTTCATGTGAACTAAACAAATGTTCAGGGTTCTGGCTAGAAAATATCAGGTGCCGCTTATCTCAAGGTGAAAAATATCTCACTTACATCACAAATTTTTTTACATTTATCCATTGACCTTCACATATCATACAATTCAGTAAACAACTGAACATCGTGCAGTTTCGACCATGTCTTAGCATCTTGAATGAGTGACTCGGGACCACAGGCAATGATCCACTTGTTGGCAGGTTCGGAGGTTTCCGAAAACGAGCTGAAAATGTGGTCTAACGCTGGCCTGCCCCGGTGGAAAACGATATCCAGATTCTTATCAAGAGTTTGTGAATCGGCAAAGGGATCCGACGCGGACTCTGCCAGCAATGAACCCAACTCAATATCGTCTACCTGATTGAGAAGACCATCGTCCTCCTCGTTCTGTGAACCCAAGAACATGGTATCGCTGTTGCCTGTCACATACACGTCAACCCTGTGAGTCACCTTGAGCTCCTCCAACACATATGCGTCCTCCTTGTTGGTTATGCACCAGAATAAATTAACTTTGGCAGAGGAGCTGTGCTTCAAATAGCGCACGACAGGGATTCCAAGAGAAATACCTGAACCTCCACAGAAAACGTTGACGTTTTCTGCCGTTAGAAAACATGGTGGTGGAATCGACTGGAAAGGGTTAGACACGGTATATTCTAGCGATGAAAAGACCTGAAACCTGAAACCTTTTTTCACCACTAAATCTAGGGTTGTATCTGCTGGCAACGAGCACAAAGTATATGGATGAGCCGGGAGGAGCCAGTAGCGGAAATTAGATTTAGCATATCCAAGACGGATATGAGACCCTGCAAACCAGCGGGTTGGAAACTCGCTTGGTTTGGTGAGATGTAATACTCGAAGGGAGGCAGTGTCCTTATCCACGATGGTAATTCGAGGAATTTGATGCACGAGTGTCAATCGCTGGTAGACTTGAAAAGCAAGCATAGATAACAATAAAATAACGAAATCCAATACTCCCGGCCGGGCATGCAACCAAATGAGTACCAAAAACGTCACCACTGTAACGTTGTGAATAATGTAGAAAATGCCATATACTCTTCGGCGAACAGGACCAATGGAGACAACCGCTAGTACTACGCCTATGACAGCCACTATAACACCCATAAAATTAGCCCACCGAAACGTCTTTGTCCAGAAAGTGCCTTCAATCAACCACTTTGTGAAGAATCCGATACCATGGAGAACTACTGCCACCACTATGAGACGCAGAAGCCATTTATGCAACGAAATGTAGTCCAAATATGAGCCTCCCAATAAAGATGGTCTGATTACAAGCAAAACATCCAAGGGAACTAGGGCGTAACCTACTCTTCCCAATCTCTTGATAACAACATTATAGTTTTCGCTCAATTTCTTGACGTGGAAGAAACTCAACCCAAGAACAATCACAGACCAAAATGCCATGTGTGCCCATATGGGAACACGTCCAATTCTGCGCCAAACCGATTTGGGACTCGGATGGCCATCTCTTTGCCATTTGTGTAGGTAGAAATGGTTGGAGACCGCTAAGATCAAAGCAACGGCTATAGAAGTGCCCAAGGTGATGTAACCGTACTTGATGTTTCCCGTATGATGATGTCCCGCATGACGAACATGAACATCTATGGCTGACGGACGATATTCATTAGAAGACATTTACTAAGTAATATCGTATGAAGTACTGACTATTGGTTAAGATGTCCGGAGGTACGGATTTCAGCATGGAGCTTGAATTAATTACGGTTATTCTGACGGGAACTGTGACGACATAATTACTCTTGTGGATAAATTTTGAGTTTGAAATGTCAAAAACTGGAGCCTTACTACCCTATGTTAAGACGCTAATAATTTTATACACCCGCCACAGATGGCTGGTAATGGTGTTGTTGCATGCACGTTCATGTACTAGGGGGTTACCTTCCAAACCTTGCATATCACAGGGTTTTGTGCTTGCCTGAGGTGTAGGTATAGAATGCCAAGTTTACTAAATTTGGCCGGGGTGCTAGATTGTATCTAAGATAATCTGAAACTATACTACAAATTTCGATGGATTGAATACATTGATATTAAGATATGGTAAAATCCCAACATGCTAAGCTTGAAAATAAAAATCCGTGTTCTCGACGAATCTGGCATTTTATCTTTTTCAGTTGTGTGAGGGTTGTAGCACACATCAAAGAATACTCCGCAGAAATATGTACGCATATGCATGCATGAGAAGGGTATCCTACTAAATGCACATCCACTTTTAACTCTTGTGCATCTTACATTAATAATTCGAGACTCGTCTCATACTTTAAGAACCCGGAGGGGATCCTTTAAGCCATGGTGCATATAAACAACTTTAGAATTAGGAAATCGATTGGAACTCCATCAGAAGCCTGGTGAAAGCCCCAGATCACGCCCTTATCATTCATTTTTTGTTTAAAACATTTCATGTATTCTTAGAGTTGATTATAGTTGTTGATGCATTGATCAAAACAGGGCGTTGTTTTTGAAGGGTACATGTGAGAATGAGGGAAATCAAACCATGCATTCACTACAAACTCAACCTATATTTGCATGTCAGGACTCTCAATTCTGGCCATTAGTTGCCTTAAAAAAGTGCATTCAAATTTAGCTGAACGGGTGTTTGCATGGACATATCTTTATAAATTATCTTCCAATGGTGTTGAAGCCCCTTACGGGGTGTTTTGAGCATGTTTTCCGGCCGATCCCAAAACTCAAATGGTGAACACAAGAGTGTATATCCAGAATAAACCAGGAAAGAATAAAGTATGATAGACCACATAATCGACATAAACTGGAGGGGCATTGGGGTAAATAGTTTTCTTCATTGTTAAGTTGAATCTTCATTGGTGAGGTCGTATTCTGACTATGAATTGACTTTCAATGGGAAAGTAATGTTTTTGGAGGCGTAAGGCTATGTTCAAAACCTCCGAAAAAATGGATGTCGAGACTCCATATCAATTGCCAATTGAATTATTGGAACAATCTGGAAAGAATGCAAATGGATCTTTGCTTTTCTTCTCTCGGCACTTGTCTCACACAAGATGTATCTGACATCACCAAAGTAGTGTTAACAAAAAGAAGGAAAACATGGTCCCCGTTGGTTCCAAATATTGCAAGGAATACTTTGAAACAAATTAGACAAGGGAGAGAATTCAAAGCGCATTGAGTGCCAGGAATAACTACTCGACCTTTGCAAGTATTCATCGTCCAAAAGTAAACATACCTGACTAATTTAACATGGGATGAAAAATGAATGGAAAAAACCAATAAAGCATTTAAAAGACCATTTCCGGTGGAAAATGTCCCTTAAATGATCCAAATTGCCATTTCCTGAACATATGAAACCTTTTCTATGTGGTGTTGACTCCAACGATCTATCCTTCAATCTTGATGAGCTAGCAGAGAACCTGAGTTATATATTCGAACTCATCATGTTAACAGGCTATTCAATGGCAATGAATTTAAGTCTTTCCAGAGTTTCGACCACTGTGGCAGGTTATGATAAATTTGTGTTCAATGTCCAGCGAGAAGACCACAACAACTAAGCGACACCGCCTTGCAATGATATTTGATTGACAGGAAAAGCATGACGATGCACTAAGGCACTCTTTTGGAAAACAAAAAAAGAATGAATAGGATTTTCTTTGCATCAATTCGATGTCGATCTCATGGTTTGATGTTCGGAATTCCGAGAACTAGTCATGGAACTCAGACAAACACACTGAGACATTCAGTCAGAGCGATTAAGATAATGCCATTTTAGCTGTATTAGGGAACGAAAATTCGAAATAGTGTAGATGAAAACAAGTCTTTTCGAAGGGTAGTCGGTTGGCGTATTAAAATCCTTCAAAAATGAGGTATCCTATCATCAAACATGAAAACATCACCACAGCAGGTTACCACCACATACCAGGCACAAGAGGAGAGAGGGGCAAATCCGGACATTGTCGCAAGCATGTTTCATATTTCAGTTCGGGTTCCTGACTTTCGATGGTGACGGAAATCCTTTGATGTGCACTGAGACACCCAGAGTTACGAACAACCTTACTATTAAAGGAAGAGAATACGAAAATCTCCATTTCCGAAGGGTATTTAATGAAGACTACAAGATTCCAAAAAAAAAAAACTACTACCGACCTATGTCAAAGACTAATCTCGCTTGAAGGTCAAAAATTTAAATTCCTAATCACCTTTCAGTATTTTTTTTGGCACGAAAATCAACACCATATATCGGCTATCCTGGTTCCTCCATTTAATTTTAAGCTCTGCACTTTGTGAGTCAAGCCACTTCTGGTCAGAGTATGATCAGAATCCTCACTCTCGGAATTCCGAAATCCGCTAAAATTAGACGAGGTGCTTCATGTCAACCTCAAAACCTGGTAAAGATTTAATTCCAACAGATACCGGTGTTCCGCAACTATTGCAAAACACGAATCATAGCTACTGATTTTGATACCGTTAGTATATATGAAAGACGTTTTAGCACTATAAGACATCAAAATTCTGTCACCAATGCGAGCTGTTGAGATTCTAGGCTCTCACTCGCCACATGCCGAGAGTTATGCCCTATAAATCTACTTATATTGTATTATTAAATACCCGCATACGAGAAATGCTTAGTATCGAGAGAACTAACTATGCATCGAGTACTGTATGTAGAAATTCTCGATGGATGTTGCAAGCTTTTAGTTATGTGCCTCAACAACTTCCAGGCATTCAACATTCCATCTAAACGATTCATCATTGCGACCCCTGAAATGTAAAATGAAATTCATAGCAACTTAGGTGATGACTTTCATGACGACTAAACGGAGAGGCACAACCTTACTGCCAATTATTGGATTCGATGACCAGTTGATAGAGGGGGTTATTTCCGGTAATGCTCCATGCATTGAAGGCTAAATTCACTTCCGTTAAACTAGCCACCTCCCCTCATCTCGTGGCGTAATGGGAGGGCCGCTTGGCCGGGTTGTGGCTAGCGACCCCAAGGTGAAGAGATGACTTCGAGGGGTATAAATCGTCAATCGGTATAGACATACATAGGGTAATTACTCATTAGCTAAATGTATAAGCCTCCAATACACAAATCAGAGTAAGATTGAGCCTCATCCACATCAGAGGCTTGACATGTCAAGAGGAGGATTCTGTCCATGGAAAAATAGAACAAGAACATGTGATTCTTCCTGGTGTCTCAGAAAATTATCCATATGCTACCTACTTACTTACGGTGACACGGGTAAAGATTCCGTTAGATTCCATTGCAAGTGTTACCACTGCGGAATCCCCTTTTTGGATAAAAGGCTGCAGGCTACGTCACAAAACAGCATACCTGCAGGATAATGAGCTCACTAGCCTCACTGGGTGGCTGATGCACTCAGTTTCGGTTGGAAGCGAAAAAAAAAGGGTAAAAATAACTTCACCCATGGGATTCCGTGATACGGTGTCTCACCCCGGAAATGTTATTAATTTGGGCGAAAAAATGTCAGATACTATTTTAACTCGGCTGTGCTTCATAGAAATAATGGAGGCTGCAAAAATATCCATGACGTTGTACTGATCCCTCCGCTGATCTTCAAATACCCATACGTCATTGATGTTCACTTGCCACAATAGATGTACACTTCATTACATTTTTTCCTCCGTGCAGGATACACGCAGAGGAGGTTGTTGACGTAACTTCCAGATCTTCATATCCAGTCCTTTCGTCTCAATTTCTTCTCAGACAATACCCCACGTCACTTCGCCACATTAAATTAGTAAACTGTAATATGACATTATCTCGGTTTCTACCCTGTATGTAATCCAAGACAAGCATCATTCCAACATGCCGAGTGTATAGCATAGTTCGGGATTCAACTGATGATATCATCATGTCTCTAAATTCTACAGGAGGGGAGGGTCCTGCGGCTAAATATGAGACTTACAACAATAGTAACTGGTAAAAGATTGATTTGAGAAAAACACTATTGGTTGAGAGAAACACACATTCAGGTATGTTAAGGTGTAGAAGAAGAATAGTTTTCCAGGAAATTGCACTATAGAATAGAAGATCATAAATAGAGATGGTAAGGAAGAATCAGGGTGCAAGATTTCTGCAGAATGGAATTCCAGAGGCTAGTGAGTCGAGAATAGCAGGTGGCAAGTGAAACATGTACCACCGCTTAACACCCTACTCATATCACTTCATTAGCCTCCTCCTACCCAGAAACATGCACTTTAGCATTCTGCGCATACAAGACATTCCGGTTAAAGAGCCACCAACCATGCGCATCAGGGTAAGGATTTTGCCTCAGAACATGCGGAAGTCCATCCTACTGGTCAGGTCAGCTACTTTAATGAAGCCGTTGGCTGCCAGTTCGATACCATATTTTTCTGAACGCCCTTTCCATTGTACTCTCGGCGAACTGTAAGCATGCATACGCACAGAGATGCCATCACTTGCACGGGTGTGGCCAGAACGGGTACCGCGGACTGCACGGCGCCAGACAAGCATTGCACTGCAGCCTTGACTCGGTTTCTCTGCCTTCACGGCCACATCTAGGGGTTCCGTTATGCATGCATCTCCGCTATACGTTGTATGGTGTTTTTCTCGTTCGGGAGGTGCTATATAAGTACCACTCCACCCGGCACATTTTTCAATCTTCAGCAACTTCTCATCTACTGCTCTGAGTTTTTGGTATTTCCCAAGATCATCACAACTTCTCCTTATCACCTCATCTAAACATGGTTTACTCCGCAGACTCCGCAAAGTGGAGAGCTTACCAGTTTCTGGACCCATTCGCTGCTGGCTCTTTCTACGTCTGCAACAAGATCAACAAATACTTTTGTCGTCCTGACTGTGATGCTCATCCAATCACCGAATTGCGTCTGGAGATCAAGTTTGTACCTACTGTGGCCGATGCTGTGGATTATGGCTATGTTCCATGTGAACTGTGTGACCCAATGCTGGTTCCACACATTGACGTGGACATGTTGATCAGAACTGTCAAGGATATCAACCAGTCCATTGGCTTCGTGCCTCCATTGATGGATGAAGAAGATGAACTCATCAACAAGACTATCAAAGAGAACATTATGGAAAACCTGCACCCGCAGCGCAGACAACTGGTGCCAGCCATAAGCTTCAACGGTAAGTACTCCAACTTTGACCGCCAGCAATCTACTACGGTTTCTAAGAACGACAACGAGCACTACAAATTGGTTGATCTTGCATGTCGCCACTTGGCATTGGCAGCTGCACTGTCAATCTTCAACACACCTTCTGCAACTAATAGTCCTAAGCTGGAAGACTCTAGCCCAGACGCTTATTCTAGCAAGAAGTCTAGAAAGAGAAGAGGAGGAGTTCTTGGCTTCAAAGAGCTTGCTGCAAAGTCAAAGTTGTCTGCTTGGCACTTCCACCGTGTGTTCAAGAGTGTCACTGGTCTTACACCTAAGACCTATGGAGATAAGTGCTACGAGCACCTTCAACAGCAGAGAGACGAGGCTCAAGAATTGAAGCCTCCTAGTGTGGTATCTCAGGTTTCTGTCCCAAGCAGCATCTCGAGCGTGGACTCTATCGAGAATATGAAGTCTTACTCCAGCCCTGTGCTGTCAACTGGCAGCTCTGTTCTGCCAAGCCGTAAGAGAGTGAGAATTTCCGAGGAGGAAGAGTATCCCTCGCCCAAGAGAGTGACCAAGCCACTTGCAACCCCTGCCATGACTCCATTCAACGAGTTCTCTGGTTTTGAAGAGGAGATCAATGGTTTTGGCATGGATTCTCGGGCCACTTCTGCTCCAGACTTGACTGCTTACCTCAAACCACAATCTCTTTTCTCACATAACAAACCCATTGACTTCACGACAGATATGCAGTTCTCAATGGCCGATATGCCTTTGCTGATGACGATGCCTCAGCAAGAGTTCATGCCAGTGCAGCCAGTTGACATTCCGTTTGAGGAGTCTCTCGGTACATTCGGAGGAGCAGGCTTCTCCGCGGACTTGTTCGCTGAGGATGAGATTATCCCTATGCACCATGAGTTGGACATTACTGAGGGTTTCAATTTTGGTCTTCTGCCTGAGCTTTTGACGCTGAGTGTTGGATTGTAATGGTTTATGAATTACTGTATTATGGGATGAACATTATGGGACAGGTTTATACGGAGTTACTTAATAATAGATTGGAATAAATTAAAAGATTAATGAGACATCGAATTTGGCGGGTATAATGGTAGAGAAGGATTGCAAAAGTGAAATCTATCAGAATTTTTCACCTCTGGAAACCTTTCGATGATGGTGGAGTGGCCTGCATCCATGCTTGAGAAGAGCAGTGACATGCGGGGTCCCCGAATTGGCAAGATAGAATTAAAGTTTTCTTTAGGTAGGGATGGGGGATATGACCTCAACCTACGTATGACCTTCGTCATTAGAAGTGCATGTGTGCATACATCGTTCTCTATATACAGGAAATTGCATGGCATGTTGTGTCTACCATAACTTCCCCCAAATGCAAAGTGTGTCCCTCTTATGGGCCGATTCACTAATGTGGTATACTTCAGGCAGGCAATACTTACCATTATAATCCCGGAAATGCTACCCGTACGTGCCTCGACATTTGACTCAATTTGAGGAGGTCAATTGCTGATAGATTTGCGATGCGTTGCATTTACTGCAAGGATGTGAGTTATCATACCTTAACTTACTGATTGGGGACACTGTTCATTCAATTGTATGAATCTTGTTCCCCTTAAGTATATGATAACTTTTACACTCCAAACGGAACTTCGCACATTCAGTGAATGTGGTGCGATTGGGAATCGCACACTCTATTGAGGATAAGTGAACCATCATTAGTAACTCCAACGTTTTGCAAGACGTACCGTCAGCTCGTATGGTTGTCAATTCATATACGTCTCTTTACTTGTGAGAAATCTGATGACATGAAGAAAAAAAATTTCTCCCTCGCAAAGCTTAATTCGGGGTTCGAGAGCAAAATAGCACTTTATGCTGAGGTTTCTCCTCAATGTGACCTTCTGTGCATCAGCATACCTTACATTCACAATTTCGCAGCGATCACTGCAGGTCGAACATTATTTTCTCAGGGTGAGGTAGATCCTACAATTATTCATTCCAAACGTTATTCTTGCCTACAGGCCCTGAATGGTGTTCTTAATTATGTTGTAAATATTGAATGGTAAGTTTAATATTGCGCTTGTATTCCATAAATGTCGTAATATTACAGTCCAATGTGTACTCATTGTCAAAACGATTTGAAGAACAGACACTTTCATCTTGCTCTACCACCAAATTACAACATTCAAGTTCTCTTTAGTTGTTTGCCAGCTCTTCGTCTTTATATTCGGCAACACGATCTTTATTCTCCTTCGCTGTCTGAACCAATTGCTGGAAAGCACTGGTAGCAAGACGGGATTTCTGATTCTCTACTGGGGCTGTTAAGTTTGAGAGCAGTGCTTTTGATCCGTCCCTAGTACTCATTTCATTAAGCAGCTCACGTAACTTTCCCCACTGCAGGAGCAGAGTGGTTTTGACATTGTACTTGTTGTCTGTAGATGTATCGGCACCAATTTCTGTGGAATCAGCAGAGGGAATCTTGGAATCAGAAATCACACCTTCATCTCCGAACAAATCAATCTCCGAGGACTCGTCATCACTGCTGGTCTCGATCTCCTTGAGTTTCTTGATCTTGTTGGCCAATTTGACCATCTCGATAGCCTGTCTGAACTTGAGCTTTGCATTGAAGTTCTGCTTCAAGTTTGGCAACAAATCAGCGTCCTTATGCTCAGCTGCAATACCCTTGAGCCATGGATCTCCCAATAATTCCTTGGATGTGGACCTGTTGTTTGGATTGAATTGTAGGGCTTTGATGATGAATCTCCGAGCATCTTTGGAGATATCTTTCCAGTAGTCCGCATGGAAAATCACAGCATTGTTGTGGCGGACCTCTGCAATGAAATCCTGAACATTCTCCGACCTGAACGGAGAGTAACCACACAAAATTGTGTACGTCACCACACCTAAAGACCAAATATCACAAGGTTTGCCATGGCCGGTGCCCAAAATCACCTCGGGAGCAGCATAACCGAAGGAACCAGCGCTGGAATGGAGCATCTCGTTTGGGGATTGCAATTTCTTAGCAATACCAAAGTCTGCCAATACGATATTTGAGTCAGCTTCCGCGGTAAGGTACAAAACGTTCTCTGGCTTGATATCTCTGTGGACAATATCCCTTTCATGCAAGTAGTCGATGGCTTCGAGCATCTGGACAACCACCAACAGCGCATCATGTTCAGTAAATCGTCCTTCTTGTACAATTCTATCGAAAAGCTCACCTCCCGTAGCCAATTGTGTTACAATGTAAAACTTATCCTTGGATTCAAACCAGTCTCTAAACCCCACAATGTGAGGATGATCAAGCAGTTGGAGAAGCTTCAACTCGTCAATGACGTACGTTTCGTTGCCCTTCAAGGCTTTCTTCAAAATGATTTTCACTGCAACATCCTCATCAGTGGATGAATCTCTGGCATATCGAACAATACCAAATGAACCAGCTCCCAACGTTCTACCAAAAGTGTAAGAAGCTTTACGGTTGTAAGAAGCAGGTTGGCCACTTAATCTGTTAACGATTTTTTTTATAGAAGAGTTAGATTCAGTCCCCATGATGAATATGTTGGCGAATAAACCCTTTAAATGTTCATCTATGTGTTTGTTTGATCACTTATCAACGGGTGTCACGGGGTAATGTTCCTGCAGGGAATACGAGGAGGCTGGGGCACGGTTGTATTCATAAGTGACCATATCACGGCCCTCGCAAGAGTATTTTATTTTTGGTCAAGGGTCTGATTATCACTATTACCTACTTGTACAGGGCGATGTATGCGTCTGGGTAAGTTCATCAATGCGCGGACGCAACACAACGCAACGCATGAAGTGACGAGAGGTGACTGGGGTTGTTCTTTTGCATGTGAAAGTCATCCGAAAATTTACCCTACGTAATCGCAACGGGGAGAAAACGAGAAAAAAGCAATGCAACGGCTGAGCCCACCTGGCTTCTCTGCCTAGTATTCTTCCCCGAAGGATCATGTAGAAGAAGGTTGTTTTTTCAGATTTGTCTGGCACATTGTGCTCAGCCTGGGTCTTTTTGTCTCAAAACCTCGAAGTTTGTCTCTGGCTTTGCACGGTTCTACAGGAGAAACCCGTGGAGAGCCATGTATGAATCAATCTAGTGAAGTTAGATGAGAAAGGATCTTCTTTCTGTCATCGATAAGCCACTCCTTGGGAGAACACGAAGCCACAAAACCGTTTTCTGGGCATTTAATTAGCAGTAGTGGCTGATACAGTGATGAGACTAACGGCTTGCATACTAGACAATATGGTGAACAATCAGGGTCGTGCTCAAGTCATGATAACTGTGGAAACTTTACATACTAATACTCATGATACATACACATACTCATATTCCTACTACAGTTTAGAGTTATTTCCCCCAATTATTGGAATTTAATGCACACCACGAGACATTAGAATGACATGTTAGCAGTAGTTGACAATTTATAATACCTCTAGATATTTCGCTCTACTCAAAAAGAATGAAAGGCTTAAGATTAAGCCTAGAAGTCCTAGTTTCTGTCGACAATGGTATTTATTGTCCACCTACTTAAAGATCAGATATCACGATGCGATAAGTCATGCACGGCGATTTCTCTGCATAAATGAAAAGTATCTCGAAGAACAGATTTTGTTCACACACCTGGCCACTCACATTTCACCATGGCGGAATCAATTTCCGTCCTTCATCTCCAAATTGCGCTAGGAATCGTCCTTCCTAAAATTCGGAACCTGTTTCCTATTTTGGCAGCGCGATCGGGAATCGTTCTCCATAAAATCCCATATCAGCAACTATCTGCACTCTATCTGACCACCTATAAAATCCCCAGGTTTCTGGACACCTAAATCTTTGAAACAAAACCAGTACAATGCTCAGAGCTCGCCACATCAACGCAGCTGTGGTTTCTGCCAGACGTGCAGTTTCCTCTGTTGCAGCTGCTTATTATCCAAGTGAGCCAGTGGCTCCAAACTTGGTAACTGAGTCGGTTCCAGGTCCAAAATCAATTGAAATCAACGACAAGTTAGGTAAGGTTTTCGACAACCGTGCATCTTATTTCGCCACTGACTACTACAATTCATTGGGAAACTACATTTCGGACGCTGATGGAAACCAATTGTTGGATGTCTACTGTCAGATCTCCTCCATTGCATTGGGGTACAACAACCCAGAATTGTTCAAGACCGCACAGTCCAAGGAGATGGCCAGTGCCTTGATCAACAGACCTGCCTTGGCCTGCTTCCCTCTGTCTGACTACGCAGAGATTTTGCAACAGGGTATCTTGGCTGCTGCACCTCCTGGCCAGAACAAGGTCTGGACTGCTTTGTCTGGATCTTGTGCCAACGAGACCGCTTACAAGGCTGCTTTCATGTACCAGGCTGCTAAGAAGCGTGGCTCCATGGATTTCACCGATGAGGAATTGACCTCTGTCATGAACAACCGTGCTCCAGGTTCTCCAGAAAGAGTGATCTTGTCATTTGACAAAGGTTTCCACGGCAGATTGTTCGGATCGTTGTCCACCACCCGTTCGAAGGCCATCCATAAGTTGGATATTCCTGCTTTCAACTGGCCAAAGGCTCCTTTCCCAGCTTTGAAGTATCCATTGGAGGAGTTTGTCAACGAAAATGCCGAGGAGGAGGAAAGATGCTTGATTGAATTCGAGAAGATCGTCAAGTCCTACCCTCCAGACACCATTGCTGCCATTATTGTGGAGCCAGTTCAGTCTGAGGGTGGAGACAATCATGCTTCTGCTACGTTCTTCCAAGGTTTGAGAGATCTTACCTTGAAGCACGAGATTCTTATGATTGTTGATGAAGTCCAAACCGGTGTTGGTGCTTCTGGTAAGTTCTGGGCTCACGAGCACTGGAACTTGACTACTCCACCAGATATGGTTACGTTCTCCAAGAAGTTCCAGGCTGCTGGTTTCTACTTCTCTAACCCAGAGTTGCAGCCAAACCAGCCATACAGACAGTTCAACACTTGGTGCGGAGACCCATCCAAGGCTCTCATCGCCAGAACTATCTACCAGGAAGTCACGAAGCACAACTTGGTCGAGAAAACTGCTGCTACTGGAGACTACTTGTACGGAAAGTTGAAGGAGTTGTTTGGCAAGTACGGCAACAAGGTTTTCAACTTACGTGGTGAGAACTTCGGTACATTCATTGCCTGGGACTGCGAGGGCCCATCCAAGAGAAACGAGCTTTTAGCCAAGATGCGTGCTGCTGGTGTCAACATTGGTGGTTGCGGAGATCACTCCATTAGATTGAGACCAACGTTGGTTTTCGAGAACAAGCACGCCGATTTACTTATTGAGGCATTGGAGACTTCGTTGAAGTCTTTGTAGGAAGAATAAAAAGTTTAATGGGGAATGTGTAGAAGGTTATGGAGTAATTTGCAATCGTACCTGTGCTCTTGACAACCAGAGAAGGTTGTTAGTGAAAAGTAATGGGCCAATAATTGGTACTTTTGTCTTCAGTAGTCTGGTTGTATAGTATTACCTTCCAATAATGATCCTCCAATTTATTCTGTTACCAAGACAGTTATTTCACTAAGGAGTCAAATAAATTTGCTACCACGAGCATTGATACTCTCCATCTCTAAATTGCGTTTCACAGCCAATAGTGACTTCCTGTTAATCACGAATATATTCTGCCGAGTCATTCTCTGTTGCGTTCAAGCCTGGGACTCCTCAATTTGCAATAGTACATTAAACAGGAAGTAAGTATCCCAGAGTCAATTCTTATGCATCTAACCCGGAATTCTCCCTGGGTCGTCACCTACAACTTGGTAATCTTCCACAATCTTCCTCAATGTACACTCCTCCTCCAGAAGATTCCGTCATACTCTACTTAATCACACCTAACCACTAGCCGACTTACATGACTAGTCAGGGGTCCTTAGCATTGTAGTGATTTAGCACTGGGACTCAAACTGCACCGGGATCAGGGAATGACCATCAATTGTATGCGTTCGTAACATTTGTGGATTAAGTGGCGGAAGAGACTGTGCGATCACCATAAACTGCTCCCCAATATTGAGTCCATTGGCAGCCTAGATTATGCATTCCGAGGATAGAATTCGGCAAATGTACCAGATGGGGAAGTGAAACAACTAAATGATGTACCATTGATCGACCCGCATGCTAAGAAGCTCCGATGTACCAGTCAATAGCTTCATCCACAGTGAACCCCTATTTTTGCTTCGCTCTAGTCGGGCAGCCCATTTCGAAAAATCATCATTAAGATCTGCCTTCTGACTTCATGCACAAGCAACGCCATGTGGGTCATGCTGCTTGTTCGCAATGATCTACGAATGCGTCTTTTTATCCTAATGTTGCAAAATCCAACCGTGGATAGTCTTGTATGCAGTCCCCGCCCAAGTCACGGGATCACCTTCCAAACGGTTTCATGCGGATGGCCATCTGAATACCCCGGGTTTACAAATCGACCACAATCCTTGTTCTGAACCACAAATACCTCCCTCCGCTTCCGCTTGCCTCCTCGCATCTTCCTATCTTTACTTTTTACGCACTTGTCAGGCCAAATACTATTTTATTTCTTCTCGGGTAGCTTCTCCCGCATACTGCAATTTCATCTTTGCGTTCTTGACACTTTGTCCCAATACCCACATTCATCTCCTTCCAGAACTTGAAGTTAGTCTTATTATGACTTCATAACCTCCAACTATAACTAGCAATGCTCGGACGTCTATTCAAGCAGTCAACGCTCCCGAATTTGGGTGCTCCCTCCCAGAATCAGTCAATGCATTCATCTCATAACAACCCATCAACAAACGGTAACACTCATGACGACTCATACACAAGAGAAATACTTTATGCATCACAGTGTCTTTCTGTCAAGCCGCTGCTTTTCAATCCTCGGCGTTTCCGCCTTTTGGTGTGTCAGGACGGCGGAAACCTTCGATCGAAGCAAGTACTTTATGATTCTGCTGCTGACCTGCTCACTTCATCACCGGTTCTGACGCCTGGTGTTTCTCCGGCTACATCAGCTCCTGTCCCATGTGGAACATCCGACTCGCAACTCTCTTCAAAAGTGGCATCCTTGTCACTTCTGAGAAATAGCTCTGTTGTTAAGCTCAATGCACCGACACAAATGGGTTCCAAAAACATTTTACTGTCAAAGCAACTCTACAACGTCAATGAAATCAATGACTATATGTTTGGAAGAGGCTTGCCAACTAACGAAAGCTGTACGGCGACAAAGATACACATGCTTCCTCAAGTCAATCTGGTCTATGGACCATACCTGGCCATCTTGGTGACTCGGTTGTTTCTGATTGTCGACCCAAGCAGCAGTTATGCAGAAACAAACGTATCTTCTATATATGACCGCAGCTGGCACCCTGCACCGGCAGTTCCAACGAAGGAAGCATTTTTCAGTTACTCTGGAAATTTTTGCAAGACACCAGGAACTCCCGCCGAGGGCAGCATGGCATCTCGCTCATCGTATCACTCCCGTTTTGCTATTGGAATCGTCATTCCGCTAGAGTCAGCGGACCAAACAGCGGAAGATGTGCTTGGTAGTAACTTGGATGCCATTGCACATCACCTAGTGATTTTGCAGAAGGTGGTGCTGAAAAAGCTTATTTTGTGCTTGAAATACTCCACTGTCAATGGAGTATGTCCCTATATCAATAATCGCCGTATCCAATTTCCACAGAACATTTTACGGTCCGATGCAGAGTTGCTTACTCAACTTAACAAGTTGGTGAAATTGTTCTATTTCAACACCAATGTTCCTCGGCTCATAAACACAAATTCGCTTATAAGATACAGCATTGAGAATACGGATTCCAAGCTTAAACCTTATCTTCTCAACTGGGCATTGGAGGTGGTCAATTGGCTCGAATTTAAGGATGGCCGAAATGTCTCTGCTTTTCATCCCAACGGATACAACGCCAACTATATTAACCACTATACACGTCAGACTGATGTTTCGGGCCTCTCCAGCACGTTTTTGGCCAGTTTACTTGCCCTATTGGTGCCTCTTAGGCATCTGCTTGGTTCAAACCCTATGAGTGTTGATCCAAGACCAATGGCGACGTCAAAAGAGATCACCAGAGTTGTCGTTATGACGGGAAACTCCGCTGTCGCCAAAAAGCTAATTTTTATTTTGAACGGAATTATCCCAGACCACTCACTTCTGTCTCAGCTTAATATGTTGGAAAGTGAGACGTTGGATCTGTTTTTTGACGATGAAGACAATGATTCTGTCTTGGAAAGCGCAGACCATGTGGAGCCACTTCTGCCAGCGCAACACATATCCATAGTGAGCCCATCGTCAATCACTCTGGGCATCAGTGCATCTCCCAATGAGACGAGTACGTTGATCAAGCCAATTCCCATCCGCCAAAGAACGTCTCCACCTTCCAACTCTCCATCGGACGACTCGTGTTCGGTTTCTGTCAACTCGACCCGTGGTTGGGAGGTTCCCGTGAAGTCTTCAACGAGCCTATCAGTATCATCTGCAAAGAAGTCGTCTTTCACTACTGAAACAACCATTGGAGCACGTCAAATTCCAATTCAGGGCCGGAATTCACTCTCTAACTCGTCATCAATGGCGTATCTCTCGTCGTCACTTAATTCGTCGCTTTCTTCTAGTGCATCCAACTACTCGTTGTCGAAACTTGGAGGAAGCTTCATGGAAAAATGGAAATCTTCGTTCACTGGCAACCAACACAACTACCCATCGCACAACCAGTTTTTTGAAGAAAATCTTTCAGATCTTTCCAAGAGACCATCTATTTTGTCACTCCGGACACCTTCACCAGGTCTAGACCCTGAGGATCCAATGTGGGAACCCACGGCCCAATCACTCAGTGGGCTGTCCCCAGCACGCCAGAAAATTTCTCGAACTCAGTCGATGTTGGATCTTTACAATCACACATCACAGACGAAGCGGCCAGTAGCGAGCGAAATGCCATCTGTCAATTTACGGAGAACAATGTCATCGGTATATGTTCCTCTCCAGTCTGACAAAGGTCAAGACATAAGGCTTTCAAACAAGGAACGTATCAAACTCAAGTGTGGAATGATCATGAGAACCAGAGTGTCTTTGGGAAAGAAAATGGACCAGACTTTAGTTGTTAATCCTGTTCATATGGACAGAACCTCATCTTCGTCAACTTTTTTTGAGCAGAGCACAATTACATCTGAAGAAACAAGGAGTTCTGGGATCAATGATTCGTCAATCGGCGATGTTTCCAACGCGCACTGGTTACCAGTCAACAAGAAGTGCGTACTTCCTCCCAATGTGGCATTTGTGGATGAGTTCCGTCCCGAGTACATGGTTCAGTCTTGTCCACTCAACCCCAAGCTAGAAGCTCAGGTGATGAATGCTATGAAGAACGATCTTCTCTTCTTCCAGAATAATTGCGGATACGAACTGGTGACGTCTCGTACGGTGTTCATCAGCTTACGTGCTCGAGAGATCAAAACCATCGAGATGAAGGTTGGTGGTCAGGACAAACTGCAGACGTCGACGCATATTGCAGCACCAATGCCGCCGTTCTCCCACTCACAGGTGACGCCACCCATGAGCTCGAACTCCCCAGTCTCGTCGTACTTTTACGGGGCTGAAGTCAACAATGTTCCTCATGAGCGACGTGGATCTACCAGCAACAACAACAACAGCAACATCAACAGCAACAACAACAACAATTACTCAACGGTGATCCGAAAGATCTTCACTTCCAAGCACATTGGTGGTGACAAGAGTGAGATCCGCAAGATGGGATCCCACTTGGAGAAATTGACTGAGGTTGTTACCAAGATCAATAACGACGGAGCAGCAACCACTGCTCAAGAGAAAGAAAATTACAACCAGGAGTTGTATCGTACAATTCTGCAGCTTATTCGGTGAGATCAGATATTAAGTTTGGGCAGGTAAGGTAGAATAAATAGCATAGCATCAATAATAGAATAAAGAAAACATTGTTATGCCAAACAGTTGAGACGAACTCCGAAAATGTAAAAATCTCAAATCAATTACAATTCATCCTAAGCTTTGGAAGATCGAAATCTTTTTCAATTTATTCATTACATCAATCACAAGAAGATCACGAAGTAAGTCGGCATATTACATCCATGGTATTCTCAACCTTGACAATTCAGAGCCACTAAATCTTCAAATTTAATGGATTTACACATTGCACGAATTAATTTCTATCCGCTATTTTTATCCCTAATCTTCTATCTTATTTGTGGTTATTTTCCCCAGTATTTCTCAATTTGTCAATTTCTGCCCTACCTACCCTTCCAATTCTCCACCTCGCGACAAAAAAAAAAAAACATAATCAAAACCTCCAATTCTCACATCTGGAGAAAACACCATACTGTCTCCCAGGTGAGTGTATTGTCATCCTTTTTAGTTGATTCTTTCCGTATCGACGAACAATTTTTTTTTTGATTCCAAGGGAAATTTCCCACCATAAGATCTCCGTCGCATAGAACTTTTCACCTTTGAGGCACATCAACCTGTTCCGTGGGTTTTTGAGCAACTGAAACCATTTAAAAGTGCCAGAATGTCTGATCGAGAATATACGCCGGCGCTCTTCAACGATGCACCAAGCAAAACGGCCGAGGCCACCTCGTCGTTTGAGGAAATCAATGAATGCCAGTACATTTCCAAGAACCTCGGCGACTCGGGCCAGAAGGAAACCATGACATGCGATTGTCCGGAAGAATGGGATGAAGAAGCAGCCTGCAACTTGGCCTGTGGCGAAGACTCCAATTGTATCAACAGATTGACGTCTGTGGAATGTAATAACCGAACCTGTGCATGTGGAAAGGACTGTCAGAACCAGCGCTTCCAAAAGCGCCAGTATGCGCCAGTGAAGGTCATCCAGACGGAAAAGAAGGGCTACGGGTTGGTGGCCGAGCATGACATTCCCGAGCATCTGTTTGTCTATGAGTATACCGGTGAGGTGATTGATGAGGCAGCATTTCGTCAACGTATGATCGACTATGACCGCCGACTGCTCCGCCATTTCTACTTCATGATGCTTACCAAAGATGCCTTCATCGATGCTACGGAAAAGGGCTCGCTTGCGCGGTTCTGCAATCATTCTTGCTCTCCTAATGCTTATGTCGATAAATGGGTGGTTGGAGATAAGCTCCGAATGGGAATTTTCGCCAAAAGAACCATCGCCACAGGTGAGGAAATCACCTTCGACTACAATGTGGACCGTTATGGTGCGCAGCTGCAGCCATGTTACTGTGAGTCACCTAACTGTCTCGGTTGGATGGGAGGAAAGACTCAAACTGATGCTGCCTTGTTGCTTCCGGATGGAATCTCTGAGGCACTTGGTGTGACTCGTCAACAAGAGAAGGCGTGGTTGAAGCAAAACAAGCTGACGCGTGCCAATCAGCAGAGTCCCGATGCGGTGGTGAATGAGGAATTTGTTCGTTCCCTCACTGTGGCTCCATTGGTTGATTCCGACGTTACCAAGGCCATGAGTGCCCTCATGAAGGTTGAGGAACACAGTATTGTGGCCAAACTTATCGAGCGGTTGTTCATCACTGATGATCCTAAGACCAATGCGCTGATTGTCAAGCTTCATGGATACAAGACACTTTCGAAGGTTTTGAAAGAGCATGGGGCCACAGATGACGACTTGACGTTCAAGGTTCTTCTGGTGTTGAAGCGTTGGCCCTCTATGACCAGAAATAAAATTGAACTGTCGCAGATTGAAGCGGAAGTGAATGCTATTTACAAAGAGCTGAAGCATCCTGAAACCAAAGAACTTGCGGCAGGGTTAATTGAAGAGTGGGGCAAGTTGGAGATGGCCTACCGTATCCCCAAAAATAACGATAACGGCAACAACGAAGTTAAAAGGTCCATGTCTCCCCTCTTTGGCCGTAATCCACGCTCTGAACTGCCAGCACAACCGATTGCCGCAGATGAAAGTGGAGTGAACTTAAATGATGAGGAGGAGCTCCCAGAAGGATGGCAAAAGGCTCTAGATACAAACACAAATACGGTGTACTACTACCATACGGGATTAGGAATTTCAAAATGGGAGAAACCAACCATGGCCATTCCAAAGGGTCCAAAGGTGGGCACACCCAAGGCACCTAAGGCACCCTCCAAACAGAAGAAGAATGAACGGCCACGTCCCCAGAAAAGACAGGATGAAAAAGATTTAACCAGATTACAGGAACAGAGACTACAGCAGATGAAAGAGGAACAGTTCAAAGAGGTTCGTGAAAAGGAAAAGCTCCTCCAAGAGCTCATCATCCAATCGCAGAAAGATGTGGAGGAGAAGAAACGCCTTGCTGAGAAGCTCAAGCAGGAGAGAATTGAAAAGCATAAGGAGAGAAAACGCAAGAGAGAGGCTGCAGCTGCACATTCCAAGTCCAAGAGCAGTAATCCTGTGGAACAGGTATCGCCAGAGGTTGCATGGACAAAGACGTTGGCCAAGTATATTCCAAATATGATCAAGAAACATGAGGCGGAAATTGGACATGAGAATATCAAGGGGTGTGCCAGAGACTTGGTGAAGATCATTGCTGCCAAAGAAGCAAGGAAGCAAGATGGTAAGCCTCCTCGTGAGCTCGACAATGCCAAACTTGCCAAACTCAAAGCATTCAGCAATTCGTTCATGGAGAAGTTCTTGGACAAATACCGTTCCAAGCGGGTCAAGCATAATGGGGGTGAGCAGTGACAAGAGACGAAAGTGTGAGAGATGAATGTAATTTAGCAAAAAATAAAACAAAGATTAAAACAAAGAGGTCAAAAGAAGCAAAGATGAAAGCAAAAAACCTACATTGCTATTGCTCTATCGTGTATAATAAGTTACAAATAGCCTAGCAGTTCTCCAACAACACAGGCAAGTTCTCGATACTCTCTGTTCCGTAGAGAATCTGGTAAGTGGCCTCAAACAATGGGAAATCTTTGGTCTTGTGTACATTCTCCAACAACTCGTGCACCTCACGGGCTGTGATAATACCTTGAGACGATTGACCGTTCAACAACTTCTTCTCGGCTGTCTCTGCATCTTCTCCGGTCTCGGCCATGTAACGTCCGACCTTAACATTACGGCCACCAGCGCAGGTGGTGATCAAGTCCGCCACACCGGCAGACTCCTTTGTGAATGTGGATTGTCTCAGTTCTGGGAAGAACGTTTGTGAAAATTTGATGATTTCCAACAACCCCGTTCTCATGATGGCAGCCTTTGCGTTGTCACCCCAGCCCAAACCTTCAACGAATCCGACGGCCAATGCCACGATATTCTTCAAGGCACCAGCCACCGACACACCAGCTACATCTTCCACCACGTTCACATGGAAATATGGTCTGTGGAATGCAGCCTTCAACACAAAGTGATCAATGTCGTAGCCAGCTCCTTTAAAGTCAGCAGGAGGCTTGTATGCGACAGTGGTCTCGGACCAGCAGCCACGAGCAATCTCAGGGGCTAGGTTGGCGCCGGAGAGCGCTCCGCATGCAATGCCCAATTCCTCAGTGATGTAGGTGCTCAACAACTTCACACCATCAGCGTTGACCTCCAATCCTTTAAGACACGAGATGGCTCTGCAGTTTGGCTGCAAGTGACCCTTCAACAGCTTGCAAACACGAGGCAAGAACTGGTGGGGCAAGTTGAACACCAAAAGATCGGCATCTTTGGCTACTTCCACCACATCAGGAACTGCTCTCAAGTTCTTAGGGAGTTTGACTCCAGGGAGGTACCGCACGTTCTCATGGTCCTCATTGATAATGTCCGTCAAATTACGGCCGTCCACCTTCTCTTGAAATACCCACATCTTCACATGGTGACGAAACAAGTGTGGTCTGGAAAGACAGTTTTCGGCTAGGATTTTGGCGATGGTGGTTCCCCAATTACCGGAGCCGATCACGGCAATACGGAAGGCGTGCTTTGGTTCCAACAGCTTGGTTGCCTCGGAGTTAACACCCGGGGCCACGATTTGGGCAATTTGTTGTAATCTTTCCATGGCTGGGTTCATGATATTTGATAATGGGATATACATATAGTGCACTGGGATCCAGGTGCAGGTGAATTTGGATAAGACTAGGATTGATGGGCGATGGGAATCTGGCAAAACTTTAGGAAAATTAAAAGTGGCACAAAAAATCCACAAATGTCAAGTTATGCTATTCGAATTAGACCTGTTAAAAACAAAGGAATTTTATCCTATCCTTTATAAATTTTTGGCTCCTCGGGGTGGATCTCTGGTTCCTTATATATGTTGGCCAACATATGCCTAGCATTGCTTTTTACCGAGGCTTGATGAGTTTTTCCGTGCACAGGACTATTGAAACTTATCGCTGTCCTTTGGGCCGAGCCGAGGTGGACTACAAGACGTCGCTGATGGCTACAACATTGAGTACATGTGAGAATTGAGGGTCTACAGACGTTTGGATCAATGAAGTTGAGGGGGTTTTGCCATAGTTAAGAGGTGTTGGGTCTGTTCACTCTGCAGTCTGGGCGGAGAAAGGTGACTCCTACAGTAGTAGCAATTTGAACCAGGTGGCGGATATTGCACTACACTCACTGATTAATGCCTGGTGTATGGATCTCTTGAAGGAGGAGGGGTGATGCATGGTCATTGTTTGTTAAACACCGACCCAAAAAAAAATTAATAATAATTCGCTTATATGGAAGAAGTGAGGTAAAGCCCGTTCAGAACAGACACATTGTTCTCTGGGGAGGCACGGGTGTGGCCCTGGCCGGTCCGGAGGAGTTAATAGCTTAAGTGCGGCGTATCAAATGTTTGACGTGAAGACTATTTGAGGTTATTGAGACGGTTCTAGGGTTGTATTGGAAGGTTTTGATGGTGATTAACATGGGAATTTTAGACAGAACAGTTAGATTCTCACATGGTTCTCCTGTGTAATGATGTCACTTGTGACTCAGACTGGTCTTGTGATAGTTGGATCTTGTATATGGTTAGTGTGAGTATGGAGATGCATTATATAGGACAGAGAATGCACTAAAATGGACAAAGAAAAGGGTCATACGGGCTATGCTTAAAAACGGAAAAAGATTAAGGAACAGAGAAGATGCAGACGTTAATAAATGGTGGGATTATGAACAAACGATTTAAAATGGTGGTTATTTAGAATCTAAATGATGCTAGTGTATAGAAATTAGTAGATGGTATAATATCAATCAATGATTTCAGTGGAGGATAAATGGCGGTTGGAGATAGACGCCTTAGAACTCTAACACCATGAGCTGACCTTGAGTCTACATTTTGATAACTGAAACGTTTCAGGAACTAATTACTTCATCTCGCCAGATACGGGTGTGTACATATAACGTGAGACCCTTGATCTACGAGAAAACCGGTGGTGTGACTCCGAACATCAGGTGGGTTCAATAAAAAAAATTATAGTCGATCGGAGGTTTCAATTTGAGCAAGTAAGATTGCTGAGGTACTGACGTATCATGAAAGGGTTGTCTGAAAAAGAGGCCCGAAATGTATTTGAGTAGATCCCATAAAGTAGATGGATTTATCGTGATGATCACATGATGCACATTTGATCAGATGGCCACCACACAATTCATGTCTTGACGTAATGATTTCGGCGGTCAAATCCCGATATACCGACGGAATTTCAGTGAAATTCAAGGTCTGATATTTTGGCGGAATCTATTTGAGTATCCGATAGAAGGAGAGTTACGAATATGGATGAATTCTTCTGTACACTTTTTAGGCTTGTCACCTATGTAGTCGCTTTAGGCATACTGAAAATTATATAGATCTATGTATGAAAAGGCAAAAGTTTTTGATTTTTCTTTCGAAATTTCTTATTTGACAATTAATTGTCGAGGAGCGACGTATTGAAATTGGACTGGCTCTAACCTCCTTGATATTTTATCCATTGTCTCAGAGTATATTGTTGACGAATCAAAACACATCCACAACATTCGAGTAAAATCCTAAGATTTGTTACAATTCCTCACCATAAAGATCCAATTTTTCTTTCAACGGCTCCATGGATCACTCCTCTTATAGGAATAAGTTCAACTGTGCATGCATCTTTGAAAATTCTGTGAATTGACCGAATACTCATCACCTTCAAAATAAAATCTCTGAATTCTCTGCATACATAAGGGATTCTTCAACTGGAGTCATATTTTTCTATAATCTGCTATCGTACATAGACACCTCAGTCGTCCCAAGAATCCTGATCCTTCAAGTACTGAAGATTCTTATGGTAGAGCTTCTTGTCGGCATTCCGCTTACATGTGAGCGTGCCCAAGTGACGCTTCAACGCATCTTTTCGAGCAAAGCCCTTTCCACACTGCGGACAGATGTTGGCAGGAACCAGTAGATGCTGTTTTTCATGACGCTTGAGATCTGAAGACCGCCGGAATGACATGCTGCAGCTCCGACAAGGGAACTTGCGCTCTTCCTTGAGTCTTCCAGTCAGCTCTCCAGAAGAGTCCACTGGTTCTGGACTCACCGATGCAGCTGGCGATTTTTTGTCAATGAGGAAATTCCAACCGGGATTTTCTGTGTTGGAGGGATTGTTGGACCCCGTAAAGATGTCGTTGCTCAAGTTGGGAAATCCATTGTAGAAGCTCTGGATCATCAACTGGCCATTTTCATTTGCCCGAATGCTATCCAGACGTTTGATTGGGTTACCGTGAGGGGACAGCGCATACTGAAGACGTTGCAATAAATCCTGGATAGTCGGGTCCACTATGAGATTGGACTCTTTTGAAGTAGCTACGAGAGCATCGTGAGCCAATCGAAGAAATCGGGCATCCTCTTCTGTTTGCGGGACCTCGGGTTCGTTTGATCCAGTAGGGATATTTGGGCCGCTCTGACCATTCTGCCCGTTCTGGCTATTCTGGCTATTTTGATTTCTTGGTCCGTTCTGGCCACTTGAGCTTGCCGATCGAGAATCATTGCCGGGCCGTTCGTGTGAGATATGGAGCCCAGACGACAGTCCATGCTGCGGTTTTTCGGGTCTGGGACCAGCCTGCTGGCCCGAGCGAGTGTAGCTGACGTTTTGTTCAATGAACACAGGCAGATTTCGCTGTAGATAATTAAAGGAAGGCAGCTTGGCCCCTCGAGGAGGCGAGTCACCACCAAACATTGAAAAACTCATGGAAGTGAGATGGAAAAATAGGACGAGCTTGGAGTTATGGGAAATTCAATCCTGAAGACGGGGGGAAAAAACCGTTGAATAGTTATGTTATCGATTATGTTAATAATAATAGATGTTTCCAAAACGATAGAGTGCTAGTTCAACAGTGTTTTCAGATTGCTGGGAATTTTATAGTAAATACCACTTGCTGAATGCTAGAATACTGTGACCTTGGTCTATTCACTAATCCTATCGAAAAATCCAACAATTCAAAAGGAATATATAGACAGCTAATATTCAATGGTCAAAACAATGACGATGTTGTCAATTCAGGTTGGGTCTGAAGTCTCAAGGAGTCCAAGAAGTTAAACCAGTCCAAACGTTCAAAGCAGTTATGGCAGTCAACAAGAAAAAAAACCAGAACTCAGCTAGAATCGTTTCAATCACACAAAGAGGCGAAAGAACACAAGAAAGTCTAGTTTAATATTTCCAAAATGTGAATGAAGCACGTCAATTTGGTCAAGATGCCACGATAATAAGTCAGATCAAACTGTGGCGTCGGAGGATTGCGCAGGTGTCCCGAACGTGTATGCAACGGGAAAGTGCCAGAAACTCACCGTCGGTCTAAGGACTCGTAGTCGGTGTTTATATGAATATATCAGTAGGTTTGAACCTCGAATGGCTTGTCAATTGATACCAATGGTGGGGCAGTAAGTGGGGCACGACAAGCAAAAGGCGACCTTGAAATTGACAAGATAGTAGGTCAAGGTTTTTATTAGAAAAAATAAACCAAACACCAGCTTCAGATGAATTGCCAGTGTGGAACTAGCAGCCTTTACCCGAGCAACTAGGCAAAGAAGCCGTGCTGACGATGGTGAAGTTGGAGCCGAAGGTGTCTAACGGCACGTGACATATTGCAATAGCTACCATGAAGAGTATGGGGTAAGAGAGAGGCTGCCACAGTCACGTGGAAGGAACGGTTAGAAAATGGCTATTTGGGAGTGTTTGGGGGCATCGGATGTAACAATTGGGGGATTTTGGGGTAAGGTGCTGATTGTGGAAAAAATGTTGCAATGGAGGCAAGTGTGAAGCGAAGTTAGGAACATTGTGCATAGGGTAAGTGAAGGCCAGGAGAGGTGAGAGAAAGAGAAGCTGTGAAACTATGAAGGGAAACTGGAAACGAGAGATGATGTGAGTTAGAAACAGGTTGATGTTTCTTTTTTTTATTATTTTGAAATTGATATTGTTTCATTTCTTGTGGAGGTCATTGGTCGGAAAAGCGGCATATTGTATTGAACGTGATTTCAGTGGAGTGTGGATAGACTAAAATTGGGTGCAAAATGATGGCCATGGCCGTATGGTCAACTGGACAACCAAAGGTTAAAAGCAATAGAAATTAAAGGAGTATATTAGTGCATTAATGATGATTAATTAATTAGATATTGCGAATATTTTAGGAAAAGTGAAGTTGTTTTTGTATTGAGAATCAAGTTCCATGTATATGGCTTCCAAGTATGTGTGTTGCGAAGTGTGGCTGAAACCATTGGCAATATGTTTATATTTCACGAAATGTCGACGATAGTTGCAATTCGGTTATAACTAATTACGCGTTGAATTCCAGGATTCATTGTGTACGCTCTGGATTTTTGTAGAAAATTTATTGGTTATGTCTTTTCTGAGTGAGTATTTAATGATCGAAGAATGTTACGAAGCACTTGTTAATGATGTTGTTGATACCAGAACAACATGGTTTTTTGGTCGGTAGCCAATCATTAGACATTTTGTTTATTGGAAATGTCACTTTTGAAAATCGATCCCCATGAATAATGAGCCGTAGCGAAGTTTTTTGTTGAGCACTCAATTTGTCTTAGCCATATCTATAAGGACGAGCAATTCAGGATATTTCATGAGGATGCCTTTCACTTTTGGAAGTATACATCGTATTATTGCAATTATATATGCTCTTTGGTACGATTGAACTGGTGAAAGATTGAGTGTTTCGGTGCAACATTAGTTTCAGTAACTTTACGTGTTCGCTCACAGGCCCATACTATTCTTAAAATTATTCCGTTGTTGATTTATATCAGCTTTCGAAGGGTTCCAGTATCTTCCTCATTTTTGCTTCTCTATACTTCTTTTGGAGAGAATCCATTCTTAAAATGTAAGACACTAGAGAGTAAGTTTCCATTACGTTGTGCTTGAATTTATGAGACAATTTCACAGTTGATGGAAGTGAATTTTGCCATGTATGACCTTTGGAAGCCAAATCTTGTATCATTCCACTCAAATTTTGAGATGAAAATTAAAATAAAACATGAGCACCACTTCAGTCTACTTCCAATGGTATCTTTCAAACGGTTTATTGGCCCTTTGTGGGACACATCCATGAAACATCACTATTATCCCCGTCACTACGGCATGGATCTATATTCATTCTTCATTATAAAGCGTTAATGAACTTCGGCTATGTGATATAATGCCTATTGAAGAAAATTTGATATCTTGAACTCGGCTAAAAATCAACATTTCCGAAAATTCCCTAATCATAGCTTCATCTAGTCCACCAGTATTTTTGGGACTCGCCAACAAAATCTATGGAAAAGTAATGATCTAAGTACTATGAATATTCAATTCTCCTGCTAAGCCTAATCAATCCCGAAAACAAAGTGGAAATTTACAATTCAAGATAGCAATTTCTCACCATCAATGTCCAGGTAATTGTCTCTCTGAAGTAGTTAAACTCCCTATCTACTAAGCTCCACAGACCCATCATTGGTCATTGAATTGATCCATCCGAGCCAAACTTACCTGCCTCGCAAATTTCTTTTCTACTTGTCTTGTTCCCCAATAAGTTGCAATCCTCTGTAACTTTATGGTTCCGTTTTTTATTTATGGTACTGTAGATATGAATATACTGCGTTCCATTCATTCGGTACTCTGTTTAAGCCATATACACTCAGAAACTTCTTGAGTTTCGCACACCCTCACCTACTTAACTCTCCATCACTAACTTCTTTATCTCCAACTATGCATACTCTTCCTCCCGCACGCCAAAAGTCCCAGAGACTCGTTAACAGACTCAAGGCTGATCAGCCCAACCAGTACTTCATGCAGTACCGCCAGAAGGCAACTACTGTCACCTCCCCCAACGAACTTTTACCTGGATTAAACGATATTCTGGATGCTTTTGAAGCCATGCCCATGGACTTGGTGAAGTACTTCACTCTCCTCAAGGAGATCGATGCCAAATGCATCAATACCGTCCCCGTGATCAACCGTAACATTGCGTCGTACATTGAGGATTTGCACCATCCAGACAACAAACCATCCAAACTGGACAAAATCGCCAGATTGTCCAAAATCAGGAAGCATATCCACGAGGTCATCCCTTGCTTGGAGGAGAAGATGCATGTAACATCTGTGGCTGCGGACGTGTTGTCCAAACACTTGTACCGTATCAACAACGACTACAAGCTCATCACATCCAATAACGAGATTCCTGAGCTGATCCGGATAGGCACGTTGAACCACCGGGCCATTGTGATGGATCCGTCGGCAACTACTGATTCAAGCAAGCTGGCGCAGCTGCAGCGGTCTGAGAGCCGCCGGGAGGCGTTGGCTGCAAGGAAATCCAACAAGGACACCGACGATGAGGATGCTGGCAAGAAGAGAAAACCAAGGGAGACCACTCCACTTGAGGGGATGCCAGGCGGACTTGGTAACCGCAAGAGACGGCGTGATGATGAACGGGCACTGGTTCCGCCTCCAGGTGATAAGAAACGTCTGGCTACAAAACCCAAGAAAGAACGTGAGGACGAGCCTGGTCTGGTGCGTGTGGACAGACCTTCGGGTCTGGGTGAACCTACCTACTGTTACTGTAACCAGGTTTCGTTTGGTGAGATGGTTGGATGTGATGGAGATTCTTGTAAGAGAGAATGGTTCCATTTGCCATGTATTGGGTTCAAGAACCCACCCAAGGGTAAGTGGTATTGTGACGACTGTTTGGTGAAGATGAAAAAGGCAAAGAGGGTTTAATCTAGAGCATTGGTTGAAAGATTCAATTAGGTCCGAGAAGTCACCAATAACTGAGAAATGAGCGGTCTTATAATGGTTTGTGAAGAGGCGCTTTTGATATGATAAATCAACGGAATGCAAGCGATTGTGATCCTTATTTGAGAAAATGAGTCTTGAGGTTCTAGAAGTTCTACAATCATGGATGATTATAGTTGAGAATAAGATTAGGGACTTGGAATGCATCAATTGTGGAAAGGGACTTCAGTCAAAAGTATAGTTATCAGTGAGTCACATTGAGAATCCTACCGGATTGGACCGATTGGGATTTGATAATCATCGGGATGTATTTCACCTTGGACTTGTTATTTCACGCTTATTGTTGCAGTTGAGAATGTCAATGCATCGGCTAACCCAACAATATCAAGTTTGTTTTGGGCTTTGCTCGTGGCGGCTTACAATTCTTCTTCTGACGGTTCCTTCGCTTGACTTATCACCACTTCTTTCTCGTTGTGTTGATGGCATCACTTACTAATGGAATAGCGGCATCAAGTCTGGAAGCCCGTCTATACAGGCACGTGCATCCAATGCGTATTGTTTTGGATATACATGATTGCCCAGATTTTTTCCTGATGGTTGATCTTTTCGAACTAAATGAGTATTACATGATAGTACAGGATTAGCGAGCAGATTTCCTCTTCAATTTCAACCTCTTCCACGACATTTTTATCTCGGCCTCCAAGATCTTATGATAACTTGATAATTTGAAGCATGCTGGTTTACGGGTTTTACAGTTCGTGTGTTTAATGCCAAATTGTGCCTTGTGCAAGGTCGCGGGATATTGCTTATTATATGCAGTGGTGGGCCATGCGGAAAAGGTTGTCGATTGATCGGTACATGGAATCACTATCCTTCACGCAGATACGATCTCCTGTCAAAATTGGCGACAAGAGCTCCAAATACAGCCTTGCGACGAAGTGGCACAGCTCCTCGCGTTCAAACTCGCTCCCCATGGGGCACTTGGCGCTTTTACAATTCCAAATCTAAGTGAATTTGGGCTGCCACAAAAAGCAAAACGTGTTCGAGGTGTGTCTCCAATCTACAAGAGTTGCGCCAAGCGCTATCGTATCTTATGGAAGCGTTTCCAATGCAACGTCCCATCCATAATACGCATCTGTTTTGGTTTTAGCCGGCGACTCAATATTTTTTTGGTTCTCAACTCGAACAGGACAAAATGTCACTGGTTGCATGGTATATACCGTACTTGCTCGCGGCTTTATCTTTTTCTAGCGAAGGTTCTTTCCTCAGAGAGCAAAAAAGATTGAAGATCATAGTAAAAAATAGGGGGCTTGAACATGTGGCATTTGCCATTCCATGTGAAAACAATCTCGGTGATTTAGTCTTGCGGCACCTCAACGCCTTCTTCTATCGGCAAATAGCTAAAGGCGTCGTTCGACTCTTGACATAACGCTGCTTGCAGGGTGGCTGGCCAATTTTCACTGACGGACTACGAGCCCCGGACTTGGGCCGCACACCCGTACCCCGCCGAATTCGTCTTCACTAAAAGACTTCCACCCATAAATTTCAACAAAAGTTAACATCAACGGGCCCATGTTGAAAGAATACAAACTTGTCGTCGTTGGAGGCGGTGGTGTGGGTAAGTCTGCCCTCACTATCCAATTGATCCAATCCCACTTTGTTGATGAATATGACCCAACAATTGAAGACTCGTACAGAAAGCAATGTTCTGTCGACAATGAACAGGTGATGTTGGACATCTTGGACACCGCAGGCCAAGAGGAATATCTGGCAATGCGTGAACAGTATATGCGCACGGGTGAGGGTTTCTTACTTGTGTATGCCATCAACTCGAGAACGTCGTTGGAGGAGTTGCAGGTTTTCTACGAGCAAATCCAAAGAGTCAAGGATGTGGATAATGTTCCAGTTTTGGTGGTCGGCAACAAGTCCGACTTGGAGATCGAAAGACAGGTGAGTTTCGAGGAGGGTGCTGCTTTTGCCAAGTCTTTGGGCTGTCCCTTCTTGGAGACTTCCGCTAAGCAAAGAATTAATGTAGAGGAGGCCTTCTACGGTTTGGTGAGAGCCATCAACACAAATGACCTGTCGCTCGAGACGGCGCCTACTCCTCCAGCAGTGGAGGCCAAGCAAGCTGCCTCAGCTACGCCTGCCGACAGCGTTGCTGTTGGAGAGTCCGCACAACAGAACACCGGTGCTGGTGCTGGTGCTGGTGCTGCGCTCAAGAAGCCTGCGCCTGCTGCTGCTGCTGCTCAGAAACGTACCCAACAGACTTCTGCTCCAGAGAAGAGCAAGGGTGGATGTTGTGTCATCGTGTGATGCACCAGACCATATGTTAATGCAAAATCAACAATTTGGTACTTCCTGCTACTTTCAAAGAGTAACTCTGGGAGCTTTCCCTTGTAGCACTTGACTATTTTCCGAGTTTCGGCCAAACTCCCAGTGTACCAAAGCTAGTCAAAAGGATATCTCTAACCGACTGTTTCAATTCTACTCCCAACTTTGCTCCCATTCCCTTACACTCCAATTTCTCGTTTAGTTCAATCCTATGTCTACTTGAACTTACCATCTCCTTTTCTACTCCAATCTCTAATCCTGTCTTATTTTCGTATTTAATTAATAAAGTGATACACTATAAAGTGCAACACCAAACTGGCAAATATGTAATCTCCAAAAGCCCTCTCTGGCGAGACCTGAAGCTTGTCGGAATCGGACTCCTTTTTAGTCTCAATAGCACCATATTGCAATCTCAAACTCACCGTCAACACGAACTGACCCACACATGAGATGAAGCCACCCAAGAATGCATTGAAAGGAAAGTTTCCAATCAACAACACGTAAACAAACTGCAACACGCCCAACGCAACCAAAAACACCAAAAACGTGTCAATCAACTTCAACCGAGGCGTCAATGTCTTGATATAGTCGTCATAGGTGGAATTGACGGCAGCCACAACCTCGTTGATGGTCAGTGTGAGCGGGCTCCTTGATTTGGTGGTTTTTTTTGGAGTTTCTGCATCTTTGGTAGATGTAGCAGCTTTGGAATTGACTGCTGCTTGTGCTGCAGCGGCAGCCTTTTTGATGGCGGCGTCTTTCTTGGCCATGATGGATGAAACTTGGATAGTTTATGATTAGTAGGTAAGAACACGTCGAGGTGTGCGGTCGTGTGTATTTCAAGAGGACGGAAGTAAAATACTGGGGTTGAAGACGTTTCTAGAGCTTGGAAAATGAAAGAATTTTCTGTTCATTTAATATATTATTTGACATGAGTATTTGTTCTTGTTGATATTTTTGTGTGTGCTTTTTTACTTTTAACTTTATGGGGTGTTTGAGACTTTGAGTGAGTATGGATTGGAATTCGCAGCTAATTCTTTGACTACGTGAACTATGAGGTCTAGAAGATCGACAGAAAGCAAGTATATTGGACGTTCAGGAATATGCTTTACATTTGGACTTTGTGTATGTTACTTTTCCGAGAATAAGTTCACTTCGTCGTATACATTTTTGTAGTAGTTGCCACGTATGTTGCAGTGTCAAAGAGATTGTGCTGAAGATTCCATACTTCATGAATTCTAAATCAATTTGATATGGTGGCAGATTAGTTCTCTATGAATTTCGAATTAGATCTTACCGATTCTGTTATTCCAGATCATCTCTTACATTTCTTTTGTTTTGAGTGTAATTAGCATACTGGACTATTGAAGCATTCACCACATGTTGCCTCCTTTTTTTTTCTCATCTAATTTTGTGCCTTGTTTATTAATCTAGAAGATTCATCGATTCACCTATTACTTTTTCTCCATATTGATTACATGTATAATTACCTTCTTCTCTGGCAATCTTCAAATCTACTGGGACCCATCTAGGCAACACCGATAGGACCCCCTCTCGTACTTCAACTTCCACACTTGAAATGATAAGGTCTAAAAGAATCAAATTTTAAAACATCTAATCTGCTCCATTTCCTTTTTGGGGGTTTCTTTATATTTTTTAACCTCTATAGGATTTTCCTCCAATTCTACATTTCCTCTCAAAATGTACAAATAGGCATTCACCACCCGCATCCACCAATAATCTATCAAATTGAAGATTGAAAGTGTATAACCAAGAAACGTATAAAAAACTTAAAAATTGGAAGATAAAGCGTCGGAAAGAAAAAAGAAAACTTCAAAAAAGCTACCAAACACCCCCTTATGATAATTGACTTCATCTTATCATCCTATCCAATACCTACACAATCTATACTCAGCACACGTGACCACATTCATCACCCATCAACTACCAACTCTTCCTATTCATGACGTCTTCTGTTGATCCCTTGGACAACAAGTCCGGCTCGCGTATCACTAAGGCACCTTTCTCGCGGATAATACCACCTCTCAACTTTTGCCCCGTTGAAAAGCAGCTCTACCGGTCCGGCCAGCCGTCGTTGATCAACCAGCTGTTTCTTCAAGAACTTAACCTAAAAACAATCTTATGGTTAGCCAGCGAGGAGCCAGTCGAGGACTTTTTGGACTACTGCCTGACCTCCAACATTAACATTGAGTTTGTGGGCATGATCAACGACTATAACTACACTAACATCAATCCTTGGGATTCCTTGGACGAGAGGACAATCACCAAGGCATTGGAGTTGATCTGCAATAAGGACAATTACCCGCTCTTAGTATGCTGTGGTATGGGACGCCACCGGACGGGTGCCGTGGTGGGCTGTTTGAGAAGATTACAGGGATGGAACTTGGCCAGTGTGTCTGAGGAATACCGTCGGTTTGCGGGAGCTCGCGGAGGGCGGATATTGGTAGAGTTACTTATTGAGAGTTTTGATGTTTCAACAGTACAGGGTAATCCCGATAAGCTTCCTGATTTTTTGAAGTGAGTTCAGAGATCTAGATGAGTGTTGGTGGAGAGAATCTTTAACGCAATGGTTTAGTAAGGGACTTTTCATGTGCAATGAATCGGTGCTAGTGGCGCTGGGTTAATGTTTGTGGTGTTTCGAGTGTCAGTTTGACTTGAAATGGAACGTCGAGCCTGAATTTGGAAGTTGAAAGTCAAAAGTTCTAGTTTAGGTTCTAAACTTGAATGAGCTTGGACACTTCTCCGAGACAGCGGAGTGGACATGATAATTGTGCAGCGAAAATCGACTCTTAAAATAACTTTGAGTCTTGAAAATGCCAAATCCAGTGGCATTTATTATTTGATTAGAAAGTGGAGTTTTCGAGTTTGACTAGTATCGGAAGATTGAACAGTTGCATTCAACCACTATCGTTTCATAACCAACTATTTCTATCTGGAATTTGTTGAAGGCTATCTTTCTCGAAACACAAGTCAGTTCTACCAATTATCTGTTGGTTTCACTAACTGGTTATTTGCTTCTTAAGACAACTCGAGAACAATGGTACATATGTCATAGCCAACCAACTAGACAGTGTCTGGGAGATGGTAATGCTAATGAAATTGTTTCCGAGGAGATATGACTGTCAATACCGTTGGAGCAGTATTATTATCCACAGCCGTCTATCAATCTTGAATCTAGAGCGGTGAGCCATTATGCACCCATCAGATCTATTTTCAATCAAATCCATCTATCAATCCGTTAGACAAACTCATTGATATGCCAGATTGGGTCATCCATCCGCTAAATCAGATCATCTTTCTAAGTATTAGATCTCCAAAACGATCTACCTAACCTCTCGAATATGCGAGGCACCAGATCTGATGCGGTCCATTGCTCTGCAAATCCAATTCCGGAGATCTGTTTTTCTTCACGGACCTGTTAGTCCCTCCTTTGACGTTTGAACTGACAATTAGGAGGCAGAACACAATGAAGTATAACAATGGTGCTGGCATAATACAGAAACAGCGAAAAAGCATACATTCCAGACATTTTAAACCACCTCCCCTTCCACTTGTCCCCGATCTACAAATTATACCCTTTCATCTACTCCACTAAGAAAAATCACAGCGAATTCTTTTTATTCTCATCATATCCCATCGGCCTTAATCGGCTTCAATCCAATTGAGCAACCCCGGACTTTCGCACTTCACATCCTATCCAGTCGCAACGGTCATGAGCAAATACACCCGTACACCAGGCGTACCCTAGAAAAACCCGCACGCCTCTGGTGCCACCTAAAAAATGACCCTTACCAACTTCTCACTGTTAGTTGCGCTTTCCGTTCTCACCTAGTGGATCTCACGGAAACATATTCTTCAAGGTTAAGTGCGCATACTTGGTGTTTGCTCGTTGCTTTAAAAAAGTAATCGTCGCCGCTCGAGTCTAATCCCACTACGACCCACCCCTTATCTTATCTAGCGCTGATCTGACTCAAGTCTACATTTTGCTATGGGAACGTGCGTTACTGTAATCAAGCTTGTGGGATTTTCATCCTTGGGCTTGTTGTCGGCCTCTTTGACCTATCTGTCTATCCAATCAATTCCTAATTTGATTGCCAGATTGAACAATCAAGTGTCTATATCCGCAACGTCTGCCTCAGGCGTGTTGGATGCCATTGCACACAAATTGACGCTTTCTAAGCTCGCCAACGTGTTCTTGTCGGCAGTTTCTTCTGGTATGTTCTATTTGGCCTATAAGTACTCGCCTGTGCTGGAGCAGCACCCATACCTTATCTACTCTGGTTTGGGAGCACCATTGGCGCTTGCCACCTTGTATGTCCAAGGAAATGGCGCCGACTCTAGCATCTCCAAGCATTCTGCTGTTAGAAAGTCGAAATTGTCCAAGAAGAAGTCTTCTGAAACTCAGAAGCCTGTGGCCCAACCACCTCTTCCAGCTCCAAAAGAAGAAGAGGAAGACCAATTGGACAAGTCGTACATTCACGTGTCGGAAGACTCTCTGTCCAACACACTGACCCCAGGTTCATCGACGCCGGGTTCCCCTAAGCAGAATGCTACGGAGACGGTAGAACCTTCGATTTCCTCCGTAGAGCAGGAAGTGGAGGACGCCTTGACCAAGAAGGAATACGTGCATGACTTGGAGACATTGAAGAGCGCATACACATTGGCCCTGGTCGTGTCCAGTGTTGGTGTGGCAATCTGCACCATTGGTTTGGTTGGGGACTACTACTTTCTCTAAATGCATGGGTTCTTCAGTATTATTTTGATTTATGTTTGCTTTTGGACTGAAGCAGGGTCGGCGAGATGTTTAGCCCCTTGCGCTTCTGTAGCTAGGTGCACAATACAAGGATGTACTGAGAGCGTTGTAGCCTACAACCATTCGTGTTGCACATCAACAAAACAGGCGCCGCAGATTGGTCGACTCTCCACCATGGCCTCCCCAACCTGCTCATCACTGAGTTCAGGGTACCGCTTCTCGTAGTATTGAGACTTCAACGCGTTTCGAAGCGTCTCCAACCGATCCAGAGACGTCAAGTGAACGATACATCCTCCCCAGCCTGCGCCCGTGACTCTCGATCCGTAGGAGCCATTTCTGATTCCAATTTCACACATGGCATCACATTCAACAGTGGATGCGTCGTGATAATCACGAGTGCTGGCCTGTGATTCGTTCATCAATTTGCCCATGCTCTGGAAGAAGTGATTTGAGTCTCCATCATAAGTAGATGTCAATTGCACCATCTGGAGAACTCGGAGTGCTTCACCGTAAACATGCTTGCAACGCTTATAGAGATTAAGTTTTTGGTAGCTCACAGGAAACAGACTCAAGTAGCGTCGACCAAAAGTCAGATGTGAAATACCAAGAGCTGAAGCAGCCATTTCGGTGGTAAAGCCAGATTTTTCTGTTTCGTAGAATACGTGATCGACAATCTCAAGCATTCGCTGGAGACGCTCTATTCCCTGGTTGATATCTTTTCCGTTCCAGGGCAGTGATGCCATCTTCTGAACGAAATAGGCATCCATCACGCTTCTCAATGTGGCCGTTTTCTGGCTGGAGTTCTTGACGGGGTCCAAATCAAGAATATGTGCGATTAAATCTGCTGCAACATCCACCTCTACTACTCGGAGATTGTAGTTGGTTGGTGCGGTATCTGTTTTGTTTGCTGTCACCATAGAGTTGGTGATGAAGAAGATGGGATGCGGTGAGATTCTGGGAAGCTCGAAGGGCACGACGCTTAATTTCGGGTCAAACAGAATTAACAACAACCGTCCATCTTCTCCAAACACGGAGGCACATTGATCCATGCCTCCGCTGTGTAAACCAACAAAGTGTTCGCAATATATGGTTATCCTGGTGAGTTCTTCCTTGGAGATCTCCACGTTGTTCACACGCAAAATAGCCAATGTGGACACGATACACAATGCTGCAGACGACGACAACCCTCCGCCAGTAGGCACTGTGCCGTCGAAAATGGCCCTGAGGCCACGGATGCCTTGTTCTCGAATTTGAGGATGATTCTGATAAATGTACTGCTGGGCCACGATCACTCCACATTTGAAGTAGTCGCCCCAGGTGGTCGAATAAGTGTCGATGACAATCTGCTCGTCTCGTGGAATGGAAAAGGCTTGCAGATGGAACTTTGGGTTGGTGTTCGCTATGACCACCGTCTCATCTTCGGAGGCAGCAACGGCAGCAATGACGTCCACCTCAATTGCCATAGGCAAAACAGAAAAATGGCAGTAATCGATATGTTCGCCTATTATGTTTACTCTTCCTGGAGCTCGAGCAATGAACTCGTAATTTTGGTTGAAAAGCCGTTGAAACTTTGCACTAAGATCATATCTGCGCTTTTGCTTTGAAATATCGGAGTAGATCGATAGTCCTTCAACTGTAGGAATCACGGACATGAGAGACCAGAAAATATGAAGATTCTACGCTTAAGGTCACCAAAAGAAGCACTTTGGAGCGGATTTTAAAACAACAGGTGATATGAACGGGGATTTCTATGGCGATCGCTGAAGCGGATGTCAAAAAGGCTTCACGGACATGGATTCCGTCGTATACACAGGTCTAAAGTGGGGCATAACCTGGGGTACTGCGGAATTCTTTGTCCGGAATTATTGAATGTGGTACCTCACGCTATTTTAGTAAGAATGAGAAGTTGGTACTTAAATGGAGTGATTACCTTAGGGGTGGTGGTATTCATCAAAAAATTATTCTGAAGTTACCATGAAGTTGAACTCAGGTTATGATATGCCTCAGATTGGCTACGGAACCTGGAAGATCCCAAAAGATATCTGCGCAGAGAAAGTCTACAATGCCGTGAAAGCTGGCTATAGATTATTTGATGGTGCTCAAGATTACGCCAACGAAAAGGAGGTCGGTGATGGGTTGAAAAGAGTCATCGACGAGGGAATCGTCAAGCGTGAAGATTTGTTCATTGTTCTGAAGCTCTGGAACAGTTTTCACCATCCAGACAATGTCGAAGCTGCGCTTGACAGAACGTTAAGTGACTTGAAACTTGACTACTTGGACTTGTTCTTGATCCACTTTCCAATCGCTTTCAAATTTGTGCCTTTCGAGGTGAAATATCCTCCCGGTACATACTGCGGAGATGGAGACAAAATTGTGTTGGAGAAGGTGCCAATCTTGGATACATGGAAGACACTTGAGCGGTTGGTTTCAAGCGGAAAAATCAGATCCATCGGCGTTTCTAACTTTAATGGTGCAGTATTGATGGACTTGCTCAGTGGTGCAACCATCCCTCCAGCAGTTCTCCAGATTGAGCACCACCCATACTTGCAACAACCCAACTTGATTAATTGGACACAGAGCAACGGAATAGTCGTCACAGCATACTCATCATTTGGTCCACAATCTTTCCTTGAAATGAAGTATCCCAAGGCTGAGAATTGTGTGCCTTTATTTGCTGAAAAGACCATCACCAGAATCGCAGAGAAACACTCGGTGAAACCTTCGCAGGTTTTGCTTAGATGGTCAACCCAGAACAACATCGCTGTGATTCCAAAGGGAGACTTGCCTGAACATTTGGAATTGAATATGAACTCCACGGGATTTGATCTTGATGATCAAGATTTGAAGGACATAGAGAAGTTGGATATTGGAGTTCGTTTCAACGATGCATGGGAATGGGCAGGGGTTCCAACATTCTATTAGATATGAAAATTTTGATTTTAACCGTTTGATTTTGATTTTGTTAAGATGTTAAGATATATATGTTGAATATTACTTTGAAAAAATTGGTGTCAATATACTTTGTAAGTAATAAGACACGAATCGAGAGATTCGACAAAAATACAGATGTTCCAGAATTACGAAATTCCTCAACCCTTTTTAATTTATTAATCTTTGTATACAAATAAATTGATCTAACATCATTATCTACCTATCTACCTTTCCGCTTTTTACCATCCAATTCCACAAATCCCGACAACCTTCATCAATGCTCATGGATGCTGTCCACTTAAGCTCACTATTGGCCCGCCCAGGATGAGCAGTCAAGTTCAACACATCCCCACTGCGTCTTTCCACAACCTCATAAGGCAATTCTCTTCCCACGACTCCACAGAAGGCTTTGTAGACCTCAAACACAGTAAAACCCTTACCTGTTCCAAGATTCCACTCTCGATAAAGTCCTTTGTCGGGATCAATTGAATCCAAGTACTCTAATGCTGAGATGTGGCCCTTAGCCAAATCCACCACATGTATGTAGTCACGAATTGGCGTTCCATCGGGACTGTCGAAGTCATTTCCGAAAACAGACAATTTCTCCCGTTTTCCGGTTGCTACCTGTGCCAAATATGGTAGTAAATTGTTGGGAATGCCTCGTGGATCCTCACCGATCTCACCAGATGGATGTGCTCCAATAGGATTGAAGTATCTCAAAATGGCGGCTCTCCAAGTGTGATCGGAGTTGCACAAGTCTTCGATCATGGATTCAATGACAAACTTAGTTTGTCCGTACGGGTTAATGGGACTTCTAGGACACGTTTCCGGAATCGGAATCATGTTCTCAAATCTAGTGGCATCACCATACACTGTAGCCGAAGAACTGAACACCAAGGTTTTCACATCAAAATCCTTCATCACGGAGAGAAGAGAAATTGTTCCTCCGACGTTATTGTCGTAGTAATCTAAAGGTTTCTGTGTGGATTCTCCAACAGCCTTGAGTGAGGCAACATGGATGACTCCAACAATATGGAACTGGTCGAAAATCTCAGCAAGTGCTGCCTTATCTCTGAGATCCACGTTGTAGAAAGGAATTGACTTGCCTGTCAACTTTTCCATTCTCAAAACAGCAGTAGCAGTTGAGTTGACAAGATTCTCCACGATAATCACCTTGTAGCCATTATTGATGAGCTCAATGACTGTGTGCGATCCAATGTAGCCAGCACCACCAGTGACAAGGATATAATCGGAAAAGGCGTTTGAAGTCATTGGGGCAGCTGGATTTTTTTGGATATTTTTTCAAAAGTCGGGGTTGTGGAAGTTATTTATAGTAAAACATGGACACGGAGTTTGGATTCCGGAGTGGAGGTGCTCACCAATTCGATCTAAAAAGGAAGTAATCTACTAATATACAATGAACCGGTGAAATAACGAGAAAAGAGAGGTAGAAAGTCACGAGAATTAAAATTGTATTAGTTTTAGTATTATACTAGATCACAACACCACTTATCATGTGATTGCAACGACTATTGGTACCAGAAGGACTGAATGTAGTTTAAACGTTCTCTAACTGGTAGATCCGATCACATTTTCTCTGCGAGCTTTTCCATCAATTATTGAAGCTGACATTTCAACAATTCAGTCAATTCAACAAACCAACTGCCTCCATCGTCGACGGCTCTACAATGGATCTGGCCAAAGCATCAGATGTAATTGCATTAGCTGAGACAACGGAGCCTCTTCGGGCGCCAAATTCGGAATGGCATGTGTTGCAGAAGCCTCCTCCATAACAGTAAAACATCCAGCAGACACCTTTTCGATGAGGTCTAAGATCCGTACTGCTGGAGGACAAATGTTCATGATTTTGGTAATGATGCCTTTTGCAATTCCAACATCATTCCGCCAGCTTTGTGCTTCAATAGAGAGAGGGTCATTTCGGAGACAAACAAGTGGCATCATCACCGCGTGGATAAGGAAGTAGAGCGACCACCACGCATCCATACGATTGTATGCGGTTTTGGATTTCCAAAACCTGTCCATGTTTTGTAGGGTAGCTCGGCACTCTTCCAAACACACCGTACTGGCCCTCCATTCATATTCGTCTTGAAGACTTTGACCCAGTTCGTATTGTCGCTTCAAAACGAAAAATCTATAAATGATAATGCGGAGGTTTCTATATCTCCAGTGAATCACCGCGTGCGAAAGTTGATATTCCGGCTGCACTTGTTCATTTTCACGGTAGTAGTCTGGGATCATGCCTTTCCATCGCTGTATATACTGAGTATCCCACTCCAACAAACTTTGGGCTGAGGGAAGTGGTTCGCTAATGATTCGCTCGTAGATTCCGTTGGTAAGTAGATGGAAGAGCGCTTGGAGACGCAAACTGGTATATATAGTTGGCAGATCCTCGTCTTTGGGTACTTGTGTGGTGGAACTAGTTAAACTTGAGTCCACAATGTTCAATGGGAGTCGAGTATCGACTCCATTACAAGAGACTCCCAATGGACGTCCATAAGTGATTGTTTGGGAACAGTCAAACACATAAAGACCCCACCAAACCCTTCTTCTGACCTCCTGGTCAAAAAGCGGTATTTCCGAGTCGTCCATATTCTTGTGGAAACCGAGCCCCAAAGCCATTCTCATCGCTATTCCCAGGTAATTGTAGCCCGAATTTGGACGATCACGCAACTGGAGGTAGTTACTCATCAAGCTGAGCGTCTGTACCAATGTCAAGTTTCCCGTTTCCCAGTCTTCCATTGACAAGTTCTGTTTAGCACGATCAAACAAGATTAAATCTGCGTGGTCCGCAGCAGAGGTGGCCGACATAAACGAACCAATGGCAGCTACTATGTAGAGAAGACTCTTCCAACATGGCGGAGGAGGCACAATCTCGTTAAAATGGGCAAAGAAGAGTGCCTTGTGAACAATAGGATATGAGATATGGTAAGTACTGAAGTAGTTTGTGACGTTCTCTTCCAATATCTTTCTTTCGGGCATTTTGAGGAACTCCAGGTCTTTCAACTCCGGCTGAATCGGGTGAAGAAAGTAGCCAACGCCGACTAGATTGAGAAGTGCTGCACTGGAGGTGACTCCTAGGTAGCTATTTGAAACAGTGGTTGCCATTCCATCAATAATGGTGGGACGACTATCGTGTCGGAGCAGTTTCCGCTCATCCCAATCATACGATTTAGAGGGTGACGATGCAAAAGGCGAGCGCACCCTATCTCCTACCATTTGTGATGACAGCCTGGACAAGTCCACTGAAGGTGGAAGAAATTGAGGGATCTGGAGATTGTGAGAATTGGCAAAATTTCGAAGTTCCAGGCCAACAACCACATTTCCGCTCACTGGAGCCTCTATTCTTGGACCGTCGACCAACAGCAGAATATTCATAGACTTTGGCCGCGGAGAGCTCATGTTTTCGGAGCTGAGTTCGGGAGACATGATGCCACTGAACTTCAGTAACAGCGTGCACAGCAGAACGGGTATCACTGCGTTAAAATCGCCGCCACTGCGTAGCAGTTGTATTGCAACATCGATATCCATGTCCGGAAACGCTCTCCGGAGCATCTGGAGAGCACATTCAAGGTCATTTTCGACTTCATTGAGATGTTTTCGGGTTAACGGAGTGCGTTGTGCGTCACTGTAAACGCATTGACGATCATGGGTAGTACATTGGTGACACAAGGGTAGTTGGCGAGAGCACTTGATTTTGCGTCTTTGACACTCTTTGCAAGCCACTCGATTGAGTTGCATCGACGTGAAGATGATCTGGAGATGTCGGGTGTGTATGGAGACATGTGGACTGATAAAGTGTCAAGACTGGATTGATGGGTGCGAAACGATGAGGGAATGAGGAAGGTTCTTGAAATTGAGATGCAGAGTTGATTGAATGACTGGGATAGCGACAAAATTGATTTGTAACGTGGTATGTCGAAGTATGCCAACATGAGATATGATTAGATTGGGTCAAGACAAACTATGAGATACCCACGAGATACCCACGAGATATCATGAGGTGCAAGCAAGAATCCGAGGAGATAAGAACAAAGTCGAAAAGTAGAGGTATCAAGGTTAGACGCGGTTTCAGATGATGACTGAGAAATTAAATCTTGGACGTCTGAACATTGTGGGACAAGAGCCGACAAGGAGAGCCTTGGTGCAAAGAGAATCGACAATTGACCCATCACTCAGGGTTGTCCAGATTCATAGACCCAAATACATGAAAGTGAATTTACATATCCAAAGATACCACTTTCAAGAATGTTATGGCCTGATCAGCGTAAAATGATGTGATAATGCCGTGCGAAGAGAAAGCCATCTGACTGGATCTCGGACTTAGGAAAAACGGGAATTCAACCACTACAGCACAAGCCTCAAGATATGAAAATAATGAGCAGGGAGCTTTGGCAATTGTGCTAAACCTTATCCGGGGCCCTCGAATTCGTCCACGATGACATCTCAATGTTAACAAAGCACCTAACACTCAGACAAGTTCGAACCGAAGTAAACCAACGCCCAATCTAGCACCACAATTTGTCCTCACAAGCAATCCACTCGGTCCACCATAAACGAGGACGTTTCTATATGATTAATAAGAAAAGTTGGCTGGACCTCTCAGCTTTCGCAGCCGTGCAACGGACCGGCAAATTATAAATTCCGACATTTTGAGAAAGAAAGACAAAACCTTTGAGATTGCCATAATAACCAGACTATTGCAGGTCACTCTTTCCACCCAATTCACCCCAAATATCCCCCAATTACCTCCATGATCATTATTCACCAACGCCTCCCACCAACAATAGCACCTCCAAAGAAGAACGGCTTGTCAACACCTTCGGAACACTGTTCGGGCCGACAGATGATAACGCCGTTGACATTTGTAAGATTGCCAGTCTGGATGCGCGCAACCGAGGCTAAACACGACGATCTTTGACATCGAGACTGGCCATAGATCTAAAAACTTTGACTTCCAAATCTTTTCTGTATTGCCAACTCTCCCAATTCCACATGTTTCCATCACTCCATTATATATATCCTTCATATTTGAGCAGACTGCCACAATTGAAACCCGTCCCTCTCAGGCCACACAGTCTTCAAAACATGCCATTAACCCCAATAAATGCTCATCACCCCAGCCTCACGATTTTCTCTCTAAAATTCTAGATTCAAAAATCGGTCCATTATCAGTAATGTCAAGCCAATGGCCCAAATTCCCTAGAACCACTCTCCGGACTACCTGCAGTACCAACAATCATATATATAAAGTGTGTGGGTCACCTCCCCTTGTATAGCCGCTATCCAAATAATCAAAAAATGTCTTTCTACGAACTCACCCCCACCGACGCCAAGGGAAAGCCCTTCCCATTCGAGCAATTGGAAGGCAAGGTCGTGTTGATTGTCAACGTGGCATCCAAATGTGGCTTCACGCCTCAATACAAGGAGTTGGAGGAGCTTAACAAGAAGTACGGCGACAAGGGCTTGCAAATCATTGGATTCCCATGCAATCAGTTTGGACACCAGGAGCCAGGTAGCAGCGAGGACATTGAGTCATTCTGCTCGTTGAATTACGGAGTTACTTTCCCAGTTTTGAATAAGATTGAAGTGAACGGCAAAGGTGCCGATCCAGTGTATAAGTACTTGAAGGATCAAAAGTCTGGTCTTTTGGGCTTGAATCGTATCAAGTGGAACTTTGAGAAGTTCTTGATCAACAAAAAGGGAGAAGTTGTGGATAGATACTCTTCTTTTACTAAGCCACAGGACTTGGAGTCTACTATTGAAGGATTGTTGAAGTGAAGATAGGTTTAATGTATATTAGTCACGTGAAGAATAACAAGTAAAAGAGAGACGAGGGAGTGTTTGATATTCAGACCAGGTAAAACCCGTACATCACGTAGAACACTCCAGAAACGGACACGGGATGAGGAGGGGAGAGAGAGGAGGTCTAGCCCCGGGTCCGGGTTAAAATCACAATACCTTATGCCACACACCTGTACACCTAAGGGATAAAACACCCGTGCACCCGCATAATAAAAGAAACCCTCGCAAAAAGGAAAAAATTACCGAACCACAACTCCGCAATCGACCCAAAAACCCAAACACAAAAACGGTATCGCCCCTATCACCCGGAATATATGCAGTGCTCACGTGATTCAGAACCATCCATGACCTTCTCTGTAGGATGTGGCAGTTGAAATCTGGAGATCTGGATTTCTTATATTCTCTTCTTCTCCATTATCATCCCATCATACATTTTTTTTTTGGTTTTTTTGATTTTTAAACCCCAAACCTCGTTTTGGCCCCCCAGTTCTGTCTTTTTGTGACCGCTGCAAATACTTGCACTTGCAGCTTGTCGATATTAGTCACAAGAGCGCCTAATATTGTTGATAGTAGGTGGAATTAACCGCCGGCACCATTTTGTTAATTTTGCTGCATTTTGACTTAACCCCCCCATTCCTTCAGAGATGATGTTGACATCTTCGTTACCGCCAGCCTGTACTCCATCCACTGGCGCCCCCATGCCACACAAAGTGTCGGAGTACCAGCTGTACGAGAACGGCCAGTACTTGTTGAAAGATACTTATAGGTACATTGGTCAGATCCAGAAGGGGTCGTTTGGACGTGTTACACTTGCTGTGAACGTGAACACAAACACAAAGGTGGCCATGAAGGCTATGTTCAAAGCAAAGGAAGTTGCCCCTATCGCTCGCCATGAGATTAGGGTTCTCCGTAAATTAGGACTGGCCAACGACCACATTTGCCAGTTGTTGGATCACTTTGAAACGGATGAGTTCATTGTGTTGGTGTTGGAGTACTGTTCCAACGGCGATATGTATGACATCATCCACCTGGGCCAGACTTCGGGCCCTCGTGCCGTGGATGTATGGAATTTGGCTAAGGAATTGAGTCTGGGACTCGCCTATGCCCATCTGCTTGGTATTTACCATCGTGATATCAAACCAGAGAACATATTGTTCACGGAGACCGGGCGTGTCAAGATCTGTGACTGGGGTTTGGCAACTTACACCCGTTACAGTACGGATTTCAACGTTGGCACTGAGAAGTATATGGCTCCAGAATGTTTCCTCAACAGCCCCATGAGTGTCAGCACCGCCATCGAGTCTTACGACTGTAAGTATGCTGACTATTGGTCAGTGGGCGTAACATTGTTGACCGCGGTGTTTGGAACATCCCCCTTCAAGCCCGTGCGTGCTCACGATGCCAGAGGTTCCGCAGACGATTTCAGACGTAAGGACAAGTCGGTGAAGAAGTCATTGGAGTCTGACTGCAATTTCAAGAACTTTGTATTGTACAACATGCCTGAGGTGTTGTACGACATCTACCCCACGATGAATGAGAACTGTTTTAAGATCTTCATGAACTTGTTGAAGGTTGGTGGCATGGAGGATGACTTGGAGAGCTACAACCGCAAGATCGAGCTGAGATCCATGGAGAAGTTCATTGAAGATTTGGAGAGCAACTGGAAATTTGGCTTGACAGTATGGGAAGAAGAAGAATTATATGAGAACAACGACGGGGACGAGGATATTGTAGTCAATCACGACTCGGTGTTCGATATGGATGATTTTAGCGTTGGGGGTGTCGCTGAAGCTGATAAGGAGAAGGAAAGACACAACACAGATGGAGCTAGCTCCTTCAAACATGATGATTATGACAAAGACCATGGGGTAGAGAACTACAAGGGCGAGACAGCTAGGGGCCGCGCTTCGATGACGGCTAAGGAGAGCATCTCCATCCCTTCGCTCGTGGAGTCCTCTTACCAACCCAAGTCCTGGTATGACTTGGAGGACGATTTGGATGACGCCGAGTTCTCCAAGTTGTTCAACAGCTTGAGCGTCCGGAATGTGGAATCGGTGGCAATTGACGCAGGAAGAAAAGAGAGCCGGAAGATCCACATTTTCGAGAAGGAGCTCGTTGAGGGGCTCAGCTGGAGTGATTACTAGGATACGAATAGCATTAGATAAGGATAGGATAGGACAGAGGAACGGAATATACGATAATGAGAGAAGCATATAGATATTAAGTTTCAGCGATTTGGTAAGCTGAATGAGAAGACTCAATTAGGGCATCCTTAACAGGTCAAAGCAATGTCAATCGATGCAATGGCTTTATCATCATATGATGGCATCTACACCCTTACATCCTACAGAATCTGGCTGCAAATAAGCCTGCTAGGAAAGGGAGTTAGTATAAAAAGGGGGATTTTCCCCACATCTATCCCCCTTCGAATTTCTACTACTTTCTTCTTCCCAACAATTCTTTCACCGGACTTCTTTTGTAAAACATTTTAACTTCTCTTTCAATCAAGTAGGCGGCTTCCACGAACATCCTGACATGTACATTTCCGGAGAAAAATCGTGAGTCACAGAGTCACATGACCGGGCGGGAGAATTGATCAAAGTGGGGGAAGAAAAATTGTTCCACTTACGAGGGTAAAACCCCGTGACTCGAGGGTGAGGACCCGTGACCAACCCACTTCTGAGGCTAATGTATCCACTGCCATTGGCTACAATGTCACCTTCGTATTGACAAAACAGAATTCTTATCACAAAACAGAAGACCTCTAACTCTAGCGCCGTTCCCGCTCGTCCCCCCGCGTCCGGTTTCGCTGCCGTAACAGGCCCGAACTGTTGAGATAGAAGGTCCGAGGGCATTAGATGCAGTCGGCGCCCCGCGCCGGTTGCGGGCCTGCACCGGGCTAGTGGACATTTTTCACCAGAATTTTCCAACATATAAAGCCTCTCCTCGCCCAGTACCGGAGTATTTTTTTATCACCACAAAATGTCTTTTAGATCCGCTTCTATCCGTTTGGCCCGCCAGGCCTCGGCTAACGCCGCTAAGCAAATTGCCACCAAGAGAGCTCTCTCTGCTTTGGCTACCAGAACCACCATCCCAAAGTTGGCTAAGTCTGCTGCTCCTTTGGCTACCCGTGGTGTTAAGACCATCAACTTCGGTGGAACCGAGGAGATCGTCCACGAGCGTGCCGACTGGCCAAGAGAGAAGCTCCTTGAGTACTTCAAGGACGACACCTTGGCTTTGATCGGTTACGGTTCTCAGGGTTACGGTCAGGGTTTGAATTTGAGAGACAACGGTTTGAACGTTATCATCGGTGTCAGAAAGGACGGTGCTTCTTGGAAGGCTGCCATTGAGGACGGTTGGGTCCCAGGTGAGAACTTGTTCGACGTCAACGAGGCTATCGAGAGAGGTACCTACGTTATGAACTTGTTGTCTGATGCTGCTCAGTCTGAGACTTGGAGCACCATCAAGCCATTGATCACCAAGGGTAAGACTTTGTACTTCTCCCATGGTTTCTCTCCAGTTTTCAAGGACTTGACTCACGTCGAGCCACCAACTGATGTTGATGTTATCTTGGCTGCTCCAAAGGGTTCCGGTAGAACCGTGAGATCCTTGTTCTTGGAGGGCAGAGGTATCAACTCTTCTTACGCCGTCTGGAACGACGTCACTGGCAAGGCTGAGGAGAAGGCCATTGCTTTGGCTGTTGCCATTGGTTCTGGTTACGTTTACCAGACCACCTTCGAGAGAGAGGTCAACTCTGACTTGTACGGTGAGAGAGGTTGTTTGATGGGTGGTGTCCACGGTATGTTCTTGGCCCAGTACGAGGTCTTGAGAGAGAACGGCCACACCCCATCTGAGGCTTTCAACGAGACCGTTGAGGAGGCCACTCAGTCTCTTTACCCATTGATTGGTAAGTACGGTATGGACTACATGTACGATGCCTGCTCCACCACTGCCAGAAGAGGTGCTTTGGACTGGTACCCAAGATTCAAGGATGCCTTGAAGCCAGTTTTCCAGGACTTGTACGAGTCTGTTAAGAACGGTTCCGAGACCCAGAGATCTTTGGACTTCAACTCTGCTCCAGACTACAGAGAGAGATTGGAGGAGGAGTTGGAGATCATCAGAAACATGGAGATCTGGAGAGTTGGTAAGGAGGTCAGAAAGTTGCGTCCTGAGAACCAGTAAGCGTGTTTTTAGTCGATAAGGTCTTTGAATGACTGACTATTGCGTTGGGTAATACATATATACATAGCATTGGCAAGTTTGTTGAATAAACAGCCTAGGGAAATAATTTTAAGATGTAATTGAGGCGACTGGGAGAGAAGATACTTGATTAGTGGTCAACACCGATTTTTTGACAGGTAAATAGTCAATAATGGGGGATTGTCAAGACTAAATCAGGATTCGAGCCCTAAGTCACAACACGTGATTAGGGCTTCGTTCACTACCGGGCCAATCTCGGAATGTCGCAGCTACCCTCGGAACTCGCATTGTAAATGCACGTGCATATAGGCACGTGCTCACGCAAAAAAAATGTCCACTCTATTGCAAAATATCTCTTCGCAGAAAATTCTTTTCTTCACTAACTATGGCTGTCGGTAAGAATAAGAGATTGTCTAAAGGCAAGAAAGGTTTGAAGAAGAAGGCCGTCGACCCTTTTACAAGAAAGGAATGGTTCGACCTCAAGGCTCCTTCCACCTTTGAGAACACCAACGTTGGTAAGACTTTGATTAACAAGTCTACTGGTTTGAAGAACGCAGCTGACGGCTTGAAGGGTCGTGTTGTTGAGGTCAACTTGGCTGATTTGCAAGGTTCTGAGGACCACTCTTTCAGAAAGATCAAGTTGAGAGTCGACGAGGTCCAGGGCAAGAACTTGTTGACCAACTTCCACGGCATGGACTTCACTTCTGACAAGTTGAGATCTTTGGTTAGAAAGTGGCAATCTTTGGTTGAGGCCAACGTTACTGTCAAGACCGCAGACGACTACGTCTTGAGAGTTTTCGCCATTGCATTCACCAAGAGACAGGCTAACCAGGTCAAGAAGACCACCTACGCTCAATCTTCCAAGTTGAGAGAGGTGAGAAAGAAGATGATTGAGATCATGCAGAGAGAGGTTTCCAACGTTACCTTGTCTCAGTTGGTTTCTAAGTTGATCCCAGAGGTTATTGGCCGTGAGATTGAGAAGTCCACTCAGACCATCTTGCCATTGCAGAACATCCACATCAGAAAGGTTAAGTTGTTGAAGCAGCCAAAGTTCGACTTGGGCTCTTTGTTGGCCTTGCACGGCGGAGCATCTGAGGAGAAGGGTAAGAAGGTTTCGCTGGGATTTAAGGATGTTGTGTTGGAGTCTGTGTAATGATAGGTTTGTAATATAATGAAAAGATGAATTGAGGAAGAGAGGCGATTGAGCCCACCAGTGTAGGTTGCTTGTTTAGTGCAGATAACTTAGCAGGTTGTGAGGACTGTTGGAATTGGTTGAATGTTATATTTGAACTTCATTTGATCAATGATGTGAAAGTGATTTAAAATTCTAAAGCATTTGAGAAAAGGATACTAACGATCATTTTGCACAATCATTGAGCGAAGTAGTTATAGAGAGACATAGCATTAGCTCTTCTAACCTTTTAATCAAGCCTAAAGACGGAATTTCAAGCATACTTATATAACATATTGACTGGAAAATTCGATCTCAATGTAGGTTCATTATAAACGCCTTTACTTAAAATCATCAACATGAAGATCGCCGCTAGATCTCAACCATCTGTCGGGTTATGTTACCGAGAGAGAAGCATTTTGAGCCAGAAACGTATATTGAATTCTCGCATATAAGAAAATCTACTGAAAGCTCCAATTTAAGAAGTGGTTGAGAGGCTAGAGGATAATGAATAGCTGACAAGAAGTTGAAAGTCGTATGTTAGAATCGATTGAAGTCACCAAATGGTAGTCATTGAAGAAAATTCGAATTTCAAAAGTCACGTCTTATCTTTGATGGCTCCTTTATTAACAGATTATTGATCTTCTGTTTTCTCGCAATCTATATGATCATCTCCAGTATCATCCAAGCCAACTTTAAAATACACACTCAATGGAAGACACTAAACAAACATCCAATATATTACATCTACCAACCCAAACTCATTAACTCAATTCCGTATTTTCTAATCTCAAATATCCATTTCCCCTCGTGTCTCTCCTCTTCACAAAGTCATTGCTCGTACATCATCAATCCATCTATCTAGTCGCATAGCCTCTACATAATGTTGTGCCAATTAAACAGTATCATATTCTCCACATACTCTCCTACTATCAACCTGCTCAACTTTCTACCTCCATCTCTTGATTTATCCACTTTTTCTACTCAACAAATATAGAAATTACACCAAGTCACCCATTCCCCACGCTCCATCTCTACCTCGTATACCCTGCACAATGCCATACGTACAACATCTAATCATCAACTTGCCCAGCCTGACCTCTAACCCAAAATGGACGACGACGACGACGCATGGTCCTACAAGTTTCCTTCCTCATCTGATCTGCTACCTACACGTGCCAGATCGCAATCCACGTTGCGGGCCCCTCTCAAGGATCCCAACATGATAGTCATGCCTGCTGATTCAGACTCAGATTTGAGCTTGAGCGATAGCAACCTCTCGAATGGAGATGACGAAAATGCTCGCATCGAAGTTGAAGATGCAGATCAATCAGCCACGAGTGAGAACGTCTTAAGCTCGACAGATGCAGCTGAACAGGCCAAAGTATCCACTGAATCTTTACTTTCTAAGAAATTGGCCCTGGTGGTGGTGGCTCCACCAGCACGGAATAGCCTGACCCCGCTCTATGCGCCTGCTCCAGGCCTGCTACAGCCAGCGTTCATGCTGAAGTCTGGCCCTGCCAACCCACAGACCACTAAAGAGGAGGCCAATTCCATTATTCTGAAGGAAACCAATACGAACGCTTTGGCCATCAACACGACGGGAATTTCAGACACGAGCGGCATGTCACCTCCGCTAACACCAACTACCAAACACGATTTTAGTAATTCCGTACGGATCTGGCAGCAGCAGCAACAACAGTCTGCAGAGTTGGAAGATAAGCAAGACGAGAGTCTCGAACTGGTATCGGAGGAGGCATCGTTTTTCCGTAAGACTTTCGGCAACTTGGCATCGTCGCCTATTTTCAATCCATCATCCAGTGCACAGTTGGACTCACGGGTAGATCCTCCCGACAACGTTGCTTCGCCCAAAATCATCACATACAGAAAAACCAGCCACCAACGAACAGAGAGCGAAAACTACGATAACGGGCTCCGTCAGGAACGCTTTGATCCCAAGCTCTACGTCAATGAAAAGTACGGCGACACCATCTACCGATATGCTACCATGAAACGGAATGTGGACTTCCATCAGCTTTTCCGCAGCCTTGATTTGACAGACAGACTTCTAGACGACTTTGCGTGTGCTTTGAGTCGAGAAATCCTTCTTCAGGGACGCATATATGTCACTGAGCACTCTGTGTGTTTCAATCTGAATTTGTTGGGGTGGGTGACAAGCTTGGTAGTTCCGTTTGCAGATATTGTTCGTATTGATAAGAAATCGACAGCAGGGCTTTTTCCCAATGGCATTTCTATCGAGACCGCCGATGCAAAGCACAATTTCGCAAGTTTTCTTTCCAGAGACTCCACGTTTGAATTCATTCGAACCATTTGGCTGACTTCGACAGGGAAGAATTTGGAGGATCTCGATCAGCTAGCTCCCGACGTTTCTTCTGTCAGCAGCGAGGACCAGAAGCTGAACAATGCACGTAAGATATCTAATTTCATCCTTTCTATTGACGACGATGAACACAACCTGCTGCTTTGGGACAAAAATGGCTTGGATTATGAGGACGAAGACGCTTCTGAAGATGGAGAAGAGGACGATTATTCAGATGATGGCAGCGAAGAGGATGACGAAAGTGATGCCAGTAAGGAAGCCAAAATACCACATGATAGTCCTATCGAGAGTTCTGATTCTAAGGAGGAAAAATTATCGTCGTATAATGAACTTCTGACTCTGGGAACCCAGCTTAGGAAACTTAAAGATGATTCAGGATACAAGAATTTGGGTCCAGATGTCCATGCCCCGACAAAGGTGACCCAACAGTTTTCAGACTGTGACAGTGAAATCGAGTTGTGCAACGAGTCCATCAATGCACCCATGGGAGTAGTCTTCGATATTATGTTTGGCAACAATGATACATCCTTTCAAAGACAGTTCTTGGAAAATCACGATGCCTCGGAAATTGACCAGTTTGACGCATTCCATCCCATTGAGGACGAACCAACTAAGCTTGAGAGAACATATACTTACAGACGCGCATTAGGCTACTCTATTGGGCCCAAATCCACCAAATGCGAAGTCAGTGAAGTGGTGGAACATTTGAACTTTGCGGATTATATTGTTGTACTCAACACCACATCCACCCCGGATGTTCCTTCCGGTGGTTCGTTTTCGGTGAAGACTAGGTACTATTTCACATGGGGAGAGGCCAACATGACGCAGCTTCGAATGGCATACTTTGTGAAGTGGACGGGACGTTCATGGATCAAGAATGTGGTGGAGAAACTGACGCTGTCTGCGCAAATCGCAGTCACCAAGGATATGATCAAAGAACTTAATGAGGAGATAGCCAAGCATACTGTCTCTGTCTCGGGTCCAGTTGAGGTTACTCAACGGGAACGCGAGCCTGAAAGAAAGCCCTCTGTCACCAAGACCAGAAAGAAGAAATCGAAGACTCCAAAAGCCAAAAAGATTACTTCAACGCCAAAAAGCACCAATTGGCTTCTTACTATCGGAATCATCTTTGGCATTTTTATGCTCACGGCAATCCTCTTTACTCAGGTTATGTTAGTGCGCTCTCTTGGAGAAACAAGAGAATTGGTTTCCCGACAGATGGTTATTACCACCAGTTTGCTTTGTTTGCTTTCGTCGGAGCATCACGGATGGTGGGAGAAAATGAAGACGTCCCATGGAGACTCTAAACAAGAGCTGGCCTCTTACTATGCCCGGCAGGCGTTGCAACTTCTTGTGGACGAGAGCAGCGACCCGAATTTGAAGGCACTCGCAGCCAATCTATTGTAAAACGTGCATTGGCTATGTACATATAAGGCGGTCAACACCTTGAATCATTTGGACCGTGAACGTATTGTGGAGTCCTTACTTTATGTCATCATATCATGTCAACTTAAGTCAACTTTTTAATCAGCAAACCCGAAGCTTCTCTGCCACACTCTGATCATCTCTACGTTCGGCGATGATCATGTCATCGATGGTATGCACCAAGATCTGGGAATTGTCTTCATTGAGCTCAAAAATGAAAACCCCCAGAATCACTCGCTCAAAGCTCGACTCATCCTTCTTTAATCCAATAAGACCTTTGGTTAGATCTACCAACGATCCTGTCACGGACCAGCTCGAGTTATCTTTATCTATCACCTTATCCGGATCAAATCCAGACCATTGGTGAGATCCCAACTTAGCTCTTGAGGTTGACACTGAGTCCGGGACGTTTTCGTTATGAAGATGCGTACATCCTTCTTCACAAGTGTTCCACCTCATATATATCTTCGTAGAATGAGCAAATACCGCATTTGGCTCGGGAAAATTGGACGTTCTGACCAGTTGAATGTGGAACTGAGCATGTGGATTGAGCACCACTGAAGTGAAAAAGAGTTGGAGGGCTTTACAAGCAGCATAGTATGAGACATGGCCCTTTATATTGGGAAGAATCAGCTTGAGCAGGTCCAAATGAGACGGATTCATGCGTAGCATAATATCTGGCAGAAGTAGCTCTTTCGGGAGCGATTTGTGAAGGAGATTGGGCACGAGAATTTTGAGCTCCTCAATGGTGGTCCCCAAATTGGCCATTCGTTTTTGATGGTCACTATCAGGAGAATCTGGATGCGAGGAACCTTGCGAATCATTCAGATCATCCATTTTGAACGACTCAGACTTGCCAGAAGTGGTGGCTCCAGCTGCAAGTCTGGGTCCGTTAATACCGTCAATTGACAGATCCAAGACGGTAGGGTGGTTACGGGGCGAACTGACTGGGACCTTCACACGGCAAACGTTCAGCGACGCAGAAAAACTGTAAATGTAACGATTAGGAGGTCGAAGGAGTCGCCGGTTCTGTTTGCGGAGGCTGGGGAACATGGCTGGGGAAGAAGTAGATGTATGAGGCAACGAATCCTGTATGGGTGTAGAAGTAGGTGATAAGATGGTGGAGAAGATTTATGCAAAGAGGTGGAAATGGAGATTTTGAAGAAGTTAGAGGATATCAAGAAGTAAAATTGATGTTTTGGGAAAGTTTTTGTTTTTTGGGAAAGAAATCTTGGTGACATGTGGTTGGTAGTTAGATGGTGAAACAGAACATTGGGGAAGAGAAAATGCCGAGAAGTGATGAAGCAGAAAAATTTAAACTGAAGAGGGACAAGGGTTAATAGAAGAAATCAATTGTATTTTGCGTTATTTGTTTTGGCTTTTGTGTGGTGAGAGTTTGATTTCATTGGTAATTGGATATAGGAGATACCTATAGCAAACATGTAAACGATCTTTTAGCAAGAAATATCAACTGCTATGGTGGGATACCATAAAGGTAAGAGAAAGAAATAGAACATTGAAGGTTCAGATTTCACTTATCTGGCCCATTTTAGTGATAAATTTCCTCCACATTTATAGTCTGCTCATAATTGGTGAACCAGATACTCTCTGGCTCACAAGTACAGCATAACATACACAGCCTAGTAAACTCACTTTAGTGTCAAAAAAAGGCTAACTTCATTTTCACACCATACCAAATAACACACTATATAATGGGCGTAATCTTAGTTCAATTTAAACCCCATACATCATAAAATAAATGAACAAGCAAGCCAAACTCGAGGTGTCAACTACCTCTAAACAAACTTTCAAAACCTCCAAACGAAGAAACACTCTAATTATTGCTCTAGTCACCGTTGCAGGTTTCTTAGGCCCCGTGGCTGGCAACATTTATGTGCCTCTTCTTCCACTATATAAATCAGTGTTCAACACATCCACTACCACTGTCAACGGGACGGTTTCGATTTTCATGTTCACATTTGGCATAGCACCGCTCTTTTGGGCCTCTCTAGCTGATAAGCATGGTCGTCGACCGCTTTATTTGCTCAGCTTGCCGTTCTATGTCATCTCGGCCGTTTTGCTCAGTTCTCTTAAACCACATATCGTTTCACTCTACATCCTTCGAGCAATTCAGGCGTTTGGAGCTTCCAGTTTGGTCTCCTTGGGTGCTGCTACCATCTCTGATATCGTGGAGCCAAAAAATCGAGGCAAGGCCATCTCCTACTTTTTGTTAGGACCCCAGCTCGGTCCGATGGTTGGTCTGGTGGCCAGTTTAGTCGGTGCTGGAGGCCAATGGCGCTGGACATTTGGAATCATATCGATTTTGGGAGGTGTTGCTTATGGAGCCATTCTTTTCCTCCTTCCCGAAACTCTGAAGGGGTTAGTGGAAGCAGAGGAAGCTTGTCTTGAATTGAAAGAGTATCTTGTTCCAATACAAGTAGTTTTCCGGTTTAAACCTCAAGCGAATGAAATTCACAAAGTTTCCACATTCAAGCTCATTGCCAAAGTGCTTCTGTACTTGCTGATTGTATGGTGTTCCATAATTGGAGCGTTTCTCTTTGCTTCTTTCTACTCATTGACAGTGTCATTCGCATCGGTCTTGAAGCACTCCTACAATTTCTCGCAAGCGTTGGTCAGCGTCTCGTATTTATGTCCCAGTATGGCACTTGTATGTGGATCACTTATCACTGGTCGGATCTCAGATCTCCTTCAAATGAAAAGAGTAAATACCGATAAGTCTCCTCACCATCCAGAACGAAGACTATTGATCCAAACAGGAGGTTTACTCATTTGTATTGCTGGACTCTGCTGCTACGGATGGGCTCTTCACTATAAATGGAGCGTGGCTACCGTGTTTGTTTTTTCGTTCATGATTTCATTTGGTATGAGTTCTGTTTCGGTAGTGAACATGACTTATATGACTGAATGTCCTACTGGGTATGTTTCGACCAATGTGGCGGTGGGCAACATGGCAAGGAATTTGGCAGCGGGTGTGGCGTCGCTTGTTATCGATGTTTTGACTCGAAAAATGGGTTATGGGTGGTGTTTCACGGGGTTGGCCATGTTGAATGTGGCTAGTGTGGCGATGAGTGTGGTGTTGTCCAAGTATGGACACCAATGGAACCAGAACCACAAGAATTGAAGTAAAAGTAAAATTAGGGGCCAATTGAACAGAAAAGCAAATGAAAACAGTTAATCAGAAGTCATGCTCTTGTAGATCAAATTTAACATGTACTACAAATCATTTCATAATGGTTGCAAATTGCATGCACGTAATACACGAATATATCCATTCACTAGTCTTTAGTAATCTTCACTATCTAGTTCTCGTTGATGTCCAAAGGAGTCAAACGCAAGTATGGCTTGATGATTCTGAACTTAGGGAATAAGGTCTTGGCCTCCTCGTTGGTGACAGATGGGTGCACGATGACATCATCTCCTGGAACCCAGTTAATTGGAGTGGTGACTCTGTGCTTGTCGCCAGTCTGCAAAGAGTCCAAAACTCTCAACACCTCAGCGGTGTTTCTACCAGTAGAAGCAGGGTAGGCCAAGATCAATCTGATCTTCTTGGATGGGTCAATGATGAACACAGATCTGATGGTGAACTGAACACCCTTGTCGTCGACGTTAGTGGCGTCCTGGTAGTCAATCATGTCGTAAGAGTGAGCAACCTTTCTCTCTGGGTCGGCAACAATTGGGAAAGACAACTTAGAGCCAGTGATCTCATCAATGTCTCTGATCCAAGCCTTGTGAGACTCGGTACCGTTGGCAGACAAACCAATGAGCTTGGTGTTTCTCTTCTCAAACTCTGGCTGCAACTTAGCGAAAGCACCCAACTCAGTGGTACAGACTGGAGTGAAGTCATCTGGGTGAGAGAAGAGAATGGCCCAAGAGTCGCCAATGTACTCGTGGAAGGTAATTGGACCGTTAGAAGTGTCGGCGGAGAAGTCTGGGGCGGTGGAGCCCAATCTCAAGGTACCAGAAGGAGTAGACATGTTGCAATTGGTGACAATAGCTAGGAAATGGGAACGGGGTCTATATATACGTGGAAAAATGTCGAGATGACAACTTCTCACGTGCCATGACTACACTCTATGCTGGACCAAAAGTCGGCTTTGACGGATTTGGAAAGTCCGATGAATGATGGGGTCATCTTGATGCAGTCTGGGGAAATTGTGGCGTCTGGAAGATTCCACAGAAGGTTTAGGAGATTGAAAGGGAGAGTGTGAATCGAAGAGTTGTAAACTTCGGAAGGAAATAAATTAAAAGTTGGTGATGTGAGAGTGGCTGATATGCTGATTGATGTGAGTGGTGTGTGTGGCAAGCTGGAATTAATACTATGGAAACTTTATTGGAACCCAATTGCATAAATATGTGTTGAGATTACGAATCTGTCCAGTTAATGTAGAAATCTTGCGTATTGAAGATATCGGAATTGAGTGGACACAATCATTGCGCGAGGCTGTACTTACGCAGCCAAAATGAGAAGATTGATTGATTTGATTTATTTGATAGAATTTAAAAAATCAAGGATGGATTCAAAAGATATGGGTTGGAAAGTAAACCGAATGACTCAATTTGCACCAAAATAACTGGAAAATTCTTTTGCGAACACACAAATCATCTTGACTATCCACAAGAATCTTTTGCTAATCAAAAAATCATGTACATTTGCCATATACTTTTACAACGGGATAACTTTATTATAGAAAGCTCACATAAACTCAATCTCCAAACAAAACCTTGGAAATCTTACCCCAGAAACCACGTTTCTCCTCTGGCTGAGACTCGAGGTTATGATAGTAAATGCGTTCGTGCTCGGCGACCTCAGCAAGCCCAGTGGTAATATCAGCGTCTTCGGGTCGAATAAACTTGGTCCGCTTGATAACCTTCCACGCAATAAAAATTGCTATGTCAAGGAAAATAATAAAGTAGTTAAAGAGAAATGTTTCCACAGACCACTTGCCCTTCAAGAAAACCGTATAGCCTTGAATCCACATGAAACAAAACACAATGGCTCCTGCAATAATTGACATGTATGGCTGGAACCAGCCACGGAACACAAATTTGCTTCTATCGTTTCTGTCGATTCCCTGTGCGATGCATGCTCTTCTAAAGAAATTGTATGTGACAGTCAAAAGGAAGAAGTTAGTCAATTGAGATGCAGATACAAGGTTGACAATCCAATCAAGAACCGTGGAAGACTTCTCTCCCAATTGTAAAAAGGCCAACAACGCCCAAGCAAGCGACATCAACACCGAGTAAATGGGAACACCGTTTTTATTACAGTAACTGAAGAATTTTGGTGCCTTCCCTGTCATGGCAAGACCATACAATGTTCTCGACGAGCAGTATGTGTAAGAATTACCGGCCGAAAAGGCAGAAGTCAACAATAGCGCATTCACAATGTGCGGAAGCACAATGATCTTCAAGTTATGCATGGCAATGACATATGGAGATGATCCAGCACCAGGCTTTCCATTATCCAAGGCATCCAAGAGAAGAGGATCTTTCGAAGAAACCACGATACCAACACAAAGTGCGCCACCTACAAAGAACAACGTCAATCTGATGGCTACTTGCTTGTAAGCTCGAGGAAGTGTCTTTCTTGGGTTAATGGTCTCACCAGCGACCATGGACACGTACTCAGGGCCAGCAATCAAGAAATTGGCCAAGATTACGCAACTGAGAAAGCCCTGGAACCTACCAAGGCTTCCCGTGGAGTAGAATTCGTTTAAAGGGCCAGGATTCTTCCAGTGGCGGAATCCATAGACGTCTTTGAGTGGATTTGCACCCACCATGGTGAAGAATGTGAAAAGCATGAGACCCACGGCCAAAATAACTTTTCCAATAGCAAGCCAGAATTCTGTCTCGCCGTATAATTTCACTGCAAACACATTGATACAGAAATAAGCCACCATCTGCACCGCCAACGGTATGGCAGCGGAGTAGTTGTCAAACCAGAAATGAAGCAACTGATTGAAGAGTGTCAACTCGAAAGGAATCAACGAACTTTCCAAAACCCAGAAGTTGAACCCTGCCATCACTCCATAAGCTTCGTCCACACATCTACTAGCCATGGTGATGAATGGAGAAGCAATGGGTAAGTAGCACACCATCTCGGCTGTAGTAGCTGTCACCGCCAAAACCGGAATACACCATAAAGTGATTCCCAAGAACAAGCTGAGTGGCCCCCGTTTCTGAGACCATTGGCGATCGACACGAAAAGAGCCACTCCAATGGTTCCTCCGATGCCAATCAACTGAACATGTCTATTCTTGAGCTTTCTATGCACATGACCTTGTTCCAAGGTCGAGGATGTTATGGAAGAGTTATCATCGGCTAGAACCTCGTTATTCTGGTCCTTATCAGGCAACTTCTCCACGGTATCATCACCATCAACTCGATTTCTTCGCACCTCCACCTTGGTTCCTCCAACATATTCCACTACCGGAGGAACCGGGATGAACACATCCTTGAGATTCTGGAGAGTTTTATTAGTCATGGGCTAACAATTATCGCCGAAAAAATAGTTATCTGGTGCATTATATATTACCCCAGAAAATGTCCTGTGTTGATAAGGCGTCAATTCTTGGAGAAGGTGCATACTGGAACCAAGAAATGACCCGAAACGGCGTTTTGACCGCAATCCATGCATGTGCAACTATTCTTGATAGTAGTCTATTTACGGTGAATTCATGGATTTGCACTGGATAAAGAAGTTGTAGAATATGGAAAAGATGAGAGTTACGAAAACGGGTTGAAGATTTGACAGATTTTGGAAGGAATGGAGAGTATTATTGGCCGAAAACAGGATTACAAATATGTTCAACCTGAGAAACGAAAATACTATAATAATGATTCTTCTAGTGACTGATGTCTCTATGGCTTCAGTTTTTTCTAGAACATCAAGATAGAATATTGACATAGTATTCGATAGAGTTATCTTGGGGACAATACAGGACAACAATACGAACTAAATGGAAGTCGATATTTGAAGTTTCCTCTTATTGTTTACGGCCCATTTGATAGAGAGTCTAGCATAGATGGCATTGAATTCTCAAATTCCCAAACTCTGCCTTTGCACCGAGTATTAAGTTTGAAATTTCTTATGTGGATGGTTCATCTGGATGGTTCGCTAATGGTATTCCAAGAACACTCACAGTTTCTTGAGTGAATCATATCTACATTACATTAATAGCTCAGTATTGGGAAGCCAGCCTCTACCATCCATACAATTAGCATCTCCTCTCTTTCTGTGAAAACTCACTAAATTTGATTCGCTCTCCATTTCGAATTTTGAGATACTGTCTCTTATCAGTACTCTAACCATCGCCAAGTAGATAGGTGCACACTGGACCTACCATTGGACCATTCCTGTTCTGCAGGCGATGGGGGCTATACTTCCCCACAATCGATTCTAGCAAGGCCCTGAGACGGAGGAGAAAAGAACTTTAGTCTATATAGAACTGTGAATGAGGCAGTTGGCTTCATAATGTGTTGATTACCTCAAGTTGGAGATGCTAGCATTTGGAAACACATTTAACTTAATGATGTAGATTTCCGGGCTCTTGATCCACGCCTCAACTCGTCATTACTAGGGTGGATTACGTGGGTGTATCTGGAAATGTGTTTGGGATGGAAACGTGGATAACGACGGTGCAGTTTTGGAACCAATAGGATGTGTCTCAGGTGTGAATATGTTATCTTCTGAGAATGCGGTCTAGATATGGGATGGAAGTAGAAATAATGGTAGCGAAGGAGTTGAGAAAAGAGTAGATGCGATTTACTCGAAGAGAAAAGAGTAAATGAAGCTTCTCAACAATTCGGTCCTAAAACCTCATGTTTCAACTCCGCTCTATTTCTCCTCATCAGAATGATGAATTCACAGAGTAAATGAAACCCCTAAGCTTGTCAATTACTACTGTTGAGGTTCCCTAATTTCGGCTCTACCACAGGATTAACACTAGCAAGTAGGTTCAACTCACGATAACAGAATTGCAAAGTTTCTCATATGAATACAATCTTGGGTTGAAGAACGACCTCTGAACACGTACACTTCTATTTCCTAGGAATCAATTCAACCCTCTCACTCGCTGCCTTATCAGTCAGGAGGATTTCCTGAACATGGCTTCATCCCTTATCTACTTCACATTCCGTGAGTACAGAGAGCAGAGATAGCAAGTAAGGCTTACATTCTTGACAAAAGGGTAGGGATGAACAAAAAGTAATCCATGGTTGTATAGTCGACAACCAAGGAGACAAAGTGCAGATACATGCATCACTCTCCCCAGTCCTCGCAACCCACCACTTTAGGTACTCAAAGGGTAATTTCGCTAAAAGCGACGATCGACAATGCAGAAAATTATATTATATTTAGATGAAATGACGTATTACTTGGACACAAGAAAAGAGGTCCCGTAAAATTCCATTCGACTAAGACATGAAAAAGGTTTTCGACAGATTAATGCCTTTGTGTAACAGAGTTGAAACTCTGATCGTTGTCCATATACGTGGAATACTAACAGTGATATGCAAGTCCTAGCGATTCTGATCGATTCAGCTAGGGAAGTGCAGTAGAGGACAAAAAAATAAAAATAAGGTGAAAAAGAAAAACGCAAGGAGCTGTGCCCATAAATCAAGATCCAATAGGAGCGTTTCGTGCATGAATAAGGACAATGAGCTTGACAGAGCAACCAAAGACAACGCAGAGAAAAATGGGGAAAAAATAATTCCTACCGACTAAAAGAGACAATAAACGGCAAAAAGAGAAATGAGGGGCTACGCGTAAGAAAAACAGGAGAATAAGCCTTGAAAAATTGTTAAAGAAAGTGTGCGTTGCATGGTTGTAACCGTCAACGATAAAAGTATCCTTTCTGATAATACTGAATGCAGCCTTAGGGTTCTCCTCATCGAAGCGAAAATTTTTCACTTTAACGTTGTGGAGTAGGGAAAAAAATGTCTCAAAAGGAGCTGCTGAGACGTTGGTTAAACCAGCTGGTTTGGAGAACCTCGAAGCACAACAATGGTTGTCAACGAGGAATGAACAATTCAAAATCATCATGATCGAAAATTTAACGATCCACGACGTCATCACGATGAATTCAGAAGTGATGTCGTGAATTTTCCACCATGACAGGTGGCTCCAAGACGGATTCCCGAACCGCTCGTAAGTAGTTAACAACCATGCAAAACCCAGAAAAGTATCACCGGGACTGCAGTTTTGAACCAGCAAGCGTCGCTGGCCGCTAGATTGCACCAAGTGAAATTACAATGGCAAGTGCTGGGGGTGTTTGCCCGCAGTTTCCTTTTCAACCATAACGAAGTAGGGAAATGGAGATTTCAACTAAGGTAATCTTAATATCCGCGTAATTTCGCCTTTCCATTCTACATAATTAAACTAAACCTCGTCTATAGCCAGCAAAGGCAAATCACATTCGCGTTCTCGGCAATTAAGCACCCTTGCATACCAACGATAGCCTAAGGATCGCATGTAAAAAGACGAGGAAAGTGCAGCGAATCCAGGTTTATATATGGTTGTCATGTAAGAGTAGGCACGCATTGAGGTATGGAACAGTCACGCGTAAGGCGGTGGGGTGTGGTTTTTCATATCTAGAGCAAGTAGTCCATCGTGGCCCGTCCTAGCTTCCTTACTACTTCTTCTCTCCCTGGAAGAATAAGGTCAACCTAGCCAATTGCCATGTTCATCCAAGTTGGAAGCAAGAGAAGACACTGGGCTACTGACCCCTACTCAATCTGGCATATCCACGCTCCCAGAGATCCGTACCTCCACCATAGACCTGGAAGGTTGGCTACCCAGGTGCTCCAGGGTCCCGGGAAGGTGTTACTGCCATTGCCATTGGAAGTGATAGCCTATATTCTTCTGCACGTTCCTTACCCCAACTTGAAATTTTTCTACGACAACTTGCCTGCTGGTGACTCTCTTCGTCTGGTAATCGCATCGAAGCTTTATGAAAATGTTCATTACGGCCAGTACGATCCAAATGACCAAAGTCGCTATCATATTTCGATTTCAGAGCTTATAGCACTTGCTAGAGGTGAGATTAAAGCTCTGATTCGCTCGTTGTCTTTCCATGGATACCAGAATGATGCCTTTCTCTCATTTTGCATCAGGTATCCAGTCTTTGTTTCCCAGATTCCACAGATCGAGTTTGATGGCACCCAGGAGTATTTACGGAGCTATGCTAGCAATGTGCCACTCGACAATATGGTCAAGTTGCGTTTCGTTGAGGCTGATGACTTGGATATGCATCTTATTCCTCCAAACTTGAGGGAAGTGTTTCTAAATTTCAATGACTTGTCACCTCCAGTGTTCAAGAGGTGGCCCAGTAAGTTGAGAACTTTAGAAATACGAGACTGTGAGTCCGTGTTGGACATCGAGCTTCCGGCTGGCCTTGAGCTGCTTGCATGCTTCGACTCGGGTGAACTTTGGAGACAGTTCCCTCCAGGACTCAAGAAATTGAAGTTAGTTTCCAATGTTGATACATTCCTTAACGATTTCACATTCCCCGATCAACTCACAGACTTGACTTTTGACAGTGATGACTTTGAGGATCCTGATATAGTTCTGCTTCAGTGGCCAACAAGCCTCAAACGTTTGGATTTGAGCAATAATGCCATCACATCGTTGGTAGGGGTATCGTTGCCACGGTGTCTTGAAGTTCTACGTTTAGAGTTTTGTCAAATTTTCACTCTTGAGAACGTAAATCTTCCTAGTCTGCTTAAGCAGCTCTACTTGAAAGGAAACCCACTATCGAGCATGGATAATGTCAAATTGCCCAACTTGAGAATCCTCGATATCTCTGCAAATCCAAATTCCAATAGCGAAAACATTGAGTCGTTGTCTAAAGTTCTATTTCCATCCCTGCTTGAAAAGTTGGTGGCTGAAGAACAACCTGTGAGTGACTGGTCGAGCACATTACTCCCCACAGGTTTGAAGGTGCTTCTGATTCAAACGTCAGAGCATCCTCTGAGTTTGACATTTCCACCAACGTTAGAGGTGCTCCATTTGAAATTTCCTGAATCTTCCGATTCTAGCATTTTCGATCTCAAGCTTCCAACGACATTGTATCTGCTAGAAGTGAAGAACGGAATTTCGAAACGAATTCCGTGGAATCTTCCTTATCTAAAGGACATGACAATGGTCAATTTGACCGGAAATGTCGTCATACCAGACACTGTGAAGACACTTTCATTAGAATCGCAGGACTGGAGTCTCTTTAGGAACTTGAAAGTACCCTATGGAGTCGAAAAGTTGAAAGTTTCATGTCTGCTTAAGGAATACCCAGATACTGTTGTCGATTTAGACATTGAAAACTTTGATACCCATGGTGATGTGCAAATGCCTCTGCAATTACGAAGTCTTCGAGTCAATACTTGTGATTTTACTGGTCCCATTCCAGAGGAGAATTTGAAACTTCCTAAGACTTTGCAGCGTCTCGAAGGGGACGTGGCTGCCTGTCTCGCAGAATCTGTCAATTGGAAGTATAAGATTTCATAGGGTTAGAGATGGCAAACAAATGAATGTACTATTAGAACAACAGAAGATCACTTGACATCGTAGATCAAAACTCATGTCTCAATATGAGCAATAGCCAATAAGGAAGCATATCGTTCTGAACAGTGGTGTTGAAATACAAACAACAATCCTACTCCATTTCACGACAGTGAACTAAGACTATAAACAAAACTGTGCGACTGGATCTTATCAAGTAAGAGACTCAATTAATTCATTTATGGGTCGCAATTGAGGCATGATCTGCTTTGATGACAATTGCGGGCTATTTCTCATTTCCGTAAACCTCTCCCGTTTCTTGATGGCTTCGAAATGTCCGTACACTGACATAAACCACATGTCAGATACTAGTGTTCAAAAATCTGAACTGTAAAATAAGTCCGATACACACGACTGTACCAAAAGAGCATCAAAAAATAAAACTAGTTTCTTGGATTCTCCTGTATTTGGGTTGGGTTGTGGGATGCATCGACTGGACGTACATCTTACAGATACAGTCAATAAATTAAACTGATTCATCTGCATTGTACTGAGTTTCTGGTCCATAGTTGAGTATCAATGAGAAGGCTTGGTGAAAATCTATGTGTGCATTCAAAACAGTGATAATAATTTTGATAGGGATATGCGGTGATTCCGAAGCTGCATGGTTCTATACAACCTAAGGCTTATTTGTTGCACAATACGAGCAAACGCCTCGTGCATAATACGAGCCATCAATTAGTGACTTTTGTACTGACTTTAGTGAGTACCGATAAACAGGAAAGCGACATCATTACCACTTTCACATTGGAAAATTCAAATACCTATTGGTGGAAGTATTAGGTTTACCCCATATTTCATTTGAAACGAAAACTGCTGTTATCAGCAGCACTCAGTACTTTTAATGGTTGAAAGAAGAAAAAAGCGGTACGAAGCACAATCTTCGTGAACATTGATATCAATAATCAAGGACGGTAATTACGATAATCCCAATAACAAACAATTAGATTTCACGATGCCTATCCTAATACTTGTCTTTAAAAACACAGATCTTTATCGCAATCTCATTGACGTTGAACGTTGAAAATCTACTTGAACAATCACGTTTCAAAGAAGAGCTCAATTTTTTGCTACAGACTGGAAAACCATCAATATACTAACAAGGGATCAGCAATACGATAATTTTGTACCTAGTCTTCTGGTATGCTATTGTTCATATCTATTCGGGCAAGGTTCTCGCATTCATAATGCATGCAGATCGGTAATAAGTCATCCATGTAATGAGCTTTCGTTGTCACTCTGGGCCATCATTGTGTTCTAACTCTAGCCAAACTCCTAAGTACACACATACCGTTTCATTGTGTCTTGTATCTTGATACGTAATACTGGGGAAGTGAGATTTGAGCAGGAAATGTGTATTTAAGTGTGCTTTTTGAGAAAGAAATGGGATAAATTGACTGTATATCACCCTTCGAGAGAATTGAAAAAGGTAGACAATGTAACGGGAGTATCACTGGAAAAATATTTTTAGGGACTTATCCAGAAAGAGCAATAGGAAGCAAAAGATGAAATACCCTAATTATGTGAGGCGATGGAGATGACCGGTTATGGATTGCGTAAAGTAGCAATTGGTGGATAGATGTGGGATTACGACAAGAAAAAGGATCTATAAATTCAGATAAACATGATTTCCTTAGCAAGGGCAATCCCATTACTTTCATCAATGTACTGATCGTAGTCATTTTTAGTATTTGAAGTTTCAATTTAATCTTAGAAAGTACAAATACGTAGTGATCATCTCCAGACATAAACCGTTTTCCTCGTATATCTTGCGCATGTTTGGTGGCCATCCTCACAAGGCATACCATCTAGTCATGCTGTTTTAAAAAAAGATTATTAGGCCATATAAATTTACTCATGTGATGTAGAATAGCCTTCACTATCACATTTGATGTTTTTACGCACTGGATTTCATCGAAAGAATCTCTTTTCTCGTGTATTGAAAAAGAGACCTCCAAACGAAAAGTGGTCTATTATTCGAAAAAAGTAAGCATATGCAGGTGTATCCAAATGTGGATCTTGAATCTCTCCAAACGTGCGAGCGGGACTCTTAACCAATGCATGCAGCAGATCTGGTGCATTTCAGCGTTCAGTTTTGGAGATATTCACATTACCTAGTGTGATTCCCACATTGAAAACCACGTTCAATAGACCTAGGAATTCCTTGTTTTTGCTCTACAATGATTTGTTTCGTAGTTCGATTTTGTTTCTACGTGACCTTCGGGTTTGCGAGCATTACAACAATCTCAACTTCTTCCACTATTACAACAACGAGCTTTACTCAGGCATCTACAGATTCATTCCTTATCCAAACAGGAGCGGGTTTGGAATTTAGTAATACGGTATTCTACGGAATTCAGATTAATAACTACGCCGATTTCATTGCCTACACTGGAGGAGCAGCAGCGACAATGAACTTTGGAGCCCTGACAAATCAAGTTGGAGGACAGGTTCAAATTGTTGGAACATCATTAACCAACTTGGTATTAACTCACCAACTGTCTTTTTTCAATGAAGGATCGTACTCTGTCACAAATACGGGCCAGTTGTATTTACTGCTGGGAGTAGTGAGTACTGAAGCATTCACCAACTATGGAACATTTCAGGTCAGTTCCGATACATTTGTTTCAATGTCCTATAGCAAGCCGATAATTAATTACGGATTTATAAGTTTCCTGAGTCCTCTAAGAGGTGCTTATTCATTTTACGGTCCAAGTGTTAATTATGGAATTATTACCACTTCATCAACCGCTTCTAATGACTTACTTACTTTGACGACCTTTGAGAATAATGGATATATTCGCCACAGCTTTGGGCTGCATCCTTTGTCAGGGTTTTCTATGAATGGAGTCTTGACAAACAACGGTATTATAAATGTTTATGGAAAAACTGGACGTACACCTATGGTTCAGAGAGCCTCAACTAATTTGTATAACAATGGTGCATTTTGTATCCAGCATGCTTCTCTCACGCACAATGCTCCTGTGATTGGAACTGGATGTTGGTCACTTTCTGCCCTATCAAACTTGAATCTTCAACTTCTGTTCGAGTTCGACCAAAATCAGGTGATTGTCTTGGCGGATTCTACAGCTGCAATCAACTTGAAGACCATGCCAACCAGCTCATCACGTTATTCTGTATACGGAGTTAAAAGTGGTATGTCATTCATCACCTCCACCTCTAGCATTGTCAAAGTAGCGACGTATGACGCCTCTACCGGCTACTTGACTGTCCTGTCTACGACAGCATCTATTATTTTTGATGTTGGCTTAGGATACGACCCTTTGGGATTCTCCGTATATGTGGGAGTTGTAAAATATGTTGGAACAGATCCAGTCGCAAGGGATGTTCCGTCTATTTGTGCTTGTGAGCCAGAGTCGTCATCTTCTGCGCTTTCGCTGTCTGAAAACTATAGTTCATCAACCAGTTCAAGGGGGGAAACTTCTTCTGAGAGCTTCTCGGATAGCTCTTCCAACTTTTTTCACGATACCTCCTCAAACACTTTATCAGAAAATTCTGCAAGAACTTCTTTTGAAAGTGTAACAATCTCTTCTTCAGAAAATTTAAAAAGTTCTGAACAAGACCAGTCTGGAACTTCTCTAAGTGTCTCAAACTCACAAGACAATTCTTTTAAAACTTACCATACGGCGATCTCCTTAGAAAGTTCTTCTGAAAGCATAACCTTTAGCCTTAATGAAAGCTCTTACTCAGATTCGGCAGAAATATCTTCTCGATTTTCTACTGGTGCAGTTTACACCAAAAGTTCTTCAGAAGCTATCACAGAACAATCATCTCAAAATGATTCTGCTACGACACCAATTGACTATTTCGAAGTTACATCAGAATCCTCATCAATGATTGAGTCTTCCGACCACCTATCTCAAAGTGCGAGAAAAAGTTTATCTGTTGTATCATCAGAAGATTCCTTTGAGGGTATTCCCGAAGCTTTTACCAGAAGTTCCTCAAGATGGAACTCTGAAATCACGCTGCAGAGCTCTTTGGAAAGTGTACCAGGCAGTACATCTGAGAGTACATCTGAGAGTACATCTGAGAGTACATCTGAGAGTATATCTGAGAGTACATTAGGTATCTTGACCTCTTCAGAAAACCACTCAAGAAGTTCTAATATTAGTTCTGAAGCATCTACTGACAACTCTCTTGAGAGCTCGACGGAGGATAGTCATTCGTCTAAACCATTCTTTGAAAGTTTGACGGACAGTATATCGGTCAGCTTCCATGAAAGCTTCCTTGAAACTTCTCTGAAAATCTCTCTTTTCATTCCATCAGAGCTTTTATCGGCATCGTCTGAAGTTTCTTCTAGAAGCGGGTCAGAAATCTCGTTCACAGCCACTTTGGAGACCACCTCGAAGACCCCTTCCGACAAGAAATCAGAAAGTGCTTCAACAAGTTTTGAAGAGACCTTTAAGACTTATGAAGAAAGTTCATTGGATTCCACGCACGGATTATCGGAAACTTTAACTCAAAGTCTTCAACAAGAAACTTCAAATTGTCTATTGATAATTTCCTCTGAAACTGATTCTCAAATATCAAGTGAGAGAGTTTCCGAGAGCAATGCGGAGAATAAGAGCTCTGTTGTAACCCAGACTGAAGAAAGTATCTTTCTGCTGATATTGAATTCTGGCTCCGTTACCCTGGGAATTTCAGACTCTTCTAGTTTATTTGAGATCAAATCTCAGTTTCTGGTATACCTGACTTCCTCAGGTGATATTGGAACTTCTTTGTCTGTTGACATTTCTAGAGAATTTTCAGAGACTAAACTCTCTGAGAAATCTTTGACGACGACCTTGGTAGCGTTAGAAGCGTCTAATAGTTTGAATCTCGGCATATCCTCGCAAGACTCACAATCAGAAATTGAAGAGACAAGTCAAAGCTCCTCAGACTTCCAATCAAATCTGGCATCTGACAGCAATTCGTTGACAAATTCCAATTCTCAATCAAAACTCAAGTATCTGTCAGAACCAGACTCAACTGCAAGTTGGAAGTCATCAAAATTTACGGATTCTCATTCCCAGTCTCTTACAGCATTCTCTGAACAAATACTGAATTCGTCATCATGGTATGCCTCTCAAACTTCGACAAATTTAAGTGGAACTTCAACCGGATTTGAAAGCTCGTCACTGCTTGTCAGGACAATTTTTTCCCAGGCTGATTCTAATTCTTGGATCCCAACTACTGATGCTGCTTCTGAGTATGCTTCAGCCACAAAGTCATCACTGATGTCAATTTCAGAATCAATTTGGGTTGAAAATGATTTCACTCCAAGTTCTTTCTTTCAGTCTAGCAGTGTGTTGAGTGTGGAATCAATAATATCATACCACACGTCAGATGCAGCAGAAAGTCCGAAATCATCTTCTTACTTCCCTACGGCCTCGTCTGATCAAGATTTGTTGTCATACATTACATCTTTTATCACTACAGACTCTGAAGGTATCACCAACACATACTCAGGGTTGGTAATTATCACAACTGACTCGGTTGGTTCAATTTTCACTTCAAGTTCACAATTTCCGAGACTCTTAGCAGCGGAAGCGTACACAGTATTCTGGACTTCAACTGCTCTGGATGGATTAATTCAAACAATGTCTGGGAAAGTCGTTATAAGTACTGACTCAATAGGCTCCTGGTATACTTCTACAACCAAATTTGCGATGATTCCTAATGCTAGCACTTCAAGTAGTAACAGCATCATAACGGAGACCATCTCCTCTGAGGAATCGGACCTACGCAGTTCAATGTCAGAGATATCGTTTGATTCGACAATTTCTGCCAAAGCTAGTGTCGTTTCTGAATATCCACTGATATCAACTATGGTATCACCCGAACCCACGAAGTTTTCTTCAGATACTTCGTATCGCTCGGACAGGCCTGATTCATCGAGTCTTCTGAGCTTCAAAATCTCACTTTCAAAGTCTATTAATATTTTTGAATCTTCTACGTGCTTGTCTTCTAGTAAAATAGTTGACAGCAGTACAATGATCTATTGGAATAACAGCTCGGTGTTGGCATTGACAAGCTCTTCTAAACCGACTTCATTGAGCAAGGAGATTGTCGTCTGTCGCAAAGATGGAGCTGATTGTTCAACCTCACGATCGATTACTGATCCCAGTTCGGAATCATTATCTTTGGCTACCACCGGGAGTGAAATCTCACGTTATTTAATAAGAAGCTGGGAATCTAAATCGCAAACGAGCGAGAAAACACAGACTTTGTTAAGGAATACAATAACAGGTGGTTTTAATGAAAACAATGGTGAGAAATCTACACTTACATATCCATCAACTGTGGAAACTTTGCTGAGAAATTTCAGGACGGAGAAATACAAAACTGATAATTCAGCAAGTAATCAATATTTCACCTCCTGTACCACAATGATTGATGTACTTACGAGCACGAGTAGTGGTGAGATTGTTCCTGCAACTCATTCTGATGGAACGATTATTACCACCAGAGTTCCAAAACCTGGCTTCGATGCAGACGTAACTTATAACACAACAGACGAAAGAGGATTGACTAGCATGGTAAGTGAAGTCAAGCAATTCAATGCCACTATAGCAGAGAATGTCTACACTTCATCAGTTCAAATCTCAAAAGCATCTTCAATTTCAACAACTCAAGTGGTCTCTACGAGGAATACCGAGGACGTTAAATTGATATGTAGTTCAACTACATCGAAGCAAGAAGAGCATACTTCAACTAACGCAAAGGTTTCTTCAAATTTGGCAAAGATTAATTCGACGGGCACAACATTGTTATCCAGTTATAAGACTATTAAAAGTTATAGTTTGGCATTAGCCGAAACACAAAATGCCGTGGTTCATGGATGGGCATCCAAACAAGAAATCCATCTAGGAGTTGCTATAGGGATTTTCCTCTTTTCTTTAATTCAGTAATAATATTGGAGTTACTGCTTTTCATTCATGTGGTGTTTCAGTGAGCGCTTCAGCAAATGCTACTTGATGTGAATTTTATAGACATCACTACTGAACTTGTGACTGAGAAAACAACTGTCTTGCTTGTTATTTTTTTTTTGCGTTATGCTACCTTCGTCTTTGAAGCATGGAAGTAACGAGAGAATGTAAAGTTCAATCTTGTGGCTCTAGGAGTTAAACATAACATAGACGATCTCCATTAAAAACTGTTCAAATGAGGTATTCCAAATATTCAGAAGGTAACAGCTGCATCCCCCAGGGCATTTAAAAATGACTATTATGGAAACAAGCTGTATAGGATTTGTTCATAGGTTTCTCTACTAGAATACACATTCTCCCAGGTAATCCAAATTCTGGACAACAAATAATATGATATTTAATTCTTCTCAATTAAGCTTTGCAGTTTTACTCTTATGAGTGAGATGTTGCGGAAGCGCAAGCTTGTTACTCACTTGCAACCAATGTCTTACAACCTACTCGATAGCAATGACAAATTTCCTCATTTCACGTGTCAAACCCAATCGGAATTTCATTATGAGTTTATAAATTTTACATTTCATTTTTCAGAACACAAAAAGCAAAAAAAAGTATGAGTGGAAAACTTAATAGGATAAGCTGCGAAATTCATGCACAAATTGATATTCAAAATACTGCATTTCGTATATCTCATGTTTTGTGCGTCAGGTCAATGCACAATATGGGGCAACTTTTGTTACACAAATTGTGTCCAGCGATTCACACATTTGTAAAGATCAACATTTGTAGCATTGCGAAATCCTTCCAAAGTTGAGCACTCACCTATCTTGATTATAATTTTCTTTGGTACACTATTTCTATGTTTCGTGTTGCTACGAGTTGATTGGATCTTAAAACAATCTCGATTCTGTGCCCGTTAGTTTTCCTGATGGGTTGAAAATAAAATGTGCGACAAGATATCAGTGAAGTCTTTCAGGAAAGTCCAATCGTCCTTAACGAGTTCATCACTAAGCAGGACAAATTAAACAAACTTTCAATACAGGGTATGGAGTTAGCTCCTTGTTTAGCAAATAAAAAAGTAATCAAACGTGTTAGGAAAGTTGGTTGCAATAGTATTAGTAGAAATCCAAGTTTATAAATTGGAAAAGTTCTTACCATGACATCATTATTTGAACTTGTGTTTCTTGATGCTGTAGATAGTAAATGTCCCTCCAGTGCAGATATGCGTACCGCCATAAGATTCTTAACCATTGACCTGCTCATAACTTTCCACCTTAGTATAAAAGCTCTTTGTCACCCCCAGTATCTCTAATAGTGAAGATTATTGGTTGTAAATCAGCATATACTATGGTTCGCTTACATATTCAGTTTGGCATTTGCCACTGTGACATCACATCTCCGCTATACTCTTATTTATTGCCGGAAGTTGATCTTCTTAATTGAAGTTCTGAAGATCTTACTTTCTTTCTTATAAACGCTCGAAACATTAGTTCTTACACTCCTATTCAAAGGAAACTTTTATTTCCATTTGAAGATTGAATTGAGAAGGAGACTTCAAGTGATGAAAGAGGCAATTGTAATCGTAAGATGCCTTTCACCTCTTGATTTACGAACATTACGATTATGAAGGTTCAGAATGTCAAGAGAATGAACTGGACTCCTTTCAAAAGACAAGCGCTTCTTCTCGGATTGTAATGATCGAAGAGCGACATATTCGTTCGATACATACTGCGTCAATTACTGCGTCACCCATTGAACAATCTCGAAGTGTTCGGGTAATTCTACATAATGGTCACTTGCCATTATGTATGGTCAGTCACATTGATGTATAATGTTAGTGCAGGTTTCTTGAGATTGATTTGTTCGTAATCAGATTCTTCACTAATAGACCGTGTTTAGCAGAACTGCCAGCCATTAAGGGTTCGTAATGCCCTATTTTCCTATTTCTCAAGGTGTATGATTTTTGTTCTACTTGGCATAAGTGTCACTTCATCTTTTTTTAAGCTTGCGCTGTTGCAACATCCCCAATAAGAATGTGAATAGCCGGTTTCAAGAAATGTCATGATCCACGTCAATTGACTTGGATGGGAGCATGAGTGTTCTAACAATATTCTAGGTGAACTATTTAAAATTATTGGCGACTTCTAATTAATGCCTAAAAGGGAAGCCACTATTGCCCTATAACGGATCAAAATGATAACATGAGTCTTCTCCTCCATCCGTGTTCTTTCCCCTGTTGATGTCGCATTATAGTGATCACTTCGTCATAAAAGTGGCCAAAGTGACAGCTGATTTGAAACTCATCCAACTTCTGAGAAAGCACTAAGCTTTTTAAGTCCTCTCCACGGCGAACAAATAGAGAGAGCCTACTGACTGACAGAGGAACCTTAACTCTACCTTTGATAGAACTCAAGGTCATTTTTTGCAAGAGAGGGAGCTTCCAGTCGAATTCAATACAGCTTCCATTTTCAATTCTAAGATCTTGTAGTGTTGCAGGTAACTCGAGGTAAGAAAGCTTGGATTTCCAAGATTCTGGAAGTGTTAGATCAAGAAATTCTAACTCAGGTGGGAAAGATAGTCTTTGAGATTTTCCCTTGACCGTTATTTCCAATTCCTTCAAACCTTCAGGAAATGAAGTTCGCCTACAGTCTCTAATGGAATGTCCCCTTGCTCTTAAAATTTTGAGTGTGGAAGGAAATTTGACGTTTCGAATACTCTTGATATTCAATCTAGACTCGACTGAGATGTCAAGGAGTTCCAAATCAGGAAACGAAGCTCTATCCAAACTAGTAAGTTGATTTCCAGATGCATATAACTCCCGAAGCAGATTCGGAAATTCGGCATGATCAAACGTACCTATGCAGTTATCGTTCAAATTTAATACCCTAAGGGTTTCTGGAAACTTCAATTTCAGCAACTCCTCGATCTTGTTAGATACCAAATAGAGTTCAACGAGAGACATAGGAAATATTGAACCCTTAATGCTCGAAATATCACAGCACGAAAGATCTAGAACTTCAAGTGAGTCGGGGAACTTTAAGTACGATATTCTGTTACCGATGGAAAATTCTAATGTAAACTTTTTCAACCACCGAGGAAGTCTGGTTCCAAACTCTTCAATATCGAGATCTGGAAAATAAGCAATCTTTAACTCCTTTAGCCCTTCCGGAAATACTACTTGGTTTGAAGCGAATTTTGAAATCGAGGAGAGTGATATTGTTTCTAGTTTTGATGGGAACAGGTTCCAAGACAAATCCAGATTACAACAACTGAGCTCTCTGAGACCCATCGGAAGCTCTATGAGAGTCAAGTTGCTGTGTCCAGAAATCTTCAAGCAAGTCAATGAAGGTGGCCATCGATTCAAAATTCTCGGCCTTGGAAAATTACTGAAACTGATGGAGATCAGTTTCAAGTCACGAGAAATGAGAGAGGGATCAAAGACTTTGGTCTTTTTGAATTCTAAATGTGAAATCTTACGAAACATGACCTCCCTTAGTATCATAAAAGCTTTTTGACAATCAGCAACTAGTTTGACATCAGAGATTCTTGAAAGGAATGAAGGATTCACCTTGAAAAATCTGAGGTACTCGTCCTTCCAATTCAAATACATCGTGCCTATAGGAGCATTAAAGCTTGCTGCTTCCACTAGTTGCTCCAAACAATCAACTTTCACTTTTCTATACTTTCTGTACAAAACAAGTGACTGAAGCAACGGATCCTTAAATATTCCATCGTAGAATGTTTGTAATGCTTTCTCGGAAAAGAAAAGAATAATGTTGTTAATGATTTCTAGTGGAAAGATAACAGCGAGTATTTCAGACATAGTTTTAACGAAATGGTGATAGAAATTATTAATTAAGATTCTATAAGTTAATACAATAGCATGACTAATCTTGGTTTACCTCTGCATACTCGTATCCTTTATCCAAAAGTGAGTCATGCCCCAAAGCAATCGAGTTCTCAGGAAATAAGACTCAAAGGAATACGTTCATCAGTGCAATGGCAAAACCATTTCCACCTGATATACATCACACCACTCTATCATTTTAAGTATCATGTACGCAATAGCGTAGACCCTTTGGTGACATCGTGAAGCCACAGTTGCGGAGTTGGATTTCCTAATTGGGTAAGTAGAAGTCTTAGAAAAGCTCTTGAAAACGATAAAACTGTCTTGAATCTTTTGGTGACTCATAAAATATAAACTGCATTAATGGCGGGCGATTATTTTACAAAAGTTTTGTCTTCGAACTTGGTGATAAATTTTAATTTGCCTTTTTCGTTTCGATTGCGGGATCTATTACCTAAATTGGACAAACGCAGAGGAAATCGCGAACCACTTAAATGGCGACATCTTCTAAATATAAGCCATCCAAATTCCTGGTATTCTCGTTGGTCCAAAGAATGAAAGTGATTATTATTGGCGGTGGTCCTGCTGGTTTGGCAGCTGCCAAAGCTCTTGGGAAGGAACCAGGGAGTTTTGAGATCGACTTATATGAAATTCAACCACAGGTAGGTGGACTTTGGAATTATGTCCCTGAGAACAAAAATGGAAAGCCTAGTTCGGTCAACAACGGATACGTGACTGGCATTTACAGAGAGATGGAGACCAACATCACTAAGGACATTATGCAATATAACGGGTATCCCTTCCCTGAAGAAACGGAAGTTTTCCCCACTAGAGGAGAAGTAGCTGAATATTTGCATGAGTTCTCGAACACGATAGAAAATGTGAAAATTCATCTAAATAGCGAGGTTACTAAGGCCAAGAAGGTTGATGGGAAGTGGCAAGTTGAAGTGCACAATTATGACTCTGGTAAGAATAGGAGCTCTGAGTATGATGCCTTGATTGTTGCAAATGGTCATTTCCGCACCCCATTCTTTCCCCTGGTTGAAGGATTGGATGAGTGGAGAAGAGAATGGCCTGATAGTGTTACTCATGCAAAGTTCTACGACCATGCAGAGCCTTTCAGAGGGAAGCGTGTGTTGGTAGTTGGAAATTCTGCATCCGGAATCGATATCTCCACGCAATTATCAACGGTGGCGTCACAGGTGTACGTTTCATCTCGTAAAAAGGATGAGTTACTTCAGTTGAATAATCCTGTAGTCGTTGATATTGGTGTGGTGAAATCTTACAACCCAGATCGTTCTATCACTTTGGAGGATGACTCAACCGTACACGACATTGATGTGGTGATGTTTTGCACAGGATATCTCTATGACGTGCCATTTTTGGAAGATTATCAAGAAGAAATTAGCCTTAAAACCAGAAGCGGATTCAGAAATATCTACAAAGGTATCTTTTTCATCTATGACCCATCATTGATTTTTATTGCCCTTCAAAAACAAGTGGCACCTATGCCTTTAGCTGAAGCTCAGAGTGTCTACGTTGCCAGAGTTCTCAACAAAAGAATTAATCTTCCATCTACTGAAGATATGGCTCGTTTTGAGAGAGAAGAGACCTCAAAATTTGACTCCGAGTCACAGTATCAGTACCTTGGCTACCCCCGCGATGTTGATTACATCAGCGAGTTGATTCAAGAGGTCCTGGAGCTACAGGATGGATTGGGTGGCCACGAAGCTGAGTTCTGGAACGGCGCTAGAAGGACCTCCAGAAGTTTGTCTGGCCCTGTCAAGAACAAGAGACTAGAAGTCGTGTTGAAGCACACGTTAGAATTGAGAGAACAAAAAAAGGAGTTTGTGATTCTCAGAAATGACTAATGAGACTTGTGATGTGATAGAAAATACTTGGATTTATTAAATAATAGAGTTTACCGAAGAGGATAGATACATTGATTTCAACAACATGCAACAAATCACCCAAAAAGCCACGTAAGTAACAAATTTTCAGATAATTTTGTCGGATGAATCCGGATTACCTGATGCAAATCTTCAACTCTTATCAAGACACTTTCCGGAATTGTGTTGCCGGAGATAGTCAGGGACATAGATAATCCTGAACATAACATTCTCAACAACTAATTGATCTGTCAAGCGTGCACCCAATACTGTCAAGAATTGTACAAAACACTTGGCTGACGTGTAAAGACAGATTTTAAACTCGGGCGAAATGTACCAGAAATGAAGGCAATTTTATTTCTTCCATAATGAGTTTTCTCACTGCTCAAAGATACCGGGAAAGTAATGTTTGTCGGAAAACTTGAATGCGTTTCCAGAGATAAGGTCATACTGCGTTATCATTTCAAGCCCTGCAGTCCAAAGGGTGGGATTTAAAAGCCGGTCTCCAGAATTCCTCCAACCCAGATAACGGTTTCTTGGTATATAATGAGACTTTCTCTTAGTGCCCCAACATCTTCTTTATTTCAGCATTCAGCAATCCAACTATGAGCGAGAAGCACGAAGAGATAATTAGTGTTAGTAATGTGATATCACACAACGGTGGAATCACCACCTTCATGTCTCCACACACTGGTAAGCCGGTGCACATGATAGGTGATAATGATGTGGCTATGGAGTTTGCAGAAAAAATGGAAGATTTTGAAGTCGATCCAGAGGAAGAAAAGAAATTGGTCAAAAAAATCGACATGTATTTGTTGCCCTTAATTTGCATTTTGTATGCTCTTCAATTCATGGATAAAAATTCTCTTAACTGGGCTTCAGTTCTTGGATTGAGAAAAGATTTGAAAATGCATGGTCAAATGTATTCGTGGGCTGGTTCTGCGTTCTACTATGGCTACCTATTCTTTGAGTTCTTCACATCTATGAGTATTCAAAGATTTCCGATTATTTATGTGGTCTCAATTTACATTGTCCTTTGGGGTGTCATTCTTTGCTTGCATTCGGTTCCTCAGTATCCTGGTTTTATTGTGTTGAGAGTCATTTTAGGTGGAATGGAATCTGCGATCACTCCTGCCTTTGTTATCATCACGGGCCAATGGTATACCAAGGATGAAATCTTTCTCAGAACTGCCATCTGGTTTTCCAGTAATGGTGCTGGTACATTGATTGGATCTGGTGGTCTTGCTTACAACATTTACCAACACAGAGAGAATTTCAATCTTGCTCCTTGGAAGTTGATCTTTATAATCAACGGAGTCATCACCATTGGGTTGGGCTTGATCATTCCTTGGCATATCCCTAATAAGCCCACTGAGGCTTGGTTCTTGAACGACAGAGAGAAGAGGGTGTTGGTGCAGAGAATCAAAAGAAACCAGCAAGGTTTTGGAAATAAACACTTTAAGAAGGAGCAATTATATGAGGCTCTAATGGATAGGAGAACATGGGCTTTCTTTTTCATCGGTGTTACGGCTTGCATTCCTAATGGTGGTATCAGTAACTTTGGTGCTATCTTGCTCAGTACCAAATTGGGCTATTCGACATCAAAAACATTGTTGATGGGAATGCCACATGGTGCAGTGGAATTTGGTGGATGCATTTTCTTCTGCTGGTTGTATCGGTTCTACAAGGTAAGATTATTTTGGGGTTGTGCTGGTCAGACAGTCACTATTATTAGTTTCTGCTTCCTAGCATTTGCGCACAACACTAAGGTCGAGTATGCTGGTTATGCTTTGACCTCCATGTTGGTTGTGACTCTCATCGTGGTTGAATCACTTATTGCTTCTAATGTTGCTGGCCACACCAAGAAAGTTGTCACCAATGCTATTTTCTTGATTGGCTACTGCGCTGGTAATCTTATTGGTCCCCAGACCTTCAAGGAAGACCAAGCCCCACAGTACACTAGTGCATGCATCGCTATGGTGGTGTGTGCTTGTATCTGTATGGGTATCATGATCTTGCTTTGGATTGACTACGCCTTGGAAAACAAAAGAAGGGAAGCAAGGATGAACGACCCTACAGTTGTTGAGTTCCTGATGATTGCCAACCATGAGTTTGCGGATTTGACTGACAAGCAAAATCCATTGTTCAGGTATGCTATTTAGTTCTTATTGTGTGATATATATTCAATGAATTTTTCGGAGTGATCTTGCAGATTTCATACAATTAATCTCGTACAAACTATGGGAATTCATGAAGTGCTCATTAATTATAGCTAAATGGCATTGGTTTCTATCTAGAAATATTTTCAGTGACATTTGCTTCCTGTTTTGTGTAGAAATGGATTTCATCCTCCACGGATTTTAATAGCCGTCGCACCTTTTCGTGAAGATTTTGTACGCGAAATATTACTATATCCGGAACCTAACATTGAACATGGCAAAACTACAGACTTCGGTTTGAAAAAGAATCCGAGGTTAAAGTCAAGAAGCATAGTGATTTCACTGGATGAAAGAGAATATTTGAATTTGGAAACGAATTTCACGCAATCGACTCGAAGTTTGGTATACTATATGAACATGTCTCAGTTTCTTCAGTTGTATTTAAAAGTTAACACTTTACAAACAAGATGAAAATGACATCAATGGAAACACTGAAAGAGAGTGCAATAAAATATATGAGAACTGAGCGCTCTTCAAGAAGACAGATTGGAACATCATTCATATGAGTTGATCTGCGGAAGTGCGAGTAACTATATAGGTAAACGATACCGAAGCTCATGTGAGTCTTAAGACTGGTCACTTTTTCTTCAATTGTACTACCTCTCCTGGCCGTTTACGGCCTATAATCATAACGCGATTATTTCTTGTTCATAGCTGGATGACATTGTCTTTTTCTGTACTCCTTCATTCTTATGTAAATGATCTCATTCAACACTAATAAGAACAATACAATCAAAAAAAAGATGCGCAAGCCCGGAATCGAACCGGGGGCCCAACGATGGCAACGTTGGATTTTACCACTAAACCACTTGCGCCGAAAGGTGCTCCGAAACGGGGAATTGAACCCCGGTCTACCACGCGACAAGCGGTAATTCTAGCCACTAAACTATCTCGGATTTCTTGAAGTTTCTTTCTTGAGTTCTCGACCAGTGACATCGATGAATATTTGAAATTTCATCAATTCCAGCACTTCAGCGCATTCTTGCAGATTCACTGTATTCCAATTTCAGTCCTTCTAGCATTCTGCCAATTTTTTGAAACCCACAAATTCATTGCATGCAACGGCCCCAATATTGCCCCAATGTTGAATCCAATGAACACAGGCAGCCCCACTATACTGATAATGCTCCCTGTTAGCATGAAGGTGTTCGTGGGTTTTCCTTGGAGACATCAATAATAAACTGGCCCCGATTTATTATTGCACAAGTGCGAGATATTGCAATCATCGAGAAACACTGTGAAGGGCTTGAAAAGCAACATTCAAACTATATTGGCATAATCGATGAATAATGCATGTTATTAAATTAATTTGTGTTCAGATATAGCGATGAAACAAAGTACTTGATGTTCCTGAGATGAGAAGTTAGAATTCCAGCAAACATCCAATCAAATGCACAGTAGATTAAATCCGAAAACTATTCGAAGCAGTAGAAAAGGAGTATTGTTAAGGGATATGTTTTTGTGAGATCTGCAACTGATTCCTTTGATAATCAACATGATACTTTTCTGCTTATGAAACTATGAAGTGTCCTGACTCTGTTGAAATATAACAAAAATGCATTCAATTGTCATCTGTTATACTCGATCTTATTTGTTGCTCCAGCCGAGGCGACTTTTGACCAATTTACGAACTTTGAATCAATTCATATGCCGGATATCTCGTATAAACCTTTATTCTAGTCGTTGACGTCGAAAGGTGCGTTCAAATATTGACGGTATTATCTGCAGTATTTAAGTACTCCGGGCAACTCGCATATAAAATATTACATTGGACCAACGATGCCTATTGATTCCACTACGGCTTCAATCAAGTTTTTCTAAAAACCATCATAATACTGTTCATCTAATCTAGTCTTGATTATATTAATTGTTATAATTGCAAATAAATGAGAAAAAGAAGTGGGGACATAAGTTAGAATTCAAATGTCTGACCTACAGTGTAGATCAAATATTATTATAGAGACATAAATTATAAAATTCTCAATTCCGTGAGTGCATTTATCGGGAATCTTGCGGGGGTATAAAAACATGGATACTTGAACGACCTTCTACCATCCCTGGAAATTTTACAAAGTAATGATGTTTAAAGGGTTATGCACATTGCCATTTCTTGTTACATTGGTAAGGGCTGCAGTTACTGCTATCTCCACCGCCACAACAATCACAGCTGCAACACTCCTTCAATCGAGTACTGACTCTTACTTGATTGAAACAGGTGGAGTCTTGGAATTCACCAATGCTGCAGATGTGCGGTTTCAGCGTGGCTTCAATGTTTATGGTGATGTCATTTTGCACTCTCAACAACAGACACTACTTGCGATTTATAGCAGCACTTTCGAGGATGGGTCATCCCTCAAGTACGATGCCACGGGAACAGGAATGGTATCTTTCTTTAGTGCAGGTGGAATGAATAACCATGGTGATATTCTTGTGACTTCCCAGGATGCATTCATAGATGCTACAATCTCTGGGTTTGGTGATATAATAACGAACACGGGAAGTATAGTAATTCACTCATTTGGTGCAGTAAATGGTTACTTTTCTGCTAATATCAACAACACAGGAATTTTCACTGTCATGGGTGAAAAGAGTGCATCATTTGGCATCCATGGTCCCATCACTAATACTGGAACAATGACTTTCTACGGTAATTCTACTTCAGATTCAATCTATTGGGGCTCAACCTTTACTAATAGTGGAACTTTTCTCTGGCAATACAACGAATATGCCTCAGGATCATCACACGCTCTTGAGCACGTACAGCCAGTGACCAACACCGGTACTATTAACGTCTTTGGTTCTGCTGGTACCTCACCTTTGATATATTACTCTCCATTGCAAAATGATGGATCAATTTGCCTCAGACATACAGGCTATAGTTCAACTAGCTCTTTGACAGGAACTGGGTGTTTTTTGGCATACGATTCATCCGCTCTTACCTTTAATTATGCTTCGGGAATTCCTGAAACGCAGAACATTGTTATTGACTCCACATCGCATATTTACATCTCTTCAATGAGTTCAAATGGAGCTGTGTATCCGCTTTATGGAGTTAGTAACGGTATGACGTTTCTCACTTATACTGGCTATCTTCCAATTTCGGTAAGTTACGATGATACCCAAGGATATTTGACATTATTAGCAAGTTCAAGTTTATTTGTTGTATACGATATTGGCTATGGATACAGTCTGGATGGATTTTCTGTTACAGATAATGAGGTTACATATTTGGGTTCGGATCCGGAAAGCCGTGGCATACCTACCTTCTGTGTTTGCTCTTCAAGAATTTCAGCCTGGGAAAGATCTGAGTCTTCGAGTGTTTCTTCATTATCTCTGGTAGGAGACTCCTCTTCACTTGAAGAATCATCGTCGACTGTTGAAGTGACCTCAACTCTTGAAGAGCACTCCTCGAGTACTGCAGTCATATCTTCTTCGCTTGAGTTGTCTTCCTCTCTTAATCTGTCACCATTGGGTGAATCTTCATCTAGTGCACCATTCTCTGATCATTCAAGCAGTTATTCAGATACATCTTCCATTAGTACATCAAGCTTTGAAGTCTCGCAAAGCGAGTCGGCCACACACATTAGCTTACAATCATCAACAGTGGATGTTTCTCAGGGCTCCTCGGTATACCTAAGCGAATCCTCAGACCACAGCACTATAATAACTAGAACTTCTTCCGAGGTTCTTTCCAGCTTTTCAGGATCGTTTTCCACCTTTGTACCTACCTCCTCAGCTGGTTATTGGAACAATACATTGAAGAGCATCTCGTCATTGTCTTCTTCTATCATAGAATATGAATCCAGCTCGCATGACATCATTATTTGTCGGCCTGGTGAGGAAGGTTGTATTCTCGCAAGCTACACAAACACTGAAGCGGACTCTTCAACTTCTACCTCCTTGACTGGCACGCTTTATACTGATAAGGAGGCTACAAATTCAAACCACTTGGCAATTGCAACCATTTGTCCAGAATGCACGCGGTACTTGTCCACATGGACAACCACTATTACTGCTGGGGTGACTACAACTGTATGTGGTGAAGTTGTTGTAACATCGGATACTCAAGGCAGTTTGATTACTTCACTATTTCCAAGTAATCAGAATGAAAAGACTGTGACATTTTCGACCACTGACCATTCGGGTCTGACAATCACGGTATGTGGAATAGAAAAGCTTACAACGAACACATCAGGAGATGTACAGATCGCCACTCTTTCAATTTCAAAATTGACCGAAGGTTCAGGAATCAAAGCTTGGACAGAAACATTAACATCCATGAAATCACAGAATGTTTTGATTTCTACGATTGGTTCTCCTGCTAAGCGGATAACTTATACTACGAGTTCTGAGACAGTACCTGCTGTTTTTCAGTCAGTTATTCCCGGGGATGCATCCTCAGTTGGAGCTGCATCGCCCCTCCTTCTTGGATTGATTTCTTTTATTTTATTCTAATTCACTCTCTTTTACTTTCCATTAAGGAATACACTCTGATATACCATCGCATTATCAAAAACAAATCCCCATTCATACTAATAACAACGTCAAGTTAATCTAATTTAGTAAAGTTCAATTTTTGGGCAGGCAAGGTTGCATTCTACGTGAAGGTTAGCTAATCTCACTAGAACGGAGTAAAAATGTAGTCGACCAACATCAAGACTATGGTTCCTGGGCATACATCATCTTATCTATCGAAGTGAGATTAAGAGAATCATTACCGCAAAGGATGCCGCCCTCGTTGAAATCATAGATTCTGTTCACCCCTTTCTAAACAGTTTTGTTCTTTATTCTGACCCTCCAAACAGAGTTCATCCTAAGTTACTAAAAAATGTGCGTCAATAAGCTGTTCACTTATGAATTCGAAACAGACGCAGTATTGTTGCAAATTCAGCATTATAGTGTGCAAGGAAAAGCTTTCAAACCTTCTTCTCTTGAAGCTATGGAAGGTGCCTGAATATTGAAAGGGTGCCTCTGAAAGGTATTAGATACAATTTACCGTAAATTACCACTTGATTGTCAATGAATTCTTTTTTTGAAAATTGTATCGGTTGTTCAGGCGTTTTCCAATTGTCGCTGGGCATTGTACACTACTACATGCATCTACCCGCAATAAGAATGACATCCATTGGGTACATCAACAACTCAGCATAAATCTGATAAAAGTTCAGAAAAGAATCTCATCTTGGTGTGTGGGAATTGTATTCTATTACATTTTGCTTGGTTCAGAGTTGTATTTTTTGTATTCGAGCTGATATACACCTCAATGAATCGTATATTCAGGTCAACCATAAAGGGATATGACGAGATAGATGTCTTTTGACTAATTCGTCATCACTCCGTTGAAAGTTGCATCCAAGGAAAGTGTCTAAGAGAAGAATTCTATTTAGTAAATATAGAGTCCTATCATGGTAGTATTTGTCACGGGAGGTACAAAATCTTAGGGCGACCTTTTTCGACGGCATACAAGTCGATGCATTATCGGGCAAGCCCGCATAAAAAATACACCTTGATATACCAGTCATTTCTAAGACTTGTACGAATGTTCCCAATTAGTTCTAGAATTCTCTAGACTCGATGTTAGTATACATATGTGGGTTCAACGTTACAATGGTGTATCTTAATTGTTCTTGAATTAAGTATAAAAGTTTCAACTTGTAGTAATTTAGGGCGCGTGAAAAGATTTTATGAAAGAATACGATTTGTTATCGTAAACCCACGTCGGCCACTCATACAAGAGTGTAATTTTTAATAATGTGCATAGGAATGTATGGAACGACCCATTTATTACACATCAAAAAGTATTGAATTATATTCTTTATAGTAAAGAATTTGCGAGTCTGAAAATTAGGATCTAAGAGCACTCAATTCAGTATTCTGATAGATTTTCGATTTAAATCCAGTCTCTCAAACTTGTACGTCACTAAGATGTTTTTCCAATTAGGAAGATTTCCAGATCTGATTCCGCCGGTCAAACCTAAGCTATAGACTTTTGCGTGTGCTCAAAGCGAGTTCGTAGAACCTGTTTATTCAAGAGAATTACCCGTTTCCTAGAGCTTGGACTAAACGCTACTAAAGCACGGCATGTGATATGCTCACACAGGCTCATACAAGCCTACACAAGACAATTTATAGCGTTACTGCAGAAATTGCAATGATGCCTAACTGAATTCATGCGGATATTCATCTAAAACAACCTGGATCCAGATCAACAATAACATCCCTTCGTCGAACGTTGCATTATAAGTTGGGTAATGCGAATCCCCCTCTGCCTTTGATGATTCGTACTGTGTTTATCTGTGCTCAATAAGCCATGTCGCATCACTGCCCGACACTAAATGCCATGTATCAAAAAAAAAATATTATACACTGTTGTGAAAGCAACATTACTGCGCGTTATATACAGAGTTTAAATGATGTTTTCTCTTGGCGGATTTCCGTAAATATAGATAACTTCAAGTATGGATTGTATGTGGGGATGAATTTACGAATCTTCCGATTATTTAAGAAGCTTGAATTTGAAGCTACAAAGAAAGTAAGTATTTTTGAGAACGTTAACAATGAAGATTTTGGCTTTAGTTTTCTTCTTTTGTATTTCCGCTGCTCTCGAAATTACTCAAGACACTGTGGTGGACGAGCCAGGTGCCTTACTGTTTGAAAGCGTCCATGTTTCGTCTGCGGCTTTTTATTCTATCTTTTTCCCTTTAGTGACTACCGTCTCTGGTGATATTCAAATAGGTAGAGATTCGGGTTGGTACATTATCGCAGTTTACAATTCTGACCTCGAATACCCGGAAATTTTGACTTATGAAGGCTTCTCATTTTCCTCAACATCAGGAAGTATCCTCAATGACGGAGATCTCGTTTTTAACGCAACTCAAGCTAATTTCTACACCACCATCACAATGGAATCTACTACCTTCATTAACAATGGTAACATGTGGCTTGGGACTGGTCTGTTTTCGGAAGATACTGCTATTTCTATCATTTCAGAAGGTGAATGGCTAAATGAAGGAAAACTCTTCCTCAGACTGGGCAATGGTAATCCCTTTGGTAATTACAATTTGGAACTTTCAAGTTCTTCTGGAATTTTGACCAACGAAGGTACCATTTGCATGTTCCGCCTTTTCTGGGACCAGACAGCCAACCTTGAGGGTTCAGGTTGTATCAATGTGGAATACTTGTCAAAATTGAGTATCAACTTGAACTCTTATACTTTTGATGAAGATCAATCCATTTATCTTTCAGGTTACAGGTCCTCCAATTTAATGTTTGACGGAATCACTGACTCTCTGACTGGAACTAGAACGTTTACAGTGTATGGGTTCGCCTTTAGCAACAAAATCTCTTTCGGATCACTCTTTTCTGGATACTTTTACTCTAGTACTACTGGAATTTTGCGAGTTTACTTTAACCAGGGAAGTTTGTTATTCGATCTTGACGTCGGACCAAACCTCGATCTGATATCTATTAGAACAAATGGGGAAGATGGCACTGGTACAGAAATTTGGTATCCATCAGACAACCCAAGAAGAGCTCCATACCTTTGTGAATGTGAAGATTTTCCTGTTGCCCCACTGGTAGTAAGGACTAGCACTCAGTCAAGTTCAAGCGAAGAAACATCCTCGACAGTTGAAAGTGCTGATGTAAGCACCTCAAGTGAAGAATCATCATCGACTTCAACGAGCTCTAATAATGTTGAGAGTTCCTCTAGTGAAGATTCATCTTCCACCTCAGGAGACTTCAGCACATCTGCTAGTTCTTGGAATGAAGAAAGCTCCACCACCGAAGCAAGTTCATCGTCGACTGCGGAAACCTTTAGAGCTGATGCAAGTACTTCATCTTTTACACTCGAAGGTTCTAGCACTGATGCTAGCTCACCGAACGAAGCAAGCTCTAGCAATGAAGCAAGTTCTTCAGGCAAAGAAGCGAATTCATCTTCAGATGATTTCACTGCTAATATTGCCTCTTCGAGTACACAGAGCTCTTCTTTTCAGATATCTGAAACCACGTCATTTAACTCTCCACCATTTCAAAACTCAACCTCAAACACCATCACTCTGTCAAGCTTGACTTCTTCGACTTTGCCAAGTACTTCCGAAGAAGTGAGATCGCTGAAAGTTAGTGAGGTGATTACCTCCACTAGGTCAGACTTCTCAAACGAAAGCTCAGAGACAGAAGGAGCGTTGACGTCATCTCTTGGAAATATTGTTTGCAGGCGAGATGACGTTAATTGTGTCCATATAGATTCTTCAAAGGAAGCCATTACTTCAACCGTTGACTCTGAGTCATTACTGACCAGCCCTTTCAATTCCATCGTTGAAGACACTTCGATTGTGACGACTAAAACAAAAAGTTCATTGGAGGCAACTATTACTGTCGAGGAAACGACATACATAACAACATGTGTTAAGACTCGTGAGGATGGCTCGGTCTCTACTGACATCCTTTACGTGATAGTCACAAGTGATGAACATGGAAGCTTGTGCACCACATCTTTGGCACTTGACTATCCTAGGACGTATACCACTCGCACCGTCGATTTTATCAATGGAGTCAGAACAACGATCTGTGCTGAAGTTGCTATCTCAACCGGCAAAGAAGGAGGATTTTTCACTTCCATGCTGTTTTCCGATAAAGGACTGACATACACGTACACTTCAATGGATGAAAATGAGAAAGGTCAGACTATTACTGTTGTTGCAAAGCCTACTGCTGACCTCAAAGGAAATATTATTTTGACCACAGTGAATGCAAAGACGATGACTACATCAATAAGTGGATCCAATGCTTCGTCTGGTTTTCTAACACAGACTAGGTCTACTGCAAATGCTCAAGCATCAGATAATCAGACTCTCGAACATCAAAGCACACATCAAAGTGCTAATCTATCGAACTATACTACAGTGTTCGAAGGAATTTCCTCGACTAAAACCTTCAATTTTGGTGTTTTCATTGCACTTATTGCATTCTCGTTTGTTTGATTTTTCTCGATAATGGTCTTTTATATTCTTTACTTCGGATTTGATTTCCTGGCTTGTGGCACTCAAATGACCACATCACAATTTCCAAAGTTTTCGTCGTTTTCAATTCCAATTTGATACTGTAAATCAAACTATATCTGTTAGGCAGAATCAAATTGGAAAGAATTATTAGGAAATTAAGCATCATTGAGGGCCAAATTTGACCTCTTTAAAATACTGGCACGCTGAGAAGTTGTGGAGTACTGTAGCCACACCCTTTTCTTGTCCATCTTCAATTACAGACTACAAGATATTCTGTCTAAGGGCGGTTGAATTCCTGTTTCTACTCGATTGCGTGTCCATGCCTTTAAGTTTTGGATTCGAGCTTGAAGAGCCCTTGCCGCGATGCCAATAAACAACCATATGTGTCTATTGCATCTGCTACTTCATTCTTCACTAAAATACCACCCCTGGACAAAACTTTCTGTTTTGAACTCAAAAACCAATGACATGTAGCCAGAGCCCTTCTGTAATCCCTCTTGAACATTATTCCAGATACAATAAAATCTTCTAAGAGAAATATCTATGGAGAGGAACAATTTCTATTCAGGGTGGATTGTGATACGATTGGTGATGCCTGCGGATTTATTAAACAACAGACCTTGTCCTTGTAGCACGAAGTGAGTATGAGTACTGGATTATTGGTGATATTCGAACTCTGCTATTGTGATTCTATTTCTGGTGGATTGTACACACAATTGCCTGAGTCAACGGTTGAATATCTCGACCATTATTTTTTCGGGCAAACGGTACCTTCCTCAGGATACAATTATTGAGCCTCCTTTAATGATAGATTCTTCTCATTCATCAAGCCAACTGTTAAAAGCTTGCATCCAGCAAGGAGCTCAAAATGATATAGGTTGCTTTGATTATTTTTTTAAGCAGATACTGGTTTTGATGATCATGATGCCGAAGAAGTTTGGTAGAAGTAGAATCGAAAAGCAAGTTTATCCTCCCTAAATATCATTTAACGTTACGGATGCAGAAGTCATAAATCATTTCATCTAGTTTTCACTTAAAATAACGAATCAGGAGGTCTTAATATAGATTCGTGCTTCATATGGAGTTAACTCATTTTCAGAAGGCGAAGCAACGTTGGCCAAAACGAGGTCAAAGTCCCCGGACACTCCCTTCTCAAATTTTTGAATGTCTTTTGTGAAGTTAAGTACCACATAAGCCTCAGATTCTCCGTTAGTTTTTGTGTAAGAGAAAATGCTCTGATTTTCGAAGTCAAGGATATTTAAATCTCCATAAATCAAAACATCCTTGTACTTCTTCCTGACAACCAAAGCTTCTTTCCAGAAACTGAAAAGAGAATCTTTAATATCAACCTGAGATGCAGCATTCACCTCTTTGTAATTATCATTTACACGCATCCAAGGTTTTCCAGTTGAAAAACCAGCATTTTCAGAACTATCCCATTGAACTGGAGTTCTAGAGTTGTCTCTCGCCAACAAATTGATTCCATCCATAACTTTGTCCAAACCCACATCGCCATGAGCATCCTTGTACAGTTTATAATAGTTTATGGTGCTGATGTCCAAATATTCCTTGATGTCCCAGGATCTGGGAACATTAGTCATTCCAATTTCTTGACCTTGATAAATAAACAAGGTACCACTCAAAGAAGCCTGCAAGGTTGCTAACATCTTTCCTGACTTGAACCTCCATTGAGGCAGGTCATTGCCGAATCTGGTGATCGAGCGAGGCTGGTCATGATTCTCGATGAAAACGGTACTCCAAGCATCGGTTCCCTCAGCAAAAGAGCTCATATTTCTAACAGTTTGCTTAAAATCGCTAAGCTTCCACTCTTTGATGCCGTACCTGTCTTGAGGATCAGTACCCACCTGGACCACATCAAACAAGAACATCATGTTCATTTCCTTTTCCTTAGCACTCACATATTTGAGGGCATCTTCTCTTGTCGAGTGTCCAATTTCACCCACCGTCATAACGTCATATTTGGATGTAGCTTGTTGGAACATCTCTTTGTGGAATTCATGAATACGTGGTCCTGACTGACAAAACTGGTCAAATGGCTGCCACTCCAGATCCGGAATAAGTATAGGCGCATCTGGAAATGTTTGAACTTTGGAGTACAATCCTGCGACATCAATTCTAAACCCATCGACACCTTTATCGAGCCAGAAGATCAAAGCAGAGTCGTAGATTGCCTTTCTAGTTTCTTCATTCTCCCAGTTGAGATCTGGTTGAGATTCTGCGAAAAGATGTAAGTAGTATTCATCGGTTTCCTCATCATATTTCCAGGCTGATCCAGAGAATACTGACTGCCAATTATTGGGAGGATGTCTGTTTCCTTCCTCATCGTACTTTGGAGGTTTCCAGATATACCAATCTCTCTTTGGGTCAGTTTTACTAGACCGGGATTCCTTGAACCATTGGTGTTCTGACGATGTGTGATTAACCACCAAATCCAAAATCAAACGCATTCCACGCTTGTGGATTTCTTCAATCAACTTGTCCATATCGTCCATTGTGCCATACTTGGAGTACACGGCCTCGTAATTGCTGATATCATAACCCATATCATCTTGAGGTGAGTCGTACATTGGAGACAACCAAATAATGTCTACACCGAGCCTTTTCACATAATCCAATGTCGAGATGATTCCTGGAATATCGCCAATTCCATCACCGTTGGAATCCTTGTAGGATGCTGGCCAGATTTGATAAATTGAAGCTTCTTTCCACCAAATTTGAGACATTGTGGATTCTTCAGGCTCACAAAAGGTGCAATGGAGTTGAATTTATAGTCAATTGACACAATATTCAATTTGGATTATTATTGTCTTCATTTGAGTAATAATTGCGTTTGCAAAAACTCGCAAATTTAATTATCCCGATCCAATTTGCGGGGTGTTAAGAGGTAAACATAAAAATAACGTTGTGCTTGAAACGACCTAACCCCACACAAACTTTCGCGTATTCGGTAATCAGGTTACTAAGCAGCCAAAAATGTTCTGATGATATACTACAATGTCGTCAGCAAAAGATATCTTTCAATTATTAAAAGAAGGTCAGACTGTTCCTTCTGATCACCCAGAAACTTATAAGCTAAGAGATGCATCGTTTGAGACGAAGAAATTGGTTACTAAAATGACCAACTCTGCAGATCCTAAAGAGATCAGACACTACTTGAGTTTAATCACAAACAGTGTAATTGATGAAAGCGTTGTTGTGTTCACGCCTTTGCATATCAATTATGGGAAAAACATAAGGCTTGGAAAGAATATTTTCATCAATTTTGATTGTGTGTTCTTGGATTTCGGTGGAATTACCATTGAGGACGGTGTTAAGATCGCCCCTAAGGTCAATTTATTATCTGAAGGACATCCACTTGCTTCAGAAAACAGGGATTCACTTGAAGCCGGACATATCCACATCAAGAAAAATGCGTGGATTGGTGCAAACTCAACTATTCTTGCCGGGGTAACTGTTGGGGAAAACTCAGTGGTGGCTGCGGGTGCAGTTGTTTCAAAGGATGTTCCTCCAAATAGTGTTGTTGGTGGGATTCCTGCGAAATTGTTAAAGCGCATAGATTAGCTGTTTATGACCATGAATATTTTCTGCCTGCAAAGAATAGAAGTTTGAAACATGACACAATAAATGTATGTTATGCCAGAGAATATTCTGACTGTATTAAAGGACATTGGAATGTTCCCTCACAAGCAGAAAACATGATCATTGAATAATAATTAAGACAGATGGTTCCTGCCTCTTGACAGTCTTTGTCTCGTAGTATTTTTTGAGTTCTGTACTGTGAAACGAATTTGTAGGTCTGACTTGCATTTGGTCATCTGTTGTAGTACTTCACAACTATTATGTGATACTGCGATAGTGGGGACAAGAAATAGAAAAGTTTCTTGAACAAATGCTGAAGCCCAAAGGAATTAGCATGTGGTGGAGATGTTGATGGAGTGCTTGTTGGAAATGATAGATGTTCCAAAGTAGCCACATTTTTTAAATGGAAACATCCAAGTTTTCAAGGTATGAGACAATGAAAACTATTTGCGGTGCCTGTACTAATAGAAGCTTTTGGAAATGCCTATGGTGGTATTCAAAGGTAGTAACAAAGAGGAAATAGTAGGATTGCAAATTATGATTTATTTCGAGGTACCTATAACCAGGATTACTTTCGGGCCTCCTGTATGGCACCATGGATGTTTGGTACTCCATATCATTTTCGCTGGACAATTTATTGGTGCGTTTATACATCAATACATTCGCTTTAGTGTATTGAATTGATGTAGGAAGTATGTGTATAATAACAGCTGTTTATCCATTACTAGATTAGATATAGAATTGATTAAAATCAGTTTCAGTTTTAGTTTTTGAAATTCGTATTTTTTGGTTTGCAAAGCAAAAGCTTCTCACATCTTTATGAATTCGCAGCTATCTGACATTTCATCACAATAGCAAAAAGCATCAATGAAAATCAAACACATACTGAATAACATCAAAAATCAGACGATCCCCAAATACTCCCACAGTACCGGCACCTCAAAGTTATAGCCCAACGGAAAATTAAAAAGTTCAGCTTCTATAATAATATCTGCTTTATCCATCACCTAACATTAATATCTTTCATACTCAGTCGACTTTCATACATCTTCTAATAATTCTAATCATAAACAATCCTTTACGGCCCCTACGGTTTCCCAAAATGATCTTCTTGTATGTATAAAGACCTATTCAGACAATCATTATGGCGTCTGACCTTTTACTATTGGAATATTTTTAGTCCTGGCACCTCGATACAGTTTTAAACATGGAATCAAAGTGCACTCTGACGATTCCCTTCCGCATGCTCTTCCCAACAATTCCAAGTCAAAGCAGTGTAAGTGAGCCTTTTTTAATAAGTACCGAGTCAGGTTTTTATGGTCAGTTTGGCACTGCACTAAGAAGTGAGAGCAAGCCATGATTACCTTTTGGCGAGTTTAGATGCCAGTAGCTATCAACATTCTAAGAAGCACACGGATACGAAATCTGTACACTATAGACGAGAAAGTGTGGCGAATGCTTTTATGGGAGTCTTCAACCTCGTAATGGAGATTGGAAGTCATCAGCTTCACAGGATATACATCAAAGTCTACCGATTCCTGTCTCCATATTTTGTGAGAGGTCTTAAAGATTATGTCATATAATTACGATGCAAACCATACTTCGGCTTTAAAACCAGGTTGCGTCTCTATTTCTTTACACAATTCTCCATCGGTATGGCGTATCACCTCCCACATCACTCTGATGACAGTTGCCCGGTTTACCTGAGAATGAATATGGCAGAGAATTGAAGAAATTATCATTTTCAATCTCTAATAAGATCCAATCAATCTCGACGACTTCTCATATAGTATGATTCATCACTACGATTTGCCTCAAGTTCAACTAATACAAAATCCACAAATCGTGAATAAAGTTTTGCAAACTTTTTCGAATGTCGTAATTGCTCGTAATCATTTGATGGGTCGGGGCCTCTGTGCTTTTTTCCCGAGGATACTCGGGCGTCCAAAAAATTAATTCTGAGAAAGCACACAGGATTCCGTCCAAGCAGTATTGGATCGATAATAAGGATGGCATGAAATCAAGAGATAAAGAAAGACGAAAAAAAAAAGTTCTAGCCCTTAGGTCACCATCAGCTCAAAACTATCCTTTTATTGTGAGAGTCCATCCAAATCTCAAAATTGCGGCTAACACGGAAGGAAACTGGTCATATTTAGAGATTTAGGTGACTTGACCGGAAGGTGTGGAGAATGTCGGAGCAAGTCAATCATTGGCTTAATTGTTTCGAGAACTTTTCCTTGTTACCGAGAGTAAAATGACAATCTGAGATGACTATGCAAGACCCCAGTTTTGAGTACAGACATGCAATGTTTATGGATTATCCAATGAGCAAGATGCGCCGCAAGGCTTGAATATTAAAATAAATCACGGCCACGTAATTCGGCTATGTCAATTGCCCGCTTAGATTAGAGGGTTCGTCCAATGAACTCGTCGCTTAAGCTTAATGCGTTATACCCGCCAAAAGCGAGGAACCTGTTCCTAGAGGCTTTTACCCGCAGCTTCCACGCTTTTCATTGTCTTATGTGTTACAGTGCTTCTGGACACGCAAGACGATCAATCTGCACCACCGTTTTAATACCGTAAAGACAACCAAAAGAGAAGTCGCCGCTATCGGTTTGCGTTTTGTTTCGTAATGAGCACATCTCTTGCAATACCCATTTCGTCAACATAATTTTGAAGCATTGTTTAATTAAGCGGTGTTGCATGAATCATGCATGGTGTTGTATATAGGGATAGGATTAACCAAGCATATTAACGTCATCGCTTAAGTTACGATGGAGTTTTTCTTGGTAATTGGAGCCCCACCAAGAAGAAAATGCCATATAGGTGAAAGGGGAAGGCTGTCAGTATAATTATTTTCTGCGCCAAGGTCATGCCGAGCCAGTTTAAAGTCAATTATTGCCTCAAGAATTTAGTGGGTTTCTGGAGGGGCGAGCAAATTGGGGTAGATTTTCATGGAAGTTGCAATTTTTCAGGGCCCTTTATCGGAGGAACTGAACAAAGATTGCGAGAATGTAGCCAACAATAAATTACAGTACTTTTGGTCGATCAATCTTTTGCAAACTCGGCCTCAATCGAGTATAGATTGCCGCGGCAGAAAGGTGCCACACGACCACAACCACGATCATTCATCAATATACAGACTTATGGGCCTAGTAGCTTTGTAGCATCCCGCAAAGTTTTGAGCGTTATCCAAGACAACGTTGAAGAGAGAAAATAAAGTTAGCGAAATTCTGTACATGGTGAGCTTATGTGTCGGAACGGGTCTTCTAGAATGCAATATTTCTGCAGTATGGCGGCTTCTTGCAGCAGCTCACAAATTGAACGCCTCGAGTTCGGCGTTTACTCGCGCACTTGACCGTCAAGTTTATTGTGAGCTTTAACCTATGCAAAAATCGTGTGATGGGAGAAGCACTTCACTCCGCATTCAAAAGGAATCCTCGCTATTCACAAATGCAAGGTACATACAGCATGCGCTTTATATACGTAGAACTTAGCACGCCTACTGGCTTCTTTGCTCAACCATTCCGCATGACACATATACGAAAGCATGGAAACAGGGTGCATTCTGCCTATTCATTATGATGCACAATCAATACAGGAACAAGTGTACCTCAACTTCAGGTTTGGTCGGATGCAAAGGACGAGGAGAGGGCCTGTATTCTGATAGGCATTTCTCACGAGTACAAGAACTAGAGTTGTCCCACAGTCTGCTAAGTCTTTTCCAAATTTTCTATTGCAATTCATGTTGATTTTTCTGATTTTGCCGCTCTTGTGGCTTGCAAGCACCGTTCTTTCGGCGCAAGTCACTGGGGTGTTCAATGCGATCAACAACATTTCGCCTCCTGGTAGCAAGCAGCCCGAGATACCTTCATGGCAAGCTACTGTTGCATGGAAAATTGATTCGTCCAAGGTTTCACCTGGCGATACATTTGCTTTGACGCTTCCTAATGTGTTCAAGTTTACTTCCACAACTTCCACAATTCTGTTGAAAGCAGGGTCTACCAATTTTGCAACATGTACTTTGACCCCAGGAGAAAACTTGCTTCCATACTCCTTGATTTCGTGTACGGCATTGCCGGCGGTTGCAACTGTTGCACTGGCAGATGGTACAATCACTTTTCCCTTCACCTTCAACGCAGGAATGACGTCTTCGGCAATTGATTTGGCCGCTGCTTCAGCGTGGACTGCTGGCCAAAACGTAGTAACTTTCAAGGATGGAGCAGACCTCACCTACACTGTGACAATGAATGGGGGAGCAACATATTTGCAAGGTAATGCTGCTCAGGGTTCTTATGCGGTCAGAAAGTTGCCTCGTTTACAGAAATATCAGCACTATTACCAGGGTCCAAAGTGTTCACTGACAACTTCCGGATCTATCAAATTGTCACTGAACGGTCAAATACAGTTCGATTGTTCGAAATCTGGCGCCTATTTGTCCAACAATTTCAACGCATGGCAATTCCCAACACAAGCTTTGACCACCGCAGGTACTAATGGCTTCATCACCGTCTCCTGTACTTCCACTTCTATCACCGCGACTTTCACCAACATGCCTGCTGGATACAGACCATACATTGTTGGTATTTCCGACGTTATTACAGGTCAGTTCACCGAGACATATTCGAACAGTGGTGTTTGCAGCAACTCGCCAGTCACTCAGTCGATCACATATTCTTCGTACAACGATCTAGATCCCAACGGAACTGGTAACTATAAGGAGATTGTGGTCACCACCATCACTAGAGATGACATAAATACTCCAACTCTCACCACTGTCACAGGCGTTTCAACCGATACAATTGAGGTCTTAGTTCCAAGATCGGTAACCACATATACTACTACTTGGACCAACTCCTACACTTCGGCATCGACTACAACTGATGCAAGCGGTATTAGAATTGTGGAAGTTGAAGTTCCCCAACTGACATCTCTGGTCACTTCTACTTGGACTGGCTCATACACTAGTCGTACATCATACACTACAGATGGAACCGTCATTGTGAAGGACGACGTTCCTATTCCAACTAGAACCACCACTATCACTACTGGTTCCCAGTCAGTCACCATTACATATACCACTACACCAGGTGGTACTGCGTTAGTTGAAATTGATGTTCCATTCTCCACTTCTACTACTGTTGGACCACACTCTGGTACTACTACCGTGACTGAGAGCGGAACTACGTATGTTAGAGTCACTGATGTTCTTTCGACTTCGACTACTGTTGGACCTCAATCTGGTACTGAGACTGTTACTGAGAGTGGAACCACATACGTGAGAGTCACTGATGTTCTTCTGACTTCGACTACTGTTGGACCACACTCTGGTACAACTACCGTGACTGAGAGCGGAACTACGTATGTTAGAGTCACTGATGTTCTTTCGACCTCGACTACTCTTGGACCTCAATCTGGTACTGAGACTGTTACTGAGAGCGGAACTACGTATGTTAGAGTCACTGATGTTCTCTCGACCTCCACTACTGTTGGACCACACTCTGGTACTGAGACTGTTACTGAGAGCGGAACTACGTATGTTAGAGTCACTGATGTTCTTTCGACTTCGACTACTGTTGGACCTCAATCTGGTACTGAGACTGTTACTGTGAGCGGAACTACGTATGTTAGAGTCACTGATGTTCTTCTGACCTCCACTACTGTTGGACCACACTCTGGTACAACTACCGTGACTGAGAGCGGAACTACGTATGTTAGAGTCACTGATGTTCTTTCGACTTCGACTACTCTTGGACCTCAATCTGGTACTGAGACTGTTACTGAGAGCGGAACTACATACGTCAGAGTCACTGATGTTCTTTCGACTTCGACTACTCTTGGACCTCAATCTGGTACTGAGACTGTTACTGAGAGCGGAACTACGTATGTTAGAGTCACTGATGTTCTTTCGACTTCGACTACTCTTGGACCTCAATCTGGTACTGAGACTGTTACTGAGAGCGGAACTACGTATGTTAGAGTCACTGATATTCTTCTGACTTCGACTACTGTTGGACCACACTCTGGTACAACTACCGTGACTGAGAGCGGAACTACATACGTCAGAGTCACTGATGTTCTTTCGACTTCGACTACTGTTGGACCTCAATCTGGTACTGAGACTGTTACTGAGAGCGGAACTACGTATGTTAGAGTCACTGATGTTCTTCTGACTTCGACTACTGTTGGACCACACTCTGGTACAACTACCGTGACTGAGAGCGGAACTACATACGTCAGAGTCACTGATGTTCTTTCGACTTCGACTACTGTTGGACCTCAATCTGGTACTGAGACTGTTACTGAGAGCGGAACTACGTATGTTAGAGTCACTGATGTACTTTCTACATCAACCACTCTTGGACCTCAATCTGGTACTGAGACTGTTACTGAGAGCGGAACTACATACGTCAGAGTCACTGATGTTCTTTCGACTTCGACTACTGTTGGACCTCAATCTGGTACTGAGACTGTTACTGAGAGCGGAACTACGTATGTTAGAGTCACTGATGTTCTTTCGACTTCGACTACTGTTGGACCTCAATCTGGTACTGAGACTGTTACTGAGAGCGGAACTACGTATGTTAGAGTCACTGATGTTCTCTCGACCTCCACTACTGTTGGACCTCAATCTGGTACTGAGACTGTTACTGAGAGCGGAACTACGTATGTTAGAGTCACTGATGTACTTTCTACATCAACCACTCTTGGACCTCAATCTGGTACTGAGACTGTTACTGAGAGCGGAACTACATACGTCAGAGTCACTGATGTTCTTTCGACTTCGACTACTCTTGGACCTCAATCTGGTACTGAGACTGTTACTGAGAGCGGAACTACATACGTCAGAGTCACTGATGTTCTTTCGACTTCGACTACTCTTGGACCTCAATCTGGTACTGAGACTGTTACTGAGAGCGGAACTACATACGTCAGAGTCACTGATGTTCTTTCGACTTCGACTACTCTTGGACCTCAATCTGGTACTGAGACTGTTACTGAGAGCGGAACTACATACGTCAGAGTCACTGATGTTCTTTCGACTTCGACTACTCTTGGACCTCAATCTGGTACTGAGACTGTTACTGAGAGCGGAACTACGTATGTTAGAGTCACTGATGTTCTTTCGACTTCGACTACTCTTGGACCTCAATCTGGTACTGAGACTGTTACTGAGAGCGGAACTACATACGTCAGAGTCACTGATGTTCTTCTGACTTCGACTACTGTTGGACCACACTCTGGTACAACTACCGTGACTGAGAGCGGAACTACATACGTCAGAGTCACTGATGTTCTTTCGACTTCGACTACTCTTGGACCTCAATCTGGTACTGAGACTGTTACTGAGAGCGGAACTACATACGTCAGAGTCACTGATGTTCTTCTGACTTCGACTACTGTTGGACCACACTCTGGTACAACTACCGTGACTGAGAGCGGAACTACATACGTCAGAGTCACTGATGTTCTTTCGACTTCGACTACTGTTGGACCTCAATCTGGTACTGAGACTGTTACTGAGAGCGGAACTACGTATGTTAGAGTCACTGATGTACTTTCTACATCAACCACTCTTGGACCTCAATCTGGTACTGAGACTGTTACTGAGAGCGGAACTACGTATGTTAGAGTCACTGATGTTCTTTCGACTTCCACTACCACTGGACCAGTCGAGGGTACCACTACCACTACTGCTAGCGACACTACCTACGTGATTGTCACTGAGACTCCACTGCTGTCTGTTGTTCTCTCGACTTCGACTACCACTGGACCAGTCGAGGGTACCACTACCACTACTGCTAGCGACACTACCTACGTGATTGTTACTGAGACTCCACTGCTGTCTGTTGTTCTCTCGACCTCCACTACTGTTGGACCACACTCTGGTACTACTACCGTGACTGAGAGCGGAACTACGTATGTTAGAGTCACTGATGTTCTTTCGACTTCGACTACTGTTGGACCTCAATCTGGTACTGAGACTGTTACTGAGAGCGGAACTACGTATGTTAGAGTCACTGATGTTCTCTCGACCTCCACTACTGTTGGACCTCAATCTGGTACTGAGACTGTTACTGAGAGCGGAACTACGTATGTTAGAGTCACTGATGTACTTTCTACATCAACCACTCTTGGACCTCAATCTGGTACTGAGACTGTTACTGAGAGCGGAACTACATACGTCAGAGTCACTGATGTTCTTTCGACTTCGACTACTCTTGGACCTCAATCTGGTACTGAGACTGTTACTGAGAGCGGAACTACATACGTCAGAGTCACTGATGTTCTTTCGACTTCGACTACTGTTGGACCTCAATCTGGTACTGAGACTGTTACTGAGAGCGGAACTACGTATGTTAGAGTCACTGATGTTCTTTCGACTTCGACTACTGTTGGACCACACTCTGGTACTACTACCGTGACTGAGAGCGGAACTACGTATGTTAGAGTCACTGATGTTCTTTCGACTTCGACTACTGTTGGACCTCAATCTGGTACTGAGACTGTTACTGAGAGTGGAACCACATACGTGAGAGTCACTGATGTTCTTCTGACTTCGACTACTGTTGGACCACACTCTGGTACAACTACCGTGACTGAGAGCGGAACTACGTATGTTAGAGTCACTGATGTTCTTTCGACCTCGACTACTCTTGGACCTCAATCTGGTACTGAGACTGTTACTGAGAGCGGAACTACGTATGTTAGAGTCACTGATGTTCTCTCGACCTCCACTACTGTTGGACCACACTCTGGTACTGAGACTGTTACTGAGAGCGGAACTACGTATGTTAGAGTCACTGATGTTCTTTCGACTTCGACTACTGTTGGACCTCAATCTGGTACTGAGACTGTTACTGTGAGCGGAACTACGTATGTTAGAGTCACTGATGTTCTTCTGACCTCCACTACTGTTGGACCACACTCTGGTACAACTACCGTGACTGAGAGCGGAACTACGTATGTTAGAGTCACTGATGTTCTTTCGACTTCGACTACTCTTGGACCTCAATCTGGTACTGAGACTGTTACTGAGAGCGGAACTACATACGTCAGAGTCACTGATGTTCTTTCGACTTCGACTACTCTTGGACCTCAATCTGGTACTGAGACTGTTACTGAGAGCGGAACTACATACGTCAGAGTCACTGATGTTCTTTCGACTTCGACTACTCTTGGACCTCAATCTGGTACTGAGACTGTTACTGAGAGCGGAACTACGTATGTTAGAGTCACTGATGTTCTTTCGACTTCGACTACTCTTGGACCTCAATCTGGTACTGAGACTGTTACTGAGAGCGGAACTACGTATGTTAGAGTCACTGATATTCTTCTGACTTCGACTACTGTTGGACCACACTCTGGTACAACTACCGTGACTGAGAGCGGAACTACATACGTCAGAGTCACTGATGTTCTTTCGACTTCGACTACTGTTGGACCTCAATCTGGTACTGAGACTGTTACTGAGAGCGGAACTACATACGTCAGAGTCACTGATGTTCTTTCGACTTCGACTACTCTTGGACCTCAATCTGGTACTGAGACTGTTACTGAGAGCGGAACTACATACGTCAGAGTCACTGATGTTCTTTCGACTTCGACTACTCTTGGACCTCAATCTGGTACTGAGACTGTTACTGAGAGCGGAACTACATACGTCAGAGTCACTGATGTTCTTTCGACTTCGACTACTCTTGGACCTCAATCTGGTACTGAGACTGTTACTGAGAGCGGAACTACGTATGTTAGAGTCACTGATGTTCTTTCGACTTCGACTACTCTTGGACCTCAATCTGGTACTGAGACTGTTACTGAGAGCGGAACTACGTATGTTAGAGTCACTGATATTCTTCTGACTTCGACTACTGTTGGACCACACTCTGGTACAACTACCGTGACTGAGAGCGGAACTACATACGTCAGAGTCACTGATGTTCTTTCGACTTCGACTACTGTTGGACCTCAATCTGGTACTGAGACTGTTACTGAGAGCGGAACTACGTATGTTAGAGTCACTGATGTTCTTCTGACTTCGACTACTGTTGGACCACACTCTGGTACAACTACCGTGACTGAGAGCGGAACTACATACGTCAGAGTCACTGATGTTCTTTCGACTTCGACTACTGTTGGACCTCAATCTGGTACTGAGACTGTTACTGAGAGCGGAACTACGTATGTTAGAGTCACTGATGTACTTTCTACATCAACCACTCTTGGACCTCAATCTGGTACTGAGACTGTTACTGAGAGCGGAACTACATACGTCAGAGTCACTGATGTTCTTTCGACTTCGACTACTCTTGGACCTCAATCTGGTACTGAGACTGTTACTGAGAGCGGAACTACGTATGTTAGAGTCACTGATGTACTTTCTACATCAACCACTCTTGGACCTCAATCTGGTACTGAGACTGTTACTGTGAGCGGAACTACGTATGTTAGAGTCACTGATGTTCTTCTGACCTCCACTACTGTTGGACCACACTCTGGTACAACTACCGTGACTGAGAGCGGAACTACGTATGTTAGAGTCACTGATGTTCTTTCGACTTCGACTACTCTTGGACCTCAATCTGGTACTGAGACTGTTACTGAGAGCGGAACTACATACGTCAGAGTCACTGATGTTCTTCTGACTTCGACTACTGTTGGACCACACTCTGGTACAACTACCGTGACTGAGAGCGGAACTACATACGTCAGAGTCACTGATGTTCTTTCGACTTCGACTACTGTTGGACCTCAATCTGGTACTGAGACTGTTACTGAGAGCGGAACTACGTATGTTAGAGTCACTGATGTTCTTTCGACTTCGACTACTGTTGGACCACACTCTGGTACTACTACCGTGACTGAGAGCGGAACTACGTATGTTAGAGTCACTGATGTTCTTTCGACTTCGACTACTGTTGGACCTCAATCTGGTACTGAGACTGTTACTGAGAGCGGAACTACATACGTCAGAGTCACTGATGTTCTTTCGACTTCGACTACTCTTGGACCTCAATCTGGTACTGAGACTGTTACTGAGAGCGGAACTACGTATGTTAGAGTCACTGATGTTCTTTCGACTTCCACTACCACTGGACCAGTCGAGGGTACCACTACCACTACTGCTAGCGACACTACCTACGTGATTGTCACTGAGACTCCACTGCTGTCTGTTGTTCTCTCGACTTCGACTACCACTGGACCAGTCGAGGGTACCACTACCACTACTGCTAGCGACACTACCTACGTGATTGTCACTGAGACTCCACTGCTGTCTGTTGTTCTCTCGACTTCGACTACCACTGGACCAGTCGAGGGTACCACTACCACTACTGCTAGCGACACTACCTACGTGATTGTCACTGAGACTCCACTGCTGTCTGTTGTTCTCTCGACTTCGACTACCACTGGACCAGTCGAGGGTACCACTACCACTACTGCTAGCGACACTACCTACGTGATTGTCACTGAGACTCCACTGCTGTCTGTTGTTCTCTCGACTTCGACTACCACTGGACCAGTCGAGGGTACCACTACCACTACTGCTAGCGACACTACCTACGTTATTATCACTGAGACGCTTTCCTCTTTGAGTCAGCTTCTGTTCACAAATTCTTGGGGATGGAACACGTCGTACGTACCGCCAAATTCAGAGTCGAGCAAATCCTTGACGATGCACAGTTCGGATATCTTAACTGATTCATCAAAGACTGAAACTGGAAGCAGTACACTTAGTGTTGATAACGATTCAACTCTGTCTGCAATACCCGAGGAACTGACAAGTATTGTTTCTAACACTAGCAGTGCAACCGAGACTTCTTGTACGGAATGTACTCAGAGTATATCGTCTAAGACTGAGACATCCAAGATTTCCTCTATCTCCGCTGCAACCGAAACTGTTAATTCCAACACTGGTGCATCCAACACTGGTGCATCTGAGACTAGAAACTCCAACACCGCTTCCAACACTAGTGCATCTAACACTGGTGCATCTAACACTGGTGCATCCAACACTGGCGCATCTGAGACTGGAAACTCCAACACCGCTTCCAACACTAGTGCATCTAACACTGGTGCATCCAACACTGGTGCATCCAACACTGGTGCATCCAACACTGGCGCATCTGAGACTAGAAACTCCAACACCGCTTCCAACACTAGTGCATCTAACACTGGTGCATCCAACACTGGTGCATCCAACACTGGCGCATCTGAGACTAGAAACTCCAACACTGGCGCATCTGAGACTAGAAACTCCAACACCGCTTCCAACACTAGTGCATCTAACACTGGTGCATCTAACACTGGTGCATCCAACACTGGCGCATCTGAGACTGGAAACTCCAACACCGCTTCCAACACCGCTTCCAACACCGCTTCCAACACCGCTTCCAACACCGCTTCCAACACCGCTTCCAACACCGCTTCCAACACCGCTTCCAACACTGGTGCATCCAACACTGGTGCATCTGAGACTGGAAACTCCAACACCGCTTCCAACACTGGTGCATCCAACACTGGAACTTCGAATATTGATTCCACTGTGACCAGTCCTTGTCCCGAATGTACTGTTAGCGGAAAGGTAACTTTGGAAAGCACTGTGAGCGAGACGAATAGGGCAGTCGATTCACTTGAGACTACGGATGGCACCTTTTCTACTAGGTCAACTACCAATGAACAAACCAAGGTTAAGACGCTGGAAAGATCAGAGCCAACTGTAAATGGAAGCATTGTGTCTCTGGCAGCCAAGGGCCGTCAAACTGAAACCAAATCTGAAGATCTAACTGGCACAAACTCAGTGAAGAGCAAAACTACCGGGGTTCCGGAAACTGTGGAGGCCAGTAAGCCAGATCACACGACCTCTACTGACACTGCAAAATTCGATTCTCTGACATTCCCAGTGTATTCGCGGACAACTATCTATACGACTAGTGGAACATGGCAAGCTGTGACGGTCCCCGGTGAGCATTCTGCAACCACTGCTATCTCCTCGGTTGCTGAAGAAGGATCAAGTTTTGCTTCTCCAACTGTGACTTACGCTGGGTTTGCTCCTAAAACAACCAAAATTTCTATTGTGGCTATTATCTTATCGGTCTTTGTCTTACTCTAGAAAGTTTGATGTTGTTTTTCATACCTGCTCCCTGGAATTGATAATCGAGCTTCTGGGTAATTTAACATTTCTTTGCATATATCGTTTCATATTTGGGTTATTTTCGTTTATAGAATTATTTTTGGTTTTCGATCGATTTTGTAGGTACCATACTATTGTGGAGATAAAGTCAAATTCAATACTATCTTAATCACATTAAGTTGATGCTGCAACCTTTTTTGAGTCAAGAACAGTGGCTACCTCTTGCATATCAGAGTTAAGGATCCAACTTTATCGGACAAGCATTCAAATCATAGTACCCAATACATTGTTTTACAATTTTAAAAAGAAAAGTATGATGCAAAAAGGGGTAACATCAACAGAGGGTAAAATGGCACACTTGATTAATGATCAATATACGTCAAGAGAATAATATAGCTTACAAGATAGTGCGGTGGTAAAGAATGAGAATAAGTCTTCATATATAATAAAGTACCTGTAATATAGTCTGTCTGAAGGATGGACATTTAATAGACTTTTTACTACTAAAACCCTAGATCTTATGATAAGATGACCACATGTACTGTTATTTCTAAACGCCGTACCCTTCTCATGAGCTAATCGATATGCCGACCGTTGTCATCTACTAACTGTTGTCAATATCATTCCTATTGTCTTCAGTTACTACTTAATTGTCATTTTTCCTTTATTTTATTAATTAGCGTTTGTTCAATAGACGTTTCTGAATACTAAATTCCACTTTGACAGTATTACAGTACCCAAGAGTATAAGTTAGAAATGAGAATTAATTTTATTGGAACCACAATATTCGGTCATTACAGAATTGATTGTTCAAGGAACTGTAATGGGACTGTTCCGACATAATTTACTTGGGCTGTTGATGAGCCAGCTCAACTCAAATTCAAATCTCACAAAGGGTCCCATTCAATCGCTAGAGAGCATCCATCTATCTGCCAGACATAGACGTGAATCTTCCCAATTGGCAAGTCGGCACCAGAGTATTCTCAGTTAGTTCTTCAAATTTTTCGCGCGTCCCTAAACGACAGGTTTGCCCTTGAAACTAACTTCAAGACACTTAGTCTGCTTCACTCGCCTCAACAGCTTCATGATTACCTGTGTGTGCTGAAAGGGTGATCGATGACTATGTGCCTTATGACTATGACGAGGAAGGCTAAATCACCATATCTCAGTGTAAATTCATATATGAACCCATAACATGTTTAGTTTTTAATTATCACTGAAATTATAAAGTCGTAAGTTTTGTGCTTGTTTTTAGACAACGATTTTTGCGGTGACTGAAAAAATTGTCTGGTTGGAAAGAGCCTTTGAACATAATTTTCGCATAAACAAGGTAACAGTGCGAAACATTTAAGTATTTGACGACAAGTCAGTAGAAAGGTGTATCCATGAAAGAGCCAGAATAGGAAAATTTCGTTCCTTAATCCATTTGGTTATCTATGCATTAGGTCGTATCCAACCCAAGCAGTTTAATTGCAAAATGGCGATCGCGTTTGTGGACCAGGTCAAGGTAGCAGTTCGAATTATAACTTCATTCGTAGATTCTTTCCTTTTCTAGTTTGAAAGTTGAAGTCTGTATCAAGCTGAAAGAACTAAACAAATTTAGTTTACTTAAGACTCACAAGTTACAAGTCGAAGTATTCTTGGTTGGACGAAGGTAACTAGGGGATATTATGTTCCAGCTGGGGCCCCGACAAATATCGCCTTGTAGAACTTAAAAATATACCATGCTACGAGGATGATCAATAGTTCTGAAATTAATGCTGAGTTAATAATTATATGCAAAGGCTAATGGAGAAGGTTAGAGATAGTCGTTGATGGGATAAACGAAACTTTGAAGTAAACAATAATGAAATCCAGCTTGAAGAAGGCAATATCTGGTACTCAGATCACAAAAAATGCGAACACAGTTGCAAGCACAGATATTGATATCTTGACAATTGGTGCTGAGCCTGTTAAAGCGACATATGGTGTTGGTTTTAATACAGAGCTTGATCCAGAATCAGAACCCGAGCCCCCCGAACCTAACCCAGGACCAGAGGTTGAGCCAGGGCCAAAACTAGAGCGGGAGCCTGTTCCTGGACCTGATCTCGAACCTGAGTTACTTGGTTCGGGGGAAGATGAGATGTAAGTGACTGCGGAGTATCTCAATGTGCTGTAAGTGGTGATGAATGTATCAAAAATAGTGTCAAAAGTAGTTTCAGTGGTAATGTGTATGGCAGAGTCAGCTGTCGTGTGGGCTGTGATAGCTGTAGAGTCGACTGAGGCATCAGCTGTACCGTGAACTGTACTTTCAGCCGTAAAATCAACCGTAATACCAATTATACTTGAAATTACACTATCAACTGTAGTGTCAACTATTGTTTCATCTGTTGTGTCAGTTGTAGAGCCAGACGTGGGTTCCACTGAAGATTCAATAGATTCAATTTTGAAAATGCTGGAATCAACATGAGATATCAGAGTTGGGGCCAAGCACTCGCCATTGATGCATGTCATCGTCGAGAAAGAATTTGACGTAAGGAGGGAAGTTCCTAAGGCGCTAGACAGTTCACTGACACTCAGAACTAAATTGTCTGACGAAGTTCTGTTAAAATACATCGTAAACATTGGCGTCTCAATCACAACCAATGGCCCTGTCACAGTTGTACTGCCGTGCGTGCTAGTTGTCGTGGTAGTATAAGTTTGAGTGAAGCTTCCAGTCCATGGGATGGTTGTCGTGAACCTAGATTCAGGAACTTGAACAGTTACAGAACTGGAGGTATATGTCAGTGAGCCGGTCGTCACAGTTGCAGGTCCAGTGATAGTCGTGGTAAATGGACCTGTCCATGGAACAGCAGTCGTTAAAAGTTCGGCTGTAGGAGTCTCAATAACCACCACATGCTCAGTGTAAGTACTACTGTCATTTTCCACAGTGGTCAATGTGGTGTAAATTGAAGTAAAACTTCCAGACCATGACATGGTGGTCGTGGTGGTAGACATCGGAACTTCAACAGTCACGACACTAGTGGTGTACACTACTGAACCAGAAGTTACAGTTACCGGTCCTGTTACCGTAGTAGTATAATTGCCAGTCCATGCAACAGTGGTGGTTGAAAGTTCCGCAGTAGGAGTTTGAACCACAACCAAATGCTCTGTGAACGTAGTACTGTCTAAAGTAACAACCGTCAAAGTCGTAAACGTTGAAGTATCAGATCCAGTCCAAGGCTTAGTAGTGGTCTCTGCTGGCATTGGTACTTCAACAGTTACTGCACTAGTGGTGTACACTACTGAACCAGAAGTTACAGTTACTGGTCCAGTTACAGTAGTAGTATAATTGCCAGTCCATGCAACAGTGGTGGAGATTGGAATAGTAGGGGTCTGAACCACAACCAAATGCTCTGTAAACGTAGTACTGTCTAAAGTAACAACCGTCAAAGTTGTAAATGTTGTAGTATCAGATCCGGTCCAAGGTTTAGTAGTGGTCTCTGTTGGCATTGGTACTTCAACAGTTACTGCACTGGTAGTGTAGACAATTGATCCCGACGTGACAGTAACTGGTCCAGTAACAGTGGTGGTATAATTGCCAGTCCATGCAACAGTGGTGGTTGAAAGTTCCGCAGTAGGAGTTTGAACCACAATCAAATGCTCTGTGAACGTAGTACTGTCTAAAGTAACAACCGTCAAAGTTGTAAATGTTGTAGTATCTGATCCAGTCCAAGGTTTAGTAGTGGTCTCTGTTGGCATTGGAACCTCAACAGTTACTGCACTGGTAGTGTAGATAATTGATCCCGACGTGACAGTAACTGGTCCAGTAACCGTAGTAGTATAATTGCCAGTCCATGCAACAGTGGTGGTTGAAAGTTCCGCAGTAGGAGTCTGAACGACAATCAAATGCTCTGTCAACGTAATACTGTCCAAGGTGACAACCGTCAAAGTCGTAAACGTTGAAGTATCAGATCCAGTCCAAGGCTTAGTAGTGGTCTCTGTTGGCATTGGTACTTCAACAGTTACTGCACTGGTAGTGTAGATAATTGATCCCGATGTGACAGTAACTGGTCCAGTTACCGTAGTCGTATAATTGCCAGTCCATGCAACAGTGGTGGTTGAAAGTTCCGCAGTAGGAGTTTGAATCACAACCAAATGCTCTGTGAACGTAGTACTGTCTAAAGTAACAACCGTCAAAGTCGTGAATGTTGAAGTATCAGATCCAGTCCAAGGCTTAGTAGTGGTCTCTGTTGGCATTGGTACTTCAACAGTTACTGCACTGGTAGTGTAGACAATTGATCCCGACGTGACAGTAACTGGTCCAGTAACAGTGGTGGTATAATTGCCAGTCCATGCAACAGTGGTGGTTGAAAGTTCCGCAGTAGGAGTTTGAACCACAACCAAATGCTCTGTAAACGTAGTACTGTCTAAAGTAACAACCGTCAAAGTCGTGAATGTTGAAGTATCTGATCCAGTCCAAGGCTTAGTAGTGGTCTCTGTTGGCATTGGTACTTCAACAGTTACTGCACTGGTAGTGTAGATAATTGATCCCGATGTGACAGTAACTGGTCCAGTTACCGTAGTCGTATAATTGCCAGTCCATGCAACAGTGGTGGTTGAAAGTTCCGCAGTAGGAGTTTGAACCACAATCAAATGCTCTGTGAACGTAGTACTGTCTAAAGTAACAACCGTCAAAGTTGTAAATGTTGTAGTATCTGATCCAGTCCAAGGCTTAGTAGTGGTCTCTGTTGGCATTGGTACTTCAACAGTTACTGCACTGGTAGTGTAGACAATTGATCCCGATGTGACAGTAACTGGTCCAGTTACCGTAGTCGTATAATTGCCAGTCCATGGGGCAGTCGTAGTAGAAAGTCCAATAGTCGGAGTTTCAACGACGACCCAAAACTCAGTAATGGTGGTGCTGTCATTCTCCACGGTGGTCAATGTTGTATACAGTGTAGTGAACGAACCATTCCATGGCACCGAAGTCGTGATAACTGGGACAGGAACTTTGATGGCTTCAATACTGAAACTGTACACTAACGAACCAGAAGTCGTCGTCACAAGTTCGAAAACAGTTGTGGTGTAATCACCAGTCCATGGGACAATCGTAGTAGAAATTTCAGGAGTCGGAGTCTCAACCACAACCAAATGCTCTGTGAACGTAGTACTGTCTAAAGTAACAACCGTCAAAGTTGTAAATGTTGTAGTATCTGATCCAGTCCAAGGTTTAGTAGTGGTCTCTGTTGGCATTGGTACTTCAACAGTTACTGCACTAGTGGTGTACACTACTGAACCAGAAGTTACAGTTACTGGTCCAGTAACCGTAGTAGTATAATTGCCAGTCCATGCAACAGTGGTGGTGGAGATTGGAATAGTAGGGGTCTGAACCACAATCAAATGCTCTGTGAACGTAGTACTGTCTAAAGTAACAACCGTCAAAGTCGTGAACGTTGAAGTATCTGATCCAGTCCAAGGTTTAGTAGTAGTCTCTGTTGGCATTGGTACTTCAACAGTTACTGCACTGGTAGTGTAGATAATCGATCCCGATGTGACAGTTACTGGTCCAGTAACAGTAGTAGTATAATTGCCAGTCCATGCAACAGTGGTGGTGGAGATTGGAATAGTAGGGGTCTGAACCACAATCAAATGCTCTGTAAACGTAGTACTGTCTAAAGTAACAACCGTCAAAGTTGTAAATGTTGTAGTATCTGATCCAGTCCAAGGTTTAGTAGTGGTCTCTGTTGGCATTGGAACCTCAACAGTTACTGCACTGGTAGTGTAGATAATTGATCCCGACGTGACAGTAACTGGTCCAGTTACCGTAGTAGTATAATTGCCAGTCCATGCAACAGTGGTGGTGGAGATTGGAATAGTAGGGGTCTGAACCACAATCAAATGCTCTGTGAACGTAGTACTGTCTAAAGTAACAACAGTCAACGTCGTAAACGTTGAAGTATCTGATCCAGTCCAAGGTTTAGTAGTGGTCTCTGTTGGCATTGGAACCTCAACAGTTACTGCACTGGTAGTGTAGATAATTGATCCCGACGTGACAGTAACTGGTCCTGTAACAGTAGTGGTATAATTGCCAGTCCATGCAACAGTGGTGGTGGAAATAGGAATAGTAGGGGTCTGAACCACAATCAAATGCTCTGTAAACGTAGTACTGTCTAAAGTAACAACCGTCAAAGTTGTAAATGTTGTAGTATCAGATCCGGTCCAAGGTTTAGTAGTGGTCTCTGTTGGCATTGGAACCTCAACAGTTACTGCACTGGTAGTGTAGATAATTGATCCCGACGTGACAGTAACTGGTCCAGTTACCGTAGTAGTATAATTGCCAGTCCATGCAACAGTGGTGGTGGAGATTGGAATAGTAGGGGTCTGAACCACAATCAAATGCTCTGTGAACGTAGTACTGTCTAAAGTAACAACAGTCAACGTCGTAAACGTTGAAGTATCTGATCCAGTCCAAGGTTTAGTAGTGGTCTCTGTTGGCATTGGAACCTCAACAGTTACTGCACTAGTGGTGTACACTACTGAACCAGAAGTTACAGTTACTGGTCCAGTAACCGTAGTAGTATAATTGCCAGTCCATGCAACAGTGGTGGTGGAGATTGGAATAGTAGGGGTCTGAACCACAATCAAATGCTCTGTAAACGTAGTACTGTCTAAAGTAACAACCGTCAAAGTTGTAAATGTTGTAGTATCAGATCCGGTCCAAGGTTTAGTAGTAGTCTCTGTTGGCATTGGTACTTCAACAGTTACTGCACTGGTAGTGTAGATAATCGATCCCGATGTGACAGTAACTGGTCCTGTAACAGTAGTGGTATAATTGCCAGTCCATGCAACAGTGGTGGTGGAAATAGGAATAGTAGGGGTCTGAACCACAATCAAATGCTCTGTGAACGTAGTACTGTCTAAAGTAACAACCGTCAAAGTCGTGAATGTTGAAGTATCAGATCCAGTCCAAGGCTTAGTAGTGGTCTCTGTTGGCATAGGTGTTTGAATAACAACCAAATGCTCTGTGAACGTAGTACTGTCTAAAGTGACAACCGTCAAAGTTGTAAATGTTGTAGTATCAGATCCGGTCCAAGGTTTAGTAGTGATCTCGGTCGGCATTGGCGTTTGAATCACAACTAAGTGCTCTGTGAACGTAGTACTCTCGGCAGTAACAACAGTCAACGTGGTGAACGTCGTAGTGTCAGATCCAGTCCAAGGTTCAGTAGTAGTATCCGTAGGCATTGGAACTTCAATATTAATAATTTCGTTGGAGTAGACAGTACCCTCTGATGTATAGGTGGTTAATTGAGTAGTCGTCAGAGTAATAGAACCCGTCCACATTGTGGTCTTTGTTTGGACGTAGCATACCTCATTATCGAAATTAGCTTGAAATACATTATCAAACGTCAGGACCTTATTACCAAGAGGGTTAACGTAAGAGACATCAAGTTGCAGTATACCATCCCAATTGAAATAGACTAACTTCATTGGATAGTAACGACCAGCTTGTAACAGAACACTGAAGGTGCTGGGGTCTGCTGCTGGAACTCCACCATATCCTCTCAAGGAGTTGATACCGAAACTGGTGTTACCCAATGCACCGTTGACATCGTCACAACAATATACACCATTGCCAAACTGTAAGGTGACTCCATCATCGGCCACAATAGTAAAGGTGTGGGTACCTGTGTAATCGGCGCGAAAATAACCCGTGAGCTCCATCGAAAAATTGGAAATAGTCACAGGAAATCCATAGACGTTGCCATTCACGACAACACGAGAACGAGTAGAAGGAAATGAGAAATTGATGTCAACAACATTTGCCATTGCTTTCTGGAGTCCGCCTGCCTTGTAGCCGCCAGTGAAATAGTCATCATCCCATCCCACTCGGGTTCGTAGGACGTAGTAGTAAAAATTAACATTGAAACCCGGAGCCGAGAGTTTCAGTGGCAGACATAAAGCAGAAACTTTTTGACCAAACTGAAGAACGATGAAGAGAAACGCCACAAGCCATGGACGCATTGCAACAGCAGATTGTGGAAATATTCCAGCTCTTGTGAACGATAGGGCATGATGTATATATAGAAGTCTATGGGAAGGTACTGATAAAAATTATGACTAGGATAAAGCATCCTTCTTACTGCATGTCAAAATATGCATGTGGATTATTTTTAATGGATTATGAAGATGCTGAGAACACTTTTAATGGATATGTTTCGAAGGTGTTACGCCGTCTCATATGAGCAGCAACCTGCATATTTCGCAAATTGCTCATAGGAATGCCCGCCTTCGTTTGCCAATTACAAATTACTCATGTTGCACTTCTGTCTTTTGTCATTCTCTACCAACACGATCCCCCTAGATCATTTGTTGAAGAATTTGGTGTGATTAACTGGGCTCATTTTCTATTTTTTTTGGCCAGATAAATGCTCACAACTGTACGTCATCTCTTCCTATCAACTCTAAGCATTGTAACCACATGCAGACCATTGACTTCCAACGGCTAGTCAGAATTTACGACAAACAAAGTCAACAATTTCAATGTTTTTGTTCATTAATGCCTGTAAGGAGCTCTTGATTATTTTCTTTTGTTGAGGAGTAGTTGAAATTCTTCACTAAATTATTTGGTAGCTAACACATTTGGATTCAAAGAACCTTCCTTCTTTACAGCAGATATCTGGAGACATGGCGCAACCCATCGTCTGAATTATAATGCAGGTTATATTATTTAGTGGATATTATGGATGCAATGATCAGGACAGTACCACATTTACAAATGCATATGCAAGAAGTGCCAGAGATCTACCAGTTCAGGTGATGACAATTCTTTATGGAATCCACGGAATAAGAACCATAGTGGGTGGTTCTGGTTAATCATCTCCACTTATTGCAAAGAGGAGAAAAATATAGGTATGGCCCTCTTGCAACTCCCAGGCTTCCTCTACATTTCAAGACAAAGGTACCAACTTTGTGAACAGACTTCCTTATTGATTTTAAGAGAAAAATATAGAAAAGTATTGGACAAACAAGGCGTTTTCCAACAATGAGATACAATTTCTGAGCCGGCACACTCAAGGGTCAAGTATGACAAGAAAGAGGAAGTCGCTGAGAGAAGTAGGCCGGTCGAACTGCAAGATTCAGTAAAATCTGGTGTCATCATTTGAGTGTTCCAATATTCAAATTAATAGACAACATGTCAAGTCTAATGAATAGATTGACTGACAACGTTGAGTGGTAAAGATCTTGTCAAGTCAATGTCGAATTTGTTGCCGGATATTGTTGTATCGTATTAGCAGTAGAGATTCTTATGGGGGGCCGAATATTTAGATGACTGGGTGAGCGAACACACAGTAGATTCTCTCCATGCTCTCCCAGGTTCATTTTCTGCAAAAAAAAATAATGACATCGGCCGATTGTGTGATAAGCGATAGCTACTCGGTTGACTGCAAATCTTTCATTCTCTCAAACAGTACCTACATCTGCATGCTGCACATTCTCAGCAGCCGGCCCCAATCGTAAACAAGTATTATTCAAGAAAAAGACTTCTTAGAGGACAAAGGACTTCGTCATCTAGCAAACTCAGGCTTCTTTAAATACAAGCCTCTCAAATCTTAAGACCAAGGAACCCTTGAGGTGTCATCTCATCGATTGTAGACATATCAGGGTGTGTATTTTCGAAAAGATCTGAAACTTGTAGGAAAGTGTTATCGGATGTAGATCGTAAATCTCTCCAAAAAGGTCGCTCATTGCGAGGAAAATATTGTCCCACACCACTGGCTCTCTGAACGTTTAAGATGTTCTTCGTGCCGGGAATTATGCAAGGTTTACTACTCTGGGCACAGTGTATGTGAAAGATGAGCCTTGGGAAAATAATATGCTCCAAGGCGGGGTAACACAAAAGGACCTCGGATGCAAGGTGTGCATTTAATATACGACCTGTCACTGAAAAGTACAGTCTTACTTGCCAAGGACAACGTTTTTCGCTACGAAAGTATTTTGCTCGCAAGTTTTCATAATTGCCGAGTATTACCGATGCCACATTTCCTAAGCTGCATATTCTATGTAGCACCAACTAAAGAGAACCAAAACTTCGCGCTGTCCAATTGTTGTTCTTTTCTGGTGTAACCCATTCATTTTGTCGGTCTCGTGAATGTTTACCTTCACTTTGTTGAAGAGACGTACCGTTTGACACACAATAGTGTCCACTCCTTTCGAGAAGCCCTGGGTAATGTTGATGATCATTGTGCAGGAATAACCCTCAGTTAGGTTTTGTTCCAGAAATCTTGGTGGTGGCATTTTGCATGTATCAAGTGTTATATCTACAGAAATCAGTCAAGTTAAAGGGGATAAGGTTGGCCGAGGAAGTATTCAAAAATGATGGCAGACACTTTAAGTTGTTGAACCTGAGGATATGGGAGTATACTGGGGAGCGTGACCAGGTTGGTGAATTCCTCTTTGTTCAAGTAAGTTGATAGGCTAGGGATTTGGATGCTGTGGCCAATACGTTTCTCGCCAGCCATGGAGACTCCTATTGAATTTCCATTCAAATGCAGTCTTTGCGTCGCACAGAAAGCACGTTGTGCACGGAAACATCGCGCGGACATTCGAAGCATGGTTGCCCGAAGTGGTGGCACAATATTTTCCAGAATTTGCTATCCCGATTTGGCTGTATCTCTTAAAATTGGCCCTAATTCGACTTTCTTGACGTATAATGCACCTAAAAAAAAGAAATTACGGATCCTCGCACTAAACAAACATCTCCTAATCACGAAGATTAATCTTGGTATTATATTTTCGAAACTGAAACAGGTGACTATCTGGTGGGAAGGTCAGTTGCTAAAGTTGTGATTTGTGCTATACAGCAGAGAACAAATGTCTTCAGATTGATAGGTCCACTTCAGTAAGCAACATATTCAACTTTATCTCACTTGCGCCATCTTTTCGGTTACTGAACATTCTTTCCATATAATACAGATTCCAGCGTCTTCAAGAAGAAATTTTGGAAGATATCTTATTCTTCCTTTGAAAATCACATTTTGTATCTAGGCACAATGATATTTTGGACTCTACTCCCCCTAAAAATCTCCCCGTTTAATCTTTCGAGCCGCTCAAAAGATCATTGTGGGTTCTAAGACAAAGATAGTTCATGTGAATTCAAAGTAAATCTTAGGGAAAGAAGTCAATGATAAAATTGCGTTCGATTATTTGTCCCCGCCCATGCACCTGATCTCCTGATATGATAACTCCATGAATGCAAGCAAATAATTCCAGCCTTCTCGTCAATCTTAAGTGGCTGCACGATTGCCGATTCCCATCTGCGTTGAGACGGTTGTGCTTGTTTCTGTGGTCACAATTCATGCAAAATTATTGTAAGTTCACTTGTGCTACTATCATCAACTCCTGCCTAAATTGGTCTTATCCTTGGAATTCCACTTCTGGAGATATCTTCAGAATCTCATCTTAGTTGAATGCTCTTTAGGAAAGTGTCTAGAATAACAACTACTCGTGTAACGCCTTCACTACCATATGAAGCCAAATATTGTTTCATCCAGTCTGATTTGGTTTATTCTTTAAGTAATCACAGGTCTCTCGAACTCAAATTCTACTGACTGTATTATTAGCAATTAGCTGGGGCCAATCCAAGAGAAATAATAGGTCACAGAATCCAAAGTCAGAAATAATGAGTGACATAACCCGTGATGGCGCAAAGAACCTCGGACTGGAAAGAACTGATAACATACACGGCTATAAAGAAGGAAAATAAACTCAAACTGTTTGATAGTTTCTCCGTACAAGATTCAGTATAAACGGAAAAGTTAACCATGTCCTACTGGAGTTGAATTGTCCATTCCAAGCTGGGTAAATTCTTGTGAAGCCTGCTAATTCAGTGGTGGCAGAAGCAATTCTTTGACCTTCTTCACAAGATCAGAAGGATAGCGTTTTTGACAATTTCCCACATGGAAAAATCCACCTTCTTGCCTTCTAAACCGTTTCTGAGAATATTTGAAGCTATGTGGAACTCTTGTTGCAACAATGTGCTTAGACTTCGAAGGAGAAATTTATCAACTTGGGAAAGAGCACAGTTTCCTCCTCTGTTATAGGCTCGGAACACACTGAAATTTACTAGGGCGATATACATAGTAAGCTGATAAGTTTTAGCCAATAACCGGACGTTATTCCTATCCAGAAAATTATGTATATGCATATGGGAAAATTCACTGAGAATAGTTCCCCTGACGTCACATAATGTGATGGCTTTTACTCTATGTTCAATAATTGTACCGAACATACAACTTGAATGAACGATGGTGCTCATATAGCTCGAAAAATTAAACCCTGTCAAGTAGACTTTGCAATGCCACTTTCAGCCTCTCAAACTATCTTTATGAAAAGGAGGGGACTGTTAGGATGCTAACACAGAGAGTTCGGCAGAAATTGATCTGCCACTTAGAGAAGAGTGGAATTTGTTCCACCAGAGCTAAGAAGGTGCTACTTCGTGCTGGCCACTGTGGAAGCTCAATGTAAGAGAATCTTGAAGGCAAATAATCTGACATCTTCTTTGAGGTTGACTTTGTTCCATTAACATCAAAACATTCCTCGGCTATAGTATCTCATGCGGAATACAACAACAATTTTCTGGCTTGCTAAACATAGATGGATATTACGCAAGCTGTTGAGAAATCAAAATGAATTCAATATAATCATATCAGCAAAGTCTTTACCGTAGGGACTGGGTGTTGGATGCTCTCCAATATCACAAGAGCAATGCTGAACTAGAATGAGATTGAAGAGGGAGAACCATAACTTTAATGTGAACCTCACAGCAATGGAGGAGGTGGTACTTCTTTAATGGTTGAGGCTGAATTCAATAATCTTTATACTCACTGAACAACTCGTACTAATTGAGACCGTTACGAGTGATGTAAATATACGTATAATTCCCAAAAAGAAATTCTTATATTGCTATTTTTTTGTGAATCATCAAGGTTCAATACCTTTCCTTTATATCTATTGAGACTACT